GGGGGGAGGGCAGCTCGGCGCGCAGGATCTGAAGCCACGAAGCGCAGATAGACTACATCTAGCACCCAAATTACATGCATGATCACCACGCTCTCGACATTATTCAAGCGCTTCCCAACATCCCCACGCTCAAGACCTTTCTTCTCATCTCGTGAAGAAGCAGAGGTAGTAGACGCGGGCGCGTACGTACACCAGCAGCAGCCGCTTGCCCTTCCTTGATCTGCAACTCACCCATTCAGCTCAACAGCATCTCAAGTAAGAGGCGAGGTGACGCCCTTTGTAGATTGGAAAATAGAGAGACGAACTCAAAGCTACAAAGGAGCACTTTCCTGGCCAGAAAAGCAAAGCTAGAAGAAAAGCTTTCCAGAGCAGAAAGCTATTTCACACAGCAGGCTCCCTTTCCTGACCAGAACGCGGTCAGCTCCCTTTCCAAACCAAAGCGGGACGCTACTTTCCTGACCAGAAAGCGAGACATGCCCTTTCCCAACCAGAGCGCGTGAGCTCAACCTTTTCATTCCAAAAAGAGAACGACGCCCGCCCTTTCCTGACCCAGAAGCGAAATTTTCCCCGCCTTCCCCAACCAGAAAGAGAGCCAATCAGCTTCAGAAGCAACGCAACGCGATCTTTCCTGACCAGAGAGTGAAACAAAGCTTTGTACGAGAGTGTGGCCGATGCTGAGCTCGTGATGAAGAGCTGGCCGACGCTGCTTCTGGCCCCAGAAGAAAAGAAAAAGCCATCCCTCTGCATACCTCAAAGGAAAGGGGAGCCTTCGGCTCCCCCCCTTCACCTCTCCTTCCCTCAGTCGATCCGACTCCTCCCTCCTGGGCGTCTCGACTCATTCGAACGCTGTACTTGGCCTCATCTTCCCACTTCTCCGCTGCCTCTCGGTCTCAGAAGTATCGCTCATCAATAGCCTTTCCCCTCCCCGGCCTCGCAGCGAGAAGAGAAGGAAGAGGAGAAAAAGAAGAGCGAGAAAAAACGCGCTACTCCCTTCTGCGCCGAGTCGAGTTCCGAGTCGCTTGCATCTCTCTCGTCGACATGCGTCGACTTGCTCGCTTACATCGCTTGGACCCTTGCTCCTCGTCTTGAATTCTCTCGCTGCTGGCTGAGCCCGAGGTTCGCCTTGCCTTCTCGGCCCTTGGACCGGCGCCTTATGTATGACGAATCTTCCGCTCAGCCGGGCGGCCGGGCGGCTGGGCTGTCTCCACGTCAGCCGTGTATGCCGAGGCGCGGGCTTCTTAATCTCCTCAAAACAGTACTTCACTTCGTTCCTTCCCTCCTCGCTATTACACCGCACTCACACTCGCAACCATGTCCCCGCACCTCTCCACGGCCGCTCTCCACCTCACCCTTCCCCAGGGATACGGCTACGTAGCCCTTGGAGCTTTGGGCACATGCTTCCTCACCATCTTCCAGAGTCTCCTAGTCTCCAAAGCTCGCAAGGCCAGCGGTGTGAAATACCCACAGATGTACGCCGACGAGAAGGAGGCGAAGGTAGATGCGAAGAAGAACAAGTTCAACTGCTGTCAGAGGGCTCATCAGGTGCGTTGCGCGGCACAGGGGTGAAGAGAGAGAGAGGGAGAGAAGCTGACCCAACTCTCGTATTGGACGCCGCGACAGAACACACTCGAGACTCTCCCTCTCTTCCTCCTCACCCTCCTCATCTCCGGGCTACGTCACCCCCGCCTCGCCGTGGGCCTCGGTGCCACCTGGCTGGTCGGGCGCGTCCTGTACACGGTAGGGTATGCGAGCGGAGACCCGGCAAAGAGGATGCAGGGTGGGTTGCCTTCGAGCCTTTCGTACATCGGGCTGGTGATCACCGCCACGACTACTGTGGTGCAGTTTTTGAGCGAGGGGGATTGGAAGATCTGAAGCGCGCACGCACGCGGCGCGATGTAGAGGACGTCATGTCACGCATGTCACGCTTTGAGAATTCCATGCATATCGCCCACGCCCACGCTACTCCGTCTTACCCCTCGCGCGCACCACCCGCTGCTCTTCCTCCTCAACAACCAACCCCACCCCCTGCCCCGCCTCCTTTCTCAACCTCTCCTCATCCCTGCACTCCGCCTCCTCCACCTCCCGCTCCCTCACCGCCAACCACGCACTCAGCGTCGCACTCGGCCCAACGAGCGGGGTAGCGAGCGCGAGAAGGGCTGCGACCAGTCTAGTTCGCGGATGATTGGAGCGCACCGCGTCCATCCCGATGTAGACCAGCGTGACTAGGCCCAGACAGACGGCGTCAGAGCCGATACTGCTCTGCGCCGGGTGGGAGTGGAACGTTGTCGGGTACAATAACTTCCCTACAACGCGCATCGTCCCGTACCTGTGCAGCTGCAATGCGGGGACCTCCCGCACTACGAGGCTCACCACGTCGCCCGCCTGCCTCAGTCGCGCCACGAAGTTGTACGCGGCCAGAGCGCCAAACAGGTTCGACGGGCGTAACAGCGCGCGTAGTCGCTCGTTACTGGCGCGCGTCCCCTCGGCGTCGTCGCTGCGTGGGTGTGGGTGCAGGAGGGCCTCGAGCCGATCGGTGAGCGCAGCGCGCGGTAAGAGGAGGACGAGCGGGAGGAGGTGCATCCAGAGGACTTGCGGGAGAGTCGTCGGGCGCGACCAGACGCAGAGGGATGCGAGGCCTACCCCTGCCCAGGTAATGAGGCGCGATGCGAGGCTTGGGTGGGTAGAGGGACATTCCAGGATGTACTGCCGCGTCGTCGTCTCGACCATTGCGCCTTGCTCATCCTCCTGCACTTCAACGCGCACCACGCGCCCTACCCTCTCCTCCCCGGCGAATCGCCCCGCCCTTGCCACTTGGAGCAGGCTGCCCTCCCCCACCTCGCGCAAGCTCAACGCCAAGCCGAATAAGGCCGCCGCGAAGCTCATGGCTACCGTCTGGCCCAGCAACATATATGCCCACGCGTACGGCACGCCTACGCGGGTGCGCTGCGCGGAGAGGAAGAGGGTGAAGACGCCCACGGTGAATAGGCACACCTCAGCGCTCCACCACCACGCCGCCGGGTGGGAGGTGACTTGCAGCCAGGACTCGGTAAAGAGGGAGGTGTGCGTGAGCCAGAGGGAGAGGCGTTGTAACCGCGTGGAGAGGAGGGAGACGTGGCAGGAAGAGAGGAGCGAGGATGTGCGCGGGCAGACGGGAAGGGAGGGGATGGCCAGACCCGTGAGGTGGGCGCCAGAGAGCCATACGTTGTAGGAGTGGGAAAAGTAGCGAAGCATGCTGGGTGCGGGCGCGCGATTCGTCAGCCCCCTTCTGCTCAGCATCATCCTCTCTGGCCCTCGGCGCGACTCACTACGTCCACGTACTCCCCAGACTGAGAGCAGCCAACGCGCACCATGTTCCCGTCTCCCATCCAGCCTTTCGCCCAATCCTCTCCGCCAACACGGAGCGAAAGACGACGCGACGTAGCAGCCAGGCGATGAGGGCAAAGTACGAGTAGAGGATGAGCAGCTGTGGATGCAAGGCTGAGCGCAGCAGGACGGCGTAGGAGGGATATGCTGGGGGCAGGGAGTTGGGCGTGAGCGCTGGCGTGGGCGGGGGTGCAGCATCGAGATCGGGAGGGATGACGATCTGGTCCATGCTGGCGTCAAGTGGGGGGACCGGGATGTATGCGAGTGGAGAAAAGGAAAGGTGCGAGCACCCGTCGAGCCAGTCCGCCCCTCGCCCCCTTCGCGGCGCGGGACGTCCCCCTCCGCCCGCTGGTTGCGCTCGGGCCTCCTTCTTTTCTCCTCCCGCGCCGCCAAACACCACGCAGACCAGAGGGGAATGGATGGCAAAAGATGATTTCTTGTCACGAGACGCCAACATCTCATCAATCTGATGAACCCGCCCTCCCTCTACTGCGCGCGCGTGCCTCCCTCTCCCCCTCGACCAGCGGAACCAGCCTCGTACACCCTGCGGCGAGCAACATAGCCAAGCCGCCGTAACGTAGCACCCACACCACACCGGGGGCTCCCCCATCCCCTCCTCCCCCATCTCCTCCTCCTTCCCCCGCGCCGTTGAAGAACCCAAAGATGATCGAAGCGATAAATGCGACGAGGAATTGGGGAAGGACGATACTCAGGTTGTGGATACCTAGAATCGTCCCGCCTGCGCCTGCGCGCGCCTCGTCGATGGCGTCGCGGTAGTTGGGGCTCTCATGACCGAGGAGTGGTGCGTGCTCCCCGCGCTCCCGCTCCTGCTCTTCCTCGTCATCCTCGCCCGCTGCGTCTTGGTCCAGCCCACTCACCCTGCGCAGCTGCGCCCCGCCCTGACTGCCCGCCGCTCCCACAGGCCGGATCACCTCGCTTCCCCTCGCCACAAAGCTCCCCGACGTCGTGCGCCCATCTCCACTCCCCGCTTGCAAAGCCCCACAATCCAGCAACGCCTCCCTCGTCCTCTCCTCCCCCCCAGCCCCATGCCGCGCCGCAGCCCAGGCGTCCCCCTCAAACTCGTACGGACTGGTCCCACGTTCCGCCTCGCGTACGAAGCTCATCACCAGGCTAAAGGGAACCCAAGAGGCTATTCCCCAGGGGATACCCGTCAGGGCTACGAGGAGGAGGGCGTGCCGTGTGTTGGAGGCAGGGAAGGTGAGGAGGAGGAAGAGGAGGGAGTGGGCGAGGCACGAGAAAGTCCAAAGGGTGCGCAATGTTACGCCGCCCCGTCCTCCGAGTAGGCGACGCACCATCTTGTCCACGTACGACGTGTTCTTGCGCCTTTGCCCGAGCGAGATGAGGGGCAGAGCACTCCCAGCGACCAAGCTGACCAGGGCGAACAGCAACATCCCCTCCGTACCGCGTCGCTCTCGTTCCTCCCGCCTCGTGCGACCCGTCCCGCGCGGCTCGAATGTGCCGATCCAGGTAGTCGCGTAGAAGAGAAAGGGGAACCAGCCCTGAAATGCAAAGAGCTGTACGAGGCATACACGCCGGATGGGGCGGGGGAGCGTCTTGAGGGTAGACCAGATGGAGGAGAGGGAGACGCGCAGCGCGGTGAGAGGGGAGCGGTTGCGCTCTGAGTCCTCGTCGCCGGTATGTTTCGGGTGGGCAGAAGAGGAAAAAGTAGAGCCTTGCTGCTGCTGCGCTTGCCCTTGGTCTTGCGCTGAGTGTCCCTCTAGGTTGCCCTCGTGTACAAACGTGCAGGTGATGCCCACGCACAGAACCAGCCCGACGAGGGCTATGACTGCGAACTTGCGAAACTGATCTCCGCCGAGGGGCTGGAGGAACGCGAGGCGCGAGAGGTTCAAGAAGCCGCAGGTGTACCCGAGGATGTTGCCGCTGCGCGTGGCGAGGGGCGAAGATGTCAGCGTGCCAAGCCTGCTACGAGCCGCGCCCCACGCCGCGCGCACTCACACATGCGTCATCCTCCCCATCCACGCATTGCCTCGATCCACATCGCTGCCTTCCACCTTGTCCAAGATCAGGGAGCGACTCGCTGCTTGCAGGGCGTTGAGCGCGAAATCCAACAACCAAAAGGCCCCCACTGCCAGCACCTTGGTCACATCCCTCGCCGCCCTCACGCGATGCGGGTCCCAATCTCCCAGCCCCACAGCAAAAAAGTCTACAATCGCCTCTGCCACGGGCTCGCAGTACGCAAGGCTGAGCGTCGCCACAACGATGCATGCCGTACTCCCCAGCATCCAGCCACGACGTCGCCATCGCGCTCCTGGCGGGGATGCATCGCTCAATTGACCCACGATGGGCTGAGCCACCATGCCCGAGACTGGCCCCGCTAGCCATACGAGGGAGGTGGTGGAGGGGGAGAGGCCCAAGGAGAGGAGAAAGGGGGTCCCGTAGGAGAGCTCGAGGGACCAGGCGAGTTGGGCTCCTAACAGGGAGAGGGTGAGGAGGATGAGGTGCGGCGTCGAGGCGCGAGCCGGTTGTTGCGTCTGTGTCTGCGCTTGACGCGTGGGCGTGGGCGTCGTCTGGCCTGGACGGATGGTCAGAGCGGATGAGGCGTTGCTCGCGGTCTGCGGTTGTGGAAGTGTGTGCGCGTGCTGGGCGTGCTCTGCAATCGATGTCGACGTGGATGTCGACGCGGATGCACCTGCCACGCTCGAGGGCACGCTCAGCTGGGCCGACTCGACGGATCGCTGCGACCTGCTGCGCCAGAAGCGTGGTGGGGCCATGCGGTGCGCGCGTGCGTGGTGAGGACGAGTCGGGAGTTGGCAATGGGCAGTTGGCAGTTGTGGATCGGATGTCAAGTTGCGGCGGCGAGTCGTGCAGCTCCACTCCCGCCCCGCCAAGGCCATTTCAGCCTGGCTCGAGCGTCGAGTCGAGTCGACCATCCCCGCCGCCCCGCTCTCCCCGCCCGCCCCTCCCGCCCAACTCAATTCATTCGCTCGCTCCTTCCGTTCCGTCGTCCCTCGCCCGCCCTGAATCTCAACTCGATTCCAAAGGACGAGACATTCGCACTTCGCACCCGCTCATCCACTTCGACATCACATCCCCCCGCCTCTTCCCCACCTCACCTCCGCGCCACGCAATGGCAGCCAACCACGGCGGCATCAAGGTCTTCTCTGGGACCAGCCATCCAGAGCTGGCAGCCGGAGTGGCCAAGCGGTGAGCGCGGCGGTTCCCCCCCACGTCAATGTATGCTGATCCCTCTCCTCTCCACGCGCGCCCGCAGCCTCGGCATCCCCCTAGGAAAAGCCACCGTCACACGCAACGAATCCGCCGAATCCCTCATCCGCATCAGCGAATCCGTTCGCGAACACGACGTCTACATCATCAACACATCTTGCTGTTCCCCCACCCCGACGGGATCCTCGGCTTCACCCAATACGTCCCTCATGGAACTCCTCATCATGATCCACGCATGCAAGACGGCGAGTGCGCGAAGGATTACGGCCGTCATCCCTCACTTCTTCTATGCGCGACAGGACAAGAAGGATAAGAGTCGTGCGCCAATTACTGCCAAGCTCGTAGCGAATATGATCGAGAATGCAGGGTGTGATCATGTGATTGTGAGTGGCCTGGGCGACGTACTGTTCGCGCGAGGAGAGGGAGCTGATCGTACTCCTGCCACGCACCCGCGCAGACGATGGACTTGCACGCATCGCAGATCCAGGGATTCTTCAACGTGCCCGTCGACAATGTGAGTGCAGCGAGCGAGGAGCGCGCTCAGAGACGCACGTCGAGCTCATTGCACCCCACCCCCCGCTCCCAGCTATACGCAGAACCCGCCGCCCTGCAATACATTCGCGAGATGGTGAGTCGCTGTGCGTGTCCTCATCCTGTTCCTTGTCAATCACTCACTCCCCCGCCAATCTGGCTTCCCGGGTGCGCGCGCACGCAGGTCGACATCTCCAAAGCGGTCATCGTCTCCCCCGATGCAGGCGGTGCGAAACGCGCCACCTCCCTCGCGGACCGCTTGAACGTCGACTTTGCCCTCTTCCACAAGGAGCGCAAAAAGGCCAACGAGGTCTCCCGCATGGTCCTCGTCGGCTCCGTCCAGGATAAAGTCGCCATCCTCGTAGACGACATGGCCGATACGTGCGGTACTCTCGCTCTTGCCGCGCAACGACTCGCCGAGAGTGGGGCAGAGCGCGTCCTTGCCATCGTGACGCATGGCGTGCTGAGCGGTCCAGCGTTGGAGCGCATCATGGAGAGTCGCCTCGAGAAGTTGATCGTCACAAACACGATCCCGCAAGAGGGCAACGCGAGACAATGCCCCAAGATAGAGATCATCGACGTCAGTCATGTCCTCGCAGAGACGATTCGACGCAGTCATTACGGAGAGAGCGTGAGCGTTCTCTTCAACCAGATTCCGTACGATACGACTCAGCCCTATAGGCATGGGACGGATACGCCTGCTGGGGAGGAGGTGCCAGGCGTGGGAGGTTCGACGCAGAGCCCGCGCAGGCAGTTGCATGCCAATCATTTGGCCTCCTCGCTCGCTCAGGTGGCGGCCGCACCCGGTTCCGCTTCTTCATCGTCGGCGTTCCCCCCTAGCAGCTACAACGACCCAGACCCGCCGGCGGCGGCGCACTACTTTGCTGCGGATAGGGATCGACAAGCGCGAGCATCGGCGGCGGCGGCAGCAGCGGGGGCGGAGGAGCAGACACCGAGGTTGAGGCATGCAGACGCCGTTGGGCTGGGAAGAGGGGAAGAGAAGGGGGGCAGCGCGGCATTGAGGGGGTTGATGAGCCCGATGGGTGGTGGAGGGTTGCCCCCGCCGAGGGGGTGAGGCGAGACGTCTCTGTTGTACCGCGTTGCGCCGTGTCGTAGAAAGGTCACCTCCGTCCTCGAGTCCTCGTGCGAGTGTTGGTACGCTTCGTCGCCCTCCCCTCCTCTTGCTCGCCACGCTCGTCGCCTCCTCTCTTCTTGCCCATATCGACCGGCGGCTCCAGCTCCAACTTCGTGCTCGTCTTCTTCTCCTTGGTCCGCGCGATCTCCTGTCCTTCCTCGTCCACACCTCCACCCCCGCCTCCGCGCCCGCCCCCCTCACGATACGCCCACGTAGCTCGATCCAACTGCCTCGCCCCTCTGTCCCATTCCCTTAACCTCTCCCCCCACGCAGAGCGCCAACGTTTCCAATCCGCCTCTCCGTACGCGACTTTGCGTCCCTGCAAAGCGGGCAGGCAGGACCAAGACTCGTCGCTCATGAACCCCTCCTCCTCTTGAGCACACCGGCTGCCATCGCTGCGCGCTGCTACCTCGAAGATGCCCAGCAATAGCGAAGCCGTTGCAGGACCGATACCACGGAGGGAGGTGAGGATGCGCAAGCAGGGGAAATTGCGCAGTGAGTCCTCCTCCCTCGCTTCTCGAGCCGGGATGAAAGAGCGCCAAGCCTTCCCCGTCACCTCGACTACTTTCTCCTCCGAGTTGGACGCAACGAGAGAAGGGAGGGTGGGACGATATTTTCCCCTACCCAACTTCCATGCCAAGCAGATAAGGAGTTCCTCGCGATTGAGATGTGGCTGGGATCGCGAAGCTAGAACGGCAGGGATATGCTCCCAGACTCGCTCTTCTAATTCTACGAGGGTTGAGGAGGGGAGAAGCGGACTGCGCTTCCCTGACGATGAGGAGGAGCGTTGGGCCAATAGTGAATCGTAGCTAGTGAGAGCCTTTGCGAGATCTTCATTGGTGGGGACGGCCATAGAGGGCGCAAAGCGATAGTCGGGCTAGCGGCGTGTCGCGGCGTGTCGCAGCGTGTTGCTTGGAGGGGAAAGGAAGAGAGAGAAGTGGAGCTCATCTCGCGGCGCGTCAAGTGAAGTTGCCCGTCGCGTGCCGCCGGTCCAGCCCAGCCCAGCTCCTCCCGCCTCGCCTCCCGCCTCGCCGCGAGCGTGCGTGTTTGATTGACGCCGCCCCGCTCGGCCGCGCATGCAGGTTGACGCAGAGTCGACGTCTCGATGGGCGGAAGCGCGGGCGGCAGCGCAGGCTTGGCCCCTAAATCGAGACTTGCGAGCCAGAACAGAGGAAAATGCGCTGCGCAGCTTCAACACCTCTCTCTCTCTCCTTACCATCCATTTTGGAAACGTCGACGTAGATATGGCTGCAGCTGACATCACCGCATTGTGGCACGCAGCTGCTCCGCCTCCACCGCCGCCTCCCACCGCTCGCGACACCACCACCCCACCACGAGCGTCACGCATCGCTCTGGGCCAGGTGTTGGACTCGTTTACCAATCGATCCTCGCCCAAGGCCAGCGGCGCATTGGGAAAGCTCTCCTCCTCCTCCTGCTCATCGTCGTCCTCGCTAAGCTACCACGCCGACTCGCGCGGGGATGCATTGCCTGCGGATACGTTTAGTCCCGAGCCGGCGCGACCGAGGTCGAGGAGTAGCGCGCAGGGAGCAGGAGCATACGGAGACGCTTCGCCCGCGCCTACTTCGCCCGCGCCAGCTCCTCCTCGAGCTCACTCCCCTATGATGCCTCAGGCTACAGTGGCAGGGCACTACTCGCCTGCTCCGGCGCCCGCTCCTACGCCTGCTGCTCATCATCAGCAACCCTACGCAGCGCCGAATCACCAAGTCCCCTGGCCTAGCGCGCACGCGTATAGCCCCGCCCTTCACCACGCCTACCCTCAAACCTACTCGCACGCTCAACCACACGCAGGGCCGAGCTACCACGCATCATCGCCTTCCATGCCAACAGCTCTGCCGCCGAGCCCCATCCCGCCGCCGCCACGCAGTCGCTCTCCTCGCCCCGTGACCATGTCCCTGCCTAGCGCTGCGGCTCCGGGCCAGTCGACTGCGATCCCGCCCATGCCGCCTCCACGCACTCGCATGGGCAGCGTGGCATCCACCACGTCCACGTCGCATTGGTCCTCCCCGTCCTCCACCAGCCCGCCCCTCTCGCCCTCACGTACACGCACGGTCAGGCGCAGTCTACCTCAACCGCCCGGCCCTGCTGCGCCTTTTCATCCACCCAGTGCTGTTCCCGGCTCCCCTCATGCTGCGCCCGTCTTGCCTCGTGCTGAGCAACCTGTTCAGCCGCAGATGGGCAGCCCGCCCACGGCGTCCACGGCGGCCACGGCGGCCACGGCGGCCACGGCGGCCATGGCGCCCGCATCCCCGCCTCCCCCCTTGCGATCCCACACCGCCTCGAACGCTTCGTCGACATCTACTCTGGGTCGATCGGAAAGTGTCCGCCTCGCCGCAGAGGAGCTCATGGCTCGCGGCCCTCCACGTCGCGGCGGTGCGCGCAATCGATTCGCGCCTCGAGGCCCCTCGCCGCTAGCGACGCCGATGCAGGGGAGCAGTAGCGTGCCCGAGGCTGTGGGTGTCGCAGCGTCAGGTAGCGAGCAGGGTCAAGCCGTCCAGAGTAGCCAGAGCGAGCCTGCGCGGATGCGGATGCGCACGATGGCCGAGAAGCAGCAGCACGACGGGGAGGAGGAGGCGAGCGATGGCATTACATCGCTGAGCGGGGCCTTCGAACGGCACGCTCAGGTTGCAGACTTGCCCACCAGTCCTAGAAAGGCGCAATCCTCCCCCTCCGTCCTTCCGACCCCGCCAGTCGACCCCGTGTCCCGCCCCTCATCGCGTGGAGCAAGGGATCAGGTACTTCGCAATGCGGGCCAAGTTCCTGCCCCATACATCGCAGTCGCTCCGCCGCAAGCGCAGGAAGTGGTGCAACCAGCCGTCGTAATCTCGCCAGGCCACTCCCTAGCCCCAGCATCGACCATCCCTCGTTTCTTCTCTCCCCCGCCAAACGTAGCCCCTCCCGTCGATCCGACGCTCAGGAGCGGGACGCCTGCGCCGATGGCCGCTAGCACGCCGAGCTTCTCCTTTTCGCCCGCCGAGGCTCCCCCTGCGCCAGCGCCTGCGCAAGTTCTGCCGCCGCCTCCGCCTACGTTTGCATTCTCTGGGCCGGACGAGCAGGCGAATACGGCGGGCGTGCCTAGCTTCTCATTCTCTGGTCCCGAGGGGGATGAGGATGGAGCGTCAGGCCCAACGAACGACGCCCCACCAGCTATCAGCGTCAATGTCTGTGCGCCGGACGAGGAGGACCTCCCTCCCTCGACGACCCACTCGCGCTCCGTCTCAGCTACGTCGAACCAATCGCACGTCTCGCTCCATTCCGACCAAGGGCAGGCGCAACGCGCTACGGCAACCACAACGGGCGAAGTAGCTGCGCACGCGCACGCAAACGCGCACGCGCACTCTCCTCACGTCCCTCGCGGCGGCCCCATCCAATCCGCCTCCTCCATCGCTGGCCTCACTTGCTCCTCCCCCACCTGCGGAAAGTACATAGCCGGTCGCGTCCTCTCCGCTGGCCCTACATTGGGGTACTACCACCCGCCTTGCTTCAAATGCTCGCACTGCCACCTCTCCTTGGAACACGTGGCCTTCTACGAGCACGAAGGGAAAGCGTACTGTCATTTGGACTACTACGAGTTGTGGGCAAGGCGTTGTTTCCACTGTAGGACGCCGATTGTTGACGAGCGATTCATCAAGGTCGAGGATGGGGCCTTCGCTGGCGCGGGCGCCAAAGGGGAGGAAGGAGGAGGAGGGGGTACGACGAGATATTACCACGACTTGCACTTCTTCTGTGCCAATTGCGGCGACCCTTTCCTCGATCCGAAGGCAGCAGCCGCGGGAGCAGCGGCGGGGACAGCGGCGAGCTGTAAGCCCTACCTCGTCCATCAGGGCTACCCGTACTGCTCGCCTTGTCATGAGCGGTTGCATCTCCCGCACTGCAGGGGTTGTAGTGGGGTGATTAGGCCGGAGGAGGAGATGTTGACGTTTAACCCAGGGAGGTGCAAGAAGCCTGCGAACAAGGTGGCGGGCAGGGGCATCGCGGCACCACGCGGGGATAAGTGGCATGAGCGATGCTTGCGCTGCTCGCGATGTGGGGGTTCGTTTGCTGATGGGGAGGGGCAAGGAGGGGGGAGCATCTTCGTCAATGAGGAGGGAGAGGTATTCGATGGAGACTGCTACGCCATCTGGTTGCGAGGGCAGGTCTAAGCGTGCGGCGGGGTTGTGTTCGCATTTGTGTTCGTTGTCGTGTCCGCCTTCGTTTTCGCCTTCTGTATCATCGCCTTCATCGAGGCCCTCCCCGTCTGTTAAATAGTAAATCGCGATTCTCTCCATCTACGTCGGCTCAGGACTGCATCGAGGATCGCCCGCCTACGTCGACTCGAGACTGCAACGCGGATGGCCCGCCTACGTCGCCTCTAAGCTGCAACGGGAATCGCTCTCCCCCCGCCATGCTCCGCGTATCCCACTCCTCTACCCTGTCGACGCTCCCCATTCTCTTCGTCGTCGCTCACCGGCTCCTCCTCGGGCACCTCCCACTCATCACATCGCCACTCGACGTCGAATCGCACGTCAGCCGGCGGCGCGCCTGCCTCTGCCTTCGCGATCTGCGTCCACCCTTCCTCTGCATCGCGACAGGGCCACTCCCATTGCGTCTGCTCGGCGGTACGCGCAACGATCCAGGAGCGAAAGAAGCTAGGATGCTGGTGTGGCGGCTTAATTCCCGCTCCATCCTCCTCGTTTATGGCGCGCAGTCGTGCGGTAATGTGCTTGATCCTCAACCTTCTGCCCGCGCTCGCCTCGCCCGGCCCCCGCCGCGCTACCCTCAAACAACGCAACGCCGGCCGGTAAGGAGTGCTCCACCCTGCCCAACCCTCCGCATCATGCCCTACAACGAGGAGCTCCTCCAACTTCCCACTCGTCAGCATCACCAGCACTCGCAACGCCTCAGCGTACCCTTCACCCTCTCCTTGATGCCCGTTGTGGCTACTAGGCATCACCATCCCCACCCTTCTGAGCTCGGGCAGAGAGGCGAGGGCTAGCGCGCTCGAGACGCAGAAGCGGAAGCCTTCGGAGCCTTGTAGCTGCACAGAGGTGAGACGCTCCCAGGCCGTTTTGGAGGAACGAAACACGTCCGGTATCCTCGTCCCTCCCCACGGGCTGAGCGTGAAGGTCACTTCGCGCACTCCGCGCCACCTCGAAGCAGAGGCAGGGCCCGATACGGTGGAGGGCACCGGTAGAAGACACGTAGGTATTGACTCGATGTGTAGTTCTTCAAGCCCGCTTGCCACCAGGGGCAGAACTACTCCTCGCAGCGGTAAGAGGACGATTTTCGCGAAGGTGGCATCGCGCAGTCGGGCGTCGTACAGTGAGTCGCGAGTGAGTCCCTGCCCCTGCCTCTCCTCGTGGCGAGAACGACGTTGCATTACGACTAGTCGCTTCACCTTGCCCGCAGCGACGAGACGTGCGAGGCGTTTGTGCTTGCGGAGGGAATGCGCAAATGCTGCGACCTGCTCTGCGCCTGTGAGGATGAGCTCGCGTAGCAGCAGATTGCCTACCACGGCGTTGTATGCTAGAGTGTTGATAGAGGCGAGACGAAGCGCTGTTGTTGAGGCGCTCGGCGAGGAGGAGCACGCCGACGCCGCATCGTCGCGCGATTCGAGGAGAATGGCACGAGCGGCCAGGAAGACTATCTCTGTCACGAGCTCGAGGGGCAGGCGTGGAGGCCCGTGGTCCTCATGTCGATGCGGCGCCTGCGCGAGTCGCTGCTGCTGCTGATGCTGAAGTGGCTGTTGTGCTCCCCCGCCAATGACCTGAGTGCGCGCAAGAGAGAGCAGGGAATGGCGGGCAATCGGTCCAGTTGAGCTCTCAAGCTCCTTGTTCCTCGCGATTCAGCGGGGCTCGTCGCAGACTCACCTCAAAGTGCGTCTCTTTACACGTGACGATGGTCTTGCTGCGTTGCTGCGCTTGTGTTCTCGAACGTGCTTGCGAGGCTTGATAGCCGCCGAACCAGGAGCTGAACATGAATAGTCGAGGATCAAGCGAGAGGAGAGGAGCAAAGAAGCGCAGCGCACCACCAACCCTCGTCCTTGCCTGTCCGTCGCCGACGCGGGGCGGGGGGCGGAAGGCGGAGGCGGGGTTTGTCTTTGCGCCTCGGACCCTCGCTCGGGCCACGAGAAATTCCACTCGACTTTGGCCTGTTTTCTCCGTGCACGCGCTCTTTTCCTTCTTTCCTCCCATCCCGCCGCCTCGCCTCGCGTCACCATGCCCTCACCATCCGCAATCCGGCGAGCCGCCAATGCCCTCACGTCACTGCCCCGCCACTTCGTCCTATCAGAACAAGTCCGCCACGCCCTGAGCACCAATCAACCACTCGTAGCCCTCGAGTCTACAATCATAACGCACGGCCTACCCGCCTCGGTCAACCTGCGCGTAGCCCAACGCTGCGAATCCGTAATTGAAGCAGCAGGTGCCACGCCCGCTACCATTGCTCTGCTGGACGGACGCGTCCATGTGGGTCTTGAAGCGCGACAACTCGAAAGGTTGGCGAGTACAGCGGAGCACAAGGGAGAGAGGGCAGTCAAGACTGCCAGGAGGGATTTGGCAGGCGTACTGGCGAGTAAAGGCATTGGAGGGACAACAGTAAGCGCTACAGCGCATCTGGCCTCGATGGCGGGTATCGAATTCTTTGCTACGGGCGGCATCGGCGGGGTGCACAGGGGCGCCGAGAGGAGTGAGCACAAATCACGCCTGCATACATTCACACGGCTTTTGCTGATCCCCACAGTCTCGCGCGCCCACCTCCCCAGCATTCGACATCTCCTCGGACTTGACAACCCTCTCCACCACCCCTATAAACCTCTTCTGCTCCGGCTGTAAATCCATCCTCTCCCTCCCTCTTACCCTCGAATACCTCGAAACCCAAAACGTCCCCGTCTACTCCTTCTCCTCCCCACGCGGCGAGTTCCCAGCATTCTACACCGCAAAGAGCGGACTATACGTCTCACCCGTACCCGGCGGGGCGGCTGAAGGGGCGGCGCAGCTGATATGGAATGCGAAGCGTGTCCTGCGCGAGAAGGCAGGAGCACTTTTCGCTGTGCCTATTCCGGAGGAGTATGAGGAAGAGGGGAAACGATTACAGGAGCACGTTGAGAGGGCGGTGAGGGAAAGTGTGGAGCAGGGAGTCCACCAACGCGGCAAAGAGGTCACGCCTTGGTTGTTGAAACGCGTTGGTGAGCTCAGCGAGGGGCGTAGCCTGGAGAGTAACGAGGCGCTCGTGGTAAATAATTCAGAGGTGGCCGCACGGACTGCTGTGGAGTATTGGAAGTTGAGGGGGGAGAAGGGCGTGGAGAAGAGTGTACGTGTCTAGCCTTGTGGGTTGACATGGCGTGGCGTGGCGTGGCGTGGCGTGGCAAGCTCACTCACCTCACTCGACTCGATGACAGTACATCTCCGGTTGGTCCCCTCGCGCACCACCCTCCATCCTCATCCTAGGTTGTGCCGCCCTCGACATCAGTGCCACCCCTTCGCGTACTTCCCGCGCATCACCAGGATCAACATCCATCGGCTCCATCCGCTTCTCCCTCGGCGGGGTAGCGCGCAACATGGCAGAGGCGGCGGCGTACAGTCTGCGCGGTGAGGAAGGCGGGGTGAGACTCGTCGCCCCCCTCCTCTCCGACGCAGCGGGCAGCTTAGTGCGGGGCATGATGCAAAAAAAGGGAATGGACACCGGGGGACTCTTTGCGCCGGACACTGAGGTTGAGACCGAGGCGCGCTCTACGCCCGTTGCCTCCCTCCTGCTCGACGGAGAGACCAACGATCTCCTCTCAGGCGTCGTTGCCATGCAGCTGGTCGAGCACAGCTTCGATGAGCAGCGTGTCCGCCATTCGCTCGAGGAGCACGCGAAAGGAACGCGAGTTGTGGGATTCGACGCTAACCTCCCCGTGGAAGGGATGGAGGCGCTTCTACGCTGGAAGGGGGCGCAGCGCGAAAATGGAAAAGAGGCGCCGCTCCTCCTCTTCGAGCCCACATCGGTCCAGAAGTGTGCGCGCTTCCTCGACGCCGTAGCCGCGCTGCGGAGTGGGAGAGCGGGGAAGCAGGGTGCTTCAGGCGAAGGCCAGGGCAAAGGCAAGGCGCTGCTGGACGTAGCTACGCCCAACCTCCTCGAGCTACGCGCCATGCATCAGCGCGCTTTGCAGCTCAACCTGATTCCCCGCCAACTCGCCATCATGTCAACCCCTACTACTGCTCCCTCAGCTTCAGCCGACTTAGAGGAGATCCTCCGTCTAGCCGGCCCGCTCGCCACGCTGTGTCACCTCTTCCTCGTCACGCTAGGCCCGAAAGGAGTACTCGCCGTCTACCACAACAAGAGGGGGGAGGTAGAGCATCAACACTTGGACATCGATCAGCCCCTTGGAGCGGGCGAGGTGAGGAGTACGACGGGGGCGGGTGACTCGTTTGCTGGTGGTGTCATGGCTATGCTTGCCTCTGCGCCGCGTCCTGCAAAAGGACAGGCGTGGGAAGGGTGGCTGCGCACGCTCTGCGAGGCGGGCAGTAGAGCGGCAAAGGCCAGCTTGAAGAGCTACGACGCCGTCGCAGCGCCGCCGCCGTCGTCGAGCGTCAAGGGTTGAGGATCACGTTGAGGATGAGGATGTCTCCCACTTACTTCCCATTAGAGTACGAATATATGAAGCATCTGCATCCTACGCATCGCCCCCTCCCCCTCTCTTCGAGTGACTCATCATCCCTCCCCTTCACCGCCCTCTCAGGCCGCACCAGCGCTCTCAGCCTTGTCCGCCTCATCCTTTGCCTCCTTCTCCGCCTCCTCCTTGCTCCCCTGAATAGCCACCTTCAAGCTCAACTGCCTTCCCAGCCACTCCTTGCCCTGCACGACCTCCAGAGCCTTCTTCTGCTCCTCCTCCCCACTAAAGTCGACGAACCCGAATCCTTTGCTCCTACGCGCTCCAAAGCGACGACGGACAACGTGCGTGCTCTTGGGCTCAGGACCGCCCAGCTCCACAAAGGCGGAGCGAAGAGAGGCGTCGTCGACTTCAAAGGAGAGATTGGCTACGAAGAGGAGAGTCTTGGACGCTTCGCCCTCCGGAGCACCCTTGGGACCGCGCGGCTGGCGAGCCGTCTTCTTGGCAGAGGTGGCAGCAGCTGTACCGTCAACGGCTTCGACTTCGCCATTGACGACGGCGGCCTTGGTCTTGGGCTTGCGTGAGCGCGTCGACGACTTCTTCTCACCACCCTCCCCGTTAGCGGCGGCGGCGGCGTCGACGTTGTCCGGCTCCTCCCCCTCGTCGGTGCGCGCCTTACGTGCGCGAGGCTTGCGGGTACGACCTGTCTTCTTCGTCGTCGTCGCAGCTCCCTCTTCACCCTCTGCTGGAGCGTTGGCAGCAGCTGCAGCCTTGGCTTCCTGTTGCTTGGCCTTCTTGGCCGCAGCCTTCTCCTTGCGAGCGGCCGCCTTTGCCTCGCGCGTGGCCTCGAGCTCCTCCTGCGGCTTGGCGATCTCGACGTTGATCTCGCGGCCGGCTACGACCTTCTTGTTGAGCTTGGAGACGGCCGCCTCGGCTTCGGCTGCCGTGGGGTACGTGATGAAGCAGTATCCGAGCGAACGGGTGCCGCGAGTGATGATTTGGACGTCGTTGCTGGCGGGGGAAGAGAAGGATCAAGGTCAGCGCTGCGTCATGAGATCGCACGCTGCGTGCTTCTATGCTCACACCACGCCAGCCTCGGCGAAGATGGCCTTGATGTCGGCTTCGGTCGTGGCAAAGGCGAGGTTGCCTGGCGGCGCGGTGGGCGGGGCGGGAGAGGAGAGCGTGTGAGGGTGGGATAGCAGAAGCTCGCTGCTCTCTCTGCGCTACTCACCAGCAAAGACCTGGACGAGGGGCGGGTGATGGAAAGCGGCGTCTGTCAGTGCACGCCGGTCGCGACAACGCCACCTTGGCTCACCTTGTGGCCCTCCTGGGCGGGAGCGGCGGCGGCAGCGTCTGCGGACATGATCGGCGTCGTCGGTCGAAGTAGCTTTGTGTATGTGTTTGTGCGCGTGTGATGAAGCGATAAGGGGACTCGCGTTGAATGGAGTCTCGAACTGACTCTTGGCGGATGGAGAGAAAGGAAAGAGAGAGAGAGAAGCGGCGGCGGCGGCGGCGAGGTGTTGGGTTGAGTGGGCGCTCCATTGGCTCGCGGCTGCCAAGTGGCGGCGGCAGGCAGGCGGACGGGCGCCTCGCCCAGAGTCCAGACTGGCCGTCCGCCCCGTGCGGCCTGCGCGAGGGCGAGTGAGAGAGCCTGACGCCAGGGCACACGACGCGGCCTCGTCACTCTCGCAGGAGCTTGTGTTTCTCCACACGCAACCAAGCACGCATTGACCATCCCCATCCCCATCCTCACGACCAATGGTGACACCGTTGCACAGCATCATTGAGAGCATGACAGTGGGTCATAATGCGATGCGATGAGATGACCTTTTGCGCCCCGTGCACCCAGGACAGATGACATTCTCCACTCGCCCTGCCCTGACGACGGAATTGTTTACCAGACGCCTTGCTTGCTTGCTTGCCCGTTCGCTCACTTGCCTGCCCTGAAGCCCATTACACGCCGCATCCTCCGCCAGTTTCGAGAGGCCTGGAGGCCCAGTCTTTTGCGCTCGCTATTCTCTCCTCTCTGCTCTCCCACAAGTCCTCAACTTTGCCGCCGTCCCGCTTGGTGCCGCGATGTTGCTGCGCTCTCGCTTTCGCTTCCTTGATACGCGGCAAAGTCGCGCAGCTGATGCTGCTAATCAAGCTGAGGCTGAGATCTCGTCTACTTTGCCTTCGCCTTCTTCCCATCCTATCCTCCACGACGGAGAACCAGACAAGAATTCCTCCATCGCTGCGAGTGACACAAAGCTCCCCCTCCCCCATCACCCGCTAGACGGCAAAGGCAGTAGCAGCAGCAGCAGCAGCAGCAGCAACGACACCACTTCATCGAGCCACGCCGCCGCCGCGCATTCTGCAGCCTCTCCATCTTCGACTCACGCCGACTCATCGTCCCCCTCCAAATCTGAGCAAAAACAACGTCCGCTCGACAATTCTACACCTCTGCTCAACGACACAAAGGTCCTACCCCTCTCGCCTTCCAAGTGGCCAGGCGACGAACCAGGGCGCAGCAACAAGTCCAACAGCTCGACCTCTTCGAATAGCACCATCAAAGCATCTCCGACGCCCTCGTCGCCCCATTCGACTAACCGCACATCCATCCCGGATACAGCTGGAAGCAGTCCAGCCGTTCCTCTCAACGACACGGAGCCAGATAAGGCAGGGAGTAGTCCGGCCGTTCCTCTCCCTCTGCCCCTCCTCAACGGCACCGGCTCCTGGCCATCTGCGAGTACGAGTGGGGGCAACGACACCCACACATCGCAGCCCATCTCGCAGGACGAAGCTGGTAGCAGTAAAGCGGCGCCTTTACCTCATCCTCTTGCTAAGCCCTCCAACGGCAGCGATTCTTTGCCTGACAAGCTCAAACACCTAGGCGACGACAACGACAGGAGCAGGACGCCTCTTTCGCCTACCAAACAGCCATCCTTTAGCTCAACCTCGAAGTCGACGTCAAACTCGTCGCAGCAGGATCAGGCAGGGAGCAGTCCCGCCACACCTCTCCCTCTGCCTCTCAACGACACCGACTCAGCGTCGACGCCGTCTACGAATACGACTACGAGTGGAGCCAACCGTCCGGCGCAGTCAGGCTCGCAGGACGCAGCTGGTAGCAGCAAGGCAGCGCCTCTTCCTCTTCCTCTCGCTAAGGCCGAGCACTCGACAGCGTCACCATCGCATCCTGAGGGTCAGGGTCACACCAACAGCACAAATATACCTCTCCCGACCAACTCGACATCAATTACGACCGTCTCGCTGCAAGAAGACCAAGCAGGGAACAGTACAGCGGTCCCTCTTCCAAAGACGGGCAACGTCAGCGAGTCCTCGACGCCGCATTCGCCGTCTAGCTCAGACGAGATCCTAGGCGCGGTTGAAGGCAATCGTACCGACCTCACGTCATCACGACCAACGAGCTCGAATTCGCACTTATTACCAGACAAGGCGGGAAACAGCACAGTGGCAGATCCCCTCGAGGTGGACAATACGGCCAACACGACGGAGAATTCACTTCCTCCCTCCAGCATCGACAAGTCCAGCAACCATACATCTCTACCCCTCCGCCTGCCTGTACCCTCCAATTCCAGCGTGGATACTCCAACCGCAGGCAGCAGTAACGCCTCGCCGCTGGACACGACGCCGACGAAGAGCGATTCCGTCACGCCGAGCAAGATCGACAAGCAGGACGCAAAGCCGGTCGTGGCCAACAGCACAACTCTGCCGCTATTGCCCGAGGTGGACAAGGCTGGGAGCAGCAACGCCACGAAGCTTCCTGCGAGTGCGAGCGCGACTTCGGCCAACAAGAGCGATCCCATCTCCTCGCCTCCGAAGCTCGACAACGGCGGGGACGATAGTCGTATCACCCTCCTACCCGCGCAGGCGCCGCAGACGGAGACGGGGATGGACAAGGCGGGGAGTAGCAATGCTTCCACTGTAGGGGAGGGGGCGGGGGACTTCAGCAATACGACGGCAGTCTCCGGGCCTGTCAGGCTAAAGATGAACGATGGTACAGCTGCGGCTGCGGCTGATGAGAAGCATTTAAACCACACCTCGTATCACGAGCTTCCTGTCGCTGGTTCGAAGGAAGCCCTGAGCGCGGGGGACGAGGGCAAGAATGCGACGCAGGCAGTCGCAAACGTCACGACGCTTCCTGATCGACCGATCCTCAAGGGCGGCGGCGGCGGCGGCGGCGGCGGCGGAGATTCGTTTGACAAGGACAAGGCCGCCATTGGTCCGGTGGACAAGAATGTGACCGACGTCGCGGATGCGGATAAGCCAGGGCCGAACCATGAGGACTCGGCGGCTCCTGCGAAGAATGCTACCATCGCCGCTCCTCCAGCGAAGAACGATACCAGCTCTGCGTCCCCTTCCTCCAAGAATGACACCACTGTGGCCAAGAACACGACGACCGCCGGCTTGACCCCCCTTCCCCCTCCCTCTCCAGCGAAGAACGACAGCCTCTCCGCGCCTCTGCCTCCGCCTCCGATCAACAACAACACCACCACCTCCCCTCAAAACAGCACCACACCTTCTCCTGCAAATAATGCAACGTCGATCGCTCTTCCCTCCAACAATACGGCACCGACGAAGGAACAGGACAACCAGCAGCAGCCCCAATCCCAATCCATTCCCTCGGGGCATGCGGTCCCTCTCCCACAATCAAAGATCAAGGACGACGATCTCAGTCTCTTGCCGGGGACCGCCAGCATGGAGCATGGTGAGTTTTTGCGCAGCGTCCCGCCGTACCGCACCGTACCGTATCATCTTTTGCTTCTTCGCGTTGCGTTGCGTTGAGTTGCGGGGTCTTTGTGGTCGCCGCACACCCGGCGATCGCCCGGCCACTTGATTGGCGAGAGCAGAGCTTCATGCGCGCTTGCACCACCCTTGCTCGCTCGTTGGTCTGTTCGTCATTTCGTGCGCTCTGCGGGCAGTGCCTGGCTGGCCGCTCCCGCTGGCCGCCACCCAGCCCTCGCTCGACTCGCTCGCAGATTGAAGCAAGGGTTATCTGCCGGCCGCACTCGTTGCCGCTGTCGGTCGTGCCTTTTCTTCTCGTTGCGATTGCGAAGAAAAGGGCCCCCCGCCCGTCCATCTTTCCATCTTTCAATTTCATCTCTTCATTGTTGCTTCATCATCATCACCTCTTCACGCACCTCACTCTTTCATACCGGCGCCACGCTTGGTGGCTGGTCCAATTTTGCCTCTCGCCTCGCCCCTCGCCCCTCGCCGCCTCGCCCGCGCGGTTTCGACGTCGGGGGAAACGGCGGCGTCGAACTTGCGCTCTCTGCTCGTGCGCCTGGCGCGGACTTCTCTCGTCGAGCCGTCACCGCCTGCGTTCGCTGCGCTCGCTGCGCTGCGCTGCCCTGCCCTGCGTCGTCGTTCTGCTAGGCTAGGCTGTTGACGATGTCCTCGGCTTCGTCGACGTCGGCGCCTTCTTCGTCCTCCTTCTCCTCTTCCTCATCCTCTGCGACCTCGTCATCACAATCGAGCCGCCCCTCGTCATCGTCTTCCACCATTAGCAGCTCAAACAGCGGCAACGACGGCCTAAGCATCGGCCTAGGCCCCATTGGCGTCTCCATCGGCGGCAGCGGGAGCGATTCATCTTCATCATCCCGGTCCTCCTCCTCTTCTGACTCCATGTCCTCCCCTACGCGCGACACGACCACCAATACCATGTCCTCGACAACGCCCACTACTACACGTCAAACAACGACGACTTCGGATACTTCGACGTCTATCACCTCGTCGACGACTTCCTCGTCCACTTCGGATACCACCTCGCCGACTACCACTTCTCGGACCTCAGGTGAGCGCGCGGGCGAGACCCTCTGGTCGAGCGCATCCTCGACCTTTGCGCTTACTCTGCCCCCTCCCTCCATCTCGCGCGCACAGACACTTCCACGTCCTCTGATACGTGAGCATTGCGCGAGCTCCCCGCGCTGCCTCGCCCGTAGCTGACTCCGCCCCCTGATTCGCGCACGCATACAGCACTCGCGTGAGTCCCACAACCTCTTCAACTTCCTTCTCTTCTTCTTCTTCTCGGGTTGGTGTTGCGCGCGCGGCGGGGTCCATCTCTCCATTCACTGGTAGCCTTGTGCCGGCAGCGAGGATGTGTACTGACCTCTCGTACTCGCACTCGCACCTCTCGCCCCTCCCACTCCTCGCGCCGCGCAGACATCTACCGCCGCCCCCGTCACGTCTACGGCAACGACGACCCCAACCAGCACAGCGGCGCCGCAAACAAGCAACAACAACAACAACAACAACAACAGCAATGGCGCCGACACGCCCGTCGTCGTCACTTCCGTCGTCCAAGCCACCGCACCGGGCGGATCGGCCGTAACCCTCACCTCGACCTCCCGCCCACAAAACGGAGAGCTCAATGGCTCCAACGGTTCCGGCTCATCGAGCTTCTTCGACAACAATGGCGCTGTAGGTGGCACATTCGCCGCGGTAGGCATCGTCGCCGCCCTTATCATCGCCGGACTCGTATGGTTCTTCTGGCGTCGTCGCAAGAACCAGCAGATGGACGCCGACGTCGTCGCAGCGGCTGGCGCAGCGGCGGCTACGACGCGCACGCCCTTTGACGATGACGATGACCCGGAGATGGTCGAAGACCCGACGTCTGCAGCGAGCAATCACGGCTATTACAGCAACTACGGCAACGAGTATGCTCCCTCGACCATGTCTGCTGGAACAGGTCAGCCGGGGATGGCAGGGATGGGCGCGTGGGGTCCAGCGGGGGCTGCTGCTGCTGGTGGAGCAGCTGCGGGCGCGTACGGCGGCTATTATGGCAGTCAGCACGACCACAATGCCGCGCAGCAGTACTACGATGCCGAGCCTAGCAACTACTACAACGGTGGCCCAACGTCGGGCGGGCACGACGGAGCGTTCAGCGCTGGGAGCCATCCGGAGATGTATGCGCAAAACACGGGGTGGAGTGGTGGGATGAGCAGTCAGGGCGGGCAAGGATACGGCAACGGCGGTTACGGCAATGGCGCATACGGCAACGGCGGTGGGTACGGCTCAGCGAACCACCTCGGCGCCATGGATGGGGAGGGCATGCCCTTCGCTGCGAGCGTGGCTGCGGGGCTCGCACAGCGCGATGGTGGGCAGGGCGGCTACAGCGACAACGTCTACGGCGGACAGTCCAGCGACGGCAGCGGAAATGGCAATGCGCCCATGTCCAACCCGCATCAGGGTGGCAACGGCGAGTCAGCCAACCTGCTCGGCCCGGACGTGTTCAGCGACCCATCGCCGCAGGAAGGGAGCTCACCCAACTACGAGGATGAGCCGTCCCACCATCAGCAGAGGGGCGCGTTGCAGGTGCGCAACCAGGAGTAGAGCGTGGCGGCACGCGCGGCGCCACGCCAACGCAGCGCAGCATGGACACACAAGGTTTTCCGTTCTCGATCGACCCGTCATCTTCAGTCAGTATATTCTTCGACTTCATCGTTTCGGCGGAGCGCTCCACGCTCTCGCCTCGCGCCTTCACCCTCGACCTTGTTCCTCTACACGCCGACCCTCGCCTTCCACTCGTTTCATTCTCGCCTCTCGCCTCGGCTCGCCCCCATCTCTGTGTCCTTACTTCGATCGATATAGCCAGCCCCCCTCTCTGTCCACCTACCACCACCTTCTTTTGTCTGGTCTGGTCTAAACTCAACTTCATGTCGCACAAAAACCATCATCCAGATTGCCAGGCAACGAGCGCCACGCCATGCCGTGCCGTGCCCTTCCGTGTGCCATGCAACGAGCCCCTGTCCGGAGCTTCCCTGGCTGTGCGTGTGTGCGTGCGTGCGCGGGTACGCGGGGGACCAAAGCGTAATTGTCATTGAGGGCCCGGAGTGCGAGAAGGGGGGGAATTTCGATCCATAGTGGCGAGCCGGCCAGCCGGCCAGCCGACCATCGAGGACGATGAGGGCAACGAGGATGAGAAGGAGTGGTTGCCGAGCGCGGTTGACCCGGTTTTGGATCAGTAACTGAGTGTGGGGTCACGGGCGCACTCTACTGTTTCCGTAATCCGGTACGCTCGACTGCCGAGTCGAGGACAGGCCGCGGTAAGCTAGGCGCATCAAGGTGTGGCTGCTTGTACGTCTGCTTCTGCGTCTGCGCAAGGATGGCCTGCGAAAAGGAATGAGAGTGGATGCTCTCTCTAGCTGCTACCTCGGTGCACGCTCTCACGCTAGCTACCCAACTTTCTGCCCTTTGTCTTCGCTCGCCGCTCGCCATGAGCTATTCTCGTTTGAGCTCAAGTTCAAGGTGTCAAGGCCTGCTCAGCAGCGCTTCGCATCGCATGACACCCACCCTCGCCAGAAAATGGCTCGAGCTGCATGGGCGGCCGCGGCCGGCGACTGGACTGCTTGCCCGCTTGCCCGCTTGCCCGCCTGCTCGCTCGCCTGCTCTGGCCTGGCAAGCGACCTTGATTGATTGATTGCGGGGCAAGGCCACGCACGACGCCGCTAGCCTTTCGCTCTGCGCTCTGCTCTCTCTTCGTCTTGTCTCACCCTCTCACTCTCTCCTCACCCGATTGTTATGAAGGGCTGGGTCAGACCACGCCAAGGCGAGACCAAAGCGCGCAGCGATAGAGTGAGACCGAGCGCAGACAAGCAAGCAAACAAACGGCGGCCGTCATCACAAGAGAGGGGCTCGCGGGCCCCTCCCCTCGAAGCTCCTGTCTCTGTTTCGGAGGGGCATATGGTTGCCGAGAAAAGCGCAGATGCAAGCAAGAGAGCTTTTGAGTTGTGTTGGACGCACGCACGCAATGCATCCCCGCATCGCTCTGTGAGACACGAGAGCAACCAGGTATAGCAGAAGACGCATCTTGACTCCTCTCCCTCATCTCTTTTCCCCTTCATCAATCGGACACCCTCCTTCCCTCCTTGCCATCATTCCCCTCCTACCTCTCTGCTCCTCCATCACCGCCTGAGCTGCGGGCGTCACACTCACTCGCTCCCACTCACAACCCCCTCGCTCCCACCACTCGCCCGCGATGCTGGCCCTTCTTCCTCGCCTCGCCGCCTTGCTCGCTCTCCTGCTCGCGCTGAGCATCCCCGCCGATGCCCTTCCCACGATGAGAACGTATCGCGGCGTCTCGCCCTACAAGGCCCTCGCTGAAGGCGGCCTCTACCCGGAGCGAGACCCTAATCGCCCCCTTGTCCAGGTCCTCAACCCTCACATGCGACACCCCAAGGAGAACTGGGACCCTAGACGTGCGTGCTGTGATGAGCGAGAATGGCGCAGCAGACCATGGTGGCTGACCTTCTCCTCGCCCCCTCACCCCGCGCAGTGATGCCCGGCGCAAATCGCCTTCCCTACGGCGGCAAGTACAACCGTCGACCAGAATGGGCGGATCGCATCGTCAAACGCTCCAAGCGCCACGCCCACTCTCTGGTCAGTTTCGCCGCTCGAATGGGCATCGACCTCGTCAAACTCATCGACATCAGCGACCCAGCGGGACAAGTAGCAGCTGCGCACGACCTCATGCACGCAGACTCCATTTGGCGAGGCCTCGATTCAGAGACGGGACACTCAGTCTTCCTCCCCAACGGTACGGTTGTGGGCAAAGGCGAGGATGGACTGCCTAGACTAATGGATTATGCAAGCTCAGGGTTCCCCTACGGCAAGACGCCCGTGCGAGGAGTCAATATCGGTAACTGGCTCGTCGCCGAGTTCTGGATGGACCCGTGAGTGTGCGGGGCGAAACTCAATGCAGCGCAGATTCCTTCGCAGCTGACCCCCGCTCTCCACGCACGCAGCGGCTACAATCAACCCCTCAACGACCACGCCATCAATGCCCCCTACCCAAACGCCATCGTCGACGAATGGACCGCCGGTCAATACTCCCCCTATCGCTACCAGGAGGAAGTCTTCAAGGGCCACTACGAGTCATGGTTCTCCCGCAACGAGATGCGCAAGATTGCCCAAGCGGGTTTCAACCACGTTCGCCTCCCCATCGGCTTCTGGGCCTTCGGCGAGACCAACCGTGGTAACGAGCCCTACCGCACCTTCAATCAGTACAGCAAGCTCATCGAGGCGTGCGGCTGGGCGCGTGAGTTTGGCCTCAAGGTGTGGATCGACCTGCACGGCGTGCCGGGCAGTCAGAATGGGTTCGACAATTCCGGGCGTAGCGGACCCATCGAGTGGACAAACGACCCCGACAACATCAGTCGAACCAAATACGCCTTCTCGCGCCTCGTCAAGACGTTCAATGGCCCCGAGTGGCAAGGCACAGTCACCGCCTTCGAAGCCATCAATGAGCCTCAAGGCCACAATGCTCGCGTGCTGCGCGAGCTCCAAAACGACTATTACCCTTACAGCCTCGGCGTGGTAAAGGACAACGCGCCAAGCCGCCTCCAGGTGACGCACGATGCCTTTATCACGCCTAAAGCGTGGGAGAACTACTACTCCAAGTCCGACGCCAAGAAGGTCATCCTCGACACTCACCAGTACTTCATCTACAGCGACTCGGAGCACGACGCCGACGACTCGGTGCGTATCCGCGAGGTGTGCGCCTTGCGTGGCTCCCTCGCACGCAGTGCGCAACACTACGCCACCATCGTGGGCGAGATGAGCGTGTGTGCCCCTCAAGGCGACAATGGGAAACATCGCGACTTGCCCGCTGGCAAGTTCCACTTCACTCGCCCAGCGGACCAATACCGCTACTCGAAGCGATACATGGCCTTCCTGGCTTGGAACTTCCGTACGCAGCAGGCCGTCTTTGAGCAGAGGGGCAATGGGTGGATCGCATGGGCTTGGAAGAACAAGGCGTTCCGTGATTGGAGCGTCACGGATGGGATTGCCGATGGGTGGTGGCCTAAGAATACGGCAGAGTATGATAACAATCCGTTGGGTGGGGATGTGGATGCTGTTTGTAGGCAGGTGGGCGCGTGAGCCTAGCGTGTCAGCAGCACCGCGAGCGCATCGATACTCACGACACGACACGACAAGACGACGACTGTGATACCTCATTCTCCTTCTCTTCTCCTCGCCTCGCCTCGCCTCGCCTCGCCTCGCCTCGCCACGCCACGCCACGCCACGCCACGCCATGCTTGCTACAATCTTTTCCCTCTCAATGACCCATACCATTTATGTCTTGCCGCCCGCCACTCAGCTCTGCGCCACATCCTCGCCTGTAAAGACCCTGCGCACCATCCCCGGCAGCCCAGCCAGCGTAGCAACGAAGTGCCCCTCGAACCCATCGCGCAGTACGTCCCCCCATCCCAAGGGGTGCGAGTGAAGGCGTCGCACGCTATACCTCAGTCCAGTACCGCTCCGTCTGATGTTCTCCTCACAGAAGTACACCCCTCCAGGCACCCTTCCCGGATCCTTGACGCGCAGTACAAGGCTGAGCAGCGGTAAATGATTGACCGCCTCCACCAACCCCTCGACAAGGGCGAAGCGCACCATCCCCTCAGCGACGGCGACGGATATCGCGAAGAGGTAGTGATACACGGCGACGGTCGGTGCGAGGAAGAGGGCGAGTGTGAAGAATATTGCTCCGAGCAGCAGCTGATCCAGATCGTAGTGGGCGCTGACGAGCTCCCAGCCTGAAGAAGAAGCGCGAGGGGAGAGGAGGGTCCTTTTCTTACCCCGGAAGAGGTTGAGGAGCGTGCCCAGCAGGTGGAGAAGGGCCGCGTATTGGCTTCGGGCGAGGGTGTGAAGGAGACGGAGGTGCAGGGTCGCTAGGCGGGCCAGGTCTGCCAGTAGGCAGATTTGCAGGGCGAGGCCGCCCCCGTATTGCCCTGCGCGGGCGATTAGGCCTAGCAGCGCGGGCAGGGGCACAACGATGCAGTGATGGAGTATGGTCTGCTCGGCCAACGTGGTCAGGCCGACGTACATGTCCCGATAGAAGCTTGAGAGCTCCGTGTTCAGCTTGAGACCACCCGGCCAGTCGTCCAACCAACCACAAGCCTCTACCACGTCCCGCACCAACAGACCGGCAACGAGCTTCTCGGATATCCACGCAGCCACCTGCTCCTTCGTCGCGGAGAGCACGGCGCTCATCGCCATGCCGAGCAGGACGTCATTGGCCATCAGCCAGAGGGCATTCCATGTGCTCACGTAGCCGCGTGAGAGGTCCGCAGCGGGCAGAGTATCCTGCTGGCGTTGTCGGCGTAGTCTGGCTGCAAGGCGGGGGAAGGAGGAGATTTGCGTGAGGCGGAGGGAGAGTTGGCGGCACGAGGATGAGAGGGTAAGCAGGCTGGGTGCGCGCCGTGTGCGAAGGAGTAGCGGTTGAGACAGCGTAGCTTGGGCCATGCGAGTGATATTGATGAGGGCGCCAGAGGCGACGCTTGCTAGTCGAGAACTCCGTTCGCCGGGAGCACAACGCGACTTGCGCAGATCGAGTCGCTCGCGGGCTCGCCGTACCTTGTTGATGCAGTCGATTGCTCTTCGCAGGCCTGCGCCAGGCTCCATGCCAGGAGGGAAGCCGCCGGTGATCTCGAACCAACGTTGCGGGTTGCCGGCCAAGAATGTGGCCAAGCGGTCCTCCGCACAGGGTGATGCGGCTGCAAGAGACTCGCCCGACCGTCGACGCAGATCGAGTGGCTCGAGGGTGAGAAAGCGAAGCATTGTATCGTCTGGCGGGTCGAAGAGGACGACGCTGATTGCAGTGGTGGTGGGCGAGGTTGCACGGTGAGGGCCTAGGCTGCGAACAGGGGCCACGGTGAGGCTGAAGAAGGCGCGGCGCAGATGTTGGCATCAGTTTGAAGCGTATATGCGCTTGTAAAAAGCGACTGCTCACCTCGTGATGATGGGGCCTATCTCTTCTCTTCTTTGCCATGGCCGTCGACGTCTCCTTCGCCGTCTGATTTGCGGCCCATCGGCGCAAGGAGATACATTCATCCAGACCTGGCTGTATGCGTCCTCCTTGTCCACATCCATTCCCGCAGAGGCCACCACCCTGCCTACTACTCTTAGCTGTATCGTCCACTTCGCCGTACTCTGAGTCGGCCCATCTCGCTCTTTGCCCTTGCCTTTGCGATCTAATCGTCGGCTGAGGAGCCACGCGACCTCTGCCTGACGTTCATCGTCGGCGGATAGCGCCCCAGCAACGACAACGACGGCCTCATCCGGTCCACCTTGGAATGTCCATCCGACGAGGGCAGACCCTTCTGTGAGCGGCGCGAGGTCGGCTGGCCAGTAGATGGTGACACGATCAGGTCGTCGTTGGACGAGGTCCGACTCGTCGTGGTCGTCGTCGTCTTCCCCGCCTGAATGACGAGCATGCCCGTTCAATGCTGGCCTCCGGGGCAAGCTTGACGAGGAGGAAGGGGAAGAGGAAGAGGGGGCCATGGATCGGCTCTATGACTTGCTGCAGCGTCTCATCTGCGGGTCGGTCAGCTTGAGAAAGTAGAGAGCGAGGAGAGTGGAGGCTACAACGAGAGCATAGATGCGAATGCGGATGCGGACCGATGGAGAAGAAGTCAAGTCGCGCCCAAGTCGCTCGCTCAGTCCAACATGTCGACTCGCTCCGCTCTCGCGTCCAGAGGCCCGTGCATCACACGGAATCCACGCGTGGCTGGGCTTGCCTGCAATATGGTTACATTTTTTTGCGTACGGAACAAGGTGACCCACGATGACCTCCGAATTTTATACAAAAGCGCTCTGCCTCAAGAAAGGGGGTCGCTTCACCTTCCTCTCCTTCTCTTCCCCTTCCATTCGTATCTCGACAATCTCCATTCTCTTGCTCAAATGCGGCACCTGCCACATCGGCGAAGGCGAATTGGGCATTGGAGTCGTCGCCGTCATCCCCGCTCCCTCCGCCGACCCCGACTGGGACTGCCTACTCTTACTACTATCCGTCTTTTCCACCACGCTCAGCACCCTCAACGCCGAAACGGCAAAAGTGAGTGCGGCGAGCACCACCATTGACCATCCCACGGCCAGATCGATTAGAATGACGACGCGCGTACCCTCCTTTGGGCCGCGGGCATAGCTGCGTTGTGCAGCGAGAGCGTGGTAGAGGGAGAGGGAAATGAAGAGGCACTCCCCCACAAAGAGGGCACCGAAGAAGGATCCCGTCATGATGAGCTGCCGACGACGATTGCTCAAACGTTGCGACTCGTCGGCCTCAGCCGGGGGCGTGTCTCGCAGCGGGGTGACGGCTTTGGACGAGTTGCGGCGTAGAGTGTAGGGACGATCTGCTAGTTGGAGCTCCAGTCTGTTCTGCGCCATATGAACCTGCTCTCGTTGTAGACGCATCAGCTTATACGCCGACGCGCCTAGCCCAAAGAGGAGGACGAGCTCGAATGCGGCGAAGATGGCATAGCAGACACCGAGGTGAAAGACGCTCTGCCTGACGAGGGACCAGAGATCCGACGTCTGCGCGATCAGGTCAGTCGTGGTGGCCTGCGAATCCATGGCGACGAGAACCTTGTAGCTCTTGACTGCCCCGCTCATGGCTCGACGGGAGAGGACGATGGGCGTGACGAGAGATGCGCCCATGACGAGAGGTGCGCCAAAGGTGAGGCCATTGATGATCCATGGATGCATCCAACGACGCTTGCCCAGCTTGTAGCTAGCTCCTTCGCAGGCGATGAAAGACGCCATGGTTAGCGAGAGGACGCCGGACCAGAATGCGCCCAGGGCGAGTACGTCGACGAAGGCAAAATTCTGGGGGTTGGGCAAGGTGGCAGCCTTGTTGTCGCGGTGTAGTTGCAGACGGCGCTTGAGGAAGAAGATGGCGCAGCAGACTGATTCGAGGAGGAGGAAGCCGTGCGAGGCGTGCCACTGCGGGGGCCGGGGCCGGGGCCGGGGGGGGAGAAGGGTGTGAGCAAAGAAGCAATCGCGAATTGCTTGCACGCACACTCACTACCCAATAGGTACGACTGCCAATGCTGCGCGAGCGTAGCAGCCATAGTCTGCCTTTCCACGCCTGGTAGCCCAGTAGACAGACTGTGCGGTGGATGAAGGCGGAGGGTGAGCCCGCGATCCCTGCTGCGCATCTTGTCAGCACTCACCCCCTATCCCAACCATGGCCATGAGCAACGGCGCGGCGACAGCGTCAGCCTGCTTGACCTGTCTCGTCCTCGCCGGAACGATGAGATTGTACGCAAATCGGTGCAGCTCAGCGATCGCCGTCGGCGTCCGAGCGTCGAGATCTGCGATGAGCTGCGCAGGGTACGCGGCCGGCGTGACCGTGGTATTGATCATCGCGGTGATGGTGGTGTTGCTGCGAGAAGAGAGGCATCACTTCCAGCTCGACGACTTCCATGATCACATTTGCGTTCGACGTCGTCGCCGATGGATGTTGCCTTGCCCTCGAGATCGATCGATCGGCCACCTCATTGTCGTCTCGTGTCGCGGTGGGATGGAAGCGGAGTCAAGATCGGAGAAAGTGGCGCGCGCCTCTTTTGGACGTGCACGCCTAGTCTAGAACCAGGACCCCCATCTCGCATTGGGACGGAAGACGAGATGAAGCGCACCGTCTGTGCAGGATTAGACTCGGACTCAGAGGTGTCGGTGTCGCAAAGGGTGTCGAAGCTTGCTGGATTCGATTCTACTATGCTCGTCGATGCTGAGCATCTTCAGCTGGGCGGCGAATGCAGCGAGACTGGATGACATCGTGAGATAATTGGCCTGGCCTGATGCATCCATCCATGCTGAGAGCGAGATGAGAGCCAGATGAGACCGTGGGGAGAGCGCCTTGATTCAGTCGATGGCCTGGCGTGGGAATGCTTCTCATCCTCAGGGCAGAGCTTTGTCAGATACGCGCGTTTCATCGCTACCATCGCGTTGAGCGCGCCGCACGACGCCTTGAGCTCACCACGCGCGGCCTCACTCGCTATCCCGCCGTGAGTCGTCAGCCAATCAAATCAGGACCGATGACCCTCGCTCACTGCTCACTACATTGCCAATACCGCGCCCTGTAAATGTAGCGAAAACAACATGCCGGCACGGGCGGCAGGTGCAAGCTGGGTCATCCGAGTGCTCGCGCCCGTTTGCCTCGGACCCACTCGCCCACTCGCGGCGGCAAAAAAGTGAGATTGGTGCGCACCTCGCTCGCCCTCTTGCCGCCTCTGCCTAGCCCTGCATGGCCCAGACGCCGAAGCGAAGGAGAAGAACACACACAAAACTACGCGCGGGAGGGCGGCGAGAGAAGTCCACTTTCTAACCCACCTCCTCATCTTACCTCGATCATCTCGTCACCACGTTCCTTTCGCAATGGCCTCTGGCTCTTCCTCCTCATCGTCATCATCAGCGTCACCCTCGTCGCGCCGCCGCCACTTCATCATCGTAGGCAGCGGCGTTTACGGCGCATCTACGGCCCTCACCCTCGTCCGCCTAGGACATCGCGTAACGGTCCTCGAGCGCTCCCGCGACGGGTACGCCGCTCACGACTCGGCATCCAACGACTACAACAAGATCATTCGCTCCGACTACTCTAACCCTCACTATCGCCATCTTGCCGAGCTGGCCATCCAGGAATGGAGGGATAGCCCCTTGCTGTCTCGCTACTACCATGAGACGGGGTTCGTCCTTGCCAGTCGATTCAATCAGGAGGAAGGGAGGAAGTACGTGGATAGCTGCCTTTCGCGCGAGCAGCTTGCGGGAAGCCAGCGTAGGCCATACGAGATCAAGGGGCAGGAAGGGATCGCCCGAGCTTTCCCTTCTGCCAGCCATGCGCATCTGGGAACGACGATCAAGGGGCTAGGCGAGACGGCGTTGGGCTATGCGAATCCGCTGGGAGGGTGGGCAGAGGCTGCCAATGCGACAAACGCCGTACTGGACGAGGCGGTGCGACTAGGCGCGGACGTATTCGGCGGGATCGAAATGGCGGGTCTGATCCTCGAAAAGGACTCAACAGGTCGACCATGCGCGAAAGGCGTGACCACATCAGACGGACAAAGCTTCGAGGCAGATACGGTCATTCTAGCCCCCGGCTCGTGGCTTTCTTCCCTCCTCAAGACCTGCCTCCCTCACGACCAGATGTGGCACTCCCTCCCTCACGGCCCGCTGCGCCCCTCCGGCCAGGTAGTCATGACACTTCAGTTGGACAGCGCCTCTCGCGCCCGCTACGCCAACGCGCCCGTGGTCCTCGACTACTCGACGGGCTTCTACGTATTCCCACCCAACGCAGACGGCATAGTGAAATGTGCAATCCACGGTCCAGGGTTCCGTTTCCCCGCTCCAGGCGCTTACTCCCCCACGATGCCCACCTACGGGAGTAGCGGCGGCGCCGCATCAATTGCTCCTGGCTCGCTCCTGAGCATAGGTTCCGAGTGGCGCGGTCAGCTTCAGCCCCTCGAGCACATCCCCGAGGACACGGAAACGTTGCTTCGCTCCCTCCTTCACGACATCTATCCCGAGCTGGCCACGATCCCCAACAGCGAGCGACGTGTGTGCTGGTACGCGGACTCTTCCTCCCTCGATGAGAATTGGCTCCTCGACTGGCATCCGCGTGTGGGGAACCTCTTCCTCGCTGGCGCAGGGTCAGGGCATGGCTTCAAGTTCTTGCCGTGCATGGGGGACATTGTGGCGGAGAGGATGGGGCTGGCCCAGCCTTCCAAGTGGACTTCGGAGGAGAATCCCTGGAAGCAGCATCAGGAGCGCGTATGGACGTTGCAATATCGCGAGGAGGTGGCGCAGAAGGGTAAGGCGAAGGAGGTGAGGGCGCGACTGTAAATGGGCGAGAGGGCGGCGAGCAGATCAGTACCGCACGCACGTATAGAGGTGACGCTTTGTTGTATTTAGAGTGCTTGAAGATTAGAAGAGATAGACTGACGTTGAATACGGTGTGAGAAAGAAGCTGTGGATATGATGATGAAACGTGATATCAGAAAAATGCTGGACGGCGTGGCGTGGTGTGGCGTGGGTGGGCTTGGCACGCGGGTCTCTCAGCGCCTCGTGCGTCCCCCCTTGATAGCCTCCTCCACCACCTGCTCATAGCTAGCCAGCGCCGGCTTGCCACTAAAGGCGGCCTGCGCATTATACCTCGCCACGACGAGGGGCACCTCCTTCTGGAGGAAGCGCAGCGCGAGGGACATCTCGCGATCCCGCCCATGGCGGTCTCCTACGGCGATCTGCGAAGAGAAGAGGGGCAGGTACTCGTCGAGGCGATTCGACGGCGACGCGGCAGCAGCAGCAGCAGTTGGGGCTGAGTCAGCGTCGCGAGAGTCGCTTGGGCGTCGCGCGTCCGTGTGCGAAGATACTGGGGTGGGGTTGTCACGAGGTGCTCGGCGAGGGTTGGCGTCATGCGTTGACGTGGGGCGCGTTCGTGCTGCGGGCTCCGGCGTTGTGAATGAGTGGTCGATGTCGTTGGAGTCGTCGTAGCCGTTGTCATTGTAGCCATTGTCATCCTGGCGGCGCTGCTCGCGCTCACGACGAGGAGTGTGGCCGAGCAACCCCCTACGGCCGAAGCCCGGGTCCTCATCCTGACGCAACGTCGTACCGCTGGCGCTGGCGCTGGGGCGCTCGGCCGCACGCTGCTGCTGCTTTGCCCGTGCATCCGCAAGTCGCTGGGGCAGTCTCTTGAGGTGTGTACGATAGGCGTCGTCGACGCTTGCCCTACCACGCGGGAAGCCCGAGTCATGGTAATCCTTGTCGCAGAGTAGATCTTGAATCCCAAACAGGTACGCGAGCTGCACGATGGTCTTGCACCCATCGACGTCCCACTCCTTGGCAACGGGCGAGACGGGGCACCAATGGCCGTCGTTATTCATGCGTGAATCCTCCATCAGGCGACGATAGACTGCGAGGCGAGCAGCGGAGCGATGCAGAGCGGGTGGTTCGTAGCCATTGGCGTTGCAAGGGATGGAGCCGGAGATGCAATGTTCGCACGCTTGTGAAGGTGGGCGGGGACGACATTCCTGGCCGCCTTGGTAGCACTGGAAGCAAGGGTAGAGATACCCTGATGTGCGAGGCAGAGGGCGAGGGTACAGAGGGAGGAGCCGGAGACGGAGGCATCTGCGAGCGTCTGCGACGTTTTGCAGGGGGAGGCTCTTCGTCGTGCTCGACCTTGGGCGTGGCCGTCTTGACGTCGTTGAGTCGAGGATAAAATGGCGCTGGTGAATGAGGGACAGATGACATTTCGAGAAGCGCCGCAGTTTCGACTGAGCGCTTCGAAGGCGACACTGCTGCCGCTGGATATCTTGGAACGGATGCTGCTACTGATGACGTGCGATTGACTGAGCTGAGAGGAGGAGGTAGCTTGGCAGGGGTAGAAGGTGCCGGCGCCATCTTGGGTGCAGAGGACGCTCGTCGCTGTCGGTGAGGTGGGATGGGCAGGCCAGCTTTCTCGTAATCCTCGTCGAAGAGGAGGTGCTCGATGCCGAAGCTGATGGCCAGGCCTACGATGCCTTCCTTCCAGTGGCGGGGGTCGCAAGGGACAGGGGGTGGGTTGGGGTTGCCCTCGTTGAGCTTGGCAGCCTCTGCGCAGAGGCATTTGTAGATCTGCGGGTGCGAGAAGAGAAGCAGATGATTAGCGTGCGAGACCGGCAGTCCAGCCTTCTGGTGCTGCGCACTCACCTCAGTCTTGACTTGGCGGCGATAGCGGGGAGCTGGGCGGGCGGAGGTGGGGAGGTGAGTGCGTTGTCGCAGCTGTATGCTCGCGTTGCACTCACCCTGTCCGTCGACGTTGCAAGGCGAAGACCCGGCCTTGAGGCACGTCTCACAATATCGACTGCCTTGCTGTATCAAACACTTTTGCTGCCTACTCCAGCAGGTGTAGCAGGCAACGGCAGCCTCTTCGCACTTGACCGTGCTTGGGGACGAGGCTGGTACAGCTGGTAGTAGCGACGGGTCGCCGTTGTCGCTGCTGGACTCGTCGGGAGTCGCGATTGAACCTGGATCAAAGTCAGGATCTTTGGCGTGGTCGGACGCGGACGTATCGGTGGAATCGCTTTTGCTGTCACGGCTGGGCGACCTTGCCATGGCAGGCGCAGAGGGGCGCAAACCTGAGGAGCGACTGTGCGGTCAAGGAGGCTGTGGTGAGGGGAGTGTGGTATTGGAGAGAAGCGAAGAAGGGCAAGAAGCGCGCTCAGACTCCCCACCGCGATGTGACTGGATTCGTGTGTGTGTGCCAGGCCCCTCATCGCGAACAAGGCAAGAGGGACGGCAGGCGCGGGCGGGCGTCAGCGGCAGACAGGCAGACAGGGCGGCTGACGCTGCTCAGCTCTCGTGCGTCGACCTGAGAAGGGCACTTTGCGAATCAACGTCGACTTCGGCGTCGACTTCGAGCAGCTCGTTCTCGCCGCTATATCTTTCTTCGGCTTGAATTTTTTTTTGACCTCCTCATTCGTGTTGCGTTGCGTGTTGGAAAGCAGAGGCAGTCAGCACTCGCCGGCGCGTGTGGTCATCGCCCACTTTCAACTGCCTGCCTGCCTGCCTGCCGCGGTGCCCGGTGCTGCAGGGTTTGGCGCGGAGAGATGCGTGAGTGGAGATGGATGGGCCAATGTCAAACAAAGTGGCGGGTGTGAGAGGTGCATCGCATAGCTGCCATTACTACCATCATCTCCCCTACGTCCCCTCATCGTACTCGATGGCATGACAGCGCCCTCACCCACCAAACACAAGCCAAAGCCCGCGGGCACTCCGGGCAAAGGCATCTCGCCATCCGGCGTTCGTTCCCGCGCTCAGCTGAATCGCCGCCAGTCATTCACCTCACGCAAAGTATCCTCGAAAAGCAGTCGCTTTGCACCTACCTCGTCCGAGCAGCCCTTACTGGGCGGCCTTACCTTCCTCGACATCGTCTTCATCGGCGTAGCATACAGCGTCAACCTGCTCAAGACGCTAGGCCTCGCCGAGCTGGCGGATATAGCTTGGCATGCGCTGCGCTACACCTTTACTGCGCTGCCCTTTGCCTTCTACCAGAGGTGGTCGCGCAGCCAAAGCCCAGCTCCTCGCGAAGACAGCGCCGTCTTGTCGTCAAGCGAGGACGACATCCTCGATGAAAAGAAGAAGCAGCGTCCTTCCCCCATCGAGCAGAGCCCTGCGCAGCTCTCCCCTTTCCACCACCTCGTCATCCTCCTCACCCGCTTTGCATGCTCTCATTTCCCTCACCTCCTCCCGCGAGTCCTGTTCGCCGAGGAGACGATGCTTCCATTCGTCGGCTGGAGGACAGGCGGGGCCAGCTGGGGCTTGATGCGCGAGATGGTCGGCGAAGAGTGGAAGGCGGTATGGCTGGGTGACGATGCGTATATGAGCGAAGAAGCGCGAAGAGAAGAGGTAGGCGCCAGGAAAACAACGACGCTCTTCTACCTGCACGGCGGCGGCTTCTCGCTAGGCAGCGTATCCTTCTACGCCGAAGCCCTGCTGCGGGTGCTCAACAAAATCGCATTCATCGAGGGTCCCGACACAGCACGAGCGAGGTGCATCGCCGTGGAGTACGACCTCAGTCCAAGCGCAAGGTTCCCACAACCCCTCTTGCAATGTCTGCGCTGCTATGCTCACCTCGTTGAAGTTGAAAAGATGGACCCGCGCTACATCACCTTCGCGGGCGACTCTGCGGGAGGCAATCTGGCAATGAGCATGCTCCTCGTCCTCTCGGGCCAGGCGAAAGATCAGACGGCTCTGGCTGAGCGCGACTGGTCGCAACTCCCTATGCCGGGCAAGGCGCTCCTCATCAGCCCGTGGTGCGATCTACGACCCAAGCAAGCGCACGCCTTTGCCAGCCTGCGCGACGATGTCAAGGAGCAGCGGAAGAGTGGCGCTAAACGCGAGGACAAGAAGCGCCGCGACGCGCAGCAGAGCGCAACGCTCGCCGACTCGATGGTGTCGTACGACTGGTGAGGCGCGGCCTTGACATTGCGAGAGTTGAGCAACGCACTGACCCTTCCTCCCTCTCCCGCACGCACGCCAGGGACTACGTCGCCTCCGAAACGCTTCTACACTTCGCCCAAGTCTACGCCGGAGTCCTCCCCGAGCCACGCCGCGTAGCAGGACCACTCGGCTGGCTCTCGCACCTCTGCGGCGTGCTGGGCCAAGGAGTCGAGGCGGAACGCTCCAAGCCCTCCTCCAGGTCAACGCGGGGTCGCAAGCGTAAGCGCGGGATGCGAGTGATGGACCCAGCGCGACGACTGGCTACGGCTGTCAATGAGCTCCTGGAGCGTCCCCTCTTCGAAAGACTCAAGGCTGCCGTCCCCGACTCCACAGCCCTCTCACAGAGCTCGCATGCCGACGCCGCCCTCGCTACTCCTGTACCTAGCTTCAGCGCCGGTCTGCAACCCCTCTTCACCCCGCGCGATCGCACCACGCGCAAGGTCCTCTCCACCGCTCAGCTGCACGACCCGCCTTCCACGCCTTCCTCCCTAGACTCCAACATCCTCCTCTCCCCCATCCTCGGCGACTGGACACAAGTCCACCTCGCAGGCGGCGCCCTCGTCACCTGGGGCGAACGCGAACGTCTCTCGGCGGATATCGAGTCGTGGGTCGAGCAGGTGCACAGCGGCATGACCCCCGACGAGCTGCGCGCCGGCTACGTCGAGGACGATCAGCCGCGCCAGGATGGGCACAAAGAGCTGGAATTGCGCGAGAGGAAAGAGAGGGGAAAGTGGTTGAAGGCAGTCGTAGAGCATGGACCGGGAGGTGTACATGCCTGGCCGTTCGTCTCGATGTACCTTGCCGGGACGGAGGAGGAGCGCGAGAGGGGGTTGGAGACGCTTGCGAGATTTGTGGCTGCGGAGAAGCGCGTGGAGCACGAGGAGCGCGAAGAGGAGGAGGAGGAGGAGGGGTACTTTGATCAGGGAGGGGCGTTTGGCTCTGGCATGAGCAGCCCGACATTCACTAGCGGGGATGCTCGCATCGCAGCAGCCGGACGCCGTTTTACCGACGAAGAGTACCAGGAGGCTCTGGGATTGGGTGTGACGCTCGGAGGGAGCAGGCCGGCCCTCTCGCTCAGCACTACGCCCACCACCCCTTCGTCTGCCTCTCGCACGCCAACTCGCACTCCAATGTCCGTCACACCTCCTACGACTACGCCCGGCTCTCCTAGCGAGTATGCGCGCGCCTCGCCACGCTCACGGCGCATTGAGTCGGGCGAACCAGCGAGGGGGAGGAGGCTGGGAGACTCTCGCCCACTATGGTGGACAACGACGCAAGCCGCGCCGCCCGCGGAGCAGGGCAGTTCGGAGGTGAGCATCAGCACGGCGGAGGTGGATGAAGAAGACGAGGAGGACGGCGACGAAGACGACGAGCTCGAGGAGGAAGCAGAAGAAGAAGAGCGCATCCCACCAGCACCTTTGCATCCATCCGACTTCGGCCTCTCCTACGCACCCTTGCGCCGCGACGCAGAGGGGTTGAGCGATATCGCTGAAGAGGCTAGCGTGTTATCCGCCTCGCCCTCCCTCTCGCCACAGCGAGGCGGGCAAGAAGAAGAACAAGGCGGAGACGACGACGACGACGACGACGCGGATTCGCTCTTCTCGCCTCAGACCCGACACTACATCCGACTCGAGGCGGAGAGACAGCTTGCGAGGGAAAGTGCTGCGGAGCACGGCACACAGGACAACAGTAGAGGGTCCCGCGATGCGTGGTGGGCGTGAACAGACAGAGGCTTGTTGTACATACCATTCCTTTGATATCCCCGCGGGCGAAAAACATCAGGCCAAGAGCATTCCAACCACGCCATCCTGGTCGGACTGCGGATCGTTCCAACTGGCGTAGGCCGGACGGCGATCTGCTTTTTCTCTCGTAGCGTCAAGTGGTCTTCTGAGGCGACACCATCCCCTACGCCCTTATACCCCTCGCCCACTCGACCGGACCCCAACAAATGCAAATGCAGGGCACTTGTTGCGTCACAACACGAGTCCAGATGATCGGTGGTGTATTTTCGAGCCGTGCCCTTGCCCTCGCGCTGAGTTGACGCAATGAGCTCTGACAGCGGCGGCGGCGTCGTGATAAAAAAGTCGTAGCTGCCTCCTTGTCCTCCTTGAGTGCCTATCTCATCCTACACCACGCCACCACAGAACCTAGCATGCGAGCCATCATCTTCACACTCGCCATGACGCTCCTCGTCCTCCTCGCGGGAACTCACCACTGCAAGGCCGACCTTCCCCCCGCGCCCGCCGATGCTCTAGTGAGCTGCTTCTTCGACGATTTGTGCAACGACTTCGACCAGTACGTCAAAGGCGACAAATCGGCGCACTTTAGCTGCAATGGTATCAAGCCAGTGCGCGCTGGTGGCTCCTTCTGTCGCAACTGCAAGCAGTGCCCCTGCAAAGATTGCATCGCAGCAAAGTATGACCAGGGGAAGTGCTACGTGGGATACTATGCCGGGCTTGTTCAGTGGTGCGGGTAAGAGAAGGCGTGCAGAGGTTGCGAGTGGGATTTGTGCACGCTGGGACTGGTCTCGAGCGAGTGACATTGAAGTCGTCATGGTGATCTGTAATGTCCATCTCTCCACAAGCTCTTCATGGCCTGCATGACTTGCCCATCAACCCCTTCTCTCACACACCACCATCCTCACCGCCCTCAATCCCCACACCATCGCGTGTACCCCGGGTAGCATTCGTCCACATGGACAGGCCTGCAATTCGAGCAGGGGCATTGATGGCACTCTCTACATATAGCAGCCACGGGTCCCGCCACTGCCTTGAAGGAAACGCATACGCCGTCGAAATACGTCGAGCCCTTGTGATCGCCGGTGATGTTGTGGTTGTACGTCTGGCAAGCGGCATCCGAGAAACAGGTTCCAAGCGTGGGTAGCTCAGGAGCGGGCTTATCCTTGTCCTTGTCCTTGTCCTTGTCTTTCTTTTTCTTAGCGTCCACGAGGCTGAGTGTCGGACCGCCGAGGATGAAGACTATCAGCGCTCGGAGAGGTAGCAGTTTGAGAGGGCGCATTGTAGGTGCAATTGCCAGTAGAAGTCAGGAGGAAAAGATGACGCTCGAATCTTCATCTGTCGTCAGCGAGGTACGTCCTCATTGACGTGTCCATCGCCGACCCAAGGGCAGGGGGAAAGGGTCAGAGGGGACATCGCGGTCCGCGATCGAGTGCGGCGCTGAGCAGGCATCAAGGCGAAGAGGCGCTACAATTGCGGTGACGGGATGGAGAAGGGAGCAGCGACAATCGCCAAGATTTGCTCCTCATCATCGTAGGACTGCCTGGCTAAGATGGGCTTTCTCTTCGATGATCCCGAGCGGATGGTGGAGAGGCAAGAGAGGATGTGAGCATCGCAGCGGTTGTTCATCCTGAGAAAAGACGCGACGCGGCGCGGACCACGTGTTTCAGCTGGAGCGCTCCTCAATGGCGATGAAAGATGACTGCAAGCTGACAGAGGAGCGAGAGCTAAGTGGGCTGCCTCTTGGCGGCGTAGCTTTGAGACCGGCCTGCGCCTACATTTCAGCCTCCAAGTTGCCCTTCGAATGAATGCCGCCAATGCCTTGTCCTTCATTCCCAGACAGCACCGGCATATCTGCGTGCGCTGAGAGTCAACTCAATAGGACGCTCTCCCCTGCAATGCTCTTGCTCACATTCACGATGCTGGTAACGAACGCGTTCGTCTCCCCTCGTCCCCTCCGTAGGTGTTGCTTTGGCCTCCAGTTGCTCTTTCTCTGCTGCTTGCCGCTCGCCGCCTGCCTCGGCTGGGCAGCCACACACCCGCCCACCAGAGGGCCCCTCTCGCCGCCTTCCCGCCCGGCCTGTGTGTGTTCGCCAAGTCGCCGCGGGGTCGTGAGCAGGCGCGGAGGATGAGGTGCATCACACACACCGGACACCGCCTCCAGGGCGGAGCTCGACCAGGGGGCAGCGAAAGCAAAAGCAACACAGCCGCCGCCGGCCAGCTGCTGCGTGAACTAAGGGAGGGACAAGGCACCAAGCCGCTCTTGTGACGCCTGCAAGGATGCGCGAGACTGCTGCTGTTGGCTGCCGTTAGCTGCTTGCGTCTGCTGCTGCGTCGTCCGTCATGCTTTCTTTGTACACTCTCTACCTTTACCTTGTTCCCGCTGTGAGGCTCATCTCGTCGTCGTCGTCGTCGTCGTCGCCGCCGTCTACTCGACAACTCTACACTCCGTCCGCCGGTCGCTCTTGAGCATCGATCGCATCGCATCGACACACCTTCTTTTGTTTGTCGGGTCGCTCGAGCTTTTCGTGAGCTAGGCGTATTCGTCTCTTCCTGCTTCCCCACTTCACCACACCACCAACACTACCACCACCACCCTCGTCGCATCTCACCACAACACGCCTCGATGAGCTACCAGTACGGCGCTGGCGCCGGGTACGATGGGAGCAACGACTACAGCGACCCGTATGGCGGGGGTAGGAGGCAGCAGCAGTCGAGCTACCCTGGCAATGGCGGTCAAGGTGGAAGGCGGACGAGGCAGCATTCAGAGGTGAGCTTGTGCGGGCACGATGTCTTGAGCTGCGTCTGACAAGGATGCTGCACTGCACTTTCCGTCTCTACCAGGACCCTCTCCGTCACGACGCTCCCTATGCGCCGCCAATGATGGAGCCTGGCTACTCGTACTCTTCCACGGGCCTCAACGCCCCCAATCCCTTCTACAGTTCCGCAGATGCCAACGGCAGCTACACCAGCGTTGTCGGTGGCGCAGGGACGAGTGATACCAATCACAGCATGATGCCAGGCTCGGGCGCAGTCTATACTCCAGGCTACGAAGACGAGAGCAAGCAGCCCCTCAACGAAAAGTACGGCGCAGGCACTGTGGGCTACCAGCTCCAGGATTACCAAGTCGGCGGGCCAGGCTTCGCACCTCCGCGTACCAACACGCCTTACTCGAGCGCCCAAGACTCTCAATCAGATAGCGCTTCACAGGCTGCGTGGGTTCAGCGTCAACAGATCCCCAAACGTGGCCTCACTCGCAAGGTGAAACTGACGCGAGGCAACTGGATCGTTGACCATCGCGTCCCGACGGCGGTCCGCAATGCCGTCGAGCCCAAATGGGGTTCGGGTGTCCAGACCAACGAGTTCTCTCACATGCGATATACTGCCGCTACCTGCGATCCCGACGACTTTACCGCCGAAAATGGTTGGACTCTCAGGACATCATCCCAATACCAGCGCGACACAGAGCTGCTCATCGCTATTACCTATTACAATGAAGACCGCATCCTCCTCGCTCGTACACTGCATGGAGTCATGCTCAACATTCGCGACATCTGCAAGTCGAAAGCCAGCAAGTTCTGGAGGAGATCAGCAGAGGAGGGAAGACCGGGATGGCAGCGCATCGTCGTCTCGCTCATCTTTGACGGTATCGACCCGTGTGACAAAGAGGTCCTTGATCTCCTCGCTACAGTCGGTGTCTACCAGGATGGAGTCATGAAGAAGAAGGTCGACGGCAAGGAGACGGTCGCCCACCTCTTCGAGTACACGACGCAGCTGTCCGTAGACCCAAGTCCAGCACTCGTCCAACCGCATCGCGACGATCCATCCAACCTCGTGCCCGTGCAGATGATCTTCTGCCTCAAGCAACGCAACTCCAAGAAGATCAACTCGCATCGCTGGCTCTTCAACGCCATTGGCAAGCAGCTCCAGCCTGAGATCTGCATCCTCCTCGATGCGGGTACCAAGCCGGGACACAAGTCGCTCTACTACCTATGGGAGGCCTTCTACAACAACAAGAATCTTGGCGGAGCATGTGGAGAGATTCACGCCATGTTGAAGGGTGGACGCAAGCTCATCAACCCGCTCGTTGCTGCGCAGAACTTTGAGTACAAGTGAGTTCGCGCGGAGCGTGCAGAGAGAGAGTCGCGCGCCTGCTGACCCATTGCTCTTTCCTCTCTCTCGCGCGCGCCCGCCAGAATGTCCAACATCTTGGACAAGCCCCTCGAGTCGAGCTTCGGCTACGTCTCTGTGTTGCCCGGCGCCTTCTCTGCGTACCGATACCGAGCCATCCAGGGTCGCCCACTCCAGCAGTACTTCCACGGCGACCACACGCTCGCCGATCGTCTTGGCAAAAAGGGAATCCACGGCATGGGCATCTTCACCAAGAACATGTTCCTCGCCGAAGACCGTATCCTCTGCTTCGAGCTTGTCGCCAAGGCCGGAGACAAGTGGACGCTCACCTACGTCAAGCCGGCAAAGGGAGAGACGGACGTGCCCGAGGGAGTCGCCGAGCTCATCTCGCAGCGACGTCGTTGGCTCAACGGGTCCTTTGCCGCTTCCGTCTACGCTACGGTGCACTTCTTCCGCATCTACAAGAGCAATCATGGGATTATTCGACTCTTCTTCTTCCACCTCCAAGCACTCTACAACATCTTCGTCCTCTTCTTCTCGTGGTTCGCCTTGGCGAACTTGTGGCTCACCTTTTCGATTATCATCCAGTTCTTGCCGGAGCAGCTCCTCAAGAACTCGGGACAGACGACGCTCGAGATCTTCCACTGGGTCAACCTCGTTCTCAAGTGGATCTACGTCTTCTTCCTCGTCCTGCAATTCGTCCTCGCGCTGGGCAACAGACCAAAGGGCGAGCGAGCGACGTACATCACATCGTTCGTCGTCTTTGGCCTTCTTGGCCTGTACCTCATCGTCACTTCACTCTGGCTCACGGTCAACTCCTTTGCGGACAAGAACCTGACGACGCTTGCAGGCATCAAGTCCCTCTTCACCAGCCAGGAGAACGCAGTCCTGATCGCAGCCCTCGCAGCCACGTTCGGCGTCTACCTCATCGCCTCGATCCTCTTTGCCGACCCGCTCCATATGATCACCAGCTTCCCGCAGTACCTCGTCATCGCGCCTAGCTTCATCAACATCCTCAACGTGTACTCGTTCTGCAACTTGCACGACGTCTCGTGGGGCACAAAGGGAAGCGATAAAGCGGACAGTCTGCCTTCGGTTGACACGAAGAAGGACAAAGGGCCGGCGGGCACCGTGGAGGAGGTAGAGCGTCCCCAGGAGGACATCGATGCTACGTTCAAGGACGTCGTATCACGCGCCGTTGCGCCCATGCATGCCGAGACGGGCGAGAAGGAGAAGCCAACGATGGACGACGGCAACAAGACGTTCCGTACTCGTCTCCTCGCCATCTGGCTGCTCAGCAACGGCATTCTCACTGTGGCCATTGAGAATGTCAATGGGTACAACGAGGGCTTGACGCAGAAGCAGATCAATCAGGTGCAGTCCACCAAGCAGTCGACGTACTTCTCCATCATCCTGTGGTCGACCTTTGGACTGGCGCTGTTCCGCTTCATCGGCGCGCTACACTACTGGGTCATCAGGCAGTCGACTCGTTGCTTCCGCAAGAGCTGAGCGTGCGCGACGGATCTCTCCTCCGTACCTTGTCACAACGCCATAAACGCTAGATGCTGCGCTCCATCCGCGATCCGTGTACGTCAGTCACTCTTCACTACCCTCCTCCCCCTCACCTCTTTATCCCTCCTGCCTCCCAATCTCCTTCTCTGTTACATCTAACTCAGCGCCTCGCCTCGCCCCGCCTCGCTTCGCCTCACTTCTCTCAATGGACAGTATCTTGCTACACACACATCCAAAACGTGTCATCTATCCATGCCCCTCTCACGCAGCCAGCGCCCCCTCCACGACGAGCGACGAGGCAGGCGCGAAATTGCACCCATTGATCCGGGGTGGTGGACGAGCTTGCCCCCACTCTCACGCTCGTCGTCGAAGGCGCGAGGGCAAAGAGGCAACGTAGTGGCGGAGCGGGCCGCGGGCCGTAGGGCGGGAGGTGCGCGAGGGGCGCGGATGTAAAGTGAGCGCCCTCATCGCGAGGGACCGTGATCCGTCACTGCCCGTTCCCAGGCTCTCGAAGAGACATGGGCGATGAGCTTCTCCGTCTTGTCTTCTTACCACCACCTACTCGCCACTCCCCCGCGCTCCGTGCCTCCCCGATCATCATCATGTCGTCGTCCAACACGACGGCCCTCACCGCCACAACTGACCCCAATGACCCAACGAACACCCCGCTCCTCCTCGCCGACTGCTACGCAATGGACCGCACCTGGTGGCACGACCACACGATCATGACGCTCCTCCTCGTCGAGTCGATCAACCTCTGGCCGCCCCTCTTTCGAATGATCTGTCGAGCGCACCAGAGACGCCCTCATCCTCGACCCAACATGAGCGAGTCGCTCTTCTTCTGGATCTACTTCATGACATTCATGGGGTGCATCACCAAGTTCCTCAATTGGTATCGCGCTTACCCTACGCAGCCCTTCTGTCACGTCACGGCGTGGATGGAGGCGGCCGGCATCCACCTTGGCGCGGGTGTGGTACCCCTCGCCATGGCCCAGCGAGCCATCGCCGTTTGGTCACAAGGCGGGGTGCGTCGCTGGCCCTTTTGGCTCTTTACGACACTCGGCTTGGCCCACTTTGGCTTCACCTTCGTCGAGCTCTACTTCTACGGCAAACCAAATGCGGTCGAGGCTGGTTCTTGTGCTACACCGCAGGCTCTCGTGGATGAGGTGGCCGACTTCAAGCCGTGGCAATACATTCACTTTTACTACCTGCTTTGGTCCATTAGCGTCGATGCGAGCATTACGGCTGCGACCATCTACAAGCTCATCACGAACAAGGGGCCTTACGGTTGGTTGGGCTTCTCGCGCTTGTTGCTGGACAACTCCATTCATTACTTCACCGTAGTCACCGCAGTCAATGTGACGCAATTTGCGTCCTTTTGTGAGTATGCGAGAGAGAGGAGCGGGAGAGAGTAGCAGTTGCGATTCTTTACAGACCCACTCTACCCTCGCACAGGGTTCCCCTCCAAGTGGAACTTCGGCGACTCGACGGAGCTGGCCTTCTCCATTGCCTGTCTCTTCGGTATGCGTCTCCTTGCCAAGGAGCAGGACTACGCGCACGGCCATCGACCTCCTGGCAGCGAGTTGGCCAACTGCAATCTCAACTACGCTACCGACTCGCCGCAGCGCGATGCCAGCCACGGCGGCAGCGGCGGCAGCGGCGGCTGCGGTGGAGCAGGTAGTCGCGGCCTGGCAGGGAAGTTCAGCGCGACAGTGTCTCGCTTCACGCGCGCTGGTACGCTCAAAGAAACGCCTCACAGCCAGCAGCAAGAAGCTCATGAGCAAGGACCTCGAAACCCGGGCAGCGTCGAACGCGACGGCGGCAGCGCGCTGGCGGCTGCTACGACAGGGGGCCGCCGCGACCGCGCTCGCTCCCGATCCTCTGGTGCTTCGTATCGACCTTCATCTGCTCCTGGATCGTCCAAGGGAGCTAACGCAAATCTCTCTCGCGAGAACAGCTCGACTTCCGTGCCTATGCTGCCGTTCATAAGCTACTTGGATTCGCCTCGCGCGCCTCACATGCAAGGTGGCTCTAGCATCCACCGCGGGGGAAGCAATCAGTCGAAGGAAGAGGGCGAGGAAGAGCAACGTGGTCGACCTAGGACCACATCGACGAAGCAGTCCTCTAGTGGGATGTCAAAGGGAGAGTGAGGGGAAGCTGAAGGAGAGCACGCGTCGACTGACGTCGAGCCTACGCTGCGTGGCAGGCCTGCCTTCAGGGCCAACTATCTCTGAGTGTGGGGTTCGAGAGCTCCAGGGCATGCTTGCTTGCGGTCCTGTACGCGTCTGTGATGTCTGAATGTTGTGCCTTTTGCGTCTCTCTGTCTCTCTATCGAAATCGATTGTTACTTGTCTCTCGCACGGCAGGTCTCCTCTCGGCTGACGAGGAGGATGATTGATCGGTGGAGCGGGCGGCGCCTCTGTGTTTTCCCCGCATCTCGTCTCGCGTGGGTCGACTGGCGTGCGGACGGACGGACGGACGGACGGTCGACTGAGCCCTTGTTCCTTCTTCTCTTCTCTCCACCTCAACTCGCACCTCGCCCAGCATGGCTCCTGCCCCTCTGCCCATCCACGAGAGTCTCTACGCCTCTCTTCTGGCCTGGGCAAACGAGCCGATAGCTATCACGTCCAAAGTCTCCATCAAGCCCTATGAGCTGCGCACTGAGCTCTTCGTCTTTGTGGGCGCAATTGCCTTTTGGATCATCCATCTCGTAGGGAAGAGCACCAATCGCCGCTTGGCCCACAATTGGGTGCGAGAGGCGTTGCCCATGATCGAAAAGGAATTTGCTACGACGGCGAATGATGGGCAAGGCAAGGGGGAGCTCCTCCTTTGGAATGGAGGGGACGAGGCTGTTCTGTACGCTAGTGGGAGGAGGAGCGTTGAGAGGTGAGCGCGCGCGCGCACGGCCGAGGCAGAGAGTACCAAGCATGTACACAATGGCTGATCACCCCTCGCTTCATGCCACGACGCAGCATGCATGCCCACTTCTCCCTCACCCCACGCCAAGACCCGCTCCTCTACTTGTACCACTTCATCTCGGACATTGCCCTTGCCACTCCCCTCTCCTCTGCGCGGGACACCCTCACCTTGACCTTCCAACTGCCCACGCCGCCAGCCGCCGCAACAAGCGACGTCTTCGGCGTCTTTTCCATCGTCGACAAGCGCTGCCTCCAATCGCTCCGCCAAGCCCGACCTTTCGACCTCAGCTTCGCCCGTCTCCTCGAAAGCAACGATGAACGCGAGAGGCGCAGCTTGTCGCAACAGTGGGCCGTTATGAGCGAGAATGCTGAGCTGACCGACAGCTACCTCGGCGAAGTGGGTCAGAAGGGTGATGCCCGCCGCGCCAAAGTAGGGATCCAGACTGTCCTCAACTCTGCTGCGGGTGAGTGGCTGGAAAGCCTCATCCTCACCGACGTGCCGCAGCATCGACCGGAAAGCGTCGCGGCCGCCACTGCCGCTGCGACTGCGCAACACCCTCGCCTCCTCATCGTCAATTTGCGCGTACCCCGTGGGGCCGCCTCGATCCGCAACTCCCTGCCCTTGCTGCTCTGCGCATGCAACATCCTCGACGCCATCGACCTCAATGTTATCCCTCCTTTGACGGACCGCGCACGCACAAAGATGCGCAGCGCTCGCCAGGCAGTCGATGCTGCTGTGCTTAAAGAGCTGCAGGAGGAGGAAGGAGGAGGTGAAGATGAAAAGGCCAAAGGGAAGCAGAGCAAGGCTAAGAATCGTGGAGAGATGAGTGAGAAGGAGCAACAGAAGCGCAAGGAGTTGGAAGAGAAGAGGGCGAGGAGGAAGGCGCAGGGCAAGATGAAGGTCGGAGGCAGGGCGTGAGGCGTAACAAGGGAGGCTAGAGGGAGAGGTAGCTTGCTGGGACAAGGGGAGAAGACTGTTACTCGCAGCAAAAGGAATGAAATCAAAGGCATCTCGCACGCACCTTTCGGCTGTGCATTGCATTCTCGCCGCTCTCACTCCTGCATCGACGCCTCGCCCGCAACGGCAGCACTCCAAGCCCTCTTGGCCGCCTCACGAACCCACAGCGCCGTCTCCTGCGCATCATCGCCACCACTCAGAAGCAGACCCTGCACCTCCTCAACATCCTTGTCCACGTCGTTCAGATAGAGGGAGACGTCGACCCCAGCCTGTCGCCCGCGTTGGAATCGCGCAGCCAGCACATCTCTGCGGGGCTCAGCGCACGCCTGTTCCTCGAGCCAGCTTGCCCACGCCTCCCCTCCGGCGGCGAGTGCGCCCTCCAACCCGCCAGCATCATCAAAGAGGTCACGAGCCATCTCCGCTTCGTCTTGCGCCAAGGTCGCAGCCACGGCGTACCATTGCGTCGAAGCGACGACATCGCGCTGCTGCTCCTCGGTCCTGCCACGCGTCTGGACAACACGTCCCGCCCAGTCGTCGAAGAGGAGTGCGCGACGCAGTACGGCTCGTGCGGACTCGAGGCGACGAGCAGAGGGGAGACGCTGTTGCGCAACCGTGGCGGCAGAGGCGGCGGGAGTGCGTACGAGGACTTGCAGCGCGGTCAGTGGGTCCGGCCCTGCTGGTGGGGAGACGAGCGTAAGGACGTCCACCAGGTCCTCGGCGCCCAATGTGTCTGGCCCACAAGCCTCTTCACTCTGGTCGTCCTCCGTCTGCACAAGACGACGACCCAGCTTGGCAAGATGCGCGGCGTACGCCTCCTGGCCACGCACGCAGAGTCGATCCACCGAAGACGGTAGGGCCTCCTCCGTGCCGAGCTGCTCGCGAAGACGATAGTGCACGGCTACGAGGTCCAGCGCATCGTCTATTCGCTCGATGGCGCGTTGCTCCTTCTCGGTCGCGATGGCTGCCTCGTCTAGGTCGGCAACGTACGCAAGCTTGCCCAAGGAGAGGAGAAGATGCCTCTCTGCCAAGGCCGAGGAAGTCGCGTCGGCGTCGTGCTTGTGGTGCGGAGCGCGGACGGCTGAGCGTAGTAGTGTCGTCGACGCGGAGCGATACACGTTGAGGGAGATGTCGTGCAGCCAGGAAATGCTGGCGAGCTGGGCAGTCTCGTCTTCGTCTTCATCCGCATCCCGCTCTTCCTCCTGCTCGATCCCCTCCTGCTCGTCATCCCCCGCATGCAAATACTCGCGCAACATCTCCCCCCACTTGCCCTCCCCCAAGCGAAGCAATTCCCTAACCTCCCCGCGCTGCACCAGCGAACCGTACAGGTCCCACGCAAACGCGCGTCCGTACTTGCGCAAGTAATGCTCGACCTGTTGCGCCGGGTCCCCCGTGCTCTCGTCGAGGCATAGCGCAACGAGGGTCGCATAGTCGCCGTGCTGTTCTGCAAGCTGAAATGCCCTGTCTGGACGACCGGCAAGGCTGGCGAGAGGGCCGATCATGCGCGGAAGGGCAGAACGATAGCGGGCTTCTACTGCGGAGCGTTCCTTGTCCAGGTGGGTCTGGCCGTGGTGCGCATGTTGCTCGCCTGCAATGCCAGCCGCGTCGCGATGTCGCAAGAAGCTGATGCGCTCCGCGTACGCGAGCAAGGCGTAGCGTGCAAGCTCGCACAGCTGCGTCTTGAGCTCGAGCTGGAGTGACGAGGGTGTCGCTCCTTGCTCGTCTGCATCGCTAGCGTATTCGTCCTGGTCGACACGGTCAACGCGACTGCCCAGCTCGCGCTTACGATCCCGGATCAAAGCCTCAGTCGCAAAGTACAGAGCCTCAAGGAGGGCGAGACTGCTCGCTTTGCAAGTCCACGTCTCACCGGTTGTGGTCATCATCGCGCTGGCTTGCGTCTGCTCGGCCGCCTGTTGCTGCGTTACCGTCACGCCGTACTTGTTCGCAGCCACGCCACTCTGCCTGAGACGTTGCGCCGCCTGGAAAGCCGTCACGGCGACTCGGTCGATGGCGGCAATCTCGCGCGCCCGAACCTCGATACGACTAGACTGCGCCGGAGCAGCAGAAAGGCGTTGCTGTAGACGCTCGAAGACGGCAACGATGCTTTGCGCGTGCGACTTGAAGAAGGCGCGAACGGCGTCCGACCCGAAACCGCCCACACTGCCCAGGCTAGCGCTCATTACATCCTCGATGGCGCTGCTGAGAGCAGAGGAGGGCGACGATGAGCTGGCGGCTGCCATTTGTTGGTTGTGCAGCTTCCAGAGATCCGTCACGGCTGCCAGGAGTTGAGCGTCGGCGAGGAGCTTGCATCGCGTGCGCATGGGAAGGCGTGAGACGAGATCATTGCTGCGTAGCGCGTCGATTAGGCCTGCAAGGCGGGCACCACGATCGGCCAGATGGGCACGAACGTCCACGAACGTCTCGAGGTAGACGGAGGAAGACGTGACGATGGACGTGCTGATATGCTCGCTCGCGGCAGCCAAGTCGCCCTGTCCTGCCTGCGCTTGCGAGATGCCAAAGGAGAGTGGGTTAGCCACGTCGAGCACGTCGAAGAAGACTGCCTGCTCGAGTCTTGACTGCAGGCGATCGTTGAGGGCTGCCTGGCGCTCTGCAGGGTGGCTCAGTCGCTCCTGGAAGTTCTTGGCCGCTGCCACGCTGACTTCGACGAGAAGGGCACCACTCTGCGCCGATAGGCAGGATAGCGGGGCGAGGGAGGGGTCGGCCGCTTCTACGTCTGCACCTTCAAAGCCGAAACCCAGGAAGCGGTTGCGTGCACTGTCCTTGAGCGCGATATGGTCTTCGAATTGCTCGCCGCTGAGGAGTGTTGTGACGAGGACGTCCGGGAACGCGGCAAAGGCCATGTCGGCTCCATTGGGGATAATGAGGTGCGGCGAGCTGTACGGGCGCGGGTCGCGGAGCGAGCGATAGTCGAGGGGCGTGTTGCCCGCGAGCGCAAAGGCTGCGGTGGATTGGAGCGTGACGATACCGTACTTGAGGGGCTTGTTCGGTTGCGAGGCGTGCGAGTAGAGGAGAGAGAGGGAGCCGTCGCTGCGAGAGGCTCCGTCGAGGACATTTACGTCGATGTGCGTGGTTTGAGCATCGGAGGGTGGCATGATCTCCTCGGCGATGATAGTTGCTACGTCTTGCTCGGCCATCAGCCTTTCTCCACCTCCATCTACGAGGCGCCATTTCTGCACCATCCTATGACCAAAGGCGTAGACGTCCCTGTACCCCTGGTCGGCTACAGGCGGGCAGACTGCCAATCCGATGAGCCCATCGAAGCCAGGCATGGCCGACGTAGGGGCACTGGCAAAGAAGCGGCCGAACAGTCCACGAGTCTGATTGAATGGCGAAAGCTGCGGCTGAAGTCGCCCTCCAGCAGATACGAGGCTGAGCCGGAAGAGGCGCGACGCGCTCGTTGCAATGACGTACGTGGTCGCCTCGCAGCGGCAGAGGGCTACAACGGACTCTGATGCGCCGAGCACGATGTCTACTCGCTGCGATGAGCGGTCTTGCCCAGCGAGAGAAGCGGCTACACTATCCCAGAAGCGGATGTGGCCGTCCAAGGAGACGAGGACGAGGCCCGGGTCTCGATTGCCCGTTCGTGGAACGAGTGCGGCGTGCGGGAGGGCAGATAGGTTGGATGAAGAGGGCGAAGAGGACGAGGAAGGGGACGAAGCGAAGGTGTAGCAGGTAGTGAACTGCGAGGGGGCCGATGATTGCGGAGAAAAGGTCCATACGAACGTCTTTGAGGCGGTGACGAGGAGGGCGTGGCCGGTTGAGACGTCGAGCTGGCCCTTGACTGCATCGATGTAGGGGTCTGTGAGAGCAGTAGGGGTGAGATAGAGTGGATGTATGCACTTGAGAAGGGCTACTACTGACCTGCTTTCTGCAGTGCTTCATTGACTTGGCGGGGCAACGTAGAGAGGAGCGTGACTGCGCTGAAGCCATCGTGCTTGAGAATCGATCCAACTGTTAGGGAGGCGGGAGGTGCACCTAACATGCTTCTTTCTTCCCCCGCATCATTGCCATCGTGTGTTGCTAGGTTGCTCTTCGCAGGGCGGATTGTCCTCCTCGGCGTTGTCGAGGGGGCTGGCGAAGCGCGAATCGAGCGAGAAGGTGTACCACCGGGTCGAGGCGAGCGAGTGGACGAAGCTACAGAGGATGAGGATGGCCTTGGTCTATCTCTGTTTACCCTCTTGGACGGCGTATGAGCCGCCACTGGCGAATTGAACATTGGCGCCAGACACTCAGGGTGATTGGGAGTGATGGTTGCAGAGAAAGCACGACAACCTGCACGACTCGTGTCCATCCTTCTCGTTGCGAGTCTTCCTCGCGCGTCTCCGTCTCCGTCTCGACGGAGAGGCGGACTGAGCCCTCGAAGCTGCAGACTTTTGGCAATTCTCCAGCGTATTCAGCATGGCAGAGCCATCATCATCGTCAACGCCGGCTTCACTGCCGCGCGCCCTGGTATCAAGGCTCGAGAGAGATGCACAGAAGAACTGGGACAAGTGGTGGAAGATCCATGAGACGAGGTGAGAGCCCCGGTACCCGGCGCCGTATGCGCGTCTGCTCACGCCCACCCTCGCCGCCCTCTCTGTCCTCCAGATTCTTTCGCGACCGCAACTGGACCGACCGCGAGTTCGGAGCGCTCAAGGGGTCAGGAGCAGCTGATGGTCAGCCCAAGTCAGGCGGAAATCAAGGCGGCGAAGAGGGCGAGGATGACGACGAAGCTGCTGAGCTGGTACAGCGCAGTCTGGCCGCTTCCTCGTCAGCCTCATCATCCTCAAGTGCCCCAGCTGCGCCTCCGGTGCTCTTGGAAGTCGGATGCGGAGTAGGCAATATGGTCTGGCCCCTCTTGGACAAGATGCCTACGCTCAAGGTTCACTGCTGCGACTTCTCAGATCGAGCCATTGAGCTGCTCAAGGTGCGCTAGCGCTGCGCTGCGCTGAATGCTAGTTGTCATTGCAAAGGTATATGGCTGATGCTTGCTCGCCTCCATTCGCCCGCCAGCAACATCCCCGCTACGATCCATCACGGGTCCACGCCTTTGTCTGGGACATCACTCGACCAGAGCAGCCCTACTCGAACGACAGCGAGGACTCGACGCCAACTACCCTCTTCTCCCTCATGACGTCCCATCCCTTCGGCCCACCCACACTCGTCTCATCCGTCTTCTGCCTTTCAGCAATCCCTCCTGCACTCCACTTGCCTACCCTCACCAGCCTGTTCGCTCTCTTCCCCGCGACGGCGTCATCACGACCGCCACCCGCGACGCTCCTCTTCCGCGACTACGGACGCGGCGATCTGGCCGAATCCCGCTTCTCCGTCCGCAAAAGGGCATGGGACGAGCCGCATCTCCTCTCTTCTGAGGGACTGCCGCACTACCGCCGTGGAGACGGGACGATGACTTACTTCTTCGACGAGGAATACCTGCGGCCGCTGGTCCAGCAGGCGATTGCTGCGCGGGGAGAGGAGGGAATTGCGACGTGGGACGAAGAGCTGGGTATCGTCGAGAGGATTGGGCAGAATCGTAAAAAGGGGTTGACGCTGACGAGAAAGTTCTTGCAGGGGGCGTGGACGAGACGGTCGAGCCAGCCCATGTCCTCCGAGTAGAGTAGTAATTGCATCGCATGCTACCCGCTTACATGACGGTGCAGTCGTCGCGAGATTTGCCCTCCTCACGCCTGCCAAGCTGCGACCATTTGTGCGTGTCCTTGTGTTCGGCCATGAGCTCTGCTAGTCGATACTCGTCGGCTTGGCTCAGTTTGAGGCCGCGAGCCTGGCGGGATTGAAGGGCCCGTAATTGCGAGAGGTGCTCGGCGGCTATGCGTCTGCGAGGAGGCAGGCTCTTGTGAGTATAGAGTCGTGCGCTGGACGCCTCCTCACGCCTTTGTGAACAGCGGTGGCGGTCCTACCCACTTGTCAAGCTTGCGGTTGGTCATAACGTCCCCGAGGTTGGGCAGAGAGGGCAGCTTGGATGTAGACGATGGCGGCTGTTCCTGCTTGCCTGCTGACGTCGACTGTGCAGCTCCGTCTTGCAAGCCCAATCGCTTCATCGCTATTGTAGCTGAAACCGCCGCTGCTGACGCTGACTGCTGCCGCGCAGCCCCGTTCTGCGGACGAGGGACGCTGTTTGCTGCGGGACAATCATGCTTGGCCACCTCGCGATGCGCAGCACAGAATCCTTGGCCACACTTGGGACATTCCAGTCGCAAAGTAGCGAGCGACTTGTTGCATCGACGATGAGAGCATTGCGGGCCTGAAGAATGCTTTTGCCGGTCGCGATTGCTGAACGCCTCCTTGACGACTGAGCATTCGCCTCCTTCCACATGTCGCCTAACCGCCTCCTGCCTTCCTCGATCGCCGGCACTCCTCTGCCAGACCCGCGGAACCTCACCGCAGAAGCCGCAGCGAGGAGCCAAATAGCCTGCGCCTTCCTCTTCCCCCTCCTCCCGCGGGGCTAAGCGTCGATCGCATCTATGCTGGAGCGGGGTGCTGTGCTCGCCACAGTATTTGCCTCCGCACTCTGTGCATAGCAAGGGGAGAAAGTCGAATTGTCGGCATTCATCGAAGGCACAGGGGACGTTGCCTAGTGAGGAGAGGAATGAAGTATCTCTGCTTGAGCCATTAGAGCTCGTCGAAGAAGAGGGGAGATTGAGCGGCGAGAGGCCTGCGAGCGTAGAGGTGGTGGCGTGTGCTTGGCGTGGTGGCATGGCGAGGTGCGGTTGTGGTGGCCACGCTCTATGTCGACCGATCTACAAATGCTTCACCCCTTTCTCAAGTAGTAGACTGGCCGACCCTCGACCTCTGGCGCTGACGCAAGCGCCTATCTGCCAGAATGATTGGGAAAGCGCGGCGAAAAGGAGGCAAAGAAACAAAGCTCAGTCCGGACTTCGGGCGTAGGGCGTTGATGTCGTGGACGAAGGCTGTGCACAGGCTGCCGCCGCACGCCAAGAAATGCCCGAGGGACGCGTCACGCCGTCACTCGCGAGCACTTGGCTACGAATGGCATTAAGATACAACGGGGAGGTGGCTCAGCTAATCGTCATCACCCTTCTGCCTCTTACGACTTCCGCCCTCCTGCAGTCCCTCCCTCTTGCTGCCGCTCCCACTCGCCGCACCCCTTTGCGCCTCCGATAAGAACGCATCGATCTGGAAGGGGTCATTGATGGTGCGCTGCGCCGACCCATTGGCAGACGTGTCCTTCTCGAAGAGAACAGGTCCTGATCTCGGCTCAGCGCCTTGTCCCTCTGCGCCACTGAAGGCCTTCGACTTGCCCAGCCCGAACCGATCCGATCTGTTGAGCTCGTCCTGCACTCCTTCAGCCGTCCCACCACCGTACGCCTCATCTGAGCCACCCTGCGTCGGACGTGAATAGATGGCCTGTGCGGCGCTCGACCCGTTGAGAAGCGAGCGGTCGTACAAGTTGTACGACTCCTCGTCGCCGAAAGAGGCATTGAGCTTCTCCTGGTTGAAGAGTCGACTGTCCACCTCGCCACCCTTTGCCGTGGGCTTGGCTAGGCCCAGCGCCACCTTCTCCGAGATGTCGCGATTCTGCTCGCGCATGAGCATCTTTGCTCGTTGCTCGGTGCCCATGTTCGACATGCGCAGCTCACGTTCTCGCTCACGGCGTCGCTCGGCACGTAGGCGGTCGCGCTGGCGAGCGTCCTCGTCGTCTTCTGAGTCTGAGCCAGAGGCAGAGTCGCCATCGTCCGATCTGGAGACGCTGCGGCGGGCCGAGGGTCCAGCGCTGCCGTAACGAATCGGACCACCCACAGAAGCCAAGCGACCGTCCTCATCGCCCTCGCCCTCTTCGTCGCCACCCCGCATTGACGGCGTTGCAGAAGGAGCGATACCAGCCCTCTCCTCTCTTGCCCTCTGAGCCAGCAAACGCAGATGCTCCTCCCTTGACGCCTTCTCCTTTGCCGCCAATTTCTGCTGCATAGCGGAGCGCTGCCTGACTTCCTCCCTCGCATGTCGCTCAGCGAGGACGAGTGCTTCAGAGAATTGCGCAAATCCATCGTTGATGTGGACGTCCTGCAGTCCTCGTCCGTCGGCAGCCAATCGCTTGTCGAGCGGGATGGTGTAGCCCTTGTTGTTCTTCCAATTGGAAATGGAAGGGGGAACAACCCAATCTTTTTGTTCTTGAGCTGTGATCTTGCGAGGAGGGGAGCGGAGGACTGGTGGCGGCGGAGAGGGAGGACCCTTGGGCACTTTTTTGAACTTCCAGCGAGGTGGCTCTAGAGGGTCTTCGACTTGCTCTGTCATCTTGATGATGCGTTGCTGGCCGCTGCCCCCTTGTTGACCCGGTGTATACCTCACGAAGGAGCCTGGGCGTGCGGCGAGCGGCACGAGGGTCAGCATACATGGATGAGGCAGGCTGCTTGAACGGACGCGGCACTCACTGTCGCCTCCCTTCTTCTCGACGTGACTGGTCTGCGCTCCCTTGATCTTGACGTTGACAATCTTCTCTAGCGCAGCTCTTGTTCGCTGTGCAGTCTCTGCGACGGCCTCTGCATCCGGTCGATCAGGCAGCATGTCCTGGGGAGCAAAGGCGAGAGGAGAGGAGGTCAGTCAGGGCAAGAGCTGAATGTATGCACCCGTGCTATGCTCACAGATGCCTTGGCTCCGGCGCGCTGGGTGAGCGGTACGAGGTCCTTGTGTTGCGACTGGACATGCTGTCCCTCGCGACGACCTTGTTGCACGATGGCATCGTAGCGGACATTGCCTTCTCCATCGACTTGGAGGGCGAGGGAGCCTCCAGACGTGCCCTGCGAGTGAATTGCCAAGTCAGTAAAGTCGCACTTTGTTTCACGACTGAACTACGCCCGCTCACCTGCTTCTTCCTGCCCATCTCCAGTGGGTACTGTGCGATATGGCATTCCGGATATGCTCCTCCGTCTGCAAAGTCTTCCTGATTTCGCGGCTTCCACCCACTCCTTTGTCCGTATGGCGGGATGCGTGTGACTGGAGCAAGAGCGGATGTTGACGCCTGTGCGCGTTCATCATCGTCTGCATCCTCTACAGTGGGAGCGTAGCGTGGTGGCGGCAACGCAGCCGATAGCGTCGCGGCGGACATGATGGCGAGTGGTGGTGGTGTTGGGAGGATGGACGTCCCTGCATCCCACTTGGCCGTCCGGACGACTCACTCTCACGTCTGCATCCGTTCCGTCCGTCCGTCCGTCCGCTGCCTCAGCCGGGCTGGTCGACTTGGGCGGGCTGACTTTGCTCGCTCGGGCTGGAAAAATTTGGCTCGACGACGTGAGCCGCGATTCCTCGTCGTCTTTCCTTCCCTTCTTTCTTCCCCCCCACCCTTGCTTCGTCAGTCATGGCGGGTAAGAAGGCATCATCGTCGTCGCCCTCAAACGGCCTCAAGAAGGTCAAGGGTGAGAACTTCTATCGCGACGCCAACAAGGCAAAGCGTGTCAAGCTACTGTCCAAGAATGGCATCGCATCCAAGGCCATTCGAGACAAGGATGGCAAAATCATTCAGGCTCAAGAGTTTCAATCATCAGAGGCAAAGCCAGGACGAGTACAGCCAGACAGAAGATGGTTCGGCAACACGCGCGTCATCTCGCAAGACGCACTCGACCATTTCCGCACCTCGCTCTCATCGCGCGTAGACGACCCTTACTCGGTCCTGCTACGACGCAACAAGCTACCTATGTCGCTGATTCAAGACATCAAGAAGGGCAAGGCAGCGCCCCTTACTACCGTGGAGCCATTCCAGCAGACGTTTGGGCCAGGAGCGCAGAGGAAGCGTCCGCGCCTCGACGGCAATGCAAGCTCCTTCGCAGAGCTCGCTCAGAGCAGCACTCAGGCCGGAGATGACCACGACGACAAGATTGCAAGCCAACAGGCCAAGCTGGCCGGCGAGCATCTCGTACCCGTCGATCGCGAGCTTGGCGCCGACGCTGTGGAGGGTCAAGATGTCGACGCCGACAACGTAGCGTTGCTTCCCGCCGACATCTACTCTGCGCCCGTCACTCGTGGCCGCTCTGAGCCCATCTACAGCAAGGGCCAATCAAGACGCATCTGGGGAGAGCTCTACAAGGTCATTGACTCGTCGGACGTCGTTATCCACGTTCTCGATGTGCGCGATCCGATGGGCACGCGATGTCGCAGCGTCGAGAAGCACATCAAGGAGGAGAAGCCGCACAAGCATCTAGTCTTCCTGCTCAATAAGGTCGACCTCGTTCCGACGTGGGTTACGGTGAGTACGCGCGTGCCCCCCCCGCGCCCCGCTCCCCTCCATTCTTGCCCCACAATCATGTCAAGTACTTTGCCAATCTCTCTTCCATGGCTTTGCGACTGTTACGAATGTGGAAGATTAACGGCCAGGGTGTGCTTGCTTCTTTGCCCGCTTTGCGGGCCCACCGTCCAAGCCCCTCTCCCGCCATTGAGGGGTGGGCGCGTCGGGAGGTCGGGCCGCCCTGGTCGACGTTTGGGATGAGTTGAGGTCGCGTCGCTCCTTCGAGTGGGCACTCTTTGAAATCACGTCCTCGTAGTTCTCGAACGAACAGCGCGCTAACCATGCGCGCATCCCCATCACTGCAGGCACGATGGGTCAAGATCTTGTCCAAGGAGTTTCCTACGATTGCGTTCCACGCCTCGATCAACAACTCGTTCGGCAAGGGCTCGCTCATCCAGCTGCTCCGCCAGTTCAGCGTCCTGCACTCGGACCGCAAGCAGATCTCCGTCGGCTTCGTCGGCTACCCAAACACGGGCAAGTCGAGCATCATCAACACGCTCAAGAAAAAGAAGGTCTGCAACGTCGCGCCTATTCCCGGAGAGACGAAAGTCTGGCAATACGTGGCCTTGATGAAGCGCATTTACCTCATCGACTGCCCTGGTATCGTGCCGGTGAGCGCCCGTGATTCGGAGACGGGTACGGTCTTGAAGGGCGTGGTGCGCGTGGAGAATCTCGAGACGCCGGCCGAGCATATCCCCGCGCTCCTCTCGCGCGTCAAGGAAGAGTACCTGCGCAAGACGTACGGCCTCAAGGCGTGGAAGAACTCGCACGACTTTCTCGCTCAGCTGGCCAGGCGGTACGGCAAGTTGTTGAAGGGCGGGGAGCCTGACGAGGAGACGGTGGCCAAGATGGTGCTCAACGACTGGATCCGAGGCAAGATTCCCTTCTTTGTCCCGCCACCGGAGCCTGACAACAAGGGCAAGGGTAAAGCGGTTGAGCCGACGGAGGACGACGTCAAGCATGGAGCTGAGCGCGGCGTGAAGAGGGTCAAGGGCGTGGAGCAGCCTCTCAAGCAGATTGCCGTCGTCACCAAGTTCTCCAAGGAGGACGTGAATGGCGGGACAGAGGACGACTTTGTGATGGAAAGGGATGACGAGGGCGAGGAGCCAGAGCGCGCGAGAGGCGAGGGCGACGACGACGAGGAGAGTGAGGACGACGAGGACGACGAGGACGGCGAGGAAGGCGAGGACGGCGAGGAAGGCGAGGAGGAGCTGGCTGAACTGCCGTGGGAGGACGTCTTTGGCGGCGCAGACGCGGAGGATGACGACGAGAGCGAGAAGAGTGCTGCGTCGGAGGACGCAACGCCTGCGCCGCGTAAGGAGGCACGCATGACGACGTCGAAGAAGCGCGCCGAAAACTTCTATACCCACGCCAACGTCAAGAACAAGAATCGCGAGCGCGCAAAGGTGATGCGCGAGACGCGCGGCGTCGTAGGCGGTAGCGCCAGTCGTGAGCGAGGCAGTCGGGTGGGTGCGAACGGCAAGGGGGCGGCGCGAGGAGGGAAGCGTGCAAGGCGTTGAGCACGCGAGCATGTACATTCTTTCTCATCCTGTTGTGGCCATCTCTGTACACTAGATCCGTGAGACTCAAGCCTGCGTGAAGTGGGAGCGTGGCGCGTGGCGGCCTCGCTGCTCCACATCCCATCGTGCTGCGAAGCGAGTCGATTCGAAGCGGGACGAGGGGCGGCGGACTGGCGAAAAATTGAGTGGCTCGCATCGCCCGCATCCGCGCTCGCATCTTGGCTTCCTGCACATCCCTACCACGACTCGACGATGGTAAGCTCGGCGTGGCGAGACGTGGTATAAGCCCGCTGACACTTCGCATCACCAGCCATCCATCGAAGAACTACCGCCGGATGCCGAGGTGACCACTCAGAGCTCGGCGCCGCAGCTACCGCCAGATGTCGATCCACGCGGTCCACCTAGCACCGGCGTCCGGGGAGGCATATCAGAGGAGCTGGCAGAGAGGTTGGCGAGGCAAATGGAGGCAGGGTGAGTCTGCGCGGTGCGAGCATGAAAGGCTCCATCCTGACGCTCGCGCCTCCGCCCTTCGCGACACGCGCAGCCCCTCGTCTGGCAAGCCCCAAAAGTCCCTCGAAGAGACGCTCCAGTCCTTCGAGTCGGTGCCCCTCTTCATGAAGGACCTTCCCAGCGCCGGCGAGGAGGACACTTCGTCGTCCGGCGTAGCGCTTGAAGCTCTGCAGTCCCTCGCCTTTTCCGGCACGCCCAACGAGCAGGCTACCAACTTTAAGAACCACGGCAACGACTACTTCAAGGCCAAGCGACATCGCGACGCGCTGGGATTCTACGACAAGGCTATTGCGGTCGAGCCGGACGACGCGGAGTTGCTACTCAGCTTGCATCTCAACAGGGCTGCCTGCCAAGTCGCGCTGGGCAACTATCGCTCCGCGCTGCGGGACACGAGCAACGCGCTGGGCATCGACCCGCGATCGCAAAAGGCCTTTTATCGCGCCGCGCGAGCACTCTTTGAGCTGGGTCGCTTCGTCGAGGCGATTGACTGCTGTGATCACATCCTCGAGATCGATGCGGCAAACAAGGAGGCGGTGACGCTGCGCAACCAGATCGTAGAGCGGGCGAAACGACGGGAGAAGCACGAGCGCGAGAATGCAGAGCGACAGGAGCGACAAAAGAAGATGGACCTGGCCCTTCACCAAGCACTTCTCGCCCGAGGTCTTTGGATCGAGAAGAGTCCACGTCCTCCCGCTGATCATCCGGCCAAGGCTCACTTTGACGAACAAGGGCTTAGCGCCGCCGGCACGCCGGACATTGTGCGGCACCCACTCGTACTCCCCGTCATGCTCCTCTACCCGCAGCACAGCCAGTCCGACTTCGTCGAGGCGTGGCACGAGGACACGACCGTCGGCGATCACCTCGACGCCATGTTCCCCGCAGAGGCTCGTGGTTCGCTCGCATGGGACGAGGGCGGCGAGTACGTCTCTGCCAATCTGAGCGTATATGCCTCGACGAGGAAGAGGAGATTGCTCCGTCTCGGCCGTGGGCTCAGTCTGCGCGAAGTCATGGATCAGGGGGCGCAGGAGAGCAGTGATGGCGATCCGAAGAAGAGGGACGGCGTCGTGTTGCGAGACGGGATCCTGTCGCTCGTCGTGCTGCCCAAAGGCGGGGATGCAGAGAAGAAGTGGATCGACGATTTCAAGAGGGAGAGGGAGGCAGCCAAGCAGAGAGGCGACGAGTAGCGGCGTGAGGGCGGGCGGGAGAATCATGTCTATTGGGGAGCATCGCAGCAATGAAGAGACAAGCGCGCGCGCCGCGCCCGCCTCAGCCGCACCAACGATTGACACCATTGAAGCAAGCATCCCCCGTCTGAGCAGGCTCGCTGCCGGGACAGGGGCACTTGGAGCAGTTCTTGCCCAACTGACCGCCCGTGTGCAGGGCCCGGAAGCTGGCGCAAGGGTTCGTGAGTGCCACTTCAGACTTGATGACGCCCGTGATGCTGTGGTCGGGGTTGAAGCATCCGGCTTTGGCGTAGCAGGTGCCCAAGTTCACGCGTTGGGTCCAGCCGCTGGCGGCGAAGAAGGCCATGAAGGCCAGAGTAGCGAGGAGTTGGGCGGCAAGCATGGTCTGCGGTGGTGGCTTGGCCTGGTCAGTGGGCTGAGAGGTGAGGCGGCGGGTCGATGTGCAACGTTGGGGAAGGAGAAGAGACGAAGCTGAAGCTGGTGGGCGATCGTGAGGTAAGGGGATGTGGGCTGAGGGCACCCGTAGCCCTCCTTCGCTTCAGACCGCCCACCTTCATGGTAATGACCCATTATCTGCCGTCGCCGTTCTCGACCTCTGGGTGGCAGCTGAGCAATCTTCCTCCGTGCAGGGGGGAGGGCACCCGTTCGGCAACGCCTAGTACGAGGCGAGAAATGAGCAGGCAGCTCGTTGCCGTCCAATTCCTGACTTGACAATGAGAGAGGGCGCGGAGCAGCTCGACTTATCAACCCACAACGCGCGTCAGCTCAGAAGACGACGTCTCTTCCGCATATGCGGTCTGTGGTGCTGAGCACAGCAGCTCGGCATCAAGCGACGCAGCAGCGAGCACCTTTGTCACGAACCCCAGTAGCAACTCGCCGCAGCTCTGCTCATTGATATCATTCAGATGAAGTTATGCAGCCTACATCCTCAAAGCCACACCGCACATCACAAAATCGATCCTCAACCACGTCGCCGCAGAGCAGCGTAAAACGCAACTGCTCACGCTTCACGCCGGCGTCTGCTACGGTCAGTGTCTCGTCAAGAGAGGGCAGCGTACGCTACCTTTGCGCACTGAAGCATCTTAGCAGTGTGAAGAAGCAACGAGCTTCAGGAACATTGCCGCTGCCACATCCGCGTGAGGCATCACGTTTAGAAAGACCTCATGTCACTGCGGTGGAAGGCTCAGCTTGCCGGCGCAGCGGCATACGCTGATTTCACGCTAATCATCGCGCACGATTGATGTCGTCGCTTGCTCGAGTGGCCGCAAGTGAACAAACGTGCAATCTTTGCAGCTACAGTCCCTTCTCCGTCGCTTCTACTCGAGATGATACGCCGTTTTGCTCGTTGTGGCTAAGTGTGCTCCTCGAAATAGTAGTCGTCAACTTTCAGCAAGCTCCAATGGAGACGTTGCAGATCAATCAGCATCAGAAGAGCGCGGCAGATCAGCAAGCAGATCAGCAAGTCAGTGATGCAGCAAAGTCATGTCGCGCGCTGCGGAACGATTGGCGGAGAGACGCAGCGAAACCTGCGCGCAGAGGCGTCGTGTTCACATCTTTTGTTCATACTCGACAATGCTGTGGATTATTCATGCTTCAGTCGTCGAGGTGGCAAGATGTAGGCTTTCAAGGTCGTTAAAATTACGAAGAGAAAGCAAGATTTTCAGGTTTCTGAGCGAATTACTGGCTCTTCTGCTGAAAAGACGATGTTGATTGTGGATCCGCGTCGCGCCGGCGCGCCGCGTCTCAGCTCTCTCCCCAATTTCCATTCGTCCGATCGGAGTGACACCTATACCAGATTTGGCCAGTAGCGCCATTGCCGTCGGTCCGCCGTCGGGTCCAAGGCAGACCATTTCCATCGACCAACTGCTTTCCCGCGCTCAGGGCCCGTTGCGGGGCGCCGGGCGTACCACACCCGGTCCCACGCCGTCGCCGAGTCGTTGACCCGCAGCAATACCTCCCAATTGCCAGCACCTGCGTCGAAGTAGAGGAAGGGCTCCCTCGTGTCGTCCGTGGTACCGTACGTGACGTGGTTGAGGGTATTGCCCGGCAGCTTCAGCCTGTGTCGACCTTGGCTGTCCCTTTCGAGTGGGAAGCGCGCGCCCATGTCTCGCAGCCTGATGGCGATACCGTCAATGAGCTCGGTATCGGGCATGCGCTCTGTGTGCACGAATGGGTCAGCGCCAAGTTTGCTCGCCATCGCCTCGGCCATTCGACGGAAAGCGCGGTTCCAGGCAAAGTCCACCTCCTCAGCGTCCGGCGAGTACATGGCTCTCTCCCCCGTTGCGTCGCCAAGCTCGATGGACGGGTCGCCTTCGTCCGTCACCGTACACGGGTAGCCAAGGATCGGCCTACTTGACAGGCGCGAGCCGAAGTTGTCGTCCAGGATCGGGTGGTCCGCTACCGAGGTGCCTCGGGAAGACGCCACCGCTTGAGCAGCGGCCCGGCGAGAGGAGCGCTGATCGCAGAGCCGGAGGTGCTTGGAGGAGCCAGGCCAGCTGGTCCCGCCCCGATTGGAGCACGCATCGTTGGATGGCTGCATGAAGAGGGGGAGGAGGAGGAGGAGGAGGAGGAGGAAGAAGAAGAAGAGGACGTGGCGCCGTAGAGATGGTTCCTGCCGGCCGGCGCCAACCGGGTCTTGCGTCAGAGTGATGTGGAAGGCTGGGCGCGGAGGGGAAGGCGAGTCAGCGCCGCTCTGCATTGTGAGAGCCACAGCTACTCACTCTCCAGCACGTCATTCTTGTTCTCGAGCAGGTATTAGCCTACGGGCTTGGTGAAGACGTCGGCTGGGTCGTTGATCCCGGGAACTTGAAGTGGCTCGCTGCGATCGAGCTGAAGTCAAGCTTGCCCTCCTTGCGTGCAGCGAACCTTTCGTCGTGCTGCTTTTGGCGTTGCGCGACTGTCTGACCCGACGCCTCCCCAACGTATCACGCCAGCTCTCGCGTGCCTCCTGCTCCACGGTGGACGGCAATGATGAGGTACGTGCCAGCGCTGTGACATTTGTGGGCGTCGAGCTCGGGGTTGTCGCGCAGCAGCTGCCTGAAGCCCTCCTCCGTCGTCGTCCAGAGAGGTCGGAGCGAGGCCATGCGGTTCATCGCCCATTGGCTGTGGAGCGTTGAGTTGATCTGGCGGAGGTATAGCTCCAGATCCACGCGCGAGAGCTTGTTGACCACCGCCTCCGGCACCACCAGTCGCTTCATAACCAGTATGTGCGTCTGCATCTCCGCGAGGGTCATCTTGCCGCCCGGCGAGACCATTCGACGAGCCATGGCCGCTACCGAGTCTCCGACGTAGGAGCCGTAGCTGGACTGCACGAAGTAGTGGCTCAAGTTGTCCTCCAGAGCCGACTGCTTGGCCTCCTCCGTTCTTGAGCTCACCATCTCCCGCTCAAACTCGTCGATGAGCTGCTGGTCGATGAGGCGTGGTTGGGCAGCAGAAGTGAGACCGCGAGTGCCAGCGTCGGGGAAGTCGTGAGTCGGCGGTTGGTTGAGCGACTCGCCAACTTGCCCTTGCTCAGTGGAGGATGGTCCAGCTTGCGCCTGTTGGTCGAGGACGTCGCCAATCGTGAGGTCGTCTGCTGGAGGCAACCAATTGTCAACGACTTCTTGCTCCTCTTCGTCTTCGACCGTGGCGGCTTTGTCGCGGGAGGCGCTCGAGTCCACTACTCCTTCTGCCAGCTGCTCCGCGGGTTTGCCTGCTCCTGCTGCTGTGTCTGTCGCCTCGCCCTCGGGTGTCTCATCCCCTGCCCCTTCGCCTGCCTCCATTCCCGTAATCGCCTCCTCCTCCCCTCCGGCGACTACCTCTTCCTCGCCTCGCGCGACTGCCTCTTTCTCGCTTCCTACAACTATTTCTTCTTCTCCTCCCGCCACTACCTCTCCCTCACCATCTTGACCTTGCGCAGCATCTGCCCCGCTGCGGTCCGGCTCAGGGTCAGCCTCGGTGGCCCCCTCTCACACATGCTTCGGCCTTCGTCAGCGCCTGGTCGACGCTGGCCTGTACTAGCCTCGTGCGTATCTGCTCGCGATGCCTCCTTGAGGGCGCCTGCCTGCGCAGCTTCCTCTCCTTGACCAGGCGCGCTACGTGCGCTGTTGCCGTCGCCGAGTCCTAGCACCACTCTCACTCTGTGCGCAGTGACGGAGAAGACCTGCTCGAGCCCGTCTCGAGGTACAAGGCCAGGCGGAAGGACGATCGTATACTTGACGCCACCTGGGATGACAATGGCGATGATGACCTAAGGGGCGAGCCGCTGGAGAGACGATAAGGGAGGCGCCTGTTGAGGCTTGGCAAAGCGCTCTTCCTCTGTTCCCTGCCTTAAGACCCTGTACCCTTGATGAGGACGTGGACAATGTCTCCTTCAGCTCTCTTTGGGCGACAAGTTTGGAAAGGGATGATAGAGTGCGGAGTGGGTGTCCTTTTGAATCGACGTGCTTCCACTCTACGGGAACCTTATCGTTTCCAGGCCTTGTCTCCTTGGAGGTACCACGTAGCTTCCTCTCCTTGTCGCGGTGCTTTCTCCTGAACGTGGAAAAGTCGCGGTGACGGCGAAAACTTGATCGAATCCTTTCCGAGCTGCATGGCCAGGTGTCAGAAAGACTGTGGACTTGACGCCAGCTGAGAGGCAACGACGATGACGAACGATGACGATGGTCTCAGCCACAAGCATCGGGAGAAACAGATCGCCAGGCGCGGCTGCAGGTGAGGCAGCGTATGAGCTCGGTATCCAAGGCGCCCTGCCGAAGGTGCGGTAGAGGGGTATAGGGAAAAGGAAGCCAGAACCCCATTCACTGGGGTCCGAGGTGTTCATGACACTCAAACAGGCATGCTTGGTGAAGTGCATCGCAGTCTTTGAACGCACCTTGCGCTAGCTGCGCAGAGAGGAAGGAGACTGCTTGCTGGCCGAGTCGTATACGACGGGCCTGACGATTGACGAGCTGACGATGTGCTTTGGAGACTGTGACTGCTGGGTGACAGGCGGACCTTGGGGGATGGTGGGGTGGGTGAGGAGTTGGCAGGGAGGCAAGTCGTGGTGAGGAAGGCAAGATGAACAAGAGGGTGGAACAAGGCATCTCCTCTGATGCCGCGTGTGTCGCTGGCGGCCAGCGAGACGATCATCGATCCATCCACTTTGTTGCCCTGTGACTCGGCTTGACGAGCGAGCGCGACGGGCAAGTCCGACCCGCCGCCCCGCTTCATTTGCTGCCGCACTTTTGCAAAAGGCAGAGAGAATTGCTGCACAAGGCTTAATTGCTTGCAGAACGTTCGCCGGGACCACCTTTGCTCGTTATTGCTTCGTCGTGCCAGGCACAGACGAGTAGCGAGGCGCTCAGCAGCCACGCCAACTCATCACTGATGCACAGCTGCACTTGGACGACCACACTGCAAGACGGCGTAGTCATGGCGACGGCGATGATGAGGGAGATGCGGCAGGGCAATATGAGCCCGAACAAAGCGACCAGGGGGACCAATCAACCAGATGGAGCGAAATTGATCGTGGTCGCCGGCGACCTCCGGAGCAGCGAGGCCAGGGCACAAACGCACTTATCCGCCCGCAATTGTCTTGGACGATGCGGCCCGCAAGCGCATTTGTCGGCTGTCCCTGACCCCAGCGGGCATCGCAGGGAGGCTGCGTGATCTCAAAGTAGAAAGTGACGAGGGACGGAGGGCGGTCCGAAAGCATGCCTTGCATGAGCCTCGACCTGCTCGCTCGCTGTCGTCTCGCCACCGCTCGCTTGAGCGGGCCTCCAGCACTGGTTGCCTTCTTTTCCTTCTCTCCACCACGACCTTAGTCGACCGCCCAGGAAGACGCTCATCATGTCCCAGTGTACTCGACACAGGACCATGGCTCAGCTACAGCGCCATCGATCCACATGGCGAAGAAGATCTCCGTCCTTGTGAGTCACAGCGCTGCGAGCTCAAGCCGAAATCTCAAGGACTGACTCATGCCCTGGCCTCCGCAGCCGCCTCAGGCAGTGTCACCGGCAGCACGATGTTGCAGAGTGGAAGCACGTCGATTCAAAGGTGTAGATCAGTAGGAGAAAGCTGAAGGAGACATTGTCCACGTCCTCATCAAGAGATAGCGGCTCAAAGGTCCGAGTCCAAAGGTCAAAGGAACGCAACTCCGCCGAGCCTCAACAGATGACTCTAGGGAAATTTCACTCTCTGTCAGTATCTGAGGGCAATGTACCGGCCGTATCGCACCTCTACTGACTGAGCCATTTCGTACCGTGCCTGCGCATTAGCCTGCCGCCCGAGATCATCAAGCATTGCCCCCTCGAATGGGCAGCATCCGCCCTTGAAGCTGTCGACAATGACGACGAGGAGGCGTATTTTGATTTAGACAAGGGCGGCGCTTGCTACCGGTCCGAGAAGGAGCAGCTTGCTCGTGCTCGCTGCTGCTTGCGATGTGCTATGGAGGGCATCGCATGCCTCGTAGTCCCCGGAGCCAAGACGACCACCTGCCAGGGATGCGTCAAGGCAAAGGCTGTCTGCAGCGCTGGAGCCTCGTGTGAGTATGCGTACAGGCAGCAATGAGGGCTTCTCTGACTCGTGAATTCCGTAGTCCCTCCTGGTCTCATTCCTGGCTTTCGTCGCTGGGCCATTGAGCGGGTCAAGGAGCTCAACAAGCCTGGCACCCAGCACAAGCCCGCTGAATGGATGGCTCTGCGCAACGAGCACCTGGAGCTGGGCTTGGGACGGGCCTATGTTCGCGAGGTTGAGGAGACGCCAAAGCAGAGGCGCAAGAGGAAGCGCAACTCGACGGACACCGGATCCCAATCGACGTCTGGTTCGGCGCCAGCCCAAGCTGCGCAGCCCACCATCGCTGCTCCTCCCCGGTCCGCCGCGGCATCTGAGCCTGGTCCTCGCCCCGTCGCTGGATATACGCCTCATCAAGCCTACGGCGTCGCCCCTCATCCAGCTCAATCGGCCCCACACTCATTTCAGTCCTCCTCTACTCATCCCTCCATTCATACCGCACATTCAACTTCTCTCGGCGGTCACGTTCATCCACTCCATGGGCTCCAGCCCCACACCAACGGGCGTCTCATCTTCCTACGACCGTGGGCTGCCTTCGCCTGCCCGTTGGACCCTACTCGTGCTCAAGTAGAGCAGATGAGGGCCAACTTGCACCAGGCGCAGAGAGAGGTTGAGTGGGCGCGAGGGCAATACCAGCTGGCTGAACAGCTCGTCAGCCAGCAGGAGCGCAGGGTAGCCGACGAGGCCGCCCGTAGCCAGCGTATTGCCTCGTGGGTCACTACCATCGGCCTTCAGCCCACCGACCCCTCGCTGCCCCCTCAGGCGGATGCAACGCCGCGCCCGTCCCCATCCAGCTCATTCCATCCTTTCCTGCCGGGCCCTTATGGACCGCGCTTTATGTAACTCCTCGCACGCCGAGCTCCCTCGAGATACCTTCGCCCACACGCATCCATACCCCCTTCCACGACTCAGCTGACTGTACCATACTTACACGCAGAATAGAACATGATATTAGGCTACGAGTCCACCCCTAGGCACTGCCGCAGCACAATGCGCGACGCTTACTGTGCTTGCACCTCTCCCTCTGTCTCATATCGAATCTTCAGAGCTGCTTGTGCCCCCGCCACGCCCCTCTCGCTCAGCCCTACGATCTATTGCGGGAGATACGGTAGGTCAGATCGAGGGACTGCATGATCGCCCCTCATTGGGCTCATCATCTTTCGCATTCACTCGTTGATGCTTTGATTGATCACATTAATTGGGCTGAGCGAGCAAAACGGAACCTCTTCGGCTCTACAATGACTGATACCATCGGCGAGGACATGAGAAGCTGGCTGATCGAGCAAGGATCCCGTCCGAGCCCGTCGATCGAACAAGTGTCCGATCATAGGATCGTCCAAGAGGGCCTGCCAATTGTCCATGACTTCTTCTTCTTCGGCCTCATCACTGACCGTGGTGGCTCTGCTGAAACCGTTGCCTGCCATGGTGGGATACGCTCATACTCTCCGCCTCTGCTGCTGTGGCTCTGCGCCGCGACTGGCACTGGCTGATGGCGGCGAGGATACCTGTGAAGACGCGCATAAGTGGAGCGGTGGCGGTGAGGGCTTAATCGAAAGAAGGGAATGGCAACGAGGCAGGGGGGGGGGGGGGGGGGGATGAGCGGGTGCGTGATGACGTGGACACAATGCCCCGCGCCCAGCTCGACCGTCGACGTCAGATCTGGCAGCGTGGGCTCGCGTGAAGATGCCATTCTATCCGTCCCGTAGCGATTACATACATGCCCCTCTGCCCGCGCCTGCGCCTCACCGCGCCTCTGCCTCACCCGGCGGTGTTGGCGCGAAAGTAGCACCCTCGGTCGACGTCGTCCCCACGGTGTCCACCGTCGACTCAGGCAAATCAAGGTGCGACGGCTGTTGCTGCTGCGCTGACGTACGACGCAGATCAGCGCTCGCCATATTCGATGACGACGATGACGAGGTTCGCTGTGCTGCTGCCCCTGTACCGCCACTGTTGCTCAGCAGCACCGGACTTGCGGCCAGATTCTCCATGCTAGTCCCCTTCAACCTCCTCTCCTGATCGCGCGCATCCTCCGCCCTCTGCCGCCTGTCGCGATCCACTTGCTCGTCGATGAGGCCGTTGTTCACCCCTACAATGAAGAAGAAGCGACGCAGCGCCTCGCCGATCGGTGCAGCGAGGGGCTCCTTCGACAAGAGGTCAACCGCATAGCTGTAGTATCGCCTCGAGTGGAAAGCAAAGACGTCCTGCCCCTCATCGTCCCCGACCACCTCATCGTCGCCCATGTTATGGAAGGTGCAGATGCCGCGGAACACGTCCGCCACCACCGGACTCCACGCCGCGACGTTGCGCGCTTGTGTCTCGGCGTCCAGGGGAAGGAAGGAGTTGATGACCTCCTCGCCTAGCGGCACGAGCGTCTTGCGAACCTCGGCCCGCATGGATCGATGCGAGGGGCGTTGGTCGCCATGCAAGCGGACGAGCACCGAGATCAGGGTCGCAGCGCTGGAGCTCTCCTGCTTGAGGAGATTGGGCAGCTGCTTCATAAAGCCGACCTTCCACAACGCCATGCGTAGGTCCTTGTCCGCATTAAAACGCTTGCTGAAGCGGTACGACGACTCGAGGACCGAGGTGAGGCGCAATAGCTCCGAGGGCGGAATCAGCTCGTACACAGCAGGTCGCTGCAGAAGCTCGTGAGTCGTCTCGATGAGCAGCAGTTGAAGCACGCACTTGACGATGATCTGCTTGAAAGCCCGTCGCCTCTCTGTACCGGACATCTCGCCATTGCTTCCGCCCGTTGGACTCATCGGGCCCGCCGAGGGGGACGAGACGTTTGACGACGAAGTGGTGGCGTCGGCGCGCAGGGCAGGGTCAAAGAGCTGATGCGCCGTCGTTGTATTGAAGAGATCGAGGAACGTGTCGACGACCTCGGTCCACTGGGCGGGAGAGAGCTTCTGCACATTGTTCTCCAGCAACTGCTGAAGGCAAGAAGTCCCAATGCGAGCCAACGTGTCGTTCTCCTGGCAAATGCAAGCGCAGAGCAGGCTGAGCAGCTTGGGCAACAGCTCCTCGAGCGTCTCAAAGTAGTACGTCCAGAGCGCGATGAGGTTACGCAGCGCCTGTATCATCGTAGTCGAGAGCCAGACGCTCATATCCTCTTGCGTGCTGAAGCGCGAGATGTCGGAGCGAGAGCGCAGAACCGCAAAGATGGGGAAGACGACTTCCTGGCAGACGGTGGCCCAGAAGTCCTGCCTGAATGTTGAGCCATGCCGCTTCAGGATGTCAAAGAGGGCGTCCAGAGCCACGCGTCGTACTTCGAGGTCATCGCCGTTCATGACTATGTCGTAGAACGCAAAGAGCGATGGGAACCAGAAGCGAATCATGGGGTCGTCCGTTGGCGGTTGGGCGGCCGGCGGTCCCGGATCGGCTTCAGCGTCCAGGGGGCAGACGGGTGAGCCCAACATGGCGGGAACGAGCGACGTGAGGACCTCGACGCTGCGCAGAGCAATCTTTTGTGCTTGCGTTGCCTTGGCAAAGTCGGTCAAGCAGACGGTGAGGTCAGCAAATGCTCCAGCGATGATGATCTGCGGGTGCGCGGGCGAAAAGAGGGATGTAAGCTGCCGATCAACAAGGCGTGGTACAATGCCGCCGCGCCTACGCACCCGATCGAAATGCTCGCCGTACAGCCCGCGCACAAGCTCAAAGGCATGCGTCGCGACCCTTTCGTTCGACTTGGCAGCAGCGCCCAACGTCCCGAACAGCGTTCGCCAGCCCGACTTCATGTTCTGAATGCGCGATTGAATCATCTGCTGCAAGCAGCTAAGCACCATCTCCTTGTTCTCGGCGCTCTTGGTGTTGCGCATCGTGCACTCAAACGGCTTGAGGAAGTCCTTCTGGAACTTGAAGAGGGGCAGCTCCTCCAGCTCGAGGAAGCGGTTGGACAGCTGTCGCAGCGAATCAAGGGCAAAGGCTGATACGCGCGGATTCGTATGAGTGCAGACCTGATTGAAGTGCTGGCCCAGAACGGCCCAGATCGAGGACCATTCCAGCCTGATACGGTTCATGTTGTAGTACGAAATCTCAACGAGCTTCTGCAGCGAGAAGAGGCGCGGATGGTCCGTCATTCCCGACGAAACGATCTCTTCCGTGGAGTTCTCGGCCAGGCATTGCACAAAGTCGACGATGGCCTCGCCAGACAAGCGAGCCGACGAGGAGAAGACCATGTCCGCCGCAATGGTGACCTCAGTCGACACACCGGCCTCGACGACTTGCTGATCGGGCAGAGCTGCGTTCGGAGCTTTACGTCCATCGGGCAACTGACGCTCGTCCACGCCCCCTGAAATGAGCTGGAATCGCTCCAACTGCGACACGCAAGCAAGCACCTCGCGCCAACTCCCCTTGAGGTAGTTGCCCTCCGTTTGTGCGATCCCTAGCAACGTCTTGATGGCCTCGACGTTCTTGCTCTTCATCTCGCCGAGGTTGTTGAGGAAGGTGAATTTGGCCAGCGTGGTCACAAAGGCGTTGCGCTCCAGCTCCATGCCAAAGAGGCAGACGATATGGATCGCATCTCTGAAGGCGGCGAGACAGCGCGCGATGGTATCGGCGTCGTCTGACTCTTGCATAGGGCCGGAGATACCCGCAAGGAAGGCCATCCATGCTACCTCGAACATCGGGCGGACGTGTTCGAAATGCGAGGCCGAGAAGAATCTGCGTGCGGGGGAGGGAGTTGGAAGACGGTGAGCATGGACCTGCGGTCGGCTCCACGCGCTGCGCACTCACTGCTCTGCGGCTGCTCGCTGATCCGGTCTCACTCTCCTCTGCGCCCTGACCATCGTCCTGAACAAAGCCTCGGTCTTGTTCGCCATGCCCTCCGACTGCAAAACGTACGCCTCGCGCTGCAAGTCTCTTCCAACCGTAGCAATCGCGCCCGCAAGCCCGCCAGTAGGAGCAGGCGCCGTCGTAGCCGCTTGCATCTGTTCATCCTTCATCTTGATCTCATTCGTCTGGATCTCATCGTACACCGCCTTGACGTACTCTTCGCTCAGGCTCTTGCCATCGTCAATCCCTTCGTTATTGCGAATAAAGTCCTTGAGCGTCATGCGATGCTTGACCTGAGGATTATGCGCGTCCGTGTTGAGCATGATGACCGAGTACGCAAAGACGTAAGCTGTGTCTGCGTTGGCAAAGGCAGTCGGGTTGCCAGCCACGTAGCGTTCGGCGAATTTGAGCATGTATCGGTCAATCTTTTGCGATTCGCCGGGTAGGCGGAAGGCTTGGAGGAAGCGGCGCAGCGCGGTAGTGAACGCTGTGTTATCGAAATTGATGAGGTCGACAAAGGCGTGCATGATCGCGATGTTCTCGGGCTCGCCTTCGCCCAAGTATTCGCCGATTTGAGCCTGCGAGTGGGAAGAGTTGTCAGTGGATGAAGGAAGTAGCTTCGGCTTTCGCGTCGACGCACCTTGTTCAAGCCATCCGCGTAGAGCAAGAATCTCGCAACATCGCTGGGCTGTTTCGATCGAATGAACCCATGCTCGAGAAGGAACTCAATCCCGCGCTTTGGCTTCTGGTTGAACTTGCGAATGCCCTCGAGCAGCGTCGTCTTGCGCTGCTTAGACTCATGGAAGCGCGTAGGGTCGTCCTCGCCACCACGCGGGCGGCTTGAGTCTGGCGTCGCTACTCTCGATGCTTCGCCGGTACCGTCGTACGCCACCGCTGCTTCCTCCGCTCGACCATCTTCGCTCAGTCGCGGCGAGATGGGCTGCGCGTTTGCTTCTACGCTGAGAGCGCCGTTGCTGTTCGACTGGGGCAGAGAGCCTTCGCTTGAGGATGCTACGGCGCGCTGCGACCACACAACGAGGGAACGCAGCACAGCGCAGAGACACTCGAGAGATTGACGCTTCAGTCGCACCTCCATCGGCTCGCTTGCTGAACCTGAGCTGGCGTGGTCTCCTGCCGGACTGCTGATGTCGAGCGAGCTGGGGTCATTGAGCGCTGCCGTCGAGAGGGCAGGCGGTAGCGATACGGCCCCCGACGCGCTCGAGCTCACGCTCATGCGCTGGCTGCGGGACGGCTCCGCGTCCACATTGAGGGCGGCTTCTTTCGCCTTGTCCTTTGCCTCCTGCGACAACTGCGTCTGACTGATGCGAGACACGACGTTGATGAGCCGCTCGTAGACATTGTCTAGCGCCGTACGATCACAGTCGTAGTTGAGGTAGATCTCAACGAGCGCTTGGGGATCGCGGCAGACGCGCATGAAGATGCCGAGCAGGATCGTCTTTTGCGCCGTCGTCGAGCTCTTCATCTCGAGGATTGGCAGGAAGATCTCGTTGAGAAGCACCTCGATCTCCTTTTTCAGCTTGGTACGCAGCCCGCTGAGGACGACCCAGAAGATTTCGCATGCGACTTCAAAGACTTGGTTGACTGGCGAGACGGCGTTGCGACTTAGACTGAGGCAGAGGTACTGCTTGACTGCCTGCACGAGCGGGGTCCGCTCACCCGTCGTCGAGCTAGACAGGGAGAGGTCCGTGTCGTTGAAGACGTCGATGTGGGAACGGAGCATGCCAAGGATCAGATGAAGAACCAGCAGCTTGCTTCGCATAGCCTGTGAACGGAGGTCGCGCTCTGACTCTGCACCCGTCTGCTTCATGCTCAATTTGCAGAGGGCGCGCAGCACCAGAAATGCGTCCTTGACGAGCGACTCCTCCTCGGACAGCTCGTAAGCTGTTGGAGCGATTTTGGTGCCATCAATCGCAGGTGCTGCCTGGTCAAAAGAAGCTCTCGATTCCATCTCCTTGAGTGTCACGCGCTCCTCGCCGCTCTGCTCATCATTGCCGTTAGGGTGCTCGCTAGCGCTCTCGTCGGCTTCTTGCGAGGCTTTGCGGCTGCGTTGATTCGTCTTGATGCGGCCAAATGTGGCGCTGCACATCTGCGTCAGGACTCCTTGCGCGACTGCTTGTGTCTGAGCATCTTTCTGGTAGAGAAAGGCGTCGTATGCCGTCTTGACAGCTTGGAGGAGGAAGCTCTGCCGCGCCAGGCCTGCCAAAACGAGAGCGAGGAGCGCCTTGAGCTGCTGCAGGACAATTGAGCTGGGAGCTGTCGGCTGTAGGCTGCAAATGGTGCCAATGACGACGTCTGGCAGAGACTGCCCTCCAGCTGTCACCTGATCCGCAGATGCAGAAAAGAAGCCGTAGCTGACCATTTTGCCTATACAGTCGAGGGCAGTCGTCTGCGTCGAGATGCTCTTGCTACCGTCGCATGCTAATCTGAAGGGTTCGAAGACTGCTCGAGGGTCGTAGTTGGTCGAAGCATCGTTGGAGACCGTCTTGACGAGGTCTCTGGCTCCCTCTGCCGCCTCTCGCAACTCCTTTGCTGCAGATTTGGAGCCCTTGGCGTCTTTCGATGATAGAAGCTGCTCGAGTGCGGCAAGGATGAAGACGGAAGACCCTTTCAGAGAGGCAGAGCGACGTGGTGATGGTGTTGAAGGAGGCGGTGGGAGCGGAGCCTCGGGCTCAGGCTCTGGCGGCGCGTCCTCAGCTGACAGAGGGGCAGCGTCTATTGTGATGGCAGGTGGTGGTGCAGGCTCGCCGTTGTCATTGCTATCCTTTGGCGGCAGCTCGGGTTGAGCTTCGTCCTTTTCTACCGCAGCAGCTTGTTCGTCAACGTTATTTGGAGGCATTGAGTGCGATGGAGCGGAATCTGACTCCGCTCCCTGCGGCACAGCGTCCTCATCGTCATGGTGTGCGTCTTGTTGCTGCTCTGGCTCTTCGGCCGCAGCAGATGGCAGCAGCGATGTGCCAGCAGACAAGCGCGGCTTTGAAGACTCGTCATTGTTGTCATTTCCCTCGTCGTCGCGCTCGTTGCGCTGCTCGCGCACCTCGTCGTCGCCCGCATGATTTTGTTGCGACTCAGACGCCGACTCTGCGGTGATTGAAGAAACGCCAGTCGCGTCTTCTTCGTGTTGAGACGACATTGCGGCTGAACTCAGCCTATCGCTGCTGAGTTGCTGCTAAGCTGTCGTCGAAGAGGGAGGGACAAGTGAGGTAAATTGGGTCGACGGGGGCGAGTGTGGGTGGGAAGATGTCAAGCGCGGGCGGGTCCATGCGTTGCCGCCGTCGCCTCCTCGACGGGCGTCAGTCGACGCTGTTGTCCCCTCGCGGACCCAACACCACGTGGCGTAACAGCGACGAGAGTAGCTCTCGCTGCTCGCATCGCCGCCGACCTGCATCTGCATAGAAAGGTGGGTGTCAACGTCTTGGACAGGACGGGCGGAGAATCCGAGATGGCCGAGCCTGCCTTTACCCCCACAATCGATGGCGAAGAGAAAGGGAGTGGCAGTGTAGCTGCCGTCGTCCCAATTTTTCTTTTTCTGTCTTCATCCATCATCAACTCCTTTCGCTCGCCCTACCCCTTGTCCCTCTAGGCCTCGCCGAAAGCGCGATCGCCGCTCGCTCAGCCTCACCGGCCTATCTTTACGCAGGCCCACCACGATCAAAGACATGATCGAGCAGCAACCTCACTCCTGCTGATCTCGAGGACAAGACGATCAAGCGACGATCATCAACAAGACTTTTGTTTGAGTCTCGCCTCGCCTGGCAAGGCTAATCATTGAGCGGCGGCCGAGATCGCGGCGACGCCCATCTCATTGCTTGCCGTCGGCCCGCAGCTACCTTTTGCCTTGATTCGACCCCGTCATCGCCGCCGTCCGTCTTTGCTATGTCGAGACAGCGTGCGGCGTTGGACGGCAGAGGACGAGCTGATGAGATCAATCGTCGCCCTCCTCGTCGAGCCTCTCCTATTGCGTCATCCCGCCCACCGCAGTCTCACTCACGCTCCTCACCACCGTCACCACCACCACCACCACGAAGACGAGACTCTCAACCTTCTCCTCCTCCGCCGCCGCGGCCGGCGATACCCGCTTCTGCGTCCACCTCGACGGCCACGCAGCAAGCAGCAAGCACACCGCAGACGAATCGCATACAGGACCGCTCTTTCCCATCTACGTACCTCACCGAGCCAGACGACTACTCGCCCGAGGAAGACTATCAGCGCTTGCTCCAACGACAGTTCCTCCAACGTCTTCGCACAATCGAAAGACCCAATTCAATCTCGCTCTTGTCCAAGCTCAAGACGCCAAACGTCTTCGGCTCGAATCGCAACGCCGTATCATCACCACCGCAGACGTCGTACAGCGGCGACCAGTCTGCACCGCCCTTTAATACCACGTTACCCCAGCAGACGTCGTCGCCCACGGCGTCTGCAATGCCCGCTTCCTATACCAACTCAATCATGACGTCTGCCTCCGTCGTCGAGAGCGAAGGCAACAAGCGACGAGGTCTCCCTCGAGAGCACGGCGAGGTCTCTCAAGAGGTCGAAATCTGGTCGCCCGACCACCGTACAATCGGAAGTAGCTCCAGAAACCTATTCGGTCCCAAAGTCTCACGCAAGCTCACCAGACATAGCTCCACTACGAGCCATCGACTGCCCACCGCCAACTCATCACCCACCGCAGCGGCGCATGAGCCAGGTCGATTCAAGCAATTCTCCCCCGCCAGACTGCGAGAGAAGCCGAGCAAGCTCAAGTTCGGCTCTTCATCCGGCGGATCAACGAGCTCCTACAGCGTGCTGCCGGCTACCCTCGCTGGCTCATGGAAGAAGGGCAAGTTGACGCTGCGAGACAATGATGTCCTCTACATACTCGAAGATGGCGCTCTTCTCCATCCTCTGCGAACCTCTGCACTCAAGCCAACAGACGTCCGCCCAGTCGACGAGTCCCTCCTTGGCCGCCACAACGTACTTGGCATCTTTGCTCTCCCTTCCAACTTTGCCGGCGGCCGTGGCTCCGAGTGGGATGCTGCGTCGCCTTTGAGCCCATCAGCCGACTCTTCGAGCCTCGATACCACGTCGCCGCTGGTCACGCCCATTCTGCTCTGCTTCCCCTCATCGATCAAGATGCGCCATTGGCAGGCACTCCTCCGTTGCTGCGGCACATCGGACATCTACGGCAGCTCGAGCTCGATCCCCAAGGGAGGGACGCATAGGTGGCATCGTCAAATCGATGTGCACATCTCTGCTTTTCGCCTTCTCCACCCAGCTGTTTCCGCTGCATCACCTTCGCCAACAAGACCCCAGGAAATCTCATTGCCTCTGGTTGCTACGAGTGAGGCGCCTCCGTCGCCCACCAACGCCCTGTCCCGCATCAAATCCACCATCAGTGACGCTAGCGCCAGACAAGACGGCGACGACTCGGGAGAGATACGCCCAAAGCCACGCCCAGCCGTTCTGGAGCGTAGTACGAGCGCAATGAGCCAAGCCTCGATTACCAGCACAGCCAGCGGGGACCTCAGCGCGACGTCTTACGATGACAGCTACGCCACCGGCACCGGCTCCACTGCTGGGCCCATCTCCGGCGGCGGGGCTCCAGCCACAGTCTCAAGCTATGGCAGTCAAACGCAGCTTACTGGCTCTGCCAAGCTCGAGCAAGCAAGGAAGGAGCGAGACCGAGAGTCCTCCTCAGCGCCCTCAGCCCCGTCAGCGCCGAGCATCAACTTCACTTCTCTCTGCTGCACCCTTCTCTGCGACGATGTGATTCTCGGTCGTACCGAAGCACGAAGCCCGCACACTGCATCGGGCAGTGTCTCGTGGGACGATCCGACCATTACACTTTACAATCCTCCTGCGCCAAAGTCGCTGCGCATCGACCTTCTAGCAGGCTTGAGCGGGGCTAGAGGACATCAGCACAAAGTAATGACGCTGGGTAGTGTGGAGCTGCCAATCGATACCATGAGGCGAGGAGAGGACATTGAGGGCTGGTTTCCCGTATGGAATAGTGCGAGCCGTGATATTGGATACCCACTGTCGAGCTTGGGGGACGAGTGTGTTGGCGAACTCAACTGCAAGATCAAGGTCGAGGAGCTGGCGGTGTTGCAAAGGAGGAAGTACAAGGATATCGAACGGATTCTCAACCAGCAGGACCTCGCTCAACTCATCACTGGCCTCGCCTATCATCTCAATGAGAGCACCCTGATGGACCACCTGGTAGAAATCTTCACCAGCTCGGGAACGATCGCGGATCGCCTGATCAACCTCATCGATGCTGAGCAGCCGACTTGGGGCAAAGCGCCACTTGAGCTCCTCTTCCGCAGCCACTCCCTCGTTACCCGTTGCCTAGAGAAGTTCCAGCGCATCCACTGCCAGCATTGGCTCGATGCTAGCATCGGCGACTTGGTGCGTCGCATCTGCGAGGAGCGCATCTCAGTCGACTCTGACGCTGTGCAGGCTAGCAATGAGGGCGTGCCGACCCTCGCCATGAACAGCAAGGACGCAGATACGCTCCACTCTTGGGTAGTGGCCATCTGGGAGAGCATCTACGTCAATCGCTCCAAGTGCCCCACAGATCTGCAGCGCGTCCTCACGAAAGTCCGGCAAGCAACCAACGCCGCCTTCCCTTCACAGGGTCCCTCCGCCGGGGTTCAAGGAGTAGGATGCTTCGTCTTTCTTCGACTCATGTGCGCCGCCATGATTAACCCGCAGCTCTACGGCCTCACTGCGACGATGCCCGAGCCCGAAGTGGGCAAGACACTCAAATCTATTGCGAAAGTGCTCAATGCCCTGGCGAACAAGCGTGGCTCCACAGCGCACTACGATCAGGATCTGGGACAACTCAACGACTTTCTGCACGAGCAGAGCAATGCATTTGACGACTACATCGTTTCTGTGTCGTCGCACATCGAAACGGCGCCATCGACAGAAGCAGACCGCTCCTTGGGCCACACAGCCTCTTCGTCCTCTACACAGGCCAACAAGCCCAAGCCCGGACGCGGAGATGTGAATGAGATTTTGCTGCAGCGCACGGTAGACAAGAAATCGTCGCACTTGCCACTGCTGCATCGTGAATCTATCCTCACGGGTCCGTACATGCTCGATTTGCCTGCCGCCCTGGCGGCGTTTGTCAGCTACGTGGCAAGGAGTACCGATGCTTGCATTCTGGACGGGGTCGAGCACAGGCAAGGGGTCGAGGAGCGTACCGTGGGGTCCACTGTGCAGTCCCTTGTCGAAGCGTGCTACGAGCTAGAAGGCCTTGTGGGATACTACATCGATCGGGCCGGTTTCGATCCTCAGCCGCTGAGCCTTGTGGAGTGGGCCCAGGTTACTACGCATTCTACCAGTACGCCTTACTCAGTCGTCGCAACGGGGAGAGACCTGGTGAGCAGGCCTTCCGTAGCGGTGCTCAGTGGAACACAGGCCGAGACGACCTCGAGAGGTCCAACGGGCGGGAGCGCGTCTGCGGATCAGCAGCAACAGAAGAAGCTCACCAGCAGCAGGCGCCGAGCTACCGTGTCGGCGGCACCTAACCGTGTGGTCCCTCCACCTCCCCTCGTTGGCTTGGCAGGGCAAGGCGAGTCCGAAGCACAGCGCCAGCAATTGATTAATACGCTTTCTCGACAGCATCAGCTGCACCGACCGAGTCCAAACGGTCGCGGGACGCGGCCTGGTACGTCTAGTGGGCAGTCCCTCCGACGTCGATCGATGGACACGGCTCTGTCTACCTCAGCCAGCCTGCCGCAGGCCATCGCCATCAGCGAGCAGCATAGGAGTTTTGGTGGTGGTGGTGGTGGTGGTGGGGCAGGAGGGTCAGGAGGAGAAGGGAAGAAGCCCCGGTGGTGGAAGAGGATCGTGTAGCGAACGGCGTTGTCCGCGCTATGGAGGGGTGAATCATACCCGGCCTCGATGGCCGCTGATGCAGACGCACATTACCACCCGTGGTAGCAGCAGCTAGTCTCGGCCGTATCTCGCATCGATCTTCTCTTCTACTTTTGCCCATCTCTAATCGCAAGGAAGTGATAGTTCTCATCGTGAGCAGAGGTCTCGCGACGTGGGGCAGCATCACGTTGCCTCTGCGCCGTCGGCCTGCATCGCGCGTCTCGGACGCTCAGTCCGCCTTGTCGTGCGTGGGCGGGTGGCGGCAAGGTGGACTGCTGCTGCTGCTGATGAGAAAGGCGGGCAAAGGCCAAGAGCTCGCGTCGGTCCAGGGTCCACACACACGACTTCTTTCCTCAGCACGTCCATTGACACTCGAGTCCTCACACCACATCATCCAATGCCTACCAGTAAGACATCGACATCCTTCCTCGTTATCATCTCTCGCAGTCTCAGGTAGAAGAAGAGCCGACGCACGCCTCTCTCGCGCCTGCCCTTCTCATTGCTGCCGCTGCTGCGCAGCACAGTCTTTGGTCCTCGAGACTCCAAGCTCGTCCATCTCTCCTTAGCCCGGAGGATAGACGACGTCTTGGATCTAGAGGCTCATTCGTATTCCTGGCATGGCTCCCTCGCACACCTCGGGCGCATCTGGCGTTCCGACTCTCATCGACTGTTGGCACGTACGTGACCTCCAACGCTTCAGGGCTGTCCTCAAGGGCGGGCCGGCTGCTGCTGGCCTTGTTACGGGGTCGTCTTCGCATTCTTACTCCAAGTCGCCATCTCACTCAGCCGGAGGAGCATCGTGGGGCTCACTCGGAAACAGTAGCAATGGCCTCGGCCCCGCTGCCCCTGGCGAAGTGAATCGCAAGGACCACCTAGGACGGACGGCATTGCATCACATAGCCTCATCGGAGGAAGGAGTCAGCATCGACTTCCTTCATGCCCTCCTCTCTCACCCTAGCTGCAATCCCAATGCTCAGGACGGCGAAAGTGGCTGGACGGCGCTTCATCGCGCTCTTTATCTGGGCAACCTCAATCACGCCCTCACTCTGCTTCGTCATCCGAACATCGACGTGCGTATCAAGGATTTTGAGAACTTGACGCCATTCGACCTATACAATTCGACTGTGGCCGGGACCAATCCTCCGCTTGATGGAAATGTCAAGGGCGATCTGTACTTGTGGGGTTCCAATCGCAACTACACGCTCGGATTGGGAGACGCAGACGATCGCTCTTGGCCGGATCTTGTCACTCTCAAGAGGCAGCAGGTGGGCAGCGCAGCGATCGTATCCACATCAGACTCAGACGATGAAGACGCCAATGTCGCCTCGAATCGAAGCCTTGCAGCCGGCCGTCGCTTCGACCGAGTCAAAGTACGGGATATACAGATGTCGCGCATGCATACAGTCGTAGTTACAGAGGAGAAGGGTGGAGGCAACGTCTGGGTAGCAGGCATCGGTACCGCAGGTAGGCTGGGCAGAGCTGCTTCGCCGCAGACGACGCTCACTCCGTTGCCTGACTTCAAGGAGAGGGCAATCAGTGTGGCGGTGGGGCCGGACCACACGCTCATTGTCACTGCCAGTGGCGCCGTCTACTCCTTTGGCTCCAACAAGTTTGGTGTTCTGGGCTACACGCTCGAGGAAGGACAGGGAATGGTGGCATCCAGTGGCGGCTCTTCCACCGGATCAGCTGCAGCGTCTGCTACATTCGGCGGGCATCCCCCAGCGGCGTCGAACAAGTCGTACGACATCCAAATGACGCCTCGCAAACTTGTCGGTCCCTTGAAGAAGGAATCTGTCGTAGGCGTCGCCGCCAGCAAGCTGCACTCCGTCGCCTTCACAGAGGACGCCCTCTTCACCTGGGGGTCCAACACAGGCCAGCTAGGTTACGATAAGGTCGCCACCCCTCTGCAAGTACTGCCCCGCCGAGTCACATCCCTCACCGCTGGTCAAGCGACGGGCATTCGCCAGGTGACATGCACCGACCACGCGACCGCCCTCCTCTTGAACACGTACGACGTCCTCGTCTTTCACGGCGATATGAGCTTCCGCGTCACATTCCCCATGGCGCGCTTCAACGAGAAAATGTCTGCCGGCGTCTTCCGCCCACCACAAGCCCAGCCTAAGCCCAGCATCGCGAAGCTGACTAGCTCTGGCAGCACGTTTGCGGCTCTCAGCGACTATGGAGACTTGTTCACCTTCACCCTCGAGCACCCGAGCGAGTACAATAAAGGCTCGGCCACCCCTACGTCCGGCGGAGGGGCCAAACGCGTCCCAGCGCCCGAGCCTCAGCTCGTTTGGTCGGTACGCAAGAAGTTTACCGCGGTACGCGACGTGGCTATCGGCTTGGATGGATCAATCATTCTCAGCACTTCCTCCGGGCACGTATTTGTCCGATCGCGACGCACAGCGAGCGAAGCCAAGTCTTCGTCCAAGTCTGGGTCTGCTCGGGCCTTCAAATTCGCGCAGATACCTATGCTTCAGAGGGTTGTTAGGGTGGCGACAAATGAAAGTGGCGGGTTTGCGGCTATTCGCAGCCAAGCGCCCATTCGTGAGATCAAGGTCAAGGGACGGACGCTCCAGGAGGATCTGCTCGAGTCGCTGCCGCACTTGAAGACGCGCGGTACGGGAGGAGAGCAGAAGTTGATCAGCGCTGACGTCGGGGCTTTGACGCAGGCTGTTTCCAGAGATGACGAGGCCGAGAGTGACGAAGAGTCCGACGTGGGTGATACGACGATTCAGCGTCATACAGGGATCGCTCTCCTCATTACAGAGGCAGCCAAGCGATGGGATCGGGACGAGACGGGCCAGGCGCAACCTCACTTTGGCGCTGCCAATCTCGTACCGCCGCCGGGGACGGACATGTTCCTCATCGCGGGGGGCAAGTACCTTCCAGCTCATCGAGCGATCCTCAGCGCTCGCATCCCGCGCCTCTCGTCTTTCCTGGACAATCCGCCTACGAAGGGCGCAGGAGGAGCCCCAAATGGCGTAGTCGTCAAGAAGGTCAGCGATTCCGTCGTCACCCTCACTCTACCCAGCTGCAGCTTCCACACGGGGCTCTTCCTCCTCCACTACCTCTATACCGACGACCTCCCCGCCGTGTGGACTTCCAGTGTCGGGCTCAGAGTGGAAAAACAATTTGCACAGGCCAAGATCAATCGCAACACTGTACACGCGCAGCTCAAGGAGCTAGCGAGCGTCTTGGCCTTGCCGGCCTTGACGCCTGTGCTCAACAGCCCCGTTCCGCGCTCTCCTACCCCCACCCTGCGAGAGGACATGGCTTCCTTCTTCAAGGGCGCGGTGACCGTAGACATCGAAGCCTCACCACTTCACGATGTCGAGCTCCTCCTCTCCGATCGTACCGTCCCCGCTCACTCAGTCCTACTGCGCCGCTCCCCCTTCTTCACTGCGCTGCTCCACCCAGACTGGACCTCCACACGCTGGTCTCTCTCTGGCGTCCTCACGATAGACATGGGCAACATACGTTGGGAAACGATGGCCATTCTCCTCTCCCACATCTACGCCGACAAAGGTCTCGAAGCATTCACGGGCAAAGAACATGAGAGGACACAGGATGATTGGTTCGATTTTGTCACCGAGGTACTCGCGGGCAGCAATGAGCTTCTCCTTGACCGACTGAAGCTGGCGGCCTCTTCTCTCCTTCGGGCACGGATGGCTCCACAAAATATTGGTGCTTTGCTTTCCATCGCGGACATGTACCACGCCGTCCCCCTCAAGGAGGCCAGTTTGTTGTACTGCGCGCAGAACCTCGAGGGGCTGTTGGAGGGCGGAATGTTAGACGAGCTCGAGCACAAGATGATTCGCGAGCTGAGTGCTTACATGAAGGCAAGACAGGATGACAAGACGCATAGGACTAGACGTACGGAACAGCTTTCTGAGCTTTTGGTCAAGCACCATGAGTTCTTCGAGGGACTGGACGTCCCGCCGCCTAGCCTCAATCTCGTCAGCCACCGAGTCGGCAAGCGACCACCCCGCTCCACGCCTTTGGAGCCGTATGTCGACGGGCAACGCAAGTCAGGGAAAGCGGGCAAGGGGAAGGCAAGCTCTCGAGCTTCACCGCCGCCAGTTTCGCCCAGCTTGGCGGCAACGCTTGCCGGGGGATCGGGCAATGACTCGGCGTTATTCGACATGGACGAAGACAGCTTTGAGGGGCTCGACGGATCGAGCTTGGGCGCCATGGCGAACCTCAGTCTAGGACAGCGAGGTGGAAGCGGCGCCGCTTGGACGACAGTCCGACGTCAGCCGTCGAACGCCGCAGAAAGCAGTTCAGCGCAGCAGCGCTCTGCGTCATCATCCACTTCAGCAGCAGCGGGTGGCACCACCCCTTCTCCCTCCGCAGGTCTCGGTCAAGACCTTCGCAGCATCATGGCGGCCGAGCAAGCACGCTCTCACCCTCTGCGGCGCATGCTCTCCGCTTCAGCATCAGCCTCACAGCAACAGACGCCCGAGGGCTCGATGCCGCCCAGCGGAGCTGCTACGCCCGTGCGACCGAGGACGGCGAATCGGCCCAGCGTCAGCGCTGCAGGGGAGCAGAGCCCTAGCCTCGGTCCGGCAACGAACAGCGCAGACGAGCCCCCGCCACTGGTCTCCCCGCTCAACGTCTCCACCAAGCTCAGCCAACGCGACAGGAAGAAGGCCGCCATGCTTGCTGCCGCGCAGGCTCAGCAAGTCCAAGCGTCTTCCTCGCCTTCACCTGCAGCAGACAGCTCAAGTCAGTCGCCAGCCCCGGCGTGGGGCAAAGCGTCGTCGAGCTCGACGGATAGCTCGGCTCGTCCTGTCTGGCAGATGAACAAGACCGGCAGCAGCGTCAATGCTACAGTTGAGAGCGCAGACGTCAGTGGCACCTCGCCGATACCGAGCACACCATCAAGGCCTACCGCGAGCGGCTATAGTCGACCGTCTCTGATGGGCAGCGCCGGGCGCGGAGTCTCCTCGTTCGATCTCGGCGGTAGCGCGCGCCGTCAACCTCTTACGTCTACCCCGTCACGCGATCCCTTCCCCACTCCGGGATCAGCAGCCTCCCCCTCATCCTTCCTGACGTCCCCACCGCCTTCGGCCAGCGGCTCACACTCCCCGCACCGTTCCACCTCTCCACTGCCCTCAACATCACCGTCTTCCTCCTCCCTCTCCTTTGCTCAAATTCAAGCCCAACAACAGCATGCGTCCGCTCTTGCCCTCTCCTCCGCAGCGGCTGATATCGCCAACAAGAAGAAGAGCTTCGCGCAGATTCAGGCTGAGGAGCGGGCACGGGAGGAGGAGAGGCGCAAGGAGGAAAAGGAGAGGGTTGAGTTCGAACGGTGGTTCGAGGAGGAGACTAGACGGCAGAGGGCTGAGGAGAAGAAAGCTCAGGTGCCCAAAGGCCCCAAAGCGGGAGGGAAAGGGAGGAAGGGCGGAGGCGCTCAAGCTGCTGCTGGAGAGGATGGTAGCGCGTCGACGAGGAAGAAGGGGGGTGGTGATGGCAGGCGCGCCTCTTCTGCAGCCCCAGTTGCTGGCGAGCAGTCAGGGAGCAATGGCGCTCAATCAGGTAGGGGCAAAAAGAAGGGTCCGGGCACACCGCAAGGCCAGACGGACGCAGCTTCCGTTGAAGCACCATCAGCAACCGATGAGCCAAGTCAGCCTCCTCGCGGACCACGTCGTCAACAACAACAGCAGCAGCAGCAGCAGCGGAAGCCCTCGCAGCCGAATAGCAAGCAAGCTAATGGAAGCGGCGGCATCGGGCAGTCGCGTGGACCTGTGGCCGCTCCAGCAGCCACTTCTGCGCCATCAGCAGCTTCTCTCTCAGCCAAAGCGCCCGAATTTGTCTTTAAGCCAGCATCGTAGCAGTCCGTTCCCCCCCGGCCGAGCCAGACCCGCTTTCGTCACCTTTCTCTGCACTCGAGAGCCCATGTACAAGTAGAACTTTGCGAATCGTAATGCACGCAGAGCAGCCTTTTCATGCTATTCAGACTCGCCATCGTGTTCATGATCTGGTGGACTGTGTGCTGTCCATTACTGCTATAGAGACATCGGATCGATCGAGGCGTAACAGAGAGACAGAAAGCAACACGGGAGAGAGGGAGACCGTATCGAGAAACACGTCGAGAGGAGAGTGAAAGAGAGAAGGGAGGAGGAGAGGGTGATCGTCGCATTTGCTGCGTCGTGGCCGTTCCATACAGCGAGTGAGGGAGAGTCCATGAGGGGTCTGAAAAGTGTAGCAAGGTGTGAAGTCGAAAATAGCCGTATCCTTGGCGCCTCCTCTACGCGTAGAACTTGCGATTGATCAGATGAATCAGCAGATTCAAGTTGAGCGTCGCCTTTGCCCCGCCAATGTCCATCGTCTGCGTGTTACTCAGAGCGTTGTGCTGCTGCTCGAGCAAGTCCTCAATGCGCAGATCCTTGCTGGCGGCCTTGACGCCCAACAAGCTTGCATCGATTGTGAACAAGCCCGGCTCATCCGACGAGATGGTGAGGCTAAGCTGCTCGAAGCCATTGCTACCAAAGTCCTCGATGCCCAGCAGAATTCCCTTCTCGTGCAAGCGAGCAGCAGTGTACTTGTACGAGCCGAACTTGGGCACCTTGCCCTGCTGCTTGAGTGATCGCAGGTGGAAGTATTGCTGAGAGAATGGAAGGACGAAGCGCTTCTTCCCACCCTTGCCCCCGCGAGTGCCTTGCATCGTCTCGCGGGACTGGTCGACGTACGAGTGGTAGGAGCTGATCTGCTCCTCGAGGTAGCGCTTCTTTTCTGCAAGATTGGAAAGAGTGACAGACATGGACTGTTTGTCATTCGCGCGCTGTAGCCTCTTGCGATGCTTCTGCCTGATGTCGAGGGCGATACTGTTCAGCATGTCCTGGTAGCCTGTAGCACGGCTGACCTTGCCTGCTGCCTCAAGTTGAAGCATATTCTCAAGGGTGCGAGTCTTGAGCTCAGCGAACGAAAGGCGACGCACGTCTTCCAGCCTCGCGATCGTCTCGCCTGCAACAGGAGGGCGAGATCCTCGCTGACGTTGACGATCCCCAGCCACCTCTAGAGAGACGATCTCCTCCCAGGTCATCTCGTCTTGGTCGCTCACGGGCGTGAGGAAGACATCCATTAGCGTCTTACCCGACTGGACCTTGAGTAGCGCGAGGACGAGGCGCTTCGTCTCGACAAAGAGGGCCTTGGTATCCGCCTCTGGGTCCTTGAGCGAGGTACGTCGACTAATGAGCTCGAATGTAATCTCTCCCAATCGTGCGTCGCTCAGCTCTTGACTAGCCGTTCCCGGTGGGGGTCCGAGCTCGCCTAGCGTGACACGCAGCGGGTCTTCCATGTTAGGAGCGAGGGCGTCGACCTGCTGTGCAACGAGCAGGTGCATGCTGTAGATCTCCTGTGGGGTAATGTAGATCACTGGCCTCTGCTGAATCGTATGGTCGAGGAACTCGTCCGCGTTGAAATGCATCTCGGCGTCGGGCACGTCAATGACGGCGTAGAGCCACTGAGTGAAGCGAGCCGAGGCCTGCTGCACGTACTCGTTGAGAGGCTGCAGGTAGGGGTTGTCGTCGGTGAAGAGACGGCCGTTGGAGATCTGCGTCATCATCTTGGAAACCTCGGCCAGGTTCTTGCGCTGCATCGGCCCAATCACGCGGTCGATGACGTCGAAGCCCTCGGGAGCGATGATGGCAGGGTTGAGGTAGCGATAGTAAACCAGGTGCGCCACAACCTTGATGAGACGGTCTTCGCTCTCGTCGGGGAACTTGATCTGCAGAGCACGGAAGACTTCTCGCCCGATGTAGCGGATACCGAAGGGCATGCGGCGCGTTGAGCCGAGGATCGCAGACAGGAAGACGTCCGTGGTGGCGCGGAGGGCTTGCAGGTGGCGGATGAAGATGGTGCGGGCCATTGGATCGGCGAGGGCTTCTTGGAAGTTGACTTCAAGTGCTCGCGTTGAGGCCCGGCCCGTTTCCATCTCCTCTTGGTTAATGGTAGCGCGGTAGATGGCACACGGGTCTGTCTCGAGATCCAGCACGTCATCCTCGATGATGCCCTGAACCAGAGGGGCAAGCAAGTCACGCAGATACTGCCTCTCCTTTGCGCCTCGATTGTACTGCACGACGAGCTTAATGAAGTGCGCGTTCCCGCGCATAAACTCCTGTACCGAGCCAACGTAGCTGAGCTCCTCAGAGATACAGCGTTGGAAGAGCTTGAGGAGCAGGAACTCCTCGCGGGCCTTTTGCGCATAACCAAAGAGGGTGAGAACGATCTTCTCCACCTGCTTGCGTTGGCGATCTGCCATGTCCATGCGCCCGACGCGTGCAAAGAGACGAGCCAGGTACTCTGGGCGGGTCTGCAGCGAGTAAAACAGCTCTTGATAAAGCTCGAGCTTGCGACGGGTAGTGCGGTCCAGCGTCTGGTCGGCGAAGGGGTCACCAGCGGCCACGAGGACAGAGTTGCGGCGAGCGAGCGTTGCGGCAGCTGCCTCGCGCTGGCGAAGAAGACCGCGCTCATTTTTGGCCTTGATGAGCTCCTCGATACCGATCTTGTTCTTCACAAGGAGCGCAATCTTGGCGTCGAGCTCAGAAACGTCGTTCTCGAGCGTCTGATTCTCGCGGATGCTTCGCACGACGAGCTTGCGAAGCCGCTCCACCTCAATCTCGTCTTCGAAGTCGTGGTCGCTGTCGTTAAGGAGATGCCCAAAGTTCTTGATAGTCGCGACGGGGACATTTTTGCCCATCGTAAGACTGCGGTACTGCTCTCCTTGCTGCTTGGCTCGGAAGAGCGACTGGATCTTGACGACCTGCGGGCGAGGAGAGCGGTCGAAGGATGTCAATGTGATGTCAATGCCACGTCGTGCGAGCTCGCGCACTCACCTTGCTCATCTGCTCGTGGTAGTGTCGCAGGCGCGCGTAGTGACGACGACGTGCGAGCAAGCCTCGGATGAGGGATTGCAGGTGGATCGCGACAGGCTCGCTGTCATGGATGTGCTGACGCCACCACTCGTACTCCTGTCGCGCCAGCACACCTCTGATCTGCGCCTGCAAGTTGGTCACGTCCGGCGTGGCCTCCTCAAAGCGCTTCTGCTGCTCGTGATGCTTGCGTCTTACCAATGCAGCTCGAGCCATACTCTGCAGACCACCGACTGAGCGTGTGACCTCGATGCGCCTCATCGCATCGCGCATTTTTGTTTGTCGTCTCCTTGCCAGAACGCCTCGCACTTGCGCCTGCACGCCGACGATCTCGCTGCTTGAGGAGCGCAACGCCTGGATCCTGGACAGGAGCTGGCGCTTAGCCAGCGTGGAGCGCAGAGCAGCCTGGAGCTTGACAATATCCGGCGTGGCGCCTGCAAGTTGGGAGATGAGAGACTGGTAAGACTTCCGCGCGAGTACGCCGCGAGCTTGCGCCTGCATCCCAATGACGGTCTGCTCGTGCTTGTCCAGCTCAGAGATTCGTCGAAAGAAGCGCTTGCGTAGGAGGGCGCCTCGCACTGCTGCTTGGACTTTAGGAGCCACGCTGGCGAGGAGCTCCTCATCTCTGCGGCGTTGTTCTTCCTCTGCTCTTTGCCTTGCTGCCTCAGCTGCCGCTGCTGCTGCTGCCGCTTCTTCAGCCTTGCGTCGTTGCTCTTCTGCCTCTGCGGCCAGGCGGCGCTTTTCGGCCTCTTCTGCCTCTTTGCGTCGTCGCTCCGCCTCCTCGCGCTCGCGTCTTCGAGCTTCTTCAGCGAGACGCTTGCGCTCGGCGGCGTTGCGGCGTGCCAGCGCCGCACGACAGGCAGACTGTAGGGATACGATGTGGGCAGCGTTCTCGCCCAACTCACGCTCGATGCCTGTGCGGGCGGTGAGAGAGATACCCTGATGGTCAGCAAGGTCCTCTTTGTAGCTCAGTACAACGCGACCACTCACGATCCTCTTCGGACTCGGGCTCAGGTTCGGGCTCTTCGTTCATCTCCTTGGCCAAGGCCTTACCCAGGCCGCCGAAGCTGGGCATTGCCACGCCAGCTGCATCAAGGCCACGCTGCGTCTGCTGAAGCTGGTCATCGCTGAACTCGAGCTTGCCGACGAGATTGCCTACTTTGGTCGATCTTCCCTGTCGAGCAAGGATGTGGCTGTGTGCGGGCACGAGGGACAGTGGTCAGCGTGTCCTCCAGATGAGTCTCGCGAGCTCAGACGCACCTCAATGCGTGAATGCAGTAGACGACCTTGGGAAAGTTCTTCTTCTCATACACATCTGTCAACTCAAAGTGGAAGAAGACGGGCAGCCCCACAAAGTGGACGAACTTGAAGAAAAAGTTGACGTTGTCCGTATGGCGATACTGGAGCTTTGGGTGCGTAAAGATACGCGGAACCAGCTGGGGTTCGAAATGGCGAGCAAGCTTGGCCAGGAAGACTCCGTCCCTCATCTCGTTCTCCATGTCCACTACTGCGCCCAGCGATTCGCCGACTGAGGCCTCCATCCATTGCTTGGCTTCACCGCAGTGGCAAAGATACTCGTAGGCTTGAAGGAGGTGGCGCTGCGTGTCCATCCACTTGGAGGTGGAGGAGAAGGGCAAGTTGGATACGACGGGGCTCGTGTTGGAGTTTGTCGGCCTGCCCAATGCAATGGTTCCAGCGCCAGCAGCGTCCTGTCTAGCCAGGCGAATACGACCATGCAGACCAGCGACATCCTCTGCGCCCGATGTGATACCTGGAATGAAGATCTCACCCTCCTGCTGATCCTCGGACTCCATCCTGCCCGGACGAGACGGCTTTACCTCCTCATCGATCCTCTCTGTACGTCCTCCCCTCGCCTTGCCCACGGTCATCCTCGTCGACGAACCCAGCCCGTGATCCTCATCTCCTCCCTTTTGCGCATAGTTGCGCATCATCTTGAGCGCACCTACGCTAGATCGCTTCAAATCTCCCACCTCTCCCAAATGAACAGCAGATGGCTGCTGCTGAGCTCCCGTCGAAGACCAGAAGGACCCCTGCCCGCCAGCGTTGGCGCCTGCAGTCGGCGATGACATCCACGAGTTGTCATCTCGGATCGGCGAGCCTGGTGTGGGGCTAGCGCTGCCCTTGCTGGGCGATGACGGCCGGTCGGAGAAGCCCTTTGTCGGCGATGCGGAGCGCATGAATGGGCTTGAGACCTTCTTCGGCGACGTTGGCGGTGATGTGAAGCTGGCTTTAGGAGTGGGCTGCATCGACATGTGGCGGTTCGCTCTTGCTGAAGGTGTCGCAAAGGGCGTCGAGTCTGTAGAAGCTGTGGCCGCAGTGCGCGAGGCAGGCGACGATGTCGAGTGATTGCCATTGGTCAGGCTCGAGTCGGTGGAGCTGCTCGTGCTGCCGTTGGTGGCCTTGACCGATCGTGAGGAAGAGGTGGGCGTGGCAAAGCGGCTTGGATCGAGTGATGTTGTGTGTCTGTGACTGCTCGGCATCGGGTAGCGACGGACGCTCGTTGATGGGGAGAGACCCGATGCGCCGCCGGCGCCGCTAAGGCTGCTTCCACCGACGCTGCTTTTTGATGCTGAGCGGTCGAGGAGCTTCTGCTGATATGCGAAAGGCGATGATCGAGCTGCCGAAGGTGACGCAGCAGAAGATGACGCTGCGCCTGACGACGACGGCGGCGGCGGCGGTGTCGCCTTTGCCGTGTCCATGGTCATCGCGGATTGCGAGGGCGTGATGATGATGATGATGATGAATGAAGAGCAATCGAGCAGGTCCCGCTCACTCAACTCGCTCCGTCGGTCGGCCTTTGTTTGTCCCCTGTGTTGGTTGGTTGGCCCTTCCGCCCAGAGCTCTCGCCTCGCTGCTCACTTGGCTGTGGGTGAGTCCGCGTGCAGCTGCGCGTCCTTCGCGACTCGACCTGGCCGTGTGTGTCAAGTGGTAGACTGTCGTTGGACGGCGGCCAAAGAGCAGCTGAAAGAGTCGTCGTTGCTTGTGGTAGCGTGGCAGCGTTGCTAGAGGGGTTTTGATGGTGAGAAATGAAGTTGCAAAAGGGTTCGCCCACTTTTGGTTTCAACATCGCCGTCTGCAACTTCGCATGACGATGGCAAGCATTCTGGCAGGCAGGCAGGCAGGCGGGCTTGACCCTGCCTAGCTGAGCCGCATCTACCCCTCTTCAAAGGTCCATCCGCGCCTGAGAGCACCAATCCAGTGCAAGTGTTTCATCGCCTTTCTGCCCTCGCTCTAGGCGGACAGCTACATCGGGCAGTCAGTCCATAATAGGGGCTCGTGCGGGTCCAAGCCGCTACGGTCAGCCACGACGCTAGAATGGCCCCTATTTGAGCGCGCCACGTGGTGAGCACTACATTTACGTCGACTTGGCCGCCAGGCGCGAATCTGCGTCTTACGTCGACTTCACCACGAAGCTGAGCACCGTCAAATTGTCATACAGCCTGAGCTCAAGGTCTCTGGGAGCTCGCATCGGTCGTACCGTAGATCTTGACAGATCCGCAGGCTGTCAATCGACGGCAGGACTGACCCCATAGCCACCCCGCCCACCGAACATACTCCTCATCAGCGCGACTCTCCAGCAAAGAGTGCGCAGCAAGCAAGCCCGTTTCGCCGCCGTCTCGCTGCCACCTGTCTTCCCGTGACAATCATCGACTACACTGCCTGCCCTGCCAAGCTGAATTCGTCCACCTCATCCCTCCCAAGTGAGTCCTGGTTCCCCCCGTGGGACGACGCGAGATAAGACTGACCGAGCTGCAGGGACACGGCGAGAGGGCGGCGCGGGGAGAAATGCGAGCGTCGTCGTCGTCGCTTGAGAGAGCGGCGCTCACTCACACTGGCGCTCACACGAGCAGCGCGTCGGCAGTCACTCTTATCGAGACGAGGAAGGAAGTTCCCACGTCAAGCAAAGGGCGTGACGAGGACGCGATGATACGAAGAAGAGAGGAGTTCATATAGACGAGAGGTTCTTCCTCATCGACAATCTCATCGCAACCCCTTCCTTTACTACAAACGTCGCACCATGCTTCACCATTTACGACGCCCGCACTTTAGCCTCACTGTGCCAGGCGCGCCTCTACACTCCTCCCGCAGCCAAGCCTTTCTCATCAACGATGACCTCAAACCCTTCCCTCCCTCTTTGCGAACATGGGGCGCCCTCAACTATCTCGGCTTCTGGATTGCAGATGGTTTCAACCTCTCATCAATGATGATCGCCTCGACCGCCGTCGCGGCAGGTCTCAGTTGGTGGCAGGCATGGCTAGCCGTTTGGATCGGGTACGGTATCACAGCGGTCGTCATTGCGGCTCAGGCTAGGACTGGTGCGGCGTACCATATCGGGTTCCCAGTACTGGCGAGGAGCGCCTGGGGAGTCTACGGTAGCGTGTGGCCGGTATTGAATCGTGTGGTTCTCGCGGTAGTGTGGTTCGCTTTTCAGTCGTGTAAGTAGGCGGACGCGTTGCGACAGAGTATTCCTTTTCTGACCTGTTTCTCCCAACATCATCGCCTCTCACGCGCAGGGGTCGGCGGTGAATGCACCAAGCTGGTTCTTCGCTCCCTTTCGCCATCCTGGGGCAACGCTTCTGCCCAACTGTCGGGCACGACGCGCAACGACTTCCTCTCATTCTTCATCTTCTGGCTGCTTCAGTTCCCAACCACCTGGGTCAGCCCACAAAAGATCAAGCACCTCTTTACCGCGAAGGCAGTCGCCATGCCTATTGCAGCATTGGGACTGTTCGGCTGGACCGTCGGCCTTGCTGGCGGACTGGGACCCGTGGTGCATCAGAAGGCTACGGTCAGCGGCAGCACGCTCGGGTGGGGGTTTGTGGTAGCTGTCTTCAGCCAGCTGAGCAACATGGTCACACTGGCTTGTAATGAGCCCGACTTGTGAGTGCGAGGCAGGCGATCTCAGAGTGCGGCAACACAAAGGCTGACCTTGTCCTATCTTCTTGACTGTAGCGCCCGTCTCGCCCGCAAGCGCAGCGATGTCATGCTCCCTCAGCTTCTCTCGATCCCGCTGGTCTTCTCCATCACCAGCTTGATCGGCATCCTCGTCTCGTCGTCATCAACCGTTCTCTTCGACGGCGCCACCACTTGGAATCCGCTCGACATCCTCTCTGGTCTCCTCGACCGAGACCCGTACAACTCTTCCACCCGAGCTGGCGTCTTCTTCATCGCTGCCGCCTTCATCATTGCCCAGATGGGAACGAACGTGGCAGCCAACTCCTTGTCAGCCGGATCGGACCTGACTGCCCTCCTGCCGCGCTACATCACCATCAAACGTGGCCAGATTTTGTGCGCCCTCATCTCGCTCTGCATCTGCCCCTGGTACTTTGCCAGTTCTTCGTCAAGCTTTACCTCCTACCTGTCGGCCTACTCCGTCCTCCTCGCACCCATCCTGGGAGTGATCATGTGCGACTCGTACGCTCTGAGGAGAGGCAAGATCGATGTGCCGAGCCTTTACCAGTCACACGGTGCCGCCCGCTACGCTCGTGGATTCAACTGGAGGGCGTACGCTGCCTATCTGATTGGGTGCGCTCTCAATCTTCCCGGATTCGTGGCTGCCGTCTCCCCGACCTTGGGTGCTAATGTGCCCATGGGACTGGTCCGAGTCTACCAGATGGCCTTCTTCACCGGCTCGCTTTCCTCTGCTCTGTGCTACATCCTCTTCAACCAGCTCTCCCCCGTCGAGGGAGGCGTAAGCGTTAAGGAGAAGGGCTGGTACGAGCTCAAGGAAGAGGACACCGTCGACTTCGATGGAACGCCATTTGCATTCGTGCAGTCGTATGTGCAGGGTGACGTGATGGAGGATGTTGAGCAGCGATCTCGATCTGCGTCCGCCGATGGGGATATGGGCGAGAAGTCAGAGGTCGACAAGGGTGAGGGCGCCGATAGTCCCAAGCCACAGGTCACTGTGACGCCGTTTGAAGCCACCTCGAAGTAGCGTTCCCCGTGTTGCCAAATTCGTATCATCGTATCAAGTCTTCTCCGCCCTCGAGGTCTGTTGTCTGTTGGATGACGGCATCCTGATGGTGTGTTGTGAAGCCTGGCCCTAGCGCCCAGCTCCCCGCCTGGCCATGCCGGCTTGCCGTGGACTTGCAGCTTTGCCGCTCGAAGGAGAGCAAAGCCGAGTCCTCGTGCCGGCGGTCGTGAATCGAAAATGGACCCATGTCGAGGGTCCCCCGTCCTGCCGTCCGCCGGAGTGGGAAGCGCGAAGCTCCGTCGAGGGGAGTGGAGGCAAACGAGGCTTGATTGAGGCTGTGAAGCATCATCAAAGGAGGTATCACTCTTGACCCTCCTCTGTCATCTACCATCTAGACTCAGAATTATTCGTCACCATGCTCGCTCGCCAAGTCCACTCTGACCAGCTCTTGGAGCAGGCGCGCGACCACCCGCATCTCAAGTGAATGCAGCAGCATACAACGTCATTGACCCCACCTCGTGCTGACCCAGATCTGTCTCTTTCCTCTCGCTCGCGATCCCACAGCATCCTCGCCAAAGCAGGCGCAGCGTCTCGCGACTCGCACGCCAACATCTTCGCCGGCCGCTACGAGACAGAGGGCATCCCCAAGCACGAGCTTCCCCAGGACGGGCTTTCGGAGGAGGCATCGTACCATCTGCTTAACAATGAGCTCGAGTTGGACGGTAAACCCGCCCTCAACCTGGCTTCCTTCGTGCACACCAGTCTGCCTGAGTGGGGAGAGCGACTGGTCAAGGACCACCAGTATGTCAACATCGTAGACCAGGACGAGTATCCGCAGACGTTGGCTATTCACGGAAGATGCATTTCGCAACTCGCGGCTCTCTGGCACGCTCCCAAGGAGAAGGTGCGTGAGAGAAGCGATGAAGCCACGATAATTGGCTGCATGTGGCCGTTGACATCTCGCTATCGCACCCGCAGGACTCCAACGGCGAATGGAAGCAGGCCTTTGGAACAGCCACTACCGGCTCATCCGAGGCCATCATGCTCGGCGGTCTCGCTATGAAGAAGCGCTGGCAGCAGAAGCGTCAAGCTGAGGGCAAGCCCTGGCGCGGTCTCGGCAACGTCGTCTACGGTAGCAATGCTCAGGTAGCCATCGAGAAGTTTGCCCGCTACTTTGACCTCGAGGAGCGCCTCGTCCCCGTGAGCAAGGAGAGTCACTACCGCATGGACCCGAAGAAGGCGATCGAGATGGTCGACGAAGAGACTATCGGTGTCATCGTTATCCTTGGATCCACTTACACGGGCCACTACGAGCCCGTCGAGGAGATGCACAGCCTCCTCGACGACCTGCAGAAGCGCACCGGCCTCGATGTACCTATCCACGTCGACGGTGCCTCGGGAGGAATGGTCGCTCCCTTCGCTCACCCGAACCTCAAGTGGGACTTCCAGCTTCCTCGAGTCGTGTCGATCAACACGTCAGGCCACAAGTTCGGCATGACGCAAGTTGGACTGGGCTGGGTGATCTTCCGCAGTCCGGATGTAGTGCCCAAGGAGCTCGTCTTTGAGCTTCATTACCTCGGGTCAGTCGAGTATTCCTTCGGTCTCAACTTCTCCCGACCCGCCGCTCCTGTGCTGGCACAGGCGTTCCGTTTCCTTTCCTTGGGCTTCAACGGGTACAAGGACGTAATGGACTTCGACCTCAAGAACGCGCGCCTGCTCTCTCGCGCCCTCGAGCTGTCGGGCAAGTACGAGGTCCTTTCGGACATCCATCGACCAGCGAGCAAGGTCGCCGCGGCAGGCACGGCCGTAGGTGCATTGGACGACGATGATGCCGAAAACTACGAGGCGGGCCTGCCCGTCGTTGCTTTCAGGTTCAGCGAGGACTTCCGTCAGAAGCACCCGCACATCCAGCAGAAGTGGATCCAGACTTTGCTGCGCGTCGAGGGGCTCATTGTGCCCAACTATAACCTCTCTCCGGACGCAAGCGACGTTGAAGTGCTCCGCGTTGTGGTCCGCGAGACGGTCACTGAGCAGCTGGTCGAGCTTCTGTTCACAAAGATCATGGAAAAGACGGAGCAGCTTGAGAAGACGGACAGCCCTGAGGCTGGGCTGGCTTTGCTGGGCGCCCATGCTAAAGCGAACCAGGCAGAGCATAAGAAGAAGGCGCATCATCAGGGTAAGCATGCCCATCGCCCTACAGGACACGGGGTGAAAGCTACGGGCTACAGCAAGCAGTGCTAGGTGGGTCAAGGGATTGTCAATCAATGCGCTCCTTTCGCTCTCGCTGGGTCTCCCGATTGAGAGCTCGAATCTCTCCTGTGTTAACGCAAATAAGATCAAGATTCGTCATTGTGATTCGTAGAGCGGAAGCGATAAGCAGAGAATACTTGGCCACATCTAGGCTACATCCTACGCGGGACATCGCTGCTCAGCATCAATCGCGATGACGATGCTCGTGTACATGCCCATGGCCGTGCTCGCCGTGCCTTCCCTTCTTGTGCCCACCATCGACGGCCTTCATCAACATGCTGCCTGCCTCGCGCATGGCCTTATCGAGCCTCTGCACCTCTCCGCTTGCCCCCTCACCGCCATCAAGTGTGATAGCCTCCGTCAGCCCGGGAAGCGGGGTAGCCCCGTACCCCAGCCAACGTCCAGGCGCAACAAGGAGCGAACGGTACCATGGACGGCCCTTGAGTCCCTTTGGGTGGATGAAGTGATGCTCAAATGTGCGGGACGCAGTGTTGATCTTCTGCGCCTCGGCGAGGAGGTGCAGCAGACGACGGAGCTTCTGCCCGGCAGGTGTGTCGCCGTTGTTATCGCTCTTGCCGATGGAGGAGAAAAGCTCCTCAAGCTCCTTGCTGATCTTGGCCTTCTTGCACTCCAAGCGCTGAGCGGCACGCTGTAATTGCTTTGCCTCGCGATGCAGCTTGGTGAAGTCGAGCTTGCCCTTCTGACTGCCATGGCAGCCTCCACTAGTCCTGACGCCAGCTCCATTCTTCTTCGCCACCTCTTCGACTTTGGTGACGTATTCAGCGATAGTGTTTGCTTCCTCCTCCAAGCTGAAGGGCAGAATCACTCCATCTGCTACCCTCAGAGCCGCGAGACCCAGGACCTTGGCAATGGTGGTGATGTGCTTGAACTCCGGGTCACCGTACTTCTCCATCCAGGAGAAGGAGTCGTACTGCGAGTGGTAGTGGTAGACAGGATCGCCCCGCCCAGGGGTGTGCGCATAGCCAATATCAGAGGAGGGAATCCCCAGGTGCTGGAGGAAGACGGAGAAGTCTGAGCCAGAGCCAAGGGGCTTGACGGTGCTGAGTTGGATGGTGGCATTGCCGTCTCCATTAGGGTCAGTGACGTTGCGAGCAGCCCCGCGGAGTAGCTCGGCGAGTAAGGGAGATGCGCCCGTCTTCAGCCCTGTACCGGAGGCGGCAACGTCCGTGTTCAGGTAGGCGACGGCGTGTTCCTGGAGCCACTTGGCGTAGTCCTCGCCAAATTCTGTACTTCCAACGAGTCCGTATTCCTCTGCATCCCAGCTGGTAACGAGGATGGAGCGCAATGGTCTCCAACCGGTCTTGAGTAGGGCGCCAAACCCTGCAACCACCTCGTGGACGGCGGCTGCGCCTGACGAGGGGTCGCCCGCTCCACACGACCAGGCATCACGGTGGCTTCCCAAAACGACAACTTCGTTCTGGACCACTCCAGGAATGAGGGCATAGCTGTTCCAGATCGGCTTGACGGTGGATGGAGGAGTCATCGCGTTGTTCATCTTGACCACCACGTCCTCGGGAGTGGGGCCGGTCCAGTACTCTTTGACATCCGGGATGGCGCCGAGCCAAGTGCCCTTGCCCGCTTCTTCGAATTCCTTGCTGTTGACGCCCTTCCCCTTAAGAGCTGCGAAGAGACGCGCAGCATTCTTGTAGCTGATGGGAAGCGAAGGAATCTTGGGTAGTGAGTCGGCCTTCCTTGCGTCTAGGCGCGTGGCGTTCTTGTAACTGGGTCGGCCAGGCGTGCCAGGGTCGCCAGGGTAGGCACTCAAAGCCTGGACACTTCCACGCTGGATGGAGGTGGCTTGCCTGGCAGGACCATCGGGGTAGGCCTTGTGCCCGTTAGCCTCGGTGACATTGCCGTCCTCGATAGGATCGGAGAAGATGAGAGTGCCGACTGCACCGGCTTCGTAGCTCGCGAGCACTTTGAGGCCGCGGAACAGGCCGCCGTACCTGCAGAGCGTGATTGCTCCCTTGACAGGGATCTTGCGTTTCTTGAGCAGGGCAAAGTCGGAAGGGCTGCAGTATCCTGCAAATACCAAAGGGCCGGAAGCTGAGCCTGGTTTGCTGTAACCGTGAAAGGCGGGGATGCGGTGCACGCTGGTAGGGTCGTCGTCGAGCGTGTCCTCGCGAAGGTCAGCTTCCCAGGTTGGTGCAGTCTTGTCAACTCTTTTTTTGGTAGCTGGGCCGAGGCTGAGCGATGAAGCATCCTCCTGCGGGTCATTGAGCCAGACATGGTAGGTATCAGTCCATACACGTACAGGGCCTAGAGCGTACCCTCCTTGCCCCTTCCAGTCGCCTGTGAGATAGTGCTGGCTTTCGGACGAGCCAGCATCGAAGAGGAGGTCCGTAGGGTCTTGCTCCGGGAGATCGAGGAGAGAAGCCCATTGCTTTTGCACCTGCAGGGCTGATCGATAGTCAGCATCTCCACCTGCGATGTGCGGTCTGCGGGCGAGTGTGAGTGGGCAATTCAGCAAAGCTGTGTGCGTCCGTATCCGCGCCGGAACGCTCACTCAGTCGTGTAGCCTCGCAGCGTTTCTTTCGCGCTCTCTGGGCTTGGAATCGAAAGGAAAAGGCTCTCCAGGCGATGAGCAATATCTCCAAGTCCCGCAGTCGACGCTCCTTCAAGTCGGCCCCTAACGCCTTTGAAGAGGTCCCCACCCGAGTAGAAAGTGATACGAAGGGGATGATGAGGGTGATGAGGAGGCGGGAAGAAGCCATGACAGGGTCGTCGAATGCGCGCGAGCGACAAATCCCATTCTGGCCAGCTCGGCGTACTGCCGCTGAGCGATAAGACTGCCAAGGGGACGCAGAGAGCCAAAAGGGCAAAAGCGCGAAGACGACGTCTTGCCTGTGCCGTCGTGGTGTCGCTCGTCTGCGGCGGCGCGTGCTGGACCTCGCCCAGCAGGGGAGCCTTGACCTCTTTGAAGTCGGTCATGGATGATCGATGGGGTGGTAAGGAAGTCAAGGAAGGCGGCTAATCGGCTGCGAGGATTGTGGATCCGCTGCTGGCCTCGTGACTCTCGTCGCTCGCTCGGGCCATTGGCAATTCTCGAGGGTCCAGCGAGCGAATTATTAGCTGACGTGAATTTACTCCACCCTCAGCTCCCTCATCTTTGCTCCTGATCTTTCATCCCACTCCGTTGCCCACCATTTCTCGTCTTCAGCAAGCTCGCACCTTGCTCAGCCGCTTCCTCCGAGGTCAAAGCAGCCGCACCACCGCCACTACCAGCACCACTCCACCTCTCTCCCAGGCCCGCTCCGCTTCCCACGCCCAATCTTGGCCTCCGATGGAGCAATCGATCAACGTCCTCGATCAGCCCCTTCAGACCTGTTCTGAGCAGCCCATGACGGGCTTCTACAGGAATGGGCGATGTGATACCGGACCTGGCGATGGCGGGTCGCACACTCTGGCTGCAGAGGTCAATGCCGAATTCCTCAGCTTCTCTGCTAGCAGGGGCAACGATCTCAGGGGCATCTTGAGCCCGGGGTGCAGGTGGTGCCTGTGTGTCTCGAGGTGGAAGGAGGCCCTTGATGCTTACAGGCAGGGGCAAATCGGCAAGCAGGCTGTTCCCAGGTAAGTGCAGCAATGAAGACGAGTGTCAGGTCTTGTTGCTGATCAATGCTCGTCCTCACGTGCCCTACCTGCCTGCTCGCACAGCGTCATCATCCCGGCGACGCACAAGATGGCTCTCAGCAAGGTGACGATCCAGGATCTTCAAGAGTTCTCCATCGACAAGAGACAAGGACTGCGAGGTGGTAGCATTCCCGACCCTAGCTCCGGCGGTCCCATCCGTTGAGCAGGAGGGCGCAGCGTCTTTGCCACTCCTCAACAATACAGATAGCACGTAGTCATTTTCCCACCATCGACGAGGTAGTGTTCTTCCCTGACTCATCGATACAATGTGTCCTCTTTATCCCCTTGTCATCCTGATGTCGTGAACCTAGAGTTACAGTCTGCTCGACCAAGCGCATCTGACATCTTCTCACCCCCCACCCTTGGCTTGACACCTCTGTGACGTAACGACGCCTCGTGTTCCCCCATTTCGAGGCGTTCCACCAGCCTGTCGCGGAACACAAAATCCGCTTGCTCGCCGTCGCTGCAGCGCTGCACGGACGGGCGAAGCGGAGAAAGAGGCCAAGAGGCCGATGTGACTGAGCGAGAAATGCGCATCGTTTGCTGCCTTGCCGTGCGCTTGCCAATCGAATAATGCATCGATGCTAGACATTGTCTGCTCGCTCACGGCTCATCCTCCACGTTTGGGAACAAATGGGAGGCTTGCCTGCCATCGTGGGCTCGCCGTCGGCATTGCTGGACCCGGCTAAGGGTCCTAAGTTTTGGCAGGTGGTACGTCGCTGCATCTCTGCGCGGCTGCTGCTGCCGCCTTTGGCTTGTGGCCGGCCCGGAAGCGGCTCTTGGGAGACGACGTGCTGCAGCCAAGAAAGTAAATGAAACGAAGGGACGACACTTGGCGAGGCGGGAGGCGGGAAGTCGACGCCGGCGGTCCGTCATCTCACATCAGGATCCAGGAAGCTTGAACCCGAGGACACATGCTCAGCATTTGTGGCCATCTCGTCGAAATGCAGATTGAATCATCTTTGCATCCTTGACCATCCATCTATTCCCTTGCTCGCTATTTCATCAGCATCCGCCCAGCGAGAGTACCATTAGCCAGTCCGTGGTAACGCCCTCTAGCCAAGCCGAAGCCTTCTGGTACAAGGTCGCGCTCAGCAGTCCGCTCGCTGCATTGCAATTATGCGCGTCGCATCACTCTTGCTGCTCAGCATCGCTGCGCTGAGCCAGACGCCATCCATCAGCGCGACTTCTGGTGTCGTCGTTGAGCACAACGCCGTCGCCTCGTCCTCATCGCTGAGATCAACTCCTGCTGCATGGCTCCCCAAGAGGCATGGGGATCATGGTCATGATGAGGAAGAGTCACATGGTCAGACCGCCCACGACGACCCTCACCACATGCCTGCTCCCTCAGCTTCTCTCGAGCACACTCATACCAGCGTCGACGCGCATTCACATGGACACGCCCACTCGCATACCCCAGACCCACACGTCCCCACAATAGAAGAGGCCGGTCTGCGCCCCCTCACCGTCCCCGACTTCCCCCACGCAAAGGGCGGGCACACGCACGCCCATTCAGACGCTCCTGCTGAGCTGCACCTCAATGAATCGAAGCTTCTCAAGTCAAAAGGCCCCGAGCCGCTCAGCTACATCGAATGGGACTTTGCCTACGGGATGGGGAGCCTCGAGGCGCTGCGCCGCTTCACCTCGCCGGAGTACACTGAGCTCGACGCGACACAGGAGAAGGGAGTAATGGGCGCTCTTGATGGCAGGTTTCGCACTCTGCTGGATGAGAAGGACCCACAAGCTCGAAAAGCCATTGTGGAGGACATTGCCTCTCGCGTGGAAGGAGACCAGCCTACGCGTCACAAATGGCTCCTCATTCTACACGTTGCAGGCGCCATGCTCAGCTGCTTCGTCTTGCTGCCGCTTGCCCTCTTCTTGCGAGCGGCAGAATCCTCCCTTGCCCCCTTAGCTTCGCTCGTCTACCTGGCGAGCTTGGCCGGCTCGCTTGTCTTGTCCTCGCTGTACAAGGCGTTGTCGCCACAGCTCTACCCGAAGAATGTGCACGGCAAGATGGGTTGGATCATCCTGTGGATCTCGGTCATCTGCTTGGGCGGTGATGTGTTTAGGCTGCTGAGCCAGATCGCGGGCGTGCTGCGCGGCGGCTCCTCCTCGTCGAAGCTGCGCAACCTTCTTCATCTGGCAACAGGCGGCTCGTCCAGCGAAGAGAAGTACTCAGCAGTCGAAGAGGAGCGCATGCTCGGGGACGAAGAAGAAGACAATGCCCGCCACCATCGCGTTCACTTTGCCCTCTCTGCGTCGCGAGAAGGCAGCCTGGAGACGCTCCGGGATGACGGGCATCGCTGGGCTCAGCGTCACGATAGCGGCGAAGACGGCTCCATCTCTCCTTCCAGCACGCTCGTCGGCGCGAATGCTACCTCCGGTCGCAACAACAGCTTCACGGAGATGTTGGCTCAAAAGCTGCCCTGGAAGCTTCGCAGCCCATCACAGAGCTACCACGATGGCTCCGGCATCGAGTCGTGGCGCTCAAACGCAGCTCGTTCTCCTTCTCCGCCACCCATTGTCCCCGCTCGCAGCAGAAGGAGCACGCTTCTTTCTATTCTTCGGTACACCCACGTAACGGTATCCCGCTCTCTGCCCATCATATCCTTCGCCGCCGCCTATGCGGGTCTCGCTGTCTACACAGGTACCTGCCGCAAGCCAAATCAGAACGGTTGCCTGGCCCACGGAATCAAGGGCGGAATCTTTTTCTGGTACGGGCTCCTCACCTTTGCCCGCTATCTAGGCGCGTACGCCGAGTGCGGGTGGGCGTGGAATCGACGCCCTGCCCATACGCAGTCAACAGGCAGGAAGGGTGGCCAGGCAGCTTGGAAAGCCAAGATGCCGAGCGCAGAGTGGGTCGAATGCGCAGTCATCTTTACGTACGGAGCGACCAACACGTGGATGGAACGATTCGATGCGAAGCCTGGCGACCCGTACAGTGTCAAGCAGGTGCAGCACATCAGCATCGCAGTCATGTACTGGTTCGCTGGCGCTCTGGGCGTGCTCCTAGAGACCAAGTGGGTGAAAGACCTGCTCAGCTTCCCCGTGGCGCTCAATCACCCTGCAGCGGCCGGATCTTCCGCTACTCTCTCGCGCAGACGCGGCTCTCGCTCGTCCCCAGCACAAGAGGATGAAGAGCCCCTCGTCGCCGCTCAAATCTCCCAGCCGTCGTACAGCGGCTCCTTCAACCCCTTCCCGGCGCTCTGCATTGGCGTGACAGGCCTTGCAATGTCAGCCCATCACCAGGACTACGTCTACGAGGTCTCGATCCACTCCCTCTGGGGCAACCTCCTCGCCGCCTTCGCCCTTCTCCGTTTCCTCACCTACTTCTTCCTCTTTCTGCGCCCGCCCACCGCAAGCATCCTCCCTTCGCGCCCGCCCACTGAGGCCTTGGCGAGCTTCGCGCTCGCGAGTGGCGGGCTGGTCTTCATGATCAGTAGCGAAGAGGTGAGCTTCGCAGCTATGCGAAACGGCTTTGGGGATTTCATGGCCATTCTGTGCGTGACCGTGGCGGTCATCTGCTTCGTCTTTGCGTGGATTGCCGGGCTGTTCGTAATCAAGGCTTGGGCAGTGAGGAGGGAGCACCGCAGAGAGGCAAAGGCGGCAGATGGTGAGATGAGGATGGCGACGAGGAAGCCAAAGGCGAGGAGGGCGAGCGCCGCTCCACTGAATGCGGTTGATGAGCAGGAGGAGCAGAGGGCTGCCGGTGAGGAGGGAGAACCGGTGTTCGTCCTCGGTGAGGATGGAGAGGAAGAGGCGGGAGCCACCTCCAGTACAGCACCTAGACAGCTCAGCCAGAGCCCGGACAATTTGGTGTAGAGGCAAATGAGGAGAGGACCCAACATGATACCCGGCAATTGCGCCTCCCGCAGCTTGCGCTGACGGCGGACAGCTTTTGAACAGCCTCTGCTTTGCCTGCTCTTCGCACGCTCATCCTATGTGCAACACAACCTTACTGTGCCATCTCGCTCGCAATTCGATAATTCTCGTTGACCATACTATGATGTATTTGCATTGCTATCTTGCGCTTCCATCTGCCTCGCCTCGCTACGACGTCAACACGTGACCCGCCTGTTGCTGCTTGAATGCCATCAATGAGCACAGCGCTGCTCCGACGCCAGACCCATCCCTCGCGTATCCCAGCTGAATCCTTCCCGCTGTCTCCTTGCCCAACATCTCCACCAGCCCCGCACTCATCTCCTCCTTGAATCCCGGCAGGAACTCCACCACTGACCCGTCGACGCCCACCTTGATCTCCTTCCCGCCCTGCTTCTTATCCTCGCCCGTATGCCTGATCGTCGCTGCGATGGGGACTGCGGACAGCCGCGCAGCCCTTATGGCCACGATGGAGCAGATCCGCCTGACGGCTTCCACGTCCTTGGCGCTCACTACTTCCTCCTTTAGCCCCATCGTCCCGACGAGGATCTTCCTCGTCGCCGATTCCTTGCTCGCTGTGTCGTCCTTGTCCGCCAGCACAGCAGACACGTAAGCCGTATCGAAGCCGTACTGTGTGTTCATGCCCGTTGACGAGTAGCCACCGAAGAGCAGCAGTCGATCGATCAACGAGATCATGACTGCCCGGCACACCTCACCAAGGTACATCCCACTGATCATCTTCTCGAAGCAGTGATGCCTGGGCCTGATAGCCGTTCGGTCTACGTAGTTGTCATAGCTGGTGACCCAAAGACCTGCCCCCTCATGCCTCGACTGGGCATCATCGTCAAATCCTCCCCACTCTGTGTTGATCAGCATGTGACTGGGCTTGGAGTCGCCGTGGATTGTGAGCTTCTTGACATCGTCAATGTCCGCAACGTAGGCGCCGTTCGTGCCCGTACCGTAGATGGCACCGATGAAGGCTCCGCCGCTCTGGTAGGCGTGTGCGAGGAGGGCGCCGACTGTGTCGTTTACCAAGGCGTTGACCTTGACCTTGATGTGCTTGCGGTCAAGAGCTGCCTGGAGGAGCTGGATGACGTCCTTCCCCGGGGCATCGGGGCAGTTGAAGCCCTTTGTCCATTTGATGAGCTGTCCACGGTCGATTGCGGTCTGCTCGACGGGGAAGGAGAAGGTGAACCCCATATTGAGCTCGTCGAGGCCTTCGGCAGAGGAGGCGGCATTGTCTGTCAGGAAGGTGTCGACGGAGGAGGCGATGTAGTCCATGAGGTGGGCGATGGGGCCTTGCTTGAGAGTGTCCGAGCTGAGTAAGATGGCAGAGCGGTCCTCGATGATCAGCATAGAGGCAGGAACATCAGTCGCTCGTCGCTGTGCGCACTCACACCTTGTATTTCTCCTGCGTCATCTTGAATGTCCCGTCCCCGTTGAGCTTGACGGCGCAGACCCTCAAGTTGGTACCACCCAGATCCAATGCAAGGTAGGTCCCCGTCTCGCTGCCATCTGGCACACCAGTCACAAAGCTAGGGATCATGGCCATGTCTGCTCCTGTGTTGGCGAGGCCATAGTCCATGAGTTCGTGGAATCGTCCGACGAGGGCATTGAGAGCAGAAGTGTCGAGGGAGAACTCGCCCTCGATGCCAGAGAGGGCCTGCTCCAGCGTCCGTTTGACGGCAGCGGGCATGATCAGCGGCAAAGAGCGAGACCGAGAATCAGTGAGGAGGAGGAGGAGGAGGAGGAGGAGGAGGAGGAGGAGGAGAGGTGTCGAGGATGGGCTGGCGGTGGTATTCTCGAGGAAGCTGCGAAGCTGTGGGCGGGCCGGCAAGCGTCGACCTCGCCAAGTCGAGGCCAAGTCTCTCCGCTCGCCCAGCCATGCGGTGTGACATCGATCAACACCAGCCACGTGGTGCGAGAACGACGCTGAGCCTTCGTTGGACTGGCGAGCAAGAGCACACAGCAACATGGACAGGGCGACATCGAGGCCGCCTTCGCAATAGCAAGCAGTCAAGCAGGCGGGTAAATAGTGGGCAATGACTTGGCGATCAAAGGAGACAATGGCAGCGAAGAGAGACCTGAATCTTGCACTTCCGACACTTGCTCCCTTGAATCTCTTCGATGCGGACAGAACCAGCTCAGCAGGGAAGGATGCACTCGCTGACTTGGCTCGCGATTAGGGACGCGTCCGACGGGAGACGCTGGATGCTGACTTGCTTCGATGCCCGCTCGGTCGCCTTGGTCGATGGCCGCCTTTCGACTTTTCGCTGCTCATCAGTACTTCACTCCCCTCCCCTCACACACATCTCCCTGAGCATGGTGCTCGTCGCTGCCATGTCTACTACCTCAACCTCTGCTGAGCCTCTCAACGCTGACAACCTCGCAAGGCTTTCACGTCGCTCATCGACTGACCACCTCGACTGGGTCATTGAGCAATGTCGCACCACGTATTCAATCGAGAAGCTACCAGCTGCCACCGAAGACAGACCTTGGCCATCATCGAAGAGGCCGTCCGTTAATCAAGAAGACGCAACCCGCCCCTCACCATGGCGTCGACGTGACGGTGGCGACAAGGGAAGTAAGTGAGAGCGTGCGTCTGAAGTGCTCAGCATCAGTGCTTACCATCACGCTCCTTCGCGACCCCTGCCAGATCCTCTCCTCTCCTACGACCCTCCAGGCACCAGTTCATACGCTCGCAAGCTCACCGTCGACGCCAAGAAGCGTAAGACCGACAGCTGCTTTCATGTTGTGGCCAACGAGAATGAAGCATCGCGCTCAGAGTCATCGCCGATCCCACCGGCGAACGGACAGGGCCAGCCAGAGCTTAATGAGGCCGCCGCTCACCCATCCGCCAAAAAGCAGAAGGTATCCGCATCGCATCTCGATGCTGCTCGCAATGCGCTGAGGGAGCGTCAGGCCAATCATTGCTCGACCAAGGTCACAAAGGGGAGGGTGACGCAGCCGTCCCTGGCTGCTAGCAGGGTGGGATTCCTCAACAAAGGGGCGGCATCCAAGCCCTTAGCTGTAGGCAACGGGGTGGCATCATCCTCGGCCTTTTCTGATCAACGCTTTCTCGGCCAACAAGAAGCGCTTGAGCATCACGGGCCGGCGCAGGAGATTGAACAGCAGCAGCATTCCCAGCCTGCTGAGCAACGCAAACCTGCCCGCACTACTTCTCCCAGCCCGAACCCGAGCAGGCCAAGAACTCGTCAGCAAGCACGCCTTGAGCAAGTGGCCGCCTCGAGTCAAGGCGAACAAGATCGCCCAATCACCTCTGGGTCGCAAACCAACAGTGACGCCGAGCATTCGGCGTATTCTCTTCTCCTGCGCAAGAAGGCTCGAAAGGAGCAGCAAGGGCAGCTGCTCGACGACAGTAAGAGAAGGCCGTCTCGTCCGACCTCACCAAGCCGCAATGATACTCCAGAGACTGGCTCGCCTTTCCTCGCGGACATGGCAGACGTCGTCGGCGAAGCGGTCCAGATCAATTCGCGCCCCGCCTCACCCATCCTATCAGCTTGGCGTGGATCTGCGTGGAGGGCCACCAACGAGCTTCACTGCAGTCACGATGCAATCAGCGCCGAATGCAATCAGGTCGTGCACGATCAAAGCCACACTTCTCGTTCCATGTTGGCGCAAGGGAAAGCAGGGCTGATCTATGGCCAGTCTTTCGAAGCATTGGAGGTCGCTCTGCTCTACCGTAGCCCCAGTGGGACACAAGAAGAGCAAAAGGATGGGCAAGAGCATCATCTCAACTCACCATTCCGCGACATGACTGAGAGTCAGAGGAGGGAAGAGATGATGGATATGACCAGCGGAGACATCCGGCAGCGCCACGATGGGCACACCGAATACGACCTCACGCTTCACACTGGCCGTGATGAGAATCAGAATCCACACTACGAAAGGCACAGGCTCGACTACAGCAGAACAGGCAGCGCAGCAGCCTCCAACCAGCGCTCCGATCGACCCCCGATCTCCGGCCCCAGCGTGCAAGACTTGCTCAACCGCTACCATGAGCGGTATGGAGCGTGCCACGATGAGACATACGACTACGACCACAGCTTCGCCTCCATCGAGCAGGTGGCGGACGACTCGGGGCATGGGACGACTCGACTGGACGACCTCGCTGACGTGTGTGAGCAGCAGGAAGAGCCAGTACACCTCCCGTACTTGGCGCACCAGGACAGCGCAGAGGGGCAGCTAGGGCAGCGCAGGGACTGGTCGATCAACATGAGTCTAAAGGAAGACGTTACCGATCCCATCAATCGCTTCAGCGCGGAGCCTCAGAGCCAACAAGTCGAGCAGCAGAAGCAGCAGCAGCAGCAGCTCCATCCACAATCGCGCCAGCTCTATGGACGAAGAGACCAGCAGCTACAGACGCATCTTCCCTCTCAGTCCTACCCAGGACCTCTACTTCCCTCAGCCCAGAGCTATGAATGTGCAGCCTCTTCAGCGAAGGAGGCCAGCAGCAGTAGCGCGCCTGCTCCTCGTCCCTACCTTCCCAGCCTACAGCAAGCCCTCCGTGGAGCCGTCGGGGAGGTGGAGCGCGCCAGGTACTCTTGGCAATTCGATGACCACCCGGAAGGCGAAGCAGGCATAGACAATGACAGGAGGCAACTGGGAGCATCTCCAAGCCTCGGATCGCGAGTCATCGAGGATGGAGGGGGATTCTGGGAACCGCAAGCGCTCGGCAGGCGTTGAGGGAGGTCGAGCCTGATTTGAGGGAGCCGCGAGACACACACGAGAGAGAGAGAGGAAGAAGGTGTGTGCGTCACGCTGCTGCTAATGATTGTCCGCGATGTCTACTAGCTACCATACCCACTCCGCAATATATCCATTTACCACCTCGCTCCCCCCTCCTCAGCGATTCTCTGCACAATCCTACAACTTGATCAGCCCGAACTCCCGCCCCACAATCTCCGCACGTCTCTTCGTTTCCTCCTTCAGCACTCCCCACTCTTCCCCATCGGCATCGGCGGGAACAGCCGCAGCAATCTCACCCGCCACTTTCTGCCAAGCCTCCACGCCCAGCCCTTTGCGTTCACTCAAGGTAACGGAGCCCCACTCGTCCTCATGCAAAGATAGAAGCAGGAGGGTCTGCGCAATGTAGGGGACCAGGAGGAGGAGTGTGAGGGGTGCGGAGGAGGAAGAGGCGAAGGCTGATGGGGTGGAGGGGGATGGTGGGAGAAATCGGCGGATGAGGCTGGCGAGAGGTGATTGAGTTGCTGTTGAAGGCGCTGCGGTGGGAGCAGAAGCTGTTGGCCGCTGAGCCATAGCGATTGACTGGCTCGAAGTTGTTGATGCAGATGGAGCTGACGTCGCCGAAGTCGAGACAAGGCGCTGCCAGATGGTAGTGGGCGGCGCATTAATCGCGCTTGTCGAGGCCGTTGCTGACGCTGCCGGCCTTGCCTGCTGCTGAGCCATCGCGCTACTGCTGGTCACACTTGTTGACGCAGGAGCGGATGCCGGTGCCGCCTTGAGCGCCTTCGAAGCCGGCTCGAGGGCCATGCTCGTTGTGGCGGATTGTCCGCCCCCTGTAGCTCCGCCCGAAGACGATGTTGACGGCGCCGCAGGCTTCATGGGCACTCCAGCAGCCGCTTTCTTCCTCTCCTCCAAGATCGCCCGTACCTCCCTCAACCCGACCTCGCTCACCCTCTCCCACGCGCTGACCGTCGTCCCTGCCCCCATCCCTCCTGCAGCCCCCGCTTCGACAGCCGCAATAGCAGGCACGGCGAAGTGTTTCCAAAATTGACCGCGCTTCCCCTTGTCCGCCCCATCCCCTTCAGCGGCCAGATTCTGTGCCAAAGCCGCAAGATCGAGCAAGGCGTGCATGAAGAGGAAGTGTCGCTCTTGCTCCCCATACGAGGTGGACGCACGTGCCTTGAGCGGCGAGTGCGGGGAGAAAACTTCCAGCGCTTCAAGAAGAGTTGCGGTGCCTGAGGCCGCCGCCGCAGTGTTGGGAGGGGCAATGCTCCCCGCTGCGGGCTTGGTAGGCCCGGCCATGATGACGGCCGCACTTCCACCGCTTACGATGCCCAGCGGATGGGTGGCATAGATCTCCCACAAATTCGCTGCTAGGGCCTGCACCATCCCCAGTCTTGCTGCCAGTAAGGCCGCATTTCCAAAGAGGACGGCCAGATTCCCTGCGGAGGGGAGGAGTGCATATCCCGGCTGGAGGGAGGGTATGATCAGTCTACGAAGGGTAGAATAGGGAGGGAGCAGTAGGAGAATGAGCCGGAAGAGGGGAAGCCGCAAGGGTAGATAGAGGGTGAGGAGGATCGTGGAGAGTGCCGCGTAGTGGACGCCGGTGATGACGACTTGCAACGGGACGCTGCTCGTGATGCGGGTTGCAAGGGGAGAGGTGCCACCCGCTGATGCTGTGCCTGCTGCACCAGCCTCGATGGCCTGGACTGTCTCTACAAAAGGGAATAGTGGTATCCTCAGCGGAGGACTTGGCCAGTTGCTGAAGAGTCCCGCGGCCAGACTTGCTACGACGCCGACGAAGAATGGCTGGAGCAGCAGCGCAAAGACGAGCTCATTTGGTCTCCAGTACATCGTCGTCGTCGTATGAGACCTCAATCCGCCAAAAGTGCCACTGTTGGTCGAGACCTTGCGTACGGAGGGCACTTGTTGGTATGGCAGCCATGTGGCTGGTGTTGGAGAAGTCAAGGCAAAAGAGACGAGGAGCGGGAGGGTGAAGAGGAAGGAGCTGAGGCCGTAGAGAAGAGCAGAGAGCCACGTCGCGGGATGAGAGAGGTAGCTGATCGCTCCACGTAGGGCGGTAGGGCTCGGACGTGAGGTGAAGAGGGAGGCGGGCGAAGCAAAGGGCGCCGGATGAGGATTGACAAGGGCTTGATGCCATTTGGTCCTCGCGAGGATTCGCCGTCTAATGACGAGGAGCGGAAGGGCGCCCAGCGTGAAGGCAAGGAGGGATGCCAGTGCTATATCAGGTCGGATGGGTAGCAGGATGACGTCCAGCAGCTTTCCTCGTCCTAGGACGCGAGGAAGATGCGTGGCAGCCGCGAGTGTATGCTCCAGGGCAAAGACGAGGAGCGGCAGTCTGAGTAGGCGCGGGTGTAGGGACGACTTGACTAGGTCGGACCACCGTGACCCAAGGGCAGCAGGGGCTGGTGGAGCTGCGCTTGTCGCCATAATGACGAGCGAGCGAGCGAGCCGGCGAGAGAGGGTGATGAAGATGAACAAGTTGAGAAGTGCATCACACTTTCTCGCCTCGCGGGACATCGTGTGTGTTGCTTCAACCACGTGGAGACGGAAGTGGAAGGTGGCCCGCTCGCAAAGATGCGCCCGATTGGCAGCTGCGCATGGAGCAATTCGACGTCGATGCCATTCAAACACTGACTTCCTCCTCTCAAGAACTTTCAGTCATCCTTTGCGCCATCTTGGCGCGATGTCTGCCTCCCTCGAGGAATTTGTCGAGCTTCTGTCCTCGGAGCAACACGTCGACATCTCCCGACTTCGCCACCTAGCGCGCCATGGCATCCATCCGGCGGTACGCGGTGAAGTGTGGATGTACCTCCTGGGAGTGCTTTCTGCCGACAAGTCGCAGGAGATGACCTCAGTCCGAGCGCTTTACAACGCCTATGATGCGCTGCTTAGCCACTGTCAGGTTGAGCCCGAGGTGAGGGCCAGTATTGAAGTACAGGCGAATAGGGTATGGAGGGGCAGGGTGACGCCCCTTGAGGCGAGGGATGGAGATGCTGGCCAGAAGGGTTCGAAAGCGATGCCCAGAACGAGGGAAGGAGCTGTAGTCTACAGCCAAGAGCCGACGATCATGGCACGAAAGAAGCGATCTCAGCTTGTGCCCGTTGCACCTATGAATCTCGAGCCCGTCGGTTTGGCGGCAAGCTCAAGCAGCTCCTCTTACCCAGGCTCCAGCACAAGATCTCAACCTCCCTCCCCGGGCCCATCATCCTCTTCTTCTTCCTCAACTACCTCTTCGTCCTCCTCAGCTCCTCAGCCTCCCCCTCTCTCCGCGGCTGAGCGCGAGCACGAAGAACAGCGCATCGCCTTCGTTCGTCGGGTGACGAACATCGTTGGCGTATACATTGCAAAGCAGGCGCATGACAAGTGTGAGGCGAGAAAATTGAGGAAACGACTCGCGCAAGAGCAGAGAAGGAGGGCTCAGCAGCAGCAACAAGGAGCCGTAGCTCAGTCACCCGGATCGGACTCGGACAAGTCGGATATGACGCATCGTGGCGCTCACGAGCTACCGACCTCGCCGCTGCCTCAGGTCAATGTGGCTCATGTCGGGCATGACGACGGCTCCGCATACACTGAAAGCCCACGGCGCTCCTTCAGCCGCAGCTCAAGCGGCGGTAGTAGTTCGCAAGGCAGCGGACAGGCACACGAAGCGAACATACGAATGCCCGAGAATGTCATCGTCGACGAGGACGAGGAAGGAATTCAAGGCTCTCCCGAAGAGCCCCTCTTCGACCCCGCCATGGGAATGGGCGTAGACGACTCGCCGCTGGATGAAGAGTACCCAGACGAGCTTGCGAGCTCCAGCAATGGCGGGCCAGGCTTCTCATCACGGTCCCGTGGTTCGAGCAAGAAGGGCACGCCTAGGATGGGCGGTGGTGCGCAGCCAAGCGACGATGGCAGTGATGGTGGGAAGCGTCATCGCAGTCACTCATCACGGAGACGGAGAAGGATAGGTCATAGCAGGCACAGCTCGAGCGGGAGTGAAGATGGAAGTGGGTCCTCATCGCAGTGGTCGGCGGATGAGGGGCAGGGTGTCCATGGCAGAGCCAGGTCCAGCAACAAGCACAACGGCCTCGGCCTGGGTCTGGACGACTCGACGCTTCTTCGCACACCGATAGCGGGCAGGACCACACGGTCGGGCAGTAGGACGCCTCATCAGGTGCAGCCTACGCCCTCCTTTCCCCAGACGGGCGGACAAAAGCGTCCACACCAGGTGCGGTCAGGCTACTCCTCGCCATTGCGGAGCAATCAGAGGTCGGGCTGGCAAGATCGATCGCCGCCCATGCCCCTCTCGCCAGGTGTCTCACAGAGTCGCTCGAGGACCACCTCGCGATTCAGACGTCACCACCGCAGCCGCACCAGCGGGTCGCGATCTTCGCCCTCCTCCCCTCGTCCACAATCAAGCGATGAAGCAGACAGCGACGACGATAGTGGCTCCGGCTCCGGCTCCTCCTCCTCATCATCATCTGCCGCTCTTGACGAGCACGAAGCAGAATTGCAGCGCCGCCTCTTCTCCCCCCACCTGATCCATCTCTGCTCTCCTCTCGCGCTCGTCTCTCTTACCAAGCGAGTCGAAGCAGGAGTGTACTTCGCCTTTCACCGATTGGTCCACTTGGTTTCCCTCTCTCCCGCGGAGCATGCACATCAGCTTTCCGTTTTCCATTCGCTGTTCAGGAGAACGCTGCCGGACTTGAAGGCCTACTTCGAAGAGGAGGGAGTGGATGTGACTCCTTTTGTGGGGAAGTGGTTGAAGGGACTGCTAGCGGGGGAGGGTATGCGGCTGGATCGCGAAGGAAGTGGTGGGGTCGTGCGGTTGTGGGATGCTTACTTTGCGAGGGTCAGGAAGAGCGATTGGGAGCCCTTAGACGGAAAGGGGAAAGGGCGGAGCGAGGGTAACGTCGAGAATGACAAGACCTCCCACACCCGAGGGAACGGAGAGGACAAACAGCAACTTTCCTCGTCCACAGCAGAGACACACCACTCAGCGAACGATGAGCCGCATGCCAGGTCGGAACGTGAGGACAAGCATCATCCACACCACTCCGCTCACTCCAGTAGCACAGATCGCGAGCCTCTCTCCCTCCACCTCTACGTCTGCCTCTCTGTACTTCAGCACTGCAAGGACACCCTCGAGGAGCTGGACGGGAGTGAGTGCGAGTCGCTCTTGCGCAACCTGCCCAGCCACGGTTTGGAAGTCGATAAGATCCTGAGCGAGGCGGTCAATTTGCGACTGGGTCATCGATTGGCGGTCGAGGCTGCGGCAAATTCTGCAGGGACGGGGGGGAGAGCGGCATTGGAAAAGGGCGCAAGGGACGACGATGAGGAGGCAGAGGACGATGATATGCCGAAGCCTTGGAGTCTTCAGCCTCTCTTCTTCGCAGCGGACGACGGCACGTTCGATGATTTCGCCTCCTCTTCCGAAGAAGATGAGGGCACCGATGACGCTATCACGGAGTCCACTATGGTATCCTCGTCCTCAGTTGAAGCCAACGATCCCTCATCAAGCGCGCGGGACACGGCCTCACTTGCTGAACCGGTGAAGATGAGGAACGTCGCCACCAACGGCACAGCGGCACCTCTTCCTCTCGATCCAAGGCGGGAAGCTCTCCTCTCCTCCCTCCCCGGCGAGGGCGATCTGGATCCTCTGCTGGCCCGTCATCTGTGGAGTGCCTCTATCGCAAGAAAGAGGGAGGCGGCTGAGCGTGAACGAGCGAAGAGCAAAGGCCGGAGCAAATCGAAGAGCACGAGTAAGAGTGGTCGTGCTGCAGGATCGGCAAGAGACAGGGGAAGCTCGTCATCATCTGGTGAAAGGAGTGGATCGGAGATTGAGGAGGAAGACGAGGACGACTATTATAGTGGTGAAGAGCGCTATCGCGATTCCCCATCCGAGGAGGCCGAGGATGCGGAAGAGTACGACGAAGAGTACGAAGAAGACGACGACGATGACGTACCCTCGCCTTCTACGCAACTCTCGTCGCTTCCTCATCGTCCAGCCTTTGTCAGCAGTAGGACAGGTAGCGTGGATGATATTCATGCGTACACGCGGGCGGCTGGTGAGGGCGAGGAAGGAGGGAAGGACAAGTAGCGGATCTCGCCATTGATACGTGCTGTAGACTTTTGAATGCCATCCCGGAAGAAAGGACCGTTGCTTCCTCTTTGCATTTGCATCATTCTCAAAGTGGAAAGGGCAGACTGTGTGGTGCCAAGGTCCTCATCTCATTGCGCATCTAGTCACAGTGAGGGCATCACATCCACCCTCTGCTCTCTATCTCACTTCCCACCGCCTCTTTACACTGCCTCCCCCCTGGTAGCCGCCGCAATCTTCATTGCGGCCACATCAGGCATCTCAGCTCCATCACCAGCACCAGCCGCTTCCCTAGCATACAGCTTGGTAACCTTACCAATGCCCACCGTCCTTCCTTCGTCCCTCACAGTGAACCTGCCCAGCTGCGGGTAATCGCTGAACTTCTCTAGGCAGACGGGAGCAGCACATTCGATGAGTGCGACAACCTTCATTCCCTTCCTCGCAAATTGCGGAGGCTTGCGACTCTTCTTTCCCGTCTTCTTGTCGTAGTAATGCAGCAGGGCCGGGATGGTGATCTCCTCGCTGAGGGTGTGAACGTGCATGACTGCCGAGTAGCCTGGAGCGATGATGTTTCGGTGCTCAAGGATGGCGAGCTGTGCCTCGAATTGGGTGACGACATGGACGGGCTCGCGAGGGTCGGTCAGTACGAAGCCGGCTGAGACGTCCTCAGAGTCGACGCCCTTGATCTTAACGCGAACGTTGTCGCCGGAGATGGCGGCGGGTACTTCCTCTTCTTGTTCATTGAAGATTGCCACCACCTCGACGTTGGAGCGGTTAGGCATCAGGAGGAGGGAGTCGCCCTTCTTGATCTTGCCTGCCTCCAGCTTGCCAACGACGACCGTGCCCATGTCGTTGTACTTCTCAGAGACGGGCATCTTGAGCGGCTGCGAGATCTTGCGATCACCGAGGGAGAGGTTGTCCAGGAAGTCGAGGAGGGACGGACCCTTGTACCAGGAGCAGACGGAGGGGGGTACCGGGTCCTTGAGATTTTGCCCCGAATACGCAGATACGGGAACAAAGGTGATGTCGGTCTTGGGGTTGAAGCCCGCAGAACGGAGGAAGGGAGTGAGCTTGCCCGTGATCTCATTGTAGCGTTCCTCGCTCCATTGGACGGTAGACTCGTCCATCTTGTTCACGACGACGACCAAGCGCTGAACGCCGGCGGTCTTGACTAGCATGGCGTGCTCACGCGTCTGGCCACCCTTTTCGAAACCAGTCTCGAACTCGCCGCGACGTGCTGAGATGACCAGAATGGCTACATCTGCCTGAGCAGCGCCTGAGATCATTGAGGGAACGTACGTCTTGTGTCCCGGGGCATCGAGGATAGTGTATCTTCGCTTGCCAGTCTCGAAGTACGCACGCCCAACCTCTACAGTCTTTCCCTTCTCTCGCTCCTGCGGCGTCGAGTCCAACGCCCAAGAGAGGTACCATGACTCTCGTCCTGCCTCTTTTGCTTCGCGCTCGTACTTTTCGAGCGTACGCTTGTCAACCATGCCCGTCAAGTAGAGCAAGTTGCCGCCCATGGTTGACTTGCCCGCATCAACGTGCCCAATGAAGACGACGTTGAGGTGCGACTTCATGTCTTCAGCCTTGTCACCGAACAGGTCTTTGAGGGTCTCCTCGTCGGTGGCTTGCTTTGCCTCGGCGAGGACCTTTTCCGCGTTGCTCTGCGCCTTTTCGACCTTCGTGTCAATCTTGGCGGACTGCTTCGCAGCCTTGCCGCCCTTGTTGACGGGAGCTGCTACTGCGGGCGAGTCAGGACGAGATGCTGGCGTCGAAGCTGTAGGAGCAGCGGCCTTTGCGGCGGCTGCCGCTGCTGAAGCGCCGTCTGTCGTCGGGGCAGCTGCGTTTGCAGGCGTGGCATCCTCTGCCTTGATGGCCTGGACGGCGGGGGCAGTGGCGGGCGCTGAGGCCTCTGGCTTCGAGGGAGCGGCGGGTTTCTCCTCTGCTGCGGTAGGAGCCGCCTTGACCGATGAAGCGTTGCTGCCGCCAATGGACATGCTGACCGGCTTGCGGTCACCTCCGGCGCCGCCACCACCGATGGACATGCTCACAGGTTTGCGGTCAGCGGCAGGCGCCGGTGAAGATGATTGACTGCTGCCGCCGCCACCGATGGACATGCTGACTGGCTTGCGGTCAGCTGTCTGAGATGATGCTGCTTGTTGTCCCGGTCGCGGAGGCAGGCCGGCAGGGGAAGGACGAGGAGGAAGAGCAGACGTTTGTTGCTGCTGAGGCGGTTGCTGATGGTAAGAAGGCTGCTGCTGCTGGGAGAAACCGCCTTGGTAGTATGGCTGTTGCTGCTGCTGTTGCTGCTGAGAGAAGCCTCCCTGGTAGTAGCCACCCTGCTGACCACCGTAATAAGGCTGCTGCTGCGCGCCTCCCTGTGGAGCACCGAAACCCTGCGCATAGTAGCCTGCATTCGGGTCAGGCTGACCACCCTGCTGCTGCTGTTGCTGCTGCTGTTGGCCATACTGCTGCGCTTGCGGAGGCACGAAGCCTGATGCCGCAGGATTGAAGGCAAATGACCGTGCGTTGGGGTTCATGATCACGACCGACGATGGAGAGGGAGGTTGATGATGATGGCGAGAAGGCGGATTGCAGCCTCCTTTGGTCCCTCGATCAAGATTCGAGTGCGCGGACGGCACAAGGCACAGCATCAACCACGTGGCAACGAGGCCATCCCGCTCGCCCGTCATGCAGTTGCATTGCGCTCGAGCCACGCCCGACTGGCGACCTTCTCTTGCCTCACCAACCAACATCGTCCAACATGTCCAGGCGAGCCACACCGTCCAAGGCAGGCGGCGGGGGAAATCAAGCCATCCCTTCCGATGTAGTCAGCTCACTCTACTCGTCATATCGCCAATCCACCCCGTTGAGGCACAAGATCATCGATGCCTTCCTCGTCTTCAACATGATTGCTGGCATCCTCATCTTTGCCCATGGCATACTCGTCACCACATTCCCCTTTGATTCGTGGATCGCTTCGTGAGTGAGCGGGTACATTAAAGCAGTGCTCACAAGGGGCTAAGCTAAACTCGTACCATCGCTGTCAGCTTCGCATCCACGGCAGGACAATTTGTCCTCCTGGCGGCGCTGAGGATACAGACGACGCAGGCCAATGCAGCTGATTTCCCAAAGGTGACACAAGAGAGGTGAGTGAGAACTGAGCAGAGCTACCGTAGAGACTGTATGCTGACCTCAGATTCAACCCCACTCGCCACGCCTTCGCGCACAGAGCATTCGCAGACTTCCTATTCGCCTCTGTCATCTTGCATTTCTTTGTCCTCAACTACTTACAATAGAGAGCAGCAGCGGGTGATCCCGCCGCGCTTTTGTCATCCTGATCGGCTCATCGGAGGCTCAGCGATCGTCGGCTCCTACTCTGTAAGGATCGGCCTGGCTACGCGCGCTTTCTTGCTGCCCTTGCCCAGATCGAGCTCACAGTGCTGCGGGAATAGATGGACATAGGGCTCGCCGCTGAATCAAAGAGCGGAATCGTCTCCGAAAGACCCTTGCGCCCATGATGATGGAGCGAGCAACAGCGATCGATGGCCGAGAATGCTCCTCTTGTACCGGTCTAAATGCAATGGCACTCAGGCGAGTAGGCGCGCACCTGCGTCGATCGATGCGATACCCCTTCTAACGAGCGAGCGGGCAAAGAAACCTGCCAAAAAGCCACCTCATTGATACTGAAGCTCCGCAGCGATGAGAGCCGGCGAAGATCTGTCGATGCGAGGGCAAAGGGCACCATGACTTCATACGCGGACATACGATGCTGTGGGACGCCCTCCCAGTGCTCGTGGCCTCCCCTTACTCGTAAGGACCGCTGATCCGCTCCTTCTGCTCTTCCCTCCATACACTCCTAGCAGCCTTCCATGTCCTCCTCTTCGATGAGCAACACCATGAACTTCCTCCTGGATCCCAGCAGAGGCGTCGAGCTCGTGTCGGGTGAGCAGGCTGGCCACTGGCACTGCGCTGCTTTTACACGGCACTGACAAGCTCTCCCATGACTTCCCTTGGCAGTCGGGTTACAATGCTTCGCAACAGGCATCGTCTTTGTCCTCTGCTTGCAGTGCCTCGTCGTTGGCCGTGGAAGTAGCAACGGTAGGAGTAGCAGCAAGAGGGATCATCTCGACGAGGATGAATGCGATATATCCAGGCAAGAGTCGTTGTCTCCCAGAGCCAGAGAAAGGTGGCAGCTTCTGGCCATCGTAGCTACACTGACCGCGTAAGTCGAGCAGAGTGGAGACAGGCGGTCCCACACACTCACCGCAAACGCCTTTCGTCACGCTTGACAGCGGTGCTCAAGTCATATTGGCATGCTTTGCCCTTGAACGAGCTGAAAGGACAAAGGCATACCTGGCGCTCGTCTTCGCTTCTCTTAGTGAGCATGCTCTTGCGGCCCTGCTCATCCAGCAATTGCACTCTTCACTGATACTGCCTGACCCACTCGCCCAGTCGTGACCATGACCATAGCTCACCTCTACGCGGGCCGCGTCGTCTTGCATCCTCTCCTTGTGCAACATCGCCACGGTGGCGTCATCAAAATGCTGCTCAGCATGTTCGCTCTGGTAGCTCATGTAGCCATCGGCACAACAACGGCCGTCTACTCCCTTGCGCACGGAGAAGAAGACCATTCTCACGATCTGCTCCTCGCCTACCAGGCACTCGTACTCGCACTGAGCACCACCTTCACCATTGCCTTAGCCGTGACTGGACTCAGAGCCTACATGAAGCATCGCCGCGCACAGCTCCATTGGAATGGCAGTAAGCGCAAGGATAGTCAGCGTGGCTCCTTTGCATTGACCTTCGCGACCGTGGTTGGCCCCTGGACTGTTAATACCGCCATTGCTATCCTGTGCATCACGGCGCTCGTTCACCAGCCGAGGCTATACCAGGTCATCTTGCCTTTGGAGCCTTATACGCATCGTGCGTGTCACACGTCACATGATAGTCAAGTTAGAGCTGATGTGCCTATCATGCCCCTCCTCTGTCGTAGTCGTCTGCCTGCTCACCTCCTTCATCAAGACGGCTTGCCCTCCCAGTGCGTCCAGCGATCCACTCGAGCATGGAGAGTTCTCGCCCAACCAGCATTCTCACTCTCAGCACTACCAGCAGCACCGCTGGTCCAGTTCTCACCTCACTGGCTCAGCCTGGACAACCTCCAATCGCCTCGACCCTTCATCTCAATCAGGTGACGAGCTCAACAAAGGGATCCACCAGCGTAATGGCTTCTCCCCGCCGGCCCACCACGAAGTGAGAAGCAGACTCAACACTGCAGCTACGGACAGGACTGCCATTGCCACTGGCCACGGTCATGCGCCCACGCCTGCGCTCTTCTTCGACGCGCTCACCCCTCCGACGCTATCCATGTTGGTGCCAGCCGCAATCCGCCCGGAGCAGATCCAGCCTCAGAACCACCTAGATCAGCCCGCGGAGCATACCCCTTCACCTGACGACGGGATGGACGTCGAAGCGGACGCCTACGCGTACAGCAATGATCACGATCACGCTCACGCGGACGGAGAAGGCCACATGGAGTTGATGGTGGATGCCCCTCCCTCCTCTCCTCTGCCCTCCTCGTCTTGCCCGGACAACAATCACGACTACCGCCACCACCTCGGCAGGCGAAATCCTCTCGCTCAAGTGTTTAGCCATGCGGCGAGGCGTATCTCCTCGACCCTCTCGGGTATTTCGACCCCTGAGCCCTTCCCCGCTCATGCAGGTACGGGCACAGCACGAGCTGAAGAATCTAGCGAGAGCCAAGCTCACTATCAACAGGGACAACACCAGCTCCAGCACCAGCCCAAGCGATGGCGTCGCAAACTCTCCAACGCTGGCATGGCCCCGTCTGCCTGGCGCGGTTTGGACAGGTGGGCCGGCTCCTCCTCTCGCCAGCAGCACATTGTATCAGTCGATCACGGCGACCGCTTGGAAGTGTGCGATACCCCTCCCCCTTGCGGTAGTCCTGCTGGGACGAATACCACAACAGGGGCCGTCATGCCTTGCGCCGACGGTAGCACCAGGGTGGCACGACGCGGTGACAACAGTATCGACTCTTTAGCCACCGGGCTCATGACATCGCGCGCTGCTGCAGGGTCTGCACCAAACCTACTTGCTGGAGTAACTCGCGCACCGTCTGTTGTGCATCCTCGTACTCGAGTCGATTCTACTCCGAGCGGCTGGCCCGCTCGATTTGTTGGAAAGTCTAAGGCCTCGCATGGACATGGTCATGGCCAAGCTCTGAATGGCAAGGAAAAAAGACAGAGCGTGAGGAGCAGTATCATCAGCCTGACCAACAGCAGTAGCGCCAATAGCGGTGGTAGTGGCGGCGGCGGTGGAGTTTCGTGGTTCGGCGGTCGACCAAGCACAAGTGCTGCGAGGACCAGGGCAGGCGTGTCAGCCTTCCCCACTGCTGGAAGACCCAAGCAGCTGGGCGCGGCTACCACGCTGCCGCAGCACCAGGAGCATCCGCACCAAGACGTAAAGCAGCAATACAAGGCCCTCGCCTCTCCCGGCCTACCTGGATACACTGACTCCCAGGCTCAAGCGGCCGCAGAGGCCGCAGCTACCTCCTCTGCCCTAGCTGTTCCTTCGCCAATCGCTGCCGCACGCCCATCTTCCTCTCTTCTGGTGCCTACGGGGATGCAGCATTATCTGCATCCTCCTCAACACTACCTCTCACCCGCTCAAGCTCACAGCCATGGGCACGGACGACCTCCTCCCTCCCCGTCCGAAACCGTCACCTCGACCTCGTTCTTCTCTTCCTCCCGTCCAGGCTCCGTATCCGCCGTCGCAGCTCCTGTCGGCTCGACACCGCAGTGGATGCAACCCGCCAGCTCCGGCCCTGGCGCTGGAACGACGACGTTTTCGCGCTCGGGATGCGGCTCAGGATCCACGCCCCCGAGGAGCAGGGGGCAGTCGCCTCGCCTGGCTGAGGCTAGGGTAGTCGGCCGCCAGGAGACATACGCCGCTATCGTAACCCCCACCTACGGGCGTGGCGGTACCAGCGCCACCGCTATGGCCGCCTCAGCAACAGGCCCGCACGACGCGGCCGCTCAGGCTCCCCTCCGTCGTGAGCGCAATCCGAGCTTGGTAAGACGAAAGGCTGTCCCCTCTATTGGGAGTTTTGAGGAACTAATGAGGGAGGATTTGGTCAGGGTGGGATGAGCGCGAGCCCCGCGAATTAGGGTAGGAGCCCCCAAGCCTGCTGCTCGCTGTGCGTGCGCAGATGGACCATTGCGCTCGTTGCTCAGGTAGTGCACGAGCTTGATCTTCTCTAGCTCTGCGCTTGCTGGCCGAGTGCTAACAGATGTAAATAACAATCTTCTCATCTAATGCTATCTAGAACATATAATATGCGAGAGTCTGCTGCTCCGGTTCCATGGCTAGTGAGATCAGGCTCTTCCACCCAGCCCTCCTATTCACGCACGGGTATCATTTCCACTCTTCTCCCCTCGCATCTACGTACTGCACGCATCTCCCACCAAGAACCGCTGCACAACCTCGTCCCCCTTCGCCTGTGCCGCGCAGAGGAAGACGGAGGGGACGACATTGAGTAAAGTCGGTGTCTCCAGTGCTTCTACGAGATGAACGCTTGCCGGTGCGCTTGCTGGGGAGGAAGACTTGAGGTTGCGGGCCAGGCTGGAGGCTTCACCGCGCAAGACGGATTCGGTGCCACAGAACAAGAGGTACGAAGTCGGCGCGGTGGAGCTTCCTTCTCTATCCGCGACCAGCATGGAGAAGACGAGGCGCCTGAGCTTTTGCGCCCCTTCGCCTTCGGTGGGGTCGTCGATGGGTATGCCAGGGGAGAGGAGCGGATGAGCGAGGCCGAGAGCGGGGATTGAAGAGGCTAGTACGTGGCATGCATCGGATGACGATGCAGAAGAGGACGAGGAGAGGGAGGAGTCGCTCTCCTCTCCGCCGTCAGAGTGGTCAAGAGCGCGACGAAGCTTGGAAGCGACTGACGCCCAGACGTCCCCATCGCTTTGCGAGCTTGAGTTGGTTGCGCCTCCAACTCGTTGCTGCCTGTCAATCTCGACACCCGAATCAGATCCCACGCTGGCTTCTTGACGCTCGCTGGCCCTGCTCGTCTCGGCAAATCGCCTGAGGCCACTTGGCTCCGCCGCACCATTGAGAGCCGTAGTGAATGAGGGCGGTGTTCGCTTCGCCTCGCTCATCGCAAGTGGGGAGGGCACGCGTAGCAGTGGCTCGACCGTCCCGTCCGAAGCCGGCGTTTGCGGTCCTACGGGCGAAGAGGCAGAGCTGCTGACACCACCTGCCGAATCGTCCTCTACGCTCGCATGCTGCTGTTGGGGGCCGGGTTGTAAGATCGAAGAAGCATACAAGTCCCTCGCCCTTCTGGCGGCCTGGGGACTGTGGATATCGAACGCGCCATTTTGCTTCCAGGTGGGGCTGCGCATGCTCAAATCGCACCAAGGGCTCCAAAGGACCACCTTACCTGGCTTACCCAGCTCGTTCGCAGCTGATCGCTCTGGACTCCGTGCGAGGGCACTGAGCCAAAGGAGCAAGCTCATAGCGAGGCCCGCACCGCTCCCCTCTCCTACGAGGTAGACGTTGCGTGGCTCAAAGCGAAGAGTGCGCACTAGGTGAACATACGCTGCAAGTGCGTCATTGAGACCGGCAGGGAAAGCCCCCTCCTTTCCCGCAGAGCAAGGTGAGGCCTTTCGCCAGTTGACGCACAGTGTCCGCAGCCCTGTCGAGTTGACAAGCTGGCAAGCCAGCATTCCGGCTACGGGATCGCGATCAGAGTATGAGGAGCCCGAAAGAAGAAGCATCACTCTTTCGGACGGTGAGGCGGGTCCTGAGCCCACACCTCCAACGTCTACTGCTGGCTTGACTGATTGGATCTGATGGTGGTGCACCGATGAGGCTTGAGCTTTCCAAAGGAGGATTGGTGCGAGGGGTGGCTGCAAGGTGCTAGGCGTGTGGCTCGTAGAGGCTGGCAGCTGCAGTGAAAGCTCAGCGTCGAGGTCGTCCAGCTGTACCTGGGAACCGCCAAGCGACCAGCCTTGATGCTTGACGCCAAAGGCACGATGCGACAAGATGGGGATAAGCTTTTCCGCTGAAGGGCAGAAGGGAGTCCTAGAGACGTGCCTGAATGCCGCAAGCAGGTGTCCCACCACCGCCACACTCGCCGTATCCCTGAAGGACCATCCTCTACACCTGCTGATGGGCCATGCGAGTCTCTGGGGTCCACCACCTCGTATCCAGTTGCTCCTGCTGAGGATGACATGCGAGCCAAAGGCGAGGCCGAGGGCGATGGGAAGGAGGACAAATAGGTGCCAGGCTGCGAGGGCTAAATCGGGTATGCTGTCTATAAGAGAGAGTGGGGAGACAAGAGGGGCCGTCGTTGAAAGTAAGTACCCAAGCGACCAGCTCGCCGTGCTGTGGCTATCCTGGCAGGCGGTAGAGTCTTGCGCTGCGAGCTCGGCGTCCTGCCCCTGGATGGAGCTGTGGGGTGGCGCCTCGGAGCGGGGCATCGTGGCGGTAGTTACGATGGGCTGACAGGAAAGAAAAATTTGAAAGAAGAGGAAGGGGAAGATGAAGAAGCGGGAGAGGCAGCGCTGAGCGCTCTTTGTATGCCGAGCGACTTGTTGAGAAGAGAAAGAAAGGGAGATGTGGCAACGCGAGACTCCTTCGTATCTCGTAGAGTTGACAAGCCGAGCGGAGCCAAGGTGGGCCAAATCGGGTCCCTGCAGGCAGTTGCAGGCGGGAAGAGCCAAGTGCGACGTCGCACCGCCGGATCAAGCGAGCGACTCGAGCGAGCGAGCGAGCGGCCGAAGCAGGAAGGCGCGAAGGGGCTGACATCACCGCGTGCGGGGGGAAAAGACGCCGTGAGATCGGCACAGTCACAATGAAAGTGTTGCAGTCGACCAGAGCAGCGAGTAGCGATCATGGACGTGGCTGCATAGCTACGGCAGAGGTGTCACCAGCATCGAGCAGCTGGGTGGGCGAGATCGAGGATCCACGGGCGGCTAGCCTGGCTTGCGTTTCGCGCTCGGCGTTCGCTCATTCGATGCTCTTTTGCCCACTCGTCCGCCCGCCCCGCGTCGCCCTTGATCGCCACGCGCGAGAAGACACGGAAGCAGCCTCGACGGAGAAGAGCCGCGACTTGGACAGGCCAGAGAGTCGTGCGTCCGCCCGCCGCCCGCCCGCCCAGCAAATCCAATCCAATCACGACTCGCCTTCGATCCATTCCTCCCCTCATCACCATCACTACCACACTTCATCAAACCCTCTTCCCAACGGAACTGCACGCTTGGCCCGTCGCCGAATCTTCGCGCCCGCAGTTGTAGCGAGTCGAGCCGGGCTCGATAAGCACCACTTCCACCCACCAACTACCCAACAACTTCCTCCTCCTACTGCCCTCGATCCCTACGCGCAGTCGACGCCACAATGTCGCGCCCGCTCCCCAAGGTAGAAGTTTCCGGCGCTCCAATGGATGAAGACAAGCTCAGCGACTACATTCCTCAGTCGGGAGACCTCAGCCGCCAACCCACAGCTAGCGCAAGCGTCAGTCGTGTCCAGTCCAAGGCTCCTTCTGAGGAGGACGAGCAGGAAGACTCCGAGGATGAGGTCATGGACGACGATGAGGATGGCGCCAACACCAGCAATGCCAAGCCATCGCAGTCTCGTGAGGAGTTCCGCAAGAAGAAGGCAGCCCAAGCATCCGACTTGAGCTCCACTCGTGCAAAGCAGAATTCGCGCAAGGTCGCAGACTCGATGAAGCGATTCACTTACTTGTTGGGTCAGACTGAGCTCTTCCAGCATTTCATTGATATCAAGAAGGATCGCGACCCAGAATTTGCTAAATTGCTTGAGGAGTCGACCAGCAAGCTGAATGCCAAAAAGGCAGGCAAGGGTCGCCGACGCGGCGGGGCTGCTGCTGCAAAGGACTCTGAGGGAGGGTCGAGGCGACGCAAGACGGAGAAGGAGGAAGATGAGGAACTGTTGCAGGACAATGACGACGATGAGGAGCAGTTCGTCTTTCATGAAAGCCCGCCCTACGTCAAGGGAGGCACAATGCGCGACTATCAGTGAGCACACGCGGCAACAAGCGCACTGAAGGGCACGTACTGACCGCTGCCGCCCTCTCGCGCACAGAATACAAGGTCTGAATTGGATGATCTCCCTCTATCACAACGGTATCAATGGCATTCTCGCCGACGAGATGGGTTTAGGCAAGACGCTCCAGACTATCTCCTTCCTCGGCTGGCTGCGCGAGTTCAAGGATACGCGCGGTCTCCACCTTGTAGTCGTACCCAAGTCTACACTCGACAACTGGCGCCGAGAGTTCGAGAAGTGGGTGCCAGGTTTCAAGGTCGTTGTCCTTCAGGGCACGCGTGAGGAGCGTGACGCCATCATTCAGAACACAATTCTGCCACAAGACCTCGATGTCCTCCTGACAACGTACGAGATGTGCTTGCGAGAGAAGTCGGCACTCAAGAAGTTGTCTTGGGAGTACATCGTCATCGACGAGGCTCACCGTATCAAGAATGTCAGTTGGGCTGCCGCGATGCGAGATGGCAAAAGTTCGACGCTGACCCCCTCACCCCTTCACGCCGCTTACAGGTCGACTCAATGCTGTCGCAAATTGTCCGCGCCTTTTCCTCGCGCTCTCGTCTCCTCATCACCGGTACGCCGCTGCAGAACAACCTCATGGAGCTCTGGGCGCTGCTCAACTTCCTCCTCCCCGACGTCTTCTCCTCCGCCGAGGACTTTGAGTCGTGGTTCAAGGACAAGGGCGAAGAGTCGCAAGACCAAGTCGTTCAGCAGCTGCACAAGGTTCTGCGGCCCTTCTTGTTGCGTCGTGTCAAGGCCGACGTCGAGAAGAGCCTGCTCCCCAAGAAGGAGGTCAACGTCTTCGTCGGACTCACGGACATGCAGCGAAAGTGGTACAAGAGCATCCTTGAAAAGGACATTGACGCCGTCAATGGCGCTGGAGGCAAGAAGGAGGGCAAGACCCGTCTCTTGAACATCGTCATGCAGTTGCGCAAGTGCTGCAATCACCCCTACCTGTTTGACGGCGCTGAGCCTGGCCCGCCCTTCACGACCGACGAGCACCTCGTCTTTAACTCTGGCAAGATGGTCATTCTCGACAAGCTGCTCAAGTCGATGAAGGCCAAGGGGTCGCGCGTGCTCATCTTCTCACAGATGAGTCGTGTCCTCGACATTCTCGAGGACTACTGCTTCTTCCGCGAGTACGAGTATTGCCGAATTGACGGTTCGACCGCCCACGAAGACCGTATTGCGGCCATCGACGAGTACAACAAGGAGGGTAGTGAGAAGTTCGTCTTCCTCCTCACCACCCGCGCCGGAGGTTTGGGAATCAACCTCACCACAGCAGACATCGTCGTTCTCTTCGACTCGGACTGGAATCCTCAGGCCGATTTGCAAGCCATGGACCGCGCTCACCGCATCGGGCAGACGAAGCAGGTGTACGTCTTCCGCTTCGTGACGGACAAGTCAATCGAGGAGCGCATCCTCGAGCGTGCGGCTCAAAAGCTTCGTCTCGACCAACTCGTCATCCAGCAGGGCCGCGCACAGCCGTCGAAGAACAACCAGAGCAAGGACGACCTAGTCGAGATGATCCAGCACGGTGCCGAGGCGATCATCAGCGCCAAGGGAGACATGACCATCGACGATGACATTGACGAGATCATCAAGCGCGGTGAACAGCGCACCGAGCAGCTGCAGGACAAGTACAAGGCCTTTAACCTCGACGAGCTCAACAGCTTCCAGTCGGGTGCGACTGCCTATGACTGGGAGGGAGAGAACTTCCAGCGTCCAGGCGGCGCCAGTGGCTCGTCGAGCGGCATCCGCGGCTTGTGGATCGAGCCTAGCAAGCGCGAGCGCAAGACCAATTACAGTGTTGATGCGTATTACAAGGAGGCCATGCGCGTTGGAACCAAGCCTGCAGTCAAGGCTCCTCGCGCGCCCAAGCAGATCTCGATCAACGACTGGCAGTTCTATCCTGCTAAGCTGGGCGAGCTGCAGGCCCGCGAGACGGCTGCTTACCAACGTAGCATCGGATACAAGGTTCCTGCGCGTGAGGTCAAGGAGGGAGAGTCAGCCGAAGAGGTAGAGGAGGAGCGACAGCGCGAGCAGGAATTCATCGCTACTGCTGAGCCATTGACCGAGGAGGAAGAGAAGGAGAAAGAAGACCTAGCCCTGCGCGGCTTCACAGACTGGAATCGTCGCGACTTCCAACACTTTATCCGTGGAGCAGAGAAGTACGGCCGCATCTCGTACGCGAACATCGCCCTCGAGGTCGAGACGAAGACGGAGAAGGAGGTCAGGGAGTACGGAGACGTCTTCTGGCGCCGTTACACTGAGCTGGCTGACTGGCAGCGCCTGATCGAGCGCATCGACGCTGGAGAGGAGAAGCGTCGTAAAGTGGCTCAGAGCGAGGAGCTACTTCGTAAGCGCGTCAACACACCTGGATTCACGATTCCGTACGCCAACGCCAACAAGAGCAAAACCTTTGACGAGAGCGAAGACCTCTTCATCCTGCAGCGTCTTTCCGAGTACGGGCTCAGCGAGGGAGCAGAGGTGTACGACCGAATCAAAAAGGACATTGGCACTCATGGCGCTTTTAGATGGGATTGGTTTATCAAGAGTCGCACGGCGGCGGAGATCGCTAGGCGCTCGACCACATTGCTTGGCCTGTTGAACAGGGATGCAGGTGGAGCTGACGAGGAGTCCGCACCTAAGGCTAACGGTGGTGGAGCAGGATGGCCGAAGGGGAAGAAGAGAAAGGATCTTAGCGGCGTCAATGGGGATGCGGGCAGCGCCAACAGCTCGAGGGCCTCAACTCCTGCCGTGGGGAAGGGAGGGGCCAAGAAGGCTAGAAAGAGCGCGACGTAGGACGCGAGGAGCGTGTATGTCGATGAGCAGCCACACCGTCAGATTCAGTCTATCAGTAGAATCGATTTCATTCCCCCGATCCTATTTGCTCGGCTCCCGTTGTTTTGGTACTAGGCTAGCTAGTGGATTCGTCGACCTCGGTGAGGCCGCGCTCCGCTGCCCCGCACTCTCACATGCACCTGCATGCGAGTCGGTTGGTGTGGAGAAGTGGGACGAGGACGAGAGCGGAGATTGGGATTGAACAGGGTCGAGCTCCCCAGGTTGCAGCACATCCGCTCATCCGATGGAGGATCGACTTGCTCGCTACCCTCAGCTCGTCTGCTGACCAATTGGGCAATTGGGCACTTGCAAACCTTCCCTTCCCCGCACCTTCCCCACATCAGTGGACCTTTCTTCTCTTTCCCTCCATTTTCCCGTCCAGCGTGTCCTTCTTCTTCACTCCTTAGCAACCCGTTCCAGTAAGCATGGCACAAAAGATTCTCTCCTCCACCGAGTCGGCCTCGAGCCCCATTTCTTCTGGTACGGGATGGCTGCGTCTTTCTTCGCACTTGAAGACACGCCGCCCCTCACCTCGAGTGTTGATGATCGCCATCTCCAACCCTCCTTATAACCTTCTCGATGGCAACATTCTCTCGGAGCTCAAGCGTGTTCTGCTGGCCTTGCATCCCAAGGCGACTGGGGCGGTGATTCTGACGAGTGCGATCGAGGTGAGGCAGCGCAGAAGAAGCGGGACCCCATAGTCTGACTACGCTGACCTCGTCCTCTGTCCTCCATGCCCTCTCGCCAGGACATCTTCATCTCTCACTATGACGTTGGGGAGATCCTTTCCTTTTCCAAGCTCGTCCCAGTCAAGCCACCCGCGTCAGTCGTGCGCGGACTCTTGGGCTTCGAGTCCTGGGCAGCTTGGGCCGGCTTCAGAGGCCTGATGCGCCGTACACCTCTGGCTCCACTTTCCCACTTGAACCTCTACCACGAAGTCACAGAGCTCCTCCGCAGCATCCCACAAGTGACCATCGCAGCCATCAACGGGCGCGCCTTTGGTGGAGGGTGCGAGCTGGCCCTCGCCTGCGACTATCGTATCATGGTCGACACGCCGCCCGAGGGCAAGCCAGGCATTCGTGGCTCAGGGATTGGTCAGCCCGAGATCACCTTGGGGCTCATCCCAGGTGGGGGCGGTACGCAGATGCTCGCCCGTACTGTTGGCCCGGCGAAAGCCCTCGACCTCTGCCTGTCGGGCCGCCTCCTACCAGCTAGCGAGGCCCTCGAGCTCGGCCTTGTCAACCAAGTCGTATCGCGCGAAAAGCTCAATCAAGCCGCCTCTGAGCTAGCCAAGCGCGTGTCCAAGCGCTCACCGGAGGCTGTAGCCTGCATCAAGGACGCGATCCACCATGGTGCCACGCTCCCCATCGCGGATGGGATGAGGCGCGAGCAAGGCAACTTTGGGCTTAGCTCGCTGTGTGCAGAGAGCAACGTTGCGATGCAGACTTATTTGCAGCACATCGACTCGTTGCTGGGCCCCAAGAGTAGCATGGACGATTATGAGCCACTGTTGGAGGGCGACTTTGTGGATATGACGCCTGGTGGGGCCAAGAGGGAGTTGGGCAAGGCGCCGAAGAAGGGTAAGAGGTCGTGATCAGGATAATCCAATGGGCCGAGCGATATTCTAGCTTCCATCTGTATTCGTTCCCGTGTGTCCCTCTGAATTGCAATACCGCTTCTCATCTGGCACCTCGAGCGATGTGTTGATGGCGAGAGGGCGGGACCTCCACAGCGAGCACGCGCTTGGTAAGATTCAATCGCTTCTTCGCGACTGCTCTTCATTTCGCAACATCATGGCCAAGAAGCGCAAGGTCAGGACGGCAGGCTCAGCAGAGGAATCTGTCGTCCCGCCAGCAACGCTGAGAAGATCACGTCGCATCTCACAGGCTCAAACTAAGGAAGCAGAGCAGGAACAGCTTGACCTTGCCGAAGTGGGCCAGGTGGGTCAACTAGAAGGCCCAGATGAGGATCACGACGAGGACGAAGGCGGCGCACAAGGGCGCCGAAGAAAAGTGCACGAGAAGAGCGTCAAAGCAGAGGCAACTCCAGCACCACTACCATCACCAGGCGAGGTCGAGGTGCCAGAAGCCTCTGCCTTCCCCACCCTCGCCTTGAAACTGCATGGCCTCCCCTCAGACCGCATCAGCTTCTACGGGCTAGTCCAAGAGATCATCACCCCCGACGTCTTCGGCATGCTCATCGTCACCATTCTCCTCAATCAGACGACCGGGCGGGCGGCCATTCCGGTCTTCTACGATCTGCTGGAGCGTTGGCCAACACCAAGCTCGCTCCGTGATGCGGATCTCGGAATGCTCACCGACATGCTTCAGCCTATTGGCTTGCACAACATCAGGGCAAAGAGGCTCAAGGACCTTGGTACGATGTGGTGCGAACAGCCGCCACAGCTAGGCGTGTTGCATAAGTCGAGGGTGGTGCTGCCGTCTACAGGGCGAAAGAGACGCAAGAAGAAGCTGGACGACGACGAGGAAGAGCCACAAAAGCCTACCTATCCGCCCACCGAAATCTCCCACTTGCCTGGCGCTGGGCGCTATGCTCTCGACTCGTATCGTCTCTTCCGTCCCTCCCTCGTCGATACCACTCGAGCCACTGTACAAATCGGCCTGGGGCCAAAGCCAGAGTCGGACCGATGGCAGCTGATCCTCGCGAAGCGTGAGGCAGCGGGCGAAAGTCGTAGCGTAGGGAGCCTCTTGCCCGCGAGCGACGACGACGGCTCGAAGCTGGTCGGTCACGACCTCGAAGAGGACTGGAAGACGGTCGATGCTCTTGACAAGGAGCTCAAAGCGTATCGCCTTTGGCGCGCTCACCGCCAAGCACAGATCGATCGGACAACACTCCAAAGCTAAAATCAAGGGATATCATTCGCAGCCGACGAGTCCAAGAGAGAAAAGAGAATGTCTGTTTGTAAGGCGTCACTGGCGCGACACAGGCTTAGAGGAGCCCACCAAGCAAGTCGACCTTGGGCGCCACATTCGCACCACCGCAGCCAAGCAGGTTGAGGTTGATGAGCGAAGCACCGCTCATCTTCTCGCACATGGAGCTGAGCGACTCCTCGCAGGCTGGCTGTTGAGGAGTGGTGGAGGCTGGGACAGGGTGAGGGTGGGCGCGAGCCTGAGGACGAGGGTGGGGGTGAGGGTGAGAGGATCCCGAGGAGGAAGTGCCCGCTCCACCGCTACCACTGCCGCTGCCACTAGCTCCGGCACCGCCAGAAGCACCGCCGCTGGATCCCCCGGTCACGCCTCCGCTGCCTGAGACACCGGCGCCGCCATTGCCTTTGCCATTGCCGCTGCCCGACACGCTGCCAGAGCTGCCAACACTGCCAGAGCCACCGAGGCCAGGGAGGCCAATGGAGCCCGTGAGGCCATCGACAGCGCCAGCGACCTGGCCAACGAGGTTGCCGGCGGCGTCTAGTCCAGGAAGTCCAGCGCCAGCGTTGAGGACCCCGTCGAGGGCACCGTCGACAACACCGCCGAGCCCACCACTGCCCTTAGCACCAGCCGAGCCCGAGGCAGAGCCAGAGCCACCGCCGCCGCCGCCGAGGACACCGTTGAGGAGACCGCCAAGGCCGCCGCTGCCCTGCACACTGGCCGAGCCAGAGCCCGAGCTACCAGCATTGCCCTTGGTTCCAGCCGATCCAGAGCCGCCGACGTTGGCCGAGCCCGAGCCACTGGTACCAACATTGCCGCTGGCGCTGCCAGAGACCACCGGGCGTAGGTGCTGCTTGCCGCTGGCCTTGCCGTTGGCCTTCCTGTTGGCCTTGACGCCCACACGTCCGCGAGCGTGACAGCCGTTGGTGCGGCGGAAGAGAGCGGTGTCGGGCGAGATGTCGTTGTCGGAGCATCCCATGAGCCCAACGTTGACCAGACCGGCGCCAGCAAGATCGTTGCAGGCTTCGGTATTGTCGGTACGGCGGTTGACATGGTGCTCCGCGCAGCCAAAGTTGCGCAAATCAAGTCCAAGGGAGCCGTAACGCTCGCAGACTTGACTGCGGCGGGCGAATTGCTCAAGATGAGCATCAGGTCCATCGTTGGAGCGCTTGCTGGAAGAGGTCTGAGGGCAGCCAATGACATCGAGATTTCCGAGCATACCATGAGCAAAGTCCTCGCAGACGGTGTTGAGAGCATTGAGCTCGCGGCGGGCTACGGACACATCGGGGGAGATGTTGGTGTTGCCACAGCCGAGGAGGTCGAGGGAGGCAACGCCTGCACCGCGGAAGGTGGAGCACAGGTTCGATGAGCCGGAGGGCTTGGCCTTGGAGGGGTGAGAGCGGCGAGGGTCGCGCTTGAGGATCTTGGTGCTGCCGGCCATGTTCAGGGTGCCACAGCCGAGGCTATCGTGATGGACGTGCAAGGAAAAGGTCATGAGTTAAGTGAATGATGCTTGATACAGTACACTGCCGTTACTCACGCAGAAATGTCAACGAGTCCTCCGCCGGAGAGCTGACGGCACATGTCCGTCTTGCTGTTAGTGGCCTTGAGGCACTGCTCGGCGTTGGCGCCCATGGCAAGGGCCAGAGTGGTGAAGGCGAGGAGAGAAAGCTTCATGCTAGCCAAGAGAATGTGGGGTGTAAAGACGGTGAGGAGGTGACTGAAGAGAAGAGATGAGGTGGGAATGAGAAGGTGGCAGCGGGAGAGATAACATCTTATACCTCGCGTTGGGAGAAGGTGTCAAAACGATGGCGTTGACGGCGTCGAGATCTTGAGGGGCACAGGAGACAGCGCCCCTCCCCTTGCGCCGATGTTAGGGGTAGGTCGTCGAGATGAAGTCATTGCTATAGCATCGAAATCATCGGCGAGAGAGGGACGAAGGTGGCGTTGCTGCGCCGCATCGATACTCCTGTGGCGGTCGCACATCACCGACTGTGAGACATCAAAGCCTTCGATCGCCCCTGTGGAAGAGCAGCGAGAGTCTAGAAGTCATCTCGATCAAGATGGACGCCGGCTGAAGAGAGATTGGGTAACGCTCGGACCCATGGGTGAAGAGGAGATCGCGATGCTCGGACCTCAATGTCGCATGAGTCAAGCCGGCGGTGATGTATCATGACTGCGCAGGCTAGGTGCAGGAAGAGGTTGTTTCCACTCTCACCTGCGTACGGGTAGGTGCAATTATGCGATACATGGTCCTCGTATGAGTGGACGAGGCACACGAATGGGACGATGGCATCGACTTTGAGAGCGGCTGGACCTGGGCTGCGACGCGCGTCGCCTGCCCGCCTGGCTAATTTACGCGAAACGCGCCTCTTCAGCTCGACCGCGCGACGTGGCGCGCTAGGCTGACGGAATAGGGAAGAGAGCGAAACGGGCGAGACTCCGCTCCTCCATCGCCCGGCTTCCCTCGCCCGGCCCACCTTCCGCCTTTGTCTTCGCAGCCCACCACCCTCCTTGTCTGCCATCCATCCTCGCTACCATCGAGAGTCAAGAGTGCTCAGAGCATCTCACCCTCTTAGCATACCCGCGCCGAGCTCATCGGCCCCTCGCTCTGTATCTCACCATACAGCGTACGCATAGAAGATCGGTCAACACAGCATATATCCACATCCCATCCCATCCACTCCACTACGATGCCAGTCACTCGTCGATCGACGGCCGCACAGCGCCCTTCGTCGCTCTTGGGTCACTTTCAAGCAACGAAGCGATCTTCATCATCCATCCAGACAGGAGCAAAGGGCAAGGGAAAAGCGGTCGTCCAGCCCATCGGCGTCAGCAGGGTTCAAGAAGTGACCGAGGACAGCCCGGATCGCTTCGCCACCCCTGAGCCACGTACCGGCGATGTCGTCGCTTCGACTTCAGCTTCAGCGATGGCAGCGTCTTCCGTCGCTGCACCGACGGTCTCTCCGCCTCCTGAGATGATCGAAGCAGAGCACAAGTCACCCGTCTCCGTGCGCTCAGACCCAGACAAGAACAAACTCTTCCTCCTCATCTCCCCTGGGGCCCAGGCGCGGGCTCGTCGCAACCAGGAAGGCCTCTCCATTGCTGCGCCACCTCCCTATCTTCGTCAGGGCTCACCGAGCACGGATCGGACACCAACGCGAGAGACACCGCCGGGACCACTAGAACCACCCCAGGCTCCTCGCAAACGCAGACTGTCCCAGCTGTCCTATGAGCGCTTTCAGGCGCAGAGCGAGGAGAGCCCGCTACCGCACGACAAGAAAAGACCATCCTTCCGTGCGCTAGGAGCCAGTCAGGAGGGAGGCTTGAGTCTGATGGACATGGATACAGGCACCGAAAGCGAGGATGCGTCACGAGCTCAGACACCAACGCGGGCGATGCAGCCAGGAGCAGGAGACGACGACTTGGTCATCACGCCGAAAAGCGTGCGCGAGCAACCGACTGGTCACCCATTGACGTCCTTTGCGACACCAATGAAAGCAGCCAAGTTCGTCGACCCATTCGACACGCCAAGGCCCAAGCCGACCATTTCTGCGGGGATCTTCTCGTCGCTCGCGTCGTCCCCAAAGGCGGGGCCTTCGAAGCATCAGCATCGACCAGTGCCAGCTGTCCCTATTGTCGCGGAAGAAGAGAATCCCTTCATCGACCAGAGCCCCGAGGCACCGCCAGCGCTGGATGCGGCGCAAGCTGAGGGGATTGCCTCTCTGCCGTACAGCGTCTCTGCGGATCTCCCTTTGCCGGCCCACTACAACTCTCTCTATCTCCTGCATACCGCCATCGAGCGCGCTTTAGTGGTGCATCTCGCCACCGCCGGCCTCGGTAGTAGCAGCTCATCCGCCGCCAGTTCAGACGCCGCAGGCGCAAGCAGCAGCTCGACGTCCTGCATCCGTCTACCCAACATCATCTCTTACAGCGCCCTCCAGCCTCTCGTAGAGCGTGCAGCTGGCAGGAAGCTAGGTCCTATCGAGCTGGCAAGGCTCACCTACATCTGGTCAAATGGCCGCGTTGCCTCGATCCCGCTTCCCCAGCGCAATGCGGCTCCGACTGCTCCCCCTGAGCAGCTGCCCAAAGATGGGCTCGGCGGACTCGGCTTCATCATCACGAGGCAGAGAAGTCTCGATTCTTCCGGGCGACGAAGGTGGGACTGGTCGCTGGGCATCGAGCTCACTATCTCGCGGACGAGACGACAAGTGACTCCGCCGATGCAAGTGTCGTACGGTACAGGGCAGTCAGCGCTACAGATGCCGAGCACGCCTCCCTCGAAGTCGGTCGCTGGTGGCGTTTTCGGCATCGATACTCCGCCTTCCACGCCCCCCTCAGCTAAGCGCAAGAGGGAGACGAGCAGTGGCAGCGGCGGATCGGCATCGCCGTCGGTCGGTCGGGAGGGGATGTCGTTTGTGGCGATGTGGAATAATGGGATTGAGGAGCGAAAGGCTGAGGTTGGAAAGCGGCTAAGAACTATGTGCGCGCAGACCATGGAGGAGTGGCTTAATGAGAGAGAAGGCTTGAGAGGGAGCGAGGAGTTGATGGCGGCGCCAGTGAGAAGCGAGAGGGCGCAGACGCCTGAATCCCAAGTTGGTCCGCGTTCAGTCGAGGTGGGGCATGGAGGCCTCCTCACTCCCTCGGCCACTCGCCCGGAGGGTCGCAAGGCTGGCCGCAGGACGGTACACTTCTCAGAAGAGGAGTTGGACGGCAAGCCGGACGTGAAGTCGGCAGAGCAAGCGCCAGAGTGGCAACGACCTCCAGCCTGCGGAGAACTTACGGCCTGGCATCCTGACTTCCTTCTTAAGGATGCCCCTCCCATTCCTTGCGCCCTGCTGCCGAGTCTGCGCGAAGCCCCCGCTGAGACGCGTATCACCAAGCAGCCTCGTCAAGCAGCAGATGCTACTTCCACTCCATGCTCGACAGAGAGCGCTCCTTCAACTGCCTCTCTATCCTTGGTCGAGCGCATCAAAGCAAAGGAAGAAGCCAAGCGTGCTGCCTCCCTTGCACAGCGCCACTTTGCCTCCCTCCCCGGCGACGGCGCAATGTCTAGCTTCAAGCGGCGCTCTACCCTCTCGCGTCTAAATGACGTGGCCTCCAACCTCTACCTCCTCTTCACCGCTTCTTCCTCTTCCTCATCCTCGCCCACCACTCTCCGCTCGGCCAGCCGCTTTCCCGTTTTGCCTCTTCCAGACGTGCTGTCTTCCATCTCGAAGAGCAGCAAGGTGGCGCTCAGCACGGGTGAGGCAAGAATTGCGCTGGACCTATTGAGAGAGGTGGCCCCGGGCTTTGTGGAGCTGCGCGTAGTTGGGGGGAAGGAATGGGCGAGGTTGGTAGGAGGAGATGTGGGGTTGGCGGAGGTGAGAACGAGGGTCAGGGATGAGTTGGAGCGCGCCAAATGAGGGCGACGAGACTGTAAGTGGACACTTGCTTGCTTTCACTGCCCTGCTTTGTGTTCTTCTTTGCCATTGTCTATATGCATGCCCCCATCGCGTGGTCCAATCACATCATTTCACCGCACTTGAGTCATCTTAATGATCTCGCGCAAAAATGGCGGGGTCCGTGCATCATGCATCCGGGGTCTCGCGCCTGTTCCGCGTCCCGCCTCATCGAGTCGAGAGATTGGCTGAGCGGACTCGACCCGGTCGGCCCGCAACTCGTTGACCTCCTAACCACGTCCTCACATCACTGCCTCGAGCGTGCATATAGCCTCGCGCATCACTCCTTGCTGACTGACAGCTTTCCATCCTTTGCTTGGACGGCCGCTCGTGCCTCTTGTGGCGCAGTGGCAGCCATGTCCTCCTCCGCAGCCGCCTCCTCATCCTCCTCCCCGCCGCCCACGATCGGCCCCTTCACCATTGGCAGAGAGATAGGCAAAGGCTCCTTTGCCGTTGTACATCGAGGCCACTCTGATGCCCAAGATGGCGGCCGCAGGCGACCAGTAGCGATCAAAATCGTCACTCGACGCAAGCTGACGCAGAAGTTGCTCGACAACCTCGAAGGCGAGATCGCCATTCTCAAGACTGTCAGCCACCCAAATATAGTCGAGCTCATCGACTGCCTCAAGACGGATTCGCACATCTACCTCGTCATGCACTTCAGCGCCGGCGGCGACTTGTCGCAGTACATCCGCAAAAAGGGTCAGCTAGCCAACTTAGACGATCATGAGCCTGCTTCCTCGCTCACCATGTCCAAGTCCTTTCTGGATGCGACGAAGCGGTGGCCACATCCGAGCGACGGCGGCCTCAACGATGCCGTGGTACGCAGCTTCTTGGAGCAATTGGCAAGCGCTATGCAGTTCATGCGACAGCGCAACATCGTTCATCGGGATATCAAGCCGCAAAATCTCCTCCTTCAACCACCGGATGCAGCATGCCTCGCCACAGGCCATCCGGCGGGCATCCCGCAAATGAAGGTCGCAGACTTTGGCTTTGCACGCTCCCTTCCTGCTGCATCACTCGCCGAGACACTCTGCGGCTCGCCACTGTACATGGCGCCAGAAATCTTGCGCTACGAAAAGTACGATGCTAAGGCCGACTTGTGGTCCATCGGCGCTGTGACCTTCGAGATGGTCGTTGGAAAGCCGCCGTTCCGTGCAAGCAACCACGTCGAGCTCCTCAGACGGATCGAGCGTAACGATGATCGGATACGTTTCCCAGATGAGCGCAGCGAGACGACTTGGTTGCGGGAGGTGGAGAAAAGACGAGATGCGGGTGAAGTGGTGTCTGCCGAAGAAGAGAAGCGTGGGCCCACGCCCGTGGCCGATGACCTCAAGACGCTGATCAGGGGCTTACTCAAGCGTGTTCCAGTGGAGAGGCTAAGCTTCGATGACTTCTTTGCGTCGCCGGTCATTGTCGGGGCAAGACCAGCTGTTGTCAAGGGAGCGGCAAGCAATACAGACTCATCAACAATCGTACCACCGGCACCTGTCTCACCACCGAGGCCAACACCTGGACCAACTCTCCCACTCCAGCCCGCATCCTCGACTCGTGTTCAGGCGCCGCCCCCTCTCCCACCAATGCCGCCTCTACCCAAGTTTCCGCCCAAGTACATACTGTCGAGGGGAGAGTCGAGCTCGACGACGCCGACAAAAGCGTCGACAACACGGCCCGCCACCACCGAGCATGCTGCCTCCCCGTCACCTTCTCCCTCCCCTTCATTCGCCTTGCCACCCTCACTCCCCACTGCACCCCCACAGGAAGACTCAGACTCGGACTCGCAATACGTCATCGTAGACAAAGGCAACATCGATTCGAACGCCCTTGCCGAGGAGCTGAGTCGCTCGCCTTCCTCAGTGCCAGCCGCGAGGAGTCCGCTGTCAGCACAAGCACAGGGTGCAGTCAGCGCTGCTGCTCGACTAGCGCGGCGGCCATCGAGATTGACGAAGCTCAGCTCGGGGTTCAGTGCGGCAGTGGGCGTCACTGGTTCGTCGCCTGCATTTGCGAGTGCACACTCACCTACATCACCGTCGCCTAGGTCGACCACTTTGACCCCCAATTCGCCCAGACCAACACTCACGCCTCTGCCTGTGGCGGGCGCAGGGTCACCAACACCCTCAGCGCCCTCTGCTCTCTCCACCTCACCGTCCGCGCCCTTTGCCCTCCCTCCTGGCGTGAGAAGGCAGTCCTTCATAGGTCGGCGAGTCTCGTCAAGCTCATTCGGTGCAGACCAAGAGAAGCAACATCAACAGGCTACGCCGCCCTCCTCTTACCCGACGACGCCTGCTTCAGCTCCAGCGCCGCCACCGCCCAGCTCGGCACTTGCGCGTGCCCTCACGCAGGCAAGCCAAGCAAGTCAAAAGCTCTTCGGCATCCCAAGCGGGACGAGCTTGCTAGGTGCCCTTGCACATGTGCGGGGAGGGAGTCCAGCGATTGTTGCAGGCTCCGCAGGACAGGCAACAGCGAGCGGAGCTGCCACCTCGGCCGGTGCGATGCCCACTCAGGCAACTACCAATGCGGGCGAAGAGAACATCGCAGGTGATGATGCCGCCGAGCAAGAAGCGCAACTTCTACTTCGCCTGGACGACCTTGGCCAAAAAGCCTACGTGTTGTGCGAATTTGCCGACTCCAAGATGTGCAGTGCTTTTGGTGATGCTTGGAGCAATGCGGGCACGATTGCTGCAACTGTAGGAAGCGCTTCTGCGTCGGCGAGTTCGCTCCAGGACTCACAGAGACAATACCGCAGCCCTTCCTTTACGGGCACCACCATTGGCACGGCGGTCGCTTCCCCTCCGCAGTACGACGATGCGTTGCTGGGCATGATTGCGGCTGAAGCTTTGCAGGTGTACGTGAAATCCCTTGGCTTCTTGCAAGCCGGTATCGAGGCTGTCAGGGCACACTTGTCCGTCACTCCCGCATCAGCTGCAGCATCACCACGGTCGGTGGGGGCCAGCAGCATAGTCGCCCCTGAGATCAATGAAGCGGTTCACTACCTCCGCAAGAGGTTCGCAGAGACAATGGAGCGGGCCGAGTCCGTTCGCAACAAGATGAAGACGCTCCAATTGCGATCTGCAGGAGCAGGAGCAGCTGGTGGACAGCTAGCGTCGCCCGTCAACGTGGACAAGATCATCTACGATAAAGCCATGCAGCTCGCTCGGGCTGCAGCAATCGACGAGTTGGAGCACCAGAGCCCGGCAGTGGCGCCTAGCGCTGTCAATATCAGTGGGAGCCCAAGTGGAACGCCCACTGCTGCTGGCAGCGCTTCCTCCGCGTCCCCTTCTTCATCTACGTGGGACGTGCATGCGTGCTTGTTGGCATACGAGACCGCTGAGGTCATGTTGGGGACTCTGATTGAGGGCGCTGAAGGGGGTGGAACAAGTCTGACAGTTCAGCCCTTCATTCGATCTATCGGACATAGATGCCAGATACTGAGGGCGAGGGTGCTTGGTGGCGGTGAGGGAACAGCGGCGGCAAGTTCAGGATCGGGCACTCCCGCCGGGATCAGGGCGCCTCAGCAGGCTGTAGTAGTGTAGAAACCGCCGCCCATGGGCGAGTCAGTCAGATAGTCACCAGCAATGCAATGCATTTACTCCCTCACCCCACTCGGAGTCACCACCAACCTCTTCCCCGTCCGATCAACATGTACGAAGACCCATAGATCCCTGTGACGCTTCTTCTCCCCGCGCTGCGGCATCAACAGCGGCTCCAGAGCGAGAAAGCGCAACGTCGCCTCCCACGCGTTGCGGAAGCAACCCATTCCCCTGCCCAGTCTAGCTCCATCCCCTTGCCCTGCGAGCAAGCGCTCCTCCCACCGCCAGAGGGGCTGGTCCACCAGCGGCAAGATGGAAGAGGCGGCATCCGTATCACCTCCACCGGTGAAGGTTGAGGAGGTAGGCGTCGCGCCTGGACTGGCCTTGAGGAGAGAGTCGTCTTCGTCATCTACCGAGCCGGGATGCTGCGGCTGCCCTGTCGGGCCGTCGAGTGTCACTTCGATCCCCTTTCCTTCCCCGCACTTCATCTGGGCCCAAATAGCGTCAAGAGCGAAGTAGAGCCGATTCACCTCTCCCGTGTGCAGCAGCTTGGCCAAGCTTTTGTCGCCCTCTTTGAGCCTCTCCTCCAATTTGCGACGAGGTAGCGGCGTCCAGGCGATGCTTCTTTCGTGTCGCGGGTTGATCCTAGGATCGTCTCGCAAGGCTTTACTGTAGTCGTTGCCGTTCGCGCGGACCAGTTCGTCCCACCAGAGCCACCAGTACGCGTGCAGTGGGGAGCGATTGAGATGCGTCTGCCGGGCACAGAGCAGAGAAAGGGTGCGAGGGAAATCGTGCTGCAGCTCTCTTGCGATGTGGTGTTCCTGATCAAGGTCCTTCAAGGAGGGTGGCCGCCCATCAGGCTGGGCTGGCGGGTCGAAGACGTCGCAGAGGAACGAGTAGTCCATCACCTCTCGTTTTCCTCGCGCCTCAGCATAGAAGTGAGCACGATATCCCCTCATCAGCTCTTCCATACCCCTAAACCTCGCACGCAATATCTGCTCATTCGCCCGCAAGAAGGTTGCCACACCTGGGCTGAGAGCAAAGTCCGTATCGTGCAGCCCAAATGCCCGTGAGGCAGGTACTGACACGGCATGTTGGCCCAGCTTGGTGCGACCCGTCCTTGCATCGAAGCGAGTTCCCTCTGAGTAGTCGAGGAAGACGTGGAAGCCGGACGCAAAGTTATAGTCTCGCCACGGTAGGAAGGTCTTGATCGCTATGCGCAGCCTAGCGTACGTATAGCTCGTCGCGTACGTCAGGGACGACTTGCCTCTGCCTGAACCCAAGCCGGTCGACCCAACGGCTTCGTCATCGCTACACTCGAACGGACAGAATACTCGCTGTCCATCGAGGGCCCTCAAGCTCAGTCTCACCATCTTTGCTGATGTGATCTCCTCGCTCTTGTTCTGCCTGACGAAGTCCTGAAACTCGGCGAGGGTGCTGAGCTCAATCGTGTCGTCACCTGGCACGTTGTCATAACGGAAGACGACCGTGGGTGGAAAGGGGACGACGAAGGCTTTGCCGAAGTGTGAGATCGTAGCAGGCGCCACAGTGCTGTCTCGCGAAGGTAGTGGCGAGAACTGTCCCTTGCCATCCACGCCTTGTGGTCGGTAGAAGGCGTCTGGCCCGGTATAATGTCGCTGAATTTCTTCAAGGAGGGCCAGAGTGCGCCATCCCTCGCTTGTAGAGCGCAATGCATCGCACTGTCGCCTGTACTCATCGATACCAATCTGCTTGAGAATCTGCAAATTCTCAATGTGTCGCTCTGCCGGTGTGCCGTTGAAGAAGAGGAGGTACGGCGGCCACTGATCCTGTCTCGCGCTGAAGGCTACCACTCCCCCCTCACGCATACGGAATCGTTTTCCCGTGAGCAGCAAAATGCTCAACGTCTCTTCCCAGACCCTTCTCCTCACGTGCTTGGCCAAGTTGAGGTGCGGAGAATACACGTCAATACCCCAGTCTACCCGCCGCTGTAGGCGTTTGACGGCGTGCGAGACGAGCGAGGTGCTCACGATGGCGAAGTAGAGGCTTGAGGTGTAGGAGAGAAATTGCATACACCAGAGGACCGCCGATGTGGAGACCTGCTTGCCCTTCAAGGCCACTACCAGTCCGAGAACGGACGTGGCTACGTAGCTTGCCCGACTGCATAGCTCCGAGCGGTTTGAAATGGCGTCATTGAATGGTCGAGTGAAGATGTGCACCGTCAACAGAGCGGCCTGAAGGATGAGCAGCAGGCACTGCTGCGCTATGAGGAGTTTGGTGCGATCGGTCTCTCGCCAGAGGCAATTATTGGGCGAGGACAGAGAGATTACGAACACTGTTGAGAGCTTGAAGAAGACGAGGTGCACCGGGTCGTAGGCGCTGTGGTTGCGTCGATATGCGCTGTAGAGGAAGCGGAGCGGCGACTTGTCATTTGATAGCTGGCGATTGTATTCCTGCGAGAGCGGGTCGGAGGGGAGAGGAGAGTGAGTCGACACGGTGAGGGTTAGCGCCGTAGCGAGCGGAGATACGCACCACCTCTAACTCCTGACGGGTGCGCTTCACGCCGAGCTGATTGTACCGGCTGAGCTGCTGCGGACGCATCTTGAGGATAACGCCTAGCGACCGAAAGTACGAAGAGTAGCCGTCAGCCATCAGCTGCGCTGCTGTCTCTCGCCGAGATCTGGTACTCACGTCCCATGTAGATCGGCCAAGCAACCGTATAGACGAGCACTATCAACCCTGCGAGGGGAACGAGCAACCACGCAAAGTTGAACTCCTCCCCACTCTTCGCTGTGCTCCAGCACACCGGCTGTTCCCCACCCTCGCCCCCTCGTTTGACCCAGAAATCCTCCTCCCAAACCAACACATCCATGGCCAGCTTCGTCAGCGGAATATAGAGCGTCATCAACAAGAAGGTCACGACGACGTTCGCGGCCTTTGTCCCCCGCCTTGGCGATCTGAAGATGTAGGGTTGCCCCTCAAATCCTTGAATGTCTCGATTCGGATCATACGCGGAGGTCATGCGCCAGAACCACCCCAAGGCGCCAGCGGTGGCTACGAACCAGGCGAGGAGGAAGATTACGGCGAGGCCGAAGACACTGACAAAGTCGAGAGCGAGAATCGATGGCAGAGTGCTGAATAGGAAGTGTGTAGCTTTTGATGTTGAGGGATTGTCGGAGGTGAAGGTCAAATTGAGTCGCATCATCTGTGCGAAGTCTCGCAGCAAGCCGAATCGGAAGAGCGAGGCTGCGAAGGAGCTGCCCTCTACGCCGATGAGCGTGTCGAGGACAGAGCCGATAATGGTGTCTGCTGATGGGATGCTGGCGAGCCATCCTGACGCTGGAGCACGGGGACCTACAGCGTTGGACTTGAGCTCGTTGAGAGTTGATGTTGTGTTGAGGAGTTGGAGTGGTGGTAGGATGCTAGGAGAAGTGCGAGATGGTTTCTCCTCGAGGTCGGACATGGCCATGCCATTCCTTCCTTCCTCGCAGCTGTCGTCATCATTGTCATCCAGCTCTTGAAAGCCTCCTCTTCTGCGTCCACGTCTTCTCCTAATCCCTCTGTTGGCCTCCTTCCCGCATAGTTTCAGCTGATCTCCCGCAAGCTCGCGCGGCGCTGCTCCGTCTCCTTTAGCCTTCTCGAGACCGTAAAGCTCTCGCTCCTCGCGAGAATACGGCGTCAGATCTGCAGCGAAACATGGAGCGAAGAAGAGGCGTGGATTGGAGAGATGTGCGTCGAGTTCGGGGAGATGAAGTGGCAAGGACGTGCTGGAGAAAACGCGTGAGGCGGGAAGCGGTGGAGGACGAGGGCGGGGAATGTGCGAAGGTGAGCATGAGGGCCAAGGTGGTGACTCAGGATGCTGCGTTGGCGCTTGAGGCCGCTTGTTCGAGTGACGGCTCCGCTGATCTTGGCTTGGATCTTGTGCAAGAGGTATCGCTGGCCTCTGCTCATCCGGCTGTGTCGCGGGCGGCGGCGATGGCGGCGGCGGGACGCGAGGTTGCTCACGCGCCAGTCCTGAAGGCTCGCAATGTGTATGTCTCCGCGACCGAGGTGACTCCTTTCTTCTTTCCATTGGTTGTTCATTCAGACCGAGTGTCACGTTGCTGATTCCCTTCTGAACATGGGGCTCCGGCCGCCTGACACTGGGCGGTACGAGCGTCGGGCCAGTGGGCTGAAGAGCGGTCATTGAGCGGCGAGGAGGCCGTGATGCTGGTGGAGAGAGTCGCTCGATCGGTCTCCAGTCCATCGTTGAGAGTGAGCCTCGAATGATACTAGGGCTGGATCTCGTTGTCTGGCTTGCGCGTGGGTGTGGGCGCTGTTGCGTGTCGGCCTCGAAGCGGGCGACAAGGTCTGTGACCCGATTGGTCGATGAGGACGAGGGCATGGCGGTGGTAGCATGAAGCTGCGGGATATGGATGAGTGTATGCTAGGGTATCATGAAGCTGAAAGATTAAAGATGCTGATGAGGAGAAGATGAATCAATCATTGCCGGAGCGATGACGTCCAACGATGAAAGACGCTCATTTTGGACTCGACGGTCAACAAGGAGCCCCTGAGTGACAAGCGGAAGAGAGGAGCTCCAACCTCGACATTCGGTCGCGCTCCTGCAGGCAGCTGCAGCGGAGAGGCGGAAAGGGAAGTGGAAACGGGTTCGTGTGGAGTTGAGATGGTCGGTCGGACGCGCCAATCTGAGACTTGTCAGCTTGTCGTTGCCTTGCGTTGCATCCATCCGTACCATCATCGAGATGTCGCCCAAGAGGGCCTCGTCATCCTCAGCGCCTGCTACGCCGACCAAGAAGAAAGCAAAGAGCGGCAGCGCTGGACAAGCATCCATCTCTTCCTTCTTTGGGTCACCTTCGTCCAAAGGCAAGGAGAAGGAGGTCGAGGAGGAGCAGCCAGAGGAATGCCACCCAGACGAGCTCTTCGCGCTTCAGCTGGCAGCTCAGGATGCTGGAGTTTCTCTAGCGGAGATGAGAAAGAGGATGACTCGTGGCAAGAAGCATGAGAATGGCGCGATGCCCGTCCATCCACTCTTCGCAAAGCCAGTCAAAGCCTCATCACCCCCCTCATCCGCTGCTGCGCCTTCTAAACGAAGTCCATCCCCAACCCGGCCAGATGGTCCCAGTACGCCTCGCAAGCCGCCACCAGGTTCAGCAGTCTTTGATCTAGCCGCGCTCGATACCAGCATCAGTGCCATCGACTTCACGCAGGACATTCTCGTCTTTGACCCCTCAACGGTCACCACTCAACATTGGCCTCGCGCCCCCGGCTCTAATCATGCAACAACTCCATACGCCCTCCTGTCCCACGCCTTCATCACCGTGTCTGCGACCAAGTCTCGCTTGCTCATTGGAACGGTCCTCACCAACCTCATGCGTACAATCCGTGTACATGATCCCACTAGTTTGCTCCCCTCCATCTACCTTATGACAAACCACATCGCTCCATCGTACGATGATGTGACGCTGGGCATCGGCGGCTCTATTACCAACAAAGCCACCAAATCCGTCACAGGCAAATCGGCTGCAACGCTGAAGCACCTCTGGGACCAAACGGGCGATCCAGGCGATGTGGCGTACGAGGCCAAAAAGGACGTAAGACCAATGGTCGCCCCCACTCCGCTGACGGTAGGCAAGGTCTTCAAGAGCTTGCATGATATTGCTGCTTTGACACATTCGGGAACGGGTAGTACGAGCGCCAAGCTGGGGATCGTGACGAAGTTGATCGTAGCGTCTAGAGGGGAGGAGACTCGTTGGCTCGTGAGGACATTTCACAGTCATCTGAGGACAGGGGCGGTGAAGAAGACATTAAGTAGCGCGTTGGCGCGATGCTTCAGTCTGTGCGACAGTGACGAAGATGAGGCGGCTGTCGAAGCTCCTACCTTCTCGACTCAGTCATCTGCTGCAGCCGCTTACCTCGTCACCAGTTCTGAACGCTCTGGAGGTATTCTCGCCAACCCCACCAAACCTAAGGAGCGTCAAGACCCGCGTCGCCTGGCCATCATGGCCAAATTCGCCCGCAGCGAGCGGCTAGTGCGAGAGGTGCTCTCACGCCACCCTAATTTCACATCGGTCATAGAAGCTCTCACCACCTCACCAGGTGGCGGGCTCGCACATCTCTCTCAGCTGGTGCCCTTACGCATTGGCGTCCCCATCACGCCCATGTTGGGTTCTATCACCCGATCGCTCAACGATGTCTACACAAAGCTGGGAGTTGGCCACCCAAATACGGCGAGGGCTTTCGTGAGCGAATTCAAGTATGACGGGCAACGTGTCCAGATTCATGCGCACCGAGTACCAGAAGCCGCAGTGGATGAGCAGGGTAAGCTCGATGAGCAGGCTCGCGCTGTACGCGCGAGCTACGGCAAAGGAAAATGGCTGGGCGAGCGTGGAGATATTTTCGTGCGTCTCTTCTCCCGTCATCTTGAAGACATGACCAGCAAGTACCCGGATATTCTCGACCTCATACCCCTCCTTCTCGATCGAGGCCACGCGGAGCCGGTACAATCATTTATGATTGATGCCGAGGTGGTAGCTATTGGGCCCGGCGGAGAGGCTGAGCTGCTGCCCTTTCAGACACTGAGTAATCGGAGTAGGAAGGATGTGGACCTGAAGGAGGTCAAGGTCAAGGTTGGAGTGTTCGCATTTGACTTGATGTATCTGGATGGGAAGGTGAGGACCACGCTTGCGTATTCCCGTTGCCGGCATCAGACGCCACTGACCCATCTCTTTTCCTGCGCCTGCTGACAGTCCCTCCTCAAATCTTCCCTCCGAGTACGACGCAATCTCCTCCACACGCGTCTGCCCGCTCTCCTACCGGAGAATCCCCTCATTGCACGCTGGCTGCACGTCAAGAGCCTAGAGAGCAATGAGCCGGAAGACGTGGAGCGCTTCTTTGCTGAGGCGAGGGCAAATCGCTGCGAAGGGATCATGGTAAAGACATTGGACCATCACTGGAGGCGAGAGGCGAAGAAGGAGGATGGTGAGGATGACAAGGGTGGTGGGCAGGACGACGAGGGAGAGGATGCAAAGCTACAGACTCTTGGCGACGTAGTCTCCGACGATCTCGTCATGGCTGAGGATGATGAAGATGCTGTTGCACCAGGCAAAGATAGCGAGGGTGCCGATCCTATCGACCTCTTCCAACAACACCCGGGTGTCACTGGCCGCGGCAAAGCCCTACTCAGCACCTACGAGCCCGATAAACGCTGTGAGTCCTGGCTCAAAGTCAAACAGGACTATGTGGATGGCCTGGGCGACTCGCTCGATCTGGTACCCATTGGTGCTTGGCACGGAATGGGTCGCAAGGCGCAGTGGTGGTCTCCTGTCCTCCTGGCGGTCTATGATGCAGAGACAGGGGGATACCAGGCGGTCTGCAAGTGCATCAGTGGATTCACGGACGCTGAGTACAAGAGCATGAAGTTCGAACGCTTCGTGGAGAGCGAAGAGGTTGGAGCGTCGTGCTACAATGCCCGGAGGAACCAGTGTAGGCAGGAATATGATACTGGAGGGTACCTCCCGGACGTCTGGTGAGTGGAGATATCTCGCGACACCCAAGCATCCGGTCGTGCTAACCTCTTGCTCTTCCGGCTCAGGTTTGAGCCTGTAGAAGTCTGGGAGCTCCGTTTCGCAGATGTGACGCTCAGCCCCGTCTACCCTGCGGCGCGTGGCCTCATCTCAGAAGAGAGGGGGTTGAGCACGCGTTTCCCGCGCTTCATCAGACGGCGAGACGACAAGGGACCCGAGGAGGCGTCTACGCCGCAGCAGCTTGCGAGTATGTACTTGGGACAGAGGAGCGTAGCTGGTGGCGCGGGTGAAGGAGGGAAGAAGGAGGCAAACGAGGCGATCAAGGAAGAGGAGTGGGCCGAAGAGGAAGAAGGGGGCTAGTAGCTAGGTACTGGGCGGGGAGAGGAGACTGCGTGGTATTGTAGTGCAAGAGGGGTCGGGGCCAGCCGGGACATCATTGTATTCGAGTTCGAGCAATCATCGCAGATGTTTTGGACATGGGTAATCGCTCTTCGTTTGACCCACGATCGTTAGGCTACGGCTGGGTTCCTCGCTCAAAAGCAGTACGTCTGCCAACTGCCGGCCAGGCATTTCCCACCATTGCCAGCGCCAGGAATGCAGGTGCCCGAGCACTGGCCGGTGCATATCTTTCCCTGGGCTATAGCTATGATGGCATGATTGCAGAAGTAGACGATTGGAGCATTCTTGCCCAGTGTACCCCTCACCTTGCCACGGACGGTGGCGCATTTATCGTCGGAGTAGCAAGTTGCGAAGACGTCCTGGCCTTGAGTGGCGACGGGCGAGGTGAAGAGGCCGATGAGAATTGCTAAGCCTCCGAAGAGGGCAATGAGGAAATGTGTCTTGGCGTCCGCGAGCTGAAAGAGGTAGGAGCGACGCGAGACGGTCAGCTTCAGTGGGACAGAGGCGATTGTGAGTCACTTTGTCCCCTGCGCACCATCTGATGTGATCTGTTTGCTCGTTGAGATGGCGATTTGAGGCGACGTGGAGCGTTGTGGTACAGGGAGGCAGGGAGTCAAGGTAGGACAGGTCGCTTTTGGTGACCAGATTTGCCAGCCCTCGACCGATCACCCCTTTCGCCCCTTCTGCGCATCCTTGCGGCCCGCGATGGCATCGAAGTCTCATCAGCGGCGAAAAGAGAGTGACGATACGGCGAGTGGATGGACCGCAGCGTAATTACCGGTCAGAGATTGGAAGCAGGTGTTGATCGAGCTCACTCACTACAAACCGAGCGGATCTCACGGTCTGGACGTCGATTCTTGTGTCTCCAACAGACCCCATCTCATTTAAGTGCCGCAGGACACCACAGCGAGCAATGCTACTGGGCAGACTGCGTTGAGGAGTGATGTGGCAGTGCCGCGTCCCGGCTCGATCTGCATTGTCTGTCGATGGCTTGCGAAAAGTGCATCAGACGTGGACCCAGCGGCAGTATGTGACCTTGAGCAGATGGCAGCAGGACTAGTGCCACACGTCAAGCAGAGAATCTGTCGCAGGACCATCGTCGGCTGTTCAGATCAGAGAGGATCACCTCGCAAGCAAGCAGGACTCATGAATGCTGATTATGAGCCCGCCTGATAATGAGCTCGCCATCATGGTGGACCGTGGCAACGACGTAGGGGTGACGGATGGCGTGTCGGTGAAGGCGAGATCGAGTCGGACCACGGCATGCGGCCTGACGGAACCAGGAACGCGGCTCGAGAGACTTTGTGATCGTCCGATCAGCGAGATGCTTGGTTGCTCTACTCCCTCTCGATCTCCGCGCAACATCATTCCAACTTGATCACTATCCATTGCTGGCATCGAGCCGTAACAGTGGCGTCTCGCGACGGCTGCCATGATGAAGAATCTGCGCCTCGTCTGTCGGCCGCGACAAGGCGAGGAGCGCCGAGTCCTCATCTCCGTCCCCGACTACGCTGCCATCACGACCGTTGCCGCCGAGAAGCTGGGCATACAGGGAGAGGAGGTCCTGATTCAGATCAAGGCAGATGGCGACGATGAACTATGGGAGGTAGATCAGAGCTTCTGGGCGTCCCTCGAGAATGGACAGACACTCTTTGCCAAACCAGTTGCCGGCGCCTCCTCTTCTGCGCCTCCTCAGCCGGCAAAGACAACCAAGCTGGCCAGAAAGGAGATGAAGAGAAAGAGGAAAGAGGAGGAGAAGAGAGCAATAGAAGCGGCAGGCCAAGCCGGCGGGTCGTCGTCTGCAGCTGCTAGGGAATCAGATGCAGACGATTCAGCAAGCAGCAGCGCCAGGCCGGCAAAGAAGGCAGCTACGCCCAAGATACGATCCGCTCAACGCCAAGATGATCGGGCGCCACCCAGCTCTGGCAGCAGCAACACGATCACTCCATCACTGTCTCGCCCTACTGTGCAATCATCTGGCCACTCAACCTCGCAAAATCCCACATCATCATGGAATGCCCTCACCTCGAAAGAACAGCGCTCCTCCCGCAAGGCATGGACCCCACGCGACGACAAGTTCCTCTGGGACAAATTCCGCACTCAGCTCGATGCAGCCTCTCGCAACCGTGAAATGCCCTCCAATGGTTCAGAGCGTGAGGCTTTCTTTCAGCGTCTCATCGAGGACCACGGGACGAGGGGCAGGGTGTCGCGTATCCTTACTGGGCGAACGGCAAGCTCCATTGGCACGAGGATCAGAGCAAAGGTCAAGGACGGCGTTGCTAAGGGGAAGACTATGCCCCAGCCGGTGCTTGAATTCTTTGGCATGTGGCGTAGCTCGCCTGCGAGGACGACGAGTAGTGCTGAGGCGGGCGGAGCGGGAGGCTCACGAGGCAACAATACCGCGCGAGATGGGCGGAGCAAGAGCAAGGAGCGTAGGCACTACGTCGTGGTAGACGATAATGATTCCGAGTATGACGATGGAACCGAGACGGATGCCTCCGATGCTAGCAGCCGCGGGGACGCACGCTCGTCCACCGTCCTCACCCAAAGCGCAGTAGCTCCCCTGACGTCGCCGTCGTCATCGCGAAGCAACGAAGCAGGGCCCAGCTCTCTACGACCACGATCCAATCGCACCTCTGCCGTCCCAGCAGACGCTCTGCGGCCCGTTGGCTTCGACAATGCAGCACCGCAGCCGGCCATGAGAAAATCGACGGTCTCTTCCTCTTCGGCAACTCGCGTGCCACCGACGCCGAGCACGGAGCACAATGCAAGGCGAGCCCACGAGCGGGTGGCAGCGCAAAATCCCTTCGCTCCCCGTCTTGCACGCGACGATGACGATGCAGCCTCCGTGGTAATGACCTCGAGCAGGAGCGGCGCTACTGCCTCAGCTCCTGTCTTTATCAACCGCGGACAGTCGCCAAACCTGTCGCAGACCGGTGCCTCGCGCGCTGTGGCAGTCAAGGAAGAGATGGAGACGGACGAGCAAGATGAGCTCATGAATGGCAGCGACAGCTTCCATACGCCTGCCCCTGTTCATGTCCCTACACTCAGCCAACCACCCGCTCCACCGCCGACTATGCCCGCCTTGATGCGGGCCGTGTCTGGGCCGAACGGCATCCCACTGCCACCAAGGACCCCGAATGGAGGCACCATCAAAGCTAACGGCAGCGGCAGTACAATCACCAGCAGTAGCAGAGCCGGGCCCTCTCGATGGGGCAATCGAGCGGGCGTGCAATTCGACCTTGACTTCACATCGAATACGTCCGTTGCCAGCACCGGCGATCGCTCAATCCAATTCCTGCCCTGCGCTGGTGCACACCCCGAGGACGTCGCTCTCCTCCGAATGGCACTGGACGAAAGGTGGCATGGCCTGCGAGCGGTTGTCACGACGAATATCTCTCGGTCCGCAATGGCGCATGACCCCGATATCGACCTGGACCGCATCAGGCCTGGCAGGATGGCCAACACTCTTTTGAATGTGCTTCTCAACAACATCAATCACTCGACTGGCGGGCTGCCTTATCCCCATGGTGCAAAGGACAAGGTTGGCACGGCGACTGCTCGAGAATTGACGGCCATCTCTGCCGCTCTTTGCGTCAGCCTGGCCTTAGCCGTCTTTGACTGTGCTCCGCCAAATTGGTCGGTACGTCGCACTTCTTTCGCTATCGCGGGCTTCATCGCGGCCATGTCCGACGGGCACAAGAGGCATGTTCAGCTCAGGGAGCTCATCTTCGTTGTCGCCGAGCGTGTATTCTGGGCAATGCGTTGCGCAAGGATAGAGATGGGCCCCACACCGGGAGCGAGTAAGCAGACGAGTGTGCATCTCTGTCAGACCGACGCTGAGGACATTTGCGCAGCCGTCATTCTCACGACTGAGATGCACAAGACTGGGATGTGCAATGCAGCTGGAGCGAGGTTCGACGCGTGGTCTCTCGAGCAGATGTATGGCCTCTGCCCAACCGTCGCAACGCCCCTCGAGGAGCAATACGTCAAGTACTGGGATGAAGCCGGCCAACCCATCGTAGCGGGTGACGTCTCTGCCTCCCGTCCGGCTCGTGAGGCGGCCGCTGCTTTGCTGCTCTCGAGATTCACCACCCTGCTGGGTAAGCTGGAGGCAAGCGTAGCATTCTTGAAGCGTTGTCCAATCCCACTGGAGAAGTGGGGCGCAAAGGGCGCAGTGCTTCGTCGCATGGCTCCAGCCTTGCCAGGGGCGGTAAGGGCTGCTCTGTCCTGCAATGCAACGGGCGATGGCCTTGGAGCCGGTGGCCAGGCGAGTCACTCAATGCTCCGGGGCCCTGTAGCAGCGAACATGGAGGTGAGTGCTTCCTTTCCGCGGCGGCTCCGTTCACAAGCCGGGCATCACAAAGCACCATGTACTGACTAACTTGAACACTTTTCGTTGTTGACAGGCCTATTCGAGAGCGTACAATGGCTTGCTCAACGCAGGAGTGCTGCGCGAGAGTTGAATTGAGACGATGCACAGAGGCGGATGGGATGATGCGTAGAAGGCAGGTGGGATGCAGGCACAGTCTGGGTTGAGGATGGACGGAACCTCCCAGCATTGCTAGCTACCGATGCGCTCTTTCGTGCACATCCGCAACCTCAAATACCACACATTGTCATCCTCTTCGGATCACTCGTCTCGTCATTGCGGTGATCGTGAGATGCTCTCTTCCTCTTATATTTGTTTGCGCTCCATACTCCCACGCTCCGCAATGTGCCCTCCCCCTTCATTGACTCCTCATCGCCTGTCTGCGTGCCAGTCGGCCAAGCTTGTCTCTTCGCTAGAACGACAGATGGAAGCTTGGGCTACCTGCGTAGAACACGTCCGTCTTGATGGCACTCTCTCAATCAACACCTGACGCTCAATTCCCACGGCGGCTCTCCTCGCCAAGAACTGCTCTTGCTCCTCCCGGGCAGCTATGGAACGCGTTGAAGCCAAAGGCGCAGGCCGCCTCGGCAGGCTTGTCGGCAGGCCGCGAGCTCGAGTCGAGGTACGACGCAGACGCGGGGCTTCGGGGAATTGCCTTGGCCTTTCGTCGCCAATCGAGTGGAAATGCCAGGCCCGCAGGGGCGTAGCAAAGTGCATGGGAAGACGGGGGCGAGCAGGGCGGAAGGAACGTCCTCCGCGCGACGAGGGCGTCGAATCGCCCTTCTGATTGAGACTCAGCTCCATCCAACACCCTCGATTCCTGCCCCCGTCTTCCCTGCTTCCTTTCCCCTGTCAGCCCACAAAGACGACGCCGATGCCGAAAGAGTGACAGCAGCAGCAAGTCCTTGCTAGCTGTGAGAGCACTCCGGTGTGTCTTGTCATTTCTCTCTCTGGACACCTTTTCTTTCGTCCTCTTCCTCTCACTCCATTATATGCTGCGATCTGTCCCTCCTCATCTCACCCTCTCAGCGCACACACCTCCTCTTCAGCACACTCCCTTGTGGCCTAGCTTCCTCTTCTTCATATCGCGACCGGTCCGGCAGCGCTAAGTCGATGTTTCCAACAACAAGGGCGGCCGCCGGCGGGCGTCACTTCATTACTATTGCGGCGCTCCCAATTTCAATAATCCTGTTCCTGGTCCTCGCTCTCAGCAGCGTCGCACACTCCGACTTGATTCCCACTCGTCGCTCAGCTTCACACCATCACAGATTACTTGGTCCTCGCGATGCGTATGCGGTCCAGCGACTGCCCTCGGGCAAGGGTGTTGGACCCCACGTCACCTCGCTGAACAGACCAGCCGGTGCTGAGGGTAGGAACCTGCCTGTGCCCGGTCATCCTGGTACTGAGGTCTTTACGTGGTACTCCAAGACGCCGTGAGTGCACATCTCCAAGCTCGAGATGTAGCTGGCATTCATTGACCATCGCCCTTGCTGACCCTCGCTCGCAGCCACGACGAGAGCGACGCCCGTGATGCCTTCATCATCATCCACGGCGTGAAGCGGAATGCTGACCTCTACTGGAAGATCCTCAACAACGCCTTTGCCAAAGGCCGTGACGCCAACTTTCCCGGCGCAGACGAGGACTCGATCCGCGTGGCCCCGCTCTTCTTCTCAGCCGAACGCGACGCGGACGTCGTCAACAGCACCACTCTGGGCTGGGCGGAGCCAAACGCCTGGATTGGGGGGGACGGATCTACCAACCCCCCTAACAGCGACGTCAGCGTTTTCACTGTGCTTGATGGCCTTATGCAGCGCTTTGCCGACCAAGAGGCGTACCCTAAGCTGGAGCGACTGACCTTCGTCGCTCACGGAGGAGGCGCTCAGGTGCTGCAGCGCTACGCTGTTCTGGGCCAAGATCCTCCCTCTGAAAGCAGTCTCAAAGTCCGCTACGTGATTGGCGACCCCTCGACGATGCTCTACTTCACGCGCGATCGACCGGTCCCCGTCGATACCTCTGACCAGGGATGCCCTGCATTCAATGACTTCCGCTACGGCCTCGACGCCTATTCTGCGCCGTACGCCATCACCCCTCCGCTTGCACCTGGGAGCCTCTTCCAACGCTACATGAGCCGTGATGTTCGCTACCTTATCGGCAGCAACGACACGCGAACGGACAAGGGCGATCAATTGTGTGGTGGGCACGCAGCAGGAGGGACAGCGAGGAGGGACCGATCGTACAATTACTGGTCTTACCTTCATCTCTTGGCGGGGAAGACACCCGTACCAGACTACCCGGGCTGGTATCCTAGCCTCGATGCGGGCAAGAAAGGCCCTTCGCCCGACGTAATCAAAGACATCGCATCGAAGGTTGGAGACTCAAAGAAGAGTACAGGCGATGACGACGAGGACGGAAGCAAGGGCGAGAAGTCGAAGAAGAGGAAGAAAACGTCACACCAGCAGAACAAGGATGATGATGATGAGGGCAAGGGCGTCAAGAATGCCTCGCCGCGCGTTGGCAAGAAGACCAGCAAGCAGGAGTCTAAGAAGATTCACGCTGCGGCTGCTAAGCATCACCAAAAGCACAACAACAGCAAGAACCATACCAGTCACAAGGGTAAGCAGGCTCACAAGGCCAAGGACAGCAAGTCTCGCAAGTCCAAGGCCAATCATCATAACGACAGCAACGGAAAGCGGGACGAGGACGAAGACGTGGACGACGTGGGCGACGACCTCGACTTGCTCGATGAAGACTTCAACGGCGTGCACATCGTGGATGGAGAAGAGCTTCAAAAAGACGGTGAGGAGTCTCATCTCTCAGCTCGATCAGACGACGAAGCGGACGCCTCCAAGTACCCGGCCTCGGACCCAGTCGACCGAGCAGGCATGACAGGCTCTCCCTTCAACCACCGTCTTTGGCATGTCGCTGGAGCAGGGCACAGCGCTTCAGAGGTGTTGGGCTCGCCGGAAGGGCAAGAGGCCATGTTTGGCAATTGAAGAGTAGCGTAGAGGCTAGGAGCGCTGGACGCTTTCGCCAGATCAGTCATGCGGATCCTCTCTCTTTGGAGGGAGGAACCAGATACCCTCCCTATCCATCCTCGCTAGCTTGATGGTTTGCATAAGGATCGGCACGCATCTGCTTCGATTTCACCAATTGTTCCACTATCTATCGCAGTAATCAGTCATCGTTGTCATTATTTTCGATGCATCTGGTCTCGTCGTCGTCGTCATCCTAACAGCGTTGGCATTCGTGAAGTCCTCTGCACCGAGGAGGAAGGTGTTTGCTTGGCCTGCCGTCTTGCGCTCTCCGCTTGATCACCTGGGAGCTTTCTTGGCTTGGCTGATCCGTTGGCCCGCCCGCGCCTTTGTGCCTTGCCTCTTCCCGTCAAGATCGTCTCCGGCGATCTACTCGTTGCTCCTCGATCATCATTCTCGCCATCGCCAGGCGTAAGAGGCGCCCTCGGCCGGCCCTCGTCTTCATTGTCATCAGCAAGGAGAGGCCTCAGGCTTGACACAGCCGCCTCACTCAACAGTCTCAGTCGATACTCCACAGCATCCCATCGTGGGCAACTGCGCACCCTTCCGCCATCTCCTGGGACAAGTCCAAGCGAGCGCTTGAGCCCTTCCATCGATCTGCAAGATACCAGCTTCAACGCAAAAGGACGTTCCTCTCTCCCTGCGTCATCATCCTCATCCTCATCCATCCATCCATCCATCCCCGCATCATCTCAATCTCGTCGTCGTGATCAACCCCACAAGTCTCGACTGCCCGCTCGGGCCATTTCATCGACGATGAGCGGAATGTATGCTCCCTCTACCTCGTCGTCGCGGCAGCGAGCCTCGACATTCTCGACGGGCCCAAGGTACTCTCCGGCGAGCATGACGATTAATCTCAGCGCTGGAGCGTCTGCAGCTCCCTCGGGGACCAAGGCGACGCTCAACCAGCGCGCTGCCTTGGTGTCCGCGTACAATGAGCTGGGGAAGGAGCTCGCATCGACGAAGCTCAAAGCCGTCGGCAACTATACGCTGGGAAGAAGCATTGGCGAGGGCACATTTGGAAAGGTCCGGATGGGAACTCATCGATTGACGTGAGTCTGTCCCGGACTAGCTAGCTGCCGCGCCGACTGACCCGCAATCGCCTTGCCCTCCTCACCCACCCACTCGCAGCGGAACCCGAGTCGCCCTCAAGCAAGTACCTAAAGCGCACTCTGCCTCGCTCACCCGCGAGATTCATCATCATCGGCGCCTTCATCACCCTCACGTCATGAAACTCTACGAAGTCCTCGCTACAGAATCCAACATCTGGATGGTCTCTGAGCTCTGTCTAGGCGGGGAGCTGTACGACTACCTTGTTGAGCGGGGCACCCTTCCTGAAGCAGAGGCTCGCCGGATCTTTGGCCAACTCTGTTTGGCTGTAGCGTACATCCACGGCAAGGGCATCGTACATCGCGATCTCAAGCTGGAGAATGTGCTTCTTGACGAGCGCTGTAATGTCAAGCTGGGCGACTTTGGTTTCACGAGAGAGTTCGAGGGGAAAAGGTTGATGGAAACCTTTTGCGGCACAACAGGGTATGCCGCTCCGGAGATGTTAGCGGGCAAGAAGTACACGGGAGAGGAGGTCGATATCTGGTCACTCGGCATCATCCTCTATGCCTTGCTCTCTGGCTCGCTGCCCTTCGACGATGACGATGAATCAGCTATGAAAAGCAAGATCCTCTCTGGGGAGTACGAGATGCCGCCCTTCCTCTCAGAAGAGGCACGCGACCTCGTGCAACGCATTCTGCGCTTGGAGCCGACACAAAGGCCGACACTCAAGTCTATTCTGTCACACCCTTGGTTCACCAAGACCATCGTAGCGACGCCGATGACCACCGTGGAGGAGGATGTGGCGCAGGGCTCGTACTTTCAGGACTCGGCGCCAGTGCCGGAGGTCAGTCCGGAGGCACGGACGAATGCCTCTTTAGTGGCTGCTCAGGCTTTGACGACTGGGGAGGAGGCCCTCACTCCCGCCCATGCCGCAGAGACATTAGCTGGTTTGGGAGTTGACCTAGGCGTATCATCGTCAAATTCTGTGGGCTCCGTATCGTCCATCTCTCAGAGCGATGATGATTCCAGCGGCCCTCCTTCGGAGACGAACACCGACCCGACTAGCCTTGACGTGAGCGACAAGGGTAATGAGGGCACGGAAGAAGTGCCGGTGAAGCGAAGATCGGGGGCGATGCAGCGCAATGAGTCACAGTCGACGATTCGCAGAGATGGATCGGTAGGGAGTGACGGGACACTGAGTCGTAGGCAGTCTGTGAGCTCAAGAGCTGCTCGTACTTTGGCAACCCACCATGAAGCGGGAAGCGGCCGTGACTCGAGAGCGTCAACGCTGCACGAGGCTCCCCTGCTGGTAAAGCGAGACTCTCAAAGCTCCTCACGCGGGCATCATCGAACACCATCTCGCACCAAACGACGTTCCCTCTCGTCAGGCGGTCTATCCGACCATCACCCTCCGCATCTCACGAATCGCCCCGTCGACTACTGCGCTCTCCTTGAGCAGCAAGCTCCCGCCCTATTTTCGACACCCCTTGAACAGGGCCTGCTCCATCAGCTCGGCAGCCTGGGTATGGACGTTGGACAGATCGTTCACTCGATCCTCACTGATGCATGCGATGCTAGCGCGGCGATGTGGTGGCTGCTGAAGAGCAAAGTGGAAGAGAGGCAGGAGACGGAACGCTTCCTGGCGCCAAGCGGGGTCACACCTTCCTCCTCGGGGTCGGCGACCATTCCTGCGCCACCTATACCTCCCAAAGATCCTCTGCGAGCTCAGCGACGGGACAGTGAGGCGAAGGACAGCGATGATGGCCATAGAGCGATGACCAGAGTAGAAGGACTGCCCAGTCGAGCTCAAGACTCGTTCCGACGCCATGTGCAGCCGCCTACAGAGGCGGCCCTTCCATCGGCCAAGGTGACAGAGCAGCCGAGCAAGTCCTCCATCACGCCGCCTGATGCTGCTCAACCTCCCCTGTTGTCAAACGTCACAGCTTCACCGCCGCCTCGCCCTTCAATGGCAAGCTCCATCGACGATGACGGCCGCAACAACGGCAGTCCCCGTCAAGAGAAAGCCGCGCGGCCGCGCCCATCGCGTGACCGCACCAACTCGCTCAGCGTCAAGCTAGCAAGTGTGCTTTCAGGCAGTCGCAAGGAGAATGCTCCAGAGGTCCCCACGATCTCTCTCGAAGACGAGGCGGCTCCAAGTGGCGCGGAGCGTGCTAAAAGTCCTTCGACGAATGCTGTCGCCAGCTTCTTCTCGCGACGGCCAGCAGGCGGTATTGCGGCTGCGAAGGCGACTGGGGAGCACCAACGAGCTATCTCGCAACCTCTTCCAGCGAAGGGCCTGACCACGTCGGTGACCGAGAACAATCTTACCGCATCGTCGTCCTCGGCAATGCCTCCTCCGCCCGTATCAAAGTCAATGACTCCACTGATGGAGGGCGAGCGCACCTCCTTCGGCAGCACTTCCATCGAACAAAGTCCGTCTAAGTCGTCATCGGCGAAGTCATCGGCTGGGGGCCATCTGCCCAACTCGAAGTCAGTTGATACGTTCACGACTATCTCGTCGTCCAAGCAGAGCATGACCGGTGATGAATCTTTGCGCAGCGGAGGTACCGACGGAAGCAAGAAGCCATCCTCATCCTTCTTTCACACGGTCAAGTCATGGCTAGGTACGGAGGACAAACAGGCGAGAAAGCAGCGCAAGGGCAAAGCGAGCGCCGGCACTGCAGCTAGTGGGAAGGGCAAGGGGACGGCTTCCAAGGCTGGAGGACTGACGTTGGCGGGGCATGGCCATGATGCCTCGACGGGGATGCACCGCACGGGTAGCGTCCGCAGCAGGGTTGGGCCGTATTCTACACCCGCGAGCTCTAGCTCAGGAGGCTATGCGCCCAACTCCTCACCCACAGCCTCGCGACGTTACCCTCGCACCCCGTCCAACAAGACGCTCACGGCACATCGGCTCTCTGCTTCAGGCGTGGCTAGCGCCACAGGCTTATCACTCATTGATACGCACAGCGCCTCCCTCGCCCGACCTTCACCTCTGCGGCGGCCCAGCGCAGGCAGCATCACGCCGACAGCGCTATACGGCGAGCGACCAAGCCGCGCTCCCTCGTCCAGCTCCCTGTACCGTGGTTCAGCCCCGTCAGGCGGGATCCACACACGGGCGGGGTCTATCAGCTCGCAGCACTCTGGCTTCGTAAGACACTCCTCCCTGGTCGGCGGCGGAGGTGGCTTGCCGTCCTCCACCGGCAGCTTCAGGGCCAGCCCACTTGCCAATCGCCGCATGTCATCAGACGGTGGCGGGACGGTTGTCATGCGTCACCGCGTGCGTCCACGCTCGGAGAAGTCGAGACCCACTTCACTCGTTGATACAGGGGACGGCCTTTTCAGTAGCAGCGGCGGCGATGATCCAACCCACCTTGGCTCATCGACTCTCGGTACCGGCGGAGGACACGCAACGCCCCGTCGCTGGAGTATCGACTCGCGCCGAGAAGTCGACTCAAGAGCAGGTGGTCGCTCCTCGCCTCTTACGCCACAAGCGGGCTCATCGAGCATCTTTGTTGCTCATCGGCCAAGACACCATTCGTACAAGCCGCCTTCCTCGAATCCGTCTCTGTTCCACCACCATCACCATCACGCCTCGTCTTCTTCATCATCAATGTCGCGCAGGCCACACAGCTCGTCGATTCACTCCTCAAACGGCACCGGCGGCAGCGACTGGACGCATGGTACAGGTGGCGCAGGTGTATGGCGAAGAAGCTGGGGACGCCCACCTCCCTCCTGGACAGGCCCAATTGACGACGGACCCTCTCGTGCCGAGCTTGCGCGGATCGCCGCGGTAGCTCGAGCGACGAGCGCCGGGAGGACCTCGTTGCGGGACGTCTTCTCCGGCCGCAGGCGGAAACATCTGGCCCGGGATGAAGAGGATGGGAGTGTGGCGAGCAGTACGGAGGATTGGGAAGATGAGGATGAGGATGAGGACGGTGAGGATGATGAAGAGGGGCGAGGCAGGAGAGACGAGCCTGTCTTTAGCGGAGGCTTGGGCCAGCTGGACTCCGCGTCGCACTCGGCCGGACCATCTGCGACGTCCGCCTCGGCATCGAGTCGCATCGGTGGGGCGGGTGGTAGTAGCAGCCCCTTCCCCGCAAGTCGCCGTGGAGATAATGCTACCTCCAATGGTAGCGTTCGTCCAGGCTACGCTCCCTGGAAGAAGCAGAGCCCTGTCGTGGCCTCGTCGGGCTCCCCCATCATTTCTACGGCGGGCGGCGGACGCAAGAGCTGGCTACCGTCACAACCAGGTGGGTCAGCCGCGCCCAATCCCTTCGGCAAGAGCGCTGCACCCTCTTCAACAACGCCCAAGCTCGCCTCTCCCTCCCCTTCGCCCTCCCTCGCCGCTTATCAAACGCCTCAGCTGGGCCGCGATGCTACACCGCGCATGATCGCCGTCAGTGAAGACGAGGAGGGAGAGGAGGAAGACGACGGATTTGAGACGATCGAAGAAGGGGCGACATCAGCTGATGCGACGATCAGGGGAACCCCGCAACCTCGTCTCGCTGTTGATCCAGCAGGAGGAGACTCGGCATCCACGTCGCCCGTGATGGGCCCCTCGCCTAATCTACCGGGAAGCTTCGTGCCCTCCTCCTCGTCATCCGTCGCAGCAGAGGGGAAGGATGATCCTGCCATCGTCGGCCTCGGTCTCGGCGAGACGGTCGTGCCCCACACGGGCAGTATACCGGCCGAAAGCGCAGTTGGAGCGGGCGCAGCGGGAGTACGAACAATGCCTGCCCGACGCGGAGGTGGCGGCGGGTCGCCTTTGCCACCCGCTGTTGAGGAGGAAGAGGAAGAAGAGGATTCGTGAGAGGTTAAGATTTTGTCGAGAGTATTCTTATTGTTGCCTTTTTACCCAGCCAGATACCCAATTGGAGTTCGAGCTTTCTCTCCTACGTCTGCCTAATCAGCCGCCAAGTCGAGTCGTGAAGGAATCATTGTATGAGAGAGGCAGAAGAACAGAAAGACACGCGATCTGGAGCAACAAGCAATCCTTCGAGCGCCCGCCGCCCGTCTACGTGAACACCATCGTCGTACGGTTGAACAGGGCCGGACTAGCCGCTGCTCTCCCGCCAGTCCCCGTCTCTCCCTCAGGAGGCACCATGGTGAAAACCACGTGCAGGTTCTTACTGATCTCCGTCTGGAACCAAGCATAAAGCTCCTCACTCGAGTCCAAGATCAAGCCATCTCTCGCCGCCCCCTCCTTGCACTGCGTCATCAGCGAGGTCCATTCGTCTCCTTCGAACAGACCGGGCACCTCTGCGTTTGCCAGGAGGGTATTCATGGCTTCGAGGAAGTCGGGTGAGATAATCTGGCCCTCGTCGATCAAGAAGCACATCTTCTCGCCCTGCGTTCCGGCGCGACGCAGCACGATCTTGAGATCCTCATTGAAGTCGGACATGGTGTAGCGATTCGAGGTCGCAATCGTGTACACCGACAGCCCGTTGAGCCAAGCGACGAAGCGCGTGAGCGTTGCGCGCCCACTGCCAGAGACGCCGATCATGAGGACGTGACCCTGGCGTTGCCTGAGCACTCGGTCGATGGACGTGGCTACGTCTAGCGTGCCATCGTGCAGTACCAGACGCGTCTCGAGCTCCTCTTCCGAGTACTGGGCGAGTCGCGCCGTAGTGTGGCGTCGGAGTGCCTCGATGTCGACGCTCTGTGTAGAGCGGGTGAGCCAGTTGCTGAACAGGATCGGACGGGCGAGGGCGGATGCCCCTACATTGGGGAAGTGCTGACGTGCTGTGCCGTCGATCTCGGCATCAGTCCATTGCTTTTCGCTCTCATGTACCAAACGATCTTGGAAAAGACGCAACCCCTCGTAGGCCCAGACGCGCACCAGTCCGTCGAGGTCCAGGTCGTCGAGAGGCTTGATCGCCTCATAGATACCGCGCATCCAGCGCGTCAACTCACGCGGCGAGTAGACGTAGTGTGCCTGCTGATCGGCAGTGAAGCGTCGCTGCGATGCGAGATAGAAGTCGACCATAGCCGACGTGAGCGCGTCTGCATAGCCGCGAAGATTTGGCGTGACCTTGAGTAGAGCCCGATTGAAGGTGCTGTAGATTTGATTGAGCGACACCTCTCCTGGATAGTCGACCATAATGAGCGGAGCATGGCGCAGGAAACGGTGGCTGAGCGGCACACGGCCCGGGTCCGTAGGAGGGTTGCAGGCTCCAACGAATTGGATGCGCTCCAGCCTGACCCAGACTTTATCGCTCGGTCGCCAAAATCCGCCACGCTCGACCAGCTGGCGCAAGAAGGATATGACTCGCTGCGTTCCGTACTTGTCGCGGGAGGGGAGATTGATCTCGTCGCAGAAGAGGACCATCCATTTGCCCAGCTGCACAGGCGCCAACACCACGCCGCTCGGTGTCTTGCGGTACTCGCAGTACTGATCGAAAGTCTTGAGGATGAGCTCAGGCGTGGTCGCGCTCGAGAAGTTGAGGCCGACGACTTCCTGGTCGGGGAGCTTGCGCAGGGCACTGAAGAGGGTCATGGTCTTACCCGACCCGGGAGGACCGCACAGCATGAGGGGCTTGTGCTCGGAGAGCCAGGAGTAGAGGACATCTTCGTGTCGCACCGTATCCATCGTCGGGATAACCACGTCCGCGGACACGACCTTGGCCGTCTCGATCTCGATGCTGGGCACCTTGCTCGTCCAATTGAACCACTCAGCGTTGTTGATCTGGACGTCAAAGTCGATCAAGCTGACTCCGGGGCCGAGAGGAGGGAACTCGACGCTACATTGGCCTCGAAGGAATTCGCCCATCTCAGCGCGAGTTTCCAGGCGTGAGTCTCCCGTAAAGGCCCAGACGAGGCCGATGACCATGCGCTTCTTGGCGTAAGCTTCGAGGAGTTCCGGGCTGAGAGGGAAGTCCACGTGCTGCAAGTCGTAGTCAACAATGTTGCGCACCGTCTTGTTGATGAGAGAGAAGAGAGTGCCGAGCGCGCGAGCAACTGTGAAGTCCATGATGTGGAACTGGTCACGGGCGTGGAGGAGAGCAGCGTCGACCAGGCTGGTATCATCGTTCGTGCTCTGGAAAAAGGGAGCAATGACGTCGGCGACAGCGCGTTGTGTCCTCATTTCTGGACTTGTCATTTCGGAATCAGGTTGAATGCGAAGCGGTCCACCAAGAGCACCGCCATCCTCATCGTTGCCCAGAGGAACTGAGCGCAGCGAGCCGAGGAAGTGCTCATAGATCATGGCAGGGCGAACACTGTCGTCACTGAACCAGATCATTCCGCAACGCGATACGGTGGCCAGTGTGGCGTATTCCAGACTCTCAACCTCGAAGACGATGCGCACATTGGGTGGCAGGCTGAGCCGCTCTCCGTTGGGCAGCGTGAGAAGCTTGTTGTCATCGAGCACTGAGTTGAGGTTCTCAACCCATTCCGGATCAACATCGCCGTCAAAGATAATCCAGTGACGCTTTGAGCTCTCTCCGCGGGCGTTGTCGACAATCTTGCGCAGAATGGAAGTGAAGAGACCGTCATTCCACTCGCGAGTCGTAGGGTCGAGGGTACCGTAAAGATTGTCCTTGCTGATGGCCTTCGGGTCAATGACGTACGATACACTCTCGATTCCATCGAGCTTGTGCATGGCAGAAAGGAGCACTTGCCAAGCTTGCGTCTTGCCCGTGCCCGATGGACCAACAAGCATGAGACCGTGCGAGATCTTCTGAATCTGATAGAGCTGGATGATCTTGGCCTTCCATTGGCTCGCAACACCATCGTCGCAGAGAAGGTGACGCTCTGAACAGACGGAAGTGATCTTGGAGAGGAGCTGCTCGAGGTTGGCGGGCTTGTATTCCACGCCAGGGAAGACGTCCGAGAGGAGACTGTGCAGGAGGGTGACGTCGTCGCCTACGAGCTTGGGGACAATTGTCTCTGAGATCGATTGGATCAAGATCTCCTGCTCGGCCGTCTCTGACGAGGCAGCCGCAGCTCCCTCCTCCTCGCTTCCTCGTGCAGCACGCTCTGCCTCGAGGCGATCGCGCTTGAGCTGTCCTGCACTGACCAGCACGGACTTCAATGCTCGCAGCCCAAAGTCGTAGTGAGGCTGCCCGCTCAGCTGCTCACCACACAAGCTAAAGAAGGGCACAACCTTCGCCGCCAGCTTCTCCGACGTCCTGAAGCCCTGCGAGAAGAGCATCACCTGCGCAATGAGCTCGCGATCAGGATGCGTCATCGCCACGCTGCGGAAAAGCTTCTTGAGATTGATCGGCAGGGCGCTTCGTCCGGCGTAAGTGGGGTTCGTTGTGATGTTGATGGCCACCTCGCTGCTGAGCGGGAAGGTCTTGCCGCCCAGTTCGATCTCAGGCGAAGGGTTCGACGGAGAGGAGAGGGCCAGTCCACCCTGAATGGTCTGGATCTGCTGGGAGACGGCGGACAAGACCGCTTCGGAGAGACGATTGAACTCGTCGAAGCATGCGCTTGCGCCAACGCGGCAGAGGCCGATGAAGATGCGACCCATGGCTGGCAGGTCGAAACTCTCGTCGCAGTTGACGACAATGCTCATCTGGCCCAACTTGGCGCTCAACGCCTTGGCACTCTCCGTCTTTCCCGTTCCTGCAGGGCCGAACAGACTCGAGCCCATTTTGGCGTTGCGCGCTTGCGTGAGAACGCTGAAGGCCCGCAGGGTGAGAGGGGTGGTGACGAGACGATCGGCGGCGCCCAGGTACTCCCAGGCGTAGTCCATCTTGGCGTCAGCCATGTAGACGTGCACGGCTGATTCGCTCGCGGTGTAGAAGCGCATTTGACGCTGCCATTCCCAGGACTGTGGGGAGGAAACCTTGCCGCTAATGAGCTGTCGGGAGAGGTCACGCTGCAAAACGAGCTCAGTGACGAGACCCTCGGCCTTGCGTCTTGTCAGTGGTTCAATATCGCCTCGCAGTACCGTGTCCGCCAGCACCTCGAGGCCGCGCATGACGACCGTGAGGGACTGCTTGGGTCCTTCACCGATCTTGAGCTCTCCCTCGACCATCTCCGTCCAGAGCACTTGTACGGCGAGAATCGAGAGCTGAGCGGGCGTGTTGTCCATCCATGTGAGGAAGTCCTGGTCAGGTAAAACATCCGCCCGCGTGTACAACGGGCGCAGCTCAGCCAGTGCCTCTTGGAGCAGCTGAGCAAGCGTAGATCGCATCTCCACTTCGAGTGCGCTGAGCCATTCGTTGACTTTGGCGTTCGCAAGTTGAATGCTCTTCTTGAGCGGGACCCTCTCTCCTTCGCGCGAGATCATCGCAGTCATCTCTTGCCCTGCCCCATCAGCGGTCTCAATGGTAGCAATCCCACCGAACATCTTGCTCAACGAGCTGGATATGTTCGCGACGTCTTTGCTGCCAATGAGCTGAAGCAAGTCGCCATCTCCCAGGAAGTAGAGGCGAGGCGTCGTAGCTCTCTGCCTCTCGAGGAACTCGCCAAGTGCCTTCTGAATTTTGGTCAGGAGATCTGCCTGGCGCTCCAGCGTCCTCAGTACGCCAGGAATGGCAATGACGTCGAAGACGAAGGGCGACTTGTTGACCTTGCGCATGACTGCCACGAATTCGGACTCGACACTCGCGAATCTGCTGCTCTCCGCGGGGAGGATGGCGCGAATCTCGGTGCTGCCGTGGAAGATACCCGCCAGATAGACGTAGCGGGTCTGTGCATCGGCGTAGACTTCGAAGAGCTCCAGCACCCTCTCCAGGCGCTCGGTGAGACCGCGCGCCTCCTCTTCGAACGTCTTGTAGTGGGGCGACATGGCCATCTGACGGAGAGCGGAGAGGTGGTCCCCTGCGAGGGTGAAGAGATTCTCGAAGTGACGGACCAGGTAAGCCTCGCCGCGGCGCACGATGTCGAGCGTATAGGACGTCCAGCTCTCCCTCGTCTCGCGAAGGAAAGTCTCGCATGCAGCTTCGCCCGCTGCAATGGCTACTGTCTCCTTGATGGCGCTCTCGTTGCGCTTGAGATCCAGGTCCCACACCGCGCCCAGCGTGAGCTTTGAAGTAGAGAAGTGGCCCTTCCCCAGCCGCTTCCAAAGCGAGCGCCAGTGCCTGTCTCGCATTGCATCGCCGCTGAGCTCCGAGATGGTCGAAGTGGTCTTGAGCAGTCCGCGCAGGTTATTGGCGCAATGTTCTGCTGCGGAGTACTGGCGCATGCGAGAAGGCAGCTGCTTTGTCTGCTCGAGGAGTCCATCCAGCTGTTGACGGAGCTTGCGAGCCGGAGGAACGTTGCTCCACTTGGTGGAGCGGAGCTCGTCAAGCTGTTGCCAGATGCCGGAGAGAGCGGTCCAGACCGCCTTGAGGTCGCGCAGCTCTTCGAAAACGGGCTCGAGGGGGTTGCTGACGTCGTCGGCTGCAATTCCCAGCGCTTCCTTGGCTCGCAGAATGAGGCTGCGATCCTCTTCGAGCTTGTTGAAGCGCCCCTCGAACTCGTTGAGCGCACCTAGGCTCTTCTCGTGGGTCGAGCCGCCGTCGATGGGCTTGCCTTCCTCCCAAGCCTCAAGCGCCGCTGCGAGTTTCTCGGCCAATATCTTGTCTTCCGCAAGGATCTTGAGTTCCAAGCCTGCCTTCTGCTCCTGAATGCCCGCATCCTTGCGCGCCAGGATCTCGCTGAGGGCGCTGAATTGTCCCTCGACCTGATCGACCCAAAGCCACTCCTTGGGGAAAGAATGGCGCTGACGCTGAAGGATCTTCTCTCCGCTGGCGAAAACTTCGACTTGAGAGGACCAGCTCTTGATCTTGCGCTTTGTATCCTCTACTAGCATGACAAAATTCACCGTCGAAGCCGTCGAGCTAGCCTCGATGGACCCTTGCTCGAGATCATTGCGCGCTTTGAGGATTGCGGCATGCGTGTCCTTCATCGAGTTGCCCAGCCGACTGGCGAATTGACTCGTGAACATGCGCTGGAGCGAGTCGTACTTTGCGTTGACCTTCGCCGCCACCGAGCCGTACTCAACGGTCGCCACGCTGCCGAAAGAGTACTGCGTCTCCGAGTTGTCAAACACCGTACGCGCTCTGCGAATGGCTTGAAGAAGGTCCTGCCACTTGGAGAGAGAGTCGCCCAGCACACGATCGCCGACATTCTCGTCAAGGTCCCACAGGCTCTGAAACTGCAGCCATCGCTCGACGTATGCATCCAAGTCGGCCACTCTGCCCTCAATGAGGCCAAATGGGCGGAGCAGCGTATCATCATCGCCGAAACGTGTCAAGAGGGACGTATACGTGCGATCTGTTGTGTCGACTTGCTTGCTCATTTGCAGCCCGATTTCATATCGAGCGCTGAGCACTCGCTGTAGGCCGCACACAACGCCGAGGGTGTCGTGGAGCTGCTGAAACCAGCGCGCGCGAGCGTATTGCACCGGCGGGTCGAGGTAGATGAGCTGGTTCTGGATCTTGATCTCGTGCCTGAGGGGCTTCAAGTCGATGTGGTCTCGCTCGGCTGCTGCAAGCTGGTCGCGGCGTCGAGTTTCCTTGCTTTTCTTGCTGCGGTTCGAGGCAGCGCTGTGGCCATTCGCCAACTCCTTTCCACCGCCGCTGAACTCAGCACACCAGGCTGCGCTGATGAGCCTGAGACGCTCCACAAGGACGCTTTCGATCTGACCGTCTAGCTCCGCGACCCACTCCTCAAGATTTGGGCACCCTTCGAGGTTGAGCTTGTCGATAGTGGCCTGGATCTTGGCTAGGCGCTCAGAGAAGGCTGCACTCGTGTAAGGGCAGGTCGACAGCTCATCGACGAGGGCAGTCGTGTCGCGCTGCATCTCGATGAGCTCAGTCGTTTTGTCCTGGAAGAGGCTGACGGCACTGGCGAGTTGGCGAACAAATGTGACCTGCTTGTTCTCCCGTGCGTCGAGACCACCCGAGCCGGGCAAATATGCCATAGCGCGATGGCTTTCGTAGGTGTTAGCAAAGTGCTCCCAACGCAGGTTCATTCCCTGCGAAATGAGCCCCTGACAGTCGCTCTGCACCTGGGCGACAAGGCGAGCAATTGACGGATTGGCCGCAACGAGGTCGCACGTCTGCGTGTACGTCCTCACAGTCTCCATGAGCGAGACGGCGTGAGGATAGACACGCTTGGCGTCCTTTGCCAGGTTGTTTATGCCATGTGGGATCTGAAAGCCGAGCCAGATCAAGTTGCGCACCTCTTTAAAGAGGGAGATGACCTGCGAGTCAAAATTGACGACGAGCTCATACCGGTTCGTGGTGCGATTGCGCGTGACATTGAAGAGGCGGCCAGAGATGGTGAGGTCACGTCGTTGTATGTCTTGCAGCCAACCGTCGAAGAGTGGTCGGGTCGACAGCTTGCGCTTGAAGGTCTCGCTCTCGTTGTGCAGGCGCTGTCCCTCGGCGTAGAGCTCCCAGCCCTTGCCCAAGACGTCTTCAACACGACGCATGTAGATGTCCAGTTGGCGCTCGATCTGACGTGCCCAGATGATCGCTCCGGCGATCTCGGGCAAGTCGCGCAGCTGACTCAGATGATTGGCCTTTGAAGGGCGATACTGCGATTTGAATTTGTCGTGAAGAGCTTGAATGTCCGTCTTGACGCTTTGAAGTAGCTGTTGCTGGTATTCCTGGACGGCACCTCGCACCTTGGGGCGGACGAAAAGGGAGTTGAACTGGCTGAGGACTCGCAGCATCTCCCTCGCCGACTTGGCCTGGCCCAGAAGATCCCTGAGTCGGGCGATCAGAGTGTTCTCGACACGGGAAACTCGCTCGTTGTAGGCGTGCTCGGCAGCCGACCAGATCTCGGTGCCTTCTTGGCTAACGTCGAGGACGTCAATGACCTTGACCGACTCGTACGCTGCTTGAATCTCATCGCTCATCTCAATGCCGGCGAGAGACTGGACAGGCGCATTTCCGTTCGAGTGGCCCTCGATCGAAGACGAGACTGCCTTGCCTGAGCTGACCATGACTCCTGCGGAGACGAAGAGAGCAAGGTCAGCTTCAATCGAGGTCAAGGTGGGACTTCTTCGCGCCACTCACTGAGCTGCTCATGCGTCTTACGGAACGCAGCGATGTAGTTGAGACGATCGCGCAGCTTAGCATGCTCCGGATTGACCTTGATGGGGATGAACTTCTCCTGTCTCTTTCTCGTCACCTCTCTCGCAATGTTTACGAATTCCTTCATCGATTCATCCCACGCCGCGAAGACATCATTCGTGGCAGCAATGACGTCGCAGAAGCCGGAGAAGTCCTGGTACATGAGGCGCTGCGATGAGAGGACCTTGATGAGGGTATCGTTGAGGTCGCGCGAGATTGCCTCGACAAGGGGCAGGGCCCGCTTGACCGGGTAAGGGCTGATGCGCAGCTTCTTGTTGAGGTGGACAAACACGGCATTGATGGCATCGCGGCATTTGATGAGGTCCGTGGCCGAGAGGAGGTCGTTGAGAGGGAAGTCTCGCATCAGGAGGTTGTAGTTGTGGACCTTCTCAGCACAGTCCTTGAGGCCCGTATCGGCGAGGAAAGACACTGTTGCATGGAAGCGCTTGGCATTACGCAAGATGCCCAACGTTAGCGTAATGGGATCTGACCGCAGCTGCTGCTCAATAGATTCTTGTGCTCTCTCCATGGACAGCCAGAAGTTGACCTCCTGCGAAGCGGTTCCCGACGCCACATCTCGGTCTAGCTTGGTGACCGTCTGCACCTCCTTGACCCACGAGTTGACGTCGCTCTGCAACTTGTTGAGAAAGCTGCTGTCTGCGAGGAGCGACTGTGGTTGGACCTCTTCTGGGGCAACCTTACGGCCTGAGGACTGGCAGCGCTCCACGGTGGAACGGACAACGGGATGGACGACGAGGTGGATCTCTGGAATTTCGACGTTCTGTTGGAGATGGAGCAGACTGAGCTCCAGTTCAGCGAACTTGCGCTTGGCCATTGGAATGCCTGGCGTGGCGGAGGGGGAGGGGTACGTCAGCTTGGTCAGATCGGGTCGAAGGGTCGCCTTGTACGCGTGTATGCGCACCCATTCTGGCGTCATTGTCCTTGTTCTTGAGCGTCGTAGTGGTACTTTGTTTATCCGGGCCTTCCCTACTAGCCACATATGCATCGAACCAAGGCGCCATGACATTGTGGACGACGCTGTGCAGGGCCTCGTAAGGCGACTCTCTCACAGTGGCGGAGATGGCAGCCTGCTGAGCAGCGTCGTCGCTGCCTCCTCCAGCGCCATTGACGGGCTTCTGCGATTGCTCAATCAGCGCAGCAGATGCACTCGCCGGGCCAAAGAGAGAGAGGAGGTGAAGCTGCTGCGCGACGGGCACATCAGCGTCGAGAGTCGGGACGCGCTTGATGAGGGCGATGCTTGAGACGTGGCGTGGGGTATAGCTTGGTCGGCGAGAGAGTTGAAACTCAAAGAGGCCTGCATGTTGAGAGATATAAGAAAGGTTGTGATATGCGTATAGATTGGCGACGCTGTATGTACTCACCCTGTTCCTCATTGTCCTGCGCAGCCTCCCTGCGCACCTTTTCCACGTAGACGACGGTAACGCTCGGATCACTGGCAAAGGACTCAGCGACGTCGTTCCAGGAGGTAGTCGTAAACAAAGTGTCGTGTAGCTCGCGACTGCTGGCCGAGCTGACAATAGGGAGCAAAGCGTCGAGATAGGCTTGTAGCAGTCCAATATCGTAACGTTGTCTGACCACGGGTGAGTCGCCCTCGACAGAGCCCCCTCCTGCGAGGCCTAGCCCGCTGCTCATCGACGCCGATGCTGGCATCAGAGCGGCTGATGCCATGGCGGTCGTGAGTTTGAGGTGAAGAGGGTCGAGATATGATAGGGAAGGGAAAGGTGCGAAAGGAGGCGGGAGGGTGAAAGGACGCACCCAGCACCCGCGAGCGAGATGAGGCGGCCAAGCGGGACAAGTGTTGGTCTCATCGCTCGCGTGGCGTAGCGGCCGTGGGCGCGAGCGTCTGGACGGAAGGGGGCAACGGCGGATGCACTTGGCTCAAGCTTGTCATCATCATCACCAACTCGCCTCCTTCGTCGTCAAGAATGGCACGTGAAGACGGCAGGGCTGAGCATTCCGGCTTGACAGAAGCCAACTTCGCCAACCTCTTCCGTGTCATCGATGCGGCCACCACTTCGCAGGATGCTGCCTCCCCGTCGACGAAGCGCAAGAGGGCCAGCCATGCGACATCCAACGACGACGCTTCAAGGCCACGGACGATGGGGATAGCAGAGTGGGCCAAGGCGAGAGCGGATCTGCATCTGGACAAGAAGAGGAATATCGAGGCTGCTCAGAGGAGAATGCCCGTCGTTCCCGCTTCTCCTTCGCCCTCACCATCAACGTCCACCCTCGCATCCACCTCTTATGCTCCCTTTTCCAAGGCGAAGCTGCTCAGTCGAATCGGAACCTTCACCCTTTCAACCTTCAATGTCCGCACGGCTGCTCCTCGCGACTTGGTCCCTGCCATCATACAGTCTGCAGAACAGCGTAAAGCCCTCGAAGGGAGCATTTCCGTCCTCACCCGCTGGCTCGAGCCTCTTGGCCCAGCGCTGCACGGCTGGCAGCACTTGGCTCCTCACCAGCTCGTCACGAGACGTTCACAATCTGGGAAATCACACGAGCAAGAGCGCGGAGCGAAGAACAAGATCTACTGCCCTACATGCGGCGCAACGCACACTTTCCCTGTTACTCCTGTCAGCAGCCTGGCAGAGCTCTTCGACCAGATCCACCACCTCTCGACCGCCCATGAAACCTGGTGCCCCTGGCGTCGTCGTTCCTGCGACCAGCGGCTGTACCATATCGGCGGCGAAAGCGGGAGCGGCCATCGCAATTTGGTGATTGGAGCGCCCAGCAAATACAAGGCGCGCAAGCGTTGCTTAGAGACTGTGAGGGAGATTGAGGTGGCGATGGGGGACGCGTCCATAGAGGTGGTTGGGCTACCGGATGAGGAACAGGGAGACATTGACGCTGTCGTACAAGCGCTTGCCGCTCTAGCGCCCAATGAGCACCTGCCGAACCGCTCAGCTGTCATTCTAGCCATCCTCGGATGGGAAGCAGATCCAGGCGGCAAGTTTATCTCTTGCGGAATGTGCGCGAGGAGGGTGAATCTGGGGGTAGCGACGGGTACGAAGATGATCAATGCCGTGAGGGAGCACCGCAGCTTCTCTCCGTGGGTGCAAGCTGAGGTGCAAGCGGGATGTTATCTTCCGGCTCTGCCTCTGATGGGAGACGGTGACGGCGACGGTGAGGCTGCGTTGGTCCAAAGGCTGCAGGCTGTGTCCGCTGGTGGGGCGCAGACGTCGCATCCTGGATGGAGGTTGACTTTGAACAAGCTCCTTGACCACAAGCAGCGCACTGCGGCCACGACAGGAGAAGTCGACGTCAGCATAGATGGGGACGAAGAAGGAGGGGCGACCACCGTCGACACGGCTGCGTCAACTACCTCGAGCTTGACGAAATCGTCGGCGCGAGGGCAAAAGACTTCAGACATCCTTCGCACGGCAAGAAACATGCTGTTCGGTGGTGGCAGCGGCAGTGACAGCGGGATAGGCGGGAGGAAGGCGTAAAAGAAGCGGGCCGGGGGGCGGGATCTGGAGAAGGAGGGAAGCGGCTGAAAGCAGTCCATGTACACTACCAGCATCACCAGCATCGAGCATCGAGCATCGAGCAGACACAATGTAATGCCACTCACGTACGAGATCGAGAGCCATTTTGACGCCCCACCCTCAAACCGTCATGACCCAAGGGGCTCGAGTGCCAACGGCTGACAAGTGGTCCTCTGAGCTGGGCTATTCGCTGTACGGATGTTGTCGGCCTCAAAGTGGTTGGTAAGAAGCGGATGAGACTGCCGTAACGCCAGGCGGGGCGTATCTCGCGAGAGCGCAACCCGATTCGTGGACGTTGTGGACGCCGTGACGTGAGCCCACGCTAGGGCAGGCTTCCTGAAATTTCACACGTATCTCCCCTCTCGGTTGCCAACACGACGACCATTCCTCCCTGCAAACAATCTGCCCCTCAGCCATCTTTTCCGTGCCTGCCTTTGTGCCTGGCCACGACATTCCCTCGCTCTTCCATTCGGCCCTTCCCGTCCCACCCTCGTATCTACTCTAGTCACGGGCTGATCATTCATCGTCCTCAACAAGAGCGGCGACAAAGCGGCCTCCACGCTCCAAGCTCCACGCTCCCCTCGGTCCGACGTTGTCACTTCCTCATCGCGACTGGCGAGCACAGACGGAGCTGTCTCTCTCGTCGCTCGCTGTGCCGGCTGCTGTGCCCAACTCGCCGCTGCCCGCCTGCGCCCTCTCTCCAACCCGTCAGCCTGGCCAGCTGCTCCTCGTTAGCGGGCGCCCCTTGCGCCCTCCTCTCGCTTTTGCTGCAGGCTCTCGCTGCCCCCTCCACGGGAAAGCGGAGACGAACGTCTCTCTGTCCCTCTCTCACAGCGCAGCGCGTCGTCGCCAGGCCTGCAATTCTGACCTACTGATTCTGCACGACTGAAGTCACACCAACGCCAACGCCAACGCAACGCCTAGCCCAGCGACGAGCAAGGCAAAGGCAAAGTGAAAGTCCGTTTGATCGTTCGTTCGTTGGACCGACCGACGGACCGACCATAGCTTAGCTTCGTAGACTCTTCCACGCCTACACGTACGCCCACGCTAGCCTAGCAGCAGCAGCTAGCCAGCGACATAGAGAGCAAGGGCTTTGCGTGCTTTGCATTTGCACTCTCCACTTTTGCTCCGACGCCTTCATCATCTCCACCCTCATCAGCATCAGCATCACCGTCAGCATCGTCGTCGGCACCACCGCTCTCGACGCCAGGCTACACGGCAAGACAGCAAGGAAGCAAGCAGGTGGGCAGGACCTGCTTTGCAAAGTCGACTACGGCAACAGTCAGTCCACTTCCACCGCAATCTTCATAAACACCCGTCGACCCTTCGTCCTCCTTCCTCTTTCTCGAATCGAATCACTCCGCGATCCACCGATGCTGTCCTGAGATTGCGGGGTGTCTCATCGTCATCGTCTTCGACAAGCGCGCATAGAGCGGACAACACCGATACAATTGCCTCCGGTCTTACCACAGCTCAGACGTTGCACACACGACGCTGCTCGCGAACAGGGTTGTCAGCACGTATAATTCTCACCTTCCGCACGCCGGCCTCGTCAACCCGCGATCCGCCGCAGCGATGTCATCGAGAAAGGAGTCGTCCTCGTCGTCCTCGGCATCAACGTCGATTCTGTCAGCGAGACAGCGTGCGCCTCCTGGCCCATCTGGCGGAATGAGCGAGTCTTTGCATCCTCCTCGTCCAAAGTCACCGATGTCCTTTGGGCTTAGGCGGCTCCGCCAGCCCTCATTATCATCTCCAACAGCTGTCGTCGACTCTGCCGCCCCATCGTCCCCCTCACCCTCATCTCGCACACAACCATCAACACCCCGCTCGACGTCAAGCACGCAGAGCTCGCCAAGTACAACACGAGCCAGTGGTAAAGGTGGCGGGCTCTTCAGGCGGCCGAGCTTTACGCTGTCCTCGTCGAAGCTGGCCAATGGTTCTTCCAGCCAGACTTCCTCTGCGAGCAGCGCTGCTGGACCCTCATCACCTGCATATGCTGCGGCCTCCCCCTCCTCTCCTGCCAGCAAGATCCCTCGCTCTGCACCACCTCTTCGACCAGGTAATCGCGCCGGTCATACCCGTTCAGCTTCATCGTCGACCACTTCGAGCATCATCAACAATGCCTCGACTGCTCAGCAGGAGTTCAACTCGTATAGTGGGCCAGATTCGGCGCCGTCACCATCGCACTCGCGGCGCAGCTTCTCCTTAGACCCAGTTCCCGCATCAGCAAAGAAGAAAGTTTATGGTAGAGAGGACGTGGAGCGTTACAGGCAGGGACAAGGAGGCGGACATGAAGGACACCAGCAGCGCTCGATCAGTCAGGGCACTATGCAGACTGCCACGTCGTCAGGTTCATCATCGCCGCTCGGCCGCAACGGCACGCTCAAGGCTTCGTCGCGGCTCAATGTTCCTCCAGAGAGCAACTCAATCAGGCCCTCGATGGACGTGGACGGCGGAGAAGTCGAAGATCTCGACTCTCAACCCTCGAGCTCTCGCACCAGCTCACGACGTCCCTCGATTACAATTGCAGAGCAGCAGCGCAGCCAGAGTGTCCTTGGCGTCCGGCCGCCGCAGGATCGCGGCACTGCCTCGTCAACCTCATCACTGCGAAGTCGGGAGCGTCCGATGAAGCGGAGCGATTCGAGTGGCTCGAGGCGGAGCATCTTTGATTGGGGTGGATCGAGTGGGATCCCATCCATCGTGAAGCGTGCGGGAGGAGGTAGGGAGAAGGGTACCTCTTCTGACGGGCCATCAGCTCCCACGTCTACTACGTCGCATCATCGTCATACGCCTTCGACGAGCTCAGCTTTCAAGGCTTCGACGCTGGAATTCTTGCGGTCAGCCAGCTCGCTGGGACATCGAGGACGCCAGCAGGATTCGGACAGCTCAGATGATGATGACGACGATGCGGACGACAGAACAGAGGGGGCAAAGACGCCTGAGCCTGGCTTCTTCAGTCGAGGACATGGCAGAAAACCCTCCGGTACGTCGGGGATCCCGCTATTCAGAAGACCAAGAGCTACGAGTCAGGCTTCCAATGCTGCCCTCGGAGGACAGCAGCGCCAGCAGCAGGACGCTCCACCGCCGCGGCCGCCTAGCCGCTCCTCAACGATGGCCTCAAGTATACTTGGTGGGCGAGATGGAGGAGGCGTCGGCTTCCTCTCTGCCCTCTCCAAGGTCAAATCGCGAGAAGGAGTGCGAGCAGACCCGCAGACTGGCGCTTTACCTCGACAAACGCCCCCTCGTAGTGCCAATTTGCCAGCGCAGGATGATGACAAGGACCTCCCGCCTCGTCCCTCTACTTCCATCGGGCACTACCTCAGCACGCCTTCGCGCTCTCGACGCCCTTCGCAGGCTTCCATCAGCCCAGAGGAGAATCTCTCGTCCCGACGAAAGCGAGTGCCCTCAATCTACAGTCTTGCGCCTGCTGCATTAAATACCGGGCCGCACAGCAGCGAATCAGAGTTAGAGAATCAGCAGCAACCAGCAACGCCTGCAAGTCCTTCGCTGGCCAACGGAGCAGGCAATTCAGGCAGCGGCTGGCGCTTCGGTCGTGGATGGATGCTAGGCCGCAAGGACGTCAAGCCCACGACTGCAGGGAGCGGGTCAACTACCTCCTTCGCTTCGGGCGGGCATAGCTACAGCGGCAGCGCGGGCAGCAACAACATCACCGCGCCGCCTCTCCTCTCGCCAAACGCCAACTCAGCCACGCGAAAGTGGGTCGCCCTGCCCGAACCCGCTTCCTCGAGCAACAACAGTACAGCATCCCTCTCGCAGCCAGCGAGCCTCATCTTCGGCGTGCCCTTACGCCAGGCAGTCATGCACACGCGCTTCCTGTCCCCTGTCCCGATCAACGAGGCCACCGCAGCCACCTCGGCAGCTGCGAGCCCACAAGCACCGTACCGTGCAGCACCCCCTGGCTCCCCGCTTCGAGCGAGGCGACGACCAAGCAAGATTGGTCTCTTGGACCTGGGTAACGAGTTCAGCATTTCGCCCGACCTCTTCGGCTCGGGAGGAGGGGAGAGTGCCTCTAGCAACAGTATCGACTCGGCTCTTGGTCTTCCTTCGCCGCTTTCGCCTGGTTCGCCCGTCACGAAGCAGCCGGTCACAGGTGCCGGCACACAGCCAGCAGTGCCTGCAAGGCAACCAGTGGACCGCGCTGCGGCCCGCAAACAATACCTGCCGCGCTTCGTCGTGCGCTGTATCGAGTCGCTAGAGACGTACGGGCCGGATGAGGAAGGCGTTTATCGTCTCTCTGGCCGATCTTCGCACACGCAGAGGATCAGACAGCTCTTTGATGGCAAGATGGATTTGAGCACCTTGGTCGTTCCACTCGATGACGGCGAAGGGGCCGGCGAGAAGGGGTCGAGCGGAGAGGACGGAGACTTTGATTGCGATCTGGACTTGCGAGCCCTACCCCCGTCGGAGTGCGACCTGAACTCGGTCTGCTCGGCGCTCAAGGCTTGGCTGCGGGAGTTGCCCGCGCCCATCTTGAGCAAGGAGCTCCTCGCCACGCTGGAGGGGACTGTGCGCCGCCACCAGGCCTCCGGCACCTCTAGCGCAACCGTCGAAGAGGCTTCGTCACTTCTCGCGAAATTGGATCCGGCCCCCTGGTACCTCCTCCGCGAGCTCTGCCTCCACCTTGGCGACCTGACTGCTTCGGACGTGGTGAAACGCACAAAGATGACGCTCAACAACCTCTGCCTCGTCTTGGCGCCCACCTTGTTCATCCCGGTGACCACGCTCAACTTCCTCGTGCAGCAGCGCGAGGAGCTCTTCAGTCAGGCGCCGAAGGAGGACGCCCAGTTGGACTTGGTGCGCGAGGGTGGGATTCTGGGTGGGTGGGGAAGTAGTGGAAATGTCAAGGGGGCCACAAGCAATGCGGAAGGGGCATTAGGGACGCCGAGCAAGGCAGGAAGGCACACACCGACCGCCAGCATGGCGTCTATGATCCCGATTTCCAGTGCAAGAAACAGCCCGCGCAGGGCCGATGGGGGGTCCAACGGTAGCACAAGCAACAGCGGAGATACTGTCTATTCGACCTCTCTACCGCGTTTGCGTGACCCCAGCTCCGGCTCCAATGGTGGCGCGTCAGCAAGGGCGAAGCAGTGGAGGGAGACGGTCTTCCTTGGCGTGCCTTCGTCCGCGTCGCCTTCCACCTCGTCATTTTCTACCGGACCATGGGCAATGGCAGGTGCGACGGGTGGCGGCAATAATCGAGACTCGCAGGCTAGCGTGGCGAGCAATTCCACGGTGACTGCTGCGCATCAGGGCGGACAGACGGCAGAAAGTGAATCGAGCCTGCCCAGCGAGGATGGCGAAGAGGAGACTTCCGGCGCGACCATGGTTGTCAAGCCCGACGCGAGCGTCGATGAAGAGCAGGACCCCCGTGGAGATCTGGCTTCCTCCATGTCCACTACCTCGTCTTCGCGCTCTCTCGCCGCCCTGTCGTCCCGCGAGTCGCATTCTAGGCATAGCTCAACGAACACTGCTGTTAGCAGCTTGCTTGGCCCTTCAAATGGGAACGGGCAGAATGGCACGGCAGCAGGAGCTGCAGGAGCATCGCTGCCTGCTCCACCATTGGCCATGCTGGAACGCGCGCCTACCTCGGGATCAAGGCATGGTCAGGAGAAAGAGGAGATCCTCGACGACTTCCCTGCCCCTCCGGCTGCAGCCCCGCCGGCATCGTCGTCGCAAGCAGGCTGGAGTCGTCATGATCGCTCCAGCAGCAGTGGCGGTAGCAGCGTGGGCAGCAATAAAGACGTACCCGCCCCTCCCGTGCCAGGCAAGGAGAGCATGCGTCGCCGCCCGAGTGCCGCAACCACTACGTTGCCACCCGCGTCTTCATCTGTTCCCATCACCCGCCCTCCGGTCGCACGAGCTCGCTCCCGCACGCACGAAGGTAGCGGTAGTAGCGGACCATCATCTGCGGTTATGACCCCGTCGTCAAGCCACGGAGGAAGTGGGAGCAGTCTCGGCCATCATGCAGCTGGAAGCGGGAGCATCTACAATCGTTTCGCAACCCCTTCATCCTCGTCGAGCAGCCTGAACCACAAGTACAGTAACGCACTCGAGGCCCCTGCACCTGCAGCCATGCCAGCCTCTCCGGCTATGAGCTCGGCCTCGTCTTCTACGTCGCACACCTCGACTTCGACGTCGACGCTGGACAGGCCGAGGCCTATTGCCTCGAGCAGCTCAGCGACTGCCACTTCTGGAGGCGGTGGTTCAGGACGCTTCTTCTCGTGGGGGGGAGGGGCAGCGTAAGAGCAGCGCATACGATCTCAGCTCTCGACGCCTTGCTCCTCATGGCTCTATGTATATCCGGGCCTCACGAACATCTGCTACCAACGTCGCCTCACCCATTCCTACTCCACACCAGCATTCACTTATCACAATGCCCAACATCCTCTTCGCTCTTCCGCGTCTCATTGTCTCTACTCAGCTTCTCTCGAGCACGACGATCCCTAAATCTATTTCGAACGTACACGCTTCCACTCTTTCCCGCATGACGGATGCGATGCTGATGCTAGTCGAAACCAATGGCTAATGTACATGACCCTTCGTGGAGCCCTCTAAATCTCAATGCCTCCCGCCCCTGCCACCCCACTCCTGCCACTCAACAAATCTTCGAAATCCCTCTCCACCTCCTCCTGCTCGTCCCCTGGCCCATCTCCTTCGTCCTCGAATCGATCCATATCCCTCGGCTCCTTGGGCTCTTCGTCCTCGCCATACTGCATCGCATGGTCGATATGACTGAGCAGGGTCCCCACGGACTGCTCATCGTTGGCGTCCGAAGGGAGGAAGTGTACGACGGAGAAATCGTCAACTAATCTGACCACTGCGGCGTTGAGGGCGTGTAAGCGCGGGTTGGTCGAGGCGTTAGCGCTCGATGCTAGGAGGAGCGGGTCTGGGTCCAGGTATCGTTCTAGTGATCGGCGAGCGGCGAGGGAAGTGCCGGAGGCGGAGGATGTTGAGCCTACTGTTCCGCGGGAGAGGAGGTCGACCTTAGAGAGGACATTGATCCAGGGGACTTCCAGATTGATCATGGCACTCATGGCGCTCAGTGTGCCGGCGAAGAATTTCGTTACGTCCTAGCCGTGATATCGATACCGAGGCGGGGGGGAAAGGATCAGCGTATCGCTCAGCTACGTCCGCTGCGCTTGCACACTCACATCGACAAAGTGGCTCTCCAGTAAGTAAAGTTGGCACAGTCGAAACGAATGGCTGACAGCGAGGAAGCTCAAGACCCTCTGCACTAAGTTGGTGTGCGTGTACAACTCAATCTGACCTGGACAGTCCACGATCAAATAATCGTCCTCAAAGCTGCCCAGCTGCTCTTCCAACCAATCCAAGTTTTCCAACAGGTATTCGAAACAGTACACCAAACCTCCATTGGGACCCAGTCCCAACTCGGACATGACATCCTGTAGGGAAACGAGCTCACGGACGTCGATAGTGGGCGTATAGGTGAAATGCTCCGCTGCCGGGTCAAGGTTGACTAGGTGGACATTACGACCCAGCGTGTTGGCGTGAGCGATGAGAGCTGAGCATAATGTCGATTTGCCGCTCCCTGCAGGGCCGGAGATGAAGACTGCATAGCGGCCCATGGCTACGCAGATGCGAGGACGACGTGATAGTGATGAGGGGAAAAGAAATGGCAGAAGAGGGCCAATAATCTTGACAAAAGTAGCGAATCGCAGCCCTCATCTCTATCCGCTTCCTTACGTAAGCATCGCCTCCACTGACGCTTGTCCGCTGCTTTCTCACTCCCACGCCCAAGCCCACGCCGACGGTCGCTGCTTTCACCTCGGCCTCTGTTCTTCCTCGTCGTCCCATTAAGCAAGATGTCAGGGCACCCTGCGAACCCCTCGCTCAGCCTATGGTCAGCCTCTTCTACCCATACGCCACGAGTCTGCACGATAGCAGGTTCAGACTCGGGCGGTGGAGCAGGAATACAAGCAGACCTCAAAACGGTCCTTGCGCTAGGAGGGTACGGTTTGTCAGTCATTACGGCGCTTACGGCACAGAACACTACAGGGGTAAGCGGGATCCATGTTCCTCCCGTCGACTTTCTTCGGAAGCAGGTGCAGAGCGTTAGGAAGGATATCAGGATCGATGGGTGGAAGATTGGCATGCTAGCTAATGAGGAGGTGGTCGGAGTTGTTGCAGAGGAATTGAAGGACGTCAAGGCCCCCGTGGTGCTGGACCCCGTGATGGTTTCCACGTCGGGATCTCTCCTCTTACCGCATGAGGCTATTCAAGGCTTGATAACCAAGTTACTCCCGCAGTGCACGCTCCTGACGCCCAATTTGCCGGAGGCTGAGCAGCTACTTGCCCACGCGACGGTGGGTCGATCAGAGGCACAGGGGAGCAGTAAGCAGCCCATTCCTTCTCCACAGCCTCTACAAACTCTTCAGGATCGTCTAGATGCAGCAAAGAAGCTCTCCGACCTCGGACCAAAGGCTGTGTTGCTCAAAGGCGGGCACAAGGCCTTCAAGCGACGGGAGGTGGATGAGGCGCTGAGGAGCTTGGGTATCCTTCAAGCTGATCAGCAGCCACATGAGCATCACGGTCGATGTCGGAAGGTCCAGCAGGACCTCGAAGGTAGCAGAAGTGCAGCACCCGACGCCCTGTCTCCCGGAGCGGCCGTCTCCCTCTCATCGCGCGGCTCGTCGCACAACCTCATCGTAGTACGAAGCGACGGCCATCCCTACTCCCCTGTGCTGCGCCACCTGCTCAACGAAGAAGACGACGGCGCAGAGGAGGAAGTAGTGATCGACATTCTCTTCACCTCACAGACCAACACGTACACCCTCTTCGTCGGTCCACGCCTCACACAGGGTTGTACCCATGGGACTGGATGCACCCTCAGTTCGGCGTTGGCTACGCATCTTGCTGCGGGAAGCGGCAGTGGCGAGGGAGAGGTTGATGAAGACGCGCAGCTGCGTCGCGCATGCTGGCGAAGTATCGCGTATGTGCAAGCAGCAATCGTGAGGGGCTATGAGGACTTGGGAAAGGGACCGGGTGCGTTGGATCATGCGGTCAGTGTTGGGCCGAGGGGAGTCCTACAAAGCACGGCAGAGAGATTCACTGCTGCGAAGGAGCAAGACGATATTTCGGCGGATACCACGGAGCGATATGCTGGCATGCTCTCCCCCTCCTCGTCATCACGTCTTGGCTCTCAACCCACTCCGGTAGTGACAGCCCTCCTCTCTCGCTCCCAACCCCTCTGGGAAGCGTATGTCTGGCATCCTTTCGTTCAACGATTGGCTCTACACTTCCAGCCTGCCTCTTCCTCATCATCAGCATCACACCAGCCGCTCTCTCGCGCTCCCTTCCTCCACTTCCTCAAGCAAGACTACCACTTCCTCCTACACTACTCACGACTTTGGTCACGTTCCGCTTCATCTGCCTCCTCATTTGCTGAGGCGGACTACTTCCTCACACTGGCGCACGGTATGGCCCGCGAGGCGGCGGGGCACGTAGCGTTGTGCGAGGGCTCATTCGGGGTGGGCAAGAGGGAGCTAGAGGCGGAGAGAGAAGGCGAAGCCGTTATGGCTTATACGCGCTTCGTGTTGGATGTGGCGGACAAGCATGGGGGTGCAAGCCTGGAGACACTTACAGTCACAATGCCCTGTCTCCTCGGATATGCGGACATGGGCTGGCGGCTGCGCCTCGCCGATTCTGGCGACTCTTCATCCAAGATGAGCGACAGCCTGCGCACATGGTATCAGCAGTACGTCAGTACCGGGTACCTGACGGCTGTTCGTGCTGGTTTGGCCAAGCTGGAGGAAGAGGCGGCGGGGATGCAGCAACCCTCTGCGGAGAGGATGGAGAGATTGCAGGGCTTGTGGGATCAAGCGTTGAGGCTTGAGAGGGGCATGTGGGACGAGGCGATGCGTGTGACTGGAGAGGAGATGTAGAGCATAGATAATAGATTAAATCTAGAGAGCCGCAATAACGCTGCACCTTACTCGCGCAACAGTGGCGTGCGCTCGTCGCTGCCCTGCTGAGCGCGAGGCTCGTCCTCGACGTTATCCTCCTTGGCATTGCGATAGAGGATGTAGTGCTGCGTCATGAGGATGATGTCAAAGGCCAGAGAGAACAGCGAGATACCGCTGCGCAGAAGCAGAAAGAGGCATGGTCAGCATACACGCACGGATAGGTCCGTCTTCACACAGAGCTCTTGTACTCACAGCTTTCCTGGATTTCCCGTCACGCCATCCCAGCTTCCCTGGATCCATCGCGCATCAATGCAGAGCTGAGCAAAGCTCAATACGCCCCCGGCCATGTCCAGGGTGATACTATGCACGTTGAATCCGATGGTACTCTTACGTCGGTAGTTGAGGACGACCTGCGGAATCCACTTAGTCAAGGTAATGTACAGCTTTGCTGCGGCCAGAACATCCACGACGGCAAACGAGCGGACGCCAAATGCGTGAGAGAGGGACAGGAGCGTGGTAAGGAGGATGGTAAGGAGGATGAGAGAGATGGTAATGAGGGCCGGGCGTGAAGGGAGACGCGAAGAGCCTTCCTCAGTAATGGCTGCCTCCGACGAGCCGTCATGCCCGCTCTCGCTACCTTGGCCTTGCTCCTGCGTCTGCTCGCCAAGGCACTCCCTTCTCTCGCGCTCCTGCTTGGCTTGCCTAGCTCCAAACCATACCTTCTGCCCCAATGTGAAAGTACTGACGATAGCAGCATGCACAGCAAAAGCTACATCGTTCCACTGGACCGTCGGGTCCAACCCTTTATGCCCATCCCGATAGTCCTTCCTGACTGCCTCATTGAGAAGAAGCGCAAGCTGATTGGCCGAATAGCACCAGAATCCTAGAGGATTCAGGTAGGCAAAGTCGGTGGAGAAACCGCGAGAGGATTGCCGGCGCTGGTTGGTGAGGGCTTGCGGGTAGAAGGAGAGGGACCAAAGGGCAGTGTAGATCCAACCTAGGAGGAGGGAGAGGAATCCTGGGAGGGACATGGCGTGAGTTTGTGGTAGATGTAGCGTGGATGCTGGCGGTGGTATTAAGGAGAGGGAGAGCAAAGAGGGTGGAGAGGGCTTGCGTCTCGTGCTACGGCATGATGAGGAAGCAAAGGAGCCGCTGGTAACGCCGTCTCTCGCAGGTCCGCGTGGTGGAGGCCGCCGAGAGGCGCAGCGAGGCGAGGGCGGAACCACGAGAATCTTTGATTTTGAACTTGGAGATCCAGGCGCACGACATTCGGACGCTTCACCACCCATCAACCATTGCGACGATGCCAGCCAAGACGACAACGACGACGACGACGAATGCAGCGGGTAGCGAGCCGCCGGTGTTCCAATCAGAGACACCCAATGGCTCTCAGAAGGGTCAGGAGACAGAAGCGCGGACTGGCGAAGAAGAGGACGAGGGAGGAGATGACAACGAAGAGGATGCCCCTTCCAGCAGCTCTGCCTCCAAGAAGAAGAAGAAGAACAAAAAGAAGAAGAAATCCAGCGGACCTGCCTCTTCATCCTCATCTCACCCCGTCTCTCAAATCGACTCCTCCATCCCTCTCCCGCCCGGCGTTGCGCAGCACTATTTCGACCCGATTAAGGGCAAAGGCCTCGTAGCAACCCGAGACTTCGCAGAGGGGGAGGATGTCTTTATGGACAGCGCCTTTGTGTCAGCCCCACCGATGGCGCAAGCCAAGCACGTCGAGTCAGGAGAGCTGTGCAACGACTGTTTCCAACCCATCGAGCATGCCAGCCCCACGCTTGTGGTGCGATGTCGTGCGACAGGCAGCAGCGGCAACTCGAGCTGTGGGGCTACGTGGTGCAACAGGGAATGCGAGAATCGAGGGAGAACGAGGCATCACAATCTCCTTTGCCGCAACAGCAATCCTGCTTCGGGGCAGTTCCTTGACTTCTTGACCGGCCACCCATACCTCAGCCTGCACAGTGTGGCCAGACTGTATGCGATGACTTTGCTTTGTCACTCTCATACTCCCCCGCCTTCACTCACCTCGACCAACAAGGATGCTCGAGCCACTCTGCAGGAGACTCTCGCCCACACTCGCGCTTTTGCTCAAATCCACGAAGTGGCCAGGCGCAGACGCAACCCTGGCTGGGAGGTGGAAAAGAAGGCGTGGGAGGCGACGCTCAAGAAGGCGCTAGAGCTACTCAGGATCGCCATTGATCCGTATGAGCAGGGCAGGCTAGACGGAGGTGGCCAGGGTGGGATCAGGGGCAAGGGCAAATGGATCGTGGAGCCCGGCTTCCCGAGGGAAGTAGCTCAACAATTGTTTGGCTGGGATGGCTTCATGCGGTGAGCAGCTCCCGAAGCACGAAGGGGTACCTCCATGCCTATACTGATTGCATGTCTCTTCTTCCACGCGCACAGTTCGCTCGGGAGGGCCAACCTCAACCTCGAGTCACAAGGCTCCCTCTACGCAATCCACTCACACCTCAATCACACCTGCTCCCCAAACCTACAAGCACACCACCCCCCTCACCCGCGCTCGCGCGTTCGTCAAGCAACCAAAGTACTCCTCACTGCCACTCGTCCCATCAGCCGCGGGGAAGAGCTAACGATCACCTACCAAGATCCCTCACAAGCCCTTCGTAGGCGAAACCTCCTCCTCTGGCGCGAACATATGTTCGGACCCTGTGGCTGCGAGCGTTGTGAGCGTGAATTGGCTGCCTTGCCTGAAGACGAGAGGGAGGAGGCGCTACAGTTTGAGAGGGTAGACGAGGAGGACAAGGCCGAAGTGGAGGCAAGGCGACAGCAGGCTGAGCGATTGACGAGGGAGCAGGAGGGTGGGGAGGGAGGGAAGAAGGGAGGGGGAGAGAAGGACCTGAGTGGGTTGGAGGAGGAATTGAGGGCTAAGCTTGGCTTCTAGAAAAAGCAGAGCATTAAATCGCATATGAGCAGTCCTTGGTTTGTGTTGTAGTCCAGTGTTCCATCAGAGGATCCGCTCTCATCTTCCTCCATCACCGAATCGCCCCCTCGGGACGTAGCGATCCCCTTGCTCCGCATCTGCGGCATACCTTTTACCCCCTGCTCCATCCCTCGGACCACGGGGAGGTGATCTGTGCCTCACATCTTCTTCGCGCTGTCTCCATCGGTCACCCGTGGCGACTGGAGCAGGCGGCCGATCCCCTCGCGGACCAATTGTGGTGGCACCACGCGGGGGCGTGTAGCGCTCACGACCGTAGTCGCGCTCGTCACGACGCGGAGGAGGTGCACGGCTGTCGTTCTGGTAGTAGCGTTCAGCTTGGCGATAGCGCGACATTGCCGCCGGTGGGGGCGGAGAGGGGTCGCGGCGCCATCTTTCTTCAGGAAGAGGCCGAGATAGCGCAGAATAGTCCCTCGCGCGATCGTCTCGCCTCCAAGTGTCAACAGGGCTGCGACTTCTCCTCCTGCCGTAAGCATAATCGTCCCGCGGCGCTCGCCAGTCGTCCCTCTCTCTCCTACGCCAATCATCCCTTGGCGGCGGTGGTGGAGCGGCGTATTGATCAGGAATGGGCCGAGCGTCATATCGCCAATCCCTACGATCGATCTCATCCATCCTTCCTCTCGGAGGTGGACGCCAGGCATCCCGCTCGTCAGTATAGTAGCCGTACGGGTCGGGCGGCGGGAGACGGTCCATTTGAGGCTCCCACACGTCTCGTCGAGGAGGTGGTGAACGACGTCGTGGCCCGTCGCGCGATGTGAAGCCGCCCATTCTGCCCATCAGAGCAGCGCCTGCAGCGTCGTCGCTGCGACCAGCGATACCACGGATCGTTGTCCCTTGACCACGGTCGGCACGCTTGTTGCTGACGCCTGCCACAGGGTCTTGGCCTTTGCGCTTCTTGGAATCCTTCTTGCTTGCTGCTTGACCTTCCTTCCCCGCGGACTCGTTGCTGGGCGGGTGAGCCAGACGGAGAAGGAAGGGCCACTCGAGTCCCTCTTTGTCGGCCTCGTCGTTGTTCGACTTCGGCTTGCGAACGAGCAGCGGCAACCTTTCCCTCTTCTCGCCCTTCCATGCCCTCTCCTCAAGCGGCACATATTCCGTCACGATCGTGTCCACACTAGGCTCCGCTACAGGGTAGAAGCGTGCAGAGGGTCGACCCGCCGCCTCATCTACGGCCATGGCTGTTGAAGCGGTGGGAGGGAATGGACTGCCGTCGCACTCCCGCTGCAGCTTCATCGCCAGCTCAGTGGTGCGGAACACTAGCCACCCGCAGGACTTGATACCATCCAGCCACGCCCCTCCATCCAGGACAGTCGTGTCGAGCGGATCCTCCTGCCCCTCCCCTTGCGCGAGGATCTCCTTGCACTTGTCCTTAAGCAACGCAAGGGTCATAGGCCTGACCAGCCCCTCGACTCTCAGCACCCTCGCCGCAGGAAGATGTTGCGCAGCCTCTTCGATGCTGACCTGCGAAATTGGCACGACGTCCTCGACCATGTGGCCAAGAAGGGCGCGCAGCGTACGCAGTCCTTTCAGCAGCCCCTCGTCCGGTCCTTGGCCCGGTACAAAACGAGAGTGCGCAAAGTCGATAAGGCGGAGCTTTACTAGGGGCGGAGAACGCTTGCGCTCTTTCGGCGTCTTGGCGTCATGAAGTTGGTCCTCCCCTTCTTTCTTCTCCTCCGCCTCATCGCCCTTTGCGGGGGGTATTGCCCTCTCGCTCATTCTTCTCCAGAGCGCGTTCAGCTCCCCTTCGAAGACGACGAGTAGCGAGCCGCCGCGAATGCGCACCTCGAGCTGTGACATGAGGCCGATGAGCCGGTCCAGCTGAGGAAGAAGGTGTAGTGTGAGAAGCGGATGTACAAGGTGGAACGGCAGCCGAGGGGTACTTGAGATGAGTGTTGGACCTTCGAGAACGGGACTCTTCGCAGCATCCGCGACGGCAACTGCGTCCTTCGCTGCCCGCTGATCGATCTCTTCAAACTCTTGCGCCTCTTTGCCCCTCAATAAGCCAAAGAAGGCAGTGAGGCCCAGCGGCAGCTGGTCAGCACTGATCGCCTTGCCAAAGGCCTTGCCCATCGATCGAAATTGTCCCGCGCCATCCTCAGCTTGTGAGTCCCATGTTCTCCATGACGTCAATCTAATCCCAGTCTCAGCGCTTGTAGTCGCTTTTGCCGCCGCTTCCATCCTCTCCTGCTTTTCGTGAGAAGCGTCCATCTCGTCCCAAAGCTGAGTCCCCAGCTTGACGTCGAGGACGTTTGCCTTCTCAAACCCACCAGAGAGCAAGTCCTCCAATGCGACGTACGGCTTCTCGCCCTCTGCAACAGTCGCAGAGCCGTAGAAGCGCGGCGTCCACCTCGTGGCCATCTGCTTGCGCAGTGACTGGCCTTTGTTCGTCTCGCTTTCGAGCTTGCCTGAGGCGTGCAGGTGGGATGCGTAGAAGTCCACTTCGGCAGGAAGGGTCTGCTTGACTACCATTGCCTCGCCTGAGGGGCCAGTGAGGGATCGTACTGTCCCTGGGTGACCAGCAATCTGGGATGACGGAGAGTTGGTGTGCGAAGCGTTGAGGGCAGAGAGTTGGGAAATGAGCCATTCCGATGTAACGAGGCTGGAAGAGGCGGGCTTGGCTGAATCGGCCGGCTTGCCCTCGGTGGGCTGCGGCTCTTTCGTGGTCACTGCCGTGGTAGCGTCGATGGCAGAGTCTTTTGGCTGCTCTGCAGCTGCTTCACCCCCGAGATCGATCTCCTCAGTTGGCGCAGGCTCCTCTGCCGGTGCCTGTAGCAGCTCGATTGCTGGCTCCTCTTCGACGTTCTTCTTTGAAGCCACTCCATCTGCGTCGGTCCGACGAGGCTTGTCGCCGCTCTGTACCGTATCAGCACCCGCACCACCTTCTGTCTCCGGCGGCTCATCAGTTGCCGTCACCTCTGCCTCATCAGCGACTTCTGCGCCATTCTCCTCTTTCGCTTCTGGAGCTGCGGATGAGCTAGAATCAGCCTCTGCCAGTCGAGCTACGAGCTCTGCCTTGAGACCGTTGGTTGGGAGAGAGCGCGAGGTCAGCCTGACGAACGAAGCCGCAGTGAGAACAAAGGCGTCAGTAGCGCACTGAGTAGCAGTAACACGATGTCCGAGTCGATCACTCACTCCTCCTTGAGCTCAGCGACCTTGAGCTTTGACCAGTCTTGCATCGGGTCCTTACGGAGGCGATGTAGCCTTTCCTTGAGCGAATTTGGTGATGACGATGGATGGATGAACGATGGAAATGACGAAGTGACAATGCGTGAGGTGGACAGTAAAAGGAAGGAAGAAGGCGGCTTGATCCAGACTCGACGGAACGCGACACGGGCCACCTGAATCTCGACCTGAAGCAGCTTCTCCGTTCGAGGCTGTACAGCCTTCCCCTCCTCGATGATGAGCCAGTCCATTCGCGAGTGTGTCATCATTTGAGATAACAAAACGGGCCACGATCGAAGCAAGAAGCAAACTCAATCATGCTTCGTGAATCAGGCTGTCATGTCTGCAAGACCGCTCGGTTTAGGCCCTCGATGGGCGTGGGGCAAAGAATGCGATGGCATAAGTCTGGTGAAGCAGACGGCAACGATGTGAATACGAGATTGATTGCCAGCCTTCCATCCCATGCAAAAGAGGCGCGTGTATGCTAGCACCACATCTACGAGTCACCAGCCTTCTTGCCCTGCGACGCAAACAGAGGGAGCGACGGGACTAGGTCAGCGATGATGCCCTGGCAAGAGATCCTTGAAAGCAGCTCACCCTAGCAGCGTTGATAAGGCCGCCAGTGGTGCCGATCATGCCCAGCGTGAAGAAGGCCATGTAGACGGTCATGTACATCCTGGAGCGACTGCGAGGAGGCGGAATTGACGTAAAGTTCTGGAAAGGTCAGCATCTTGCTATGTTGCCAAGGCTACTCTGCCTCGAGTCCTCGTCAATTCGAGCATTCGCTTCGAGGAGGGACAGCGTCATCTCGATGCTCACGGGAGACGCTGGTAGACGGGCCTGTGATGAGAAGTGCGGGGTGAAGGAGTCAGTCGAATGGCTCGTATAGATGTCAGAGCAAGCAGCGCGGCGCACTCACCTGGTGTCCGCCTGGTAGATGCGCTGGCGCTGGAGGATGGTGTTTCTAGGGCAGGGAAAGGACAAAAGAAGGCGTCATTAGTTCCGCTTTCTTCGAACGATGCGACGGTGGATCGGCGAATTAAGAATGCGGATGAGGATGGCATGGGCGGAGGAGCATCGCAGTAGAGAGCGACCTTGGTGTCGTCTTGTCTTCGCCTCGATGCCTTTGCGCGTCCTTCTCTGTCGCTTCGTTGTCAGAAGCGATGATCAGAAGAAAGAATGAAGAGGCCGTTTGCAAGGCGCTGCCCATCTCTCCCCACGACATTCCCACGACATTCCCTCCGTCGTCCATCTAATATAGCTGCGTCGCGTGTATCGTGGGATCGTTCCCAGTGTCCATGGTCGATGCATCTGCTAATACTCACTCCTTCTTGACAAGCGAGTCGATCATGGTGGGCAGGTGTAGTGAGGTGGTGGTGAGGAGATGGAGATTACCAAGGGCGAGCTGCGTCGACGATCCAGTCGAGGACGAGCAACAAGGGCGACCCCAGCCCGTCCGCTCCGACCCGAAGACACCAATGAACCTTGTCAAACAGACCACGTGGCTTTCGATACCGCCTCCATTCTACTACTAATCTCGCACCATCATCACTTAGCAGCGTCCGAGCTCACTCATCACGATTGATTTAGGGCGAGAAAGCAGAACACCACAGTGCACAGATCAAGCATCGAATCCTTTCGCAGAAGGCGGTCACGCGCACCTGAACGCGTGCGGAATGACCAGCCTCGCCATCAGATGCTGCCTTGCTGCCCCGCTGCCAAGCCCATCTTGCCACCATCGACGAGGCTCTTTGCTCAATGGCATGTCGCTCCCCATCCTTGCCAATGCCATTCAAGCTGTGAAGCAGGTCATGCTGACCATGGCTGACGCGGCCCCCCGCTCAGGGCTCTTTGAAGAAGCGCACACGGCTATCCTCTGAGCGCTGCGACGCGGCCGAGGTTCGGTGTGACTTTGGCAGCTGGTTAGGCAGCTGGTCCGAGGGTCCCTGGAAATTGAAATGCGCTGATGATTCCGGCTATCCGGGCGAGAGTGGCGGCAACGAGCGAGCTGCGCCCTCGCTGCCGCCGTCGATGAAGTGGACCAAACGACAGACGCTGCGCTTTGGCCAACGACGAAGCGAGAACGAGGCGACATCTCTCTCTTCTCCCTGCGGGGCTCCTCTCGTCTCGTCCTTCGCTGACGTCGCCACCTTCTACCCATCTCGTCTTTGCACCTTTCACTCCATCTTCGTCAAGGTCGCAACTACCCACATCCCTCACACATTCACGAACCACCCTCTTCCATTCACCAAGTCATCATGGCAGCCGCAGCTGAAGCCGCCGGCCTCAAATACGATGCCGTCGAGAGCATCCCGCAGGTGAGCGAGGCAGCACGGACAATGTGACATTCGCCTGCCAACGAGACTGATTGTCACTGCCTCCTCTCTCCCACGCTCTCTCAGATCAACAAGGAGCTTCGTGCTGCCTTCTTGACGGGCAAGACTCGCTCCATCGAGTACCGTCAGAACCAGCTCAAGCAACTTGCATTCATGTTGCAGGACAATGAGGAGTGAGTGTGTTCAAGAGTGGTCATTTCTACTCACTCGCACTCGATGCTGATCCCTGACACCCCTTCTGCAGCGCCTTCTGCGAGGCCCTCAACAAGGACTTGGGTCGCCACAAGTTCGAGAGCATGTTCGCCGAGCTCATGACCACCATCACCGAAGCAGTCGAAGCAGTCCACAGCGTCAAGTCATGGGCCAAGAAGGAGAAGGTTTCTCCTGGTCTCGCCTGGGGATTTCACAACCCTCACGTCCGTCGCGAGCCAAAGGGAACCGTCCTCATCCTCGGCGCGTGGAATTATCCCTTGACAGTCCAGATCGGCCCTCTTATCGGCGCCATCGCTGCGGGCAACACTTGCGTGCTCAAGCCCTCCGAGGTGTCGGCCCATTCGGCCAAGCTCATCTCCGACCTCTTCCCCAAGTATCTCGACCCTGAGTGCTACCGCGCTGTCAACGGTGGTATCCCTCAGTCCACCGCGCTGCTTGACTGCAGGTGGGAGCACATTCTCTACACCGGTAACGGTACTGTAGGCCGCATCGTCGCCGAAAAGGCAGCCAAGTGGCTCTGCCCCACCACCCTTGAGCTGGGCGGTAAGTCACCTACCTGGGTAGACGAGACGGCCGACTTGCCCATTGCGGCCAAGCGCATTCTTTGGGGAAAGCAATTCAACGTCGGCCAGACGTGCGTTGCACCCGACTATGTGCTCTGCACGAAGAAGGTCCAGTCGCAGCTCGTCGCCGAGTTCAAGAAGGCGGCCGATCAATTCTGGCCCAAGGGACAGGAGGCTGCCACTGACCAGCAGAGCAAGATGGTCAACGAGGGACACTGGAAGCGTGTCAAGGGGATGCTCGAGGGCACCAACGGCAAGATTGTGCTCGGTGGGCCGCCCGAGGACAACAAGTCGCAGAGCCGCGCATTCCCCCTGGTCGTCGTATCTGATGTCAAGCCCGACGACTCCATCATGACTGGCGAGATCTTTGGTCCCGTGAGCATGACGTGATGGCCGGGTCTTACAATGATCAGCAACACTGATGCGTTACCTCTTCCTCTTACTCACGCACCCGCAGGTCCTTCCCATCGTCGCAGTCCAGAACGTCGACGAGGCAATCCAGTTCATCAACTCGCGCGACCAGCCTCTCGCCCTTTACTCCTTCTCAGCTAACAGCGACAAGCTCATCGAGAACTGCCGCTCGGGCGGTGTCCTCACCGGAGACATCCTTCTGCACAACGCCGTCGGCTCTCTTCCCTTCGGCGGCACCGGTCCCTCGGGGTACGGAGCTTACCACGGCAAGTGGGGCTTCGACGAGTTCTCCCACAAGCGTGCCGTGCTTGAGGCCCCCCACAGGGGTATCATGGGCCACGCCGTTGAGATGCTCATGAAGGGCCGCTACCCGCCTTACAACATCAAGAACCTGAGCATGCTCGGCTTCCTGGCTGGCAAGAAGGCCAACTTTGCCCGCCCCAAGAACCCGCACGCTTCGGTTACCAAGGTGAGTCGCAGTGGCGGCGAAGACGTCGCTAGCAGCTCCGGCCTGCGGGAGAGCGATGGGGACCCGAGGGCAAAACTCTGAGCTCTCCTTTCTCATCTTTCCCACTTCGCCGTCCCCTCTTTCTTTTCCTTCTCACCAAGAGCCCAACTCCTCTGGCCTCGTGAGGAAGCTCGTCTACCTCGTCGCTCTACTTTCGCTCGTCCTCGGTGCGCGCTCGAGAGGGCTGATCACGGCCTTCTAAGCAACTAGACTCCACTCGTCACCTTTGCAAAAATGAGGTGAGGAGGGGGTTCAGTATCGACGACGAATGATAGTAGGAGCGACGAGGTCTAGATTGAGCAGGATACCAAGCAAATGGGCAACCCCCCTAGCTGGCTCTATGTCTCTTTTTTGTCTCGTTGCGCGATTTCGCTTCTACTCTTTCATTCGCTAGGACGGCGGGCACATATCCATTCCCTGCCTGCAGTCGTCGATACCCTCTTTCTTCTCCCCATCTCAAGATCCACGACATCTCTCCTCACACATGATCTCTGTTCCTCTGTCCTTGGTTTCGCATCTCGAATGAATTTGTTCGACTTCTCGATGAGAGCCGACGCAGGATGGAGTGTCTTCCAAGGGGCCGTTCGCCTCCACTCGTCAAGCTGTGGGCCGTGCGCGCTTGCGCTGACGTGAATAGGATCCAGCTTCATCAACTCTTCGTTCCTTCTCATCACAACCAACTTGACGGGATATATGCTCCTCACATCGAGCAGGGCCATTAGCAGTCGTCTTGCCCCGTACTGTCCTCTTCTCGCTACTACCAGATCAGCGACCCACACGCAGCCAAAAGGCCACATAGCCTCTACCGCGACCCTCCCGCCCTCCTCCTTCCACACCTCCATCCGCCTTTCCAAGTCCACAACCACCATGTCCACCGGCACGCCAGCAACGGACAGCAAGATCCTCTCCACCAACCGCCTCGAAACCGACCAATTCAAGTGGGTCTCCCTCCGCTCAATCCAATGGCGCGACCCGACGGGCCGTGATCGCAAGTGGGAGACGGCTGAGCGTCCAACCCGCAAAGGCAGCGCAGTGGACGCGGTTGCCATCCTTGGTTTGATCGCCAGGCCGAGCAGTCGTGAAGACCCCGAGGTGATCCTGGTCAGCCAGTTTCGACCTCCCGTAATGGTTGCGGAGGAGGAGCGCAAGGAGGCGAAAGAGGTCAAGAGTAAAGGATTGGTTATCGAGCTTCCCGCTGGATTGGTGGATGAAGGTGAAGGGCCAGAACAGACGGCTATGCGAGAGTTGAAGGAGGAGACTGGCTATGAAGTTGGGAATGATGGGGATGGGTCTGGTCAGACGAGTAAAGTGCTGGAGGTGTCCCGAACGATGTACAGCGACCCGGGATGCAGTATGGCCTGCATGACTCTGGTTTGCGTGCGCATCGATCTGGCTTCGGACGATTCGCCTCCGCCGGTGGCCGAGCCTGATGAGGGGGAGTTTGTGGAGCGTAGGCTCGTCAAGCTCAAGGGGCTCTATGGCGAACTGAAGCGCTTGCAGAAGGAGGAGGGATATGAAGTGGACGCTAGGTTGATGCATTTGGCGTACGGTGTTGGGCTAAGGGAGATGTTCGGCTTGGATGGCAAGGGGCCTGGACAGGGGCAGAGGGCGAAGCAGTAGAGGACAATTCTTGACGTAGGCGGAAGAAGGGCGATGCTATATGTGATTACAGTGGCACAAGTGATGATGATGATGAGATCATGATGAGATGACACAGCGATGCTGGTAGTAATGATGGCGCTTCTTCAGCGCTTCCTCTTCTTGACAAACATGGCATCCATGGCTGCCTGGCCAGGTGCAGAGCCTGTACGCGTTGGCCCTCCTCCTGCTCCTCCGCCTCCTGGCGGTGGACGTGGTCGTGGTGGACCGCCATTACCTTGGCCGTTGGCGTTCACCGCCTGCTGTGGCTGGCCTGGCCGTGGGATAGGACGAGCAGGCTGAGGTCGCGGCGGTGGGGGACGACTGGGCTGCTGCTGATTTGAGTTGCCCGCTCGGACGACACGTGTGCCACCGCCGCCGCTGCCGCCGCCTGCATTGCCATTTCCTTCCCCTGGTGGCCGGGGAGGGCCATTGCTACCGCCCGCCGTAGGAGGTCGTCGCGTCTGCAGACCAGCAGGCATGCCGTTCGCCGCAACGCCATGTCCTGGCGGCCTCACGGGAGCAAAGGTAGGCGCTGTGCTCATTGGCCTGGCGTTGGCTGCTCCTGGGCGCATGGTCTGCAGGCCGGGAGGGAGAGGTGGCCGAGCTGGAGGAGCAGGCGGCGTACCTTTCGGCGGAGAAGACGCTGCTTTCTTTGAGTTCGCGTCGACCTCGCCTTCCTCAATCCTCGGCTTTTTGGACGGCGGAGGCGATGAATTCCGGCCTGTTGCGCTGGCGGTCCCCTCTCGCGAAGACGTAGCACTGCCACTTCCTTGACCCCTCGCTGCCTCCTCTGCCGCCAACCAACCAGCTGGCCTGGCCCTTCCACCCTTCCTCTGCTGTCCCCGATCAATCGTCCGGCCCCCTCCAATGGCCGTCTGTACGAACGACCCCTTATGCACGGCTCTGAGCGCACCCCGGTGCTCCGCCTCGCCCACCAAGGTCCTCCAAAGCCCATCCCGCTTGGAGGCATCGCGCAACCCATCCGCATTACCCAGGATGAACAAGCTGGACTTGGCGCGCGTAACCGCGACGTTGATACGGCGCTCGTCCTCCAAGAAACCCAGCCCACCTCCGCCATCACGCCCGCCCTTCTTACCGCCGCCAGTCCTGACGAGCGAGAAGATGATTACATCCTTCTCCTGTCCCTGAAAGCCGTCCACGGTGTTGAAATCGATACGCTTGTCGATCTCGCTTCCATAGCGCTGCTGGAAGACTCGCTTCAATTCCAGCATTTGACCACGATATCCAGTGACGCACCCGACCTTGCCATCGAAGTCGAAGTCAGGCGTGGACCGAACGAGACGATCATAGAGCGCAAGCGCGGCTTGGGCCTCCTCGGGGTTGATGAAAGAGTGGCCGCGACTCGTACGCTCTTGCCCCTTGATGCTGAAGAATCTGAAAGGGGCAAGCAAATCATCCCTGTGCCAGGGTCGAGCGGTGAGCTGCGCCATGTTCGGCCCATCTTGCAGTGCTCCGCCGTAGAAGGCTGCAGACGGATGGGCAGAAATGTCCGGGTGCATGCGATACTGGATCGAAAGGAGGTAGACGTCCTGCAGAGACTGGTCATACATGCGCTTGAAAAGGGATTGTGAGTAGCGAAGACGTGATGCCTTCGGGGAAATGACAGTGGGCGGTAGTTGCTTGGGGTCACCAACGAGAATGCAGCGTTTGCATCCGTAGCGCAGCGGGATGATTGTGCTGAGCTCCACGGCTTGGGCAGCTTCGTCGATGATGACCGTCTCGAAGTCGATCGGAAGAGAGGCAAGAGCCTCGTGTCCTGCACCGGAGAGGGTCGAGCAAATGACGTCCGCATCCAGGAGGATCTCGTTGCGGATACGACGACGATCCGCGTCCATTTGCCGAAGTCCGGTCTGGCGCTTGTCTTTTGCCTCATCAAGGCGTTGGGCCACTCCCAGCCTGCGAGCCATAAGTGCTCTGATCTCAACTTCGATGTGCTTGATCCGCGCGACCGCAACGGGATCACTGCCACTGTTGAGGCGAAGTTGCTCAAGCTCAGACTGCTTCGAGTCAATGTCGTGGCGGATGCCGCGCATCTCTGCCGTGAGGGAATCGACGCTGGCCCCATCTCCTAGCTGACCCGCAGACTTGGCCATTGCCTCCTCCACGAGATTGTCGAGGGAGATATCCTTTACGGCGACATTCATGGCCTCGTCCCTTCCAATGCGCACTACCTTCACCTTCACATCTTTACCGTCTGGCCCACGCATGCCAGCCTTGGCGCGGCGTGCGACTTCGTCGATTGCGGCGTTGGACGGAGCGCACATGAGGAGCTTCTGTGTGATGGCCTGCTTAGGTGGTGCGCGTCCGCCGGCCCCGCCAATGTTTTGAGGGGTGCGGCGCGTGGCGACGAAGTGGGCAACAAGGGCGCAAATAGTCTTGGTTTTCCCCGTCCCTGGAGGTCCTTGTACCAGGCTGAATCCCTGTGAAGCGGGGGAGGGGATGAGGTATCGTCAGATCGGTCAGCAGGCACTTCTTCGTCCGAGCTACCCGTTCGTGCTCACCTGACTCTGTAACGCCCCCAGAATAGCCTCGGCCTGCGGCTGATTCACACCATACGTCTGCACCATCTCCTTGACCTCCTGCGGCGAAGCCCTGTACCTCGGTGCCACCTTCGCCTGCATGATGTCCCTCACCAAATCGTAGTGTGGTAGTGTCAGCAGCGCCCCGAACTCTCGATTGACCGTCGAGAGCGGGAAGAGAGATCCAATATCCCACACGGAGCGATTGACCAGGTGGGAAGAGATGCCTTGCTGATCGCCCTCTAGCACGCAGCGAAGTGTGACTTGGCTGCCCTTCGGACTGCGCTTGAACATCTCCACCTTGGCGATGAGGATCCGTGGCCGACTCGCCCGCTGATCGGGGGCGATTCCATCCTCGCGTTGGCGCATGATGACCACATCACTCTCGCCCAGCCGGAAGCTCATTGGCGTGCTGTTGCTCATCACGACGCTCACGTCCACGAAGGAATCCACGTTGACCCTGCCCTGCACCTCACAAGGGAATGTCGTAATGACGCCGCGCTCGTATTCTTCTTTAGCTTGAGTGAATTGTGACCAGCACTCCAGCATAAGTAAGGGCCCAAAAACGGCTCCGTACTCATCTGCGTTGCGAAACTTGTCCGCCACTTGTTGGAAGGGCGGCAGCGATCCGCCGCGAGGAGGTGGGTATGTATCGCCCTGGTGGTACCAACTCCACTCGAGGATTGAAAAGTGCAAGTTGCGCAAGTCGGTAGCAGCGCGTAGGAGACGCTTGCGCTCAGCTTCTGCTCTTTCTTTCCGAGCGCGCTCCATGACTTCGCGGCCATCATCCAGGAGCTGGGTGCGACGCTTGACCGGCTTGGCTCCATTGTTCATCATCTTGGTGCTGCGCTTCTTCTCGGGGGAGTGTCGCGCTTGCTCCAATGCTGCGAGGCCTTTGGGCGCACCATCGTCGTCCTCCTCATCGGAGGCATCACTGCCGGAGGTGTCGCTCTCGCCTGAGACGTTGGCGGATGTAGGGGCTGGGGCTGGCTTGCCTGTTCGGTCGCTGCCTGTCACGCTACTCGAGGCTGCGGGCGCTACGGGCTGGCGCATGTCGTTGGCGTTGGGGACTCGCTGCGGTGGTGGGCGCATGTGTGCAAAGCTGCGCGAGGCGGCATGTTGTTGACGGAGCGCTTGCATGGCCGTAGTGGGCTTCGGTAGGCCTGCTGTGCTCTTCTTGGCCGGAACGCTGGCCGTCGTTGAGGCGCTCTTGTACTTGTTGGAGGATGTTGCGGGGGCCGGCTGAGTTGGTGGTGCTTTGGGCCAAGCCTGCATGCCTGACGACGTTTTGCTTGTGGTGCTGCTGAGCTTGATGCTAGGGCTGCTGTCCAGCGCATCCACATCAATGGCGTCCGCCCTCGAGAAGTTGAGTTTCTGCTGCCTCATCTTCTTGCGCTTCTTGACCTCGCTGCTGCTCGGCCCGCTCTTGCTCGGCGACCCCATACTAGCAAGCCAGCTCTGCGAAGCCGGCGTGGCACTTGCACTCGCTTGTGAGGCTGCTGATGGGTCTGCCTCCTCCTCGTCACTGACCTCAATAACCGCAGACGCCGGGTCGAGCCTAGACTGCAGGTCAATAAGCTCAGTGACCGTCAACAGGGTACGGCGCTCTTCCGCGCTCTCAATCTCGATCTGCTCCTTGACGAATTTGAGCATCTTTTCCCTTACCCGTGTGGGAAGCTCCACATCTCCCGTGAAACAGTCGAGCGCCTTGAGGATAAACGCGATCGTCTCGTTGACAATCTCGATGTCGTTGATGCGCAGCCAGGACATGGCCTGCTCGAGGGGCAAAGCAAGGCAGGAGACAATAAAGTCTGCAGCTTCCTCTTCTTCCTCCGAGGCAAGTTGCCCCTGTCGACGCTCCTTGCGACGTTTTGCATTGACAGCTTTGGCAACTGTGCTCCACTGCTCTGTGAGTTGGGTGGAGAAGAGGTTGACGTCACGAAACCATGCAACCATGTCGTCTTTCGAGACGCCTTGCTCGGCCCACTTCGGGGTCTTTTCGAAGATGACAGTGACGCTGCGACACATGAGCTCCCAGATGCGAGGCAACGAGTCCTGCAGGACGGCCAGATCCTGCGTTTGACGGTCTACGTACGAGTGCTCTGCACCTGATCGCAGCAGACCGCCTGTCCTGCCGCAGAGGACTTCGAGGATATCAGCGCCGCTTCGCACGATCCACTTGGCTGCCTCATTGGCCTCAACGAGGTGCTTGCATGCTTGCACGAAGAGTTCGAGAGCCCGTTCGACACCAGCTAGGGCGCCTGTTGTGCTCGCAAGCAGCGCCTTGAAGACATCGGCGCGCGATTCTGCATCTGTGTATGCCGTCCTCACAACGCTCTGCGCAGCATTGTGTATCTCAGAGACGGGACTTAAGTTGAGAGCAGTGAAGTCGGCTGCGAGGCGCACGCAGAGCTCCTGGAGATTGGACTGGCCCACACTGACGTCCGACTCGGCCAGCTCGTTGAGCATCGAGGGCAGCTGCTGCCTCATGCCTCGTATCGGACGAGAGATGGCCACGATGCACGCCTTGACTGCCTGCTTGTATGGCGCGTAGGTCCGAGACTCGACGCGCGGTGATGGGAGCAGGTGGGTATGGATGGCAGGCTCCCCGATCAGGATCGTATGGATCAGTGGCTTGATGAAGAGGCTTGCAGTCACAGCCAGCTCCGCCGTTGACGCAGCAGCGTTGAACTCCTGGTAGCTGTTGGACCAGAGTTCGGTGCAGATTGAGGGCGATGGATAACTTTCATTGATTGCCAGGGCGTAGATCTCCTCGGCAGTCTTCTGGCCAGGCTTTTTGCGCAGCTTGTACCGTGAGAGGTGAGAGAGGTGGATACTGGCGAGCGTGTGCACAGCATGCACAATTGTCGTGCAGTCTGCCTCAAGCATGAGCTGCACGAGAGTCTGTGCCGCTTGCCGCAGCGCATTTTCGCTGGACAGCGTCTCAGTCGAGCCCGGAAGCTTGCCGCGAAAGGCCAGAGTGGTGATCGTCCTAGCGTAGAGGCCTACAACCTGGCTGATGGTGAGCATGGTGAGAGACTGGAGGTCGGTCACCGCCTCGAATTCGGTGATGAGGAGTGTCAAGCCCTGATCCATTGCAAGCTGCTTGGCTGCAACAAAACCTTGCTGCATCCTCTCCAGGAGGAAGTGGGTGAGGCGCTTCAACACCTCGGCGTAAAGATTGGAAGAGCCGCCAGGAGGGGTATCTTGTCGGCGGGGGGTCGAGGTACCGCTCGAGGTGCCGTTGGCGACGGGCGTCTGAGGGGTTGAGGGCGAGTCTTGCGACGGAGTGGACGACAAGCTGGCCAAGAGCGAGGACATCCAGGCGACATAAGGCTGCATCATCGCAGCATTAGTCATCGCAGTGACCTCTTTCAAGAATGTTGTGTTGTCCAGGATGCTCGACAGCAGCACGAGAGGGTATTCGCTGTCCTTCTGGTTGGCCTCGCCCCAGAGGTCGGCTCCGCGGCTACGCAAGATACCATCGAAGGCTTGCAGCAAGTGCGGCAGTCGTGTCGTTGTGTCTTGTAGGTTTGGCAGAACAGCTGGTGCGAGTGGTGCAAGCGCTGTGGGCGCGCAGCGGTAGATAAGAGATGCAGCCGACCATAGCTCATCAAGTCGCTCTTCTAGCTGACTGGCGTCGGAAAGCTGGCTTGCAAGGCTCTTGACGACCTTTTGCATCGGTCGAGTTGTAGCGATGCCTTCTGACATGAGCAAAGCCTCACTCTTTCGCCCGTCGATCTGCATCGCTGCCCACTTCCTACTCTTCTCGTCAGGCTCAATAGCTAGGCGTAGCACCCCTGCCGCGATTTCAGGCATCGTTGACGTGAGCTTGTGTAGAGTGAGCGTCTCCTTCACCCTTTGGAGGATCTTCTCCCGGGCAGCTGCGGCTGAAAGGACAGCGTACAGCTCTGCAGTGGACAAGAATCCCAGGCCACTATTTGGAGCCGGTTTGCGTCGTTCGAAGAGATCGAGCGCAATGTTCTCCTCCCATTCGTCAACGTGAGTGAGGAAGCGCTCGACGGCATGCTCGGGGAAGCCGGCGAGGTAGCTGTCAGCGCGATGAGAGGGCAAGATATAAGCCAGGAGGACTTCATGAGATTTGCGGTCTTGCGCACTCACGTCTCCTGCAAGATCTTCTTCGCTCGCAAGTACCCCTTGAAGCAGTCAGGGCAGGAGTAGAGGGCCTTGGCCAAGAAGTCGAGCCACTCTTGAATCTCTGGCCCAATTTTGAAGCTGAGCACTCTTATCATGCAAGCATGAAACTGCCATTCTGGCTGGAGACTGCCTTTGGAGCAGAGAATGTGTGTCTTCTTGGCCCCGGCATCGTCTGACTTGATGTAATCGAGGGCCTTGGGGATCAGCTGGCCAAAGAGAGCCGTGTTCTTGGGATTGGCAGCGATCTGCGCGACGAGGCTGTTGACGTCTTGCGCCAGGGACGACTGCTTCGATGACGATGAAGGAGCTTCTTTTGGAGCGAAGGTTGGTGCTGATGAGGAAGAAGAGGAGGCGGCGGCGACGGCGCCGGTCGTGTGACGAGGAGGTGGGGTATTTGGTGTGCTGCTCCTTCGACGCTGCTCGCCGTTGGCCTTGGTTCCCCCTTCATCTGCCATTGCTTGTGTCCACCAGCAAGGCGAGAGATGAAGGAGAGATGGGTGGTGTGATTCGAAGGCACCTTGTTGCCTCCTCTTCTTGTAGACAGCAGTCACTGAGGATATTGATCGAGTTGTTGAGAAGTCATTGACTTTTTACATTCGACTCGACCCTCGACCTGCTCTGCACTGAGCGCTCACTCAATCTCAATTTCCTTGTCCGTCCGTCCGTCCGCTCATCCGCCTTGCCGCCTTTGAAGACGCGGCAATCAATTGGTGCGACGCGCCTCGACGTCGAGAGATGGACTCGACTCGAGGAGCCGTTTCCCATCCTTCATTCTTCACCCACCCTCGTGCCCGATCTCGCCGCCATGTCGAATTCAGGCGTTGTGCAGTACGACAATATCTTCCACAACCTCGAGCAGAACGCAGGCAGGCTTCGCTTTACCAAGGGAGGATTGGGATGGAAGCCCACAGCAGACAGCTCGGGCGCAGCAGGCTCGTCGTCGCAGACGCATACACTTGAGGCAGAGCGATTCAGGTCCTTCCAGTGGTACAAGGCAGCGCGAGGATACCAGCTGCGCATCAACATCGACAGCGAATCAGAGACAGAGCCGCCCCGCGACTGCTTTGATGGGTTCAAAAAGGAAGACTACGAGAGGGTGGCGGATATGGTGAGGGACCTATACGATGCGACGCTTGAGGCGGTCGAGACTTCGACGCGAGGGTGGAACTGGGGCAAGGCAGAGATTGAGGACAGCGATGTGCGGTTCTACGTAAAAGACAAGTGAGTGGGGACTGTGCACACAGCGGTGAGAGCGAAGGCGAGGTCAGCTCACATTCTCTTTACATCTGCCATCCCTAGGCTGGCATTTGAGGTACCCGTCGCCCACATCGCGAACTCAAACATTGCAGGCAAGACCGAAGTCAGCATGGAATTTGTCCACCCTGAAAGTCAGCAGCCAGCGACCAACACTGGCGCAACAAGCGGCAGCGGCAACAAGTCGGGCAAAAAGATCCGCGGCGATCAGTTGGTAGAGATGAGGCTGCATGTACCCGGCACAGTAGACAAGAGCGGCGGCGACGATGATGACGCAGAGGCTGATGGCGAGGACGGCGGCGAGGAAGATACGGCCGCCAATGTCTTTCACGACCGTATCAAGCGCAAGGCGGACATTGGCCAGGCAGCAGGCGATAGTATCATCGTCTTCAAGGAGGTTCTCGTCCTCACGCCGCGCGGCCGCTATGACATCGACATGTTCCCCACCTTCTTGCGCCTCCGCGGAAAGACGTACGACTACAAGGTCCTCTATCAATCGATCAACCGCCTCTTCCTCCTGCCCAAGGCGGACGAAGTGCACGTTCAGTTCGTCATCGGCCTCGATCCTCCCATTCGCCAAGGTCAGACCCGCTACCCGTACTTGGTACTGCAGTTCCCTCGCGAAGAAGAGATGGACGCCGAGCTCAACTTGGATGACGAGACGATCCAATCCAAGTACGAGGGCAAGCTCAAGCGTCGATACGAAGAGCCAACATTCAAGGTCGTCACCAACCTCTTCAAGGTCCTCTCCGGCCAGAAGCTCACGGTCCCCGGCTCCTTCTCCAGCTCGGGCGAGCATGCTAGCGTCAAGTGCAACGTCAAGGCTACCGAGGGTTTGCTATACCCGCTGGACAAGGCCATGCTTTGGGTCAGCAAGCAACCTATCCACGTTCCGTACAGCGATGTGCATCAAGTCATCTTCTCTCGCGTTGGGCTGGGAGGCAGCACAGCTGGCGTGACCTCGTCCAAGACCTTCGACCTGCGCGTCAACACCCGCTCGGGCACAGAACATACTTTCGCATCGATCAACCGCGAAGAGCACGATCGCCTCAATGCTCACTTCATCGAGCGCAAGCTCCGCGTCAAGAACGAGATGAACGAGAGCGAGCTCGGCCTTGCACAGGCATTGAACGATGAGTCCTCTTCGGACGAGGCGGAGGACAGTGACACTGGCAAGAAGAGCAGAAAGTCCGCTGCAGGGGGCAAGGCCGCTGCCGCTGCTGCTGGAGAAGACGATGATGAGGACTCGGAGGAGGACGAGGACTTCCAGGCTTCGTCGGATGATGATGGTGGGTCGCCGAGTGAGGCGTCGGATGAGGAGTCGGATGCGACTATGGCTGATGGCGATGACGATGATGATGAGAGGCCGGCAAAGAAGAAGAAGTCGAGCAAGTAGGCGCGAGGACGTAGAGTTGCTTTCCTGTAGTCATCAGTCAATTTGAGTCAATGCGCTGCTCGATGCGGTGATCGGCATCCTTTCCCAGCCTTGATCGATGGCTCCTCTCATCTCCCGTCGCGTGGTGGCTGTTGGTGTTGGTTGCTCTCGGCCTTCCGCGCCTGCAGCTTGCATTCATCTGGGTTGTGCGCCTCCTCCGCCGCCTCTGAATTGCTTCTCACCATTCGAACCTCCGCACCTTGTCCATCGCAGCATGGCGTCCTTCTTGTCGACGGCAGCGTCGTATCTTGGGCGAACACAGCTCAGCACTAATTATACGGTCGATACGTCTGCGCCGTGAGTCATCAGCGACGGATGCAGCGCCGAACGTCAACACTACGTCAACCGGCCATTAACACTCTGTCGAAACTTCCCACTCTCCCATCGCAGCCCCGTCTATTGCGGCAACTGGAAAGTCTCGCGAGCAGTACGCAACTCAGGCACCTCTTCTCCTGGTCCATCATCGGTGCCTGGAGCTGGAGCGGCGGGATCGTCAAAGGACAGCTCTGCAGCTGATCTAGGCGCCGGGAAAGGTGTCGTGAGCATATGGGAGGCAAAGCTCGATGCGAGAGGTGGGGCCAGGCAGATCTTGATTGACATGCTCAAGAAAGAGGTGAGCCTGTCAAGATGCCAAGCATTCGAGTGCTCAACACGCTGACCGCCAATGCCTCATCCCACCGCTAGGCCTCATCCCTCACTCGACTGCGACACCCATGCATCCTCTCCGTCGTTGAGCCCGTCGAAGAAACGCGCAGCCTCCTCACCTTCGCTACCGAGCCCGTCGTGGCATCACTCCAGCAAGCTGTCGTAGCCAGCGAGTCGGCTGGGCGCGCCTCGTCAGAAGTAGCGCTGGACGAGGTCGAGATTCAAAAGGGTCTGCTGCAGGTAGCTCGGGGTCTCGAGTTTCTTCATACGGCGGGGATGGTCCATGGCAACCTGGACGGACACTCGGTCTGCATCAATGCGAAGGGCGACTGGAAACTGTGTGGATTTGGCTTCCTCACGCCACTCAAGCAGCCCGATGGCACCCCTACGCCCTTTAGGCATCCGGACTACGACCCATCCCTTCCGCCGTCAATGAGCGTCAACTTCGACTACCTCGCACCGGAGTACGCTCTCGACGAAAAGCGAGAGCCAGCAAATGACATGTACTCGCTAGGCTGTATAGTCTACGCTGTTCATTCACGCGGGGACCCGCCATTCAGGAATCGCAACTCCCTCTCCAACCTACGCAATAACGTCGACAGGCTGGCAACAATGCAGGGAAGCAGCGAGTGGAGTCGTTTAGGAAGGGACGTGCTCGACTTGCTCTCCTCTCTGCTCACACGTTTCTCCGGTGGAAGGCTGACGGCGCAGACTTTCCAGTCCGCAGCCTACTTCAACAGCATCCTCGTCTCAACGCTCAAATTCCTCGAACGAGAATCTTTCAGCGGGCGGAGCAAAGAGGAACGGGTACAATTCCTCAAGGGCCTCCTCGGCGTGCTACCTCAATTCTCCGATCGCCTCCTTCGCCGCAAGGTGCTACCTGCGTTGTTGGAGCTGATGAGCGACCGCTCTCTCCTCCCTTTCATCCTCCCCAACGTCTTCCACATCGCCCGCACCCTTTCCAGCATCGAGTTCACATCCTCAGTACTGCCCCGTCTTCAGCCCTTGTTCGCGGTACAGGACCCGCCACAGAACCAGCTCATGCTCCTCGACCAAATTGAGCTGTTCGTCTCCAAGACCTCTCCTCCAGTATTCAGGGAGGGTGTAACCCCGCTCCTCTACTCTGCTCTAGAAGCCGAGCAGATACAAGTGCAAGAAAGGGCCCTTCAGCAAGTACCGCGTCTCTGCGAGGTGCTGGAGTTCAGCCATGTGAAGGAGGTCCTCTTCCCTCGAATCGCAGTGCTGTTCAGCAAGACGAAGATCCTCAGCGTCAAGGTCAACACCCTCATTGCCTTCCATCAAATGGTCTCTCTACTGGACAAGCACACCCTATCGACTAAGCTCGTGCCTCTTCTTGCCCGCATCAAGACCCGTGAGCCATCAGTCATGGTCGCCACCCTCGCTGTACATGAGGCGTTGGCAAGCAAGGTGGATCGTGAGGTCCTGGCGACGGAGATTATCCCGCAGCTCTGGGTGATGAGCATGGGACCCCTTCTGGGCGCGGAACAGTTTGAGCGCTTCATGGGCGTGGCGAGGGAGATGGGCGAAAAGGTTGCCAAGGAGCATAGTGAGCATTTGAGGGAGGCGAGGAGGATGCAGGAGCACACGGAGGCTTATGATCGAACAAGAACAGGCGGCGGCGGTGGCGAACTGATGAACTCTGGTGGAGCTGGGCAAGCGAGCGGCGAAGTTGATTTCGCCACTTTGGTTGGGAGCGGGAAGGATAGTGGAGCAGGAGTAGCAAGGGACGTGACGGGAGCAAAGCCTGCCGCGTCTTCTTCGGCATCAGCACTGCCCTTTGACCCCTTCGCATTCGACGACCTCAACACCAATGCGTCGACCTCAAACTCTCGAGCCGCAACTCCCGTCCTTACTCCCTCTCACACTGGCTCCTCCCTTCGTCCGACGCCAGCCACAGCCGGGACCTCACGTCCCTCCCTCAGCACAAGCACAACGAACGGCACACGGTCGAGCTCGTTTACCTCGCCCTTTCCTGCCCCTCCAGCTTCCTCTTCCTCTATCCCGGCAAGCTCAATACTCAGGCCAGGGATGCCCAGCTCTTCTTCCAGCTCGAGCTCATTGCGTACCTCGACGACGGCAACAGCGGCAAAGCCGGCGCCAACGCCCCCACCGGGCTGGTCAGGGTCGACGCTGATGCCTACGAGCAGCGCCGGGGGGAGCAGCATGGGCTCGTCAGCACCTATGGGATCGAGCGCAGGCGGGTCTACGGGGTCAGGACCGAACTACAATATCTCCCTCTCTCCCGCCTCTGGCTTTGGGAGCGCTCCAACTTCAGTGGGCAACGGAAGCGCCGACAGCTCATCCGGCGCAATGAGCAACTTCTCCGGCCTCCCACCACTCGTGCCACAGACCTCCTCGCTGGGCGCGTTGAGCGCGAGTGGGTTTGGCGGAGGAGGAGCAGGAGGAGGAGGCTGGAAGCCCAGCGGTGGCCAAAGTGGAGTGTTGCAGCCGACAAAGAAGAGTGGAACAGCTGGCAGCATGGCAGGGGCGAAGCAGGGCTTTGCGGGGAGTGAGTTTGATCCTTTTGCGTAGAGTAGAGCATGAGCCTCCCTCTTCAGAGGCGACTTCCAATCAATTCATCGCAACTGCCGTCGTGAAGCTGGGTTCGAGCTCCAAATCACTTCACCTAGCTATCATTTCTTATGTGGCAAAAGCTTGTCTGATACTGCAACAGCCTCGAGCGCGTTGGTGGCTGGAAGTTGTTATTGCCGATCATTCCCGACATCAATGATGCTGCTGACATCGAGCCGTAACCTGGCATTGCCCTGGAAGCTCCCCTCTTTGCTCAACGCCTCTCATCGAGCCCGATTAATAGCTGCCAAGCCCAGCTAGGTGATCGAGCATTGCTGCAGGAACGAACCAGTGATGAGGGATGGGCATTGAGCCCCTGGATGAAGGAAGGGCGCTCGCAGCAACATCGGTTCGCCGACATTTGATGTCGTGTGCCACTCTGCCTCCTTGTCCCCTTCTTACTCACCTTCACCGTTCCCACACCTCATCATCTCCGCTCCTCTTTGCCGCTGGTATGCCGGGATCCCCGCCAAGCCATTTTTGAGCCCAACTCCCTAATCCTATTGTGCCCTCGTCTTCGTCCCTCGCCCGCCGTTTCCCCGCACTCTTGCTGCAACCTGGCGTGGATGGGATCCGCCGGCACTGCACCCCGCACTTTGTGAAGCTCCACCGCGGATGACGAAGTGCAAGAAGCGCGATTTCCAAGCGAGCCGTGCCCACTGAGGGAGAAGAGTCCGGGTGTGCCTGAGGCATCGCTGCTAAGCCGGCTTCAGGCCGGCTGATATAGAGTCTGGGGATGCCTTTGCTGCGAGCAGATGATCTCTTCCCTTTCATCCATCCAATTCATCCCCCTTCCCTTGCATCCTACCGTTTCCACCCCCCTTCATCTCCTGGCTATGAGCTCTGCAGGCGAAAAAGATTCGAAGGGCAGCAACTCGCCCGGCGAGCGCGATGGTGGGCACGTCCTGGGCGCCACGCGCACCTACTCACGCGACAATGACAGCGCAGAGGCCAACAAGGCCGCACTTGGACCCCAGCCTGTTGACCCTCTCGATGCAGCTTCCAAGCAGTGGGACTTTTCGGACATCGATGAGAAGAAGCTGAGGCGCAAGATTGATTTCAGACTCATTCCTGTGAGCCAGCGGTTCAGCGGGACGAGGCGGGATGTCGCAAAAACGCGTCGCTGACTTTGCCTACGGCGCTCGACAATTAATATCTTCTCTCCACCCACAGTTCCTCTCTCTGCTCTATCTGTTGTCATTCCTCGATCGTTCCGGTGAGTTCGTTGGCTCAACCAGCAATGAGCGGCCTTAGTCATGTGCGGCTGTGATTGACCCCGTTCGCCCTCCACCGTCCCGCAGCAATTGGCAACGCCCGCCTCTTCCACCTCGAAGATGAGCTAGGTATGCGGGGAACTCAGTACAACGTTGCTGCCTCGATCTTCTACTTCTCGTACGCCTTCTGTTCGTACAAAGACGAGTGGCGATCCAAGGCTTCGTTCCCGCTCAACTGACCCTCTGTGCCTCTCTCGTCTGCAGTTGAAGTTCCCTCAAATGTTCTTCTGAAGCGCCTCACTCCCTCCAAGTGGTTTGGGACCATCACGATGCTCGTCGGAGTCTGCATGCTTGCACAAGGCGTTGTGACGAACTATGCGGGCCTTTTGGGCGCTCGTTTCGCTCTCGGTGTGGCAGAGGCAGGTGGGTTCCGCTCCTAACTTCCCTTAACGTTTCTATCATCACCATTGACCATTTTCCTGCCTTTCTCACAACCTCTTAGGTCTCTTTCCTGGCGCACAGCTCCTACTGAGTGGATGGTACCCTCGCAAGAGCTTTGGGCTTCGCAGTGCCATCTTCTTCTCAGCCGCCACGGTGTCCGGTGCCTTTGGAGGCCTGCTCGCTGTAGGTCTCTCCAAGATCCGAGCAGGGGAGTACAGCGAGGAAAACGATGCGTGGCGCTGGATCTTCATCGTCATTGTAAGGATCTTGCCTCTCCGACCGTGCCAGTCATTTACTGATCTCGACCTGGCTTCCCTCGCCGACAGGGCTTGGCGACCTTCGTTGCCGGCGTGTCCGCCTTCTGGCTCTGCGCCGATTTCCCTGACACAGCCAAGTTCTTGACGCCAAAGGAACGTGCGTGGGTCGTCGCCAATCTCCAAGCTGACTCTCAGTACTCCGCTGCTGGAGAGTCCTTTACATGGCGCAACTTCTGGAAAGGATGGGCCGACATTAAGACTTGGGTCGCCGCTCTGGCCTACATGGGCGTTGACGGACCACTCTACGCATTCTCCGTCTTCACGCCCACGATTATCAAGAGTCTTGGAAGCTACGACTCTATCGAGTCGAACTTGCTCAGTGTGCCCATCTACGTATTCGCCTGCATCGTCACGGTTGCCGTGGGCTTCCTTGCAGACCGCTACGGGCGCAGGGCGCTAATCAACCTCATCCTCATTGTAGTAGGTATCATTGGATACGCCATCCTGATTGGCGTCGATCCGCGCCAGACGCCCGGCGCATCCTACTTTGGCATCTACCTCGCTGCGGCTGGCATCTACCCGCTCATCGCCAACACCATTGCCTTGACCGGATCGCACATTGAGGGGACGTACAAGAGAGGTGTCGTCATGGGCGTCGTCATCTCATGGGGTAACATCAATGGAGCAGCTACCTCGCAAGTGTACCTGCCTAGGCAGTCTCCTCGCTACCAAATGGGCCATGGCATCATCATTCTCTACCTCGGTATCGGCTGGATCTCTTCTGCTCTCTACCTCTACCTGATCAAGCGAGCAAATGCCCAACGAGAGCGCGGGGAGTGTAGCGAGATCATCCTCGACCACATGCCTGAAAGCGAGGCCGTACCTGCTGCGGAGGAGGCAAGGGCAAAGGCCATTGCAGACGTCAGGGCCCAAGGTGGTGGCTTGAGGAACAGGTGGAAGGCAATCAAGATGCAGCTGCACATGGAGTCGGGGATGACGTACGCTAGCGTTGATGAGGCGAAGAGGCTGAGGGGAGACGACTACAGCGGGCACCGTTACTCGTACTGAAGCGCAAGTGCGAGGAATGAGCGCGAGAAGAAAAAGGTGGTGGCGCGGCGGGACGTAGCGGGAAACGGCCTGAATCAGGGCCACCGCTGTCCATATCGTATGTATTTTAATTCTGCCGCAGATGACCTCGGGCTTCTGCAGACAATATTTGCCAACGTTGTCATCTATGCCTGTGCTTCTGCAGTGGTGGCTGTGTCGTACAAGGGCAGGCAGTGGAAGCCATCTTCTCGCTGCGTGCAGACCCGTGTCGAGGCGCGCCCACGCGTCACGGAAAGGGATTCCAATTTCCAGACGCATGACGGACGGGAGCTGAGCAAAGTGTTGGATGTCGTCCTCGTCCTACTTCTCGTCACCTCGCTTTCCTCGAATAATTGTTATCGTCATCGTCTTCAGTGGCCCTCGCTCTCATCGCGACTTCAAGCTATGAGGCGTAGCGGCAGCAGCAGCAGCGGGGCTGCCCGTAGCCAATTCAGACCGCCCTCGTTCCTGCGAAGGACGGATGACGCTCGTGGCGATCACGCTGAGAGCAGTCGTGGAGCATCATCTGGGTCTGCATCTGTAGAAGGCTCCGTCCAAAGGCTGTCGTCGGCTGGCGGCAGGTCGAACCCATTTCAGCGAGGTCCAGCTGGCATACCACCGCCTCATCCCTCGGCCGGCCGACGAGTTGAGTCAGCTAAGCCGGCCGGCGGCAGCGACGATGTTGAAGGCGATGTCTTCAGCCACAGCATCGACTCGGCCGCGCCTGAAGAGCGCCGTAAGGATCCTGCTTACGAGCCACGCCAGTCCACAGCCTCTGCCTCGACGTCAGATGGACCCAGCTCTCCCTCAAAGCCTGGCCTCGTTGAGTATTGGATGTGCATGTGGCGCAAGCCTCAGGGTCGCAAACACAAGACGTGGGACGGAGACGCTGTTCTCATAGTCGACCGTCAGAGAGGCACATGCAAGCTTAAGTGCCAAGAGAGTGGCAGAGAGTGAGTCGACTCCGCGTCAGGCAGCATATAGGGCGGTCAAATTGAGCATCGCGCCCTCCTCTCCTTCGCCCGCACAGCCTCGCCTTCAGCTCGACTCTAGCTGGCAAAGTATTTGAGAGCGGCGCAGAGATGTCGCTGGGCGGCAAAGAGATCGAGGTTGACCACGAGATCTCACAGCGAGAATATCTGTCTGGCATCCCCGACTCGTACCAATGGCCAGCCTCCACCAAGTCTCTCACCAAGCAGGCCAACTCGCGCGCCTCGCCCGTATCGTCCAACGTTTCACCTCCTTCACGACTGATGGCGCCAGCTCCAGCTGCATCCTTCTACTCCAAGCCGCTACCCAAGCCCAAATTCAAGGACCCTTCGCATCGAGGTCTGTCTCCTGAAGTCGTGAAAGCGCTTGAGCGTCAGAGAGACGACGGCGAGGCAGCTGTGGCCCTCAAGTCTTCGATCAAGAGCAACCACGGCGAGACATCAGGCTCTGCCCTAACTACATCGCGCTCCAAAGCATCGTCTCGATCAATCAACGATCGTGCTGTCCCGTCACCTCCTCCGCAGCCTCGCCCGAACGGCCTCTACCACCGCATGGACGCCCCCGAACCAAGATACGATCCTCTCGCGCCCAATGCCATCGTCATGGATCGGCCTACGGCTGACCACCAGGCGCGTTTCAACAAGCGCGGAGACCCTATCGTTGATGTCGTAATCAACCCTTTCCTAGCTCAGTCTCTGCGTCCGCACCAAATTGAAGGCGTCAAGTTCCTGTACAATCGTCTCATGGGCTTGGTCAACGATGAGGCAAGTCGTGGAGCCATCCTGGCAGATGAAATGGTGAGGGTGGGCGAGTAGCGTAGATGGCCGCGTCGTGCTCGAGCTGACCGTACATGTGTTCTCGCGCAGGGTCTGGGCAAAACACTTCAGACGATCACGCTCGTCGAGACGCTTCTGCGTCAGAGTCCCTACTACTCCTCATCGAAACCACGCGTCATCGACAAGGCCTTGATAGTATGCCCGCTCTCCCTAGTCAAGAATTGGCAGCGAGAGTTTCGCAAGTGGCTCGGCACCAACGGTTCTTCAAACATCGGTGTCGTGGCCGTTGATGGTAACAAGGGCAAGGAGGTTACGCAACGCTTCGTGACCTCCAAGCGCGACTCTGTCCTCCTCATCGGCTACGAGAAGCTGCGAAGCTGCATTGACATCCTTGCAAGCGCACAGCCGCCCATTGGCCTCATTGTGTGCGACGAGGGACATCGCCTCAAGTCCAAAGACGCGAAGACGACCAAGATGTTTGATCAGATGTCCACTGATCGGCGCTTGATCCTCACGGGCACGCCGATCCAGAACGATCTCTCTGAGCTCTACGCCATGATTGACTTCGTGTGTCCAGCCCTCTTGGGCGAGTATAGCACCTTCAAGAGCATCTTCGAAGATCCTATCCTCAAAAGCCGCATGCAATACTGTTCCAAGGAGGACCGTGATCTGGGCCAGACCAGAAGCAAAGTCCTCGGCGAGATCACGCGCATCGTCGTCCTACGCCGCACCGCCGACATCCTCGACGGTTATCTCAAACCAAAGACGGAGGCCATTGTCTTCTGCAGTCCAACTCAGGTGCAGATCGAACTCTATCGCCACGTCCTTCGCTCGACCGAGGTTCGGGCAGTGACCAGTGGCTCAGGCGGCGGTGCTGCTCTGCCTCTGATCCTTCTTCTGCGCCAAGTCTGCGACACACCCGAGTTGTTGCTCAAGGTCGTTGAGGGCAAAAGCACAGGCAAGACGTCGCTGGCTCATGAGGTATTGCAAGACTCGCTGGACTTGTTCCCCACGAAGCGTGTCACCGGCGACGTCAATCTGAGCGGCAAGCTCATTGCTCTCTCCAAGATGCTCAAGATGATCAAGGACGAGACGGACGACAAGGTGGTGCTCGTCTCAACCTTCTCTTCGACGCTGGACATTCTCGAAGCCTTTTGCAAGCGATCGAAGTATCCCTTCGAGCGGCTCGATGGCCAGACAAAGCAAGACGACCGTATTGCAAATGTCAACAGCTTCAATCGAACGTCGCGCTCCCAGTCGTTTATCTTCTTGCTCAGCACCAAGGCTGGCGGCGCAGGTATCAATCTCATCGGCGCGAACCGTCTCTTCCTCATGGAGCCCGAGTGGAATCCAGCCCTCGATCACCAAGCAATGGCGCGCATCCATCGCGACGGGCAGAAGAAACATTGTTACATCTATCGGATGATGATGGCCGGCAGCATGGACGAGAAGATCTTCCAACGACAGATCCAGAAGCTAGGCATCAGCGATGCGCTCATGGGCGCAGGTGCGGACGCAGACGAAAGCGACGGCGACGGCGACGGCAACGATGGCGGCAAGAAGCGTAAGCGCTCGTCACACGCAGGCACGTCATCCACCAGCGGCAGCAAGAAGTCCGGCGGCGACTCGTTCACGCCCGAAGAGCTGAAGGACATTTTCACACTGCACGAGAACACGCCCTGCCTATGCCACGACCAGCTTCTCTGCTCGTGTGGTGGGCGAGGAGAGCTCCTTAGCAGCCAAGCTCAGGCGCTCCTCAACAGCTCGCAGGGTGACACGGATGACTTCGATCCTACGACTCGCGGCTTCGTCCCAGCTTCGCAGCACACGGCGCAGAGCGAGATCCAGCATGCTAGAGAGGCGAGAGCGCGATTGGCCGGTTTGGCTGACTGGAGGCACATTGAGACAATCAGCGGCAAGAGAGACCAGAGCCCCGGTGCGGATGACGGGGATGACTCCGAGAACGAGGATGGGCTCGCAGCATCGGTCAAAGCACTCGCCGACGATGCGGTGCTCAGTGAAGTCGTACGCCGTCAAAAGGATGTAGCTAAGAAGATCAAGATCAAGACGCGCCTTTTAAAGGAGCAAGCAGAGCAAGCCAAAGCCGCAGCACAAATCGGCGAGCTCGAAGAGCCTGAAGACAAAGGTGGCAAGTCCCTTTCCCTTCTCGAGGAGATGGACCTCGACGCTCTCGAAGCCAGTGCAGCAAAGAAGAGGACTGACCAACAGAAAGCCAGAGCTGAAGCTGCGGCAGCAAAGGCGGCAGCCGTACTTATTGAGACGGGCAGCGGCGGGTGGAGAATCACGGACGAGGAGCCTGGCAATATTGTCTACGTGCTCACACGCCAGTCGGGTGGGGAGAAGAGAAAGAAGAATAGAAGTTCGGCTGACGTCGATGCGGAGGAGCCTGATCAAGACCAAGTCGCCACCAGCAGCAAAAGCAAGCTCTTCCTCGAAGCTGATGATGACTCTGACAGTGATGGAGATGATGACTCTGAGGAGGATGCAGCGATCGTCTCAATGCAGAAGCGACAACGCCGTCAGCAAGCAGAGAAGAGTGGGCGTCGTACCGTGAAGCTCGGTATTCTTGACGAGGATGATGAGGAAGTGGAGGAGATAGACGACTCCGGCGAAAAACCCATCATTGCAGGCAGCTCGGGTCGCCCCGCGGGCTCAAGCTCCTCGTCTGGCGTTCAGATCAAGCAGGAGCCAGGAGTCAAAGCAGCAACCGCTCCAAGTCAGTGGATAGACTATGAGATGAGAGGGGAAGAGGGCGAGGACGAAGTAGACGAAGAGGAGAAGAGAAATGACGATGCTGCCGATTCATCGTGCTCGTGGTCAGCATCGCCTCCGCCAAGCAAGGAAGAGGTGGAGGAGGCCGACAGCGATGAATGAACGGATTGGAGAAGCTGTTTACTCAAGGCGGCCGGTCATATTTTCTGTCGTCTACATCTTTCTTCTCGAAAATAGCACCTAAAGCTCTGAATATCGATACCAATCATCAACCTCATCGCGGCATCAATGTGGCTGGGCGCGTAGAGAGGCTTAAGACGACGAGCCGCTCGGACCGCCCTGCATTTCGGCTCGGCGGGAAAGTGTTGGTTTGGTCTGGGTGATTCAATGAGGTCTTGCCCTCGTACCCTTTCTTCACCCCCGTCACTACTTCACTGAGGAACGACATCTTCGCAGCATAGCATACACTCGGTGCAGAGACTGCTGCGACAGCACTGACTGCAACAGTGTCACCGTCGAAGGGTGACTAGGATGGCCAACAATCCGCATTTCGACTTCACACCAACTCTTTCATCCTCCTACTCGCACTCCTCTTCCTCCTCCTCAAGAGCCCTGCAGTCGGCAGACAACAATCCTTACTTTGAGTTTCAGGGCTCCTCGTCCTCATCGTCTTATCATCGGTCGCCTCCTGGCGGATCAAGACGAAGCTCAGCTAGTAGCGGCGGGCAACGCCGGTACAGGACCTCGAGTCCAGTCAACACCTTCCATGGCCCTCCTCCTGCGTCAACGACAGGCAATGGTGGCTGGCGGGAGATAGAGCGTGTGGCAGGGTCGGACAGCACCCATCAGCAAGACAAAACAGCACTGGGCGATGCACTACTCGAGGGGTCGAAGCATGGCGGACCACAAAGCGTTTGTGTCCTGGACACGAACACTCTCGTACATGCAGCCGCTTTCTTTGAATCCCTCTTTCGTCTGCTACTCCAAGGCATGGCGAACGCATCTTCACCCATTTCCTCATCATCATCTTCCACCAGCTCAGGCCGCCATTCCAATCCATTCGTATTGGTCATCCCACACTTTGTCCTCGAAGAGCTCGACGCCCTAAAAGTCCGGCCTTCCGTAGGTCCACAAGCTCGCAAAGCCAACCACATCCTGCTCCGCGCCTTGGAAGCGCAGCAGCGGCTAGCACGGCAGCTACGCCAGCGAGAAGACGGCCAGGGACGGAGCTCTTCTCCCAAGAATAGCGGCGAAGAGCTACCCCGCTCCCGGCTATGCATTCTAGTAGAGAAAGCTCAAGAAGCCCTGCCCCGCTCTGCTCGCAGCACTGGCTGGTCAGTCGATGTCGCTCTAGTGTCTCTGTGTCACACACTTCAGCGACAGACGGGCCTTCCCGTCGTATTCTGCAGTAATGACACGAATGCACGAACGCGCGCAGAGATTGAGGGGGTGCAGACCTTCGACCTTGGAGCTGTACTGAGGGCGAGTGCCAGGGTGAGGGCAAAGGAGAGGAGCAAAGTGAGGAGGGTCAGCGGAGGTGACCGAAGTAGTGCGGCGAGTATCTGGAGTGGAAGTGGGAGGAGGGGTAGTGATGGCGACGAGAGAGCTGTAGAGGGACGTATCGGCGAAGCAAGTTGCCCGGATGAGGCGCCAGAGATGTTGTTGGAGCAGTGGGCGGTGCAGATTGGCGGTGGAACAACTGGGGATGATGCTGGTTGCGATGGCAAAGACGAGGCTGACTCGGCCCGTGTACTGGGAGAGCAAGCACTGCCATCGTTGCGTGTTTCCAACGGATACTCCACCGCTCTTACGCAACCATCGACAGAGGACGATGGCATGGACATGGACCTTGACGCGCAGGCCGCCGCACCTCACCAAGAGCACACTCACCAGCCGCAAGATGCTGTCACCAAGCGTACCCGTCTCTCGACATCAGATCCTCCTACCGGCACAACAGATCATTTCCCTGCCTCAACCAATCAGCTGGCCGACCTCCCTCCCTCCGCTGATGTCGAGCTCAATCCCACGTTCCATTGGCCCAGTGGCGGCACGACATCCTGGAGCGGCAACTCATCCGCAAAGGCAAGTAGTCAGCGGCAGCTTCGTCCTCTACCGAAATCTGTCGAAGCAAGGCAAACGACATCAGATGGCAGAACGGCGAACGGCGGTGCATTGGCTTCGTAGGGCATGTAGAAGGGAATCGTAGACTGGCGGCTACACAACGGTATCAACAAGCGAGCATCATTATAATCATTCTGTATCTTTATACCATCTCCAATTCATCAATAGCTTCATCCATCAAACGACCACGGTGCGAGAGGAAAATGTCCGTTGTTAGAAAGGCTGAAAGTTGCGGAGGGGTATCGAAAGCAGGCTGGTAGCCACGATGCAGTAGTCGGGCCTTCTTTGGCGGAGAGGAAGTACATAGACGAGAGACTCGCATCATCACCACTGCCAACCACCAGGGAAGCTCTTCTCCTGCTCCGTCTTCGTCGCAGAAGCATCATTGTGTCCCTCCTCTGCCACTTCATGGATGACTCCACCGCCTCCAGATCGCCAAGCCTGCATTTGCGTATCGCCGGAGCTGGAACGCGAGCCGGTGCTGGACATGCGGCGCCCCTGTCCGTGACCGTGGCTTTGGCTTTGAACTTGGCTCTGCATGCCAACAGCCGCTGCGGCAGCGGCAGCGGTAGACGACTCAGAGGGACCACGACTACTTGACCCATCTCCGTCCCCAGACTTGATGCTGGGCAGCTTCTGTACCATGCGACCTAGGTGACGGACGTACGAGGGAGTGTTGGTCGTAGTCGTAGGGCGGTTAGAAGATTGAGTAGGTGGCGTAGGAGGAGGAGCTAAGCCGGTTGGCGAGGCGGCGGTAGAAGGTGAGACTGAGCGACTCCTACTTGCCAGCCTTGGATCGGGTGCAGCGACATCGACTAATCCAGGCATAGAAGGCAGATCGTCACCGTACTTGACGCTCTCCGCCGCAGTGGCAGCACTGCCGCTGCTACTGGCAGAACCACGGCGCGACCTCGACGGCGAAGTCGAGGCTGGGGCTGCGGCGGGCACTGAGATCGATCCACCCGAAGAGCGGCGAGAGGAGGCAGCGTGGCGGTGCGCAAGTCTACGGCGCTCCTGGCTCGGGGTGCGCTCGTGACGTGTGAAGCCGTCCTCAATATCGGCGCTGGCGCCTCGAGCGCCTCTGTTCGGAGAGCGGGCCCCGTGACCCATGTCTGACTCGTCATCGTCATCGTTGTCCCCTCCTCCTCGCCCAAACCAGCCAGAGATGCCCAATTTGCTGGCAGCCTTAACATGCTGTGGCTTTGCCTCCTCGTTCTGACGTCCGGCCTTCTCCAGATCGCGCGAGTAAAAGGCATCGTGGCTCAGCACGGGGACATTCTCCTCATCCTCTTGTTCGGTCACTCCCACCGCAACACTGCTCGCACCCCACAAGCGGCGATATAGGGCTACACCCCACCCTTCGGCGCCGGCGCTGCCCTGGCGTGGATGAGCAGCTTCGGCGGCATGGAGACCGTCTTCGTCTTCCTGGTGCTGGGAAGGCTCTCCACGCTGCCAATTGAAGCGCGATAGGCGAGGCGCAGTGAGTGACGAGCCTGATCTTGACTCGGGAGCGACCGACGCCATGGTGACCGAGTAGCCGTCGTGCGTATCCACATCTCTACTTGTTCGTGGGCCGTTTTGAACGTGCGCTGCAGCCTTCTCCACGTCCGCAGGAGTGAGCGTATTGTCATCGTTCTCGTACGCCCATTGTGCCTTGTACGGCTGGCGATGTCCTCCTGCGGCCTTCTCCTCCATCAAAAGACGATGCATCTCAGCACTCTCTCCCACTGTCCCGCCCACTCTACCTCCACGCATCACCTTTTCCTCATCACCGGTCACGGGTGCCTTCCCCTCTACCAGCAACGTGTCCGGGCCCAGCCCAAGAAGACGATTGTAGCGTCGAAGGAGGTGGAGGAAGAGGACCACAAACACCAGGTAAAGGGCAGCCCGGAGCGCCGCAGCGATGATGAAGAGGCGGACCGTGTTCTTCCCCCCCTCTTGTGCGCACGGAGCGGCTCCAACGTCTGGCACTCCCCAGATGAGGTCAAACTCCCATTTACCTGCACAACGTCGTCCCACATCCCTCGTGATTGCCTGTGCTAATCCCTTCTTGCTCTCCTCGGCGTAGTACTTGTGCCACGCGGCAATCAATCCCACGTTCGCGAGGGACATGGCGATAGCGATGATCCCGCCGAGGAGGACGGCGAAGAACACCACTGGAGTGGCGAAGGACGATACCCGGGAGAAGCGGAGGTAGATTGCCGCGAGGAGGAAGAGAAGGAGGGAGTACGAGGTCAAGATCACCGAAAGAAGTGACATAGTACGCAAGAGGGCGTCCCGTCGGGCAGTACTGCTGGTAGTACCGGCACTGGCACTTGCGCTGGCCGCCGCTGTGGCCGCATCTGGACTGAGGGTTGTTGGCGTCCCTAGATGAATCCAGGCGATCACGTAGCGGGCGAGACAATACGCTGTGAGAGCGATGAGGGGTAGAACCGCTGCGCCAGCCGCTATGCGGGCGCGTCGCTTGAGCTTAAGCGGCGTCATGAGGCGCAAGCGCTGCGTCTCGCGGGAGAGGAGGACCGCATTGGCTGCTTCTTCCTCCAGGAGATCGTCCTCAGCTGCTTGAAGATATTGCTTGCTGGCGAAATCGCCCGGAGGTGTGCGTGTGGGCGCAAGGGTAAGAGCAGAACCATGTGATGCCGGGCTGTAAGTGGCCGCGTTGCTTTGATGCGGTGCAGGGGCCTGACCGTACCTTTGCGGCGGAAGGAGAATGGAGCGCGATGGCTCCTCGGGCATGTGAGGAAGGTCGTTGCCTATTGAGCGGCTGCGCTTAGAGCGACGGGGCATCGCGGACTACAAGTGTATCGAAGAAGTTGCTAAAGGATGTTGTGAGAGTGATTTCTGCGTTGTCACAATTGGTCGGCCGCGTCGTCGTTATTCGTATCGTGTCGTGAGGGTTGTCGTTAGAGGGTCGTCAAAGGGGCATGATGGCGAGCGTAAGTGGGATCGAAGGCAAGAGTCATGCCGGACGAGAGCTACGAAAGCCACTTCGAGGCTTCGTCTCATCTTCTTGGCGTACCCCTAATCCAAGGTGAGCCCTTGACATCGATCGCGGCCTCTGGATGCGAAGCACCCCTGAGTGAACGAACCTCTGCGACGCGCTTGGGCCCTGCACTGCGTGCGAGTCCGTGCCGCCGGTTCAAGCCGCGGACGCGCTAGCCTCTGCTCGCTCACTCCTCGCAACGATATCCGCAAAGTGATGATCCGATGACATCTAATGCTTTCCGGGTGCAACAGCAGCGTGAATGCAAATATACAATGGAGCTCTCACAGCGATATGTCCGAGATAATCTCAGGCTGAAGCACCCGCACCTCTCTTCTCCGCCCCAGGCGGCGCACCAGCCGTCTCCACCACATCGCGCAACCCCTCCTTCTTCTCCTTGCGCTCCTTTGACTCTTGGATCTGCGATACACAAAAGGGCGACCGGGCCCTCAGCTTGGGGCCGTAGACATACAATGCGTAAGGCAGGAGGGAGAGAATGATAGCGATGATGCCCAGGATGGTCCCGAAGCCGGAGTAAGGCGCTGCCGTCTTCCAGTGGACGTTCTCGTAGGCCTGCACCACAAACAGCGTGAAGCTCCCCGAGAAGATCTCCCTCATGAGCGACTGTGCCCCTACAGCGCTGGCCGCAAAACGAGAGTAGCATGCAGCCGTATAATCACTTACGGCCACGAAGATGATATGGCTCGAGAAGCCAAAGATGGCCGTGGCGATGACCGACGAGCTCCAGTGAATATTAGGCGCAGCGGTCCATGCGAACCAGAAGAGACTGATGGGGAACAAGGGCGCGGTGGCCAGCCAACCCAGACGATCTTCGGGGCCAAGCTCGCCTTTCTTGCGCACGCAGCGACGCTGCCATGCCAGCTGAGCGGGGAGGGCCAAGAAGCCAATGACAGCGCCGATGAAGACGGCGAGGAAGGGGAGGTTCTCGTTGCCGATGGAGAAGCCGTACAATTTGCCGTAGACAAGTGCGAAGCCCAGAATGAAGGCATAGATGATGCCTGACGGGACAAGAAGAAATGTGAGCTGTCAATTTCTTCACCTGTCTGCCCTCGTCATTGCAGGACTTACAGTAGTTGAACCCATCGTAGAGCGACGTAGCCACCACGATCGGCTCACTGAACAGCATCCAAATCGGCCGTCCAAGCGTCTCGGTCAAGGTATCTCTAATGCTCTTGGCTTGAACCTCCCTCTCATGCGCGCAGTACCAGCGCTCATCTCCCGTCTCCTTGCGCTTCTGTTTTGCCACCTTTGCAAGAATGATCCCGCCTCGCGTCTCCTGGGTGAAGCACACCAGCAGAATGAGCACAAGTGCCATCCCCAGCCCAGCAGCGCCAAAGGTCCAACGCCAGCCAATGTTCTGTACAATGTACCCGCCAATGACGGATCCCAGATATGCGCCCGTCTCCGCCGCTAGGGCGAAGGCATTGACTCCCCAAGCCTGGTCATCTGGGGACCACATGTCGCCCACGTTGCCGATCGAGTTGAAAGTGCACGCCGCGAAGAAGCCAGCAACGAAGCGAAAGGGGAGCATAAGGGCTATGCTGCCCGCAAGAGCGCATGGTAGCTGGCAGATTCCGACCATGAAGACGGAGAAGAACAGGATGTACCGTCTCCCGTAGTCCTCCGATACAGGTGCCGTCACGATGGGTCCTACAGCGAACCCGTAGAGGTAAATGGCCTGGACAGTTCGCATTGCCGCTTCGCTGACGCCTACTGCTTCGGCTGATGAGGGGGTGGCAGGGGCGAAGATACTGGAGATTACCTGAGCCCAGATCTCGGGAAGGAGGTAGAGACTGAGTTGGAGCCATTTCTTGAGTTCGGACCAGTTGCGTGGGTCGCGAGGATCATCGGGAGCGAAGTCAATCAGGAAAGCAGGATCATCGCGAACCGCTGACTTGTTGTCTGCTCCGGGGCCAGGGGGAGCAGAGATGGAGGGAGCCATCGAGGGCGTCGAAGCCGCGTCTTGCTCGCTGTTGATGGCCGTCGGAGGCGGAGAGGTGGCAGGCTCTGCAGATGACACTGGCGGCAGCGAGGCCGCTGCGGCTGGTGTTGTTGTTGTGCTCATTTCGTGGGCAGAGGAGGTAGAGGTGATTATATGCGGGGTACGTTGGCTTCTTTGGATGAAAGGATTGGAAGGGCAGAGGGTACGTTCCGGAGATTTGAAGGTGGAATGATGTATTATGCTGCGATGCTGCCAAGGTGAAAGGATGACTTGGGCGCCCAGTGCTTACGACGACTTCTTATACGCTTTCCCCTCCTGGAGTCATGCGCTGTATGATGCCACGGCCCGATACCAGAGATGAGTGACTGAGACTGAGATGATAGGAGAGGTTACGACGATAAATCGTAATGGCGAGCGGACTGGAGCTCCAGGATGGAAATCGTCCTATTGGCCCGCGGGATGGAACACGCCACCTCCGCGCCAAGAAGCCAAGGTGGGTGCGGGGAGGCAAGGCGAAACGGGAAACGGCGCCTTCTCCGCGGCCCTGCAAACAAGCTGCGACCGGCTGCGACTCGCTGCGACTCTGCGACTTCCTCTGCAAAACGGTCCGGCGCTACTGCGAGGCGCAGGCTGATCTTCGCGACGAAAATACGAACAGGGCCACGAGTTTTGGAGGTGGGCGTGAGGATTATGGTAGTAAAGAGAGACTAGCTCGAGATGTACAGAAAGAGAGGAAGGAAGGAAGGAAGGCAGAAGGGGGCATGATGATCTTCCGTCACCCAGCCATGCCAGCTAAGCTCGTGTACCCCTCCCCATCACCAACGTCTCTAACTCGCCCGGCTACCATGAGGCCCCCTCAACCTTGAAGGTCTGCGCGTACGCAAAATAGTTCTGCATCAACTTCAAAATAGGCTGCGGGGGGTTCATCGACACGAGCGTGTACGAGACCTTCTGCAGCCCTTCTGACGCAATCAACTTGAGCAAGTTCGCAGCCACCGCCCCTGGGAAGGAACCCTCCATGTACCATCGATGGTGGTACGCCGTCAACCTGAGGCTCATCCAAAGGCTACGCTGGACGTCCCTCGCCTCTGCATAAAACTCGAGGAGACGCAGGTACGCCTTTGCACTGAATTTCGCCTCGATGCAGCGTTGGAAGGCGTCTTTTGCCTCCTCTTTATGATGCAGTCTGAGAGCGAGCTCGCCCAGAATCTCCCATTCCGTGCCAGTTTTGCGATAGGGGAGGTTTTGCGTGCGATAGTGTGCCAGCTCTGCTCGCCATATGGTGTAGACGCGCAAGTCCTCGTAGAGGACCATGAAGAGGTTGTCAAGCCAGCGTTCGCACAGGCGCTTGTTGGTGAAGGAGAAAGCAGAGGAGTCGCCGTCTTCGTTGCTCGTCGGGCCTTGAGAGTCGGTTTGGTGTTGCGAGGCAGCAATCGCTCCAGCATCGGCTGCGTCTGCTGCGATGGCGTTGGCTGCGGTCAGAGAGTCGGTACGGCTGTGGCTGACCGCAGACGGCTTCTCGAGCGGTGGTGGTGTCACTTCGACCAGTGGTGCCGCTGCTTCTCCATTGGTCGCGGCCGATTCAGCCGCCTCGTCATGTTGTGCTGACTTGACGCCATTTGTCTCGCCCCCTTCAGCCGCGTACTGTGACAGCTCTGCGCGCTCTCGCTCATGATCGCTATCTGTTGAAATCTTGATCGTCGGGATATCTTGGGTCGAGTTATTATTCGTTGACTCAAGTCCGAGCTTGGCCATGTCTTTCGCAGCGCTGTCCGTCGAGCTGTCTCCCGTCGCAGCAGCGCTTGCCGCCTTCGCAGTCGCCTCGTCCTCTTCGTCTCGTGGCGGGATCGCCTTCGTCGACGCCGCATCGTCATTCTCCTCGGTTGCTCCAAGATTCGGCGGCGTCTCTGTTGCGGGCGTCCTCTGCGCTCGGTACTCTTCCTCCATCACAAAGACAGCGCTCCTGCACCTCAACAGCTCGTCCCATCCAATCTTGCTCACCAGCGTCGATAGCAGAGCGTACGCCTTCGCAAACGTGCCCCGCAGCGCAGGCGCCGGCAGTCGAAGAAGCGCCACATCTGCTTCATTGTCCTTTGCCGACTCCTCGTCCAACAGACCGCTCTCTGCAATGAACGATTTGACGGGCAGGTGGCTTTTGGCGGGTGTCGGCATGCGATGGAGGTCTCGCTCATTGTAGGTGAACATCGGGCAGGAGTTGAGCGTGAACAGGGCAGACTCCCAGTCACCAACCTCAATGTAGCACTCCGTCAACTTGGCCCACGTCGCAAACTCGCTCGGAGCGCAGTTGACCGCTTGCTTGGCCAGCTGGAGTGCCCAGTCTGACTTGCCTTTTGCCCGTAGGAAGTCGGCTTGGACGTGTAGAAGGGCGTAAGAGTGAGGGGTGGTTTTGATAGCCGAATGCATGATCTGGACGGCCTTGATCTCTTCGTGCATCCCGATGTACGCCTGCGCGACCAAGGCGGCCACTTCTGGTTCTCGGGCGTAGAGCTTCTCAAAGAGATTTACCGCCTGCTCGTAGCGAGAGGCCTCGCCAAAGTACTTGAGGATGCCCTTTGTGAGATGATTCGATACGACTGTGGCCACTTGAATCTCAGGATCTGAGCCCAGCTGCCAGCCCTTGAAGAAGAGATTCTCTGCTGCTTGGAGGAAGCGATGCTCTGCGTCTGGGCTTGAAATGGGGTCGAGCTTGCGATAGCCAGCTAGACGGTAGTTGACATCGTCTGAATAGAGGATGGAGCGCAGCAGCGCCGAGAGGTAGACTTCTTGCCAGATTTCTGGCGTGGGCTCATGTCGCTCTCCGCGAAGGTCAAGCACATAGGCATCTACGCTGCCGGGAATCCTGACTTCTACTCGGACGTCGACGCGTGAGAAGGCATTGAAGCAGCTGCGTGGGGTATGTGGGACAGCAGGTCAGTCAGCCACCACAACGTCCTGGCAGAAAGCTCCTCCCGACGGTGTCTCCGCGCTCACCAGTAAGCTCCGCTCTTGAGCTTGTAAGCGGTCTTGCTCGAGAACCATGCCGGGTTCTGGTCGAGCTCGTACGTGAGCGAGTTGATATATGCCGCAAGGGCAGCAGACGAGGAGGCGTCTACGCCCGAGACATAGTGGTAAGACCCAATGTCTTTCGCACCAGTACGTCCCGTAGTCTTGATGACATGGCAGAGATCGGGCGGTCCAAGTTCACGAAAGGAAGCCAACGTCTCAGTTCGAGAGACGAGAGACTCGCCTACGTCGACCTCGAAGAACTCAGGTTGCGAGACGAATGAGTCGCCCATGGCGCACGACCTGAGGGGAAAGGAAACCGCAGCTACGTATGCGCAGAAGGTGAGACGCGAAGCGTGGAGACTGAAGATGAGGGTGAAGGTGTTGGTCGAGTTGGAAGAGGAAAGGCTGCTGGGAAAGGAAGTGTCGGACACCTGCAGGCACGCCCGCTTTGACGCTGGGCGTCGGCCGCCGCCGTCGTGGACTGGTGGACGCATTGCTGGTGGCCCGAGCATCACGAGCCACGTGGGACTTCATTGAGACTTCTCTCAGTCCGACGTTGAATTTTGGTGGGCTCACACGACTGCCTCTTCTCGCTGTCCTCTGTCTCATCACTACTTCCTCGCCCAGCATGGTGTCCTTCTGCTGCGACTCCTGCACCGATGTGGTCAAAAAGCCCAAGCTCGACCAGCATTACAACAGTCGATGCGGCGCTAGCTTCACCTGCTTGGACTGCTCAAAGACCTTCTATGCGCCGCCAGAGTGGAAGAGCCATACCTCTTGCATCAGCGAGGCTCAGAAGTACGAGAGGACAGTATGGCAGGGAGACAAGAAGAAGGGAGGAAACAAGCAGCAGCAGCAGCAGCAGCGAGCACAGCAGAATGGCAACGGGGCTGGGCATGCTAGCAATGGGGCTACGCCATCGACCTCGAACGGAGTCCCTGTGAACGCCAGCCAGCAGGCAGAGTCATCGACGTCGTCGTCGTCGTCAAAGAGGAAGCACGATGAGGCTGCAGCAGCGAATGACGGGGTCAGCAAAGCCGACAAGAAGGCCAAAAAGGCAGCTAGAAAGGCGGCGAAGGCAAGCAATGGTGCAGCAACCGATTCAAGACCAGCCGAAGCATCAGCAACTCCAGCTGCCGCTACGTCACTCAGGCAGCGAGTCGTAGCCCTTGCGGCTGGCAAGCAGACGTCGCTGTATGACCTGCTGGAGTCGCACGCCGGCGAATCGAAGAAGCTGCAAAAGGAGCTGTTGAAGAGCATTATGGTGGGCCAGGACGGAAGCTTGGCATGGGCGTAGCCGCTCAAGGCGAGACACAATCAGCGCGACATATTGTTACCACTCTGTCATCTCAGCAAGCTCTGTTGTAATCCACCTCATCGCACCTTTGATGCTTCTGTGCTCCTCAGCGCTGCACCGCCCTATTCCCCTTCGCGTCGTCGCGTTGCCCTTCTCACGGCGGAAGCGGAGCTGAGACGACACGGGGAGGAGGAGCGGGAGGCGGGCTGCCCAAGCGCAGGCGCAGGCGAGGGAGACGAGTCGACGACGGGCGAGCGGAGGCTCAAGGCTGCTTTTGGCTCTCAGTGTTGCTCTTTCTGTCGTCTTCACCTTGCTCTCCTTTGCTCTCATCGACTATCATTTGTTTGCTGCGGCGGCACCAGATCGCCATCTTCATTGAGGACCACTCAAGTCTCTACTCCGTCGCACGCTCTTTGCCGCTCTCCATCATCATTAGCTGCGACGCCGCCCGTCCTCTTCGCCGTCTCCATCCCGTTCGTGAACCGACCCCGACGCTGGACGTCGGACTCGCCTTCGACGCTTCGACGACGCCGCCATCTCAACTGCGATGGCCGACCCAGAACAGAACGCCCCTCTTCCAGTGGGACATCAATCCGCCGCTCCCCAATCCGTCATTGCCCAGCATGTCTCAAACCAAGTCCTCGCCCAGATAGCATTGCAGCAGCAGACGGCAGCCGCAGCCGCCTCGAGAAAGGCAGCGAGCACGCCCTCTGCTCCTCCCTCTTCGAAACTTCCCACTCTTGTCGAAGCGTCACACGTCAATGCCCTCAATGAAGCCACGGGACCTTCTCCGACCGGTCTGCCAAGCAACATGGACTCGGCTCTCAATGCCGCTTTGGCGGGCATGTCTGCACCTCAGCGAGCCCTCGCTCAGGCTCGCAGCGCAGGCTACGGTCAGGCGATTATTGAGCTCGCAAACGACGAATTCAGGCAACGATGGGAGCGACTCTGTCTCAGTCCGCTCGAAGAGGATGATCAGCAGCAGCAGCCAGGCGCCTCATCATCACAGGGATACCCGACTCCATCTATGATGCCCTCTGGGTGGAACCAGACTGCCAATCCGGGAGGCATGGGTGGCAGCTGGGAGCTATTGGCAGCCAGCGCAGCTGTACCACCTGAAGCTGGCGGGAGACCATTCTCACGCAGCTCGAGCCGCCTTGGCATAGCGGCCGAAGCCAACGGATCAACCCAAGGCAGTACCGGTCCCTGGTCAGAAAAGCTTCGCAAGCGCGTCCTTCAGATCCGCGAAGCTGAGGAATGGCGAAAGGCGCCCATCTTCCGTCGAACGGAGCTCAATCTGACCAACTTAGACGACTCAGACGGCATCATGGCTTTGGCGCCCTCATGGCTGGAGCTCGACTCGCCCGACGAAGGCATCAGGCTTGACTCGGAGATCGCGCTGCATGCCTTGATCACCTACGCATCATACCTGAGCATTTCGACTTTCATACTGCCGCCGCCATCAAGCGATCCATCACGGCGTCACCTACTGCCTCACTACGCAAGGGCAATCAGTGCCGCGCTTCATTCTGGGCCTGGACGCGAAGGGGCGCCAAGTGCTGGGAGCTGGATGACCTTGGTAGTCCGGCTGCCGATCTCGTCGCCTCATTCCCTTGCGCAAATTCTAGCATCACGATCAGCAGGCTCTGTCGCCTCGTCATCCGCGGGTGGGCCCAGTGGCAGCGGTACAGGGGCAGGAGGAGCAGGCAGCAACAGTCTTCGCGCCTCAGATGACTGGGCCTTTGAAGCCTGGAGCCAGATCCGACACCTGTGCGGGTATCATACTCGCCTGCAGCTCCTGCTTGACCTTTCCATGCCCCTTCCCTCGTCCGCCGGCCTCTCGAGATGGAAAGCAGAGCCCGTCTCTCATATCTGGCTGCCCGCCAGCTCCTACCTCAGCAACGCGAAAGGCTTTCCCGTCCTCAGCAAAGCGACCCAGTCACTCATCCGAAACCTACTCACCAAGTCTCCTAAACCCGTAATAGTCCTCTCGGGGACGCATGATCCTCCACCTCAGCACACGCGAGGAGGCCCGCAGGCCTATCTCGAATATCTGCGCCACCTAGAGCGAACTGCGCCACCAGAAGATGCAGTGGCCATCTTCGCACGTGGATACGCTGACTGGCTTCAAGCGCCTCTCCAGCCGCTGATGGACAACCTCGAAGGCGCAACCTACGAAGTATTCGAGCGCGATCCAGTCAAGTACGCTCTGTACCAGGAAGCGGTGAAGCAAGCCCTCCTCGCCCGCCCAGCAGGGCAAATCACTCTCATCTGGGTGTGTGGCGCAGGTCGCGGCCCGCTCGTATCACGATGCTTAGCCGCAGCAGCTCAGGCGGGCAGAGCGGTCAAGATCATTGCGCTCGAGAAGAACCCGTCCGCACTGATCACGCTGCAGGAGAAGCAAGTGAAAGAGTGGGGAACAGACAGAGTAGAGCTGCGATTCGGGGACATGCGTACTGCGGACCGGCCGATGAGAGAGGACGAGCGAGCGGACATTCTCGTCAGTGAGCTGCTCGGCTCGTTTGGCGATAACGAGCTCAGCCCAGAGTGCTTGGACGGCGGAGTGCGCTTCCTCAAGAAGGGCGGCATTTCCATTCCGGCATCGTACACGTCGTACGTCACGCCGTTGAGCTCGGCGAAGCTGCACGCTGAGGTGCTCGGGTCGGGGGCGAACGCTGTAGCTACGTCCAGCGGACCGAGTGGCGGATCGGGTACCAATCCGTGTGCATCAACACCAGCGCAGGTCAAGGCGGCCGAAACCCCCTTTGTGGTTCTCTTCGGCTCGGTGGACCTCCCCGCCATCCCTTCCTCCTCAGCGCAGCGCGAAAAGATCCAGGAATGCTGGACCTTCGCTCACGCCCCGCTAGACGGCATCGACGTACCCCTCGACTCCTCTGGGCTCCCTCTCTCCAACTCGCACAACGTGCGCACGTCCTCTCACACCTTCTCTATGCCACCGCAAGCCTCTCTGATTCACGGCCTGGCGGGATACTTTGAGGCCCACCTGTATGGGGATGTCCATCTGAGCATCCACCCTGATCCAGCAAGGGGTTCAAGAGACATGCTGAGTTGGTTCCCCATCTTCTTCCCGCTCAAGGAGCCGCTCTACGTGCCGGCGGACGGGGAGGTGGATGTGCATCTCTGGCGTCTTACAAAGGGCAGACGGGTGTGGTATGAGTGGAGCTGTGAGGTTTTCCTCAATCTGCCGCCGACGCCAGGGCAAGGCTCTGCGGCAGCAGGGGCAGGAGGTACGGGGAACAAGAGAGCATCAGCGATCCAGTTCTCAGAGCCAGGCAGGGAGTCACCCCTGTTAGGAGCTGGGGATCCGGGAGCGTTTGCCAATGCACCACACACCCCGAGGATGCCCTCCATCGCTCTACCTGCTGACGGGCCTGGAGGAGGGGGAGGCAGCGTAGATCGAGCGACGTTCAATGGCAGTGCGCAAGGACGTAATACTCCTACGCCTTCAGCTGGAGCGGCAGCGGCCAAGGCGAGGAGGATCAAGGTCGGGATGAGCAGTCTGGCTAACCCGTCAGGGAGAAGCTCTTGGGTGGGCATGTAGACGCGCGTGAGATCGTCGACATCATCGCAGCCAGGAGGGCGAGAAGAGGCGGATGATGTCGGCTGCTCTGCGCTTCGTGGAATCTTACATCGCATTCATTCATCGATCGGCTCCTCGTTCTGCGCTCGCTCTGCTCGGCAGCGCACGTCTATTCTGTACTGTATCGTTTGGACAGCCAAATCGAAAATCGCAATGATTCTCTGCGCGCCGATGCCATGTTCTGCGCTCCTTCAGGCTCCTTCACTCTCTTGTTTTCAAGAAGGGGCTTGCATTGATCGAGTGGGCGTACACGCTGAGCCGCCCCGGCTTCGAGCCGCAGCTCTTCATCGGCCCTGGTCCCGTCTCATAGATCTAAGCGTAATTCTCACTGTGAAGCGGGCGCAAAGAAGGATGTCAAGTCAGCCTTGCTGTATCTCACAATTGCTACATCTCTCCCTCCTCTGCGTCTCCCACTCACACATCAAAGTACGCATGCTTGTCATGCGGAATCGCATCCTTCTGAATCTTCAAGATGTGCTGCGGTCGCTGGAAAGGCGGCGTAGGGGGGAGCTTGCTCTCAGAGTAGGACAGCTCGTTGCCCTGCTTGTGAACCTGTGCGAGGACGTTGGTGAAGGCTGAGGGGGATGAGAGGTCCGCCGGGGCAGTGAGAGCCATCGTGCCAGAGGAAGGGGTGGAGGACTCATCGCCAGGGGCTGCCAGACTCTTGGTACCGTCCTCGTTTGGCGATGCGAGGAGAAGCTGAGTGAGGGTCTGTTGGTTGATCATCTCCAGCTGCTGATATTTGCGTCGGAAGTCGCGGTTGTAGTAGAGGTTCGACGCAATGTCGCTTGCCCTTGAGGGGGTGGTAGCGGCCCTCTCCGGCCTGTTGCCAGGCGGCGGGTTGCGGTGGTCTTGCGGCGTGGGGAGACCGCTGCTGATCTCTGGGTTGACGGAGAACTTGTTGCGGAAGGCGCGCCAGAAGGGAGTCTTGCCCTCGACGTAGTGGTATTGGTGAGGGGAGGCGTAGCTGCGCAAAGGGGCACGAGAGGGAGAGATGAGCATGCGGTAAGGCTGGGATCCTTTTCGTAAGTCAGGTGATGCTCACTTCTTTGCCTCGTTGAAGAGAGCCCTTGACGGCCTGAGTGCTGATGCCATGCTGGGCCTTAGTGAGTGGTGATGGTGATCGTGGTGGTGGTGATGATGAATCGAAGGTCCCGCCCTGGCTCGCTCCCGCCCGCCTCTGGTCCATCTCCGCTTCTTGGGCTGCCTCGTGGCTGTCGATGGCTCTCATCGCTTTGGCTTGGCCTCGACTCACCGCCAGTCCGCCCATTCGCGTGAGCGGGCTGAGACAGACGATGAATCGACTCGACCCTCGACCTCGACTCGGCTTCCGGCTTTGCTGCCGTACCACTGAGCACCTTTCAACCGCTCCATCACCATCGCCATCGCCATCATTTACCAACGGCAATCCCACAGCATGCTCTCAAAGCTATCTTCATAGCTCTAACAGGCAACCATCAGCGACCAGAGCGAGCGTCAAACAACGCGATTGGCTCACGATGAACGCTGCACCAGGGCCGGCAACGATCCGACCACCTTTACCTCCTTCTCGTATGCCGCCTCCAAATTACAACAAGCCCGGTGGGCCATCGAATAGCGCTGCCTCATCCTCCTCGCCATCATCCTCAGCAAAGCCAGCAACCTCAGCATCGACATCCGCGTCCACTATGCCCGTCCGCCCTTCACCCCTCGCACCACTCAAACGCGAGCCTACAGATGACGGCAAGACAACGGACGATGATGACGAGGTCGATGATGAAGGGGCTGGCAGCAACAACGGCGCTGGCAGTGACGATGGAAAGCAAGGCACCAAGAAGAAGATGCCCAAGAAGAAAAAGGCCAATCGCGCTTGCGCCGCCTGTCAGAAGGCTCACCTGACGTGTGATGATGGTAAGCAAGCGCGGTGATGCCCCTCGCCTCATCTTGACGGCACAGCTCACTGAACGATCTTATTGCTGCTCTCCTCTCTCACAGCTCGACCATGTTCACGCTGCGTCAAGAAGGGAATCGGGGATCAGTGCACAGACGGGAAGCGCAAGCGTGCAAAGTACCTCCTCGACGAGGACGAGCTCGAGGCAGTCAAGGCTCGCGAGCAAGCCGAGAAGGAGGCGAAAGAGAGAGCGCAAGCAGCTCAAGCTCAGACAAAAGCTGTCAGCACGGCGCAGGACCCGACGATACCAGCTTCGACTTTGCCGCCTCAGCAGCAGCAGGGCATAGGCGGCGCACCCTTTCAGCCGCCTTACGTCGCTGCAGCACCGGCGTCACAAGCTCGACCACAGGACGCCTCGTCGTCCAGTGCGGCGAACAATCAGGTCTCATCGCAGACAACGCCGCCCTACACGTTTGGCTCAGAAGCTACGTCCTTGGAGTACTCGATTCTCAGCGCGATGCTCAACGGCATCGACCCTAGTCTGCTCACTGGTAGCCCAGATCATGACGGAGCAACCGTGGGATCGGGAGGTACGGGAGATTATTCGTCTTTGACATCGCAAGCGGCGAGTGGCTTGGATCTCGCCGGCTTCCTCGGCCAACATGCACAGCAACAGGGTCAGCAGCAGGAGGATCGCTCCAATCATCCGAGCGTGGGCATGGCCTCCGATCCCTCATCGTTCTGGCTAGGCAATAATGGTCACCAGCCAGCTCCCCAGCAGCCATGGGGCGCAGTGGCAGGGCCGAGCAATACTACCGCTCGCAGCGCTCTGGGTCAACTGCACGCTATCGGTGGACAAGGTTCGAATGCAGCAGAGGGCGAAGTAGGGTCCGGAGGCTTCAAGGCCCTCGAGGTGCCCTCTCCTTCTGCATCTATCGCATCTGCAAGCAGATTTGGCAATGGTCGCGAGGATGGTTCGAGCCCGAATGATGGCACCACGACAACGACGACGACGCAGCAGCCGCAGCACCAGCAGCCAGGCATACCTCCTCACTACGCAGGCGACCCTCAAGCTTCAACCTCGACGCTTCCCCCGCACGGCACCCTCTCAGACGACAGGGCCGCTCGCTCCCAATTGACTGACCGGGTCTCTCACATATACGGCGATCGCACCCGTCCCTTCCCCTACACCGAGGGCTACCATTTCCTGCTCAAATTTGTCACCGAGAAGTTCGAAAAGGCAGAGGTGCTCCGTATCGTCCGCGCTCTTGGGCTCTTCAGGCCTAGTCTCATCGCCCTGCAGATGCCTCTGACGGAGGAGGATGAGGTATTCGTGGAGAGGAGCATTCAGAGGACCATTCTTGAGTATGAGAAGCTGGTGAGTCCGGCTCGAGACTGAAATCACAATACGAAGGTCCTCACTGACTTGTATCACCCCTCGTCGCTCGTGCAGATCTCCTTCTCCGGCACCCCCACTCTGGTCTGGCGTCGTACCTGCGAGATCTGCGTCGTAGGCTCAGAGTTCTCCATGCTGACAGGCTGGACGCGAGAATCTCTTCTTGGGCGCCGTATCTACGAATTTTGGGACAAAGACTCGACGCTGGAGTACTGGGAGAAGTTTGCGAGCCACGCCTTTGAGAACACAAGCCAGAGTATCGTGGCCAATGTGGTGGTCAAGAGGCCGGACGGAAGCAGCGTACCCTGTGCCGCTTGCTTCAGTATTAAGAGGAACGTCTTTGACTTGCCAAGCTTGGTGGTCGGGGCGTTCTTGCCGATACTGGCTTCGAGTTGAGGGAGGGTTGGGGAGAGGCGAGAAGAAGAAGAGGAGGAGCAAGGAATGGCAGAGAGCGGCGGCGACTGATTTATTGTCCAACTCTTGTATCAATAGCTAGCCTCGGTCTATCGCACATCTTGTCGCTATGTCATACACACGCATACATGGTCAAGAAACCCCACGTCCGTCTTCTCTGCTCATTGGCCATCACCGCAGCTTGAGCTCACCATCTACTTGGCTTGACCGTGCCTCCCGCCCCCTCGCTCGCGTGGGCCAGTCCGCCATGCAGCATGCGAGGTGCGCTCTCGCCTCCAGTTCCGTCCATCTTTGAAATCTCTCTCCTTGCCTCCTTCATACCAGACTATCAGCTATGAGCAGCCGCCATGTCCGCCAGCTATCACTCCCAACCCATCGGCGCTAGCTCATCTGCCCACAACATACCCAGCTCCTCCCATACCCCGACAACCCGCCCAGAACGGCGTCGTCGGCATCGTCCTCGCTGTGGGCAATGTGGCTCTCGTCACTTTCGTCGCAATGCGAGCACGGGTACCTTGGTCTGTAGGGAGGGGCACGTGCTGCAAGGCTACAGAGAGGAGGAGGTGCACGATGATATGGATTTTCAGCAGCTGGGATATCGTAGGCAGGAAAAGAAGGGTGGGAGGAAGAAGAAGGAGAAAGAGAGAGTCGAGTGAGCGCCCCAACCAACCAACGAAGATGCCATGAGGAGCTTGGGACTGACCTTCTTACCTGATTCCGGCTCGCTCGCAGAGTTTGGAAAGGTCCTCGAGCCCGTTTCCTCACATTCGAATGCCTGCAACTCATCCTTCGCCTACAACTCAAAGCCCTTCGAGTTGAATGGCCGCACCTTCCCCCCGAGATCGAAGCCATAGCTCGGGACCTCTGGGCTATGTACGTGTCCACATACGAAGACCTCGATGCTACGCCCTACAAAGAAAACCTCGATTTCGTCACTGAGCAGATCCGGACTGCTCGCGAGGAAGAAGAGGAGGAAATGCAAGGACGCCGAGCGGGGAGAGCGGCCCGGCGGGCGAATAGGAGGAGGGATCGCGCTATCGAAGAAGAGAAGGAAAGGCTGTCCCAAAGTCAGAGGCAAGAGATGGAGGAAGAGGAACAGATGCGAGACCTAGAGAGGAGGCTGGAGGCTGACATGCGGGGGCAGACCGCAGATCAAGATCCCCCAGACCAACCTCACACCTCTCAGGCCAAACGCCAAGGCACCCCCTCGTCACCTCAATGGCGTCGCTTTCGTCCCCTCGTCCACCTCTCCTCCATCCTCTATCTCACCCTCGTCGCAGCTCGTATACCCATTTTCTGGTCCGACATCCGGGATCTGTACCTCTCAAGCCGCATTCCTTACCTCTCGGCCTTCCTCCTCCTCCCGCCTGCCATGACCGACAAGCTACCCGCTTCTCAGCTAGCAAAGCTGGAGGAGACGACGATCCCTTCTGTGCCTACCTTGCAGGAGTGTACAGGCTTGCTTGCGGGAGACCTGACCCACAGATACGGGCTTCAGTTCCCAGAGCTCAATGCTGCTCCTGTGGTTTGGAGGTGTGTCCGAGGCATGGGGCTCCCTCCTGGATTCTATCAGCTTGCGTTATCCCTCTTGACGTACTTGGGAATACCACTGGCTGTTGTACCTAAGCAAGCTGTCAGCGACCCATGGAGCTATCTCAACGACGGCGCGGAGAAAGGGGCCGACGAAGGGGAGAGCACGCCCGTCCAGCTTCCACCGCTTACTGCACGCCTCAATATCACAACGCGTGCGCCCGTCGCAGGCAGATGCACCATCATCATGGCAGCCGTGATCGTGGCAGCCAAAATGGTCTATGGGCTGGACGGACTACCGCGATCGCTCGTCAGCAGCTCCAGCGCACCTCCCTGCACTCCGCCCCTGTCAAAGTGGCTCTCCTGCCTCTCCCACGCCAGCTCCCTACGCCTCGCCAGCCCCCACCTCGCCCATGAGCTCCGTGTTCCCCCATCATCTCTGGATGAGGACAGTCTCGATGCGCTCATCGGCTTCGCGGAGCAGTCTTTCCTGCAGCGTACGCAGCCTAACATCAGGCGCACGACGAGAAAGGAGGAGATGCGCGATCTGTTCCCTAGCGAGCGGCTAGGCGAGGGGAGCATGCCGCATTCCTTGCCGCCTTTCAGCATGGTGACCGAGGAGGGGAGCAGAAAAAGTCTCTGGGAGGTGAGGGAGGAGATGGCTGATCGATTGAATGAGGAGATTTACGAGCACAGTAGAGAGGGCTTCGACGAAGCTGAGGACGCGGCTGCGCAGCTTGGCAGCCCGAATCAGGGCGCCAGTCCCTCCCTACTTCCCGGCGAAGACTACGCGGTCCAATCCTCCTCCGACCAGCAGGGCGTACTCCATCCCTCCTTCCAAGCTGTTCTAGATCACGCAGCCAGTATTGTTGGCCTGGCATCCACGTGCACTGCGGTCACTGGAAAAGTTCACGACGACGGACAAGGTGTTCAGTCAGACTCGAAGCGGGTAGCAGGCGAGGCCAGGGGTGACGAGATGGCTATCATTGTGGGGGACATTGAACGACTACTCCTGAGAAGGATGACGGTCAAGAGGGACAGGCGGGGCGACAGAGCAAGAAGAGCCGCCGCTACGGCTGGCGGGGAGGTGGTTCAAGGGTGAGATGTCTGAGACGCTCGCTCAGCCCAGCAAGACTGCACGGAGCCAAATGCGAATTCCCCATTCTCCGCCTAGGCATCGATCATGGCCTCATCCTCGCGCTCGCGATCAGATCCCGTCCGAAGCAGCATTAGCACCCGTGTGTTTGGCCGCTCCCTCCCCTGTCTCAGTTGTGGTACCCTTTGTACGGCTGCAAAATGGGCTTTGATCGAGACAAAGAGAGACAGAGGGACCTGCTGCCCAAACCCATCGAGTCTGCGAGGGAGCGAAGCACGCCGTCGAAAAGCATATAAGCCCTCCGAGCCCCGCCGCCCACTCTTTCCCTCCTCCACCCCTCGCGCCTCTCTCCCTGGGAGGGCGAGGTCGTCCGTGGTACCCTAGCGCGAGGGCCACGTAAATCAAGGTCAAGCGATCGACGTCAACAGCTTCGCGAGCAAGTGGGGAGCCCTTCATTGGAGTCTTCTCTGCTGGCTCGTGACTCCAAGCCACAAATTGAGCGCGACAGCCATCACCCTCAGCAGCTCCTCGCTGCCAGACTTTAGCCCTCCCTCCAGGGCCAGACCATCAAGAGCATCAGCCTATTTATCTATGTCAACCAGCTGCGCATCATTGCGCCACTACTATCAGTCCTATCAGTCCTATCAGTCCTACTGCGCTACCATCAGCGCCACTACTTTGAGTCCTACCGTGAGACCAAGACCAATCAACGCCTAACACGCGAACAGACCTTTGACCATTGCTACCACCGGCGGCAATACCAGACATCAGACACCAGCTCCTCATCTGAGTTGAGCAAGACACAACAAGCCAGACACAAGCTCCTCTTCGGAGTTGAGCAAGACACATTAAGCCAGACACAAGCTCCTCTTCGGAGTCGAGCAAGACCAAGACCAATGACATCCATCAGAGCTATTCACCAGCTCCAGACTTTTGACCTACGACTTTCAATACACCATGAAGATACAGTAGCCAACCCTTCCTCCCTGGCTTTCCCCGACTGGACACCATGCATCGCTCCTGTCAACAACGCCGCTGACCCTCCTCACGGCCATCACACCAACACGCACACCTTGCGCCGCTTTTGCATCCCGATTCATCGGCCACGACCACGCTCAGCCTTGATGCCTTCAGCCACCACCTCGCTCTCAGGAGCAAACTCGCTGCCTTTTCGCTCTCGAGCCCCGGTACGGTTCTCTCCTCTCTTGCCGAGGGAAACGTCCCAAGGAAAGGCGAGGGGGAAGCCCTCCGGCTGCCCGTGGCGAAGAGGTAGGGGGAGGTGTGGTTCGCATCGAGGGAGGACTTGGATGGGAGGGCTTGATGAGGCTGAGGGAAGAGGAGAGCGAGAGGTACGGGCGAGCAAGAATGGAGGTTTTGATCCGCACCCTGCTTGATTGCTCACTACCTGTACTGTGCGTGCGAGACGTCACGGCGTAATGCGATGCCCGGAAGGGCCCAGGTCGAGATAAAGATGCATGAGCCTGAGCACGACTGAGCGTTGGCCGACAAGCGCGAGGGAGTGAGCTGTGAGCTCGATTTGATGTTACTAGCTGTGTCTTCCGGATGTCTCGTGCTCTTCTTCTCACGAGCGCTCTTCGACGAACAAAGCAATGCACTTTGGGCCGTAGCGTAGCGTCTCAGCAGCGGCCGAGCAGCGCCTGCCGAGCAGCGAAGCTCAATCAACTCGGCGCGCTTCGCCCCGCGCTTCGGGGACACTGACGCCGTGCCTCGTCCGCCCCTTCCCCTCTTCGCTGGTCGAGCGTCCAGCGCAAAGCCAAAACCACAAGCAACAATGGGCCCCACTCTTGCCTTTTCTCTTTTCTCTTGCGGCACCCAATCCCGGTCGAAGCGCTTGGAGCGCTGTCGATGGCTGAGGTCGAGGGGTGTGGCAGCCCGTGGGTTGACAACCACGTAAAAGCAAGATCGTCAACGATACGGAGACGGACCCGTTTGGCCGTCGTCTGTTTGATGGGGAGCAAGGCGCTCGCCCGATTGCAGTGGGTCGTCCACTTTGTAAAAACGTTCAGTGACCCGGCGCCGTCCGGTAGGCCATGATGGCCTCGATATGGTGGGACGTCCACTCGAAAAAACGTGATTTGATACAGCGACGTCGCTGTGAAGGCTAGTAATGCCTCGACTCTTGGGTGCGCCAACGTCTTTGGGCCCCTTGGAAGTGGGGTCGTCCACGTAAGAAAACGCAGATTCGACGCAGATGAGATGAAGCGCCCTTCGCTACGGGCTGTCTCCTGCGAGCATGGCGCTAGCACCGCCTGGATTTGGGATTGAGCAACGCAACGCTCTGGTTCCCCGTGGGAGTCCACGTTACCAACGTTCAGCAGAGACGCGCACAGCTTGCCGTCGTCTGGAGCAGGCCTTGTCATGGGCTTCGCTGGGCATGAGGAGTCCACCTCTGCCAGATCTTCAGGTCGTCTTTTGTCGACCGGTGTCAGGCCGTTCGTCGGCCGGTGATGAGCTGCCTCATGGTAGGCAGCAAACTCTCGTGCTCTCTGGTCGCACCAGGCACCCTTCATCTTCATCCTCCTCACCATCACCCGAGGGACGTCAACCACGGCTCCACTTCCACTATCTCAAGTACTTCAATCTCAACGAGTCGGAGCGACTCGCCGGACGCGGGGAGGCACGCATCGACTACGCAGTGGGGACATCTTCTTCAAGCTCTTGCTCGCCGCACAATTGCGAGATGGGGATTGTGGTGGCGTTCTCGAAGCGTAGAGGGGGGATAGGAGGAACGAGAGGAGGGGGAGGTCCTTGTAGGAAGACGAGCGCAGCCTTCTCGTCGTGGTCTCGAGCATGGGGTCGAGGGTGCTATATGATGCAATTGGAAGCGCCGATGAGATGAACATACCCCGAGTGAAGCCTGACTGTGAGATTGTCTTGCACCACAGCTCGAGTCGCAGAGATCGTCGTCGTCTCGCCCCAACTGTAGCCGTCGCCGATCGTCCTCGTCCGTCGAGTCGGAGGGCGGACTGGCGTCGCGTCTCCACAGCTGCATGACGGAAGTAGGGTCGAGCGACTCGATCCCATTTTGTTTCCCCTCTTTCTCCACCGTTCAACTTTCCTCGCCTCGTCCTAGTCCCCGCCTGGGCACCCCTGACCATGTCCTGGCTGAGGCCTGGAGCTTCAGATCCCTCGCCACCACCTCGGCCTGGTCCCTTGGGCGTCTCGAGCCGCTTGCCTCCCATGTCCCCCACTTCAAGAGACCTCGACATCAATGCGGCCGATTCAGACGAGGACAGCGTGAGCCAGGACGATGGCTTCGCAGCAGACGCGGAAGAGGAATTGCAGGAGTATCGCAAGCTTGCTACGATGCGGGAAAAAGCGTCATCATCAGCGCCTAGGATGCGCAAGAAGCGGCAGACGATCGAGGAGATGGCAGCGCAGCGCAAGAAGCTGCTAAACCTGCTTGGTGAGTGGCAATTGAGAGCGAATGATATGCTCGGACATGACTGATGCCTCTTGCTCGCTCTCATCAGATCCTACGCGCGAGACAATGACGGATGCCTGGGGAGAGGATGTAGCGAAGCGGTCCCATGAGGCTGCAAAGAAAGTTAGCAAGAGGACTACTCAAGACGAAAACCGAGTTGACAACGCCCGCGGCCGCCCCCACGGCATCGTCGCCCCCGATACCTTCCCCGGAGCAGACAATGGTGCTGCTTTCGGGACTGGCGCGCCGCTGGGCATCGCAGACACCCAGAGCATTGTTGCCAACCCCTCGGCCTACGTCAGCCTTGGCGATCCTTCTTCCCCCTCCGCAGATGTCAAGCCCAGCGTTCGTCCTTCTCCTCGCCCGCTACCAGCTCATCATTCAACTGCCGTGAAAAAACCTGTCGCCAGCGACTCAGAGGAGGAGATGCTCCCATCGCGCCCTGTCAAGAAGGAGGCAAAGCCTCAGCCCATCCCTGCCACCTCCAATGGGCACTCAGTTGAGTTGCGTCCTGTGGACAGCGATAGCGAAGAGGAGATGATCAAGCCAACGATAAAACGGCCGTTGCCGTCACCTCAAGAAGACCCTCTGATCGTTGAAGATAGCGAGGAAGAGCTCCTCACCCAATACTGCCCGCCTCCAGGCCCAGCCCGCCCCTCAACGCTCGACGTCAAGCCTTTCAGCCACAGCGCCGCCTCTTTCACGCCAGCCTCTGCCATTCAGATCGTCAACCCGCGCCCTCCTTTCGTTCCTCAAAGCGCCGAGCAGGAGCTCATCGGCCCGTTGTTCCTCGACGCTAATGTTGCCGTTCCTGCTTCCATCAACAGATTCCTGCGCGACTACCAGCGTCGAGGCATCGAATTTTTGTACTGCGCCTACAAGGAGGGCCGTGGCGCCATATTGGCCGACGACATGGGTTTGGGAAAGACCGTACAGGTGGCAGCGTTTCTGGCGGCCATCATGGGCAAGGAGGGAGGAAGCCGGGACACTCGCCGTCGGGCTGAGGCCATCCAAACTGGTCGGCTCGATCGAAGGGGTAAAGCAGACTCAATTTGGCCGACATGTTTGATACTAGTACCCAAGAGCCTCACAGGCAACTGGATCAGTGAGCTCAACACCTGGGGCTGTTTCGAGCATGAACGCTTTGGATCAGGCAGCGAACATCAAGACACTCTCTATCGATTTCAGCGAGGCTATTTCGACATCGTGCTGTGCTCACACGAGTACGCCACGCGTCACATCCTCGAGTTGAAGGATCTCCCCTGGAGCTGCGTCTTTGCAGACGAGGCCCATAAATTCAAGAACCCCGCAACGCAGATGACCAAGGCTATGAACCTCTTCGAGTGCAAGAGGCGATTCGCGATGACGGGAACGGTCATACAGAATAGGAGCGAGGAGATGTGGACGTTGCTTGATTGGACGAATCCGGGCACGTTCGCCGATCTCAAGTAAGTCTCGACGAGTACAAATGACAGATCGAGCTCGAGAAAGCTTGCTGACCTCGCTCGTCTACCCTTGCTCGCCCTTCTCAGCACCTGGCAGCTCTTGATCTCTATTCCCCTCCGCCTCGGCCAGCGCAGCACCGCCTCTCGCCGCGAGCTCGATACAACTCGGACCGTCGCTCATGCCCTCACCAAGAAGCTTCTCCCACCCTATATGCTCCGCCGTACCAAGGCACTGGTTGCCAAAGACCTCCCAACCAAGCACGAGAAGATCGTCTTCTGCCCCCTCTCCCCGACCCAATTCGACGCCTACCGTCGTCTCCTTGCTCTCCCTGAAGTGGAAGCAATGAGGGAAGCGGACAAGCCCTGCCCCTGCGGCGCCAAGGACGATGAAGGGCTCCCCTTCAAACTCAAAAACTGCTGCGATCAAACTGCAGATACCGAGCAATTCTTCAGAACCCTCTACCTCCTCCTGTGTCTCGCAAATCACTCTGCGCTCTTCTTCCCCACCCCCGCCGACGCCAACTCACCCAAACTAGAGATCAGGGCCCGCCACGCGCAGCAGAAAGTGTACTGCCACCTGCTGTGGCCGGAGGATTGGCGAAGGAAGGAGTGCAATGATCGCACTGGGCTGGATGAGCGACTGTGCGGGAAGTGGCTGGCCCTGCGCGAGCTGCTCAAAGAATGGAAGGCCAAAGGCGACAAGGTTCTCATCTTCTCGCGCAGTCTCCGTCTCCTTGGGTGGATCGAGAGCTGGATCTCCAGGTCGGATTACAAGTGGCTGCGCTTGGACGGCTCTACGCATCCCTCCATGCGTCAAGGCCTCGTCGAGCAGTTCAACAAGGATCCCTCAATCTTTTGCTTCCTCATTTCGACGTCGGCCGGAGGAGTGGGCTTGAACCTGACGGGAGCCAACAAAGTCGTGGTCGTCGACCCGAACTGGTCACCGGCAATGGACGCTCAAGCCGTCGATCGCGCCTATCGCATTGGGCAGACCAGGCCGGTCACAGTGTTCAGACTGATTGGGGCAGGGACGATTGAGGAGCTGGTGTATGGGCGTCAGGTCTACAAGACTCAGGCGGCTTATCAGGCGTACGGCGGGAAGGATGGAGAAGGGGTGGAAGGTAGCAGCAGCGGGGGTGGCAAGAATGTCGCAACAGGAGGGCGCCGCTACTTCGAGGGCGTCGAGATGAACAAGAAGTACACTGGCGAACTATTTGGAATTGGCAACTTGCTCTCCTACCAGGAAGAGAGCATCTCGCGAAAGCTCGTCGCCGTAGAGGACGCAGACCCTGACGCAGCTGGGGATGGGAATGAGCTTGAAGAGCTGGCGCGTGGGCTGGGCAATGTGAGGGTCAAGACTGAGGGAGGAGCTAGTGAGAGGGGCGCGACGGCTGCGGATATCAGGCGGGCGTTGAGGGCCGGATCGGGCGAGGAGGATGAGACGGATGAGGAGGAGGACAAGAAGAGTCGGGTCAAGAAGGAGCGTAAGCCGCGCCCGAGTGGCGCAAGTGGCGGGCGCCGTCGTCGCACCGTCTTGTCAGAGGAGGACGAGAGCGACTCAGTAGTGCTGCAGCGCGTAGGCATCAGCGCCATGCACGACCATCAGCAGCTATTCGATTCGTCGGATGAAGATGAGGGAGAAGAGGGTGACGGATCTTTTGGGCCTAGGAAGCAGAAGAAGAGGAAGACGACGAAGGGAAAGAGAGAGCCACAGCCGCACCAGCCGCAGCAACCAGCTGCAATCTGGCCACCACCGAGGGCTCGCTCTGCCCAGGGCGATGCGACTGCCTCGATCTGATTGTAGCAGCACCAGCAGCACCAGCACTGAGGGACCATACCATCATCAAGCATTATCCATACCTCATACGCTCCATCATTGTTATCTTCAATTCCTGTTCGAGAATTCCATGAATTCCTTCTTGTCCGTAGTAAAATACAAGTCCTCTCGGCGGCTACTCATCAACCCACTCCCCGCCACTGCTTTGCCCAGCAGGCGGGCCCAGCGAAGCAGCCGCTGCCCCCGCCAGCCTAGCTCTTCTCGCCTTCGCCGCATTGCTCCCCTTTCGTCCAAGCATGCCGGCCATCCATCCCGTCTTTCTCTTGCCCTTCTTCCGACCACCATCGCTTCCACCACTCCCCGCGCTTCCTGCGTCGCTTCGTAGGCTAACATTACTCGGTTGCTTGCGTAGTGGGCTGCTAGGCGGGGAGTAGCTCATCCCTGGCGGCGCCATGTACTGCTGCTGCGCGTACGGATTTGGCGAGCCGAACTGCTGGTAGTGCTGGGCTGCGAGGTATTGCTGGTGGTGATAGGCAGGGTGCATTCCGTTCGGTGAGGTGGGGAAGGAGGCCGGATATGCGGGCATGGAGGGTGGCGGGGGTAGCTGTAGCGCTGGTGTGGCTGTTGACGAGCCCGAGGGAGCGACAAAGCTGTCGTCGTCATCACTGCCATCGGCCACCTGCTGCCGTCTCTTGCCCCCCTCCTTGCGTTCCCTCCTGCTTTTCTTCATCACTCCCAGCCTCCAGCTGTTGAGCGTGCTATTGGTCCCACCAATGACGAGGGAGAGCACGAGGAGTGAAAAAGCCAGTGTTCTCCATCCTAGCCCGGCCACGCCCGCCTCCCAAGCCTCACTGAGCACTTCGATTACTACTCTCAGCCTACTCCCACCAAGCACGTCCGTCAGCCTCTTGTTCGCACACTGCTCCCATCCTTCGCACGCCTGTATCAACGCCGGAGGGAGAGGCACGCTCAAACAGTTGAGCTCGAAGCTCCTCCGACAGGTAGCCAAGCTCGCATGATAGCTCTCCTCAATCTCGCTGAGCCTTTCCGTCACGTCGAGCCTGATCGTGTAGACCAAGGCAAATACGATGTACCCTGCCAGGAGGAGGAGGGAGGCGTTGAATGTCAACTGGAAGTAGGAGAGGAGGAGAAGAGGCTTTTCCCGTGGATGCAGCGTCGAGTGGGCTCGCTCCACCTGAGAGGTGGTGCGAGAGCGGCGGGAGGGAACAGGCTGGGTGAGGGCGCTATCTGTCGATGATGCTTCCTTTTGCGGTGGTAATGGCGGTACGAGATAATTGATGACCGTCCCCACGACAGGCGCGAGGGGCCATTGTTGTTGGTGCTGCTGCTGCGGGTGAGACAATGAGGAGGAAGAGGACGGCCGGTCATCGTTGCGGGATATTGACTGAATGGAGGAGGACGATCCCCGTCGATTGCGATTGCGCTTGATTATGGCTTGTGCTGGAGTGGGACTAGGGCTTCTCACGGGCTGCTGGTCCTGCTCATCGTCGTGAGGGCTGAGCATGCTCGCGTCTCTCATCGATTCGTCCTCAATGGGAACGTCTTGCTGCGCAGCAATGGATGTCGATGCCTCGGCGGCGCTGTTGTTGTTGGTTGGTGAGCTGGTGAACTCCCATTGCATAGGCGCTTCTTGACCTCTGCGCCAGGCAGCCATGTTTCTACTGCGTCAGGAGTGGGCTGGAGCGTGGACAAGCAAAGAGGAGAAGTGGGAATGTCAAATGTCGCTCGCACCCACCTCGCGCCTCGAGTGTTGGTTGACTTGACTTTCTCGCCATCTTGGAAAAAACCACGTGGCCCCTGCGTCGTCCGCTCGGGCAGCTGCTGCTGCTTGCGCTTGCTGCATTCGCCGGGCCGACGACGATGATGCATTCAGTCGACGTCGTGCCTTTCAATCTGCAATCCTCCTTCTCATCACCCACTCACCCCGCCCTCGCAGCACCAAGCCGCAATGGTGGCATCAATGCTGGGCATCAATGCTCCTTCATCATCACAGAGTCAGTCGACACTGGCTCCGCTCTTCGATATGCAGACACTCCTCGCCCTCGCCTACGTCGCGTCCATGGTAGCCACTGCCCTCGGCCTCGCAGCAATTGCATTGCCCAAGAAGGGTGCTGTCGCGCAAGAGACGTCGTCAACAATAAAAGTCAAGACACGATCCAAGAAGGCGGCCAGCACCGCCGTGTCGGAGCAGGATGAGGTTACGCAGGTCCTCGCCGGAACCAAGGTCAAGTACATCTTTACCTGGCTCGTCTTCGACGCTATATGCCACCTCACTCGTGCGTGCGCGCCGACCCACCTGCTGTATCGCCATCACAATTGACTAACCGATTTGCTCCCCCCATTGCAGTCGAGGGCTCCTTTCTCTACCTCTCCACCTTCGGCCGCACAGTCAATGCCTCGAGCGGCTTCTTCGCCTATCTCTGGCAAGACTATGCCAAGGCAGACGCACGTTGGGGTACGGCAGACTCGACCGTCGTTGCCCTTGAGATCCTCACCGTCCTTGGTGCCGGCCCTTTGGCAGGCTACTGCGCTTATCTGTTGTCCAAGAACGTGTTCAGCTACCACTACTGGGTCATCGTGCTGAGCACCGCCGAGCTTTATGGTGGTTTCATGACTTTTGCGCCCGAGTGGTTGACCGGGTGCAAGGGGCTCAACGGGAGCAACTGGATGCTCATGTGGGTGTATCTCTTCTTCATGAACATGGTTTGTGAGTAGGCGGGAAGAGATATAAGGGGTCATATCCTCCCGGACAGACGACTCACGCAATTGCCTCCTTTCTCTCACGCCGCAGGGGTCGTTATCCCATTCTACCTCCTGTGGGACTCCTTCCGGGCCATCACTCTGAGCACATCAGCAGGTGCTGTCAGCCATATGACTATCAAGGGGGGCAGCAGCGGCAGCGTCTCCGTCAATGGCAAGCCCGCTGGAGCGGCCACGTCTTCGCGTCCCTCGGTCACCTCGCGTCTCAGTGACGTTCCCACCACGTCGGACGAGGTGGCTTCGCAGCCAGCTCCCGCATCGACGACCGAGTCACTGATCCGCAACACAAATGAAGCAGAAGAGAATGTCTTCCTCTTCGTGCCCAACCTGATCGGTTACACTCGCGTCATTCTCGCAGCCCTCTCCCTCTACTACATGCAAATCCACCCAAAAGCCTGCACATTCCTCTACGGAATCTCCTGTCTCCTAGATGCAGTCGATGGCGTAGCCGCTCGACGTCTCGGCCAGTCAACAAAGTTTGGTGCCGTACTGGACATGGTCACTGACAGGTGCACTACGGCCTGCCTCCTCTGCTACCTCACCAAGACGTACCCGCGCGCCGCTCTCCTCTTCCAAGCGCTCATCACCCTCGACTTCTCGAGCCACTACATCCACATGTACTCCTCCCTCCTCACGGGCGCCGCTTCCCACAAGCTGGTAACAAGCGAGGTAAGCAGGATCCTCTGGTACTACTACAATGACTCGCGCACCCTCTTCTTCTTCTGCGCGGGCAACGAACTCTTCTTCGTCTGCTTGTACCTCATGGAGTTCTACCCCACTCCTCTTGGTCTGGAGCCAAGGTGGTTCCTCTGGCCCTTTGGACAGAAGTTCGCACTCCAGGTGCTCAAAACGGCCGCCTCTGACCCGCACAGCTGGTCGGCCTTTTACTTCCAGGCGGTGGCCAAGACCACATGGCCTATGGTCGCTGCGGCTCTCACGGCGCCCGTGTGCGCAATGAAGCAGGTCTTTAGTGTGGTACAATTCTGGACTGCGGCCAAGGTGCTCGTTGGGGTTGACTTGGAGCAGAGGAGGCGAGCCACGGGGGAGAAATCCAAGTAAGGGCGAGAATTGGCAGATGAAGGATTGTAGGAAGAGCAGCTGGGAGGGACAGGAGCATCGGTACGCTCGGAGGTTGATCCCTTTGGGTGCCTCGAGCGAGCAGGCTGGATAGCGACTGGGCGAGGTTCACAGAGGGAAAAAAGCGAAGCATCCAGCGAAGGCCGACATGACAGGAATTGCTCGGCGCGCCAGGCCATGTAAGATTTGACATGAGAGACATAGCAACCAGTGCCCTGCGCAGCGGCACAGAAAGGGCAAGCAGCAAGCAGCCAGCAGCGATTCGTATGACCCTTGTCTCGTTACGGTTCCGGCTCATCATCGTTCCTTCACTCTTGGAATCGATAATCTTCTGAATGGCGAGATTGCACAGGGAGCCTCTCCCTCAGTCTTGCGGCGTCCGCTTCAGGTCCTCTTCGCTCATACCAACCCTCAATCGCCTCAGCCTCTCCCTTTCCTGTGCAGACCATCGTCCTAGCCCCTCTCCTACCTCCCTCCTAGCAGCCCAAATCCCCTCGCCCGTCCCCTTCACCACCGCCTCCAGTTCAGCAAGCACGTTCCGCGGCACCCGTTCCACCAAGTCCCTCTGCACCACCTTCCTTGCCAACCTGCTATGATCCCTCTGCAGTCTCAACAGCGCGAACGCGTTGCCCAGCAGGAAGACGCCTAGCGCGGTGCCGGACGAGAAGTGGGGTAGAAGCCATGATGGAGGAGAGGAAGGGGAGAGTGTGGCCACTAGGCGACCGTAGATTGATAGAGAGGTAGAAAAGGTCAGGATAGTCCAGAAACGATAGCTTGCCCGCTGGACCGAAGTCTGAATGGTGTCCAGTAGTGAGGGGGGAGGGAGCGTTGCCGGTTCTGCGGGATCTACTGATGCTGGAGGTGTGGGAGAGCGTGAGAGACGCAGCCTTGACCAGAAGGAGGCGGGAATAGCCTCACTTCTTGCCATCTTGGCCAGCCTGCTCCCACGGGGAGCCCTCCCCAGTACGTGGTCGCGTGCCCGTTGTACCGGCTCGGCGAGCAGGTTGCGCCGTGATGACAACGCGAGGCCGATGTCTCCGGTCCCTATTGATGAGGAGGCTGTCAAGGCGGAGCGCAGCTGGAGGAGTTGAGAGGCGGGAAGCTGCAAGACGGAAAGCTTGGGTGGAGAGAGGGACGAAGAAGATGAAGAACGCTCGACGAGCAGATGGTCTTCGACGCTACTTCTCGTCCCGGCAGTATCGCGCGCCAGACCCTCGACGAGAGTCTTGATCTCTCTCTTCTCTTCCTCCGCAAGAACCGCAAGTCGCCCAGCCCACCAAATCAACGTCTCCTCGACCCTCCCTCCACCAAGCCAATCTCGTTCAAACGCTCCCTGCACCCTCTCCCGCACAGCTGCATCCCCCAATAAGGGCAATTTCCACCATGCAGGTAGGAGAGGCGGCTCATTGGCGGGTGCAGTGGCCGTGAGGTTGGAAGAGGGGGGACGGAGAAGATCCTCACGGATGCTGGAGATGATCTCGGAGGTGAGTCTGTCCGCTAGGGAGTGAGAGGAGCTGGAGAGATGCGTGGCTAGAGAGTGAAGAGCACTGTTTTCTGATAGGGCAAGGGAGAGACGCGATTGGAGGTGTTGCTGGGCGTGGCTCGTGAGGAGGTCCAAGTGTGATTGGGATGAGGTCGAAGATGTGGTGCTGGCGCTGTCGGTCTCCGTTGGAGAACCCACGGCGCTGCTGCTGCTGGCTTGCTGTCTAGTCTCAACCAAGCTGCTCATCAAGTTGGGAAGACCAGATTGCTGTGAGAGGGATTGGAAGCGTGTCCAGAGGGAAGAGCGATCTTGTGGTCCAGCAGCGGTCGCCTGCATCTCCGTGGTAGGCAAACCCATTGCGCCGCGCAGTGCCTCCTGCCCTCTTGCCGCCTTGACTAGATCGACGAATTGAATGGGGATGTCCGGGGTGCGAAGCCATGTTCGTATCCTCTCTTGAGCGATTGAGCCGGCATCTGCTGATGCTTGTCCCGAATGAGTCACGACAAGTCGCAGCCCCGGGTGATTCTCAAAAGTGCGTAGCAATGACGCGACGTCGGCAAGCCATGCTTGTTTGAGAGGACTGAAGAGCGCTGAAAAGGGAAGACAGAGGAGGACTTGTGAAGAGAGGTAGAGGTGGGAGTGGATGGAGGGGGAGTCGAGGTTGTTGGCTACGGAGAGGGAGGAGGGCGGTTAGCTTACTCTCGTCCTCACACTCGCAAGCTGTAGACTCACTTTGTACCTCGACAATGGATGCAGCGATCTCTTTGAGCAAAGGCCAAGGCCCGCGCAGTGTGCGCTCCTCTGCGTCGACTGCGATCTCCTTGGCATATACGAGGCTCGTCGATGACGACTCGCCTTCCTTGGTATATCCCTCCGCTCTTCGAAGCTCACCCAGCAGAGTAGCCGCTCTGGCCTGCGGATCCTGCAGCGCATCTTGCGTGAGTGCTCCCAATAGATCGCCATCACCATCATCGTCACTCCTTGGGCGTAGCACGAGGATCTGCTCTTCTCGGACAGGACCGCCCTGCAGCTCTTGGAGAGCGCGGGCGACGCGACCTTGCCATGCTGCATCTGCTGTTATTGAGTTGGAAGATGAGTCGGAGAACGAGGTGAGCAGGCTGGTGAGAGAGGCCTGTAGCGATGCCGGAGCGGCCGCAGCTGTGGACGAGGAAGACAGGCATCTTTCGAAAGAGGTAAAGAAGGGTCCAGCGGCCGGAAAAGTCCTCCGTCTGGGCCGGGAGGCTCGGACATGACCACAGACCAGTCTCGCTGGCTTTGCTGCCAGTAGAGGAGCGCCTGAAGCTGCCCTAGATGCCCGACTGCGTTGCAGCATGGCGGCTTGAAGCGCTTATATGCTCTTGAATGGGATAGAGCGATGGAGTGCAAAGATGGCCGTCAGAAGAAGCGGCCGTCCATACAGACCGCCAGTCCGACCTGGAGACGAGCGCGACTTTGGCGCTCGGGCCGCTTCGGAGCTTTTGCCTCGATTCCTTGATCAACACTTTCCACCTACAAATCCTCAGAAAGGGCGCATATAGGCATTGAGCTTTGCAGCGATGGCCTCGACATCAGCGGGAGGAAGCAGAGCAAGCACATCGTCCATGTCGAGCTCTCTGGCCCCGCTACTTCGCCCTCCCTGGCCGGGGTGCCTCTTCGTATATGCACCTTCGCATTCCCATCAAAGTCGAGCGCTCGACGATGTTCGTCAACTCGTCAGAGAGACGGTCAACGCCCAACCCATAGAGATCCATCCCAACCTCATTGGCCTCAGGGCGATCGATGTAGCTCGCGAAATTCAGGAAGCCGTCTCGTCGTCTTCTTCGTCCAGCACCCTCCACCAAGCAACAACCTCCATCTACCCTCCCCGAGCCTCGACGTCTTCCAACAACGAATCCTGCACCATCCTCATCATCCCTTTCGCCCATCTTCTGCGCTCCTCTCACTCCCCACTCATATGGTCTCAATTCCTCGACCCGCCTCCAGGCTATGCAACCATTCTCATCTCAAGCCTCACACTGGATCGCTGGCGTACAGCAGACGGGATTGAGGATGCTACTCCTTACCGCCCTCTGGTGCATTTGAGCGCTCAGCGAGCTGATCAGAAGGACGCAGATCGAGAAGCAGCCCTGTTGACTTCGCTGCCAGGAGGGGATGAGCTTCAAAAGCAATGGGGCATCTCTGCACCCTTGGCTGCGGGACTGGATGAAAGGCCAGCGGGAAAGATCAAGTCATCTTTCCTGGCCTGGAGCACCGCAGCTCTCGAAGCAGACATAGGAAGGGATTGGGATGTGGATGAGGTGCGTTACCTTCTTGCGCCAGTGTGGATCGCAATGACGAGACAGGTTCAGCGAGGGCTGGACGAGCAGGACGATCAAGGAGGAGAGACGATGGCAAGTAGCATTGCAGACAAGCTCAAGGAGCTCAAAGCCGGTACACCCCTCTTCTCTATCCTCACGCCCCTCATCCGTTCTGCGGTAAAGCTACTGCACACACGAAGTATGGGCGTGCAGGCTTGGATTCAAACTCATTCCAGCCAACCCGCGGCAGACTCAACTGCCTCGGTGCGTGGACGCCCGCCTCTCAAGCTCTCACCGCTCGCCTCCCTCCTCCTGCTCTCCTCCTTCCTCGCCTCGCACCTCCCGGCGAAGCACGATGTCCGCTTCTTCCTTCGAGACGAGACGATTCTTGCCGCCTCCACTACCTCCTCTGGCGGCAAGAAGCGCGTACGACGACAACGCAAGCGGAGGCCTGCTACGCTCGGGGAGAGTGGGGAGACGACAAAGACGCACGCTGACCCTCTACTGCTCGGACCGAGGCCGTTTACGGCACAGAGGATGCTCTATCTGTGCCAAAATCTGTGCAAGGAGTTCGATGTTAGGTTGAGCGGATCCTCGCTACAGGCACAGAGGGATGTGGCTGCCAGACGCAGGCGAAAGAGACAACGACGCCTGGGCGTGGAGGACGAGGATGAAGAGGAAAAAGAGGCGCTCAACGATGAAGCTGAAGAAGTTGCCTTGCACAGCTTGGCGGTCTGGCGGACCGTTCAAGCGCTCGTGAGTGCGAAGTTGCTCGTCCTCGTCAGCCCACCAGCTCCAGCGCCGATTGTCGCCCACAAGGAAGGGGGTGGCGCCAGTAGCCTACCAGCTCTGCCCACCAGGCTGGAATGGCTCAATCAAGCATCGCTGCGGTGCAATTGTCTGAGGGATGAGGTCAAGGGGCTTGTACTGGGGTCGGGGTCGTCTGGCGAGGAGGGGGAGGGATGGCTGGACGAGGACGAGGGCTATGAAGACAGCGATGATGAAGAGGGGCCTCTCTGCTCCAAATCTGCGGCCAAGAGAGATGATGGTGGTGAAGTATTTGGCTTCAATAGCGCCAGCCGGGCCGGCTGGAGGAAGAGGAGGAAGGAGTGGTGGACAAGAGTGGAGGAGGTGGGACTTTAGGTGGAACGTGCGACAATGAACAGGTATGCAAACGTGGGATATATTAACTCCGTCTGGTAGTGAATAGTGTGACAAGTGGAATGGTGGTGACAAGGGCGATTCCGATTTGGTCGCTCTCCTCTCCGACCCTGACTACCGCGTCACGCCGCCTGTTCCTGCAGACACGCTTGCGGCACTAGGTCTTCTCCACCCTCCGTACCTGGAAGGCTCAGTGCTGGGCGTCCTGTTCAGTTGATGAGGTACAGGAGGCGCAGAGCCCGTCCCTGTAAATCTCTGACCACCAGCCGCGCCCAGCGGGCTGTTCTCGTACGAAGAAGGGCCGCTGCCAGCGGCGAGCGCGTTTGAGTCGTGATGCTGCTCCCCGTCTCCGACCGGCGGCGAGACCAAGGCGAGAGCATCCAGAATGCCCATGTCGCCCGGCCCGACCCTTCTGATGCCTCGCGCTCTGTCCCCAACGGGTCCCGTACCTCCCCTCAGTGCCGCCTCTTGCCTGAGAATTTCCTGCTCATTAGCAAACAGGTCAAGTGAGTCATCCCGTCGAACGACGGTTGACTCTGGCTCGAAGAAGCTACCCAACTCGTCTCCCTGCCCTGCGTGCTTGCCGCTTGAGCCCGGTCGTCGTTTGGCTGGATTTGGTGAGTGGCGACCGCCGAGCATGGAGAGGCCAAATCCGGCTCTCCTGCCTAGAGAGGCAGAGGAGGGAGACGAGGAAGGGCCCGCCTCAGCGTCGGTAACATTGGTGGGCATTAGATGGGGAGAAGTAGGGCGCTTCTTGCCTGGGAGCGAAACGCGACGTGTTGTGCGTGGAGTCTGGAGTCCGTCCCCTGTTGAGGTGGCTTGCTCGATATCACCCTTATTGGTCGCTTCTGTGTCGTGCGATGCCGGAAAGAACTGCCGCAGCGGCGCGGGAAAGCCCAAGCCGAGGCCAAGACCCGCCACATCAGCGGCATTGTCGTGCTGCCCGTCCGTGTTGCTGCCGGCGAAGCGCCTTGAGTAGATTTCAGGCTTCGACGCGCTCGGCGGCACGGCTGGCATAGCAATGGCTTGATGACCAACATCGCCCTCGCCTACCTCATGGAACGTCGTCTCGTAGGTACTCTCCTCGCCTGACCTCTCCCTGCGCTGAGCTGTACCCCAGGACGACCTGCCAGCGGACTGAGAACCCCATCGTTCCTCTTCTGGCTCGACGGCGCGCTTGCTACTCTCAGCCTTCTTCGTAGAGCTGCCAGCACTCTTCGAGCTGATGGCTGCATTGGCTGCCGCGAGGATCCGGCTGCGCCCGGTCTTTGAGCTCCCTCCTCGCGACGATGAGCTCTTGTTCGACGCGGGTGCCACTGGTTGAGGGGCCAGCTGCGCCCGATCGATGGTATAAGGCCGACCCGCGGACATTGCTGCCCCGCTTGGTCTGCCGGTGGTAGCCCTGCCATTGCCGCCACCATTGGCATCTTCAGCGCGCACAGTGAGCGTCGAGTCGAAGGAGCGCCATAGCAATGCGCCGATCGTGAGGCCACCGAAGACCACATCGGTCCAAGCAGCCCATAAATTTGCGATCTGCTGTACGCGGCCAGCCTCGTAGCCGTTCTTTCTCGCAGCGGCGTACTGCTGCCCGGAAATGTAGCCCGTGATGGCCATAAAATCAAGGATGGCGATGCTGACAGCAATGATCAGGATCAGAAGGTTGCGATAGATGCGCCGCAAGATCTTGTAGCGGCGAGCGGCCACTGTCGTCGGCCCAGACTTGGGTTTGTCGTCCTTCTGCTGCTGCTTGGTGTCTCGTCCAGGTCGGAACGTCTCCTGGCGAGGTCGACGCTGCTGCGGGCGCAGAGGTGGGAAGACCGCAGCTTGAGGCGCTTCAGACTCGCTAGTTTCGGCGCCACGGCCTGAGATGGACATCTCCTCGCGGGCAATGGCCATAGATCGTTCCTCATCCTCGTCGCAAGGGAGGCGACCGAGATCTTCTTCTTCATCCGCCTCGGCATCGTAGTTCTCTTCTGTGCCACGGACTGATGGCGTCCCGCTGGGACTACGACTCTTCTTGAGGGTGGCAGGCGTCCCCCACATGGGCCGCGGTGCAGTCGTCAGATTGTCCGGTGGCTCTACTCTGCCCTGACTTCCAGCCGCCGTGACTGCTGCCGCCGCTGCTGCGCCGCCTGTCATCCCTGGCGGGCGGGAACTGAAGAGGTAGAAGGTCTCCATCTGCTGACGGCGCATTTTTGTCTCGCAGATCTCGACTGCCTCTCTCACACGGCGAAGGGTGTGAACGCCGATAGGCGCGTACACGAGGAAGGCGGCACCTGCCCAGAAGACCCAGACCTGGTGTGAATGCGCAGACGATCAAGGGTTAGAGCACGTCTCCCGCTGGGTCATACTTGAAGACGCTTACAGTCATGCAGATGGAGTAGTACCACCACGCCTTTGACGTCTGGCGCCAGATGTCCATCCCATCGTCGTAGAGCATCTGGATCTCTTGCGGGCCTGCCTCCGGCCCCTTGAGTGCATCAGCTCGAGCCGTCCAGGCGTCGAACGTACGGTTCGTTTTGTCCATCAGGCGGTCCGCGAGGACGGCAGGCGGGGTCACCGATGCGAACAGGATGATCGGTGTGGCCCAGCATGCCAGGTTGTAGATGATGGGACGGATAAGGTATTCGTGAAGCTCGCCCGCCGAGTTTGTACGCTTGATCCTGAGAGCGTCGGGGAATGAGGCCACGGTGCCCCATGCACAGAACCAGGCGCCCTAAGAGCGAGCAAGCAGAGGTACGATCTGTGTCAGTTGCGGCCCAACATCTTCCTCTCTGCAGGACTCTACCCCGCTACTGACCACCCAGAGAGGGATCCAGATGAGCACATGCCACAGAAAGAAGTTGCTGTCGCGCTGCCAGCGGACCATGAGGGGAAAATAGCCCATGAGAAGGATGGCGTACACGCCCAGGAAGGACGCAAACGCGAGTGTTGAATTAGGAATGACGTACGTGCCATATCTTGATGGGTAGAATTGCAGGAGGTAGGCGCGGCCGGTGAGGAGTCGCTTGAGTACCACTGCTACGGCACCGACGACGAGAGCGGCCACGACTGCCAAGACGGTGTACACCCTGAGCGAGCAAAGGAAGGTAGTGTAAGCGATCCGAGCGCGTGCTGCGGTCGTGTAGATTCGTGCGACTCACTGAGCAGTAAACTCCAATGGCGCTGCAGAAGGGGCAATACGAGCATTGTTGTCGGTTGTTAGCATCTCCGCACGGGTTAGAACATCGCATCTTCCTCCTCGAGTACCTACAGTAGATCTGCACGATTCCGTGAACAAAGTCCTGCAGCGCACCAACCTCTGCGGCCGTGGTCGGCATGGGCATAATGCCCGCAGGCAGCGTCGCATTGTAATGTAGGCCCATGCTGGTCGCTAGCCAGTCGATGAGGGGGTATCAAAGTTGGTGGTAACGAGGAGTTGCAATGAAGAAGACGAAACTCGTTGCAATTCTATATGGAGGATGCCCGATGGTCTTTTTCATCAGCAGCACAGCATCCCCGCATCAACTGCCTGACGCCGTGGGAGCTTCTCGCCCGGGTGGGAAGGCGATCAGGGCCGTGATCGATCACACAAGAGGAGTCGGCTGCAGCGGCTTGCCGATGCCCACTTTCTAAGCTAGCCTAAGTTGCAACGCCGTCTGTCGTTTGGCGTCCCCGTCTGCGGCTGGGCGGAAAGGAGGGCCGCGGTTCACGCCAGGCCGATGCTCGCCTGCGTGAGCGACGATATTTGCCCCTCTGGTTCAATCAATGACGCTCGGTCTCTTGTGGGCTGAGATGAGACGTAAGATGTGGGCACCGGTTGGATAGAGAGAGAAGGATTGCCCTGATGATGTGAGAGACTTGGGAAGACTCACAAGGAAGCGAAGCGGCGGTTTCATGCACTTGAGGGCGGCCAAAATGATGGCGGCGGGGAGGAGAAGCTGGTCGCCTCGCATCACGGGACGCCGCCACCGACAACCATCTCTTGAGTCTTGACAGTCCTGGATGCACGCACGGTCGTCTGCTCTCACTTGTCTCGTCACGGCAGCGCCCAACGACCTGCCTCTCTGTGCAGGCGGGCCGGGCGAGAACACGACGAGTCGAGTCGAAAGTCGAGTCGAAAGTCGAAACTTTACTACGGCTGTTTGTTTCTGATTAAAGCTCTTCCCTCCCGCTCAGACTCTACCCGCGGCCGATTAGAAGCTGACTGCTTCATGCGATGATGCGTTTCCTTCCTCGCTTCAGTCTCGGAGACGAGCCGAAGCTTGCTTTCTCACGCAGAGGAGCATGAGAACAAAGAAAGAGGCGCGTCTCAGGAAGCGAGAGACCGGGTGGGACGAAAGGAGGGGCGCTAGTGTTAGGAAGGAAAGAGGCGCCGGGCCGGCCGGCAAGCGGCTAAGATGCGAGCTGATGCTTGGCTGGCTAGCCCCATCTCATGGCCTCGAGGATGATAACGCTCTCACGTGAGGAGGGTCGAGCACAAGACAGGCGCGTCAGGACCTTAATGCTCACTCAACACCTCGTCGCCCCGTGTTCACTCAACAACGCCGCTCGGCCCCGCCAGACGGGAGGGCGGAGAGATCGGGGTGGCGGGAGACTGGCGTTGAAACACGTAACTCTCGACGCAGAGCTAGCTGGCTGGCGAATGCAGTAGAGGACCAGAGGTGACAATCTAGTATTACACAGGGTGCGGGTCCTGCTGACGATGCAGGACAGTATGAAACAGGCAAGACGCAGAGCATCATTGGGCCGCGACGTGTCGCGGCCCAATCAAAGAAAGAGGTCCTCAAAAGGCCCCAAGATTGCGGCCAAGGATTCCAGGGAAAGATGCGGAGAGCCCGAAGATGTCGCGGCGACTTCTTTGTCGCCTCCACCACCAGCTCTCGTTGTGAGGCAGTGCCGCAGAGCAATTGTCGTCATGGCGTTGCGGATGCGCACGACGAGTTGCTCGAGGAGCGACGCAAGCTCATCATCCGGAGCATCATCACGGATTGACACGATGAGAAGCTCCGGCTTCAGAGCCAAGTAGCGCTCCATAGCGCGTGTGCGACCAGCTGCCGGATGCAATCGACCAGGCCCGGCACCAAGAGCCAGGCGCTGCTGCGAAGACGATGCGGCCATCGTTGTGGCATTCAAGGACGACGAGGCCACGCTTGCTGCATCGTCTTGGCCCGGGTCAGCTTCGTTGAGGATCCCAGGGAAGAGCTGCGCGTTGGAAAGGGCTTCTAGTCGCAAGCAGACCATGCCGAGAGCCTTGATCTCCTCGATGTTGAGCAAAGACGGCATAGGTTCGAAGACTTGAGGAGCAGGTGCGTCCTCGCGAGTCGCTAGACGTCCAGCCAGCTGCTTTGGATAGACGAGATTGAGCATCTCTGGCGTCTCGAGTCCTTTGAGGCGCTTCTCGCCCATCTCTGAGATACCGAAGCCCATGCGTCGCAGCAGGACAACGTCACGAGTGACGTTGGGGTGTAGAAGCCGGAACTCCTCCTCGTCAAAGTCCGCATCGTCCGCCTCGACGCCCTTTGAGAGTCCGGCTACACCGCCCGCTTCATCGAATGTGCCCAGCAAAGCCGTCAACTCAGTGACGACATCGCGCGACGCCATAATCTGTCCACCATCAGCGGCGCCACTGATTCTGGCAGCTCGATTGACCATTGGCCCAAAGTAGTCCATCCTCCTCGTCACCGGGTCGTTCTCGCACACAGGCCAACCCCAGTGGATGCCCATGCGTACCGACAGTCCACGATAGATGACGTTCCCTTCGAGGTCGACCACCTCTTTACCATCTTCGGACTCGAGAATCTCCTGCGGCCATTCTTCGCGAAGCAGCTGCGTCTGGACATTAAAACACCAGAGCAGGGCAGAAGTGACCGAGGGAAAGGATACCATGAATGCGTCGCCTTCGGTCTTGACCTCGTATCCGCCCACGGTGCGCAGCTGTCGACGGAGAAGAATGTTGTGCAGTCGCATCGCTGATTGCATGCCGCCATTCGTCTCCCAGAGACTCGTGGAGTTCTTGATGTCGGTGAAGACGAGCGCAACCTGCCCGATCGGTGGGGCCACCTCGCGCTCCAGTCGAGCCAAGGTTCGGTCCGTAGGCAGCTCGTCGCGGTGTTCTCGGCGATGCATCTTTTTGAGCGCTTCCGTCGTAGGGTCGAGCCGCGATGCCGATCGCTGATGTTGCCTTCCACCTGACCCCGAGTCAAAGAGATCGCCAACCGCCATGATCATGACCATGATGCTCTCCTCTGCACCGTAGGAGATGGCAAAGTCGCGCAACTTTTGCGCAGCAATCATCAAGTCGTCTCGCTCAGTGCGCGCGATATCCACAGCCGTCTGGTAAGACATCTGATCCCAGAGTGATCGGCTGGCGACGATGATGAACTCGTCTGAGTCGTTGAGTTGAATTGAGCTCACCGCTGGGGCAGCATTGACGAAGGGAGTAAGGTGATAGTATCCAAAGGAGCGCGAGACATCCAGCGAGTCGTTGACATAGCCTCGTAGCGAGACCCATCCTTCTGCGCTGCGGATCCGTTGCGTCTCGTCACGATCAAAAGGCTCGTGGCGAGTCGTCATGTGCTGAGCCGTGCCGCCGCGGCAAAGGACGGCGAGGGCGTCTCCTGCATTTGCAACGTGAAGGCAATGGTCTACAATGTAGACGAGGACGCCCGATGCGCCCGACTGCCATTGCGACTTGGCCGTGCTCGCGGGCTGACCTGATGCGAGGCTGTCCCCGACTGCTGCGTCCGAGAGGCTGCGGTTGCTCTCTGACATCAAGAGGAGGGCATACTCCTGCTGCAGGCGCAGGAAAGCTCGTCGCATGATGTTGGGAATGTGAGCCTCATCTGGCGCGAGAGTGCCAGCTTGGGTCAATGCCTCGGACACCTCGCGATCGACCCGATGCCTGGCCCAATCTGCAAGGAACTTGGCGATGCGGCTTCCATTGTGAGCGCCGTGGCCGCGTCCCTCGAATAGACCAATCAGACACTCCTTGGGGTCCTTGCGGAAGTTGGGCACCACTACATCGACGAGACTGAGATTGTCGAACTTTCCCAACGCGTCCGAAATGCCGTACGCCATGTTGTTGACTTGCGATAGGGACGTACGCACTCGTCGATTGTCGTGCTCGTCCGGCATCTGCTGCAGCGTGACCGTCACATCCATCAGGCCTAGAACGCGCAGGCTTGCCAGCCGCTGGAAATCACTCATGTCCATGCGACGATTGGCTCCTGCGATGCCCGTCATCTTGCTCTTCACCTCAAGCCGCTTGTTGCCCGACAAATTGAGGTAGCGCAGCTCGGGATTGGAGTTCCAATTCCAGTCGTAGTGCCAATTAGCGATGTTGTACTTGAGAGAATTGTTCCCCACGTCCAAGTTGGCCAAGTTGCGCAGCTGACCAAGCTCGGCGGGCAAGGTCTGCAGGCGGTTGGCATTGATGTGTAGGATGCGCAAGAGCTTGAGCTGCACCAAATCATCCGTGGGCACGCTAGAGAGGTCGTTGCCGCTCAGGTACAGCTCCCGGAGGAAGACCAGCTTGGACAAGGAAGGTGTGGGCACCTCGTAGATGTCGTTGAAGCTGAGATTGAGGATCTCGACCTCGACCAGGAGCCCAATGACAGCAAAGACTTCGTCCGTTAGGCGATTGTCTCCGAGTCGAAGCTTCTTGAGCGACATCGATAGAGCTGAAGTGGACTTGGCGAGAAGAGGAGTGGAGGGCAGCGGGCCTGACACGCTCGACGCGGGCATGCCCACGACGGAGGCCGACGAAGCGGATCCCTTGCGTCCGTTCTCAATGAGCGCGCCCGCGGTGCTTGGACGTCCGCCCACCACCGCGTCTGGCGAAATAGGTGGCAGTGGGAAGCTCTCAAGTAGATTGGACGAAGCGTTGATGCTGGTCAGGCTCTGGCAGTTCCAGATTGAGTCGGGCAAGCTTTTGAGGTTGTTGTTGTGAACCAACAGTCGCCGCAAATTCTTCAGCTTGCCGATCGAATCGGGCAGCCCGACAAGTCGATTGTTGGTGCAGGAAAGCAATCGAAGCTCCTTGAGCTCGCCGATGGAGTCGGGCAGACCGAGGAAGTGATTGTTGTCCAAGATCAGGTCGTACAGCGAGGGCAGCTGAGCAAGCAATGCCTCATCCAGTCTCGCCAAGTTGGCCGCTGACAGGTTCAGAGATACGAGCTGCAGCGGCGCGTTGCCCGAGCCGATTGCGAGCTTGCTCATTGGGTTGTGACCCAGATTGATGCTCCTCAAGTGGGTACCCAGCGTCGCCGAGAAGGACTTGATCGAATTGTGCTCGCAGTGAGCCTCGGTCAATGATTCTAGCGAGAAGAGGGCTGAGACATCTTGCAGGAGATTGCGACGCACATCGATCTTGCGCAAGCTGAGAAGCTGGCTCATGCACCCAGGCAGCTGCTCGATGGAGTTACCGACCAGTATAAGCGACTGCAGCCGCGTGAGCTGCCCAAGTTGCGGGGGCATGCCGCTGATGGCGTTGAAGGAGATGTCGAGGTCCGTCAGTGAGGACAGCGAGCAGATGACTTGAGGGAACGTGTCGAAGCGATTGTTGGATACGTTAAGCTGCTTGAGGGCTGTCAACCTCGAGAAGTACGAGGGTAGCTCCGTGAGGCGATTGTTCTGCACTTTGAGCGACTTGAGCTGAACAATTGAGTCCAGCGCGATGTGACTCAGGTCCGGAATGCGATTGTTCGACAGGTCTAGGTGCGTGAGCGTCTCCGAGTGCTTGACTGACTGCGGAATGCGCTTGAGCGAGAGGTTCGAGAGGCGCAAGGTACGCAGATTGGAGCAGAGCTGCACAAAATCGGTAGGCACGTCGCTCATAGGGTTGCCTGAGAGATCGAGCGAGTTGATCCAGTCGGCATGACGGTAGAGGAAGATGGGCACCATCTCGAGATTGCGACCTTGCAAGTCGAGATGGGTGTAGTTATCCTCTGTGTTGCCGAAAGACTCTGAGTCGAATGTTGGCACTAAGTCAGGACGGTAGACGAAGCGCAAGAGGTATGAATGGTCCTCCCGGCCCATAGTATCCAGTCCGTCGTACTCCGTGTAGCCCGCCTGCTCCATTCGACGCCTCTGCAGCATTGCAGGCTTCTCCGACTCGCCCAATGGCCTTTCGCTACCCTTGTCCCGCACGAAGAGTCGATACGCTCGCGCTCCACTCGGCGACTTCCGGCTGATGATGGCTCGTAGATTTGATGTGCTCGTGTACAGCGGGATCGAGACGGTGCGTACACCGAATGGCGTCTCGATTCGCATGATGTGGCCCTTGCCGCCCAGCCCGCCGGCTTGGGAAGGATGGTGCATCAGAGGGGCACGCTTGGCGGCAGCGCCGGCGGCGGACGAGTCCATCGTAGCTGTTGCGCCCGTGACAGCTGAGCCGAAGCTAGTGCGCCCAGCCCCATCCTCGATGGTACCAGCCGTGCCTGGCCTTGACATGGGCGGGCCAGTCGTCGAGTTGGCCGTCCCTGGTCTTGAAGAGCCAGCAGTGCCCGGCTTCTTACCACGCAAGCCCAGCATGTTAGCTGCTGCAGCGGCCGCTCCTCCAGCGACGCCAAACGCACCGCCGCGAGAAGAGACGGTCCTGTCCATCTTGGGCGTCGTGGGCTGTGGGCCAAGACCTGCACTACCAGGAGGAGACGTGAGAAGCTCTACGCTCTGCGACGCTTGTCGAGCGACGGGGCTCGGTCCGGTTTCGTAGTCTGAGCTGGCGAGGCTATGCGCTGAGACTTGGCTGCCTCTAGGAGCGAGATTGTACGAGGCCTCCTGACTGCTGCCGAGGAAGGTCGTCTGGTCCGCTGTCAAGGCGCCAGAGGAGGACGTTGTGTGCGAGTGTCCGCCTGCGCTGGAGTAAGTCCCTCCCCCGTTGGTCGTATTGCTCACCGCTGACCACTTGCGATCTCCTGCAGCGGCGCTGGCCCCTTTGTTGTCCTTAAGCATCGTCTGCTCTGCCTCGTCGTCATCTTCCTCGCCGTCCTGACTGCTTCCGTCCTCGTCGCGCAAGTAGTCTCGAACTTTGTCTGGCTGGACAGCCCACGAGTCTGGCGCCATCCAGTTTGAGGAGCTGAGCGCGCCACCTGCGGCTCCACTTCCTGAGCCCGTTGAAGCGATGGACGCTTGTCGCGCTTTTGCGTCGAGCGGCAGGGCCGATGTGGGTGGGAACTGGTAGTTTGGATCCGCTACTCCAGCTCTCGTCCAGGAAGAATTGGCACCATCGGCTCCATGAATGAGGGAGGGAAGATGCACAGCAGAGGATTTGGGAGAGACGCCGCTTCTTGCGCTAACCTTGCTCGTTGCAGAGTCCTTGCGCTGCTCCGAGGCCATGGACTGGTACGCGATTGTCTGCGAATGGTTCAAGGCCTCCTCGAGGACGTCACTGTTGGACGATGGAGATGGCAAGTCTTCAGACGTTGAGCCGTAGTGGGGTGAATCAGTGGTGGTAGGCACAGCGGCGCGACGGGCGTCGGCCAATGATGATTTGCGTGAGCCGGCGCGCGGGGCAAAGCCCTCCGGCCGTTGTGCATTCGCGTTGCGCTGGAGGACCTGCGATTGAAGTGAGCCATGACGCCCTCGAGGAGGGGCCTGCAGTAGCCATCCTGGTGCAGGGGCGTCTGGCGAGTGGCTGCCCGGCTGACTAGGCAGAGCTTTCGAGCTCACGTCTGCGACAGGCGCAGCTGCGAGAGGATCCACTGCGGCTGCGAAGAGGGCCGGCTGCTGGCCAGGACTGGCGCTCCATAGGCCGTCCTGCAGCGTCTCGTCCTTTGGTCCCACAGGCATCGAGTTCTGCCGCATCGAAGTATCGACGATGTCATCGATCTGATCAAAGTTTGTGTCGAGTGTCATTTCGACATCTGCGCCCCTCGCTGCGGCTTTCGATCGAGCGCTGCCATCTATATTGCCCTGCGCTCCAAATGAGCCTTCCTCAGCCTTGTTCCTCTCGCGATCCCTTGTCAGTGGCCGTACAAGCCTGCGCCGCTTCTCCTTGATGCTGGCTGCGCGATGGTCCTGCGATGCCGCTGCATGATTGGCCGCGTTTGCCATATCGATGCCCTCCCACTCCTCGTCAATGCCTTGTGATTGCCAATCTGATCCGCCACGATTTCGACCCTTGTTGGCGCCATCATTCACAACTGCGGCTGTCAAAGAGGTAGAAGGATGCCGTGAGGAGCTCGCATGAGGAGGGGACGAATGCTTAGAGGAGAGCGACGTGTGACTCGCTTTGCGCTGGTCGCCCAGCGTTGCAGCCAGTGAGACGAAGCTGCCTGACGGATCTGGAAAGTTTGAGCTCTTTTTACGCAGAAATCCAAACGGATTGCGCTTCTTCTTGGTGCCGGGAGTAGTCGGAGCGATACTGAGGGCGGCTTCGCTGCCTTGGGCACCGGTGTGGCCGTAGATGGAGCTGGCGCCTGACATCGATCTGTGCTGCGGCGGCGTCGAGGGGCGAGCAGGTAGAGTAGACTGTGACGTCGACGACTGAATTGACGAAGTCTGTCGCGAGAGGTTGGGGCGTATGCGTTGCTGCAGGAGGCCCAGGGTCAGCATGTATGCAGGAACGAAGCTTACGCCAGCTCCTGGCACTCTCACCTGGATGGAGGCGCCATCGTCCAATTCCTCTTCGTCATCCTGATCGTCGACAGCCCACGGTGTAATATCCTGCCTCTTGCCACTGGATCCCTGCCTCCTCCAGCTGCCGTTGGATTCGCTGACGCCTCTTGGCGCCGGAGCACCCGCCGAGAGACCTACGTCGCTCAAGTCGAAGGAATCGAACAAGCCAGTAGCTTTGGATTCATTCATCGGCGCGGGAGTCGAAGATGTGGACGAAGACGATGACGCTTCGGTCGAGTAGCTCGCGTATGGATGTCGAGCGACCGATGGCCGCGTCGAACGTGGAGATACGCTCGTGTCTACATAGCGAGCGTCTTGCGGCGGCGGAGTCGACCAATGAGAGGCCGCGGGAGGGTGAGAAGTCGGCGATATTCCGCCACTATTTTCGAAGAAGCCCTTGCCTGACATTGTGAAGGCGATGGAGGAAGGGACGAGGGCGAGGAAGAAGACAAGGGAGGAGTCTCACAGCCCACGGACGAACCCTCGAATGAATGCTGCCGAGATCACTGACGAGCGGCGAGGGTTGCGCGTCGAGCGTCGATGTGCAATCTTCGCGCAGCTGATGACGTTGAAAGAGGTGCCGCAGATCACTTGGCCATGCAATCTCGGCCCTGTCGCTCGTCGTCGTCGTCGTCGTCGGATTCGCGCTCCTGCCAAGAAAGAGAGGGAGCGTGAGAGAGGGGATCGAGAGAGGATGGTGAGGAACGAGGAAGAATGGTACGACGATGCGCGTGTGACTGAGCGCGGCGCGAGATGCTGCTCCTCTTTGTCGCTGTCACCACGATAGCATCGTCATCGCCATCGATGGCGTTGTGATGATGGGTTGTTGCAGGGAGCAACGTCGTCCGCCCTCCCCGTCCCGCCATCGATATGGGCCCCACGCTCCCTCGCCTCGCGCTCGACTCGCACGCCCATCCGGCCGCGGTGTTTGGAATGAACTCGGCGGAAGATCAAAGTCGGCAGAAAGCAAGGAAAGGGGACAGAAAGGGCCGAGGTGAGCAACATCGAGTTGGAGGTGTCACGGAGGGCTGCGACATGACCACGATTGAGAAATGACTTCGATAGCATGACACGAGAGACTACCCGCGACTGCACTTGCAATCTTACAACTTCAAAGCTAGTCGATGGTGATTTCGCTGAAGACATCGTACCGTCCCTCCCGCCCCTGTGGCTTGGCCATGAGCGCTATCTTGGTCACTTCGATGTCAATGCCACAGCCACATCTGACGTCTTTATCCTCCGTTTCTTCAGAGATGACTGCTACTGTGCCATTTGCCGGACCCTCTACAGTCCCAACATCACTTCGATCACCTTCTCCAGGCGCAGCTAGCGCCGTACAGAGCTCAAAACCCAGCGCCTTTAGCTCTTCCAGTTGGGCCTCACTATGAGCCTGCCCGAGAGAAGCATGGGGGGCAAAAGGGCGATCCTGCTTACCTCTCCCCCCACCGACTCGCCCTGGGTCCCTGCTTGTGCCCCTGCTTTGCCCTCGACCTCGACTACTTCCCCTCCCCGCCTGCCTGGTCTCTGGCAAGGCGTCTTGAATCAGCCTTTGCATCTCGATGAACCAGCCCTGCTCCGCTCCAGGCGCTGAAAGGCCATCCTCTTCGCTGACACGCTGCCTTGGCCGTGGTCTTAAATGCACATTGGAATACTTGCTCAGTTTGAAGATGCCAACATCATCGAGCACCAGACGATGTCGTGGTACGGCGGCTACGGCTTGCTGGATACGCTCCGTCAGCTGATGAAGCGCTGTATGGGCTGCGGCATGGGACGGACCTGGGAGCGTTTTTGCTAGCACAGTCGTCCCTGTGACATCAGCTGCACAGCCTGAGACACCATTGGCATCTTTGTCAACCTCGCTACTCCCGCCGTGGCCGTCAACCTCGAAAGGCACGATGAAAGGTGGAATGAGCGTGAGATGCGGTACCCAGCGGGGCTCAGCGGCGTCCCACTTCTTCCTGATAGCATCAAGCTTTTCCAACTTGCTAGCCAAAGCCGGCGACGTCGAGGCGATTTCTGCTGGCCGTGGCAGAAGGAAGGCTACGACGGCAATGTACGACGTGGGTCGGTTCTTTCGCTTGCGTTCAATGACCTTGGACGTCGCCTGATCTCCTTTTGGTCTAGCTTCTGCCGATGCGTTTACATCCATCGCTCTTGAGTCGCTACTCGTTGTGACCTGTGTTGCTCCAGGTCCCCGGGTTGACTGCATCGCTTTACAGTTGTGGGGCGACCAAGCAGTCGAGTAGCTGGTAGTGGTGAACCACTTCAGTGACTGTACGATCAGGGGCTGAGTCTCTGCAGGTGTCGCCTTGTGGCAAATGCGCAGCATGCGCGACCACTCGTATCAGGCGGCTCGAAAGGCGGGGCTTGATAGCAGCGACGAAGGCTGCAAAGTGACGCCGCTTCGACCGTCGCTCTGGTTCCGCTTGCGGTCAAACAAAATGCGGTGGCTCGTGCACGCTCCTCTCCGAAATGGAAAGGGGAGCGAGCGGGCGACGCAATCAAGATCAACACAGCCGGCTGACGAGAGGCGTCCACATCTTGTCTCTGCTCCTCATCATCTGCGACCATGAGCGGTAGTCACTCCCCTCCTGCTGGCTCGTCATCCGGCGATATCGCAGGACGTTCGGCCACGCCGTCGTCATCGTCCAATGGCAACACCAACATCGGCACCAATCGACGCATCTCGCACGGGGCAAACAGCGCTGCCCACTCCCTGTTGCCTCGCTCTTCAGGCGCCGGACCATCCGCTGCCGGATCTTCCTCTGGCGCCAATACGCCTACAGCAAGCAATGCAGCTTCCTCCTCGTCCACCTCACATCGCTCATCGGCTGCCAACTCTCCTCGTCGCGCTTTGGCCACGCCTTCCGCGGCACCTAATGCATCCAACTACCGCATACAGAGCATCGCGAGCACTCAACCCGCGCAGATTCCAAGCAGTGGCGCCCCTTCATCTTCTATGCCAGCCGCCAGCCCAACTGCAACACCTCCGATGTTTGGCTCCTACTCTGGCGGCCCGCCCTCCCTCTTTACCATGGCTGCGCCTGGCGGTGGTCAGCCATCGGCGACATCCACCCGCCCTGCCACGAATCTTGGCTTCTGGAGAGCGCCCAATCGGCCGGTCACCACCCAGCACCATCATCATCATCAGGGCCAATACGGCAGCCCATTCTATCCTACACAAGCGCCACAGCGCTGGCTAGCCCCAGCAATGGCGGACCCAGCAGGTTGGGCAGGCAACCTTGCCACCTCGAAGCTAGTGGCAGGCTTCCAGGAACACAATCTCCTCTCCTTCAGCTGGGTGATCAAGGATCTGCGCTTGCTCCGTGAGGAAGTAGAAAATTCGCCCGCATCATCCCTCGATGAAGCCGGCCGATCAGTCAGCGCGGGCGCAGGTCGCTCTGAGATCTGGACGACGCAGCCCCTCTTCGGTGACGGCAAGTGGAAGCTGGAACTCGTTCGCACAAGTCGGGATGGCACCACAGTCCTTTCTGCCTACCTGACGTCCATGGTCATCGAGTCCGGCGCGCAAGATGCTTCCCTCACAGCGAGCGTGATGCTAGGCATCCGCCTGCCTTCGACCGCCCAGCCGTCGACGAGCTCAGGCTGGGTCTGGAGCCATTTCACACATTTCACCTTCGACCGCGACGCCGAGTTTTTTGAATGTCACGAGCTGCCTAGTCTCAGTGAGCTACTCAATCAGCATGCAGAGGTGGCGAAAGCCAACTGCTTTGAGCTCGTTGTCCAGCTCGGGACTGGGCCGCACTTGGCCATTCCGAGTGAGGATGCACCGACGAGGAGACTGCCCTTCCAGCTGCCTGAGTCGCGCTTTGTACCAGACTCGATTGTTGCTGGGCTCGAGGGCATGGTCGACAGCGCTACCACGGGTGATGTGGCTCTGATCGTGAGGGAAAGGGGCGTCGTCTTGCTTGCATCGGATGAGGAGGTTGGGCCTGATTTCGAGGTGCTGCCTTGGGCCGTTGGCAAGCCGATGCCCGGGACTATCACGCGAGAAGACGTGGCAGCAGAAGCAGCTGGAGGAGAAGACACGGATGCGACGCATCATGCTCACGGTCGCACCGACTCAGATGGATCGGAAGGTCGCTCCGCCGAGATCGTGGTCAGGGACCGTGTCATATGGGCGCACTCCTCCATCCTTCGCTCCCGCAGCGATTACTTCCGTACCATGCTTGACTCAGGCTTCTCTGAAGGCTCGGCTGTCGGCGGTGGAGAAGACACGATGACGTCGTACGGCGGCCGCACCGTGCGAGTACTGCGCATCCCTGATGCCGACTATGCTACGGCCTTCGCTTTGGTGCGTTATTTTTACGTCGGAGAGATCGACTTCATGGAAGACGAGGATGTGCGGAGCGTCACCTTCGACGATGAGTGGGCGACGGCTGTCAGTGGCAGCAGCGCGCCTGGCATGAGTAATAGCGGCAATCCGGTGTGGGAATGGCGCAGTTTGGCGCAGATTGCTGGAGAGCTAGGCCAGGATTACCATCACCATCACGGCAGCAGCAGCCAGGATTCCTTTGGATCCCTGCGCGCTTCAACATCGTCATCAAATCTGTCCTGCGGTCGTAAGTCGTGGGGGCAGGCCACCTCGTCTCGGCGCTCCACCTCGTCCATGGACAATCGCTCTGACGGCGCCTCAACACCTCGCCATCATCGCAGCGGTAGCTCGGCGAGCAATGCTAGCAGCAGCAATGCTTTGATGCCGGAGGGCGCGACGTCGATGTCGCTGTCTTCGCAAGCAGGACCGTCTTCTTCGCCGTCATCTTCCCTCCTCGCCTCCCTCCTGCAATCTGATCCCCACTCTCACCCACCTTCGGGCATCCCACCCAGTCCCTCGGCCTCGTCTCTGGCAATCTACAAGTTGGCGCATCGCTTCCACCAAACAACTCTCTCCTCCCTCGCGCAAGCTCATCTGCTCGCCACCCTCCACCCCGCCCGCAACGCGTTCCCTGCACTTTTGGCAACGCATCTCTACCCGACGTTGCATGCTGCAGTGAGGGACGCTGTGCTGGAAGCGTGGGGCGAGGTGAGTGAGAGCAAGGAGTTTGAGAGATGCTGCGATGAGGTTGGACAGGGCGAGTGGGGAGTTCACGCAGGACGGGCGATTAGAGGATTCATGAGAGCGTTGGCTGATCACAATGGTGGTGGGAGCGGGAATGGCAGCAGCATTAGCAGCCGTGGCGGGGCGCGTGACGGTAGTCGCAGCATGGCTGGCCGAGCGTGAGGTCGTTCAGCCCAAATATCACGGTAGCATGATGACGTGCGATCTAACGATTACTGCATGTATACGAAGCCCGGCCAGCGAGCTCTCTCGCTCGTGTTGTGGAAAGGGCCGATGAGCCCGGCGCTACGATACCCTCTCTCTCTGACTTCCCTTCTCAATTCTAACAATTTCCGATGATTCCTCTCGCCCTGTCTGCCTTCCCTCTCACCTCCGCCCGCGCCTCACTTCCTTATGAGGTCAAGAAATTCCTGCCTCGTCTTCTGGCGATCTCTAAAGCTGCCCAACATGCAGCTCGTGACCGTGGAGCTTCCTACCTTCTGCACTCCCCTCATCACCATGCACATATGTTCGCACTCGACTACGACCGCTACGCCTCTCGGCCTCAATGCCTCATCAAGCGCCAAAGCCACTTGTTTGGTGAAGCGCTCCTGTACTTGCAACCGTCGCGCGAATGTCTCTGCGATCCTTGCAAGCTTGGACAAGCCGATGACCAGCCGGTTGGGAATATACCCTATATGGATCTTGCCTTTAAATGGCACCAAGTGATGCTCGCAGAGCGACGAGATCTCGATGTCCCGTACAATGACCATCTCGTCGTGCTCCTCGTCGAATATTGCATTCGCGATGACGTCGCTCAGCCGCTCCTCGTAGCCGCGCGTCATCCACAGCAGGGCTTTCGCGTAGCGATCCGGGGTGGCTTTGAGCCCTTCGCGGTCCGGATCTTCGCCCAAGCACTCCAGAACGGTCCGTACCGCCCCTGCAAGCCGTGCCTGGTTCGCCGCGGCCTGCTCGGGAGTGTAGTGTAGGCGGTCAAGCGTCTTCTTTGCCGGCCAGCCTAGACCGTCCTTGTCCATGACGGGGGTCATGGTGCCACTCGCTATTGCTGACGAGGCATCATTTGCGTGTGGGCCGCCAAAAGCGCCAATGAAGGTCTTCTCGCCCGTAGGAGTGCCCAGCCCGCCGCCACGCAGCTTGGCAAACTCCATGGCCGCCTCCCGTGAGAGAGCTGTGCGTGAGGACGAGGAGCGGCGAGAGACATTACTGCTTTCGCTGCCTGCCGCGACGCCTCGACGGGGCAGTGAGCCTGTTGAGGACTGCATACCATTGATGGAAGGGTCGGCCTCCTCTGTTTCTGAGTCTGAGGGAGCATCAAGCGGATTTGCAGATGAGGAAGCGATGGCGCTGCTGCCCTTGGAGAGGTGGGTGGACGCCAATCGCTCTGAGATGCTGGCTTCGGGGTCATTCTTGTTGCTGTTCGCGGCCGTCGACTGCGTTCCGCTCGATCGGGCACTGTTGCCGATATGTCTTGTCGAGTTGGCGACGAAGCGCTCCATCTCCTCACCGTGGTTGGCAGGGCGTCGAGGCTGCTGAGGACGCCGCGGAGCCTGGGATGCCGACGGTTGCGGCTGCCGTTGCTGCATTGGCATTTGGCGACCGTTAAGACTGCTGCCGCTGCCACTGCTGCTGCCGCCGCGCAGATCGTCGCCGGTGAGACCCGCCCTATCCATGGCGTTGGCGAAGAGGGAGTTGAAGAGCTCGTGGCCTGTAGCGAAAGAGGCGGGCGAGTCCTCGCTTGAGGCTGCCGCGCCTGAAGATGAGGAAGGTGCTGATGAAGGTGACTGCTCCGCGCCACTGTCAGCAACGTCGCCTTGATTGTGGGCCATTGCTAACTAGCTGACTGTCACCCGTGATTATATGCTGTTGGTTGTATGCTGCTGCTGCTGCTGCTGCTGCTGCTGCTGCTGCGTGACTCGCTGCCCCAGATTCGGATTGATTGCACTTTCTGCGTTTCAAGCAAGCGCTGTCTCGACCTCGCTCTCCGCCCTTTCCGACCCGTCTACCGTCCACACAAACCACGTGGCTGCTTGCTTTTGCTGCCAGGCCCGCCCCTAGGCCCGCCTCGGCCCCCTCTGTTCCCGTGCCCGTCGCTTTTGCTCTCCCGGCCCGCCCGCTCAGGGAAAACACTTGCGACGAGCCTGGCCAGAGCAGAGCGCGATGACGCTCCTTGAGCACGCTTCCCACACTCGACGTCGTCATCGAACTGCTCGCTCTCTCGTCTCCGTCATCGTCGTCACCACGCTTAACCCCACGCTCGCATTCGCAGAGATTTCAGGGTCCAGAAGCCAAGTCAAGCTTGTCCGCAACTGAGCTTGACGAGAGCAAGAAGACCGACTCCATCATCGTCCTTCTGCCAGGGCGCTCGCATCTGCGTAGCCAGCGCCTCCTGGCGGCGTAACGACGACGGATTAATCAAACGCCCGCTCGCGCCTGTTGCACCGCCGCCAGCGACACTCTACCAGATCGACGCCGACGACGACGTCAGAGGACAACGTCATAGCTACATCCGACCTTCCATCTCACTGAGTATTTCGCCCGCCGCCGCCGCATTCGCCGCCCAATCGTCATCATGGCTTCCGAGGTGAAGGCAAAGCAGCCCGGTGAGTGTCAACTGAGCGTGGTCGCGAGGGATATCGGGGCATATCGAGGCGCATCGTCACCACCACGGCGACGTCAACGTGTCTCACCCCGATCTCACATTGAAGGCGCAGACTTGCATCTCGCTCAACTCGCCGGCAACCTTGTAACCCTTACTGACTCGCTCGTCCTCTTCTTCCCCATCTCGTCCACTCCGTTGGGCCCTCAGCGCGTCCACCTGCTCGCCCTCAGCCGCAGGCCCACTCATCAAGACACGCCCTCGAGCCCAATCCATTCGAGCAGTCCTTTTCATCCAAGCCAGGCGACGGCTCGTCTGCTTCGCCAGAGACCGACGGAGCCAGCGAGGCCTCCAAGGGCAAAAAGAGCGTCAAGGCAGACTCGTCCAAAGCATCCAAGGATGCCGCTGGCAGCAAAACCTCTGCCGGCAACAAAGATAGCCAAGCCGATCCGTCATCATCGTCCAAGTCTGCCACAACTCCTGGCGGCGCGTCCACCGACGCCAAGGACGCAGGCGCAGCTACGCCGAGGAAGGGCCTCCTTCCGCCCGTAGCATCACTCGCGTCGCCCTCTGTCGAAGGAGGCTCCCATTACCCTTGGAGCGGCGGAGGCATCGGGTCGCTTCGTTCAGGACCTCTGAGCCCTGCTATGCTCACTGGCCCCCAGAGCTTCGACCCTGCCTCATTCCGTACAGGCTTCACGCCTGACTTGTCCAATTTCAAGACGGGCCTCACGCCCCTGGGCAGCGCCAACGGCTATCCTCTACCCTCGCCTGGCACGTCGGCTTTCCTCGCCATGGTCAACCAAGGCGGGTCTACTATCACGCCCAACACCTTCAATGCCATCACCAACAGCTTCGGAGGTGCAGGGGCAAGTGGTGGTGATAGCAAGCACACGCGCGATGGCAGTGGGCCATCATCAGATGGTGACTTTGATCTCGCCTTTGGCAAGAACTTGGCCAATCGCCATGCGCCTCAGAGCGGGATACGCTCGTCAGCTGCAGACGATGCCGGTGTCAAGGACGGCAATGAGGACAACCATGTCAGCCCAAGCATGATTCACCAGCAGCAGCAGCAGCAGCCTCCTCAGGCTCCGCCGCAGGGCGCACAAGGAGGCAAGCAACCGAATGGCCAGCCCACGTCTACGCAAGCTGCATCAGGCTTGTTCCTCCTCAGCCAAGCTCACCAGGAACTCTCCAAACGCGACGAGGCTGCAGCCTCGCACGGCCATCCCGTTGGCCCGGGTACGGTGCCGCCTGGTATGATGGCGCACCCCAATGGTATGCCGATGCATGCGCCGAATCCCAACGCTCACTACAATACCAACGCCAGCAACATGCACAACGGTCCGACTCCGCCTCAGCAGCAGCAGCCCGCCGGCAAGAGCGCGCCCAAGCGAAAGAAGAGCTTGGGCGGCCAGTCAGAGAATGTAGACGGCAACGGAGGTGGTACGAGCACAGGGAAGAAAGGCGGTGTCAAGAAGGCAAAAGCTCTCAAGAAGGAGAGCAGCGCTGCCCCCTCCGCGAGCGTGGACGAGGACCAAGACGAGCTGTCCGGAAGCGAGAACGGAGGGCCCAACGGCGGGGCTGATGGCTCAGGTGCGGGCGGTAGTGGCGGGGACGACGACGAGGAGAAGCGCAAGAATTTCCTCGAGCGCAACCGCCAAGCTGCCCTCAAGTGTCGTCAACGCAAGAAAGCCTGGCTGCAAGACTTGCAGGCCAAGGTAGCCTTCTTTGAATCCGAGAATGGCAATCTCCAGGGAACAATTGGGGCGCTGCGCAATGAGGTTATGTTCTTGAAGCAGCAGTTGATGCATACGCAGCAGCATATGCAGGCAAAGGGCATTCAGATGCCTGGGCCTATGCCGCCGCCAGCAGGTCAGCAGGGACCTCATGATGGGCCTGGCGGGCCGCAAGCCGGTGGAGGGATGATGCCACCTAACTTTGTACCGCCTGGCATGCACCCTGGGCAACAACATCCTCATCATCATCATCATCAGCAGCAACAGCAGCAGCAGCAGCAGCAACAAGGCCCACCTCCGGGACAGGGCTACGGTGTACCTATGCCGGGCGCACAAGACGTAGCGCCCAATGAGCGAGCCTTTTCGCCAGCAGCGGGGCCAAAGGCCCAGGCAGCTTGATCCGGGCCTAGGGTCCACAGCACGATCAACTCGAGCACGAACATCCCTTTTCCGTTTTACCCAGTCTCATTCAGTGGACTCTCCCTCTTCTCTTCTTTTCTCCCCTCCCTCTCCGTGGCCTCCTCGAAATCTCTGTTGTCTCCCCCGACTCTTTACCTATCCTTGTACGCAAGCCCAGTCCCAGCTCGTCGCGGCGATCTCCCTATCTGTTTACCCAGGCCACCACACCATGTTGTAATACACGCATTCATCAACGCACATCAGCGCACTGCCTGACTACTCGCACTCGATTTGTCCCGAGCGAGACACGATGCTCGGACGGGCAGCGGGAGCAGCGGAGTCGTCATTGGCGTCGAGCGGAGTGGGCTTGGGGAAGTGGACCCTGAGAAACGATCGACGCGAGCGGCGAGTGGCCCACGGGCAGAATACAGAGGGGACTCGAGATTCACGCTCGAGCATCCCGCCCGCCGTCATTGCGCTTGCTGGTTGCTGTTCTTTGTCTCCTTCCGCCTCTTGCTTGTTTGCCTTTTCTCCTTGTTTCACTTTTCTCCACATCAGCGACCGGCGATACCCTTTTCCTGCGCTGCTGCGAGATCCAATTGCCTCGACGAGAGGTTCCCTCAGCAGCGATGGCTCCGTCTTCTTCCTCTAATGCTTCGAATACCCCCTCGCCACTCTCGTCAAGCACGGCCCTACCCAACACCAACAACGCCAATGCTTCATCCTCGGCCTCCGTCCTCTCGTCGAGGCGGAGAGGTGCAGCTCGCAACCTAGCCTCCAATGGCGCTGGCTCCGGCTCAGGGTCACACACTCCCACGTCTGGCACCTCAACCCCTCCCTCAGAGGACGATTCCCTCTACCCAAATCAAATCGTCCTCCAACGCGATCGTTCCCGCAGTCGCCGTCTTCCCTCATCAACGCCCGGTCGCCCTGGGCTCAAAGGTCGCAAGCTCCCCTCCTACACAGTCCACGCCCCAAATACACCCTTCGACGAGCTCGATCTTAGCGAAGTGCCTTTCCTCCAGCATGCGGATGAGACCCTTCTCGCATCTGCTGCGGGTAATGCTAAGAAGGGACTGACCCGCTATAGGCGACTGTTCTTCTTGGTCGGCATTGTGTTGGGTGCAGCGGTGACTTGGCTGGCGGCACAGAATGCGGGCATGGATTCGCACATCCGCAGCTTGAGAGGAATACTGGACGATCAGCTCGTATCTCTCGGAGTGGACTTATCGCAGCTCGACTTCAGCCTGCGCATGCCGAAAGAATTCCTTGACCTTGGAGACAACTTGTTCTCAGGTCCCAAGGAGTGGCTGTCTACGAAGGACTTTAGAGTGGGCAGGAAGCTCGCCGAGCAAGGGTACAAGACTGAGCATCCAGTCGTGCTCATGCCGGGAATTATCAGTACGGGGCTGGAGAGCTGGTCGACCAACCCGGATATGAGCGGATATTTTAGAAAGAGGCTGTGGGGGACGACGACTATGATGCGGACGATTGTCATGGAGAAGGAGATGTGCGTGCTGCGTAGTATGGGCGCAAATGAGTTTGGATGAGGCTCAGTCGCTGAAGGCTTCTTCCCCCCTCCTCCGCGCGCGTTCAGGTGGATCAAGCATCTCTCACTAGACCCCATCACCGGTATTGACCCACCTGGCATCAAGGTTCGAGCGGCCGAAGGACTAGACGCAGCCTCGTATTTTGTCTCAGGCTACTGGATCTGGTCCAAGATTATCGAGAATCTCTCTGTGATAGGCTACGACACAGGCAACCTCTACATGGCATCGTACGACTGGCGCCTCAGCTACTACAACCTCGAGGTGCGGGATAGATTCTTTACAAGACTGAAGCTGAAGATTGAACAGAACAGTGCGCTCACTGGCAAGAAGACGGTGCTGATTGCGCATTCCATGGGAAGTAGCGTGGCGCTTTATTTCATGAAGTGGGTTGAGGCGAGTGGACCGGGCTTCGGAAATGGAGGCGATAGGTGGTGCGAGGAGCACCTGGAGTCGTTCACTTCGATCGCAGGGACCTTCTTGGGCGTCCCCAAGGCGATGGCTGCATTGCTGTCCGGAGAGATGAGGGATACTGTGGAGGTGCCGCCTGCTGCGGCCTACTTGCTTGAGAAGTTCTTCTCGAGGAGAGAGCGGGTGAGTGCACACATACAGCCTGCGAACTCAAGCTATTTTGCGCTGACTCTCTTCTCGCACCGCAGGCCCGCCTTTTCCGCACCTGGGCCGGTTCAGCCAGCATGATCCTCAAAGGCGGCAACGCCGTCTGGGGCAACGACACTTGGGCGCCCGACGACCACGACACGGCTCACGAGTCACACGGCTCTCTCTATACCTTCCGTCGCCCCAAGAACGTCCACCTCGGCGCAGGCGACGCAGCAGAGGGGCACGACCGTCCTACTGCGGCCGCCGCCCAGCACGACGATGCTACCCTCGCGACTTCGTCGCATCACGACTTGAGCTCGCATCACCAAGTCCAAACCAATCTCTCGGCAGACTCTGCTCTCACCTGGCTCCTCCAGCATACCCCGAACACATTTCAGCGTATGGTCGAAACGAATTACTCCGTAGGCATAGAGTACGACCCGCGAGTCGTCAAGGCCAACTCTCGCGCCGACCGTTTCCCGACTTGGTCCAACCCTCTCGAGGCCGCTCTCCCTCACGCGCCGAGCATGAAGCTAATTGCAATCTACGGCGTGGGCAAACCGACTGAGCGCTCCTACTACTACGAGAAGGGTCCCTTTGAGCGAGAAGACGTCCAAGCCGAGGGAGATTCGGCACAATGTCTCGACGTGCATTGCTCCAACGCGACGGACGCCAGTCCTTTGGGTTTCCCCCTCGCACGAAGCCACTGGATCGATGCAACGGTGCATGACGAGAAGGCGAGTCCCAAGATTCGCGCAGGGTGCAAGATGGGTGAGGGGGATGGGACGGTCAGCCTTCTCTCGCTGGGAGCGATGAGCGTCGAAGGGTGGAAGCGCAAGCGGTACAATCCGGCGGGGATGCGCGTTGTGACGCATGAGCTGGCTCATGAGCCCGAGGCGATGGATCTTCGCGGTGGACAGACGACGGGTGATCATGTGGATATCCTGGGTGCGTGGAGAGTCAACGAGATGGTGCTGAAGGTCGCGGCAGGAAGGGGCCACGAGGTTGAGGATCATTTCGTCAGCGATATTCGTGACTACGCCGCGAGGATCGACTGGGACGGCGAGGGACAGGCGTAGGATGTCTTGCTGGCGTGGGCTGTGAACTGCTTTGCTTAATCTATTTTCATACACGACGATGAACGTAACTTGAGAGAGAGATCGATCATATTCCTTCTCGAGCGCTCCAGGGCTGATGCAGGTTGAAGGAGCTTGGACCCTCTGCACTCGTCGCGGTATCATCTTCGACCCGCGCCAGGCCGCTCGGACCTCGACTCCTTCTCACGGCGCGCGTCGCAGCGACCACCGCACCTTCTGTTATGATATCTTGCTCAAAATCAGCTCAAGAAAATCTAAAAAAATCACAGGAGCTCCGCAGCATCATTCTGATATCAGGCAGGGCAAAAAATGGCAAAAATTGATACAATGACCCGAACCCGGCTTGAACGGATGACCTTGAGATGCAAAGGTTTCTTTGGAATCTCACGCTCTCCCAACTGAGCTATCAGGCCAATTGCTGCGCCTCACTCTCAGGAACGTACATAAATCTTGTCTCGGTTTACCTGCAAACCCTCGGATACCACTTCCTCAGGCCTGGCCAGGCCACCACCTCCCATGCTTCGACGACCAGTCATCTCATCGCCACCAGCCGCTCCTTGACGAGGCCATACCAGCGTCGTCTGCTCCATCTCACCATCTCTCGGCCTCATTCCGCATTTGCGCCCTCGATCTTGACAGCCGATGCCGACGGCGTGCTGCTATTTTGCGCCCAACCTGCGCTTTCTTTCCGCTCGTCGCGGTCATCCGCCCGTTGCTGCTTCCGCCTTTCCGTGTCTCTGCCGTGCATGACGGCGGGCAGGCGGGATTTGCTTTCGCAGCGAGCAAGTCGAGCGAGGGAGGCCAACCCCTCTCTCACTGATGTATCTTGACTACCTTGTCATTGCTTGCGATTCATCATCAAGCCCCTGGCTCACCTTCCATTGATACCCTCCTGTTCTTCATTCATCATCCTCTAACCAGTGTCCCGATACACGCCTTTCCCCTCATCCCTCCCCTTTCGCTGCCGCCACGATGCGATACCAAAAGAGCTCTGCGGAACCCAGCCAGAACTCGCTGCATCGATACTACCACGCCAACGGGGCCAGCACTTCATCCACTACGAGCAAGAAGGACAAGGCGCCCTATGCCCTTGTCACTGGGTCGAGTGAGTACGCGACGTCGAGGTCACATCGTGCGTGTCATGCGGGTGACTAATGCCTGCCTCCCCTGTCCCCCTCAGCCGGCGGCATCGGCGAGGAGTGGGTGCACCAGCTCGCTGCTCTCGGCTTCAATGTCATAGCGCAAGGACGCAACGAGTCGAAGCTACAACTCGTCCGCTCAGCAGTTCTCGCTCGCTATCCTGCCGTCGACGTTCGCCTTCTCGTTACTGAAGCCACCATCTGGCCAAACGAGCCCCTGGTCACTGGCCTCACCGCTCTTGTCGAGGATGACCCGTCCGTACGCCTCACGATCGTCATCAACAACCTCGGGACCGTCTCCACTGGCTTTCCGATGCTGGAAGAAGAGTCTAGTGAGAGCGTGGCCGCCGTCATCACCAGCAACGCCATCTTTCCAGCAGAGATAGCGCGCATCTGCCTCCCTGCCTTGAAGCGCCACCAACCTTCACTCCTCTGCACCGTCACCTCGCTGGGCGCGTGGAATCCGCCACCATATCTCAGCCCCTACGCTGGCACCAAAGGCTTCGACGTAGCATTCTCCCGCTCCCTCTGGAACGAGATGGCCATCGAACGCCAAGATGTCGACGTCGTCTGCCTTGCGCCCGGCCAAGTCGTCTCGGGAATGCACAAATACCCACCAACACTCATGGCCCCACTCGCCTCCGTCTGGACAGAGAGCGCTGTCGCTGCCTTGCGCAGCACATGGTGGCGGCCGCGTCCTCCTCCTGTGGTGATCCCGTATCGCTGGCACTACTGGGGCCAGATGCTTGGGCAGTGGAGCCCAAGCTGGTTGAGTGATACAGTGGCGAGGAAGATCGCGGTGCAGCTGAAGGCTGATTATTGGGAGCAAGCTGAAAGGGAGACGGTGGACAAGAAGTTGCTTTGATGCGCGACCACCGTCTCATTTCAGGAGAGCACGAGCGGCAAACCCTATTCATCTACATTTTTGTGACTCCTGGAGAGCTAATAGATACCATTATAATCAGCAATACGACGAGTGATGAATCGCAGGCGGCGTCGACGCTGCACTGTAGACGCGCTTTGCCGTCACGATCCATGCGGCGAGGAGCGGGATAGATGGTATTGAACAAGTAGGGGAAAGGCTCTCCAAGCATATTTGTTCGAGAGAGACGTGGAAAACGAATACAGAGAACGAGCCACTGACCAAGCATTAACACTACACTCGACTGCCAAAAGTCCTTCCCTTCCTCCTACGCTCTTTAATCCAATAAACCTCCACCACCCCCAGTGCGCTTCACAGCCTTGTCCAAAAGCAGCGCGAGATCCCTCAACACAAAGCGGAGCAGCACATTCGCCAAGAAATCGCTGGAGCGACGCAGCTTGGCCTCGATGAGTCGACGGAGCTCCAGTGGTAGCATAGGAATGGGCGGGGCGTCACCTGGCGAAGAGGGATATGGGTGGACAGCGTCCGGGGAGGTAGAGCCTCGTCGGGTGGCGTTGTACATTGTGACGGCAGCGCTGTGGAGAGCGGGGCCATTCTCCGTGAGAGCCGAGGGGGAGGCTGCTCCCGAGGTGGCCAACGGGGCGAGACAAGCTTCCAGGTGAGCCTCCAGTATCTGCAGCTTGCCCAGCATTCGAGCTACCCCTTCCACAAAGGCCATAGTAGAGCCATCGCCGACGCCCCCACCTGCTGCTGTTACGCTACTCGCAGCACCACCGCCTGCGCCAGCCGCAGTGATCCCATTCGCCCCTGCACTCCCTGCTTTGTCCTTAGCCGCAGCCACCCTATCAGCGAGGAAGGAGCGCGTGAAGAATTTGCTCTGGAATCCGCTCTTCTTTCCCCCCGCACTCTCCGGCTTGCCCGATGCAAAGCTGCTACTACCGCCGGCGCTGAGCGGCCCAGACGCTGCTGGCAAGGACGAAGAATTGGGATCGTCGATGAAGCCAATCTTCTTGGCCAGCGTGCCTTGAACCTCATAGCACAGAGCATCGAAGTCTTCCAGCTGCTTAGCGAAAGCAGAGGCGACTATGGCCGCTGTACCTTGGCCCTGCTGCTGACCAGTGACATCTCCTCCAATAGCAAGCATCGCCTCCCCGCTCCTCGCTACCGCCTCGACACCCGAGCAGACGGCGTCCATTGCCCTCACCTTGACCTCGAGGCCGACCAGCTTCACCCCAGCAACTGTTCGCCAAGTTGGAGGGGTGACGCAGAGCTTGCGCGTGAGGAAAGCGCCTGTGGCAATGCTTGAGCGCAGTGAACGAGCGGCAATGAAGGGACGGAGCGCGGGTAGCTGTCGCTCAGGTGGCGAAGGGAATTGTACGAGGTCTGGGAGGAATGCTTCTGGATGGAGTGCGGCAGGTAGGACGCCGAGGACGCGGCGCGGTGCTCTAGTGGGTCGGTCAAGATGGAAAGAGGCAGTTCCGAGTGCGTTTGCGGAGGCGAGACCCGAGGGAAAAAGATCCGGCGGCGGGACCATTACAGCAGCTGTTGGGCGAGGCTTGGTAGCATTACCCTGGGCAGGTGGCGCAGATCCAGGGCCTGTCGAGGTCCAGGGGTACTCAGCAGGCACGACGGCCGGCGAGTTGGCCGCCCCGGTATCCAACAGCGCGTGGTATCCCGAAGTGAAGCTAGGCGCAGGACTTGGGAAGCGATACGCAGCAGAACCTGGAGGTCGTTGTTGCTGTTGGAGGCTCGTAGCTGCGCTCGGTGAGAGGCTCGACGAAGCTTGATGATGAACCGCTTTCGCGTTTGCGGTTGCCGTTTTCTCCAGCTGCTGTTGCGGCTGTTGCGGCTGCTGCTGCTGCTGCTGCTGCTGCGCTTGACCTGCGGCGTTGAATGCAGAGCTGAGCGAGGGGATCGACATCTTGCGCGCAAACTTGGGCAACGGTGGTGCTTGGAAGGCCGAAGGCAGGATAGGGCGGCGCGATCCTGGCTGTGAGATGGCGCGCTTTCTGCCGCTCGCTGCAGCGCCTCCGTCTGCATCTACGTTGCCGCTGCCGCCGCTCGAGTCTCTGCTGCTCTGTCGAGCCAGAGCTTCGCCGCCTCTTCTCGTTGCTACCTGTTGAGGTGTTGCCTGCTGATCCATCGAAGCCTCTGCCCTTCGCCTGCTCACGAGCGAGCCTTGATCGACAGCATTGTTCACAAGCAAGGTCGCCTTGCCAGAGTGGTTGGCGGCGCTGAGCGTCGTAGCCCTTGGCCGCGTGGAGCCTGTACCGAGAGGGCTCGAGCTGCGCAAGAAAGCCGAAGGACCACCAGCGCTTGGCAGCAGCTCACTATCACCATCGCCAAAGGGTCTGGCCGACTTGGGCGGGTTAGGCAGGAGGAGGCCTTCTTGGCGCTCAAGGCGAGGTAAGGTCAAGCTGGATCGCATCAGCGGCTCTGACGTCGCTCCTACTTGCGGGAGAGCTGAGGCCGAGGAAGCAAAGCGCGACGCCAGCGGCGTGCTGAGCCCGTCGATGGTGTTCTCGCCTTCCATCTTCTCCTTCTGCGACAAGGTAGGCGAGGCGTCGAAGTAGGGCGTGGATGGGAGGGGCGGAAGGTCTTCTGACGAGCGAGGCGGCGCCAATTCGTTGCTCGGACGGGGAGTGGCTCCAGCCACTGCGGCGGAGCCTGCGCTGCGCCGGCCGTCCCTTGAGTCGATGGAACGAAAGCTGCCTTCTGAGTCGGAACGCATCCTTTCCTTCTCGCCTCCGCCTGGTGACATGGCTGCAGCTGCGTCTTCTTCATCCTGAGGAGCGCCTGACTCCTGCTGGATCGAGATTACAGGCGCACTCGCCGTCGGTTCCTGCCCCTCCGGCTCTCCAACCTCGCTGGAATGCGATGGCGCAACCACCAAACTGTCATCCATATCCTCTGTCTCTCTACTCGAGTCCGTGTTGTAGATCATCGAGAGCAGTCTAATCCGATCCGCATACGTATCGTGGATGACCCGTAGCCTCCTCCTCTCCTCCTCTCTATTGCTCTTTCTGGACGATCCAGCTCTAGGCGAAATGCGATCCATGACCTCCTGGAGTAGCCTGACTGCTTGACTATATGCCTGGATGGCTTCGGGAACCGCGTTGCTGCTGTCGTGCTGGACAGCGTTCTGAGCTTTGGCGAGGGCGATTGTCAGGACGTTCTTGGATGAGAGAGCACCACCATTTGCCGGCAGGAGAGAGATGGGATCTTGGCCGTCGATGGCGCCGAGCGTCACAATCTCGGCGTCGCTCAGCTGCGACTGGCCGGAAAGACCTTCCGAGCGCGGGAGTGCACTCGCAGCCATTGGGGCCTTGGTCGAAGAATGCGTTTGTGAATGCGTTGATGAGGTCGTTGCCATGCTTCTCGGCGTCTGACGATGTCCATCGCTTGTGGGGGAAGTCCACGAAAACGAGGAGCGAGCAGCAGACGTAGGCGGCGTGACCTCCATGCCACTACCGGACGACTGCCGCGTCATGCCCATCGATGAATCAGCCAAGCTACCCTGCAGATCCTCCCTCGCGCTGCGGAGACGTTGTGCGCTCGTCATCCTCCTAGGTGCTTTGATCGGTACAGAGGGCGAAGTGGGTCGTGACCCGGTTGCGCTCGGGGGACCAGCGCCGCCTCCGCCATTCTTCATTGCGGGCAAGAAGAGCTCCCGTTGAGCTCTTGCACTGCTCGAGCTTTCTGCGTCGTTGCCGTGGTCAGAGCGACGTTGATAAGGGGACGATGTGAACATGCTTCCCAAGCTGCCCTGAGCCAACCGTGCAGCTCGATCGCGATCCTCGAAGCGTGAGGTGTTGCTGCTGCCGCTCGAGTCGCCGACCTTGTTGTACTGTAAGCGACTCGTGCGGCGTTGCTGCTTGGATGCGATTGAGAGGTTCTGCGGCGTGGCTGAGGACGATGTTGAGGAGGTTGGCGAGTCTTCTGCGCCGCCGTTGTCGACGCCGAATGCAGGGCCTAAGGGAGGCGGTCTAGAGCGGATGGCGCCGTATCTGCCTGCTTCATCTACTTGACTGTCCCTTCCTGACCCGTCATCGCTGCTACTGAATGCCATGCTCGTCCTTTGCGACGTGTATCCTCCTCCTGACGACGGGCCCCCACCTGATTTCTGCCTTCCCATCTGCTGTCCTAATCTGCTGCCCCTTGTGTTCTTAGGTAGCCCCGGAGGCGATGAGCCCAGCTGGGTCGCATCCGTCGTCGCCCCCAGGTGCTGTTCATGCATGCCGCCCTTGTAGGAGGGGGGTGAGATACGCCTGCGATCTTCGTCGTACGTGAGAGCGCGACTCGGGGACGAGGACATGCCGCCCCAGGTCTCATCGCCGCTCAGAGCAGGCGACTGGGGCTCCTCAAGGAGCAAGAAAGATCGCAGAATGCTCTCTCTGCGTTGGCTGCTCTCAGGTGTATGACGGGATCGCGAGGAAGGACTGGCGTCCGGGGGAGCACCTGCGAATTGCTGGCTCACCCCTGACGATGTCGAAGGCTGGCTCATCGCGACGACCGCGAGAGGGCCGACGAAGCGGCGACGGCGGCGGCGGCGGCAGCGGCGACGACGACGACGACGACGACGGTGTGTCTGGGCTGTGAATTATCGTATGGAGACTTGCGGATGGAAGTCGACGTCTAAGAGCGGTGATGAGAGGATAGCAAGGCAAGAGCCATGAGGAAGCGTGGTATGAGGGGATTGAAAGTTGTCGTCGTCGAAGAGCGACTCGCCTGCCTATATGCTATCGCGCTGGGACTCTCTCGCTCAGCGGCGGCCCGTTATGCCGGATGGCGGATCCTTTGATCGACGGGAGGATGGAGGAAGAGGACGGTGAGAAAGTGGCGATGAGCAATTGAGACCTCGTTTTGGGTGCGTTGAGGAGGTCCGAGCGCCCCGTCGAGGGCAGGCCAGTGTGAGATCGCGACGTCGAGTCCGCCAACCGCCTTGTCGAGCTGAGTGAGGGCGGGCGCAAGCGCGGGCACAGGCGCGGGGAAGCAACGACGAGACCAACGCAGCGAAGACGGCGACGAAGACTAAATGATACGCTCATGCAGCAACAACGACACATCCTGCACACGTTCTCAGCAACGAGGTCGGGGCAACAAAGGGGGTGAAGATATATGATTGGGGAGACAAGAGGAAGGCGTTGCGACAAGAGAGGCGAAGAACAGTCAGGGCATCACGTGCCTGTCACGCCATCATCGCTTCCTTCCCTCTCACTGACCACCACGCAGACGGAGGACCAAGTGGAGCGTGCTCTCCTTCTGGATGTTGTAATCGGCGAGCGTGCGACCGTCTTCGAGCTGCTTGCCGGCGAAGATGAGGCGCTGCTGGTCAGGGGGAATTCTGGGGCGCAGGAAGGAGCGCGACCGCGTCACGGTGTCAGTGTTACCAGCCCGTCACATTAGCAACTCCTACCGCAGGAGCACTTACCCTTCCTTGTCCTGAATCTTCGCCTTGACGTTGTCGATCGTATCGCTGCTCTCTACCTCCAAAGTAATGGTTTTGCCGGTCAGCGTTTTTACAAAAATTTGCATCCCTCCGCGAAGACGGAGGACGAGGTGGAGCGTCGACTCCTTCTGGATGTTGTAGTCGGCGACTGTGGTGTGCGTGAGGTGTGGGAGGTGCGTGAGGTGTGGGAGGTGTGGGAGGGTGAGGCAGGAGAGGGGGGAGGGACGGGGGAAGGCGGGGAGGAGGCCGCGTCAGTCGACGGTAACGAGCAGCAACGCACCTCCCACTCGCTTCGCTACTCACGGGTCCTGCCGTCCTCGAGCTGCTTGCCCGCAAAGATGAGGCGCTGCTGGTCAGGGGGAATGCCTTCCTTGTCTTGGATCTTTGCCTTGACGTTGTCGATCGTGTCGCTCGATTCGACCTCCAAAGTTATGGTTTTGCCGGTCAGAGTTTTGACAAAAATTTGCATACCACCTCGTAGACGAAGGACGAGGTGAAGAGTGGACTCTTTCTGTGGGCGAGGAGGGGGTGGAGAGGTGTCAGCGGGGTGCTGCGGTGGGAGGTACTAGCGAGGACGCGTCGAGGCGGGCGGCGCGCGTCGCTGGCTCTGAGCTCTAACTCACCTGGATGTTGTAGTCGGCCAGAGTACGGCCATCCTCGAGCTGCTTACCAGCGAAAATCAGTCGCTGCTGGTCGGGAGGAATGCCCTCTTTGTCTTGGATTTTCGCCTTGACGTTGTCGATGGTGTCCGAGGACTCAACCTCCAACGTAATAGTTTTGCCGGTCAGCGTTTTCACAAAAATCTGCATCTGGAGCATTACAGGGTCAAGGAAGGGTGGGGAGGAGGTGTTAGCATGGCAGGACGACGTGGCGAGGGGATGGGGTGGCGTGGCGTAACGTGACGTGGAGGCCGCAAATGGCAGATGGCGGAGGGGGGAGGGGCGGGGAGGCGTGGCGTGGCGTAGTGTGAAGTGTACTAACCTTAATGAGATGTGTAGGGGTGTGCTGGGTGTGGTGGTGGTAGTGATGCGGATGGGTCGAGTGGGATCGATTGATTGATGGTGGTGGTAGGGAGTCAAGGTGAGTTGGCGTGTCTGGCCCTGCTCTATGAGCTGAGCCTGAGCCAACCAGCCATCCATCCGCCCGCCCGCCCGCCCGCCCGCTTATCGAACCGCCACACAGCACAGCAGCGAGCGGGGAGGCGGAGAGTGGTCCGTCCGCACGAGTTGGCACACTCCTCTAGTGCCGCCGAGCCGCGCTGAGATACTCTGGGCGGCCAGTCCGGCTCCACAGCCAGAGGCGGCCAGCCCCGTCCGCCTCATCAATTCGCCCGCGAGGCAAGCCCCCCTCCTCTTCAGTCTCAGCCTCTGCCGTCTATCGTACGTTGAAGCGGCGCCTTTTCGTCGAAGGAGAATATCATCGAGCGAATATCGTAGAGCGAATCGAGCTCATGGAAGAAATGGCGAAACTTCGTGGTAGCCCTGCGACCCAGCGAGCGACCCTGCTTTGTTCTCATCTCGCCGCCGCCGCCGTCGTCTTCGAAGCTGCTCGACGCCCTGCGCTGCGACGGGGTGCGGATAAGCAGGCCAGGCTGAACAAAGCAGCGTGTGTGTTGATCAGGGTGCAGCACGACGAGCGAGCCAGAGACACGCTGATGGCACGGAGACCTCGCGGACTAACAGGCCAATGAGAAACACCCCTTAATGTTACTCATCTCATCGCGATGATAGCCTCTCGCCTCGCCTCGCAAAGCCCGAAACCCTGACCACTTGCGCACACCTACCCGCCCATCGTCATCGCCTCGTTCTCGACTCGCTCGCCGGCGGGCTGCTGCAGCTGGTCGCTCATGCAGGCGCCGAATCCAGAAAGGAGGCGACGGAGGCCAAGCGAAATCCGCTCGACTGCTCCGACGAGCAACTGACGTCGATTACAGAGTGTTGCTTGCTCCTTTCGCGCTCCTCTTCTCATTCTCACCTCGAAAGTGGCCGCACAGCTCTTCATCATCTTTCTGTCGCGCCGCGTTCATCACTCCCATCACCCTCTATCGATCCCTCCCCGCTGGTACACAGCCCCACCCTAGCTGAGAGCTGGCGCCGCCACATCTACCTCTCATGACTTGCTGATTCGGTCATTCTTTCAAGCAATCTTCCTACTACTTCGCCACCACCTGGCCACCAGGCCCTCCTCGGCCACCTTCCCCTTCTCCTCTAGAACCTCCTCCCTCCTCTGACGCTCACTCACCATGGCCGACTTCCGCTCACGCAACTTCAACACGGCCTTCTCTGGCTTGATCACAACGGTGATCATCATGGGCGCCGTGGGAGGGGCCTGCCTGCTGGGCTTCGAGTCGCTGCGCCAGATGAAGCGCCTGCCACGCAAACGCTTCGTCCCCTTCTGGAAGTCCAACTATCGAAGAGGTGGCGATGACGTTGGCGTTGGCATAGCAAGTCGTCGTAAAGAGAAAGATACTCAAGAAGATTGGGAAATGGGCCACCTCTATCACGCTCGTACCTTCCACGCAACGAATCCCTCACCGCCCCTGGCGAAATGGCCTCTTGCCTGGACATGGCAGTCACTCCGCCTCGACGATTGGTTCTACGCAACACACTGCGGCATGGACAATGTCGTCTACGTCCGCTTCCTTCGCGGCTGCGTCTGGTGGATGCTGCTGCAAACCTTGACCACAGCGCCCATCCTCCTGGCCATCCATTTCCGCTTCTCCAAGGGTGTGGAGATCACAGACATGTCCAGAGCAAGTCTGGCTTACCTTGTTACCATCCCCGGCCCTGGCTGCGAGGGCGTTGATTCCGCCACCTCGTCCGAGTGCAAGCGTGTACCCAACGACCAAGGCAGGAAGCTCCTCTGGATCCACCTCTGCCTCACTTGGTACGTCACCGCCACCTGGTTCATCGCCCTCTGGTGGATCGGCAAGGGCTCCCTTGCCATTCGTCGCAGGCTCGTCGAGAAGATCAGGACGGATCGCCAGGCAGGCATCGACGAGGCCGGCGAGAAGCGTCGTCAGGAGGCAATCGCTGCGGATCTCGACGATCGCCATCATGCAGAGCCATTGCGACGGATGCAGGGGTTGCCGACAGATGCAGACAACAGCGAAGGCTGGCGCCAACGTACCCTCCTGGTCACGAATCTGCCTGCGACGATGAGGGATGAAGCCAGCATTCGCAGGTATTTCGAGGAGTTCTTGCGTCCGGACGACGCTTCCGAGACAGGCAGCGAGGCCAGCCACAGCAGGACAGGCAGCATCGTCGAACATGACTCAGATGAGCAGGCGTCTTCAACACAGCTCGACGATGCAGCGCCTGGCACGATGACCGTCGCCACAATCAAGGGCAATGAGGCACGTCCGACGGAACCAGTGGGCCCTCAGCCGGACCTCCTGCCGCAACGCCATCTGCGCTCCCCCGTCCAGACTGTCGTACTTGTTCGCAAGATGAATGAGCTGAGTGCCATGCTGTCAAGGCGGCAAGACATACTTCAGCTCCTCGAAGCTGCTCACGTCAAGTTGGCTCAGACTGTTCTGCAAAAAGTGGCGCAGCGTCGAGCAAAGCAGGAGAAGAAGCAGCGCAAGGACGCCGATTCGAACGGCAAGCAGACCCACGAGAAGGGCGATGGGTCGAATGACTCCGGCGAGACGGCACGAGATGTCGAGAGCGACGCTGCCAATGAGGCGCTCGAGTCGCAGCGCAAGAAAGCGCTCGATGACCTCGCTGACCGCCTTGCCAAATTCCTGCCAAGAGCAGAGCGCGATTCGACGGCAGGCGATGCCAAGGCCTCACTAGACGAAGAGACGGTCTGGGAGGCTTTGGCCGAAGTTCCTCGCGAGCTGCTCGACCCTCATCAGCCCGTCACCAGCCTGTCTACTTTGTTCCGTGGCCAAAAGGTGCCCACCATCGACTACCTCCTAACGAAGCTCAATCTCCTCACCGCGCTCGTCGCCGAGATGCGCGCTCGACCGCCCACGGAATACGAGGCCACCAGCACGGCCTTTGTGACGCTGCGTGACCCTCGTCAGGCGCGTATGGTCTGGCGTGAGCTCAACTCGCAGATCGTCGTCAAAGTACGAATGGCGCCGGAAGTTAAAGATCTCGACTGGGATCGACTGATGCGCACGTCTTTCACGGGTGACCTGGTGCGAGGATTTGGAGTGAACGCCTTCTTCTGGGCTTTCACGGTCTTCTGGTGCATTCCTCTCCAGCTGATCTCCACGGCACTCTTCTCGGTGCAGAACCTCAAGATCGTCATCCCTGGTCTTAGGGCCTTCTTCAGCTCGCATCAGCAGCTCGAGGCTTTCGTCTCTGTCACCCTGCCCACCGTGGTCGTATCTTTGATCACGATGTCGATCCCAGAGCTCGTATTCCAGATCTCGAAGCGAGCGCAAGGCTTTGTGACATGGTCGGCGCTCTACGACCAGTGTCTGTGCAGGTACTGGAAGTTCATCGTGTGCAACATCGTGAGTAGCGGCAGCGAATCGCCGGGAGAAGTGCCACATGTCAGTACTGACCGCAGTCTCCCCTTCCTTGCCGCACGCAGGTCATCTTCTTTTGCATCGGCGTCACGACGGTCGAGGCTATCCTCCAGCAGATCGGCAGCAATGGCGGCGAAAACACCATTCTGGACAACATCGCCTTCGCGTTTCCTACCGCGGCGCCATTCTTCGTTTCCTACCTCATCCTCGCCCTAGCCTTGCATACCGGCTTCGAGCTCTTGGGCTTCATGATCCCAATCCTCCAGCACTTCCTCAGCGCCAACAAGGCGACGACGCCGCGAGCACGAGCGCTACGCACGCTGCCGCGCAACTTCAACCGCTACTACTGGCTACCATTCCACATCCTCATCATGACCATCGTCTTCATCTTCGCTATCTTGAACCCGCTGGTCATCCCATTCGCGCTCATCTACCTCTTTTTTGCCATGATCGTCTTCAAGAAGAACTTCGCATTCGTCTACTACCGACGCTTCATGGAGAAGGAGGGAGCCGTTTATTTCATTCGACTCTTCCGCTTCACGCTGGACGGGCTGACGACGGCGCAGGTCGTCATTCTCATCTTCTTCTCCGTCACGGACCAGCAAAGGGCGTACATCGCTCTCACAGCCATCTTGCTGCCCGTCACAGTCGGCTTCAAGATCTTGGGAACCAAGCTGTGGAAAAGCCAGTGCCGCGCCATCGAAGATGAAGAGGCCAACGCCATCTGTGGTATTGCCTCGTCTTCGCAGGCTGTCATGGGCTCTGGGTCCAACAAGGACTACGGCGAGGAAGGATTTGGTACCGGTGAAGCCGCACCCCTTGACGCGCGAGCCTCGGGACGCTATCCTTCCCTCGCCACGCCTCCATCGACGTCGAGCCGCCTCCTCAAGTTCTGGCAGCACCTTCACGACTCCTTCCACGCCAACGGCGCCGATCAGCCCAGCTACCTTGCTGCGCGAGCAGCAAAGGGCCAGCCTGTCAAGAACCCCGTCATGGCAACGGCAGCTTTCGTCGCTCATCGCCCCGTAGCTGCTGTGCGTAGGGCTGGGGTGGAAACGAAGCAGGTTGGCCACGCCGCCAAGATGCACCTCAATCTCGATCGCTCTATGCGTGCCGATTCGACGAAGGACTTGCAGCAGCAAGAGGAAGAGGCGGCTAAGCACAGCGTCACCGTCGAGAAGCGGGCCAAGGTTGGCACCATCACAGATCGCCGCGTCCCGACAAATGCCTCGCTGCGCTACCGTAACGGCTCGACGAGACGCGGCGCCAGCAGCAATGGCATCGAGGCTCACGGCGGCCTGACTCGAGGCGCAAGCACCCGCAGCAGGCTCAATGAGGCCGCAGTGCCCGAGTCGCCTTTCCTTTCCGGCTTTGAAGCCGTAGCAAATCACGCACCTGTGCCCAGTGAGGACGCGTACGCCGATTACGAGGACGGGGAGGACTCTATGGTTAGTCTCAGCCGGATGCCACGCACCCCACGCCACGTACGTCGTAGCATGCGCGAGGCCTCGATGGCGTCCGCAAGGAGGATGCGATCCCAGGCCTACACAGAGGATGGGACCGGCGGCACGATGACGCACACTCACAGCGCCTCGTTTGCGCAACCGCTCAGTCCTGACCTCTCAGGCGTGCCTCCGCACATCAACGAAGCGAGCTTCTACTACGAGGACACTGAAGAAGATGTTGGCATGGGCGGCAATGCGAAGCTCGCTCACCAGGGAGAGGACCAGGAGGACGACGACTTTTCAGACGACTCGGAAGACGGCCCTCTGGTTCGTCCACACGCCAAGATTCGCTGGGACGACACCCCGAACAATCAAGCGCGATACAACAACCCCTTTTATTCATGCGAGCTCGACCCCTTCCTCTGGCTGCCCCGTGATCCGCTCGCTCCGCTCAATCTCTGCGACACGATCGAGTGGCACGGCCCTGCGATCGTCTCGTCGGACGGAGGCGCAGGCAAAGTGGGCGAGTGGGACGATGATGAGGCAACACTTGCGCTCGAGGGCGGCGCTGAGGCCGGAGACGCGGATGATGATCGTGCAACATCCGTCTCTCGCATCGGAGAGATCGCAGGAGACGAAGAGATCGTCATGGGCACGGCACTGGCTCAGCGCCTCGAGCAAGAAGAGAATGCGAGCCAGGCAGAACAGGCGGATCCCTCTGCCAGTCTGCCAAAGAATGTACTCGATGAGTACAGGAAGGCTATCAGGCGCGACGCTGCCGCTACCGATGTCGATGGGATTTCTCGCCTGAGCGGCGGAGACGAACTGCGTCCTGCTATCAGTAATGTGTCTACATCGAGCATTCGCTCTCCGAAGCCGGAACAGCGTACTCAGGCCGACCAGGAGTTCAGGCGTGAAAACCCTGTGCCGCTCACGGCCAGTCCAGTCGAGGAGCGCAAGCCCCTTGACCTCGAGGCAGCAGCTACAGCGACAGCCGCAGCGCCACCGGTGGCGGCTCCACCTAGCCCCGAGGCCCGCAAAACCCACTTCGCCCCTGACCCGCAGCGACAGCGCGACCACCCTCACATCTCGACAGCTATGGTCGCAAGCCACTCCGCCGGATCCATGGCGACTAGCGGTCCTTCGTCTCCCACGCATGCCCGCTACTCCAGCGCGGGCAATCCAGTCACACCGCAGCACCAGCGTCGTGCTACAAACCTCAGCGTCATCTCTGCCGGTGGCGCTCCCAGCATCCGCAGCACGACCACAGCTGGCGGCACGCGGACGAGCAGTCGCGTCGTCACAATGCGCCAGGCGCTGCAGGCTGAGGTGCTTGAGGAGGAGCGTAGGCGTTCCATCCGCGATCGACTTTCGGCGAAGAGCTCGATGAAGAAGAGGATGGGCTCGCTGAGTCGGGGCAGGAGGGAGAGCTCTATCTCCCATGCTGGAGCTGGTGGTGAGGACCTAGAGGCACCAGCGGAGGGAGAGGGTGAGGTAGAGGAGGGGATAGATGAGTTTGGCAACCGAAGATCGCCAGGGCAAATGAGCCCGTCTCAGTCGAGGCGATCGGGCAATCGGTCGCAAGGGAACGCCACCATGACTCGTTCCCTCAGCACGGCAAGCAGCGCGATCATGTCAAGGCATGAGAGGGCGCTCAACCTCGCGGCGGCGCAACGATCGCAGGCCCAACAGGGTAGCGAGGCCACCTTGGGCCCTAGCAAGCCAGAAGCTCCCAAGCGACGCAGCAGCTTGCTCAGGGGGGCCTCGTCTGCTTCCAAGAGGCAGTCCACCACCTCGGGGCCTGGCGCGGCCGTCGGAGCTCTTCACGCCCAACCTCGCCAGTTGAATCGTAAGCCCTCGAAGCTGCGTGACGAGATCTCTGGAGCCGACGATGCAGACGATTCGCAAGACCCAGCTGCTGGGGAAGCGACTGTCGTCTCTTCCCACGAAGCCTGGACGCAGCGTCAGCAACAGCAGCAGGCTGCAGCCGGTGGAGAGCAAGTGGAGATGATGCCTTTGAACTCTTCTGCTCCTCGAGGCTTGAACACGAGCACCAGTGCTGATGCGTTCGCGGACGCTGATGAGTCGAATGTCCAGCCAGGTCGGGCGATGTGATCGCATCCTCTCTCTTCGACGCCCCTTCATCTTCTCAGCGGATCAGCGGAATTGCTGTAGATATTCTATTTCGCCTTCATCTCCTTCCCATCGTCGGCTCTGCTCTGATTCATTGCTTGTACCCTTCTTGCTTCACTCCTGCTTCGGCATCGGACAAGAATATATCCCATTCATTGCTGCCCAACGCGTGCTGGCAAATAGTTTGATGAATCGTACTGCAAAACAAGGAGGGCGAATGGTGGATCCCGTTGTCCTCAAGCCATTCATCTTGTGGGACACGCAAGGCGAAGCCATGCTTCGTTCATCAATCAATCGCAAGCACGACTTCCCCTCTGCTTCAACCGAGCTTATCCCCTCCCCGACGTCACCACTCCCCTCCTCCTAACCTTCTTGACCGCCTCCCGATGCCTGCGCTTGTAATCCTGTGTCAGATCCGTTTTCCTCCGCTCCCACTTGTCCCTCATTTGCTCCTCTGTGTCCGGGCGTAGAAAAGAGAGGAGTACGTCGTCATTGTCATCATCGTCGTCCTGCTGAACGGCCGAAGGACGGGAGGCACCGTCGATGTCCTCATTGAAGGTAGGGAAGAAGGGTTGTGATGGTGGAAAGGTGGGTTTCTTCTCGCTGCGCTTGCTGGCGGCTGAGTCCTCGTCGGCTCGGCCCTTGGCCATCTCCTCCACGACGTCATTCTCCGGCGCGGCATCAAAGTCCATTCCCTCGTCCAGTTCCTCATCGCCTAGCAGCGAGCCCATGAGGGAGAAACCGCCTGCTCCTTCCTGCGGCTTGAACATGTCCTTGAGGCTTCCCATGCGGACGTTGAACTCGGCCTGTGGAGGAGCGACTGCATTGCTGACAGAGGAAGCGTCGTTTTGGTCTACGACCTTTGCTGGTGCTTCTTCGACAGCAGTTGCCTTCTCCTCTGCCGGCTGAGCGTGACTCGCGTTTACAGCGGGCTCTGCTGCAATGGCGGCCGCAGGCACTCCAGGCTCGAAGCGGGCAACCGGCATGAAAGACGCTGAGGCGGCGCCATAAGCATCTTGGCTGCCTGACTGCGCTTGGCGCATCTTCGCCATGAGGGCGGCTCGCCTGGAGCCCGCAGCAGGGGCCTGTGGGCTAGCTGTGCTGCCATTGGGAGCTGAGCTTGGCTCAATTGCGGCCGGAGCAGTTTGAGCAGGAGGCTGTGGTGCCGCAGCTGGGGCGGCAGGCACCGATGGCTGCTCAACAGCCGCATGCTGCGGCTCGCTCTGCTTTGGGACAGAGATAGCTGCCTTCTTTGCATCCTTTTTCAGCGCCGTCTCTCTCTGCTTGGACACGAATGTCGGCGTCGGAGCTACCTTCTCCTCATCTTTCGATTGCGCGGGGGGCGAAGGACTCTCCACCTTCTTCGGTCGAACGACCTCCGCCTTCGGCTTCGCTTGCTGTTGAGCTCGAGCAGATTTCTCAGGCTGAGCAGCCGCTGGCTCCTGTGATCTTTCTTCCTTCTTCGCAACCTTACTCGGACGAGCCGGTTTCTTCCACCAAGCGCCTCCTGCCGCTCCGTCATCCTCTTCCTCTTCGTCGTCCTGCTCTTGATGCTCTGCCACCATCGATTGCACCGCGCTTGCTTTCTTTGGCGCCACGCTCGGCCGCGCAGGCTTCTTCCACCAGGCACCTCCCGCTTCCCCCTCGTCCTCTGCCTCTGAGTCCTCTTCCTCCCCTTGCGGAATCAATTGGGGCACCGTACCAGCTTGCTTCGGCTTCCACCCATGACCGAACATCTCTTTGATCAGGTTCATGCTTCTGGCCGTCTCATCGCCGCTGGGCTGAGCGTCGGATGCAGCCGCAGCGCGCGCTGGATCGCCACGTCCTTCATCATACCCATCGGAGAAGCGATCCTCTTCATCCGGATCGTAAGGGTCGAGTGTGAAGTTGCCCGGAGCGAGGTCAGCTGATTGAGCTGGAAGCGGGCTTGCAGAACGGGATGCCGAGTCACTTGATTCAGAAGATGACGAGACATCGGAGGATGACGACGAGGACGAGGCGACGCTGCTCTCTGATGCTGCATCCTCGTCGTGCTCGAGGATCGCAACCTCCTCGCCTGCCTTGCGCTTCTGCCCAGCAACTACGACTTCGTCCACTTCCATCCCTTCACTGCCCTGTCTGACCCATCTGACTTTGCCCTCTTCCCCGTCAGTGCCTTCCATTTCCTCACACACCCACACCTCGTGTGACGTCGCAACGTCGTCATCGTCGCCAAGCAACCCTTCCCCGAGATGAACAGCCCCATACCTCGTTGGATCGATCAGCATTCTCCTTGCCCTGCTCGGCGGGGCAGCGAGCTGATTCTTCTTCTTTTTGCGCCGCATGTTCTTGGCGCCTGACGTCGATGCCTCTATATGCGACGATGACGACGAGGTTTGCGGCGGTAGGGGATGAGAGGGTCGCATCTGAATGGGTCGCAGCAGATGGCCTGCGGGTGTGAGCTTCCAACCCCAGACTTTACCCTCCTTGACGCCTGCCTCAGTCACGATATCGGTGATGCTCTCGTGCTCTCGACGACTCGAGGGTTTGGCAATCTTTCTCTTCCTCTTCTTACTGCTCTCTGCGGCGTCCGCAGGCTTGTCGCCCGCTTCCTCGGCACTTCCATACCCTCCCTTGTAATCGCGCTTGGCCTCCCTGATCCACAGCTTTGTGCCCTTCCACACACTGCCGCTTATCCTCGCAACGGCCTTCTTGATCTTGACTTCGTCGCCGCGCAAGGTCGCATGGACATAGTTGCGTGGCTGGCCTACGCCATTTGGTTTGGGAGGCCACGAGGAGAGAGAGACGGATGAGGCGTGCGGGCTTAGAAGGTTGAGAAGGGCTTCGCGAGTGTGAATGGTGGGATCGAGCGGGGAGATATGAATGCGCCTCGTGGTCCCAGGAGACGATGTGGATGAATCTGCGCTCATATCTGTGGGCGAGCGAGGGGTCGAGAGTGAGGCGAGGACGAGAAGAAAGCAACGCAGTCATTTGGTCAACTTTTTGGCCGTCCCTTTCCGCTCCCCTTCGCCTTGGCCAAGGCAAATTCTCGTCGAGCACGGCAAGGCACGACGACGACTACATCGATGATAGCCACGGTGGTCACTCGTCGCTGCGAGATTGATGTGTCGAGCCCATCGTGTTGATTTGGCATCGCGAACTGCTCGAAGAACCCGAACAGAGCCTGCGAAGGTGCCAAGTCAAAAATCCTGGCCCCACCTCAGCTGTCCCCTCAGGCATAACGGTATCTTCCAGCTTGGCGGGTGAGACTATTGACTCAGAGCTTTGCTGCATGGCATTCCAGCTAATTGCAACCACCATCTCATTGCGATGTCGTGTGCTCGCGTTACCACATGCTCATTCGGTCATCGGCTGTGCGAGTAAGCGTCGACGTCGACGGTCCTCTGCCGGCTTATCCGCTGCTCCCGCCCGCGAGGTGGCCTCCCACATCATCTCTCCTCCTCCTTTGTCACTCTCCGTGGCCTGTTTGACGCGACTGCATCATCACCATGTCTACCAATACTGCTCCGCCACCTCTGTGCCGTGACATCGAAGATCACGACGATGGCTCTGCGTGCCAACATGCCGACGAGTGTCGCTCTCGAGGCGGACCGGCGGCGGGGGCGGCGGCGGCGGGAGGCATTTCAAATGGGGTGAGTCGACGAGTGGGCGCAAGCAAGGCTGCAGAGGCGCTGCAAAAAAGGTCCTGGCAGGCAGCGCGGGATGAAGCCGGCCTTCTTCTGACTCGCAGACAACCAAAAACGCGCTCACACTTTCCAACACTTGACCACACCTGTTCATCTCCTCCTCTCTCCTCTCACCCCTCGTCGCTCGCTCGCTCGCTCGCCCATCATGGCGTCGACGTCGCTCCTGCGCACTTCACTGCGCTCCTTCTCCCTCGCCCGCACACAGTGTCGCTCCTTCGCTACCAGCTCCCCTCCCCGCTATGCCAGTCCTTCTCGCCCCGGGCCGGGAGACATCAATCGTCATTCGCGCATCATCACCCGCCCAAAGGACCAGGGAGCATCGCAGGCAATGCTCTACGCCACCGAGGGCATCGACCAGGATGAGGACCTTCAGCGCGCAATGGTCGGCATTGCCTCGATCTGGTACGAGGGAAACCCGTGCAATGCCCACTTGCTTGGATTGGGTCAACGAATCAAGAAGAGTGTAGTCGATGCAGGTCTCACGGGATACCAGTTCGGCGCTGTAGGCGTGTCAGACGGTATCTCAATGGGAACAGACGGAATGAGCTACTCACTCCCCTCCCGCGACCTCATCGCAGACAGCGTTGAGTCAGCAGCAGGCGGTCACTGGCTCGACGGAATGGTCGTTGTCCCCGGCTGTGACAAGAACATGCCCGGTGTCATCATGGGTCTTGCCCGTCTCAACCGACCCGGTATCATGGTGTACGGCGGCACCATCCGCCCTGGAGCATGCGGCTCCGTCTCCGGTACCCTCGACATTGTCTCTGCCTTCCAGTCATACGGTCAATACCTCGCCGAAGGAGGCACGCCCGATGCAGAGAAGAAGCGATACGATACTGTTCGTCACTCCTGCCCTGGTCCCGGCGCATGCGGTGGAATGTACACCGCCAACACCATGGCATCTTGCATTGAGGCTCTGGGTATGTCTCTCCCAGGGTCGAGCTCCTTCCCTGCCGAGTATCCCGAGAAGCTCGAGGAGGCGGACAAGGTCGGCTCAGCTCTTCGCCTCATTCTCGAGAAGAACATCCGACCGCGCGACATCATGACTCGCGAAGCGTTCCTCGACGCCATCTCCCTCACCATGGTCCTTGGCGGTTCGACCAACGCCGTCCTCCACCTCATCGCCATGGCCCACGCAGCAGAGGTAGACGTTTCAATCGACGACTTCCAGCGCTTGTCCGACTCGACACCCTTCCTGGCCGACTTGAAGCCTTCGGGCAAGTACGTCATGGAGGATGTCTACAAGACCCTCGGAGGTGTCCCGACTGTCATCCACTACCTCATTCAGGAGGGTCTCATGAAGGGAGACCACATGACCGTCACGGGCAAGACGTTGAAGGAGAACTGTGCAGAGTGGGTCGAGAAGCGTGGCAAGTGGCCCGAAGGTCAGGATGTGCTGCGTCCCGTCAGCAACCCGATCAAGAAGACGGGACATATCCGTATCTTGAAGGGCAACTTGGCACCCGGTGGAGCTGTGGCCAAGATTACGGGCAAGGAAGGGTTACGCTTTGAGGGCAAGGCTCGCGTGTTTGACACGGAGGACGAGCTGGTCAAGGCCATTGAGCAGAAGACGATCAAGAAGGGCGAGAAGACGTACGTATACCCGCAGAGAAGCACATCCAATCCATTCTGCTGTACTGACATTACCTTCCTCCCCCTTCTTCACACGCGCAGCGTCGTCGTCCTCCGATACAAGGGTCCCAAGGGCGGCCCCGGCATGCCGGAGATGCTCAAGCCCACTTCTCTCATCATGGGCGCCGGCCTCGGCCAAGACGTCGCTTGCTTGACGGACGGACGCTTCTCTGGTGGATCTCACGGCTTCGTCATCGGTCATGTCGTGCCCGAGGCTCAGGTCGGAGGCCCCATCGGTCTCGTCAAGGACGGCGATCGTGTGGTCATTGACGCGGAGAGTAACACTATCGACTGCCCAGAGGTGGATGAGGCCGAGTGGGCTAGGAGGAAGGAGGGATGGAAGCCTAGGCCATTGAGGTTCACTGCTGGTCATCTCAAGAAGTACACGATGCTTGTCGGGGACGCTAGTAGGGGCGCGATCACGGACGCGGATTTGGAGAGGCAGCAGCCTGACCTTTGAGATGTGTGGGGGCGGGCGTGTGTAAAGTGTAGCATGACTCGTTGCAATGGAGCATTGGATCTCGGAAAAGGAGAGGAGGTGAGACTGGCAAGCTGGAGTATCCGGCGCAGCCTTTAATCAGGAATCTCCTTGTACTCGAGGCAAAAGTCGCTTCAGCGCCATAATGATGCGACTGGGTGACTATTCATAGGTACGGCAGAAACGACGCGATCGACATCGAATGGTTCGACGCGTTCTTCTAGAGATTGCAGCAAGGAGTCTAGTAGACGGCTGATTGGCTAAAGAAGCTCGACTTCGAACGAGGCTGATCTGCTCCAGGCAGAGATCTGGTGACTATCAAAGTTAGAGGCGGGCATCAGGCACCTTGAATTGATTGGGAACGACGTCGTCACGGTTTGGCCTTCGTAATCCTGAATCAGGATTGCGTGGCCGATGAGTCGTTGGCTTGAGCTGTCTTCTTATGAGCAGGGGGAGGACACTGTTCAAGGCACCCGGGGGGTCGATGTCAGTCAACTCTCCTGCCTTTACATGTCACGGCACAAAGCTGCACAGGCAGGCGTGCAATGCGGGCTTGGGGAACGTACCTTTCTAGAAGGGTATTGCTCGCAAGGTTTTGGATTCGCCGACCCGTTAGTGGTACATGTCTTGACAGTGCCGGAGATCGTGCACTGTACGTACGCCGCGACGTTTCAGCTCGTGACTGCGGAGCATGTGTGGGCGCTCGTGGGAATTACTTACACCGCGAGGGGCAAAGGAGTGGAATGCCCTAGGCATCCATCCGGGCCATGGGAGACTAGTGGCATTGACGGCGAGTGAGACCTCTGCAGCAGTAGCGTCAGAGCCAGCCTGACCAAGTGCCTCGCTATCCATGCTAGGAGACTACGGCAGCACAGGTAACAATCGCGGCAAGATGTCAGGCGCCGGAGATACGTAGATGCCGTAGTAACGCACCTTGATGACTGCGCTTGCAGAGTGCTTGAAAGCTTGTTTCTCCGATATGTCTTGGATGAGACAACCACCGGTGCCGTTGGTCAAGCACTGCGTACGCTGAGAAGGGATGGGTTATGTAGAGTCAGCTCGCTTGCGCATAGCAGTGTTTTCCCCGCTCCGCAACAAGAGGTCATCGCCTTCAATATCTCACGTACAGACGGTATGACTGCAGCCAGTGATGAGCTGTACAAGAGAGCGAGGATGAAGATGACGGCGACGAGCATTAGGCGCAGCGGTGTGTCGACATGGCCGCTAGGTCGATGTCTCCGAGCAGGTATCAGCGTGCACCAGGCAGGCAGGGGAAGTAGCATGATAACGAGTGTTAGAGTGTGGTGAGGCGAAGGAGAAAATTAGAACGATGCGTCTTGACAAGGCATGACGAGGAAGCGTGCGGCGAGTAGGCATTCAATGTGCTCTTGCCTCATCCGAAGTCTACCGCAACACTCCCGTCGACCTCGTCGCTCATGCATTGCCGTTCCAACGAAGGCTCGATCCAGAGCAGTCGCAGCGACAGACATCGGACGTCGCCATGATGATGACAGTGGGATCGTTGTCCTCCATTCGGCGCCTGATTGCGGCTCGCAATCTACTCTGGAATAGTCGTCCCACGCGCCTTTGCCGCCCTCGGCCGCTCAGGAAGCATCCAGTGCCCCGTCGCCTCAACTGCGATCGTCTTGGTGACATCGAGCGCGGTGCGAGGCGATGTTGAGTCATTCACATTGACGAAGTGACGAGGCGGAGGCGAATAAAGTCTACAGTAGAGTTGAAACTGAGGAGCCGAAAACGAGATGAAAGGGAGTCTCTCTGTAGCTATGTACACAGAATGTAGAGAAGGGTGCGTCAAGTCGTATGCGCTGCGTCGTTGTTGAGGTCTTGGGTTCTATCTATCGAGTCTGTCAAGAAATCGCCTGTGAGCCTTCTTCTCCAGGCTACCTTCAGCCCCGGCAAGCCCGCTCTGCTTTTGCCTCCATGAGGGCAATGCTATCGTCCTCATCTTGGTCATCCACCTGATCCGGTGAGGCGATGCGGAAGTGATCCTGCTCCTCTGAGCTGCCCGTCATGGCGTTCCCTTGCACGACGGCCTCGTAGCTTCCAAGCCTGGCCGTCTCTGACGAAGAGCCGCCATTGACATGCCCAGCAGTGCTGCTGCCGCCACCGCTCACAGTAGCAGGTTGCGTCGTTAGATCGTCCATGTCGTCATCGTCCAGATCGAAGTCCAAGTCCTCTGAATCCGTCTCAGAGCCGAGCATGGAGCCTCCCTCATCATCAAGGTCCTCATCTTCATCTCCATCCATCGCTTCGCCTTCCTTGCCCTCCTTGGCAAGCACACCCTCCCTCTTTCTCCTCCTGCGCATCTCCCTCGAGTCTTCCCTTATTTCCTCATCCTCATCCTCGCTGTCCAACTCCTCGTCGACGGCCTTCCGTGCCACGGAGAAGAGGTAGAGGAAGATGCCCACGCAGAGGAGCACGCCAACTATGCCCGCAGCCTTCTTGACGCGCTCGGCCGTCGTAGCATCGTGGGCTGCGCCCTCTTGACCGCCGGCACCAGCCGCCCCATTCTTGGCTGCCGCGTCTGCCCCATGATACGCCGCAAAGTTCTTGATGCTCGTGCCGAGCCCGCAATGCACTAGCAACTTGGGCAGGGCGAGGGCCGTACAGCAGAAGTAGGTCCTGAATGTGAGCGTTGGGCTGCTAGCTAGGAGGGTGTTCATGAGATTGTAAGGGTAGGGTGCTAGCCTGATCAGGAAGAGCAAAGAGGGGCGCTTCTCGATTGCGCGGACCACTTTCTTCAATCCGCCGGACTTGGCTAGCAGCCCGCTCATCCAGGAGCGGAGGAAGGTCTTGCTGAGGAGGTACACGACGACGGCGCCTGACAGGGCGGCGATGTAGCTGATGAGGAAGCCTTGCCACAGTCCGAAGGAGAAGCCGCAGAGGACAATGAGGGTAGAGTAGAGGGGCAGAGGAGGAAAGGTGGTGAGGAAGATGAGGCTGCCCAAGACTAGCCGACCTCTTGTTCCCAACCGCTGCAGGGTTGAAGAAAGCTGATCGAGGGCGGTGAAGACTTGCGTGTGGAACAGGAGGACAATGACCGTGCTTGAGATACTGACCACGAGCCATATCAAGAGTGGAATGTAGGCGCCGAGCCACTCGGGATTGTACACACGCTCGCCGGTGACAGGATTGCGGAAGGATTGGTCTGTATCGTGTAAGAACTTCCGGGCTGAGGTGGTGAGGACGCGCATTGTGTGAATCGGGTGGATCATGTGCCACGCCACACTTGCGATTGTGCTGCCCACCGTCTCCAAGAAGGGTCGGGTAGGAGTGCGCCGCTTTGCTCGCCGCCGTCGAATGCGTTGCTGCTTCGATCGTTTGCTGGTACGGCGACGATCAGAGGCCCCACTGAGACGGGGTTGCTTGAGGTTGATGGCGCCTCGTCTCGCTTGTGGAACGAAGAGGGGAGAAGAGGTGGATGCCTCGCTGGCCCCACTGGCAAAGCGTCCCGCCGGTGAAGGACCTGCTTCTGCCCTCGGAGTGGCCAGCATGTCCTCCATGTGGATTGACGAGTGTGCGGACATGCCGCTACCGCCATAGTTGAAGGCTCCTTGACGACCAAATGGCGATTCTGGGACTGAACCACCCGACAACGATGGAGGTAGCGGTGCCGTCCAATGAGACTCGTGGCCACCTGCTCCCTTTGCCGCTGCCCTCTCCGCCATCGCTCGTGAATCGGGACGATACTTTGCTGGCGTCTTGCGTCCCTCAGTCGGTCTTGGCGAATGAGCCGCCCTGCTTGGCCTCCTCGTAGGCCCCGCAGACGAGACAGGCGTGTAGCGATGTGATGAGAAGCTATCCCTTGGCTCTCGTTCCTTCTGCTGCTGCTGGGCAGACACCTCCCGTCCATGTCCTTTTCTCCTCTCATCTCCACTACTGCTGCTATTACTGTCATGCTCGTCGTCATCATCTTCTTCCCTGTCCGAGTCGTGCTCCTTGCTATTGACCCTCTGCGGCGAGCGGAACAAGGTAGGTGAAGCTCGGGCTCCCATCCTCTCCATGAGCAATTGCGCTGCATTGACTGCCGCTCTCCCTAAACTGTCCTGCCGCTTGGGATCGCGAGAGTTGCTCTGCGCGGACATTGAACGGACGGGAGGAGTCTGGGACCGCATTGCGGCAGCGGCGTGATAGTGATCTCCGCCGTACGTGGCCGACATGGGCGGCTGTGCTGATTTGGCCATGGAATGATGCCGGTGAGAAGTGTTGCTGTTGTGACAAGACGACGAAGGCGGCAAAGCAAAGAGGTCAGTCAGCGTGCGTGACGCCCCGCAAGCAGAAAGATGCCACTTACGTTGGGCTCGTCGCCATTGCACCTCGATGATGTGACGAGGTGGCATCGACTTCTATTGGCGGCGGCCTGCTATTGCGGCTGCCCTTCAGACTGCCAGACCTGGCTTCTGGGGTGAAACTGGCAAATGCACCGGTGCTGCTGCTGCTACCAGCTGATGTTCCCACGACGGGTGACGTGTGCGGGGAAGAAGCGGGGCTGGAGAAGTGGAACGAGGGGACCTGATGCTGCTGATGCCCATGACCATCTATTAGTGGTCGCCATGACTGTGTTGGCGATGATAGTGGGTCCTCTGACAGCTCAAAGGCTGGCGTTGCACCGGGTAGCGTACGCGCGCCTGTCGTGGGCATTGCTTTGGACGAGGCGGCCGAATAGTCGTGCGACGACACATTGCGACGATGCGACGACGGGCCTGCCGCTGCCGCTGATGCTCCCGCCGATGCCATCGAGGCCGGCGGTTGTCTGTGTTGACCAGACATGGAAAAGGCTACGCAACGCAAGGGAGAAGAAGAAATGTGGTGGAAAGGAGGAAGGAGGGACAAGGCAGAGCGTGCGCCGTGCGAGCTCTGATTGCGAATTAGCTCGAGGTGACGGCCCGCTCGCAGCCTTGTCTCGTCTCGTCTCGTCTCGTCTCCACCCTCCGCCCCGGTCTAGCCGATTGCAATCTGACGCCGGCACGGAGGCCCACGAGGCCCACGAGGTCACAAATAGATTCCAGTCGTCGAGACGACGCTAGCAGCGGGCTAGCAGCGGGCAGCCTCACATCGCTTTCAATCTCATGCTGAAACTACCTAGGCATGGGGAGATAGTCAGCTATGTCACATCGCGATGGCTCTGTCGCCATCGCGTCTTTCCACATCCGCTCCCTCGAATGGCCGCGCCTCTGGACCGGCGGCCAGCCCCTCAATCTCGATGTGTCGCGCAATGAGTATCGACGTCTCAAGGAGAAGCACTGTCGCAGGCCAGATGGATCTTGGATCGCCCAGCTTGAACCTTCGACTTCAGCGTCCGCCGGTGGCTCACGGCGAGCAGCCAGTGGTGGGCTCAAGACAATCGATGCCCATCCTCTGGGAGATGACGATGATGTGAGCCCTCCACGGTGTCGACGTGCCGAGTACCATACTTACCCTGACCTGCTGTACCTCCCATTCAGAACCCATGGAAGCACCACTACGCCTCTCTCGCCGCATTGGACCAGATCTTGCTCGACCTCTCGCGCCTTCAACCTGACAATCCAGCCGACGTCGACGAAGTAGCTCTAGCTCGCATCCTGTTTGTGTGGGCAATGGAGCACCAAGAAGGCGGAGGGTACAGGCAAGGCATGCACGAAATCTCCTATGCACTCTACGTCGTACGGCAGCGCGACTCGGGCCCTCTCCAGGATGCGCAGCACGTAGAAGATGATGCGTACTCCCTCTTCTCCCACCTGATGGAACATGTCGCCCCGCTCTTCTACTCTCCCACCTCGATGGCCCAGCAAACTGAAGCTGTCCGATCCTCGCTCCTTCGAGTAGACCCTGCGCTGTATGCCCACTTGAAGGCTATTGAAGTGGAGCCGCAGCTCTTCCTCTTGAGGTGGCTGCGCTTACTGTTCCTGAGGGAGATGGCCCTGCAGCACTGCCTCGAGATGTGGGACGCAATCTTCGCGGCAGCGGCAACGCCAACGGCAGCCGGCGAGGCCTTTGACTTGGGTGGAATAGTGCAGTGGACCTGCGTAGCTGCTCTGCTGCGGATGAGGGGCACTCTACTCGCCTGTGAGCAAAGCGAGGCGCTCGTGACGCTGATGAGGGAGTGGGAGATGCCGCCCCTGGAGCAGGCGACGGGAAACATCGACGGTAGAGGTACGAGCGGACAAATGGGCTCTGCACCGCACTACTCTGGCATGCTAGTTCAACAAGCCAACCTCCTCAAGTCACGTCCGACACCAGCCACGGGCGTAGAATGCGCGGTGCAGAATCAGGATATTCTTGGTATCCCACTGCGGCACGCTTCAGCTCCCAGCGAAGAGGGAGTTGAGGATGATGCGCGCACCACATTCAGCGCTCGCCCTAGCTCAGCAGGTATGATTTCCTCCCCTTCGGGAGGGGCCTTCAGCTCTGCCTCCCTCTCACGAGCAGCCTTTGCAGGAGCGCAGAAGACGGCGCAGTGGGCTTATCAAAGCGCCACGACTCGTATGGCCGCTGCTACTGCCGCCAACAGATCGTCGTCAGACCGAGCAGGTTTCCCTAGCGGTTGGAACTTAGACGACGTGGAGGCTAGGAGGCTGAGGAGGGGCAGAACGGGGGACACGACGGTCAGTGAGGGGCGTAATGTGCCACAGGTCGAGGGTGACAATGAGGTGGATTACGTTGAAAGGGATCGAAGACTTGTTCTTGCGCTGAATGGCGTCGTTGCGAGAATCGAGAGCAAAGCCGACAGAGGAGCGTCGTCATCAGCAGCAGGCCCTGACCCAGCACTGCTAGCGCTGAAAGGGGTGCGAGACATCCTGGCAGGCAGGAAAGATGCATCAGACCTCAGTTGGATCGAGAAGGTCGGAATGGATGGGGTGAAAGGCGAAGGAGAGAGACCAAAATCACCATCACCAACTGCGAGCCAGGATCCGGCTTCATCGGGCCCGACCTCCCCATGCCCTCCCCCTTCTGCATCACCGCCCTCCAAAGCACAAATACCCTCAGCGCCCAAATCGGCTCATCGAGCCTTCGCACGCCTGCCTTCTCCAACGCGACATCCGCCAGATAGACCTGTTCTGGTCGATGATCCATTGGGTGCTCTTGGCGGGTGAGGTAGGCTGCTGACGTAATCGTATCAATATTTGCCGGCTCAGTCCGCCCTCGTTGTGGCGCAGCTTTTTGTCCTTTGCTTCCTGTCCTCACACCTTTTGTACACCCAGCGAGATGACTATGCCTGCCGCCTCTTCGGCAGCTTCGTCTTCACGCGGCCATCTGGCACGTACCTTGCTTTCGCCGTCGACGTCATTACTGCGATCGACGTGCCCGTCAGCCACGAAGAGACGCATCGCGGTTCCAGTCGCCCTGATCCACACATCATCCCCTCGCCCGCTACCTCGTGCCCTTAATCGACCACCTGTCAATCCAAATGCTGGCTCCGGCCCCTCCTCATCTTCCGCAATTCCCTGGTTCCTGCAAGATCAAGAAGTGCTCGAAGTAGATGCGCCCCCACCTCGGTCAACGGCCACACCGGCAACCGCTTCTGGTGAAGCAGAAGACATCAGCATCGACCCCGATGTTGCTTCCCTGCCCGTCCCTTTGACCATCCTGCACACTCATCTCTTTCGCGGTCCAGTAGCTGGAATGCTGCATCGGCCCGATGCCCTCTCCTTCACGCTTAACGACACAGAAGGCGAAGACTCAGACCCGTGGGTAGTCATCCCTGCCCGCTCCCTTCTGGGCAGTACTTCTTGGTGCGACTGGGTAGTCATCGTGACTGTGCGCGAGAACAGTGGTGGGGCGATCAATGCAAAGGTAGCGGAGGAGGTCGGCGAGGTGTTGAGGAGGGTCAGACCACCACCAATGGAAGGCGAGGGTGGTGGAGGGAGCAAGAAGGGAGTTATAGCTAGTCTAGACGATCTGCTTGGTCCTGGCAACGAGCGCAGCCCCTTTGGGCCGAAGAGCGAGGGTAGGGGGGCGATTTGTGCTACGACGCCCTCTGACGGATTTGAGGAAGGAGACGACCAATCGGACCCCAAAGCGTACCACCAAACGCCAAGCTGGGCAACGCATCGCTCCTCGTTGCGCTCCAAGTTCTCAGAGTCTCCACTAGGCACCTCATCCTGGCGTCCCCTAAAGATTCTCTCCCGCGAGACTCAGCATGGTTTGCGCGCTTTGAATGCTTCTGACCCAAGCAAGTGGAACAGCGCGAGCCTCTCGGAGCACTTCAAGGTCTCTCCCGAGGCCGTGCGGAGGATTCTGAGGGCGGACCCGAGCAGGTGGGGTGGGGAAGGTAGAGAGGCCGGTGAGGGGGCGAGGAGACTCAAGGATTTGGTGGAGGGTAAGGGGGATGGGAGGACGAGAGAGCAGAGGGAGATGGATGAGATTGAGCGATTGAGGGAGGAGATTGAGGCGAGTAGGAGGAGGAGCGATGAAGGTGTGGAGGAGGATATTGCTACCATCGTTGGAGGAGGAGAGGAGCAGCTTCCCCCAGCCACAACTCCAACAGCACCAGCCACAGTACCCGCTGCAGCGCCTACTCGCTCGCCCATCAATGTTCGCTCCTTGGGCAAGCCTCGTCACCCTGTGCGCTTCGAGGGGTTACCCTCCACCTCTGCTTCCTCCCGCAAAAGGCAAGCGCGTCAGGCTGCTGCCCCTTCCGCAGGTGGGGACAATGGTAGTGGTGGGGAATGGGTGCTAGTGGATGCAGGCTGGTGTGTCGTTCACGTCATGACTCCAAAGGCGAGGAAGCGATACGACGTTGAGGGTGTGTGGCGCGAGGCAGAGAGGGAAAGGAGAAGGAATGGGGGAGTGGATCTGACTGCTGTCTGATGATGGATTGCATGATACAAATACAAATGCGTAGAGTGATAGATGCTTGAGCTTAGCCGCTAACTTAGTCGCGATCCGGACTTCTGCTGGGGCTTCGACTGATATAGCCACCATCCCCCGCATCGCTCGCCGGCGAAGGTGACCGCGAGATGTACCGCTGCTCCGAAGCTGGCGAGGCAGAGCGAGATCGTGAAGGCGATCGACTGACGTAACGCTCCCCGTCGCGCATCTCCTCGTCTGACTCTTCTTGGCTAGCGTACCCTACATCCTCATCTTCACCGTCTTGCCCATTGTATGGCAGAGGCACAGGTGAAGGAGACTTCCGCTCTCCCACGGCCGCAGCAGCTGCTGCTGCCGCTTTAGCCTCTCTGGCCGCCTTTCGCCTGCGGAGCTTCTCCTTCCACCTATCCCTCGCCGCATTGCTCCCCTCTGCGCCGTCACTGTCTTCGTCACTTCCACCCTTTTTCGCCTCACCGTCCTCGTCGACCTCGCCGGCAAGCAGGGCCTCCTCAAGCTTACTGACCCTGGGCTCTAGCCTCTCCTGTCCGTCCTCCAGCACTCTCCTCTGCGCCAGCCTAGGCAGAATGATATGGCAGACGCGCTCTTGCGTGAGTAGCTCGTCGACGAAGTCGTCAATGTGAGTGAGACGATACGATCCGTCCGTATTGCGATAGCGGAGCTTGCGATAATCCTCCAAGAGTGGCTCGAGGGTTTCGTAGATGGCGAGGGAGGGATAGGTGAGGCGGACATAGAAGGCTGCGAGGGCTCGGAGGTATTTGAACTCCTTTGCCTCTAAATAGGCCTCCAATATCTCTCTCTCCGGCTGTAACTGCAGCAGCTTGAGTGCCAAGCACAAGAATGCCGTGGGCCGCTGTGAGCCGCCGTACGTTCCACCAACGCAGTCAAGCTCGACGGCTTTATCGACGAGAGACTCGGCTGTGAGGGCGAAACAGTGCTCCTTCCAGTAGAGGGAGTCGTATATACGAGATCGGATGACCTTTTCGATGAGGAATTGTGGATTGGTCCCATGGATCTGTTGCGCTGTGCGGCGCGTTGTGTTGGCCATCGCTGCCGGGGTATCGAGGTAGTGGGACAGAAGATGAGCAGGCGGATTCAATGCACGGACAGACGTCGACAATCGAGGTTCGCCTCTTGCCATTCGTCTCCCGTTCCGTCGCCTTTGACTTTCCAAGTCGACGGCGAGTGAGCGAGTCGAGTCGAGTGAGCGAGTGCGCCCGCTCTCTCTCTCCGTCCGACTTCTTCGCCTCTCGCATCATCCTCAACCACCTCCCTAGCCCTCAACTCGCCAACCATGAGGGCATCAACGTCGCAATTGCGCAACCTCATCGGGAGTGTCGCTAGCGCAACTTCTTCATCACAATCAGCAGCAGCAAGTTCATCACGCCTTGCTGCTCCTTCACTGCGCTCCCTTCACTCCTCGCCCGCCCTCGACCCAAAGGACGCGGCCGCAGATGCGCACCAGCCACCGCCTTCGTCAGCAGCAGCTACAGAGTCAGTCCTATCTGGCACGCAATATGCCAACCTCGAGGCTCAGGCAAGCAGTGATGCGCAAGGTGAGCTTTCCTCTCCCTCCTCTGGATGCATTGACCTCTTTTCTGACCTAAAATCCCCTCTCCCTCCTTCAATGCAGTCTTTCTCCCCCTCACCCACCTCCACCCAACCACTCGCCCGCCTACACGCTCCCTCATCCCCCTTTCTTCCCACGTATTCGCCCAACAACCCCGAAAAGACATCCTCCATTCGGCCGTAGTGTACTACCTCGACTCGCTGCGCTCTGGCACAGCTTCCACCAAGACGCGCTCAGAGGTCAACTATTCGGGTCGCAAGATCCGCCAACAGAAGGGAAGCGGTATGGCCCGTCTGGGTACGAGGGGAAGCCCTATGTTGAGGGGAGGAGGAGTAGCTTTCGGACCCAAGCCACGGGATTTCGCTACCGACCTGCCTCGTCGGGTACGAGAGCTCGCCCTCCGTTCAGCTCTCTCTGCCCGCTGGTTGGAGGGCAAATTGCACATCGTCCCCTCCCTTTTCTGGGACCCTCCTCCGGGCACCACAGGGCCGTTGAGTAGAGCGCTGGCCAGTCGCGGATGGAAGGAGAATACGCTCTTCCTCTCGGCACCGCGTCATCCGGAGAGTCCGATCAAGGAGGGGATTCGACAGCGTCAGGGGAGACCCTCAGCGATGGACCCTGTGTATACGACGGAGCAGAGGGAGGAACATGGCAAGGCTCTGGCCAACTTCAGTGCTGCGCTTGCGAATTTGCCGCGTACGCAGCTGGTCCGCTTGGACTTGTTGACGCAAGAGGCGCAGGCTGCCGCCAAGAGGGGCAGTGATGAGACGAAGAAGCCTGGAGAGCTCCACGCATACGAGGTGGTGGCTAAGCAGAACGTGGTGATGGACTTGGGTGCACTGGAATGGTTGGAGGAGAAGCTGGGTGGCGCGGGGACTCATGAGGATATGGCGCTGCTGGGGGAGATGGAGGGCATGAGCATGGAGGAGGCAGAGATTGACGAGGCTCGAGCGCAGGCGATGGAGGAAGTGGAGAGGGCAGAGGGGGAGGTGGCTGCAAAGAGCGCGCCGTGATTGCGCAAAGAGTGAATGCAATGGGTCATACGATCACGAGAGAGATGCTATTGACGGGGTGCGGACATTTGTGTGTGTGAACCCTGGTTGCTCATCGCAAGTGGGCGGGAAGCATCATGCTCTCCGTCACCCTGTCCCCGCCCGTCTCATCGATGTCCTCATCATCGTCATCCTCGTTATCATCCCCCTCATCCTCGTCCATGAACTCTTCGTCCTCCTCATGCCCAGCCTTGGCCTTCTTGGCCCCAACTGCGGCTTGTCTCTGACTCTTCTTGCCACTCTTGACCCTCCCACCAGGCAATTGCTCCCCATCCTTGCCGCTCGCCATCTTGACCAGATCTTTCTCCTCCTCACTCAGTTCGCAATCCTTGACCGCCTCCTCCGCAGCACTGTAGTAGCAGAGAGGAATGATACGGAAGCTCGCCTGCTGGTCTAGCAAATGCTTGAGAATCTGCGCCGCTTGAGCGTCAAGGCGCTTCCCCGCCGTGCAGACTTGGTGCTCGCGAAGCAGGGTGGGAACTCCACGCTTCAGCTCGGTAGGAAGACCGAGCTTGCGCAGTTGAGGCTCAAGGGATCCGGGGAGGGTTTCGGGGGAGGTGCCCTCTGTTGAGGGGCGGGTGTAGAGGGGCCCTTCTGGGAGAGTTACGGTGGAGCGAGCAACGTTGCCTGCGCGGGCGTAATCTTTTCGCTCGTGTGTTGCGAACCAGTCTGATACCTCTGCGGGGGGAGAGTTGGTGAAGAGGAGGCCGACAGAGCCTGTCAGGCGCTGCGAGCGAAAGAGGGCAAAAGAGGCGATGCGATCAGAGTCAGCGACGTCTCAAGCCAGCATCTCCCGCACGTCCGTACCGGCGTCAAACTCACCTGGCTCAACCCCCTCACTCCTTTGACAACCTCATCCTCCACCCCTTCACCAAGCGCCTTGGCCACCACTCTGTTCTTCCCAACAAAGATCCTCCCGCTGTCCTTCCACAACTTCCTCACTTCCTGCAGATAGGCAGTGCGAGCATTGGCGAGACTAAACAGCCAAATGTAAGGGTACTCCTGCGCACATTGCTGTACCGAGGAGAGGAGCGTCGTCTTTGCTTCTGATCGATCTGATGCAGAGCGCTGGGTAGCAGTGAGGGATATGACCTTGTTGCGCTTCGTCTTGGGCATCTTTGGCGACGACTGGTTGGTGAGAGATGGGAGTGACGCGAGGGAGGCGAGGCGCACACCTGCAAGTCGACCGAATTTTTGGCAACGGACAGAGAGACGCGAGAGTGGCAGCTTTGACCTGGCCACGTGGAATTCATTCAACTCAAGACGGCGTCACCAACCTCTTCGAGCTCACAATTGGCAATGGCATCGGGCTGACCTTACAAAGAGGGTAAAGAAAGAGAGCGCCTTTATGTCACGGCAGATGAGACAAAGTCTGAAAGATAGTCGAGAGGAACGAGACGGTCTGGAAGCTCCGCCGGACCAAGCACAGGGCTGGCGAGTCTTTCGGCGATCTATTCCAGCTGCCCCTCATCACTGACCGGAGTCAAAGTACAGGTGCGAATGGACGGTACCGGCTTTTGCGCAGAAGATGACCACACGGAGTTTCACTGTAGGATCGAAAGGGGTCAAGGGCGCGGTCCGCTCGATCTGTGGGCCTCTCAAGATGCGGCCCGCTGTCAAGGCTCGGCTTCACATTGAGCTGCGATGCCCTCGCAACCCTCGATAGTAGCGTCGAGATTGTCGCAACCATCAGCCAGAGTCCCCTCCGTCTCCCCTAATCAGCCACTGCTTCAGGCTACCAACTACCTTCAACAGCCCACCATCATGCTTGCTTTCAATCGCGTCTTCAACCTCCTCGTCACGTTGGCGATCCTTTGGAAGTCTGTCGGCGGTGTGGTCCAACAGATCGGTGAGTTATCGCCGCTTTCGCAGCAAGGAAAGATCCTGACATATCTCGACTTCCGCTCTCAGGTACCTGTTTCGGCGACACGTACGTCTCTGTCTCGTGACATCGTGGTACGCTTCAAGGCTGACCCCTGACCGCCCCTCACCAATTGGTCACACTAGCGGCTGCCTCAAACAGCCCATTCCCGTTAACGGTGATATCTCGGGCATCGTCTACATCCAAGCCCGTTGTGAATCCTTCAAGGCAGACTTCGCCATTGGCAAAGTTTGCAAGACGGCTGCCAAGTGAGTGGGCGAGCGGTAAGTGCAAGTCAGGCGAGTCACTGATGCCTCCAAATCCTTTACCTTGCCTTGGTCGGCAGGTGCTTCGAATGCCAGGCTGTCGAGAGGGCTTCGCAGTGCATTCTGGTGAGAAGCATGCTGAGCGATTTCATTCGCGACTTGCCATAGCTCACACCTGTCAAAACCCTACCCATCACCATCCTCAGAAGGGACCATATTGTAAGACACGCCGCGTCACGGTCTCTTTTGAGTCTCTCGCTGACACTGCTTCCCGCTCGCACCGCAGACACCTGGTGCCCTTAGATAAAGGCCTGACTGTGATTGGCCTCAGCTCTCCAGGCGACGCGCACCTTGATGAACCTAGCTGCGGCGGCAGCTCGCTCGACCTCGCCCGCCCGTGCTGAAGCCTCTCTTTCGCCCCAGCGCTACCGCTGCCGTCGCCTTCGCTGTCACCTGCGCTTCTTGTAGGGAGATTTCTCTCTTTTGTATCGAACTTTCTCGCCCCGACTGCGGCCGCTGAATAATATTGCTCAGCTCTCGAGTTTCCTGCCTGCTCGACGCACAGAACGAAGATGCACACCTATTGCCCTCGGCGAGTCCTCTTTCGCCTTAAGACGCCGTGAAGACATGCCCTCACCGTCGCTGCCGTCAGGTACATTGCAAACACACAATGAGACAGCAGACATGGTCGGCAGTGCTCAAGACAGCCGGGGCGCAAGACAAGAGCCATAGCAGCCAATGTACATTACTTCACATGGATGAATATGGTGCCGAGGCTGACCTCATCGCTCTTGCCGTCGCGATCGCCGCTCACAGCATTTGTCTCCCGTTCGTATCTCCTTTACCATCTCAACCTAGCTTTTTTGACTCATCGCATCATCCACCTGCATCATGCTTGCTCTGAAGTGCATGCTATCCTTTGCTGCTGCCACGGTTCTGTGCTTGACGGCAGTCACGGGGCAATTCGACCAAGTTGGTAAGTATGCTCGCTCGCGTCTGTTGAGCCGATCTTTGACCAGCAGCCTCTCGCCCGTAGGTACCTGCTTTGAGGACACGTACGTCGGTGTGGATGACCTTGGCCACGTCAGGGACCTGAGCTGACGTTTGAGATCCCGGATCCACTTTTCAGTGGATGTTCACGGAAGCCTACCCCCATCAGCGGCAACTATAGCAGCATCATCTACATCGTGAAAACAGCGTGCGACTCTTTCAAGGCCGAAATTGACCTCGGACGCGTCTGCCATACATCGGCAAAGTGAGTACTGCGGCTGTCATCGAGTGCAAGGAGCATGCCACGTCTGATCGTCACCCTGCTCGCGGCCTACAGGTGCTTCACGTGTCAGGCTGTCGAGTATGTCTCTCAGTGCATCACAGTGAGCAGAAGGTGAATTCACCAGTATTGAGCAGCGTGGCTGACCCTGCTTCACTCTCCTTGCGCTGTGAACTGCAGAAGGGACCTTACTGTCAGCACGCACGCACCATGTCGCGGTCTGCTACGCCCTCGCTGACCGGACTTCGCCGCCCGCCTGACAGACACTTGGTGTCCCTAGGCGGGTAGCGCTCGACGTTGACGACGAGCGCCTCGCCAGCCGCCTAGCTTGCTACTACTGGCCACGACTTAGTACGAGCGGGAGCAGACGGGATGCAGCGTACCAATCTGACTATGACGATGCCAACAAATTCCACTGCAGATGAGATTGAGTGCTCGCAACGCTACGATAGATGATAAATGGTCGCGCAAGCTCAGTCAGAGAAGAGCTGCTTGTTGAAGTAAGCCAACCCATTGATGCCTCCCTCGACCTGCGCACTAGCAGTCCTCAGCTCAAAGCGCACCTTGCCCAAGCCGACCAGCTCGCGCAGCTCCGTCAAGCTCTTCACACCCATGTCCTGCATCGAATGTTGCAGACCCGTAAACAGGTAGGGCAGGTAGCGTTTCAAGGACCCCTTGTCCGCAACGGCGCCCGACACACCCTGGGCGACCTTGACTGCGTCCGCCTCAGAGAAGTAGCGCTGCGTTGCCGCGTTCTCTTGGCCCACGTCGACGGGAACAGCTTTGTTCGCCTTCGCGGCCCCGCGCCCAGTGGCACCAGGCATGGCCTGCTTGCGCTGGTGCGTCATAGCCTCGATGGAGCCCATCCCGCGGTAAGCCTTGAGACGCTTGCCCTCACGGAAGAAGTAGGTTCCTGGCGCCTCCTCGCAACCAGCAAGCATCGAGCCCATCATGACCGCAGATGCGCCAAGGGACATGGCCTTGGCGATGTGGCCCACGTTGGAGATACCGCCGTCGGCAATGACGGGGACGCCGAACTTGGCCGCGAACTCAGCCACGCGGTGCACTGCTGTTCCTTGGGGTCGGCCGCAGGCCATGACCTCTTGCGTTGTGCAGATGGAACCCGAGCCCATACCGATGCGCAGAGCGTCGGCGCCTGCCGCGATCAGGTTGGCGGCTTGCTCGCGCGTGACGACATTGCCAGCGATGATGTCGATCTGGGGGTAGGTTTGCTTGATCCACTGGATGAACTCAATCTGGTATGTCGAGTTACCGTTGCTCGAGTCGATGACGACGACGTCCAACCCGGCGTCAACGAGGAGGGCAAGGCGCTCGCGGTCCGAAGGGCGGGTGCCGACAGCTGCGGCACAGTAAAGCTGCTTGGAGTCGGGGCGCTTGGATGCTAGCGGGTAGTTTTGATTCTTGAGCAAGTCAGAGCGAGCAAGGAGGGAGACGAGGTTGCCCTCTGCGTCAACGATGGGGAGCTTGCCCTTCTTGGAGTCGCGAAGGATCTCGTTGGCCTGTTCGAGCGTGACGCCCTTCTTTGCCGTGACGAGGTCGGTGGTCATGACTTGAGACAGGGGGAGAGCGGGGTCACGGAACTGCACGTCGCGGGCGGTGACGATACCGAGGAGCTTGCCATGAAGAGCTCCGTTGTCTGATTGCGAGGGCGAGAGGCATCGATAGTCAGCTCTCTGTGCTGCAATTACTCCGCTAGCCTCGCTCGCGCCCGCGCTGCTTCTCGATCAGTGGACATAGGTTGTGGTCTGCATTGCCGCTCTCAAGTCTAAGAGAGGGCCTCAGCAGAACGAAGGTTAACAGCAAAAATGGGTTTTCATCACCAAGAAGCAGCGCGAGTGGGCGAGAGCAAAGAGCGGGTCCTGGTCGCAGATGTCGCCTACTCACCAGTGATGGGGATACCGCCGAAGCCCATGCGCTGCTTGATGTCGAGCACGTCGCCCACGGTCTCGTTGGGCGAGAGGCACATCGGCTCGGTGATGAATCCGTTCTCGTACTTCTTGACCTTGCGGACCATGTTCGCTTGCTCCTGTGGCGACATATTGTTGTGGATGACGCCCATGCCGCCGTGCAGGCCCATAGTAATAGCCATTTCTGTCTCAGTGACCGTGTCCATGGGCGAGGAGAGGAAGGGGGTATTGAGGACGACGTTGCGCGTCACCTTGGTCTGGAGGCTGACCTCGTTGGCAGGGAAGTTGATGAAGCCAGGAAGGACGAGGAAGTCGTTGTACGTGAGACCTCCGTGGAGCTTTGAGTCGATGAGCTCGGACATGGCGAGACCGTCTCCCGAGGGGTAGTCACTGAGGGCTGCGATTGCATTCTTGGGATCATAGAGGGCCTTGGAAGATGACGAGTGGACGAGGCCATTGTCGGCCGTGGCAGACGACGACGAAGCGGTAGGGGACATGTTTGCAGGGTAATTGATCCTAGTGGCAGCTGGGTGGTAGTTGTAGTAGGATATGAGATGGCGGTCGGGCTGCGATGGCCAAGAGGAAAAGGAGGGAAAGAAAGCTCGCAGCCTCACGGCCGCCTGGTCCTCTCGACTGAGCAGACGCAACGCGTCCTGGAATAAAATCCAGAGGGCGATTTTGCCTCGCCTCAACTCACGCCAAACGGACAGGGCAACGATGAGGCCACCCCGACTGGACGATGCGATCCGCTCCGATATTCCAATCGCTCGATCGGAAGAAGAGAGCGCTGCGAGCGTCGACGCCGGCAGCTTCCCCAGCCAAGCACAGACGAGCGGCACAATCAGGCAGCAGCAGCAGCTGTAGGCGTTGAATGCGTCTTGACTCGTTCCCCATCACATTCGATCAACACCACCTCAACCATCGTCATGGCCTCGCTGCCAAAACCAGTCGAGTCGGCAAAGGGCGCAAAGCTCAATGTCATCCTCGGCAGCCAATGGGGAGATGAGGGAAAGGGTGAGCCAGGCGCCAACACGACGACAGACACGGACGAGATGCTCATCAGCTTGAACCCTTGCCCCTCTCCGCTGCACACCGCCAGGCAAGCTGTCCGATATCCTCTGCCAGAAGATGGATGTCTGCGCCCGATGCGCTGGCGGCAACAATGCTGGACACACCATCGTCGTCAACATGGGCCCTGACAAGTGAGCAAGCCAGCGGGCGAGCCAGAGATAGCTAGCGGAAGCAATCTGCTGTGAATGGCCATGCTCACGCAGCTCCTCGTCTTCTCTTGCGCACAGGGTCAAGACCAAATTTGACTTCCATCTCCTCCCCTCTGGCCTCATCAATGAGCGATGTGCTGGCTTCATCGGGTCGGGCGTCGTAGTCCACGTCCCTTCCTTCTTCGCTGAGCTCGATGCTATCACCAAGAAGGGTGTGTGCGCGAGGTTCCAAATTGTCTCACTTCTCGTGCTCGTCTCACTCACTCCTCACATTCGCGCTACTCTGCAGGGCTTAACTGCGACGGACGCCTCTTCGTCTCGGACCGCGCTCACTTGGTCTTCGACTTCCACCAGGTCGTCGACGGCCTCAAGGAGGTCGAGCTCGGCGGCAGCAGCATCGGCACCACGAAGAAGGTAGGTTCCCGCGGTGCCCAACGCAACCTCGTCCTCGTTCGCTGACGTTCCTCCCACCGCTCGTCTCTCTCGCACCAGGGCATTGGCCCGGCCTACTCGTCCAAGGCCTCTCGCTCAGGGCTGCGTGTTCACCACCTCTACGATCATGAGACGTTCGCGAACAAGTTCCGCAAGCTGGTAGAAGGCCGCTTCAAGCGCTACGGCCACTTCGAGTACGACACCGAGGGCGAAATCGCTCGCTACAAGGCCTTTGCTGAGCGTCTGCGCCCTTACGTCGTCGACGGAGTCAGCTTCATCCACGCTGCACTCGCTGCCAATCGTCGAGTGCTCGTCGAAGGCGCGAATGCTCTCATGCTGGACATCGACTTCGGTACCTACCCCTTTGTCACCAGCTCGTCCACGTCCATCGGCGGTGTCTGCACCGGTCTCGGTGTACCACCAAACGCAGTAGGCGAGATCTACGGTGTAGCCAAGGCGTATACGACTCGTGTTGGCGGCGGACCCTTCCCCACCGAGCTCAACGACGAGATCGGTGTTCACCTCCAAGAAGTCGGCGCAGAGTGGGGTGTCACCACTGGCAGAAGAAGACGCTGTGGCTGGCTCGACCTCGTCATGATGCGCTACTCGACCCTCATCAACGGGTACACCTCCCTTAACCTCACAAAGCTCGACGTTCTCGACGACCTCAAAGAGATCAAGGTTGCGACGAGCTACAAGGTCAATGGTCAGGAGCTTGCCTCGTTCCCGGCCGATCTTGATATCTTGGCGCAGGTTGAGGTGGTGTACAAGACGATGCCTGGCTGGCAGCAGGATATTAGCAAGGCGACAACGTACGAGGAGCTTCCGCAAGCATGCAGGGATTACGTCGAGTTGATTGAGCAGTTCTTGAGCTGCCCTGTGGAGTACATCGGTGTAGGGCCGGGCAGGGAGTCGATGATTCACAGGAAGAGGGCATGAGGCGGACGAATCAGGCAGAAAGGTCGTATCTCGTTAGACGATGTGTTTCTACTGCACGATCGAATTCAGCAATGGGAAAGTGAAGCAGAACAGGCCAACGCGTAGCATCGTGTGTGAGCCTGGACGTGGGGGAACGAGTTGTTGGTCGCTGCCGCGGCCTCGTCTTGTCGAGTCGCCCGTCCTCCTTCCGCTGCTCCCGCCGCTCAGACGAAAGTCAAGTCGACTGATTCCAGATCTTCTTTCCTCCTTTCTCGCTCCTTTCCCCGCCCTCTCCATCGTCATGCCCTCCAAGACAACCTCCAAAAGCAAATCATCAGGCAGTAATGCCGTCGAGGGGGCTGACTCCGAGCCCCTCGTTGCCGTCCTCCTCGCCGACTCCTTCGACAGTCGCTTTGCCCCCCTCACCCTCTCCCGGCCGCGCTGCCTTCTCCCCTTCTGTGGAGTTCCCTTGATTAACTTTACATTGGAGCGTCTCCTCGCCGCCGGAGTTTCGAAGTGTCATATCCTTGCCCACTCTTACGCACACCTCGTTCGAGCGCATATCGACTCGCTGCGTAAGGCTTCCGCCCTCTCCGGGCTCGACGTCGTCGTCTACGCCGTCCCGGACGCTCGATCGGTGGGCGACGCCATGAGGGAGCTGGACACAAAGGAGCTCATTCGGGGTGACTTTGTGCTAGTCCAGCCTGATGCGGTGGGAGCTGCAGATATTGGGGAGATGGTCAGAGTGCATACAGAGAGGAGGAAGACGGATAAGGACGCGATTATGACTATTGGAGTGCAAAGTGCTGCAACGGCGGGTGGGAGCGTCATGGCCTTGAGGCCCGAGACTTCACAGTGGGTACTCAAAAATGCCATTCTACTGAAAGCTTCAGGCTGACTTTCCTCTTCTATGCGCAGACTTCTTCACTACGACCCCCTCACGGGCCCTTCCTCCTCCAAGACTCACCTCCCCTACGAGGACATTTTCACCGACGCGACTCCCTCCGCCGAGCTGCGTCTCGACCTCCGCGAGACAGGGATTGACATCTGCTCCCTGGATGTGCCTCCGCTTTTCTCGGAGAACTTCGACTACCAAACACTACGAAGAGACTTCGTTGTCGGTATCCTGACATCTGATCTTCTGGAGTCGAGGATCTACGTACATGAGAGCCAGGGAACGGCTGTCAACGAGTCAAGGGCGAATGGGATGACGCACTCGGTGTGGGGGGCCAGGTGCAATTCAACAAGGGCCTACGACGAGGCAGCAATGGCTGTCCTGTCGCAAAGGGCTTGGCCGACCAGCCCTGGCTCGCCGGCTTGGCCCGGGGAGCGACTTGAGGCGAGACAGGGGGCGAGATATGTTGCTACACGCAATGTGACCGTGGATCGCAGCGCTGAGGTGAGGGATAGGGTGCTCATTTCAAGCGGTTGCACCGTCGCTGCGAGGGCAAGATTGGAAGCGTCTACCCTGGGCCAGGGGGTGATGGTGGGTGAGGAGGCGACGGTCACTGGATCGCATCTCTTCGAAGGGGTCAAGCTTGGCAAGGGGTGCAGCGTTGAGGCTACCATTCTAGGCAAGAATGTGCGGGTCCTCGATGGGGTGCGCATCGCACGAGGCTCCTTGGTAGGAGACGACTGCGTAATCGGCTCAGACCTCAAGGCTGGCACACGTATAGCCTTCAGCGAGGAGAAAGCGGACGAAGCCCTGCTCGGTCCCAAGGGGATGGGGCGACTCTATGTGGGAGACGACGATGAAGAGGAGGACAGCGATGACGAAGCCGACGGGGACGAGGCCGACGCCACACTGCGTATTGGACATCAAGGCATTCGCGTGGTGGAGGACGATCTTTCCTCAATCGAGGGAGATTCGGAGCTCGGCGACAGCTCGGACGAGGATAGCGACGACGACGACTTACTGGATGCAGACGCTCAAGAGCGCGCGGCGAACAATGCTGCTGCCTCCCTCGCGCCTGGAATGGGCAGTCTCAGCTTGGGAGCAGGGGAAGCGACAGACTACGAGGCAGCCGCAGCGACAGAGCGACTACGTGAATTCGAGGGCGAAGCGCGCGCCTCACTACATCGCGCCTTTGAGGAGGGCCACACGATCGACAATGCCAGCATTGAGCTCAAGACGTTGCGCATGGCTTCCAACGTGCCCCTTTCCGAGGTGCGACGCTGCGTTACCGAGGCCATCCTCGAGGGATGCGTAGCTGCCAGCGATGGAGGCAAGGACGCAAGGAAGATGGGCGCCTGGCTGGACAGATGGTCTGCCCTCCTTGGCCAAGTCATAGATGACGATGCAGGTGACGAGGAGCAGGGAGCAGAGGTCATCGACCATATGCAGACTTATTGCTCTCTTCATGCGGAGAGTCACGCAGCCCTCTTTGTGCCGCTCCTCAAGAAGCTCTATAATGATGACGTGCTGAGCGATGAGGCCATTGTTGGTTGGTGGAAGAGTCCCGCTTCGAGGGGGACGGAGGAAGCAAAGGGGGGAGAAGGCAGGGCGGATCTGAGGAAGAAGGCGGAACCCGTCGTTAGGTGGGTCGTAGAGGAGGGGGAGAGCGAGAGTGAGAGCGAGGAGGAGAGCGACGAAGAGTAGAAGGGAAGGCATGCGTAGAATGGTAATTGCTATTGTTACATGGGTGTCTTAGTCGTCTGCTATCTACCCCCAGCCTCATCTCTCGCTGCCTTGGCTATCGGGTTGGCGTGAATGGTGATCGACTGGATCCTGCATTCTGCGCCCTTGTTGTCGGGCCTGCCTTTCGCGTCTACGGGCAGCTTCTCCATGCGGTCCAACACGTCGTCGCCATCTATCAGCCGGCCAAAGATGGTATGTTTGCCGTCCAGGTGTGGTAAGGGTGCGTAGGTAAGGAAGAATTGGGACTGCGAAGTGTTGGGCGCTGATGATGCCATAGCGAGGATGCCTCGTGAGTTGAACTGCTCGCGGGGGGGAACCGGTCAGCCCATCCGCAGCAGCAGCTATGCGTACTTCTCCGTCGCTCCACACTTACCTTCAAACTGCTTCTGATCTCGTCATTGAATTTGGCGCCACCGTAGATGCTCGTCCCCCCCTTGCCCGTATTAGTGGGATCACCACCTTGAACCATGAATCCCGCCAAGTTGCGATGGAACAATGTGCCATCATAGCTTCCCGATGCTGCGAGCCCCAGGAAGTTCTCGCATGTCTTGGGCGTCTGAGCCGGGTAGAGCTCGACTTTGAGGTCACCGAGGGTGGTATGGAGGGTGAGAGACATTCGGCAATCAGAAGCAGGGGAGGGGAAGGCGTTTGGTTGACGTGGGAGAAGGACTGGATTATCGGACGGGAGCAAGTTGAGCCGAGACGAAGACGGAAGAGGGAAGGAGCTGCAGCAGGGCTCAAAGTGGAGCTCGACGCGAGAGCCCAAAATGGCGTGCCTTCTTCGTTCTTCACCCCGCTCCTTTCTTCCCACCTCGATATATGCTACTGCGCTTCCTTCGAAACATTACTACCAAAGCAAGCATGTCCCACCCTCCCGCCTCCGTGGAGCTCTCCACGGCAATCAGTGCCGTCTCGCGCGCCTCGCTCGCAACCAGCTCAGTCTTTCGCTCAATCCCATCCTCCCTTACAAAGGAAGACAAGTCCCCAGTCACTCTGGGAGACTTCGCCGCACAAGCAGTCGTCAATAGCGTGCTGCACGCTCATTTTTCTCAGGACAAGATCGTCGCAGAGGAGGAGGCGAGTGCTCTCAAGGAGAATGGCGAATTAAGGGGCAAGGTGACGGCATTGGTCAAGGAGGCGCTCCAGCGAGACGAGGCTGGATTGACGGGGCAAAAGGATTTCAAGCCGCAGTGGACAGAGAAGGCAGCTAGTGACGAGGCCGTAATGGAGAGCATTGACCTCGGGTCCTACTCTGGCGGCTCGAGTGGTCGCTTCTGGACGCTCGACCCCATCGACGGCACCAAGGGCTTCCTCCGCGGAGGACAGTATGCCGTCTGCCTCGCACTCGTCGAGTCCGGTAAGCCAACCTTGGCCGTCATGGCCTGCCCCAACTTGCCGTTCACGAAGGACGTTCCCAAGCCACAAGAAGGCGACCGATCAGGTGTAGACGGGGGCGGATCACTCTTCGTCGCCGTCAAGGGCGGAGGAGCATGGCAACGCTCCCTCAACCTCAGCGCCGCCTCCGCCTCTTTCCAGCCCATCTCAATGCGCCCGCGTGATGCCTCCCTCACATTTTGCGAATCAGTCGAGGCTGGCCATTCGTCGCAGGGAACCAACGCAGAAATTGCCAAGCTCCTCACCATCACCGCCCCACCGGTCCGCATGGACTCTCAAGCTAAGTATGCCTCCGTCGCACGGGGGGATGGTGATGTCTACCTGCGCCTGCCTACGGGCAAGGGAGAGTACCAGGAGAAGATCTGGGATCACGCTTCGGGCCAGCTGCTCTGCGAGGAGGCTGGGGGAAAGGTCACAGACTGTTCGGGTAAAGACCTGGATTTCGGACAGGGCAGGACCCTGAAGCTTAACAAGGGTGTGGTGGTCGCGCACAGGGACGCGCATGAGGAGGTGCTCAAGGCAGTACAGGAGGCGCTGGAGAAGGAGGGCAGGGGGTATCTTGCGAGGGGCGAGCCCGCACCGGCGCTGTAAGGCTATGCTAATATGAGAAGCTCTCCGTCCGAATGTCAACAACGCCCGCTGCGGCTAAGGCCTGCTTGGCCGCTTGCTCGAAGGGGCGAGCGCCGCAGATGTAAGCGATACGGCCGGCGAATGCTTCACAGGGCAGCTTGAAGGTTCCGGCGTCGCTGTTGCTTTCGCCAGCTTCGCTGAACGAAGATGGCGTAAGACGAGTGCCGTACCACGCCGTTGCCCGCGGAGAGAGAATAGTGGACTTCTTGAGATGGGCAGCCTCACCATCCTGCTCATCCGCCTTCACCAGATAGTGAACCCGCAGTTCCTCCTCGCTCCCTGCATATCGTGCGGCATCCTCCACAAGCCCCCGCATCGCCTCGAGCTCGTCTGCTCTACAGGCCACGATAGCCAGCACATCCCTCTTGCCCTCACCTACCGCTTGCCCCTCCCGCAGCTTCCCGCTCAAATGTGCAAGCAGCGGTGTGACCCCAATCCCACTGCACACGTACACATTTCCCCTCCCCTCCGCCTCCTGCTCATCAGCAGCGGTAAACTCGCCATCCACCCCGAGAACGGGTACCTCTGGCGCCCAGCTCGGCATTGCAGCCTGAGAGTCCTCCTCCCGCGCTGCCGTGATGCGCTGCGCCATACTGAACAAGGTGGGAGTGACGCCTCCTCGTGGTACGCGACGGAGAGTGGTGGTGAAGTGCCACTTGCCCTTACCCCCCTTGTCATGCCAAGCGCGGGAGATGGTCCACGATCGCGTCCCATCATCGTTGAGATCCTTCTCCCCACCGGGGAACTGCGCCATGTGGCTATACAGGGTGACCCGAGTGTCGAGCAGGTGAGAAGCGTCGCAGATGATATGCTGGCCGGGGCGGTAGGACTTGCCCGTGCTGGCGGGGCACGACCAGGTGAAAGTGGCTAGCGTGGGGGAGTGGATGGCCACATCCGTGAGGGTGGCGACGGCGGAGGGCGTGCTTGAGCCCTTCACGCCAGCATAGCGCAGAATCGGGTTGTAGGGGCTCCACCCAACTGCTTCCTTTCCTTGCTGCTCGGTCACGCCCAGAGGCAAAGCACCTTCAATCATCGAATATCCCGTAACCCATAGTTTCGTGACGCCGCTGACCCCTCTGACGAGCCTGCGCGCCTCCTCCCCGCTGACCACCTCCGCCTCGCAAGTAAGGTACAGCACGTCCGTACCCTTCTCCTTGAAAATCGGTATCGTCACCCCAGCAACGGGGTCACCACCACTGATGTTGCCTAGACTCTGGAGAAAACGATTGCCCGAATAGTCCGGCAGAAGCAGGCAATGTCTCTCCCGCTTTGAATCCCAGTGGTGCTGAATGAAGCCAGAGCGGCCGCCACGAATGTTGCAACCTAGCTTCGATCGGTCGCCGTAAGCCTCCGGAGAGGCAGTGTGGCGAGTGCCGAGGTAGATCGTGTCGCTATTCTCGATAGCCTTGATGATCGAGGGAGGGAGGGGCGAAGCTGCCGGAAGAGTAGGGCAAGCGTCGAGCAGCTGAGGCTTTGTAGGGCGTGGGCTGAGGTGGCGGATGTTTATGTCTTTAGAGAGAAGGAGCCGCTGGATTAGCAATCGCCCTCTCATGAACGTCGAAGATACTCACACTTAGGGCAATTGCCCATGCTAGCCGTGATACCCAGCTCAATGTCCCACGTCTCCTCCTTGTCATCTACTCGCCTCGAATCCCTGATCCAACCCTCGTACTTGTTTCGCCTGCGATTGCTCAGCAATACACCTACACTAGCTGTGAGCATTTCTTCTGCACCTTCCCCCTCCCTCATCTCAGCAAGATGTCCCGCAAGTGGTGTCCCTTGCGGAAGACGCACCCCTTTCACTCCCACCCTATCCTCGCCCAGCTCATCCTTCTCGGCCTGCACAAATCCCTCCTCTCCTCCACTACCAGCAAGCAAGGAGACCCAAGGTCTTCCATCTGCATCCAGCGTAGTCAAGGGCAAGAACTGCAACTGCAAGAGAAAGCTCGCAGATCCGTAGAGCAACCCCGGAGTGATCCCGCCAGGTCCCTCAAAGACGTCGTCCGCGAAACCGCGTTGTTCTTGTAGAGAGGTCTCGCCTGGGTGCCAGCGACGCAGGTCATGTTCCGTCAGTGTCATGTCGTTGAGGGAGAATGGAAAGGGAAGCAAGGTCGATATGAATGAGGTGAGAGGAATGAAGCGAACGACTCGAGGCGTCGAGTGAACGGCGTCTTACGGCCGCCCGCCGCCTCGGCGTTTGCTTTGCGGGGGAGCAGACCTGCGCTGCGCACGGGCCCTTGCTTCCCGTAACGCAACCTTGCTCCTCTTCACTCAATTCGATCAACGGATCCAACATCGTGACATCATGATGACATTGCAATAACCCAAGATGAGCAGCGGCCCAGAACAAGCGCGAGACTAAAGCTGAGGGAGAGAAAATGTAACTATGGAGGCAGAGCCGAGCGACAAGCTATATTATAGCCAGCGAGCGAGGATGTCCAGTTCGTTGGGCTGGCTGATGCCTGGGGATATGGTCTACTACTATGGCCGGGGGATACGATGGTCGAGGAAGGTGAAGGGCAGGACAGCTTAGCTCCTGCATCTTGTCTGCATGGCTGCGATCTGCTTATCGGCAGATGATATGGTGCGATTGCTCGAGACTTGCATGAGAGCGAGGGAATGAAACAGACCAGCGAGTGGGTATACCAGAAGCGGTGCTCCTTTGGGAGCTTGAAAAGTTGCAACTCCGTCATCATCATCAGCGTCCATCTGCAGGCCCACCTCCCATCGGCTCGAGTCCCTTCGCTGTCACCTCTGGACTCCAATCTCCTTCGCCAAGATCAAGCGAGGGCAGCATCGGAGCCAAGCTTCCACCATGATCCTTCGGCGGGACAGCCGGGCTACCGTTTCCTGCCACCTTGCCTGGAAGCGGTGGGACAGGAGGCAATGGCGACTCCGGTCTTGGAGGGGTATCCGTGTCTGAGTGAGTAGAGCTGGACCCGACGCCGCGGATCGTACCTGAGAGGGACCGGAAGATGCTTCCCTTTCTGCTGCCTGCGGGGGATGGGTTGTTGGAAGCGGAGGCAGGCATAGCAGCCACGTCGAGCGTGCCACCGCCACTGGGACTGCCACTGGGCCTGCGAGACCCTCCACTTCCCTGAGAGCTATTGAGGCTTCGTCGACCGGGTGTAGGGACCTGCTGCGGGTGCGGCGCGAGGTAAGAAGAAGAAGTAGTCGAACCCATCTCGTGGTTGACGGAGCCGGAGGAGGTCGAGGGAGGCATGGCTGGCGGGGGATGCGCATCGTTGGAGTGGTGTGAAGCGCCAGGCTGACTGCTGCCCCCATCGCTGACTCGTGGCAAAGAGCGTTGCGAGTTGGCGGGAGAGCCGGTCATCACAGCTCCAGCGAGTCCGCCGACCCCACCGCTGCGCTTGTCGAGGGAGTAGGAGGAGGCTGCCTTGTTCATGTCGCTTGGCAAGGGAGATCGCTCCAGCGACGGCGACGCGGAGGGCCTGCGACCTGTCTCGCCGTTTGGCTGGCAGACCTTGAGCCCCTCGAGCTGGGTAGCCCACACCTGGTGGGCAGTCCACCACGTCCGGACGATATTCGCCGTCTTCTCGCGCGAGGAGGCGACCGTGCCGTTCGAGCCGTGGCTGGCGGTCGAGGCCGCTTCGCCCGAGGGCGTAGTGACGGGCGGTACACTGGTGCTGTTGTCGCCTCGTGCCTCGAGGAAACCGCCCATTAGCGTCTTGACGCTCCCGAGGTACTCTGCTTGGATGCGCGCAAATGCTGCAATGAGCAGATCTACCATGCACTCCACCCCGTGAAGGAACTCCGGCAGCTCATCGACCAGGTGAAGGTGCAGCGCCGCAAAGCCATTGGCAGACTCGACAAGACGACGATGCTCCTTGTCCAACGACGTGGCTCTCATGCCCTGCTCCCCCTTGGCAAGTAGCAAGGTGCGATATCGGATGTAGTCCTCTTCTCTTTCCTCCCTGCGCATGAGCACTTCCCGTGGGCCAGAGAAGATGCCGCGCACCTTCTCCAATGGTGGCAGAAGGGTGAGTTGAACGGCACGATCTAGCTTGGGGAGTGGTCCCTCGAGCATCTCCTGACAGAGGGCGCCGAAAGCAGTAAGGTGCTCCGTCTCAGTCACATAGACGTTCTTCCATGCGGCGAGGAGGTCGAGTTGGCTGAGGATTGAAGCCCTGAGGAGAGTGGGCCAGCGACTGTACTCAGTAGCCAGGCGATCAATGCCTCCTTGCAGCGAGTTGAAGGAGGCAAGTAGCCGCGGCAAGTCGGGCGACTCTAGCACGTTGGTGCCCACTGCAGCCAGGTCTGTCGCAACCGTCGGCGTCGAGCCTGAAGCCTTGTTGCGGCGAAGCGTCTTGGACGCATTGAGCTTGTTGCGCGTGAGGCTTCTGGTCATGCCACCTGGTGTCTGCGCACCGCTGCTGCCTTCGACTCCTGGGCTGCTCGCACTACCCAAAGCACCTCCGTTTCCAGCGACGTCCCTCGCTTTTCCGCCACCAATGATCTGCGTGATGATCTCGCGCCTCCTGTTCAGCTCATTGATCGAGTCCGCCACGCGTTGGATCTCTTCAATCGCCATCACGAGATTCTCGTAGTCCGGATGCGTACTAGGTGTGGCCGCGAGGATCTGCTTGAGCAGCAGCGGATACTTCAGCATGCGCTGCACGGGCTTGATCAGGAGCGAGGCCAGGTCCCACGCATTCGTCCTGCGTCGCGCAACGGCCGTGCATTCCTTTAAAAACTGCGCTGCTCGCGAAGAGGTGGAAGCCACGTCCCGCAGGCGGGTGATGGAGGCCTCATGCTTCGAGCAGTACGCGCCGTACACTGCTTGGATACGGGAGGCCAGCTGCCGGAAGGCCAAACCGATGGTATCATCGTTGCTGTCTTCGAGGTCTGCTGCTTCGGACGGCAGAGAGTTGGCGGCGAGAGTACCCATCGATGCCTCAAGGAGACAAGTCATCTCGTCTGCGAAGGCTGTGCAGGCTTCGACGCCCGTGAAGATGACGCGGATGTCAGAATGGCTCAGAGGGGCATCGCTGCTGTTGCTGCTGAGAGCGCCAGCTGGCGTTGAGGCTGAGGAGCGAGTGTCGATGGTGACTGCTGGTCTCCCGCCGGCCGGAGGAGTGCCATCGCCGCCAATGATGCCGCCTGTGCCGCCGCCGCTGGTCCTGCTTGCAGCGCCTTGAGAGATGAGGGAGCTCATGTGGCCGTGTGCATCCTGGAATGTGGAGGTCGTCGAAGTCGAGGTGGTAATGGTCGGCATCGGTGGCGTTGCTGGTACTCCTGGCGTCGTGCCGCTCTCGCTGTACCTCGTGCTCACAGAAGTCCTCTCCTCGCCTCCGCTCTTGGAAGCATCGGTAGGTCTGGAGCTCGACCTCGTCGCGTCTGAGCTGACTGACTCGTCCTTCGACTTGGAGCCAGACGTGACAACGGATGAGCGATTGCTGATCGAGCCAGAGGGAGCAGGAGAAGGCAGCGGGTGCAGCTTAGTATCAAAGTGCATGGGCGGCGTAGCCATAGCAGGCGATGAAGCCTTTCGATGCAGACCCGGCGAGGGCGTTGTGCCCTGGTAGGCGCTCAGAGCGACCTCGCCTGATGCGCTGCGGAAGTAGCTGCGAGAGGCAGCCGCATTTCGGTATGGCAGGTAGCTGCTCGACGACGTGGCGGAAGCTGGATGGTGTAGAGGCGAGCCAGTAGCGCTGAAGCCTGACCAAGGCGTGCCGGGCGATGCCGACGGCCATGCTCCGACCCGTGCCCGAGCGCGGGACAAATAGATGTCGCGAATGACCGTGAGGTCTGATGCGTAGCTTCGCTCAGTGTGGACGAGCTCGCGGATGACGTTGCGGCGCTTGAGGATACGCTTCATGTCTTCGTCGAGCTCACCCTTGGTCCATGCGGTTGGTGGCGTCCTAACACGGCCTCCCATGACAGGAGAGGGTACGACGGGCGAGTTGAGATCGCTGCCTCGGTCAATGCTTGCAACGTCTTGCGACGAAGAAGTCGCGCTCTGGAATGACGCGATGGATGGCTTCTGCGCAAGGAGGGAGAGATGCTCGCGCGCAGGGGAGAGGGGAGAGCCCGTCTGGTCGTCGTAGATTCTCCTAATTGTCGGTCTTGCTGGCGTGGCATCCTTCTTCTTGCGCACGCTCGCCCGTCCTAACCGAGCCTGCTGCTGCTTTGAGTCCTCTTCGCCCTCCGAACCATCATCCTTTGTTCCGCCAAATGGCCACTTCTTCCCCTTCAGCGTGCCCTCACCAGGAGCCGAAGCTTTTCGCTGTCGAAAAGCGCTCGCCAACGCAGGAGGCGTGACTTTGCGCAGATTCTTGGCTCTGGTGGCAAGCGAAGCTCTTCGACGGCCAGGCGTGGACGGCACCTCGAGTCGAGCAGTCGCGTCCTCGCCGTCTCCGACATCATGCCCAATCTCATCGCCATCCTCGTCCTCTTCCTCACCGTGTTCATCCGCCTCATCTCCGCCATGCTCCTCCTTGAGCGCGCTGCCCTCTGACTCGCTGCGATTGCGGCTATTTGACAAGACAAGCGGCTCAGCGAGTCCGTTTGCTCCACCAGCTTTGGCATGCTGCTGCGACATGTCAAACGTCCCGCCCATCCTCGCAGCCATCTCGACGCTATTCCTCAGAGGACTTACACCGAGCGCTGAGGGCGAGGTCGACGGGCCTGCAGGCGCAGCTGAAACTCCGTGCGAGCCTTCCTCGTTGATGGACGAACCTTGAGCTGGGATGGCGGACGAAGAGGGTCGAGACGAGTTGCACCGCTCAACATTCTCCAGCGTCTGCGCCGTCCCTGGTCGTCGCGAGCTTTTCGTGGGTCGATTCGGAGGGTTGCTGATGGCAGAAGCTGCCGAGTCACTGGACATGACCGGCGGGTGAGAGGATTCTGTTGCGACTGATTCAGACGTTGGGTCGGCGTCGGCATCGTCTTCGATGGAGGACAGTACTCGGTCCTTTGATGTGTTGGCCAGCGTTTGAGGTGCATCCTCGTAGACGGAAACGGTTGATGGGGCACGCTCTCGCAATGCAACGTCTGACGAGGCAGTGGAGACCGAGGTCGATGCTGTTCGCTGACCATTGGCGGTGGTGACCCAGGCTGCGACTTCTGCAGATGACAGTGACTCGCCCAGGCCACTTGGAGGCCTCCTGCTGGTGTTTGATGCATTCGAGGAGCTACGGTAGCGTGTGAGCCGCTCAAAGTAGCTAGACGCGCTCTGCTTGGCTTCTGGCGATCCTCGAGGCATCTGCTGTCTGGTCGTACCTCCGAACTTCGACGCCAGCTTGGCAACGCTTCCGCCTCCTACTCCGTATGGTGCCGCTCGAGGTGACGCCGGAGCCGCTCGTGGTAGTGACCTTGGAGACGGCAAAGGGGAAGGTTGGTCGACGCTCAGCATCTGCCTTGGGCTAGTAGATGCTTCGCCAGCCCCGTAGCTGCCGCTAAAGTCAAACTCTTGCATGCCTGATGAGCTGGAGCGAGGGGGTGGAGTAGGGAATGGCCCTGTCTCGCCGTCGTAAGAGCGCAGACTGCTGCTCCGAGGAAGCGGTATGTGCCATGACGAGCTGCTTTGCCCGCTCTGCGGTCTGCTTCTGAGCGATTTGCGTTCTCGCCTTATTCTGCAACGCTCCTCTCTAGCAGCGATTGACGCAGGCGACTGAGGCTGAACGCCGTCATCCTGCTCAAGAGCGGGCAAGGTTGCCGCATCGTACGTCTGGGCTGCCCCTGAGGTGCTGGTCCCTGCGGTCGTCGATGTCATGTCAGAAGATGCAGAGTTGGATATCGACATGGTGAACGGTTGAGGAAGGGGAGCAGATTCTGAGCTCTGGGCCATTGCAATGGTGTTGGGGCTCGGAGTACGCGGGGGTCGACTTGCCGCATTTTGAAAACGAGAGCCGCCGACGCCGCGTGATTGGCCATTCTGGAGCGTTACGAAGCTGCCTGGCTTTTTGTCGCCGCGAGGCGGCCAGCTGCCTGCTCGCTTCATTGTCGGCGGCGAAGATGACTGTGATGGAGATGGAGGCTCAGCTGCAACCGAAGGTGAAGCAGCGTGGGGTGAACCGGCAGGTGATTGCGAGGGGCCTGTGACGGCAAAGGAAGCGTTGGTGGGCGTAGGCGTCGTCGTGGTCCAGTCAAGATCCGCGCCTGGCATTCCATCTGCTCGTGGCGCTTCGGAGTAGGCCTCTTGCTTCAGCTCAGCCCTGCCTTGACCTTGGCTAGAGGTGGGTGGGAGGCGACTGTTGGCGTAGGGGTGAGATGGAAGTGAGAGGAGTGATTGAAGATTAGCCGTCGGCGGAGGCGGTGGTTGGTAATCTGGCATCCGAGGTGGTCCCGACGACGACATCGTCCGCGCTTCATCAACGCCTCCGGCCGTCGCAAGACCGGGTCGAGATGAAGCATCGGCGGCAGCGGCAGCAAAATCAGGGCCGTCGCCATCGCCGCCGCTCGGCGTACTGTCGTCCCGCGGAGTATTCTTCGACTTTCTCAGCCCGCCAAAGAGCTTGCCCAACGTACTCGACGATGGGACGGGCTCTGACGCCCTCGGATGCCGATCGACTGCCTCTGATACGTTCTCGCGAGACGTTTTTGAGCGCATTCTGCCCATCATAGTAGGCGGAGGCGCCATCAAGAAGCCATTGGAGCTATCCGTGCTTGCAGCTTCGAGGTCAGCTGCACGCCGCCTCGTTAGCGACGATGTGGATGAAGAGGCCGATGCCATGCGATCTCGACCTAGCTGTTTGGTTGGGATCGGTGGTGGTGGAGGATTCTCGCCGTCGTCCTCAGCCGCGCTGCTACTCGCACCTGCTGCGTTGCTACCTCTCCTCCTGCCCGATCCTCTGCTCGCCCCACCACTGCTCGCAGCTGAAGGACGTCGTGAGGACGTCCACGTGACGGGCGAGCCATGAGCGTTGTTGGCCTCCCACAATGCTGTCATCGGTGATCTCGGAGACGATGCCTCTGCTAGCGGCCGACCTGAACCGGACCGACTACGCTGAGCACCTTCTGACTCGAAGAAGGACGATGTGCCTGACTCTTGAGAGTCAGAACGACTGCTAATTGTCGCCTCCCGATCTCGATCTTGGACGGTGGCCTGTAGAGTACCGCGAAGGATCGTCTTGCGTGATGACGGCCTGGGTGACCCGCCTGGAGAGGAAGGAGGGTCGCCTAGCTGTGTACGAGATGGTCTGCGACGACTGCCCACAGTTGCTGTCGAGGATGATGATGGTCTACGTGCGCGAGAGCTGCTGACGACGGACGAGGCAGACGATGATGATGATGGCTCCTCGGAGAGGAAGGAAGCATTGCGCACTAGCGGCGGCGGCGGTGGTGCAGGAGGCTGTGCGTTTGATGTTGCCGTCTCATCTGCTGCTGATGCTGATACTGCTACTGCTGAGTCGCCGGCCATGTTAAAAGGTCTGGTGCGACGAGCTGTGCGAGCTCGATGATCCGGTGGCCGTGTGTGGCCAGATGAGAGAAATGGAGGCTCTCTACACAGGCCAGCTGAAAGGTGAGGAGGCTTGAGGGACCGCGGAGGCAGAGGCGGGACAGCGGAGCGCTTTGACCTCGGCGTCTCAGGCGCGAGATAGATTGAGCCAGCCGTGCCGCCGTCCAATGCCGACAAGGATCTGATCGCAGTGGCGGTGTTGATGGTGGGATGGCGATGAGGACGAGAACGTCTGTCTCCGCGGGATGTCTAGGAGACAAGACGTGTTATGGAGAGCAGCAACCTTGAGCGAGCCGATGAGGGTTGCAACGAGCTGCTGCTCTCCCTCGCGATTGCATTCGGGGTGCCACCCCGCGCTGAATCAAACTCCGCTGCCACATCCACGTTGAGACTAGTTATCGCAGAGCCTGCAGAGCCCGCAGAGCCCGGACCATCGAGGGCCACTGTGTCGCCGCGACCTCTTTTCATTCATTTTTCGACGACGACGATGCGCTCGGCGACGATGACGACGACGACGACAACAGCAAGCCAGACGTGATCAGCGCCTTGACCTGGTGAGAAGGCGACAAGCCTGCGGGCTTCCGCAGGCCTGCGTAAACCATCTTCCGTCTCGCAAAGCGCGGCATCATTCCCGACTGAGAGCGCCAGAGACCCGCAGCGATGAGACGTGTGAGGATCATTGCCTCATCAAAACCCTTGGGTGCCGCGATGGTTTACTACCCCTCTGAACACTCCTCAGCACCGCGTCTTGTTCCCAACACTCCCATGCGACACGATGCCGGCGGTCGTGGCCCTGACCGCCTGCGTTCGCCGCCGCCTCCACCCCCACGGACGCCGTCGAGTGCTTCCGCTCATTCTTCCGCGCTCTCACCGTGCCATCATTCCATCCTATCGCAGCAATGAGCAACAAGAACATCATCATTGTGCACGACGTCCTCGGCACACTCTTCTCTCTCACGAAGCCCACGGCTCTTGTCTCCTCCCTCTTCTCCTCGCAGCTAGGTGGCGATTCCCAACCGGCTGTACGCGCTCGGTATGCAGAGCTGGTCGTAATGGACTGGTACCACTGTGGGCAGCGCGACTTTACCAATCTCTCGCTCAACGGCAGCTATACGCCCATTGGACAGGTCTTCAAGGCGGCCATCAATCGCGTTCTGCTGATGAGTGGGCTGGTCCCGCCCGAGTTGGCTGAGAAGGAGGGTGGGCAGGTCAGCGAGGAGACGCTGCGTGAGGTAAGGGCCCGGGCAGCAAAGGGGGAGAATGTGTTTGGCGATATACCCGATCAGATGATGGCTACTCTTCCTGCGCTGGAGAGCAGGCCGGGCATGGTCGAGGCGTTCAGTAAGACGTACAGGAGCCAGGAGCTTCGCCCGAAGAGTGTGGGGCACGTCTCGCTGTGGGGAGCTACAAATGGCTCACTGGATCTAGCGGGCAAGCTCTTCAACGGTGCGCTCGGCCAGTCTGGAGTGCAGAAGCAGGAGACGCAAGCCAAGGGGGATGGATACAGCGTTTGGTCATGTGACGAGATCAAGGTGGCTAAGCCTGATCCGCGTGTGTATGAGGCGGTGAAGCGCAAGGTGCTTGTGGGGGACGGACTCAAGGCGGACGATTCGAGTCTGTGGTTCGTGGCATCCCATACCTGGGACACCGATGCGGCAAAGAGGGCTGGGTGAGTGTGCGACCGAGCAGCAGAAGGAGTGTCCAGGCTGACCATGGCCCTCATTCACACTGCAGCTTCAAGACGCTCTGGGTCAGCTACGAGGAGTTTCATCCCGTCTCAGACCTTTATCTCAAGCCGGACTTGATTGCTGGCGACTTGAACGAGGGAGCCAGGAAGATTCTCGAGTGGGAAAGCCAGAATGTCTGACGCTGCTGCAATTCGAGCACTCTGTCACGCCCATTAGGTCAAGGGTAGTAGAAGATATCTCATTGTCTTTCTATAGTCGTCGATATCTGATCGTGTCCCTATGATTTGTGGTTGTCCGATGGTATCCATGTATTCTTGGATATCTGATCGTACCTCTACACTCGTAGGTGTCTTTGGTGGAAGTATTGAGGGAGTCTACGTCCAGGAAGTAGCCTCTGAGACGCGAGAGGAGGGCTTGTATGGGCGTGTTTGGCTGCTTGTCTCTGTCTCCTCTGATCTCGCCCTCCCTTGCCCCCACCCACCAACCCCACCAACCCGCCCGCAGCTCTCTCGTTATCCCCGCCCTTTACCTCACTCTTGTCCCCGCGCTTCCCTGAGCCTACGCCTGCTCATTATGCAAAGTCACTCACTCCGCTGCCCATGAGCTCGACCCAAAGCCCGCGCTCCACACCGCTGCCCTTTGTAAAGTCGGGGAAGAGCTCCTCCTCGAGTGCAGTGCCCAGTGCGAAGGAGTGGACCATCCGACCATCCTGTGAGGCACGAGAGGAAGTCAATCAGAACGACGCCATGTGACTTGCTTCGTGCAGAAGCTCACCTTGCCCGCGCCACGAGCGACCTTCATCTCCTTCTAGCCGCATTTTCCGGAGCCTCTCTTTGGGCTCTGAACTGACCTCCCCACCGCCTCGAAGATCTCCGGCTCTCCGGTTGACAGCACGGGGCGAGGGGGGTCGATGGTGACGGCAGAGGAGTCTTTGATCTGCTCGATCATGGTCCAGATGGGGCCCATGTGAGTCGGGCCGTGATGTAGAAAGGCAGTCGCTTCCAGCTGCCCTGCCCGTTGAATGGGGCAGCCATCAGCTCAGCCCTCTGCTCCGCCAAGAGAGGTGGGCGGTCCTCGGCGCCAGACTTGGTCATACGGCCTGGAGCGCGGAAACTGCCGTCGTTCCCCCTGAGGTCCAGCCGAGCCATCACCTGCGGCCACGCGTTGTCGGCGTCGCTCCCCCACTTGTCCCAATGATCGCCCAGGCCGAGCTTCTGGTAGACATGGGACCTCTTCTCCCTCGCGTGCTTGCCGTAGGATGTCAGGATGGTGATCCTCTTCCCATCCGGCATCCTGAGCTCCTTGAGCCTGTTGGTCAGCACGAGGAGCCCCGCCGCGCCAGCTTGAGCCTCGAAGGTTGCCCAGGGCAGTAGAGGCAGGCGACCTTCCTCGTCGATCGCGGCAATGTGAGCGGCGCGTTGAAGGCGCTCTTTCTGCTCTTCTTTGCTGAGTGTCGAAAAGAGCTTGTCGGCGAGCCTCTGATATTGGGGGCTGAGGGGCCACGCCGTCTCCTGCCAATACTCCTCTTTCTCCGGATGCTGTCCCGAGCGAAGGAGGATGCTCAAACCGCCGTACAGAGCGCTGGAGGCGGGGTTTAGGCAGAGGAAGAGCTCTTTCTTGGCGTCGAGCTGCCCAGACACGAACTTTGTCACCACCGTTTGAAGGCTCGTCTGGCTCTCAAAGTGCATGTCTTTGAGAAAGCGACCAGGAACGACGCTCTCCAAGATTCGAGTGGTGACGGCGCCATTGGTGTTGACACGGAGGGCAGTCTCGTATTTGCCCTTGTCCAGGAGACCTTTGTAGATCCCTTGGAGCTGCAAAGACACACTCCGAACCTCTTGCTGAGCCCACCGTACAGAGCGCTTTCTCTCGGGCTGGGGCAGACAAAGAGGTCTTTGTTAATGTTGGGCTTGCCAACCACGAATAGAGCAGTCACCGTCTGAAGCCCAGTCTGGCTCTGTCTGCGCCTTCGACTCGAGCACGATGCGTGCACCCACCAAAAAGCTCGTAGAACTTGCGCAGGTGAGATTGCAGGCGGGAGTACATGTTGATCGATCTTCCGAGGTAGAAGAGGATCGCCTTGCCGTTGAGAAAGGCCACAAAGAGTAAAGGTCATGCCGAACCACCAGGGCTTACAGCGTGCTACCAAGCTCCTTGCCTGCCACCGTGTCTTGTTCTTGAGCTCTGCTGAGTCAACTTCGAATCGCTGGAGGATATCGAGCGCAAAGTCGATGATGGGATGCTTAATGACGACCTTCATTTTGGCCAGAAGAGCGATGCCCTCGTTGTCAAAGGGTTGGTCCGTTGTTGGCGAGGAAGCTGGCAAGGAGCGGCGAAGTACCCTCGTGAATCGAGCCTTCGGCCTTGCTAGACGAGGACAGACCTAAGGAATGAATAGCTCGTGTTTGTTGTCCGTGCTGGGGTGGTGTGCAGACGTGCGGAGAAGCAGCATTGGGTCTTGCGGGCTGGAGGCAGCACTGCCCTCGCCCTCCCTTACTCTCGTCACCGTCCGAGGCCTCCTCTCTACTACCGCGACGGCGGAAGAGAGCGTAGCAGAGGAGGAGAGTAGCTGCGTGTGCGTGCTCTCTTTTGACTGTGGAAAGAGTTGGTCATACGCTTCAGGGAGGGGGGATGTGTCGGGGGGGGGGAGGGGGGTAGACGATGCATCGATGGATGGATCGATTGGACAGTTGCTCGAGCAGGCTAGTGATGGGGTGATTAGTCTACGTGGCTCAGCCAGGCACACGCGAATCCCCCTCTCTCGGGTGCCTGGGCTGGTCGGCGGACTGGGTGGGCCCGCGAGCACGGCTTTTACCATCATCCGCCTGGTCCGCACGATCTCTTCGGAGGGGTAAGAGCAATGAGCCAGCCACACCCCGTCCAAGCGCCCTGAACTCTGCCTCGATGCCTCTCGGCAAAAGCTCCGGCTGACACCCACAACATCACCGACTGCCCTATCCGTGCCGCGCCACGCGTGCCATACGGGAGTGGGGGAGGGGAAGAAGGCGCAACGGAGGAGGGAGCATGATGGTAGCAAGGAGGAGTAAGCATGGATCACACCAAATCGTCGAATGACTATTGTAGATTGAGTGAGCAATGAGAGCACAGTCGCAACTAAGGCAAAAATTGACGTCACTCGAACCGGGAAGGCGGCGCGGAGACGCGAGCGCCGACCTACTGCTCATTGACGAAGATGGCGGCCATACCCTGTGACGAGGAGAAGAGAAGAGAAGATCAGTTACTGTACTCGTGCTTTCGATTCGTCTTCTGCTTCTCTCACCATTCCGGAACCGACGCACTGCGAGAATCGAGGGTAAAGGCGCGTCAGTGTCACGGTCGCTGCGGAAAACGCGTCCGGCTTCTCCTCACCATCGAGCTGCAGAGGATCTTACCACCCGTCCTCTTGGCAATGGCGAGTCCTGTAGCGATTTGCCTCGATCCAGTCGCACCGAGGGGATGCCCAAAGGCAATTGCACCTCCGTTAATGTTGACCTTGGCGAAGTCGATGCCCACCTGCTCGATACTGTAGACGGCCTGGGACGCAAAGGCCTCGTTGATCTCCCACAAGTCGACGTCGCCCTTGCTCAAGCCGGTCAACTCCAGCACGCGAGGGATAGCGAAGGCGGGACCAATGCCCATAACGTTGGGTGGCACACCAACCACAGCTGCCGTGACGTACTTGCCAATGATGGGAAGACCGAGCTTCTTGGCGACGGAGCGACGCGCGAGGAGGACGGCGGCGGCTCCATCCGAGACCTGCGAAGCGTTACCAGCAGTAGTGAACCCGTTCTTGTCAAAGGCAGGCTTGAGCTTGCCCAGAGACTCGGCAGTGACACCATCGCGAATGCCATCGTCCGAGTCGACCGTCTTCTCGTTGCCGTCGTCGTCGGCGTACTTGACGGGGACGATCTCCGACTTGAAGTGGCCAGCCTTCTGGGCCTTGACGGCGCGGGCGAAGGACTCAGCGGCCTGAAAGCGAGAGAAAAAGGAGCAAGGAGGTCAGCTTGCAACTTAAGGCTGAGATCCACATGTCATCGCGATGCACGCACGAAGGCGTCCTGCTTCTTGCGGTCGACCTGGTACTTCTTGGCAACATTCTCCGAGGTAATACCCATGGGCATCAGGCAGTCAGAAGCCTCCTCGTTCTCCATGACAGCGTCCGACATCTTCTCGGGCATGACACCAGCTCCCTGCAAAATGCGAAAGGTAAGAGTAGACGGGGTCAGTCTTGCGCGCTTTGGATCTTGCCCGCGGTCTGCGCGCACGCACGTAGTTCTGGGTCATCGATTCGACACCAGCACCAATACCGATGTCAATCTGGCCCATGGCAATCTCGTTGGCAATCTGGTTGACCGTAGCGAGACCGGAGGAGCACTGGCGGTTCAAGGTGTTGACGGCCGTAGACGAAGGGAAGCCGGCCCAGAGAGCGGCCATACGGGCAACGGTGGCTCCGCCGCCCGGGGGAAGGACGTTTCCGACGGCAATGTCCTGAACGAGCTTGGGGTCGATCTTGGACTGGGCAATGACGCCCTGCGCACGGCGAGGCGGGGAGAGAGGAGAGATGCGAGTCAGTAATGCTGCGAGGTTGTGGGTGGGCGCGCTGCGACTCCTCTCACCTTGAAGACAGTGCCGAGCATCTCCTCGGGGCAGCACTGGGCGAGACCACCCTTCTTGGCCTTGGTGATGGGCGTTCGAAGGGCAGAGACGATGACGACTTAAGGGTTGCGGGACGGGTGGAGAAGGAGATGTGCTGCGTAAGCTCCCACTGTCTGCGCTCAATGTTGCGCTCGATGCTCACCGTCATTGTCGTTCTTGGCAGTTATGTTCTGCTTTCCTTGGGGAATGGCGGCCATGTTGTAGTTAGATTGAGGGGGTGTTGGGTGAGTTGGTGGTGAAGAGGGGAAGGCAAGGTGAGCGCAGGCAGGCCGCGCTCAAGAGGGCGCCCACCACGCCGGCCTCCGGGCGACATGGCCCACTCACATCGTGTCCGGTGTTGAAAGGCCGGATGAGGAGGCCGCACCGCCACGTGGTCACCTTGCCCACATGGCGGGGGCGGTGCATGCAAGTCCAACAGGAGACGGCCAAAGACGCAGTCAAACAATGTCACTGGCTCGCCTCGCTCCACGCCATCACCACCCATCGCGACGACTCCTCAGCGCAATGGACTCAGTCCACCGCCTCGACTATCAAGCAGGCCAGCCCTCCGGTCCGCACCCACCTCCGCAACGCAATGGAGCTCCTCCAAGCTACTGGTCCTCAATCCGGACGCGCGTCTCGCCCTCGTCGTCGTCCTACTCGTTGCGCCCAGTCCTAATCTTCACCACTCTCATCTCCTTCCTCTACCTACTCATCATAGCCATCGCCAACTTCAAGTCGCTCAACGATCAGGACGAGACGGCTAAGCTCAAGACGTTTGACATCATCAGTGCAGCACTGTGCCTCTTTGCAGCGGCGGTGGAGGCATTTGGCTTTCTGGCCGCGGTTAAGAGCCACGTAGGCTGGGCGAGCCTGTATGCGCGGGCGTCGACCCTCGCCCTGGGGGCAGTCGTGGCGGCGGATGTAGTGGCAATCGTGGAGCAGTTCACTGCCAAGTCCGACCTCATCGGCGGGTGCACCAAGATCTATACGGGTGCCGCAACGTGCAAAGATGGACAGTCCAGTTGGTGGGGAGACTGCACGCCTGGTCAGCCTATGACGGCGGAGCAGGCAGGCAAGTATTGCGAGTCGCAGTGGAAGAAGGGGACGATCTGGGACTTTGTCTGGTGAGTTTGCGTGGTAAGTCTCTGTCGAGTGACGTGATACTGACCTGCGTTCTCTGTCCCTCTTCGCCGCGCCACCCAGGCTGGTCCTCGCTGTGGTCCTCGGCACATTCTTTGTCCTCCTCGCCTTTGCCTTTGTTCGTCAACTGCGCAACCCCGGCGGTGTTCGCGGCCGCACTGGCCCTCCCCAGCAGCCGGGCCAGCAAGGCTACTCGAACGCATTCACATATGATGACGAGAGCTCGCCCTTCGACGGCGGGAGGGGAAGATACAGCTACGAGGACGATGGGATGGGTGGACACCACGCCTACCCGCCTCCGCAGGGCCCGCCCCCCGTGGGCGTCACGAGGGGTTACGCCGGAGACGACGATGCGCCTGCGTACGAGGCTCCGCCAAGGAAGAGTATGGCGAGTGTCGATCTGGACCGTAAGGATCCGAATATCGGACAGGATTCGACGGGTGGGAACGAGTACGGCTATGGGTACAGGTATGGGGCGGAGGATGAGGAGCAACAGCGCAGACCCGGTAGCAGCCGAGGCGTTGGAGGTAATGGACCCAGGACATCGGACGAGACGCTTCGTGGTGAGGGAGAGCAGGACGGGAGGGACGGGCATGCGAAAGTGTGAGATCGAGGCGAGCAATGCCGGGGTGTATTCCGAAACTCTGATATCCTATATGTCGCCGTCTCTGATCGCACCAACTGAATGACCGCTGATCCGGTTGCGAGGCCGTCGCGCGCCCGTCACGAGCCCGTCGCTCATCGCCATGCTGGCGGGACATCTCTCCGCATCTCGTCCTCATCATAGTCAGAGGCGTCATCTTCATCGTCCTCCTCGCGCTCCTCCCTCCTAGTGTTCCACTCCCTTCGCCTCCCCGTAACCCCACCGCGAGTCAAACTTCCCACCAGTCTAACGAGCGCGTCATTCGCGGGCGTGGGCACCCCGACCTCCCTGCCCGCACCGCAGAGCCATCCATTCAAGTAGGCCATCTCTGTCCGTCTGCGAGGCACTCGTCTACCTCTACCACTGGGAGATGAGGAGGCAGAGGGCCCGCGAAGATCGCGATGCATGCTAGAGAAGTTGTGCGAGGTAGCTCGGCAGACTTGATTGACCGTTGAGAGGAGCGAGGGCGGCGTCAAGGAGGGGTGAAGGAGGGGCTGGGATGAGGCAGAGGAATCGCCAGAAAGGGGCCGCTGAATGAGGTGGGACCAATCTGCCATGCTTGGCAGGACAAGACGGCGTCTTCTTCTCTCACTTGAACGGCGGCGTGGCGGTGGTGGCGATAATGGCTCGTCCGCAGCCAAAGGCCCGGCATCTGGCTCCTCCCCCCTCTCGCGCATAGCCATAGCCAGGAACACTCTACTTGCCTCATGGCATACTTCCCACCACATCTCTGTAGCCCACTCGTCGCCCACCAGCTCGCCATTCTTGCAGTCTAGAATAGCCGTGAGCGGGTTGATGCAGGCATTGACGACGAGCTTCTGCAGGGCTCGAACTTGGTAGCTGTGCCAGTCCGGGGTGACCTGAGCCGCTAAATCGGGAATGGAGAGGAGGGTAGCCATTGTGGACAGCAGCGTGTAGTGCTGTCTTGAGCCCCCTAATGAACCGGGTAGCGGGCCAGGCTGGGTCTGCGGCTCTGACTGCTGCGACTGCCCTTCTTCCTGCGGTCCCGCCGCAAGCAACATCGTCTCCGGGGGCACGCCGAGGAAGATGTTACCCAGTCCAGCATGAACAATATGCTCCTGCCTCTTTGCCCACGCCCCGTGCGTCACATTCCCCACAAGAAAACGTGGTCTCTCCTCCTTGACCGGCCAGAAGCTCTCGGCCACCTCGTCGAGCAAGCCCATCCCATTTTGCAGTAGTACGACTGTACTAGCGGGCGTCAGGCGCGGTACCAGGGGCTGAAGAGCTTCAACGGTCAGATCTGCCTTTGTCGTAACGATCAAAGAATCGATTGCGTCTGGCCTGGCAGAATAGCCCAGGGCTTCGACTATGGAGCGGGACTCGCTCGCAGAAGCAGAGGGAGGGCCAGGCAGGCCAGCAGATGTAGGCGAGGACCTGAAGACCTGTCCGACGCCGGCCACCTCTAAGCGATAGCCATTGGCTGCTTCTGTGCTCCTCACACCGGAATGCTCAACTACCGTACCACGGAAGACTTCAGCGCGTGCTTGGTTGCGGAAGTGGAGAGTAACGCTTGAGCTGTCCGGAGAGGGGAGATATGACGACCATGCTGATGCGTGTGCTCCTGAAGAGGACTGCGAGGCTAATGAGAGTGGCAGAGGGAGGAGACCGGGCGGTTGATGAGACTGCCGCACTCGAAGGGCTCTGCGGAGGTGATGAGAGACGAGAGTGCCTATGGAGCCTAGCCCGAGGACATGGAAGCGCATCCCGCTGCGCCCGGGAGGATTGGCGGCGATGCCAAGGTTGCTGCTGATGCTATGAGACGCAGCGCTGTCGTCTATTCGAGTGCATTGAGGCGTGAAGGGGGCGGCGGGCCAGGGTGCAAGTTGGCTGTTGGCGGAGCAGTTGCGGCGGCGGGAAGGATGGACGACAATCTCGTCGTAAGTCGCTCGCTCATCGGCAAGACGGACCAACTTTTTGGCCCAACAGACTCGGCTGACCAAGCTTGCCTCCCCGTTCCGCTTCGTCTTCGTCTCGCTCAGATAGATTCGCGAGCGAGCGGGCGTGTCGGCGTCAGGGCGAAGCGGGTGGGAGAGAGCGTGACAAGGCTGTCGAGCCGGTTGAGCCAGATCTCGCGCCCGCGCCCGCGCCCATTTCATCCCGAAAGGTGCAGTGCAGCTCCGAGGCGTGCTTTGCATGATAGGAGGGAGGTGTGACCTCGTTCCTCATCTTCCTTCCTCATCATCATCCCATCACGGCGCTCACAATGACGCTCCTCACGGCGCGCTCAGCAGTAGCAATGAGGCCGCTCGTTAGGGCTCGCAGCTTGGCTGTGGCTTCCCCCTCATCCTCGCAGCTGCTGACGCGAAGGACTCTGGCAGCGACCCCGCATCGCCTCGTATCGGCCAGCAGGCGCGCCTGCACCAGCAACAGCAATGCTGCTCAGGCATCAGCATCCACCTCAACCTCTCTGGAGGCCCGTCCTGCCTTTGGAGCACCTCACGTAGCCTCATCGGTCTTTGCACCACTCGACACGTTCGAGGAGCGCCACATTGGACCACGAGCCAGCGATGTGCCAGAGATGCTACAGACGGTCGGGTACAAGACCCTCGACGAGTTCATCGCAGACGCAGTACCACCGCATATCAGGCTCGAGGAGAGCTCAGTCGACCCGCAAGTCATTCGACCGCTGGCTGAGAGCGAGCTGCTACGTAGAGGCGAGGAGATTGCTTCGATGAACCAGTGAGTGGGCTCGAGGCAAGGTGGGTAGTCTTGCATTCATCGGGGCGCTGACGCCCTCCTGTCCCATCGTCGCGCAGAGTATACAAGTCGCTCATTGGCATGGGCTATCACAACACGCTGGTCCCTCAGGTCATCCTGCGAAACGTTCTCGAGAACCCGGCTTGGTACACGAGCTACACTCCCTATCAACCCGAAATCTCTCAGGGTCGCCTCGAGTCGCTCATCAACTTCCAGACGATGGTCAAGTCACTCACTGCCCTCGACATTGCCAATGCCTCTCTCCTCGACGAGGGTACGGCAGCTGCAGAGGCCATGATCTTGGCGTACGGTCAAGCCCGCAGTAAGCGCAAGACGTTCCTCGTCGACCGTTCCGTTCTGCCTCAGACGATTGCCGTTCTCAGACAGCGCGCCAAGGGCTTTGGCATCAGCGTCGTCGTCTCTGACCTGCGCACTCAAGGCCTTCCCGCGGAGGACGACGTCAAGCGCGACGACATTATCGGCGCCCTCGTCCAATACCCAGACGTCGACGGCAGGCTGCACGACTGGGCTCCCCTCGCCAAGGATGTCAAGGAGGCAGGCGGTCTCGTTGTAGCCGCAACGGATCTCCTTGCTCTCACCATGATTAAGCCTCCCGGAGAGTGGGGAGCAGACATCGCCCTGGGCAACAGTGCCCGCTTCGGCGTACCCCCAGGGTACGGTGGGCCTCACGCAGCCTTCTTTGCCGTCTCGGACAAGCTGAAGCGCAAGATCCCTGGTCGACTTGTTGGGCTCAGCAAAGATCAACAGGGCAACGCTGCTTACCGCTTGGCGCTGCAAACGCGAGAGCAGCACATTCGACGAGAGAAGGCCACGTCCAACATCTGCACAGCGCAGGCCTTGCTTGCTAACATGAGCGCAATGTACGCCGTCTATCATGGACCACAGGGTTTGCGTCGTATCGCTGCCAAGGTGCATGCCCTGACGTGCGTGGTCAAGCACGAGGTTGAGAAGCTGGGCCTGCGAGTCATCAACAAGGATGGCGCCTTCTTCGACACGCTTACCATCGACCTGGCCAAAGCTGGGATTGGCGCCGTACGCGTTCACACCGAGGCGGCGAATGCGCGCATCAACCTGCGCCGTATCTCAGACACGCGCGTCGGCATTACGCTAGACGAGACGGTCACGATCGAAGACCTCACAAACCTCCTCAACGTCTTCTCACGCATTGTCAAGGACGGCGCTGACAGCTACAAGGCGGACGACCTCGTACGCATCGGCAACGAGCTCTCCCTCGACTCCTCGAGTCTGGACGCCCTGCGCATCGCCTCGGACTCCTTCGATCGCACCAGCTCCTACCTCACCCAGCCCGTATTCTCCTCGCATCGTTCCGAGACCCAGATGCTGCGATACATTCACTCGCTGCAAGCCAAGGACCTTTCCCTTGTCCACGCCATGATTCCCCTTGGTAGCTGCACAATGAAGCTCAACGCCACCAGTTCAATGGCCCTCCTCTCCAAAGCAGAGTATGGCGCCTTGCACCCTTTCGCCCCCGAAGAGCAAGCACGCGGCTACGATGTGCTCATCCGCGAGCTCTCCAAGGACCTCTGCACCATCACCGGCTTCCCTGCTGTGTCTCTTCAACCCAACTCTGGTGCCCAAGGCGAGTTCGCAGGCCTCTCCGTGATCCGCGCCTACCTGGACGCCAAGGGCCAAAAGAAGCGCGACGTCTGCCTCATCCCGGGCTCGGCGCATGGGACGAACCCAGCGTCGGCCATCATGGCAGGCATGAGGGTGGTAGCTATCAAGAATCAGCAGGATGGGACGCTCGACCTCGATGACCTTCGCGAAAAGGCCGAGAAGCACAGTGAGAACTTGGCAGCCTTCATGGTCACGTACCCCTCGACGTACGGTGTCTTTGAATCCGGTATCCAAGACGCCTGTGAGATCATCCACAAGCACGGCGGGCAGGTGTATATGGATGGGGCAAATCTTCAGGCGCAAGTAGGATTGACAAATCCTGCAATCATTGGCGCGGATGTTACGCACCTTAACCTGCACAAGACCTTCTCCATCCCTCACGGTGGTGGTGGACCGGGCATTGGGCCAATCTGCTGTGCGGAGCATCTCGCTCCGTACCTCCCCGGACACCCCTTGGCCTCCACGGGAGGAGAGCAGGCCATCGACCCCATCAGCGCTGCTCCCTTTGGCTCCGCCTCGATCCTTACAATCTCATGGGCGTACATCAAGCAGCTAGGCTGGTCTGGCTTGCGCCAATCAAGCGCGGTAGCCCTGCTTGCAGCAAACTACATGGCCGCCCGCCTCGCACCGCACTACAAGTTGCGCTACAAGAACGAGCGCAACCTTGTCGCGCACGAGTTTCTGCTGGACCTCGCGCCTTTCAGCGACCACGTCTCCGTCAGCGATGTAGCTAAGCGCCTGAGCGACTACGGTTTCCATGCTCCCACCTGCTCCTGGCCCATCAGCACCGGCCTGCTCGTCGAGCCCACCGAGTCCGAATCCCGTGAAGAGATGGACCGTTTCGTTGAAGCGATGATTTCCATCCGTCACGAGATCCAGGATATTGTGGACGGCAAGTCCCACGCAAAGGACAATGTCCTCAAGCGCGCCCCTCACACGGCAGCGGTGGTCAGCAGCGACGACTGGGACAGGAGCTACGCGCGCAGCCTGGCCGCGTACCCTGTCGAGGGTCTCAGGAGGAACAAGTTCTGGCCCGCAGCAGGAAGATTGGACGATGTGCATGGAGATCAGAACTTGGTCTGCGAGTGCGGAGATGTGGCGCAGTATGCTGAGCAGGAAGAGGGCAGCGCGACGAAGCGACCGTGAGGCAATGACGATGTCTCATAGGCTGCTTATGATTCTCAACCCTCGGTCTCGATCCAAAGCAAGCGCATACATGACGGACTCGCCACGGAACGGCGCGAGCCAGTACCCAGCTTTACTCCCTCGATCTTCTCTTCTCTCTCCCGTACCACCCCTTTGTAGTCACCGTAGATCACCCAGCAGCACGCTCAACGCGGCGCAATCCCCCTTTTTCCCTCTTGCTCCGTATTCTCGCACCGCCCCATCATATCATTTGTACCATCGTTTCAACACACCCAATGAAGAAGAAGAATCAACCGCACACCGTTGAAAGATATGCTACTGTACGATGCGATTGATGCAGCCAATGATGTTGGCCGCTTCCCTCCTACATCGACGCCACAGTCTCCTCCCCACGCCCGCGCTACGTTCCCGGCACACCCATAGTTGCCAACCCTTTGCTCCACTCAATGACCCTCGGATGAGCCATGACCTTCTTGGGGTCAAAGCGACAGACTTGCAGTCCCTCCAAGCTAGTCGCACGACTCAGGGCCACATAAGCCTGGCCGCGTTCGAAGACCCTGCCCAGATCGATCTTACAGCAAGGGATGGTCTGACCCTGACTCTTGTGAATGGACATGGCCCACGCGAGGATCAAGGGTAGTTGAGAGCGTTGTGCTTGGATCTCCCCGTTGGGCAGCTCGTTCTTCCACGTCTCCGTCTGGATCAGCTCCGTACGAACCCCATTGCCGTTCGGCAGAGGGAAGCGGACCAGAGGCCATTTCTGCTTGGCAGCAGTCGAGTTGGCTGCGGCGCCTTTCCTGCCTGCGCCAGCTGCGCCAGGCTCAGGAGTGCTGCGACCGCTTCCACCGCCGTTACCGCCAGGAGCACTGAGGGATGCAATTGCACCCTTTTCGGGGCTCTGCTCGCGCATGGTCCACTGCTTTTGGAGGTCGCCAAGTTGATCGAGATACTTGTCCTCGTACAGATTTGGGAGGGCTTGCTTGGCCAGACTAAACTCGTGGAGGGTCAGAAAGCCTGCGCGCAAGAGATCGGACAGAAGTGATGCTTAGTAGAGGCAAACTCGATCTCTCCACGCTCATACGCGCTGCTCACCCTTGACAACTCCCGTCGAACCATTGACCAGCGTTTCGTCCATATTCTTGATCAGCATTACTTGGGCCTCCTTCTTGAGGAAGATTTTGGGCGGCGCCATGAACTGCGAAAGGACCTTCTCGAGCTGGTCAGGGGGCAATTGACCAGTGTCGCGGGCCTCGTAGCTCTGCCCGAAGCCCTTGATCTGGATGAGTCGCTCCTTGTTCGCCTTGTCGACGTCTTCACGATGCGGGAACAGTTCGGTGGGCGTGACGTCGAGGGCTGCCTTTGGAGGGCGATTGAGGCTGCGGAAGCCTGCGGGCGCGCAAGAGAGGGTGATCAACATTGTCAGCATCTCAGTCTGAGCTTGCGCAGCTCATCGCACACTCACGCTCGACCGAGTCCTTGCTCAAGGTCCCCATGCGCATCTCATTGAGCATCCTGACGAAAGTCTGATCTTTCTGACGGAAGACCTGCGTCAAGTTGACCTTGTGAGAGAGCGCCTCGTCCCACATCTTTGCCTCGAAAGCGAAGCGCGTGCCTGTATTCTTCATGACTGGAGGCAGCTGGAAGAAGTCGCCTGTGATGATGATCTGGATACCGCCAAATGGCTTGCTGGGCGTCTTGCGCAGGGCACGAGCTACGCCATCGAGCTTGTCGAGAAGGTCGGGTTCTACCATAGAGACTGTGGGCAAAGAGACGGCGTCAGTACCCTGTCCACCTCTCGAAAGCCCTCTGGATTGGCCGCACCTACTCACCTTCGTCAATGATGAGGACTTGGGTCCTCGCCCACCTCCCCACCGCCTTTCGATTGCGGCGAATCTTGCGTACGAGCGTAGGCACATCCTCCAGTCCCAAGCCAATGCCTGCAAAGCTATGCAGCGTTACACCGCCTATGTTGCACGCCGCAATGCCCGTCGATGCAGTGACAGCGACACAGTCTTGTCTCTTCTCGTACTTTTTTTTGAGGACCTTGATGATCTCGCGGAGTAGGACTGACTTGCCCGTACCTGCCGACCCGGTGAAAAAGACGCTCTTACCCTGTTGGCAGACGAGGTCGTGGACGTAGCGCTGCTGTTGGCTCAGCATGAACATGCTTGGTACCGTGACGTCCTTCTCCTCCTTGGAGACAGTCTTTGACGAGCCACTCTCTGCCTGCTGTCGCTCGATTTCCTTGCGTTGACGCTGGGCGAGGAGCTCGGCCTTGGAGGCAGGTCTAAACTGGGGTGCAGCAAAGTCTGCCGGAAGCTGGCGAGTCTTTGCGGCTTCAGAGGTGGAAGATGCTGATGAGATACTGCGTTCTGCCATGCTGCTGCCCTTACTTGGCTTGGGAGGGGACGGAGGGGAATCCGAGTGACGAGATTCGTTGAAGCTTGGAGAGCGAGCGAGGCCACGAGACAGGCCAGAGACTCGCACGCCAGAGAGCTGTGATGATGAGGATGAATGCTGGGATGGAAAGGGCTTCTCAGAAGGGAAAGGATCAGGTTTCATGGGCTTCAGAGCGTTGGGATAGCCTGCAAGGAGTGGCGGGACATTGCGGTGAATTCAGTAACAAACCGCATATACTCAGATTGCTTGCTCACCATGCCCTCGTCGAGCGTTCCCATCGATATCGTAGAGCATCTGACGAGCAGCTCTCTGCTTTTCAGGTGGTGTCGGCTCCCAACCTTCGATATACTCGGTTTGGCTGCTACTCGTCGAGGTGCGTTCGCGGGCCCGTTCGTCGAGCTTTCTCTGAGCCTTGGTTGGCGCCACCTTGACATCATCGTCTCGCCCGTCGTCCCCAAGATCATGCGAGCTACCTGACCATGACCTCTTGAGCGCATTGAGCCCCGAGCGAGGCTGTATGCTGGCCGACATCCGTGATGATGATGATGAGGAATACACCCGGTGTTGGTTCGAAAGACAAGAGGCCGAATTCTCAACGCGTCGCGCCTGCTGCCGCCGCCTTTGGTTTGTCCGCCTCCAAGTGCAGACGGGAGCGGGTCGAGAGCGGGTCGAGTTGAGTCGAGTTGGCCCGTGTACGGCTGCATGTCCACGACGATGATCACGGCCTGCTTCCCAACCTCTTTGCTCCCACTCAGGATCCATCTCTGAGTCGCCAACTCAACCACATCGAGTGCTCCAGCCACTGGGCCTGGCATGACAGCGGCAGCGCCATCACCTTCTCCCGTCACGTCGCGCTCGTCTCCTTCGGTCCTGGCACGATGGCCTCATGACAATGCCGGGCCTACTTCTCCACCTTCCATGTCGTTGACTCCATCAAAGCGACTGCCCAGGTAAGTCCTTGAGTGCACTCTCAGCTTCGTGCCCCTCGTCGGCTAACTGTTACGATATCCCCACTCACCTAGGTCAACATCCGCAGGCCTCAGCGACCTCTCCTCTTCCTCTCCAACCAGCCCCATCGCCATCGCCTCGAGCCCCGTTGCCTCCATGACCCCCAATAGAGCATCGTCATACTTTCCGGAAGGATCAGCTACAGCAGACGGCCTTCCACTCGCTGCCTCAACAGCAGACCTCGCTGATTCCATCCAAAATCTGAGCCTGACCGAGGACACTAAGCCCGGGCCTTCTCGGTCACCTCGTCGCAGCCCTTCGCCTCTCGGCGGGACGCAGCATGGCATCGACCTTGCGCATGAGATTGCCACAGCAACTTCAGAGATTACGAGCGTCCGCAGCACGCTCTTCGAGCTCGAGGAGAAGAGGCATAGCAGCCAGCAGCCCACGAATGATGAAATGCAGTTGGCAGTCATTCGCATCGACGACCAGCTCGAGACCATCTCCCGTATCGTGCAGCAGCTACAGGTAGCCGTGCGCGCCGACGAGGAGGCCACAGGTGATACGACGGTCATCAGCCATCATGACTCAGAGGGCGGCATTGGCAGCGACAGCGATGATGACGATGACTTCGCTCTGCCGGGCGTGACACTTGGTCAACGTAGCCACAAGCAGCAGTACCAAGCACTGGCCCGCAACTGGGACGCTGTACAAGACGAGGTCGAGACATTCAAGAAGGAGCTGCGCGATGACAAGTACATGAGCCATTTCAACTCGGCCAGCACTCAGGCAGAGGGCCTGATGGACAGCCTGGAGAAGGCGGTTGCATTGGCAGCCAAGTTCGTCGAGGACCATCGCAGTGCAAAAGGCGGCCGTGATGACGAGGAGTCACACGAGATCGTGCAACGTCTAGATGCCGTCAAGAAGACGCTCAAGACGAAGCGCAACTACTACTACCCTGCCATCGAGCAGACATTCGCCGCCTTCGAGCGCAGTCTCAAAGAACGCGCCACGAGCCACGGCATGCTATTGCGCAAGTTTGCCGAGCTCAAGACGAGATGGTCAATGCTGCGACAGAAGAGCTCCAGGATGGATCGAGAGCTCAAGAGGATAGAGACAGCCATGATTGGGAGAGGCGGCGCAGATGGAGGCTTGGTGGTCTCACAGTCGAGCCCGCAGCTGTCGTCTCCTTCTACGCCGGCCAAGTCTGGGGTCAGCTCCTCAGCGCAAAGCAGGCTCACGCCTGGGCTCCCCTCAAAGAGCAGGATGCGTACGCCAGCTTTGGGTCCCAACGCGACTCCGCCTCTGTCCCCTCCAGCGCCACCTAAGCCGCTCAAGAGCACACGCCGACTGGTATCGGCGGCAGCCGCAGCGGGTACGCCACCAACAACGGGATCGCCCATGCGCAGCGGGATGACTTCAAGTCCCTCTGCCTCTTCTCTGCTCAATTTAAGACCAGCTCAAACCCCGCCAAGTCGCCACAATCGCTCAGCATCAGCCAGCGTCTCGCCCGAGCCAAGATTGCTGCGATCAGCAGAGCGCAGCCCCGGCGTGCTCAGGCAGACAGCGGGCACGACAGACCCCTCTTTTCGTTCCAGTCCATTGAGTAGGAACTCTGTTCTGCCGGACTCGCAAGCCTCGCCAGCCAAGCGGGTCTCGCACACCCTCACCTCTCGCCCTCCTTCGAGCTTCCGCTTCAGGTCGAAAGATGAAGGGCTTACCCCGCTCAACTCGATGGACAGCACCATCAGTGCCGGCAGTAGCAGCAGTACCCGCATCACACCGCAACGCGGCGTCCCTCCTCGCACGCTCAGAGCAGGCTCCGAGCCGCCTGTGGCTGCGCAAGAAGCTCGATACACTCGGCCAGCCTCAGCGCTTGGAGCATCGCCACTCGCAGAGAAACGGGCGTCGCGCGTCCTGGGCGGCGCTAGCGCTGGCGGCGGTAGCTACGAAAGCAACGGCATCGGCGATGAATCGATGGAGACCCTCTCCATGGCCAGAAGCCGGCCGGGCTCAGCTTCAGGCAACTACACTCCCGCGCACTATCGCCCGCCTTCGTCTGCTACGACGCACGTCGATCCAGACCTCAAAGCAGCAAGGAGGCAGAGTCGTATCCCGACTTTCTCATTCCCTTCGTCTGCTGGGGGTAGCGAGGTGTACGACCGACCAGGATCTTCGCTTTCGCAAGCTTCCAGCGCCGCTGGAATGGGCACGCCGCGGAGATTTGGTGGCGCGAGTCGATCGACTATGCAGACCCCTGAACCCATAATGGCGGCGAGGGTGCAGCGCTTGAGTGTGTACTCGAAGCCGTCGACGGGGGCTGCATCGACTTCGGCGGCTGGCCGCAGAGTGTCCGCTATGCCTGCTGGGGCGTCGTCCGTTGCGAGTAGACCACCAACCACGCGCTCCAATCCTCGCTCTCCCGCGTCGAGCATCCTCTCCTCGTCGACCAGTGGCAGCAGGTACAGCAGCACGAGCACTGGCACTGGCCGTACAACGCCATTGAGCGCGTCTGCCCTTGCGAAGATCCCCCATGCTCGCCCACTCAGCGTCCTAGGTGCCAGCGGCGACTCTGGCGCCACATCCACCCGCAGCATCTACGCCCAATCGGTGGGAGGCGGAGTCTCGTCCTCGGTTGCCAACTATCGAACAGCCCGCACTGCAAGCAACCGTCTCTCAGGCGTACCGCGTAGTGCATCAGGAATGACGCCCGCGGGGAGCGTGAGGGACGGCGCTGCAACCCCGACCTTCTCTGAGCGCTCCGGCCATTCATCCTTCTCCGCCATTGCGCCCAACGCGGCCGCGTACAGGCCAAATCCCAATGATGCGCTGGACGTGGCCGTCAGTACGGTCACCAATGCCCTGGGCGTGCCTCTCACCCGGTTGGACGAGCATCTCCCACGGGGAGTGAAGACGGAGACTGGGCCGGGCAAGGAGGTGAGGTGTCGCTACTCGTTTGGTGGCGGGCCAGCAGCTATGTGTAAGCTGTTGGAGCTGCATCGCGCTTCCACTTCTTTTGGGCAGAGTGGCGGCGTACAGAGGAAGGTGCTGGTCAAGGTGCCCGGGAAAGGATTCTTAGATTTGGAGCTCTGGCTGTTGAGCGCATTCGATTGACGTGGCATCGCCGGATGAGGGAGGGTGGCGCGACTGCTCAATTTTGGTACCGATACGCCCTCTACTTGAGAGCTCTGCTCCCGGTCTAGCATATGTGAGCCTCTCTCCCTTTATGTGTACTTCTACTCATTGTCACTCCCATCGCCTGAGCGTGAGCGTGAGTCAGCTTGCTACGCCTCTCACTCGATCACCCCCGCTTCAGTCTGTCATGAGCTCATCATTGTTTAGTTTCATATTCTCTGCCGTTGCTGCTGCGGTGGCGGTGGCGTCTGTGATGAGTACGATCCGGACGATGCCGCCGATGCCTGCGCAGCTGCCTGCGCCGCCTTGACGCTAGCAGGTTCCTCGTTCCCTTGGAAGCCCAGATTTTTCATCTCGTCCTTCTCCATTAGTCCTCTGCACGCGCGAAGATGGCCAGAAAGTCAGCTGCATCGCTCACACAGCCTTGCTTCAGCAGTCCTCTCTGGCGCTCACTTCTCCATCCTACACTCCAAATACCTTCTACTGAGGTGTCTACATTTCCCGTTGTCCTGACGATTCTCCTTCATGCATCGCATATACTCGGTCATGACCTGCTTGCATTCCCCCTCGTGATCAAGCGGGAAGGAGCCACGGTCCGGCGGTAAGACCGTGGACATGCTGAAGCCGGGTGGGCGACCGAAGCTCATTGTGTTCGAGGTTGGCGGTGAGGTCGTGAGGAAGTGGCGGGAAGGAGGCGGGGCCGACGATCTTGCAATGGTGGAGACGAGCGGACGGAAGCAGGAATGGGAACCACGTGGGAATGCCTTCAGCTACGGGGCTTGGCTAACTCACTCACAAGGCACGAGCGATGCGATCTTTCGCATCGATTGAATCGGTTCGTAGCTCTGTGTCTGAAGCTGGAGAACAAAGCATGACAGCTCGAATCTGGCGTGACGAGTGCATGCCTGTCCCGAGAATGAGACTTGCGCGAGAGACAAGCAGTGGGACCGATGTCTCTGACTCTCTATCAAGCTCACTCGATGGCTGTGGGTGGAGCTACCTTCTTGCGGGCATCAATCCTCAACAGAATGCCACTCGTCGCCTTTCAAGCCTTGGCAGCCGCAACGGCAGTGGATTTCCCGATTCGTGCAGCCATCTCGAGCTACGCAGCGTTACGCTCGCGTCCGCACTTCGCCCTACTGTGGAGGCTGGACACGCAAGGCGGGCAGGAAGCTTTGCTCCGGTCTGGCCTGGCCCTAACGTCACCCCTTGCCACCCCTTCTCACCACGACAAAGGCGCTAACCCACGATGTGTTGAATACCCCTGAGCGCGCATTATCGTCTTCGTCTGATCGACGCAAGCCGGCATGATCGCTGATCATCGGATAATGACGAAAAAGGCGGCGCAACCTAGGGCGTCCAATGACATACGGGGCGCCGCCTTGTCCTCTTTCTTGAATTAGGCCTGGCTTGTGCGGTCGTTGGCTATCGGTCCTGTGGTCTGGTGCCGTCTTCCAACCCCCTGCAGCTCCTAGCCCGCGAAGACCTCTGCTCCTGTGCCTCTCGGTGCGCATCGTCGTGATCATCGCCGAGAGCGAGAGGGGACTGCCTGCCCGCCGCCCCGAGCCTTGATCGGCCTCCTCTCTCAGGCCAACCCCTCACCGCCCGCGCCGCCTGGGCTGCCGCTTGCGCCAAACTCAGGTCCTGGATCTTCCCTTCCTCCCCTCCCTCTCACCCTCTTTTCCCATTGACGATCACGACGACCAACTCAACGACTCCCGTTTCGGCCCCCCTTGATCTTCTCGTGTCACATTGCTTTGAACGACTCGTAGTCATCAAACGCAAGTGAAGCAACGAGTTGTGTAGCGTCCGTGCAACGACCGTTCTCGCCGTCACCCATCGTCACGACAACCCAACACCCCTCAGCGGCCGCTCCCCCGCTTTCCTCTGGATCGCGCTCGCTCCCCTTCTTCCCCATCCCCACGTCCCTCCTGTCATCAGCTGCTCGATATCACGCAAGACTTCCGGCTTCTACTTTCGTCGACTGTACTCGCCTTGATACGTACAACTTGGCTGGTCCAATCGAACTCCATCAACTCCACTTCACAACCTCATCAACACATCGCAGCTCGCCAGCCTAATCGCCGGCGCGTTCTTCCAATCAAAAGTGAGATCACCAACAACACCACATCACATACTCTCCGTCTCCCATGAGCGTCTCGGCTTTCCCTCAAGCCGACGCCGACTTTGAGTCCTTCATCGATGAAGATGCTGTCGGAGACTCGTCATCAACGCCCTCGGAGGCTGCGACGACATCCTTCACCTCGTCTGTCGAGAGTGGTATCCACCAAACCATGTCCCTGCCCAACACCCCAAAGCTTGCTTCGGGTTTGAGCTTATCGCAGCCCATGGGATCGTCCCTCCACAACCTTAGCTTCGATTGGGAGGACGAGCAGCAGCATCGCGGATCAGGCCTCGACGCGTCCCTCGTCCCTTCGCAATCGGCTTGGCGCAAACCTCTCGACGACAGCTTCAATCTGCCTGCTCAACCTCATCACGCTGGAGCTCACCAGCGATCCATGTCATTGAGCATGCACGATGTTGCGCCTCAGTTTCTCGACGACCTTCGGGCTCAACAGCCTGCGCCCTTCTTCCCAGCTTACCCTCATCAGCCCTTCGTCAAAATGGAGCCCGATACCTACGGCCATCCTTTCCCCGCGATGAATGCGAACTTGCCTGCTGAGATGGGTCCCGCTCTTGCGCCCCCTCTAGTGCCAGCTCCTGCATCTGCACCTGATGCCATGGAGACGGACGGCACCACGCCTCCACAGGAGAAGAAGCGTAAAATCGATCCTGTGCCCAAGCCAAAGAAGGCGTCGAAGAAGAAGAGCACGGCTGCCGCCACTGCTGCTGCTGCCACCGCCGCTGCCGCTAATTCCAGTGGCCCTGTCGACGCAGCCAACAACAAGTCGGAGCCAGCTACAACCACTACCGACGGCAACAATACGGCCGAGCCTGCGCAGAAAGAAGAGGCGTCTACGGACAGCACCAGCAACGAGGCAGACACTACCGCTGCAGATGCGTCAGTCGCCTCCGCAGAGGACGGCGCAGCCCACTCCTCTGCCACCGACGGCGCTGCTTCTCCAGAGCGAGCATCATCACCCACCTCTGGTCGCAAGCCGGCTGCCAAGTCGAAGAAACCTCCTCCGTCAGCCAGTCAAGTCACCGAGTCTGGAAAGCCGTTCCCAGTCATCGACACTTCTGCGACTCACTCGAGCCTCTTCATCCCTCCTGACACATCTGGACTCACCAAGCGCGAGGCTCGACTAGTCAAGAACCGCGCCGCTGCCTTCCTCTCACGCCAGCGCAAGCGTGAGCAATTCGAGATGCTCGAGAAGCAATGCAAGAGCATCTGTCGGTTGACGTGGAAGATGTGGGAGTCGATCGCTGGAACAGAGGCTGGCGTAGACCGTATTGACGAGTCGGCCATGGCTGCTATCCTCACGGGCGAGTGCCCCGACGTGCGCGACTGCCTTGAGCAGATCATCAACAACAAGGGAGCGTCCATCGCGCCTACGGAGGAGTCCATCGCCAACGGCACGCACAGCACCCTTAGCGACAGCTCGCGCCAAAATGCCGAGTCTCGCTCCTCGCCCGCCGCCAGTACCAAGAGCGGCGGCGGTGCAGGGTCCAAGCGCGAGCGGGAGGAGGGCAACTCGACTTCAGAGCAGCAGACAACCATCGACCAGCTGCGAGCCCAGCTTCAGGCTGCCGAGCAGCGCGAGTCTGCCTTGCAGGCCGCTCTTGTTGAAGCTCGAGCCCATGTACCCCCGCCTGTGCCCTTCGGCCCAGCTCCGTACCCTGGAATGGCACCACCGCCGCACGGCATGCCCTCGTTCGGGCCTCACGAGCCGCAAGATGCTCTTTACTATCCCTGGGCGGCTCATCATCCGCAGCAGCGCATCTTTCGCGACAACAGCGGCCTCTCGCTAACCGTTGCGCCTCAGATGTCAGCAAAGGACGTCGACATGGCCTCAACTCCCACAGTGGAGCAGGGGCCGCTGACGGAGCAGGCTGCTGCTGCTGCTGCTAGCTCTGCCCCTGCCTCCATGAGAGTCAATCCCGGTCCTGCGCCGGAGAGCAGCCAATCAACATCCTCCGCATCCTCTTCGGCCGCTGTTGCCGCTCCTGCTTCAGCATCCTCGAAGAAGACGACAGGCAGCATGGCCTTGATGGCATTGCTGGCTGGCTTTGCATTGTTCGGATCGGGAGGAGTGCAATCGGCCGATGCTCCACGCATGGGCATCACAAGACTGGGGCCGATGAGCGGGTGCGTTACGGCGAGGAGGCAGAGGGGAAGGCATGCTTGAAGCAACGAATACTGATCTGACTCCTCCCCGTCTACTCTTCTCCTGCTTGCAGAGCCAGCGCATCCATCGGCTCTCTATTCGACCCCCTCGCCTCAACGTCGAGCACAAATCCCCTTGCGAACCTCTTTGGTCGTAGGCGCCGCAAGAACGCCAACGGGGAAGAGGACGAAGAGATGACAGGCATCGATGGCGGCTCTGGCGCCCCGTCCTCGCATCTCTCCGCAGACGACTTGGCTCTCAGCACCGAGCATCACCTCCACAACATCGCAGCTCAGATGATGGATGATGTCACCGATATGCTGCCTCAGTGCTCGCTCGATGACAGTGCGGCGAAGACGCCCTCTCGACACGAGGCGAAACGACCGATGCTTCGTCGCATGCAGTCGGACAGCTCGCTCATCGCGCGTCACAGGACAGGCGGTATTACATCCTGGTCCAAGGGCGGGCCTGGCTCCTCGGCCAATGTGGCTGCGGCCGCTGCTGCTGCTGCTGAGCACCTGCAGCAGGGTCTCATCCTCCTCGGGGAGGATGACAGGGGCTCCATGGACCATTCGGACTCGGACTCGGCCCCTCGCAAGCTCAAGCTCTTCCTTCGTCGTCGCGCCCTCTCGGACGTAGCTACCCAGCAAGGTGTGAACAGCATCGTGACTCGTCCCGCATCTCCCTCCGGTTCAGGGTCCAGCGACCACGATGACGACATCTTTGAGGATGCCGTAGCCGGCACGAGGACGCCGACCGACTCGACTGGCAGCGACGTTGCCGCCTCCGCTCCTCCTCAGGCTTCTGGGCGGATCGCCGCTCCTCCACCGTCGTACATGGAGCTCGAATTCAGCCTGAGCAGTAAGCGCGTAGTCAAGGACGAGCAGGAGCTGGCCAGCCTTATACAGAGAGCAGCCCAGCGTGCCGCTATTGGTGGTGGGGCCGCTTTCAGCGCATAGCCGACTAGCGCTGAGGCCAAGCGAAAAGATGGACTGCCCCACTGGACGAGATCAAAAGGTATATATAGATGAAGACAGAATTAGCACCGGCACAAAGAATCCCAACAAGAACAAGTCAAAATGAAGCGAAAGTAGGGTACATGGTGGTCGTAAGAGGTTGAAAAAGGGAGAAGGAGGAAGGCGAGGCTAATAGCGAAACAACGAAGAATGAATGTCAATCCTCAATCAGAAGAAAGCGTCACACTTGCATAGCTTAGCCCTCGTCTGACTTTTTTGCCACGTTGCCATCATCGCCATCCTCATCCCCCTGCTCAACGTTGCTTCCCTCTTGTGATTCACGCTGCGCGTGTCTGGTGGCTGAACTCGACCGGCGGCAGACATTCCTCTGGCCTGTCGAGATCCGTCTCCGCTCGCCGGCCGCGGACTCACGACGCGAGGCAAGCCGTGCGCCGCCTTCCTTCGACACCTTCTTTCACTCCAAAACAAGTCTCCGCTCATGCGGCGGCGCAGCCTCTGACTGATCCAAGCCGGCAAGCCGGACGACCCAGGACGAAGAGCTGCTTGTGATGAAGCCGTGAGGTATGCGTGGGCGGTGAGACCTGCGATGGAAGGGATTGATCGGTGATCAGCTGCTGGTCTGATGAGTGAGAGAGGGGCAGCGAGTGTTAGGAGCTACCGGCGGGTCGACGAGAAGGGACCCTGAAATGGGCGAGACTGCTTGCCCTGTCTTCATTCGGCTCCTCTCTTCTTCATCTGCTCCCTCTCCATTGCGTCTTCCCTTCTCTTGCACCTCATCCCCTGTCCTTGTCTTGCTCTTCCCTCTTCCTCATCAAGACCACCTCCTCTACCTCCATAGACCAGGCCCTCATTTCACCTCGATAACAGCAGGTGACTTCATCACGTCCTCACGACACCCACGCTCTTTTCAGCCACCCTCACTCTGTCTCTACCGTCCTCGACGTCTTCCGTCCTCTTCGTCATCATTACATCGTCTCCCCCCTCTCACTAGCCTAGGCCCCCACGTCACTCTTCGCCACCACCCTTCTTCCTCCCCACTCCTACTCGCCATGCGCTCTCTCCTCTCCTCGTCCTTTGCGACGCTCGCCTTGGTGGGCTTGCTATGCCTCACTCTCAACGCGAGCCCAGCCCGAGCAGTCTGCTCTGCCAATAACAAGTGCGGCCGTGATGCACCCTGCTGCTCGTCATCAGGCTACTGCGGCTCATCAGCAGAATACTGTCTCGCCAACTGCAGTGAGTGCACGACACCACGGGCGCGACGTAGCCGAGAGTCCCATGCTCACCTCGCTACTTCTTTCTACCGCTGTCCCCCCAATGCAGACCCCATCGGCTCCCTCTCCCCTTCCTCCTGCGCAGCAATGCCCACCTGCCAAAACACGCACATAGACTTCACCGACAATCGTAAGCATTGGGTCAACCTCAAGGGCTTCAACGGCGACGCCTCTCTCGCCCCACTCACCCTCGACTCGGGCAACATCAAGCTCACCAACGAAGGTGCCGTCATGCAGCTCACAAAGGCCAACCAAGACGTCGGCACACAACTCTCCACGACTCGCTACCTCTACTACGGCGAAGTGAGCGCCACATTCAAGCACACCAACAATGCGGGCATCGTAGGAACCATGATCCTCATGTCGCCTACACACGACGAACTCGACTATGAGTTCACGACAGCCAATCGCCACGAGGTACAGACCAATGCCTTTTACCGGGGTCAGACGTCGGACAATGATGCAAACGCAGAGACAATTCCTGCGTCTGCTATGGGCGGCAAGTCATTTACCACCTCGGACTTCCATACGTACACGATCAAGTGGTCTCCGACGACAATTCACTGGAGTGTCGACGGCAAGGTAGTCCGCACCATCGCTCGCAGCTCGCGCCGCGTAGCCAAGACGAAGAAGACGGCAGCCCACTACGCCTACCCAGCTACTCCAGCTCGCGTCCAGCTGTCAATCTGGTGTGCCGGCTGCCCGGGCAATGCGCCTGGGACTCGAGCCTGGTCTGGTGGGAAGCCAGATTGGTCAAAGGCAGAGAAGGTTGATGGAAAGCAGGCATTCACCGTCACCGTCAAGAGCCTGGATGTCAAGTGCGACACGCCGGCTAGCATTGGCAGCAGTCCGGCGATGAGCTTTGCGGGTGGCGCCTTGGACTCGGAGACGGGAGAGCCGAGGGTCGTACCTACGAAGAGAAAGACGACGATCTAGATTGGAGGGCATTGAGCAATAGAGCCACGGTGATGCGCGGTCCTGGGTTGTCGTGGTGAAGACTGCGGACTAGCACGGCATTGCTCCCTCTTTGCCACTCTTCCCTTTTCCTGGCGTGGAGTTCCTCCCCATAGATTTATCGTATCCAGTCACTGTTCGCATTGATCATGCTATCCCAATCCCATCATCAGCTGACTGAGACTCGGGAGTTCAATCTGCCTGCCTGCCTGCCAAGCCGTAGAGGTGACCCTCAGCCACGTGGTTCCTGACGACCTGGCCCCTGCACGCCTTGAGATTTCGACATTGCTCCTTTCACTCCTTGCCATCAACTTTGACTCAGCTAGCCGCGAGATCCCTTGCTGGATATCAAGGGGCATGCCAAGATAGCAGCAAAAGCAACCTCTATCTTTGCGATCCTTGCAGAGGCTCACTTGAGTGATCGTAGGGCTTGTTCCTGCATCGCAAGGATGGTCCTCCTCGAGCTCTCAGCGCAGACGCGCTCTCTCCTCCTCAATGCTCAAGATGGTCCGGGGCCTTCATCACTACCAGACGTCGTAGATCACAGCGTCCTCGTCTCTGCGCTCTCTAGTATTGACAAGTCCTCCACAAGTAGCTCGCGAACCGCATCCCTCGACTCCCTCCTCCGAGGCTGCAAGCTACACCACGCACCTCCGCGCACCTCCTCCTACGTTCGTCCTCCAGAGCTGGACGCTCGTCTTGCCCAAATCAGGCGCCAGAACGAAGAAGAAGAGTATCGTCGCATGCTCAGCGGCGAGTCTACCAGCCACAATAGCATTCATTCCTCTAAAGCCGGCCTCTTCAACGAGTCCGACGACTGGCGGGAGACCTCCTCTCACCTGTCTGCCCTTCTCAACATCCTCTTCTCCTGCGTAGGCGTCGTCTGCGCATTATGGTTCTGCTGCGCACAGATTGGTACGGCGGTGGAAGTGAAAGTGCTACTTTGCATGCTCAGCGGGACAGTAGTTGTGGCGGCGGAGGCGTGGCTGTATGCTAGGCATTTTGAGAGGGTAAAGAGAAAGGAGGAGGAAAGGCGACGGGCAAGCTATCACGCTGCGAAGTTCAAATAATGAGATTTGATGTCATTGAAGGCACGAGCTCAGAGCAATCTTGCCAACCTTAGACGACGCCTAGCGTCACCACACATCGGAACCCTTCACTAGCCTCGCTTCTCCCACCCGCCAATCGTCCTCCCTCCAGCTCCCAGATCCCCATCAAGGAGCTACTCTTCCATCCCCAGCTTTGCGACTCGCTGAACCTATCCGGTCCTGAGTCGAATCGCGTGAGCGAGTTGCCCAAGGGGCTATGACAGTGGATGGAGAAGTAGACGCGGACCATCTTTCGCGGGTCACGATAGGGAATCGGTGGGGAGACGCCAGGCAAGACTGGAGGGCCTACCAGGTGAGCGCTTATCCCGCTGTTGGGCAGGGTGCCGTGTGGTTGGGGTTGAGAGGAATGCCAGGCTGCTGCGCCGTGTGCTGCGCCACCGTGCTGCTGCTGTGACGAAGTCGTTGCTGTGCGCGTTGAGCTGGCCCGTCGCCGTGGCCCGCCGGGCAGGAAGCTGTTGCTTGGATTGCTCGTAGCTGGTGACGAAGCCGACGTTGACGTTTCTTGCCTGCCCTGTCCAGATAGGCCACCATGATGATGGAAGAGGGCCACTTCGTCGGGATGAGCACTCGCAGGTGGTAAGGGCTCGAGTGGGCTCTGCCTGTGCAGGTAGACGCCAAGCTGCGTGCCCCGAGGCTTGCGGGCCGTCTGCACATAGAGGTTCCATACGCTGCCCGCGTAAAAGAAAGAGGGGGAGTAAAGACGTTGCTTCTCCTCGAGGAGATCGAGTCCATAGTACTCTACGCCGACGCGCATAGGCTCGTATCCAGTCCAGTGGCGTCGCTCCAGTCGCGTGAGGAGGAAGCCGCCGTGACTCGGACTGCCACTACTCCCTATACCGCTACCATCAGCGCCACCTTCGATGGCAGCGTCATTGAGCGACTTTGTTGGAGCAGTCGAAGCCTTGTCGACCTCATCCTCATCCTCATCATCCCCCTCATCATCGCCGCGCTTCTCTGCCGCACGACGTAGCCCTACCTCTGCCGCGACACGACCTAATGCTCGACCCTTGCAGAGCTTGTTGCGGAGCCCGTACAGGTTAGGGCGATTCCGCTTTGTATCCGAGAAGGGGCCGCCGACGAGTATGGAGCCTAATTGAGCGAGAAAAGAGTCATTGGCGCCGTGTGAGGATCCCGTGGCTGCTACTGCTGAGGCCGCTGCGCCGCTAGACGTCGTCGGCGTGGTAGTTGCGAGGGCCAGCGGATCACGCATGGCTGCTAGACCAGTCGCCTCGTGGGAATGTTGGTCCACGAGCAGGGGCGGCTGAGTTGCATTGCTTCCCACAGCATTTTGTTGCTGCTGAGCGGCCGCGGCCGCAGCTGCTGCTCCCGTCAGCAAGCCGGCAAAGAATTCACCGTACCTAATTGTGTCGTCGACGGGAACGGAGAAGTAGCGCTTTGAGAGTAGGGAAGAGGACGATGAGGACGTAGAGGTGCCACCAAGCGGTGACGAGGAGGTCAGACCGCCGAGCGATGACGGCGCACGATAACGATGGATTTGAGCCGCGCTGCCGCTGCGAGAGGGAGTGGCTAAGGGACTGCTTGGCGTTCCAGCTCGACTGAAGCCAGCTCCGCGACGTCGCTCCCCTTGATGCTTGAGGGCCATAGCAAAGTGGCGCAGCGGGCTCGAGATGCCTAGCAGCGACTCATCGACATCCGCTCCTGCTGCGCTTGCGGCGCCTGTAGACCTGGCAATCGCTGCTCCGCCGCCAGCACCGCTGGCTCCTCCTGCGATCGCGGTGGTACCCGCGGCCGTGTCGAGGCTGCTGCCCTCGGCCGTGTATGCCAGGCCGCGACGGATGCTGTCTGGACTCAAAGGGGGCTGCGTAGCGCCAAGAGCTGGGTCATGAACATTTGAGCTCGAGAGGATATGGTTCTTGAGCTCATTCCCTGCCCATAGTGCAGCTTGCAGCGTCTCAAGTGGCGCTGCTGGTGGGATGCTGCGTGTTCTCCTCCTGCGCTTGGCTCCTGTACTTTGTCGTCGTGACGAGGATGAGAAGCCAGAGACGTAATTGCCGACATTGTGCCGATCCTCTCCGTCACCTCCTACGCTGTCGTCGTCATCCTCATCTTCATCGCTCGCAGCAGAAGCGGCTGCTGCTGCTTCTTGACTGATTCGCTTGAGATCGCCGAAACTCAGGTGTGAGTAGTAGATGCCCTCACGGAACAGACGGGTGTAGTGTCCGTCGTCCTCGTCTACTTCCTGGACATCGATATCGGCTGTAGACTCGTCGAGGTCCATTGTCTGCTCGCGACCGTGTGCGCGTCCCTGACGACTTGGCGTCGACGGCGTGCTCTTCGCACCGGCCGTGGCACTCGTGCCTCTCTGCCTGGCTCGCGTCATTGGCGGCGATGGGTGCAGCGAAGATTGCGAGGCGCAACTGGTGTAGCTCTCTTGCTCGTCGTCCATCCCTCCCGCAAAGCTCTGCCTTCTCGTGGCCAGAATGGCGGCCGCTGCAGACCGTTGAGCCCTCCTCATGGCTACCACGTCCTTGGCAATCTCATATCGCTCCAACTCCGAGCGAGCAAAGAAGGCGTCGGATCCCAGCAGGTCTACGAGGTGCGACGACGTCATACCGAGGGATGAGCTGGACCCAAAGTCAATCAGCTCATCTTGCTGAGCTTGAAGGGTGTGAGCCGCAACGCCTGCTAGTTCGTCATCGCTGTCGCCGTCAAAGACGTACGCTGACTGCCTGCTGCGTCCGCTTCCGCTGAGTGGGTAGTCTTCATCCTCACGCAGTACTGCAGCGCGGTGCGACAGGCTTGGGTGTGAGAAGACACACAGCGGTGGTGCAGGAATGTCCCATTCCATCGTTGCTGCGGGCAAGACTTCTGAGCTCTGCGAGTCTGGCGCGGCTGTGACGCTAATCTGAGACGGCAGCTGACCTCTTGGCAGGCAAAAGGGCGCAGTCGCCTCGCATACGAGCCTCTCTTGCTGCGGCCGTTGCTGTTGCTGCTGGGCGCGCCTGAGCAGATCATCGAGCCTAGCCTCGTCGTGGATCCATTTGTCCTGCTCCTCGGCGGCAATCTCGCCTCCCCAACGCGAGAGGTAGCAGAAACATGCCTCGCCGATACGATGCGAGAGTGGGCCGTAGTCGAAAGCCGGGGTGGCTGACAAGGCTGCGCTCAATCCCGAGGGTCCTGATGGCATGGCCGATGCCCCTGCGTCTGCGCTACCTGCCATGGCTGGGTTGCTCGTATCCTGTTGCTGCTTGGCTCGACGCAAAGGAGAGATGCTGCGAGCCTTGCTGTCCTCTCCCTCCTCGTCGTCTTCATCGTTGCTGCTTTCCCGCTTGATGTTGGTATCGAATGCCATGCCCCTCGTACGCTCGCTCACGAATTGCACATCTGCATCCTCTTCGTCTTCGAGTTCCTCAAGATCCTCCTCGCCTGTCCATCTTCCAATACCGTCGAGTCCCCAGCAAGGGCCCTCGAGCTCCCAGTCCCATGTTTCCTCTTCTCTTTGAGTTCCGGCTCCAACAATTGGCTGGCCAAGGGCAAAGCGCAGATACGTCGAGATGGTGTACGGCGTGAAGGACGACTGGACGAGAGTAAGCGTTGATGAAGTGAGCGAGGGGATTCCCAGATAGATACTGGTAGCCAGGAGTGAGATCAGAAAGCGAGGAGTAGCTGGCATCTTTCCGCCGGAAGAGATCGAGCTCGAAGGTACCGAGCTCGTCGTTGTATCGAGTGCGAAGGTGGGAGGCCATGTCGACGACAGCGGGTGAGTTGGAGTCGGCCGAGCCCACACTGGAAGAATGAGGTCAGGATGAGCGCCGTAGAGGAGGGCGATGGAGTACTCAAAAGCCGGTCGAGTGATGTTGGGATCATCAAAGGTGAGATGCAGCACGTTGGCTGCTGCTTGCGACCCGTCACTCGACTCTGCGCCGTCGAGGTCTGCGTGTGCTGCGTTGCTCTTGCTGGGTGCTCGATACTTGGCTCCTTCTGAGAAGCCACCTTGAAGCAGCGACGAGAAAAATGACGACTGGACGAGGAAGATGCGATGCAGCCGGTAGCGACGGTTGAAGGCTACGATGGTCACATCGTAGCATGTAGCCGCTACGAGGGCCGAGTGTTGGACATGAGCTGCGAGCACTTGAGCTGGTAGCGACGGCAGCATGGAGCTCATCGTCGTCATCGCTGGCGCTACCGCCTTATCTCGTCACTGCGAGGGAGATGCGGTAATGAGACGATGTAACACGGTCGCAGTGACGGTCAGGAGGAACAGAAGCGGTCCGCTTCATCGCCTTGCACCACTTCGAGGCTCCACCCCTGCCTGGCCTTGCTTTCGGGCAATGTCCATCTGCGCCTGCACCTCGCATCCGCCTCCCGCCTCCCGCTCGGTCCATTTCGAGACGTGAGAGATCGAACTCCGCGCCCAGCAGCAACTCCACACTCGTCGCCGCTCTCGCTCTCCTCCAGATGAAACGTCAAGGTCGCAGTGGAATGATTTGCTACATGCAGGATGCATTGCGACATACGAATTGTGACGACACGAATACTGATACATGTTCCCGCTAATGTGGAAATGTTGAGCTGAGCTCATGGCCCATGGACCACTACGCCTGAAGAGGCGTTCTCGCTAGTAGGCCTGCGACCCAATGGCCCACAGCCCTGCAGACTCTACGGCCAGTCTGCCCGCTACAGGCCATACGCTCGACATCATGGTCAGGGCCGCAGGCGTCTCTGCCAGTTTTGTCTTGGCCTCGCCTGCTGAAGGCGACATGTTGAAGCCTGAGGTACCATCGTCTCGACGCCCGTCACCGCCATCGCCACCGATGCCTGCTCCCGGCCCTTTCCCTGCGTGACCATCCTCGCCTTCAGTCTCGTAAATCCTTCTGTCTCTTACCGTCTCCGATGCGCCGGTGTCCCAGACTCGCCTATCTCTCACGGTCGATTGACCGAGAGAGGCTGCTGCGGCTGCAGCCCCGGCGTGCATCGTGATGAAAGCAAGCAATCCAAAGGCGCCGACAACGCGCACGCTACAGTAGAGAGGATTGTACCCGACGGAACCGACGAGAGGTGGTTGTGCCTGGCTCGACTGCTCTTCGCCGACTCTGACAATCTCGCTCGCAGCTTGAACCATGCAGACTAGGGCTTGAGCTTGAGCAAAATGCGTCATACCTCCGTCGATGCGCTCGTTAGTTGGCTGGAGAGAGCTTGAGTGAATGCCATAGTCGAGTGACGAGAAGAGTGTGGCACGGACCATATGGATGCGGGCGCTATTGGAAGGACACGGAGGCAAATGAGGCCGTTAGACAATCGTCTCGACACTTAATGGAGCGAGGTAGAAACTCACGCATTGACCATGTACACGGCTGAGTGCACCATCTCGATGGACCTGTCCGAGGCCGCCGTCTGTCTGCGGATCGCTATCTGACCGTCGAGATCGTTGCTGATTCCAAAGAGGTTGTAAAGACGATCTTTGGCCGAATGTGACGGGCCAATGGTTTGCACTGATTCCAGCAGGAGCGACGCTGAGCGCATGCGTAGCTCGTAGCCGGCCCTAGAGTCAGCGTGTTTCTCATCGCCTTCGGTCGGGAAATTGACAGAGAGATAAAGGCCTCTCCTGACAAAGCATCTTCCTGGGTCGCCGGACGTGGCCACGCAGAGAAGAACATCCGTGATGCACAGCTGCGGTCGTGAATGCAGGCGAGATAAAGATGAAGGTCAGCACGACTCACTTGGGCTGATGCCATCGTCACTGCTCGCTAAGCGCGGTGCTGCTCACTTCCCAAAAGGTCCTTCTCAACTCCTCGGGGACTCTTCCTTGTGGTTGATTGCCGGGAGCGTCAAGGAGATTGATACGGAGCACCTCAATGATGTTCAAGGCCCTTTCCATGATTGACCTTGCACGTTGGATGTCGCCCAGGCCGTATTCGAGCATAGAGCCCAGAAGAAGCGTTTGCAGAGCAAAGACGACGTTCTGCGGTGAGTTGGCCGTAGCCTCAAGCGGATCTTCGTCGATGTCCTGGCGTGAGCATTGATAGAGGTCATTCCAGATGGCGGCCCTCATTGATGTTTCAGACTCTGCTCTCATTGATGCTGGCGGCCCTCCGCCGGAACCATCGTCGCGTAGGCGGAGACCCACGACAGCGAGGGTGCGACCTAGACAGAGGACACGTCTAGCTTCGGAGGGCAGAGCTGTCATCGAAGGCGTAGTGGCGATGGTGGTTGAAAACTTGTCCAGAAGAGTCTCGATCGTGTCACGAGAGGATGGAAGGAAGGCGAGACAACATCGCAGTCCGAGAGCAAAGTAGGCCTGGATACCATCTCGGATTGGGCTACCGGGCCGAACGTTGAAGCGGGAAATAGGTCGATGGCTTGTGTTCAGTATTGGGTGAAGTGCCGGTGTGGGCGCCGATGGAGGTGAAAACAGCTGGCTCAGTCCTAGACCTAATGCCGCTGGCGTGACGGGCGCAGACCGCGTCGCTGCACCTGGAGAACTGAAGTAATCTGAAGTAGCAGAGGAAGCTCCGGCCACTGGTGTGGGTGCTGGTATAGAGAGAGGTGCCAGCGGCCTGGCTGGGCTGATGACAGAAGATGAGGATGTTGTTGATGTAGAGCCAGGCATGCTTGCACTCGATTCCTTGCGTGGCCTGCCTAGCTTTGCCTTTGGCTGCCATACGCAAGGCAGTGACTGAGCTGCGCATCTTGAGCAGGGCTGCTCGCTGACGACTGCTTCTCGACTAGCACCGCCTGGAGGGGCGTACAAGACAACGGGTGGAGCAACACCATCGCACTTGTGCTTGGCATCGCGACAAGGCACGCAGGCCATGTGTGTACGATGAGCGGCGGCATGCTTCCGTCGTATTGAAGACGTCGAGGGTCCGATGAGCGAATTGCCCGGCGTCGATGACGAAGAGGTCATCCACGGCGGCGACCTAAGCCAGTGACACTGAGGCCTGCAGCGACAGCAGCGGCGGCAGGAGCCGGACCAGCAGTAGAGCCGGCGAGGCGGAGGCGTCTTTGACGCTGGCGTTCGCAGCGGCAGTGGTTGTGATGATGACGGGCGAGGTCACTCCAGCTCTACCGAGAACGAGGAGGACGATGTAGGAGAGAGGGTAGAAAGTGAGGAGGAAGAGGAGGAGGGAGAGCTGGTAGCAGGGTGACGAATGATGCCCAAATGTCGAGAAAGAAGTAGATGGAAGGCATTAAAGGCGATTGGGGTCGTCCCATTCATCCACTCTGGTCTCTCATCTCGTCTCGAACGCTGGATGGCGCGGTGTCAAGCGTCGTCGGATCGACCGGCCCATTTTCCCATGTCGACGAAACCGAGGCCTTCTCGTGATTTTCATTCAGTCACGATGCTGTGCAACAGACGCTGCTACCGCTGCGCTCTGAGCTCTGAGGGTGTTGAGCTCGCCCTTGTTTAATGAATCCCCGCCTTCATTGATCGTTTGGCAGGCAAACAGAGCCAGGACCCCAGATGGAGAGCGACCATCATGACGGGAGAGCGTGGACTTTCCCCAAGTGAGATGGAGAGGCTAGCAGCAGCGCCTCGGCCAGCCCGATGGGCGCTCACAAGGTTGCGCTTGGGGAGAGCGAGGTCCCCTTTGACAGGCGGAGACTGCAGCAGCAGCAGCGTGCGGCGGCGGCGGCGGCGGCGGCGGCGGCGGCGGAGCTATCGACGACAACAAGAGCAAGCATCGGCGAGCATCGACCGACATGAATGAGATCTCGCCCCGGAAAATCCAGTGGCGCGTGCCGCTATCTCTTCTATCGCCCTTGATGTGCCTGACCCACTTCTACGCTACCGTTGTCGCTCTCTTGCACCATTGAACCCGAGGGAGGAGAGCAATGCTTGAGCACACTGTCCAAGCTCTCTCGGGACGTCTCGTCTCGCCTCGCTGGGCCTCGCCTCGCCTTTGGCCGCTCGCAAAGTCACACTCTCCCACACTCCTCCTCTCCGACGCGCTGCCGCCGAGTATTCATCATCCGTCGTCGCTGAAGAGATTCAAGCACAGCACGCAGTGGTATGCATCGGGCCATCTGCCCATCTGCCTTTTCAGCTTGCCGTGATGTGAGCTTACATAGCTGGTGCATGAACGCCTGTTAGATGGTCTCTCCTCCGGTCTCATACAGAGACGAGACAGCAGATAGGACAGTGGGACGCCCAATTTGAGGTCGCGACTTGGTACCCTTTGCTCACTGAGCGCATTCCGCGCCCAGCCGTCCAACTCTTAAATCCGAAGCGTCCTCGACACCGCTCGATGAGTCGGCTGAGGGCCATCGACTCGGTTTTCTGAGCAGCATCTAGCGTAGCTAGAGGCAAAAGGTAGAGACCACAATAATGACGAGCTTCTCCGCATCGTCACCTTCTGCGACAATCGCAGCGCCGCCACCGCCACCGCTACCGCGGACCCCGCGGGCAAGTACGGGAGCAAGTATCTGCGTGCTGCCAACTATCCATGAGTTGATCGACCTGTCTGAGTCCAGATACCATGTCGCACAAACGGAGAGGAGGCATGGGAACATCTCTGTTTGTCTCGACTTCTCATACTGGCCCCCCCTGCGTCTGGATATGTCCACTGAGCATCGATCACGCTGAAGATAGTTGCTGTCGCATACTGCTCCCACACCCCGTAGCCGCAGACAGAGAGAGTGGGCCGCACAGTCAGTCGAGAAGCTTTATCACGCCATCGCTGGCGCAGATGGAGAGCAACTTGTAGCTGAAGTATCGATGAAAAGGCCCGGTGACGATGGCAACTGCCACGCTTGCGAGAGCCTATGCTCGCGCTGCCCTGACTCTGACGGCGACGCTGGGGCGGATGACGCGGCAGAGAGGCGACGTCTCCCATGTGCCGAGATTGGCAGCCCGGCTTTGACAGGACGACGATCTCACATAGAGACGCAGCGGCGCGCCACTAGACTACAACCCCTTGCTCTGGTACAGGCGGTGGGGAGAAAGGTCTACTCGTTGCGATTCTAAAGGCTGATCTCCAAGCCGAGGCCGTAGCATGCCATGCCGCGGCGCCCGGGTCCCCGCTTTGCTATGCCGCGCTCCACGCTCCCAGGAAGTGAAGCCCCCGCCCACGACGACGATGATGCTTTACTCCCACACTCGATGCGTCCTGTCCCCTCTCGTTCTACCACACGCCCCGCGGCCCTTTTCTGAGATACGACGCTGGTGCGCCCTTGCTGTACGCCGAACCGCCGCAACCATTTCTGACGATCCGATACTCCGAGATGACGAGACGGCGCATTCCCTCCTCCTTCTTCCCTATCTGTGAAAGGAGCCGGCCCCCCCACCTAGTGGCCTGCTCGTGCGCTCGCTCGCCGCTCGCCTCGTGCCAGGACTTTCAGCCATCCATACGCCCTCGCCCTCGTTCTCATCGTCCTCCTCGTCACGATCATACACCGGGCTCTCAAACAGCTAACTTGGCCACCAGATCCTTCTCTGCCCTCTCTACAGCAGCTGTGAAGTCCCTCGCCTCCTTCCAGCAATCCAGAGTCTTCCCCTGATTCTTCTTGTAGCACTCCTCGACCTTCTGCCTCGTCTCCTTGACCAGCGGCGAGGACTGCTCGACGAGCTTGCGGCCCTCATCGTGACGCTCGATGCGTTTGCGGACGGAGGCGAGCTCTGCTTCCAGAGAAGAGCTAGTGCGACTACTTCCTGGCTTCAATGCTGAGCTGGAAGAGCCTGTCTTGCCTTCGATGGCGAGGTTCTCCTCCTCAAGTTTGCGGCGAATCTCCTCTTGAACGGCAGCCTCTTGCTTGCGCAGGCGGGAGAGCTCTGAGCTGATCTGAGAGCGGACGGACGAGTCGAGCTTGGACTGGCGAGTGGCCGGGAGAAGGTCGGAGAGAGGCGAGGACGTTGAGGATGATGATGATGATGATGAAGGCACGGAAGTAGACGATGCGGCTTGCTTAGAGTCTTGCTTACCATCCCCACCTACAGCTCCACCCGTTGCGTCGCTGATCTTGTTGAGCATCGACTGGCTGAGCTGCGATGCCAAAAGGGAGTTGATTGTGGGTCAGTAAACCGTGCCTCCCGCAGGCACCCCCTAGCCACACGCAATCTACCCACGCTGATCTTCTCTTGCTGAGCAGCAGGGGCAGACGCCTCCGGCTTTGACGCTTGTGCTCCCATGACGAGGCCAAATGTATGAATTCGGATGGAGGTGGTGTTGAGAAGGTCTGTCGCTCGCTGCTGCATCGCTCCGTTGCCCGTCCAACCACTGCCTCGCTCCTCGTCGCCGTGCCAGTCCGATGTCCAGGCAGGCGGACGAGTCGGAACGGGCTGGGCAACTGGAGGGTCGGCGACTGTGCAGCCGGCCGGCGAAAGCAACTTCGAAGCCAGATTACAGATTTGCAATCCTTCCCCTTGACTCCTCGAAGCTCTCGTTAGCGATGAGAGGATCATCAGCAGCGCTCGGTCGTCTGCTTCTCCACTCGCAGCCATCAACATCAAGGACAACCCTCGCGCGGGCCGCCACTTCAGCATCATCGCCACTGCTGCCCAAGGCGATCCCAAGGCAGCAGGGAGCACCGCGCCCTGTATGCCCGCCAATGCCGTCAGCATCGTCGTCTCGTCGCATGCTTCACTCGTCAGCGCCTGCGGCTCACGGAGGCATTCATCGACCGGACAAGGGAACGGGGATCAAGGTCACCTTTCGTGACTCAAAGGGAGCGGACATCAAGACGGTAGAAGCTAATGAAGGGGACGACCTGCTGAGCGTGGCGCACGAGTACGACGTGGATCTGGAAGGTGAGTAGAGCAGCCATGTGAGGCAAGAACGGGCAGAACGATGAGAGCTGACCATTGATTTACGTTTCTCCTGCTCGCAACAGGTGCCTGCGAAGGGAGCATCGCCTGCTCGACTTGCCACGTAATCCTCGAGCCAGACGTCTATGACTCACTCGAGGAGCCCGGAGATGATGAGAACGATATGCTCGACTTGGCCTTTGGCCTCACTGATACCTCGAGACTGGGATGTCAGATCAAGCTGACCAAGGAGATGGACGGAATGGTTGCGTCACTGCCGAGCGCGACGAGGAACATGAGCTTCAAGAAGGAGTAGACGAGACGACGCCGGCAATGTGGCCTGGCTTGTATGAATACAAAATTGCAGCTGCGATACGAAGAGAGGGGACAATTGGTGCGATATGCGAGTGGATGGAATGAGGGTCCTTGCGCTCCTGGGAGTCGTCTTGCTCACTTGCCGTAGCGCTGCTCCGCCCTCTGGAACTGCGACAACGCTTCTGCAAATATGCTGAGCTCCTTTGATCTTCCTGGTCTGTATTCGTCCTCAGTTCGGTGAAAGAGCTCCGTTAGCCTCAGGTCCCAGCGAGGGTATTGGCTGCCCAGGGAGAGGCGAGAGGTCCAGTGGCCGCCGAGGACAAGGAGGAGGTCCGGCTCAGTGGCTGCCAGTGAGAAAAGGGACGGCGAGGAGCAGGATCCTTGTGACCGCCGTAGCTTCGCGTCCAGCTTTGCTGGGGAGATGGGGCCATCTATGCACTTGGAGAGGGAGGCGAATGCTTGCCGCCCGTGTGTTGCCGGGGTGAGGATGTGGACCGAGGGTGAGGAGCGCTCGCTCTCATCTTTGTATGCTGTGTCTACGCTGTCTTCCTGCCACAGCCCATCCTCGTCCCATATAGAGACGTCCGCGACGCCCACAAGCCCTGCTAGCTGGACAAAGGCGCGGAGCGCTCTCTTCCTGTTAACCATATCGAAGTGCGAAGATGATCTCGCATGTAGCGTAATGGCGATATGCTTGGGTAGATTCACGCCGCTACGAGCCAGTTGCACGAGGTCCTCCTCGGTATACTCGAGCGATCGTCGCCAGGTGCGCACTCTCCGCCAAAGAGCAGCGAAGCGCACGTACGAGGCAAAGGCGAGGTGAATCAGAACGAAGGCGAGGAAGGACAAGGGTGTGAGGAGCCTCGCCGCCAGTGAAGGTTGCGCACCTGGCAATCCGCTCGGCTTTGCTTTCGAGCGTCGCCGATGACGATGACGGCCATGGCCACGATGGCCTTGTGGCATGCTACGGCGGGCGAGCGCTTGGTCGTTGGGGCGGCAAAGAGGGAGAAGAAAGAGTTCTCAAGACGCACGTCGCAGCTCCGCCTCGAGATTCAGTCCAAGATTGGCTCCACGCAGGCGCGCAGGCACGCACGCAGTCGAGTCGAGTCGAGGCCAACCAACACGCGACTGTCAGGCTGGCCCGTTCACACCTTCTTGTACTCCTTCCATCGATCCGATCAATTGGTGGCTGCAACTCGCCCCTCGACGATAGACTATGCGCGACGATGATGATGCTGAGGCCGAAGAGGAGTTCACCTTCTCGACTCAGCTCAGAAAGGGTGAGGATAAGCAGACGTGCACCGAGTGACCAGATGCACGTGAGCTCACTGTCGTCATGACCACTACCCATCTCCCGCCCACGCAGGCTCGCAAGCAGCCGATTATCCTCCGCAAGCCCAAAAGTCGCCCTCCCCATCAGTCCTCTATGCTCATCTCGACATCGCTTCTACATTGACTCAGCTCTCACCATCGCAAGCATCTCCCATAGACCCGCAAGTCGGACTGCCATCCGCCTCGGTTTCCCTCATTCGAAATGGGTTGCCCTGGACAACGATTGCTCATGGTCAAGCAGTAAGAGGGTACAACGAATTCGCAGCTAGCGAGCCTCCGAGCGCTCTATCCAAGCTCATAGACCAGCTCAAGGAGCCGCTTATCCTCCTGCTGCTCGGTAGCGCTGTGGTCAGTCTGTTGCTGGGCGAGGTGGGAGACGCTGTGTCGATTGTCCTTGCCGTCGCAATCGTCGTAGCAGGTGAGCGCCAATAAGCGTTTGAACGCACTTTTCAATCGTCGTTGCTAACTTCCTTCTGCCTGGTCATACGCAGTGGCTCACATTCAAGAGCAAAGATCCTCAGAGTCATTAGCAGCCCTCAGCAAGCTTGTACCACATTACTGCCACCTCGTCCGAGACGGCGTCACATCTCACGTCTTAGCCAACGAGCTGGTGCCGGGAGACATCGTAACCTTTTCAACAGGTGATCGAGTACCCGCCGACGTCCGCATCATCGAGTCCGTCCAGCTCGAGACGGACGAGAGCCCTCTAACGGGAGAGATCAAGCCCAGACGCAAAACGACAGACGCCCTTGGACCCTCGACCTCCATCTCTGAACGCGACAATACGGCTTTCATGGGAACACTGGTCAAGTCAGGTTCCGGACGAGGTGTCGTAGTTGCTACAGGTCCACAGACAGAATTTGGCGCCATCTTCGCCATGGTGGACGAGGTGGTCGAGCAACGTACGCCGCTGCAGCTGAGCATGGACGACCTGGCAAAGAAGCTCAGCATGGCTAGTTTTGCCATCATCGGCGTCATTTGCTTGCTGGGTCTTTGGCAAAGGAGAGGTGCGCTGGAGATGTTTACCATCGGCGTATCTCTCGCTGTTGCGGCCATTCCTGAGGGCTTGCCCATCGTTGTCACCGTCACTCTGGCGCTGGGCGTGCTGCGCATGTCGCATCGCAAGGCCATTGTCAAACGACTGCCTTCAGTTGAGACACTAGGCTCCATCTCCGTCATCTGCTCGGACAAGACGGGCACCTTGACGACGAACAAGATGACCGTCTGCGAGCTCTGGACACTAGAGGACGGCAAGATCGATGCCAAGGAGCTGCCCGACTCCCCCTCGCCTTCCCTCGCTCGTACACTCCTCGTTGGCAATCTCTGCAACAACGCGCGTCGAGATGAGAAGGGCGAATACGTGGGCCAAGCAACAGACGTAGCAATGGCCAGCGTGGTAAGGCACGATGCGCGCGGCTCTTTTACACGGACGGCCGAAATGCCCTTCAGCTCAGAGACAAAGTGGATGTCAGTCACTGGTACCCTGACCGTCCCGCCTTCAGCAGCCAACATTGGGCAAGGCAGCACGACTTACACAAAGGGAGCAGTTGAGGCCGTCTTAGAACGAGCGCCTCATGCTCAAACTGCTGAGATTCGCCGTGCAGCAGATGAGATGGCCAAGCGAGGGCTACGTGTTCTGGCCTGCGCCGTAGGTACCACCTTCTGTGGATTGCAAGCCGTACAAGATCCTCCTCGCCAGGGCGTCAGAGAATCAATAGCAGAGCTTCGTCGCTCCGGTATCCAGATCATCATGATCACAGGCGACGCCGAGCCCACCGCAAACGCTATAGCGCGTCAAGTAGGCATTGACGGAGGTGCATCCATGCTTGGCTCGCAGATTGACTCGATGTCAGAGCGCCAGCTCCAAGAGAGCATCGACCGTGTCTCCGTCTTCGCTCGCACCACCCCGCGCCACAAGATGAGCATCGTCCGCGCTCTCCAGTCGAACGGGCACGTAGTCGCCATGACAGGAGACGGAGTCAATGATGCGCCTGCCCTCAAGCTAGCAGACATCGGCATTGCCCTCGGCCGCGGGGGCAGTGACGTGGCCAAAGAGGCAAGCGACGTCATCCTCGTAGACGACAACTTTGCCACAATCCTTCCAGCAGTAGAAGAGGGCAAGGGCATCTTCTACAACATTCAGAACTTCCTAGCATTCCAGCTCTCAACGGCAGTGGCGGCACTGAGTCTCATCACTCTGTCAACGGCGGCGGGGCTCAAGCTTCCCTTGAACCCTATGCAGATCCTCTTCATCAACATTCTAATGGATGGGCCTCCATCACAATCGCTCGGAGTGGATCCAGTGGACAGGGCGGTGGTGATGCGTCGCAGGCCGAGGAGAAAGGATGCGCCCGTACTCACACGCAGGGTGTTGATGCGCGTGCTGTTCTCGGCGACAATCATCGTCCTCGGCACGCTCTACATCTACGTCGCGGAGCTTACGGACGACGGCTTCGCGGACGAACGCGATCAGACTATGACTTTCACCGCCTTCGTCTTCCTCGACCTCACTTCCGCTGTGCAGAATCGTGGGCTTACCACCACCCTCACGGGGAACAGAATGCTTACTCTTACTGTAAGCGTCAGCTTGGTCAGTCAGCTGCTGCTTGTGTACTTCCCACCACTGCAGGGGGTATTCAAGACTACGAGTCTGGGGCTTGGGGATCTGACTTTGCTAGTGGTCATCGCCGGCTTGGGCTTCGCGGCGCATGAAGGACGAAGGAGGTGGGAGAGGCAGAGGGCAGACGAGGAGGATGGCCAGGATGCGGCTGATGGCTGGGGCGGGCTCGCAGTAGCCTAGAGCGACGCGGCTAGACCTGACAAGACGTGACGTGACGTTAGAATGCGGTGCAGTGAGAGGCTTATATCGCGGAGCAGGGAAATACAGGCAAGCCTTAGGCATAGTCGTCGTAGAGGATCGGAAATAATCGCTGCGTTGTTGTAATGGTGTCCAACAATCCAGAGCCTACCGCCTAGCGTCCATCCATCTCTCGTGCGCTTAGAGGCTCTCCATCTGGAGGACGACCTCGTCGAGCTCCTTCTTAGAGGCGATGTACTTCTGCTCTGCCTCCTCGTACTTCTTTTCCCACCCGTCACGCTCCTGCTCCACACGCGCGACTTGGCGCTCGAAGTGCTCGGCCTTGACGTCCACTTGGCGCAGCCTGTGGTAGGAGGGACGTAGGTACAGGGAGGTACGGCGTCAGCTTATCGACTCGGCCTTCGGAAAGCTCCGCTCAAGGATCTCGCGATACTCACTTCTCCGTTGTCTCCCTCAGGTTCTTCTCTGCAGTGTCCAGCTCCTCCTCCAGAAGCGCAATCTTCCTCGACAGGTTGTCAGCAGTGTCTCGGCTGGATTGGTGTTCCTCTGAGGCGTTCTTGTGCTCGTGAAGCTTGGCCTCGGACTTCTCGAGGTCGCCCTCTGCGATCTGGAGCTTGTGCTGGAGTGATGCGTTCTCCTGCTCCTTTTGGAGGAGCTCGTGCTCCAGGCGCTTGTTGTTCGCCTCGGCTGCTTCAGCTCGCTCGATTGCGGCGTCGGCTTCAACGCGAAGGGAGTTGAGTTTCTGTGAGGGTGTTGGACGAAGAGGTGACAGTGATCAGCTGGTGATCAGCTGGCTGTGCTGCATAGTCGTGTACGACAAGGGCAACGTTGGCTATCAATGTTCCTGATAGGTGGTGATGCCACCAGCATCGGTGTCGTCGCGCCACCCTTGCTATTACCGCCACTTGCTCGCGCTCGCAACACCTACCTCCTTGATACGGTCCTGTCAACGTCGAGCGGAGGGCGAATTGAACAGGGGTTAGTCTGAGCCAATGCAGCCTAACTACCTCTCTCATCGTGCACGCACCATGATTGAGTCAGCTACGTGATATGTCGAGTCGTCGAGGAGAGTGTCGTGTAGCGGGTGGCGAGCCCTTTGATGATAGCAGTCGTTAAGTCGTCTGTGATGTTGAGGATGGTCGAGTCGAGAGATGCAAGGCCCATCGAGGCGCGCTTGGGCCGAGTCGAGGACTCGACCCACGCCAGCCAGTCGACTGAGCGGCCGTGCTTTACGTCTCGTCTTGCTCGGCCCAACACGCAACACCAGCCACGCGATTCCATCGAGGCGGGGCGGGGCGTCTGACGGGCGTCCTGGTTTCAGACCGGAGCGGAAAGACGGGGAGCGGACGGACGGCCAGACAATGGCAAGGCAAGGCAAGGCACGGCGGGGATGATGGGAGTGGAGCGTGTTGAGAGCGAGTAAGTGAGAGCAGCTTGTGAGGTCGACCACTTGCCCTCAGTACCACTCCATTCCCCCCTCGCAATGGACATCTGGAACGGGACATGGTCGCCGCATTCCGAGCATCACGAGAGCAGTGGTAGCTATGGCGATGGGAAGGAGGAAGAGTCACAGCCCGAGGCAGGACCTTCAAACTACCATGAGCGGACCTCGTCTCTCTCTTCGGCGGATCACACGACTCCGCCCCTCGATGATGCAGAGGGTCCAAAGCCTGTCAGCCGCAGGCAAAGCCACGAGAACAGCTTGCAGAGGATACGACCTCCCACCAGCCGAGGACTGGGCTCATTCAGCAACAACAACATCGACAGGCACGGCAAGCTCAAGGCCACGGAACCACCGATAGACACAAGGGAAGGGAAACGGCCGGAGGAACAGCAATTGAAGGAGGCGGAGACTGAAGAAGAGGAAGAGAAAGTCTGCAGGATATGCCGGTGTGGTCCAGAAGAAGATCAGCCCCTCTTTCATCCCTGCAAGTGTACAGGCTCGATCCGCTACACCCACCAAGATTGGTGAGTCGCCGCTGTCCACCGCCACCGGCCTCTCATTTCCTTATCTGACCTCCTCCCTGACCTGCTCATGCGCAGCCTCAAGGATTGGCTGTCACACTCTCGCAAAGACAAATGCGAGTTATGTGACCACCCATTCACTTTCCACAAGATCTACTCGGAAGACATGCCCTACCATGTGCCGCGCCGCATACAGGCAGCCTTCATGACAAAGAAGGCGGGTCAGGTCGCCCTGCTCGTGGCACGCTGTTTCGTCGTCGTAGCCATCTGGCTCGCATTTGTACCCTGGGCGCACATCAATTTCTTCAGAGCAGCATTCTGGACGACTGATCTTCTCATCACCGCGGCAGGAGGAGGGTCATCGACGTGGACCAACGTGACGAGCGCCGTAATGTCCGCCAGCAATCCACTCTCGTTCTCAGCGCCCGCAGCACCTAGCCCAACCGCTCTACCTCCACCACCATCACTCGGCGCACCCGGCCTCGCTCTCACAGTTTCGGGTCAAGCTCTCATTGGCGGCGTCATCTCCTTTGGCCTCTATGCCACCCCTTGGGCAGGGCTCGGAGGCGGCATCTCGCTGCTACTCGACTGGGCTCTCAGAGCAGAGACGGCCAGCCTGATCCACGACATCTTCCTCGGGCAGGTCCTGACATGCATCATCATCGTCCTCGTCCTGTCGGCGTGGTTCACGCGGGAATGGATCGTCATGCAGATGCCGGCGCAAATACCAGAGCCTGAGCCCGAGCAGGAGAGGCCAGCGCAGGCTCCAGCAGCAAATCACGAAAGACTGCAGCGCCTTCGAGACGAACTGCAGCGTGCTCGCGCGAACCTCGAGGAGGTGCAGAGGATGCGCACAGAATTGGACGAGGTAGGGAACGCAGAGAATCCTAACCTCGCCATTCTGCGGATGGGCGAGCGCGAGGCGGAGCGGGGATGGGACGCAAATCCACTGGGAGAGGAGCCAGACGTCGTGCGACTACGACAAGCGAGACTGGCTGCTTTTCTCGGGCCTGACGGGCGCGCCAATCGGGAACGGCAGCCCGTTCGAGAGGCAGATGGTATCGATACCGAGACTGGACAGCATGCGGAGCCTGTCATTCCCCCTCCCCCACCAACGGATATACCCTGGGATGACCTGCTCGCTCAAGCGACAGCAGATGACGCTTACCGCAATCAGCGCATGGATGTCATGAACCAAGCTATGGACTTCGATGCAGAAGATCATTGGGACGATCCTCCTCCCCCTCCTCCCGTCAATGAGCATGAGCTCCTCCTCGCCGGCCCCAACCCTGCCGATGTCCATCAAGCACTCGCTGCGGTCCAAGGTCAAGCACAAGCAGCAGCTCCTGCCGCACCACCAAATGGCAACGCTGCTGCTGGACCCGCCCCCGATGCAGCTGCTGCTGCCGCCGCCGAAGCAGAAGCAATCGCCGCTGCAGCAGATGCGGCGGACCTCGAAGGTGAGATGGAGGGCATGCTCGAGGCCATTGGCTTCCGTGGTGACCCGGTCCATCTCCTGGCAAACGTCTCCATCGTCATGGCCCTTTGCACCTTCTGCATCGTCGTCGGGGTGGCAATGCCCTACTTCCTGGGGCGCGTCTTTGGCCTGGGCAAAGGTTTCATCGATGTGGTCACTGCGCCCGTCAGGCTCATACGTTTCGTTACGGATCCAGTCTTTGATGCTGCGATCAACGTAGTCATAGGAAAGGGGGTCACTAGAGCAGGTACGCGGCAGAGCGCAGCAGTGACATCGGCGCTTCAAGCCTGGGAAGGATTCCTCGCGCTAGTTCGGACCTCACCCGCTTCAACCACTGCGCCCCACGCCACGCCTACGCCTTTCTCATCAGCCACCAGCGCCTTTGTTGACCGGATTCGCGCCCTGCCAGTCGAAGTGATCCAACCAATCGAGGAACGTCTCGTCTCCACAGACGGCTCAGTCGGACATCGCTCCCTCTGCGTCGGGCTCGGCCACTTCTGGTGGATTGCCCTCCTCGCCCTTCGTCTCATCGGGGAAGACGTCATGCGTCGCCATCAGCCATCCTCGCAACGCCCATCTTGGTGGCTCCGAGATGGCGTCACTCAAGTCCTGATAGTGATCAAGGTACTCATCTTCCTCGCCATCGAGATCGTCGTCTTCCCGATCGGATGCGCCCTCGTGCTTGATCTCTGCACGCTTCCCCTCCGCGGCGTCACGCTACACTCCGCCCTGCTCGCCCCTTTAAACCACCCATTCAGCTTCACCTTCATACGCTGGGCGATAGGCACCCTCTGGATGTTCAGGTTCGGCCTGTATATGAGCCACGTCCGCTCCTTTGTGAGACCGGGGGTATTGAGCTGGATACGCGATCCGGAAGATCCGGAGTTCCAGCCTATCAAGGAGATTCTCGAGCGCAAGGGCTGGCAGCAGCTCCGCAAGATTGGCACGTCGGGGATCATGTATGGGTGCCTGATCCTGGCGCTCGTGGGGTGGAATGTCCAGCTCGCTTGGTGGGCCTGGGGCGAGCGAGTCCTGCCCTTGAGGTTTCCGCACCATTCTTGGGCGCCGTATGACTTGATGTGCATCTTGCTCTTGGTGCCGGCTGGCAACCCGGAGAATTTAGAGGATGCAGCCGCTTGGGCATCGCGTAAGTGGTGGCGAGCGGCAGGGGATGCGCTGCGACTCAGCGGCTACCTCTTCGGCGACGAGGATGATGGCGCCGGTGCGGCCGCTGCAGGCGACACCTTCCTCGCTCGCATCCCAGCAAGCGACAACTCCGTGCCTGGTTCCCCACTGCTCATCCGTATCGATGAGGCAACAGGGGAGCCAATCAGTGAACGTGGCAAGGAGGCCCTGCGCGAACAAGAGGCTCGTATCGAATCCATGCCGGAGCCCAAGGCCAAGTATGTGACCATGCGTCTCCCCACGCATTTCGGGCGAAGAGTCTATGGCTTGCTCTTTCTCAACTGGCTCACGTTCTCCATCGTGGTGCACGCCTTGCTTGGTGCGTTGGTGCTGGGCAGGCGAATCATCAATGAGGGGCAGCATGATGGCTACGCCCTCGCTGTAGGCTGCACATTTCTCTGCCTCCCCTTCGTCGGGGCTCGCTGGGCTTACAAGGGGATTGCGGCAGTCAGACGACGAGGTCAGACTCACGTCGCACGTCTCCGAATCGCACGTCGCTTTCTTCGGCGCTCCTTCGCCGCCGTCTGGCTCACATTGGCTCTTGGCGTCTTCACACCCTCACTCCTTGGAATCGTCCTCGACCAAGTCATCGTGTCACCTCTCCGCCCTCAAAGCACACTCGACAAAAATCAGACGTGCCTTCCTTTTGCGTGGGCCATGGGTCTCCTGGCTCAGGAGCTCTTCGTGTACGGCGTCGCCGACTATCTACCTGCCAATCGACAGGCGCAAGCCGTTCAAGAGCTGCGCCGACGTGGTTGGAAGAGGATACGGGCTTGGCCTGCTACGCGCGACCTTGTCTTGCCCATTGTGGTGGCGAGCCTTGCTGCGATCGTGTTGCCACTGCTGATCGTGGCGAACATCACTGGCAAGGGTGCCTCGCGAGAAAGGGAGATAGAGGCACTCCAGCTCGGTCGACTGGTGGTGCTCGCGGCGGTATTGGCTTGGCTGGTGATGAGGCTCATGGCCATGCATCTTGATCGATTCGATCGGGAGTTGAGGGATGAGGTGTATCTCAAGGCTAGCGAGTTGCGGAATTTCGAGGACGCAGCCGACCAGCAGAGCGCTAACGGAGCGGATCGTGCGCAGCAGGATGAGGAGGCGGAGCAGCAGGACGAGACGCTCGAACTCGATGGGAGCTCGGATGACGGGCAGGTAGCGGTCGAGGGGCGTGTGGAGGAAGTCGCGTTCTAAGCAGGACCCTGAAGCTCAGTCTTCTCAGTGTAGCGGTGCTATGCGACTTGGTCATCATTCATCTATTTGCTTCTATGCTTGCCCGATACTACCTTAATTTTCGCTGTCTGCCTGCTTGCTTCCTATTCTTTCCTTCATCCCTGCCCATCGGCTGAAGACCTCAAGCTACTCTATTGATCCACGTCAGCCCATCGCGGACGGGCAGCAAGGTGACCTCGCATCGATCATCCTTTGCAACGATGTCGTTGAAGCGGACGAGGGCCTCAGCGTTGTCCTCCGCGATGCCATCCACCGAGCCGTAGAGGTCCTTGCGGTCTGACTGCTTTGAGAGGAGCGGGGCGCCCTCTGATCGAGCGACGAAGAAGTCAGTACAGACGCAACATGGCCGCTACTGCAGCAGTAGGCAATTATACTCACTGTAGAGCGTGTTGTCCACCAAGAAGACACCGCCCTTCCTCAGCAGGCCCCCATCCATAATCTGCTTAAAGTACCCCTCGTACCCCGTCTTATCCGCATCAATGAAGACCAAGTCGAATGGCTCCTCGCCGCGCTTTGTCAATTCATCCAACGACTGCTTTGCTGGCCCCGTGACCAGTTCGAACTTGTCGGCGCACCCCGCTCTCTCAAAGTGTGGCTTCACAAAGTCCCCCAACCAAGCGTCCAGTTCCAAAGCTACAATCTTTCCGCCTTCTTTAGCAGGCGGCAGTCGCTCAACCACAGCAAGAGTAGTCGTACCGGTGAACATGCCTACTTCCAGTACCCTCTTAGCGCCAATGGACCTGGCGACGTGAGCGACAAAGTTTCCCTCGTATGCTCCAGCCGACCAGCCTGCCGCCATGGGGAACGTCGTCTTGCCCTCCTTGTGACGCGCTGTCCAGTCTTCCTCGAGGGTGGCTTTGAGGAGGGAAGAGAGGGCTGGCGAAGCGGGTGAAGAGTGGGTGTCGAGGTAAGGGTCGAGGGACGTCAGGATGGAGAGGGCGAGCTGGAGCTGTTTGAGGGCTGAAGGGTCTGTCGATTGGCCCTGCTGCAGCTTGGAGAGGGCCGACGAGACTAGCTTGCTGGCCGAAAGGAGAGGTGTCTCGGCGGGGATGTCGACGTGTCCTGACATGCTTGCAGATGGATGATTGAGTGGATGGAGTTTGGATGGGAGAGACGGAAAGAAGGCAGAGCTGGCCGTCCTCGAGAAGCTTTGATGCGCAGGAAGAACTCAACAACCGACAGGCAACGGACAACGGCGAGGCCGAGAATGCAGGGTCTAATGCGAGCTTACGAGCACGGACCAGCGCCACGTGGTCTGAAGGCGCCCCCCCCCCGAGCTCTGAGAGCAACAGGGCAAGAAGCCGCCACGGTGTTGCGAGCAGTGGCGCGAGGTACCATCTCTTCGAGACGAGAATCACTTCGGGTGCGATTTATGGCATTCAATGAAAGAAGGTACTGAGGATGCTTGCCGCTTGCCTCCCCGGCGACCGGCCTGCTTCGTCTCGGCGATTGCACGCCGCCCGTAAGGCGCGGAGTTGAGCAAGACCCTTACCCCGTACCCCGCATTTCGAACGCGTCGATTCAGATTGAGCTTCCATCGACTCGTCTCAGACCAAGACAGAAGCCCACAGTGTCGCTCAATCGTCGTCAAGAATGGTTTCGAGGGATGGGAAAGGCTCACCACAGAGTCCAAAAACCGTCCTCGCTGAGGAGGAAAGCGCTGCGTCCAATGTGCAGCTACGCCCTCATGCTACAGACAAGCTGGGCGCATCTGCGGTCCACGTCAGCCGTCCTTCCGCCTACGTCACATCTGCGACATATGCCTCCGCAGGGCTAGCGAACATGATATCAGCGACCTCCACAAATCCGTTCGACGTCGTCAAGCTGCGCCAACAGCTCTTGCTCGAGAAGGAGAGGGCCAATTTCCTCAGCGTGGCAAGGGGTATGCTGGGTACCGAGGGAGTCAAAGGGTTGTGGGCAGGGGTGACGGCTGCTTGTTTGCGGGAGGGTAAGATCGCGTCTCCCAAGTATTGCGACTACTTTCTGTCTCACCGACTGACTGACCCTTTCGTACCCACGCGCCAATCAGCCACGTATGGCACGATCCGGATGGGCGGGTACGAGCCCTTCAAGCGCCTCTACACGTCAACATTGCACCTGCCCGAGTCCTCCTTCGCCCTCAAGCTCCTCGCTGGCGTCTCCTCGGGAACAATTGGCTGCCTCCTGTCAAGCCCCACAGATCTAATGAAAGTACGCATGCAAGCCGTCCGTGATCCGGCCATGGGGCATGCCCCACCCTACCGCAGTACGTTGAGGGGATTCGTACAGGTGTACAGGGAGGAAGGTGGCATTAAGGGGCTGTGGCGCGGTGTGGGGCCGAATGTGGCTAGGGCGGGAATATTGACTGCTAGCCAGGTGGGAACGTATGATCAGACAAAGTGGTGGCTGAAGGGGCACTTGGGCTGGGGGGAGGGAGGAAGATTGCATGTTGCTGCGAGCATGGTTGCGGTCAGTAGCGCGCGTAGGGCATTGACATACTCTCGTGACACTTACACCATCCTCTTACTGATCGCGTAGGGCCTCGTATGCTCCCTAGCCTCAAGCCCAGTAGACGTAATCAAGGTCCGCGTAATGAACGTTGCGGCCGACTCTGCCTCGCACGAATCAGCCCTTACCCTCCTCAACAGCCTCCTCCGAACGGAAGGTCCCTTGGCGTTATGGAAAGGCTTCGGGATGTGCTGGGCAAGGCTGGGAACACATACGACCATCTCACTGGTCCTCTTTGAGTACTTCCGCGGGTTGCTCGGAATAAAGCCATTATGATTAGATGCATGGACAACGGTGAAATGGGCGCAAGGAGCCCGACAGATTTAAACAGCTGGCCCGCTTGAGTGACTCTTGATCCTAACTTCGGCAGCTTTATGCCTTCTTTGCCCTGCCTCGCCCTCCCCCGCGCCCGCGTCCACGGCCCCTGCCTCTGCCGCGGCTTGCGACGTGCTCATCATCGCCGTCATCGTCGTCTCCGTCATCACTGGCCTTTCTCTTGACGCCGCTGGCAGCGCCTCTCCCACGTCCCCTGCCACGTCCGCGTCCACGCCCACGTCCACTCGCGGCAGGCTCCCCCTCCTCATCTGATTCTTGACCCCGATCAGCGCTCCCGTTGCTGGCGCCACCACTCGCGACATCCTCCGCCTCTTTGATGCAGCGCGGGCAGAACCATTCTCCGTCTGGTACGGCCTCAAGCGGAGGCGTGAGACAGCCGAGATGCCAGGCGTCCTCGCACTTGTCGCACTCGAGAAGGGAGTCGGCTTTGCTTGGGTCGTCTTTCGAGCAGCCCATGCAGACCTCCGAGGAGGAGTCGACTGCGAATGGGAAACGGGGCAAGTCCGAATAGACTGATCCTGATGGGCGGGCGAGGACTGTGGGCGATTGAGGGGCAGCTGGTGGTTAGCATTGTATGATCTCCTCAGGTCGCGCCGCTCTCTTCGCTCACAAAAGGTGGTGTTCTGTCCTGCGGCAACATCGATCAACCCCACACCGTCCAACGTCTCACATCTGATGGGCAGCGTAGCGCTCCTCGGCTTGCCCTCTCCAAGGCCAAGTTCCCCATTTCCAGCACTCTGCCCCCACGCGACATTCATCGTCGCCTCCTTCCCATGCAGGCCAGGATCCGTCTCGTCCGCAATAGCGAACAAGGTCACCCCACCCAGAGCGGCTTTGCGGACTTTGCAGCCCATCAGCGACTGCATGTACCGGAAGGAGGTCCATCCCTGTCCTGATCCACCATCACCACTCGTCTTCCATTTGCCTGCGAGGTAGTAGGTCGCTGAATTGTCGATGACCACTGTACTGGTCGGACCAGCCACAATGTCCGCTGCACGGGAGGCCACATTCTCCCTTGCAAAATGCGGCACCAAAGCAGGGGCATAGCGATCCTGTGCGTCTCCTAGCCCCAAACGGCCATACCCTGCGAATCCCCACACGTAGCAGAAGCCGTCCTTGTCGAGGCAAATGGAGTGCTGCTGTCCACATGAGATAGCCACAATGTGCTTCTCGCCCAGCCCACCGGCTTTGACTTGTGTGGGGGTAGACTCTTCAGCGAAAGCCATACGATTACCGCTGACAAAGTGTTCTCCGGTGCGCCCGTTGCCTAGCTGACCCTTCTCCATTGAACCGCACGCGTAGACTTTGCCAGAGGCGGTGAGGAAGAGGCTGAAAGTCAACCCTGCCGCAACCTGGATCACAGGGTCGGATCCTTTAGACCATGGTGCCCCTTCGATGCGCGTGAAGATCTGTGTGTCGCCTGAGCGAGGCAGGGCGATCTGTGAGTTGGCGTTTGACCCTGAAGCGTAGACTTGACCGGAGCGAGTGACGAGGAGCGTGTGCGAGCGTGAGCATGCGGCGTGGATTATGTCGCCTTTGGGGGAGGAGTCGAGGGCGGGAAGGAAGTTGCGCGAACGGGAAAGGTGGGTGGGACTGTCTACTGAGATGCCGCCTTGCTGGCCTTCGAGCGGGGAGATGGGTAGGCCTGCAGGCGCGCGGGCAAGAGGTGATGTCGTACGACGTGAGAATGGACAATAGGGATTGGTGATCAAGCGCGGTACTGACCGCATTGCCCCTTCTCATTGCGCCCGTAGACGAATGCGTCGCCCTGCACCGTGACAAAGACGGCGTGGCATGCGCTGTGTCCCGAGAAGATCTTGGTGAATTGAAAGTTGGCAACTTCTCGGAGGATGTGAGGCATTGGGAGATCAGGTGAGGCTCTGTGCGGCGTCAATATTGGCAAAGAAGCAAGTCAGCTGGAGGAACTGATTGACCGCAGCTCCAATGCTCTTGATTGCTGGGGAGGGTACTCACGGCTGCTCTCCCGCTCCCTTCTTCCTCCCAAGATTAGGCCAGTCTGTCCCTCCAGCAATCAAGACTGTGAGCGGGAAGTGGCATGACAGTCTTGATCAACGACCATCGCATCGGCATTGGCCTCTCACGGAGCATTGCTGCCTTGGTCCTACTCACTTCGACCCCACTGGCTCCCCCCCGCTCCGGCAGCATCGGCATCGACGGCCATTATAGTGTTGTTCTCGTTGACGTAGATTCTGACGCCGAATGCTTCGTGTTGCCTTCAATCCTGGCGCTGTCACCAATTTCGGAAATCGTCTGCGGCTGCAAAGACCCTTCGCACGAGTCGCGTAGCAGAGACGTTTCTTGCGCGGCGCTAAGGGTCCGTACCACTTAGAGCAACCTTCACGTCGCGTCCACAACAGACTTTCTCGTGGGCCGTCGGTCGTCAGCTGGGGAAAGGTCTGCGAGTCGCGTCGGCCTTTGCGCTTTGGTGCGGCTCTCGTGGAGGTCTTCGCGATGTCGCGTGACTGGTGTGCGAGAGCGCTTTGCTTTGCAGCTGGAACGAGCGGCTTTTTGGACGACGACAAGATGAGTCTGTTGATCGTAGCGCGGATTGGATGGCAGGGTCGAATGAGTCGAGGCGCGATGTCGTCCGTCCACTCCGTCTCGCGCATCGAGACGGACCAAACCCGTCGCATGGCCGGGTGGATTGGGCGGGGGACCAGCCGCGAGCCGCGAGGTGAGTCGGACGACAGCCCCTCCCCCCCGCACCTATGATACTTCATTTCGAGCGTCGAAGCCCCCGTCTCACAACGACTTCAGAATCAGTCCACAATCAATGTCCATTCATTCTCGCAAGCTGTGCTTGTGCTCATGTACAAGGGATAGATCGCTGGTCCGTACTCCCCCGTTCCAGCTGATGGCCTACCGCACGAATCACTTCTTCCCCTTCTTTTTGTTCTTCTTCTTAGCGCTGCTGCCGTTACCACCACTGGCGCCAGCGACACCACTGCTTGGCCTGCCTGTCTCAGTCGCGGTACCACTCGTGCCCTGCGGCTGCTGTCCAGCTACGCCGCCCGATGAAGATGGTCGCGATCCTGGGCTCGGCAAGTCTCCTGCGCTAGCCACCAGGCTTCCCTCTCTTGATCTCCCACCGCTGCTACTCGTCGTACGTCTCATCAACGAGGCGATACGGGTGCGCATCTTGCCTCCACCCGCAGCGCCAGAAGACGAGGTGGTCGAAGGCGCAATTGAAGCGGCGTCTCCGGCGGCGACGCCGCTGCTCGTGCGCGGACGAGAGGGAGGCGCAGTACCCGACGTGCTGGTGGAGACAGCTGGCGCATCCACACCGAATGCCAGTCGATCGTTGCTTTCGAGCTCCTTCTCCTCTTGCTTCTGCGCCTTGACCTCATCCACTACTGCGGGCATCGCCTCTGCCTCAGTCTCCTGTGCGGCCTCGACTGCCGCTGGCGGAGGTGGTAGTGCAGGGGTGGACGTCGGCGAGACCGCGTTCGCCATCGCGTCGGAGTCGAGTTGCGAAGGCGAGACGACGCCTAGCATGCCGGGAGCGGGAGGTGACGAGGTTGCCGCAGTGTCATTATCCTCGTCTCCCTCGGCTGCTGACGCTTGTGCGGCTGCGTTTGCCTCGACCGGAGCCTTGGCCTTGCCGTTGTTCGCAGTATCTTCGCTGCCCTTCAACTCCTCAGTATCAGCCTTCTTCGCCTCCTCCCCAGCATGCTCGTTCTCGCGCTCCTTGTCCGCCCTCTCCCTATCCGTCTCGACCTGCGCCGCCCACATAGCGGCGTATCTGCCCCCCACCACGGCCACCAACTCCTCATGCGTTCCGCTCTCCACTACCCCGCCAGCCGAAAGCACGATGATCTGATCCGAATTGACAATCGTACTCAACCGATGCGCAATGGTCAGACTGGTCTTGCCCTCCATGAGCGTCTGCAATGCCACCTGGAGATGACGCTCCGTCTGCGAGTCCAAGGCGCTGGTCGCTTCATCGAGAAGCAAGATGGGCGGGGCCTTTAGGAAGGTACGGGCGATGGCGACCCGCTGTTTCTCGCCACCCGAGAGACGCACACCGCGCTCACCGACTACAGTGTCCATTCCTTCGGGGAAGGCTTGAATCTTATCCAGGATCTGGGCGGCGGCTGCAGCAGCCTCGACTTCCTCGTCCGTCGCAGGCGGCTCCGTACGACCGTATCCAATGTTGGTGCGGATCGAAGTGTTCAGCAGTCCCGCTTCCTGTGGCACGACTCCAATGGCTTTGCGCAGGCTAGCTTGCGTGACTGTTCGAATATCCTGTCCGTCTATCAGGATCTGGCCCGAGGAGGGATCGTAGAAGCGATACAGGAGCTTGAGGACTGAGGATTTTCCAGCGCCGCTCTCACCAACGAGGGCAACGCGTGATTTGGGCTTCATGGTGAAGGAGAGGGACTTGAGCGCATCGACTTTTCCGTCGTAGCTGAAGCGTACGTCGCGAAACTCGACGACTCCCTGCTTGACTTCGAGATCCGTTGCGCCTGGGATATCCTTGACGTCCTTCTCCTCTTGAAGGAGCGCAATCAGCTTGTCCGTATCGACGAGCGAAGTCTGAATGACGCGGTAGAGGGTGGACAGCATATTGAGTGGCGTATAGATCTGCGCCAGGTAGGAGATGAAGACGACAAAGTCGCTGCTCGTCGCATAGCCATTTGTGACATCGTAGGCCACGACGAAGAGCATGAGGAGCGTGCCGACCGAAAGGACAAGGTTTTGCACCAAGTTCAACGCGTTGAGACTCGCGCTGACCTTCCACTCTGCGCCTTGGTAGTCGATAAAGGCAAGGCGATACCGCTCGGCTTCGTAGCTTTCGTTGTTGTAGGATTTTACCGTCTCCCAGTTGAGGAGCACGTCGGTGTGAATCGCTCGCGAGACAGAGTCCTTGTTGTTTGCGTCTCGCCTCAACGTTGTACGCCACGTCGTCATCTTGACGGAGATGGCCGTGTAGACTGTCATGATGGCAAAGAGGAGCAGCCCGACCTGCGGACCAAAGGTGACCGAGAGGAATACGGTAGCGATCGCGATGTCGAAGAAGATGGGCGCGATCTGGAAGACGAGGTATTGAAAGAAGCTGTTTATCGAGCTCCCCCTATCAAGGATACGCAGTACCTCTCCCGTCTTGCGCTTGGTGTGGAAGGCCATGGAGAGGTCCAAGAGATGTCTGAAGGCCATGAGGGACATGGATCTGTCGGAGTATTGCTGGAGAGGAAGCCAGGCAAAGTTCTGCGCCACGGTGAGGAGACCGCCAGAGCCCTGCAGACACTTGAGAAGGGCATAGCCGCCGATGAGCCACCAGATACTCAAGCTCGTCGATGCTGTACCACCGCTCTCTGTCGAGGCAAGGCGGTCGACTATCTTGCCTAGTACGATGGGGACGGCAATGTTGACTAGGCGGCCGATGAGGAGCAGACCGACGCAGCATAAGGCCAGAAGCTGGAGGAGTGGGCTCTTGGAAGGCCAGAGGTAGGGAAAGAGCATGAGGATGCGGCTAAAGAAGACGCGGAATGTTGGCGGAGGGGGCGCTGAGGCCATGCTGAGGCCCATGGAAGCATTGGCAGCTGAAGCCGCCGATGGCGCCGTCGAATTCTTATTTGCAGCACTCGACTTGTTTGGCGTCGACGTGCCATTCGACGAAGGTCCTGCAGACGTGGTTCCTCCATAGTCTGCTGGCTGGGCACGCGTCGCAGAGAGGAGAGCCGTGGACTCGCCCGCAGCAGAAGCGCTCGCGGCATTGCTGGCCAGCCGATTATCTGTAGCGGCCGGCGACGGCTCAGTAGTCTCGCGCTCGTTTGCCGAGATGCTCGCAAGAACGACGAGAATCGGCCAGAACACTAAGACCCTCCCCATCTGAATGCCCAGCTGCGCCCACGTCCACGGAGTCAACTCCTTCCACTGCGCAGCGTCGCTGCCGATGTCCAGCGCATACGCGGCCAGCATGGCGACATCCGATACTCCACCAAGCGTCGCTGCCCACCAGACAGCTCCGATGCTATAAACTCCTGGACCATGCTGCCTCTGCTGCCATGCAAGAAGCACAGGCAGTGAGCCGATCCCCACAAGGCCCAGGAGGGACTGGTACTCCACATTATGCCACCTCTGCAGAGCGGGGGTCCATGTCTTATCAGGCACGACGGCTCTGACGACTAGTAGGATGCCTGACGCCAAGAAGGTAAGCGCGAGAGCTGCGAGGCTTAGCCCCAAGAGGTTGGAGCGTCGCCGCCGTGGTCCTTCGGAGGAGGAAGGATCGATGGCTAGGGCGAAGCAGAGGACTATCAAGATGAGCGACACGGGCTGGGCGAGACGGAGCAGCTCCAGCCATGACTGCAAGGCCGTTGAGGCCTCCATGGCTGCTGCTGATGATGCTTCGACGAGGTGACGAGACTGAGACAATGAATGGGATGAGTGCACGCAGCAACCGAGCGCAGCGCGAGGGGCTTGCAAGTCGAGTCCGCTCGGGCCTTGTGTCCTCAGTCCGCCTTCGAGCTCAGCCAAGCTCGATGACCAAGCGTTGCCCCCTCCTCCTCGAGTCTTCAACGCCTTCATCACTTCAAAGGCACAACGAAGTATAGATCGATGAATTCGTTGTTGTCGCTAAGTAAACTGAAAGAGAGATTGGAGCGATCTGAAAGGGCCACATCACATCACTTGGATAGTCTATGTTTTCGAGTCATTTGAAGTTACCTCCTCCTCTCCACTTACTGCTGCTGCTGAAGGGCAGCCAACACTCTCTGCTTCGTGCCCTCATCCAATCCAGCAGCCAAGGCGTTAATCTGCGCCAACGCAGCATCCCTCTTCAAGCCCTCGAGCGCCTCTACAAGGGCAGCCTGCTTCTGCTCAATCAAGCCTGCCATGTCTCCATCCTCCACATCCTCGAGCCCGACCTGAATGACCGACTCGAGGAAAGTGCGAGCCTCGACGCTGGACCATCCAGGCCTTGCCTGCATGATGAGCTCCATGCTCTTCTCCTCTACAAGGCGACGACGCAGCCTCTGGTAGAAGTAGCGACGCGACTCGCTCCAAGGTACTGCCTGGCGGATGACGCCCATCGCTGCCATTCGGCCCGTCTTGTCGTGCAGGTCGGCGTAGGCGACCGCAATGGCGTTGAAGATGGGGGAAAGCTCCTTTTCTCGAGCAGCGCTGGCCTGCTTGTCGCCGCTCTTGACGAGCTCGGCATAGCGTGAGTCGAGTCGCAGCATCGTCTCGCGTTGCTTGTCGTGGCGATACTTGACGCTGACGATTCCCTCGGGCTCGAGCACACCGCCGCGGGAGGTGGGGTCGGCGTACATCTCCATCATGCCGTTCTCGTTGATCGTGCGGTCGATGACGACCCAAGCACCACCGCGCAGCTCGGCGCCAGGGGGCAGGTAGACGAACACAGGTTGCTTGAAGTTGACCAAATTGTCCACGATCATGCTGCCGAACTTGAGGATCTGCTGGAACATGTCCTCCTGTCCACCAGAGAAACCACGCCAATTGGCCAGAATCATAAGCGGCAAGCCCTCACGGTTGATGTCAGCAATGGCCTGTGCCGTCTTGTGTGCCGAGTTGGGGTACCAGACCTGGCCAGCCTCCATGATGCGCTGCTCGTTCGAGTTGGGGTTAGCCGGGTCCGCAGGCACGACGCGCTCGAGCGTGCGAGTCTCGACGGCGATGACACCCGTGGGGATACCACCGAGGCGGGCTCGACCGACGACGACGGAGGTAGCCCAGCCAGCGAGGGTCTCCTGCCACGACCCCTTATCGAAAATACCGCTGAGCCACGTCTTGCCGTCTTCGGCGAGGGTGCCATCGAGGAGGTGGCGTGGGTCGTAGGGGCCCTTGGGAGGAGTGTAGCCGACGGGACGATCCCACCCGTCTTGGTTGTTGAGGCTCAGAGGCAGGGCGGCATGGCGAGCCGACGGAACGTATGACAGCCAGCGTACGAAGCTCTTCATGGCGGCCAGGTCGTCTGCGGCAGTCAGGTGCGAGACGCCATTGCGGTACATGATCTGAGGGCCACCGAGCTGCAGGTTGCTGGTGTAGACTTCGCGACCAAGCAGCTTGTTGAGGGCCTGGTAGCCCGTGAGGATCATGGGCGACCCCTCGACCTGGATGACACGCTCACCGAGACGAGCGAGGTAGGCACCGATACCGACGGAGCGACCGGTGACGATGGTAGTGGTGAAGATCTCCTGCGTGGCACGCGACGTCTCGCCGGCAATGAGACCAGAGCCGGAGAGACACTCGACACCGAGTCCCTGCTGCAGTCCAATGACGTCGGTGATGACGTGGTGACGCTTACCGTCAGTCGCCACCGTAGCCTCGGTAACGACGCTAGCCGCGGCTCCCTTGGCGTTGAGCTTCTCCATGCCCGCGTCGTCGAGGTAGAGGTACTCGAAGCCCTTGGTCGGATCATTGTTGACGAATTTGACCTGGAAGAGGTCCAGAGGCTCCGTAGCGAGACCGATGCGAGCACCCGAGTTGGCAGAAACGTAGAGACGAGGGATCTTGCGCTGACGAGCAAGCTTCGAGGCAGCAGCAAAGAAGCGGTCCTCTGCGGGACCGAAGGAACCAGCCTGAATTGTGACGTCGTTGGCGATGATGACGAGCTGGCGTCCCTCGGGGTATTCGGGAGTCTTGGCGGTGATCAGCCAGGCGACCATGCCAATCTTGTTGGTGCCGGCCGGTCGCTGAGTCTCTCGCAGGTTGTCCTCCTCCTCGTCGAGAACAAGCTCAGAGACGGCCGAGAGCGGGTCCTCAGGGGCAGCAGGGACGCCCTTCCAAGATGCACGCAGGGCCTCGCGGAAGACGGCGACGAGGTCGTGGCAGAAGGTCGTCTGCAGAGCGTGAGCGCGAGCACGGCGAGTCTGGAGCGCGACGCGGGGCTCGTAGGCAAAGGTGGCGTTCTCGCCATTGAGGCGGCCAGAGCCAAAGAGGCACTTGAGGTTGGTGCGGCCAGAGTCGTTGACGTGCTCCTGGTAGCCCTCGAAACGAACCTGGAAGCCAGTCTCGTTGAAGATGAAGAAGCGCAGGGGCATCCTCGAACCGTCCTTGCGAGTGAGGACGAGACGGATCTCGGCGTTGGTGACGCGCAGGCGGAAGAGGCGAGGACCGTGACGCTCGACGAAGCCAGCAAGAGTTTCCGACACCTTCTCGAACTCGACTTCGTCGGGAAGGTCGTAAAGGAAGGACAGGAAGATGTGGTTGTCGTCCGACCCACGCATGTCGGGGCGACCCTCAGCGACCTCCAGCATGTCAAGGACATCGGAGAGCATCTTGTCGGTGCTAGCAACAAGGAAGTCGGTCGCGTTGCCGCTGGTGATGCGCCCCGGACGAATGAGTGCACGAACGAAGAAGCGCATGTCCGAAGGGTTCTGGCGGCTACGAGCGTAGTAGAGGTGGATGGCGGACGAGGTGATGGGCACGGGCACGATCTCGAAGTTCTTGACAAGACGGCTGAGCTCGAGCTGGTAGGCGAGAGCGGGCTCGATGTTGCGGATAGCACGCTCCTCCTCCCACTTGCCGTCCTCGGAGCGGCGCAGCGTCGTGAACCACGGGTATTGGCCAGGCTGGCACTGGAGGAAGGTAACTCGGCGCACGCCGGCAGCCTCAATGTTCTTGGCGAACTTGTTAGTGTATGAGACGAAAGCGTCGCGAGCCTGCGAGTCGTTGACCTCCGCGTCATCTGTGATGGCGATGTTGATGACGTTGACGGGATGCGAGGGCTTAGCGCCCTTGAAGGTGCGGCAGACCTTGGGCAGGACGTCAGAGAGATCCGAAATGATGCCACAGCTAGTCATGAGACCCTCGCGAACTTCGGGCACGGCATTGTTCTTCTTCTTGAGAGCTTCGAGGTCCGTCTCCGAGGCCTTACGCTCAGCCGCAGGCTCACCAGCATTGGCGAGCTGGAATTGCCAGCGGAGGACGGCTCGATCTTCGGCGCTGAAGTCCTCAACGGCGTAGTCAAAGTGCACGAGATCGTAGGCGCGGTAGGCACGCAGGACGTAAGTGACCAATGCGGCAAAGGCGATGGCAGGCTTGCGCGAGCCCCAGAAGGAGTGCAGGACGTCGTAGACGGAATACTGCGAGTCGGCGAGCTCGCGAAGGACATTGACGTTGGGCGTGTGGTACTCCTCGTCGTCACCGTACTTGCTGAACGATACCGAGGCCTTGAGGATGCCCTCCATCTGCGCCTTGCGGTCCTCGAGGCTGGGCAGGTGAGCGGCAATGGCCACCTCACGAGCCTTGAGGGCGACGGGAGCGACGGCCTTGCCCTCGAGGGTGGCGAGCTTGTTCAAGACCTCAAGCATCTTGGAGCCCTCGGCGCCGCGAGTGAGGTATGGCGTCTTGGCGACGTACTTGTCCAGAATGGCGAGGACAAGGCCATTCTTGCGTGAGAGTCCGAGGTGAGAGTGGACTTGTGCGACGACCTTGGAGAGATCGTCTTCTGCCTCCTTGCGCAGCTCGAGGACGATGTCGGCCTCGCCGGTGAACCTCGACTCGACGGCGTAGTACTGCTCGAGGAGTGCGGCGAGGGCTGCAGCCTCGTGAGCCTGGAGGCCACCGGCGTAGCTGTCCAGAAGGTCGGTGAAGGGGGCGAGCGTGGTCTCGACCTGGCCACGCACAGCTACGTCAACGCTCTCGCGGAGGAAAGACTCGACTACCTTGCGGATGCGGGAGGCAGGGAACTCACCGCCACGCTTGGAGGCGGCGTCGAGGTGGGATCGGACGGTCTCCTCGAGCTTGGCGGGCATACGGCTGGAAAGGGCCGACAGAATGCGCTGAGACTGGCCGAAGGGAAGAGCAGGGTCGCGAAGAAGCTGGTCGAGCTGAGCCAGGGCGGCATGCATGGTGAAACTCTGGTCGAATCCTTCGAGGACATCGGTGAGGACCTCAAGGGCGTGGGCGTAGCGCTGTTCGGGCTTCTGGCCGACAATGACGGGCATGCCAAAGTCGGGGAGCTGACCGCTGAAAGGCTTGGCGTGCTGCACCTTGCTGGGATCGTCGAGGGCTAGAATACCGAGGACATCGCCCTGAGCAATGCTGGTACCGGGCGACTTGACCCATGAGACGATGGCGTCTTCTGCGGCGATGAGGGGCAGGTACATCTTCATGACCTCAATCTCAGCGAGGACGTCGCCGGCGTTGACGTGGTCGCCGCTGTCGACGAGGAGACGCTGCAGCTTGCCGGGTGAGGGGGCTGTGATCTGCGTAGGGTCGTTCTCCTCCTCAATGATGCAGGTCCTAGCGTCAATGCTAAGGCGCATTGAGCCGACTTCTTGCTGGAAGTAGACGGGATGAGATTTGCCTCCGCCCATAGTCATGAGGAGACCACCATCGGCCAGCTGGCGCAGCGAGACGAGGATGCGGACGCCGTTGAGGAAGAGCGACCACGTCGACTTGGAAGCGCGCGAAGCCGTGAAGGAGTACTTGACGTTCTCGTGAATGAACTCGATGTTGGTGAAGACTGACTGCAGTGTGGTACGAGGAGGAACCTGACCCTTGCTGAGGATGCGCCTGTAGTTGTCTTCGCACTCGCTGGCACGGAGATGAGCGTGGACAGCTGCACCAGCAACGACGGCCAAGTCGCGAGGAGGCCTCTCGGCGGCGAAGCGCTCAACGATGAGACGGTCGAGCCAGCCAGTGTTGAGGCTGTTGCCGATGAAGGTGGGCGTCTCGAGAAGTCGGATGAGGTACTCGACAGTGGTACGGAAGTCACCGCGAATGGAGAGCTCCTTGAGCGAGATGATCATGTTCTTGCGCGCTTCGTCACGCGAAGAGGGCGAGTACGCGAACAAGTGACCGAACTGCGAGTCTGCAAACTCGTGAAGACCACCAGAGGCTTGGACTGAGAAGTAGCCCCAGACGGAGTCGGAGGAACGGAAAGTGAGCTCAGTGAGGGCTCCCATTCCCGGCTTGAAGCCGGTGTCCGGGTTCTCGGCGGTGATACGGCAAGCGACGACGTGACCCTTGGGCTGAGGCTTGCGCTGCTTCTTGTGCGACTCGGGGTCGACAAAGTCGAAGTCAATGGGGTCAGAGCCGCGGGGGTCCATGCCGTAGAGCGTGCGGATGTCGCGGATGCGGTTGAGAGGAATACCCATCGCGACTTGCAGCTGGGCGGCGGGAATGTTGACTCCAGACACCATCTCGGTGGTAGGATGCTCGACCTGGAGACGAGGGTTGAGCTCGAGGAAGGCAAAGTCGCCCGAGTCGGGAGAGTAGAGCCACTCTACGGTACCGGCTGAGACATAGCCCACAAGCTTGGCAAGACGTACGGCTGCCTTCTCCATGTCATCGCGAGCTTGCTCAGGCGCAATGGTGACGGGAGCTTCCTCGATGATCTTCTGGTGACGACGCTGGACGGAGCAGTCACGACCGAAGATGCTGATGGCGTTGCCGTACTGGTCTGCGAGGAGCTGGACCTCGAGATGGCGAGCCTTGCCTGCGAGCTTCATGACGAAGATGGGCGAGCCGGGAACTTCGCCGAGGGCAGCATTGTAGAGCTGCTTGAACTCGTCGGCGCTCTTGCACATGCGGATACCTGGCGGAGGTGCGGAGCAGTAGAGAGGGGGCGTCAGCAGAGTGACCTTACCATCTCGCGACACGCGTGCTCACCCTTTCCACCACCACCCTCGGAGGCCTTGATCATGACGGGGAAACCAATCTTCTGAGCCTTTTCGAGTCCCTCCTCAGCTGAATGAATGCACGCCTGCTGGTAGACGTCGTCGGAGACGGTGAGGAATCCCTGCTCGCTCATCATCGTCTCAGTGATGCCGGTTCCCGACCAAGGCATGCAAGGTACGTCTGCATGCTGGGCGACGATGGTTGACGAAATCTTGTCACCGAGGGATCGCATCGCTGAACCAGGAGGACCAATGAAGACGATCTTCTGAGGCGAGGCAGCCAGAGACTCTGGCAGACGGGGATTCTCAGAGGCATGACCCCATCCGGCCCAGACTGCGTGTACGCCGGCTCGCTCAGCAATGTCTACGATGAGGTCGACATTGGCGTAGTTGTTGTTGTTGGAACCTCCGGGCACCTCGACGTACTGCTCGGCCATGCGAATGTAGTCGGCGTTGACCTTGAGGTCCTCGGGTGTGGCCATGACGGTGAACTCGATGGCGCGCTCATCTCCGAATGTCTCGTAGGCCCACTTGCGGATGGAGCGGATCTCTTTAACGGCGGCGATACCGTTGTTGCAGATGAGGACCTTGGTAATGACAGTGTGGCCGCCTTGCTTGCGCACAAAGTCAGTCACGGGACCAGGAGGTGCCGAATCAAGGACGTTGCCGCCTGGTGAGCCACAGAAGACAGGGAGGCAGAGATGGTCAGCTACGGCTTGCTCAGCTCTCTATAGCCGCACGCAAGCTCACCAAAGAAGTGCTGGACTTTCTCATGGCTGACAACGACGGAGTGAGGAGGCGTGATGGCGCCGCTTCCCTCGGACTCGCCTGAGGCGTTGACGCCAAGGAAGTGCGCCGACGACGACGTCTCAGGCTTGCCTCGCTGTGGCACGCAGGGGGAGAGGAGGGGGCATAACATGTCAGCATTGTGCCCTACCATGTAAGCGCCAGCCCCGCACCGCGCTCAACTGACCTGAATCTTGAACTCGTACGAAGGCGAGGCAGTCATGCCAGTCGGGCCCATGCCTTCGCCGTCGGCGGCGTTGCCGTTGCTGCTAGTCGCTACGGGTGCCATGATGACTTTTGTCGCAACTCGTCTTCACAACGAGATCGCGATTGGGTCGTGAGGAGGAGAGAAAAGGATGGTCGAGGTTGATGGTGGGGTGGGGTGCGCTGGGTCGTGTGGTGTTGCTCTCAGATCGCCTCGAATTTATGGGGCTTAACCGAGAGGCACGGGAGAAGGGTTCAGGGCCGAGTGGCTGGGACCAACGGCGTCTATAGAGGTCGAGGCGCGGTTCTTGGTGATGGTGTTGAGGCAGAAGCTGGCGAGAAGGGTAGTAGGAGGAACAGTAGCCTCGACTCGCAATTGAGAGGATGAGGGAGGATGATGAGAAGCAGTCAAGCAACTCAGCACCACCTGGCTGGCTCCAAGGCGGACTCGACGACGCGGACTCGACGACCCAACACTCTATTGCCCGCTCGCCGCCGTTGCCGCGCCCCGAGGGAGGCAGCAGCCAGCCAGGGCGGCAAGGCGGCAGAACTACGGAGTGTGGGGTGGCTTCGAGCGATTTTTGAGCCAGTGCCGCGAGCAAATCGAGTGGAGTGGAGCCGTGACCCATTCCCCAACGCGAAGAGACCACGGCCCGCATATCGTAGCCCCCCTCGTCGCCACACTCGCACACCAAGATGGTAGCTGTTCGAGGGTTGCAGAGCGGCGGATGCTTGCAGAGAGGGGAGAGAGAGTCAGTGCCCCTTGCCATGCGACCTGAGTGCATCAAGAGTCGACGATACGGCCGAGCGAAGGGCGCGTCCGTGGCCTTGGGAGCTGACTATCGCGACGCATGGAAACGAACGAGATAGAGTTTCATCAAAGGAGGGCAGCTTCTTCTTCGTGCTATCAGCAATCAGCAGAGAATCAAGGGACGAGATGGAAAGAAAGGTGTCCTGACCCTGCCGAAGGAACTGTGGCTGAGACAGCTCATCAGGGTCAAGACCACGCTGAACACGGTGCGAATGGGACACCGTCATGATGAGATTGCATGATGTCCGCACAACATGAAGTTTTGCCCCACCTGTCTACCTCCTGAACACCCTCACTCAAGCCCTCGTCTTACTGGCCCTGCCCCTGGGCCTCTCCCTGACGACCATCTTGTTCCCCTTCTTCCCACCGGGCTTCCTCGTCCTCTTGCCCTGCAAGACACCCCACTTGCTTCTCGGATGCAAGTTCGACTTGCTCTTACCACGACCACCACCATGCGGGTGATCCACCTTGTTCATCGCCACACCACGAACCTTGGGACGACGGCCGAGCCAGCGTGAGCGGCCTGCCTTGCCCAGACGGACGTGCTGGTGGTCGATGTTGGATACGCGGCCAATGGCGGCACAGCAGTTGACAGGGACGAGGCGAACTTCACCCGACTGAAGCTTGACTTGGGCGTGAGAGGTGGTCACCATCGCTGAGTTGGTTGCCCCATTTTCTGCTTCGCCCTCTGCTGCTGCCGCCGCCGTGGCCGCAGCCTCGTCCTCCTCCGTGTTCTCATTCGCTGAGCTTCCCTCTCCGAGCGGCGTCTTCTGCGCCTTCGAGCGGTTTGTAAAGGCAATGAGCTGTCCCGATGAGCCTGCACTGCGCACCAGCTTGGCGGGGCCGTTGGGCATGAGGGAGATGGCGTGGATCATGGTGCCGATGGGGATCAAGTGCAGCGGCAGAACGTTGCCTGCTCGAATAGCCTTGGTCCTGAAGATACCCAAGTCAAGTGCCGAAACGGATCCCTCAGCCCCCGACCCGCCTACAGCATCGTTGGTACGGTAGCTCTCGACTGTGTCCCCTGCTCGCAATCCTTCAGGAGCCAGAATGTAGCTCTGCTTGCCCGTCTCCTTGTGCTTAACAAGGGCAATATGTGCTGAGCGGCCAGGGTCGTACTCGATTCGGACCACTTCTTGGGAGCCAGCCTCCCAGCGATAGAAGTCTACTAGACGAATCCGACGTCGTACCCCGCCGCCGCGCCCACGGACCGTCACATGGCCGTGATGGTTGCGACCGCCCGTGCTGCGCTTAGCGCGAGTGAGCGAGCCTGGAGAAGAGAGCGATGATACGCAAATCAATATCTGCTCTGAAAAGAATCATCTCGCTGCCCCTCGTACTCACGCTCCGGGCTACCCTTGTGCAAATGCGGGTTCAAGTTGTACCTCACCCAACGCAAGGAAGGCGTGAGAGGCTTGAAGGTCTTGAATTGCCTATCCACTCTCACAAAAGGCGAGACAGTCTCCTGCTTCAGGCCCATCTGCGCTGCCAGTGTGTTCTCCTTCTTCGCCTTCTTTGCGTTCTTCTGGGCCTTCTTCTTCACTTGGCGACGTTCTTTGCGACTAGCCATGGAGGGAGGACGCCATTGGTGGGCTGCAGCTGCTGATGATGGAGGGGGAGAAGGAGTCTCTACGACTGAGAGCGAGTGAGAGCTCAGGCTGCCGCCAAGACCTCTACGAATGGAAGTGGTGGTCATTGAGCGCAGAGAGGAGGGATTGCGATGCAACCTCGCCATCGACGATGGTGCAGACGCCGCCGCTGATGCTGATGCTGTTGACGATGATGAGGCTGCTGCTGCTGACGTGCTCGTCGCCATAGACCAGAGGCCCCTCAGCGAGGAAGCTCGCTGGGCCAGCAGCGATGTCATGCTGCGCTGAGTGGTAGTTTGGGCGACGACACGACGAGAAGATGACAAGACGGAGGCTCAGGCGGACAGTCGGGCGGGCGGACGGACGGGCGAGGCGACAAAGTGAGAGAAGCCTCGACGCCCGCCTCCCTCTTCCGCTCGGCCCTCTCACCGCACACATCACGTGTGAACAGTCCTAACATCGCTCAAAGACGATGGTATTGATGAATCATGATCAATTCGTCTGTGCAGGACGTCAGCACAGGGGGAGCATAGAGTGTTGGCCAAAACTTTATAATAACCACCGCGCTCGACTTGGAGGCTCTACCCAACGGGCGGCAGTCGAAGCAGCTTCTCACAGGCGTTGCTTCATCTAGCCAAGTCGTTTATGTCGCGAGCCCATGGTGAAGGCGGTCAAGGACAAGATAAATCTTGGCGATAGGAAAGGGAAATGGAGGGGAAGGAAGGGGAGGAATGGAAAGGCAATGAGGGATGACTGGTGAGGGGTGAGGGGTGAATGGGGAAGAGGACGGACGGGGTAGCTTGGTGCGGAGGGGGTTGGCCAACGAGTGATGTCGTCGCTGCTGCATCGACCATCTCAATCTTCCTCGAATCTTCACCCGCTTCATCTTGTCTGCACAATCAACATCGACCCTGATGGGAATCGATGCTCCTTGTCATTGGGTGCACCCTGCAGAGAGGGGCAAAGTAGTAGATCGCCTACCAAACTGAGAACTCCACCCTCTCGTGGACGGATTGGTTCTGCCAGTTGGTGAGGTGAGAAGATGATGCTGCGTCGTATGAGTGTACAAAGAGAAGAGGAGGCTGGGAGCGAGCGAGGAGTCTAGGCGGTCGTTTGTCGACGAGCGCTTAGACTGGAGGGCAGGAGGGAAAGGGGGAAGACGGTGATCAGCAAAGGGATCGCATGTCGCTGTTCACTCGCGCGCCGCACTCACTGTTGCTGGGGTACAGCATCACGCGAACGCTGGCACCGAAAGCCTTGGGGGGGATGTTGGTACGGAACTTGGAGCGAACGACGCCCGAGTTGCCGTGTGCGCGGGTGACGCGACCCCAAATGACGCGGACCTTGGAGCCCTTGCGGTCGGTGGGAGCCTTGTAGACGTATGCAATGCGCTGAAAGAGGGGAAGGAGGGAGGAGAAGGTGTGAGCTCGTGCGTTCGGTAGTAACAGGTGGTTGCAGCTTGGTCGTCGGCCCACGCCCTCCCGTCTCTTCTCCAGCATGCGCTTTCAGCTCCATCCTGCCAATGCCCATCGACTTCTCATCATGAATCGATGGCTGACTTTGCCCATCGCCATACTGAGCAAAAGGATGCGACGTCTTGGCAGCCTTTCTCCCTTCCTCTCGTAGAGGCGCCATCTTCGAGCATCTCCTTCCACCTTGCCTCTCCTCTGCTGCAAGGTGACCTCCGCCTCCATGATCTGATGTCTTATCCCGCCACTCCTTTATCCCGTCTATCCATCGAGCGTTTCGTCCCCTTCCTCCCTCTCGCCATTCTTTGACACATCTTCATCGAACCTGACCTCCGCAGATGCTCACCTTACCAAGGTAGAACTGGGCGTCCTGGGGCGAGTCGACGTTGTCGATCTTGATGAGCGACGTTCGCGGGTGCGAGACGTGCTTGCCGCGCTGGTGGCCCATGATACGGCCCTTGGCGTAAAGACGAGTCATTGTTGCTATAAGAGGAGGAGGGAGGAGGGTGATGGGGATGAGGAAGAGAGGCTCAACTCGCAGTCGAAGGTCTCCATCCAGGCTTGGCTTGCCTCGCTCGAGTTCTCCCTGCCGCTCGTCCGCCCCGCCGTCGCTGCTGCGAGGCCAGGCCCTCTCGAGACGTCCCGCTCGCGTGGCACCGAGGGCGGTCTGCCAGGGCCAGGCAGGGCGACGGGACGGAACGCGCGCAAAATTTTGAGTCACTCAGCGCCGCAGCCGAGCAAGGTCATCGAACATCGAACATGAGCAAGAGGCTCCGCGCCGATGGTGTCCATTAGCATCCATGGCAATCAAGAGACAACGACGTCGAAGTGCAAGTTCCCTTGACAATCCTGCGTTGCTTTCAGCCCCTCTGCAGCCATCAGCCGTCGCTTGTCGCCCTGCGGCAGGCTCACCATGAGATGCCACTCGCCTCGGTAGCCTCGGTAGCCCACTTGATAGCCCACTCGGACCACATCTGCGCTCACTACTTCCCATCTGATCTCAATCTCAGTCATCTCCCCGCGATGAGTCGCTGCATTAGAGATGCCGTCGTCCTCAATGATGGCGAAGCTGCCGCGCTTGCCGCTCGATGCTGGCTCAGGAGCCGGGAAGATGGCAACATGGCGGATGCAGCGCGAAGTGGCTGGCTTAAGCACGGAGGTCATGCCTGATGGCGCTGTCACCAGCGTGCCGCCAGCACGGACGAGGAATGGACTGTGCGGAGAGCCCGGCGGGCAGGCTGGCGAGCAGGAGTGGTCAGCATCGTGCACACGGAAGCTGCGGCCCCTGGCACTCACCCAGCGTCACGTCTCGCCCGGTCACATCTTTCGCTGACGGCTCAATCCAGCTGCTTCCCATCACATCATACCACCAGACCTCTTCGTCACTAGCGTCGAGCACATTGGGCAGGTTGAACGTCACGTCCTTCGCCCCTGCCTCGAGCACCGGTGCTACAAGGATGTGGCTGCCGACGAGAAACTGCTCATCCTCCTCCAGCGTGCCGCGATCGCTCGTGTGATACCACAGCAGGGGCCGCAGTACGGGCCAGCCTCGCATCCAGTAGTCGGTGACGTAGAGTGAGTAGAGTGTCGGAATGAGCTGGTAACGCCAGTCGAGAATCGAGCGTAAGTGATTCGTCGTCGCCTCGTCGAACATCCATAAGGTCGTCGAGATCTGCTTCCAGCCTGAAGAGGGGCGAAGGGAAAGCGGATTCAGCGTGAGCTTCGAAGGTTGCTACTGCAGCTGGTCATACCCGCTACTGACTGTGCACAGTAAATCTCGTGTGCCATGCCGCCTGCTGGCACCACCTAATGAGCAAATCAGCGCTCGGTGAGTGGCCTCCCGCGAAGCCACCAATGTCGTGCCCGTACAGGCCAATGCCAAAGGAGATGCCGTACGAAAGAGTGAGCTTCGTGCTGCACTTGAGTGCCTGCCATGTCGTGCTGTTGTCGCCGCTCCAAGTAGCCCCAGCAAAGGCTTGCATGCCAGGTACTGCGCTACGTGTTACGATCGTTGGACGGCGGTCGGGCGCTGCAGCGAGTAGGGCCTCGTACGTCGCCTTTGCCATGCCCATCGTGAGTGTTGCCCGTCCCCACGCTCCTAGTGGCGTCGTGCCGCTCCAACCGGCCATGCGTTGGATCACCTCATCCTCGTCTGCACCATCTCCTTCCAACGACCAAAAGCTCCTCTCTCCATTCATTTCATCTGCATCATCTACCAGTGTGGACATCTCGTTGTTGTCAATCCAGACTCCAGATATTCCCTTCTCCACCACACCCATCCGCAGCAGTTCCTTCCATGCATCACTTCCCGCCTGCGACGAGAAGTCAAAGTAGCTTCCCCTGCCCGTCTGGCCCATGCTAGTGCTCCAATGCCACGTCCTCGACTGACCTTGCGGACCTGCTCGTCCGCGATCAGCCTGAGCATCAGGCGCTGCCCGCACGAAGGCATCCCGCTTCGCCATTTGCTCGTAAAGAGGGTGCGACTCAAGCAGCCACGGCTTCACGTTGATGATCAATCCGCACTCATTGCCTCGTTCCAGCTGATCGGCCATCCCCTTGGGATCGGGGTAGCGCTTCTCATTCCACTGGAAGTACTGCCTCTCTCCCGTTTGTGGGTCTTGACAGTACCCGCTAGAGAGATGCATGCCATCGATGGCGAAGTGCTTGGCGCGGGCCTCGCGCACATACTCCACTACTGCCGCTTGAGCATCCTGACGCTCCGAAAGTGTGAGGGAGCTGGCGAGGTAGCCGAATTGACTGAGGGGAGGGAGGTTGGGGGAGGCGCGCCATTGCTGCGCTGTCGAGCTTGAGGCTCGTGAGGGAGGTTGGGGCGTGACAAGATGAGCAAGCTGGCTGACAATGCCTGAGAGGTCTGGCTTGACTGCTTGCTCCTCGCTGGATGACCCTAGCATCACGTAGTAGTCCAATGGCCCGTGCTCCGTAGAGAATGAGTGGAAGTTTCCTGTCGAGAAGTCATGTTCTGCGCCCAAGTCGAAGATAGAGGGGTTGAGCGTATTGTAGTACACCCCATGCCAGAATCGGGCGGCCGAATCGTATATCGCAATGAATGGCGTCAACTTGTAGTAAGGGTCCGTCTCTTCCGGATCAGCAGCGAGGCTGTCCCTACCGTCAATGATATAGCGCTTGCCGACCTTGTTCATCGGCCCCTTCGCCTCACCAAGCCCGTAGATGTACTTTGTCGCTGAGTTCGCCGCACCTGTGTGTTCGTCAGTGGGCATGTATCCTTCGCTGCAGGTGTAGTGGTAGACTCGCCCTGAGATCATGTCGTAGGGGTATGCCCGTTTGAAGTCTTCCAGGAAGGGCGTAGAAGAGGAGCCAAAGTGCCAGGCCAAGCGGAGGTAAAGAGTGTAGGAGATAGTAATAGTGAGACCATTTGGGACAGGGCTGCGAATTGCGAGGCGCTTGGCCGTGGCGTCATGCTGTCGAAGAGCAGGGGCAAAGCAATGGCTAGTCAATCAAACGCGTCTCCGCAGCCACTCCACCAGCACTCTTATCTCACCTCAACTCGCCAACCGGAATGGTCACGCTTCTCCCACCTGATGCCAGTTGCGTCCCTCAGCCTGATACCATGGGGTCTGCTAGGAAGCTGCCGAACCACGCGCACCAATCGATAGTCGAGCGGATGGATCGAAAGGCGATGCTCGCCTGACGCGTCGGCTAGTACCACGAGCGGGCCGCCCTCCTCATCGCCGCCGCCGCCATTTACGCTGCCTGCTTTGAGCACTGACCAGCCCGTGGGATTGACGATTCGTGGCATCTTGCTGTATCACGGTTGAGCATCAGATGGTGAGGACAAACGACGCGCATGTGATGTGAGGCAGTCTAAAGGTTCCCTCGGAGTAGCGCACGTTCGCGCTTGTTAGGTCTAAGCGAGAGGGGCGTGGCAGCCGGCGAGGATTCTGGTAGCATCAGACAAGACGATGTCGTCGAGGGTTTTGATCAGGTGAAGTCGCACATGCTGCGCTGGAGATCACGTCGGGACTGCTTCGATACGGCCCTGCAATCTGGGTGAAATGCCATCGATTGGCCAAGGCGCCACGACCGAAACCACTATGGGGCAAGGTACAAGGACTTCGGAATGCTGATGCTCTGCCGCTTCAGGCCATCCCTTTTGCCACAGCTGCTGATGTTGCCAGCTACAAGCTCTCTGTCTCTCCTCAATCCACGACTTCATCCTCCTGCCCCTGCTCCTATCCCATCCCTCGCACACTGATCCGCTTAGTGCACGTTCTTGGGCGGCGTGTACAGCAACTTCCTCGCCTTGACGGGGGACCACTTCATCCTCTTGATGTAGATGCTGAGCAAGGTCAAGACGGAAAGCATGCAGATGGCCTGTGCTCCCATCTTCTTGCGCTCGTCGTGCTCTGGCTCTGATGACCAGTTGAGGAAGGTGACGACATCCTTTGCCATCTGCGAGGTGGTGGCAGGGGTGCCGTCTTCGTACTCGACGAGGCCGTCGTAGAGAACGCGCGCCATTGCGATCTTGGTGCCAGGGAAGTAAGGGTTGAAGTTCATGCCCTGGGTACGTGAAGAAAGAGGTATTGATCAGCTGCTTATTCTCGAGCTGGACGCTTGGAGTGGCACGCGCCCCCACTCACCTCTGGCATCTCAACGCCAGCCGGGGGGTCAGTGTAGCCGGTGAGGAGCGCAAAGATGTAGTCTGCGCCGCCGTGACGAGCCTTGGTGATGAGTGAAAGGTCAGGGGGCAGACCACCGTTGTTACCAGCTCGTGCCGCCTCCTCGTTCGGGTAAGGGGCGGGGAGGTGGTCGGCGAGCTTGCCAGGTCGCTGGAACATCTCGCCCTCGTCATTGGGTCCATCTTCGTACTCGACCTGTGCGTACGGGCGTGCGGGAGGGCACGAATGAGTGAGCATTGCATTCTTTGCTAGGGTTGTTCAAGTCGCTGCGTGGACTCACCTCCTCAGCCATTCCCTTGACCTCGTCGACGTTGAAGGCAACACCGACGAGATTCCTCCAAGCGATGCGGTCGAGCGAGTGGCAAGCAGAGCAAACCTCGCGGTAGACCTGGTATCCACGTCGAATGCTGTGGGGGAGAGGTGCGGGTACGAAACGTTAGTGGACGCTCCCGAGCTGCAGAAATTAGGGCGAGAGGCCCGTCTGCCTACTCACGAGGCGTGGTCAAACGAGTCAAAGATGCCGTTGTGGCTCCACGGGTACTTTGGCGAGTGGAGACCCTCGTCCACCATGTTGGCATGGAGGTTGTCGACGAAGGGGATCGAGCCGTACTGATGGGCGTACCAGCTCAGCGACCCGGCAGTGAGAGCCGTCGCACCAGCCAGAGCCGTCTTGGAGGCCCAGAAGGGCTGAGCGGACGATGAGGCAGCGTGTGTCGAGGCGGAGCGGGTCTGTATGCGCCGAGGAGGGAGTAAGAGGATGTCAGTCTTGATTGCTTTGCCAGACGAGATGATTAGAAAGGCGGGCAAGGCGAGAAGCAATAAGCCATCTGATCCTTGTGCCAAGTACGCACGCTTTGCTTTGCGGGCGCAGCTGCTGCCCTGAAGGCAGACACGCCAAGTCGAGACAGCATGGTGGCGTGTGCGGAGATGATGTGAGGATGAGGTGAGGTGAGGAGAGATGGAAGCTGGCGAGATGGTAGTCGTCGGCTCTCTCTCGCCTCGCCCCGTCGCTGCTGCTGCCGCTGCTTGGACTTGGACTCGGGACTCGCCCTCCTCAGGTTGAGCCTGGCTCGCGGCCTCGTGGCAAAATGAGAGGGCTTGGATTGATCAGGCCAGCCTCAGCCCGCCTGGCTCCGCGTTTGCCCGTTGGATTAGCAAGCACCGGCGTCCGCTAACCCCGCCCTGTCAGCTCTCTCACACGGCAAGCAGCGAGCCAGCCACCACCACCAACGCCTAATCCTTCCCACTCTTCCCCTCTCGTACCACATCTCCTACTACCTTGCTCGAACGCCCATCATGATCTTCCGTCACCTGTCACGCTCAGTGGCGGGACCATCACGTCTCGCTGCGCCCGCAACGTCTTCAGCCCGCAGCTTCTCCTCTTCTCGCTCCGTCTCCAAGATCATTGCATCGCAGCCACTCCGTGCAAAGGAGGCACCGACACCCCTCGATGCAGCAAAGGGCTACCCAGTCATCGACCACGAGTACGATGCCGTCGTCGTTGGTGCTGGTGGATCCGGTCTGCGTGCTGCGTTCGGTCTCGCAGAGGCTGGTCTCAACACGGCTTGCATCACCAAGCTCTTCCCTACTCGATCTCACACTGTCGCAGCTCAGGGTGGTATCAATGCCGCGTTGGGCAACATGACCGAGGACGACTGGCGCTGGCACATGTACGACACCGTCAAGGGTTCCGACTGTACGTGATCAAGCGGGTGGCGAGGCAGGCATACAGTGACAGCGCGAGGGACTGACCTGATCTGTCCATCTTTCATCGCAGGGCTTGGTGACCAGGACGCTATCCACTACATGACTCGCGAGGCTCCCCGTACCGTCATTGAGCTCGAGCACTTTGGTCTGCCCTTCTCCCGTACCAAGGAGGGCAAGATCTACCAGCGTGCCTTTGGCGGTCAATCGCTTCACTACGGTAAGGGTGGGCAGGCCTACCGATGCGCCGCTGCCGCCGACCGTACCGGACACGCGATGCTGCACACTCTCTACGGTCAATCACTCCGCCACAACACCAACTTCTTCATCGAGTACTTTGCCCTCGACCTCATCATGGAGGACGGCGAGTGCGTCGGTGTCATTGCCCTCAACCAGGAGGACGGCACCATCCACCGCTTCCGCTCGCACAAGACCGTTCTCGCCACCGGTGGTTACGGCAAGGCTTACTTCTCTGCTACTTCAGCCCACACCTGCACCGGTGACGGTATGGCCATGGTCTCGCGCGCTGGTCTCCCGCTCCAGGACCTCGAGTTCGTCCAGTTCCACCCCACCGGTATCTACGGCGCTGGCTGCCTCATCACTGAGGGCTCGCGTGGTGAGGGCGGTTACCTCCTCAACTCGGAGGGTGAGCGCTTCATGGAGCGATATGCTCCCACTGCCAAGGATCTGGCCTCGCGTGACGTCGTCTCTCGTTCGATGACCATTGAGATCCGCGAGGGACGTGGTGTTGGCCCTGAGAAGGACCACATCTTCCTCCAACTCTCCCACCTTCCCCCCGAGGTTCTCCACGAGCGCCTCCCCGGTATTTCCGAGACGGCCGCCATCTTTGCCGGTGTCGACGTCACGAAGGAGCCCATTCCCGTCCTCCCCACCGTCCACTACAACATGGGCGGTATCCCAACCCGCTACACCGGCGAGGTACTGCGCCAGACTGCCGACGGCAAGGACGAGGTAGTCCCCGGCCTCTACGCTGCTGGTGAGGCGGCCTGTGTCTCCGTCCACGGTGCCAACCGTCTCGGCGCCAACTCTCTCCTCGACATCGTCGTCTTTGGCCGTGCGTGCGCCAACCACATCAAGGAGAACCTCTCCCCCGGCAAGCCGCACCGCGAGCTCAAGGGCGACCAAGGTGCTCAATCCATCAACGACCTCGACTGGCTCCGCAACTCGACGGGCAACAAGACTGTCGCTCAGATCCGTAACGACATGCAACGCACAATGCAGAGCGACGCTGCCGTCTTCCGCACGCAAAAGTCCCTCGACGAAGGCTGTGAAAAGATGAAGAAGGTCCAGTCGACCTGGCAAGACGTCTCGGTACGAGACCGTTCCATGATCTGGAACACGGACATGGTCGAGGGTCTCGAGCTGCGCAACATGCTCACCTGTGCCATCCAGACTGTCACATCCGCTGCGGCGCGCAAGGAGTCCCGTGGTGCCCACGCTCGCGAGGACTACCCGGACAGGATGGACGGAACTGAGGGTCCGGACGGATGGATGAAGCATACCCTTTCTTGGCAGAACCTCGAGAAGGACCCGGTCAAGCTGGGCTACCGTGCGGTGGTGATGAACACGCTCGACGAGAACGAGTGCAAGACGGTGCCCCCCTTCAAGAGGACGTACTAAGCGCGCGTCGTGACGACGTGGAGCGTCTTTGTTTACTGCTTCTGTTCAGTCGTGACTCTGGTTATAATTTCATCTGACTTCATGCGATCCGAGAGTTTGTTGAGAGCGTGACCCAGGAGAGGAGAAGGCGGTAGCCACGGCTGCCCAAGCATCGTCGACGCCACCACATCGGTTCAGCCGCGCACGCACGGACGGCCGCCGGCGGCTTGATGGTGCGCTGTGGCTCCTTCGCCAGGGTCTTGATTGTGAGACAGAGGATGAAGATTCAATAATAGCGTCAATATCATGGCTGACTCCGAGCGCCGAGCATGTCTCCATCAGCCTTTGAGAGGAACGGCTTTCAGACAAATGGCTTGACTTGGCTCATTCGTCTCAATGACCTTCGTGCGTAGCTCGCTCACGGGTCTGCAACACCAGTCGTCGCAAGGCGTCCTCAGAGCTCGTGCTGCATCTTCCCCAGGAAGGAGGCCATTCCGCGGATTGTTTCCAATTTGAGCATTGTCTCTTCCACAATCTCCATGAGTGCGTGCTGCCACGCCCCTCCTCACCAGACGCGGCTTGCCGCTTTCGATCCCGTGCCATTACGATGCTGTCGCATCCTTTCTCGCCGACGCGCCCTCACACTCGGCCCCATCTTCGGAGCTCGTACTTCGTTATGACCGAGTGCTTGCTGGCCTGCCTGGCAGGCGTTGCCATTCTCATGTGCTAAAAGAAGGAGATTCAGCTACTCATTCCGGCGGATGGGACAAGACGCCGATGTCCTCGTACTTCCATGGCTCGCCTGCCGTGCCGGCGGGGCAGGATGGTGCTCGCTTTGTTTCTCAATGCCTCGCTGCCCCGGCCAGACACGCTGCCACGCTGTCGCGGATATGCAAGAACGGCAAGCTTGTCGCAAGCTCACTCATGCTGGCAGGAAGCATGCCACCACGGCCGCCATGCTTTGAACAATCAATATCGGAGGGTAGGGTCAGACTGCCTTCGGTGTCTTTGGAACGACTGCCCTCTTGCTGCTCCATCAGATCGGACGGCATCAGCGCAGATGCATCATCAATCACAACAGCGAAGATTGGCCAGCGACGCGATCCGCCGGCGGTAGTCCGACGCTTGATGTTTTGGACTTCTCGCTAGAGCCTCACGTACGATTGAAGGCGCTGCTCCTCTGTTGCCGTTCCGCCGTTGCCGCTCATAGCAACAGAAGGTTGCGCTTGATCTGCACCGGCGGCCGGCAGAAATGGCTTTCGCAGTGGCACAGCGGCCGCCGGCGCGGCACGGTAGGGGGGCGCCGCGGCAGCGGTCCGCTTCGCGCTCAACTCTGCCACCCCCTGGCCCATCCCTCGCCGATCCATTGTTGCTCGAGCTCGTTCGACACGCGCCTCTGCCCTCTCCTCCCCCTCAGATCTCATCCGTCATTGCAAGGACCCCGACTCTGAAAAGCCAGCAAGGACAGCCTGGTGCTCTTTGCTCTTTTCGCTCCTTTCATCTTTTCCTCCTATTCCCATTCATCCCGCCCGCTCTTTCCACACGCCTCTTCTTTTAAGTCGTGCGACATCAACGCGCTCACTCACACTCTTTCTCCTCACCATCTTCTCATCTAACGAACACCTCATTCACATCATCTAGAATCGACTCGAGCTCTCACTCATCGACATGCATTTCTTCACCGCCGCTTCGACGGCAGCTGCCGTTGTCACCTTTGCCTCGTCCGCCATTGCGTGCGGGCCTGGTCAAAGTGGCCACGACCTTCCCAACCGCCGCAACCTCGGTATGATGCACAAGAAGCGTGCTGCTAGCACGCCAACCGAAGAGTCCGAGGGCCAGATCAAGAGCGCCAAGGGACAGTGCACTTACTATAACGTGCCCGAAGTCGCCGCCATTATCCCCAACTACCCGACCATCTGGCAGACGGCAACCATCCCATCTAACGACACCACCGCACAGAACCTCTTCAACACGATCAAGAAGTCGATCCCTTCTGGCATCTCGCCAAAGGGAACGCGCGCTGGTGATTTCACCAGCGTTCACTACGACTCGAGCGACCCGGACTGTTGGTGGACTTTCGGCGAAGCCGGCCAGAAGTGTGATGTTCCCAAGCACGATGGGCTTCCCGCAGATATTACTATCTGTGACGAGCCTTCTACATGGGGCCTGACGTTCGATGACGGCCCCAACTGTTCGCACAACGCTTTCTATGACTACCTCCTTGAGAAGAAGCAAAAGGCGACCATGTTCTACATTGGGTCCAACGTACTCGACTGGCCCCTCCAGGCTCAACGCGGTCTTGTCGACGGCCACCACATCTGCTCGCACACTTTCTCGCACCCTTACATGACTGCTCTCACCGACGACCAAGTCTTCGCTGAGCTCTACTACTCGTCCAAGGTCAGTTCGCGCGATGCTGCCGTTGAGAGAGTGAGCTCCTACTGACAGGACCTTCCCTTCTCGCCCTCTACCTTCGCCTCTCACTCGTACGCGCCATCCTTCTCGCTGCCGCCTCGACTGGTTCATGACGACAGGCGATCAAAGATGTCATGGGCATCACCGTCGACTGCTGGCGTCCTCCCTACGGTGACATTGACGACCGTGTACGTGCCATTGCTACTGGTCTTGGCCTTAAGTCCATCCTTTGGTCCGCGGACACGACTGACTGGCAGGTCGAGCCGGAAGGAAACAAGCCCCGATCCGCAATCGAGAACAACTACGCCACCATCATCGCCAATGTATCGAAGACGATCGGCAACATCGTCCTTACCCACGAGATCAACGGCGACACCATGGACATCGCCATGGAGCAGTACCCGAACATCAGCAAAGCCTTCAACAACGTTGTTCCCCTGACGGCATGCATGAACTGGACCAACCCGTACGCCGAGGACATTACCTACCCTGTCTTCAAGGATTACGTCAAGGGCAATATCGAGCCTTCGGGCGTTCCCTCCCCTTCGGCCATCTCCATTTCCAACGCCGCCTACTCTCCCATGAACGGCGGTGGATCGTCGGCCGTGGAAGCTGCTGGCTCTCCCACGTCAGCGTCCGAGTCCAACGCAGCCCAGGCCGCGAGCTCTGGCTCGTCGTCATCCGGCTCGAGCGGCGCTGCTGGCCTCGCCGTCCCAGCCTTTGCCTTCATCGGCGCTGTCGTCATGGGTGGCGCTGCTGTTCTTGCATAGAGAGAGAGGCGCAACAGCAGGCTCTGTTTGCGCACTTGCGCACCGTTTTCGCCTTTCGGATTCGTCCTACGTGCTCTACTCCTGCATTGCTTCGCGCCATCCCCGTTCCTCACCATCGCTGCATCCGTAATTGTAGAATTGGGCTCGCTCCCTTGATTTCTCGCACACTCAATCAATGGACTCTCTGTGACATCACCCTTTTGACGACTGACGCATCCCATGGCTTGTCCTCACACACCTCAGACAAAGGCAAGGCTCGGGCTGATTGGTATGCAGGGCTGATCATTTTCCGTCTTCACTCAGGCTAGATCGTCCCATCCGGCCAAGACATCTTGTCCTCCGACATCGCCGCCGTCTCGTCCTTCATGAGCTGCGTGCGCCACTTCTGAGGTATCATGAGCGTCGCTTTTTTCAGGCCCCTCTCTGGTCGCAGTGGCCTTCTGAGGGGTAATGACAGCCTGATCCGGCCCTTGGCTCGACAGCGCTTCATCATGAGAAGCCTGCGGTGAGACTGGCTTGGTCGGCGCCGATGCTGCTGCCTTGCGCTTGGCCAACAGCTCGACCGTCTTCTTCTTGGCCGTCACAAGGCGCTGCGCTTTATCAAGATCGTCCAGGTCCGCATACGAGGCAGCTGTTGCAGCTCCCTGCCCTCGCAAGCGCGCAATCTCCCCGTCTAATCCACTCAACTCCTCTCTCAACGGTCCAAGCGCCTCCTCATCCATATGTGCCTTCAAAGCCTCCCTCGCGCACGTCCTCATATGATCGAAGCGCACCGGTCCCAGATTGGTGCCACCGTACCACCTGCTGACCACGACTAGCAGATCCACCGCACCTACTTCGCGCATGGCTTTCAGCACTCGATCTCCACCCCAGCGCTCCCCATCATCGTCGCTTCCTTCCTCTAGACCATAGTCGTTCGGCCCGCCCAACCCGTCACGGCCGCGTTTGAGCGCTAAACATCGCCATGCTTGTACATCGTGCGAGCTACCTCTTCTCCTCGGGTCCAAGTGAGAGAAGGCAGTGGGGAAAATGTTTGAGGGGAGTGAGGGGTGTACCTCGTTGGACAGGTGGTCCAGGATGCGCGCCAACGCAGCAGGGCTTGAGGAAGTAATTGGGTAGACGAAGCCGATGAAGAGGGAGTCGCGGTCCATCACCCGCGCGGATATTGGTGAGGTGGGGTTGGGGAGAGATGGTAGACCAAGCCACGAGTTGAGGGATTTGCTTTTGCCGCCAGTTGATGGCCTTGAGGAGGATGTGACAGCTGCGCTGGGCAACGCTGCCGCTGATGCTGCAGTTGAGGAGGATGAAGGCTCGGCATTCTCGCCGTTGGATGTAGGCTCGCCTGTCTGCTTGGCCTTCTTCTTCGCCCGCACCTGAGCCCATGCATCCGCGGCTTGCTTGGTCATGACCTCGCGCTCCATCTCTTCGTCCATCTCGTCGTCGTAATCGACATCGTCTCCGTCCAGGTCGGCAGACGCAGACGTCGATGCACGGGCAGGCCGTGCTGAGCTCTTTCCTCGGCGCAGTCGCTTGCCCTTTGCTGATTGCTGAGCCTTGGCAGCCTTCGGCTTGGACTCGCCGAGCTCCTTGCCTGCCTCTTCATCTTCTTCTGAGTCGCTTGACATCTGCCTCTTTCCCTTGCCACGTCTCTCTGGCTGCCATTCATCCTCCGTCGCGTCTCCCTCGGAGGACATCGAAGCTGCTGAGCTCGACGCGCTGGCCGCTTCGTCCGCCTCATCATCGCTGGGGCTGGCGGCTATTATGCGCTTTGACGCCACGGCAGCAGCTCGAGCGCTGCGCCTAGTAGACATCTACACTCAGACGCTCGAGTCGCAATGGAGATGAAAATGATAGGATAGAATGGATGGATGGATGTACAAATGGAGCTGCATCAACCTCTCAGTCCGCCTTCGCCCTCCACTCGCCTCGCAGCCTCTGTCCGCTGCAACCTCGCGTCTCGACTTGGCTCCTCAGCTATCAACCCTGCACCGTCCCGGCAGCAATGGCCTGCAATGCCAGGAACAGCAAAGCAAAGAATCAGCATCGCTGCGGGTAGTCGTCCTACGATGATGGCTCCTCGTGCTTCGCGCTGGACTCACCGCGCGGATCTTGGGCAACAGACGCTTCTTCCAACGACGCCTGATCTGGTCCACCTTGAGGCCCAGGATCTGAGCAGCCGCATCGAGGTTGTGTTGATTGTCGAAGATGACTAGGTCCTCTTCGGGCTATGCACGTTGAAGGGCGGCAGAGAGCGTCAGGTTCTACTCTTTCGGCTCACGTGAGCCCAAGCGCTGGGATCAGACTCACTGTGAAGGAGTGAGGCCCATCCTTATCCCCATCAAATTCATCCTCGTCCTCGTCCCGCTTCTTTCTCTTGCTGCCGTGACTCAGGGTAGCTTCACTTTTCACGGAAGTCTTCGGGACCATGTTGGAAGGCAGAGGTCAGGTGTGCCTGCAACTTCACTCGCAGTCCTGTGGTGTCAGGCGCAGGAGGTTGGCGGGGAAATGACCTAGCCAATCTTCAGCTCGGCGGTGAGCTCGATGAGGGCAGCCAACGTCCGCTCGCCCCTCACCAGAACCCTGGCCCTGGTCTCCAAACGAAACGGGCCGCCCGAGAGCTCAATGAAGCAGCTGCTCCATCCCAATCACTTGCCGCTCTCACAGCCTCCTTCCAATCTGGTCAAGGGCCGACGCCTTCAAGTGACTCTCAACCTCCTCATCTCCTACAAGACTTGCTCGCATCACATACGAACACAAACATGTCAGACACCGAGTACATCGACAACGAGCGCGACGGTGTCTCGCATGAGGATAAGAAGCCAGATGTCAAGAGCTCACCATCGCCCAGAGGTAAGAAACGCAAGCCTGTCAACGACGAAGAGGATGACTACGGCGTTGCTTCATCCTCGTCGAGCAAGCGAAAGCCCACGACCGGAAATGGTGTCTGGACGGCCAGTACGCAGACCAAGGGCAGAGCCGGCCACCAAACCTCAAAATCACCAGGCTGACCCTTGCCACATTCATCGCCTACCCGTCGCGTAGAAAGAAGCCAAGTTGGCCGTCTTCAAGCATCACGTCAAGCAGCCTAGCGAGATAGACTGGGACGAGCTCACTCGGAAGACGGGCAAGACTAAGAAGCTGTGCTACGCTATTTGGCGCGACACCATGGAGAAGAAGATCATCAAGGCAAGTGCGGCGCTCGGTGGCCAGCTTCAGAGGATCTCAATGCAGAAGCAGGAAGGCGCTGACCCCTCGCTGTTATTCCACTCCCCTTGTAGTTCATCGAGGACAGCTGCTGAGCTGCCCGCTGTCATTGAGCAGCCTCACTCGTCCTCCGTCATCACCTCGTCATATGTGCGCTGCAACCTTTTCAGCTCTCCTCGCATCGCCTGTGTGAATTCTCAGCGACTCTGTCGACAGCCCAATCAAACAGATTATTTGTCTCGACGGCTTTTACGTGGTCCTTCCTTCCCATCATTTGCCTTCGCCTTTTCGATGTCCCAGCTTCGTAAAGCGAGGTATGAGATGAGGTCGGGCGGGCTCGCTATCTCATCAGCAATGAGGTGCCGCTCCCGTTCTCATCAAGGAACGGACGCTCGACTTGACAAAGCGAGGTCTGCTCCCTTTCTGGGGGCAGACCTGCTCCATCTTCGCATGGCTTCCCTCTCTCGTCTATCCTTCCATCCCCGCCACAGAAGGCCACGCCCGCCAAGGAGGTCAAAGCTGCCAAGATGACTCCCACGCAGACCTCGCCCAACAAGAAACGCAAGCGCGCTACCAAGGCAGAGGCTGTAAGCAGCAACGGCTCGCCCCGCAAGGCAGGTGGTTGAACGGTGAGCAGCAGTCTTGCTATTCCCCCAGCGCAAGGGCACCGGCTCATGCTTGCAACCCGTCCTCACCTCTCCCCAGCCTCAGATGAAGAAACAGCTCTTCCAAGCCATGCTTCACGGTGCAGCAAAGGTGCGGTGTAACCATGTGGCCGAGCAAATTGGCAGGACATCTACGCAATGCTCCGACCAGTGGCGACAACAACTTCTGCCTGCTTTGCTCAAGGTGCGTCCTCAGCTTTGGGTTCATGCGACACGAGCTGACGCGGCGTTGTGCCATGCGTGCCGCAGAAGATCGACGAGATGTGAGCAGTCTGCAGCGTCGAGGGCCCAAGTTCGAGGGAGCGAGGACGTCTCGGCACTACCAGTAGACGATACGGTCACCGTCATGTCATTAGCCACATGCTCGACAGACATTCTACCACCTCACGTGCTCGTTCTGCGCTCGCTCGCTGCCTCACTTCATCGTGAATCTCTCCTCCATGCTCTGCTTGTCGCATCGTCTAATATCGTCGTCCATCTCCCCATGATGAAGCTTTGATCCACGGTCGTCGCGCCATCGTCCATCCTGCCCGCCAATTCTCCCTGCAACAATCTCTTCCTCGCTCACGCATCTCGCTGCCTCTCCATGACCTGAGCATGATAAGATGCCGTGCCAGGCATCTGAGCTTGCCGCTCACCATCACGGGAGCAATTTGCTGCCGTTGTTGAGGAGGGCGTCGATGAGCTGGCAAAAACAGAGCAGGCAGGCTGAGACGATGGTCTGTCCTTCTCTTTATCCATCCCTGATCCCAACATGAGTGAGACTGACTCTGACAAGTACGAGCCCTCCAACCAAGCCTACAGTGACGACAATGAGAGCGACGAAGGAGAAGAGTACGATGACAACGACGCGGTGGGAGCCTCCTCGAAGAAGCCACAAAAGTCCATGTCGCGATCGAGCAAGAAGGTGAAGGACGAAAGCGACTGGGAGGATGAGGAGTCCGGGAAGCCTACGCCGCAGAAGAAGCGCAAGAAGCGCGTCAAGACGGGGCAATCGAACAGCTCGAATGGCGAAGCCGGCTCGGGCAAGGCGAAGAGCTGGACAGTGAGCGCCCTTGACCACATCTGAAGGCCTACAGCAGCAGATCGCCTCAATTGCTCCGCACCCTCCGCTCCCTTGACAGTCGCAGCAGAGGCTAGTCCTCTTCAAGGCCATGCTCGGTAGCCCTTCGAAGACTCAGTGCAACGATGTGGCCGCACAAATTAGCAAGTCTCCCTCGCAGTGCTACGATCAGTGGCGCCGCTTTCTGCTGCCCTTCATCATCAGAGTGCGTTGACATGCTGCACATGTATTCTCGAGACACCTGCTGAAGCTGCTGACCGTCTCTGAGTTACTGACTCGCGCGTCTCGCTCGAGAACAGAAGATTGAAGAGAGCCAAGGATGACACGGATGAATGGCTGCTGGCTTGCTGGCTAAGAACGCGACATTGCGCATGAACCTCACCTTCTCGCCGTGTCGCCGTCCATCTCTCTTGCTTCCCATTCTTTCGAGCCCGCCTCATCTCTTCATCTGATTCATCTGCCGCTTCTTGAAGCGCTGCATCACCAACTCATCGCTCGCCATATTCCTCCTATCATCACCACCAGAATGCGACCTCTTCTGTCCAGCACCACCACCGCTGGAGCTCGCCTGAGGCGGCGGCTGGCCCGAAGCTTCAGCCCTCGCCTCCGCTAGCGCCTGCGCATCGCTCCTCGTCTGGTTCCTCGGCGAGAAGAATCTTGCCTTGGCCAGCATAGCCTCACTACTCTCACCCTCCTCATCATTGCGTCTCGGTCGCTGAGCCCTCTCCTCCCGCATGAGCCTCTTCGCCCTTTCCGTATCTTCGATGTTCTTCAAGCGCGAATCCATGCCTAGCTCTACCTCTGGAATGCCAGACAACATTGCGCTGGAGAGACCGACGCTTCCCTCGCCTTCTTCGTCGTCTGGTCGAGAGCGCGTGGAGAGGAGCTTGCTTGCAAGGGCAGCATTGCGCGCTTCTTGTTGGAGTCGCGTGTATTTCTCTGCTACTTTGTATAGCTCGTCTTCGGGATTGGAGAGGACGGCGCGAGCTTGGCTGGCGGTGTCCCCAGCGGCCCCTGCGTTGTCGCCGCCTTCACCGAGTGCGGCTCGGCGCTTGCGCATCTCTTCCTCGATGTAGGCCATCATGTGCTTGTCGACATCAATGGCATTGGTCTCTCCTTGAAAGTTGTCCTGTCGAGCCAGGCGGTTACGCGCCTTGTTGCCTGACGCTGCTCCCCCCTCCTCCTCATCGTCATCATCGTCCTTGCCTGCTGGTGCTTTAAGCGATCCTGGTCTGACTAGCCCTCCCTTTTCCATCTGCTCCTTCCATCGATCCTCTTCAGTCTTGGGTCCCTCCTTCTTTGCCTTCTTCTTCTTCTTCCGCAAACCCTTGTTGAGCTTCTCAAGCTCGATGCCCGTGGGCTTTCGTTGAAGATTGCGCAGGGCGATGAGGTCGGCGACGGATACTCTGCAGCGGAGAGTTGAATGGGCTGGTCAGTGACGATTCCTGTTTGGTCGGATGCCCGACATATGCTCACTCTTCGTCGCCGTCGTCCTCATCGTCTTCACTGTGCTCGGCAGCTTCTCCACTAGATCCATTGGCGGGTCCTGCGGGCTTGACAATGGCAGCTGCCTTTGCCGGACGCGATCGCTTCTTGAATACGGGTGCTTTGGACGTTGACGGGCCTGACTCATCCTCTTCTGGATGTGAATGAGGCGGGGGCGGCGACATGATGATGCTGCTGCTACTGCTGAGGGTGGTGGATTGTGAGGCTCAAAGTGTGCCTCGACGGACTGCCGGCGGCGCTGCTCTCTGAGGCAAAGCGCACCCAAGGCGGACGGGCCGAGCGCGCCAACTCGATTGGCCGACTCTTGGAGGACCACAGAGTGCAATCGTCGCTTCCAACCATTCGCCACGATTCACCCTCTCTCGCAGCGACTGCAACGACAACGGCGCTGCGACGACGACGACGACGACGACCATCGCCGTCCTCACTCGCTTTGCTACATCGCGCTGCTAGGGGCTACCCACTCCATTCTACGCCCTCTACCGCGTCGCAGCATCGCAGCTCCGTCCTCGAATCCTCCTCGCTAGCCCTCTGCGCAGCCTTGTCCCCTACTGACTGCACTCGTACCGACATACATCGCCGAAGATGGACGACTTTGATGACTTCATGACTGCAGGAGGAGGAAGACCGCCACCAGAAGGAACTGCCTCCCATCGTCCTGCAGCCTCTCGTGGCCCCTACGGCACCAATTCCTTTGATCCATTCGCCAGCACCGACTCTCTTGGCCTCCCTCCATCTGGTAGCCAGCAGCAGCAGCGAGGAGGATCGTCACACGTCCTCGTCGACGCAGGCGAGGCGGATCTGCTTGGAGGCGAAGACGGATACAACCCGTCCAACTACTCGCGACCGAGCTACCAACAACGAGCCTCGACGTCCAAGTCTGGCTACCCACCCTCCATAGCCTCTTACGATGACCATCAACCGATGGGTGGCTCTATCAATCATCGATCTCCTTTTGACGCATCACAAGCCTCATTCCATGATGGCCCTCTGTCAAAGAGTGGCATGCCGCCAGCAGGCTCGTCCAATGGTCCCTTCCACGACGTCTATGCCGTTCGCTCAAATGCAGAAAGCAATTTCAAGAGTATAGAGGCAGATGACGATCCAGATTCACCTGGACAGCCGGAGGGACTCTCATACAGTTGGGGCCGGGGCGCTAGCGGCGGCGGTCGATCAGGAGCTCGCGACGGTGCTGCAGGCTCTAGACGGCCAGCTTCAAAGGGCTTCATGCCTTCAAGTGCTGCGGGCCAGTCGAGGTCACTTCCCTCAGACAGCGTCTTTGACGGCGCGAAGAGGTCATACCGCAATCTAAAGGAAGACATGCAAGGCCTGCTCAAGGGCAAGGCTGCGAGGAACAAGGTGCCAGAGGGCGAGAGAGTGGTTCGCCTCAATGACCCCCTGACCAACGACCGTGAAGGAGGCTTCAGAGACAATTACATCTCGACGAGCAAATTCAACATCCTCACCTTCATACCCAAGTTCCTGCTGGAGCAGTTCTCCAAGTACGCGAACGTCTTCTTCCTCTTCACCGCCTGCATCCAGCAGATCCCAAATGTTTCGCCCACGAACCGATGGACGACCATCGTGCCCCTGGGCGTCGTGTTACTGGCCAGTGCATTCAAGGAGATCAAGGAGGACGTCAAGCGCCACCAGTCGGATGCTGAGCTCAACGGGCGAATTGCTCAGGTGCTCAATCCTGCGACGGGGCAATTTGAGCCGCGAAGATGGCGTCACATTCGCGTCGGCGACATCATCCGCGTCGAGAGCAACGATTTCTTTCCAGCCGATCTCGTACTGCTAAGCAGCTCTGAGCCAGAGGGACTTTGCTACGTGGAGACGGCCAACTTGGATGGCGAGACCAATCTCAAGATCAAGCAGGCAAGCCCAGACACGGCCCGCTTGACGAGTCCGCAGTCAGCTTCAGCAATTCGTGGCCAGCTCAACTCGGAGCATCCCAACAACAGCCTCTATACCTTTGACGCCACGATGAACATGCAGTCGAGCAGCACGCCCGGCTTCAGCGGAATCCCGTTCAAAAAGGTGCCGCTTGGTCCGGACCAACTCTTACTGCGAGGCGCCCAGCTGAGGAACACGCCTTGGTGCTACGGTCTCGTCGTCTTTACCGGTCACGAGACGAAGCTCATGAGGAACGCGACAGCGGCGCCCATCAAGATCACGGCCGTCGAGAAGATGGTCAATGTCCAGATCTTGCTCCTTTTCATCCTGCTCCTCGCTCTCTCCATCGCCTCGTCCATCGGCAGTATCGTTCGCAACACAGCCTTCGCTGGCGAGATGAGGTACCTGCTCCTCAGCGAAGACTCCAAGGGCAAGGCTCGCGTCTTCGTCGAGGACATTTTGACCTTCATCATCGCCTACAACAACTTGATCCCCATCTCGCTCATCGTCACGATCGAGGTGATCAAGTACCAGCAGGCCATGCTGATCAACTCGGATCTGGACATGTACTATGCACCCACCGACACGCCTGCCCTCTGCCGCACTTCGAGCCTCGTCGAGGAGCTTGGACAGATCGACTACATCTTCTCCGACAAGACAGGTACGCTGACCCGGAACGAGATGGAGTTCAAGCAGGCGTCCATCGGAGGCGTGTCCTACACTGACGTTATTGACGAGTCAAAGCAGGGGACGGGCGACATTGGACCCGATGGCAGAGAGATCGGTGGTCAGCGTACTTGGCACGAGCTCAAAGCCATCATGGGTGGCACCATCCCGGATGACGGCAGTAGCGGCGTCATCGACGAGTTCCTTACCCTCCTCGCCGTCTGTCACACCGTCATTCCTGAGCGTCACGGCGATCGCATTAAGTTCCAAGCCTCCAGCCCAGACGAAGCAGCACTTGTAGCTGGCGCCGAGTCGCTTGGGTACCGCTTCACGACGCGCAAGCCGCGCTCCATCTTCATCGAGGTGCGTGATGTCGAGGAGGAGTATGAGATCCTGCAAGTGTGCGAGTTCAATTCGACGAGAAAGCGCATGTCCACCGTGGTGCGCTGCCCTGACGGCAAGATCAAGCTCTACTGCAAGGGAGCAGACACGGTCATTATGGCGAGGCTGAGCGAGAATCAGCCTTACACGGAGCAGACGCTCGTTCACCTCGAGGACTACGCGACCGACGGTCTGCGCACTCTTTGTGTGGCGATGAGGGAGGTCTCTGAGCAGGAGTACCGCCAGTGGGCCAAAGTATACGAGTCGGCTGCAGCCCAGATCAGTGGGCGCGCCGAAGCGCTGGACCAGGCTGCAGAAATCATCGAGCAGAACATGTTCCTCCTGGGCGCGACTGCCATTGAGGACAAGCTACAAGAGGGCGTGCCCGAGACGATTCACACGCTCCAGAATGCCGGCATCAAGGTTTGGGTCCTCACAGGCGATCGACAGGAGACGGCGATCAACATTGGTCTTTCCTGCCGGCTGATCTCCGAGTCCATGAACTTGGTCATTGTCAACGAGGAGAATGCACACGATACGGCCGACGTGCTCAACCGGCGCTTGCACGCCATCAAGAGCCAGCGCAGCGTAGGCGAGATTGAGGAGCTTGCGCTGATCATAGACGGCAAGAGTCTGACCTTTGCGCTCGAGAAGGAGATTAGCAAGAGCTTCCTCGAGCTGGCGCTAATGTGCAAGGCAGTCATCTGCTGCCGTGTCAGTCCGTTGCAGAAGGCGCTGGTCGTCAAGCTGGTCAAGAAGAACAAGAAGGCGTTGCTTTTAGCCATCGGGGATGGGGCCAACGACGTCAGCATGATTCAGGCTGCACACGTTGGTGTGGGTATCAGCGGTGTTGAAGGTCTGCAGGCGGCAAGAAGCGCCGATGTTGCCATCTCCCAATTCCGCTACTTGCGCAAGCTGCTCCTCGTACACGGCTCGTGGTCGTACACAAGGTTGAGCAAGATGATTCTCTACAGTGAGTGTACCGGCGAAAGGCATAGCTCGGCCGTCTATCTCGACGTCACGACTGACTCTCATCCGCATCGTACGCCCCCTCGCCAGGCTTCTATAAGAACATTACCCTCTACATGACTCAGTTCTGGTTTTCCTTCCAGTCCTCCTTCTCTGGTCAAGTTCCCTTCGAGTCCTGGACTCTCTCCCTCTACAACGTAGTCTTTACCGTCCTCCCTCCCTTGGTCATTGGCATCTTCGACCAGTACCTCAGTGCCCGAATGCTCGACCGCTACCCACAGCTGTACGGTCAGATCTTCTTCAACCGACGGAAGTTCTGGGGATGGACGCTCAATGCCTTCTACCATAGCTTGCTGGCATACATCTTTGTGACTGCAAGCTTTTGGACGTCACTGCAGAGTGGGGAGGGGTACACGCCTGACCTCTGGGTGTGGGGGACGACCCTGTTCATCGCTGTGCTGGCCACAGTACTGGGCAAAGCGGCGCTGGTCTCCGACTTGTGGACAAAGTACACATTTGCCGCTATCCCTGGCTCACTCGCCTTCACTCTCGCCTTCCTTGCTGTCTACATGATCGTAGCCCCAGCCATCGGCTTCTCAAAGGAGTACGAGCACCTCCTCGGAGCCGTGTACGGTTCTCCCCTCTTCTGGTTCTCACTACTCCTCGTCCCGGTGGCGTGTTTGGTAAGAGACTTCACTTGGAAGTTCTGGCAACGTACATGGAGGCCGGAGAGTCGACATATTGCCGCTGAGATCCAGAAGTACAATCTGGTGGATCATAGACCTAGGATGTCCGAGTTTCAAAAGGCGGTGCGCAAAGTTAGGGTGAGTACTGCGTGCGCGGCGTGGCAGAAGCGGGCCGTCTCAGAAGAAGCTAGACTGACACCCTTCCCTTGCCCCCTTTATCGCATCGCAGGCCGTACAGAGGATACGACGCACAAGAGGCTATGCGTTCAGCGGTGGCGAGCAGGGAGAGGAGGCCCGTCTCATTCGACTGTATGATACGACGCGGCCCAAGCCAGACGGACTTGGTGGTCATGATTGATATTGACGTGGCAAACGCGACGAAAGCGCAACAATGACGAACAATGTAATGCAATTGGTGTCTCACGAGCCCAGCGCCGGGTCCAGCCTGGTCTCGATGTCGTATTGCCCCGTCGTCGCCTTTGTCTTTGCCCTTCACGTTGTACGAGTTGAGCCAGGGTCCCTTGCTCGCTCGGTAGTTCACTCATCTGCTGCACGCCAGTGTTGATTTTCTGACTTGAGCTGACCCGACTCAGATCGCGTCGACGCGCCCCGCTCCGCTCAGGCTCAGGCTCTCTCTCCCTGCGCCCGCCCCGCCATCGCCTGTGTGTTGGTTGTGCTTTTGAATTGGGCCTCCGCCGCTCAGACGATGTAAACTCCACTCTACTCAACCTGACACCGGCTCGCTCGCTCGCTCGCTCGCACGCACCCAGACGGCGACCAGAACCTCAGGCTTGCTTGCTTTTGCAGCTGTTCACGCAGCCGCTCTTACCATCGTTACTACCACAACCACCATCTACCTACGCTCATCCACTCGTTACCACACGACTCAATCCCTACCCAGAACCGTACGAGTCGTCGTTGCGGCGGGATGTCGTACACTTCCTCACCCCCTTCGTCCCCCGACGCAAGCCGTGCTGCCATCTTGGGCGCAGCTACCAATGGCTGGTCTCCGCAGCGACAACACAAACGCGACTTCTTCAGCCCTCCTCCTTCTTCGTCTGAAGCTGGCGACATGATGAGCCCCACGGCCAGCCCGAGCCGCAACTTTGACCCCAAGGCTCTTCGCAGCCATGGCCTCGTATCCAATAGCATCTTCAAGCAGCCAGGTACCAGCAGCAGTGGGGCAGGTAGCAGCAGCCCTGCTTCGCCGACCAGACCAAGCGCTGGCATTGGACGCGGAGCATCGCCTGCTCCTAGCAGAATGGGAGTTGGGCTTGGCATCGGCGTCGAGCAGCAACGCCAACGCGCAGCCTTCATGCCGAGCAGGAGCTCGAGGGAAGAGCTGAGCAGTCTTGCTGGCCAAGAGAATGCTCATGCTAGCGCTGTTCCTCCTCGCAAGAGCCAAGCATACAGCATGCTCACAAAGAGCAATTACGTCACCAACAGCCCCTTCAAGTCCGGCAGCGGCCCTCATTCGCCAGACGGCGCTTCTACTTCACAACAGACTCGTCCTCTTTCCTTTGCAGCAGCAGAGCCGCCCACTACGCCTCCTCAGTCGCCTCGGGCCGAGCTCTTCTCAACTCCTCGCGGTCCAGCTCGCTCGCCTGCAAGCGGCACTCCCTCCGGACGCAGCAACCTGACCTCCAACCGACTTCACGGTCCTCGCCAGATGTCGTCATCAGGCTCGCCGACCAAAGCCAGCGAGGAGGCAGCTGTCAAGCAAGAGCGACGCAAGACGGTCACCTTCGACGAGGAGCCCGACGTGCAAGAATTTGACAAGGAGAGCAGCTTCGACGGACAGAGCCTTCGCAGCGGAAATAGCAACGGCTCGCTGCAATCTGAGGAGCGATACGGTAGCCAAGCTGAGGCCGACCGAGCCTACTTTAACAGCCAGCGTCAGCAGCTCACCGTCATGAATGGCAGCCCTAGCGAGTCAGCAAGCAGCCCAGAGATGCGAGAGCACGACATCCTCTCACTCTCCTCCGCAGACTCGCGCGAGATGTCCTCGTCCGAGGCATCCCTGCCTTCGAGCCCCGAGAGGTCTGCAGGAGCTCAGCTTGGAGGAGAAGGGGACGCCTCGTACGACAAGACGTGGGCTACCGCAGCCGATGAGACGGCAAAGGATGGCAGCTACCTTAGCCTCGGGGGCCTTCATCGCGTCGACAGCATGGTCGACGAGCTGCTGCAAGCCGACATCCTCACCACTCCGCCTCTCGAGGAGTCGCCGCCTCCTGCTCAGCAACAAGAGAAGCCCGTCAGAAGGGGCGCAACTCCTCGAACACAGCAGCGCGGGGCAGTAGAGGAAACCGCCGTGGAAAAACAGCTAAACCTTCCCAAGCCAGCTGAAGACCGTAGTCTGCCGACGCTGCCTAACTGGAGCCCAATCATGTTCGACTCAAAGGCTTTGCCTGACTTTGGAGGTGATGTCTCCCAGCAAGCAGAGATCGTCGCCCCATCGAGCTCGTCCAACACCCCCACGCCTCCGCCCGAGGTCCCTCAGCAACGTCGTCCAGGCGGGCGACCTCACATCTCGCGCGACGCTGTGCTGGAGCGCGTCGCGAAGGAGAAGAAGGCTCAGGCAGAGGCAGAGCAGAAGCACCAAGACGCGCTGCCTCAGCGCTCACAGGAAGCTGCCGACGTCTCTATGCCCATCTCCCGCACTCAGACGGAGCTCAACAAGGGTCGACCATCTGCACCAGCTGCCGTGGTTCGCGGACCGTCCAGTCACCCCGAGTTGGCCTCTTCTCGTCCAGAGCCATCGATGTACGAGTCAAAGCCGCAGCCGACGCCAAGCCCCGTTGAGGAGCACAAGGTCGGCGATATCAGCCCTCTTGATCGTATTGGAGGCGCGCTCGCCTTGACGACCGAGCCTGTCGCGGCAGACGACTCGGCCAATGCAGAGTCGCCCTGGTTCAACCCTCACCCATCGCCGGCCGCTGGGTCCTCGCAGGCTCAAGGCATCAAGCGCGAAGGGGCACCTGCTCATCTGGCTCTGCCTTCGTCGAGCTCGGAACAGGTCGTTGCCGCACCGCCAAGCCCTGCTCTCAGCACGCACTCGAACCTTGGCCCGCTTCCTCCAGCCATCACGCCGGAGCAGCACGCCGAGCAGATCATCGCGCGTCGTCGAAGCAAGAACAAGGGGCGAAGAAAGCGCAGCATGAGCACAGGAGACGCGGGCGTCACTCACGCTCGAGCCGCACGAGCGGCGGCGGCAGCGTCCGGAGCAAATGACGCCGAGAGCGCTCGCATGCCTGACGCGGACGAGGAGATGGAGGAGATGGAGTCGCTTCCCTCTGACCGCGCCAGCATCCAGGAGGACCTGCACAAGAGCAAGCTCATGCTTGACCACACTGTACAGAAGGCAGTTGACGAGGGCTTTGGCAACGGCTTGTGCCGCGACATCAGCCGCATCTTCCGAGACGGCGATTCGCCCTATAAGGTCAAGGATCGTGGGGCCTTCGCTGCCGCGTCCGAGGAGAAGATCTCGCATTCCACCACAGCAGGCGACGTTGATGCTGGCAAGGCATGGAGGAAGCTACGCCGCCCCTCTGACATCAATGAGTACGCCGAGGAGATGCGCGCCTACCGCGCCAACGAGAATCCCAAGAAGGCAGCAGGCAAAGTTTTCGTCATGGTCGACTCGTTCCTGCCCGCCAATCTGCCCGTCCCCGCGGTCCCCACCAAGTTCTTCTGCATTCTCGACAACGGCTTGCACGTCGTCAAGACTGGATTGAGCGAGCTCGGGTCGGCCTGCAATCCAATTGGCCAAGAGTTCGAGCTCATCCAGCACAAGAATCTCGAGTTCAGCCTCACCCTGTTTGTGCAGCAGGAGGATCCGCGCTCGGCCAGCCCAACGAAGGAGAAGAGCAAGACCGGCAGCATCACCAAGAGCTTCATGAGCCGCTTGCTCCGCAGCCCGAAGAAGGGCAAGTACCATGACCACGGCGACGAGCAGCAGAATGGCCAATCATCCATGGCCGCCTTCACCAACCGCGAGGGTGCCTTCGGTCGCGTGGACCTCGTCTTCGAGACGGTCGCAGCCAAATGCTTGGGCAAGGCCCTCGTTGTCGACCTTCCCGTGCACGGCGTAGCAGACCCTGTCTCGAGCATCTCAGGGCACGCCTCGATCAACTCTCGTCGCCATGCGGACTTCTCGCGCAATCTCAGCCGAGCGCGCGGCCACCTCCGTCTCAAGCTCTTCTACCTCCCTCCCATGCCCAGCGTGCCTAAGAAGCTCCTCCCCGAGAACTTGCGCGAGTGTCTGCTCGGCATGGAGGCGGCCCAGTGGCAATCCGAGCCTCGTCTCTCCGGCATCCTCACACAGCAGGGTGGTGACTGCAGAACGTGGCGACGACGCCCCGTCAAGGCGCAGGGATCCTTCCTGATCTGCTACAACGATGTCACCAAGCGACCCACAGTCAAGATCGACATCAGCAAAGCCAAATCGATCGACGAGTCCTGGGACCCGTATGACCCGAGCCTGCTCAAGGGCCAAGATGGCAAGATGGCCTCGCGCAAGAGCATGGCTGCAAAGTGGAACGCGGACGAGGAGCCGGACGAGTCTTATCATGTGCCGAACTCTTTCCGGGTCACATTTGCGGATGGAGAGGTCATCTCCTTCTTCGCGGACACGGACGAGGAGCGCAAGCTCTGGGTCAAGGAGCTCAAGGCTATGATTGAGAGTCAGAGGGGGCAGGCGCCCATGTGGGCGCAGGTGGCGTGGGATATTGTGCGGGGCGTCGAGGCAAGGAAGAATGCCCCGTCTGCAAGCGGTAGCAGCTCTGCTTCGACCACAGCAATGAGTCGCCAAAGCAGCCAGCTCACGACGACGTCTGCGGCTCCGAGCACCAGCTCATCTAACAGCGGTGCTAGCGCTTTGGGTCCGAGCGGCTCGAACGGCAAGCTCTTTGCCAACAACAAGGTCCCGCCCACGGTGACCGAGGAGCCCGCTATACCCCCGCCCGCCCGCTCTGCAAGCCCAGTGCGTCGCAAGCCACTTCCAAGCACGGCGGATGGCTTGGCTCGCTCTCCTCTGCCAAGTACAGTCCCATCAAGCGCCACGCCTCGACGTGCACCAACCACTCCTGTGCCCAAGACCCTCGGCGCCGGCGGTGGGGTCCCTGCTGGCATCCTCCGGCCAGGGCAGATCTTCAACTCCTCCACGCCTATGCAGCAACAACGCTCAGCTATGGCCTTGGGCACTCCTGGCAGCGCCGCGAGGCCGAACATGCCTATGCGCCCGCAATCGGAGCTGTTCACGCCTGTGAGGAAGCAGAGCGTTGCCTTTGGGCAGCAGCCGCAGCGTCGCGTTTGAGCTGCTGAGCTGGTCCAAGTTGTGGACACTCTACTTCGATTTCATCAAATCCTCTTGAACATTTCCTTCCCCTTCACCTCTTCGACTTCCACACACACCGTATATTAACTCTTGCGGAAACGCATCCACCCCGACCATCCTCTCCTCTTCTCACCATCTCGTAGCCTCGTCTCTTCTCGTTGTCTCGTTCCAGTTGCGCACGTTGTAGTCTCTCGATTTCTCAAAGTGGCCCTTCGCGTTTCTTGTCATTCGGTCCGATCCTATCGCAGAGAAATTCAATCTCGTTGCGAGCATATGATGAGAGGTGATGTGGTTGGGGGGTGCGCGTGGCTGAGCCAGACCGAGAAGAAAAATCAGCTTGGCCCATGCGCGTCCGGTTGATTGAGACGAGATGAGATGACCGAGCGGAGATCCCCGAGGCCGCTCAAGAATATCAAGCAGTCGCTCGTCCGCCTGCTTTCTCCTTCCCTTTCGACCATCAGCATCGCAGCATCAAGATGGATTCTTCGACCACAAAATCATTGTCACCAGACTCGAATGAACCCCTATTCCTGGGCATCGACGTCTCGACACAAAGCACCAAGGCCTCGCTCCTGTCATCCAGCCTCGAGCTCCTCTCCGAGCTCGCAATCAACTTCGACCGGGACCTTCCCCACTACAAGACCAGCGGCGGGGTCCTGACCGGCTCGGCCGGGTCAGGCGAGATCCATAGCCCTGCTTTGATGGCGGTTGAGTCGCTCGACCTCCTGGCAGAGAAGATCTTGGCCGCCGGCTGGCCAACACAGAGAGTCAAGGCAGTCAGCGCTGCTGGGCAACAGCACGCCAGCGTGTACTGGTCGCGAAGAGCTCCCGAAATGCTGCGCTCTGTAAACGGCAGCAAAAGGCTTGTGGATCAGCTTGGTTCACAGGCCTTCTCTCGTGCCGTGATCCCAAATTGGCAGGACTCCTCTACGACAGCAGAGTGCAAAGCCTTTGAAGCGCATCTTGGGGGACCGACCGCCCTGGCGAAGATTACAGGGTCAAAGGCATACGAGCGCTTTACTGGCCCGCAGATCATGAGATGGAGGCGGGAGGAGCCGGAAGCGTATGAGCAGACAGAACGCATTGGGCTGGTGAGCTCGATGGTCACTACGCTGCTGTGTGCAGGAGGAGATGGGCAGGACGGAGAGGAGATCAAGGGGATAGACGAGAGTGATGCCTGCGGCATGAATCTTTGGGACCTCTCCACGCCGAAGAGAGGTTGGAGTCGCCCGCTTCTCGAGCTTGTCGCCGGCGACGATGCAGCTGCGGCGGACGAGCTCGCTCGCAAGCTAGGCGCGGTCGAATCGGATGGCGGCCGAATCGTAGGGCGTATTGGCCGCTGGTGGCAGGAGAAGCTCAACTTCTCGCCAGACTGTCTTGTCTGCCCCGCTACAGGCGACAATCCGGCCACCTTGCTGTCCCTCGCCCTCGCACCACGAGAGGCAATGGTATCGCTGGGCACTTCAGACACTCTGCTCATCCCCGCGCCGTCCTTCGAGCCTTCTGAAGCTTTCCATGTGTTTTACCATCCAGCTAGGGTGGCAGGAAGGAATGCTAGCGAGAGCGGAGAGGGCGAGCAGGGGGAGGTGGTCGAGACGTCCAGCCGATACTTCAACATGCTGGTGTACAAGAACGGTAGCTTGGCTCGCGAAGCAGTCAGGGACAAGTACTGCGCTTCGTCCTGGCAGGAGTTTGATAGGGCTGTGAGGTCGGCTTGGCCTGCGAGGGGTAGCGCACCGCAGCATATGGGCTTCTACTGGTTCAAGGAGGAGATTATTCCACCTAATGCCAAGGGTGTGCACCTCTACACATCAAGCAAGGACAGTCAGTGGAGTAGTGCGGAAGAATTCGAGGCACCCGGAGCGACGCATCCCCACTCGATAATCAGCTCGCAGCTACTCTCTTTCAAGAGTCGCGTCGGTGCCATTCTCCACGAGAACGCCGGCGGTGACAACGAAGGTGGGCTGGTCCGCATCCACGCAACAGGTGGGGCCTCCTCCAACCAGACCCTCCTGGAAACGATGGCCGACGTGCTAGCCTGCCCCGTCGTCCGTCCGCAGCAGCAGGGCAACGCATGCAGCGTCGGTGCGGCGCTGAAGGCTAGGTGGGCGTGGGAAAGAGCAACGAAGCCTGGCAGGGAGAGGGTGGCCTTTGATGTGTGTGTGGAAGAGGCGCGCAAGGAGGGCGAAGCAGCAGAGCAAGGAGGGCAGAAGGTGAAATTGGCTGCTGAGCCTGATGAGGCGAGGACCGACTGCTGGAGGCGCTTCCTGCCTACGTGGGAGGAGCTGGAGAGGAGGGCGCTGCGAGGGGAGTGATCGCGAGGCGCGGCGAGAGCAGTCTTTCTCTATTGATTGTTTGCTGTATCCTGAGGCTTGTAGAGTACACAAGTTGCCATGGCGTTACCGCAGTGCCCACATCTTCACCGCATAGAGCTCCTGCGGGAATCCCATCTGCGTCTCAGCCCTAATGGTCGTCAGTCCTGCCTCCCTAAACACTCTTTCATACGCCTGAGTGGATCGAGTGATACTCTTGTCCTCTTCATCCCACCAAACCCTCTCGCTGCCATCTTCCATCTCAGGGCATACATTCTCTTTCACCACGATGACCCCGTCCTCTGGTACCAAACTCGCTTTAGCGCGGGCGAAAAAGGCGAGAAGATCCGGGTCCGAAAGGTGCTGCAGCATCCATTGGCACCACACTACGTCGTATTGGAGGGGCTCGGGTGGTGGTGAGGGTGGTTCTGCCGACTGGCCTTCCTCCGACGGGCTGTACGTTGGGGGCAATCGGCGGGCGCTGCTCGGGCCGGCGTCGTCCGTCTTGACCCTCTTGGCTGACGAGCTTCCCTGTGCCTTACTCTCGCCCTGGTCTGCCACGTAAATGCCCCCATCAGCTGAACTCCACGGCCTTGCCGGGTCGAGGGCCTGAAGCGTGCTCAAGTGAAAGTGAGCAGCCTTGCGAGCGTGGAAGGGCTGCTTGGAAGGAGGAAGGGTAAGAGATTGCCAGCTTGAGGAGAGGCGGGCCGCTTCTGCCAGGAACTGAGAGGGTGATAAGGAGAACCGATCAGCGAATGCGGTCAATAAGATCACGACTCGCAGTGTTTGCTTACATGCTCAACTGGCTCGGTCACATGGACCTCATCCACTACTCTGAGCAACACCGTCTCGGTGACCCTTCCTACCCCAGCACCACAATCTAGCGCCCTCGTCACAGTCTTCCCCTTTCCACCCCTCTGTTCCATTTTCCTCTTTTGCCACTCGACCGGGTCATCCGTCACAGGCGGGACAGCGCTCAATCTCGGCAGGACGGAGAGGAGGAAGGACCGTGATCCAAGGGCATCGACGCGAGGCAGGGTTCCTGTTCCAAAGCCGCCAAGAACACCATCCACTGTTGCTGGTACCGTCTTCCAGTAGTCTATCCCGCGTACCACATCGGGTACAGTTGGTTGCGCGGGCTGCTTCTTGCGCATCTGAGGCTGGTTGAGGAGAGGAAAGGAAGAACTGAAGGAAGTCCAGAGAGCAAACGGAAGGGGAGAGTCGACCTCGACTGGACGCGACGTCGAGTCCAGTTCCGTCGAAGCAATCGATGGAGCTTCCCTCCTTCTCCACTCGACCTCTAGGCGACTACTGACTGCTTCATTGCAGCTCATGGTTCAGTCATTGAAGCTTGCGCTGGAGCCTCCTTCCTCAAATCCGTCCACAAAGGATGTCGCAGCCCTTCAGCCGCTGTCGCAGCGGTTACACAGACTGTGGACCGAGAGGGGCGACTTTTCCAAGTTCTCACTAAAGGACCTGCGGGATGAGGAGGATGATGATCAGGCAGAGGCGACCGGAGAACAGGATGCTACCAATGGTGTCGGAGGCGCAATCAAGATCGGTTGGGCTCATGGGGAAGAGGACCGCGACAAGGGTGCCGCGAGCAAGGTTGACGACGAGCACGACGCACAGGCGGCAGACAAGGACGCTGGCTCCCTGCTAGACACCAGACCGATGAGCATGGAGGATTTTGTTCAGCTCAAAGAGGAAATGATGGGTCGGCTTCAGATCGCCCAACAATCTCTGTACTCCTCGCAGGCACTCGTCAGCCTCCTCGTCGCAGGGCATCGATCACGCGCTTCGCTCCTTCAGCAAGGACACCTCGACCCAGCAAAGGCTGCCACATCGTCCAATGCAGCTTCAAGGGCCCCATCACCTGGCGCAGTCTCTTCAACGGCGAGTGAGAGCGGCAAAGCCACGCCCGCTAAGGGACAGCCTGGTCAGGCTTCTCAACAGCCACAAGGGCCTCCACCAGGGAGCGCGGCAGCTGTAGAAGCCGAATTCGGCCTCGAGCCAGCGAGTGTGGCCCTCACGGCCATTGAGCGTATCGAAGTCAAGGAAAAGCAAAGATCACAAGCAGCACCCGGAGATGAGGATGACGAGGATTTTGCAGAGCGAGAGCGACAAGATCCTGCAGGCAATCTCGAGTTCTCCAACGAGGCAGAGCGGGACGAATATGCAAGGAAGACGCAGCTTGTTCTTGCACAAAAGAGACAGACGATGCGGAGCGTGGTGAACATCTTGCGAACAGGAGCAAGGCTTCTGGATGATGACGATGGGCGAGGCGATGCAGGGGAAGCCTCGACCTCGACCTCGGCGACCTCTGCGACCCGCCATCACTGGTCCACCCTCCGGGAAGCGCAAGCCCGCGGCTGGGGCATCACGCCAGGTCGACCCGGTCGATCGCAATATCAAGCGCAGGTGCAACGGGCGGATGAGGGAGAGCAGGACGCTTGGATCGGCTTTGCCGTGCCTGAGGCGCGGACGGCATATGCGAGGAGGGGGCTGGCTTATGTTGCCAGAGATGCTGGAGAGAAGGAAGATAAGGATAGCGAGACCGAGGAGAAAGATGTCAAGAAGCCAGAGGACTCAAAGCCGTCCGCTTCGGCGCCAACGTCATCGGCCGTCAAGCTCACTTTCTCTTCGCGGGTCGCGAAGCGCTTCAAAGTCTCGCTGGTCACGCTTGACACTGAGGGAAAGGTGCTCAGTCGCTCCGCCTCCACGCTCCCAGAAGACGATGCTGAGGACAACGAAGTGCAAGGTAGCATCGACGCTCAATTGCGACAAGCACAGCGCGAGCTCGTCGACCGGGAGCTCTTCGAGGACGTAGCCGCCGAAGCGCGCTTGCTGGCATCGCAAGGGGTGGTGAGCTGCGAGAGCTCGGACGACTCGGTGCTTGTGAGGCTGGCGGGGAATGCTGCTGCTTCGACGTCTAGATTGGAGACTGGACTCAAACGGCACGGTACGCTTGCTATGCGCCTTGAGATGGTCGATTTTGATGCCTCGAAAGAGGAAGGCAGCGAGGAAGGCGAAAGTGCGCGAGAGCCCGAGCCCGCCCGCTCGGCGTACGTCTCTCTCATGTCCACCCTCATGCGTCTGGGTCTTGTTCGCCGCTACCAAGAACGAGCAACAGCAGCAGCCTCCGCCGCCCGAGCAGAAGCTGAGAAGGAGAGGGAGAAGGACAAACCTCGCAAGCCCCCCGGAGACGCAGCATCTTCAGCTTCGAATGCAGGTAGCAAGAAAGCTGGCGCTGCCTCAAGCCAGCCCGAATCGTCAAGTACGCAAAAGCGCGCCCGTCTCGACCCCTGGATCCATGCGCCTACCCTCATGCCGCTCGTGGCGCTGTTGCACTACAGCTCCTTCCTCTTCCACGTCCGAAGCGTTGTTCAGCAGGCACTGCACAGCGCTTCCTCCCCCGCGGCAGGAAGCAAAAATGAGCAGGACTTGAAAGGAGAGCTCGAAATGCACCCCGCCCAGAGTATCGCCAATGCGGCTGTTTGGATGAAGGATCTACTCTATGCCCCAACAGCTGCGGGCCAGGCCGGCCAGGCGGTCAGCGGTGAGGGGCCAGGTGAGCCCGCGGCCGCACGAGCTATCCGCTCGTTGAGGGGAAGTGCGACGGTAACAGTCGAGGTACCTGCTGAGCCTCAGCTTGGCGACGGCGAGGGAGCCTCCGCTTCAGCCACGCGGAAGATTGTCCTTGCGCACCTGACCCTCTCGTACCCGTCACATCTATCCGTTCAGCTGCCCTGGCGATCCACCCTCAGCGGGTCGCTCGGCGTCACGATGCATGGCGTCGAGGTGCATGGGAAGGGGGAAAGAGCACTGCATGGTCTGTTGGTGGAGGAGCTGCGTGGTGTGCGACGACGTAGCGTGACAGGTGGATGACGACGTGAGGAATACCATTTGCATCAACCTGGCGCGTTACTCTGATCCGGCACCTCCTTGCGCACCCTCTGCTCCCTCTCTCTCCGCGCGTTTCTTTTCCCTCTTCTTATTCACCCTCTCTCGTCTCGCTTCCTCCTTCTTCCTTTCAGCACGAGCCTCACGTTCTCGCTCTTGTTCGAGGAGGTGCCGCGACCAGGACGAAGGGAGGGCAGAATCGCTTAGACCTTGGAGGCGACCTGTCGACGCCTCGGGCGCATTCGGCTGTTCTGCGTCGGTTTGCGTCTGCTGGCGTGAAGGAGATACGTGAACCGGAGGTTGGAGCGAGGCTGCTGGCTCCTCCTTCCTGTCTTCTTCCTCCTCGCCGTCACCGAACCAGTCGCGCTTGCCTGAAGCGCTGAGAGCAGGCAGAAGGGGTAAGTCGGCTGCGTCTTTGCCGCGAGCGTTCGGCTCCACAGCTTTGGACCGCCGCTCCTCGTCATCTTCATCGTCGTCGGCGTCCAGCCCAGTCCATCTTCCCGCGTCCGCAAAGATGTCTTCCTCTTCTTCGTCAAGGTCGTCTGCCTGATTTTGACGTGTGTGGTTGCTACCGTCCACGTCGTCTGCTCCGGACGACACAGGCTGATCTCTCTTCTCTCTGACAGCAACAGACGCCGGAGCGCTTTCATGCTCCTTTGCGGGTGTTTCCGAGGTGGAGACAGCACCGGAGCCTTTCTTCAGCTGACGAGGCGCGAAGTCCCTCTTGGATGGAAGCGGCGCCGGCGGAGCAGGCTTGGTCGCTACGGCAGGCCTCGAGGACGGTGATGACGGCGACGGCGCCGAAGAAGATGAGACTGCAGCATTGGATGGAGCGATAGTAGCAGCCGGCTTGACTGGCTCTCTTGCACCATTTGCTGTCGGCCCGTCTGCCGGCTTCTTGACCTTCTTGCGCAGTCTCTTTCCATCCTTTGTAATGATGACCTTCTCCAGCTGGCCACTCGTGCCTGCTCCAATCGGCTTGAATTTGGAAAGATGCCTCTGTCTTTCCTCCTCGGCTTCGCGCTGCTTTCGTAGCTCCTCGCTGAGCTGAGGCTGCGGTGGTGAGCTAGCGTCTCCGCGGTCAAGCTTGCGCCGCTTCAGGGCATCGAGAATCTCCTGCCGGGAGCGCTTCGCCGAGGATGCTGATGACTTTGACGACTCAGCTTCGCCAGGTGACTGCCTAGCGCCTGCATATGCTTGCTCCAGATCATCGTCCTCTTCCCCTCTTGCACCGCCAGCCTTGGCCCTCTGCTGCGCAAGAAGCGCATAATCCAGCCCTTTCACCAAGATGGAATGCTTTGCATCTCCACCCAGGAAGGCCATCTGCTCCTCGACCTCCCGTCTCTGCTCCTCGGTATCAGCCGCTAGCCACTTCTGTCTCCACTCCTCATGCAAAGCGCGTACGCTCGCCGCTTCCTCGTCATCCTCTCCCGGTTCGCGCCCTTCGCGCCGGGCAGCAGCGCGATCTACGTAGGCTTCCCCTGTGGCGCTGTTCCACTTTGGGCCGCGTTGCTTAGGTTGCTCGTCTTCAACATTGGTATCTGCGTCTTGCGAGGGGCGATGCTTGCGATAGTCGTCGTCGTCGTGCTGACTGAGAGCGGCCTGCGGACGTGGACGTGGACGCTTCTGCGTAGACCCAAAGGCTGCTCGCGGCGCGCCAGACGAGGATGAGGCGCCGGACGAGGAGAGGAGGCTGCGAAAGGCTTCCTGATCCATGCCTGCGAGAACGATGGCTGCGCCGTAGTAAGTGCGAAGGCAACCTTTCTTTCCGTTGGCTCTGCAGGATGCGCCTCGTTCGACTCCACTTGTCCCTTGCCGCCCAAAACGAGACGACGCCCCGGCCGATGGCGGACTGAGCGTCGTGCGAGCGCTTGCCTCGCACCTCGAAAGGCCACGAAGGTGTGGAAAGGTACGGCACACGAGAACTTGTCTTCCTTCTCTTCACTCGATATCACCGCGAACGACACTCACCCATCATGGCACCAAAGGGTGAGCAGCCGGACGTTCACCATCGAGAGACGAGTTAGCTCATCCCTCCTTCCCGCCACCTCTCGCCCCAGGCAACTCAAAAGCAGCAGCCGGCCGAGCCCGCAAGGAGGACGCCGCCAACGCAAAGGCAGCTGCAGCTAACGCCAAGGCCGAGGAAGCAGAAGCGGCAAAGTGGGAGCAAGGAGCAAAAGGTCGCTCCAAGGCGGACGACAAAGCATCAAAGGCAGCCGCAGCAGCAGCAAAGAAGGCTGAGCTTGACCGTCTCAAGCAGGAGGACGAGGCAGACCTGCCCAAGACGGTCAAGGCAAAGGGAGGAGCTGGAGGAGGTAAAGCAGCCAAGTCTGCGCCTGCCAAGTCTGCAGGGCCTCCCTCAGGCTTGGATGATGCCATTCAAAGCTTCAGTGCGAGCAATATCGATGACGCCATTGGCGCGTTGAGTCTGACGGGGGAGAGTACGGCCAAGGATAAGGTCGGGGCTAAGGCTGGGATGATTGACGCGCATCCCGAGAGGAGATTCAAGGTGAGCAGCAACGACACCAAGCTGACCTTGCTGCCTCTCACATCTCCCTTCCCTGCCCCTCTGCTCGCTCGCAGGCCGCCTTTGAAGCGTACAAAGAGGCAGAGATGCCCCGCATCCGTCAGGAGCGACCAGGACTGCGCAAGCAGCAGTATGAGAATGAGCTCTTCGAGGAGTTCAAGAAGTCGCCTTCAAACCCCTTCAACCAGATCAACGTTAGCTATAATGCTAGCCAGGAGGAGAAGGTGGCCGCATTGCAGAAGCAGAGGGATACCTTGGCCAAGAGGTTGGCAGATTGAGCGAGGTACAGTAGAGAGAAGATGGGCAGGCCCATGGAGTTGAGTCGGATTCACGCCGATAACTTAGAGAAGTGAAAGGGATGCTCAATTCTAATACACTATCACAAGCAGACAAGAAGCAAAGTGCCCTACGCCGCCCCTTCTGGCGCCACACTCACGCAATGTGCCAGTCCAACTTGTCGCTCCACCCCTTCTCCTTGAGCGCTGCGCAGATCTGCTCAACATCCTTGTCTCCCCTGCCTGACGCGCACCCGACAATATCCGTGCCCTTGGGCATCTTCCTCGCCTCATTGACAAGCGCGAAAGCCATATGGCTCGTCTCGAGCGCAAGCACAATGCCCTCCTTCTCACACACCAGCCTGAAAGCACGCAGCGCATCCTCGTCGGTGGCGACCGTGTACTCTGCGCGGCCGGAGTCTTTGAGGAAGGCGTGCTCTGGTCCAACACCAGGGTAGTCCAGCCCAGCAGAGATGGAGTGGGTTTCGGTGATTTGCCCGTCTGGTGCCTGAAGAAGGTACGTCTTAACGCCATGCAGGACGCCCGGAGTGCCCTTGCTCAGCGTCGCAGAGTGGCGGTTGGTGTCTACCCCGTCTCCGCCCGCTTCAACGCCGATGAGGCGGACGGACTTGTCCTCAACAAAGGGATGGAACATGCCGATTGCGTTCGACCCACCACCCACGCAGGCTACTACGGCCTCGGGCAGCTTGCCGCGCTTCTCCTGCATCTGCTTCTTGGTCTCTGCGCCGATCACTTGCTGAAACTCGCGCACGATGCTGGGGAACGGATGGGGACCAATCGCCGAGCCTACGATGTAGTGCGTGTTGGACAGGTTGGTGACCCAGTCGCGATTTGCCTCATTGATGGCGTCCTTGAGCGTCTTCGACCCGCTCTCGACGGCGACGACCTTGGCGCCAAGCATCTTCATACGGAAGACGTTGAGCGCTTGCCTGCGCACATCCTCTGCGCCCATGTACACGACGCACTCCAGGCCGAATTTGGCGCAGGCCGTAGCAGTAGCAACACCGTGCTGCCCCGCTCCGGTCTCTGCGATGATCCTCGGCTTACCCAATCGCTTAGCGAGGAGAGCCTGTCCAATGGCATTGTTGATCTTGTGCGAGCCAGTGTGGTTCAAATCCTCGCGCTTGAGCCAAATATTGGCCCCGCCCGCATATTCGGTGAGACGCTCAGCGAAGTAGAGTTCGGAGGGGCGGCCGATGTACTCGTAGTGGGACTCAAACTCTTTCCAGAAGGCGGGGTCGGCCAGAGCATCGAGGTAGGCTTTCTCCAGCTCGGCGTGACAGTCGTAGAGGGCTTCCGGGACGTATTGGCCTCCGAACTTGCCGAAGCGAGGAGGGCGGAGCACACCCTTGGAGTCGGGGACTGGGTCGAGGCCGGGAATGGGAGGGCGATCGCCATTGACTACGCCATCGAGCTTAGGTGTGGGGATCGAGTCTGGAATGTCAATTGCGTCCTTGATGCGGAGCGGCTGAGAACGCTGAATGCCGCCGGTCTTCTTTCCTGTAATTGAGGCGCAGTAATCCTCACCCGCCTTGGCTCGCTCTGCAGTAGAACCTGGTGCATCACGCAGGACTGCGACGAGCTTGCTGCCGATGACGACTCCGTCCGAGTGTTCGCCGACTTCGACGAAGTGCTCGCGCGTGGCGACACCAAAGCCGACGGCAAGGTAGGCGTTGCTAACCGTGCGAATGCGGTTGAGCATCTCGGGAAGGGACTGATTGACGGTGTTGGAGACGCCGGTGACGCCCATCTTGGAGACGACGTAGATGAACGAGTCGGCGAGCTTGGCCAGATGCTGAGTGCGCTTAGGAGTTGTTGACGGGGCAATGAGGGGGATGAATGACATGCTGGTGTACGATGGAAATGACAGGGTAAAGTCAGCATTGCAATAGAGCAGTAATTTGGGCTCGACCCGTACTCACCCCTCCTTTGTGCAGCAAGCACGGAAGTCCTCTGCCTCCTCAGGCGGCAAGTCTACTACGATGAAACCATTTGCTCCCGCCTCCTTGGCATCAGTGACAGCCTTCTGCTCTCCATGAGCCAGAAGAGGGTTGTAGTATCCCATGAAGACGACTGGCGCTTTGAGGCCGCGCCGTCTTGCCTCGCTGACGTATCCCAAGCACATTTTGTAATTGACGCCCTGCGCCAGTGCGACTTCATTGCTGCGCTGAATGGCAGGACCATCTGCCTGCGGGTCAGAGAAGGGCACGCCGAGCTCAATGATGTCTGCACCCCCTGCCTCGAGACCGAGGAGGATGTCGACGGTGTCCTCCTTGGCAGGGAAGCCTGCGGTTACGAAAGCCACAAAGGCCGCCTCGTTCTGTGGGAGAGTGGCAGAAGACAGTGTGAGCCAGGCGTTCTGTCTACGATACACGTCGTCTACATGCGCCTACGCACCTTGTCAGCTTTCGCCTTGAACGTGGCCTTGATATGCTCTGCCATGGTCGTGAGATGATGGTGGTGGTGGAGAAGGAAGAACGAGTCAAGCGACCGGATAAGCCAAATGTCGGAGTTGCTGACGTCAGCCAATGCGGCCAGAGTGTGGCGCCGCTCAGAGCCGCACCGCTCCAGACGTCAGAGAGAGCCTGTGTCTTCCTGCGGGGGCGACGCGGCAACGGACCAACCAAACCAACACCACCTGCCACATCACCACCTTACACCATCGCCAAGCAGACCGTGGCAGCCGCTACCGCCATGGACGATCGCACCGCGCTCGCTGCAATCAAGCGCCGCCTAGACCATTTCGAACGCGATCCCAGCGTGCTGAGCTCGCAAGACACTCCCGCCCTCAGTTCCCTCGAAGTCCGCCTCACCAAGTTGCGAGCCAACTCGAACATCGCACAATCATCGCTCCCGGCCGAACTAGATCAGCTGATCGCTCGGACACAAAGACTCTCGCGCAATGTCGCGGCGGCGCAGGCATACGGCAGCGACGAAGACGAAGGCCAAGACGACGACGACTATGATGTCCTCCACCTGAGCCCCTCGGCCATCGCCCGCCAACTTCAAGAGAGCATTGCGAGCCAGCATCTGGCCACCATCACACTACCGCCCACGCCCAAGCTAGTCGTCAATGAGGATCCACATCCCTCTGCTCCGGGCGACGACCCTGAGAAGCGCCGCCTCGCGCTCGAACAGCGCGAAGACGACATTTCCGAGTACGAACAAGGAGCAGCGGTTCGCAGGAGGCAAGGCTACATGCGCGACGAGGATGGCGACCGCACTGAAAAGGCCCCAACAACATCCGAAAAGCCCTCGTCGTCCTCTGCGCCATCGCAACCCCTCCTCTCGACCGAGCGCACAACGCAAGAAGCCCTCTCCAACGAGCTCCTCCGTATGGCCTCAGTCCTCCGCTCACAGACCGTCTCCTTCTCCGACGCCCTCGAGCGTGATCGAAAGCTCCTCGAGTCGGCCGACGAGAAGCTCATCCAAAATATGGACGTCATGACGAGAACGCGCGGCAAGTTGGGCGAGTATGCGCAGCAGGCTAGAGGGATGGGATGGTTCACCCTAGGCACCGTCCTTATGGTTGTGGTAACGTGGGTGATCATGTTTGTGGTCATTAAGTTGACTTGATTGCGCAACAAGAAGAGAAGGAATGGCAAAGGGTGGAGCCTTGCCGATCTAGCGATCCTCGACGCGAGCCAGTGAAGGCAGTGATTGATCTGATCAATGGACGGGCGGATTCCTAATCCGGAGAGCCCCATCGGCGACTCACCTGATCAGCCCAACAACTTCATCTCGAAGGGACGCCCTCGGTCAAAAGAAGCGAGAAGATCTCACTCGTTTGTGACGCACCACAAATGATGAGATGCGCTGCAAATCCCCCGACAGCATCGACCATCATTTCATGTCTCAGGGACGCCAAGAGGGAGAGAATTGAATCTCATGAGGGGCTGTATGACGCTGGGGCTCTCTTGTACGTACGCGCACGCATACGCATGCGCAGTGGGAAGCAGGCACATCAATTCTCATCACATCCCGCGATCTGGTCCTGTCTTGACCTCTTTGGTTGCATATGTGGACGACTTTCTAAGTTCGATGGTCTTCACAGTCGCATTGGAGGCTGCTGCGAGTGCGAGACGTAAAAGCCTCAGTAGCGACGAGGGAGGCGGCGCACGGATGCAGACGAGGCGACAGACGGTCATCATTGCGGCTACGGCGTCTGCCGACGGGGTGCTAGCTCGCACGACGCTAGCGACAAGCTTTCGAACCAGCGAGCCGTAGGAAGGCAGGTCACCGTTTGCACCATCCGATCGGCAACGGCGGCGGCGGCGTTAGCAACGAAGGCGGCCAAGGTGGCAACGCCCGACGGCGATCGCCCATCCAGAAGCCAAAAGCTGCCCGACTGCGCTGCCGGCCACGCCTTGCTCGCAAAGATTGGCTCATTCGCCTTAAGGCCGCCCATAAGCTGCTCCGCCGGCTCCGTCAATTGTATCGTTACTTCAATGTGACGTCGCGCCGACTTCTGTTGTATGTTCATTTTACTCCACGCCTTGCCGTGCGCTGTCGTTTCCTTTACCGCGGTCAAGCCGCGGTACACTGTAAAGAGGCTCTGTTTCAAAGCAAGATTGGTCCGCGCGATGGGCTGGCAAATCGGGTGGCTGGTTGCAGCAGCAGCTATGGGCATATTGCATCACAACATGAGACAGTGGAGAGCATGAGGTAGTCAATCGCCGTGGTGTGTGATATGGGCTGTAGCCAGCAGGTTTTGCTACGATTTCGAGGCGGCCTGCGAAGATGGCGAGCGACTAGCGAAACAAGCGACACTGTGGTGATACCTCGCGTCTTCGTACCATCGCCATCGCTTGTGACCTGACGCCTCTGATTTCGCTCTTTTTTTTCAGGTGGCTGGCACCAGCGATGCAAATTGCTGCCCGAATGCTTCATTTGACGAAGAGATATCCAGCCTTGGTCCGCAGGACTGCACGATTCTCTATCCATCGTACGAGGGGCTCAAGCCCACACTCACGGGAGCGTGCTTGAGTGCCCTAGCAGCCTTCTGACAAATTGTTGTCCAGAAGAGGGCAGTGGCGCCGGCGACGGAGGATTCCTCTCGCAGGAGATGCAGAAAACCTGCGCATGTTGCCTCGCAACGCGCTTGGAGCCAATCTCTCCTCTACGGCGCGGAGGTCCAGCCCGCATTCAGGAGGATGCGTGGGGCCATAGACGAGAGGATGGCGAAGATCGATCGACCGGAAGGGAGAGCGAGAGCTTTCTCCGATTGGAAACGGCGAAAGCGCAGTACGAGCAAATTGAGACCTCTCCGGCTCCTGCTCGTGCTACCACCTTCAATATGCGCTGCACGCCCTCTTGCTCGTTTCGGGTCCTGACTGTCTTTACATCGCTCCTTCTCCCAACATTCAATTTCCTGCTCCTCTCGCACGTCGTCGCTTGTGCCTCACTTTCGAGTTTTTCTCATCGCTATCTTTTTTGGCGCCGAAGTTGAGATCGGTAGCATATTAAAGGCGAGTCTGTTCCGGCACGTATCGGACCCTCCCCTAACCCATTCCGCATAGCTGACCCTCAGACTGGTCTTTCCTCGTTCCTTCCTAACTACCCACAGCAACTCCGTCACATCCCCTCCTACCTCTACAACCAACAATGGCTGACGCAGAAGCTGCTCCCGCCTGCCATGGCCCTCGCTCCGAGCCCTTTGAGACTGGAAGCGGCTCCATTGGCCTTCGAATCGGCGCCATCTTCATCCTCCTCGCCTCTTCCGCGCTCACGACGCTGTTCCCCATCGTCACAAGGCGCGTCCCCCGCCTCACCATCCCGTCGTCGGCATTCGACTTTGCCAAGTACTTTGGCAGCGGTGTCATTATCGCTACCGCCTTCATGCACTTGCTTGAGCCGGGAGCCGATGAGCTTGCCAGCCCCTGCCTCAACGAGAACTTCCAGGAGTACCCCTTTGCCTTTGCTTTTGCCATGATCTCGCTCTTGTGAGTCCAATCGAGGCCCTGCAGCACCACTAGCTCGAATGGCCTCTGACGCTTATCTCTACCTTCTCGGCCCCGCCCACGCAGCGTCACCTTCTTCGTCGAGCTCCTCGCCTTCCGCGTTGGATCCAAGATCGCTCAGCGCCTCGCCTACGACCCCCACCAGGGTGGCCACCACCATGCCAACGCTCACGGCCACGACGCCCAGGCTGTGAACGGTGGCTCTAGCCCCACGGCCGCCATGACCGCAAAGGGCAGCGAGGAGGACGTCAACTCCGTCGAGAAGGGCTTCACAAAGGACCAGCCCCTCTCAGCCGCCGCTTCTGAGATTCTCGGTGTCGCTATCCTCGAGTTCGGTGTCATTTTCCACTCGGTCATCATCGGCATTACGCTCGGCACCACGAGCGACTTCAAGATCCTCTTCATCGTCATCATCTTCCACCAGATGTTTGAAGGTCTCGGTCTCGGTGCTCGTCTTTCGCTCCTCCCGCTCGCGCCCAAGTCGCTCATCCCCTACATTGGAGCAATTGCCTACGCACTCGTTACCCCCATTGGCCTCGCCATTGGTCTCGGCGTTCGCAACACCTACAATGAGGAGAGCGCCACGGCCAACTACGTCACTGGTATCTTCGACTCGGTCTCGGCTGGTATTCTCCTTTACACCGGTCTCGTCGAGCTCCTCGCCCACGAGTTCATCTTCAACGAGAAGATGCGCACCGCTCCCCTGGGCAAGGTCGTCCTCAACGTCATTGAGATGTTCATCGGCGCAGGCCTCATGGCCCTCCTCGCCAAGTGGGCCTAAGCATCGTACGATGCAGCTGCAATCGAGCTGAGCAGGCTGCGGAAGAAGGGCAGCGAGCTAGCAAGCAAGAGATAGACGCGGCCGCCCGCCACTACACCATCTTCACAAGATCGACGGCTCCGATGCGATCTGGTGGTGGGCGTGAAGAATACGTTCGATATCCTTGTCATCGACTTGACCCCATCCAACATGTTACCATCTTCTTAGTCCCGCTTTTACTATTCGACGCCTCACCAACTCTTTCGCTTTCGATTCGCTTTCGGTAAGACCTCTTACACCCTCTTTTGCTGCATCCTGTCTCTGTACCACCACCATCATCATCACCATCACCAAAACGTCACACACGACGAACGTGATAGATTCTTTCTTTCAATCACACCCATATGATTCCCTTCATCACTCAGCGGGTCTGCCAGTCGCATCGCGATAGCATCGAATGACTCATTGCACATTACGCTCCTCTATGATGATCCACAGCTGTGCCGCTCACTCGGTTACTATGCGCCAATGCCCTCTGCCCGCAGCATCTCCCCAATCAGCTCGACACACCTCCTGTTCTCAATCTGCGTCCCCACTGTGATCCTCAAGCACCCTGCACACCCCAAATCACTGCTCCTGTTCCTCACCACCAGCCCGCGCTCTTCCGCCATCCTCTTGTACACCCTGCCTGCCCTCGCCGAGTCCGGCTTGCCACCCTGCGTCTTGGGAGCATCCAAGATCTGCACAAGGAGGAAGTTGGCGTCATTACCACCCATTACGTCGCCCACACCTGGAATGGGCAAGAGGGCAGCGAGGAGCTCGTCCCGGTTGTCGAGGAGCTGCTTGATGTGGAGACGGGCTCGGTCTACTCCGGCAGGAGAGAGGGCGAGGCTTGCGAGGTGGGCTGTAGGCTGCGGTACATTGTAGGGGGCTTTGGCGTTGTTCATAATCTGGATTAAGGCCGGGCTACTGTACGCGATGCCCATCCTAATCCCCGCGAGCCCGTACGCCTTGCTGAGCGTCTGCGAAACGACGAGGTTCTTGTACTCGGCGAGGAGGGGAACAGCAGAGACCTGCTGAGCCTTATCGCGGCGGCCCAAGCGGATCTCCTCCTCTGCAAAATCAATGTACGCCTCGTCTACGACTACGAGGCCCTTGTAGGTTGGCTCGTCGAGGATTCGGCGGACATCTCGGAGGTCAAGGAGGGTTCCTGTCGGATTGCCCGGTGAGCAGAGATAGATGATCTTGATGTTGGGCGTGCTGCGGAGCGTAGAGAGGAGAGCGTCGACATCTAGCGAAAAGTCTCCGTCATCGACTCGCAGCGGCACCTTGACCACGCCGACGTCGTTGACGGCAGCGCAAACCGAATACATGCCGTACGTCGGCGGGCAGACGGCAATTGCGTCCTTGCCAGGCGTGCAGACGACCCGCTGGATCAAATCGATGACTTCATCACTCCCTACGCCAAGGAAGACGTGCTCGTCTCCAGGCAAGTTGCGGTGCTTAGCCAAAGTAGACTTGATGCCGAAGAGCGAAGGATCGGGGTAACGGTGCAGGTCGAGCGGGTCAGAAGGGCCCGCCACAGCGTCCTGGGCTGCGGCTGCATCGTTGCCGCCTTTGATGTTCTCGTGACCATTCAGTGGCAAGGCGCTCGAGCCTGAAGGAAGGGCGTGACCAAGCGAATTCTCATTCGCATCGAGAAGGATTCCCTCTTGATAGTCGTCGCGGGCGCAGCGATACGGCTGAAGAGAGAGGATGTTGGGGCGGACGATGTCCTCGAGCACAAAGTGAGGAGGCTTGAGGCTGGCCGTGTGGGCTGCCGCGGTTTCAGAGATGCCCGGAATTGTCATTGTGAATGGGATGTTGGTGGTAAGAAGGACGAAAGCTGCTAAAGACTTGGTCTGCTCCCGTCGTCGTCGACGACCTCACCGAGTCACTTCGGACTCAGATCAGTCGAGCAGCCGGACTCAGAGTCGAGTGGCTCGAGCGCAGGCGGCGCGCTTCTTCGTAGGTTCATTGTCGGTGGCTCAGTCGTCCCCGATCCACGATAGGGCAAAGGCTATCTGGCTCTCTGGCTGGCTGCCTCTTTCTCACCATACTACACGCTCTATCGCGACAACACCATTCATGGAGCGAAACATTGCCATATTGGGAGGAGGAGGTGAGCAGGGCGGCAGATGCAAGCCAGCGTTCTCTCCCTCTTCTAACATCCTCTGTTCTCCTCTCGCGCGCAATCAGTCCTCGGCCTCACCACCGCTCTCGAGCTGGCGACCTCCCACACCCCCTCTCAAGCACCAATTCACATCCACATCCTCGCGCGCGACCTGCCGCTGACCCCGGCCGGCCTAGCATCTCAAGGCTGGTCCTCCCCATGGGCAGGCTTCAACTGGTGCTCCTTCGCGCCCAAGGACGATATCATCACCCAAGAACGCGACAAGCTAGCGTACAATGAGTGGAAACGCATGGTCAAGGACAAGGAGATGCCGAGCGAGACAATGGCTTCTATGCCTTTCAAACACTATCTACCCGGGGAATACAAGAGGGGAGACCTGTGGTTCGAGGACTTTGTGGACGATGTACGTACGTGCACCAGCTGCCTGGGAGGAGGTGGATGCATGCTGATCTCCTCTCCCGCTCTTCCTCTCCACCAGTTCCGATACCACCCATCGAGCGCCCATGAGCCTCGCCACTACATCACCTACACCTCCTTCGGCGTCAACACGCCCCTCTACCTTGCCTACCTCGTGAAGCGATTACAAGCATTCGACGCCACTACCCACGGCGTCTCAGTCTTATTTCACGAGACGGACACCTTTTCATCCCTCGGCTCGGTATACACGCATTGTGCGACAACTATCTCTCCATCGAGCGATCCCGCCAGCTGGTTGGTGATAAACGCTTCTGGCCTCGGGTCCCTCTACCTGACCGACGTATTGGACAAGGCAGTCCACCCCATCCGCGGCCAAACAGTCCTCCTCTCCGTACCGACCGCCTTCACTAGCAACCCACGATGCGTAATGGACGCCTCTGACCCAAAGGCGAAGCCTACCTACCTGATCCCTCGCGGTAGGGGGAGTGGCCAGGTAATCTTAGGCGGGACCTTTGGAGTGGATGAATGGGAGAGGGAGCCCAGTGAAGAGGATACGGCCAGGATACTCAGGGATTGCTGGAAGTTGTGTCCTGACATCCTGGAGGGGCATACCGTGGATGAGGAGGTCAACGAGCAGTCCGCCGTGACGGCATTGCGCAAGCAGATCATCAGCGTCAACGTCGGGTTGCGTCCTGCGAGAAGAGGGGACGTCACGCGCGTTGAGTTGGATGCGGTCAAGCTGGGCGAGGGTCCAAAGGGGGGGATGGCGCCCGTGTTGCATTGCTATGGAGCTGGGAAAGCTGGATATCAGACCAGCATGGGCGTGGCGAGGGAGGCGAGGGAGCTCGTGGAGAGACATTACGCGGAGCTGGAGAGATGAAAAGAGGATGGTGTTGTGTGGATGGTGGTGACATTGCTCTTCGTATTTACATCGCGAGCACCGCCTCAGCTACACGCCATCGTCACCATCACACTCGTTGCCATGATCATCCTCTTCGCTGACTCATGGCCTGCTCGGAGCATTCGCCATAGCCCCTCCGGAGCCACTGCCGCCGGCGCCCGAAGCATAAGTGTTCGGGTGACCATACGCAGCGTGGTACGCTTCGGCCTCACGGCGAGCCTGCTCATAGAGACGCTGCTTCTCCTCTTCGGCCTGTTGCTGCGGGTGTTGCTGCTGTTGCTGCTGCGGGTAGCTTTGGGCTGGGTAGCCAGCCTGCTGCGCAGGTTGATGCTGCTGCTGCTGCTGCTGCTGGGGAGGAGCTTGGGGCTGCTGTTGCTGCTGTTGTTGATACCACTGCGCGTAAGCTTGGGCATCATGGGGAGGAGCGCCATGCTGTTGCTGAGGCTGCTGCCCACCATAGCCGTTGGGCTGTGCCTGCCCCTGGTAAGCGTGCTGCTGGCCCTGGTATGGGTCCGTCGGCTGCTGCGCATATCCTTGCTGTTGAGGGGGCGCCTGCTGCTGTCCCGCGTATCCATACTCAGGCCTGACCCCCATGTACTGCCCCTGGCTCTGACCCGGCTGATGAACCGCCATGCTCCTCTCCATCATCGCATCGAACGTGCCTCTCGCCCTTACAAACTTGTCATTCAAGGCCCTCAACTCCTGCACCTTGCCCGAATAGCGATCGATCAGCCTCACAATGCGTGGTCGCATAGCAAGGGAAGACTGATAAAGGTCCTGCAGTTCCTCGTCTTCCGCCAGATTGGCAGCTCCGCCCCCTTGGCCTCCCTCCGCTTCGAGCTGGCGCAATCTGGCGAGAAGACGATCAATGTCGCCTGCCTGCTGGAAGATGCGAGCCTCCTGCTCTGCCTCGCGGCGAATCTCTTCGGGCGTGGGGTCGGGTAGGACCTCGACATAGTTGACGGGGAAGATGCCTGCCTCGCCGCGCAGCTCGCCTCGCCACCAGTGCTCGTAGACACTGTCCAGGACGCGAATGATGTCGCCTTTGCTGAAAGGCAGCTCGCCGGCTTCCGAGGGGGAGAAGTCGTAGAGGGCGCGAACACGCGAAGGGCGAGCAGGTTGCGCGGGAGCGGGCGCGGGCGCGGGTGCTGATGACGCTGAGGATGGGGTAGGCTGCTGCTGCTGCTGCTGCTGCTGCTGCTGCTGTTGAGGTTGGCGAGAGGACGAGGCGGTCTCACTGGCGTTGGGATTGGGCAACGTCTTGTCGAGGAGAGCTGCAGTGGCAGAGCCCGGCGCCTTGGATGAAGACGAGGCCGCTGCAGCGTCTCCACTCGCGCCACCTCCATAGCTAGTTGCGCCTCGCCCTCCCTGATCCTGCATGCTGAGCTCTAATACCCTCCTCAGCTCCTCATCTTCCTTGCGCAGCTGTTCCGAGCTGGGCTCTGCAGGCTCAGGAGCTGGCTGATCGACGGAGGCCGTGAACCCTTGCTGGCGCAGCTGCTCCACCGTCTCCTTTACCAATCCTAGACTGCCATCCCCACCATCATCAAAGTCCTTTGCCCACTCTTGCAGAACAGCGACAACGCGCTTGCGCACACTGTCATGCGTGTTACGGTCTGCTACGACACGGGCGAGTGTCTGTGTAAAGTTGCGCGACGCCAGCTCGCGATGGGCTGCTATGCCTGCATTCTTTGCCAGGGCGTCAGAGAGGGTGATTGAGTAGAGCTGCACGTTGGCGTTGCGGTGGACGAGGCGCTTCTGTATGGCCGAGATGCAATTGCGTGCGCTGAGAGGATGGAGATGTCATCAGCCATCAGCACCACGCGACCAACCCTGTTGTTGCAGTCGTGCGCAGCCCACTCTTCACTCACCCCGTCTCTCCCTCGCTCGAGACCTTGTCGCAGATGTCTAGATTCGTCTGCCAGTCCTCCGACGTAAGTGTCTCTGCCGTTGCTTTGGTAACGATGTCATCGTACGGATTCGCGGCCTTGAACATGCCTGGCTGATGAGCGGTGGTGTGGTGAAAGAGGTTCGTGGGAAAACAAAGATGAAAGGAAGCGAAGTGTGCGATAGTGTCCGTCCTCAACACAGCCAGCCAGCGGCGCAGTGCGATGCGACGCCGACTGCTCAGCCCGCCTTGACAAGTGGAGTCGTCGGAGACCTCCCGTGGGGCGCGAGCGGAAATCTTGTTAACCACTCTGGACGGACTACTCTGGATCGCTTGGACAGGTTGAGCTGCTCGGTGGCCCACTTCCCGGCCGCCGCTTTGTGCTTTGTCTGGGCGTCAGGCGAATCGACGCCCCGCGACTCGCCTCCGCTGTTGAGGACCAGTTGAAAGCAATGCTAGGCCTGATCCATCTTCCTTCCTTTTGCATTGCTTATCATCGAGCGGCACGGCCGGCACGACAACTACTTCTCGCTCTCTTCACTTTCTGTTTCAAGCCATAGCCGCAGTCTTCGATTGCCGGCGCCGCTTCTTTTCCTGCCTACCTCTTCTCCTCGCACCTCCTATCCGCCTACGCTTTTCCGCCCTCCGCTTCGCTACCCGCCAATCAAGATGGCTCCTTCGTCCAACGTCTTCAATCTAGCTACGTCGTCCGCCTCCCAGATTCTCTCCCTCGAATCGATACGCTCAGTCCTTCAACGTCTAGAGGACACCATCGTCTTCCAGCTCATCGAGCGCGCTCAATTTGCGCGCAATGCGCCCATGTACTACCCGGGCGCCTTCCCCGAGCTCATCGAAAAGGAAGGATGGCACGCCTCGTGGGTCGAGTGGTTCCTCAAGGAGACCGAGGGGGCTCATGCCAAGTGCAGGAGGTGGGATGCGCCCGATGAGTACCCTTTCACCAAGCCGGACTTGCTGCCCAAGGCCATCCTCCCACCGATCAAGTACCCGAAACTGCTCTACGATCACGGCATCAATGTGAACACGGATATCTATACGCATTACCGCGATGTCATCGTACCCACGATCACGAGTGACGACGATGACGGACAATACGGCTCCTCAGCAGTACGAGATGTTGAGACGCTCGCTGCTCTCTCCCGACGCATTCATTTCGGCATGTTCGTTTCCGAGTCCAAATTCCGCAGCGATCCACAAGCTTTCATCGAGCCCATCAGGAAAGAGGACAGGGAAAAGTTGGAAGCCCTAATCACCAAGCCGGCTGTGGAGCAGGCATTGCTGGTCAGGTTGAGGGAGAAGGCGAGGGTGTACGGGCAGGATCTGGACAAGGCAGTGGGATCATTGGCAACACAAGGACAAGGGGCTACGGCGGGGACTGCGGCCGCGCGACCGGCATCATCCTCTGGGGAGAAGCACAAAATCGACGCAGACGACGTCGTGCACATCTATCAGGATTTCGTTATACCCATGACCAAGAGGGTCGAGGTGGACTACTTGATTAAGAGGTGCTCAACGGCATCGGTCAGCAAGTGTTGAAAGCATGCTTACCCCGCTTCCTGCCTCCATCTCGCCTGTTCCCGCGCACAGACTTGATCACCTTTCACCATCGCAACTGGCAAAGATTGAAGCAGGCGAGGGATACGCTGAGGAGGCATAGCGAGCTAGGTCATTAGTAAGCCAAAGGGAGAAGGAAGCCAGGAGCAGTGGCACGAGCAGCGCAGTAGCGTAATCGATCGAAATCTCGTTGACAGGTCCATCGTTCGACTCGCCAGAGCACGGCTTACTGGTCACTCGTGAGCGCTCACCGTCCTGCCTCGACATCATCATGTGCACCTTAGATGCAATCGTCTTGGAGCTCAGAACGATGTCGAGCGCCCACACGTGAAGAATCGCGTTCAGAGATGTGTGCAATTTGGTTGAAGCTGATGGTACATGATGGGGTCGAGACGTCGTCCCGCTGGCAGTGAAAGATGATGAGCCACTCCTTCTCCGCGCCCTCCCCACCTCCCTCGCCGCGCTTACTGCCCCTCGCCGCCAGTGTGCAGAGGCGTCGACCCACTCAAAGGCGTGCTACCTCCTCCTGGTCCAGCAGCTCCTCCAGGCGTTCCGCCTCTCCCTGCCCCACTCGCCGTCGGACTCGCAGCGCCTGCTCCTTCGATCAATTCGAGGTAGGCGCTAGTCCTCGCCTTGTTGTTCGCCCCCTTCTTCTCCAAATGCCCCTTGAGCCCCTCCTTCAATCCTGGCGCTCTCCTGACGACATCGACAAGCTGCTCGGACGGCAATTGGAAAAGGGCAGCAAAGCTCCCCGGAGCAGTCTGCTCAGCGCAGATTACGAAGCCCTTCCAAGGGAGCTCGTTCTGCCAGATCTTCTTGACTATGAGGCGAGAGAGGATGTTGCTCGAGATGAAGCCTGAGAGAGACTTGTACGTCGTGACGGCCATGATTGCCGTACGCATGAAGAGAGTGGCGAGGTGCGGCTCCTCCACAAGCTGATTGAGCGCAGCTGCCAGGACGGAAGAGGTGAAGAGATCTGTCATGCTGAAGCAGATGCGAATCGCCTCTGCTGTTGTCTTCAGCCCAATCACCTCCTCATTGGAGTGGAGCAGGCCAAGGAGCTCGTGGGGCTGGAGCAGCTGAGAGTCACGTACGCGAGGTTGGTTGGTAGAAACGCTCCCAAAGCCTTGCTCGGGACGGGAGACGACCGAGGCAAAGAGATTCTTGATCGTTGTGCGATCCTCAGGTAGCTTTGAGTTCAAAATTGTCACCGCCTTCGGGAGGAGCTTGAGAATCTCGGGCTTGGTGCAGTGCGGGAGGATTGGGATCAGGAAGTGCGCGTCCACGTCGTCCCTGTCTGATACGAGATTCTTGACCGTAGTGAGCAAAGCTTGCGTGCGACCCTTCTCCGCCATGACCGTGAACACGCTGAGAGCCAGGCCGTCGGCGCCTCGAGGGAAGGTCTTGAGGAGATCGAGGAGCTTGGGGTTGCTTGGACCCAAGGAGCGGACGAGGGCTGCAATGTGCTGCTCGACACCCTTTTGGACCACAGTAGACATCGCAGGGTAAGCGGCGAAGACCTCGTCCAGCATCGAGGGAATCTTGACGCTTAGGACGAAGGGCATTTCGACGAATTGAAGAACCTGCGAGGCATTCTCGAGCGCGAAGCTCCAATCCTTTGTCGGGTCGCGCTGTGGCCGCTCGCCCTCTTCTCCTTCTCCTTCACCCTCTCCCTCTCCCTCTTGAATCCCCTTGTCGCCGTCGGCGACGTTAGCAGCGCCATTGACTTTGTTGGTGTCGGCTACCGCTGAAGACTTTTGAGTCGTGTCTGTGTCAGGGGCCTTGCCATTCTCGCCCTTTACCGTCAGGCGTTTGATGGACTCCCTCGCCGACTCAAGCACGGCAGCTTCAAATGGCCCTCCACCCCCAACCCAGCCCCTTACAGTCTTGATCGCCGTCTGTCTGAGCCCGTTGTCTGCATTTCGCGAGAGATCGAGCAACTGCTTCAGCGCCCTCTCCCTGATCGGCGGTCGGGAAACCGCAAACTCCCTCAAACCCATAAAACCGACAGCCATTCTCTCCTTATCATGGCACAGCCCGGCGACCAGATCGACTACCTCGTCAGGCAAGCTGGGAAGCTCCGCCAAGAAGTGGAAAAGGGTTCTGTCTTTCTCCTCGATGTGAGGTAGAACGGACTTCACCACCTTTGGAAGCCATACATTGTAGCTAGTCTCCTGCCCGCGTTTACGCCGCGAGACGTCGCAGAACCACTCTTCGGAGAGCCATTGGATGGCAAAGGGTATTCGACGAGAGAAGTCCGCAGAGAGGAAGTCGAGCATTTGTTGGCGGATGACGTTTGCGTGGCTGCGGAGGGAGATGAGGGGCTTGCCGCTGCTGCTGCTGCCGCTTTCACCGTCGTTCTCCCCTTCCTGCGCAGGCGACTCAGCCACCGTCTCAAACCCCCTGCTGGCGAGCCTGATGACCAACGTAGCCCAGAGCGTCTGAGAGGGGACAGCATCACTGAACTCCGCGCTCCCCGCAGCTGCCTGGCCACCTGCATCGCACATTCGGCCAACCGCTTCTTTGATCAGAGCCTTCGCCTCCGTCTGACTGAAAGGCTCTGGTGGTGCGAGCTCGAAATCTTCCAATCCGGCAAGCGCATCCTCCGCGTCCTCCTCATCAGCACCAAGCTCTTGGCCCGGGGCTGTGAGAGCAGACTGATTAGCCGCGCCCTGCTGATCGAGCTTTCGCAAGTCTTCGTCTTCAAGGTCTTGCTTGAGCGGGTTCTCTGGCAGGCCAGCTCCTGGAAGGGGTTGCATAGGTTCTGCGCCGCCAGACTCTTCTGCCTTGATCTGTCTGCGAGTGGGAGGCGGGCCTGCGACTGCCTGGCTCGCTGAAGCGGCTAGCGGCGGTGGACCAGGAGGCATTGATGGAGGAGGCGCTTGAGGCATGCCGTGTAGCCTTGACCTTGTCCTCTCGATGGCTCGTTGCAGCTCTTCGTCTGGAACGGCGGTCAAATTGGCCATAATGAGGTCGATGACCAGCGGCAGTTGAAGTGTGGTAGCGTCGAACACAGCCAGCGGATTTGGTCTGGTATCTTCCGCTGCCGCTCGACAGAAGGCATGAGCCCCTTCTATGCCGCTGAGTGATGAAGAAGCGTCTGACGATGAGGGCTCAGCGGCTGCCATGCGCTGCCTCTTCTCCGACTGTTCAATCTCCTGATCGATGTTCTCTCGCTTGCGCTTTGCCTCTGCCTCTTTGCGCTCCCAATCTGCCCTCGCCGCAGCCTCCATTCTCTGCCTCTGCGCCTGCAGTGCCTCCTGAATCTGCGGCCTGTGCGGTCCCGTGAGGTTATGCCTCTCAAAGTGCGCAAATACTAGCCGCAGCGTCTTTTCGGCGTTGCGTATGTGCGTATATGGTTGTCCAGCGAGGGCAGCAGGCGTCCAGCTAACGAGGGCCTCAATGACGATCTTGGACAAGGGCGGGCGAGCTTTTGCGAGCAAGCTGAGAGTGTTGAGGCAGGCCATGATGAGGTCGCAGTTGCCGCTGGTGAAGACGAGGGTGACGACTGAGGTCAGAAGGCGATTGGCCTCACCCTCGAGGGCAGCAGGCTGGAGGAAGCCGTGATGGTTCGGAACCATGCTGACGCTAACGTCGACGTTGCGGCTTCGGGGATCAGCGCCTGCGCGGGTCTGCACCTGGATGATCTTCTGGAAGGCCTTGATGGCGGCGACTTTGACTCCCTGTGGACCTTGCTCGAAGAGGTACGCTATTCTCTCCTTGATGCGCTCGATAGTCTGCCATGTCTTGTGGTATGATGGGTCGTTGCAGCATTGCCTGAAGAGGGGAGTGTATGTCGAGGCGAAGACCTGGATGGCCTTCTTGGCGTGGATCAGCTGCGAATCATTGAGAAACGCCAAGACAGCGTCTGGCGTATGGATCGCAACTGCGTAGCAGGTGGTGTAAGTACAGGTCAGCGCTACCATTCTCGAGGCGAGGCAAGATGATGGGACTCACGAGCATTCCTTCCCTCAGAGCTCAACGTCGCCCGACAAAAAGCGAGGTCAAGCACATCTGCAATCCACCGCTTGAGTGCTTCCTTCGCCCTGGGCACCAATGAGACGAGGCTGGGCAACAAGATAGCAAGATTGCCCGGCTGCGTCTGGAAGAGGGTATAGAGCTGCGTGAGATGGCGCGATTCGGAGGCGCCGTCCTGCGCATTGAGGGCTGCGCTCAGCAGGCCCAAGGCGTCTTGGTTGTTCGACGCCTCGGCCATTGCGGGCTGGTGAGCGAGCGGGGGAGGAGAAAGAGCGAGGGAGGGGAAGGTTGAGGACAGAAAGCAAGAACGGACAGACGAAGGGAAGATTGGAAGAGGAGGAGGATCTCAAGCTGTTCCGAACGACGCCCAGACGCCCTCGTCTGTCCCCGCCGTCCATCGACGGAAAGCCACGCCTTGAGATCGTCACGCCTTCGCGGCCGCGATCAGACGGGAGAGGGCCTCTCGAGCTGCATCGCGCCTGGGCATGTTCAGACATTGAGAGCAAGGCGACTGAGTGAGGTGATCGAGAATTGCTACAAAGTTTCGAGATACAATAGAAAGCAGCGGATGAAGTTGTGTATCCTAGGGTAAAGACTCGCAGTCGCGGCTGGGTATCAGGAAAGGCGGAGCAATGAGAAGAAGGAAGAGAGCTGAGATGAGTGATAGTGCCTGCATCAGACCTTGACCGCTCGCCCAGAGCCCATCCTACCGCTCTTCCATGGGCCCGACGACGACTGGCCGCCAGTCTTGCCCAGGCTGACGGTAGGCGAAGAGGTAACTACCCCTCCCTGGCCCATCCCACTCGGAGCAGCAAAGGAGTGGGTGGGCGAGCTTTGGGACACGCCGTTGGAATGATGCCCTGTGTCGAAGCCAGATGATGTATTTATGGGCGAAGGGTGCGTGACTTGAATAGATGGTGGGTGATGAAGCGTGTGCTGCTGCTGCTGCAGAGCAGCGTAAGCTTCAGCCGACATAGCCTGGGGAGGCTGCGGCGGAGGGGGAGGCCCGATCATTCTGCGCTGACGCAGAGCAGCTGCTTGTTGCTGTGCCGAGGTGGACGACATTCGATCTCCCGCATAGCGCAGTACCGAGTTGGAGAGATTGAGCGGCAGGAAAGCCCAGTAGAGGATGCCACGCTCGTACCACTCTGGGGCTAGATCTGCCTTTGTCGCCTGCTCTTGGGTATACATGGCTGAGCCATTCGAGTGAGCAGAGGCCGAAGGTAGAGTTTGAGGATATCGAGGCGGCGAGCCGCCATGAGAGGTGTAGCTTGGCAGAGATGAGTTTGACGACGTTGTAGCCATCATGCTCGACGCTGCATTGCTGCCATTGCTGGTCGAGCGGAGGCGCCCATGCGATGCCCAAGGAGGGCTGCCTCCTCCACCAGGCGGCGAAGTGGGAGATGTTGAGTTGGTAATGCTAGCAAAGGACGAAGAAGCAGGCAGGCCGCGTGACGACTGCGTATTCGAGCGCTGACCGATGGCAAACTTGAAGGCTTCGAGAACGTTACGACCTAGAGAGGCGCTACGCTCTCGCTCGAGCCGTTCAGACTCGATGAGCTCGGCATTGATGGCGCACTCGCGCAGCAGATCCTCGAGCCTGGCCTCGACGAGAGCGAACTTGTCGTCTGAATTTGCGCGCATGTATTCCTCCCTGTAAAAGAGGGCAACGAGGTCAGCGTGTGGTCAGGCAAGTCGTCGCGCTCGCAGACGGCCACTCACTTCTTCTCGTATCGGCGCATCGAGCGCGACATCTGCGAGAGAGGCACATCAATGCCATCCCGCAGTAGCCTGACATCAGCCTTGGACACGGCAGACTTGCGCAGCGAGGACAAGTCGGCCTCGAGTCGTGTGATGCGACGCTGCAGTGACTCAACCTTCGCTGAGGGGTAGTGGACGTCTTCTTGAAGCAGCAGAAGTCTACGGCGAAGCAGTTTGAATGCATGCGTCCAAGGGCGAATGCCTGCCGCCATCATGAAGAGGCGGATATTGAAGTGATTGAGGTAACGCTGTCCGTCGGTCAGGTTCACTTGAAGGAGGTGCAGAATATATGCGCCTACCACGGGGCTAGCCACGCAGGCCAGGAGAGACAGCACCTCGACTCGCTGCAGCTCTACAATGGCCATTTGACGACGTCGAACCCGCTCGGGTGAGTCCTTGTGATGATCCATATCGTCTCCGAGCTGGTCAGCCTGGAGGATTCGTCGAGTGCGAGCAGCGTGATAGATGTCCTGAGGGATCTTGAGGCATTGGAAGAGCTGGCGAGACGACGGGAGAGGAGCGAAGTCAATTCCAGTATCTCACCAGCGAAATTTGGCCGTACTCACCCAGAAGCTCGCGATGAAGAGCAGAATGCCGTCACTCCACGTATTGGCATTGCCGCCGAAGAGGGACATCAGGGGAGGCAAAACGCCTACCAGGAGGGGCGCATAGTGCCACCCACCAAGTGAATGCTCCCCACTTTGCCTGGCAGCGAGCAGCTCCTCCATCTCTTCCTCATCAGGAGCTGCAGTAGGCGGAGAGAGAGGAGTTGTTGGGAGATCGTCGTCTTCACCACCTTGACCATCATAGGTATCGAAGGACGAGGAGCGACGGCCTGACGATGAGCGACGGCGGCCTTGTGTGGGTCTGGGGGGATAGGGAGGCTGCTGCGAGGCGGCCATTGTTGAGATGCCGGATGCCCCAGTTGGCGAAGGTGGATGGCAGGTTGTTGCCACTCGTGGAGTCGTCGGTGCGGATGGGGAATGCGGTGCGCTCCGTTTGCGCGACGATGAACTGGCGCTCTGCGTGCGGTACTGAGCTTCGTGCGCGATCAATTGGCTCTGAGCTCCTGATCGCAGTCAAGACGGTCAGAGGAGGAAGATGGGAAGAAATCAAAGAGAAGGCGCTTGATTGATTAAAGGAGAGACGCGCACTGAAGCGGGCAAGCCAGGGCTACGTCCAAGCTCAAGCAGCCATGCCGGTCCGCTTTGGCCGCATCTCTCAATGTGGCGTCCCCGCCCTCTCCGACTCGACTCGTCTCAGACCACGCTTGCTCCACGCATGCTCTCTCTCTCTCCGCTGCTGCAGCCAACCAACACCTCGCTCGCACCAAGCAGCCCGGCGAGCGGCGAGAGGCGTGCGAGCGAGCGCGGGAACAATCAAAGAGACGCGAGGCTAGCCAGGAGGCTGGCTGAGTGAGCCCCCTGCTTTCTCAGCCTTCCAGATCCAAATCAGTCTCACCCTCAACGAAGTGCGTGTGATCTTGTCTGGACGGGTCCTGACTTTCACACGCACGCAAGCGCTGGTCCTCTTCATTCGCCAGGACACGAAGCGCGCCCACGGTCCTCTCTGCAAGGAGGCGCGTATGTGGCGGCTGGCTTCCTTTGACGACCACTTCCTCATGTCGCACGCTGATCATGACAGGCCAGTGAAAATCATTTCTTCGGACTGAGCAAGTTCAGCAAGTAGGGTACATTCGACCTGGGAAAAAGGAAGAGAAATTTCCGCCATGCGCCAATCTACCTGGCGTGCCTCATCTCCCTCATCATCGGCACGGACTGCGGTGCCTTACTAGCGGGTGGGGGCGTTTCTTCAACATCGAAATGGTCGAAGCTAGGCGCCGATGACAAGCTATCGTCACGCAGCCTGTTGTCGTAGACGGAACCCTGCTGCTGGTGCTGGACGTGTTCCTGCCTAGGCTGGTGCTGTTGGTGCTTCTGGTGCTCGCCGGTCCTTCGCCCACCATCTCCACGCGGCATGATGGCTATCTGTTGCGGTTCGACAACCATATCGACATGGCCTTTCTTGAAGCCAAGCAATTGCTTGAAAGTCGCCTCAGGATGAGCCGACTGCAGCGGCAGAAGAATAAGACCCAGCGACTTAGTGATCAGACGCCCTTCGGCGCCCTCGCTCGATTTACGAGGATGAGAGAGAGCTGAATCTGTTGTGTCGCTACGCTTCCTAGCACTGTTGGCGCCAAGACTACTGCCGGACGAGTAGTCCTTGTCCAGAGCTGGACGCTGCGTAGCAGCAGAGCTAGACAATGATGCTGCTTGCGTCTCCTTGCTTACACTGTCTTTAGGCCCCACGCGCGTAACAACCTCGAACCACCCTCGTCGAAGCACAGCATCCTCTGTACCACCCACGCTCTCCTTCACCCCTCTGGCTAGCTTAAGGAGACTGTCAAGGACGTCCCTGGCCTCCTTCAGCTTGCCGTAGCCGTGCAGCCCCGCGTCATTCGTCCTCTCAGCTAGGCCAGCCCAGTGCAGGAAGAAGGCGATACTGCTTTGCAACGAGGTGAGGATGACAGAGCGCGAATGCATGAAGTAGGCTTGCGAGAGGGTAGAGAGTTGCAGCGACGTTTGCAGGGCACGATGCTGCAGGACGTCTGCGAGGGCGCCGGTCGATTTGAATTTCTCCATTGCCTTCTTCATGACGGCACCCTGCGATTTCTCGAGACCGGATGCGTCTAGGCAGTCGTTAAGCTCTTGGAAGAGATGGAGGTGGACTAGGTGGCGGAGCAAGTCGAGTGACTTCTCCTTCCTCTCGTCTTCGCCGAGAAGGTCGAGCCCAAGACCCTTCATGAACGAAGGAAGATCTGCAGTCGAAGGAAGAGGATTGCAACCTTCGTAGAATTCAGCAGACTCGAGTGCTGCATTGTGAATGCTCTCGCATGCCTCGGCCACCTTGCGATTGTACAGCTCGACATTGCGCTGTAGCTTTTGGTCGATACCTGGGGTTGAGGGGCGACTGATCCGGCCGGCTGGGGAAGGTGAAGGGGAGGGAGTATCCTCAGGTGCGGTTCGAGGGCGACGACCACTACTGCGCCCATCTCCGCTAGCTCGAGGCGTGCCAGGCGTGTTGGGCAGCGGGCGCATGCCATCGTCGCGGGTCGCATTGGTCAGATGCATCTGGAAATAGTCGCCACCTCGACGAGTCGGGTTGGCAGAGGGAGTCGCGTCTTCCTGACCCTGTCGCGACACTGCAAATTGCTTAGTGGCCGAGTTGCGCTTCGCCTTGCTGAAGGGGTCAGTGCGGCGGGCAGGCTTCGTCTCCTGGACTGTCCTATCTTCCTCGAATGTCTGAGTGCCCATGAATGGCTGGTCGCAGAAATTGGGAGGAAGGTCAAGGCGAGCATGAGCACGATCGTCGTAGCCTTGCCCATCTTCTTCGTCATCTTCATCCCTTGCCGAGGAGCGACGAGACCACGCGCCAGACTCCTCGATACTCTGCCTTATGCTGGGCTCAGAGGAGAAGGCGAAGCTCGACCTTCCCGGCGGCAACTGGCTCCACGAGCCCCAGTCGGTATGCAAAGCAATGTTGCCGCCATTGTCTGCATAGTCGTAGACCCCGAAGCCGGCACGTCCCTGTCCCCTGGCTGTCCTTGGGTCTCGTTTATGGTTGCCCTGTGCCCAGTTGCCCAATATCTCCACGCTGTTGCCGGTGTCAACATCACGAGCGCGATCAGCAGAAGTTCCGCTCCTCATCGATGCTGTTTCACGAGACGAAGCCCGATTGTTCCTGCGGAAGAGGCTGGCAATACTGCTCGAGGAGGATTTGACATGCTGCTGCTGTTGCTGCTGTTGAGCGCGAGCTGCCGACAGCTGGTGAACGCGGTCATGAAAGCTCATGCCCAAGCCGTCCGAATAGCTGTGGGTCATGGGCAGGCGGGGATCAGCCATGTGACCGTCACTGGCTGAATGACCAGTCATTGAGCTATTTCCGGCGTCATTGACAGCATGAACCCTCTTGAAGAGGCTGGACGGTTGACGAACATCAGATGCTCGAGGCGCCTGGTCGCGATGGTTCCGCTGATTCGAACGAATGCTCGTCGAACGCCCTACGCGTTGGAAGGGTACGTTCGTTCTGGGTGGTATCACTGGTATGGGCCTTGAGTCGACCGAGTTGACGACTTCTTCGCGTCGCTGGAAAGGCACGGCTTTCTTCTTTTTGGCCGTCTTTTGAGATGGAGCGGCAGAGTCGATGGAATCCAAAGCGTGGCGATAGGATGGAGAGGGCGTGATCTTGGGACTACTGAAGCGCTTGGTGAATGGAATGCGGGTGGGTGCGTTTTGCTGAGCAATCGACCCTTGCGACTCGGATCGATGCCATTGAGGCTGAGCAGCGGGCTGAGCAGCTGGCTTTTGTTTTGGCTGGCGTCGAGAAAAGAGAGGCATGGTGAGTACGAGATAAGGAGATGGAGGAATTAGTGGTGAGCCTTGCTTCCTCGCTAGACGCCGCAATGTATATGAGTTTCTGGCGTGTCGCTAGCTTCGGGTCGGAGAGGGGCACGGCAGAGAGGTGTGAGCACAGAGATTGTCCTCGTAGCACCGTGGCGCTGACCGGATCGCCAACTGAGGGGCGAAGCGGTCACGATCGCCGAGGCTCGAGCGCGATGTTGCTGCGCCGTGGCAAGGTGGAGACAAGTAGCGTGCGTCATTGTGAGCAGATTCATGAGATGCTTCGCAATGGCACGAGGGGCTCGAGCGTTATCGGCGTCGAGGTCAGTGAGATTAAGGCGGCAACAGATGATTTTCGAGCCGAGTCAGCGGCCGTGGTTCCTGAGTCCGTCGATCCCTCGACTGAGCCGCGGGCCGGTTCGTGGGGAAAAGTTGAGGGCGGGGAACGACGAGTGAATTGCAGTGACTCCGCAAGCAACACCTTCGCAACCTTCTCGTCAAATATCTTCACCTCATTGAATCGTTCGCAGATGTCTTCGAGGAGCGGAAGACAAGGCTACTTTTCGCCTGATGGTGCCACACCACCAATGACGCCCGGAGGGAGCGTCCTGATGTCACCCAATGACAGCGACAATGGACGCATGACACCTCGCGCGTTTCGAGGCCGAAGCAGGGAGAGGGACGCCTACTTTGATGAGCGAGATCAGATGAGGCTGCAGGAAGACGACTCTCACTACTGGGCGAGTCAAACCGGTCAAGAGACGAAACATGCAGGATCGTCATCGGAGCCATCTCAACTGGCTCAGTCATCACAGACGATCGCTCAGGCTGCTGATCAACTTGCTCAATCTCTCGAGAAGACGATGGTCTCGCCTTCCGATCACGCTGCCTTGTATGCATCCCTGGGCAGCTCTCCCGCTCCTGGAGCTACTATTCCACGGTGCATTGCCGTCGACGCCAGCACGCAGACGCCTCCGCCATCCTCGCCCACCCGACCGACCTCTCAGCAACTCGAGGACCCGCTGACTAGCGAGCTCAAGGCTCTTTACAAGTCGCTCCACAAATGCATGACTTTGCGAGACAAGTTCATGGACATCTCCCTGCAAGACAAGCTTGAGGACAACCCAAAGAATTGGGACGCAGAGTACTGCCAAGCGTGGAGGAAGGAGAGGGGATTGCCCTCTGACTCGAGCGATGTGGCAGGAGGATCTCAGGTGAAAGTAGACGGCTGCTCTTTGCAGGACGTCGATGACCCTCATTCCGAGCCGAAGCCCTGGAGAATCTATCCTGCACCTCCACGTCCTCACTGGGAGCTCTTTAATCCTCCGCCGGCATCGTCGTTCGTGGTACGCTCTCAGCAGAAGGGTGCCCCTCTGCCGAAGCCCATCCCGCCCGCCTCCCCAGCCAACGCAGCGGCGGCTCAGAAGCTGCTTGAGGAAACGGGAGGACAGCCAGGTATCTTCGACCAGAGCAATATCGAGATACCTGGCGAATGGAGATGCAAGGCTCTGCGAGCGGATGAGCACGTCGAGTGCGCCGTGGATGACAACGGCGTCTACCAGGTCTACGTCAAGACGGTCGACGCTCAGCGCAAGCCGCTGAACCCATCGCTCAAGATACCAACGCTGCGCGACTACTTCAAGGACCTCGACTACCTACTCTCCGTCATCTCAGAGGGGCCTGTCAAGTCCTTCGCGTGGCGACGACTGAGGTACCTCGAGGGAAAGTGGAACCTCTACTCGTTGATGAACGAGGGAAGGGAGGTCGAGGGCATGAAGCGAGTCAGACACCGCGACTTCTACAATGTACGAAAAGTCGACACGCACGTCCACCACTCGGCGAGCATGAATCAGAAGCACCTTCTGCGCTTTATCAAGGCCAAGATCAAGCGCCACCCAGACGATGTCGTCATCTACCGAGATGGCAAGCACCTCAGCTTGGCAGAGGTGTTCGCCTCGCTTGACTTGACCGCGTACGATCTCTCGATCGACACGCTCGACATGCACGCTCATCGCGAGACATTCCACCGCTTCGACAAGTTCAACCTCAAGTACAACCCCATCGGCGAGTCCCGCCTGCGAGAGATCTTCCTTAAGACCGACAACTTTATCCAGGGTCGCTACCTGGCTGAGATCACAAAGGAGATCATGGCAGACTTGCAGTCGTCGAAGTACCAGATGGCAGAGTACCGTGTATCCATTTACGGGCGAAACCTCGATGAGTGGGATAAATTGGCCTCCTGGATCGTTGACAACGAGCTTTTCTCGCCTAACGTCCGCTGGCTGATCCAAGTACCGCGGCTGTACGAGGTCTACAAGAGCAATGGGACGATCAGCACCTTCCAAGATCTCCTGACCAATGTCTTCCAGCCCCTCTTCGAATGTACGCTCAACCCACAGCGTCATCGCAATATGCACATCTTCCTTCAACGCGTCGTCGGCTTCGATATGGTAGACGACGAGTCGAAGGTCGAACGTCGCTTCCACCGCAAGTTCCCTACGCCCTCCAAATGGGACCACAAAGAGTCACCGCCTTACAATTACTGGATCTACTATATGTTTGCCAACATTGCCAGCTTGAACCATATGCGTCGCGAGCGCGGCTTCAATACTTTCGTCTTGCGACCCCATGCGGGAGAGGCAGGTGATACGGATCACCTGGCAGCAGCCTACCTGACCAGCCAGTCAATCTCGCACGGCATTCTCCTTCGCAAGGTGCCCGCCATGCAATACCTCTACTACCTCAAGCAGGTGGGAATCGCCATGTCGCCCCTCTCGAATAACGCTCTGTTTCTCCACTACGACCGCAACCCCTTCCCCGCTTATTTGCACTTGGGAATGAACGTATCCATCTCCACAGATGATCCGCTGCAGTTCCACCTTAGCAAAGAGCCACTCCTGGAGGAGTACTCCATCGCGACTCAGGTATACAGGCTCAGCCCATGCGACATGTGCGAGCTGGCTCGCAATTCTGTGTTGCAGTCTGGATGGGAGAGGGAGATCAAGCGCCACTGGTTGGGGAACAACTTTCACTTGCCTGGGCCAAAGGGGAACGTGACGGCGAAGACGAATGTGCCTGATATTAGGCTGCGATATAGACAGGAGACGCTGCAGGAGGAGCTGGACCTTATTGGACGATATGGCGCTCCACAGGAGGGAGTCTTCAGGGAAAAGGGGGCTATTCTGCAGAGCGCAGGCAATGCAAGTGGGGGAGATGCAGCGGTGCACTCTGATGGACAGGGCGCTGCAGGAGGTGACAGCGCGGCTGCTCATAGCTTGGCTCCTTCAGCAGAGAGCAACACCAGCAGCAGAACGAGTAGCATCAGCAGCACTGCGACGGAATCGAGCGCGACATCGTCGTCGGCGATGTCGGACGCTTCGGGCACCATTCAGGCGCCTGGCTCAGTGGCGGGCGTTGACGTCGCCGTGGACGGCGAAAGCGCCGCGGCTGGGAAGGCAAATGGCGAGGAAGACGCTGCCTCAGCCATCGACCACGGTGAAGGTGGACTGGACGTGCGGGGGTTCTCGGGCGTAGCAGAGCTCGCTCAGCGATTAGCTCAAAGGAGGCAGTCGGAAAGCAAGTGAGCAGCGAGAGACTCTCCATATTGTGTCGTTGAAGCGAGTCATTGTTCGATTTGATCGTCATCTGCATTGCAATAGCATCGTCTCACTGCATTGCTTCCCCTCCTCTCATACCACAACCGCTCCATCCTCGTCAACGACATAATCGTAGGAGCTTGCCGCCACGCTGCCCTCGCCCATCTCCGCCAGCCCAGCCGCAGCCGCCGTCGTAGCGTCTGCACCTACCGCACCGTCCATTGCCGCGTCTTCCTCATCGAGGTCAGCGGCCAGCGCAATTTCGTCACCGCCCCCGTAAGCAGCAGCAGCAGTTGCAGCGACATCAGCGCCGGTCATTGCGCCTGATGAGAGCGGCACCGAGGGCACAGCCGGAATGCTGAGAGCGGTTGCCACTCGCAGCCTTAGTCTGGCAAGCTCGCGCTCTGCGCGTCGCAGGGCCACCTCATCGATGCTGCGCTGCTCTTCATCATCCTCGCCTCGATCCTCGGCGTCGGTCTCAGACGGAGCACCTCCAGCCCCACACCAGGTCCCGAGCTTCTGCAATGCAAATGCCCGCTCTGTCCCGCCCAGTGATGCCGAAAGAAGCAGTGCCTCGAGCAAACGCAAGACGTCGTAGAGCTTCGTCTCCTCTACTCCGCCCACCGTTGCATGACTAGCAGCCAAAGTTGAGAGGCAAGACCCCACCTCGTAGAGGAGGATGCTCACCCAATCCCCATCCACCAGCCCAGAATTGAGCAGGTCAATCAATGACACAGAAGCGGCTGCTGCAGCTTCGGCGCTGTTGCTCGCCGCCTTTTTGAGTCGGAAATATCCAGCCAGACTGCTCAAGAAGAGAAGAGGAGCCGGTAAAGCTGAAGGGCCGAAGACCAGGTTCCATTCCTCCTCATCGTCGATGAGCAGCTCCTCGTGCTCAAGGATGGCGGCAGCCCGTCGACGGGATTCGGCACTGCCGTCGTCGACTTTGTTGGCGGCTGCTATGCGTGGACGCAGAAAGGGGCCGGAGAGACCAAGTTCGCTATTAGTCTCCTTTTTGACTACGCCCTCGGCGTTGTCCTCCATGTTGCCTTCTTGCTGTTCCCGCAAGTGCTCCTCTTCGGAGCGCCTCCATCGTACAATGCTGCGCTTCATTTCGCGGACTTGATTGATGATCCACTGCTCGGCTGATTTGTTGCTACCTGCTCTCTTCTGGTCACCGTACTTCCTAGTCAGGAGCGATTGTAGCACTCTACGCTTGACGATGCGCATCGCCATTGCATCACCCCGAGGTGGGCTGCGGAGTGCGAAGATAATTGCTGGGCCATATTTTGGTAGATCTGAGTCTGCTGATGACGGCGATGAGAGATGTAACGCCAGCTTGCGGCATACAGCCCTCGCCTCCGTAACGAGATTGAAGCTTCCACAAGCCTCGAGGACGGACTCAGCCAGGTGATACTCGTCTTGCGCCTCATCATCGTACTCCTCCTGATCGCCCTGCTGCTGCTGCGACTTCTTCTTGGCCTCGAGCAGCGGCACGCCCAGTAACACCTGACTCATCCTGCTCTGACCTCTCGTGCCCGCGCGAGAAAGATAGTCCATAGCCATGCGCCACAGGCCATACGATGAGAGGAGGGTGTTGGCGTAGACGAGGTTGCACTTGTGCAGCAGAGATGGCGGCTGCGGCAACGTGCTTTTGGCGATAGTTGCGGCGGACAGCGCACCAATCTTGGTGAGGAAGTCGGTGAGTACCTGCGCCAAGTACGGATCGACCTCGAAGCACATCTCGACAGCTTCTGCCAATCTGCCCTTGATGAGCTTGATCATGATCTGCTCCTCAATGGAAGTGGCCTCTTGGTCGTCATCCTGGCGCAGCGCCTTCACTTTGTCCAGAGCGTTGCCCAGCCCTTCCCTCTTGAGCCCAACATCGACAAGTGTCCCCCAGGCAGCGAGCGCCTCTTTCCAATCCTCTGCAGCCTCGACTACCCTCTCCTTATTGCCCGCCAACACCTCGAGAAAGACTCGCAGCCCTGCCTCGAGGGATAGACGCAGGTCCTCTGCAGCTTCCTCCGCTGCCTCTTCTCCGGCATCGTCGTCTTCGCCAAGCTCTCCCTCCAGCTCGCCCTGCACCTCATCCATGACCCCTTCCAGCCCGGCCAGTAGACCGGTCAACCTGAGCTGGAACTCTCTTCGCGCAGCCTTGAATTGAACTTCGGTCTTGAAGTGGATACTGCGCGGCATTGAGCCCACCAGCTCGCGGGTTCGCCCTACCAATCCCTGCAATGAGGGGGACGGGAGGCTCAGAAGCGTAGCCAGGAGGGTAGAGACAGTGGAATGGAACCCCCTGAGCGTGCAACGCAGAATGTAGTCCCAAAATGTAGGATGCAAGTGTGGCTCAGCGCTAGAAGCTATCTCCCTCCCCTGCTCTGTAGTCGGCGCCAAGTCGTAGCTGTTGAGCCAGTGGAGGAACTCTTCGCCTACGATTCCTTGCGAGGTGTGCGAGAGGGCCATCGCATTGGGCGATAGGTGCAGAGTTTGTGCGAGGGCGAGAATGGGGAGCGTCGTACGGCTTAGGTGGGGAACGAAGCGCGAGGACGAGGGGGGAGATGAGGATGAAGAGGAGGAAGGGTCATCCTGTGCTGATTGAGAGGCCAGCTGCTGCACAAGATCCCGATTCGACTGGATGACCAGGTCGAAGAGCCGTGTGTAGTAGGGCATATGCGACGAGGAAGGCCCGTCTTCGTCTTCTAACACGAGCTCGTCGCCGTCTCCATCGACTTCGGTACGGACGTTGCTTGTGGCCTCGTCGTGGATCTTTGCCAGGGAGAGGAAGAATGTATGCTGCTGGCCAAGCCATTGCTGAATGTCCTCGACATCCTCTGCTGAGGTGGTTGGAGAGAAGATGCCCTTGGAGACTGCCGCAAACGGCTTTGCGGTTGCCGTCATGGCGGGCAAGGGGAAGGCGAGTAAAGGTAGTTGGAGAAGGAGCGAAGAAGACGAAGCGCGTCGACCGAGAAAGCGTCTTTTGACCTCAGTCCGCCCTTGCAACTCGTGAGGTCGAGTGGGCCGCATCCACACATCATCGCCACACCTTTCATCTTCAACGTCGTCTTGCTCGTTGGATCGATGCCTTTGCGCATCCCATCAGGCACCGATGTCCAGCCTGCGCCCATTCAGATAGCCTCGCGCTCATCGCCATCTGTATCCGCAACGACAACGTGCGCCCTCTGTCACTCGCGCCCTTCCAAGTACACCTGCCCAACATGCAACTCGCCCTACTGCTCCTTAGCATGTTACAAGGATGAGGCAAAGCATCGAGCTTGTGTGCAGGCTTTTGGTCAGAGGGAAGAAGACGAGATCAGAAGCGTCAGCGCCAAGGAGAAGGCGAGGGATGATGAAGATGAGGACAGTGGAGTGACGTCGGAGCAGCAACAGGAGAGGAGGAAGGTGCTCGATCTACTGCGCAAGTGGCAGCTGGGCGGAGATCAGACGATGTCCGACTTGCCACAGGGCTATCAAGAGGGCAGTGGCAATGATGATGATGACGCCTCAATCGCATCATCAGATCCTTCCATCGATGCCAGTCAGCTCCCTGAAAACGACGAGGCTCTTCTCGCTATGCTCACAGATGAGCAGCGCGCCATCTTCTTCGACGCTATTGATGTATCACAAGGAAAGCAGCGATCTCAAGGCCAAGCGCAAGCTGGCAGCGATCGAGCCAAGAAGCTTTGGGACAGGATCGTCGAAGATGAGCGTCGCCGCAACCAAAGGCGAGAAGCAGCGGAGGTCGAAGATAGCTTGACCCCTTTGCACACGCGACATAAGGCGGCGAACCTCTGGTGGCTGCTCCAGGATGTCGCACGACAGCCGGATAGTGCTGACTTCTCTGGCAAGGTAGCTGCGCTGGACTCCGCCCAGAAGCGGCCAACAACATCAACCGCAGGCTTAGGGTTGGCCTGGAATTGCGCATGCCTCCTACTGGCATACACCTACACCTTGCTGCACCTTGATATCCCTTCCTTCACATCCCTCATCGAAGGCGACGGCGGTGCAAGCTATGAGCACCTCGCATCGCACTCGCTGCGGCTTCTCCAGCGTCTCGCACCGTTTGTTCTGCCCATGAAGACGGACTCTTCCGAAAGCAGGCTGCTCATCGACTCTCCTTCAGCAGCATCCGCCTATCTGCTCTCGAAGTTAGGAGATACCGATCGCTCCCAGCGACCCAGTGCGCTGATACTGGAGCTTTGGACTAGAGCCGCTAGCCTGTGGATCAGCTCTAAAGCCGTGCTCGTCAGCGACGCCGCTAGACTGCCCCGCAGCTCCAAGACAAGCGTAGCCCTGGGTGACATTTGGACTCTCTGTCAGTGGGGCATAGCAAACAAGCATCTACTGCCTGCAGGAGTTAGCAAGAAGACGCTGCAGATGGCCTCGCACAAGCTCGTCTTTCTTGCGGCGCAAGTGGGCCGCTTGGCTCAGACGCCGGCAACAGGCGGACAGGGCAGCGCTACCGTCCAGCAGCAGCTTGTCCTTGGCAAGGATCTCGAATCTCTCCTGCCGTCGAGAGATGGGCAGTCCAGTATCGCAGCCCTTTCCTCTGCTCACAACAGCGCAGACGAGGATCAGGTCGTCGTGAGGACGAAAAGGAGACGCGAAGCCAAGACGATGGCAGACGAAATCCTGGCTCTCCGCCAGGAGGTGATGGCGCTCGAGGACGAAGAACGGCAGCAGGCTGCTTGGCGACTCATGAGCGGTGACGTAACACCGTCCATTGTGAAGCCGGAGAACCGCGTGAATGTATCGAAGGAGGATACCACGAGGTCGCAGAGACCAGCCATTGAGGTCGTGGAGCAGGATGGGGATCATGAGGGTTCAGCTGCACCGGCTGCACCAGCATCAACAGACGTGCCATTCGCTGACCAAGGGCGCGATCTGCATCTCCAAGCTGCTAACACGGGCACTGTCGAAGAAGCCGATTCTCGTGCTTCTCGACATCCAGCGGCTGCTTCGTCAACGTCACCGCAAGCGCCTGCAAAGGCGAGCTTCGCCAGTCTCCGCAAGGCGAGAGCAGAGCGATCGGCTGCAGTGCGTCTTACACCTAGCGAGGCGGCGGATTGAGTCAACGAGGGGAGGGAAGCAGCCCAAATGTGATCCGAGTACGAGAATGTAAGCAATCTGTAATACAAAGCAAGTGAGATCGACCACCATAGCATGCGGGAAGGAGCGAGGGCGGAACTGGGAGTGGAGGCTTGAGAGCGATCTCAATTGACAAAGACGCCGAGACGACGCCGAGACCCTTGTTCCTGCCTTCTTCCCGTCATCCACCTTCCTACACTTTCCCAGCCTCCCCGCTCATTCAAAACCTGACGCCTGCTTCCATGGACACAGTCGTAGCCGGTGCTCTCGCCGCATTGGCAGTAGACGCCCTCATCTACCCGCTAGACACGATCAAGACCCGTCTTCAGGCGCCTGACGTCTCGAAACGCTTCCCTACACGGCGTCTCCTCTTCACCGGCCTTTACCAAGGCGTGGGAACCGTAGTCGTCGCCACCTTGCCAGCCGCAGGTGTCTTCTTCACCTCATATGAAGGAGCCAAATCGGGCCTCGCGCCTTACTTGAGCGGCTCTGTGCTGCATATGACCTCGAGCTCACTGGCCGAGCTGGCGAGCTGTGCGGTCTTGACACCGGCAGAGATTATCAAGCAGAGGGCACAGGTGGCTAGTAAAGGGGCTGCTGCTGCCGCAGCCTCGGCTTCGTCGTACGAAGGTGGAGGCAAGCCGCTGAGGGACACCGCTCGTGAGGTGACGAAGGGTCAGCCGGCTGGGTTGTCAGACGCGGCGAAACGGGTAGGAGATCGAGCATTGAACGAGACTGCAGTGGGTCGCACCGCCAAGGCTGCCAGTCAGGAGGCGGCTGCTACTTCTGCTGGTTCGCAGAACCTCGTCAAAACATTCACAAGGGGCTACCTGGCATTGGCCGGTCGCAACTTGCCCTTTACGGCCGTGCAGTTCCCCCTCTATGAGAAGTTTCGAGCCGTCCTCTCTGAGCGCTGGAATGTTAAGACGCTCAGTGATACAGAGACGGGAGAGGTGCTGCAGAAGGGCAAGGAGACTTTGGATGGCAATGAGTCGAGGAGCAGTAGAGCTGCTTCATCACGGCCAAAGACACGACGGGAGGACATCATAAAGCCTGGCCTAGTCGCCTCCTGCTCAGCCGCAGCCGCAGGGTCAATCTCGGCCGCCCTCTCCACGCCCATTGATAACGCCAAGACCCGCATTATGATTGCCTCGCCGTCCTCGCCAGATCCATGCGTGCAAGGAGGCACATTGAACACTATGGCGACCATCTTTCGCAACGAAGGATGGAGAGCCCTCTGGCGTGGTGGGCTACTTAGAAGCTCGTGGACCGCGCTAGGGGCAGGAATCTATCTTGGGAGCTATGAGTCGGGAAGGTTGTGGTGGAAGACGAGAGGGACTTTCGAGGGGGAGGCAATGCAGCAATAGAAAGGCGACTTCAATGACAATGCAGGTCTATACCCTGTTCTATTGCAGCTGAGCTCGTCACGCCACCAGCGCCTTGAAGGCGTCCGCAATCTCGGCGAGGTCCTTTTCGAGCTCTGCGAGCTTGGCTTCATACGACGCCCCCTCTGACAGGGTCTCGATGCGGCTCTCCGCGTAAACCTTGACTTTTGGCTGTGCGAAGAAGAGAGGCCAACGCTATTCGTTAGCTATGGTCTTGACTCTTTCCATCCACACCAACTCACCTCAGTTCCTGAAGGCCTGATGATGACCCGGGGCAGCGTCAACTCAATGTCACGCCGGCTCTTACCGTCCGCCTCTCCAATGTAGAAGCGCAGTACATCGTTGCGCGGGATGCCCGTCGGGTCAGTAGGCTCCTTGGGCCTCTCGAGCAAGTCATCAACAAGTGCCACCGGCCTGCCAGCCACTGTCTTAGGGAGGTTGCCGCGCAGCTTGCCCATGATTCCATCTCCTGTAACGCCTGCGCCCAGCGGGATGGTACGAGGGAAAGTGACACTCACACCGCAGCTGCGATGGATATGCTCCAAGCGCGTCCAGAGCGTCTCACCCTGCTCATGTAGCTCTGCAGCCAGAAGCGAGAGCAGGAGCAGGGCAGACAGTCCGTCTTTGTCCCATACCTCGTTCGTCACCATATAGCCCAATGCCTCCTCGTACGCAAATGCAAATTGCTGGCCTTGCTGATCTTGCAAGCGCTGCGCTACTGCGCCCAGCCACTTGAATCCGGTGAGGGTCTCTTGGTGCTTGGAGCCTGTAGCCTGGGCCAGGCGGGCGAGCAGGCGCGACGAGACAATGGTGCTGAGGGACCAGACGGTGCTCATGTCCCGACCTGCCGCTTTAGCGCGTCTGAGTAGCTCATCGCCTAGAATCGTGCCAATGTGATCTCCAGTCATCTGCTTCATCTCGCCCTGCTTGTTCCTCGCTGATACGCTCAACCTGTCGGCATCGGGGTCGTTCGCAATGGCGATATGCGCACCATGTTTGTCGGCCAACGCGTGCACGAGGTCCATTGCTCCTGGCTCTTCCGGATTCGGGAACTTGACTGTGGGAAAGTCACCGTCCGGACGACGTTGCTCGTCTACCGTCCAGACTTGATCGAAGCCTGCTTGCGAGAAGATGGACTGGGCTACTGGATCGCCTACGCCGTGCATTGGGGTGTAGGCGATCTTGATGGCGTGACGACGGGCGAGTTGTTCTGACGACGGCTTATTTGGGGACAGGAAGGCAGTGACATGACGCGCGTAGTCTTCGAATGTGTCGACACCAAGGTACGAGAGCAGCCCAGCCTTCTCGGCCTCGTCCAAGCTCAAGCACTTTGGCCCTTCACCTGAGGCAGCCACCTTCTCGATGTGTCCCGCAATGAGCCCATCAACTGGCGCATTGATCTGCGTTCCCCCAGTCTGGTACACTTTGTACCCATTGAAGGCAGGCGGGTTGTGCGATGCAGTCACAACCACTCCGGCAGCCGTGCCCAAGCTCTTGACAGCGAAGGCTCCCAAGGGTGTAGGGGCTTCGCGATCGAAGAGGCGGACCTTCAGACCGAGGGCCGCAAAGATTCCAGCGGCATCTTGCGCAAAGATTTTACTGCCGTGGCGACCATCGTAGGCTATCACGACGCTCTGCTCCTTGGCCTTTGAGTGAGGCTGCACTTCCAGGAGGTAGTGAGCCAGCCCGGCGCTGGCTTGGCGGATGAGCAGGCGCTGCCGGGAGAGGAGAGGCACGCATTGAGGAGACGTTTAGTTAGACTTGTCACTCTGCCGTGCTTTGCCTTAGCTCACGTTCATATTGTTGGGTCCTACACCCATGACGCCTCTCAAGCCGGCCGTGCCAAAAGCCAGGCGGCTCCCGAAGGCCTGTTGCAGGGCCTCAGCGTCTTCTCTCTCGAGCAGATCCTTGAGCTGTTTTTGAGTGGACTCATCTGGATCTTGACGAAGCCACTCTTGTGCAGCTGACTTGATCTTTGCATCGATGACCATGCTCGCTGTATGCTGTCGATTTCGCGGTGATGCGGGGATGAGAAAGCGGGAAGAAGCTTTTGGCCGGCCGTGCGAGGGAGCAAGATCAACTCCGGCAGGTGGAGTCGAGTCGTCGCTTGGCGCGGTGTTGGACTGGTTGCCCTGACGTCGCAGCCACGCGAAAGGCGGCCATTTGGACTAGGAGCTACTATCCTCATCACCGCCACCTCCATCATCTCCTCGCCCCCATCACGTCGCTGCATCACATAGGAATGAAGCTGGCCTCTCACTGAGGCAGCTTTCCGCAGACATGTCTCATTTTGTATCGTCCAAGGGAAACGAAGGCTTCGAGGCCCTCGCTCAGCAGCTCCTACGCAGAGAGCCAGTCGATGAGGGCAAAGATGAGGCAGAGGAGGCACTCTCTTACGATACGACGTCTCAACGAGCCTCAGTCTACTCGAATGCTAGCGCTGCAGGACCATCATCGCCACCATCGGCAGCCCTCAAGAGACCCACGACACCGGCCCACCTCGAAGGAGGAGCAGCGGGAGTAGCAGCCTCATCCTCCTCTTCCACTCGAGGCAGTCCCAGCATACGCAGCCCCTCTTACTCACGAAAGAACAGTCCTGAGCGGTCAGATCGCCCCAAATCACCTCACCCGCTCAGGAAGAGCATTCATGAGGCAGTCTCGTCGAATTTCGCCGGCCAAGGCGCGACTGCTGCCACTGCCCGCTACCCTGATAGCGACGATGTTCGTTCACGGCCGCAATCAATGGTGGGAGTGGAGAATGGTGGGAGTAGAGCCGGGAAAAGCGGGCGGAATGTTTCATTCTCCCAAGAGCAGCCCTCGGAGGATGGCGCCCTGAGCTACCAGCAGCACGAACCAGTCTTCGATGAGCTCCTTGGCCCTGACGCGCCGCTACTTGAGAGGACAGGAAGACGCAACACGGGCATGCTCGCCCAAAGCGATGCGCCACGCAAGCTCGGAACATGGGACGGCGTCTTTGTGCCCGTCACACTCAACATCCTCAGCATCATGATGTTCCTGCGCTTCGGCTTCGTGCTCGGTCAGGCGGGGCTCATCGGCTCCATCGCCCTCTTGATCGTATGCTTCGCCATCGACGCCTTGACGTCCATGTCGATCTCAGCCATATCTACCAATGGCGTTGTGAGGGCGGGGGGCATCTTCTACTTGGCGTCACGCAGCTTGGGGCCAGAATTTGGAGGCGCTACTGGTCTCCTATTCTGGTTGGGACAATCGCTCAACGCTAGTCTCAACGCCCTCGGATTCGTTGAGACGCTCACGGATGCCTTTGGAGAGTCGAGGGAGGAAGGCGGCGTCATCGGCATCCCTGAGGGGCCGTGGTGGAGTCTCTTCTACGGGTCTTTCGTGCTGCTTCTCTCAACGGTCGTCTGCCTGGTCGGGTCCCGCCTTTTCGTAAAGGCAACAATGGTCCTGGCCGTCATTCTTGGCATCTCGATCCTGTCCATCCCAGTCTCATCGGTACTCCTCTCGCCTTACAGTGACGAGGAGCGAGGCATTTTCTACACAGGATGGTCACTCGAAACGCTGCAGAGTAACCTCTGGCCTCACTTCACCCGTGGTGCTGCGGGTTCATCGTCCGCAAACATGACGGAGTCGTGGGCGAGCGTATTTGGTGTCCTCTTCCCGGCCGTCACAGGTATTCTGGCTGGCGCGAGCATGAGCGGGGATCTACGCAAGCCGAGCAAAAGCATTCCCAAGGGAACACATTGGTCGCTACTTTGCACGTTCACCATCTACTTCGTCGTACTCGTCGTCCTGGCTGGCACTACGGCGAGGACTAGCTTCTACCTCGACATAGGCGTCATGGGCGACATCTCAGTCATGCCCATCGTCATCACGCTGGGCGCTCTCGCAACGACGTCCTTCTCAGCCCTCATGGGTATCCAGGCATGCGGCAAGGTTTTGCAAGCCATCGCCAGGGATCACCTACTCCCCGTCCTCGACATCTTCGCGCAGGGTACCGAGCAAAGCGACACCCCAACGTTTGGCATCGTGGCGACATACCTGATCTGTCAGGTCACCCTCGTTGTCGATTCGGTGAACGTCATCGCCCAGCTGGTCACTCTTATCACCCTGCTATGCTTTGCAGTGCTCAGCTTTGCCTGTCTCGCCTTGAAAGCCGGCGGCGCTCCGAGCTTCAGGCCCTCTTTCCCCTACTTCAACATCTATACTGCCGCAGCAGGCGCCGCTGCCAGTCTCGTTGCCATGTTCTTCACCAACGGCATGGCGGCATCGGGCTGCATCCTGCTCTCTGTGCTCCTGTTCATTGCCATTCACATCTTTTCGCCGCCCAAGCCATGGGGAGATGTGACGCGCAACATCGACTACTGGCTCACGCGCAAGCACCTGCTTCGCCTGGATGAGCGCAAGACTAATCTCAAGCATTGGCGCCCGCAGATTCTCTTCTTGGCCAACAATCCTCGTTCGGAATGGAACCTCCTGATGTTTTGCAACTCGCTGAAAAAGGGAGGGCTGTATGTTCTCGGTCACTGCATCAAGGGCGAGTTCAGCGAATGTCTGCTTGAGCTGCGCAAGCAGCAGATTGCATGGCTCAAGTTGGTTGACCTTAGCGGCATCAAGGCGTTCGTGGACGTCGTCATCGCGCCCGATGAACGACAAGGGGCTCGCAGCCTCATCCTCTCGGCGGGTCTCGGCGGCATGCGCCCAAACATCGTCGTCTTGGGCTTCCCACGAGACTTGCGCGCCCACATATCTCACAACATGTCCAAAGGTGGCGGTGGCAGTGCAGGCAGTGACGTCACTATCCGTGGCCCTCATGCTGTATCGGAGGGCAAGACAGGGGCGAGCATAGAGCACCTTCCCACAGACGCTACTCGTCGCGAATCTCCGATCATGGGGGACTCATACGTCGGCATCATCGAGGACGCCCTGGCGCTGAACAAAGCCGTGGCCGTTGCGTACGGCTTTGACATGATGCGGCTACCTGGGCCATCCGAGAAGCATCGCTACGAGAGGAGCACCGAAAAACAATACATCGACCTCTGGCCGATCCAGATCGCATCCTCGGACTCGCAGACGGAGCATGCATGGGACACGTACACCATGGTCCTGCAGCTGGGCACCATTCTCAGTTTGACCGGCACCTGGAAGTCTCACAAGCTCCGAGTGTCCGTATTTGTCGAGGAGGCTAGCGAGGTAGACGAGGAACGTCGCCGTGTTCGCTCTCTCCTGGACAATCTTCGCATTCCAGCTTCATTGCGCGTCTTCTGCCTATCAGACAAGACCGTCTCCTCTTATGAGGCCATCGTGCTAGGTGTGGTTGCTCCACCTCCTCACGTGGAGGAAGCCCTCCGCAGCGACCCTTGGTGGAACTCGCTCAAAAAGCTGCGCAAAGAGGAGAGAGCAAGAGCTCAGCAGGCCGCAGCGGCGAAGCGAGCTTCGGAGAAGGCGACGGATATCCCTGGTCAGCCGTCCGCGGGGACCAGTGGAGCGCCGCGTAGCAAGCGTGAGCAAAAGTTGCTCGGGTACAGCCTGCCGCCAGAGCATCTCGAATTCTTCCAGCGCAACATTCGCATCGGGCTGTCCCATCCCCGCGCTAAGCCCAGAGTGGACGACTCGGACGTTGAGGACGATGATGACTCTGGCTCGGATGGAGATAGCGATGGGTCAGGGCTAAGTGACGAGCTGCTCAGACTTGGCGAGGACGGCCTCTTTGGTGGTCCTGCTGGCCATCTGACGAGGTCAAACAGCGCCTCGACGCATGCGATTTCCCGTCCCCGAGGCTTCCGCTCAGGCAGAGGACGCTCCTACTCGCATGGAGTCGGAGGCTTGCCAGACGAGCCTACGCTGCGACAACAGCGCCGATATGGAAACAGCAGCGAGAATGGTGGAACAACAACGCCTGGACCTGGCTCGTACGGGTCCATGGCTTCTACGCCCGTCGTCAGGCCGGATGGGACGGTGGCGAACCCTGGCGGCCTCAGATTTGGCAAGTCAGGTGGTCGAAGCAGCGCACGCCGGGGACTTGAGGAAGGAGACGACGGGCAGGGCGATAGCACGCTCAAGGCGTCAGATCGCTCAAAGATGCAGCGTCACCTCTCTAGCCGCTCCTCTCCTCCCCCGAGCCGCTCAGCAAGCAGGGCGAGCAGCAGGAGTAGCCAAACCCGCTCCCCACTTTCGTCTTCCATTGTGGCCGAGGACCCCTTCGACAGCGCCTCGTCTTCGAAATCGGGTACCACCTCTCTCAGCAACTCGACCACACTTCCCTCTCTCAGCTTCAACACGCTCCCGAATAAGGCTCAATTCCTTATCCTCAACCAACTCTTCCGCGCCCACTCCTCCTCATCGGCGACCAGCGTCATCCTGACTAGTCTGCCTGCCCCCGAGCCGGGAACGGCAAAGGACCCGGAGGCGGTGCAGCGGTACTTGGCGCAGCTGGAGGTACTTTGTGCGGGCTCGACTCCCGTGCTAGGTATTCATGCGAGGGAGCTGACATTGAGTACGAGTTTGTGAGAGTGGCTGATCATCAGTCGCATATACATCGGGTTGTCTTCGTCTAGGCGTCTTTGCTACACACATGCCCCTACCATCTCCACTTCATTTACTTCCTCTTCTCTCTCTTAGACGCTCCGTGTCATCCAGCCCTCTACTTCACTGTCGTTATAATCTCTTTCCTCTCGCGATCTTTACGGTAAGGTACAGGCAGGCAAGCAGCAATGCAGCAAAGCCAAAGGTATATATAGGATCCCGAATGTGCGCAAGTCTCCATGCGTGATGAACAAAGAAAAGCAAAACAAAGCAAAAGTCCCCCTCTCGCCCGACATCGCCGACAGGCGGCGGGCGTTCTCCCAGTCCACTTCCCGGGTCTTGGCCTCGCCCCCCCTGTCACCGCTCAGAAATCAAGCAGGGCGCTCTCATCCGCATTCTCGTCATCGCTACCCCCCGAACCACTGGCCGCAAAGCTCTTGAGGGACATGACCACCGTATCGCTGCGAGTTAGTCCACCAGTCGCGTTCCCGGGCAGACCAACACTGCTACTTCGTGCGCGCGTCCCGGACCCAGTACCACTGCGTAGGAGGGGACGCCGGGACGATTGCGGATGAGAAATCGCAGTATTGGCCGGCGGGGGCGTAGCAACGCCGCCGTAGACAGTGCGCGGCCTTTCACCTCTCGCCCGTGTAGCTCGGGGAGTGCTGAAGGGGCTCTTGTCATCGTCTTCGTTCCCACTCGTTGCAGAAGGCTTGGGTGCGCCGTTGAGATCCGACCTTCCCAGCCCAGTATCACCCAGCACCGAGACCGGTCTGCTCGGCCGCATGACCGAATGGCTGGCCATGCCCTTGAGCCTGCGCACAACAGGCGTAGCAGCGGGTGACGCTGGGCTTCCACCCCTCTTTGTAGGACTGCCTGCCTCACTTCTCAACTTCTCCACCAACCCTGCGGTCTCCTTGTGAGCTAAGCCCACCAGCCTACGGTTGACGCGTTCCAACCTCTCGCACTCCCGCTGACACTCTTGCGCAAAGAGTCTTGCCTCCTTGAGCTCCTTTTCCACGGCGACGAGCTTGAGATTGTACTCTGCTTCCACGTCCTCGCGGATCTTCGGGAGGGGTTGGAGCGAGTTGGCCTCAACGGCTATCTCTGCTTCGGCAAGCTGCTGACGTAGCTGCGCGATGAGAGCGTCCTTCTCGCTGGCAGAAGCGGGAAGAGCGGGTGCTGAGGTGGCTGCTTTGGACTGGAGGGAGACGATGCGCTGCCTGGCTGCGTGAAGTTGCTGCCTCAGCACCGAAGATGGGACCGTAAAGTCGAGATGGGACGACTCTTCTCCAGGCGAGGTACGCACGGGTGTCCGGAGACCGTCGTCACTATCATCCTCGCCGAATTCTGAATCCTCCTCGTCTCCTTCGCCACGCACAACGAATCTTCCAATCTCCCTCAGCCTCTCTTCCAACTCGACACATCGCCCATCCACACCTGCCCTCACCTGCTCATCCTTCATCTGCTTCTCCTCCGCCAGTTGTCGTCTAAGCATGTCGGCTTCAGAGCGATACTTTACGATCAAGGCTTGTGTCTCCTGACTCATGAGCTCAGGCGCATCCACCTCGTTTAGCTTGGCAGAGAGGCGCACACGCTTGATGCGCTTGGCGAAGTTGATCGTCGAGAGGGACTCTTCGAGTGCTCCGACTGACTGGTTGAGGGTAGCCACGACGGCAATCTTGGAGTTGCCGCTCAGAGAGGATTGGAGAATGCGAGTGAGCTTCGAGTCGCGGTAGGGAATGTGCATTCCTGCTCCCCCGCCAGGCGTAGCATTTGCCTCGTCCTCGTTTGTGCGCTCCGAAAGGGCGTAAATGACCTTTCCCAGTGTGAGCAGACTTTTGTTGATGTTTGCTCCCTCCGCTCTTCGCTCCTTGCCGCCTTGCGTGACGTACTTTTCTGATCCCGCCAAGTCGACGAGCACCAGCTCTGAGATGCGAACCTTCTTCTTGTCTCCCGACGACGCCGCCTCGTCTGCACCGCGTGCCCAGCTCTCCACGACGATTTTGAACGCAGTATGACTGCGACTAGACTTCTCGTTCCAGTCAGTGGCGTTGACGTGTCGGTTGGCTTGGCCTTGCTCAAGAAGTGCGTAGACGGCTTGTGGTGAGGTGACGATAATCTCCGAGAGGGGCGATACGAAAGTGCCGCGAGTCGTTGAAGATCGCACCTGGGGTACATTTGTCGGCTCAAGCAGGTCTTTCACGCCTTCGTTGTACACTTCGAGCCAGCTGCAGCGAACAAGCCACTCGCGCTCCCTCTTGGATGCACGAATGCCGCGGAAGAGGTCCTTGATCGCCTTCTGCGTGATTCCCTCCGTACCAGACTTCTCGTCGCCAGACAATGTGAACGTCTTGCCTGAGGCTGTCTGACCGTACGCGAAGATGAGAGCATTGAAGCCGCTGAGCACCGAGTGGACGAGCGGGCGAGCGAGGGTCTTGTACAGGCCATCATTTGAGGAACCGGTGTGGACAGCATCGAAATTGTGGTTGCCCAATCCAGAGAAGCGACCTGCTCCTACGCCGGCATCGAGGGTGACGGAGGCCATTAAAGGGTTGGCTACCCACGCTGAAGGCTCTTGAGGTGGCAGCGGGCGCAGGCGCAGATGAACGGTGACGGCATCCTTCTGTGCAGTTGATGTAGCGTTTGTCGAGCTAGCACCTCGACTGCTCGCTCCATCGAAGACAAAGCTCGTCTCTGCCCCAGATGCCTCGCTGTCCTCTTCATACGAGCGCGTAGACGCTTCATCTTCCACCGAGATGCCCAAGCCCTGGCTCCCAACATAGGTCGACTGAACGCGCGAGGCGATCGGTGTAGCCTGGACTGCCGTCGACATATTGCGCACGATGTTTGGCCTTGGAGGCGGCGCGTTCTTGTCCTGCTTGCGCTTTGGTGACACGCCTGTTGTGATCTTGGCTCTGATTTTGACGGGCGAGGATGGCCGCTCAGGAGACGCAGGTCTCGTGAGGGCTGCACTCGACCTACCCGTAGCTGTCGTACCCATGACTCGCGCCTTGGTGGGACTGGATGCTCGTATCGTAGCTGTCGTGTCCGCGGCCATGGGTCGTGCCACTTTCGGCGAGCTGAGCTTGACTGGTGAAGTTGAGCGAAGCAGCGCTGGCTGCTTCATCGCTGTTGATACTGGGCGGACGGGAGATGCTGGCCTCTCTGGTCGCGGTGTTGCATGAGGCGTAGTATTGACGCTTGGGAGAGCCACCGTGACAGACCTCTGTTGCTGCTGCTGCTGCTGCTGCTGGGGTATCGGCGATGTGAACGGAGAAGGTGAAGGTGATGGGAGAGGGAGCGACTCGTTTCCTGCGTCGGCTCGAAGCATCTTGCGCGTCATGGGACGAAAAGGCTCCTTATTGTTCAGACGGGGGCTAACAGCTGGCTGGTCTTGCTGTTGTGCGCTGAGCATTGCGGGGCTCTTTGCATATGTGAGTGCGCATTCGTTGCCTGGCAGCATCCGCTCTTCGAGGTAGCGCGACGACGAAGACGAGGCAGTCAGTGACATGGCTGCCTGAGCCAGACAACGGGGAATTAGAGGGTCGTGAGGATGTAGAGTGAGGAAGGAGTGAGAAGAAGGGGTATTGAAAGAGCAGTGAGACGGATGAAAGGAAGCGTTGAGGTTGACGCTTCGTGAATGATTTCGCAGCGCAGAGAGGGTATATCGGAGATAATGTGAATGAGGAGAAGGGAGGAACAGGACCGGCTTGAGTGAGTTTAGTGTTGGTCTCGGCGCGTGGCTTCTGTGGCCGCGCCCAAAGCAATCAAAAGGCCGAGCCGAATCCAGTGTTGGTTGACGTTCTCCACGATGCGTCACCGGCTGCAGCCACACATCGAAGCACTCAAATTCGCACCTCGATTGTCCTCACTCGCCTTCGTTCATCTCTCTACACTAATTCTCAATCTCATCTCTTCACCGATACCTCAGGGCCAACCTCAAGACTCGACTGCTACTCACAGCTTCTGCTCCTTCTTCAAGATGGTCAGCAACAAACTAAACGCTGCAGGCATGGCTCCTGAGCATTCGATGGTCCTGCCCGAGAGGGAGGCCAGCCAGGAGGAACAGATGGTCCTCGCAGCCCTCGTCGAGGTGAGCAAGCAAGATTTTGTTGCATGCTTTTCAGCCCTCTTTCGCTAACCTCATCGCCTGTCTCTTCATCAGCTCTATGCTTCCCCAAATCCGAACGAAGCCCAGGCCCTAAGCGTCTTCGCTTCGGACGTCATCTACTCCTCACCCCGTGGTGACGTCTTCGTAGGTCATCAAGGCCTGTCCAAGCTCCTTGCATCGCGCTCTTCGGCCCGGAAAGTGCAGCATCGCCTTCTCGCCACGCCCGAGACTCTGCCCGCAAACACGATGGTCGTGGACCAGATCGTGGCCGCCGCTCCGTCAACTGCCCAGTCCTTCGGTGAGGCTGCGTCGGCCATGGGCGGCGAGGAGACCTCAACAAAGAGGAGTCTGCTGGTGCTCAAGAGACGTGAGGATGGCATGGTCTCGAGCTTGACTGAGGAGGAAGGGCACAGGAGGGCCACCGCCCCTCTGGCCGCTCGAGCTGCTTCGGCCTCAAACTTCTACTCGCCGACCGACTCGATGGTCTCACCTTGCACGTCGAAGCTCAACTTGGCCAAGCGCAAGCACCACAACAAGTGAGTATGGCGCCCTGTGCGTCTCGTCGAACTGTCGCTGATGCCTCTCTCTCTTCCCCTTCCTGCAGGGCCAAGCCGATGAACCTTTTTGCGAGTCACGTAGCCTCGGCCAACTCGAGGACGGCCCCGACCTCGTCAGCGGCAATGGACTTTTGAGCATACGAATGAAGGCCCATCCTTGCTGTCAAGGACTTCATCCTCTGCTTCTCAGCATCTCGCTTTGATTTCGCTTTCTGTACCATAGACACTACCATTATCACCATTCTGCGCCGAGTTGCTTCTAGTTGATACATTTGCCTCTGCTCTTTGTGCTCCTCCTACTCGATGTCGTCTGACTGCTGCACTGGGCTAATTCGTCGTCCTGTCCTAAGACACTGCTACTCAACGTCTTCGAGGACGGTCACCTCCTGTCCGAAGACCTTGCTCAGCTCCTCGTTGAGAAGCCCCTCGAGCGTGTACGACTGGCCGTCCTTGGTGCACGTCCAAGCCTTGCCTTCAGGACCAGCAAAGTCGAAGCGCTTTGGTCCACTGTGAAGAAGCAGACAGGTAGGCGGTCAGTCAATCAGCTAGCTGCGTCTCGACTTCCCAAGTTCCAGGCAAGCAGCGCACCAACTCACCTGGTCGGGCTACTCAGCCAAATCTGTCTATTCGGGGGCTGCTTGTTGATGACATACGTCCCAGTCGGCGGCACCTTCAAGGTTAGGACCCCCTGCGAATACTCAATCTCCCAGTCGCGCTCTGCTCCATCGGGTGACTCGTCTACGAGGTGCTCGAGTTGGGAGACAAGAGAGTCAAAGACGTCGTCCGAGAGGCTGTTGTACTCTTGCTGCGACAGAGAAGATACAGGTGGTGATGGTTGAGAGCGACGATTGGAAGTGGTCGAGAAGTTTCGCCAGGGGTTGAGACGCGGTGGCGATGCTGCGTGGGCCGGTCTGGGGAAAGGGTCGTGGAGCGATGGCGCTGATGATGAAGTAGACACGCAACGTGGCAGGGAGACAAAGCATCGCCCAGCAGCGATGGGTGCTGATGATACGGCCCTTCTGCTGGAGACGACGAAGCTTTCCAGCTTGACGCGGCTCGTCGAGGCCATTGGTGTCCTCATGATGTGGTCTGATCCGAATGACGAGCCCAATTGATCTCAACGCTTGACGCTCAATGCTCGAAAGCTTGCTCCCACCCTCGCTCACGCTCTCACGCGTGCTTATGTCAGCATCTTGACGCCGACGCCAAGTTGGCCTGCCGTCGAATCGACCATCTATCCGACGTCGAGGCCCGCCCGCCGCGCCTGAGCTGCAGGAAGGCCGGGGCACGGGCAATGGACATACACCGGAGAAGAGGCGAGGGCGCTGGCACACTGTCGTTGTCGTGTCGAGACGTCCTGTCAGTTAGAACACATCGCGACTCCATCTCTTGCTCCCTCGTCCTCCTTCCTTCTCTTGCTCCACTCCCAAGGACTTCGGCGTAGTAGTCACTTCTTCTTCTTTGCTCTCTCGCGAATCGTACGTCGCTAATCAGTGCACTTTCCCAAGGATTCAGGGCGAGCAGGCTTTCTCAGGCACTCTATTCGCGGAGGCAATTCAAGGCCTTCTCCCATCGGCTTCCCTTCCGCGCTCTTCGCAGCCTCGCCGCACCTTCCCAAGACATCTTCGTCAAGGTCGATCGAGACCCTCATCGCTCTCACAGCAAAGCGAGCTGCTAGCACTCGTCGCTTCCTGGCCTGCTGGTCACTAGCAAAGTTACTACCCTCAAGCTTGTGGGCTCCACATCGTCCCCTCTAGATCGCCTCGCACCAATAGTCGCATCTACGCAGCCAACGCAGCATCACGATGCAGTCGCATCACCAAGACTACGTCAACGATCCCTCTGCCTATCTCTCGTCCCTCTCATCGGCCATGCCATCCGACATGTCCCAGATGAGCTCGCCGCAAGTAGCCCAACAACAGCAGCAGCAGCAGCAGCAGCAGCAGCAGCATATCCACCAACAATCTGGTGCAGCGATGGCCAGCACATCGTCCAATGGCAATGGCATTGCAGCAGCAGTGCCTTCAGACCCGGCGCAGGCCGCCCTCTTGCAGCAGCAGCAGTTGGCGCAGACCGGTCGCAAGCTGAGCGGACGCTACGCCCTCGCCGACTTCACGCTGCAGCGAACCTTGGGAACGGGCAGCTTCGGTCGAGTTCACCTCGTCCGATCCAAGCACAATATGCGATTCTACGCCATCAAGGTGCTCAAGAAAGAGCAAGTAGTGCGCATGAAGCAGGTCGAGCACACAAATTCAGAGCGATCCGTCCTCTCTTTGGTGCGTCACCCCTTCCTCGTCAACCTCTGGGGCACATTCTCCGATTCGACATACCTTTACATGGTTATGGACTTTGTTCCCGGCGGAGAGCTCTTCACCCTCCTTCGAAAGTCACAACGCTTCCCGCATCCCGTCGCCAAGTTCTACGCAGCAGAGGTCGCCCTCGCAATCGACTACCTCCACCAGAATGGCTTCGTCTACCGCGACCTCAAGCCCGAGAACATCTTGCTTGGAGCGGACGGACATCTCAAGATCACAGACTTTGGATTCGCCAAGTGGGTTCCAGACGTCACCTGGACGCTTTGTGGTACGCCTGACTATCTGGCACCAGAAATTGTCTCCTCAAAAGGGTACAACAAGTCCGTCGACTGGTGGGCTCTGGGCGTTCTCCTCTTCGAGATGTTGGCCGGCCATCCGCCCTTCTTCACCGAAGACGGAAATCCCATCAAGCTATATGAGAAGATCATCGCCTGCAAGGTCCGTTATCCACCTTACTTTGAAGCGGCAGCCAAGGACTTGCTCAAGAATCTCCTCACAGCCGACTTGACGAAGCGCTTTGGCAATCTGCACCGTGGGAGCAAGGACATCTTTGGTCACTTGTGGTTCGCCGAGGTGGACTGGGATAGGTTGTACAGGAGGGAAATTCCTGCGCCTTACTTGCCGACGGTTGCGACTGATGGAGATGCGAGCCAATTTGAGAGATATGAGGAGGCGGATTACAGTACCTATGGGATCATGGACGCGCCGGATCACTTTGCGCAACTATTCCCTGATTGGTAGCCCAGCCACAGGTCAAGAATGCACAAGCTACTGTCTTTCGCTCGGACCGATTCCGAACCTCTTAATATGCGCGGCTGCACGATGTTCCTTCACCGACCCGGACAGCCGCGCTCCTCGTACAGCCCCACCTATCCCCACCTTCACCAAACCCCCATACAGCCGCCCTGTCCTCGCTTTATTCGTCACGGTCTCCTAGTCTCGCTCACGCCCTGTCTGCCATGAGCAATTGACGCGCGCCTTCGTCTTCGTCTTGTCTTTGGATCCTAAAGTGTCGTTCGGCAATCGACTGCTTGCAACTCATCTACATGCATACGTGACTAGAAGCCCAGCATTGCAGGGAGCATCGCCGGAGTGTGTGTCTCAGCAGTGCAGGCATCAAACGAAACGACTCTTGATGATGATGATGATGATGAGCATTATGTTGAGTAGCACAAGGCGGCGGGTAGAACTACTATGTACGGGTGTAGCGACCGCTAGCAAAGGACCTCACGAAACAACCTGCGAACGGGCCCTAGTCCTCCCAGACACCAATCAAAGCGCCCATCTCTAAGCTCCCTCCAACCCTTCACGTCGCCCCTCCCTCAACACACCATGCAACACGGCCAGGTAGCAAAAGACGTACTGTCGCTGAGTCTGCACGCTGCTCATGCGCTGCTCCCTTGCCACGTCCGTCGCGTGTCGAATGAGATCGATCGTGTCGAGGTTCGCGGAGGACGACGTACCGGAGGAGCCGGAGGCGGACTCTGGCGGGGAGGAGTTGGTAGACGAACATGCAGAGGCAACTGCTGACCCTAGGCTACTGCTACCCGTCGTCGGCCGACGGGAGCGCACCGCTGCCGGATTGGAACTGCTGGGTCGCCTGCGTGGGCTCGTCACGCCTGCCGTGGCAGCAGCAGAAGCAGGAACAGAGCCTGCGGGGGCCGTCACATTGGGCGTCGCGGCCCTGCTCTGCGACCTGGCTGAGGTGGGCGTACCGAAACCCAAGTTCATCCCGTCCATGGCGCGCGAAGGCGTGTCCATCCCGTCTGGCTGTGAGATGCCGAGCGAGCCCCAGCCGTGAGCCTGCGTCGATGCTCCGTTTGAGGCGTTCGCCGCAGGAGGTGCGGGAGATAGGACAGAGTCACCGCTGCCAATGTGGCCACCATTGACGCCGTCTTCGCTGCCAATGACAGACGAGGCCGCCGTGTCGGACGACGAGTTGGATCGGTACCGTCGTGCAGCAAGAGAAGGCCTCGGGCTGTCGGTCCCACCAAAGAAGCCGCCGTCCGCCTCTGAGCCAGCCGCAGTTTCACTCTTACCGTCGAGGTCAACGCTGCTGGAGCGCGAAACCTCAACGTCCTCCATTGCGGCAGAGGGGGAGAGCTCCCGCTTCAAAGAGCGGCGGGGTCCGGCGTTGAAGGGTGGGAAAGAGAAGGATGAAGACGCAGATGACTCACGACGTCGCCCAGGCAGGGTAGCCATGGGTGCTGCTGCTGGCGAAGACAGGTCCGCACTCGCAGCACCGAGGTCGAGCTTTGGTGGCCAGCCAAAAGTGGATGCAGTGCGCTCCGGCGTCTGCGGTACGGAAAAGTCTTGCGAGCGAGACTCCTCTTCAGCTTGCGCTGCCGGCCCAGCAGGTGCCATTTCGACGTCTTTAGTGCCGTTCTCTGTTGCAACAGCCGCGTCATCAATGCCTTGGTCCCAAACGTGCAGGGCCGGCAGACCTGCCTTTCTCCGTCTCTCTCTCCTCAGCGCATCAAGCACTGAGTCGATAACAATGTATGTGCCCGTCCTGCCCACTCCAGCGGAGCAGTGCAGCATGAGTGGCCCCACGGCAGCCTCCCTGGTCCAGTCGCGCCTTTTCGTTGGCCCGGGTGCTGCGACTGCTTCCTCTGCGTGACGCATGGCGGTATGCGCGGCAAGCTGCGACTGGGAAGCCATGTCCATGTAAACGAGGAGGGCTTCCGGATCTGAAGGAATGGAGTAGTCTGGCCAGCCGACGTACTGCAGGTGGGTGATTTGACGTGGAGCTGACTGAGGTTCGGCTTTGTTCGTCAGGCGGATGATGCGCTTGATCATCACCGGCTCCGACGAGGATGACGACGATGTGTTGCCGGAAACATTCCCGAAGAAGCCGCCTCCATCACAATTCCCGCCTCCGTTAGACTTGGTCGCCACTCCATCCTCTTTCTCAATCGGCTGCCCCTTCCCGTCCAGATGCGTCTCTTCAAGCACTTGAATCTCCAACTGGTCACCGTGACTCTTCTGGCTCCAGTAGTCGTGACTCTGTACCCTTCCACTCTCGTACTCGCGCGTGAGCATCGCGATCGTCCTAGCATTCTGCTGCCACACAGCAGTCCAGAACTTTTCGAATGTGCTTGGCAGAGGTGCTTGTGTGGCAATATAGCTGCGATGCACGCCATACTGCTTGAGGGGCTCCATGAAGGAACCGTTGAAATAGTCACCGCAACCGCCGCTCTCCTTTTCGCAGCTGGCAGCGGTATCGATGGGCGGGACCCGCACGCGAGAGTGCTCGTACGTCCAAATGTTGTTGTACCTGTTGTCGGCACCTCGCTCCAGTGCGGCGCAGATGGAGAAAGGAAACGAGGAGGCCGACATGCTCGCCGAAGGAGGGGCGCCACTGATGCGGGAGTAGGCAGAGGACAACTGTGTCGGACCAGCACCAGCGCCAGGTGACGAAGCTGAGCCTGGCGACGCCTCCGCCGCTGCGGCACCGAAGACTTGGTTGCGCGGATCGATTCCACTCTCCGCCGCATGCTGTCTCATCGTGGCCATCAATCTGCTCTGCTCTGCCTTTTCCACGTCAAAGAAGTTCTGCGCCAGCTGCTGCGCCTGCTCCTTCTCTCCATTTTCCACAACGTGGCGAATGAAGCTAGGCAGCAGAGCCTTCTGCGATGCTGTCAGATCGGCTGGAACCTCGAGCGGAATGCGCTCAGTAATGCCGTGTTGGAGCTCGCGATTTTGACGAATGTTGTCGAAGAAGGGATTACATGAGGCAGAGCTATTTTGATTGCTGGCGCCGACGTCGCCTACGGTTGGTCGATGGTTGGAAGAAGGATTTTGGCTGTTGCTGCGGTCGGTTGTGGAATTGGCCGTGAAGGCTTCCATGGGAAGACCGCCAAGCTGCATCATTTTGAGCGGCCTGCACGGCTTGCCACCCGCAGACTGGGCGTCACTCGAGGCAGCAAATGATCCACCTCTAGCAAGTGGCGTCGAATCCGCAGAGCTTGATTCCTTCCTACTGAGTTCGTGAGCGCCAGGTAGGGCCGATCGTGTCCCGTTGGACTCGCTCGTCTCCTTCGATGCCGACTCGCCACTCTCCAGGAGATGGTTCGCATTCTTGCTCGCTACGGTGAAGAAGCCAGCGAAGCCGCCAACGAGCCAGCTGAGGTGGCCAGCGTACCCCGCGGCTTCAAACTTACGCAGCATGCCGATGAGACAAGGTCCGCCGCCACCTGCTGCCGGCCTGCCCGCTTCGCCTGTAGACGTCGTGTCGGTGTCAATCACGACAATACGTTGGACGCCCTCGGAGTCAGACGATGATGATCCAGAAGGCTGGTCATTGGACTGAGCGTCCTTCGTTGGCCCTTTTCTCCACGCAGAGAACTTTCTTCGATCGTCATCGCACTGCAGCATCGAGTCTTCCACCCTGTCTACCGTCACACCCGCCCGCTTCAGCAAGGTACTCGGAGCGCATATATTGATGCTTCCCTTAATGTGTCGAGTGGCAAATGAGGTAGAAGGCCGGATGTCGATGACGAGAATATTTTCCCGATCTGACGGCGCCTTGCTGAGGAGGCTCGCCAAGTGAGTGCAGTCCATACCGTCGAAGTGGTCATCGCTGGCCTTGGTAGCGGTGGGCTTCTTGGAGGGGATCGGAAGTGAAGTCGATGAGCTCACGGGAATCGATCGAGGACCTGGACCAGCACCCTCGTTTCGACCCTTGGGCGGTGCTGCGAGGGTCGAAGACTTCAGTGAGGATGCTCGCGCGAATGGAAGCTTCAGGCTGGACGAGTCCATGGACGGACCAGGAGTGGATGGTACGCTGGGTGTAGCAGCTCCGTCACCTTTCCCAAACATGGCAGCCCAAGGATGCTGTGCAGACGATGACTGCTGTGTCGAAGAACCTGATGTAGCAGGAGGAATGGAATTTGGAAGCGGGCTGGCTGTCCTGATAGTGTGGCCGCCACCAAAGTAGTCTGGCTGCGAGGCTGATGAGGACGAGGATGAAGACGCGAAGCCCGCAGCAAAGGGGTCTTGCTGATTTGTGAGAGGATCGTTGCTCGATGAGGGAGAGGCCTTTGCAAAGGATGCTGAGGACGACAAAGAGCCTGGCGCAACTTCAGCCTTCGGCGTATCCATGGCTGTGTGCAACGACGGCGAGCTCTCTGGCTGCTGCTTGTGGATATACGAATGTGAAGAAGGAGAGATCAAAGGCGTCGTCGAAGTGCCGTTCGTCGAAGAGAAAGGTAGTGTTCCAGTATCGCCACTCAGTGGCGTAGGGTATGGTGGAAGCCCTTGTATACGCATCGCGTCTCCTTTCCCAGTCTGGCTGAGCAAAGGCGACTGCGAGATGCAGAACTTCGTTGTGAAGGACGATGGACAAGGATGAAGGATACGGCTGCAGAGAAGATGATCAATTAATCAAGATGCTGGTAATCAGGGTGGTGGCTGGACATCTTGGTTGCTGGGAGTTGAGGTGGAGTAGGACGAAACGAAAACTAGACCCTCTGGTGCTGCTAGAGATGCGGCGGCTGTCCCTTTGGATCGAGAAACAGCTCTATTTGCTGTGAATGGACGCAGCTTGCTCGTCGTCTTGCTGCTTGCCTCGCAGTCGCCACTTGTGCTTGTGTGTGCGCTTGCGTTTGTGGAGTAGCCAAGGCCAAGATCGCGATCGAGCCTTGTCTCTACGTCTGCGTCTAGCGCGCTGGGTGTCGCCTGAGCCTGAGATGATGGAGGATTGAAGGCCGGATCGACGAAGCTTATGCGGACGACGAGTCCTCCGCCCAGTCGAATCGAGAGCTCCACTTCTCATCTCGCCTAGTGGGCAGATGACGTCGGCGGTCGTTAATTCGGGCCACGAGGCAGCGCTCACACGACGGCGCCGCGCCGTCCCCGTCGTCTCCGACAGCCGACGACGCTCAGACTCATGGCTCACGCTAACGGCAATCTCGCCATTCTCACACCCCTTGAGCTCAATCTGCGGAGTACCAACCAAGTTGCTCTCAATGAACACAATAGCAATATCTAGACATGGCAGCTTCGTCTTCAGACACCACCCTAAGGGGTACACCTGCCAGTGAAGCGCGGGTACAAGCTAGCCTCACGAACAGTCCACCTGTTCATCAACCAAGCGAGCAGCCTCTCCACGCCCAGACCGTACCCTCCGTGCTCGCTGGTACCATATCGTCGCTGATCAAGGTACCAGTAGTATGGCTTCGGGTCAATGCCCTCACGCACATACGCTTCCTGCAGTTCCTTTTCGTCCGAAATCCTCATACTACCGCCTACGATCTCCCCAACTCCAGGCATGAGCAAGTCAACACTCTCCGTAAACCCTTCATCGCCTGGGATCTTCTTCATATAGAAGGCCTTGATCTCCCTCGGGAAGCCATGCAAGAAGATGGGCACGCCAAGCGCATCGGTCATTTTACGCTCGGCCGCCTCAGCGATGTCGTCTCCGACCTTGTGGTGCTCCCCCTCGTCCGTCTTGATGTCATGCTCGTTGAGCCACTTGATCGCCTCCTTGTAGTCCATGCGCTTGAATGGGCGCGAAGGCAGCTTGAAGTCAGGGTTGAGCTGAGAGATGAAGTTGTTCGTCTCCTTGTCTGCCAGGGCGCGCTCCATTGTACCGCAGATGAGCTGCTCAAGGTGCTCGAGCAGGTCGTCAAAGGTGAGGAAGGCGAGCTCAGCCTCGAGATGGGTGTACTCGCTCAAATGACGACGAGTGTGCGACTTTTCTGCTCGGAAGGACTCCTGAACGCAGAAGACGTCACCAAGAGAAGGAAGGCACGTCTCGAGGTAGAGCTGGGAGCTCTGCGTCAGGTAGGCGGGTTGGCCGTAGTAGTCGAATTTGAAGAGAGTGGAACCGCCCTCTACTTGTGTCTGAACCATGCAGGGAGGAGTGACTTCGAGGAGACCAAGAGAGGCATACTCGGCACGGAAGGCGGCCATGACTGAGGCTCGTACTTTGAGAACAGCAGAGGCCGTCTCGCCGCGGATGACAAGGTGGCGCATGTCCGCCAGGAGGGATGGGTCCGCCTCCTTGGTCACCTTGTTGGTGAAGGCGTCATCTCCGCCGGGAGCCTTGCCCAAGACAGTCCACCACTCGGCGGCAAGCTCGTGTCCATCCGGGGCACTCTTGCCGTCAGGGAGAGCCTTGAGGGTGCCGAGGACCTCGATGGACGACTCGTTGGTGAGAGTGAGAGCGTCAAAGGTCTGCGCGAGCTTGCCCGAGAGTACGACCTGCAAGTAGCCAGTCCCGTCTCGCAGCACGATGAAGATGAGTCCCTTCTGGGAGCGAAGCCTATGCACCCAGCCGCAGACCCGAATCTTCTTGTCGCGGTTCTCGATGCCCTTGCGAATCTTGATCTTGCCGTAGGCAGAGCGGTCTACGGGGTCGAGGGTGACCTTTCTCGCATCCTGCAATCGCTGCTGATCGTTGCCCGCCTTGTCTGCCTCAGCGGCCTTTTGCTCGCCAAGCTTCTTTTGCTTCTTCTTCTCAGCCTCATAGAACTTCTTGGCTCGCTTCAAGCCGGCGCCAGAGATGGGACCCTGCAAAAGAGTGTGTGTGAGAAAGTCTGTTCACGGGATCTGGGGTAGAGGGGGATGTTGGCTGCACTCACGTATCCATCAGCATCCGTAGCAACGGGCTGCTCACCGGGAGCAGGCTCGCTAGTAGGCGCCTTCTTGACAAGGACGGTAGCCTCGGGGCCAAGGGCAAGTAGCGCTGCGAGAGGAGTTGCAAAGGGCTTTGCCTTGGTTCCGTCGGCGTCGGCATCTGAGCCAGCGCCTTCATCAACGTGAGCCGTAACGCCCTTGCCTGTGGCCTGTTGCTGTTCTTCTGAGCTTGCACCGCCGGTGAGATGCATGGCTTCCGCAGCGCTAGAGAGAGCGTCTTTGATGCCAGACATCTTTTGTGATGCGAGGCGGGAGAGTCGTCGTCGTTGGGAAAGGGCGGAGATGATAGCAGGGACGAGAAGTGCTTGTTAGATCTCGATTGATTGGAAGCAACAACCAACCAACCAACGCCGAGTCAGTCCACCAGACGGCGCGCTCTCTGCACGGAGACGAGCTTTGGACGAAGGATTGTCGGTCGGATCGATTTCATCTCCGCCGGTCCGCCCTCAGCCTGCCTTGCCTGCCTGCCTGCCTGCCTTGCCTGGCTTGCGCTTCTTCGCTCTGCCCCGCTCTTCAACTCCTCGGCGTCGCACAATCGAGATGATACCAAGCGCCTCCCTCGCTCGTTCTTCATCGCGCGAGGTCCTCTTCTACCGGACACCGCGCTTTTATCCCGAAAACATCGTCCACACGTTGGCCATTGCCTCTCACTTTGCCCGCGAGGCCGAGCGCGCTGCCGACGAGACGGCGAAGCGGTCAGGACGACGAGCTCCAAAGCCGGAAGAAGCTGGGCTCAAGTGGATAAGCGTACTGAGGGTGAGCAGTCGAGGATAGGGCAGACGGACGGCGAAAGAGAAGAAGAAGAAGCTCAATTGGCTCTATGCTCGTCGCCATCGCCCTCACAGGAACCTGTACAGAGTCGCATCATCAACACCGGCCACGTCGCCTTCACGGATCGAGACATAGCCGCTCAAGTGGCGCGAAGTAGCACAGTTGAGCAGGTCCATTTCGCAGCCAAGAGAGCAGCTGATCGCGCTACTGGTAGTAAGAGAAAGGAGAAGCAGTATGCCAGCCTCTCGGACGTTGCTCCCTTCATTGGCCTCGAGCTGCCCAAGGACTGGCAGTCCCCCTCTGCGGCGCCTTCAGACCCCGTCGTCCCAGAGAACTCATCATCTTCGCCGCACTCTCACTGGAGCGACTACGAAGAGAAATGGTTCCAAGTGACAGCCTACCCCAGCGAATCGCAGAGCGAGTTGCGAGCAAGCAGTAGCAGCAGCAAAAAGCTCAACCCGGCAGCACTGAAGCATCGTGAAGCTCTCAAGGAGTGGCCGGGATTCAAGCGCTTGTTGGCCGAGGCTGAGAAGAAGATGCCGAAGGACGTCTTCTCGGATAAGCTGGACAAGAGAGGGGCGTAGCGATACGTGAAGGGAAGAAGAGGATTGTTCATGCGAGACACCTAGACGATACCCGCTTTGCCTTGCGGCGAGCACAAGCACTGTAACATAGTAACAATCTGATTGACGTGATATATGAGGCATTGCGATACGAGGCATTGCGTCTACTCTACTCTAAATCCCCTGCTTCCACCATCCCGGCGTCGTCTCTTGGCGTTTGGCCGGCCGTCTCATCGCAACGCCATCAGTCGCGCTGAGCGATCCATTCGGAGTCTTCTTGCTCCGTCCTCCTTCAGTCCCCGTCATGCCCTTTCTCATTCTCGCCTCTACTTTCTCTCCTTCCTTTGCCACGCCCTTGGCCATACCAGGCTCAGCAGGCTGCCCTGCTCCCACCTTGTCCGCCTTCACACCCTTGCCCTTCTTCCCACCTCCCTCCCCCTTCAAAGCTCGCTCCCACGCATCTTTCTGAGTACGGAAGATAGCCATGGTAGTCCTCGCGTCCTCCACACTTGAATGCTCCTCCCCAGCCGCCTGAATCTCGATGCCCAACACGAGCTTGGCAAGCTTGCGCAGACCGGGATGCTTGGTTTGTGCCAGGTCCCGCAATGGCTTGAAAGTAGCGGTATCTCTGATCAAGGGGCGCGGGTGAGAAAGCAGCAGAGCCTTCAGGTCATTTTGGATGGCATGTCCCACCAAAACCCTGCCTTTGATCAGAGCGGCCACCTCGCCCTGCACCTCTTTCAATGTCGGAGCTCCCTTAAGGTCCTTAGCCCTGATGCCGGAGACCCAAGTACGATAGTCCGTCACCTTCTCCATAGGTCTAACGAAGCGGTCTAGCAACGTATGACCGTGCCAATTGACGATGGACACCCGCGCAAGAACGGATTCTGATCCCTTGAGCCCCACACCGACCATCTCGCAGTCGATAGCGATGTAATTGCCAGGTTCGCGCTTGGCCGCTGAGCTCTCAGCCCCATCCCACTGCCCGCCAAGGATGATCTGCTTCTTGCGGCGCTCCTCTGCTGCGCTGCTCGACGAGCCGCCAGCTGTCCATTGTGAAGAAGAGGATGAGGGTTCCATGCCCGTTGCGGTGGAGGCAACGGCGGCCGAGGCGTTACGGACTAGGGCGAGATCTTCTGGTGAGAGATCCTCAGCGAACCAGGGGAGAGAGGTGGGAGCCGGAGAGCCAGAGACGTGGCTGTCCTCCATTGCGCGGGCTTTGCCCTTGGTGATACTACTACGGCGCCTTTTTGCCGGGGACTCACTGGTATCGAGAGTCTGGAGGAGAAGGAAAAGGAGGGATGGACGAGGTCAACAAGGGCAACGTCGGCCGTTGAAGGCGTCGAGCCTTGATTGTCTCACCTTGCGCAGCGCTTTCCAGTTGCCGCCGGGCTTGACCTCGGTCGTTGATCCGCCAGACGCTCTTCTCTTTGCCGCCATTCCACCTGCGGGGCCTCTCGGACCTTCTCCATTCAGCATGGCCGACTCGTGTGAAGCAGGGGAGAGGATGTTGATTGAATGGAGAAGGAGCGACTGGCCGAAATTTTGGGCCTCGTCCCCGCCTGTCCGGCCGCGTCGGAAGGAGACGTCGAGGGCTGAGCGCTTCGACTTTCTCATCATCTTTCACCCATCGACCTACTGACGTCTTTTGACTACAGACTGCACTCGATGGCCTTCACGGCCGCGTTCCTGCCATCATCGTCGGTCGTGAGATCGATATTTCCGAGAGCGAGTCAGCATGGCTCAGCCGTCTGCGCTAGGGCGGCGCAAAGCTCTCCTTCCTCTTGCTCTTCCTCCTCCGTTCTCAACCGCCTCTACGCAACAGCGCCCAAAGGTCGACCATCTTCTTCCTCGTCCAAATTCAAGCCTACCGCCAGCCCTCGACCGACTCCTCGGCCAGACCCCTCTCAACCTCTCGTTCTCTACACTGGACCCCCTCAGTATCGTCCTGTAGTCTCGCATTTCCTCCTGCTGGTCTTCTCCGTCGTAGGCATCACAACGGGGGCGAATGTGCAGAAGCACGCCGTCTGGCCGCTATGGCCTACAAAGGACGGCAAGGAACAGAAGTTGATGGACGAGAAGGTCAGAATAGCTACGGGCGTTGGAGTGGGCGTAGCAGGCATCATGTTGGGGAGCCTCTTCAAGTGGGCGGCTGCTAAGTGAGTGCAGAGAGGGCGACGGTCTGACTGATGATTCATTGCAGTCGAGCTGAGCTGACCTCTTCCATCGCACCGTAGGAACATCACGCGCATCACCCTGATCGAACAGGCAGGCAAGCCCCTCCTGAACATCAAAGTCGCCTCGCCTCCCCTCTTCAATCGCGAGCTGATCACCCGGGGCCACCCTCGCGTCATCACGGAAGGTCGAGGCTCCCCAGAGTTCACCGTCCCCCTCTCCTGCGTCGTTCGTACCACTGGATCGGCCGTCGCAGCGGGGTGGGTCGACGAGCGCACCGCCGGCCGGGACAGGCGGACGATCACGCTGCAGGTGGGCAGTAATGGGAGCGAGGCCTATGTGCTCGAGACGGCTGGTGGATTGGAGCCGAATAGGGAGAAGAGCGCCAATGTTGTGGCCTACTGGTTCAGAGTGTTTGAGTGGGCGGTGATTAGGGGCAGGCCGGAACCGCCTTACTTCTGGTCTAGGCAGGCATTCGATGAGTTGATCCCGCCGGCGGGGCCGAGAAGGATGAGATGAGCGCAGTTGAGGAGCATCAGAAGGGTTCTACGACGATGAGGCCTCGGTGAGAGCCTTGCGCCACTCCCGACTGGTTGAAGCAGCCCTAGCTAGGGTATGCCGGGCTTGCTGCGTGGCGAGAAGGAAGAGCGGGAAGAGAAGGTGTGAAGGACGATTGCGGAAGGCAAATGTATCAGTAGACAAATCCTCGAGTGGCAACATTAGCAGCATCCTCCGCTCTCACCTTGAGCATCTGTGAGCGCATGGCAGGCCAAGCAGAACCCTGAAGCTGTCAGCAGACGAGCTCTGTTACACTGCACACCTGAGGTCTACGCACCGGTGCATCAACCATAACGCTTCTCCCCGATAGCTCGACTTCCACAGCGCCCTTGTGGCCCTTGACGCCTTCCTCGTAGGCCCGCTTGATCTTTTCAGCGTCAGCGACCTCTGTGGTAGCCGGCCAGGCAAGTAGTGTCAGAATGTAGGTGAGTCATGGCGGACCCCTGGCCATCACTGGCACAACGCACCTTGCTCTGAGGGCGCAAAAGCCTTCTGAATCGTAGCGACTTGTGCTGGGTGGATCTGTCCGACAGCAGCGAGCAAGTCAGTGAGCACTCGTCACGGCTTGTCGCTCCTTCGGCAACTCACCGCCTGCTTCCCATCGAAACCAATCTCAGCCCCATCCCTGCACTCCTCTATCAAATACTCCTCGTCCTTGTAGTCGATGCAGACCATGTCAATCGCCGCCATACCATATGCCTTTGCGATCAGGGCCATCTGCTGACGGGGCATGAGGAGCTCACGGCGAGATCGAGTACGGATGATGCCCGCAGAGTGGCAGAAGTCCTCTGAACCGAATAGGAGGGAGGAGATGTGCGCCAGGGAGGAGGATGGGCGATGCGAGGTGGAGGAAAGAGTCTCAAGGATAGATGGCATGCGCAGTAGACTGGCAGCGCTCTCGACGCAGAGTGTGAGGGAGAGAGGTGGTGATCCCGGTGGGCGAAGCTGCTGAGCTCGTGAGAGGACGAAAGCCACGTCCGCTTCGTGTTCCACCTTTGGTATTACGAGCCCTTCAAGCTGTCCGAGGGGTAAGAGAAGTTCCAAATCGTCGCTTGCTAGGTTCTCGTCTGATGAGGGTGGATTGATGCGCACAGCTCGCTGTGGACCCTTTGATGAGGAGGCGGACCGCAGGCCATGGTAGACCGACTCGCGAGCTGCACCTTTGCGGTGATTGGCGACTGAGTCTTCGAGGTCGAAGATGAGGGTATCGACTTCAATCGAATGGCTCTGGGTGCGCGTGAGTGGGATGAGCTGCCATCGAAGAAAGTGCCTGGCTGCCGTCGTGGCTTCTTACCTTTCTGATCATCTTATCGCTCGAGCCTGGTACGTAAAGCATAGCTCGAGTGGGCCTCGACGGTATCATTGACTTGCTAGCCGCTCTGCTGCTGGAAGCAAAGCTTCTCTGCCATGCCTGAAGTGGTGTCCGATAGGTCGCACATTTTGAGATGATGCTCAGGGAGGTAGCCATGATCGTGAGGGGCGAGTGGAGAAGGAGGAGCGGCGGACGTTGAGCTGCCGGCGAAGTCGAAAAGTGCGAACGGGCCATGCGACAATCGACTTGACTTGGCGCGAGGGCGGCAAAGCAACACATCGACAGATCCGACGGCCCCTCTTTCCTTTGCCTCGACCTTACTTCTTTCTATCTGAGCAAGATCACACGCCTCGAGCCTCCTCATCAGAGCAGTGACACACATGAGCAGCTATCACTTCTACAACCTCGCTCGCTGAGACCTCGCTGCATCATGGCGTCCTCCTCATCGGGCCAGCAGCCTCATTCACCTCCTCCTTGGCTCCACAATTCATCGTCATCTCGGCGCATACGGCACATCGTATCATTGCATGTCCGCAACTTCATCACTACCACCCATTCCAACGGATCTGGTGCTCCACCCCCACATCATTCGGCGCAGCTATACCACGTCTCGCTTGCTCTCTCCTTCAACCAGCCGACAGAGGAGTCGTCGCAGCCTTTCCCCTTCATCACCCATCCCTCTCGGCCTGCCGTCAATGCTGACTGGCCAATCGACCTGAACGAGCGCGCTCGTAGCTGCGCTTCTTCTTCCAAGTCGCTTGACTCCCTCGGTCTGTCTCGCGTACAAATAGCCGCTTGGGCAAAGAAGTCACTGCCTCAGCAGCAGGAAGAGGATGCTGCAGCAATATGGGAGTGCGCATGGGAGAGAGATGTGGATCTGAATGGCTTGCAGAGGATTCCAGGAGGGGTGCGTACGACTCAGGTCACGTCAAAGGTAGAGCTTTCCTGGCTGACCGACTTCAATTGTTTTTCCAGCTCTCATCTCCAGCAGCCGCAAGACTCCCGCCCAACTCGCTGATCCTCGGCCTCAAGTCTTCCGTTTGGTCCGGCTCGACCGATCGCAGCGAGAACAACGCTCTCACGAAGCTGGAACGACTCGACTCAAAAGCTTCACCATCGCAGACTCAAGAGGTTGCAAAGGTCGCGCAGCAACGCCTTGCCGCCAATGACCATCGAGCGCGAGATGCTGTCACTCATTACCTCGTCCCGGACAGCGCAGCTACAGATGTTGTAGAACAGACAGGAGCAGCGCAACCTGCTCGATCTACCAAGCGAAGGTCGATGGGCGAAGTTGACGTGGACATTGGCGACAACAGCATTCTGAGCGGAGCGGCCAGCGAGCCAGAAGAAGGCAGCGATACCTCCTCAGATGAGGGCGGCGAGTCACAAAGAGATACAGGCTACGACTCGGAGACGACGTTCGAGCTCAGCAGCAGCCTCTCTGCTTCCTCTCAGGTTGGAACTAGCTTGGCAAAGGCTGGACCTTCGCGACCTGGCCTGGACAGACGCAGATCGAGCAGCCGTACTATACGAGCAATCAAGAAGGGGAGACGGAGAAAAGGGACCAGTAACTCCAAGGCCGCCGTTGGGACTGACGTCGAAGAAGAGTCACTTGGGCAGCCAACTGGAGACAGTAGCAAGGGTCATGCGCGGCAAGATAGCGCTACTCTCTCTTCCTCCTCTGCCTCCAAGAAAAGCCAAGATCGTCGCGAACAAGTGCAACGTTGGCAGCTCGAGCGGGAGCGCGAGAGGGAGGTGTTGGAGCGCAGCAAGTGGGAGACAAGAATGCTACAGGGCTATGATCGGGAGCAGCTGCGGGTCATCGTTGAAGGGCAGAGCGAGGTGGACGCTACGGTCCGGGAGGAGCAAAGGGCCAGAGGGAAAGCGAATCAGGCCCTGCTGGATGAGACCGGGATGCATGCGCTGAGACGGCGGAGGGAGCATACGAGGGGGGGCCTAAGTGAGTTGGAGCGAACGCTTGAGGTGGAGAGCGAGGGCATCAAGCAACTCAGACATAGGATAGAAGAGAAGAAGGAGTCGCTAGCTCGTAGGAGAGCAAGGCTGGACTTGCTGCATCGTCAGAGGACGGAAGGTTCCGACTCACCGGCGAGAGAGCTGGACCAAATCGCTCAGCTACGGTGAGGCTTTCGCAGCAGCGCATGAGGCGAGTATGGTGCTGACGCTTGCCCTCCCCTGTCCAGGTCACGCCTTCACAACCTCGACGCTCTAACGCACAATCGCCGCGCCCATCTTCTCGAACTCCTATCACTCATCTATCCCCTCCAATTGCTCGATCCCTCGGAGCTACTCTTCTCTATCGGCGGCTGCACCTTGCCAAACTCGCCCGCTGCGGCTCTCTCTGCCCCCTCGCGCCACAACAAGATCGACGAAGACGAAGTTGCCGCAGCCCTCGGCTTCGCAGCGCAACTCGTCTTGCTTGTCTCGGCGTATCTCGAGACACCGCTGCATTACGACGTGGCCGTCGGGGGGAGTAGAGCTATGGTGCGGGACGGAATCAGTTTGATGAATGGACCCAGAAGGTGAGTTGTGGCGTAACGGAGAAAGGGGCAAGATAGAATGAGAGAGGCTGACTAGAAACATCCGCTGCGGCAGCTTTCCGCTCTATTCCAAGGGCGTAGAAGCCTATCGATTCGAGTATGGCGTCTTCCTGTTGAACAAGAATGTTGAGCAGGTGAGCAGCAGCGCTCGAGCACGCCTGTTGCTTGTCAGTGACCTTACTTACGCTCCTCCTTCGCGACCAGCTCATGAACGCGCACGGCCTGCCAGTCTTGGATTTGCGACACCTCCTGCCTAATCTCAACAATCTACTGCTCACGCTCAGCTCGCCGATAGCTGTTCCTATCGCTCATACCCGCGATGCCAGCGATGGAGACCATGTCACAGTCGGAAATGGTGGTCCATCCGTCGTTGGTGGCGGCGAGGGGAGAGGAGTGGAGGTGGGGACGAAGTCTACTCTCTCAACCGCTTCTTCCGCCTCGGCCTCGAACGAGAGTCCGAACAGGCGACGCGGTGGGTACAAGGTGGCAGGGAAGGGGGAGATGATCGTACTACCTTCGAAGCCACGTAATACGGACGAGGGGAGCAGGGCGTCGGATGGTGAGGGGATGAAGGCTGAAGGAGGACAGATCATGACCAACGGGGCAGCTGCGCCTATGCCAGACGCAGAGTCAGCATCGCACAAGAAGCCAGCTGCGAAATATTCTCACTCTCCCGCAGCGTCATGGACGGCCTCTCTGCTTGGATGGACGGGAGGGGGCAGTGGGTCGCGGGTCAAAGCCGGGGCCAAGAGCGAGGTACCGAATAGTCAGCCGGCGCCGCAACCTGGCAATCTTCCCACTGCGAGAACGCTGGGAGGCCGACAGTGAAGAGCGATATCCTGTAATGTAATGCGATTCAGCCGGGTGTCCTCGATAAAGCCTGTGACGAGCAGTGTGAGCTGCGAGGATGAGAACAGGCTCGAGCACGGGCCATGGGACAGGCGCGTCGAGTGGATGATGCGGAGGCGGCGGGCCGAGAGCGAGCGGGCAGCTGCTTGCTTTCCTTTGTTCCTCTTCGACCTCGCACTCGCCATCACCGCCTCTACCTCGCGCTCGCTGCCATCGCTTGGTCTTTGAGGAAGTCTGTACAGCCCAAACATCATATCCGCATACAGGTGCTCAAGGCATCAATTCGTCAAGCAAAGCCAAAGCAAGGCGCACCGTCTCACCCAAGGATCTCGACCAGCAGCGCCTCGATTGCACCTGCGATTGACGACCCATCTCGGACTCCTTTTGCCAAGGCAGCCTCTCCTCTTTCTCCCAGAGGTCACCCTATCTGCCTCTTCTTCTTTCCCCTTGATCCGACCACACTATGATCCGCATGATCCTTGTTCAAAATCGACAGGGAAAATCCCGCCTTTCCAAGTTCTACACACCTTACAGCGAAGAGGAGCAAGTCAAGATCAAGGGCGAGATACACCGCCTCATCGCGCCGAGGGATCAGAAGTATCAGAGCAACTTTGTTGAAGTGAGTAGGCGCTGCGATGCTACGAGCGAGGAGGAGCATGTTGAGAATTGGATCGGGTTGCTGACTGAGTCGATGTTCCTCCTCGAACGCAGTTTCGCAACTACAAGATCGTATACCGCCGCTACGCCGGTCTCTTCTTCTGCTTCTGCGTGGATGCCAATGACAACGAGCTCGCCTATTTGGAAGCCATTCATCTCTTCGTCGAGGTGCTCGGTGAGTGCCGTCGCTGCCCGAGAACCTCATCTCTCTCCTTCGTCCTACGGGGCTGACCCATTGGCTCTCGTCGTAGATTCCTTCTTTGGCAACGTCTGCGAGCTGGACCTCGTCTTCAACTTTTACAAGGTCTACGCCATTCTGGATGAGATGTTCCTTGGTGGTCATGTTGAGGAGACTAGCAAGCAGGTGATCCTGAGTAGGCTGGAGTATTGTGAGTGGGATGCGGACGAGAGTGCCAATGGGGCCATGGACTGACACGTTCCCGCTTCATTCGCCGTAGTGGAGAGACTCGAGTAGGCGGCCATCACGGCTGCATCCCTAGCCACGCATGAACGACTTTGCACTGTCAGCTGCGCCACGTATAGCGCCGCCCTAGCGGCCGTGGTATGCATGCGTTGTCGCTCGAGCTCCCGAGGCTGCATCATGTCAGGATGGGTATCTCATTATCGCATTGCAACTGCCGAGGCGAATAGAGAGACGGTCGAATGGGCCAGGCCACAATAATATCTGGGACAAGATCGCCAATCAAAGGACCGAGGAGGCGACCAGAGGGCCCCTTCACTCCAAGCCCGATGAACTCTGTACATAACACGCAAAGTCCCACGTCACCGCCGCCCTTAGATATCCGAAAACCAAAAGTCCAAATTGGCCGGCAAGCTCGGCGCAGCCACACCGCTGGGCACCTCGACCTTCTCCCCGGTCAAGTCGAGCATCTTGACCTTCAATGCTATATCCGCTAACGCTTGGATCTGCTCGCCCGTCATCGTTGTGTGGACTATCGCGTTGCCGCTACCACTTCCGCCAGCGCTACTGGGGGCAGTACCGGCAACGGTCGTTGGTGTGGGAGGGACGCTGTTGTTTCCGAAGGAGGTGGGGTGGGTGGAGTCAGAGCTGCCTCGCAGCATGCTGAGCCCGTCGACCCATTCTGCGTACTGAGCCTCGCTGACGCAGATCAGGTCTGCGAGGGAAGAGTCGGGGGAACCGAGGAGGCTGAACGAATTGTTGAGGGAGGCAGAGCTGCTTGCAGCGGGAGAGGTGTGATGGACCCCATTGATGCCTCCGCTACCAGGAAGGGGCACCATGCTCGTCGCCGTGTGCAATGCAATGTCCGTCACTTTGGACAGATCGATGCGTTGTGGCAAGTCGTCTAGCCCGCTTCGGACTGGCGCTAGAGATGCAGCTGCCGATGAAGCTGAGGTAGCCGGCGTCGTGGGGTCGTGCACATTAGATTCGCGGTAGTGCAAGTACCTACGATTTGGGGAAAGGCGGTAGAAGCGCCAGACTGGCTGTGATGATGCCGGCGTCGTTGAGTTGGATGACGACCCCATGGCAGCAGCGAATCTCGACCCACTGCTTGTCCCGCTGGTGGGAGGCGTGATACCGTGCGACGAGCGTCGTCGTCCCACCGTAGGCGCCGCACTTCCTCCTGCTGCAGCGGTGCCAGCGGTGCTGGACGCAGGCATCGTGCCCCCAAACCTGGTCCCACTTGGCGTACGGAACCAAGCTCCCTCGAGAAGGCACTGCACCCTCTGCGTTCTCACAAAGTCGTAGCTCTCCCTGTACAGCCTAGCTCTCAGGCTCCTGATCGCAGGCTGAGAGGCGTAGTCGTCTTCCATCTCTAGCTCCCTCATCTGCCGATCACGCACGGATCGGTATTCCGCTTCGAGGAAGGAGCGTCGCACGTCGGCCCACTGCGTTCCTGACTCGTCGCGCAGAGCATAGCGCACTTGGCTCCGCACAAGAGCTGCGACGCGTGGGAAGTCTGAGGAGACAGCGCCAGACTCGGTCCATATTCGAAGGAAGAAGCGGACGGCCAGATAGTGGACGCGCGGTAGGGAGAGGAGGTAGGGCTTGAAGCCCATAGCTGCTGTGCTGTACCCCTCACTGATACCCCAGTGATCGGCCAGCATCTCTACAACTGCTGTAGAAGCACGACCCCAAGGACAGCGTTTGATTTCCGGACGGTGTAATTGCTCGAGGATCTCCTGACTGTACGACTCGGGATCTGTACGAATGTAGGCGTCGCAGCATTCCAGACCGAGCCAGCCGGTGGAAGTGAAGTCGCGTGCCACATTCTCGTTCTGGAAGCCGAGTTTGCGCCATTTGATCTTACGATTTGACGACGAAGACGTGGATGAAGCGGAGGGGGGTATCTCTCCCTGCGTGTGGGCGTCGCTGTTATTCAGCGAGGAGCGCAGGTTGGACGACGAGGTAGATGACGAAGGCGTCATCCTGGCAGGAGAGTCTGAGGTTGCCTCTTCTGTGATCTTTGCCTGTCTCCAGATGTAGGTGAGCGCCGTGACATGTCGCTTGTCCGTTGGAGTGACGGGCGTGACGAGACGGTGGTGAAGCACTCGTATGATGTTGTTCTGATACTCGAGAATGGAGGTAGCGAGCTCTTCCCCGCGCGTCGAGTCCATCAACCTCGCTACGGCGGCTGATGTGCCCAGCTTCTCGAGCTCCGTATTGAAGTCGTCAAAGAGGGCGTCGGTCACATGCCGCATGAGGCTATTCAGCAGCGAGAGGGAATAGAGGCACAGCGTCGCATCTGCGCTTGCCAGCCTGTGTACGAGAGTGGGCAAGAAGGCCGGCTCCTTGCGGATCTTTTCGAACACGGCCTCAAAGCCACCAGCGCTGCTACCGCTGCTGCGTGATCCAGCGCTGCCCGCAGAATGAGGCTCGGTAGATGGCCCAGCGACGACGAGCTTCTTGAGGATAGCCGTTGCTGGTCTGCAAACATTGATCCTCTCCGTCTCGACAAGGATGCGCACGACCTTGGCCATAAAAGCCCCGTCGAGGCCTTGTGCGCCATCATCGGTTGCCTCGAGGAGGTTCTGACAGCTCGTCAAGGCGTAAGCGAGCGTGTTGCCGCTCGACTGAGCGTGTACTACACCGATGAGCTCGGCGAGGCCGCCTCTGCGAATGAACTCGGCCGTGAAGGGTGGCTCGCGAATGAGTCGCTGTAGGGTGTAGGTCGCCATTTTGAGCGTGCGGTCGTCGCGTGAGGAGAGCTTGTCTACCATCTCGGCCGCCTCGATGAGAGGAGAGGCGGTCAATCTAAGGGGAAGCGGCGCGAGGAGATGTCGTCAGTAGCTGCAATCAACTCTTTAACGAGAAAGTGACTCTCACTTGAAGCTAGCGCCTGATTCAATCTTTCTAGCCAGATTAGCATCATCGATGAGCTCGTCATCATCCTCGTCTCGCAGAGCAAAGAGGGCCGGGGGCTCCTGCACCCCTAGGTGAGCATTGGCGCATAGCTGCCGAATGACATCCGAGACCATCATCGTGGTATCAATCTGGGCCTTGATAGTCGCATTGCGGTAACTGACAGTGTTGATCTTGGCTATCGAGTTGGACGTCTGCGAAGTTGTCGACGGGCGTCGAGGATCTGCGTTGGATGACGGAGGTACGGCGGGGACATAGCGGCTGTTTGCTGGAGGCGTGGAAGACTGAGAATTCGTCTGGGGTGAGGGTGTCGAAGGTGAGGCGTGGCCCAGCGCCCTTTGGGTATACGTGGCCATATGGACGTGGTAGTCGTGTCGGTCGTTAAGAGAATCGAGAAGTGATGGAAGGAGTGCAAGAGGCCAAGCGGCGGCAGCGGCTCCAACACTTGAGCCGACAATGGCGCCCTCAAACCGTCGCCGCTGCGCCCCTTGGCCCCACGCCGTCTCTCCGCGCCTCTCTCCACGTCTTTGACGCCCAGACCACGACCACGGAGCAATCAGAGACGGAGAAGTGGCGCGCCTCGACTCGACTTCCTTCCGCTCCCTACGACTGCATCATCATCGTCATCGTCATCACCACAGCGCCAAGATGCTCGACCACTTCACGGTAGTCCACTCATCTGGCCTTGTCCTCTGGTCCAAGTCATTTGTTCCGACCTTCCAGCAGACATCGCCCATCCCTGCCCTGATCCGTACTGCCTTCATCGAGTCGCGCGCAAAGGGAGACGAAGATGAGCGATTCGACTCTGGCGGCTATTCGTGTCGATGGGCCCTTGCCAACGACTATGGGCTCGCATTCGTCGCTGTTCATCAGCGTATCCTGCATTTGGCCTACATTCCTACTTTGCTTGCGCAGGTAAAGGCACTGTTCCTCGACTTGTTCAAGCCGTTTCTGAGCGCAATCCTGGCTAGCACGCGACCTTCCATCTCGGCCGGATCTGCTAGGCTCACCGCCGAGGCTAGAGCTCAACTGGCTGCTGCGCTCAAGGACTGGGACTCTGTCTTCACTTCTACGCTCAGAAAACTCGAGAGGGACGCGGCACTGCAAGCTCGCTCAGCAGCCAAAGCAGCTCCTCAGTCCCCCTCAGCGCCTGCTGCCCTTCCATCATCGACCGACAAGCCGGGAAAGAAGGGAGCCACACCTGGCGCCAGCAATGACGATGCGGCCATAGCCAAGAACATTGAAGCACTCAAGTCCCGACTCAAGGGCGTCGACCTCGGACCACCAGGAGCCAGGGGTAAGAAAAAGGCCCAACAGCAGTCGCGCACTGCGAGCGGGACGGCCACGCCTGGCAGCGGGGAGGCGACGCCCAACAAGAAGAAGGCAGGGGGAGCAGCAAAGGAGATGCGCAAGTGGGATGCAAACGGAAATGCGATTGCAGTGGGCGATGCTAGTCAACTCGACTTTAGCAATGGAGGGCCCTCGACTCCGGGCGTTGAGGAGCAGGAAGAGAAGGGCACCCTGCAAGGTTGGGTCGATGAGAGGAGCATGGGGACGGTCGGGGAGAACGGCATGTATGAGGTGGCCGATGCTCTCGACGTAGACGAGGAGAGCGATGAAAGCGATGAAGAAGACGACGAGGGTCCAGCGACAAGTGCCCCATCGAAGAGCGGCGGCTTCCTCTCAGGCCTGACCGGCAAGAGTTCGTCCGCAGGTAGCTCCCTTTTCTCGCGCCTTACCGGCTCAGGCCATTCACTCACGGCAGCCGACCTTCAACCTACCCTGGCAGCCATGCAATCGCACCTCCAATCCAAGAATGTAGCCGCAGACGTAGCGCAGCGCCTGTGCGCCTCTGTCGGTCGCTCCCTCGAGGGCAAGACCCTATCCACGTTCGGCTCGGTCAAGAAGGAGGTTCGCACAGCATTGGAAGATGCAATCACCCGCGTCCTGACGCCGCGCAACTCGACAGACCTCCTCCTTGAGATCAACGACAAGCTGTCTCGCCAAGATGCCAGCAAGCAGAAACAGCCCTACGCCCTCGCCTTCGTCGGCGTTAATGGAGTAGGCAAGTCGACCAATCTGGCAAAAGTCTGCTTCTGGCTTCTCCAGAACCAGAAACGCGTCCTAATCGCAGCATGCGATACTTTCCGTTCGGGCGCTGTGGAGCAGCTACGCGTGCACGTCCGCAATCTCGGGGAGCTCAGCGTCGGCGGGTCCCAGGTCAAGGATTCCCTTCCCGGCGGTGGCGCAAAGCTTGAGCTCTATGAGCGAGGCTATGGCAAGGATGCAGCAGGCATCGCCGCCTCTGCGCTTAGCTACGCCCGCCAATCCGGCTTTGACGTGGTCCTCATCGACACGGCAGGCCGCATGCAAGACAACGAGCCCCTCATGCGAGCCCTAGCCAAGCTGGTCGCCCATAACGAGCCAGACAGGGTCGTATTCGTCGGAGAAGCGCTGGTGGGCAACGAGGCGGTAGACCAGCTGACCCGCTTCGACAAGTCTCTGCGAGACTTCTCGGGAAAGAGTGGCGATGCGGCTAGAGGATTGGATGGGATGCTCCTTACCAAGTTTGATACCATCGACGATAAGGTCGGCACGGCGCTGACCGCTACGTCGGTTACCGGGTTGCCGATCTATTTTGTAGGTGTGGGCCAGACATACACCGATTTGAAGCAGCTGCGGGTGAGGCATATCGTGGGGGCGCTGATGAGGGATTGAGGGCGCGGGGAGACGGGTGAGGAGGCAAGCCGGGCGGACATTGAAGATGAGACGATGTACGATTATCGCGCAATGGTATAAGCAATCGTGTAACAGCTATCTAAACACGCCTGACGGCTCCGCTCTCTACGTTCTCATCAAGCGCTCGCAGTCTTTGAGCAGTGCCTCGATCGCCACCCTGTCGCTCCCCGCACCAACCACATTATCCCTTCGCCCCGCCTCCTTTAGAACCTCTGAAGCCTCAAGCACTTCTGCCAAACCCGTGAGAGCCTCCAAATCGGGGAAGCGCCACATTACCCTCATCAAACTCGCAGCGATACGATGGACCGTATCCGCTTGCAGGTCGGTTCGCTTCAGAGCCTCGAGGAGGGCGGTGAGCACCTCCAGAGCCACCTCTTCTACCGAAGCCGAATTGGGTTGACGCAACCGCTCGGATAGCACAAGGCAGAGATTGTACGCTGCCGTGGCTGCTACATTTGCCACTTTTAGATCCGCGTGTAGCAATCCAGCCACCAGCAGCGTGATCCCTGCAGCGCCCCCGTCGCCCTTGTTCGCCGAGAGGTTTGCCAGCAAATACATGGTGGTCATCCAGGTCGACCTTGCTTCATCTGGTCCTTGCGTCTTGCCAAGCTTGGGTGCCAAGCTCTCAAGGGCCGAAGAGAAGAGTTGCGCGTTGTTGTACGTGCTGTGATTGGCGGCATTGCCATCGGCAGCGGCATGACGCAGCAGATCGACGAGGGGGAAGAGGGCCGCTGTAGGCAGCTGAGCGCACAAGACATCATTAGCCTTGCGCCATCGCTGTGCTAGTTGGGCATCCACATTCCTCCGTGCCGCAACTTTGCCCACAGCGCTACTGCCGCTACCGTCCTGGATCCATGGAAGCGCCTCCTTGACGATGATTTTTCGGGCCTCCTGCAGGTCTGCCTTTGCATTGAAATCCGGTGAACGGACCGCACGGATGTGCTCGTCTAGTGAGCGAGCCAGCGCATCGGGCTTGATCGGCGAGGCGATGAAGTAGGTGGGCGATGCCGGGAGGGAGGAGAGTGAGGTGATGGGTGGTGAGAGACTGTCGTGCGGGTGTGGCTGCGCGTTGGTGCTTGACTCTGCAACGGATGACGGGGGCGCAGCAGGCTGCGATGTCGTCGACTGCTGCGCTCGCTGATTGATCATGTCCACCAGGCCCCCGAGGGGAGGAGCAGGCCCGCCGGCCGGTGCTCCGTTTGCCATGCCTCCCTGTGGTCGATTGGACATGTTACGCAGCGCCGTCTGGAAGTCGGCAGGCATGTTGAGGATGTGCTGCGGGATGCCTGACCCAATCAGGATCTTGCTGAACTCGTCCGAGAAGTTGTTGCAGTTGTAGTTGAACAAGTTGTAGCTGCTGGCCGTGAATCTCTCCCGAAGGTCATCAATAAGCATCTGGAAAGTCTCCTTGTCGATCTCCGTCTGCCCTAGCTGGGTCACCTGGACCGGATTGCCGTGATGACTTCTCCCTGGCGCAGTGATGCTGATGCCCTCGCCCCCGCCGAAGAAGACTTCTTGGCCGTGTGCTACAATGCTTGTATGCCAGACTGCCTCCATGTGATGTCCGCCGAGGAGCGCTGCGCTTAGCTGACGGGCGAGTCCGCCCGAGAGGTCGTAGCAGTAGAGCTCGACTTTGTGCACAGTAGACTGAGTCGGTTCTGCCATGCTGAAGTGAACACTTGCTGAGAAGAAGGGGAGGATGCTGGGGTGGCAAAGAAAAGGAGGGAGTCCGACAAGGAAGCTGCGAGATTCTTGAGACGAATCATGAGCCAGTTCCGTGTGCACGGGCCGAGGCCACGCAAGCCAAGGCAGTCCGACGAGCCACGCGGATGATGACCATGGCAAGAATCACCCAGGATGGCAAACGGCACGAATGTGAGATAGTATGCTGCGATGACGATTCGATGCGCGAGAAGGTGGGAGAGAACGGACAGGGCGGCAAGCTCACCAACTTAGTAGCCACCCCTGCCTCGCCCACCACCGAAGCCACCACGACCCCTCGGTGCTCCACGGCCACCACCTCTTGAGAAGCCACCACCGCGTCCACCACCAAAGCCGCCACGGCCAGGCGGGCCTCCTCGCCCTCCTCCACGGCCACCAAATCCACCTCCCCTGCCACCGAAGCCACCACGCCCGCGAGGAGCGCCTCGTCCGCCAGCGCCCGCGACCTTCTTCTTCTTGGGTCCTGCGAATGTGAGAGCGATGGAGCATGGGAGCATTGACGTGAGCATTGACGTCGAACACGATTTGACCAACACCAGTCTCGCGCTTACTCACCCTTTTGCACCACCTTCGGCTTGGGCAAGAATCGCTCAATGGGAAGGAGCTTGTCACCAGCAATGTACACCTTGTCATCCGGCTTGAAGCTGCTTGCCTGCATGCCCGGGTCCATCTTGATCGTGAAGTAGACCTCGTTGATCGGACCCAAGATCTCGTCGACCTTGCCAATTTGTGACTTGTTTTGAAGGCTGGGCGTGGGCATAAGAGGGCGGGAGGTGGTGATCAGTCTCGTGTACCAGATATCAAATGGTAAGGAAGGCCGACGATGCCATCGTCGGAGTATTGCCACACAGATGGAGGCCACAAGACGTACAAGCTCGTCGAATGAAGCGAGCATCCGAGCTTCCCCCCGCCTGACTGTATGCCCTCCTCGCGGGACAAATGAAGACTCGATCTCAGCTTTAGCATCCTCCTGGCAAAGGCTGCCGGCATTGCGCGACTCAATGCAGTATCCAGCGTCCTCTTTCTCTTCTCGATGCTCGCCGCCGATACTCACTAGATGGGAGCATTGAAATACGGCACCTGCTTTGCGTTTGTTGAGGAGCAGAGCATCTCGCTCTCTACCGCGTGGACGAAGCTGCCCATCTCCTGGACATACTCTGGCGGTCCAGCAGGGGCTCCAAACCCTCCCCTGCCCCCTCGAAAGCCCCCTCGTCCACCGCGAGCACCTCCTGCTCCTCCACGAAATCCTCCTCCTCCTCCTCTACCACCACCACCTCCTCGGAAGGACATTGCTGCAGAGGTGTGGGCGAGCGCGCGGGTAGCCGATCTGGACTCGGCTCAGCACGTCTGACGGGCTGATGTGACGATGAAGGGATTCTCGTCGATGAATCTTGCGGCCGTCTCGCTGCTGCTATTCCGTGAAGACGATGATGTCGATGATGATATCAGAGGTCGAGGTCAGTTAGATTGAGCTGCAGCCAAACGGTCAAGCCCAGCCTGGCCTTGGAATTTCTTCACACGTGATGACACCTTCGCCACGTGGGGCAACCCCTCAGTCCGTCCATCCGCCCAAGGCGTTCTCCGCTCATTCGCTCCGTTCCCAGCCTAGCGTGGTCGCCTTGCATCGTGAGGAGAAAGGATCACTCCGCAATCCAAGAGGATGGTACAGCTACAGATTGCGGTATTTGATGCACGCTTCTCGAATCAGAGCGCTGAGTCAACTCTATTGGTCTCGCCGAGGGCGATGTCGGACGGCGCCGACATCGACTCCGAGGAGCAAGGCGGCTGGCGAAGCGGTACGATGCCGGAGCAGTGAACAGCCAAGACTTGTCGCCACCATTGAGGAAGCGATCCACGACCTCGGTGACGAGAATGACTGTCAGGAGCATCATGCGGTGTCCTCGTCTTCACCCTGCTCGATCCGTTGCAATGCATGACTAGCGCTCCTCACCTAAGCGCTCATGCTACCGAGCAAAGGACAACGATGTCACCGTCTTTGAGGATGCAGGGCGGAATTTGAAGCCGGACTCCGTTAACATCGTCGCCGCTGCTCGCTGGCCCCTTTCGACTTACCTTGCGTGATGTCTTCTGTGATGTCGTCTTGCCGTGGTCACTCAACCCGGCGAGTAGACCGCCATCTGAGGGCCGCCATCTGAGACACGGGCGTCAAAAGTCTAGATTGCACGACTAGCGGAGCGCTAACAGAGATCGAGCTCGCAGCCCGCGCTTCCCCACCCTCGCCTCCCTCTCAGAGAGTCAGCCAGTCAACGGTCCAGAGTGACTACAAGCAGCGCGGACCTGAGCAATCTATCTATCCATCATATGATGCCCTTCAGCCTGCAGCGGTCGTTTCGGCGGACGTGCTATCCGTCTCAAAGTGTGTTGAGGGCACAGGGTAGGAGTCGTCGAGAGTCATTAGGCGGCGTCATCCCTCATGCGCGATAGGCTGGTCGGCCTATTACCCCCGAAGTCTTACTCTCGCGCCCATCCACCCAGCTGTCATAGCGGACTTGCAGAAGCCGAGTAGGAATAGGGCAGGCCTAGTTCCGTCCTCCGCTGTGCCGCTCTACTACCATCATCGTCAACTGTCTCGATTCAGGTCCCGAACATTGACGCCTCCCGAGGCAGGCTGACTCGATCACTGTCGTGCTGCGCTCCTCCGAGCTTTGGCGCCTCGAGTGAGGCAGCTAGATCATCCGAAGGCCGCTTGCTCCCCATGCGATTCTCAAGCCCGACAATGCTGGGAAAGTTGGGGTCGACGGAGCAGGCTCACAAACCAGCGCTTGCGCTTTTCGGTATGGACGGAGACTTACGCACTCATCGAGCTCGATCCATCATGGCGGCACCCAGAGCCGCTCGGACGTTTGACTCAGTCTCAGATTGTCGTCGTACAGTCTACACGGGCTCTGATGAGAGAGCTACTACCACTCGGGGGGATGGGCACTCCGGCGCGACGGGTCTCATCGGATAGCGACGCTGTCAAAGCGCCACTGATGGCATCAAGTGTGCATCTCGCCCTCAATGGTTCGGCAAGAGATCATAGCCAGCTTTCTCGCATCCTGTCTCGCCAAGTTCCAGCGGGAAAACCAGCGGCGGGCTCGTTGCCCGCTATTGCATACTGCACGACCGCCAATATTCGTCACGTTCGTCGTCCCCCACCCTCCCTTTGCAGCGGAAAGCGATCGATGGTGGCGCCACACCGCCTGCTCCCAGTCGCCGCTCATAACGGGCACGACGCTTGGACAATGCGAAGAACAAAGGAAGCAATGCGACGCCGCTGCGCCCACCAATGTGATGCAACAGCCCCGCCGACCGTGGCGCAAAAGTATTCATGGCACTCCTTCACCCATCGCGCCGAGATCTGGTGGGGCGGGAGGGCCGCCTTGCCTGGCCTGGATGCTGCTCCCGAAACCAATTTGCATTTGGGAGGTGAGATGATGCTGGGAGCACTGCAGCCTTGCTTGCAGGTGCAGTACGATCCGCCTTCGTCGGGCAGATAGCCCCGTTTGGATGTCGTAGTCAAGGCATTCATCTTGGCTAGCGAAAATACGATCGGGCGAGTCGGCAGCTCAGCGCAGTCGTGGCTTGTTCGCGAGAGAGGCACATACGCCAGGAGCGCTCTCGCCGCCCAAGGCGTCATCATGGTCGTCGTCCTGTTGTGAGCGCATCCATGACTGGCGCTGCTCAATCTCGTACATCTCATCGCGGGCTCTAAAAGCCACAAAGTCCAGGAGAGGAGCCGCCTTACTTTGTTCCTGCTACGCCCATCCCTTATCCCTCTTCACGTCACTCGACGTCGCCACCCATCAAGCTGTCGTGCTTACGCCATTGAGCACCTCCCTTTGTTCTACTCGGTAGCCACTGCCTTTGCTTGTCCCCAAATCTCTCGCTACGCCCGACCGAGACTGCAGTCATGTCGGTCAAGATCGAATCACCATCTACTACAACTTCCCCTCTGCTCCACCACAAGCACTCGCTGGCGAGAGTATCTCCATCATCGTCAACAATAGCTACGCGAAGAAGAATGAAGAGACAGCAGCAGCAACAGCACCAACAGATGCAGCAAGGCCGCAACTTCTCGCGTGAGGGCCGTCAACCATTCAGCCTTCAAGCAGAGCCTGTAGTCAGCGACGCTCATGCAGCGATGGACATCGCCACGGCTCGTCCTGGTCAGGCCACAGCATCCGGATGGCCACTCAGCAATAGCCAGCGCGACGCAGACGAGACCGTAGCAGCATCCTTCGACGACGCTTTCCGCCACGACGATGCTTCATCAGGCATCCCCTCACCCCTTGAGCGACGAAGCGGAAGCATCTCTAGCACACTTTCTCAGCTCGCAGGCGATGAGTGGATTAGGCGTGGCAGCGGTGCGTCCTCGCAACCGCATTACAGCGAGACGAGTGTGTCACAGCAAGCTTTCAGCCCAGAAGGGCTCCCTTTAGTCTCAAGCCCAGAGTCCGGCATGCCAATGGCAGCGTCTCTATCGCAGGGCATGACCCCTTCTTCTGACAGCTCGTCTCTTTTCGGCACCTCAATAGACTCCCAATCGTCAGCCGCTTTCTCGGCAGAAGGCTCTGACAGCGAGGTCAAGCCCTCCCTGATGTCCAGCTCTCCAGCAGCAGCCGCTGCTAGTAAGAAGGGCAAAGCAACAAAGCCTCGCGCCCCACGCAAGAGCAAGAGCGGCTCCCACGCCAAGGCCAAGTCGCCGGCCCATATCCCCCGACCTCGCAATGCATTCATTCTCTTCCGCAGCCACGCCGTCAAGTCGGGCATTGTCACCAGCCAAGACGAGACGGACCATCGCAACATCAGCCGCATCGTATCGCATATGTGGAATAGCCTATCAGAGGCGGATCGTAATACATGGCAGGCAGAGGCGCAGAAGGAGAAAGAGGAGCACGCCAGGCTCTACCCAGACTACAAGTTCCAGCCGCAGTCTCGCACTGCAAGCAAGCTTCGCCGCAATGTTTCTCGACCCGAGGGGGTCGTCGATAAGTGCGCTCAAATCGCCAACGAAATTCTCAAGAAGAACGGTGAAGACGGTGTCAAATTCGATGAGAATGGTCAGACGTTGAGCGCTTCGGCCAAGTTCAAGAGAGACCGTAGAGAAGCCCACGCAATGAAGGTAGCCAATCGCAAAGCACGCACGCTGTTAAGACCCTCGCGCTCTCGCACGACATCAAAGAACAGCCACCTCGGAGCTGACGGCACCGGCACGCCCTACCTGGCTGCATCGTCACCCTTTTCTGGAGCCTCGTACTACTCCTCATCCAGCGCAAGCCCAGCCCCACCGTCATTCTATCAGGCGCCTCCTTTCTTTTTGGAAAGCCGCAGAACGTCGGCTGCCGGAGACTTGGCTACGAGCATTTCGACTCGAGACAGCACCGGTGGTCGGGTCGCTCCCCTGGCGTTGGACGCACCGCCAACAACACTCAATCGCCGAGGATCATCAGTTCCTCCTCTTGACGACCTCAACCACGGGCAATATCCGCACAAGCCCTCACAAGAACACATGCTGTCTGGCGAGCAAGATATAAGGGCGTACGCTGCTCAAACAGCAGGTTGGCCAAGGCAAGAGAGGAGCATGTTCAGAGGATGGGATGCTCGCCCCAGTACAGCAGACGCTTCGGGCCTCATTCCGGGCGCTCCAGGGTCCGAGCCCTTTGGAAGCTACAGGATTGCTCCCATGGGCGCTGTCTCGTCTGCTCGTAAGGGTCCTCCTCCAGCATTCGATCTCGGAGGACACAGCAACCTCCGCAGAGGTTTCGTTGGCCAACACCTCGACGAAGGCGCCGGCGGTCTGATGTCACCACGATCCAGCGTAGGAGCACCCCTGCCCCCTCCTCTCCCCGAGTCGTGGCCTACAGCAAGGAACGCTGAGGGCGCGCCGACGCCACGAGCTTCGGCCTTCCAGCATGCCTTGCGACTGTGGCCTGGACAAGCGCCGCAAGACGACATCACGCTTCTGAGCCCGCTGAAGAATGACTTCAACGGCGTACCTACCGGTGGGCGTCGTACGAGTGCTGCGTGGTCAAATTGGAACAGGATGTCGACTCACCTGGGCGGGCCAGGGCCGTCGCCATCTGGAGGTCGCCGAATCAGCTTTATGAGCGGCAATACCGCTTTGGCATCGTCCCTGCCCAGTCAGCTGCAGCAAGAGGCTGTCGCTTACCCTCTCTTCTCACCAGCTACCAACGCCTTCGCCACACAATTTGCGAGCAACGAGACCACCAGAAATGTCCTCCCCGCTCCGCCACCAGCTCCCTTCGGCGCCGTAGCTGCGGACACTGGGATGGCCGTCGATGAGAATGTCTTCCAGTTCAGCCCAGAATTCCTCATGGACCTTGAGGGTGGTCACGTGGAGCAGTCACAACGCACCGGCGGGCAACCCCCGTCAGCGGCCCATACTTCGCGCGAGATACCCCTGACCGGTATCGAGGCTGAGCGAGAAGCAATCTCGCAGAGCGATGCCTTTGGACGTCGAATGAGCACAAGGCTGTTCGAGCGTTGGATGCATCAGCAACAAGTGCCTGGACCCCCGGAGGAAGAGGTAGCTGTCTTTGACCCGGCGATCGCTGGCAACATTCCTGTGGCTGGACCATCTCGACTGCAGCGTCGTCGCAGTAGCCAGCAACAGGAGCAGCAGCATCGGGGTGTCATTCACCCCTCCCCGACTAGCTCTTCCCCCACGAGCCCTTCAGCGTCGCAGCCGCGACGCTCTCCCGCCACTCCACGAAAGAAGAAGGGCAAGGCGACTACACCGTCGACCGAAGGCGTCGTACAGCGCTCAGTGCCCCTGAGCCCTGCGCCGCGTCGCGTCCCACAGCATCCGCAATGATCCAAAGTTTCCGAGCAGCATAACGACTAGCGATGATCGTATTTCCCTGTAGCTCCATGATGTCCATTACTCTGCTCTTGTCGCCTTGACTGAGCGCTCCTTGATGGAAGCTCTCGACCGCCTCATATCCATATATCATTTGCCCGAAGTAGCCGTCCTGTCGCCATCTTAGCTGATGCGTTTAATTTATTGCTGTCGTCCCCATTCAATACTGCCTGAAAGACGTGCGTTGCTTCTCATCTGCACCCATATACCTCCCTCGCAACCCGTTGCCATCCATCCCCCACCTTCCAAAGGGCCGCATACTCCCTCTCCAATTCGTGCAACCTCTTTCCCACAATGACCAAAGAATGCAATGGAGGCCCGAAAGCTTTGACTGCCCTCTTTTCAGCCCTTGCTGCCCTGCGTTTGTCAAGCTCAGCTTCTGATGCCATCTCATCAGCATCATCTTCCGCCTCCTCCTTGGCGGCTTCATCTACCGACGGGGAGGCGAGGGCCAGGAGTTCGCCCAACGTGCCTGAAGCTATGTACTCGTCGTCAGCGCCCATGCGGCATAGAGCCACAGCAAGGGTTTCGTCTGCGCTGAGGATGGGTTTGGTGGATGAGGGGTCGGGGCTGTTTTGGTGGTGGTGGACGGAGGCGGCTAGGAGTTGAGTGACGAGCTGCGGAATGAGCATATACCGCGGTGGTTGATAGCGGAGCACGCCCCTTGCCATATCCTCTTGACTCTGTTCTCTGACCTTGATATCGCCCAGAACAAGCGTATGATTCCCCCTGTCGAGGTTTTCCTGTATCCTCTCTAGCCAGCTATCCGGCTTCCATTCCTCAGTCCAGAAGGGCACGCTAACCGTTTGCCCAAAATTGTACGCCTGCAGGCCCGATGAAGCAATGGCGGTCATGATCGATGCATTGTGAATAATGCGAACGGGGACTTTGGCAGCGTGGGCACGGAGGATGAGGTCGGTATGCGTTGTTGCGGAGAGAGGGTCGCCGACTACGAGGAAGGAGACGTTGCTGGTTGCGGCGAGAGAGAGAATGTCATCTGATTCGAGCTCGACGACTTCGCGGTGAGCAAGAATTACGGGCTGACCATAAAGCTTCTCGAGACGCTCTTGGTAATCTCTGCGAGCGCACAAGCGGGCGTGGTCAGTCAGTCAAAGGGCGCCAAGGCACCGAGGGATCAGGATGACTGAGCTCACTCTACCATGAGGATCGAGGTGTATGCCTCGAGGTACACACGAGTGCTCGACTTGACCGCCTCAAGAGCTCGGAGTGTAATGTCCTTCTCATCGCAGAGGCCGAGACCGATAACGAAGAGCGTCATCGAAGAAACTTGGGCAATGGCGACCGGCTGGGAAATGATGAGGCCCTCGCAAAGTTGAATTTCAATCGTCGTGCAGCATCTCGCTCGAGGCCAAGTCTCTTTCCGCCATCTGAGATGACTCGCTCGCGTGGCTCTGCCCGTCGTCGCGGCGCCTGCAAGCCTCGTGTTGTTTGGGCGCGTCGAGGCTCGAGACCAACTTCTCCGCTCCTTCATCCTATCCTCAACTCCCGACTTCCGCTGCGAGACGCAGAGATGGCACCCGCCGCTCAGCCATCGCTCTCCTCATCGCAGGCAGAGGCAGCTCCCACTGCTTCTTCTTACCCGCAAGTCTCAGTCTCTGAAGTCATCACCGTTCTACACGATGTCGGCCTTCCTTGGGTTACGGCCGATGACATCAACAAGGTCAATCAACAGTCCGCCTACCGAATCTTTGCCCATATGCTCGAGCTGCTGAGCGGTGTCAACCAAGACTGGCTCGAAAAGAGGAGGCAAGAAGTTCTGATGGGCATTGAGCATCGCGAGCTCTATGACGAGTCCCTCACTTGGGTTCTCTTCTATCGCGAAGTCTCCATTCTCATGCAGGCGTCGCAGGTCAGAGACTTTACCTCTCACGACGTGCTGCGTCCGCAGCCGAAGCGCTTCCGCAAGCATCTTTCAGCGCTTGTCAATTTCTATCGCTTCAGACAGGAGAGGCTCGAGGAGTTTGAGCAGTTCTCTCTCGAGATGGATGAGCTCATTGAGCGCAAGGAGGAGCTGCACGCGTACAAAGAGGCGACCCGCGAGAAGATTGCTGCGATCAAGTGAGTCGGCAGCGACGAAGACGTGAAGAAGATCGGATAGTTGTGCTGACCTTAGCCTTCGTTGCCGCAGGTTCCAACGCGAACAGGAAGCCCCCCGCGCAGCCGCCCTTGCGCAGGAGAACGAGGAAGTTAGCAATCGCCTCTACGAGCTCAAGAAGGAGCAGTCGCGCCTCTTGCAAGAGGTCGACCAGCTCAAGACAAAGAAGACGCACCTTGTCACCAGCCAGACCGAGGTGACGATGCAGATCCACTCGGCAAACGAGCAAGTCCGCAAACTGCAATCACGCATCGTTACGAGCCCAAAGGAGCTCAAGGCCGTCCTCGTCACCTTGTCCCAAGAGCTCAGGGAAAGGAAGGCGCATCTCATGGAGACGGAACGCAAAGCCAAGGACTTCGATGCTCGCATTGCTCTGATGAAGGGCATAGAAGACGACCTAGCACAGTGCCAGAGCCTCCTCGTCTCCCTCACTACAGATCAGGGGCGTCTCGAGAATCTCCAAAAGGAGCTACGCGGGCTGGAAGCCGACTACGAGGGCGCCTCTTCCACCTACTCGCAGGTCTCGCAAACCTTGTCCGCAGACTCTAGGCAGCTGGAGAACGCCCAGAAGCGTTGGGAGCGCATGCGCAAGACGTTGGAGGAGAAGCGTGCCTTGTGGAAGAAGCGGGACGAGGACTTCACAGTCAAATGGGAGGAGACGGAGGGTGAGCGCTGGAAGCGCAACGAAGAGGCAAGTAGGAAGCAGAGGGAAGGTAGGGAGGTGGAGAGGGAGATCGAGGCCGAGCTGCGTAGTTACGATGCCGAGGTGGCGGCGATGGTTAAGCAGCGCAATGACTTGGTCAAGTTGGCGGAGGCGTACATGGATACTATGAGTGCGCAGCTGGATCTGGAAGGGGAGGGACTGCCTGTAGGCATCGAGGGTGAGTATGAGGAGGAGGACGAGGTGTCGAGAGTTGATCACAGACGCGCTGTCGCGGCGTAGTCTCGCTGCTCAGGTGCAGAGCGTCCGCATTGCGGCGGCAGCCTGTGTCCTCTTCCTGTTTCATACCCCTGTGGCGTCCTTCTTGGGGCCCTTTGTATATTACCAGCTCCCTCACGCAACGGATCGCCTATGTCTCGCTGCTTCACACGTCTGTCTGGTCGTCAACCTCGTAGCCGTCCCCACGTGCCTCTTTCCGTCTCCATGCCTGCCGGGCACGCTCAGATCAGCCTGGGCTCCCCCGCTCGGCCTTGAGTGTATGCAAGCCTCTTCATTCTCCTCCCCTTCCATGAGATGACATCTGCCTCCGGCTCCGCCCCCAGATCATCGCTGTCACCAGTTCACGACTACCTGGAATGCCCACCTGCAATCCTCTGCCCAGATAGGGCCACTTTCGCCCGAGTCCTCGCCTCAGCGACTCGCAACCTCTCCGTCGCGCGACGCCATGAAAACAGCGATGGCACCTCGCCAGGTCCCTCTTCTTGGTCGACAGACAGGCGATACGAGCTGGCCTACCCTCTCTACCTCTCTGCAGCCACTGATTTCCTTTGGTGTTGTCGCAACCTATCCCATGCTCACGCTCAGGCGGCGCAGACAGGTGGGGACGATGCGACCCGGCAGACGTCTTTGCGGGAGAAGCTCATGAGCCAAGCGCGCAAGGCTATGCAGCGCGCAGAGAAGATCAGGGAGGTCAAGGGGTCACAATGGGCCAAGAGATGGGGTGGTGGAGGGCAAGAAGGGAGGAGACATGCGCAGGTGGAGAACCAGGCGAAGGTGCTACGCGAGTCCTCGAGAGTGAATGACTTGGCGGTGGAGCCTTGGATGCCGGGGATGGAGAGAGGACCAACTCACCCACTGCCGGAGTTATCAAAAGAGCAGGTTGAGGGTGGTGCCCACTTTCAGCGTCCTCAAAAGGCGAGCCTATCCATTCCTGCTGGTAGCGGGTCGCTGAGAGGGCAGAGCATTACGCAGGACGCAGTCACCAATTGCGGGCTGGTCGCTGCTCTCGAGGTCATTGCAGAGCACGATCATCGCCGGGATACGTCCTTGCTGCACAGACCGCTATGGCATAGCGATCAAGCGAAGGAAGTGGGCGAGCCTGGCCCATCCTCTTTGTCGTCGTCGACGTCGTCCTCACCACCTGTATACGCGGTTCGGCTACACTACAACGGCTGCCTTCGGCGCATCTTGGTTGACGATCAGCTACCGCACTGGAGCAACGGAGAACTCATGTGTGCGAGCGTCTCATCAAATCTCTCCTGCTCTTCCTCGATGCCTTCAACAATCATCCTCCCCGCCCTGATCGAGAAGGCCTATCTCACCATCCTACGGACCTACGCGCCCCAAGGTTCGGTGCCCGCGGAGGATCTACATGTGCTCACAGGGTGGGTGCCTGAGGTTGTGGACCTGCCTGGCGATGTAGATTCCACTTCGGGAGGCGCGAGTCTGAGCACGAGCACAAGCTTTCAGAGGGAGAAGACATGGCAGCGCTTGTTTCGCTCTTGGAAACAGGGCACTGTGCTGATCTGCGCTGGTACCCGAGGCAGTGCCTCTATTGAGCAGCAAAGGCGCCGTTTTGTGGGGACCGGGGATGCTCTGATACCCGGGCATAGCTACGCGCTACTGGATATGGTTGAGGGGCCTGAAGGACGTACGATCACGTTGATGAATCCCTGGCGACCATCAACAGCAGCAACATCGTCGCAATCATCCTTGTCCTCGTCAATTCAAGGACCTCTCTCCATCTCGTGGGACGAGTTCTGCTCACGCTTCGCCACGCTACACTTAGCTTGGGATCCGACGAGCCTCTTTGCTAATGTGGCTGAGGTTCATGCGCGGTGGTCTGCGACAGGCTCAGGACCGGACAAAGAGGATGGCACGCCAGATCGTAAGAGCCCCATCGTGGTGCGAAATGTCGAGCTGGCTCTCACGGTCACGCAAAAGAGGGAAGGCAAGCACACGGTCGGCAACGAAGAAGAGCAGCGACAAGAAGGTGTCGCAGAGGTCTGGCTTCATCTCTCTCGCCATCTTCAAAGCACCTCTCCTTCACGAGGGCGCACCTACATTGCTCTTCACCTCTTCGAGGACTCCTCCTCATCCTCTTCCGGTACTATAGCGGCAAGTCGCGTTCTCCCCATCAACGCCGATCGTACAGGCCGGAGCGACTATGTCTCTTCTTCGCACCACCTTGTGCGGTTCAAACCTAGCTTTCTGGCGCCCATGGTGATGAAGGATGAGGCGCCTGGTGTCAGTCATCTCGCAGAGGAGATGAGCAAGAGATATACTGTGGTGGTTGCTTTGCATCAGGAGGGTACGCCGGACGTTGATGGCGCACAGGAAAAAGGAGCTGCCAAGGATGGCGAGCAAAGCAACGAGGACAACGACGAGCGCTTCACCCTCCGTGCTTGGAGCTCTTCGTCTCATTCCGTCACCCTCAGCGACATTCACGACGACTCCGAATCTTCTGCGCCTAGCTGGTCGGAAACGCTCTCTTCTTCGTGGACGCCAGGCTATTCATCCGGCGGACACAGGCTCTCCCCCTCGTACCAGCTCAATCCGCAGTACCTCCTCGCTGTACCTGCGAATACGCCACAGGGGGCAGAGGTGAAGATTACCCTGAAGACCAGCCCTCCGGTGCCCTGCCATCTCTGTTTGGCCTACTCTCCAACACCGGGTGAGGCAGATGATACGAGTTTGGTGCGCCGAGTGGACAGCATAGACTCGCCTGCCAGCCTGGTCGCTCACTCGGGGGAGTACGCTACAGGTATGACCCAGCTCCGCGCTCGTCTGCCCGGTACGGGGCCTACCAAGGCAGGATTGTACGTTCTTGTACCCAGCAGCTTTGCGCCCGGCATAGAAGCCGACTTCGAGGTGCGGCTGGAGTGCCCGCAGATGCGAATTATCGCTGCCAAGAGGGCGTGGACTGGTAGCTCAGGAGCTGGAGCAGAGTGCGCCATTTCTGTCCACCCCATTCCACCTGAAGGAGCAGGCATGTTCGCCAAAGTCGTCAAGGGTCAATGGAGCGAGGTAGAGGGGACAGCTGCGGGCCCTCCAAACAGAGGCAGATACTACGATAATCCGACGTGGGAGGTTGAGCTGCCTGCTGCTGAGGTAGGCGCAGGAGCAAAGGCGTCGAAAGCGGTGAGAGGAGTCTTCCGTTTGCTGGCCGACGGTCAGGGACCGGCTCAGGGAGAAGGTGAAGAGGATGGGCCCAGCCAGGCTCTGGCTTCGTCACTAGGCGGCCCTTTCCTGGAAGGCCGAAACGATGCGGCTGCCCCATTACGATACCCAGCTACAAACCTGTCTCTCTTCTCTATGCCTACCAACTCCGACCCTGACGTACCTCCCGAACCGTCCCACCTAACACTCCGCGCAACCTCCGGTCCCTACCACTCTTCGCCCGCGGGCTCGGCGCTCCATCGTGTCCGCCTCACTAGAGGGAGCAGATATCGTATCGTGGCGAGTCAGTGGGAAGCAGGCGAGGGAACATTCGAGCTAAAGGGATGGTGTGAGGAGAGGAGTTGGGTGATGAGAAGGTTGAGGTGAGCACCCAGGAGATGGATCGAAGAGGGAGGGGGACTGTAAAGACGAGAGCATTGATTATTGAGGAGGTAGTAGTGTGTAGCTATGTACATTGAGATGCTATTGGATTCGACGTCTATGCCGACAAAAAGAAGAGAGAAAATGACGCCGTGGCGCAGGCGTCCGAGCGTGCTGGGCACCTGCCAGACGCTGCCCCCGAGGCGTGTGCTGATGATGCTATCGTTGATGATGAAGGGAAAGTTTGGACAATGATCGATGCTGAATGTCGATGATGATGATGCGGAGTCTTGATGAATGTATGTTACATGTATGAAGCTGAGGTCGCTATCGGTGCTGGAGCCCATCTAGGGTCGTGCGTGATGCTGTGGTGCTGCGTCAAGGCAATGGGTGATTGGCGGGATCACTTCGAGATCAGGAGATGTCGGTCAGCTTTGAGCTCGGGTAAGGTATGCAGCATCGTCGTCGTGCTACTCACACGCTGTATCGTGTGCCCTCCGGCTCTTCAGCATCGCGAGAGTCATAGTCGTCTTCTTCTTCCTCCTCCTCCTGCTCCCTCGCTCGTTGCTCTCGCTCTACAGTTCGTAGCTTTTTACGGGCAATCAGATGGGCGACCCCATCATCATCTTTGTCACCGAGACCTCGCGCGCTGAGCCTGGCGATACCTTGCTCGGAGCGCTTAGTGATCCTGACTCCCTTCTGGCGTTGCTCTTGTCGCGGTCGTTGCTCTGCCCTCTTTTCGGGCACGGAAGGCACCGCCTCTTCTCGCTCCGAGAGCTCCGCCGTCTCAGCTGCTGCCGCCATTCTCTCTTCTGGGAGAAAGGTTCTGACCGCAGGCAAAGCGTCCGTGAAGCTGCCAAAGGGGCCAAGTCCCGGTACGTGCTTCTTTGCCCCGGAGGCTGACCTGCGCCTCAGTTGTGGTGGGGTAGCGGGCCCATTGTCTGACAGAGCAGGGGTCGCCGCTGTGACGGGTGAAGGGGAGATGGCGAGGAGAGTGAGGAGGATGGCAAGCGCTAGGGTGAGGGAGACGAGGCGTCGGGAGCGGTGGTGAAGCGGAGGATGGTAGCTCGAGGACATATCAACTCGAGAAGTTGGGCGGTGGAGGAAGAGGTCGAAGGGGAGGAAGGGGTAGCGCGGTATCGTGGGTGTCGATAGTACGGGACGGTGGTGATGGAGAGGTGGGTAGGATGGAGAGGTGATGGGGGAAATAGCCGCTCGATGTCAGCCAGCGACGGGGTAGATGAAGGTCTCACTCCTCGAAGGCAACGACGCAACGACGCAACATCGATGGGTGTTTCGCGGCAGCAAAAGGCCAACCATCGATCGGCTGGAGTAGGCGAGCAGGCTCGCTCGCAGGCAGGCATGACGGCTGACCTCCTCTGCTGCTATCGACCCGCCCTCGTCACATCATTTCATCTCTATGTGTCCCTGAGCGAAAGCGGCCCTCGCTCCCCCCCGCCAACATCTCTTAATGGATCAAGACGCCGCACTCTGCGCTGCTCTTTCACTTCGGGCGCGGAAGAGAAGAGGAGGCTGAGCTGTGTTGCATCGGCCGGCACACGCCCCTTGCGCGTTTGCGCCTCCTCTTCTTCCAGCGATGGCCTCGAATAGCAACACCAGCTTCAACCCCGCCCTCTCGGTTAGACCTCGAGTGGCAGCCGCGGGGACCACCGAGCCTCGTCAGCCAACTGCCAACCAACTTCATCGTGCAGCGTGCACGACTGACAGGAGAAAGACGAATGAAATGAGATCAGCGGCAAGTAGTGGTGATTAGCGACCGAAGACATCATTCCAGATGACGAACAACTTCGCTCGCTCCTCGATGCTCGCTCGATTTTGGGTAGCCGGGCAAGCTCAAAGACGCACGCTCTTCGATCTCTTCTCGACGATCTGGCGAGGCGGAGCGGAGAGCGGCAGAGCAAACAGAGGCGAGGCGAGCTTCGTCCCGTGCCGCTGATTTCACAGCCGCTGCCGCTCGCACACGCTCGCACACGCTCGCAGCCCGCCGGCAACTCAGACGGCGCTGCGCCCTCGACCTCTTTCGGGGCTTTGCCAAACAGGAATAGCAACACCCGCTGTAGATGATCACCGAGGGGAGCAGGGGGGCGACGTCAATGTCGCGTGGACCAAGGTAGGGGTTTGAGTTGAGACTGGGGACCCGCGCTCCTTGCATGCTGCGATCAGATTGGCGATTGAGGGTGTGTGTAGGTACTGGAGGCGACTTGATGCGCCAGGCGGAAACGCTATCAACCCTAGGCTTCGTGGTAAGTGCGTTCACGATCATCGATATGAGGCTGAATGAGGATCAGAGAGGTCGGAGCACCTGCATTCGCCGCGACTATGACCTTGCTGCATTCTGATTATTATCATCATAATCGTCTAGCATTACGGACCACTCCCCGTGACAACGCCTACCACTCCTCTCGTGATGCTCTATACCCCGAAACTCCTAACAGCAGAAAAGTGAAACGGCCTGCTATGCTTGTTCGGAATGCTCACCACCTCTCCCGTCTCTAGATTGACCGATCGATAGTCCAACATCTCCATCTTATTCCACTTGCCCCTACTCGTTGAACGCAACGAGAGTATCATCTGGAAGGAGTACTTAGGACGGGTACGATCCCGCAGGTCCTCGATGATCACGCGGGCGTCGCCGCGATGCCGAGAGGACTTGAGGGAGGCGAGGATATCCTCATCGTCGGCCGCGCCGTACTGGTCGTCATCGTCGTCGGTGTCGCGGGAGGGGAGCTCCACCCTCCATCTGCCCACCGCGAATCCCTGGTCACTGTTGCCCGCATGCATCTTGCCCACCGTATCCCTTGGTTGGTCCGTCGTGAGCAGCGTTAGAGCCCTACCGTCGGGAAGGAATCGAATTGACCTGTAGAACTCCACCAGGTGAACGACGCGCACCCAGACGTTGTCTACCGACAAACCCTGTCGCGAATAGTGGCAGGCGGCGATGTAGCAGCCGGTCAGTCGGAGGCGAGGGTGGTGGATGAAGGTCAAGCGTGGATTGACCCCCGCAGACGGGGTACTGAGGTGGGAAGGTAGGGGAAGTTGGGGTTCTTGGTACGTCTCGGCGACTATGTATGCCCACAGGTGGCGGGAGCGTGAGGTGAGACGCCATTTCCAGCAGGTACGGGCGAGCATCTCGAGCGATTGCCAGTCTGGACCGGCAAGTACGATGCCGACGCCTATAGGTTGCGAAGGTTTGTTGATGCCGATGTTGCTGGAGGGTTCAGCTTGAGGAGTAGGCGCTGGCTTTGCACCTGGCACTTTCACCGCTGCTGATGCTGATCTCGCCGCCGCCGCATCGCCTACCTCGACCTTTGGCGGCCTGATCCTGGCACCCCGTTTTCCTCGAGGCTCGACTACGCAACGGCAGATGTGAGCAAGAATCTCGTCAGGAAGCTTGGCGATTGGCGGTGGCGGCTGTGTCTCTTGCTCCTGTACAGCTTCTTGATCTTTCTCTAACGATGCGCCTTGCATCTTGTCAGCCAAGTCGTCTTGCCCTGTTTGACCTCCGCCGCCCTTGGAGATTGAGGGCGGCGGGCTGGTGAAGCTGATGGTGGATAGATCGCGACCCTCAACCTCTTCGTTCGTAGCGGCCTTGGAAATGATCTCTGCTAGCTCGTCCCGCTGACCAAGAGCTGCGACGCCTTCCACCTGCTGCTCTTTCGTCTGTCTCCGTGGGCTTGTCGGTGGCTGTTTCGGCATTCCCTTCTGCTCCTTGTCCTTCCCAGGTCGAGCGTCTTGCTGCTTGGCCTCCTTGGCCTCCTTGACCTTGGCCTGCATCTTCTCAATTGCAGCAACTCGCACATCGTCGAAATCAGTCGCTCGCCTGACCATGTCTGCCACCTCTGGACTGGCCAGAAGTGCGTCCCTCTGCCTCTCGGTCGAGACTGAAGCATTGTCATCTGAGTCCGTGTGTCGAAGAAGCGCATATGCTCGCTCGTAGAGGCGATCGGCAGCTGTGTCTAGTCGAAAGGCTTTGCGGTAATGAAAAAGGGCCTCATCGAGGTCTCCCTTCCTTTCATTCTCCACCGCTGTCGCATACGCCTTGACGGCTGCCTTCATCTTGGAGACAGTACCGGCGCTACCCTGAGCAGGCGCATTCTCGCCAACCATCTGCCTTGGAGGTAGCCTGCGCTTTGCTCTTTGGCCCTCTGACTCATTGTTCGCTGCCTCAGCTCTTTCTGCTCGCTCCTGCTCCTCAGCCAGTGCGAGGAGGTGCCTAGTTCTACTTGGTGAATGAGGTCTGGCGTCATCCTCATCCCCCGCGTCATGCTCAGCGACATCTCGGCGAGGTATTGAAGGACCAGCTTGCGCTGACGACGAAGGAGCCTGCGTGGACGGCTCTACCCCCGTCCTGTTTCGCACCTCCTCCCTCCATTGCCGCCTGAATTGGGCGAGCTGATCATTGTCGTCAGCTGTTGCAGGTGTGGCCGTTCGATTCGGCGTCGAGGCAAAGGACGGGCTGTCTACAGCTGGTGTCGCAGCCCTCGACGGCGTCAAGGACGGCGTCGAGCCTCCTGGCGAGCTCATCAGAGGAGAGTGTGGTGGTGAGGAGAAGGCAATCAAGTCATCGTGCGCCACGATGGAGCTGCGAGGCGTCTCGTCTTCCGTCCGAGGTGGAGTCGAGGCATGAGCGGAAAGCGGAGTCGCCCTCTGTCCGTCCGCTCGCCAGGTCAACTTTGCGTCTTCCTGCCATTCATTCTTCTAGTTGGAGCAATGGCGAGATAGCATACAGCCAGCTCGACAATGGCCGCCACTTTCTGGAAGCCTGGTACCGCAAGACCAGGCTCATCGCTCGACCGGGCGACTGAGGCCGAGGACTTTCTCGATGCCGGCGCAGCAGCCTCGCAGGCAGGACCCTCGAGCAGCATTCATGCGCAGAGGCAGCACCTGCCCATCTTCAAGCATAGGAAGGCCATCCTGTATGCCGTGCAGACATTCCCTGTGACCGTCGTGGTAGGACAGACCGGATGCGGCAAGACAACTCGTGAGCAAAGTACCTCTCAGCGATAAGTATCCCGCCTATTCACCACCTCCTCGCCCACCCTCACGCAGAGATCCCTCAATACCTCCTCGAAGCGGGCTGGTCCTCGATAGGCCAGCAAATTGCCATCACCCAACCCAGACGCATCTCAGCTATCTCCGTTGCGTCCAGAGTGGCGAAGGAAGCTGGAGCAGTGCTAGGCGACGAGGTAGGGTATTCCATACGCTTCGAGGACAACTCTCACCCGACGAGGACGAGGATTCGCTTCTTGACCGATGGCTCTCTCTTCATGGAGTGTATGCGGGACCCGCTGCTTAGCAAGTTCAGCGTCATCATGATCGATGAAGCGCATGAAAGGGGGGCCTACAGTGACCTGTTGATGGGCCTGCTCAAAAAGTGAGCCGACGAGGCCGGATGCTCTCAAGGTAGGATTGGCTGACCACGGTTGCTTTCCCCCAGGATCCGTCGACGCCGGCCTGAGCTCCGCATCATCATCTCAAGCGCCACGATAGACGCTCAAAATGTTTTCGACTTCTTCAACGAAGGCGAGCCAGGGCAAGATGGCAAGCCAGCTAAGCCCCTAGCGACCATCCTATCCCTTGAAGGTCGCACATACCCTGTCGAGATCTCTCACCTCTCCCAGCCCTGTGCAGACTACGTCAAGGCCGCCATCGACACAGTCTGGTCCATCCACCTCAACGAAAGCCAGGGCGACATTCTCGTCTTTCTCACCGGTAGAGACGAGATCGATCGCTGCCTCCAGGCTTTGGCGGATCGCACACTGGACCTTCCCCGTGGTTCCCTGCCGCTGCAGCTTCTCCCTCTCCATGCCGGGCTCTCGTCAGAGGAGCAAGTGGCCATCTTCACGCCTACACCTAGAGGCTCCAGGAAATGCGTCGTTGCAACAAACATCGCCGAGGCGAGCGTGACGATCGATGGAATCCGCTTTGTGGTCGACTGCGGCTTCGTCAAGATGCGCCTCTTCAATCCGGCGACGAGCATGGACATCTTGTCCTCGGTACCCATCTCAGAAGCATCAGCAATACAGCGTGCAGGCAGAGCAGGTCGCACCTCTTCCGGGAAATGCCTACGCCTCTGGCCCGCCTCGGTCAAGCTTGTCCCAAACACTCCCGCCGAAGTAGCCCGCGTAGACATTACCCCCTATGTGCTCCGCCTCAAAGCCCTAGGCATAGACAATCTCTCCCGTTTCGACTACCTACCCCCTGCGCCACCGAGCGGAATGATGGTCCGCGCCCTTGAGTTCCTCTCAGCCCTCGGTGCCCTAGACGAGTGGGGTCGTTTCACTCCGCTGGGCGAGCAAATGTCAGAAATGCCCATTGAGCCCATGATGGCTCGAGCGTTGCTCGCATCGAAAGACTTACGCTGCACAAGCGAGATGTTGAGTATCGCAGCTGTGCTCTCCGTCAGCAATCCTTTCATTATACCGGACGAGGGCCGGTCAAAAGCTGGAGCAGAGGGCGAGCTGGAACGGCGCAAATTCACCGCAGAAGAGGGGGACGCCCTTACCCTCTTGAACGTGTTCAATTCCTTTGTGAATCCGCGCGTGGGCAAGCAGTCCAGCCGGTGGTGTGGGAACCATCGATTGAACTTCAAGGCGCTCTCCCGTGCTGTTGCAATCAGGGCGCAGCTGCAGCGCTACATGCTTCGCTTCGGCATCGACCCACACATCAGCTGCGAAGGCGACGCAGTGCGGCTGAGAAGGTGTATGGTCATGGGATTCTTCAAAAATGCGTCGAGGAGGACGGGAAATGGAGAGTGGAGGAGCGTGAGAGGGGGAGCGTTGTTGCATATACATCCGTCGTCGGTGCTCTTCAACCGGGAGACGAAGGGGAGATGGGTGGTGTATTCGGAGGTGGTACAGACTACGAAAAGCTTCATGCGCGACGTCACGGTGATCGAGAGGGTGAGTTGACGCGACAGCTGGGAATGACGTTCGCAAGATGCTGATCGTAAGTTTCGCACGTCGTTCGCTACCAGGACTGGCTACCCGAGTTGGCGTAAGTACCGCTACCACGCCTGCCCCCCCCCCCCCCCCCCCAGTGGAGCATTCGTCTAACCCCGCCCTCTCCTACTTCATTGCAGGTCGCACTTCTACAAACTATCGGAGGCAAAGCTCCCTGCGCATTGATCCATTACGGGCCGTCGCTCATGCCGCCGCCAGCCGTTTGCGCTTGGGCCTCTCACCGAAGACGGCTCGGCGGCTCGTGCCTTTCGACCTCGATCTGCCACCAAACACCTCGTGCCCCATCTCACGCTCCTTTTCGATGATGCTGTCTGATCGACTTTTAGTTGCTGCCATCGCACTCGTCGTCGCTTCCCTCTTCGCGCGCGGTCTCGGCACCCACTCGCCAGTCGAGCACCTTCCCCGTCACCACCACCAACCAAGCCCGCAGCCTCGTGCTCCCTCTCATCCCACGAGCAGCTACACCCTCTCCTTCTCTCTCTCCACTGTGACCGACTTCCTGTCCTTCTTCGACTTTGCCGCAGTCGCAGACCCTTCGGGCGGAGTGGTCGAATACGTCAACCAGTCCGAAGCCAAGCGGCTCCATCTCTACGGTCCTGGGCAAGATGGGAGCGGATTTCGCTTCTCTGCAGACCTCACCGAGTCCAACATCACCGGACCCGGTCGAAAGTCTCTACGTTTCGTGAGCAAAAAGACTTACGGTGACGGTTTGTATATATTCCAAGTCCGTAAAGGCCCCGCTGGTTGCGGTGTGTGGCCTGCCCTTTGGACGGTGATCGAGAAGGATTGGCCGCTACATGGAGAGATAGATGTGCTTGAGTGGTCGAATGGGAGAAGGAGGTTCAATAGTCCCAATCTACATACGGGGCAAAACTGTACCATGCCTGGTGATCAGGGGGGGAAGTACTACTCCGGACGATCGCAGGGGATACTGGATTGTGATTCGATTAGTGGGCATATCGGGGAGCTCAGTAGCGTTCGGTTCAGTAGCTGACGATCCTCCTCTCCCTCCCTTCAACGTCGCGCTTAGACGGCAAGAACGGCAACATAGCCTGCGGCATCGACTCAGTCTCCTCTCCCCTCTCTTCTGGGGTAGCCCACAATGCTAATGGCGGAGGTTACAACGTTATGCATCGTACCTCCTCTGCAATTACGCACTGGTTCTTCACAGAATGCTCAGCTCCTACCATCATTACCAATCCGCCCTCCCATCTTCCCGCTGGATGGGAGGAAAGCCTAGGCAAGCCAGACGCCCGCTTTCCCTCTTCCAAGAGCTGCGATCTGGCGGCCAAGTTGAACGAGCCACACAATGTGATCATGAACATCGACTTTTGCGGCCTTGCTCAAGGCTACTGGGAAGAAGAGGGTTGCCTTGCCGTCGCGCCCGACTGCTACAGTTGGGCCAAGACGCCTGATGCGACGAGGTACTACAGGTTAGAGGGGCAAAGTGTTGACTTTGATATTGCAAGGTTCAGCTATTACAAGATGGAATGAGGGAGAGGCTATGTGGGTTGGCAAGATTGATCTCCGGACCTTATCAGCCGCAGAAGCCACGGATGAGGAAGGCTGATGCGGTTATGAGGATCCGTTGGAGGTGAGGGGGGCCGGGGAGTAGAGGAGCGGTTGCGAGGGAGGAGATGCGAGGCCGAGCGTTGTACGCTACAGTCTCAAGTCGAAGCGCTCACTTTCAAAAACAATGCATGCTTGATCTATCCTCAGGACGAAAAAGGTGACGTCCTATTGGAAACGAACAGTGAGGAGCGAAGAGGAGAAGAGGGATCGCGCCTCCACCGCGGACCGACTCGAGTGGGGTCTCGAGTGGCTCCGGTCAGTCGACTGAGCCCCTGCTGGCTCGAGCGCATCGTCCTGTGTTGCTTTCCACCACTCGACCCTTCAAGCTACTCTTGATGACCTAGACAGCGTCCTCATCGCAGCAGCCTCCTTCATCTCCGAGCATATCTTCGACGAGCTCACTCGCTGCAATGGATCGCAGAAAGCAGCTGAGGGTGGACAATGTCCTTCTGCAGCGAGGAAGTGACTGTCGTCGTGGCATCTTGGACATCACCCAGCATCACCTCGTCTTCAAAGCCCAGGGTGCAGAGCAGCAACGGATCCCATATGCTCTCCTTGCCCTCGTGACTCGTCAAGCTTCACTCCTTGTCTCGCCCTCTGCATCGATCAGCAGCAACGCTGTCCCCTCTGCTGCTGGCCCATCAAGGCCAGCCAGGATCTACCCATTACAGCTGCGCTTCAGGACGTTTGACGCCGCCTCGTTAGGCTTTGACAGTGAGGCAAGGGCTAGCGAAGTCTTCGAGGCCCTCAAGGTCAGAGTGAGCGTAGCTACACTGGACGACCTCTACGCCTTCCACTACAGACCGGAGAAGGGACCTCAGGGAGGATGGCAGATCTATGACTTCAAGCAGGAGTTCGCAAGGCAGGGCCTGGGAAAGCGTACAAAGGCTTGGCGCTTCACTGATGTCAATGCACAATATCAAGTGAGTGGGTGGTGGGGGATCATTCCTTTCTCCACATGCTGATCATTCTCCTCGCCCCTCGCCCCTCCTTCGCAGTTCTGTCCCACCTATCCATCCAACCTCGCCATTCCCACCCGCATAAGTGATGCCACTCTACAGTACGCAGCAAAATATCGCTCCAAGGCGCGCATCCCTGCCCTCAGCTACCTACATTGGGCCAATAATGGCTCCATCACACGCTGCGCCCAGCCTCTTCCAGGGCTCAAGCAGGCACGCTCCGTACAAGACGAGAAGGTCGTTGAGGCCATCTTCACCTCGCACCTCTACGTCGACGCCGCTACGGGCGGCGCAGGCGGCGGCTCGGGAGTCAATGGTAGCGCTCAAATCAATGGCGCAGGCGGGCCAGTGGTGTACGGAGCGACCACCACGAACATCATCATTGACGCACGGCCCACAACGAATGCTGTAGCCACATATGCTCGAGGCGGAGGGACGGAGAACATGGACCACTATCGCGGCTGCAAAAAGGCTTACATGGGTATCGAGAACATTCACGTCATGCGGGATAGCATCAATCGTGTCGTCGAGGCACTAAGGGCTGCCGACGAGCCGGTGACATTCGGCCTCGACGTGGGTCAGGTACACGTTGATTCGACAGCTTCCGTTGACAACGACGGCGTCTCGGTGTCGCAAGACATGAGTCGCTCGACATCTGCATCTTCATCTACCCAGCCTCGTCGACCCCACGCCCAGCCTTTGGACATCTCCCTCCTCAAACGCAGCAACTGGCTTCGGCACATCTCAACACTCCTAGATGCCTCGACCCTCATTACCCGCAATATTCACATCGCCTCCTCGCATTGCCTTATCCATTGCTCAGACGGCTGGGACAGAACCTCTCAGCTCTCTGCCCTTGCGCAGGTGTGCCTCGATCCCTACTACCGAACGATGAAAGGTTTCGCTGTCCTAGTGGAAAAGGACTGGCTGGCCTTTGGGCACAGATTCGGGGACCGATGTGGGCATGGTGGGTCGGACAAGAACTTTGTTGTCAATACGCGCGGGGACGTGAATGGAGCAGGGATGGGTGGGGCGTACGATGAGGAAGAGGGAGAAGAAGGCCTCGGAGCCGCATCAGAGCCTGCCGGTACGGGGGCAGGAGGAGGAGCTCAAGCGGCCGCGAACGCCTTCTGGGGCTTCACCAAGCAGCTCACCTCTGGCATTGGGGGCGGCTCCGCTCCCTCTCCCTCTCACGGAGCCAACGGCACATCGCCCTACACACTGCACCATAACATTAAAGAGACCAGTCCTGTCTTCACGCAATTCCTGGATTGCGTATGGCAGATCTACCGACAATTCCCCAATCGCTTCGAGTTCACGGACTCTTGGCTCGTCGAGCTGCATAGGGAGATGTACGAGTGTCGTTTCGGTACCTTTCTCGCAAACTGCGAGGTGGAGCGAAGGATCAAGGGACTCGGGCAAGAGAAGTCCTTGGTGGAGACGACGACCTCTGTTTGGGATCACTTGCTCTCTGAAGAGAGCAGAGAAAGATTCAAGAACCAGGCGTACGACCCCGCGCTGGACGACCCCAAGGGTAACAGTGCCTCCTCATCACAGTCTGTACCAGACATGGGCGTCCTTCTCCCTCAGTCTAGCCCAGCCTACATCCGCTGGTGGCCCGGTCTCTTTGGCGCCCGTGTCGAAGAAGCGAACGCGGCTCTTGACTTTGAGGAGTCGGAACGACAGAGGCGCAAAGCGGAGAAGGCTCGATGGGAGCAGGAGAGGCTTGCGAAGAAAGAAGCGGAGCTGCAGCTTGCGAGAGAGCGGGAGGAAGCCGAGAGGAGAGTGAGAGAGATCGGACTGGAGGATCAGGCTGGGCTCCCGAGCATGGGAGACAGGGCAGCCGGCGGAAGCAGCACCGTGGAAAGCGGCGTAGCCGGCGGGACTGTGGACCTCGTGACCGCTTCGGGTCTGCAGAGGCAGCAACAGCATCCGCAGCATCAGCAGGGCAGCGCAGACGGTCTTCCGCTCTCCTATCAAGCGAGAACGCCCAAGCCGCGTCCACCTTCATCAGCACAACAAGACCCTCAGTATCAACAGGCGCCAGGAGATGCGGCTGCTGCTGCTGCTCTGCGCTTCAAGTCCTGGGCGATGGGCGGCTGGGATAGGTTCCAGGGGGCAATGGCTGGCGCCCTGCCTGCGAGTCCGCCAGTGACCGCGCACGATGACGATGGTACGGCGGCGTGGGGCGCCCCAGCGTTGGCTTCAGCGCCGCGGCAACAACAGCAGCATCAGCCTCAGCAGCGGCATCAGCAGCATTATGGCAGCGAGGCTGCGAATCCGTGGGCGGATGACGAGGGCAAGGCTCTTCCAACTGCTCCTCCTCAGCAGCAGCAACGTCATTCAGCGCGGCAGACGTACAGCCAACCTGCCCCATCAAAGCCTCCAGCTTCCTCACCATCTGCGGCGAATCCCTGGCGAGACTCGTCTACGTCAAAGTCAAGACCGCCGCCAGGTTCATCGCTCGCCAACTCGCTCGAGGGACTGTCGACGCCCGGGCGCGAGGATGCAAGAGGAGGAGGGCGCGATGCGAAAGGGACGACTGAAGGGCAAGGAGATGTTAAGCCGGCGTCGGCGCAAGCCTCTGATCCTTTGGGCGTAGGGCCTTTGTGATGCGTAGCAGTAGCGCCCGCCGTTCCGCTACAGTCATTCTTCGAGCATGGCATGCGACAGTGTAATAATAATCGCCCTCTCTCATTGATATACCACATCCCTGTGCCACTCTGACTCATCTCGCCTCGCCCTTGGCCCCCTCCAACCTCTGAAGTCTCAGGTAATGTTCCTCAGCTTGCTGCAGTGTCCTGACATTAGCCCCCAACTTATTGATCGTCTCCATGTATTCCTCCTCTTCCACCGAATCGTACACGATGCCGCCTCCAGCTTGAAGGTAGCACGTCCCGCCCTTGAACAACATCGTTCGAATGGCGATGCAGACATCCAGCTCCTTCTCAGCAAAATCGATGTGACCCACCGCTCCGGCATAGACGCCTCGCTTCTCCTGCTCCAACTCGGCGACCAGCTCAATTGCCCGAACTTTCGGTGCACCACTGACCGTTCCCGCGGGAAAGATGGATCGGAGTGCATCGAACCTGCTCTTACCCTCTCGCAACAGTCCCGTAATACGTGACGTGAGGTGAATGACGTGCGAGAAACGCTCCAACTGCATGAAGCTTTCCACTTGCGTCGTCCTTGGGTCACATACGCGGCTGATGTCGTTACGGGCCAGGTCGACTAGCATGACATGCTCTGCCTTGTCCTTTTCGCTTTCGAGCAACTCCTTGCCCCTCGCTGCATCCTCGCTCGCATCAGCCCCGCGCTTGACCGTCCCGGCGATGGCATGGACGGAGACTTTGTTGTCTTCGATCTTGCAGAGCGTCTCGGGTGAGGCGCCGACCAGCTGACAGTCAGCTCCGCAGTCTACGTAGAACATGTACGGGCTTGGGTTCACTTGGCGAAGGTGACGATAGACGTTGAACGGGTGGAGCTCTGTGCGTTTTGCGAGGCGTTGCGAGGGCACGGCTTGGATGACCTCGCCGGAGGTGATGTGCTTGCGGAGCGAGGTGACGAATCCTTCGTAACCTGCTTTGCCTACATTGGAGACGGCTTCGTGTCCGCCGACTATTGTTGGCTGCTTGGGTAGGGGTACGGAGGATGAGGTGGAAGTGATCGTCTCGAGAAGGTTGCGCACTCGCTGGGCTGCTTCGTGGTAGAGGCTTGCAACGAGGGAGGGCGTGGGCGAGGAGCCTGATGCGGCAGAGGCCGGTGTGGAAGGAAGAATGACGTGGGCGACGCATTTGATGGACTGGTAGATGTGGTCAAAGATGACCAGCTGGTCACAGAACATGAAGACTGCTTCTGGGATCCCCAAGGGATCCTTCAGGTCGCGCCGTGTCTTTGGCTCAAAGTGCTGCACGCAGTCGTAGCTCAGGTAACCCATTGCGCCTCCCGTGAACTTGGGCAGCCCAGGCAAGTCGACGTACTTGATGTGGGACAACTCCCCTTCTACTGCCTTGAGTGGGTCGCCGCTCACATCGCAGCCGGAGGAACCGCAGCGCAGTACTTTGTAAGGGTTGGCGCCAAGGAAGGAGTAGCGGCCAATCTTTTCTACTCCCACGACCGACTCGCAGAGGAAGCTCGGCCTGCCTAGCGGGGCTCCATCTGTCAGGCGCAGATAGGCCATGACGGGTGTGAGAAGATCGGCGGGAATGCTGACATAGATGGGTACGGTATTGCCTCGAGGCGGGGAAGAGGAACCTGATCCCAGGAGGAGGTTCGTCACCTCCTCGAGAGAAGGAGATAGGGACTGCCAGTGCGGGGGATGAGGACATGATATGGGAGGTCAGTTTTTGTGCGCCACTTGATTGCGTAGCGTTCTAATAATCACCTCATCAGCATATGCTGCCATCTTGGTAAGCGCAATGATGGCGAGGAGGCTCAAGAAGCCAGGGCAATCAGAGTCACCCGCCCACCTTGCAACGACTCACTCGACGGCCGGACCAACGTCCTACGCCCGCACGACTCGATCGTCTCCGCGGCTCTTCTCTGCCCGCTTCTCCGAGAAGGTCGTGTCGTGCGGCTCCCTTCCGGCCGGCCTGGCGTGGTGCAGCCCTTTCCATTCTACCACTCAATCAATCAGATCCAACTTCATATTCACATCATGAGCGACTGGGGTGAGCAGGCAACGCGAAGCTGTAGCTGTGGGCGATCAGCATCACTAACAGCAACCCACTATTCGCCTACGCAGACGCATCCTCAGGAGACGAAGCCCCAAAGAAGTCGGTCCCCCTCACTTCGAACCGCAGAGGCAAATTCGATGACGAAGATGTAGAAGACGACGTCAAAGATGACTGGGGAGCCTCCTCCGAAGACGAAGCACCCAAGCCATCTGCTTCCACCGCAGCTGCCGCTCCTGCCAAGAAGAAGATGTCATTCAAGCAAAAAGTAGCAGAGAAGGAGGCAGCAGAGCGCAGACGAATGGAGCTGGGTCTGGCGCACGGACAGGATAAGGAGGAGATCGACGTTCTCGAGTACGACCCCATCGCAGCTAGGAGGGCGGAGAGAGCTGCGCAAATTAGAGCTGATGTGGGCAACGCCGCGGATCTGCTGGGCGTGGCAGATATCGGCGACGACGATGGGGACTTCGACGATATACCAAAGCCGGCGGCCAAGCCAAAGGCAGCTCCTGGCTCCTCCTCGTCAGCAGCCACAGGACCACTTCCCAGCTGGGCGACGGCTTCCACTCCGCGCACAAAGACCGAATGGGAATCTCTGGCCGCATCCCTCTATTCCTCTACCCTCAAGACTCACGCAGCAAAGGACGCAGGAGGCTTTGCCAAGCACTTTGTTCCCGCCTTGACCAAGCATCTCACCACCTCGATGCGCGACGTGGATGTGCGCAAGCTCTCTACCAGCGTCAAGGGGTGGGCGGAAGAGAAGACCGCGGCTGAGCAGGCTGCTAGAAGGGCTGGAGGGAACATGGGAGGACCGGCAGGCAGCAGAGCCGCTGCAGCTGCTGCGACGGCCGGAGGAGCCAAGCCTAAGACGGTGGGGACGTCGAGTGCGAAGAACACCACAGACCTCAAGTCGTACGGAGATGAGGCGCTCGATGACGCTGATGCATACGATGAGGACCTCGACTTCATGTAGGCGGGAGATTGCGAGGGCGACTGGTCTTCGAGCTTCCTGCATGTTATTATCTCGATAGATTGCCTGTGAAGCTGAAGAATTTGTGAGGCTAGATGCCTGTCTATCTATGGTCGTCGTCTCGATGTTTGCGCCTACCCGCCGAAGCGAGCAAGGCGCATCTTCCTCAGCTCCTCCGGGCTCAAGGCAGCAGCAGCGGGCGATTGGCCTCCAGCGGCCTCGCCATTCTTGGCTACGCCTTCCCCTTCTTCGTCCTCATCCTCGTCACTATCGCTGTCATCGTCGCGCTTCGCCTTCTTCTCCGGTTCAGGCTCAGGCGTGAACTCTCCCCTGGCATGTCGCTCCTCCCTCTCCCTTTCCTCACGCTCCTTGCGCTTAGCATCCTCCCTCATCTTGGCGATTCGCCCAACGTCAGCCGGAGTAGGGCTGCGTCTGCCCAGGTCATGCCGACTGCCTCCGGCCGCTGCTCCGGCACTGCCATTACGGATCTGCTCGAAGAGTCGCGCCTGCTCCTCTGCGTCCTCGCCTGCCATCCAATCGTCTCCCAGCGCTTCTCCGCTCCCACCTGCTCCACTACCGCCCGCAGCGCCATACTCGTACGCCATGCTTGCCGCAAGTGCCCGCTGAAGCTCCGCATCCTCATCATCATAGTCACGATTGTCCCTCATAGACCCAAACGCCTGCGCAGCTGCGGTAAATTGCTGATGGAGCTCCTCTTCGCGTCGATCGCGGGCTGCGAGAGTGGAGTCGTCGTAGTCATCGTCGTCTAGCTCTTCGTCGTCTTCGTCGCCAATTTCAATCGGCGCTCCTCGGTCACCCGAGGGACGTTGGCGGGCTGGAGCGTCAGGTGCTCTGCCAATCCCTGGTGCGTTCGCTGGTGTGGCTAGGGCTGCAGAGGGTAGTATGGCGAAGTCGTCACCGTCATCGTCGATCCCTTGAACCAATTGGTCACGCAGTGCTGGGTTGAGAAAGGGGGAGCGTGACGGGCGAGCCTCGCCTTCAGCGCCATCATCCCGCGAGTCGTCCTCTAGGTCGATAGCCGTGTCCCTTGTTCCTCCCTGACGACTGCTGGAAGCTGCTACAGCTGATCGACCCAGGCTGGCCCGAACCGCCTCTTCGATACCTTCGTCCGTCTGCCTCCGGCTCTTCTTGCGTTTGCCCTCGTTTGAGCTGCCAGGGCGAGCATTGCGGCTGCCAGAAGGGGTAGAGACTCCCGCCCCAGTAGCGCTTGCGGAAGAATCCGCCGGACGACTCGAGCTCGCCAAGCTAGCCTGAATAGCCTGCATCATGTCCGCATCCTCGCCGCCCGACCCAACAGCAGCTGCGACAGCATCGTCAGCTGCCTGGTCGGCTGAAGAGCCGCGGAACTGATTGATGAGAGCTTGTTGAGAAGACTCGTCCTCTGATGTAGGACGAGCGACGAAGACTGAGTAGCCTTCACGCTGGGCTTGGTCTAGAAGGGCGCCAAGGTAGCCACTCCCTACCCAGGTCGGGGAGTCGAGGAAGGAGTTGAGATTGAACCTGTGGCGGACGGCGATCAGACAAGACGTCAGTCTAGCAATTCCAGGCTTCGAAGAGTACTGGCATCTTGTGCTCACCAGATGTCGCCGGCAGTACCGAAGCTACGGAATGTGAACCAGTGGCTCTCGAGGTTGAGGACAAAGGCGAGCTGGTCCTCTGGCTTGCTGTGCAAGTGACGCATATCCTGAGCTGCCCATCGTCGCAGCGAGAGGCCCCAGACCTGAAGCGCTGTCTCTACGACTCCCACTGAGAAGAAACCTGGAGGCGGGGGTAAGGTATCGAGGTCAGTGAGGGTGCTTCCCCATTACCCATTATTGATTCCTGCCGCCGACTCACCCGTCTCGTCCGCATTTCTAGCCTGCTGCTCCCGGTCTCCCCATTGCACATCGTCCATATCCAGATGACCCCTCTCCACGTCATCGAGCTGCTTAGCGATATCCGCAAGCTGGGCCGCATCGAAATAGTGCCCCTGTAGCAAGTTGTTGAGGCAATGCTGAGCACAGAGCATAGAGCCCTGCTCTTGACGCTCGTGCACGATAGCGGCCTTGATCACGTCGCGCTGCTGAGCTGAGGCCGAGGCCGAAGCAGAAGGTCTGCCGCCCCCTCTGGCGGTTGACATCGTGGTGAGAAGCGGGCCTTGGTAGCGATGAGGATGAAGAGTGGGAGCAAAAGAAAGCTCGTGTCAAGACGCGGCCACCTTTCCATTTGTGAGCCGCACAGGCCACGCAAGCCAAGCCACGTGGTGCGCGCTTCTCGGCCTCGGCGATATCGCCGCCGACCTGGGAGATGGCGAGGAGGCAGGGAGGCGTCCACATTGGACTTTCTGGTCGCCAAGACAATGTCCAGACACATCTGCAACACTGTAGGATAATCCATGCTGTCGAAAAACCTGCCAATGTTTTTGCGCTGAGCCCCAGCCTGAAGGTTTGGATTCCGGCGGCGAGGAGACTTGATGCAGGCTCGCCGATTGTGGAGCAGACGTGGTGTCGTGCGCGAAGATCTCCGGTGCCCCGCGGCGTCTTCTTGAGCTCTTTCTCACTTTTCTCGAACATCCCCTCATTATCTCACAATGTCAGCCTTCGACCCAACAGAGCATACACATAGGCGATGGAACCCGCTCACAGAGTCATGGGTTCTCTGCTCGCGTGAGTGGAGGAATCAATGCCGTTGAATGGGCCATGATCAGCTTCTGACTCGCTCGACATCACTCTAACGTCCGCCGCACGCAGCGCATCGCACCAAGCGTCCGTGGCAAGGAGCTCAGGAGTCAGCAGAGGTACCGCAGCTTCCCGAGTACGACCTCAAGTGCTATCTCTGTCCAGGCAACGAGCGAGCGACGGGTGGTAAGACGGACAAGTACGAGTCGACGTACGTTTTTGAGAATGACTTTGCGGCATTGAAGCCAGAAGAGGCCAAGGCCGGAGAAGATGGTCAGTTGCGCTAAATGAGCTAACGATCCAGGTAGACAATGGGAAGCTCAACGTAATCTCGCACTCTGCGAACAGTCACCAATCCACACCCGCTCATCAAGCTCCAACCAGCGCGCGGGAAATGCTTCGTCATCTGCTTTAATCCAGCGCACAACCTCACCATCGCCCAACTCACCACGCCCCCCTATAGCGCCTCATCCCACATTGTGCCCATCATCAAGGTATGGCAAGACGTATACGGCAGAATCCCGCGCGAAAACCCCTTCGTCTCGTACGTCCAGATCTTCGAGAACAAGGGCGCCAGCATGGGCTGCTCCAACCCTCATCCTCACGGACAGGTCTGGTCGCTCGATTATGTGCCCGAAGAACCAGCAAAGGCCCTGCGAAGTCAGTACCGTTATTCACAAGAGCAGACGCATGTCCAGGCTGGGGAGCCAAAGAGCAAGACAGGTAGACCGAGCTTGCTGCTCTCTTACGCTCATTGGGAGATGCAGCAGCCCGACTCGCCGAGACTGGTGGCCAGTAACGAAGACTGGATTGCCGTAGTCCCATACTGGGCCGTTTGGCCTTTCGAGGTCCTGGTCCTGCCGCGTAATACGCACCTGAATCACATCCTCGACTTCAGTCCCGCGCAAGTCCAGTCCTTTGCAGCTATCATGGGCGAGGTGACGCTGCGTTACGACAATCTCTTCGAGTGCTCCTTCCCGTACTCCATGGGACTGCATCAACGCCCTATCCCGCCTCGCGCTTCGGATCTCACCGCAGCACAAAAGCAAGAAGAGAGCGAATGGGATGAAGCGCAGTTTCATGTTCACTTCTACCCTCCGCTGCTCCGGAGTAAGACGGTCAGGAAGTTCTTGGTGGGCTTCGAGATGCTGGGAGAGCCACAAAGGGATCTTACGCCGGAGCAGGCGGCGAAGAGGTTGAGAGACGTTGATGCGAGCCAGCATTACACGGCTCAGCTGCTCAAGAAGTAGATGCGAGCATCGCTTAGTGCGGGGTCTTGTATGGTATTGGATTGCTGAATGTAGTCAGACGTGATCCCTGCTTGTCTTCTGTCATTTGTCGGCCGGCTTCTCGCCCCTCTTCCACATCCACACCGCATCGTCCCCGAACCAAGCCTTCTTCGCAACGTGGAATTGCGCTCCCTCTTCCACCTCTTCCTGCCCATCCCTCGGAGCAACAGACTCTTTCCCTGTCTTGACTACCACGTCCTGCCATCGAGGCGACTTGTATCCCGTAGCGTCTGAGCCTGCAAAGTTGGGCGAGACGGTAATGACCAGCGAGTCAATGAGGCCTCCTGCCCTTCCGTCACCGTCGGAGCGAGAAGAGGATGTGAGGAGAGTCTCAATGACTCTCGCGCCTCCTTCGACCATCAGACGTTGTACTTTCAGCCCACCCTTGCCGAGCGCTTCAAGTATATTGTCCCAGTCCAAAGTGCGCAGAGCGATAAGTTGGGCGCCTGCGGCTTCGAGGTCCACGCGGGGATGCTTCTGATCTTGACCTTCGCAGCCTTCACTGTGGAGTATCACGGGCTGGCGGCCGAGTCCCTGCTGATAATTAGTGAGAAGACGACAGCCAGCTGGCGTGCGAAGGTGCGTGTCTAGGATGATGGGGCGCGGTTGCTGCGCCGGAGCTGGTGGATTGGGCAGCAGGCGGGCTGCCAGTACACAGCGTGATCAGTCTTGGTCATGTCTTGTGCGCTTCGTCGTATGCTCACCGTTAAGGCGTGGATTGTCGTTTATCACCGTGCCTACGCCAACGAGGATCGCGTCATGGACAGTGCGAAGGCTGGGCGGAATACGATCCAGCCTGATCAGCACTTCTGTGCAAACACGGCGGTCACCATCTTCCCTGTGCTTTCTCTGCTCACTAGTGCGTCATGGCCATACTCTCATCCCCACTGAGCCGCAACTGCCTGCCTTTCTTGCCTGCGATATACCCGTCGATAGTCTGAGCAAACGTCAGCGTGACTTGTGGCCGCTGAGGCTGATCAAGATCTCTTCCTCTTGCATTGTCGCTAATGAACAGTCCAGAGAGGAAGTTCACTGACTCCTCGTATCTGTTCAGCGTTTGTTGCGCTTGCTCCTCACTTGTACTTGTCGATGCTTGCGTTGCCATGGTCCTCTGGTCTTCTCGAGGGTGGGTTGGCGTCCAGCCGTGTGCTTCCTTGGCCGCTCCGCTCCCTCGGCCACCGCTTTGGCCGCTCCCGTGACCCGTCCGTCAGCCGGTCCATCGGTCTCGACCTCGACTCTAGCGCAGGGTCCAAGTGAAACGAGATCATCGAGCAGCAAAGCACGCCAAAAGTGGAGGCTGGGCCGGCTTGGCTGCCCTAAGGAGCTTCGTGGCCTTCGCTCAACTCCCTCTTCTCTTCCCGCACAACTCATATATGCTTTGCGCGGGTCGATCACATCTTCTCCTTCGATCGTCTCTCACTACTACCACCAGACACACAAGTCTCAACACTTTGAAACCCGTCCGCTACAACTTTCCAAGAACCATGTCGACCGTCACCAAGGACCCCACTGCCCAGCAGGCCGCTGGTAACGCCCAGGGACTGACCCCTCAGCAGAAGGTGCGTGCGAGCAAAAGACGATTGACTAATGAATTCCACTCACTCACACCTTGCATCTCCTCTCTTGTCCCGGCCCGCACAGATTGAGGGTCTCCAGGAGATTGTCAAGCAGGTCGGCAACGCCATGCTCACTTCTCGCTCCCCCGACGGCAAGCTGGCCTCTCGCGCTATGCACCCTGCCACGACTGAGGGTCTCGTCTTCTCCTTCTACCAGAACTCTGACTCGTGAGTGCAGTGCAGAAACTAAAGGGATCACGTCTTCTCAGGCCCTCTCATTGCTGACCATGTCTATTGCCTATTTCGCGCCTACAGCGGCAAGACCGACGATATCGAGTCTGACCCGAACGTCAACGTCTCCTTCATCGACCCCAAGACGGGCGACTGGGTCTCCGTCTCCGGCAAGGCCGTCATCAACAAGGACCAGTCCAAGATCAAGCGCCACTGGTCGCAGACGCTCCAGGCGTGGTTCGACGACAAGAAGGATGGCGTCCACACTGGCAAGGAGGACGACCCGCGTGTCTGCCTGCTCGATGTTCACCCTGAGGAGATCAGGTACTTTGCCACTAGCGGCAGGTTGGCCTTCCTCAAGGATGTTGCCAAGGCTACATTCAGTGGCGGTGTCGCGAGCCCGGGGCAGCTGGTCATCGTTACCAACGACGAGATTCAGCTGGCAAGCAAGGTGCACAAGCAGCAGACGTAAGAGCATGCGAGAGCTGTTGAGAAGGCGTGCGGAGCCTCGATAGCAATGAAACGAATTGAATCGAATCTGTAGACAGAGAAAGTCCAAAATGTGCGCGGTTCGATGGGGTAGGTGCGGTGCGAATCTGGGTAAGTACCCCAAGCTAGACGACGTCCTTGCCCACCCGCCTTTCCCTCTGTGTCTTCTGCTCCTCCTGCCACTCTCCCATAGCTCTCGCCCGATTCTCGGCAAGCTGCATCGCCTTGATCATCACGTTGACGTCCACGGGAGTCCTACCAATCTTCTCTGAAACGAGGAATTGACCCGTATTCGGCGTGAGGACGAAGACGAGTAGCGCTGAGGAAAGCTGCACCTCAAGCGGGGTGGGGTCTACCAGGAGGATCGGCTCGCCAGCACTGCTTGAGTGTGCAACCATCGCTTCGCCCTCCTCTTCATCATCCTCATCCATCCCGTCCGCCCTGTTCTGCTTCTTCTTGGCAGCGGCGGCAGCAGCAGTAGCCGCCGCACTGGCTGCCTGTGCCGGAGGCAAGAAAACGGCTACCTCGATCGCGACCAAGCTTCCCATGATAGGCAGTGGTACCATGACTCGCTCGTCTTCGTGGTACACAACGATGCGCCCACCAGCTTCCACCGCAGCATCGTTGCGTCTGTAGTCGACGAGAGCGAGCGCCGCAGCCATGACACTTGCGGAGAGGGCATTGCCTGCTTGGAGGGACTGCAAGTGCAAGACGATAGAGACATCCCAGACTAGTTGACCCTGCGAGTGCGAACGTGAGAGTAGCAAAGCGGCACGTCAGTGACTGAGTGCCGTCGGCAGGACCCAGCTGGTCCGCGTATACGCACTGCCTTGAGACAAAGTGCCTCCCTGTCGATGAGGCCGCTCCTCCTGAGGGCCAAGTCGCACCGACGCTCCAGATCGGCAATGAGAGCATCAGCCTGGTTTGACGTCCTCGCTGCGCTGGACATGCTGAGTGCCATCTGCGGATTGACCTGCACCGACACCTGACCCTCGTAGGGTCGCTCGTCGCGCGGCTCAACCAGCTCCGCATGTATCGCTGCTTGGACGATTGTGCTTGTCGCATGAGTAGAGTGCGGTGAGGAGAGAGTGAGGGTTACGACGCCCCGTTGCGAAGGAGAGTATCGAATTGCTGGACCGAGGGGAGTTGAAGGGGAACGCGAGTCAAGACGGATGGCGGAGGATGAGGCCGATGACGAGGAACCAGATGCTGAAGCCATCAGCTGAGGAAAGAGAGCTTGAGTTATATTGGCTGGTGCCACATTGGAGTAGACGGCTGCCATGACGACCGCTGATGAGAGAGACTGAGGATGATGCTGAGGATCGCAACGCAGGCACCGAGAAGAAGTTGGCCGCTATCCGACGTCCTCTGCTTCTTGTTCCGCCTCATCTCAATCTCGGCCACGTGGGAGGCGCACAGGGCACCACTCGCCAGACGCGGCTTCCGTCCAGTCGTCCTCACCACCACCAAGGCCCATTGCACCCGATTGAGTCTACTGCTGCCCCGCAGTGTCGTGCGAGGGTGACAAACATCCGCCCCTCCGCCTCATCTCGGGCTCATTGCAGAGCGGACAGTGGGTCTAGGCAGTCGCATCGCGCGATCTCCGAGGAGGCTGAGCCGTTGCAGCTATGAAGGTGAGAGTCAGCCGACGCGAGGACCCTGATCATGACTCCCTCATAACCATCGCGTCATCGATGAGCATATACTCACCCCTTTCTATTTTCCCTATCACCACATACAGTACCTCCTCCAAGCCATCGAAAGCCGGCGACAATGCGTCAAGCTGTCGGACCCCGAGCTCACAAAGCTCCTCACCGACGTGCAACGCGCCAGGGATGACCGCTCTATGCTCGTCGAGTCCCTCGAGCGACTATTGCAAGATCTCCGAGCTCAGTCGCACGCTGCGGCTTTTCTGTCCAGAGTCAACAAAAGGGACGCGCCCGACTACTATGATGTGATCAAAAATCCAATGGACCTGTCCCTCATGCTCAAGAATGTCAAGAGTGGGAAATACAGGACTAAGGAGTCGTTTCGAAGGGACCTGGACCTCATCTGGGACAATTGTTTGATATACAACAGCGAGCCGGTGAGTGTTCGCGAGAACCTATCTTACCTGCCGAATTGTCAATGGTAGCGCTGACCACTACTCACCTTTCTCCTGCCAGTCCCACCCTCTCCGCGTGTCTGCCAACCTCATGCGCAAGAGGTCACACGACCTCCTCTCATACATCCAGGACTCAAAGGACGTGCAATCAGCTCTTTCCGACTGGGTCGCGAATCACACGAACCTCACTCTCGCTCAGGCAAAGGCATTGCAGAAGGGTGACCTCTCGGCGATCAACAGCATCACGACTCCGATCACTTCAGCTGCTTCAGCACCAGCAGGGGCGGATCCGAATAGCAGTGCAGCGATCGCAGGATCGTCATCCACGCCGCCTCCCGCATCGATCGTGACGGTGACTGATGGGAAGGATGGGCCCAAGAAGATGGTCAAGAGTGAGGCGACTGAGCAGGACAGCGAGGCATTTGAGAATCGGCCAGCGCTACTGGTCGCCTCAGGCGCCAGTCTGGCAGAGACGGCTATTGAAGAGCGACGTCGTGGAGAGAGAGACGAATATGCGTTGAGTACCGCCACGGGAGAAGATTGGGGAGCGGCAAGGGGCGCTTCAGGCAGCACTCATCGCATCGCTCAGCCAGTCTTTGAGGCTCAAGACGAAGAGGCAGAGGTGGATCGCATCATCTCCTCTTTGGCGGAAGGTCGCTCAGCCAGCCTCGTGGCCGGTGGCTCTGTATGGGAAGACCAGGACGCGCAAGCAGCTTCATCATCATTTCGTCCCTACCCGTCGTCATCAGCACAGCGCCTCGACGTCATGCTCCCCAAGCTGCCTGCATCGCACCTTGCTGCGCCACGCCGACCGAGCAACGGACCCTCTTCACCCAGCAAGAGGAGGAAAGCTCAACACCCAGCGTCAGCAATAGCAGGAGTAGATGGAGAGCGTCAGCAGCCGAAGCGACGCAGAGCGACGGACGTCATGCGCGGCAACATCGCGACGCTCAAGCGCATGAAGCGACTGAAGGACAAATTCGACATACTCGACTACTGTCTCGACAACGAGCAGCCTTTACCTGGCAGCTTGCTGATCGACTCGGACGATGAGGATGACCGAGCCTTAGGACGCAAAGACAACAAGCGGGCACGGCTGAATGGCTTCACCCACCACCCAGAAGCGGGGCCCTCCAATCCCCACCCACGGATATCCCTTTCTCACGCCCGGTCTAGTCTCAAGGAGCGCATAGCTCTCATCGTCGGAAACGCAGGCTTCGAGGCAGCTCAGACGCGTACAATGGACGTCCTTGCGGGAGTCGCCGAGTCTTTCCTGCTCAGTCTAGGCCGGACCATCCGCCTCTACGTCGATCGATACGGGACCCCCTCGCCCTCCTCCTCCATGTCCCCCGAACAGATCCTCCTGCACGTCCTGCACACTACCTCCCGATCGAGCCCCACCGACCTGGACAAGTACATCACAGAGGACACAATGCGCTACTCTTCCCGTCTGGCGGAGCTCAAGCGCAAGCTCGAGGCGTCATGGAAGGAGCGGGTGGCGCTGGGAGAGGAGAAGCTGATGACGGAGGAGGATGCAAGATTCTTCGGTGAAGAGAGCGAAGACTTGGTCGCGGGCAATCTGCCGAGTGCATTCGAGGACGACTTCTTTGGCTTCAAAGCGATGGGCCTGGACGCAGAGCTTGGGATGACGAACATGTCCGTCCCGCTGAGGCTACTGCAGCGACGGGGACCTGCTGGGCGACGTGGGCTTGCTGGGGATGCGGCTGCTGATAGGGGGTCCGGCGAAGCCGAACAAACGAAGGACGTCTATCCCCCGCCTCCAGCCTTTGTACCGCTCAGCGAGGCAGCCATTCCCGCGCAGATTGGGCTGTTGCGCCCCTTCTATACCGATTTGCTGCACAGGCGCGGGCATCGCAAGGGGGCGCGGCAGGGCAACCAAGATGGGGACGAGGCGGACGGCGAAGATGATGAAGAGGAGGATGAGGATGATGGCATGCTGGTGTTGAGCGATGAGGAGCAGGAGAGGACGACGAGGTACAAGGTGCCTCCTACGGGTAAGATGCCAAGGAGGGACTTCTGGCGACCGGGTGGGACGACTGCCCCGGCGAAGAAGGCCGCACCCCCCGCGCCCGTCGCTACTGCTGCGGCGTCGAACAAAGGAGGGGCAAAGGGTGGCTCAGCTACTGCAGAAAAGGCGGGCACTGCGTCTGGCGGTGGAGGAAGAGGAGGAAGAGGAGGGGGAGGCAGGGGTCGCGGCCGTAAGAGGGGAGGCAAGGCGGATTGACCAGGCTGTTGCGATGGCCCATCACGCGCGATCTCTTTTGTCCGCCCCGCAGCCAAGAAGAGGAGCAATTTATCTTGGACCTGTTGACGTTTCTCATTAGTATGCAAAAGATGGGACTGTGTATCTGTCGTTCGTATCGATGCACACGTCGCCCCTCGCAATCGCCCGATCTGACCGGCGGCCCGGAGAATCTGGTTCGTCGACTCAAGTCGAGGTTGAGCACGAGCCACCACGCCGGCCGGCATCTCGAATTCCCCGCTCAAGAAACGTGATACCAGGCGGACGTACTCAACCCTCCCAACCATTCGTCACCACATCGTTGCGTTCTAGCCCCTCTCAGCCAGCTCAGCCAGCTCTGACAATGTCTGCCCCATTCTGTGTCCACTGTGCTAGGTGAGCAAGCGGATGCTGCAGCTACGGCATGACGACCCGCTAACCGCGGCCGCCTCACGATCTCTGTCACCTCGCTCACAGCGGTTTCGCCCTCGAAGGCACCCCAAAGGGCACCATGGAAAAGCTTGGTCCGTACGATACCTACATCGCCTCTCCCTCCTCCGTACAAGGAGAACCAGGCCGCGCAATCTTCTTTGCATGCGACGCCTTTGGCCTCTCCCTGATCAACAACAAGATCATCCCAGACATCCTCGCCGAGCGTCTTGGTGTACCCGTGTACGTGCCCGACTACTTTGAGGGCAAGGGCGTCGAACCCACTAGGCTGCAGATGCCCTCAACCGCCAAAGAGATGCGCAGCCAATCGCTGATGCAGAAGGTCACCTCTGGGCTGGGCATGCTGAGCATCGCCCCTTGGTTTATCTCGAATCGCCCTGGTACCAAGATTGCCCCTTTGGAGAAATGGTTCACCGCCGTGGAAGAGGCCAAGGGGGTGAAGGAGTGGGCGAGTACGTCTTACTGCTTTGGCGGCAAGCCCGTATTGCACTTTGCCTCCCAGTCCAAGTTCAAAGCCAATGTGCTTTGCCACCCCTCCTTCGTGGCCATCGATGACATCAAGAAGATGAAGGGCACTTCCCTCTTCATTTGCGCTGACGAGGATCCTGTATTTGGGGCATCACTGAGGGAGCAGAGCCAACAGGTGCTGAAGGAGCGACAGGACAAAGGGGAGATACAGGCCGAGTTCAAATTCTTCCACAATACGGTTCATGGGTTCTGTGCCAGACCAGACTTCAGCGTGCCCGAGGTGAAGAAGGCATTTGAGGATGCGACGCAGCTTACTGTGGAGTGGTTGAAGGAGCATTTTCTGCAGGCGAAGGCTGAGGGAAAGGGGACTGCAGGTGGGGAGCCCCCCGCTGCTACTGCTGCTCCGGTTTGAACGAGGCGTTCGTCCTCATGCTTTGTCTCTTTCGAATACCCAATCTCCAAATTATGAGGCTCGGGACAGCTTATAATGTCATTCCTTTCCTCTTGGCACATCGTGATACTGACTAGCGCGCGAGACGCCGTGAGCTTTGTTTGGTGTTGGTTGGTCTGGACCTGACGGGCGGACTGAGCGTGTTTCCGTCTTGCCTTGCATCCCATCACCACCGTCTTCCCAACAAAGAGCAGTCGAGTCAGATAGGCTCACATCATCAGCACGGCAGGGCGTACGCTCTTGCCATGAAGGTCACTATCGAAGACTGGTCGGCGGTGGCCACCTGGGGTGAGTACGACGACGATGAGGCGATGGCCACCCGAAGAAGGCAACTGACCCGTCTTACTCTACCTGTTCTCCCCCCTCGCGCCAGTTTGGGACTTAGCCGACCCCAATGACCTCTGCGGTATCTGTCAAAATCAGTTCGACGGAGTCTGTGGTAGCTGCAAGACTCCTCGAGGTGGAGACGAGTGTCCTTTGCGTAAGTACCGGTCTCCCGACGGCCTCATGGCTAGGCTTGGCCAGCTAAGACGAGGAGTGAGGACAGACAAAGGCTGACTTCAAAGTGCCACGCTCCTCGATACTTTGCGGCCGTACACAGTCTTTGGTGAATGCTCGCACGTCTTCCACATGCACTGCATTCTCAAGTGGCTCGAAGGCGACGCCAAGGATCTTTGCCCGATGTGCAAGAGAAAGTGGTGTGAGTGCGACGAGGAAGGCGGACATTACAGTAGATGTGGAATCGACTGACATGCGGCTCTCTTGCTCAACTGCAGCCGCCGCTACGGCTTCAGCGTACCAGGCCGATTTGGCTGCAAAGGCAGAGGCAGAGGGTGCGGGTCTGGTTCAAGCTCAAGGAGGTCAGCAACAAGGACAGCAGCAGCAGCAGCAGCAATAGCGGTGTCAGACAGTCTGGGCGACTGAGCAGACGGACGAGTCTCGTACATAGCAGCGCCTCTCTCTGGCGTCAAGCCCTTCTCATTCTGACTGATTGAATGTGTATACCATTCGTCTCGTTGATGATCATCTTCAGCTATAGGGGACGTGGCGCTTCGAGGCGGTCATCCCGGTATCTCGAGGACGAGGACTGCGGCGAGGAGTCATGCTTCCTTAAGCGCTCTCGATCTCAGAGACCCACTTCTTGGCGTCGGCGTCATCTGAGCGGGGTGGCAGCGAAAGTGTGGGTCAGCGTGAGGTGCTTTGCGTGATGTCTGAGAAAGCGTCCTTACCGGCGTGCTTCTTGAGGAGCTGGTGGGCGTGGATACGGGAGGCAGCAGGGAGCAAAGGAGAGGCAGAGAATGGAGTGAGCAACCAATACTGAATCATAGCATGAAAGCAGGCCATGTGCTCCTTTGCGCAGCTCTACTCACCGCAAGCAAGGCCTCGACGTACTCCTTCTTGGCGGCCTCGGCGTCCTTTCCCTTCTGCTTGTTCCAGGCATCCCACTTGGCCTTGCCGACAAAGTCGAGCATGCCGGGGCGAGAGGTGTTGACGTCGCCGACGGTGGCCTGCTTGTAGAGCGAGTAGAAGGTAAGCTGGTCGTCCTGAGAGGGCTTGACCTGTGCGATAGCGAGGGGTTGAGGGGGAAAGCAGAGGTAGGGTTTAATGAGAGGCGACGGGAATGTGGTGTGTGTCGTGAGCTCGCTCGCTACTCACGGGCCCGTCCTTGGGCATGTTCTGGACGATAGAGACGGCCTTGTCGAACTGAGCAGACATCTTTGCTGACTTGTGCTGTGTGTGTTGGTGTGAGTTGAGTAAGTAGTGGTTGTGGGGAAAGGAAAGGAAAGGAGAAAGGAGCTCGTCGACGTGGGGCTGAGTGGAGACGCCAACTCCCTCTGCCCGGTCCGTCGGGCCTGCGACGTGCGAGGGCTGAAACCGGCCGGGGGATCGAGACGAAGCAAAGGCATGAGCGAAGAAAGAGGGCTCGTGCGAGGGAAAGGAGGCACCGATTCCCCAACTTCAGAGCGACTGCTTGCTCATACGAGAGAGGCAGCCTGGCAAGGTTCCGGATCGTCATGGCCGCAAGGCAAAGGATAGCAAGACAGCTCGATGGCATCGCTCGTCGACATGGCCACACGCAAGCAGCATCGACATCGCAACGCCATGACCCACTCGATGCGTGGAATTGCCTCACGCATCGCAACTCGTCATCGGGGACCTCGAATAGCAACGCAGTCGCATCATCTAGCAAGCAACCCCTCGCAGACTGGCCAGTAACAATCAAAGACAACTTCTGCACCTCGGACGTGCCCACGACGTGTGCAAGTAAGATGCTCGCAGACTATCGACCCACTTTCGATGCCGCCGTCGTAGCGCGATTGAAGGCAGCAGGAGCCTGTATCGTGGGAAAGACGAATCTTGACGAGTTCGCAATGGGCTCAAGCAATGTGCATTCTTACTTTGGCCCTGTGAAGAATCCAGCCAAGCAGAACAGCAACGACGAAGCAAGAGCGGCTGGAGGTAGCTCAGGAGGCGCAGCTGCTAGCGTGCGAGCCGGGCTTTGTAGAGTGTCAGTATAGCTATGCCAACTTAAGCGAGAAGCTCTCCCTGACCATCCTTTCTTGCTTGCCGTTATACAGCGCCATTGGCTCAGATACTGGCGGATCGATCCGTCTTCCAGCTTCACATTGCGGCGTCTGGGGCTTCAAGCCCTCTTACGGTCTCATCAGCCGCTGGGGCCTCGTCTCCTACGCCGACAGCCTCGACACCGTAGGGATTGCGGCCTCGTCATGGCAAGACGCACGTCGAACATTCCAGCTCCTCTCGGGCCACGACCGCAGAGATCCTACATCTATGCATCCCCGCACTCGCCAGAAGGCCGCCCGAGAATCTCAGAAGCAGGTCGACCGAATACAGCAAAGCGCTCGCTCACGGCCCGACGCCCTTCACGGGCTCCGAGTCGGCATCCCTCATGAATGCTTCCCTGCTGAGCTGCATTCGCAGGTCCTCCCACCATTCGAGCGACTGGTCGACTTTCTCACCTCCAAGGGCGCAACGGTCATCCCCTGCAGCCTGCCCAACATCTCGCTCGCCCTCAGTGCCTACTACGTGATCGCTACTGCGGAAGCTAGCAGTAACCTTGCGCGATACGACGGCGTACGGTATGGATTTCAAGCGGGCGCCAAGGATGACGGCAGAGAACCTGCTAAGACAGCTGCGGAGGTCTATGCTCGCACACGATCACAAGGCTTCGGCCGCGAGGTGCAGAAGCGTCTTCTCCTCGGCGCTCACGCTCTATCAGCGGACGCGTTCGACAATACTTTCCTGCGATCACAAGAGATCCGCAAAGTCGTACAGCGGGACTTCGACGCAGTCTTCCGTGCGCCAAATGTGCTGCGACGCAGTCAGGCGGACGAGCGAGAAGAAGGTGTTGACGTGCTCGTACACCCCTGCTCAGTCAGCTCGGCGCCTCGTCTGGATGCGACAAAGGCTTCGTCTTCGCCCATGAGCGAGTATGTGCAAGACCTACTGACCGTGCCCAGCTCTCTGGCGGGCTTGCCGTCAGTGAGCATGCCTACGGGCGTGGCGGAGGACGATGGCTGGCCGGTGGGTACGATGTTGACGGCGCAGTGGGGTATGGAGAATGTGCTCGACATCGTCGCGAGCGTGGTGGATCAAGAGTACGAGCCGAAGGATGGGCTGAGATGAGCAAATAGGCGGCGGCGTAGAGCCACTCAATGTACGGTCCATTGCGTGAGAGGGTGGGATCTGAGAAGTACAAGAGCAATGCGACCAGCATATGATGTCTTCACATCACATTCCCTGATCACCTTTCTTGACCGCATCCCAGAAAGTCTGGACAAAATCATCTCCCCAGTCACGCTCGTAGCCATCTGGGTTCTTGAACCCCAAGTCATACCAGTCATTATCCTCAATCTGCGCCTCCGGGTGCGTCCCGATCAAGCCGACCCACCCCTTACCCTGCGGATAGACGACAGCGCTCGGCCTTCCCGAGTAGCTGTACCTGCCCAGCACCACAGTGCCCTTGGGTGCGTGCGCCATGTCCATCACGATAGCCCCTCCGTCTTGGAAGTATTGCCACGACCTGGGCTTGAGGGTACCGCGCTTCGGCCCAGAGTGGAAGTACCAGTCCACTTCAACCACTGTATCCTTCGCGCTGCGCTCCTGCGCCCCCGGCAAGAGACGCTCCGACGTAACGTAGGAACCCTCTGGCATTAGATCGAAGTATGTCTCATTGGTCTTTGGCCCCCTGGCGAAGAAGGCACCCAAGCACACTCCCATGAAGTTGCCTCCTTCCTTGACGTACTGCTGGAGTGCAGGTGTAAAGTACTTTGCGCCCCTCGCCCAATCCGTGTCCGTGTCATCCCCTCCCCCTGGCTGAACAAACAGGTCTACCTGCTTGAGATTGGCAGCTGTGACGTCGCCCGCTGATTCGTTGGGACCGAGGTACCTGATGGAGAAGTTGAGCGGGTGGGTCGACAGCAGAGCCCCGACCGATTCGGCGCAGTACTCGCATGCGATAGGGCCGCGGTAGATTGCTGCGGTTGGGCGGCTCGAGTTAGGGTCCTGACGAGCATGATGGTGTGAGATGCGGGAAGTGAGCGAGCCCATTGCTTCGGTTTCTGTTCGTGAGAGGGACGTGGGCTGGGCTGATGCTGTGGTAGCAAAGCTGGCCAGGAGCAGCGATACCAGGAGCAACGCCGTGAGGAGAAGAGGGCTGGTCGTTGCCACTCGGCGCGTCATAATGGTCAAGAAGATGAGCAAGTTTTGACAAGTAGAGCAGGCCGTCAGCGATTGCGTACTTCTCTAAGTAGCATTCCCTGGTCCAGCTCTAGATTGCTTCAAGAGCACCAATGCTGCTCGTCTGGATCGCTCTTTGGTGCTGTCCAGTCTCTGGAAGCCGCCTTGCTCTGCAGAAAGCTCGGACCTATCGATTTCGACTTTGGTCAAAGTGACAGCAACCGCCGCCGACATGCCGGCCGTCTGGGCAGGAGGGCAAGCCACTGCTGCTACTTTTTTGGTAGCACAGGAGAGGACAGGGAGCGAGGCCGGGGAAAGAGGCTTGGTGGCGTTTCTGGGTGACGGCAAGGGGCTGCATTTATTCGCCGAGCCGCCGGAACGCATGAACGTGGGCTTCTATTACTGCATCGCCTCCCTCGTTGCCCCAGTCTACGCCGGAGTGAGGTTGTACTCTCGCACAATGTATTGAACATGATTGCGAGCTGTTTGAAAAGCACAGCAAGAATAACAATTGCAGTGAACTGATTCTGCCGTGCGCGACTGCACCTGAGCCTACTCCAGCCCCAGATTGATCCTCGCCTCGTCCAATTTCGGCCTGACCCACTCACTCCCACTCAGCCGAATCGCCGTATCGACCGCAACCTTTGCAATGCGCATCGTCTCTCCCCCATTTTCAGCCTCTAGCTGCGCGGCAAGACGAAGCCCCTCCAGCTCGGCGTCTACCCCGCGGGCGGTGGGGTCCAGGGTGAGGCAGGAGGCGAGGACATACCGGAGAAGGTGGGGGGCGCAGTGGGCGAATGAGGTGAGAAGACGACGTGGGGAGATTGAGGAAGTGCGACCTGACTTGCTGGGCTGAGAATGGCCATTGGAGTGAGAGAAGCCTTGCTCGCTCTGCTGCGGTGTCATGGCGGCGGCGGCGGCATCGACCGTTGGGTCTTCCAGGAGGTCCCCGAGGTCGATGTCCTCCGCTGTGACTCGCCCGGCACCAGTAGCGCTTTCATCCCAGTCGAGGCTATCGTCACCTCCTTGATCTCGCGTCTTACCTGCAGAGCCATCGTGATTCGCCTTCTTGGCCGCCACGCCCTTCGTAACCAACCCGTCCCTGTAACGAAGGAACTCCTCCTGTCCGCCCTCGAGCAACATCTCTCGGATAGCCCCGTCCTCCACGCCATCCCGGAGCGCGAACGCTCGGACCAAGTTCGCCCCAAGCGCCCAAAGATCAGCACTCGGCCCCGCTCTCCTCCCGTTGGGCCCCGGCTTCGCTTCAGGCGGCACCCAGTCGAAACTCATGAGACTGACGCACCCGTCCCCACCAGGGATACGGAAAGGGTTTGCGTTCTCGTAGTCTATCACCACGAGTGAACCCTGCGAGTCGAACATCAAATTCTCCAGCTTGATGTCGCCGTGCATCCAGCCCGAAGAGTGGAAGCGGTGAATGTGTCGCAGAGTCTGGCAGAAGACGAGCGCGGCGACCGGGTAGAGCTCCTCCTCTTCGCAGCCAGCAATGACGAAGAAGGCTTCCTCCGGGTAGTCCTCCTCGAGGCGAACGTACTTTCCGTCGCTGGTCACCAGGAGGCGGGCAACAGAATTGCGGCCCGGGTTGAGGGTCTCAGCTTTTTGCACCTCATTCAGAATATCGTCAAGGTAGGTTTGGCGGAGGATCTTGGCTAGTGACCGCGCATAGGCGGCTGCACTACCGCTTGTGCTGCCGCTGGGAGCTGTCGTCTCGGTGGCCGAGCGGACCTTGGCTTCTACGGACTTGATCTCCATAGCAGCATAGAAGCGACCGGCGCCGTCCATTGCCCAGCGACGCAGCTTTGCAGCTGAGGAGACACGATTGTCGGGGGTAGTGATGAGGTATGTCGTTGCGGGGGGAGGTGGAGCAGTGGAGAGGTCCCTGTGAGACGACTTGACGTCACTATCGGTGCTGCCATTGGAGTGACTGCCCTCGCCATTGGTGGTGCCGCCTTGTTGGGAGTCCTCTTCGCGATGCGTTCGTCTCGACGCGCGGCTTTTGCGTGCATCAGGCTCTCCTTCTTGCCCGTTCGTCGCATGCTCTTCATCGTCGAACCCATGATCCTCGCCTACATGCTCCGTGCTGAACAGGCGCACGCTCAGTCCATCGGTCACCGCACCTTCTCTGAACGGCCCGCTGCGATCGTATAGAGTGCCCTCGACGCTGATAGGCTTGCGCCTACGAGCCAGCCTAAGTGCAGCTGGGCGAGGGCTGATCGACCCGCTGACAGGCGAGCTTGAGTCGCTGTGGAGAACGCTCGACGTGCTTGCATCGTCTCGCTCGGACTCAGAGGCAGACGACTGCTCGATAGATGCTGCAGCTGCGGCGGCTGCCTTTTTGAGCAGGTCGGATGAGCTGACCTCGCGATGCATCCGCTTCGAAGATCGCTTGGCTCCTTTGCCAATCGAAGAAACAGCCTTCTTCAGAGCAGCGTCTTGAGAAGGGGTGGCCGATTCTGCGCCCGCTGGTGGTACGTCCATCTTGGAGGGCCTGCCACTGGGTGGCTTGATCTGACTCAGAGGAGCAATAGCGATTCGGTCGAGGCCTTGTGACAGCTGCTGCTTGCTCATTGGTGAGGGAGGGCCCGACTCTGATGCTGAGTCCCTCCTGGGAGTATGCAGTCCCATTACAGTCGAATGGCGCAGGAAGGCTGCGTCCGGTCCATTGGACGAGAAGCGACGACGCCGCTGAGAAGATGAATCGTGAAGCGATGAAGACGGAGAGCTTGCCGCATCGTCTACGCTCCCTCGACGCAGGTCGACTTGAGACGAAGACAAAGGCTGGAGGTTGTTGCCCAAGATTCCGGGCCTCCTCATGACGCCACTTCCACTCCTTGATCGACCAGATCGACTGCTCCTTCTTGAGCTCTTACCGCTCGCCGCTCCCATAGACGATTCGCTTTCCCCATCTGTGGTGAAAGCGTCCGAGTACATCTCGTCGTCGTCGTCCTCTGCGCTGCTACCAGCTGAAGAGGGGCCAGCACCGGAAGTGGAGTAATGGATATCTGACGAGCTACCGGGCCTCTTGCTCCAGGCAAGCTTCAGTCCTCCTCCCATACTCTCGCGTTCATACACCTGCCATCGCTCGTAGTCCTTTCCGAGGAAGAGAGTGGCTGCTCGAGTACCCTTGGCTTGCTTAGGGATGGTCCATTGATTCATGGGGCGATTCTTGGTGTGAGCGGAGTTGAGGACATGCTGATCGGGCAGAGTGCTGAGGCGATGGAAGAGGGGACGAGGCGATGTAGCTGAAGAGGGCGAGTCGGTATCGTTATCGTTGCTGCTGCTGCCCTCTTGATATTGATGCTGGTGAGCTGTCATGGCTCTAGCGTCTGATTGGACGCCTCCTCTTGGCAGTGATGATGGCGACGTGCTCTTGGCAGACCTCGACAAGGAGGAAGGCAGATCGACGGTGCCTGCTCGTGGAGTATCATTGGCCTTGGACCGTGAAGCGGAGGGCGATGTCGCCTCCTCGCCGGACGGCGTCATGCTGCGATGATACGAGACCCCTGCCTGCCACACTAAGATGAGATTAAGCGCCACCTGCTACTGCTCAGAGCGCAGATTCAATATTGATGATGGCGTTGATGGAGGCGGTGAAATGATAGGATGTGACAGCAAATGGAGAGACGAGATCCGAGCGAATCGAGCGATCCTCGGCGATGTAGGAAAGTCAAGCGGAGGAGGCGGCGGCAAGACGACGGAGACAGAGTGAGAGCGGAGTGCAGCAACCAACGACTGCAATGGCGCACGGGCGGACAGAGACGAGGGCGAGAACAATCGAGAGCGCCAGAGCCTGAGGAGGTGGTCAGGGTCCAGCAGATCAAGCATGCCACTCCTTCTCGTGCCCCTCGGAGTGCCTGCCTGCCTGCCTGGATGCCTACTCAACCAACAAGGGGCCCTATCTACTCTAGATGTCCGTCTTGCTGCGTGGTTGCTTGCTTGCACCGCCTGGTCAATGCGAGCCTCGTCAACTCTTAGGCCGCATGACCCTTGGCACTCTTCGCGATGACGTCGCTGCAGCGCCGCCCCTTGTCCGTTCCTTCGCGCTCCCACAACCCCGTGGAGCACCGCAAAATGACCGCCGCGGCTTCAAGGTTCAAGAAGCTGTCCCTCAATCGCTCGCTCTTCTTGCAATGGCGTCTTGCCCATGTAGACCCGATCAACAGTGCCTGGTATGACCATGAGGCGCTTGTAGCCTTGACTGGCGTAGAAGGGTTCAGCGCCTTGCGTTGTGAACTCGATTTGGAGCAGGAAGAAGAGGATCATCAGGACCCTGCATCATCGTGCACGTAACGATTCGCTGCTAGTCTATCTGCGCTCACTGTATTCAGATAGGCTCCTCGAGCTTGACATCTTCTGATGCCGAGGAGCTCCGCTTCACGCAGGAGGCGGGCGCCGCTACCAAGCCGGTGGGACGGGGGCATGGGTCAATGTCACGAAGAGCAACGAGGTCAATGGCATCACCTCACGATTGCACTCACAGACCCTTTTTACGCTCCAACTTCTTGACCCACAAAAGCTCGATGTAGACCTGTCCGCAGAGAGCTGTCGACCGAAGCAGAGGACGAAAGTCGTGAACATGCGCCAAGGACTCGTGCCCCTCACCGCGGCCTACCTACTATGACCCGAACAAATGCCAAGTAGGGGTCGTTCTTCACAATTCACTTCCTCGAAGTGCTGTGGCGGCTTGACATCGTCGCCCCAGTACCCCAAGAAAAAGTCATGGCGATCATACACGAAGGAAGAAGCTCCTCGTGAGATAGCGCCATCATTGTCCTTATCGTCGCCGTTGTCCTGAGGTGCAAATACGCGATCTAGATTGGGCTCATTGAATCTCGGCCAGCGTGGACGAGAAACTTCATAGATGCTGCCCGAGCTCTCTACTGTACTGTTGCCCATTGTGGCTAGCGCTGATGCTGCACAGTGATGTGGGAGCGGGAGGAAGGGAAGATGGAAGGAGAAGCTGGCCGTGCGGCAGGTTAGCCTCTTGTGTGCATGTACAAGGACAGGTGGCAATGACTCAAGGATCACTCATCGCCAAACAGCTCTGGAATGAAATCGGATCAATTGAAGTGTGTGGTAGGTCACATGCTGAAATGCTGATGATGAACAGGTCTACGGAAAGCCCGTCGCGGGTAACTGCTGCTGAGGTCGTGTATGCGTCGTCTCCATCCCTCATCTCGCTCCTTTTACTCCTCCCAATCGTCCGGATCATCCCCCCGTGCTCCCTCGTCATCCACCATATCTTCATACGTCTCCAGCTGCTGCAATGCCACCGACCTCGAAGCCATCGAATCGAATGCGAGGGGCATCTCATCGAAGCTGAGTGGCCTGCCCATCGGATCTTTGCGCGTAGGAGGTCGGTCCGCTCCAGCCCCGGTGGTGGATTGGCGCTTCTTGCCGCCTGAAGCCGAGTACTTGTTGCAGCGCTCCTCCGAGAGACCGTACAGAGACTTGAGATGGTTGCGCAAGAGGAGAGCTGTGCCCATTACAATACTCATGCGGGCGACGCAGGAAGGGCCGCTTGGGCGGACGTCTTTGCTGGTCGACTTGGACTTGGAGTTGCCTCGCTGCTTGCGGGGCCTGGCCTCCGAGTTGGTGTCGTCTATGTCCATCGACGCGCTCTTGTTGCGTTTGCGACTGCGTGCCTTGCCTCGTTGCTTACGAGGACTCTCCTCCTCGGACTCGTCCTCTTCCATCTCACTGTCCACCTGTTCCTCCTCCTCATCACTGCCTGCCCCACTCATCCCAGTCTCACTCTCGCTCAAGAACGTCTCGGCGAAGAACTTGACCTGCGCGCCAGTCACCGCCAAGATTTTCTTCGTCTCTGCGGCGATGACCAGCACCTCCTCGGTGGTCTTATAGTCCAACGTAGCCAAACCATCAGCGACGTATCTGGCTAATAGCACCTTGGCATCCTCGCACTCCCCCTTGCTCGTATCCACATCCAACAACTTGCACATCGCCTTGATAAAGTCCAACCTCGTCTGCCTCTTGTCCCTGAGCAGCGAATACCACGACTGAAGCAGCGCGACAGGATATCCCGTGGCGGCATCGATGCGATATCCCCTAAGCTCCTGGAGATTGTCCTTGAACAGCTGAACTTGAAAGTCGAAGGAGGTGCGGATGAGCTCCGAATACCGCGACGCGAGGAGGGAGGCGTGTTTGGAAGCAAGGTGCTCGTGAAGCTGAACGGCGCGTGAGGCGAGAAGACGGTCTTCATGAGTCTCGAGCGCGATGAGGGTTGGAACGCATTGCAAGGGGTGGGTGAGGCCCTGGTTGACGACGAATTTGAGGATATCGAAGGCCGGGCGCTGCACAGATGGGCTACGCACGGCACGCGCTGACTCGAGAATTGGCTCAAGGTAGCGCTGCACGAGTACCGAGCTGACGCCAGAGTCGGCATATGTCTCCGTCGTGCCTACGAGCTCCTTAATGTTGATCCCTTTGGAGGCCTCAGAGTTTCGACCCTTCGATCGACGCCCCGTGGCGGCCGCACTAGCCGCAACGGCAGCCTCAGCAGCTGCTCGCTCAGGTGCTCGCTTCTCGCTATCAACCGTCAGGAAATCGAGGATAATACGCAAAAGCATCTCCGTCTCACTGGGCATCTTGGCACCGAAGATGGCATCCATCACCTGCATGCCGTCGTCCTGGATCATGAGCAGTGGCGAGCCTCTGAAGAGGAAGCCGACGTCTCGCAGAGCGTGTGGTGCGTACACGGGACTGCTGTCTCGGATGCTGAGCAGCATCTGGTATACGACCTCGCTGATCGCCTTCGAATTGTCACCCACAGCCGCGTCAATCTCCTCAGCCAGAGCTGGCTTCTCCTTGCGTAGCGAGTCAAAGTCTGCTTTCTCACACAGCAGAGCCGTCTCGCTCATGATCATGCGCGCTTTCCAATCCAAGGGGGCGTTGGACTGCTGAAGGAGCTTGTTGGCCACGGAGCGCAAAGCACGAAGGAGTGCGCCGAAAGTCTTGATGAGCAGAGCATAGTTCTCCGTGTGTGAGCGTACGATGGTCGTGTAGCAGGCGATGAGCTCTTGAAGGGCGGCCATCTGACGAGGAGGGTTGTTGAGCCAGGGACGAATGGTTGACTCGAGCTGGTTGGCGAAAGCGAGAGCCGTCTTTGGCATGAGTGGAAGGCTGACGCGGAAGATTTTGAGGAGGAGCTCGAATACGAGCCCTTCCTCGGCCGTGTTTGGATTGCTCTTAAGGTGAGGTAGGAGCGCTTTTGCCTTGCTGATGGAGAGAACGGCCGGGTTGGTTGAGACAACGAGGTAGACGGTGCGGATGCGGATGAGAGTCAGGGTAGAGTCGACGCCGGTGGCTCCGTCCGTCCCTTCGGCGTCTTCATCGAGCGCGGCGATGATTGAATCGCTGATGAGACGCAGACGATCGACGATCTGCTTCATCTCGGCGTCCGAGCGATCCTTGCCAATGCGGCGGAAAACCTCCTCCAAGGGCGATGGCCTCTCTCGAATAGCCCCGGTGACGCTAACAATGATGGAGACGACATCGTCGACTGAGGCATCTCGGTCGCTCATCTCTGCATCCTTGGACGCCGAGCGCCGCTTGGCGTTGGTGCCATCCTGGTCGCCGACCTTGTGACGACGAGCGGGGCTCATCGCCTCGTTCTCTTGTTGTGCTGATGTCTCCTCGCCAACACGGAGCCAAATGTCGCTCAAGGTCTGCACGGCAATGTCCTGAATCCCAACATCCTCGTCACTGACACAGCGCACCATTCTGACACATGCATCTACCCGCATTCCCTCGGATTCGAGCGTCCGGTAAATGTTGGCCAGCAGCTTGAGCGTACGCTTCCTCACCGCCAAGCCAGCATCGTAGATACGCTCGCGCAGCCTCTCATAGATGTCCTCGATGTCGTCCGGCTGGCCGAGCAGGTACTTGGACAAGATGCTCACGGCCGCCTCTCGAACGCCGGTGCTCTCGTCTGAAAGGCGCGTCTCAACGGCTTCGCGTACGTACATCTCGCTGAGCAGGCTCGAGTCGACCGCATAGATGGCACTGAGCCCGCGCAGTGCTTTGGTGCGATTGCCAACAACTGGGCTGTCCAGTGAGCTGACGAGCAGCTCGCGCATGAAGTCAAAGGTGACAGCAAAGGACGTCGTGTGGACGAGCTGCTCTGAGATGGCCGCGACCGTATCGTAGCTGTCCGCAGACCTTGCGTCGAAGACATGCGCAGCGTTGCTCTCCTTGAGCTTGGCTGCGTGCTTGGAGACGAGGAGCAGCGCCTGGTGCAATTCGGAGAGGAAGAGCTCAATGATAGGAACTTCCGCTCGAGCATCCTCGTCCTGAGCTTCGCGAGCGATGTCTAATGTTGCAGAGGTGCGGACGAGCGAGGCGGAGAGCTCGCTGCCCCACTGCGAGACGAGGAAGTGACTCGCGCTCAGGCTGGCTTGGTCGTCAATCTCGGCGGCGAGGAGGTGATTGAGCACAGAGAGGTAGGCATCGTTCAGATCTCCGAGACCTCCAGAGTCGCGCTCTCGCTCGAGTAGCGACAGGGAGTGCGGCGTGGCGCGAGCACCGTGAGCCTGGCTCTGGAGTGTTGGGCGGAGCGTGTCGACCTTGAGCTGGCTGCCGCGCAGGTGAGCAGCGATCGTACCTGTGTGCTCGAGCGCCAGTCCACGAGCATCGGGGGAAGTCTTGCTGTCCTCGAGCGCGTTACTGAAACTACGGCAGAAACTCGAAAGAAGCAAGATCGAGGCAGGCCACTCGGGAAGGAAGACCGTCGTAAGCAGGTCGCTCACGAGGTTCTCGATGACCGAAGCGTAGCTGAAGTCGGTTGAGCTCTTGACAACCTTAGCTTGAGAAACTTTGCCCATGAGGAACGTTGCGATCGCCCTGGAAGCCTGCATTGGACCCTCGAGCGCCTTGCGCGAGAATGCCAGATCGTAGTCGCTGCGAGCCGCCGACGAACCAGAAGGAGAGCTTCTTGTCTCCTCCTCTTCCGCCTCGTGGGCAGCCTCTTCTTCGCGCTGCCTTGCTGCCATTGCCACCTCGAGGGCAGCATCGGCCCCTACTGCACTGCCATCTTTTGAAGGCGACACACGGTCGCCGTCGGCCGTGGTCTGCACAAGCTGAAGAAGCAGGGCAGTGATGGAATTGATGGACTTGCCATTCCGCAGGCTGTGGTGACGACGATTCTTCTTCATGTCCGGCAATCTGGTGAGCGAAGTGAGGAGCTCTTCTATGATCCATTGTCGCTGATCCGGATGGCGTGCAAAGACATTGCGCAACAAATTGAGAGCAGGAAGACGCAGCGATTTCATGGCTACACCGCCCGTCATGCCTGGCGCCAGCGTCTCCATCGCCTTACGGCCTCGAGCGTTGGCCTTGGCTGCCTCAGACGTCCCGGTGAGCATATCGGGCTCGATTGCGAAGAAGGGTCCCATGCCTGCGTAGATTGCACCGAGAATGATAGACTCGGAGAGGGAGATCGAGGGCTTCTGGACCAGCTTTTGGGCATGTGCCATGGCTGAGCAGCTCTGACGAAAGATACTGGCCAGGTACTCGCCACAGCCACGAAAGATGCCACTTGGGTCGGATGACTGCTCCGCTGTGGACGACTGTGGGTTCTTCTTGGACGGGCGACCTCGCTTTGCCTTGGTGCTTGGTGCCACGGCCTCGACGAGAGCCTCAAGGAGAGGATTCGAAGAAATCGATCCAATGTTGGCGCAAGCCTCTACGAAGGGGTAGACTGCTTGTTCCAGGGCAGAGCGCAAGAGGTCGAAGCATGGCCGGACGAGGTCTTCTGAAATGAGGTTGCGGTCAATGTGGTCAACAGTGAGGAGCGAAAGAGTGCACTCGACGCCCATCAAGCTCGTCGCCACTCGTGAGAGCTGCTCGCCCATCTGCTCGTGCTCTTGTTGCGTATTAGTGGGCGCGCTCGAGGCGTTGATGGACGCTTTGTGCTTGCCCTTACTCTTTGGTCGCCCGGGTTTGCGCTTGGAGGGCAGATCATTGACCTCATCTTCTCGCTCGGCGTCGCTGTGTACCTCGTCTTCTTCAGCTCCATCCTCTTGCTCCCCTTCATCTTCGTCCATTTGCTCATCTTCTTCGTCCTGACTACGGACACGACGGGCTCGTGAAGGCGTCGTTGCACTGTTACTGCTCTGAGATCGACGTCGGCGAAGGTCGGGCTTCTTCGGGCTTGGAGTATGGGCTTCGATGCCGAGGGAAGAGGGAAAAGGGTTGACGCCTTCGCCGACCTTGAGAGTCTGGCTCAGGATGCGTGTCAATTTTTGTAGCTCGGATGTTTCGATGTCCACGATGCTCGAGGGCTCTGCACGCGGAGCTTGACCCTCTTCTTCGCCTTGAGCAGCGATGCTTTGAGGCGCTGCAGCCGCCTTGCGTGCAATTGAACCGTTCGATGCGCAGATGCGGATGAGGCGACTGAGATGCTGGAGCTTTGAGGGCTTAATGACTGCGATGCCGTCGACGAGCACAAAAAAGTCTTCGGCCGGTGATTGCAGCTCTTCACCCTCTCCGTCCCGGTCAGGCAGGGAAGCCTCCGCCTCAAAGAGATCTTCAATGAAATCGAGCAGACGGCGAATGGGCGGGGCCCTGCTGGCATTTTTGATGATGCTCGTGCTCAATCTTGGCTTCGGAGCTGCGGCCACTCCGGCTGCATTGGGCGTTTGCAGCGCCTCGGGCTGTTGGCTCTTTCTGCGCTCCATGAGGAAGCTGAAACCGTCGTCATCATCGCTGCGATCGTCCCTGACCTCGTCTGCCTCTCGCTCCCACTCCTCAAGCGAGTCCGACTCGTACCCCGCAGGCAAAGCCAGGCGCAAGCTTGAGGTGAAGGTCGTGGCGCAATGCTGAACGCGATCCTTTTGCTGCTTCTTTGGGCTCACTTCCTTCTTCGGCTTCGTCTTTGTCTTCTTGCCTGACTTGCTCGAACCTCGCTCATGCTCCTCGTCGACGACAAGTGCAGTGGGCGATGACGTGGACAGAACAGCCTCTGCCTCCGTAGCGCTTCCGACTGGGCTGTCGTCTGCTATGGCCAAGTTTAGCTTGCGACCGCCGCCGATGGGACTCTTTGCGGATGAAGACGCATAGAAGTTTGTCGCCTTGATCGGCGATGGTCCATCAGTACTCACTCTGCCATGCTTTCGCTGCTCTCCTTTGCTGCGCTTCTTGCGCAGCATCTTAGACGCGCGAAGATCTTGCGAGGCGGACGACGATGATGCTTCCATCTCCTGCTCGTGCTCCGACTCGCTCATAGCCTCTGCTCTGCGTTTAATCTGCGTAGTTCGGAGCGAGTCACCCATGGCGATCTCCAGGCCCGACTGAGAGCGTGACTGCGAGGAAGCGGCTTGCGAGCCAGCTCTGCCCAAAGTTGGGCTCATCTCCCTGCGGTGGCGCTTAGCAGCCTTGGCTGGTGAGATGAGGTTCAGAGGGTCGGGTGACTCTGGCCCGCTACGAGCGCTTGCCGGGCTTTGAAAGGTGGCTGCTTGGCGTGCCTTGGGAGTGATGTTGCCGCCAGAATACGATGGCTTCATGGACGAAGGTGGTGGCTGAATTGGAGTTGTTCCAACGCCGCTCTGCGTGCGCGATCGTGAGGGTCCAGCTACTGTCCCCTCCGGCTGGCTTGCGCTCGTCAAGGAGGTGCGCGGCCGCTTCTGCGGGCTGGGAGTGGCTGGACCGCTGAGAGCGGGCGAAGGAGCCCGAGGTGGGAGCCGCTGGCTGCTGCTGGAGGACGGCGTGCGCACAGCACCGTCGATTGAAGGGCGACCATTGGCATGCAGCCGAAGAGGCTGAGAGCCGCTCTGCGATGGCACACGATGGCGTTGTTGCTGCGAGTCGATACGATGGTGATTGTTCAAGTTTGGGCTTGATGGTACATGAGTACGCAATGGGTCGCTGTGGGTCGAGCTGGCCGGGAGAGGTTGTCTTTTGGAGGGCTGACTCGGCGGCGTGGTCGTGAAGTTCAACGGACCCGTCTGGGACACTGAGCGTTGTTGGGCGTGCTTTTGAGAGTGCGATCGCTGCTGCCCCTGACTGTACGATAGCTTTCGGCTGGCACCCTGCGACGGTATGAGAGACGGCGGTCTGCGAGAGGACGCATTCAATCAGTGGTGTTCTAGGCTGACGATGGTTTTCTCGCATTTCGTGCTCACCTATTGGCATTTTGGCTCAGCGATCTGGCTGGCTGGCTGCCGGAGGCATCAAACCTGGCGACCATCTCGGAGACCTTGGAACCATGACTTTGATTTGCTCGCTGGATGGCTCCAATCTCAGAAGACGACATGGACTTGCGCTTCAGCGCGTCACCGGATGGCATCCTCGGCCCAGCGTATCGCGGCTTGGCGTGGAAGTCGATTTGAGGCCCCGAGGCTGACCTCGCGAAAGGGCTATTCAGGTATGGGGGTATGCCGGGAGACTGATGTAGAGCTATATCTCCTTGTGTCAGAAAAGGAGGCAGCCGTCTGTTGGACTGCTGCGTTGACTGTGATGATTCGGCGTGGCCGTCCATGTCCTTCCTTGTATGCTCGTCTAGCCTCGTCGATGAGGGCGCGAAGAGGATGCGCTAGCCGTGATGCTGCAGAGGTAATCTCGACGAACGATCCGTTGTGGGATCTTTGAGCGTGCAGCTCGCCTCTGTGTCTGACTGCTATCAGTGGCCCTGATCACCAGTCTGAACAGATGTGGAAAGAGATGAGGAGCAAGGCCACAAAGCAACGATCACATCGACTCGGACAGGACGGACAGCGTCGCGCCTCTTCTGGCCCGCCCATTAGAGAGCCGCGTCGCGGGTCAATGCTCCTTCCGCCCTTGATCTGCCACGTGGTTGACGTGTGTGCATCTCGGCCTGCTGCCGTCAGCCGTTGGCCCGAGCATCTCCGTTGCCCAATCACCATATCCAAGAAGGAGTAGTCTAGAGTACATTGCGGCTCCACGACAGCCTCACTCTCATGTGATGGCCTCGTTCCTGGGTTCGACAGCGTATAGAGGGGCTTCACTGCTCCAGGGCTCCTCGCCTTTCCGATCCACCGCCTACACCTGCTCCAGCGCCTCTCAGCATCGATACCCATCAAATTCCCAGCAACGCTTAGCCTCAAGTTCTGCATCGTCTTCATCAGCATCTCCTCTTTCCTTTCCATCACACCTCTCAAACCCATCGCCATACGACATCTTCCATCTGCCACGCTCCTCACAGCCCCATGAGGTTAAGTCGCGCTACTACGACCTAGTCAAAACGCTCCACCCTGACCGACGGCTGGCGAGGCAGCGAAGTGGCAGGCAGTCACGAGATCAACATAGCAGTGTCCATGACCGCAAGGGCAAGCTGAAGGCCTCGACGTTTTCGGCGGCGCTGAGTGAGGAGGAACGCGCCAAGGAAGAGTTTCGCCTGGTAGTGAAAGCGTACCAGCTTCTCTCCGATCGAGACAAGCGGGCGAGGTACGACCGCCTAGGTGTTGGATGGGACGGCTCCTCCTCCTCTGCTTCCTCGTCAAGCAATCCTTGGGGGGCGTCTGACGCAGAATGGATGGAGCTTCGCCGTCGAGCGAATGCAGCAGGCTGGCCAACGGGCAATCCTAGCGGCGGAGCCTTTCACGGCTGGAATAGTCAGCAAGGCCACGATACGTACGGTTGGCAGCGCTATGCCCAAGCCAGTTCAGACTTCTATGCCCGCTCGTCCGGGCCGAGACCATCACCACACGGCTCCTCCTTTTCCTTCGACCCGAACTTCACTCCTCCTCGCGCCCAACCACGGTACGCCTCTAACAAGCGTTTCATCAGCATCGTTGCGCTAGTGACCTGGACGTTGGCGCTTTTTCAGTTCCACAGACTGAGCAATCAATCTGCTGCGGCGGTCACGATGGCGGACAAGCGGCATTTGGACGCGGTGAGGAATTTGGATGAGGCGAGGGTGCAGGCCAAGAGCGCAGAGGGAAGGCAGAGGCTGGAGGCTTTACGGAGACGGGCGAGGGAGGAGAGGGTGGTGAAAGAGATTGGGGATGGGAGCGCCATGCAGAGTACTCCGAGGCCGCCAATGCTACCAGCCCCGTCGTCAGGCGCTGCCGAAGAAAATCCGTGGGGCGTAGGTCATGGCGGGCCTAGTGGCAGGGCGCAGCATGATGACAAAAGAAGGGCGGCTGAGGCGAGAACTGGTGCTGGTGCTAGTGTCTAGATGAGCCACAAGAACAATCGCATATGCGGCATCCATCCCACAGAAGATGGCTTTGTTGGTTTCGTGTGATCGTGCTCTTGGTCATTTTCGGGCCTTCACATGCGCCGGCGTTCAATTGAGCCGGTGGAACCGGAAGTCGCGCTCGCTCGCTTGGGCCACTCGCTTTTGCTTTCCTAACACTTCATCCTCAACGACGACGACGATGTCCTTCTCGCTCAAGGGTAAGAAGGACGACAGCGAGCGGTGGATAAGCCATTCTTGCTGACACTTTGGGGAGCAACTCGATGACTGTCCAGGCAGAACGGCCTTTATGTGAGCTTACGAGAAGCTCTTGTTGCGAAACGCCATTTGCTGACACGACTCCTCTCCCGTTCTCAACTTCGCAGCACGGGCGCGAGTAGAGGTATTGGCCTCGAAATTGCGAAGGCATTAGCCAAAAGGGGCGCCAATGTCGCCGTAGCCGCGAAAAGGTGAGCAAGACTGGGCCGCAATTGAGTCGTAACGGTGCCTTGAGCTCATTCCCTCCTTCGCCCGAAACGCACAGCGCCGAGCCTCATCCCAAGGTCGGTTGAAGCAAGGACCTTTCCTGGCTCCAACATTCGCTGACGTGCTCGCCCTTCACACTCGCCTTGTCCGCAGCTCCCCGGCACGATCCACACAGCGGTCGAGGAGGTCAATCAGATTGGTGAAGAGACGGGTTCAGGCGCCAAGGGGCTGGCGATACAGCTCGATGTCCGAGATGCAAAGGCTGTTGAGGACGCCATCGAGCAGACGGTGGGCAAGTTCGGGCATCTGGATTATGCGGTGAACAATGTGCGTGTGCAAGCCCATGACCGCCGCTTTGGCCAACGTCGTCTGACCCCTTCGCGCCGCACGCAGGCCTCAGCCATTAACATGAAATCTACAGTCGAGGCCTCTCCCAAGGCTCTGGACTTGATGCTGTCCATCAATGCCCGCGGCACATGGCTCGTCTCGCGCTACGCCCTCCCCCACCTCCTCAATTCTAACGGCGCGAACCGCAATCCTCACATCCTCACCCTGGGTCCGCCCCTTACTCACGATACATTCACCACCAACTCCAGTACCGGCTGCTGGCCCGAACAGTTCGCCGCAACGAAATCAGCCTACACCCTCGCCAAGGGTGGTATGGCTCTCGTATCTCTCGGCCTCTCTGCCGAGCTCCAAGGAAAAGTTGGGGTCAACTCGCTCTGGCCTTACACCCTCATTGGCACAAGCGCCATGAAGGTAGTAAGCCCAAACGCGGACGTAGAGGAGAAGAGGTGGCGCTCTCCGGAGATTGTGGGCGAGGCTGCAGCGAGGATGATGGAGGAGGACGGGAGGACATTCAATGGCCAGTGGATCGTTGACGAGCTTTGGTTGAGACGGAAGCATGGGTTTACTGATGAGCAGATCAGGCAGTATTCGTTGGGTGGGCCGGATGTCAAGATGGAGGACCTTGCGCTGGATCTCTGGATCAGCAAAAGTTTGCAGGAGGATGTGGCCAAGGCCAGAAGGGGCGACTAGCACGCGAGACGCGGCGGTGGGTACGGCGTAGGGCAGACAACGTAGGGCTCGTGCTGCTCAGCCGGTCATTCCCTTTCGCTCTTCTTCACGCAGTGCTTGCTCGAGATGTATCATTCAGATTCGTTCGAAACTCTATATTGTAGCTCTGTGTGACAAGATGAGAAAGAGTCGGAGCGCGGACAGGGGGAGGGAATACACATCGCCGTCGTTATAGTCGTAAGAGCTGCTTGCTTCTGCTTTCGTCGAGCCTTGGAGGACACCACTCCTCCGAAGGGTACCACGAGTGCAATCGCGAGCGAGCCGGTTGTTGACGAGGCGAGTGAGAGAGAGGGAGAGGGGATGAAGGGATCGGAAACCGTAGCACGTGTGTGAGGGGAGTAGCGATGGCGATGGTAGAGCGAGCGTGCTGATGCTGAGTAGACGCGAAGGGTTACCAGCCCTTTACGAGACCATCTCTTCCTCAGCTGCTTCTCCTGACCCATCGTGGTTGCTGCTCTCCTGCAATCTATGCCAAGCGGTGCGCGATGGCAACAGCATTGACGTCCGCGTGCGAGATAGAGACGAGGAACTTGGCTCCCTTAGGCGCAGCAGCGGCTGCCTCACCCGCAAGCTGGACACGGGGTCCCTCGGGCGAGGCGAGGATCTCAATGTCCTTCATGGGGGCGGCGCTTCCCTTGCTGGAGACGCCGAGGCTCTTGAAGACGGCCTCCTTAGCGGCGAAGCGGCCAGTGAACGAGGCGCGAGCGTCAGGCTGCGAGCGGCAGTAATCAACTTCGGCCGCAGTGAAGTTGCGAGCGATGAAGGTCTCGTTGTCGGCAGGGAAGGAGGCAACGTCCTCAATGTCGATGCCAATCCCTGCGGCCGAGCCGAGCGAGGCTTGCAGCGTGGCCTCCTGAGCAGCACTGGCGCTCGACTTTGCGGGCTTGGCCTGAATGGCGACCTTCGCGGGCGGGGCGGCGAAGGGTGCAACGAATTTCCAGGTGTTGCCCACGCGCGTGGCACGAGCATTCGTGTTGAGGAGCACGGCATCCTCGTCCTCGACGGAGAAAGGGGGCTCGGGCTTGACACGGACGAGGTCGTTGTTGGTGAAGGCGGAGTGCATCCTCGAGTAAGTAAGGGCCTGGCGACCGCGACGGGCCGTCCTGTACTTGGCAAAGGATTCCTCCGAAAGGCGCGCGAGGAGGTGCGAAGGGTGGAGCGTGAGGATAATGCCTCCGACTTGACCGAAACCGAAGGACGTAAGGAGGGTAGCGTTGAGGTCCTCAGGTGTGCGCTGGATCGAGGCAGAGGGGTATAGGAGGTTCGTGTACTGCTTGAGCTCGGGTGAGATGTCGTCGGCGTTGCGATTGCCTGCGACCGTAGAGGTATGGAGCATCTGCAGGCAGCCATTGAAGGCCCAGGCGGCGGCACCACCCTTGCTGTGGCCGAGGACGGACTTTTGGGCCGAGATGGGGAGCGCATTGTAGGGGGTGCGGCCCATCTGCTCGAGCATCGTGTGGTAGCAGTGCGATTCGTTCTTGTCATTGGCCTTGGTGCTGGTACCGTGAATGGAAGCAGCGCCAATGTCGTCGGCCGTGAGACCCCACTGAGCCAGAGTAGCCTGCAGCTTGGACGCGGACGTCATGACACCGCGACCAGGAGCAGGGATGGAGCGACCGGCCTTGTCGGTGTGTGTGCTGGCGTGGGCAACGACGCCCTGGATGGGGGCGCCGAGCTTGATGGCCATAGCTGCGGACATGAGAACCTGGACACCACCTCCCTGCGACTCCATGAAGCCGGCACGAGTGGTAGTGGTGGGACGAGACATCTCCGAGGGCTCACGACCAGCCTTGATCTCCTCTTGGGCGTTGGAGGTGGCCTGCATGAGCGAGAACTCCATCGAGCCTTCCTCGCTGAAGTCGTCGACACCACCAGCGAGCATGACTTGTGCCTTGCCGGTGCGGATGGCGTCCGAGGCAACGGTGATGGACTGCAGACCCGTAGCGCAAGCACCGACGGTGGGCGTGATGGGGCCAGAGGCCGAGAGCAGGAGCAAATTGATCCAAGCAGCGGGCACATTGATGAAGGACTCCTGCAGGACGTCCTTGGCCGGGTCCTTCTCAGCGCGACGCTCAGCAAAGATGGCCTGGAGGGACTGCATGCCACCCATGCCCGAACCGATGGCATTGCCGACCATGGATGGGTGCATGTGCTCATAGAGTTCGTAGGGGTCGCTGATACCGGACATGATGAGGGCCTCGGAGGCGCAGACAATCATCCAAAGACCGATGCGGTCGATGTTCTTGGCAAGCTCCTCGGGCACACCGTATCGAGTGGCTACCCAGCCCGTTGGCATCTGGCCGGCGCAGGTACGGCTAAAGACGATCGACTTGGGCACGAGGACGCGAGCGCCCTTCTTGATCTGGACGACCCAGCTGCCAGCCTCGTTCTGCCACATGTCGACGCCCTTTTCGCCATGCTCGTTGAGGAACTTGAGAGCCTCCTCCTCAGTCGCCTCAAAGGCGGGCATGTCCTCAGTGAGCTCGATCTCTTGGGTGTAGCCCTTCTTGTGAGGGTCGTAGCCCTTGAAGAGCGAAGGGTTGATGAGGCGAACACCGGTGTGGGCGAGAATCTCTTGCTCGTACTTTTGCTTCATCTCGCGGTCCTCGACGGGCTCACCAGTGGCGGCGTCGACCCAGCCAACGTACTGGTTGCCGGTCTTGAGCGGGCCGTTGTGGTGCTTGATCATGCCCATGATCCAGGCGAGCTCGATAGTGGCCTCGATAGTGAGGGTACCGTACGCCTCGAACTGCCAGCGAGAGCGAGTCGAGCCGAAGGGCGACACCTCGGCGAAACCCGTGACGACGATGGTCTCCTCAAGCTCAGCCTCAGTGAGCTCAGACTGGAGCTTAGCAATCTTCCTGTGCTGCTCGAGCGTCCACTTGTCAAAGGGATGCTCGAAGCGGAAGTGCGAGCGGGGCTCGACCTTGACCGTCTGGTGAAGAGCCTCGGCTGCGGCGCCATTGACGACCTTGAAGTCAGCGGACGAGTCGAGGGCGATGGCACGACGCTTAGCGGCCTCGTCTTGGATGCTCTTGCGGATCTTGCCAGTAGCCTCAGAGAGGTTGGGGATGCTACCGAAGCCGCCCGTGAGATCGGCGTGGATGGGCTCGACGGTAGCTTGAGCGAACATGGCGGGGCTGAGGAGACCAAGGATGGAGAAGGCCATCTCGCTGCACGAGTAGGTACGCATGCCGAGCCTCTCAACCTCTTGAGCGACGATGTTGTTGGCATCCATGAGGGTGGTTCGAGTCCATCCAATGATGGTGCCGACAATGGAGAGATAGTCGGACCAGCCCTCGCTTGCCCAACGGTTGGCGAGCGTTGTGAGACCGACCTTGCTCTCGGAGTAGGTGCCGTCGAAGCCCATCTGACCCGAGTTGGGGGAGAGGGGGACAAGACAGAGCGTAGGGCGGGTGGTGATGCCCCTCTTAGCCTTGATGGCCTTGATTGCTCCAAGGAGGCGGAGGACATTCATCATGAGAGCGCGGTGGGCAAGCTCCGACTTGTCGCCGAGCTCAGAGATGTCCATTCCCTTCTCTGGGATGGCGGCGAAGGGAATGCAGACGTCGAGGTCGAGATGAAGTGTCGAGTAGATGTAGTCGACGAGAGCCTCAACGTCGGACTTGGACGCGGCGTTGAAGGGCACGACGGTGAGTGTGGATCCACGTGCGCCGACCTTTTGGTAGATGCTCTGATAGAAGTCGACCGTCTTGCGAGAGTAGCTCGACGTGGTGACGACACAGCGAGCGCCACCGGCAAGTAGACCCTTGAGAACCTCGACTGCAATGGAGCCACGGCCAGCACCGGTGATGAGCACGTTGCGCCCCTCGAAGGTCATGCCCTCGCTGGCGAAGTCCTCAAGCACCGAGAAGTAGACGCTGGTGAGCTTCTGAGACGTTTGCCAGACACCGCCGACCTGACGCTTGATCGAGAGCAGGGGCTGTCGAGCATCCGAGGCTGGTGCAGCGTCGAAGGAGGTAGGTCGTTGTGCGTTGGAGCTCGTACGGCGGTTGCGGCGGGCACCAGTCAGGCGGCCAGCACTTGGAGGCTGAAGCTGCTGGCGAGGTTGGCCAAGGGCGCGAGCCACTTCGTTGTACAGACCCTTGACAGTGCTCTTGTTGAGCTTGCTGACGGCGGGCTCGTTGCGGACAAGGGAGTACAGGCGCTTGGCGTTCTCAGCGGCAAGGGCCAAGTCGATTTGATGGCCGCTGGGGCGAGTGCCCTGAGCTTGCTCCTTGACGAAGCCCTCCATTGCCTTGCGCACGCCCTCACGCTTGACTTCACGGAAGACGATGTTGCCCTTTGCGTCGATCTCCGTCTTCGGTGCAGTGCAGGCAAAGACCTCCTTGAAGCGGGGAGGCGAATTCATGACTTCCTTGCAGTTTTCGATGAGTTGCTGTCCAAACTCCTTGGCAAGCTCGTGCGTGGGGCCCTTGGAGGCGTCGACGCGATCAATGGTGTACTGCATCAGCTCGAGAAGAGCAGGACCGTCGACGCGGCCAAAGAGTGACAAGCAGCGAGCGGAAATTTCGCGGTCGACGGACTTGAGACGTCCGTAGATGATGTCGTAGTACATGAGCATGGCATCTTGACGAGACCAGTTCCAAGACGACGAGAAGTTGCGAGCCTTGGCAGCGGAGAACTTTGGCAGGATACCATCGAGATAGGCGTCACCGTGCTCCGTCTTGATGACGTCGAGGCGGTCAGTGAGGGCCTGGAGCTCAGCAGCGACGGCATCGGCACGTCGTCCATCGGTGCGACGGTCCTTGCCCAGGAAGCGCTCGAGCGTCTCGATCTGGCGCATGGCATGGATGTTGTGACGGCCCTCGATCTTCTCGAGCTCCTCAGAGCTGATTGTCGCGCCACCACCGCCGCCTCCGCCACCAGAGCCGCCGCCGCCCTGGCTGAGGCTGATGCCGGCCTGCGAAGCGTACGAGGCAACGGCTGCGTCTAGGAAGGCCTTGGCCTCAGCCTCGGACCCAAGACGCTTGGCGGGCTCAGTCGTGATGCAGACAAGTAGCACGCCGTCGGTGCGGCCAGCGCCGAGACCCCAGCCCTTTTGCAGGTGGCTCTTGACGGAGGTGAGGTTGAAGCCTCCGGGCATCTTGGAGTTGATGAGCTTGGTCACCAGGCCAGAGGTGTGCTTGCCAAGAGTGCCAGAGTACCCAGTGTTGAGCGCTGCTCCGAGCTCCTCGAGGGGCAGCTCTTCGCCACGGTCGGGAAGACCGGCGGGGAACTCGAGCTGAAGGTCACCGACGAGCTCGTTGGAGAGAGTGGACTTGCCGCCAGTCATGTCCTTGATGGCCTTGGAAAGCGGAATCTCCGCGATGGGCTTCTTGAGCTTCTGAGCAAGGATGGCTCGCACCGTGTCGGTAGCCTTGAGGGGCTCGTCCGGCACTTCAGCAGCAGCACCACCACCTGAGCTGGGAGCAGGAGCGGCGGGAGCCGGGGCAGCAGCTGCGGGGGCCGGGGCTGCGGCTGCTGGGGCAGGAGTGGAAGCAGGTGCGGGAACAGCCTCTTCGACGATCTCCTCGTCGGCAAAAGCGTAGTAGATGGCTTCCTTGTCCTTGGCTGAGCTGAGGAAGACACGACGCTTGCCACGGGCTTGATCGGCAGCGGCGTACTTGAGCTTGTGCGTGCGCTCTGCCATGCCCTTGAGGGTGGGCGAAGGGCCAAACTCGACGAGGCGGTCGATGTTGTAGGGCTCGGAGAAGAAGACGTCTTGAGTCTCGATCCACCTGACGGGGGAGGCGAATTGGTAGGCCAAAAGCTCAATGACGAGGGTCGTTGTGAGGCGCTGAAGGTTCTCTGGCTTGCCCCATCCTTCCTTCTCCCAGTCGCGGAGGACACGAGAGAGGCGTGCGCTGTTGGACGTGTTGTAGACGAGCTCAACCCACTCTCGGTCGGTGCGGAATGGCTGGGCGACAAGGTTGGGCACGTAGCGGCCAATGAGGGTGCTAGGCTTGATGTTGCGCCAATTGAGCCTGAGAAGGCGGACAAGGGAGATGGAGAGGTCAGCGGCGAAGGGAGCAGGCTGGTATAGGCGGTGGCACGCACTTCTTGGACAGGTAGTTGCGGAAGGGACCGACACCGCCCATGAGGTAGCGTGAGTGGAAGGGCACGTCGATGCCCGGCAGAGGGATGGTGCAGAATCCACGAGCAAGCTCGATGCGGCCGCCCTGGTTGGTCTGGTCTTCGAGAGCAGCGGCGTAATGGCCCTTGACAATTTCGCTGAGATGCTCGCGTAGCTGAGCCTCGTCCATGGTCTGGGCCAGAGCCTTGACGTCGACCTTCTTGACCTTGAGCCAGTTCAGAGTCTGCGTCAGAGTGTGAAGCGAGATGAGCTCGCCGGCGAGGACAAGTTGGGTGGTAGCGACGTTCCAGTTGACCTGCGCGTGTGTAGCAGTGAGAAGGTGGGAATGGTCAGTGAATGCGTGCGTCACATGATGGACGGAGGAGATGCTCAGCTACTCACGATTTGGAGAAGACGACCACTCTCTGCCTCGATGGCATTGACAATCTCCTGAAGGTGGGCATCACTGAGACCTACTCGTGCGGGCGAGCAAGCCATCATACCGTAGTTGGATCGACCGAGCTCGTCGCGCTGAGTGTGGAGGCGACAGATAGGCAGTCAGCATGAGACATCGCTTTGTGTGGCGGCCCGCTCGCTTGCTCACCTTGACAGCCCTACCCATGACTAGACCACGGTAGAAGACGGTGTCGACGAGGTCGCAGACGCTGAGGCCTGTGAGCGAGGAAGGGGAGAAGGGGGTGGAGCGTAAGTAAGGGAGCTCAGCCGTAATGCGTGCGGCTCAGCGTAAGAGTGTGCTACTCACACTTGGCGACAGAGGCGAGGGCCGAGTATTCTCCGAGCGAGTGGCCACCGAAGCTGGTGGGGGTGCAAAGTGTGGGCGGCTCAACGTCAGCGTATCAGTCACGAACGATTTGAGAGGCACCGCACGCTCACCTTGCTGAAGGGTCGACCATGCCCTTGCGTTGAAGATCCTGGAAGGCGGCGAGCTCCATGAGGACCAAGGCGGCTTGAGTGAAGGACGTCTGGTTGAGGACACCATTCTAGTAGAGCAACAAGCATGCGTAGCGAGCGGATGGGCAGAGGCAATGGTGTGTCAGTGCGGATGCTCCTCGCCCACATCGCCACCACCGCCGCCAGGCAGCAGCAGCGAGTGGACGAGCGTAGAGCGATGAGAGAGGTCAGTCATCGTCGTAGAGAATGTGAGTGGGTCAGTAGCAGCGGCGTTGGTAAGGAGGTTAGCTTAGGGAGGGAGGTGTTGGTCAGCATAGCAGGTGGAGAGAGGAACAAGAGATCAGTGTGGGGTTGGAAAGGTGAGGTGGGATTGCGGCTGAGGTGCTGTTGCGACTGATGAGAGGAGAGGGCGAGGCCAGCTGATGGTAATGGGAGCGTGATGAGGGCTAGCTCTACTAGCTAAGGTGGGATGGCGTCGAGCAGGGCGGGTTAGAGATGGAGATGGCGGACGATGGTCAAGAAGCAAAGCGCCACACGCCGGGTTGGTTGGCTGGTTGATTGGTTGGTTGCTGCTTGCATCCCTTCTCGCCGGCCACACAAGCTTCATCCCACGACAAAAGGTGGGACGCGGCTTGACCTCGATGGCGGGCCGAAAGCGTCTAGTCTGTCGATTCCTCTCCGTGTACTCCACTCGCCTGTGTAACCCCAACATCAAAAGGCGTCCAAAATTCGCCTGCGCCTCAGTCCGTCCCTCGGTCGGCGAGACGACGCGGCAGGGCAGACGGCCCGCCTGCCTGCTGAGTTGGGTCGATGGGTCCGTCCTGGGGGTGGGGCGTTCGACAAACTCCCAGCCCGCCGTCCAACACGGCGGAGCAAGCCACGACGGAGACGGCTCGGGCGGACCAACGAATCTTTGGGCGGCGTCGAGGGAGCCCTGGCTCAGCTCAATAATTACCTTGCCTCCGTTACCACCACTACCTACAACCACCACCCGGCTCGCCCGTCTCGTTGTGCTTCTCCCAAACCTTTCGTTGACGACGTCAGCCCTCACCAAGCTGCTTCACCAACAAAGACCACCGGCACGACCACACCACACCTCCTCCACCCTCACCAACACCACCCTCACACACGCCTTGATCACGACAATCACTGCCACTTGAGAGCCTCACCACCTCCCAAGCCGCAAACACCGTATCAAACCACTCGTCACCTCAGCACGCACACTAGCAGCCTCACCACCTGCCTGTTGTCGTCATCCCCATCACCACCACACCGCCGCCTCGACACCTTAACATAGAGTTCTCCGCCCCCGATATGTCAGCCTCACACACCACGTCGTCCGGCTACGTCGACATTGGAACGCCTGGCAGCAACGCCTCTGGCACGTCGTCTGACCTTCTCGTGTCCGAGTCGGTCCGCCCCATTATCATCTCTAGCTCCTCTCAGGCCGGTGCCACGTTTGTGCGCATCCCCGTCCCCTTTGAGCCCACGGGCGCTTGGGTGGCCGCCGAGGTTATCCGTGACGAGTTTGCTCGTCACCTCGCCAAGAACAAGCACGAGGATGCTTCCATCAATGTAGAGCAAGAGCAGCAGGCCGCTGAAGACGCCGCTGAGGGAGCCGAAGTCGACACGGCAAAGGCAGCCGCTGCCTCTCAGGGAGCTCGCATCGTGCTTCTCTCTAAGTTCTTGGGCTTCCTCGCTCACAAGCTTCGCGCCTCCGACTCGATGCCTGCCCACGAGATCGAAGTCCTCTTCAGGGCTTGGTGCCAATTCCAAGTCGACTTTCTAGGTGGCGCCAACGACGTGCATGGCCTCGTCAATTCACCCGCCGTCGACGTTGAGCAGCGTGCCACCGTCCTTCGTAGCTACTTTGAGACCTTCAGCATCCTCTCAAAGGCTGGCCGCCTCGACGACAAGGCTCTCAAGGTCCCTCAGCTCTTCAACCTCATCGAGCAGAACAAGGCTCAGGCCTTTGCCATCTTCGGTGGCCAAGGCAACAATGAGGTGAGCGCGCGAACCTGTCCACAAAGACTAAGCCTCCGAATACTGAGACGCTCCTCCCCCCTTCGCGGCCGCACAGGTTTACTTCAATGAGCTCCAAGTCCTCTTCGACACCTATCGTCCCCTTGTCGAGGATCTCCTGCACAAGAGCAGCGTTTCCCTCTCTGCCCTCGCCGACGAGGCAGTCACCATTGGCGGCTTCTCCAACTTCTATGCCCATGGCCTCGATGTGCTGTCTTGGCTTCAGCACCCCGAAACTCGCCCCCCTGTCGAGTACCTCGCCAGCGTGCCCTTGAGCTTGCCGCTCATCGGTCTCACCCAGCTCACCCAGTACCTCGTCTCTTGCCGTGCCTCTGGGCTCCAGCCCGGTGAGATGCGGGAGCGCCTCTCTGGCGGCTCTACGGGTCACTCTCAAGGCATCATCTCGGCTGTCGTTGTAGCCGCATCCACCTCGGTCGACAGCTTCTACACCAACGTGCTCAAGGCTCTCGGCCTCCTTTTCCACATCGGCAAGCGTGGTCAAGAGGCCTTCCCCATTCGCTCCCTTGAGCCGGCTCTCGTTGCCGATGCCGTCGACGGTGGAGAAGGTGAGCCCACGCCCATGCTCAGCGTCACTGGCTTGACCCAGGAGGCACTCGAGGCCAACATCAAGAAGACCAATGCCCACCTCGCTACCGACGAGCAGGTTGGCATCTCTCTGTTCAACTCTCGACGCAACTTTGTAGTCACGGGACCTCCTCGCTCCCTCTTCGGTCTCGTCTGCCAGATGCGAGTGGCTCGCGCCGAGTCTGGCCAGGATCAGTCTAAGGTCGCCTTCAGCAAGCGCAAGGCCGCCTTCAACATGCGCTTCCTACCCGTCGGCGTCCCTTACCACTCGAGCTACCTCACCGGCGCCACCGCCAAGGTAGTCAGCGATGACTACAAGGGCACCGAGCTCTGGCAAGCCAAGGAGCTCAGCATCCCCGTGCACAACACCTTTGACGGCTCCGACCTCCGTAGCCTCAAGAGCAGCCTCGTAGAGTCGATCAGCGACCAGATCTTCACTCAGCCCATCTTCTGGGGACAGGCCACCAATGTCGCCAAGAACATTACCCACATCGTCGACTTTGGCACGGGCGGCCTCTCTGGCATCGGCGGCCTCACTGCTCGCAACCTCGAAGGGCGTGGCGTCCGCGTCATCGTGCCCAGCGGTACCCACGCCAACAGCGCTGAGCTGTACAGCCTGCGCACCGTGAAGTTCGAGCCTCGCTGGGAGGAGTCATTCATGCCCAAGCTCGTCAAGAACGCTGAGGGCAAGATCATCTTGGACACACCTTACTCGCGCCTCACGTCGCGCAAGCCGCTCTTGATTGCTGGCATGACGCCCTCGACGGTCCAGCCTGGACTGCTCGTCGCTGCCGCCAAGGCTGGTGCCAATGCAGAGATCGCCGGTGGTGGCCACTACTCGCCCAAGTCGATGTTGAAGAGCATCCAGACGATCCAGGCTCAAGTCCCCCCTGGTTCGGGTCTCTCTTGGAACGCCCTCTTCATCAACCCTCGCCACTTCCCCTGGCAGCTCTCTGAGTGGTGCTCGCTGCGCAAGCAGGGCTATCCTCTTGACGCCTGGACCACGGCCGCCGGTATCCCCTCCACCGAGAAGTCGAAAGAGATTGTTGCTCAGCTCGTCGACGCCGGCATCGAGCACATGACGCTCAAGCCTGGATCCATGGAGGGTCTGCGCCAGACATGCGCCATCGCTGCTGCCAACCCCGACTTCCACTTCGTCCTCAACTGGACTGGAGGTCGCGCCGGTGGTCACCACAGCTACGAGGACGTCTACCAGCCCATCATTCAAACGTACTCCCTCATTCGCAAGTACCCCAACATCTCCCTCCTCGCTGGCTCTGGTCTCGGTGATGCCGAGTCTATCTGGCCGTGGATGTCGGGTGAGTGGTCCCTCAAGTTTGGCCTTCCTCCCATGCCCTTCGATGGCGCTCTCCTCGCCTCGCGCGTAATGGTGGCCAAGGAGGCGCACACGAGCCCCGCCATTAAGCAGCTCATTGTCGATGCCCCTGGTGTTGACGACGCCGGCTGGGAAGGCACGTACGAGAAGGAGACTGGCGGCATCCTCACTGTCGTCTCAGAGCTTGGTGAGCCGATCCACAAGATTGCCACTCGCGGTATCAAGCTCTGGCATGAGCTCGACAAGAAGGTCTTCTCGCTGAACAAGGACAAGCGCGCCGCTTGGTTGGCCGATGTCAAGAACGCAAAGTGGATCAAGGAGCGTCTCAACGCCGACTTCCAGAAGCCTTGGTTCCCTGCCAAGGTCAACGGCGAAATGCTAGATGAGCTTGCCGACATGACGTACGAGGAGGTCACCCGCCGCCTCTTCAAGCTCACCTACGTCCACCACCAGAAGCGATTCATCGACGCCAGCTACGTGCGCCTCCTCGGCGACTGGATCCGCCGCGTTGAGGAACGCTTCGCCGGCATTGATGACAAGGCCTCTCAGCAGAAGTCGTCGGTCCTGCAGAGCTTCTCAACCCTCGAGGAGGATCCCAACTCTGTCCTCGACTCCTTCTTCTCTGAGTACCCTAACGCTCGCGACTACTGGCTCTCCGCCGAGGACGTCGGCTTCTTCCTCCAAATCTGCCAGCGTCGTGGACAGAAGCCTGTCCCCTTCATTCCCACGCTCGACGCCAACCTGCAGACGTGGTTCAAGAAGGATTCGTTGTGGTTCGCCGAGGACCTCGACGCCGTCTTCGACCAGGACCCTCAGCGTGTTTGCATTCTCCAAGGTCCCGTTGCTGTCAAGTACTCCAAGAAGGTCGACGAGCCCCTCGCAGACATCCTCAACGAGATTGAGCAAGGCGTCATTCAGCGACTGCTCCAGAAGAACTACGGCGGCGACATCAGCAAAGTGCCCAGCGTCGATTACCTTGGACCCTCGCCTCGTGCCGTCGATGTCAGTCTTCTCTCGCGTCACGGCATCACCGTCTCTACCGAGCAAGCTCGCAGCGGCCTCGTTCGTACCTACAAGTTGGGCAACACGCTTCCCAAGGCTCAGGACTGGCTCGAGCACCTCGCTGGGCCCAACTTCACCTGGCTCCGTGCGCTTCTCTGCAGCGTCAGCGTGGTTCAGGGCACTAACTTTGCAGACAACCCTCTCGCCCGCATCTGCGCTCCGCGTGCTGGCCAGACGGTCTCGGTCGCCTACGATGCTCAGAGCCAGCCTCTCGGCCTCACCATCAAGGGTGCTGCCCGCTCGTTCGGCGCGCACGACCCCACCTTTACGACGGTCGACGTTCGTAAGGCTTCGTCTGGCCCTCGCATCTCAGTCACGCTTTACGAGGAACGCCTCGGTGAGGCTGTACCCCTGCCTTTGCTCTTCGACTACGTCCCATCATCGCCCAAGCAGATCCACGAGGTCATGGACGACCGAGCCGACCGTATCAAGCGCTTCTACTGGACGCTTTGGTTCAACGAGCAGATGCCCGCTGTCGACGTCCTGGCCTCCACTAAGGAGCATACGGGTCCCGCGAAGCAGCTCGACGAGAACGCCGTCCGTCGCTTCGTACAGAGCTACGGTCAGACTTTCCAGCCTGGAGGACAAGCGCCCATGGACATTGCCATCGTCCTTGGATGGGAGGGCATCATGAAGGCTCTCATCGCCGCCACTGGCTCGGCCGACCTGCTCCGCCTGGTCCACCTCTCCAACTCGTTCAAAGTCGTCGAGGGTGCACGACCTCTGCGCGTAGGCGACACCGTCTCTTCGGCCGCCTCGGTCGAATCAATCAAGATCTCAGACACCGGCAAGACGGTCGCCGTCAAGGGTACTGTCGTTCGCGAGGGTCGTCCCGTCATTGAGGTCGTCTCTGCCTTCTTCTTCCGTGGTCGCTTCTCCGACTACGCCACGTGCTTCGAGACCAACACGGAGGAGTACGCTGTCCAGATCAAGACGCAGGCCGAGGCCTCTGTCCTCCTCGCCAAGGAGTGGTTTGAGTGGATCGCCCCCACGCCGCTCGAGGCCGGCACCACTCTCGAGTTCCGCATCGCCAACGATGTGCGCTTCAAGAACTCCAAGTCCTTCTCCTCCGTCAAGGTCAAGGGCGCAGCCTACATCCGCGACTACCGTGACGAGCTGGTCAAGGTGGGCAACGTCGACTACGAGAGTGACACGGTCACCTACGGCAACGCTGTCACTGCCTGGATGCAGCGTGTCTCTGGCAAGGCTTCAGGCCCCATTCCCCTGGAGAACGGCGGCTACACCATCGCTGCTGCCCCCGGGCAACGTGAGACGACCTGGGTTGCTCCTCCCTCCAACGAGCCCTACACCCTTGCCTCGGGCGACTCGAACCCCATCCACGTCTCGCCTGTCTTTGCCGACTTTGCCGGTCTACCCACCACAATCTGCCACGGCATGCGCCAGTCAGCAGTCGTCAACGCCGTGGTCGCCTCAGTTGCCGCTGAGGGCCACCGTGAGCGCTGCCTGAGCTGGGAGGCGGCCTTCCAGGGGATGGTCTCCCCGGGCGACACGCTCACCATCTCTCTGCGCCACACGGCAATGCGTGGAGGACACAAGATCATCAAGGCTGAAGCCAAGAACCAGCATGGCGATAAGGTCCTTGAGGGGACGGCTACGGTTCAACAGCCCCCTACATTCTACTGCTTCACGGGTCAAGGTTCCCAGGAGCCCAACATGGGGATGGACCTGTACAACTCGTCGGAGTATGCCAAGGCCCTCTGGGACGAGGCTGACCTCCATCTGCAGAAGCAACTCGGTCTGTCTATCCTCGAGATTGTGCGCGAGAACCCGAAGAGCAAGACTGTCTACTTTGGGGGTGTCAAGGGCCACCAGATCCGTCAGCGCTACCAGGAGTTCTTCTACGAGAGCGTCGACGAGCAGGGCATGAGTGTCACGCTCCCGCTCTTCCCGGAGATCACGCCTACGAGCCAGAGCTTCACGTTCTTCCATCCCGTGAGTGCAGATAGTGCAGAGCAGAGCAGTCAGAGTAGGGCGAGCGTAGAGACGAGAGAGAGTCATCTTTGTCGTCGTCATAGAGGTAAGCGAGTGAGCCGTGGCAGTAGCAGCAGCGTTCCGCGCAGGTATCTTTGCAGATCATCAAGACCAAGGATTCATCAAGAGCAACAGCAACCTATCCAGGTAAGTCGATTGCACAGGTGCCAGGATACAGCAAGGAGAGCGACAGCAGGAATTCCTTCGCACGAGATACCCATCTCACGACGTCGAGGCAACACCAAACTTGAAGTCGGTGAGTGCATGGCTGCCTCCAGACCATCTCGGCGTCGTGTTATATTCAATACCACCTATCATTGTGTGTGTTCTGCGCATTGTCTATTCGTACATCTTGTCGTCCTCGTCATCGTCGTCGTGTCCATCGCCGCTGTCTCGCCCGTTGGTAGCGTCTGCTCCCTGCATCTATTCGTCTACCCATCCATCTCCGAAGCCTCTTCGTCAAAATCGCGTACCCCGTTCCCATCCCCGGCCCCTCCTATCATCGTCCCGCTGGCGCATCTCTTCTCTCCCTCAGCTGTCTTGTCGCCTTTGTCCTCCATCCCAGCAACCTCTTCACCTCCATCTCAGGCCTGCCAGCCAGGTACGCCACATTCGCAGAGGCAAGGAGGAGGTCAGCTTGCCAATGTGTGAGCTGGTCCTCCTCCCTTGTCTCGTCTACAGCATCGACAGCGCCACGAGCCACTCTTTGAAGTCGCTTCTTGTCCTGCTTGATAGCCATCTGTCGCGCCCTGACCTCGCCACGAGCCACATCCAGCTGTGTCGTCGCTTGATTGAGTCGATCCTTCGGGCTGGCCGTGGACGACGCAGATGTAGAAGGAGCCATGAGCGCGAGGACGACGCAGCATGATGCGAGGAGGAGGCGGACCTCTATTATCGCCAGGGTAGGGGACGACGGCGACGAGGAGGAGGAGGAGACGTCTGCTGCTACAGGTGCAGCCCCGTCTTGTGGCTTGGCGAGGGAGAGAGAGAGAGCCTGGCTGAGGTCGAGCAGAGCATCGGTTGGAACGGACTTGAGCGAGGTGGACAACGTGCTAGGGTCGCGCGTGGGTACGTCTTCCTCTCTGTGAACTTCCCCTTCTTCGACGCCTCCGTTGAGAGGCGGCGTGGTCTGGATGAGGAGCTCGCGCAATGCCTGAATCTGCCCGGGACTAAGAGAAGGCACCGCAGTCCCGTCAAGAAGGGTGGAGAGGTTCCGGGCGATTAGTGGAACAGGCGGAAGGGAGTACCTTGACGAGGCGACATGATGCTGTGACGATGATTCTGCTGCTGATGATGACGCTGGCGAGGGGCCTGACATGCAGCTTGTTGATGGCAGGATGGAAAAGGGATGCAAGACGAAGTCGAGAACGAAGAAAGAAAGTGAGGCGGGAAGCGGTGTGGAGTCGAGAAGGCGGACTGGCGCCCGAGGGGAGCTACTCCAGCTTGTGGTCGAGCATGATGAAGGTCATTGTAATTGTACAACAGGAGACGCCCTGATCCTCAGCATTAGAGGGAAGCACCGCGACGTACTGCTAGCTTTGCTCTCGACCTGTGGCAGTCAAGAGCATAAGTGCCGAGCTTGCGGTTCATCAAATCCTAAACACACCCTTCGGTCCCACCCGCATCACCGGTGGCCTACCTCTCGATCCACCCCCCACTCCGGGTCCCGTAGCTCCTCCTGCTCCCCTTGCTCCTGCCTCTGTACCACTCTCCGTCCTCGGTCTCTGCGTACTTGCCCCTGCGGCAGCCATCCCACCGGTCTCAATCGCCTTCCTCATCTTCTCCCTCCCCTCACTCTTCCACGCCGCTCTTATCCTCGGGACGGCCTCGACTACCTGTTCCTCGTCTACCCCATCCATGATCGAGGAAAGGATCTTCTGCACTATGGTGCTGTGATTCCCGTCATGCTTGTCGTCACGGATGCGGTGAATCTTCCAGCCGGGCGTGGGGACCACCTCGCCATTGTCTGCTGGCAGGGGAGGGCCTGCCTCCAGATCCCACACGCACTCAACGACGCGATCATCCCATTGCACGCCGGAGCGCTTCATCTCTTCCCACGCTTCATCACCGACCCAAAGCCAATCAAAGGGCTCGTACTGCGAGCTGCCGGCACTCCCACCCATGTGCTCCTCGAGCAGGAAAAACGGCTTAGCCCGTAGATTGGGCACCTGCCCGCCAGGTACGTTGTCATCCGGCGGAAATCTCAGACGCAGGACAAAGTCGACGCTGTTCTCTCTTGGTGGCTTCCACTTGATGATCTTCTCGTCCGTGCCGAAGGTGTAGCCCGAGTTCATACACGTGAAGATGAGACCGTCATTGCCGTGCTCCAGATTAGGCATGCGTTGCAGTACCTCGGGCACTCCGTAGGCCAGATCCATATGCTTGATTCTGATCTCAAAGGGCATGGCTGCTGCGGACTTGGGATTCTGCTGAAGATACTGGTGTAGGGGCGGGTAGACCATGCTGTGCAATCGGCCATAGCGTTTCGTCAAGGGGCGTTGAGCCATATTCTGTCCGTCTACAACGAGCGCATCAAAGAGCAGCAACCGCATCTTTCTCCTTCCAGTAGAGCGGTCTGTATCCCACACCAACTCCCCGTCAAGCAGGGTATCCTTCCGTGCGGGCCAGCCGTCCTTGTATGCTATCCCTTCTTGGTGCGCAAGCGCATAGGCGGCCTCCTTTTGCTGCGGTGTGCCCTTGGGGTAGAAGCGCTGGTCTGACGTGGGGAAGAAGACGTGTTGCTGAAAGTAGTAGTTGTTCTTTCTGTCCACAAGGAAGACGTCTTGTCGCCCCGTGGCTCCGTGGAGGACGATGAGGACCAGGACGCGTTGGCCGTCTGACTTTTCGCAGACCCAAAAGTCTTGCGACTCTATGAGGTCGAGGGATGCTTTGGTGAAGGAGACGGGTTGAGCTCCTGGGAACTTGTTGGAGGTTAGGTGGGTGAGGTTGGCTACATGGCCTCGCAGGAAGGAGAGGATATCCCGGTCTTGGACGAGATCGCCAGGGATGTCAGGGACGGACGACGTCGACGTCGACGAGGACGAAGGTAATGGGGGCGGCGGGAGTGTCGAGGGGCCTGCCATGGCATTGTACGAGCCGCCATAGGCCATGGCGAGGGTGGGGAAGGGGGGTCAACAATGAGGCGGGCGCGGAGTGTGGTACGATGCAGTGGTGCGAATGCAGAGAGAAGAGGGATGGAGAGAGATGGCAACCAGTCGAGCCGGCGGGCGGAGAGAGAGCAACGACGACGGTCCGCGTCGTGCCAGACGCGCCAATTCAACGACCGAGTTGCGAGTCCAACTCTGCGACTCGGACGACCAACTTCGCAGCTTCACTCGTCATCATCGATTCAAGCATCGACAGCAGCATCTCGGCTAAGCCTCTTGGCCCTCATTCGCCAGCATGGCCCTCCCTCTTCCCCTGCAACCCGGCCTCTTGCCCACCGAAATAGAATACCTGGCCACTACCACCACTCACGTCCAAATCGTTCCCCTCACCTCAATAGATCGGGCCCGCTTCCTCTCCGGCGTCTATGGTCCCTTTCGTCCACCACAACGAACCACAGTACCTCTCTGGCTGGCACTCAATCTGAGGGCAAAGGGTAAATGCTACCTGGTGCCGCCGGAATGGATGGAGCTGGAGAACGTCAAGGCACTGCTTCAGAGAGAGACGACAAGCATGGCATTCGCTGAGGTACCCTGGCACTACGTTGAGATTGCGAGGGCGATATTAGAGGCGTGAGTGGGCGTCGGACTGTGCATAGAAGCTACATGTATATGGCATGAGTATGGCTGACACTCTGACACGCCCGCTCCCAGTGCTCCGGACGACATACCCAACGCGGACGAGGTTCGCTCGCTTCTTAAGGATCTGCGAGAGGCAAGGCAGAGTAAGATTGCTCTTGGTCTCGAGATGATCAATCCTTATCACCTTGAGGTGCGCTTTCATTCCTGTACCGCCTCTCCGTCTCCGGTCTCAACGCGACGCTGACCATTCCCCACCTCTACCCCGCTCTCAGATGACCAACATAGCCTACGCAGAGCTATGCGAACTTCGTCCTTTCTTCAGCACAGCTTTCCAGCACCTCAAGGCTATGCGGCCACCAGGGGTTGCAGCCGCCGCTGCTCAACAGGCGACCGAGTCGCAGCCGTGGACAGATTCCTTCGATTACAGCGCCCCGGCGAGACGGCGAGGTACAGAAGACGCGAGAAGTCAATCAGGCTTCGATATAGGGTCAAGTGACTACGGTGGTGGGGGCTCATCACGGGCAAGGAGGGGTAATGGTGGAGCAGGAGCAGGTTCATCCTTCCAGGGACAGAGCATGGACGACTCGATGGGGATGTCGTTGGACGAGTCGATGCGTAGCGAGAGCTACGCTGATCCAGGCGGAGGAGGCGGCGTCGATGACGAGGACCTCAGCGTGGCAGCCTGGGCAGCCAGATGACAGCAAAAGCGCCTATATCAATCATCAGCATCAGCAATTGCAGCGTATACTCAGTCGTCCGTGGGCGGCGAGATTGAAGGGAATGCTTGCCGTTCGCTCAATGGAGCGGAGTGGTCATTTCGAGGTTGCTAAAGTACAAGGTAAATTCAGTGTAAGCAGGGTTGCCAGATTGCCTCCCGCTGGATGGGGACACAGCCAGTGCTGACGAGTAGGCGGACTGTATACGCTTTGTGGGAGCGGTCACCTCACGAGGAGGTAGACATTGTTGCCGATAGTGACGTTGCTGAGATGCCTGTAGTTGCCCGTCAGCGCCATGAGAAGACCACCGAATGACCCATAGACGGTCACCGTGTCCGAAGAAGCTCCCTCGTCGTATTTGTAAATCTGCGTGAATGAAGGCAGATGTCGCGAATCAGCAATTATTCCCACAACAGCCTGCATACCTCCCCCACGACGCTCGTCTGCTCACCTTGCCGTACATGACATAGTCCCAGTCCTCAGCTAATCCACCAGCACCATCTCTCCATACTTCCTTGCCATTGGCTGCAGTAGTCTGCGTCGCCCCTTCCTCACCTCCCGAGGGATGGAGAGTAGAGACGAGCTGCAGAGAGAAGGATTGAGAGGGTGAGATGGGATAGATGTCGGTTGCTACGTCGAGGGAGAGGTCCATCTCCAGTGTCGTTGAAGAAGCTACGATGCGTGAGACTGAAATCGAAAAGCAGGACGGTGTTGATCATGTGAGTCTGGCGTGACCTTCGAAGGATGTTTCCCCAAGAGGGGAGGAGCGAGCGCCTTTCATCTCGGCTCCTCTCGCCTCGCGACTACCCACCTCGATCAAACTTCTTTCCATCGGGATCAATAGCCTTGACCTGAAATTGCGCATCAAAGAGGACCGCCTGCGACATCTTGACTGTTTGGCTTGTACCTCTGTAGGATGGCGATGGCGGATGTAGGAACGAGAACCTAGGAATCTTGGTAGCTCGAGAGTCGCGATTCGCGATTCCGTCGATGCCAGTCGAGCCGCGGCGACGTGGACGACGAGCTCGAGCAGGCGTGGACGCGGACTGGCGGAGCTGGCGTACCGGCGGTGGCTTGAGCTCATCGACGACGGACGTCGAGGCGGCTTCGAGGGTCCGCATCCAATCAAGGGTTCAAGAGCCATCTTGGCATCCACACCACCTCTGCCAAAGTCAGCTCAGCATCATGATACCCGGCCCTTCATCATCGTCATCAGCACTACCGCCCCCATCACCACTTGTAGCATCCTCGTCCCCTTCCTCTTCGCAGCAACCATGGTACGCCTCGATTCGCTCTCACCTCTCCCACACATCACCAGCGACCCATTGGACCCCTGCTTCCGAGCGTAGCCTTCTCGAGCCCTACTCCTACCTCTGCTCACGACCAGGCAAATCGATTCGCTCAAAATTAATCGATGCTTTTAACATCTGGTTACGCGTACCCGAGCATCGCCTGCAAAAGGTCCGCAAGGTGGTAGAGATGCTACACAATGCCAGCCTGCTGATGGATGATGTCGAGGATAACAGCGATTTGAGGAGAGGCGCTCCAGTGGCACATAAAGTCTATGGTACGCCACAGGTCCTCAACACTTCCAACTACGTGTACTTCCTCGTCTTCAGGGAGATTGAGGCCATGGGTCACGAGAGAGCGGAGCATGAGGGGCAAGGGTCGTTGAGCTCAGCGTCGCAGAAGGCCACACAGTCGGAGCGTCTCCTCGTAGAAGAGATGATCAACCTTCACCGGGGGCAAGGTCTCGACCTTCTTTGGCGTGATACCTTGCAATGCCCTACGGAGGAGGAGTACGTGGAGATGGTGCGAAACAAGACTGGAGGGCTGCTGCGGATTGCTGGCGGGCTCATGACCATTTGGAGAGGGGAGAGCGAAGACGGCGCTGCGGGTCAAAGATCGACCTCGACGACGTCCACACCCAACCTGGCTCCCCTCCTCGACTTGATCGGCCTCCTCTTCCAGATCAGGGACGACTACATGAACCTCGACTCAGATACATATGCGCACAACAAAGGTTTTGCAGAGGACTTGACCGAGGGCAAGTTCAGCTTCCCAATGATTCACGGAATCAGGTGGAGCGAGAGCAATACCAATGGCGGGAGTGGTAATCAGGGTGTGGATGGATCATCATCCTCGTCTTCTCCGGCATCCACCTCGCCAGCAAGGGCCGCATTTCCCACAGCGGTCGCATCCTCCTCCTCCTCGATGCCTGCCGCCCGCCCAGTCCAACCCCCCATCGTCGCGCCAGCCCCTTCCTTCCACCTACGCAACCGACAACTCCTGTCCATCCTTTCATCGCGTCCAACGGACGAGCACCTCAAGCGATACGCCATCTCCTATTTGCGAGACGTCTCTCGCTCCTTTGCCTACTGCAGGGCAGTGATGCGGCATATTGACGCGGCGATTTGGAAGGAATTGGAGGAGGTTGAGAGAGCGTTTGGCATGCAGAGCGAAGGGAATGAGCAGCTCAGGAAGATATTGCTCGCGTTGCGGGAGGGATGGTGGGTGGAAGGTGAGGAGGACGCAGGCGACGAGGAGGTTAGAGGGCGGGGAAGTAGCAAATCATGATTTATGATGAAGAAGGCAGTATATAGGATGATGCGCATGCTATCTGAATGCCGCGTCAGTGATACCAGGATTGCGCAATGGCAGCTCATTGCCTCATCCTCTATTGACTCCTCTACGCCTTCAACACTCCTCCCTCCCACATGACACGGTAAAGCTCCCCACTCCTTAGCGCCGCGAGGATCTTGCTCACATTCAGACCAATCGTCGCCCTCTGCTTGAAGGCATCCGAGCTCGTCGGCTTGACAGGCTCTTCATCTCCCGCTTGCCTCCCCGTTTGTCCCAACCCGAACTCTGTCAAGTTGTCCAGCCCGTGCATCCCCACTCCCAACGTTTTGCGGACGTATTCGTAGACGGGTCGCGTCTTCCCCAGTAGAGGGCTGGCGTGGCACGCGCCTGCTGGTGCAGAAAGGAAGGCGAGCGTCTCGCTGCGATACAAGGCGAGGGAGGTTTGAACCGACTCGGCGCGCCAGGACATGATGTTGCGAAGGGGGTCGGCCCCGCCGCCTGACGGCAGGAGGCTGAAGTATGTGACGATTTCGAAGCCTGGCAGTGAAAGGGTTGCCAGGGGAGAAGAAAAAGATGAGTAGCCGCTCTAGAAAGAGAATTCGCACGTGCCCGCACTTACCGGCCACCATGTAGCACTCCAAGAACCTTGCCTCCAAATCGCGCGCGCTCGTCTCATCCAACCTCTTTTTCAGCCTCGCGAACACTTTGGCCGCCAGCTTCTTCTGATCCTCGGCGCCAATCCATTCGGAAAAGTATTTGCTAATAGAAGCCGTGATGCCCTCTTCCAGTCGAGCAGCAATGCTGCGCTGCAAGGCGCGGAGATCAAGCGCTTGGCAGAGAATGTACAACGAGTAGGCGAGGAGTTGCTGGAGCGTATCGATGGAACGGACCGTATAGCGGGCTGAGATGAGAGCGAGAGAGTTGACTGCTTGGTTGCCCATTTCAGCGCTCTGGATGTGAGTTGAGACTGGGCCTGCGAGGTATTCTAGCTCGGAGGTGAGGGCAGCCATGGCGATGTCGACACCTGCGAAGAGCGGCATCATCAGTATCTCAGCACAGCCTAAGCGCAGCTGCATCCACTCACCTTTGCAATGGAAATTAAGCGACGGGTCTGTCGAAGCCAGATTGGCCGGCAGACCACGGGACATCGAAGGATTGATCAGCTCGGTGCCTTGCGCAAAGGTGAGCTTGCCAAAATGGGCAAGAGAGAGACGCGTCTTCTCCATGGCATTGGTAACAGACATGGCCTGGAAGTTTCCGCCATGATGGATCACACTCTCAGCTACCGATACGAGCGGGTTGTCCGTAGTGGAGTTGAGCTCAATAGTCAGTGCGCGCCAGCTCGCCTCCAGATCCTCTAGCTGCGGACCCAGGAATTGAGGGGCGGTACGAAGCGGATATCGATCCTGACGGAGCGAGCCCTCGTCCTCCGATGCGAGCAGCGTCGCTCGCTCTTCATCTAGGTGGCTGGCAAGCTTGCTCCCGGAGACGAGGTGGCGGAGCGTTGCAGCGCTCTCTATCTGCCCGGGATGAGGGCGGCACGCCTCGTGGATGAATGGCGCGAAGGAGGCGTCTGTAGCAGTCTCTGCTTCGACGGCCATGGCGGTTGTGATGTGCACCAGGAAGGCCAAATTGACGGCGTCGTACATCACAAGGGAGGCCAGGGCCGCGTTGGGCGCGGTACCATTCAGGATGCCCAGGGCTTCTTTCGGGCCGTAGCTGACCGGCTCAATCTTTGAAGCGGCCAGCGCTTGGCTACTTGGAATCTTGACGCGGTGGCCGTCAGGACTGGGGGAGAAGCGAAGAGTCAGCGCATCGCTCACGAGCCAATTGCAGCGCAGTGGCGTCGCTCACCTCGTGACGATGGCCTCGATGCCGTCCTGGCCCGCAAGACAGCCAGCGATGTACGACAGCGTAGACAGGTCACCACTGGCCGAGATACTGCCACGAACGGGTACAACGGGAGTAATGTTGCACTTGAGGAGGGTGGCCATTTTCTCGAGGACCTGTGTACGCACGCCGGAGTGACCTCGACTGAGCGAGTTGAGTCGGACGACGAGAGCGCCACGAACCCACGACTCAGGCATGCAGAGAGGCTCCTCAGAGAGGAGCAGCGAAGGCGAAGGCCCTGCGCCGGGGACCTCGAGTTGCCCACATTGCTGATGCTGGAGGAGAGCAAGCTGGAGAGCTTGCGTGTTGTTGGTTCGCGAGTCGGCAGAGCCACCGAAGCCGGTGTTGATCCCGTAAAGAGCCTCACCCGCAGCCAGCTTCTCGGTTACGCAAGCGACGGAGGCGTCGAGCTTGTCACGCAGCTTGGTGTTCTCGTCCAAGCCAAGGTGAGGTGCCGCTTGGTATCTGTGGCAGACAGGTGCAAGAGCTCAGCATAGATCAGAGACATTTGGCTATCATACCACTACTCCGAGACCACACTCACCTAGCGATGGCGACGAGTTGGCTGATGGTCAGACTTTCCCCGTCGATGCTAATCTTGACATCCTGACCCTTGGCTTGCAGGCCCGCGAGCTCTTGGAAGGCCTTGGCCGCGGTATCGAGGAGACGGAGGCTCATGTCGGCGGACGTGTATGCTGGAGAATGCTCGGAGGAGATTGGTGAGGACGGAGAGGATAGTAGCCAGGACGCGAACAGCGGTCCATGTTGATATAGACAAGCTTTCCGATGAGGGGGGGACCTGAGCAATCAGCCCTCGCACAGACCAGATACCTGACTTTTGGTCGTCGACTGCCGAGCCTCCGTCGGCGCGAAAGGGTTCATCTCAATCCATGACCTGCGCCTAAGGCCGCCTGACCCTGCGATTGGCGACTGCAAGCCACTCGGCGAAAGGTCCGAAAGCACGGACAGGGGACCTATCGCTCAATGAAGGGGTTGGAGATCAAGACTCATTGCGACATCAGGATATGTCGGCTCACCATGCGGATTAATTGACTCACAGTGTACACGTTTGTGAGAGCTTGGTGGCCGTCATATCCAGCTAGCGCGCCTCGTCGAAGCTGAGCTGAAGCGGTGAAACAGTCACAAGCAGTCGCGTGCTCGCAGCAATGACCAGGGCGAGGACTCAAGCGTGGCGTCACGGCTTCAGGCTATTCGGACTGTGAGTTCTCAACGTGGTCAAGCCCGCTATCGCACGGCGATGTTCACGGTGGCCGTGGTAGACTTCACGAAGTGATTGGCGATTGGAGGCTGCGTAGCGTGGCGCTGTGGGCGCGTGGGGTTCGAGTGTGGGCCTCCACCTCATGCTGCTCTGCTGGACCTGAGATCTCGCCGATGGGCGGGGCGAGGCCACTGCAGGAGGGCTCGCACTGACCAGTGAGCAACTCTCGCAGCAAACGACGCGGCAGGCAAATCCAACATCTTCCTCTTTCGGCCTCTTCCATACCGCAACGCCTCATCCTGACCTACATCACCGTGCGAAGATGTCAGGCGCAGCAGTTGACTATTCAAAGGCTACTGACGGAACGAGACTCGTATCACTCGACCCATACCTCGAGCCATTCGCTCCTGCACTGAGAGATAGACATGCCGTCTATCGCAAGTGGCTAGACACCATCAATGCGACCGAGGGCGGCCTTGTCAAGTTTTCAGAGGGATACCGCAGATTTGTGAGTAACTGCGAGCCTTGAGAGGGCCAATCAAGCTCGCCCACTAATTCAGGCGATCCTCTCTACACCTTCCGCGCTGCCAGGGCTTCCAAGTGGACGACTCCCAAAATGTCACGTATCGCGAATGGGCTCCAGGCGCTCAGTCGGCCAGCCTCATTGGCGATTTCAACAACTGGAATCGCGACTCGCACAAGATGTCCAGAGACGATTTCGGTGTCTGGTCGATCAATATCCCTGCCCAAGGCGGGCAATGCGCCATCCCGCACAAGAGCAAAGTCAAGATCTCAATGATTACACACAGCGGCGAGCGAATCGAGCGTCTTCCAGCCTGGATCAAGTACGCCGTGCAAGACCTGTCCGTCTCCCCTGTTTACGATGCCGTCTTCTGGAATCCTTCGCAGCAAGAGCGCTACGTACCGAAGCATCCGAAACCGCCTAAGCCGGACAATGCCAAGATTTACGAGGCGCATGTCGGAATCGCCAGCCCTGAGCCCAAGGTCGCCTCGTATAAGGAGTTCACGCAGCGTGTCCTGCCCAAGATCCACGAATTGGGCTACAATGTGATCCAGCTGATGGCGATCCAGGAGCATGCCTACTATGCTTCGTTTGGCTATCAGGTCACCAACTTCTTCGCTCCGTCCTCACGCTATGGTACCCCCGAGGAGCTCAAAGAGCTCATCGACGTCGCGCACTCATATGGTATCACCGTGCTGCTAGACATTGTCCACTCCCATGCCTGCAAGAATGTACTGGACGGCCTCAACATGTTTGACGGGACCGACCATCTGTACTTCCACGAGGGCGCGAAGGGGAGGCACGAGCTGTGGGACTCTCGCCTCTTTAATTACGGCCATCACGAGGTGCTTCGCTTCCTGTTGAGCAATTGCCGCTACTGGCTCGACGAGTACGGCTTCGACGGCTTCCGCTTCGATGGCGTGACCAGCATCCTCTACACACATCACGGCATTGGGACGGGCTTCTCGGGTGGATACCATGAGTACTTTGGGCCTTCAGTGGATACCGAAGGCGTGGTCTACCTGATGCTGGCGAACGAGATGATCCATCAGCTCAACAGGGACGCAATCACGATCGCAGAGGACGTTTCGGGCATGCCGGCACTCTGCCGCCCGGTCGAAGAGGGCGGCGTAGGCTTCGACTACCGTTTAAGCATGGCCGTCCCCGACATGTGGATCAAGCTTCTCAAAGAGACGCGCGACGAGGACTGGGATCTAGGCAACATTGCCTTTACTCTGACTAACCGCCGCCACATGGAGAAGAGCATCGCTTACGCCGAGTCGCACGACCAAGCTCTTGTAGGAGACAAGACCCTTGCCTTCTGGCTGATGGACAAGGAGATGTACACCAACATGTCTGACCTGACCGAGCGCACTCAGATCATCGACCGTGGCCTCGCCTTCCACAAGATGATTCGCCTCATTACGCACGCTCTGGGTGGAGAGGGCTACCTGAATTTCATCGGCAACGAATTTGGCCATCCAGAGTGGCTCGACTTCCCTCGCCAGGGAAACAACTCCTCCTTCCAGCACGCGCGCAGGCAGTTCAACCTCGTCGAGGGGCACGAGGGCTCCTTGTTGAGGTACAAGTACCTCTACCACTTTGACAAGGAAATGAACGCCGCGGACGCGCGCTTCAAGTGGCTCGCAGCACCGCAGGCCTACGTATCGCGCAAGGACAATGGGGACAGGCTGATTGCCTTTGATCGCGGCGGGGTAGTCTTCGTCTTCAACTGGAGCAACGACTCGTACGCGGACTACAAGATCGGGGTGCCCGAGGCGGGGACGTATCGTTTGGTGCTGGATTCGGACACCAAGGAGAACGGGGGGCACGCGAGGCTGGACCATGCGAAGACGGAGTGCTTTTCAACGCCGGGAGATTGGGATGGAAGGCCCCATTCCATTCAGGTATACGTGCCGTCGAGGACATGCATCGCACTGGCGAGGGTGTGACTCTGACCCGTCTGTGAATGATCCCTCTTTATGCGATGTAATCCATACGAACTTCGTGACGGACCGCGCGCCCTGCGATTGCGTGAAACAGCACGACTCTTAGCATTATCAAGACGTACAACACTCCAGAATCAGTGGCAGACTCGCGAGCCCCTCTCACCGCCCGCATGTGAGAGGTCCCGGTGGCCTGTGATAGCCTCGCTCAGTACCAAGATGATGTGCTTCGTGAAGATATTGATTCCCGTTATTACAACGCCACAAACAAGCCTTCTCGATGCCTAAAAGAATGCCTGGTGGCCGGTAATGGCTTGTCCAAGAATCAAGGCGTGTATATCGCTCGTACCCTCGTAAGTGTTGACTACGCCGAGATTCGCTACGTGGCGGTTCAGCCCGTACTCGTCTGCTGAGCAGTTTCCTCCCAGAATCTCCTGCAGAATCCTTGCGTGCTCCAACGCTTTACGTGTGCTGTTGCGCTTAAGCATAGAGACTTGCTGTGGGCACCACTCTCCCTTGTTGTCCTTTGCTCGGCCCAGCAGCATGCACCCTGCGAAGCCCAGCGCCGCCTCGGTGTGGGCGTCGACGATCTTCTTCTGGACAAGCTGGAAGGCGGCAAGGGGCTTCTTGAACTGCTTGCGATCCAGAGCGTACTGAGTAGACTCTGTAATGCACGATTCGAGGGCTCCCAGTGCTCCCCAAGCAATGCCATATCGTGCCGAGTTGAGGCACTCGAATGGTGAGCCCAATCCAGGGCGAGCGAGAGGGAGGAGTGACTCATCCCTCTTCACCACCACGTCTTCGAGGAAGATGGAACCGGTCACGGACGCTCGCAGCTGGATCTTGTTCTTGATTGGTGGGCAGGAGAGACCCTTGGTTCCCTTGTCGACGAGGAAGCCACGCACCTTGTCGTCCCACTTGCATCTTGCCCAGATGACGCACACGTCTGCGTACGGAGATGAGGAGATCCACGTCTTGCTCCCGTTGAGCACAAAAGTCCCATCCCCCTTGTCTTCCGCGACAGTCTCCATCCCTGCCGGGTCAGAGCCGTGGTTGGGTTCTGTCAATCCAAAGCAGCCTACGAGCTCTCCCTTGGCCATGCGGGGCAAGTATTTCTCCTTTTGCGCCTCGCTTCCGAACTGATTGATGGCGCCCATGGCGAGGGACGACTGTACGGACATCATTGATCTGAAGCCACTGTCCACACGCTCCAGCTCGCGGGTGATGAGACCGTACGCTACATTGCTTACGCCAGCGCACCCGTAGCCATTGATGGTAGGGCCGAGCAGACCAAGCTCGCCCAGCGAGGTGAGGATCGTGGGGTCCCAGGACTCTTTACGCCACATTTCAAGGACTTTGGGTTGTAGCGTCTCCTGGCAGAAGGAGCGGGCCGTCTCAGAGATGGCCTGCTCCTCGTCGGTGAGGGATTTCTGCCAGCCCAAGGGGTCTTCGACGTCGAACTTGCAGAAGGCTGCGGGCGAGCGACGCAGGCGTATGAGCTCACTGGGTCTAGCTTGCATCCCTCTCTTCCCCTCGCATACACTCACAACTCATGTTGTACTCTTGCTTGCTCAAGTCATTGGGCGTAATCGTCGTGCTCTGGTGAGAATGACGAGCGATGACTTGCGGTCCGAGTCGCGAGCCAGCCCTGCCAGTGGCGGTGGCGCTAGCAGTGGCGGCCCTCAACGTCGCCGAGGCGGACGTGGTATTGCGAAGGAGTGACATGGGTGGCGACGTGGTAAATTTGATGATAAGAAGGAGAGGGAGTGAAGGAAGAAAGGATGACAACGCAGCCGTTGCCGCCCATTTGCCGCCATCCGGTTCAATTGGTTGCCTCTTTGCTGCCCCGCAAATGCCGACTGGCCTCCTTCTCCGGCGCACCTCGAGCCGGTCCCACGTCGCAGGCTGCAGAAGAGTGCATAGAGCTCGGGCTCCGTACGCGGAGCACTGTCGTCATCATCATCGTCGTCGCCGTCGTCGTTCCAACATGGCTCAATTGATTGAATGAATGAATGATATACATATGGTGTCTACTCAGCTTTGGTCTTGTTCTACATTCGTATCCTCTTCATCCCCGCTCCAGGCCCACCGCTAGGCATTGGACCGCTCATCTTTCGCTTCTTACGCTCTTCCTCCTCCAGCATGATCTTCTCTGCCATAGTACGCGGCTCTGGCCTCTTGGTCGTTGATGACGACGATGGCGCTGAGCCGGCTGCCTTGAAAGCATTTGCCAGCGGCGGCTTTGGGTTGGACGACCCGCTACCGGCGGCCTTGAGAGGGTTGGCGCCCATGCGGAAGGGAGTCGGCGCTGATGTTGTGCCAAAGGAGAAGGCTGGCTTGGTGGCTGACGACGACGGTGAAGAAGCCGCCGCTGATGTTGAAGGCGGAGAGGTAGCCGGACCTGCCTCGCCGCTAGCGCCCTCCGCCTTGCTGCCATTGACGGTAGCCTTGCTCCCGCCGCCACCCAGCGAGATTCCCAACTTGACCTTCCCTTCGCCCTCCTCTCTCCTCAATCCAACGTCCTCTCCCCCTGCCTTCCCACTACTACCCTCGCCAGCGGCCTCCTCCCTCTTGGCCTTCTCAATCTGCTCTTTGAGATTCTTCCTCTGCCTCCCTTCATCATCCATCTTCTGCCTCTCCATCTTCTGCAGGGCTGCCTGCCTCTTCAACGCTGCGGGACTGTTGTCCACCCACGAAATGAAGAAGCCCTTCTCATTCTCGTCTACATGCACGATGCCCTCCTTTCCCAAGTGTTTGACAAACTCGGTAAGGGTCACCCATCGAGTGGCATTCATGTGGAGATGGTGGCGCTCTTGAATGTACTCTTGGTAAACTGCGTTTGCTTTGATACGGCGGGTGCCGAAACGTCGTGACAGGAGGGAGATGAAGCCGTCGAGGAACTCTTGGGAGAATTGGTCGATTACTCTGTACGAGGGGCGAGGTGGGCAATGGTCAGTATGCTGAATGCAGGAGAGGCCGCACGGCAGACTGAGAGAGCTCGACACTCACTTATTAGGATTCTGCCCGACGATGGCGAGCTGTCGCATGTGACTGCGGGTCAAGGAAGGAGAGAGGGTCAGCTTCTGCTTTGCCTCCTCATCGCCATTCGTTCGTGATGGTAGCACTCACGACTCGCTCTCGCAATGCATCTTGTACGCATGCTCGTCACGATTAGCCTTTTGGCAGACCTGGCAGTAGAAGCGCAGCTTGGTCAAGCCTCGCGCCTTCATGGCATTGCCAATGGCCTTGGCGGAGCCTGCCTCTGCTTTGGGCACTATGAGGAGCGAGCAACAGGGAGTTCAGCAGAGCTCTCATCAACCTTCTAACAGCGCTGAGTGCTGCAAACTCACTGTTGGCTTGAGATTCAGAGTCGTGGTTGAGGATAGATGGAGGAATGGAGAAACGGAAGTGGCGAGGGCCGGAGGCTGGACTGAGCTCTCGTCGTGTCTCGTCTCCGTTCCGCCGCTGGACAGTGGCTCGAGCGTTCGTTGGTTCCCCCTTGAGGCCAGCCTCGCGATGCGCTCTTGCACTCCTTCCACCTCCCTTTCGATACCACCGATCTTCGTCCTCGACATCATGGCCGCCCTCTTCCCACCGCAAAATCAACAAGGGTACGGCGGCGGCGGCGGGTACGCCAATGATCCGTACTCAAACAACCTTCAATTCTATTCCGGCGGCGGAGGCGCCTCGTCATCGTCCTCTTCGTCGTATGGCGGTCGCCCCTCCCTCGAAGGCACAATGAGCGGCCCAGGCAATCGATTCAACGGAGGCTCCAGCGGCTCATCCTCAACACCTGGCGCAAATCCAGGCTATATGCCCGGTCAATTCTCCTTCTGGTCAGCTTTCACCGCTCAATCCTACCCCGACGAGCCTAGCCTCATGGAAGAGCTCGAAGTCAATCTTCCGCATATCTGGTCCAAGAGCATGACCGTCCTCAACCCTTTGCATCGCTATAGCCCAAATCACCAGAGAGACGCTCACATGATGGATGACACGGACCTGGCTGGGCCACTCTTGTTCTGCTTCGTCTTTGGCATCTTGCTCTTCTTGGCCGGCAAGAGCCACTTTGGTTACATCTACGGCGTGGCACTGCTGGGCAGTCTGAGCATCTATTTCTTGCTCAACGCCATGAGCGACGATGGTATCGATGCATATCGGGTTATGAGCGTGCTGGGGTACTGTCTACTGCCCCTTTGTGGATTGGCGAGTCTTGGGGTGCTGGCTAAGGCCGTGGGAGGGTGAGTAGGCGAAAAGACTAGACGTGCGGGGTGGTACCATTGTGAAGAGGAGGCAGCGCTGACCATCTCTCTCTACGCCTTTTCGCTCGCAGCTCGTCATTTCTCCCGCTGGTCACGCCCTTCTTTATATTCTGGTCATCTTACTCGTCAAGCGGCATCTTCGCGTCTGTTCTACAACTGAACGAGCAGCGCCTCCTTGTCGGGTACCCGCTCATGCTGCTGTATACAGCCTTCGCAGTCATTGGCGTCTTTGGAGAGGATGCGGTCAAGGCAGTGGGAGCAGCAAAGTAGCCGTCAGAGAGAAGAGCTGCCGAGTCCCTCGTCGCTGCCTCGTCGCTCTAGAGAATAGGGGATAGTCAACGCAGCCGCTTCGTCAACCAATGCATGACATGATGATGAAATTCGTCGCCATCACCTAGTGTGTGTTTCCGCTTCGCTTCCGTCCGTCTACTGCGTCTGAGGCCCGTATCCCCTCAATCCCTCCGCGAAGCCCCAGCTGGTCGGAACGCTCTTGGGTTCATCAATCTTTACCCCCTTCGCATCAATCGTCGCAATCTGAAACCTGTTCAAACTCCTCGCGTCGCGGTAGAAGAGCACCTTCATGCATCCCTCCAGGATCTCCCTCGCCTCGGCCTCACTGAGCTCATGCTCTCTCCCTTCGACGGCTTTACGAAGGAGAGGTTGGGCGAGGTGCAACCCAAAGCCTGTGGCGATCGTGGAAGATTGGTAGGTGACGCCGAGGAGGTCCACGTAGCCCAAGAATGGAGTGGGAGTGGGGTTTGAGGGCGAGGCAGGAGTGACTCCTCCGAGGACAAAGGAGTTCCAGAGAGGGTCGATCTTGCTGCGTCTACCGTACATGGTGCGAGAGAGCCACGAATAGAGTTGTGGTGGTGAGAGCGAATGAGAGTCGGCCTCGTTTGTTTCGCGGAGCCTGCCAGCGTGAAAGGTAGGTGACAATAATGAGGTCGTCTTGTCAGCATCGTCTCTATTGCACTGCCTTGAACGAGGAAGAAGGAACGCCGCACTCACAAAACCTTGTCCGCCTCATGAAGCAAGAACTGCATATCACTCATATCCCCACTGGCGCCCAAGACGGCGTTCTCGCCCAATTGATGAAGCCTTCGCACATCCATGAATCGAGCGAGCGATCCGTAGGAGGCAAGCGTGTCCGATGCGAGCATTACGCCATCCTTGTACTTGAGGCCGAGGACCGATGTACCCGTTACGATGGGCTGTTGAGTGTGGGAGACGGGGTCGTGCGAGGATGAGGCCTGAGGGGCATATGACGACGATGCCGAGGCGAACGGTGTGGAAGACCACGTTTGGCCGGCGTGAAGTTGGTTGAGCATCGTTGGCCAAGAGATGCAATGATGGTGGTGAGGAGGAGAAGCTGGGAATGAGCCAAGCCGGACTGGAGCGACGAGATGGAGGCAGCCAGTCGAGCGCACAGACGTCCCCTCGAGAGCCACGCGTCCACCCGGCACCGACGCAGAGGCGAGGGAGCGGGCGCACGCTCAGCCACGCCTGCGCCTACGCCTACGCCTACCACAGCTCTTCATCACTTCACCGCCATGGCAGCATCGAAAGGCATACAAAGCGAATGATAGATTGGGATTGACATCTCTACAAGCGTATTGACAAAGGCGCTGCAGCCTCTTGAGTGCTCATCTCCTCTCGCGCACGAAGAAGGCCAGCCAAGTCAGCTGCAAGCAGAGGGTGAGGAGGGGGGCGAGGTTAGCTACAGCCATCCTTCCCTTTCCTCTTCGTACGATCTCGCATCGACTCACCGAAAGAGCATTGAACAGCAGGAAAGTCCCCGCCAGTAGAACGTTATCAAGCGCGAAGTTTTGCACCCTGAAACCAAAGCTGCTTAGCAACACACTGGCTGGCACCTCAATGTCGATTCCGTACTTGTGCTCCCTGAGCTGCAGACCATTCAACTGCGACACCAGCAGGCTCTCCAATGCCGAATGGAAGGGAGAGGCGTATAGCAGAGGGGTGAGCCACCAGCTGATCTTCTGCCTGTTGATGAGCAAGCCAGCAAAGAGAAGGGAGAGGAGCATGATGAGCGTGCCGAGCAGATTGGCCACTCCCGTGTCCTTGATGGAGACGGAGAGGAAGAAGACGATTGATGAGGTGGCCAGGGAGAAGAGGACCAGGGTCAGGATGAAGATCTGTGAGTGGGAGAGGCGCAGTAGCGTCAGCTCTCTGTCAAGGCAGTATTCGTCCCTCTCCCCGTGCTCATGCTTACCCAGAACTTGGCTACCTGCGGCACGAGCCCGACGGTAAAGTAGATGGTCGGCCCAAAGAGCAGGGGTGGGACCACCCTCAGTGGCAGATTGTCGAAGAGTAGCTTAGCCGCAAAGTAGGTCACCGGGCTGTAATACCCATTCGCTCTCTCCCTCACATAGAGCTGCCTCTCAGCCGCAAAGATGCCCAGACTCGTAAGCGTCGAGAATCCGAACAAGGCCAACGTGAAGAAGCACAGCCCCAATCGGTTCTGGAAGCCGGCTACGTCGTTAGTGACACCGTAGTAGAGGATCCCGACAAACAAGCCCAACAGGAGGGAGAGGGCGTAGTGCGCCAGCATGAGTTGCGGGTTGCGGTAGAGGTTCTTGAAGGAGCGACCGGAAAGAATACGGAGTTGTGTGAAGAGGGAGGCGGCCAGGTGCGAGCGCAGGACCTTGTCTGCTTCTTCTATATCGCTGCCGTTGGCGGGGATGAAGGAGCCTGTGGCTGTGGCGCCGGACTCTTCCTTGGCGATATCGCTGTTGGAGAAGGCTTCGATCAGAGCAGCGAGGCGAGGAGGTGTTTGCTGCTTAGATGCATGTCCGTTGCCGGAGGATGAGGCGAAAGCTCCGCGAATGCCAGCAGCCAGTCTCGAGCCCATTGTGCTGTTCGGCGTCGAATCACCGGGCGCAGCAGTCGAATTCGGCCTCGTCGTCAACTCGTGCAGCGAAGAGCGGTTTCTGAGCGTCGGTCCAGCCTCCTCATCCTGGTAGCCCTGCGTTGGGACCGGCATGGCCGCACTGCCCGGCGTAGGTGCAGTGCTCTGCTGCGCACTGCTGCTGGCACTGGACGTGAGGTCGATGAGGAACTCGAGGATGTTATGTCCCTCAGGGCAAGGGTGGCCAATGCCCGCAAAGTAGGCCGCGCATCGTGCCATGGGTCCTGAGTAGACCAGCTTGCCCGCCGAGAGGAGAACCAGCTTGTCGAGCAGGGACACAATCTTGCTTGACGGCTGGTGCAGCGACAGCACCACCGTACGATGATACTGCTGCGCTAGGTTGGTCAGGCACTCAACCACGTTGAGCGCATTCGCTGAGTCCAATCCCGAAGTCGGCTCGTCCAGGAACAGCACGCTAGGTGAAGTGACCAGCTCGCACGCAATCGACACCCTCCTCTTCTCGCCACCACTGATGCTCCTCGCTCCAGAATCGCCGATGCGTGAGTCCTTGATGTGGAGGATGCCCAACTCATTGAGCGTCTCAAGCGTACGATACTTCTTTGCTTCGATGGACATGACCCGGGGCAGGCGAAGCATGGCGCTGTAGAGGACCGTCTCATACACCGTGAGAGTGGGCATGAGGCAGTCCTCCTGGTCAACGAAGCCGGCAATGCGCTTAAAGGCGCCGTCTGAGACAGGACGGCCGTTGACCAGCGTTGTGCCGCCAATGATGCCGCGCTTCTCGCGCCGAGCGAGGAGGTCGAGGACTGCCGATGCGAGGGAAGGGAGAGAGACACGGTGAGTACGAGACGCTCGGTCCCCTCCAGTCTGCTCCCGTACTCACAGGTCGTCTTGCCTGCGCCAGAGGCTCCTACAAGAGCCATTACCTCACCAGGCCTCACGCTCCCGCTGATGCCCTCCAGCACCTTCTTCTCCCCGATTCTGTAGCTCAGGTCCTTGAAGCTGAGCGAAGCAGGCACATGTTCCGCCATCAATCTCGCTGCCTCATCCTCTGGTAACCGCACGCTGCCATACTCTTCGTGTTTGTCGTGCTGGCCCAGGAGCCACAGGGCTGTGGCGATTACGAAGACGAGAACGAGAGCACCCACGGCGGAGAAGGCCACCCAGAAGATGGCTCGCGGTGGTGGTAGAGGGGCATGATAGCCGGGGACTTGAGAGTAGTGAACACATTCACCTGCTTGGCAGGAGAGGAAGATGGCTGGGTCTCCAAAGACGTCGCTGATGAGGCCGTTCATTGCCTGCGCGCGTCAGGATTGAGAGAGATTGGTGAGCAAGCCGCGTCAGAAAAATCGCTCCAAGAGTCATCATCACCACTCACTGGTTCCTCAAAGTTGCACTTTCTGTCTCCGTTCTTGCCGCTCTTGCACGACATCGTCGCCGGCCCTTTGATATCCTCGCCCAGGAACTCGCCGATGTCGATGCTGCCCGACTCGCCGCAAAGCATTCGACCGGGGATGCATGAGCAGCTTGCCGTCTCGCACTTGTATCGGGTGTTGTTGCTCTCTGCTGTAAGCTCGACTTCCTCGCTACATTTAGTCAAGTCGCAATAGAAGGACTCTTTCTGGCCAATCCAGAACTGCGAGACAAAGGACGGGAGGTGAGCTATACAAAGCTACGCTCGGTCCGCCTACTCCTGACTTACGTACCTGGAAGTTGCAAGTCTGCGGCTCTTTCTCGCAGCTGAAGGTGACCTTGGGTGGTCTTCCCGGTAGTAAAGCTACGATCTGCTCATTCGTAACTTTGCACTCTTGGAAGCTCTGCCTCACAGTGGCGCCTCCGGCATAGCAAGTTCCGTTCTCACCCAGTCTCTCGCCACCCATCAGCACCTCGCCACAAGCGCTGTCCTCCTGACAGACATTACAATTCATCCCTCCCCATCCATCGTCACACTCGCAGACCCCATCTCCGTCCTCGCCCTCGCGGGGATAGCGCTGTTTGCCCTGCACGGGACTGCCGCAGAGAGGTGAGAGGCAGTCCTGCCCTCCGAAGCCAGTCGTGCAGTCGCATTGTCCATCGGACGGACGGCAGTGGCCCGCATTTGCGCAGTTGAAGGCAGGAAGTTGGCAATTGAAGCAAGGTGGGCACTCAGGTGGTCGAGGAGCTGCGAAGAGGGAGGATTGTGATGCCCACTCGAGGTTGGTGGTGCGAAGTGATGAGGATGAGGAGTTGCGGGAGGAGGCCGACGCAGCTGCGTCGCTGAAGATGGCCAGCCAGGCTGCGGTCATGATGAGCATCATCGACCATTTTGATGCCTTGGACGGCATCAAGTAGAATGCCATCGCAGCTGGTCTGTGGAGGGGAAGGTGGAATGGTTAGGTAGGAAAGGAGATTAAGTTGTAGCTCGACGTTGGGTGGCTTACCTCGGCTCAGCCTCAGTCCACGCTGCGAGGCAATCGTCCGTCTTGGCTGATCTGTGCGAGCCAGTTGGCTCAAGTCGCTCCGTTGGCCGCTGCGCCTGCGCCGCCGGCAATTTGAAAAGGGGACGAGAGCAACGCCCAAATCGCTGAATTGCTCTGCCCCTTGACTGCCTCGGCATCCTCTCCATCACTGCCATTGCGAGGAAACCTCCTACTTCTACGTCGCGCTAGCCATGACCCGCGCTTCTGCGGCAGGAGCGGCCTCGAACCACAATCATGGGCGGGCACCCTCCGGCTCACTCGGCCACGGCCACCTCGAGGCGCAGCAGCCTTCTCGTCTGTTTGAAGAGGTGCGGGTTGCCATCCTCGAGGCCAGAGAAGAGCAGACACAACGACAGGCGGAAGTCAATGGGGACGATGACGGAGAAGGAGGAGATGGTGAAGCCAGCCGGCTAATGGCCACCATTGAGACGACGCCCGTCTATCCTCTCCTCCAACTCATCCGCGGCGACGTTCGCCTAACTATCGACACAGGTCTGACGTGGGAGGAGCTCACAGGCCACGAGCTCAACTTCGCCGTTGTACGACCACTTGCCCGCAAGTACTCGAAGCTACACAGCCCTGCCATTCTGTACGCCTTTCTTGTCACCCGCATCTACTTCCTCAGGGAGGCAGACAGGGATTTGGCATACCAGAGCGTCAATCAGGCGCGCGCTAGCCTGTGCGAGATCTTAGCTATCAAGCTCCTCCGTACTTTCGCGAGCGATGGGCTCGACCTGGTCACCGCGCTCAGCGCTCCCTTCTGGCCGTTTGCTGGAGCAGACGAAGATGTCATGTCCAACGTCCATCGCCGCGGCTACGCAGAGAAGGACCCGCTCAATGAATCGACATCGACCCTCCAGCTGGCCATCTACTCTACCGCCAAGAAATTCATCGCTACTCCACTGGTGCAAAAGTGCGTTGACGGAATCTACAGCGGCAAAGTCGTTTTGGGCAACAGCAGCGCAGCAGGCCATGCAATCATCGACGACTCGTACAAGAAGAGGCCCGTCTGCTTCTACGACCCGGCTACTGCCCCCTTCCTCGACCATCGTCGTCTTCGTGTGCCCCGGGTACGCAGCTGGCTCGAAGCTGCAAACTTCGTCGCCATCCTTGCGGCGTACATCGTCTGTCTAGGCAGCGAAGGCACTCATGAGTGGACGGCGGCAGAAACCATCTTTATCATCTGGCTGATAGGATTGGCAATCGATGAGCTCGCCCAAGTCAAAGAGCACGGCTGGAGCGTATATGTCGGGTCTCTTTTCAATGTCCTTGACTCGGTATTCTGCGTCATTGGCTTCACCTGGTTCGGCATCCGCCTTGCCGGCCTCATCACAGGCAAGGCAGAGCACACCGAATTTGCATTCAACGTCCTCTCCCTCGGAGCCATCCTACTTTGCCCCCGTATGGCATCGCTACTGGTAAGCGACAATGTGCTCTTGCTCGCGCTTCGAGCCATGGTGGTGGAGTTCAGCTACTTTCTCGGCCTGGCCCTAGTGTTCTTCAGCGGCTTCCTCTGGACATTTTGGTCTCTCTCCGACTCGTCTAAGTGGACGCCAGCCACGATCGGCTGGCTGATGCTACGCTTCACCTTCGGAAACACGATCTCGCTCGAGCAGGCGCAGGAGTTTTCCCCGACGTTCGGACCGTGGCTTGTGGTAGCCTTTACTATCCTTGCACAGACGTTGCTCCTCACCATCTTGATCAGTCTGCTCTCTGCCACCTTCTCCCGCGTTGCTGCACATGCGCAAGAAGAGTCGCTTTTCCAACATAGCTACTCGACACTGCAAGGTGTCTCATCCGAGGCCCTCTTCTCCTACTTTCCGCCACTCAACATCCTCTGCCTCCTCATAGTCCTCCCGGCCACCTTCTTCTGCAGCCCACGCTGGGTGCACAAAGTCAATGTCTTCATCATCCGCCTCACCCACCTGCCCATACTCTTGACAATCAGGCTGGTGGAGCGACACGACTACTGGACTAGGGGCGTGGAGCTTGCTGCTGCGGAGACGAAGAAGGGTCTGAGGGGCCACTTGATTGAAAGATTGACGACTAAGAGACGGACGCAGTTCGACATCATCGAGGTGGCGTTCAGTGAGATTGTAGCCGAGGGGGAAGAGAGAGGCGACAGGGGAAGAGACGGCTCAACGGCAGCCAAGGACAGTAACCTGAGTAGCTACGACTCCCAGTATCAGCGGCGGCAAACCCAGGCGCAAGACCAGCAGCAGCAGACAAGCCAAGACTCGGGTCCAAAGGATACCCCCAGGGACCATCGCCAGCTGGAGCGGGTTGTGACGACCGACTCGGTGAAGAGCAATCGTAGCTATCCGGACAGTCCTGGAGCCACCATACGGCGTGCAAGAGATGCATTCGCCGCCGTCTCAGGGAAGGGCGGCAATGGCGGGAGGGTAGTCATTGTCAATGCCGGCAATGGAGGCAGTGGCGGCGGCGGCGGCGGCCAGCCATCCGGCGTCGACCTGATACGCCAAGACACCTTTGCCAGCCTCTTCTCACCATCGCGGCCGCAGCGCAAGGGCGGAATCAGGAGGGCCAGGACACAATCACCATCGATGCGTCCGCCGCAGGAGGAGGGCGAAGAAGATGGCGAGGGGGATGAAGACAAGCCTGCAAAGAGACGGGGCCTCTGGAGCAAGAGAAAGGCCGCTAAGCAGGCAGAGGCAGGTGCAGAGGCGGACACGAGTGCCTCATCGCAACGACGCAAGGAGCAGCTCAATCTCGACGACAGTGTGGAGCGAAAGGACTATGCCGAGAATGAAGAGCGGGAAGACGACGGTGATGAAGAAGCCTCAGACGACGATGACGGGAACGAGGCAGGCTCAGTCGGTAGCGAAGACGAGGACTCTGGGCCGAGCAACGCAGCCTGGGGCGACGTGATGTTGCGCTTCCTCGAGCGATTGGACGAGCAAGCCCAGACGACGGATCGGATCGAGGAGATGCTGAACAGGATTGTTGCATCGAAGGAGGGTGGAGAGCTTAGTGATGAGAAGCCCGGCGATCAAGCGGGAGAAGGTGGGAAGTGAAAGTGACCGGGACCGGGACCGTGACGGGGTGACCGGAGAGCAGGCGATTAGACGCCGTAGTGTACCCTTCGCCAAGTCCATGTCTTCAGACTCTGTAATTATGACCATCGTCATTCACCACACAAGTGCCGAAAGACGAGCGCGACAGAGACTGCTCTGAACGGAGAGGCGACTGGAGAGTCAAGGTCATGCCACTCCGATCGACTTGGTAGCGGCATGCTAGCCGCAGATGCCTGCAACCGCTACGACATGATGGGACTGCTCGTTCAGTGCCTTCCGGTGACCTTTGACGTCGCTCCCGATACTGCCTCAATGGAATCATCACGCGATTTGAGAGAAGGTGACTGGTCGGAAGTAAAGGACGCTCAGTGAGCGAAGGTAATGCCTGATGGACAAGAGAAGAGAGGAGCTCATCGTGGCCCTCTGCGCAATCGATGAGGTGTCACGCGGCCCGCTGCCCCGTTGATGTCGCATCCGCCGGTATCCTCTCTCTCTCGTATTCCTCTTCTCTCCGATGAATTGATACATTGTCTATGCCTACTACTACATAATGATCTAACGGAACCGATCGTCAGCCTTTCTCTTGCGAGGGCGGGCGACCGCGGCGCAAGGAGGAACATTGGTGTTCAAGCATCGCGTGATGCGACGGCCCTGGCACCGCTCCTCCCGAATGAGCTCGAACTTGGGGTAGTGCAGATGCATCGTGTCGATGACCGCAGCGACAACGTTCTCGTCAATTGCCAGCCACATCATCTCCATGTCCCCATCGAGCGACGATATGTCCTTGCCGGTCAGGTTCTTGGCAAGCTTCGTCATCCACTCTCGCGTCGAGCCACCCAAGACGCCGTCTCGACCGAACACTGTCATCGCAAAGGTGACGGCTGGGGACCGCGGTGAAGGAGTAGGAGAGAGCGTGAGAGAGTCAGCTGCAGCTCAAAGTCATCAGTGGCACTCTGAGCGACACTCACTCTCCTCGACAGTGTCCCCTTCCTCGCCACAGTACAGTCGATGCTGTACTTGTCGCTCGCCGAAGGGTAGCTGCAGCCCCTGATCGCTGATCGGCAGTCCTGAAATCAGCTGCGTGCAATTCCGACCTTTAACGCAGACCAACGGTCTGCCCAGCATATGCCCCTAGGTCTTGAGGCGAGTTTGTGTATTCGATGAAGGAGGCGTACACCCCCGGCCACTCGAACTGCCTGGTTAGGAGCTCGGGGTGCTCGCCAGCGAAGTCAAAGATCTCCTCTGCAGTTCCCAGGAAGAAGATCGCGATGGAGGGGCATTGCGCAACAAAGATAGTCGCGAGCTCATAGCGGGTGAAGCGCGAGAGCAGGGCGATCATCTCCTTGTGAAGCGGCTGGTTTGCGACTTCTCACTTGGCGGTCATTTCAGGGACGACGATTTCGACGTGGAGCTGTACCTCTGCAACCAGCAGCTGCCCCTCTGGCGAGCCAAGACGACGCTATACTGCCTGCATGTATTCTTGGGTGACGGGACCGCCCATCAGAGTCGGTCACCATTCGCGTCGTGCGGCTTGTAGGATCGCCGGCTGCCGCAGTTGGTGAAGCCGCGGCGCCATCAGCTCTACTGCCCTCCGGACGGCCTCGTGTTGCTCGTGAGCGCTTTGCCTATGCGACGAGAACGGCGTTTCTTCGTTTCTGTTGAACGACCCTGCCTGAGAATGATTGTGAGGGGGTCGATTGGCTGCGATAGGACGCAAAACGCTGTTGTGCGCAGTGCTGCCCATGAAGCTGCTCTCGGGAGCAGCAGCAGCCTGTTGGGAGTGAAATGAAGTCGATGGCCATCCGCCGATGACTTGCGTAGACCATGGGTTGGGCGGGTGGGTCGGTGCTGGGATAGGGAAAGGTAGAATCGGGACCGGGTACATATTGCCTGACAGCAAGAGAGCGAGAAGTCCGTTCTGCTGTAGCTGTTCTTGATCAAGGTGACGGAAGACTGGTATGATGAAGAGCAGGTGATCTCCAGCAGCCGGGGAGCCGGCCAGGGGCAAGAAGGCGACCGACCAGCCTTCATTGCTGATGGCGTGAATCAGATCTTAAGCCCTGTGATTGATTGGAGCTGGGCCCATGACCAGCCTTCCTCAGTCGGGAGGAGGAGGCATGCCTTGGTTGGTGCGGAGGTAACGGCGCACAGGCAGGAAAATGAGCTCGCCGCCCCGGGGTGGGGGAGGCTATTGAGCTTTGGCTCAGCTAGACTAGCCTACGATCAGAACCCTTCTGTGCCCGTATCTGGTTTCTTGAGCTCGAGTCTGTGTCTCCTCCAGCTTGCTCTCTTCTGAACTATCACTTTGATCGACGTGCTTCACATCACAGAGGCAGCCCGTCGAGAAGGACGTAGACCACCTCCCGAACCACCCGAGGGAGAAGGCTGAGGGAGGAGATTGCGATCGCCATGTCCATAGCAGCGACGGGGAAGATGCAAGGGAGTGGTGGAAAAGGGAGATAGCGAGCGGCTTCGATGGATGTGTCTTGCTCAGCCTTGCAGGCGGACAAAAGGGCAACCCGACTTCCATTGTGTGCCTGGATAACATTGGTGAACGGGTCGAAAGCCGGCCGTTCGAAGGCTGCAGGACGCAACGAAGCGTCAGCAATCGCGGCAGCCAAGCGCCATCGTGACAGCAAGGGCAGAATCATCATGAGCCGCCCTGAAATGTGATCATGTTTGAAGCTCTCTCGACTCTCAGCAATCACAGCTAGCCAATGCATTTCTCCCGCGTGCTCAGTGAGGCGTCAGCTCCCCTCGGACCCATGCAAAGCAGTCCACATACGGTGCGATGAGCGACTGGACCACGCATCGCGCGACTGCGTTGCTTGTCTTGCGCTCATGGACATGGTCATCTCAAAAGCCCGATCACAGATGTCAAAGTCGAGAGCAGTGCGCGTCGTCTACGGCTCGTCCCTCTCTGCAGAAACGGCGGTTTGCAACACCTTAGCATTGGTCCGGATACGGTCAATCAGTCGCTTTACGCCCTTTCCGCCAGTCGGAACGGAGGCTAGCAATGGATACTGCTCAGCGAAAGGGATGCTCCTTAGCCAAGTTTGTGCCCCGTAGCCAAAGGCTGGACGCTCGTACACGCTGTTCAAGATAAGAGGCCTTGTGGACTCGCCGACGTACGGCTGCATCAGTCTGCCGCTTCGTGCCTTGGCCTTGTAATCTCGATTGGATTGAGCTTCCCGCGTCCCCGCGTAAGAGAGAGAGAGGTACAACCGACCTCACGATCAGTACGATCCCCGGGTCTTTGTCTCTTCTCCTACCTCTCAACAAATCAATGCTCGGTTGATGTCTTGGCGACGCCCAAGGCGTTGAAAGATGACGATGGTCATCCGTGTCGTGTGAGGACGATTTCCAAGCCAGCCCGACCGAAAGAGGACAGCTGCAAACGCAACGTCGAGCCGGTCGAAAGATAAGGATGCCTCTTGTCTTGTGCCCGTCTCATGCATTCGCGCTTGAAATCGCACAGCGGCGATCGACGAGAGCGAGGGAGACGCAGAGCGCCCGGCGTCTGGCTGGGACGGGCTACGCTACGCGGGCGGTCTGGCTCCGCTTGCAGAGAGATACGGTGGTGCCTGGTCGCATCGACGACTGCAAGTTGTTGTGGCGGGTCGAGGTGGGATCGAGAGATAGAAGCCAGAAAGGCGGCCCTTCTTCTTCTTGACTCTTTACCACTACCATCCTTTCCCCTGACTCGACTCGTGACTCGTGTTGTGAGAGCAAGGCCGCTCACTGGTAGATTCATTCATCCTCGCCGCCCTCGCCGCTCTCGCCGTTCTCGCCGTCTCGTCCCCTCGTACTCTCGTCTTTCTTGGGATCTTCCTTGTCTGGCAGCATCTCCGAGGCCCTGCTCTTCCATACCTCCTCAATCTCGACCTCGCACACTCACGGACTGCAACCATGGTCAACATTACTGTGAGCACTTTGACGGCAGTCCTCACCTCTTGTGCGCAGCATCTTCTGACCTTGTCAGCCTCCCTCTACAATCGCAGTTCGGCGCAGTCGCTGCCCCCTCGGCAGCCGCTCCAGCGGCAGACAACCCGATTCAAACCGCAGGTCTCGACTTCATCGTGACCTATGGCTCCCCTGGCTCTGAAATGGTCCAGGGCTACTCTACGGGAGACATGGCTTGGATCTTGACCTGCACCGCCCTCGTCTGGCTCATGATTCCGGGACTCGGATACCTTTACTCGGGCCTTACTCGAAGGAAGAATGCGCTTCACATGCTCTTGCTCACAATGATGGCCTTGGCTGTTGTCAGCTTCCAGTGGTTCTTCTGGGGTTACTCCTTGACCTTCTCCTCGACGGGAGGTGCCTTCTTCGGCAATCTGCGTAACTTTGTGCGTGCGGGATGCCTAGAGTCGCTTCCATTCGAGTCAAGTGCGCTGATCATGTCTTCACTTCTCCCCCTCGCCGCCCCTCTTACAGGGTTTCATGGGCGTCCTCGAGGAGCCAGCAGGTGGATCGTCGAACCGCCTGCCGGAGATCATCTATGCCGGCTACGAAATGATGTTCGCCGCCCTTGTTCCCGCCATTGCGATCGGTGCCGCCTGTGAGCGAGCTCGCGTGTGGCCGTTCCTCATTTTCACCTTCGTCTGGGCCACGCTCGTCTACGACCCTATCGCACACTGGATCTGGGCCCCTCAGGGCTGGGCATTCAAGTGGGGCGTCCTCGACTACGCTGGCGGTGGACCCGTCGAGATCTGCTCCGGTATCACTGGTCTGGTCATCTCCTACTACTTGGGCAAGCGTCGCGGCTACGGTACGGAGCGCCTTCTCTTCAAGCCGCACAACGTCTCGCACATTGTCCTCGGAACCGCTTTCCTCTGGTTCGGCTGGCTGGGCTTCAACGGCGGATCGTGCTTCACTGCATCGCTGCGAGCGGGCATGTCCGTCATGACGACGAACACGGCTGCCTCTGTTGCCGGTATCACATGGATGCTCCTCGACTACCGCCTTGAGCGCAAGTGGTCCGTCGTAGGCTTCTGCACAGGTGCCATTGCCGGTCTGGTAGCAATCACCCCGGCTGCGGGCTTCATTGGCGTGCCAGCATCCGTTCTTGTAGGGTTCCTCTCTGCAGTCGTGTCCAACTTTGCGACGGGAGTCAAGGTATTCATGCGCTGCGACGACGCCATGGACGTATTCGCTGTGCACGCCCTTGCGGGTTACGTCGGACTCATCCTGACCGGCTTGTTCGCACAAGCCTCCGTAGCAAACAATGACGGCATCCTGGTCATCTCGGGCGGATGGTTGGACCACCACTACTACCAACTCGCCCAGCAGATTGCCTGGATCGTTGCCGCGACGGCTTGGACCGGAGGAGTCACCTTCGCAATCATGCTTGTTCTCGACCACATCCCCGGAATCGGTCCCTTCCGCGCCAGCGAGACGGCTGAGATCATCGGCGTGGATGAGGAGCAGCTGGGCGAGTTTGCATACGACTATGCGCTCTTCAACCGTGACTTGGAAGGCAACTGCTCGCCTGCTTACCTGGAGGGGCAGAACAAGTTGGACCTGTACGAGGGTCAGAAGGGCGGCAACGGCAGCTCTGATGGAGCTGCGGCGCCTGCAGCTGGTGAGGCACTGGGCCCTGCTTCTTCGGGCTCTTCAGGACAGCAGGCCGCTTCGCGCACCGTGGCCGAGGCTGAGGCCGCTAAGCCTACGACGGAGACGGTCGACGAGAAGGCGATGCAGCATGCAGCGCCGCAGGACGCCAGCGCTCGCCACTGAGCAGGCGCTCCCCTCGTGCCTACCCACTTGTTGTTCATACCCGACTCCAGCCCCATCTTCCCCTCTTCTTAGACACCTTATCCTCTCTTGCCACTGTCACGGCTATCGCAATCCCTTACCCCTCTCGACTGCTGGCCTGCGCGCGCTACCCCTTCTTCGCGGCCTTCTTGTTGCATCGCTGATTAATTCAAGCAGATTTTTGTCAAAGCCAGCGAGTGCGTCCTTTGTCTGCTCCTTCATGATACATTGCGAGACGTGGCAAAGCTGACAAGAAGGGTGAGCCTGGGCGGAGTGGAAGTCACGCTGAGCTGAAGTGAGGCGAGAGCGAGGCCGAGCGAGTCGTCGATCCGCGCGCTTGCGTGGCCCGAGCGACCTGAGACGGAGACGACGACGGCGACGGCGGCGGCGGCGGCGGCGACGAGCACGACGGTGCCCTTTCCTCCATCATCACCACACCACACAACACTCCTTGTCCGCAAAGATGTCATTGGCATCAACAATTTCCCGCTTCAGCGGTGCAAGCGGGAGCAGCTCACTCTCTTCCGCAGGCCCGTCAGATGCACACGACCTCTCGTCCGACTTCGATGCCCCTACCTTTGCCTTGCCCGCCAATGGAGCTGGCCCAGCCTCGTTCCTTTCCCAGTTCACAGACGTAGACTCGTCGAACCCCTCCGCCCGCATCAAGCTCCACCACGGCACCACTACCCTCGCTTTCCGCTACCAGGGTGGCATTCTCGTCTGTGTAGACTCACGAGCAACAGCGGGGTCCTACATCGCCTCGGGAACGGTCAAGAAGGTCATCGAGATCAACCCTTACCTTCTTGGAACTATGGCCGGTGGTGCAGCTGACTGCCAGTATTGGGAGACGTATTTGGGGATCCAGTGCAGACTGCATGAGCTCAGGAATAAGGAGAGGATCAGTGTGGCTGCGGCGAGCAAGTACCTGGCAAATCTAGTATATGGATACAAGGGGATGGGCCTTAGCATGGGTACTATGATCTGCGGGTGGGACAAGACGGTGAGCATGCGACAGAGCCATTGGATCCCCCTCCGCGGAGTCCTGACTGATCTCTTCTTTCTCCTCGCCATCGCATCAGGGCCCTGCCCTCTTCTACGTCGACTCGGATGGCTCTCGACTGAAGGGCGACGTCTTCTCCGTCGGCTCAGGCTCCACCTTTGCGTACGGTGTGCTTGACCAGGGTTACAAGTGGGATCTGACCGACGAAGAGGCTATGGAGCTGGGTAGGAGGGCAATCTACGCTGCGCAGCACCGCGATGCGTACTCTGGTAACGTGAGTCACGCGCGATCCCCCCCCCCCCCGCCACTGACATTGACATAGACACTGATCGTAACAACTCTCATTTCTCGCCCTACGCAGACTCTCAATCTCTACACAGTCAAGGAGCAAGGATGGGTCTACCACGGCAACCTGGACGCGGCCGACCTCCACTACGGGGGACCACCTGCTGGTCACCCGGCATCGCAGGGATCGAAGGCTGGAGAGGGATACGGATATGAGGTCCGTACGCAAGGTCTCAGTAGCAAGGACACGCAGAGGGAGGGAGAGCAGAGGCCCGCGGGAGAGACACCTCAGCCAGCTGCTGTGCCCGGAAGTGCGAGCCAGGGGCCGACGACTGCTGGAACAGGTTCAGGAGCGTGATTAGCAGAGACTGAAGGGATAGAAAGAGGATCGAGTGGCGAAGCGATCGAATGGCCATTTCAGAGTTCACACGACTGTACGCTGTGAAGCAGTGACTCCCAACATCGTCCTGTCTGACGCCCCCCGCCCCGCCTACTTCTTCTTGCCCGTCTCCTTCCTCAAAGGCGACCCCGCCCTAGCCTGTCTGCCACCACTCATCCAGTCCAAATCATCCACATCGAACATGCTAGCCCTCTTGCGTGGCTGGCTGCCCGGCTGCTGCTGAGTCTGCGGGGTAGCAGAGGGGCTAGAGGGAGTGGCACCCTTCCTGGAAGACGAAGGGGCAGAACGCTTCGACTGAAGAGCCTCTGCACCCCACTGCTTTTCCTCTGCAGCTGGCGCACGTCCAGGTGCCTGCGATCCCGCAGCGGCGAAGTTGCCCTTACCAGCCCCACCGAATCGACGCCTGAAGCGCTCCATCCTGCCCTGCTCCTCACCACTGTCTCCCTCGGAGCTAGCTGCTCCTAGGCCGCGCTCGAGCATCTTTGGGTTCCAGAGCGGGTGGTTCGTCGTGTCCTTGGTGAGGCGGGAGACGGAGCGCGGCGAGGTGGTAGTCATTGCGATGGAGGAGCCATCGGCTAGGTAGGTGATCGAGGGGAAGCGGGGCGTTGGGTGGGGAAGAGGGAGGGGCTGACGGGAGGAGGAGGCTGCACCCAACGCTGAACTTGATGAGAAAGCACGGCGTGTCGATGGGGTAGCTGAAGGAGCAGCATTGTTGCTTGTGCTCGCAGTAGTACCACCTCCGCAGCGCAGGATCCCCTTGAAGGCGGCGAGGTCGGCGAGTTGAGACTTGCGCCCTTGCTTGATCGTGTCGTTGTCTCCCAACTCGGTGTCCTTGGTGATGCGAAGCTCTGTATGGCGCGAAAGTACACACAGGAATGTCAGTTCGATCTTTTCAAAGAGGAATGTATGCCCTCGATATGTCGACCTGCAGCCACTCACGATACACCTCGTCCTCTCCCGGCTTCCTGACAGCTTGCGCCACATTCTCCCTCAATATCCTCGCGACATCGGTCCACTCCTTGACGAACTCGTCGCTCAGCTTGTTGCCTCCCGTGCCACCTCCTCCGCCAGCAGCAGCCGCTGGTGGCATCTTCTCGCGGACATAGTTGCGCCAGGCGGCCATCATGCGGGCATCGTCGCGGAAGGTGGCGCGAGAGGAGCGAAGAAGAAGACGATAGAGGGAGGGAAGAGTATGCGCCGCTGCGCTGGGGGCGCTGGAGGCCGATGATGCCATGTTGTTGATTCGAGGAGCAGTGGCTCAGCTATGTGATCGATCGATGAAGGATGATGGCGAAGATGTGAAGAAGCCAAATCGCTCCTCCTCCCGCTCTCTCCTTGGCCGACTTTTCCACACGAGCGCGGTCCGTCCTTCTCCGCCCGAGAGGCCATTACGGGGAGTGCTCACAGTGACAGCTTCGCTCTTTCAAAAGACATGACCGTGTGCTCGCCATTCCAGGATACGACCATGAGATTGATGACGGCAGAGAGAGAAAAGACCGAATTGCGCAAAGAAGGTGCTAAAGAAAAGGTGGCCGCCAGCGGCGACGTTCACAGCGACGGCGCAGAGCAATGACGAGGAGAGGAGCGAGCGAGCGAGGAAGCGATGATACAGAAGGCTGTGGGAGCGCGGAGGTGCCCATGAATCAATAAATGGTAAAGCAGAGGGGAAGCAAGGCCATATGTACGCTACTACTAGCAGGTGACGAGGGAGGGAAGAAAGACGGCTAGGGAAATGTGGGGCAGCTCCTACGGCTTGCGCGGGGGCGGGGGCCAATCGGGTACGAGTGACTGGTGTGGAGTCGCGAAGACCGACGAAGAGATCAGCCGATCTGTGAGGCTGTGCTGCGGCCGTGTCAGGCCCTAATGTGAGGATCACGAGAAGATCGAGACGTCCTTGCAGCTGTCCTCGCAGAGGTGACTCTTGGGGGCAAGGGAGTCGCTGTCCATGGGCAGGTGCTAATGGTGGTGTCCCAAGGTGGAGTGAATAGTCTGCCACTCTAATTATCGTCGAATGTCTCTTTGAATTTGCTTCCCGCCACCCCAATACTGTTCTGTCTGACCAGCGGCGGGCTCTTAGCCTGACTCGGCATCCGTGGAGGGTCGAGCCACGGCCGACTGGTCGTCGTCCCGGCAGAAGCGACAGCATCGCTACTGTGGCTGGCAGGCAAAGCGGGCACGGGTGGGACATTCTCCTCGCCTCCTGCGGCTGCCCGTGTGGTTTGAATGGTCGGCACGCTCGACGAAGAGGGTGCGCGTTGCATGCTTTTCTTCCATTCGGAGGCACGAGGCGTGTAGGCCCAGCTGGTTGCTACGGGTGAGGTGGGGGCGGTGGGCGAGGTTGGGCCCCCGTTCGATTCGGCTGACGACGACGTTGCACCGCGCCGCGAGAGTGAAGCGCTGCGCTTCCCCTTCGCAGTCGAAGACGACGCCGTACTTGCGTTCGACTTCTTGACCGGAGGAGTGGGCTGCTTGAGTCGGATGACTGATGAGATACGGCCGGCGATACCGCCTTGACCCTGGCTTGAGGCTGCGTCTCCACTCGCTCCAGCTAAAGGCGCCTCTTTCGCAGCAGCGGCGGCAGCGATTGGTGGAGCAGCCGCTGCTGCAGTGGTTGCGAAGCTGCCGTGCCCTGCCGAGCTTTCTGTAGGGCTTGCAAAAGGATTGGAACCTGTTGCGTGCGAAGATGAGGTCGGCGAGGTAGGACTGCGGAACGGATCGACATCTTCTCCTGACGCTGAAGAGGTAACGCCAGCGGTAGGAGCATCGAGAGGGACGGCAGTAATTGTTCCTCCCGTCTGCGCGGTACGCATCGACGCAGAGTCGTCTGCGCCTGCGCTGCCCGCTGTCGTGTAGTGCGAGGCCGTCGTAGCTGTCGTATAGCGGCTTCGCTGACTTCGTTGCGAGGAGGCGCGTTTGATGGAGGCTTTCCGAGTCGGTACGAGGACGCCAGCTGCCCCTGCCGCCGCGGCTGCGTGGGCGGATTTCGGTGATGCAGGTGTGCCCACGGGCGCAGCAGCTTCTTCCGTACGTGGGCGCTCGACGCTTGCTCGCGATACAGCTCTTGAGGGCTCTCTGCTGATGCCTCCCTCACTGAGCCCACTCTCGCCAATGATGCTGAGCGGATTGGAGTCTTCCCTCTTGCGGGCAGGGCGTATATGACCTTGGCTGCTCGGCGAGTCGCTCTGATCTGACTCGGCGCCAGAGAAGTCTTCGCTGTCTGATGTCGGGCCTCGAGCAGCGCCTGCTTCGGCTTCGACATCGCGCTCTGGCTGAGCAGCCGACAAGGTCGCAGCGGCGAGAGCGCCTGAACGGATTCTGTCCGAGTACTTCCTCCTCCTCTTCTTGCTCCCTGACCTGCTGATCGCTTGCTCTTCTTCGTCATCGGATGATGAGATCTTCCAAACTCGCTCTGCGACTTCCCGATCGCGATGCTTGGTGCTTCCGCTGCGCTTGAGAGATGTAGCCGCGCCTGCTGCAGTCACGCCGCCAGCCGCAGCGTCGTGCCCATCGTTGCTGGCCACACCTCGAGTGGTTGTGGCAGCTTCTGTGCTATCCTCACTGGATAGATGCTGGTGCCCTCCTGCTGCTCTTCCTCTTCCAGCCTCTTTCTTCTCCTTTGCAACAGCGCGGGCCACCTTCTGCGAGAAGCGTCGTTCCCTCGCCTCTTTTAGAGATTGACTACGACCGAGCTTCGATGCAATCGAGTTGCCTCTTGTGAGCCTCTTCTCTTCCCTATCCCTCTTTTCCTCTTCTTCCCTCACGACCAATGTGACATTGCGTAGCATAGAGCGCCTCTGCCTGCTCTTTCTCCTTCGTCGCACAACATACCACGTTGCCAGGATCAGGGCGACCATCAGCAAGACGATCGGGATAAGGAAGAGGAGCCATAGATGGTTGAAGCCATTGCCTTGGCTCGGCGTAGGATCGCTCGTGTTATTCGGGGAGCCTGCGGCGCCTGAGAAGATGGGCGGTGATGAAGACGACGGTGAGGAAGCTCCATCCATTGCCTGGCTTGGACGTGTTGGGAGATGTAGGTCGCTTGGTGGTTTGAAGCGTCAGAAGAAAGGGCCAGCCAGCCAGCCGCAGAGACGATTATGACGCCCACCTCTCTCTGTTGCTTGTGTCTGCTTGCGTGCCTGAAATTGATGAGAGAGGGAGAGAGAGGGCGAAATGCGCAAAGTGCGATGCCCTTCGGAAGAGCGGCGACTTTGCGAACAGCGGCGCCGAGGGGAGTTGAGGTAGGAGCGGATCGAGACGACGAGGCTACGTCTGTAGTGGCTCAAAGGTGAGCAGGTGTGCAACGCAAGAGAAGGTGAGGACGAGAAAGGGGGGATAGTACACGACAGAGACGAGGGAGTGAAGGAGCGCGAGCGAAACGTGAACGACGATGATGAGAGCTGCAACCACGAACGAAGCCGTCGGTCGGCTCTCGCTGCTCTCGAAACGCCCGCCTTGCCTGCCTGCGCTAGCCGCCTCTTTCTTGGCCCAGACACAGTGTAGTCGTCGAATCGCTCGACCCGCCCTCCCTCACGTCGCGCCTACCCGCACAACGCACTCGCGGGCAGCGGGGCGGCAGTCAGTGAGAGTCAGAGCGGGCTTTGCGATTGCAGGTCTGGACTCATTCATGCGCTCGACCTTTAATTGCCGTAGAGCTCTTGTGCGACTCAGAGGGACCTTACGCCCTTCCCTTCCCGTCCCCGTCTTCGTCTCACATCGCCGTCACATCGCCGTCATGTCGCCGTCGACGCGAACGCCTGGGCCTCCTCTACCCCCGTCATGATTCCATCATCGTCAAGTCTCGATCTGGTTTCGCAGCATCACTGAGGGCCTAGCGGCACCACAACGATGTCGCTCGACCCCCGCTAGCATAGTCGGGTAAATGCGCAGCTCCAGATCTTGCGCTAGAAAGAGGGACCCAAGCACACGATGGTGACGACAATGAGAGAAGCGAGTGAGGGTCTAATCACTCACTGCAAGGGGATCGAGCGCTGTTCCTGCCTCGCCAGACAATATCGATAGAAAGAATGTGGTACCGTCAATCAGAATGCGCAAGAGTCTTTGATTGCATATACGGTCAATTTCGCACGGCGTAGCATAGCGTGTGGAGTGTTGGTGGCTCCCGTCACCTCTACTTCTTCTTGAAGAGGAGCAGCTCTGCGTGCGCGCAGCGATTGTGAGGGTGTCAGTCTGGTTGCGCAGTGGCCATTGAGGCTCACGGCCGTCTCAACTGACCTGTCTGGTATGGGTACTCAAACACGCCCTTCTGCTCGTCGATCCACACCCTTCCTATCTCGTCGTCGCTCGACGACTGCGCAAAGATGGACTCGATGCCCTTCATGAGCTCGTCCTGCTTTTGTTGCGGCAATACGGAGATGTAGCTTTTGCTGAGAACGCGATTCTTGACGCCCTCGACTGTGGTCGGCAGCTTGCGCGAGAAGAATTCGGCGGGCACAACTTCGTATTGGTCGTTGAGGGCCGGCTCCTTGTACATTGAGGCCCAGTAGCGGTGGCGGACTGGTGGATGAGTGAAGACTTTGGCGTCAGATCATGCTTGCGCGGCTAATGGTACGCTATTACCTACATTGAGGCGTACCATCCTCAAAGCGCTCGTACTGCGTCCTAGCCTCCCTGACCCACTTCGCCCCCGTCTCATCACTCTGGTCTTCCATGTTCCAGATCAGCGCGAGGTAACCACCCTTCTTGAGCGCCTTTGCAATAGCGTTCAAGCTGCCCGGGATGTCCTGGCACCAGTGGAAAGCTTGCGCGATGAGTACCACGTCGTATAACCCTTGCTCTTCGCCACCAGACAAAGCCTCTGACACGTTCTCGAACGTGCCGTCGACGCAAGCTACATCGGCATCATTTGCTAGCAAGCCAGCCGGAAGCTTAGGGAGGAGGTCACGGCTAATGTGCTTGGTCCAGTCCTGCCTCATGCCCGCAGAAGGCTCGACGGCGAGGTAGCGTTGGAATGTTACCCTTTCCCCGCCGTCGCCCGCAATCGTCTTAGCAGCCCCTTCGAGGACGCTTTGCGTGGAAATACCAGTGCCGCTACCAATCTCGAGCAGGCTCACGGGTGATCCCTTCGATGAGCCTGCAGCGGCATTGAGGATCTTACGAATTGCGTCTTGAGGGTAGTCAGGACGGGCAGAGTGATACAATCCCGACGCGCCAGACGTGTCGAACCCCGAGCGAGGAGCATAGTTGTGCTGCTGCTGCGGCGGCTGAGCTGACATAGTGGTCAGAAATAGCTGTGAGGGCAGTCTGGATTTGTTGCTTGGCGTCGCGGCGTGTCTTGTCTGCGCTGCTGCTACTGCTGCTCCTCGTTTCACCGATACCGTGAAGGCCGAGGTTATCGACATGCACGCCGGGGGCCCGCGCTGAACTTGGGTTTATATGCTGGAATTGGGCTTTGTTTGTTCTTCTGCCGCTGCCCTTGATCGTCGAGTCAGTAGTGCGCAATGCTTAGGATGTTGGGTCGCTAACCAGACCCCACTCCGCCCAACCCCACCTTCGCTGGACTCGAGCGCGGTCTTGACGGCTTTGAACACGCAGGCAAGCACCAGCCATGCAGCTAGTGGGCGAGTGCTCTCTCCGCCCCCACCCCGTTTCCCCCCACGCGGTCAACCAGAGAAGTGGGAGAAGATTGCCGATCGATGTATCGCGAGAAAGGGGCAGATGGCACAGAGCAGCGTTGCTTGCTTGCTGAACATTGCTTCGTGAAATCGATGAGTTCTTCTGGGTGAGCATTGCTACCAATACGCGGGGTCATTACTGCGGGCCGAGGTCTCAAGCGCCCCGACCCGCCTGGGGCCGTCCTTGAGAGGAGTTCCTTCCACCGCTCTCTCTGCACCTCCCTGCATGCTGTCCTCCTTCACGCAGTCTCGTCGCTCGCTTGCCACCATGTCTGAGTGGCGAGCCGTCTGCGAATGTCTTGATGATCGAGTCGGTCGATCACAGTCAGAGTGGCCGGGGGAGCTGGCTTGAAGGGCAGCGATCCGCCTTGACAAAGGTCGAGGAGCATTTCTTCCCCCCGCCCGCTCGCCCGCTCGCGTGATCGCGCCTAACTAGCACTGAGCTTGAAATCGCGGGTTGGAGCTGAGCTTGACCTGGCGCTTTTCTTATCTCTCTTTCGTGTGAGCTCAATGGCGGCGGCGACGACGACGACATCTGACTTTCTCGGCCGTCAGGGGGTCACGAAGCGTGAGAAGGTCGTCGCTTCGTACGTTGCGACCTGAGCCCAAAATTGACATGCGTAGCGTCGTCTGCTTGGCTCCTACTTGACGCCTTTTTGACTAGCCTGGGAACGGAGGATGGCGCCGACGGCCTCGCCGTCTGAGCACGCACGTCCACGCAGGGCTCGCCTGTCGCTTCATTTTTGGCCCTGGATTGCCGGTCTGTCTTCGCAAGTCGGAATCTGCGCTCCCGTCTCCCGTCGCCCGCCGTCGCCACGCCAGGCAGGCCAAGGCGCGTTTGCGCGATAACGAAATTCCTGGGCGTGGGCGAATGAGCGTGGCTTCCCTCGCCGTTGCACTCTTTGCCTCTACGCCGTCTCCATCGAAATCGGTCAACGCACGATCGCGAGTCGTTCCTTGCCAATTGGTCCGCTCACCAAGGCCCATCGCCCTCAGCCGCCGCCGCCGAGTCTCTGCTGCTGTACTGCCGCCCGTCGCCCTCCCCTTCAGGCACCCGTTCATATCAGGCTTGCAACGTTGCGCGATCGCGCCTTTTCCCCCTCGCTGCCCACCGCTTGTTGCTCTCTCCCCCCCCCTTCTTCTCCTCCTTCTTCTCTCTCCGTCTCTTTCACCACCACCATCCTCATAATCAATACCCACTCCCGCCCGTCGTAGATCAAGATGGACAGGGAGATCCTGGCCCAAGGGCCTCGCAGCGGCCTGGCCGTCAAGATCGACAACCTCAATGACTCGATTGCCAGGTCGTTCATCGGCAAGTGGTTCCGGCTGGATGGCTGTGGTCACCCGCTTCAGCGCGAGGGAAGCAAGTTCACGACGGAGCTGAGGGCTGGCCTCGTCACCTTTGCGTCAATGGCCTATATCATTAGGTGAGGAGCGGCGCTACGGCGAGGTAGCGGTTCATGGGCCTTGACTCACCTTCATATTTGCATTGCCTCGCTCTCAGTGTCAACGCCTCCATTCTCTCTGACACGGGAGCTAACTGCGAATGCCCATCAGCAGATTGCACCAACGATGCCACCTACATGATTTGCAAGCAGGAGGTCCGCCGCGACTACGTGACGGCCACCTCTGCCATGTCGCTCATCTCAACCTTTGCTATGGGTGTTCTCGCCAACTTGCCCCTTGGTCTCGCCCCCGGTCTTGGAGTCAACGCCTACCTAGCATACAGCGTCGTCGGCTTCAATGGCCAAGGCGGTCTTACCACTTTCGGCCGTGCATTCGCCGCCGTCTTCCTCGAAGGTTGGCTCTTCTTCCTTCTCTCCGTCTTTGGTCTTCGTCAGATGATCGGTCGCCTGCTGCCTCGCTCTCTCGCCTTAGCTACCGGCTGTGGTATCGGAGCCTACCTCGCCCTCATCGGTATGGGTCCCAACGGCATTGGTGCCGTTGGCGGTAGCTACTCGGACTTGCTCGCCCTCGGCGGCTGCCCTGCTCAGTACAAGGACGAGAACGGCTTCTGCGAGTCGCACGTCCTTCAAGACCCTCGTGTCTGGGCAGGTATCTTTGGCGGTGGTATCTTCACCGCCCTGCTTCTTATGTACCGCGTACGAGGCGCCCTGCTGTGGCCTATCCTCCTCGTCTCGGTCGCCTCTTGGCCTCGCTCATCGGGCATCACCGAGTTCCCGCACACGCCAACGGGGGATGACTCATGGCAGTTCTTCAAACAGGTCGCTACCTGGCATTCCTTTGAACACCTCGGTCCCTCGAACATCGACTGGTCGGCTTACAACTCGGGTAAGGTCTGGCTCGCCCTAATCACTTTCCTCTACACCGACGCCCTCGACACGACGGGTACGCTCTTCGCCATGTCTCGTCAGGCTGGCCTCTTCGACGACCGATCTGCCGACTTCGAGGGATCTTCGGTCGCCTTCCTCGTCGACGCCGTCTGCATCGCCATTGGCTCTCTGATGAACCTCTCGCCTTGCACAGCCTTCATTGAGAGCGCCAGTGGTATCACCGAAGGAGGACGCACCGGTCTCACTGCCGTGACCATCTCCTTCTTCTTCTTCCTCTCCCTCTTCTTTGCTCCCATCTTTGCCTCGCTGCCCTCGTGGGCTACGGGAGCAACCCTCATCGTCGTCGGCTCCTTCATGATGAGGAACGCCCAGTACATCTCGTGGTCATACCCGGGCGACAGCATCCCAGCATTCCTCACCATCATCGCCATGCCCTACACCTTCTCCATCGCCTACGGTCTCATCGCAGGCATCATCGCCTGGATGGTTCTTCATCTCTTGCCCAAGCTTTTCCATGCCGTCTCCTTCGGCGTCATCCCCATGCCTCCAGGCTGGGATACGGACAAGGAGCCCTACGACGTCTTCCTGGGCGTTGAGGACCGCAGCATCCGCTCGCTTCCCAAGCTCATCCTCCCTCCCTGGATGCAGCGCTTGCTCCGCGGCAAGAAGCGCTTCTGGGAGATGGACGACGATGAGATGTGGTCGTACATTGAGGGCCGATCCCTCACTGCTCGTCGTGCTCAGGCTATCGAAGAGCAGAGGGAGATTCAGAAGCAGTCCACTCGCACTCAGCGCAAGGGATCTGACTTGGAGACGCAGGACGAAGAGGGCGCTTCGCACTCGCATGGCAGCGGTGATGAGGATCTTAAGCTCGGCGGTGAAGCAGAGGCCTCTTCCGCCTTCAGGACGACGACGAGGCTGTCCAAGCGCGACGCACCTGCTCACGATATCATTGAGCTCGGTGACCGCCGCGAACAGTAGGCGTTGGCGCCACCTACACCTGCCCGCTCGTTTTTCTTTCTTTCGCTTTCATCTCTACCCTCTTTGATCTTGCCTACGCTTCATTGACTTCTCGTTGTTACCTCTCGCTCGTCCATTCTGTACATGCGCTGGCACCCACTGCCACTGATCGCTCATATTCCCGGCTCTACATTCGTTCTACGGTCGCAATTCATGACGATACATCTAGCTAGACGTTGCTGAGCAGCAGGCCTGATCAGCGAAGCCAGCGAGTCGCGCGAAGAAGAGTGTTGGATGAGCTCGGTGGGACGTCGTGCTGCTGCTGCCGCCGCCGCCTCACCGTTGGCGCGGGCGGACAGGGACGGCGTGCGGCAGTGGTGAGTCGCGAGTCGCGAGTCGCTGGCTGCGCTCAGGCCTTCCCCTTTAGTCCATCATTCCAACTCAAAGGGCGTAGACTGCCGCATCTTCCTCACTTCTAACTCCCCCTTCTCCCCTCCACCCTCGTTCTTCGTCGTCGTCGTCGTCACACGCGATGAGCCGCTTCGTGCGACCATCCAAGTATCGGCACGTCTACGGCTCCCCAGCCAAGCCAGAAGCATCGTACTTGGGCGTCAAGGCGTCGCAGAATGCGTGGGACACCAATCTCCTCGCCGCAAACAAGCAGTACCTCTCTCTCAACTGGCAGGCAGGAGGTGGAGGAGCCTTCGCCATTATCCCTACCAGTAGAGTAGGGAAGCTGCCCGATGTCTATCCACTCTGCAGGGGCCATACGGCTACGGTCCTCGATACGGCCTTCTCACCTTTTGATGATTCCGTCGTCGTATCAGGGGCTGATGACGGGAACTTGGGGATCTGGAAGGTTGAAGACTCCATCTTTGATGTGCTGGATATGAGTGCCAAGGAGCTGGAGAGCCATGGTGGAGTCAAGGACATGCAGCCCAGGGCTAAGATCGATGCCAGTGGAAGGTGAGTCCCGCACTACGGACAGGTAAAGGCACCCTGCAACATCCACTGATCGCCGCCTTTCCCTCGCTCGCAGGAAAGTCGGCCAGGTCATGTTCCACCCGACTGCATCCAATGTCGTAGCCGCCGCTGGAGGTGACCACGTCATCAAGCTCTTCGACATTGAGTCCCAGAAGGAGCACTCCGCCCTCAGCGGCTTCACCGATTCGATTCAGTCCATCGACTTCGACTGGACAGGCTCGACCCTTGCCGCCAGCTGCCGTGACCGCAAACTGCGCATCTTTGATCCTCGAGCAGGCGGCCAAGCCGTGCAGGTGGCAGACAGCCATCCCGGTATCAAGGGCTCTCGTGTCATTTGGTGCGGGTCGACCAATCGACTCGCCACTACGGGCTTCAGCAAGACCTCAGACCGTCAGCTGTGGGTCTGGGACTCGGGCAATATCAAGACGCCCATCAAGCAGACGCTCATCGACACTTCATCAGGCGTAATGATGCCCTTCTGGTCGGACAACTCCATCATCTTCCTCGCTGGAAAGGGAGACGGCAACGTCCGCTACTACGAGCTGGACAGTGACGAGCTTCACTATCTCTCCGAGTACAAGTCCACTGACCCGCAACGAGGAATGGCTTTCTTGCCGCGTCGTGATTTGAACGCCGACGAGAACGAGATTGCCCGGGCCTACAAGTTGACCAACAACATGATTCAACCCATCAGCTTCATCTGCCCAAGGCGAGCAGACTCGTTCCAGGCAGACATCTTCCCACCCGCCCCTTCATCGAAGCCGGCGTTGACGAGTCAAGAGTTCTTCGCGGGCAAGACTGCACTGCCCAACTTGATCAGCTTGCAGGATGGATCTGGCGTCAGTTCCAAGGCTGCTCTACCTGCTGCATCAGCCACATCTTCGGCACCAGCGCCATCACCGGCAGTCGCGCCCGCGTCAACGACCTCATCAGCGCCCTCTGCAACACCGACTGCGACCAGGGCGACCCCGGCTAGCAGTGCGCCAGCTCCTGTTGCTGCTGCCGCTGCCAGTCCCGCGCCCACTCCTGCGCCGACGAAGGCCACTGACCCGCTTCCGGAGCCGACAAGAGCGGCTAAGGTCTCTCAGCCTACGTCCACAACCTCAGCACCCTCAGCCAGCGCCGACTCGTCGAAGAGCACTCTTGCCGCTCTGCGCGAGAATGGTGCAGAGTCTGCACCCAAAACGACAGCGCCTGCCAGCGTCACCTCCGGTATTGGTGACCTGGCCAGCGAGCTGCAACGCCTTCTTGCCGACTCGGCCGCTCGCGATGCCCGCCTTCGGGAGCTCGAGATCGAGAACGAGAAGCTCAAGACGGAGCATCATCGCCTACGTGAAGATCAGAATGGCGGCAACGGCACTGCTGCTCCCAGCGGCGGCGACAAGAACTTCTCAGCGGACCGCTTCTTTGAGACGCAGTCGGCTCCTAGCAATTTGAGCGACTTCGGGGACAAGGCGCGGCAATTTGTGGATCGCCATGCCAAGGAGGGGAGGAAGGTCGTGCTTGTGACGGTGAATAGCAAGGATGGGAGAGTTGTGGATGAGATGAGCTTCGCGCCTTAGCCAACCAGCCAGCTGAGCTCAGCGCAGCCTGGGGGAGCTGGCTTGCCAGACATCGTCCCGCATGTCAGGTCGGGGAAGCTTGGTTGAGGGCGAGGGCAGTGGAGAAGCAGAGAGGATCATGGCAGACAAGAGAAGGGCTGGTCGTCGTCGGTCATCGGTCTTGGATTTCGCCTTGGTCGGTAACGACCAGCTCTTTTCTCTTGTCTGTCAAGTTCTGTCTGCTACCTTGCTCTGTCTTTCACTCCAGCGCCCCCTGCCCTCGCGGGGCTTTGTTGCTGCAAGCTACCCTCATTTCCTTGGCTCGACTGGCTCTCTTAGGTCGCTGCTTCGTGATTACTGTCTTCTCTCAGAAGAACACGTTCTGACTATCCTTCTCGCCCGCCCGTCGCTACGCAGAGCGGTGGCACGACCGTACCCCTTGAGCAGAATGTGTGAGTATCCAGCTTCAACCTGCCTCAGCATCAGCGTCGAGCTGACTTGTTCACCTCACGCCCTTCTTTCACTGCACAGCGTCCGTTTCCTCGACAACTTCTCAGCAGGCACGCGCGGAGCTACCTCTGCCGAGTACTTCCTCGCTAAAGGCTACGCCGTCATCTTTATGCATCGTCAACACTCTCTCTCCCCCTTTACAAGGCACTATTCGCACACGACGAATCCTTTCCTCGACTTGCTGGAGCACACCTCGCAAGGATCCACTGGCAGCGGTATCGGCGTACGTGCTGAAGCAGCCGGCCACCTCGAGCCAGTGCTCCGTGACTACCTCCACCACTCCCGCTCAGAAGCCCAAGGCGGTGCGGGCACCTTGCTCAGTCTCCCCTTCGTCACAGTCAATGACTACCTTTTCCTGCTCCGCGAGATGAGCAAAGTTATGCAGCCTCTCGGTCGTAGAGGCATGTACTACCTCGCTGCTGCGGTCTCGGACTTCTTCGTCCCCAACCAACGCACGCCGCAGCACAAGATCCAGTCGGGTAAGGGATCCTTGGTGATAGAGATGGACCAGGTTCCCAAAGTGCTCAAGCCAATGGTTCAGCAGTGGGCACCTGAAGGATTTGTGGTGTCTTTCAAGCTCGAGACGGATATGGATCTACTCCTTCCGAAGGCGTCAGCCGCCCTGCGGAGGTATGGGCATCAAATCGTCATTGCCAACGACCTCAACACTCGCAAGGAAAAGGTGTGCTTCGTCACGAACGGCGGAGTCAGTCAGGCGGCAGACGGTACCGCTGGTGGTGGTGAGGGCGACGGAATCGAGGGCAAGTGGCTAGAGCTCGACCGTAAGAGGGATGGACCTGATGCGGAGATTGAGGAGAAGATCGTAGATGAGCTGGCTGTGCTTCATGAGAGGTGGATCGAGCAGGGGGCTAGTGGGAAGCGGTAGAGAGAATGGCGAGCAGTAGATTCGGTCAGGTAGCATCTCATCAGAGCTTTGCAGTCAATTGCATCTAGCATGTCGAAGATACAACTGTCATGACTGCAGATATGACGCTCAGACCTTTGTCAGGCACAGTGTCTTCGGGAGTGATCGCGGCGCCATATTGGTCGACATCGGAGCGGCGACTTGAGTAGGCTCTCTACAGAGCCGTTCGCGGCCTTTACTGACTACGATGGCTCGCGTGAGGCTTTCAATTCAATTTATTCCGACTCGCCTTCCCTTGTCAATGCTTGGCTCTCGTTCGTACGAGCGATGAATAGCTGACTCGGGGGCTGTGGCTAACAGCTGCGCGGAATGCTCTGGCGATGCGATCGAAGCACTTGCGCGTCGAAGTCGAAGCCGCTACGGGGCGCACGGTGACAGGTGTGGACGCTAGGCACAGCGTCAGGGCAGTCTGTGTTGTTGACGTCGAAGTTTTGCTGTGTTGGACGCCGAGTTTTGCGCGAGCCTCAGAGGGCACAAGAGGAGCATGCTTGACACTCGAGTCGAGGCGCGGGCAGGATGCGAGCCAGCAGCCAGGCGGCCAGTGAGCCCGGCGCGGCGCGGCGGCACAGGCTCCCTCTCGTTGGCTGCACCCCTCGGTCGATGCTCCCTGCGACCCCCCCTGGGCCCCTCATTCGCAGCCACGGCTTTGGCCGAGGGAGCCTGCTTCGCTGCTCCTAGCCAGGCCTGAAGCTCAACACGTCACTTTCCTCCTCACTACCACCATCATCGTCATCATCACCGTCATCGGCGTCGCAGCCCCCTGTCATCGCCTTGACCCCTAGAGCAGGTCCTCTCCCCACTCTCATTCTCACTCCAAGTCCAGGCTCACGCCTACGCTCGTTCCCCTTCTCTCCATCAACACTCTGCAAACACACGTTCTCTTGATCCTCACATCCCACGATCTTTGCTTGCATTCGCGCATCCGACACCATCACTGGCGCGACCGTTTCTCCTCATCTTCATCCTCATCTAAACGCCTTCTCTTTTTACCATCCCCGCCGACATGACCGACGCCCTCAACGCAAAGCGACGCCTGGAGCGTCACCGTCAACAGCGTCGCATCAACATTGCAGCAGATATCCGCCAAAATGTCGAGCGCTCGCAGGATAATGTCAAGCGCCTCCTCTTTGGTGGAGGTAGCGACGATGACGATGGAGGAGACTCGTTCTCTTCCGGCAACGCCAAGGCGGCATCACCGAATGACGGTGACACCACGACGACCCGCCCCACCACGACGGCTGACACCTCAACTACCGAATCTACGTCAAGCACGAGCCGTACGAGGACGTCCTCTGACGTATTGACCAGTTCGTCGACGACTCAATCATCTTCCACGTCGAGCTCCTCGTCCTCTTCGTCCACTCAGGAGCCTACTACTACCTCCTCATCGTCGACGTCGACGACCGAAGAGCCCACCTCTACGCGTGTCCGCTCGACCCGCTCCGCAGAGACGACCTCAGCCCCGACATCCGTCGTAGCCGTGACCAACTCGAACTCGATTGCCACGTCCGTTCAGCTCATCACTTCCTCCGCAGCTCCCATCCAATCCGCATCTGCCACGCCTACCTCGGACTCAAATGGCGTTGGTGCCGGACCCATCATCGGAATCGTCGCGGCCGCCCTAGCCGGCGTGGTCATCGTTGCTGCAGCTATTGGCTTCCTCGTCAAGAAGTACAGCAAGAAGAACGACCCTTACGAGACGAACCCCTTCGATGCTGATCAGTTCCGCCGCGAGTCGGTCATGCTACCTGAAGGTTTCGAGAGCGATGATGGGCATGCACCGTCGATGACGGAGCACCGCAACTTTGGTCCCGCATCTGGCGGTGGTGCTGGAAGCCTCAACGGGTACGAGGATATGGGATACGCTGGCGCAGCGGCTGGTATGGGCGGGGCTTACGGCTCTTCCTACTCGCACAATGACGGTGGTGCCCCGCGCCCGCCGACGATGTTCGCGCGCCACAACGATGCCCACGGTCCCGGTGTCGGCGCTGTGTTCAACAAGGCGCCCGTCCCCGAGCTCCCTCCCATGGCCTTTGGTGGCGGTGACCCTTACTCGCTCGCAGGCGTTGCCGGTGGCATGCACAATGTCTCGAACCCCTACGCCCACCTGGACCGCCACGGCGATTCGTACCACCGATACCAGGACCCCAATGCCGCATCTGCTGGACTCGACCGTTCAGGTAGCGACGGTAGCCACTATTCTTCGCAGAATCAGTACCAGCAGCAGCAGGCACATCGTCAATACCCTACCCCTCAGTCCGAAGCGCACGAGACCTCCGGACGACCCACCAGCATGGAGCAGGGGCGCAGTGGTACGCCTGATCTGCCGAATGTTCAACAGACGTACAATCTCAACTCTGACGAAGATCAACACCACCAGCACCAGGACTACATGCACAGCGCCTCGAACGGCCGCCAATCTGCAGGCCTGAACTCGCTGCTCGACAATTACGGACAGGGCGCTTCCCCCGCTTCGCCCCGTGATCAGCATGCAGAGTACTTCCCGGCCTCCAGCGGTGCTAGCGACGCTGCGTCCGGGTCGGCGGCCCCGCCTGCTTCGCTGCAGGTGCGCAACCTGACTGGTGGGCACCTCATGCCTGCTGGTGGCGCCCAAGGCCAACGTCCCATCTCGACGGCCAGCTCGATGAAGGATGACGATGCTGCGTACGGCGGTGTCTACTAAGCAATCTTGCTCATCTCATATATACTCGCTGCTCTCCTCGGTCTCGCTCGCTCCTCTACGTAACGGTCCCTTTGCCTGCAACTCGGCAACAAATGGCTCCTCGATTCCTCAATGGCGAGGCGACGGTGTCAGCGACAAGGCAGCCGGTTCTGCCTGGCGTCTGGTCACCACTGCCGCAGCCCCTTCGCACCCCTCCCTTTCCCCCTCCGGACCGTTCACTTCTCGCTCCTCTCTTTGTCTTCACGCTGCCTCGCTCCCACACTCTTTTCGCTCCTCTATGTGCCGTAGATTCCTCGGTGTTGTTCTGTCGACAAGAATTAAATAGCTTCTCACAAACCCCGTCCCACCCTGTTGCAGCGACGGCTCGACGTGGCTCACTTGTTCTGCTGCCCCTTCTTCTTGACCCACCTCACCATCTGCGGCTGCTGATTGTCCTTTGCAGCTCCCTCCTTTGCCAACTCATGCGCCCTCCCTACAAAGCCGTCTCCTTGCTCTTCCTCCTGCGGTGCCAAACACCAAAAGCGCACACTTACATCAACTTCCTCCCACTTGGTCACCACAGCATCCAAGCACTCCCACAGATCGCGATCAGGGACGGTCTCGCCGACCTGTCCGAACAGCCCGCCATCTCTCTCGCCAGAGCTGGGGCTCGGACTCATCCTCATCGCCCTTGTCAACCTCCAAGCATTACGTCGCCACTCGTGCAAATCATTAGCAATTCCCCTCACGAGCCACTCATGCGCGCAAGGAATGGCGACGACGATCTTGTCGAACCCTTCCTCGTGCCAAGGGACGTACTCTAGCGCGGCAATGACGGAGCGCAACATTGCGCGGGTGGGCGTGGGGGAGTAAGGGAAGACGACGCGCTCCATTCGGCGGGAGAAGTTCCCTTCAGCACGAGAGCCGGCTTTGTCGCCTTCGCCTTCGTCCTCGAGCGGTGCATGGCCATGTGCAGGCTTCATCATCGGGTCTGGTGGGCAGAAGTACACGCCCAGCCCTCCTCTCACCTCACCGCTCTCATCGCCTCCAAAGCTGTCCAGATATTTCTTGGCCCTCTCCGCCTGATAGAGGTCGATATATTCCCCTCTTGCCTCCTTGGCCGCGCGTACGGCTGCTTGATACGTGGCAGCTTGGCGAGAGGACATCGTGAGGCCTGAGCAGACCACCAGAGCTTGACGAGGGTCGCTTCGACGGACAAGCCGGAGAGGGCGATATGGTCGAGGGTCGGGGATGAAGATGTCCCGAATCAGGAGAGGGCCAGCCGAGGTTGTGGTGGGGGCAGTGGTACCGCGCGTCTTTGTAGTCTTGATGGTCGCCCCGTCGCTGCCCTCTCTGGCAGCGTTCTCCTCTACTTCCCCCCTCGTGGGCACCATGCCCTCCCCGGCGAATTCTTCTGCCTTCGTTATCCCCTTGTCCCTCTCCTGCTCCGTCATACGGTCGAATTCTGTCCTCCCACTGTAGGAGGGCGCATTCCATGGGTCAACTGAGCGATACGTGTCTCCTGTGATGGAGGGCGGGGGCCGGAAGGAGGCAACGTTTATTGAGCCGTCGATCCGAGGGTGTTTGGGGAGCTCGCCCCGCTGGAGGGCGAGGGTGGTCGCAGTTGTTCGCGTCGAGCGGGTGGAGGCTGCATGGGAGGGGCTAAGGATCGAGGGCGCCGCCTCTGATGGATGAGTCGAGGAGGAAGAGTAGGAAGGATCGGCAGAGGTAGCTGAATCACCCTCTTGTGGGAGGCGAGGGGTCATATCGATCGTGTCCTTGTACCGTTGGGCATCGCTCCTTTCTGCTTCTACAGCGGAGGTTTGAAGCGCGCTCAGCGAGTCTGCTGCCTCTTTTGTGTCGTCATCATCATCCCCAATGGCAAACGGCGCATCTCCACTGCTTGTGGTCTGCCGCGCAGCCTCGCCTCTTCTCTTGGCAAGGGCAGCCTCTTCCTTTTTCGCCCTCTGCGCGATCTCCCACCCATAATCGTACTCATCATCCCTCGCACCTCTCCTAGGCAGGAAAAGCCTACGCTTCATGCCATGTACGCCCGTCTCGTCTGATGGCGCATAAGTCACACCTCCCGGAGCATCAAGGTCGACACGATAGCGTTGCGAGCCTGCCGTGGAAGAAGAGCCCGCCTTGCCACCTTTCGAGCTGGAAGAGGTGGGTGGCTTGGTCTGCGGTCGTGAAGCCCACAGTTGAAAGTAAGGATTGTTGGCTGTCGAGGACATGGCTGATGATGGTGAGGGAGCAACAGTGATTGCCTCTCCCAATTCCAGGCCGGTAGTCGAGTGCCGAGCAAGAGAAAGTGTTGATCTGTTCGACCACGTGGTTTGCCTTGACCGCTCGTGCACGGACGTTGCTCTCCGCCTCCGCCACTCCTTTGTCGTTGGGTTCATCCTCCTTTGCCATCAACGCCTCCGGTCCCAGCCCCCAAACTCCTCATCTCGCGGCCATGAGGCTCCATGTTACCCTCACAGTGGTTCTCGCTTGCCACCTGCTGTCATGTTTGCCCGTGGCAGGCAAGCAGCTCCCCTTCGCAGCACAAACATCGACGTCTCCCACCTCTCACTCCATAAAGGTCGCCATCATTGGGGGTGGCGCCTCTGGTTCCTCAGCCGCCTACTGGCTCAGCAAAGCGCAAGAGAAGCTTGATTTCCTTGGTCGCTCCTCAGAAGGTGTAGATATCCACGTTTACGAGCGCGACTCCGTTGGCGGCCGGGCTCGTGTCATCTACCCATACGATGATCCCCAGAGATATGAATCCGTCGAGCTCGGCGCCTCGATCTTCGCCGACGTGAATAGGAACATGGTACGCTTTGCAAAGGACTTCGATCTACCTACGGATGCCAAGCTGGATGAGGATGGCAGCATTACGGCCATTTGGGATGGGCAGCAGTTTGTGATTGAGGATTTGAGCGATGGGTGGTGGAGTTCTACAAAGCTCTTCTGGCGTTACGGGTACAGCCCCGTAACCACGCGATCTGTTGTCAACGTGAGCTTGCAAGGCCTGATGCATACTCTGGTTGACGGGATGTGCTGACTTCGTCATCCTTGCTGCACACACGCAGGACCTCAAAAAGGCCTTTATGCAGCTATACAGCCCTCGCTGGATGCACGAGCGTAAGGCTGCTAGTAATGAGACGCAAAGCGGGTTCCCCTGGTCAACCATTGGAGCCCTCTCCCGCTCCCTGAAGCTGGACGAAGCCGCTGCGTCAGATGCTCACTCGTGGTTCTACGGCAAGGGCGTCTCGCAGTTGTTCGTTGAGGAGATCATTGAGGCGGCTACGAGGGTCAATTACGGGCAGTGAGTATGGAGTGCTCCGGCGAGCTAGAGACTTAAGCAGCAGCGCTCACCTGCGCATCGCGTTGCATTCGTTTGCGATTCCAGGAACACCGACTCCATTCATGGGCTCGGCGGCGGGGTCAGCCTAGCAGCAAGCGGGGCCGCAGGTATCAGAGGGGGCAATTATCGCCTTTTCCAGGAGCTGCTCGTGCGGAGCAATGCCCGGCTACACCTGGCCGAGCACGGCGAAGTCACTGGGGTCGTTCGCTTTGCTAACTTTGCAGAGGCGGTCGCGGCCGGCAAGTCGTCAGCGACTGGCGACGACGAGTTTCAACGGGAGGATGCGCCTAAGTGGTGGGTAGGCACGGCTGCGGGAACTGGCGGGCTTTATGATGCTGTCCTTGTTGCGACACCGTGGCATAATGCCGGAATTACGCTCATGAACACTGAGGCAGTCATTCCGGTGGACAAGTACGTGCATCTGCACGTCACCCTCTTGGCGACGAACGCGAGCCACCCGAAGGCGAAGTACTTTGGACGAACAGAGGGATCGGATGTGCCTACCAGTATTCTCACGACTTATGAGGCTGTAAGGAGAGCGGGGCAGAAGCGGGAACGAGATGGAGATGGAGGCGACGGTGAGGAAGACGAACCAGTTTCGCCGTCACGAAGCTGGCGCTCTCTTCTCAGCCGCAACGTTCGACAAGCAGCCGCAATGAAAAGCCCAACCCTCGACTTCAACTCTCTCAGCTATCTCGCCAAGCTCCCGCCACGCCGTCCCTCTTCCAGCCAGGAGCATCTCGTCAAGATCTTCAGTCCCTCGCGCCTCTCCGACGAACAGCTCGACGAACTTTTCGGTCTCGAACGCATAGGCTGGACATATAGACAGGAGTGGGACGCGTACCCTGAGCTGAGACCTAGGCGTAGTGACGGCGAGGATGGAGGGGATTTTGCGGCTGTCGAGCCGGACGAGGGGCTCTTCTATTTGAACGCGATGGAGCCGCTCGTGAGTACAATGGAGACGAGCACGGTCAGCAGTAGGAATGCTGTGGCTCTGCTGCTCAGCAAGTGGTATGGTCAGGAGTTTGTTGTGGGCAGCAGGTGCTCATGGCGTGAGGAGGCTGATGATGATGACGACGCCAAAGAAGGGTGGGATGGCTGGGGATGCCAGGCCGCGTGAGGCTGGATTCCCGTGCTTCCCAATGCTTGGTGTTTCTCTCCACGATGTACTTTTATTCTCATGCCTCCTCCGAGTGACCACGTATACGATACACTCCTTGACTTGTCCTGTGCAATCGGTGGCTCACGATCGCTCTCTGGATCGTGGAGTCCCAATTCCGCGTGGAGCTTGTCGTGTCCGCTCGTCGCCCTCTCCGTCAATTAGGGCAACCACGCGACTTGTCAATCTATCCATTCGATCCATCCACCCCCGGATCGCACGCTTCAGCAGCACAGACCCTCCCCTCTTGCATTAGATTGGGATAACGAGCTCGGCACAGGTCACTCGCATTTTACTGGTTCTTTGCGATGGTCTCGACACGGTGAGTAGGCACAGGAGCGACCGTGCGCGTCTCTGGAGTGGAGTGGATGGTGGGTGGATGGATTCCGGCGTCCGTGGCGGCGGGGAGAGGGCTCGAGGGGCTTTGCTTTGCTTGCTTGCTCATCCGGACGCGACGCCCGCATTATACTCGCATTCGTATCGTTCCGCGATCCCAGCCGACTGCGTGCTGCGTCGTTGCAGTCCGGGCTTCACTCAAATGAAGATGGCTTTACGCTCACTCAGGAGAGCGCATGGAGAGGGCAAATGGGAGGGTACAGAGAGAGCGCGGAAACGAGCGAGCCAGTCGAGCGATCGGAATACCAGTGGGGTGGAGATGGATGCGCCTGCTGCAGCATGAGCGAGAGGGCGCATTTGGGCGTTTTCTTCAAGAGCGACGGACGGATAGAGAGTCGTCCATTGTCCGTCGTCGTCTTCACACTGCAGGCACGCACAGCCCGGCCTCGTCGTCGTCGACCTCGAAAGTGGAAGATTATCAAAGCCCATCTCGCCTTCCCCTTTGCCCTCCTATCACCATACCCCTCGGCGCGACGCAAATAACAGCTCGCTCACCTCTCTGACCATTCCATACCTCCTCTCTCCTTCCTTCCAACTCTCACCAGCGCATCGTCGCGAACGCCTTCGCGCACACCGTCACGCAAGCGCTCTAGCAAGAGCCTCAAGGACGCCGGCTCCCCTTCGTCACCAAAGAACAACGGAGCTGCGTCTCCTAGTCCCTCCAAGTCAACGCCCAGATCCGCTTCCAAGACATCGGCCGCCGCCGCCGCTTCCAACTCGACCTCAGCCTCCCCAGCTACCCCAACTCCAGCCCCCAAGCAACGCAGGCAGACCCGAGCCATGTCCAAGGAGACGATGCTTACCAAGGGGACATTCCCCGCAGGCGACCCAAAGGTCCTCGCACCCAAATCGGAACATTACGAGTTCATGGGCCCGCCTGGCGCATTCTTCATTTCCACGACTGTGCCCTTCTTCTCGTACGCCCTCTACTACTTCTGCAACGAGCAAGTCGGTTGCGCTGTCCCGCCCAAGAACGTCAGTGCTATCATGTCGTTGATGGGACAAGGCATTAAGGACAGCTTCTTTGATGGGCAGGCTTGGATCATCTACTTTGGCTGGTACGCATTCTGCGTTCTTGCATGGGCATTGCTTCCCGCACCCGAGGTCGAGGGCACCGAGCTTCGCACAGGAGGCAAGCTCAAATACCAACTCAATGCTCTGCGCACCCTTGTTCTGGCCTTTGCCCTCGTCGCCGCGCTCATCTTGACGCAGGGACCGCAGGCCTTCACTTTCCTCTACGACCATTGGGTCGGCCTCGTCACCGTCTCCCTCGTCAACTCGGTCGTGCAAGCCATCTACGTACATGCTCGCTCCTTCGGCGCAGGACGCCTCCTGGCCAAGGGCGGCAACACGGGAAACCTGATGTACGACTGGTTCATTGGCCGTGAGCTCAACCCTCGCATTGGCAAGTTCGACATCAAATACTTCAATGAGCTTCGCCCCGGCCTCATCCTCTGGTGCCTCCTTGACATCAGCTGCGCCTGCCACCAGTATGTGCGTCTTCACGGAAAGGTTACCGACAGCATGCTTCTCGTCAACGCTTTCCACATCCTGTACGTTGTCGACTCACTCTGGAACGAGGCGGCCATACTCACCACGATGGACATCACGACGGACGGGTTTGGCTTCATGTTGTCGGTAGGCGATCTCACCTGGGTCCCCTTCGTCTACTCCCTCCAAGCCCGCTATCTCGCCTTCCACCCCGTCAAGCTGGGTCTCATCGCCTCTTTGGCAATCTTTGCCTTCAACGGGCTCGGGTACTACATCTTCCGCGTCTCCAACGGCGAGAAGAACGACTTCCGCAACGGCAACAACAGCAAGAAGCTCAAATACATGACCACGTCTAGCGGGCGACGTCTCATCACCTCTGGCTGGTGGGGCAGGTCGCGCCACCCCAACTACATGGGCGACCTCATCATGGGTCTGGCTTGGTCCCTCCCGTGTGGCTTCGAGACGCCGCTCGTCTACATGTACGTCGTGTACTTCTTGGTGCTCTTGGTCCACCGTCAGCTGCGCGACGACGAGGCTTGCCACGAGAAGTACGGCAAGGACTGGGAGCGCTACTGCAAGCTGGTGCCTTACCGCATCTTCCCTTACATCTACTGAGCGTGATGTCACTCGAGGAGGCGATGCTGTCCCAGTGTTAATCGACTCTTGCTATCTAAATAACGGTTCCTCAACCACCTACCCAGGCGAGCCCTTGCCTTGCCTACACGCCAAATTTCTCTCTTCTCTATTGTCGTGACGCGGGCCGTGTGATTCCCTCTCTGAAATCAAATAAGATCAACAGTCGCACCCAGTGAGCTTTGTGATGGCTCTCTCCTACTGAAATTCATGAGTCTGTCTCTACGGCGATGCAAGCGGTCGCGTAGGTCAAGGCGGACAGAGAAGCGGAGGCGATGCCGACGTGGAGGAGGGAGACTCAAGTGAAGCTCGCATCTCGCACAGGCCTTCCTTCTCTCCTTCACACCCACAGTCAACGACTTCGGCTTTCCTTGAGCTAAGGTGTTGCATACAAGGAGTCACAGACTACTGAAAGTCAAGGCCGTGTAGGGGCCCCGCAAGACTTTTTGCCCATCCTAAGGCCTCGCTGCGCAGCGCTCCACCCAAGATGGACGAGATGTGAGTCGGCCATGATCGATCGCGTTGTTCCATTCATGCAGCTCATGCTGACGTCCTCCCTTTCTCTGACACTCAAGCCGCAAAGTCCCCCCAATCACCCGCTTTCTCATCGGCTCCACCCTCGTCACATCCCTTCCATGCATCCTTTCCCTCCTGAACCCGTACCACCTCCTCCTCTGGTATCCCGCCATCCTCCGCAACTACGAGATCTGGCGTCCCCTCACCTGCTTCTTCCTAACTGGGCTAGGCCAGAATGGAGGGCTTCAGATGGTCTTCGACCTCTTCTTGCTCGGTAGGAACACATTGGACTTGGAGACTAGTGGCCAAGGGTTCGCTAGAAGGACCAGCCAGTTTGCGTGGGCGTTGCTGATGATGGGGTTTGTGATTCTGGGCACCAACTACCCGCTCGGGAGCACGGTGCTATTCAACCCTATGCTGAGCGCGCTTAACTATCTGTGGGCGAGACACAACCCGAATGCCAGGGTCAGTCTCTTCGGCCTGGTTACCCTTCCTGCCAACCTGCTACCCTACGCCTACCTGGGATTCGATGTGCTGCGTGGCGGCTTGCCGTTGGCAATGCAGAGCGCTACAGGTCTGTTGGCGGGGCATGCTTGGTGGGTGCTGGCAGAGGCGGCTCAAGGTGATCACCCTGGAGGGGCCGCTCGTAGGCTGGCTACCCCTCCTGGTTGGCTGCAAGCTTTGCTACCGGACAGCGTGGCACCAGAAGATGTGGCCGCGCAGGCTGCTAGAGACGCTCCAGGGGGTGCAGGAGGACGGGTAGCGAGCAGAGCATGGGGTGGAACGGCTTTCGCTCCGAGAGGTCGCAACTTTGGAGACGGGCAAGGCGTCGGGGCATGGGCTTCGGGAGGCGGTGCTGCTGGACAGACCATTGGTGGTAGTGGGGTAGGCGCAGCTACACGAGGAGGATCGTCATGGTTGCCCAGCTTCCTCGGCGGTGGAGGCGGAGGTGGATCGACAGCATCAACGTCGACTTCAGCTACTCCCGCACACAGGCGAGACGCCCTCCTCGAGGCCACAGAACGCCGTTTGCGTGCTCAGCGCGAGTCGTCCATCGCAGGCAGGAATGAGCGCGCAGCCCCTTCTGGCCCTGCCGTGGTGCAAGGCCAAGCTGGTGGGCCGAGCGGAGGAAGCACCTATTCATCTGGTGTGCCAGCGGCTTCAGCGTCTTCCGCCACTTTGAGAAGTCGCACGACTGGATCTGCAGGTGTGACAGGGCGCGTGCAGCACGGTCAAGGTCGAGGCGGCGATAGCGACGAAGAGGAAGAGCTTGACGCGAGCAGCTCGGGTGGGGCTGTCGCTGAGCAGCGCAGGGCTGAGCCTAGGGGTGGCGGTGGCGGTAGCAAGTCTGCCGGTGGCAGCAGTAGCGGCGCAGCAGACAATGGTGGTGGGCATCAGTGGGGAACGGGTCAGCGTCTGGGCGAGTGAGCCTGCGCCCAAGACAACATAATCAATCCAATCAGCATCTCCAACATTTCTTTGCCTCTGCCCCACACACCGTCATAAGGTACACGATCATCCATTTGTTGACAAGACAAGACCTTGTTGCATTTCTACATAGCTGCCGACCCACCCTCCGTGCAGCATACACTCTCTCTTCCATGCCAGGCATCCCTTCTACGCCTTTTCAGCTGCTCAAGCCTCGAAGTTGAGGCTGGCACCAACCTTGTGCGCGACCGCCGAGTTCTCCGCGCTCGCCAGCTTAGCGGTGTCGAGCGCGAGGCCAAGGCTGGCCTTGACGCCCGGGCGGAGAGCCTGGGTGTAGCCCAAGCAGAAGATACCGGCCGAGTTGATCTTGGCCTTGACAAAGGCAGCGTCGTCGAGGTAGGTCTTGGTGCCGACCTCGAGGTTGACACGGTTGTCCGCGGTGGCCGACTTGGAGTCGTAGGTGGCACGAGCACCAGCCTCAATGTCCGCGTTGACGCGGTGGTAGTAGGAGGCGGAGTAGGTCGAGAGGTTGCCAAGACCTTGGAGCGTGATGGCGTACTCCGGAGCCTGGTAGCCGGCCGCGAGGTTGTAGCGCGAGACCTTACCGCCCTGTGCGTGAAGCGAGGAGGAGAGGGCATTAGCTCGACTGAAGAGACTATCAGCAGCACACTCCGCGCTTGCGCACCTTGACATCGTAGGCAGCCTCAGCACCGGCGAGGAAGCCGTCCTTGCCAACGACGGCGTCGGCGGTGAAGGTGGGGCCCTTGAAGAGGTCGAGGTGCTGGCGGGTGTGGACACCAGGCTGCTTGTAAGTCGAGGCGAAGAGGGCGTTCCTGGCGCGAGAGCGACGACGAGACGGTCGAGTGATTAGCTACAAAATAAGAAGGAGAACTGTTGTTGTCACGCCTTGTTGCACTCACTTGGCCTGCTTGTCGGGGAGGAGCGACGAGATGAGCTCGAGCTTGAGGCCCTTGGCGATGTGGTTCTCGAGCTCGACGTGGTTGCGGAGCACGTTAGCCGTCGACCAAGCCTGGGTCAGAGCGAAGCCGTTCTTCCTGGCGGCGTACAAGGAGGGTGAAAAAAGTCAGTCTCATGAAGTCTGAAGCCTCTTCTAGTCTCGCAGCCTGCTCGCTGGACGCACCTGTCGGTGAACTTGGCCTCGAGGTCGCCGTTGATGTTGCCGGACTTGGTGTCGCGGATGCCCAGCACCTTGAAGGTGACGCCGTTGGGGGCCTGGGTCTTGACCTCGAGGGTGGTACCCTGGATGGGGCTGGTGGTGAGGAACAGTGCGAGGTGGGATTGATGACGATGGTCAGTATATGCGCGCGCGGATTAGAAAAGAAGTCGGTGTCGGTCGAGGATGGCACTCACTAGTCCTTGCCAAGGAGGTCGGACGAGGCCTTGGCGAAGTCCTTCCACGAAGGGGGAACGGGGTTGGTCTTGGTGATGCTCATGGTTGTGCAGTGAAGAGGAAAGGAAGGTAGGTGGAGATGTTGTTGGGTGAAGGAAGGAAGGCAGACCCGAGGCCGCGCCGGCTTGCGTTGGCGCTCTCGCCCCACCAGCGCGAGAGAGTGTGGGTGCACCGGGCAACCACCGGGCAACTTCGGCCACAGAGCAGCACAGGGTCGAAGATCTCGCACGTGGCGCACGCAACCTCGATCATCGCGGGAGATGGAGGTCAAGCTGCCTTCAAACAGAATTGGCATGGCATCGCCGCGACTTCAGAGTCAAGGCAGATGGGAGGAGATGAATGCTCGTTCAATCAGACCGCCGTGAAGACATCTGATCACCATCTTCCTCGCTAGCACGCCGAACAGTCTGCTTGAAAAGAATCGTATTTGGGTCGAGTGCAGGAGATAGGAGGTAGCCGCCTCATCCTCCCTCGTCTCGATCTCCTCCTCCTCCTCCTCCTCCTCGTCCATCTCTCGCTGAATCGCCAGATTCTACCTTCTATCACTCTGCCTCAGAGTTTGCAGCTCGTACATCGGGCATCATCCTGCACACGTGCTGCCTGCTTTTTCCACCCCTCTAATCCCTTCTCGCACGTCTCAATCGCACACACTTAGTCCAGCGCAGCAGCACCAGTGACAATGTCGATAAGCTGCGTGGTAATGACCTGCTGACGAGAACGGTTGTACTGAATGTTGAGGTTGGTGATCATGTCTCCAGCGTTCGACGAGGCATTGTCCATTGCGTTCCTTCGCGCGTTGATCTCAGCTGCGTGACCCTCGACGAGCGTAGCATAGATGGCATTGGCGAGGGCAAACTCGGCCAAGTCCTTGGTCGTGTCCTCCTCCTGCTCGTAGGTGCTGAAGCCGGGGGCGTCACGAAGAGACTGCTCCGAGAGGACCTCCATGATGGCAGACTCGAAGCTCATGGCGGAGACGTACGAGTTGTAGATGATGTTGACCTTGTCGAAGTTGATGCCCGACGAGACGATCTTGTCTGCGATGGCAGAGGCATCGGCAAAGGTGGGGATATCCTTGCCAATCTGGTTGAACGAGACGGCAATGTTCTTGGGGAGCGTACGGGACAGCTGAGCCTTGGGCTTCTCACCAAGGGCAAAGATGGCGGGACCCTCCGTCGAGTCGGCAGAGCCTGCTGCTGAGCCAATGGCCTGGAGCTCCTTCTTTGCGCGCTTGACGACGGACGAGTGAATACCACCGCAGAGCCCCTTGTCCGAAGAGATGACAACAAAGAGGGCCTTTCCACCCTCGGCGCTCTTGGCCTCCGAGTTCTCAAAGACTTCCTGGTTGGCTTTGCCGTAAGCGCGAGCAGAGGCCATGGCACGCTGAGCCTTGTTGAGCTTCGTCGAGGCGATCATCTTCATCGACTTTGTGATCTTCTCGATGTTGCGGACCGACTTGAGGCGGGTCTCAAGCTCACGAAGCGTAGCTCCCTGAGAAGGAGTCGAAGAGAAGGCACGAGCAGCAACGATGGTGTTGCCGATGGCCGGGCGCACAGCGGCGTTGACGGCGGGGCGAGCGGCACGAGGAAGCATGGCCATCGCGAAGAAAGGGGGATGTGGAGAGTGGTGGTAGTGAGGAGGAAGGGGGCGAGGGGAAAGAGGCGAGGACGAAGATGTCACTCAGCAGTCGGCCAGTGGCCAGTCGGGGCGCCCCGCCCGTGCCGCGTGCTCGCTGCTGGCGGGCCCGCCCGGCTTTCGTCGAGCCACCTCGACACCCTCATTTGGCGGCCACTCCGCCGCGCAAAATCGCTCTCTGAGCAGACGAGCCGAAGACGCCAAGGGCGAGCCCTGTTACACGCTCTCGTCACCATGGCAGCTCTCAAAGGAGACACGACGACGCTCGCATTTCACGGAGTCCAGCAGCCGATTCAAGAGCGTGTGCGTGACGAGAGAGAAGAGCGCGATCATGACCAAGTGTACGGCGGCATGACAGAGAACGGAGGAGCAGATTCGCGAGTCGTGGGATCCGTCACCGTATCGTCCCATCTTAGCGTGTGTAGTCTGACGGTCATCGAGCGACTGACTCTATCGCATGATCCTCACAAACCCTTTGCGGCATCGTCGACCTCACTGCCAACCCTTCGCTTGCTTCGCCTCGCCAGGCTTGATTTCTCCACTGGTCGGGTGGATGGGCACCTTTCCTGGCTTCATGCCGACAAGGACACCAGGTCCCCCGAATCTCTTTTCCTCGCTCACCTTGCGCCGAACTTGCGTGTCGCCCTGCCCGGCAGTCCCACCTGTGATGACCCCGGTGCCTCCGAAGCGCTTCTTCTTCATCAGAAGCTTGTCTTTAGAGGAGACGTGAGACTTCTTGATGTGGTCATGCTCGCTACGGATGACGTCCTCTGCGTCTCGTCCGCGGCGGTGGTGGGGGCTCCCGTTGCTGATGGGCACGCCGGAGAAGACCTTCTTTGGGACAATGGGCTTCTTCGCATCGCCCCCCTTGAGGGAGCCAGGGATGACGGGGGAGAACATGGAACCGAACTTGGACTTGACTTGGCCAGAATGGTCGTAAGCGTCGCCCTGGTTGACGCCGGCGAGGGTGTGAGTCGTAACCATGGGGAAGCTGCTGCAAAGGGACACCGGCTGAAGTAGGTCAGCGTGATGCGATTGAGGAGGCTGTTGCAACCAAACTCACCCTCGTGCATCATTGTCAGGCCAAGTGGGTGGAGCAACGTCGTGCATGCCGCGACTCTCATTTGGGACGTTGATGGGCATGGCGGTAATCTAACGGTCGAGGAAGACGGGAAACGTCAGCTCTTCGTTGAGGAGAGGGGAGCTGGCGACGGCACCCTCACCGTGACTGCGCAAAGCAGGCCTAGTAGGCAGGAACTCGTAAAGAAGCTAAGCTTCATCATAATTTGGCGGTGGGGAAGAAGGCGTTCGGTGTGGGTGTGATGGTGGAGCAAGATGACAATAGGTTCAAGGGGAGGGGGGGGGGAGTAGACTTTATGACCCTTCTTCGACTCGCTGACTCTGCTGCTTGTTACCTGCGATCATCAACGGCGAGCGGCCATCGAACGGCCAATGTCTCCGGCTGCCCTCATGACCCACGGCTGGTCACTTCCCGGTCGCCGCTGCCCCGTCGGCTCACTACAGTGCATGGATAGCGATAGCGGGCTCAGCAGAGCAGTGCTGTATGGTAGTCATGAGAGCAAGCGCCATCGCCGTGCGGCCTTGATGAGAGGGCAGCGTCTACATGCTGCGTGCTAGATTGGTTTTGCGTGGACATCCGGCCGAGGGTTGAGCCCTTCTCCCACGCAAGGGCAGGGTGGGCTGGTCAAGATCGAGAGGTCTTCGCGGTCAGTGGCGGTATTCCCTCATGATGCGCCTTCGATTGAGCTCGAGAAATCAGATGGACGTTGCCCTGCGACCATCAATCTCGCTCGTAGCTTGAGGTGTGCCTCGTAGCCGAACGGGGTGCTCCACGTGGAAGGCCCGGCCGCATCGGCCACGCCAAGTGCTCTGGGAGCTGTGGCTCGCGGAGCAGTCCAACACTGAGCTGCCTGAGGAAGGAACGACTTCTCTTTGCTCTCCTTCTTCTCACCCAGCATATCTACACGCAGCCAGCTCCTCCTCAGCGGCTCGTATTACCGATTCACAGGAACTCGACCCATCTCCTCCTCTTTCTCGCGCCGCCTGAACAGCGTCGTCTTGCGGGCCTTGTTGCCTTGGCTCTCCATCTTCGTCCTCGCCGGTCTTCGTCGCCTCACGGTCCACCGTAATTGACAATGGTCTCTGCTGCAGAGCTTCAGCGTATGCATGAGCAGGCCAACAGCGCCCCCAACGCTGTCTCGGCTGCTGGCAATCAGGCTGCCCCTATGGCCGACCCTTTCCCTTCTCTGACCGAAGATCCCTTCCCGGCCATGAGCAACGGTCAGGGGCCTCACAGCTCCGCCGCCGCCGCAGCCAATGGCACAGCTACTTCGGCCAGGAAGTCTGCTCAAGGTAATCAGATAGCTCAGCCTGATTTGTGAGTGCGCGGCTGATGGTGAAGGAGAGCGCCGTTGTGCAGCAAAGCTGATGTATGCTGCTCACAACGCCCGCAGCAACTCGCAGTCTGCCTTTCCCTCTCTGGGAGCATCTGCTCCAGCTCCCAAGGGTCAGTGGGGTCAGAAGCTCAATACTTCCAAGCCTGCCTCTGCCGCTTGGTCTGGCTCGACGCCCGTCATCCAGCGTCCCGTCTTCCAGGAATCGCTGTCTATTCCCTTCAAGGAGGACACCAACGCCAAGGTCAGCGCTGCCATGACTGCTCTCCAAAAGAAGTACAAGAACAGCATCAAAGTCGAAGCCAGTACCACTCGCTCTACCAGCACTACAAACTTCGTCATCAAGGGCACTGACCAGGCTGCCGTTAAAGCCGCCCGCAAGGAGCTCACCGTCTCGCTCGCTCGCCGCGTCACCCTCGAAGTCATGGTCCCTCAGTCCCTCCGCGCCTTTGTCATTGGTGCAAAGGGAAAGAACTTCAAGAACATCACCGAGCAGACTGGCTGCCGCGTCAACATGCCTCGTCAAGAGGGAGAAGCCGCAGTCGAGCTCGCAGGTCCCCGCGATGAAGTCGACTTTGACAATGACGAGCAGATTGCCGTCTCCATCGAGGGTGATGAGGTCAATGCTCAACAGGCTGCCCAAATGATCCAGGCAATCGTCGCTGAGCGCACTTCGCGCACCACGCAGAGGATCACCACTGTCGAGCACATCTTCTATCCCTTCATCGCCGGCGCAAAGGGCGCCAATGTCGCCCGCATCGAGGCTGAGGTCGGGTCTGGAGACGTCAGCGTTCGTGTCCCTCCTCGCGCAGCCTTCTTGCACCCCAAGGATGCTGAGGACGAGGAGGCTCACCCTCGCCGCGAGCGAGATCTTTCCATCATCGTCTCCGGCGACCGAGCTCAGGTCCAGGCCGTTGTGCAGGCCATCGAGGCTCAGGTGGAGGACATGAAGCGCGAGTTCCGCTGCCTCAGCATCTCGGTCCCCAAACGTCAACATCGCTTCCTCGTCGGCGATGCTGCCAATGACATCCTCGCATCGTCTGGCTGTAGCGTTGAGCTGGCCCCTCAAGACGATCCATCAGACCAGGTCACCATCCGCGGCCCGCAAGCTAGGCTCCCCATGGCCCTCACCGCCGTCATGGAGAAGGCCAATGCCGTCAAGGTCGACGTCGTCGATATTGTCGCTGCTCATCGATCGGCGTCCGACGCCCTGCAGCACGCTAAGAATCTCCTGCGATGGCTTCAAGTCAGCGGTAAGCTGCCCAAGAAGCAAGGCGTGCAGGTCTTCACTCCTCGTCCCGCACTCGTCGAGAGCTCGGGCAATGTCCAGATTGAGATCGTAGGCGCAGAGCAGGCCGACGTCGCCGAGGTCCGCTCATCTCTCGACCGGCTTGTTAAGGGAACGCCGCCTCACTACGTTGACACCCTTGACGTTGATCCCCTGCTGCACGCTCTCCTCATCGGCAAGAAAGGCGCCAACCTGAAAGAGTACGAGCGCAAAGGTGTCGATGCTCTCTTCCCGCCACCGTCAACGGCTGACGGCGAGGGTCGCTCGGACATCATTCTCATCTACTCGCCCACCATGGAGACGTCCGACAAGAAGGCTCGCGATGCCGAAGCTAAGCGCGTCCTCGCGGAAGTCAAGGCAGACCTTCTCAAAGCCTCGCAACAGGCTGCTGACCTCAAGACGGAGACGCTCAACGTCCCTTCAAAGTACCACCGTACTATCCTTGGCCCGGGTGGCAGCACTCTCAACGCGGTCCTCGGCGAGGAGCGCATCGTCGCCGTGCGAGTGGGCAACAGCAAGGGACAAACCGGCGCAGACGACACCATTACGATTCGCGGTCCCTCAACAGAAGTCGATCGCGTAGCTGCGGCTCTGCGAAAGATTGCCAAAGACGCCGAAGAGGACGCAATCGTCAATGGTCATGAGGCCACCTTCTCCGTAGACCCCGCCCACGTCAAGCACCTGGTTGGCAAGTCGGGCGCTGCGATCACCAAGCTGCGCGAGGAGCTCGGCGTGCGAGTGGACTTCGACGACGCTGCAGCCACGAATGGGGCAGCCGCCAACAAGAAGTCTGCCGCCAAGGTGCAATGCAAGATCGTCGGTCGCAAGGAAAATGTCGAGGAGGCGCACAAGCGACTCCTTGCCCAAGCCGAGAAGCTGGCAGACGAGCGCGAGGAGACGCTCAAGGTGCCGCAAAACCTGCACTCTGCCATCATTGGCAAGGGTGGCGTATGGGTCACGAGGCTGCAGGACAATCACGGCGTACGCATCGAATTTCCGCGACAGGGTGGCGCTGCGAAGGAAGAGAGCGTAGCCTCTTCGCGCGCTCAGAAGGCCGACGAGGTCATTATTCGTGGTGGCAAGAAGGGCGTCGCAGCAGCGAAGGCTGAGATTCTTGAATTGCTGGAGTACGAGAAGGAGAACAACAACGTCGCTGAGTTGTCTGTCAGCACGGCGTCCCTGCCCCGCATCTTGGGCAAGAGTGGAGCGACAGTCAATCAGATCCGAGATGACACGGGCGCCCAGATCGATGTTGATCAGAACGGCAGTGGAGAGAAGGAGAAGACGACGACCATCCGCCTTCGTGGTACCAACAAGGCCATCGCAGCTGCCAAGGCTGCCATTACAGCTATTGACGCCGAGGTCAAGGGTGAGGAGACCTTTGCGATCCACATCCCCTCGAAGTACCACGGCCAACTCATCGGCCCCGGCGGACAGGGAATTCGTGACCTCATCGCTCGTGCTACCGGCTCTCAGGACACCGCTTCTGGACGCTCGGCTACACAGCTTGTCCAATTCCCCAGGCGAGGAGAGCAGAATGCAGACGTGGTCACCGTTCGCGGCCCCTCGGGTATCGCACGCAAGATCAAGGCCGAGCTCGAGTCCTCCGCCAAAGTCTTCACCGAGCGAGTCTGCCACGGCTTCGTCGCCCCACCAGAGCAGCAGCGCCTGCTCATTGGACGTGGTGGCTCTCGACGGGCAGAGCTCGAGTCCCAATTTGGTGTTCGACTGGTCTTCCCCGGTCGAGCAGAGCATGGCCAGGAAGAGGTCGAGAACAGTGCCGAGATTGGCGAAGCACCGCAAGAGCATATTGTCAAGGTACTGGGCAAGGTCGAGGACGTTGAAGCTCTCAAGAAGGAGCTGGCGAGCAACGCGGCCGCTACGCGCATCGTCAAGATCCCGAGGTCGATGCACAAGCAGTTGGCCACGGCAGATCTGTTCCGCAAGCTGAGGAGCTCCTACGGCGTGAATGTGGACGCGCCGCGCGTGAGGGACAGCGGGAAGTCACAGGGAGGCAAGGTTGTCATGTCCACAGGTGGCAACGCGGCTGCGGAGGCACGCATTGACGACGAGGAGACTCAGGCTACGTCGGCTGACGACCTGCCCTTCGAGCTGCTCGAGCTTGGCGGCGAGTCCGAAAGTACCGACGAAGCCTCCGTGGACTGGACGCTTACCTTCAAAGGCAACTCGTCTGAAGCCTCTGACTCCCTGCAGGCAGCGCACGACCATCTCCTTTCAGCCATCTCGGGCAGCTCGACCATCTCGCACGAAGGTCGTCTCATCGTGCCCGCAGGCTCTATCCCTCGAATCATCGGCAAAGGGGGGAGTGGGCTGCGAGCCATCCAGGATGAGCACGCGTGCAGCGTTGAAATCCCGAGAGAGGGGAAGCCGAGGGGGCTGTGCATCATCAAGGGGAGCAAAGAGGCTGTGATGGAGGCGAAGGACAGAATCGCCGAGATTGCCACGCAGCCTGGTCGCTACTAAAGAAAGCGCGACCAGTCCGTGCACGCAGTCGGCGGTCGGTCGAAGGGCATTGCTCGGTGTTGATGCTCACCGCTCTCTACTGTCATCATCGTCTCTCAGAAAGGGCTGCAGTCTGCCTATTGCGCTATGCCCCCTTAAGTTGTGCAATAAAGAATCAGTAGGTCTCGTACATGCGCATCCTTTGCCATTCCACCTCCGTGCGTTCCACTCATTGGCCATGCGGGATATCAAGGACACGAAACGTCGATAAGTCAGGCCATCCCTTTGCCTTGTTGTAGCTGAGGATCTCTTCGGTTGAGTTGGTGCCCGTTACTAGGTCCCACTCCTTTTGGCAGCCTGTGTGCGCGGGCACGAGGAGGAGGAGGCGGACGAAGGTCAGTCTCTCGATTTGAGGAGCATGATCATGTCGATGATGCAGAGCTCACCGTATCCGGCTAAGTCATACACAAAGGTCTGATGCGGGTCGCACGCGCAGCGTGGCTGCGAGGCAGGGTGTTGGGGGCAGTAGTGGAAGGGAGTATGATAGTATCCCTGCGCGTGTGAGAGGACGAGGCGAGACGTGGTACGGTCAGCTCGTCCTGCCTCTTGCAATCCGTTTCGTCACCCATCTGGCGGTGCTCACTATGTTGGTAAACTGATGGACCTCCTCCTTGCTGAGGAACCACGAAACCGCAATGGTATGCACGGGCGCATCCCCCGTGCGGTCGTAGTAGAAGATGCCTAGTTCTTCCAAATGATCGAAAAAGGCTTGGTAGGCTTCCGACCTGAAGAAGTCAAGATTCGCAATCTCAAAGTTGTTCCAAAAATGGCACAAATTGTAGCCTATCTTGTCCTCCTTGGAGATGAAGGGCAAAATGTCGAGATTCGGGGAATGGTACTGCGGATTCTTCATGAGCCACATGCGCGCTTTTGGCCAGAGGGTCTTGATTGTTGCTTGGTACTCCTTGAGCGAGAGGACCCAGCCGTACTTCTTGTTGTGCTTCTTCATCCATCTGAAAGGATCGAAGAAGTCTCCCGTCCCATCCGTCTTATCGTCCCACGACGTAGGTGCTGCTCCCTGCGATGGGACGAGGTTGCAGGTGTAGCGCGTCTGCGGCTCGACTCGCCAATAGAAGTCAAGGTCCTTGACCAAGGGATGACGGTAGAAGAAGCCAGACTGGAAACGACACATGTGCCTATAGCTCTCGGACATAGCGTAGGGGACCTTGCTCTTTGCGATAATCTCCCATCGTCGTTTGGCCTTTTCCCAGTCAATCCAGTCGGGCGCCCGCCAGTGCTCGGGGGGCACTTGGCCGAATCTGATGTCTGGGTCAGAGGCGTGAGGGCCGCCGAAGCGCTGCCGTGCGGAGGCGAGGTAGGCTGTAAGCTTGGCCTTGAAGTAAGGGGTGAATTCTTGGTCATTCAAGAGGACGTAGGGGTAGGAGGTGAGCGGGTGGCTGTTGAACGTCGACTCTAGGTTGGAGAGCGTGGGCAGCAGCTCGCCGAGGTCTTCATTGCGGCAGAGGATGAGGAGAGCAGCGTTGGGTTTCGGAGGAATGAAAGATGGAGCAGATGTTGAAGAGACGCCCCAGATGCGTGACGCAGCACCGCTAAGTGATTTCGAGGTGGAGGAGGCGGGGCGTTGAGGTATCAGATTGAAGAGGACGATGCAGAGCAGAAAAGCGAGAAGGTAGACCGCAGGACGTAGCGGCAGGCGAGGAGCCATGACTACTGTCCTTGCTGATCACCGCCAAAGAGGTGATGCAGAAGAGAAAGAAAGAATTGAGGTTAACAGGAAGGATTGAGAAGAGGTAGCCACCGCAGGTGCGTCATTTAATGGCCGCCAAGAGGGCGTAGCCCTTCGGCAAGGCTGCGTCGGCAGATTGAGTTGAGCTCAACTCAAAGAGGCGACTGTTGGACTCGGATGCAGCAAGGTCGGGCCGACTTCGGGCACGGATAAGAGGTTGTGCTCAGCAGGGATCTAGTCATGGTCATGTATGGCTGAGAGAATAGAAGTACAGGTAGTCGATTCGGAAGCACAGAAAGATGGATCACTTGATGTAGCGCTGTTCGGGGAAAGGAGGTGTATAGAGTTCAGCCGTCACCGTCCCCAAACAAGGGCCCACTGTTGGAGCTTTCTCACTCACCCGCATGAACTCCTTGTGGAAATCGCTCCTCGTCATATCATTGATGAAATCGCTCTTGTCTTGCTTGGCGCCTGCCGCCTGATTTTTGAAGATGACATCGTCGTCCCACCTCCTCTTGACGCCAAAGGATGGCTGTCCTGTGGCTTCGGTGGATACGCTCATTGCAGAGGGGGAACGGCCGCGCGCCGAGCTGCCAGCTCCTCGCTCGTCACGATTGCCGTTGAGGAGTGGGTTGCCCAACGCAATCTCCTCCTCACGCTTCTCGCGCTCACGCTCCTCCTCTTCTGCCTTCTTTGCAGCAGCGGCCGCCTTCTCTGCCTTGATCTTCTCGAGCTCGCGCATCAGTTGGGCAGTCTCGTCTTCGTCATCGTCATCGTCTTCGTCTTCGTCTTCGTCGTCTTCGTCTTCCTCTTCGCCTCCGCTGCGAGAAGGAGATGGTGAAGGCAAAGGTCAGCTCAGAGTCCCGGGTGTGCTATCTCACGTAGCTGAGTACTCACTCTAGGCCTTGCTCCTTGAGGATCGCGCGAGCTCTTGCTTCGATCTCCTCATCATCTTCGTCGTCGTCGCCATCCTCATTGTCTTCATCGTCCTCTCCCTCGTCATCCTCAGCGTCGCCGTCACCAGCAGCCGCGCCAGCTATCCTCTCGGGCAACCTCGGCTTCTTGAATGCGCTCTCCTCGTCGACGTCGTCCTCATGCCCCTCCTCAGGCTCCGTCTCTGGCTCCGGCTCCAGCCCTTCGGCCTTCCTCTTCTTATTCCTCGCATCCCTCTCTGCCCTAGCCAGTCTAGCCTTCAATGCCTCCCTTGTCTCCTCGCCAAAGTCTGTGCTGGAGATGGCTGCTTGCCCTTCCCCATCTTGGCGGTACTTGAGTTTGGTGTGCGCGGGCACATCGCGGGTAGAGACTACTTTGGACGCATGCTTGGTGTCATTTTTGCCCCTCGCTGGGTCCCATGTGGGGCGATGTGCTGTCGACATGGTTGCTGAGTGGCGATGCGAATGATGCGGTGGGAAGTCGACAAGTTGAGATGTGGATGGAGGGCCAAGCGCCGCCGACGGGACGGAGACGACGAAGCGGGCGGGCAGACCAAGTCTCATCCATCTCGAGCCGCGTCTCAGACGATTTGGCGCCCCTCGATGCATTCGTGGAGGGTCAAATCACAAGAGCAAATGGCAATCTTGACTTCGCGCCCTTTGCACCCTTCTCCCGTGCCTCCTCTTCCTCACATCTATCCTACTTTCAAGGCAGGGTCTCCTCCGTGCCCTTTGCATGGGTAGCAATGATGCACAACCCTCGACCCTCAACTCTTGACAAGGCGCACGCTGCTTCGTGGGATGACTGTATGCCGTCGTCGTCGTCAAGCGCTCCACCTCTTCATCATCTAGCGCGGCGACGAAGGCGTGCACCTCAAAGCTCCCTCAGTATGTCGTCACTCTCACGGCGGACGACACTCAGCACGATGGTCCCTTGGCTCCTCGCTGCCATCTTCCTGGCACTCGCCACGCTACCAGCCGCCGCAATCTCCGATCCAGGCATCTTTGAGCCAGAAGAACAATTACCTCCAGCGAAACCCGCTGTGCCTTCCACAAACCGAGGCAGCGCGCCATTAGCAGCTCAGCTAGCCACTCCCAGCTCACACGAGCTCCTCTCTGCAGTCTATCAAGGTCACCCAGTCTCCCTTCCCCATGGCTGCTATCGGACGAGCGATCTCATCGGCAAGAGCTCAGTCAATCCGTGGTCGGCGGATGTCATGTACTCTTTGCTGGGCTCGGCCAAAGCGAGAAAGAGTAGACTGCGGAGTGAGCTTGTCCTTTGCCCTGTCCCAAAGGCAGGGTCAGAGGGAGGGTTCAAGCTCTTTTCAGTCGCAGGCTACGTCGAGGTTGCGCCCCCTGCCGCAGATGGCGAAACAGCAGCTGTAGATCAGGAAGCCGTGCGACATTCACCAGCGCTCAGCATCGGCGACGGGGAGGCAAAGGCTCAGATTCAGCTGGCAGACGATGAAGCATCCTGGCCGCCCGTCGGACAAGAGGCCGAGGGATACTGGAGGCAGCGTGATGGCAGGCTCGAATGGGAAGCCCCTCCTCCAGAACCAATGCCACTCGTAGCACCGGAAGAATCCAACAAATTGCGCGGTTCAGGCTCATCGGCGTCTAATCAGTCTCAGGCGAGCGACGGCCAAGGCGCACCTGTGGACCCTGCGCAAGCTTACGATGCCTGGACAGCTTCCATCGGAGGCGAATCCGCAGACGACTGGCTCAGCTTTGAGGAATGGCGCCAGCGTCATCAAGCAGAGAAGGCGAGGGCTGAAGCTGAGAAGAGAGCGGAGAACAAGCAGAAGAAGAAGCAGGCAAAACAAGCTGCGGCGCAGCAGTCGCAGCCTGCAAGCGACTCGACGGTGCCCAAGGAGACGGTCGATACCTCGTCATCGGCAGGCACCTCGCATGTGAACAATGCGGCTAGCGGTCTAGCCCAGTCCACTTCGAGCGCGGCGTCGTCATCAGCTCCTTCCTCGGCAGCACAGTCGGCCAGTCCAGGCGAGAACTCGCAGATCACGACGTCAGCGGAGCAACATTCACCCCTCAGCAGCTTTCGCCCAACGCATGCGTCGAGCTTCGATGAGGCGCTGTCCCCCAGTCAATCGCAATCTTCTGCGCCAACTCAGACGTCGACCAGCGCCAGCGATGCCTCATCGGGGCAGGAGGTCCCTCCCATAGCAGTCGGCGCAGACCCTGCCCCCGGCTCAGTCCCAGCGCAAAAAGATCCATCAACCTCCCTCAAGACCCTCCGTCATCGCTGGAATTTTGCCTCAATGGACTGCGCTGCGGTGATACATCGGACGAACCCTGCGGCAAAGTTCGCGTCTGCCATCCTCAATGAGAAGAAAGATCGCTACATGCTCTCCCCCTGCCCTGGCGCAAAGCCCAACAAAGACGGCAGCGGTGGAGTATTCGTCGTCGTAGAGCTCTGCGACGAGATCAGTATCGATACCGTTGTCCTTGCGAACCACGAGTTCTTCTCTCGCATGTTCAAGCGCTTCAAAGTGAGCGTTGCTCCCGCTTTGAAGAGTGGGGGGCAAAAGGGGGACGAAGAGTGGAGAGAGCTGGGCGTCTTCCGAGCCCGTAACGCCCGTGGACCACAGGTCTTCAATATCACCAGCCCCTCGACTGGCTTCTTCCGATATGTGCGAATCGACTTTATGGAGTACTACGGGAACGAATACTACTGCCCGCTGAGCCTGCTGCGGGTCTACGGGTTGACACAGCTGGATCATTTCAGACGCGAAGAGGAGAAGGATCGCAAGGCGCTCGAGGCGAGTGAGCGGTTGACGATTGGTGACGGGGAGGAGCTGGAGGAGGATGACGAGGAGCTGAGCGTTGAAGAGGGACGTGAGCCGACGTTTGAGCTGCCAGAGGAGATGAGGGCCGCTGCAGATGATGGGGCTTGGGATGCGGTATGGCCTCAGAAGGCCCCGTTCGTACCGGGGAGGGGCGGCGATGGACACTCGTTCAGCTTCGAATCGGTGCCAGCATCGCCTCATCTACCAGAGCGATCTCAGCACCAGGCTTCTTCGACTCTCTCTCAGCAGCATGAGGCAGGCTCTTCGTCCTCACGCTCACCATCCGGCTCGCCGACATTTCACACGCAATCGCCTACGAGTGAGGCAGACAGAACTCCTTCCCCTGCCGCTGCCACCACCCACGTACCGACCTCTCAGGCAGCGTATTCCGAAGGCTCTTCGGCCACGTCAACTGCTGCTTCGCCGTCATCGACTCTCAGGCCCGTGCATCGTGGGGCCGAGGAGACTCGCACCTGTCCTATTGGGCTATCGAGGTTGTCCGACCTCGAGCGCGAAGCGATGATCCCAGCCGTCTGCTTCAAGCCGCGATCAGGGCACGCGCAACCTGCATCAAGCAGCGCCAAACCTGCAAGCAGCGCATCGTCTTCGAATAGCTCCGCCACCAACAGCCAGCAGCCGCAACAATCAGGCGGCGGGCGCAACGGCGATCAGCAAGCTCGCGGTACTGCAGGCAATGGCAACGGCGGCAACTCTGGAAGCGGCAGCGAGTCGATCTACCGCACAATCACGAAACGTCTCAATGCCCTTGAGGCGAACGCCACACTCTCCCTCCAGTACATAGAGCACAGCGGGCAGATGCTCCGCGAGGTCTTCCGTACCATGGAGAAGCGGCAGGAGCATCGTCTCGGCGATATGCTTCGTGCGCTCAACTCTTCCAACTGGCGTCAGATAGAAGCCTTGAAGCGCAGGCAGCAGGTGGATCTACAGCGAGCCATATTTGAGTTCGATGTGCACAAGCAGCAGATTGAGGCCGAACGACGGGAGTTGTTGACTCAGGTCACAGAGCTTGCCTCTGAGATCAGGTTCGAGAGGAGGTTGGGCGTGGTCCAGCTACTGCTCGTGCTTGGCCTGTTCGGGTTCATGGCTACAACGCGCGGTCCTGCGTCAGGGCCGGGGTCGCTACATGCCCAGATGGGACGCTTGGCCACCAGTGCTTCACAGCCTCGATCTTTGCGGTCATTAATGAGCGGGAGGGGCTCCACACCGAGCGGTGGGTCAAGAGGCGGGCAGGAGGATAACAGTAGGGCGGGCACGCCTACGCTCTTGAGTGGAGCACAGAGCCCGCAGCCTCTGCCCGGCGCTCTGCCGTCAAAGCACGAATCGGAGAGCAGCCAGGAGACTCCGACAGAGGAGCAAGTCCCGGCTTCATTGCAGCGACAGTCGCGCGACACGACGGCTGAGCCTGAGGTCAAGTTGCCGGTGTCCTCCACAGCAGCAACAGCCGCCGCCGCCGCACCCATTCCTACGGGCGATTTTGCAGAGATGTCCCCCGCCGAGCTGCGCTCCTATCTCGGATTCAATTCTCCTCGGGGGCCGCGATCGCAGACGCCGGCGTGCGATGCAGGCGAAGGCGAGGATGACGAGAACCTCAGCGCCTCGCTGCATGATGAGACGGGCGATGAAGGTCTGGAGACGGCGTTTGAGGACCATGACAGCGAAGACGGAGGCATAGGGGAGGGCTTCACCCTAGATGCCGCTTCGACGGATATGGGTCCCACACACACTATCGACGCCCTCGAAGCCCAGAAGCTCCGCAGCGCAGCACATCGTATCAATGTGCCGGGGCGCCCGCTCTCGGCTTCATCTTCGCCGCCGCCGGTACTGAGAGAGCGCGAGCCGATCACGCCAGGGAAGGTATCATCGCGTCTTCTTGCCGGCGCTCCTAGTCGTGCAGATGTCCTCCTCTCCCCACCTCATGCCAGGGCGGGCGCCCTTCTTCAGCGACCGCGCTCAGCGACTGCCATGGAGGTGCGCTTCCCCCGCAGAAGGGCATTGAGTCAGAGCCCGGACTCAGATGCCAGCAGCGGTGATGAAGATGACGAGGGGCATGAAGGTGATAGGAGCACCGAATCTGGCGCTGGAGGGTGGCAGAAAGTCGTCAATAAGCGACAGCCGTCTTTTGCAAGCTCAGCGAGCGGGTCCGCATCAATGGGAGGCGCGTCGATGAGCTCATCTTCCTCTCCAACCACACCGCAGCGACCGCGACCTCGCTCCTTTCTGGGCAACAACTCGGTCAACGGTGGCATCAGCAGCAGCAGCCATGCTTCGAGTCGGAGCAATCCCTCACCACGAGCAAGCCTGTCCTCGACCCGCAGCAACTCCAATAGCGGCGGCATCGTCTCTTCCAACGGTCCCGCGGGCATCAGAGATGATTACGCCTCGCGTCGTTGGTCGCAGCAAGCGCGATCGCCTCCCTCTTCGTCGATCAATCTCCTAGCTATGGATGCCAAGCGGGTGAGAACGAGCTCTTCCCCTGGCTTGCCGCCTCATCACCCTCACGGGCATGCGCGTACGGTCTCATCGAGTTTAAGCGTAGATGGTAGCGGAGCCACGACGCCCCAGCCTGGAATGGGGGCTAGGAGCAGGACCACTAGCACACTGAGCGGTAGTGGTGGGATGTGATGTTGAGATGCGATGCTTTGGTCTTTCCTGTATACGAGCATGATTGTAATTCTAGACAAGCTTTGCGAAAGTGAGGATGGTACCGGCGGTGACGAAGGAGCAATAGGCAGCGGCGGAAACGACCACGCGCCGGGAAGCTGTATTGTTGGGATTATATTGCGTTTGTTTCAGCCTCCGCCTCATATCATCGCTTCATCCCGGCTAGCTCAGTTGGTAGAGCGTCAGACTCTTATTTACGAGAGTCTTCCTGCGAAACAGGAACGATTTAAATCTGAATGTCGAGGGTTCGAGCCCCTCGTTGGGAGCGCTTTTTTTGCGATCTCTGGTTCTCTCACCGATTTCTTCGCCTTTGCCATCCCCTCGGTCGCATGAGAGGGAGTTGTCACCTGGAGCAATGTTTCAAAGCGGCGACTGGCTTTGGCGTCATTGGGATGTGAGGGAGTGAGAAGGGCGTCTGCTCGCGAATTTCATTTCAAGGTTGGCCAACGCGACCTGGCGGGCTAGACCCTGGTATGCACACTTTAGCCTGGACTGACGTCAAGGTGGAGCACAGGCCGCCCCGCTTGGCGCCTCGAAGTGGCTCAGCGCGTCCTCCTCTTGCCTTTCTCATCCATCCACCCATCCACCCCATCCCTCGCTGTGCATCCCTTGTTCCCATCCATCCTCCTTCCTCCCCCTGTAGGTAGCCCGCAATGCCTTCTTCACACCACGAAGACCAAGCACATGAAGTGCCCAGCTTCTCTGCCAAGGCCTTTGGTCGGCTGCAGGTGCTCCACCCGATTTCGCTCCTCATCCTCATCGCCTCGCTTTCCATCTCGACGATCGTGCTCAAGCCTTCACTGGACACGGTCGCACGGCTGCACCCGACCTTCTTTGCGCCTAACAATGCGTGGCTGCTGGGCTATTGGGCGCTGCTCCTCCTGCTACAGGTGGGCACTGCATTGAGCGTGGCTCTGGCCTCTGGCGATCATACAAAGGTGAGCAGGCTCGACGCAGCACTCAGCTTAAGTCCAGTGTGGATCCATCTGACGCGTCCCTCCTCCCACCCATAACGCAGGCCCTTCTTACGAATGGCATGGGCCCGTACCTTCCCCTCGCCAACCTCTGCGTAGCAATCTGGGCTCCCCTCTTCGTCGTCAATACCCGCCCAGCATTCATCGCGGGAGAGGCCTTTCTCGGGGCTGCCCTTCTAGTCCTCCTGGCAAGCACCCTCGTCACCGGCGTACTTCGCTCGTACAGCCCCACCTGGCGTAGGCCCGTCGAGTGGCTCCTCGTCCATCTGCCTATCCGCCTCTTCCTCGCCGTCCTCTTGCAAATCGACGTCTGGCAACAGGGATTTATCCTCTTCGGTCTGGCAGAGAGCCCGCACGACTTGAAGCAGACCATCTGGCCTACATTCATCATCGTCGTCTCAACAGGTGTGGCCGCGTCGCTGTGGACCTTTGCGACGACGGACCTCGCAACGGGAGGAGCATCCATCTTCCTTCAGCTGGCCCTCTTGTTCAACCGCAGACTGGCAGAGCATCGCCCCACTGAGGTCTTTGCTGCTCACGTCCTCAGCATTGCATTGATCGGGACGGGTCTCATTGCGAGCGTGGCCTGGGGTCATATCAATGGACAGCGTGCTGAGGAGCGTGAGGGCCGCATTGCGCTGCCGATTCAGCCACACGAGGATGCCGCTGTGGCTGCTGCCGAGGCGGAGGCTGCTGCTGCTGAGCAGAGGGCTGCGGAGAGGAGGGAAGAGGCGCAGAGGCTGCGAGAGGAGGGTAGCGAGGATGAGCCTACACCGAGCCAGTTGGAGCGCGGCGAAGGCAGCGGGAAGAGCAAGGATGGGCCGGCCGTAACGCGTAAGCTGGGGCATGACTGAGAGGAGCCCGAGCGAAGAGGATGATGTGTACTTGGGAGGCAGAGCAGTGCAGCAGCGGACAAACGCTTCGTATCGTAACAATGACACTTGGGATTTGAACAACCTTGCACTTTGAAAAAGTCGTCATGGTATCGTCGCAACCTACAACTCGCCCTTCTCCGCCTGCTCAGCCTGCTCGACCGCCAACCTCGCCGCGGCCTTGAAATCGTCCTCGATGGTGATCTTGAGGCCTGACTCGCGAAGCTGTGCGACAAAGCCGGAAGAGTAGCGCAAAGTCAGTGTCATGCAGGGGGCAACATCACCATAGTGAGGATCTGACGCACCTTTCTCTTCGCCTCGTCAGCACCAGTACCCATCACCCGTACCACGATGGGCTGCTTCATGTCGTTCGCCCGAATGGCGTCTATTATGCCGTCGGCAACGACGCTGTAGGAGAGCAGGGGAGGTTGTGTTGTGAGCCAATGCAAGCACGCCGTCTCCCTCACACTTCTACGCACTCGGTCTGCGTGATGCCTCCGAAAGCTGCAACGAGCAAGAGAGCGGTGTTAGAGTGCGGTCGCTCCATGGCATGGAGCATTGAGCTCACTGTTGACGAAGATGGCTTTGACATCAGGATCACGATTGAGCGTCTCGATAGCTAGTTCGGAGTTCTTGCGGTTCGCGCCACCGCCTCCGTCCAAGAAGTTGGCAGGCTGTTGCGTCATCGCCATCCTCGTCATGTTCAGCGGCTTTCCCGTCCTCTGCTTCATTGAGCGCACTCACCTTGCCCCCTGCGAGCGCCAGCCCATCCATTGTCGCCATGGCATTGCCCGCTCCATACCCAAAGGAGCCGATGTTCCCGCCGTTGTGCAATTTGATATAGAAGAGACCGCCATCGGATGCCTGTGCGGACTGGTATGCGTCAGGTCGTCGGGGCGTCAGCTAGCGAGCGAAGTGTCGCAGAAGGGTGCTCGTAAAGTCACATTGGGTTCCCTCTCCTCCTCTTGAGCCTTGTGCAACTCTTGGAGGTCTTCAGGCATGCGATGCACTGCGTAGTCGTCGAACTCGAGGTAGGGAGATGAGCTGCGGAGCGATCGAGACATCAGCCATTGGCCAGGCTCTCTTTCCAGGGATGAGCATCTCACACATCGATAACGCCCTCTGCTTCTTCGTGCACAACGCATGTAAACCAGATTCCCTCCCCTCTCTTGAAGACCTGCCACAACTTGACCAACATCTCCGCGACTGCTTTCTTGCTCTTCTCGCTCTTGAGGGCGTCATCGATTTCCTCCCTTTCCAGCAGACAGAGTACAGAGCTCGGCTGCAGCATGTCACCTTTGTGCCCTTGTATGGCTTGTTTCGCGCCGAACCCAGGGGCTTGGGATAGGGCTAACAAGCCTAGATCGCCTTCGCCGAATCGCTGGTTTGATGGAGTGTTGGAGAGGCGTGAGGTGGAAACAGCAACGAGTGTGGGGCCGAAAAAGGTTGTCGAATCAGGACCGACACGCTGCGCTCGTCTGTCGGCGTGGAGGAGGATGGCAAGACCGTCACGGGGACTTGATGATGTTGATGCTGATGAGCTCGAGACAGGTACGCCCAACTGGTCAGAAAGGTACTTGGCCGCCCTTTGTGCCTTGATGGAGAAGCAGCGATGAGAGACCTGTAATCGTGATAATTGTCTTGCGGCCGGGCTCCTAAGGAGAGACATGCTAGCGGTACTACGCGGAATGTTGGCTAGGGATTAATGGTCAAGAAGAGCGAGTGCGGGGAAAACGCACGGATCAACGACACGGCAATGCCGGCGATTGAATCGGAGGTGGAGTCCTGTCACGATTCAAGTCGTGGGAAGGCAATCGATCAACGCTTCCAACTCACCACATCCTAGCGAGACGCAAAGCGTTCCGCCGCGTGCATGGCCTAAGGGACTGACGATGGCATCCAAGGGAGCCTTGAAAACAGCTGCCGACGGCGCTCGTCTCTTCAAGACTTCCTACGCACGTACGATTGGCAATCTCAAGGTCGATGCGTCTACACCATGTATTGTGCAGGGATTTACGGGAAAGAGCGTGAGTGCGGGCGGACCCTGCTTTTCATTTGGCGAGGCAAGCAAGAGTTTGGCCACGCTGACCTCGCGAGCAAACGGCAGAGCACCTTCCACTCCAAGCTCTCCCTGGACATGGGCACCAACATCGTCGGCGGGGTCAGCCCAGGCAAGGGGGGAAGAACACATCTGGAACGGCCCGTCTTTGATAGCGTGAAAGAGGTGCGCCAGAGCGTCACTCTAGATCATTGATTGGTAGGGCATCAGCACTTACCAGTCCCTTTTGCTCACAGGCCGTCAAGCATGTGAAGCCACATGCTACCGCAGTCTTCGTCCCTCCACTCCTCGCGGCAGACGCAATAATCGACGCCATAGAGAACGAGGTGCCCCTCATCGTAAGCGTGGCGGAAGGAATACCGGTGCATGATCAGATCAAGGTCATGTCCGCTCTACATTCACAGGACAAATCGCGTCTGGTTGGAGCGAACAGCCCAGGACTAGTCAACCCGGCCGGATGTAGGCTCGGGATTTCGCCCAGTATAGTCGCAGCGCCAGGACCGATAGGTGAGCGCTCGAACCACCTGTCCATGTCTTCACTCCTGCTCCCTTCGATGATTAACTCAATCCCTGCCATCCTGTGCCCAGGCATCGCCGCCCGATCCGGCACCCTCTCCTACGAGGCCGCAGCCTCGTGCAAATCGACCGGCCAGTCCTACATCTTTGGTCTCGGCGGGGACTTCTACCCGGGCACACGCACAGCCGAAGCCCTCGAATTCTTCATGAATGACGAGAGCACAAAGGGGATCATACTGGTAGGCGAAGTGGGAGGGGTCATGGAGGAAGAAGCCATCGACCTCCTCCACAGCAACGGCTACCTCAACGCCGAGACGGGCGAGCCGATAAAGCCTATCGTGGGCTTCATCTCTGGCCGCAATGTGCCTCCGGGTCAGACATTCGGCCACTCCGGTGCCGTGTGGCGTGATGGGATCAACTCGGCGGAGCAGAAGCGCGAGGCGTGGAAGGAGGTGGGGATCAAGGTGGTAGACACCATTGCGGATACGGGGCCGGCGATTGTGGGAGAGATGAAGAGACGGGGCTTGATCGAGGGGGACAATGGGGACAAGGGAGGGAGCGGCTTCGGCTTGGCAGACGTGCTTACATTGGGGCTGGCGGAAAGTTTGATGTCTTCGTGAATCTGCATCGTGAGAAAGCATACATGATGGAAACGCGTGTTTAGTAGGGGAAGGGGTAGTCGCAGAAGAAGGGAATGAGCGAGATTGCGAAGTGGATCCTTTTCCAATCTTAAAGCTTCGACGACGTGTTCGCCGGCTCCTTGGCGTAGAGCTCCTCGAGGTCCTTTGCAAGAATCTTCTTCGCCTCTGGCCTCTTCATCTTGAACGTCGGAGTGATCAAACCATTCTCCACCGTGAAGGGCTCGACGCGCAGCTTGACATTCTTGATGTACTCGAAGCCAGCAAGCTTGCGCTGCCTTGCGATGCGCGTGTACTCGTCGAGCACGGCCTTGACCACCTTCTCGTCGCTGCACACCTCCTCGAGGCCCTTGAGGTCGGACGAGGTGAGCTGCTTGCCCGTCACGCTAGAAGCAAGGGGAGCAAAGGTCTCTGGGTCGACCACGGCAACGGCAACGAGATGAGCCTGCAGCGAATCGCCATAGAGCCAGGTCTGAGCCGTGAACTTGTTGGAGCTGAGAGTCTGCTCAACGTTCTCGATGGCGACGTACTCTCCCTGCGCGAGCTTGACCAGGTTCTTGACTCGGTCGATGATACGGAATCGGCTCAGGTCGTCAAAGGCAGCAACATCGCCCGAGTGGAGCCAGCCGTCCTCGTCGATTGTCTCCTTGGTCTTTTCAGGGTCCTTGTAGTAGCCGGGGAAGGTAGTCTGACCACGACTGAGAAGCTCACCTCGGGGCCAGGGCTTGTCCGTTGAACGGTACCCAAGCTCAGGCACATCCTTGAGTCGGACCTCACAGCCAGGCTGAGGAGCACCGCATGATCCAAGGCTCTTGTCACCTGGCATCATGATGAGACAGCAGCCCGTGTTCTCCGTCTGACCGTACCCTTCACGGAAGTCGCAAGCGAAGCAGACGCGCAGCAAACGGATCACCTCGGGGCGAATGGGAGCAGAGCCGCTGACCATCGACTTGACTTTGCCGCCGAGAATGGCCTGCACCTTCTTGAAGACGACGCGGTCCCACAGCGCGTGCGTGACCGAGGCATCCTCATCGTGGTTGGCAATCTTGGCATTGACGGCTGTGCGGAGCAGCTTGCCCTTGAGGCCTGGCCCGTCCACCTGGAATTGGATCTGCGCAGCGATGCGGTTGAAGACGCGAGGAACGCCCGGGAAGAGGGTGGGCTGGAGGACCTGGGCGTCCTCAACGAGCTTGGCGACATCGCCTCCGAAGTAGCCCTGCGCGAGAATGAGAGGGGGAAAACGGTCAGATTGAAGCTTGCAGCTGGCTGAAGTGGCTTACTCACGATCCTGGCGCCGCGACGGAACATGCAAGCCTCGAGGAAGCGGCCAAAGATGTGTGCCAAGGGGAGGTAACTGATCATCGTCTCGTCGTCATCCGCTGCAAAGCCGGTGAGGGGTGTGCAGCCAGAAGCGAGTGCCAGCTGATGGTGGGCGACGAGGGCGGCCTTGGGCCTGCCAGTGGTGCCCGAAGTGTAGCAGTAGCCACTGATTTCGCTGTTGTCCTTGGGAGGCTCGTGAGCTGTCGGGTTGGATCGGCCTAGCTGAAGGACATCCGAGAAGCTGAGGACCTCGATTCCCTTTTGTGCAGCCCATTGACGCGCAAGCTGCTGCCTGCTGAGCTCACCCTGCGGCAAGTTCTCGGTTCGCAATAGGTCGAGGAGTACAATGGCACGGAGGTGGGGGAGCTTGTCGGACGAGCCAAGCAGAGTCGAGATATGTGAAGTGGTAGTGAAGCAAACCTTTGCCTCGGAGTGGTTGAGGACGTACAGGGCCGAATCGTCATCGTAAGTGTCGTACAGACCTACAGTCTGGCGATTATGGGCTGCGTTTGCAAAGTCGATGATCTGCCACTCTGGTCGGTTCTGGCACCAGATGCCTACGGTCCACTTGGTCTTTGGCAGGCCTTGGCCCAGCTTGCCAGATGCGGCGAGGTGGGCAAGACCGGAGGCGACGGCTGTCCTCTGCTCTTCAACCTCATCGTAGGTGAGCCAGACGTACTTTGTCAGGAAGGTACCAGTGGCAAAGTCAAAGGGGCGCCATCCGAGACAATGTTTGTTGTGTGCCTTTTCGCGTCCGATGTTGAAGACATCGTAGTAGGTCTCGCGGGTGGAGAGCTCAGGGACGGCTGCGTTGCGGTAAATGGGAGTGAATCCCTCCTTTTCCGATCCGGGAACGGCGACTGATTGCTGCTTGAGGTTGAATCTGTGACGACGGTGCGATGAGGGATGATCAGCTACTGATGTTATCGCTCGAGCTTGGAGCTGCGCCTCGCCCGCCGAGACTGAGTATATGCGCCTTTGTGGTGATGCTCACGACTCGGGGGCAGCTGGAATCCAGTCTTCTCTAGGGGCAGGGCTTGCGCTCATCGTGTGGGCAGTTGTGACTCGAGTGTCGTTCTGTTGGATGAGGAGTGCGGAGGTGTTGGTGAGGAATCAAAGTGCCCACACCGACGTTCGTTGCCATTCAAATGGCGGCTGCCTCGTCCCACCGGCTCGTCCAGCCACTCTCGGCTTGATCCATCGCCAAGCCGAAGCCGGACTATCAATCGCGGAGACGTACGCCACGTGGTAGTTGTGGTCGTCGACGCCCGCGCGCTCTTGCAGGGCAGGGCAGGGCAGAGCGGAGGGCGGCGAGCGGCGAGCGGGCCAGGGCAGCTCACAAGGCGATTAGGCGGCACTTCTTCCTCAGCATCGATCGTCAATCGCAGCTAAAAGGTCCATCTCAGCTCCCCCAAGACCCATTTCTCTCCAACCCCTTTTCCCCACCTCGCATCATGTCTGCGTCCATCGAGGAGATCACCGACGATGTTCAGGACGTGAGTACGCGGACGAGATGCTGAGCGAGCGCTTCTTGTCCGACTGGGCTGACCCTTCTTGTTGCCTTGGTTGCTCCACCCACACCAACAGATCCAGGTCAACAATGGATCCGACTCTGAGGCACCCGCCGCAGAGGGAGCAGACGTCGCCATCCCGGCCTCGGTCCAGAACCGCTCCGAGAGGAAGAGCAGGAAGTCGCTCCAGAACATCGGCCTCAAGCGTGTCAGCGGCATCACCCGCGTTACCATGAAGCGTCCCCGTGGTGTGAGTATTGGCAGCGAGATGGCGAGATGGGAGATTGTTTGGCACTTGCAATGGGCGCAATGGTCGCCCTCACCGCCCTTTGGTCCAAGGGCTTGCAGGCAATGCCACTTTAGCTACGTCCAGCGGACTCACGTCTGAACCTATCGCACTCTCCGCATTCGCAGCACCTCTACGTCGTGCAGAACCCTGAGGTCTACAAGTCGTCTCACTCGGACTGCTACATCGTCTTCGGCGAGGCCAAGCCCGAGGACAACTCGCAGGCTGCTCAGGCTCAGGCTGCCCAGAGCCAGATGGCCCAACAGGAGGCTCAGGAGCGCATGCTCAGCGAGCAATTTGCCCAGTCCGTCGGCAGCGGTGCTGAGAACCAGACTGGCGCTGGCAAGAAGAAGGAGGAAGAGGAGGAAGACGATAGCGAGCCGATTGATGAGGAGGGCGTCGACGCCAAGGACATTGAGCTCGTTATGCAGCAGGTGAGTCGGTGAAGGGCCAAGGTCCATACTGCTTCGAAGAAGCTTGTGCTCATACCCCCTTGCACCCTCGCCATCAGGTCTCGTGCTCGCGACGCAAGGCCGTCAAGGCTCTCAAGGAGAGCAACGGTGACCGTGAGTCACCTCGGTCTAGCGTCGCCTCTTTCAACCAAAGCTGACCCGTTTATTCACCCCGCCTCTTCGCAGTCATCAACGCCATCATGAGCGCTTCGTAAACTGGCAGAGCAGCAACCATATTGAGTGGACGACTTCGACAATCGGGTGTTTTCTACTTTCCTCGCACCACCACCTCGCACCTCCAATTCTTTCGTGCGCCCTTTGTCGTCGTTGGCGCTTTCCCATTATGCCCCTGTCTTGGCTCATTAAATCATGTCACCATCTCAGCGGCGGTGCCTTGCAAATCATACAGCGAAGCGAGATGTTTGTGCTTGCGATGGATGAGCTGGTGATTGTTGCTTGTGACTACTGTGCTCGTCTTCGTAGTCGTCACGCTTCGTTGGACACGCTCCCACGGTATCCTCTGTAGGCCGCCCTCTTTGCTGGCTGGCCGCCCGCCGGAAGAGAATGAGCAGCGAGTCAGGTCGTGCGGGAGGCGAGAAAGCAGGCGGCGCGCCGCGAGGGAAACGAGGGGGCGGGCAGGCAGCAAGCAATTCTACTCGACCCCTCGCACCTCCATCTTGCCCTTCCAACCCTTTGCTCCCATTGCTGTGCTTCACCCGTTTCGTCTCGTTACGCCCTCACGCCTCATCATTGACCCATCGATCGATCACTCATCGATCCGTCGCATCATCAAGGCTCGAGAACAGGCGTCTCGGAGTCTGCCAGGCCCCGCAAAAATCATCTGTCCCGTCATCGTTACGCTTCCTACGACTCTACGACTTCCATAGCAGCGCAGCGCAGCGACGACCAGACGACCGGACGATAGCAACGACATAGCCAGCTCGACATTGAAGACTGCTAGGATAGGACACGCACGCGCTATCTGCCACAGACCAGCCTCATCACATCAACGAAGACCAAGTTCTTGACAAGCATCACTCTACCTCTCATCACTTTCGCGTTGGCCTTGGCGCTCTTTCCAGCTGCAGTCTTCCGCGACACGCCCTCCGACCCACCACTCAGCATCTCTCCGCCATCATGTCCGGTGACGAGCGTCAGGCAGCTCTAGAGCAGCGCTTCAATGCCATGTCCTTTGGCGCTGGGGGAGCAGGAGCAGACGCCGCCGCGGACTCCACTACTTCCTACTATCAGCCTCAATCTGCTTCAGCACGATTCGAGCGCTTTTTCAACACTGGCCCACCTTCTAGCGAGCAGACGCCCACCGGATATGGCCATCTACCCCTTCCTCCTAGCAGTGCTATGGGGTACCATCCGCCGCCGCCGCAGCAGCAACAGCATCAGTACCAACAGCAGCAGCTTCAGGCTCAACAGCAGCAATACTACGGCAATGCGACTGGTGCTCCATCGAGCAGCATTCCTGCAGGCTACAATGCATTTGGTGGATCTGGCATCATACCCAGTAACATGGGCTCGTTTGGAAGCGGCCGCCCCAGGCAGGCTGCTAGGAACGGCGCATATCAGTGGGACTCGTCGCTGAGCCCGCATGTCGGAGGCAATGTGAGTTGCCGCTGATTCAGTCCATCCCTCTGCAACTACTGCTGACCCTCTTGCGTACCCAAAGGCCTCCCTCTCTTCCCCGCTCTCCCCGCATGCCACCCTTGTCACTCCACCCCCAGGCTCTACGCAGACTGGGCCACAGGGATACTATGGCGCTCCTCTAGACAGCGGCGCCTATGCCGGACAGGGCCAGCCAAGCTTCGCAGACGAAGACGTGATTCCGACGGCAATTGTAGTCAAGAATATTCCCTTCAGCGTCAAAAAGGAGCAGCTTCTGCAGATCATCGAAGAACTCCGCATCCCTATGCCGTATGCCTTCAACTACCACTTTGACCAGGGCATTTTCCGCGGTCTCGCATTCGCCAACTTCAGATCTTCAGAGGAGGCGGACGCTGTCGTTGCTGCTCTCAACGGCTTCGACGTAGCAGGCCGCAAGCTGCGAGTGGAGTACAAGAAGGTGCTCCAAGTAGGTGAAAAGGAGAGGATCGAGAAGGAGAAGGCATTGAAGCGGATGAGAAGCATGCAGATGGAAAAGGACAGGGTCAGGAGAGAAACGGACCCTAGCGCTGTGCCTCCTCTTCCATCGCCATCGACAGCCTTACCCCAAGGCTCAGCCCTCGGCGTCGACACGTACGGCGCGGGCAGTACCAGTGGCGGCGACCCATATGGCAATGGCTTGCAGCAACAGCCGGATCGCCTCTCTCCACCCATCTCCCGCAGCCCCGTCCCTGCTGACAGGGCTTCGCCAACAAGCGCCAGCGATGCCCCTCCTTCCTCTTCAGGAAAGCGCGAAGAGCTCGACCTCAACGATCCGCAAGCCTTGGAGATTTACTCGCGTGTCCTCCTATTCAAGGACGATCGTATGCGCGATGAGTTGGCCTTCTCCCGCATTTTGTCCCCGCAAGAGCGTCGCACTGTGCATCTAGTGGCGCAGAAGCTGAACCTGTACCACTACTCTGTGGGCGAGGCGGAAGAAAGACACGTAATCGTGACGAAGAATGAAGTCAGAAGCCCCTCGGCGGGGAGTAGGCCACTCAGGTCGCAGGCGTCGACCATTGGGCGATCACAGAGAGCTGGAGACCAAGCAGCTGCCGCAGCAGCGGCGGCGGCAGGCGGCGGGATTGGTGGTAGCGGAGCAGGGACCTTCGCCTCTATCAACAGGCGAAGCTCAGGTATGCTTCGAGGCAAGAAGTCTGCACCGGACATCAAGCGCAATCGTGGGGAGATGCAGTACGACATCTCCACGATGCCATCGGGCGGGTACGGGTCGGCTGCTCACTTCTCGACGGCCAATGGGCTGACCCAGTCGTTGGGGAGGAAGAGCAATGGCAATTTGAGGGAAGGGTACGGATCCACGTCGGCAATGAGTTCCTCCGCGAAGGGGCGCACGGCTGGTGGAGGAGGAGGAATTGGCGGTGCGGCAGGATTGCAGAGTCTCTTTGCGTCGCCATTTGAGGTGCCGCCCGTCCCTTCGTTGGGCACGTCGTACGGGCCCGAGTCTACTGGATATTCTACTTCAGTCGGCGGCAATGGTGGTAGCACCATCAGCGGCGGAGCTAATGGCGCCCTTCGCCAACCACGTGGGCCTCCTACTCCGGGCCAGTCGACCGAGAGCCGCAACTTTGCGCCGCGTATCAATCGAATGGCGGCAAATGCAGCAGCGGCCGCGGGATCATCGTCACAGGGATCGACGGAAGGAAGCAGCGATAAAGTGGGATCTTCAGACGTGCGGCCACAGTATGGGGCCGATATGGAGGGGAGATTGGCTAGCATAGACGTGCAGTCGAGGGAGCCGTTGGAGTAGCATGGCGTGGCGCGTGGGCAAAGAAATATTGACGACAAAGACGACTTTGATGCACGCCACGCCCTTGGCTACGAAGCCACTCCCTTTTCTCTCTCTTGTTCTCCCTATTAGCTTCCATGTAGCTCGGCCTGGCTCTATGTTGACGCTGCTCTAGTCTCTTGCAAATTGACGTCTCGTCTCTAGTGTTGCTCCCTTTTGCCGTGATGGCTGCTTATCCCCTCCTTATCCCATCGTTCTCGCGGAAGTCTCTTTAAGCCACGTGCTGAGCGCCCGGGTGACTAAGACAAGGCTCAGGTCGGCCTTGAATTTGCCGTCGCCCATCGGAGACGACGGAGGGGGATTCGCCAGTCGCCGCTGCGAGGTCAAGCTGCACGACTGCAAGAGCTGCAAGTGCGAAGTCGAAGTCGGGGCGGCGTTAAGAAAAGGCACCAAGCATTGCGTGCTCACTTCTCGAGATTGTGAGAGCGAGCATTGTGTGCGGGGGCCATCGTGTGTTGCTGTGTAATCGGCGGTCGGTCGAATCGTGCAAAGCCGAGCGATGAGATGTGGTCCTGACTTCTTCTCGTCGAGACGAATTCTTTCCTTGATCCTCCTCTGTCTTCACCACATCTCAGCGTCCCGCCACTACCTTGACCATCACCACCACCCCACCTCCCTCTCACGCTACGATGGCTGCCGCCGCTGCTGCCGCCGTAGCAAAGGTGGCGCTGCACTCGTCGAGGTCAATTGTCAATGTGACCCCGGCAGCTTCGTCGCCCGCTTCCCCCTTCTCAGCATCCCTCACAGCGAAGTCAGCAGACGCTTCAGTTCACGATGTCGCCTTCCACAACGAGCCCGCTGCCGAGTTGATCAACCTCTCCAAGGCAGCTGCATCCGGTGTCGTCTCACTCCTGGCCTCGGCGGATACGTCGCTCCTCACCCGCTTCGTGCCACACCTCCCTGCTTTGGTCAACACGGCCTCGGTCATTCACATTGCCACATCAGGTGATCATGCTGACGTACTCGCTCTGCGATCTTCGGGTCTCATCATCCTACACTCTTCAACCGCCACTGAGGCCCACGACCATGCGTTGCTGGCTGTACGCATCGCTGCCACAACCAAAAGGGCGGTTCTGCATTACTTCGAGACAGTCGATGGCGACAATGACGCCGTCCAGGACGAGGTGACAGAGGCTGATCTCAAGTCTTTTGTGGCGAGTTCATCATCGTCGGCCACTTCCCCGTCAACGGCGCCCAATGGAGTCAACGGCGTCAACGGCGTCAACGGAAGCAATGGCTATGCTGCATCCAACGGCAATGGAGTGGCAAACGGTAATGGCGCCTCCCACGTCAAGGCGCCCGCTTCGACCGGTGACTTGGATGCCGACCTTTCTGCCGCCTATGATGCCGTCTCCGACCTCGTAGGCCGCGAGGTCAAGCCCTTTGCCCTCTACGGTAGCTCGCAAGCATCGGACGTGGCAGTCGTCCTTGGACCGGGTGCAGAGGCTCTTTCCAAGGCAGACTCAAGCCTCGCCGTTATTGACGTGCGTCTCGTGCGACCTTCTCTCGCCACTTCCCTCCTCTCCGTCATCCCCACGTCGGCCAAGCGCCTCATCACTTTGGAGCGAAGTGCCCGCCGCACGACGCGCATCGGGCCCCTTTTCGTCGACGTCGCCACTGCCTTGCAGTCAGACGATTCTCGTAGCATTCCCGCCACCTTTGTCAGCGGATCACTTGGTCACATCACCAGCAGCAACGCCAGCGACGCAGCAAAGACCGTTTCGAATGCGCTCTCATCGCAGAAGGCTGGTCACGGTGTGCTGATTGGTGACACGGTCAAGAAGACCGCCGCGCCCGCTCCCGCGACCACTGCTCCTGTCACACCGCCCAAACACGAGGAGGCCTATTCGATCATGCTTGACCAGGTCTTCAAAGAGCGTCTGGCGGTCATCAACTCCCCGCACGACGAGACGGACCCCCACCCGGCTGCTCGCTCGCCAGAGTATGCCTTCGGTCAAGTCATGGGACAGCTCGAGCAGCGCGACGCCCTCGAGCGAGCAGTCAAGTCTGCTGTGCGCACCGGTGGTGTCTCGCCCGAGCTTCACGACATTTTGTCGCAGTGGCTCGTGAGCAAGGACGACTCCACCAAGAGCGCCGCCCTCTCTGCCAAATTCTCGACTCTCCTCTCCAGCGCCTCGTCTTCCCCTGACATCGACAGCATCAAGTCGCTCGTCTCGCACGCCGACAACAAGTCACGCTGGATCGTTGGCTCTGACGCATGGGCCTACGACGCTGGCATGGGCGGTGTGCACCACGTCCTCGCCTCGGGTCGCAACGTCAATATGCTCATCTTTGACACCTTGCCATACAGCAAGCGTGACAGCATCGACGCCTCAAAGCGCAAGAAAGACATTGGTCTCTACGCAATGAGCTACGGTGGCGCCTACGTTGCCAGCACAGCCGTCTACGCTGACTACACGCAGGTGCTTCACGCACTCCTCGAGGCAGACAAGTTCGATGGCCCGTCCGTCGTGCTTGCATACGTCCCCTACCGTACAGTCGATGCAGCTGCCATTGAGGTACTTAAGGAAACGAAGCTGGCTGTTGATTCGGGCTACTGGCCCCTCTACCGCTGGGACCCAAGCGCCGAGAGCAAGGGCAAGGAGGTCTTCCGTCTCGACAGCACTCGCGTTCGCGAGCAGCTTCGCGAGTTTCTGGACCGTCAGAACCATCTCAGCTTCCTCGCCAATGCTCGACCTGAGCTTAGCTACGACTTGGCCTCAAGCCAGGGAACGGCGTTGCGCGAGAGGCAGAAGAGCAAGGCAAAGGAGGCGTACGAGAAGATGCTTGACAACCTGGATGGTCCGCCGCTTTTGATTCTCTTCGCCTCTGACGGCGGCAACGCTGAAAAGCAGGCAAAGAAGCTCTCTGCCCGTGCCAAGGCTCGAGGAATTGCTGCCCGTCTCCTTGCGATGGACGATTTCCCAGTGGCCGAGGAGCTCAAGGATGAGGAGAATGTCATCTTCCTCACTTCGACCGCTGGTCAGGGTGAGGCGCCGCAGAACGGTCGTCTCACCTGGAAAGCGCTGCAGGCCATGGAGTCAGGCTCGCTTTCCGGTGTCAAGTACTCCGTCTTCGGTATGGGCGACTCACACTACTGGCCTCGTCCCGAGGACGCTCACTACTACAACAAGCCGGGCAAGGACTTTGATCTCCGTCTCGAGAAGCTTGGCGCTGAGCGTGTGGCTGATCTCGGTCTGGGCGACGACCAGGACCCTGATGGACCGCAGACGGGCTACAAGGTTTGGGAGCCTCTCGTCTGGAAGGCCATGGGCGTCGACGCAATCGAGGTCAAGGAGGCTGAGCCCGAGCCAATCAACAACGAGCACATGAAGATTGCCTCCAACTACCTGCGTGGAACGATCGTCGAGGGTCTCGCCGACAAGTCGACGGGTGCCATCGCTGAGACGGACCAGCAGCTGACTAAGTTCCACGGCACTTACATGCAGTACGATCGCGACACCCTCGACGAGCGCAAGGCTGCCGGTCTGGAGCCCGCCTACTCATTCATGATCCGCTGCCGTATCCCCGGTGGTGTCTGCACGCCCAAGCAGTGGATGCAGCTCGACGATGTGGCTGAGCAGTACGGCAACAAGACAATGAAGATCACGACCCGCCAGACGATCCAGTACCACTGCGTGGTCAAGGGCAATCTCAAGTCTGCGATGCAGGGCATCAACAAGGCTTGCCTCGATACCATTGCCGCTTGCGGCGACGTCAACCGCAATGTCATGTGCTCGCCCAACCCGGCCATCTCCCAGCTCCACGATGACGTCTACGAATTCAGCAAGAGTATCTCAGAGTACCTCCTGCCGCGCATGAATGCCTACCACGAGATCTGGCTCGACAAGGGCACTGATTCCAAAAACCAACTTCTCGCTGGCGGAGCCTTGAAGGACTACGAGCCCCTCTACGGCCCTTACTACCTTCCCCGCAAGTTCAAGATTGCAATCGCTGTCCCGCCACGCAACGATACCGACTGCTTCGCGCACGACATCGGTCTCATCGCCATCGCTGGCAAGGACAAGAAGCTCAAGGGCTTCAACCTCTCCGTCGGAGGCGGCATGGGAGTCACGCACTCAATGAAGGTCACATACCCCCGTGCGGGCTCTGTCATTGGCTTCGTCACCTGCGAGCAAACTCTCGAGGCGTGCAAGCAGGTCATGCTTATTCAGCGCGACACGGGCAACCGTGCTAACCGCAAGCAGGCTCGTCTGAAGTACACCATCGACAATTACTGGAAGGGGCCGGAGAACTTCCGCAAGGAGCTGGAGCGTCGCCTTGGCTACCAGCTGGCCGAGCCCGAGTCGTACAAGTTCACGACGAACACGGACGAGTACGGCTGGAAGAAGGATCACCGTGGCAACTGGCACTGCACCCTGTGGCTCGAAAATGGCCGCGTGAAGGACGTGCCTGGCGAGGAGTTCCGTAAGGGCCTTTACGAGCTTTGCAGGCGAATGGATGCGGAGGAATGGGGCTCCAAGCTGCGCATGACGCCCAATCAGCACATTATCGTGGCCGATGTGCCAGCCGACCGCAAGCAGGCGCTGGAGGAGCACCTTCGCGCTTGGAACATGGACCAGTACGAGCGACTCACCGGCGTCTTCAAGTCCGCTTCTGCTTGCGTGGCCTTCCCTACCTGCGGTCTTGCCATGGCAGAGTCGGAGCGTATGCTTGGCGGCTTCGCAGGGCGTGTCGAGAAGCTGTTTGCGCGCTGGAATTTGCAGGAGACCGAGGTCACTACTAGGGTCAGTGGGTGCGCAAATGGGTGCTCGCGATCCTGGCTGGGTGAGATCGGGCTTGTCGGCAAGGCGCCCGGCACGTACCTCCTCTTGCTTGGTGGCGCACACGATGGATCAAGGCCCTCCAAGCCGTATGCTGAGTCGGTCACTGAGGACGAGATCATCAAGCTCCTCGAGCCTGTGGTGGAGAGCTACGCCAAGCACAAGGAGGAGGGAGAGCCCTTTGGCGACTACGTCACCAGGGTGGGCATCATCAGAGCTACGACCGAGGGGAAGAGGTTCTATGAGGATTCGCTCAGTAACGGTGTGCCCGAGTGGCGCAACGCGCTTCCCGTGGGCGTTGACACTTTGCCCAAGGGGAAGATCTCGTTGCCTGCGGTAGCAACCAGCGCTTAGATGGGCAGACGAGCGCGCAAGGCGGAAGGGTGTAGTTCATAGATCATGATCCGCTTGATTCCTAATATCATGTCTCATTCTCGTTGACCTCAGCGTTGCGTCGTGCGAATGCAAGAGGTACTCATTGTTCTCTTTGTATGCTAGGCGATCGACGGAGCGATGAGGATGGACCAAAGCGGCATTGGGCTCCAGTGGCGAGCGAGGAACGGCGACGACACGGTGACGTACACAAGAGCAGATGCATTACGATGAGCACACAAAGAGCCTGAGCTGACAGGATGATGCGAAAAGAAGTCTCGACCAAGCTACGCACTATCGCTGCGACTGCTCCGCCCTAGCCCTAGGTCTAGGCGGCAGCCCCGGCAAGCTCTTGATCTTCCTCACACGAATGAACAGCGTACAAGCCAGCGCTGCGAGTAGCACCCCCTCCCCTGCGTAGAAGATGGCCCAAGGCGCAGTATGGGCCCAAGTCTTGAAGACCCAGGTGAAGAAGAGCGGGCCCAACACGGTACTACCAATGGCGCTCACGATACTCCAAGCCCCAAAGAGCCGGCCCGCTTCGTCCGGTCGCTGTAGGAGGGCCAAGGCGAGAGAGGCCATAGATGCGGAAGAGGCGGCTCCAAGGGAGACAAAGAGGGAGCCAAAGATGAAGCCGGTGGGTGTGCGCCAGAAGCAGAGCGTTGCGTATGCTACAGAGTCGATGAGAAAGGAGGCGCGCGTGAGCTTCAGGTCGAAGTGGCTGTCGTGCAGGAGACGGAGATGCTTCGCTCGAAGTGTCCAAAGCTCTTCGACTGTGGCGTGCTGGGAGGAGTCAAAGTCCACATCGTCGTTGTCGTCGTCGTCAACTTCATCCTCAGTCTCGCCTTCAGTGAGAGCGCTGGGGGAAGTAGTACGAGAAGTAGAGTCGACGACGGGCGAAGTGGCGCCATAGCTCTTCCTCGTGCTTTGACTCCTGGCAGCAGTTCGTCCTTCGTCATCCAGTAATAGGCCTGTTCGCTCATCCGCCGAGTCTTGCGGCAAGGCCACTCTCTTTGGCGGCCTGTGCAGCACCTTTATGATCACTGGCAGCACCAGCGTAAGCGATACCACCCTTGCCACGCTGATCCCCGTCAGGAAGAGCCCGAGGGTAGTAGCGTCCCATCCAAAGACTTCCTGCGCATAGATGGTCTTGACAGTCATGAGACCCATGCAGGACATGGCGAGGAAGTAGGATATGGAGAGCCAAGTGAGGTTCCAGTCTCGCTTGCGTTTTCGCGAGATGTGGGAGACGGAGATGTGAGATGAGCTGGCGGCGGGCGCTGGTGTTGCTGCTGTAGTCGCAGTGGCGTCCCGGCGCAGGTTGGACAGCGAGGGCATCGGCGTGGCAGGGCGGGACTGAAGTCGCTCTACCTCATCGACTTGACGGGGAAGGAGCATAGCTAGCGGCTGCAGAGGAGTGAGGAGGCGACGTCGCACTTGCATCTTAACGCTGTCCCCTCCTTCGGTTGGGGCGTTGCGACGGTTGAATTCGGCCATGGCTGATCGCTTACGCTCCGGGCTCACGCTCTCAGGGATGACGAATAGGATGAGAAGAATGTAGAGTGTATGCGTCGAAGTGGCGAAGACGAAGGTGGACATCAAGCTGTCCGTTACTTTGGCCATCCAACCTCCCAGAGCGGGGCCGACTGTCAGACCGAGGTAGAAACAGCCTGACAGCTGAGCAAAGACCTTTGCGCGAGTGCCGGCTGGTGTGACGTCGGAGATGAAGCCCTGATGACCGGCAATGATGGTGGCGATGCCGCCTAGTAGGCCCTCGATGACGGAGGAGATGATCATGAAGTGGGTGCCAAATGGCAGGCTGGCCACTGGAAGCAGACCGACGGCTAGATAGGAGAGATCTGCAGTCAAGAGTCCTGTCACGGCCGCAGCGAGGACTTTAGTCCTGCCCCTACGGTCAGAGAGGCCACCCCACCATCCCGTGGTGATAGCGCTGAGAATACCCATGGTGATGGTGATTTTCATCTGCAGATCGGCAGATGCTGCCGCTACATCCGGATTTTTGAGGCACGCCGATGAAACGGGCGGACGCTCATGAGGAAAACGAAGGATCCCAGCTCCGTCCGTGGGCATTGGTAGATTGTGAGAGGCGTCCCTTGCCAACTCTTCGCAGACTATTTGATTGAAGAGCTGCACTTTGGCCGACATGATTGTCCCACCTCCGACGGCTAAAAGAGTGGTAAGAGGGATGAGCCAGAGGGGACTGGGCCGACGATACCAAGGTCGATCTTGGAGCCAGGCCAAGTGATCGTGCATTGGGTCCACGGGAGGTGTGGCACCACTTGAACCCTGCGCTGGCTGTGATTCTACATCTGCCGCACTGTCATTCGCCGTCTTTGGTGGAGCTCGCTGCTCGTCATCAAGCCGGTAGAGGATGTCCCCCATGACCGGGTCGCCCGAGTCGATTGCCAAGGGGCCGGCTTCTACGCGCCCCGGTGGCGGCGGGTGAACCAACGGCGTGCCGCTGCTGTTGGACCGGCCGCTCGAGGACGAGGCGCTGCGGCGCATGGCTGGTGGACGTAGGTGAGATGGTACTGCCGAGGATGGTGACGAAGACGATGCAGCAGCTGTTGAGGTGGAGGCTGTCATGCTGCGTAGATGCCGTGATAAGGGAGGGTGAGGTAGGAGTAATAGATGCGAGGAGTACAACGGGGTAGCTGTTCCTGAAGCCAGGCAGAGGTGGTTGACTGAATCGATGTCGTGAGTTGAGTGCGTCAACCAATGAATCAAGCGTTGCCCTCGTCCTTCGGCCCTTGATAGCTGCTGGCCATTTGAGGTCGCAAAGTGAACGGCGGTATGTAAGATGTTAAGATTGGCCAATGCCCCTCTGTTGGTGTGTTCCCGCCCGCCCGGCGGGCTGAAAGACCCTAACTTCAAGCACGGGGGCAGGCTAGAATACAGTAGTCCGCGCTAAATTCCCCCAGCTTGGCTAATGGCCTCACGGCTTTACGGCGATAAGGCGAGGAGGCAATCCTCGTACGACTCAGCACATCGCGCCTCGAGGCCATCAGCTCAGCACGGGCAACGACAGCGTATGAATGGCCCGTCCTGAATCTCAAGCAAACAGACGCGGGCACAGAAATCAACCATCATCGACCTCCGATCAAGCGGGGTCGGACGCACTCGCCGCGATCACAGCCACGCTCGCAGGTGTGGGTCTCATGGAGAGGCCGAAGCCTACGTCGTTATTGAGATCGAAGAAGAAAGGATGAGATGATGAGATGGTTGATGAAGACAAAAGAGGCGGTCGCACTGCACAGCAGAGCGAAGGCATTGAGACGAGTCAAGGATCAGAAAGCAGAAGAGGCGAGACGACGATGATGACCAGATCATCGAGGAGGGCAGGGTTCGCAAGCACAGAGGTGACGACCATTTCGATGGCAAGAGGATATGAGACGACGAGCAGCAGACTAGGCGCATGCGTCGCTTCATATCTCCTACCGCCCCGTAGTAGTCGGACCCCCTATGCCCGTTCTTGCAAGTATCTTGACGTGGATCCACCAGGGACGGCGCGCTGTTGAGTTTGCAAGAATGATTAGACAGGATGGAGGACGTGACTGGTGCGGTGACGATCTACGATGACTTGACGGCGAGAAGCGAAGCAGGCGGTGCGTTCACACGGCCGTTTATTGCTCCTCGGGGGTCGCGGATCGTCGCGACGCAGCAGCGGCACGGCGGACGTGACGAAGGGCGTGGTTGGAGCGCTTCGACGATGACGAAGAGATGGCCTGCTTGTACGTCGAGCCGAGGGAGCTGAGCGTCTTGCCGTTGTGGCTGGGGGTGAGAGCACCGTTGTCACCGTTGTCGGCGTCCGAGATGAAGTAAGCCTTGACCATGTCATCGTTCTCGAAGAGCTGGACAGCCTGCTTGGCGAGCGCGTCGGTCTCACCCACGTTGCCGTAGTTGTGAGCGCCGTTCTGGTAGTTGGCGTAGGCGAACTCGGTGATCCAAAGGCAGTTGTAGGAGGCGTACTTGGTCTTGTAGTGGTCGAGGACACCCTTGACGCCCTCGATGGAGTTCTGGAAGATGTGCACACCAATGCAGTCGGGCTTGACCGAGACGGCGTCGAGGAAAGGCTGCATCATCGTCTCGTCCTTCTGGAGGGCCATCGAGGGCGAGATGAGCTTGGTACCAGCGTTCTTGTGCTTGGCCATGAGCGAGTCCCAGAGGTTGGCTGCAGACTCGACGCTCATCTTGCCGGAAGAACCAGTGCCGTGGAAGTCCATCTCGTTGAAGCCAATGATGTACTTGTACTTTCCGACCTCGAGCTTCTTGAAGTCAGCGAGGCGCTTCGAGTTGGGCTGCGAAGAAAGACCGGTGTTGGCGTCGTCGTTGCCGGCACCCCAAAGCATGGGAACGTACATGGCCGAAGAGCCAGAGTGGTCGTTGCCGCCAGATGCTCCCCAGTCGATCCAAGCGCCGATGTTGTCGCCCATCATGGAGACGGACTGGCCACCAGCGACACCGGCCTTCTTGCCGTTCGGGGTCATGCCGGAGACGGACACCTTGCTGCCGGAGCTGGAGCTGGTGCTGGAGGATGAGGAAGCAGAAGACGAGGAGCTACCGGTGGCCTCCTTGTTGTCGCTGTCGTTGGTCGACTTGGAGCTCGACTTGTGCGACTTGTGGTGGGACTTGTGGTGGGACTTGCCGCTCGACTTGTGCTTGGTCGCGAGCTGGCTGCCAGTGTTGGCCTTGCACTTCTTGGCTTCGATGACCTGCACCGCGACGGCCAAGATGGCAATAAGGAGGAGAGTGTGGGTGAACTTCATGGTTGCTTGGTTGTGAGGGAAAGTGGGGTTGCTTGGTTGCTGCGAGAGAGTGCCGGATTCGAGGTCCGTGAAGTGGGTGATGTGCTGTTGGTCAAGTGGTGCTTCGAGCAGACGTTGTCGTTGTTCTTGTTTGTTGTTGGCTACCAGATGAGCTCAGACAGTTGTGTGGATGGGAAGACGATGGAGGGCTGTTGGTAAGAGGAAGGGGTCAGTGGGGAAGGGAGGGAGGTTGGGCGATTGGAGTGGGTTGGAGGGAGAGGTGATGAAGAGAGAAAAGAGGAGATGAGGTCGCGCTGCGAGGGCGAGGATGAAATGCCTGCCAGCCAGACAGAGCCTGTCGCGCCCGCCTGATCGATCCAGTCGTCAGGGGAGCGTTGGGCGCGAAAGGCGGCGTCAACCCCCTTGCTTGTTTTCGCAGGGGCCGCTACGGCACTGGGCGACTGTGATTGCGTGCCGTCGACCTGGCGGCCAAATCTGACGAGCCGCGCGCCTGCCGCCCAAGTGCCTTCCTGTTGTACTCGCCTCGCCGTCGCCGCGTCGCCGTACTCCCGCTCGCTAGAGTAGGTCCAATCCTTCGAAGATCGAGCAGACTCGCAGCTCATGTGCCCCTCAATGCCGGCTCACTCACTGTCCGGCCTGAAATGAGGTGCGCCGCCAAGAAGGGCGGGCGAGCTTCATCGCAGCGCATCGCAGCCTTACGCTCACGCCCCTCGCACTCACGCAGACGCACAAAGCAGGGTAGTGCTGAGCTTGCCGCCGACTGCCTAGTGACCCTCCCCTGACCGAACAAGGGGATCGTCCCCCCTGGCTGGCGGCGTCATCCCTACCGTTCCTACCTTCTTGAGCGGCAGAGATTCCCTTTGTGCGCGCGCAGAAAATGACGGCGTTGCGGTTACTACCCTAGCGTGCTCAACAGTCGTTTCTTTGCCATCGGCGCCGCCCTTCACGAGCGGGTGACCCGCTCCTGTTTGTTCGCAGCTGACTGTCGTGCACACCCTCGTATCGCGGTTCAATAAACGGCGGTGTTCTAGTCAGTCGTAGTCTCGCTCACTCGTGCCGGCCATGCTCTCGCTTCAGCACCGGGCTGTGACTACAGCTTGCCGTTGCAGAGATGATGCCGAAATAGACCGTAGATAGAGCCCGGCGGAAACGGCAATCGAGGCGGCGGCAGCAAGGTAGCGCATCGTACAAGCTTGCCCGGCAAAGAGCACCTCGATCTGACTCGCATACCAGCGCGTGTCATCGCGTGCCAGACCGCGGCATCTTTCGTGGCCGTCGAGGCTTGAGCCAGAGCGATGGTATACCGTCGGGCTCGTAGCGGTAGTCGCTCGTTCTCGTGCCGCGCTGACACCGTGCGCTCGCAAGGACATCGTTGAGCCTTTGAAATGCTACGAAAGACGTCCGAGAGCGTGTGCTTGCGCTTGTCTCAATCGCATCGCATTGCTGGTTGATCCAGGCGAGGACCGTGACGTGCCGCAAGCCAGCTCGGAATGCGTTGCCTGAGCTACGACAGACTCGCATGCCGTGAGGCGAAACTGGCGACGATCAGCCAACAGGGTGCAATGGGAAGCGGGATCGCTGCCCAGACGCCGGGAAAGCTGCTCAGACGCCGCTGACGCTGCTGAATATCTCGATGGATGGTCGCTGTAGTTCGGAATCGCGACACGAGCAGTGGATTGCCTTCATGACGTCCAAGTCGAGCAAGCCGCTGATATAGACAGACCGTCCCGCCAAGAACACTGTCGAATGCCTGACACTCGGCGAAGGGAGACGAGAGGGGACTCCCATTGTTGTCATCGTCCGTCCTACATGCCTTGCGGCGACTTGTGTTGCCGGCCAGCTGACTCGTCACTCACGACTTGCAACGCAACCGGAACGAGAGACTAGCTAGATTTGAGCCCTAGCAGCTGATGGCTGCGATACCCTCTCGTCGATCATCTGACGCTAAGTTCCGACTCTTTGGTTCGACGAGAGCAGAGTGCGACCACAGTGAGTAGATCTGCTTTGCAGAAGGTGTAGTTGGCGGCCTGAGGCGAATTGCATTGGCCCAAGCGCCCCTCTTGGCGAGCAGCAATGCCTTCGATCCAGCTCTTGGCTGCAACCCTCAACTGCGATGGTCGTCTGCCCGTCAGGCTTCCTGTTATCGATTCGACGTCCATCTCTGCGCCACGGTGATGCCATCCAGCATCGAGGATGCCGGTCCAGCGTCCGTCAGGCGAGCACGGGCCACACCCACTGGCGGCGGATGTGAGGCGGAGCTGAGGTTGCGTGGCTCGGGCCTGTGCGCCGCCCTCCTTGACGTTGTAGCCATCCGCTCCATTTGCCCCGCTACTCATCGACCAATCTCGGTCGAGGCATCGACATCATGCAAACGCTCAAGGATCTCGAAGATTGGATCGAGACGTCGATTCCGAGCAACCTCGTGAGTACTGGTGTCGTGTGCCGTCGATGGATCCCAAGCTGCGCCACTCACTCGTCTTGCTGCGCCTTATGGTAACGTCATCTGTAGCGCGATCTCCCCTCCAACATCACGCATACCGTCTATTCCTACTCAGAAGCAGTCTACACTCAGCTCACAAAGTATGGAAATCCACTACCATCACTACAAGACATAGAGGACCACTTACCTGGAGCCCTCACCTCGCCCTGCAAAGCCATCCACAACGCCGTCTCTCCCTCACCTCCTCCGCCGCCGCCTCCAAGTGGCGTGTGGGAGCAATCGACTGCTTGGATCAGTGTCAATCGTCGAGGTGTACAGGCGGCCGGAGGTGTCGCAGTCATCGGTATTGGTACCGCCTGGGCTTATCGAAGCGGACGCATCTGGCTACCGCTGCTTGGCAGGAGGAGTCGGAAGCCGGCCAAGGCGCTGCGTACGCCTCTGATCAAGAATGGAGCTCGCAAGGAGGCAATCGGTAAGCATAATGAAAACCTCTTCTCTACTTGCCACGAGCTCACGCATCAACCCTTTCCCGCCCGTAGTCGTCTTGGGCGGAGACAATCCCCTGGGTCGTGCCCTTGCCCTTCACATGTCCTCGCTAGGCTTCGTCGTGATCGCGTCCGTCGGCTCCCACTCAGCTGTAGCCGCTTTCAACTCAATTGTACCACCCTCCTCTCGCGGCTACATCAAGGCCCTACAATTCGAGACGTCCGACGTCGCCGGTTCACTGCCCAAATTCGTCCGAGCAGTCGACGAGGTCCTCAGGCTGCGGTTCCCTCTGCTGTCGGCGGGCGACCCCTACGCCGCGCCAGGAGACGAGGTCAATCTCGTCGGCATTCTCAACGCCATCAGCTATACGCCTCCAGCACTTGACGCACCCACTCTCGCAGGCAGCTCATCGCAACCCTCGTTCCAGACGAATCACGCAGAACTCGCAGACTCTCTCGAGAAGCTCGTCGCTTCACCCCTGTGCGCCATCTCCTCGCTTCTACCCCTACTCAAGAGCCCCACAGAGAGGAACAGCAGCAAGAGCAGCAGGGAAGCAGCCGCCACGCATCCCTCCACAACAATCCTCTCCTTCCTCAGCTCACCGGTCGCCCACACCTCCCTCCCTGGCGCAGGTGTCGAAAGCGTCGTCTCGCAAGCGGTCGTAGCAGGTATGGAAGTCATCCGGCGCGAAGCAGATGAGAAAGCGCTCAGACTTTCTACGCCGTCGGTCCCCTTCATCATCCGACGCTCGGTACGCATCTCGACGGTGGAGATCGACGAGGGCAGGCCATGGGGCTCGGCCGCCTTGCCCGAGAGTGAATCGACCACTTCTTCTGCTGCTGGCCGGCCAGGCATGCCTCGCAAGCTCTCCAACGCGAGTAGCTGGCAGGCTCGCGATGCGGCTACACAAATGGTCCTGGCCAAGGTGTCCTCCCTTCTTCTGACGACCGACGCGTCTGCCCGGTTGCGTTCAAGCTACCGCATCTACTTGCCCAACGCTGAACGTCACTACGCTGGGCAGATCTTCCTCTGGCTCAACAGGGCGACGCAGAGATTGATGAGCGTCTTGCCCACGGGCTGCATTGATGTGCTGTTGGCAATGAGGAGGCATGTCTCGTTAAGGAGGGCGGGGTTGATCAGTCAGGGGCCGCGAAATGCGAATGACAACACGACGGATACCGCGCAGCAAAAGGTCAAACAATCACAATTGAGCCAGCCCTCTTCCCGCAGCCACCTCTCCTCCCAATCACCAGGAGCGGCCTCTCCCTCGCATTCGCGCTCCTCCATCCGCTCCTCAAGCGCAACCCTTTCTGCCTCTCAACAGCGCTCTGGTCAAGGGGCCTCGCATCTGCGTCATCCGACATCTTTGAGCTCGGAGGGCGAGGAGGAAGGGACCACCTCCGGCCCTCCCTCACTGCCGGACTCCAACTCAGGAGAGTCGGGATCGTACCACGTAGATGACGACGGGATGGTCTCCTCTGGGGTGTTGAGCAGCCGGTCGAGCCAGTACGAGGGCCAGCACGGGCACACCCAGAGAGGCGCGCAAGCCGCCGGGTCGGAGCAGAATTCCTTCTCTTCCTCAGCGACTGCCACCGGACCCTGGATGGGCCCGGCATCGAGTCGCAACTCTCCCGCTGTGCCATCCTCCCAGAGCCCGGTGCTCGAGGCGTCGGCAGGAGGGGCGCAAGCAGGGGTCGAGACGATGCCCAACGATCGCACGGCTCAACTGGGCGAGAGCTGGGTGCGATTGGGCGACAGTGCTGTACAGGAGGAGCAGCGCCCGAATCAGGAGCGCAAAGAGTAGGTAGGCGACCCCTACACTGCTTCTCTCTCCGATTCGTCAGCGTCGCGCAGTGGTCGACTCTTGGCTCCTCATACCTCACCCCAGCTTGATCGCGCGACCTTGCCTCCCTTCTGTTGTCATTACCACATGTCCTTGCCCCCTGCGCTTCAATCTGATGTATCCTTCTATCGTCCTCCAGCGATCGTGCAAGCTTGTCTCTGACGTCAAGAGATTGAATGACTGGCATTGCTCCACACTGAACCTCTTCATCCCACTCACTGCGGTCCCGCCAACATGCCTGGCACCCTCCCCCCTCCTCCTCCCTGCTCCCTCTCCCTCTGCGCCTGTTGCTCTCTCGCCCTCTGCGCCCTCCTATCACGCTCCTGCTCTCTCTCGCGCTCCTCCAATTCCTTCTTCCTCCTCGCAGTCTCCAAAGCCACATGGCCCGTAATGGCCTCATCCACCCATGCTCCAGTAAACGTCTCTGCCCTCCTCATCTCCTCATTGCTCACACCCGCTCCCCACCCTGCGCCCGGTACGCTCGATTTGGAGCCAAGGATCGAGTCGAGGTCTCTGGACTGAGAAGCGAGCCAGGAGGAGAGATGCTGCTGTGGATCTTGCGAGAAGGAGTAGAGGAAGTCACGCGCTGAGCCGTGGTTGGCCAACGACTGGACTGCCTGAGCTATGCGCTCATCCAAGTCTGCCACTTCCCTCGCGTGGTCGCCTTGGGCGTCGAAGCTGCTCAGTACCCTCTCCTGCTTGACGCGAGACATCCAGTCCTCCAAGTCTAGCTCGATATCGTAGGCCGTGCTGTGCTTATTGGCGTCCACATCCGTACGGATCCAGTACTCAATCACGATTGGGTTTGGAGGGTGGAGGAGACGATTGACCACTTCGGGCAGGTGATGGAAAGCGATGGCTTCGGTCTTGAAGAGGTGCTGCAGGGGAGGATCGAGCCGCACCATGCGGCGGTCACGCTCGTCGAGGAGCTTGCGATCCTTTATGTAGGCCCAGAGGGCTGAGATGATACCCGCGCGTGTCTCTTCCTTGATGTCCAGCAGGCTAGCTAGAGCAGGGTCGAGGGCGTATCGCTCCGGCGTGTGGGAGAGATAGAGGGCGATCTTGCATTTCACAGGCTCCGAGCCCTTGCGTTTCACCTCGAACCCATCCAGCCCTGGGTCAGAGGCAGTGATGAGGGGAATCTCATGCCCGTCACGCGTCGCTGCTTGAGGAGCGACATTGGGCGTCGGTCGATGCCACTCCACGAGGTTCTCCTCTGCTGGGTAAGCAGCAGGATCCCTCGACAGCTCGATGACGCAGGACTTGACGAGGTTGGAGAATTTTTGAGCCCCAATTCGATCAGAGGTCGCCTGAGCCATCTTTGCATGGACGGCGCGCGAGCGGAACGAGGGATCGAGGAGGCGACCTTCGATGCGCAGTGTCCACGAGGGAACATCTGCATCTGCGGAGGAGGAAGAAGGGTTGGATGGACCAGCCTCGTTACTTGATGCGCCCGTGGCATCTGGCTTAGCTTGCGGTGTAGCAGACCTCTCCTGATTGTCGCCGCGGTTCTGCGCTCGGAGAGCTGCTTGCTCCTCTTTTTGGAAGGGTTGATTGGCGCAGGTATTGCTGAGGAAGATGCGCAGCGTGCGCTTAATCTGTAAATGCGATGTGGACAGAGCAGGGAGTCAGCATGTATGCGGGATGGTCGACAGCTACCTCGATCTGGCTTGACTCACTCGTTGCGGCCTGTTCGCCAGCCCCTCTGCTAGCTCGGCCCTCTTTCTAGCCAATGTCCAATCCAAAGCCCTCTCGTCCTTCTGCAGCTGACCATACAGAGCACTCTCAGGGATATGCTTCTGGATGCTGGGTGGGATGGCCCTGCTGGTAGGCTTGCCCTTCTTCATCCCTCTGATCGAGTCTGCGAGCATGCTGTCGGTGGTATGTCGTTTCCTCTGAGCCTGAGCAGCAGCTTGAGCGGCTGCCTGGCTCGCGGGCATCGCCTGTGTCTGCTGATGATACGCGGCTGCTGCTGCTGCTGCCTGCTGATGGTGATCGCCAGGATAAGCGCCGCCCTGAGCAGGGCCAGCAGCCCCTCTCTGAGCATACTGAGCCTGTTGCTGTTGTTGCTGAGCAGGGTTATACATGGCGACGACGACGGCAAGGATGCCTCGATACGATGTGACGATGACTTCGTGTCAACGGGAGTGGCAGTGGCTGTGACAGTGGATGCGATGCGAAGCACCGAGGCGGCGGGGACGCGCTTCATCTCGACGCCGCCCTCGTGGCTGTCCGTGTCTCGCGCGGTTCCGTGACGCATTTCCCCAGCCACCCTCAGCAACATCGTGACCTTGCCCAGCCCAACACGGTTTCGAGAGGCTGAAGCCTGAACATTTCAACAGGCTGAGCAGCAAAGAGAGGACAGTGGGTCACATCGTCAAGCATCCGAGGCTTTGCGGGCAATGCCACGAGAGCTGACGGTGTCAGGGTGGCTCATGAGGAGCAGCCATTGTCCTGCCCTCCTCTTGAAATGACAAGCTCACGATGCTGAAAAAGATGTGATCTGTTCATGATTGCACTTGACATTCGAGCAGATTGAAGAGCAGAGCAAGCGAAACCAGCTAGGGATGACGGATCACCCAGCCTTGGTAGCACGGCACACAGCAAGGGGAGGTGGTGGCGCGAGCTACTACTAATCAGGGCCAACGGGGAGAGCCAGCTCGACTAGATTCATTCGTATTAGGACCAGGGACGAGGTGAGATTGCATTCTCGTACGTGACCGAGCTGCAGCCTCGTTGTCAATCTCGCCCCTTTTTTCCTCGGTGTTTGACGTCGCCTAGACACTAATGCTGCTTGCTGCCTTTTTCTCCATTTGCTGGAAAAGCGGAGGCTGCTGCTGCCGGCGTTCGTGGCGGCGGGACTTAGGCGGCTCTTCTGGTCGAATCGGGCGAAACGAGGTTGCGGTTGACACTCATCGAGCCTTTTTCGCTGCTGAGAGCGAGGCAGCCTCGCCCACTGCCAGTCGTCTCCCGGTCTGCAATGCCGGCCACTTGTCAAGTCTCCACGCCGCCGCTTCCCCCTCCTAATCGCTTTGGCTCATTGCTCTTTGTTGGCCAGACCCTGAATCCGAGCCCCGTCCTTCTTGCTTGCTCGCTCGCTCCCTTCCCATTGAATACCATTGTCCCTCCCTACCATGATGTCAATGACGACCAAAGACCAGTAGCAGGCACTGGACGAGTCTAGGTGAGCCGCGCGCTTGACCCACGACGACGCCTGAGCGTGTGTGGCTCTCGTGGCTCTCGAGTCGCGAGGGAGGCCTTGCCTGGCTGCTGCTGCTGCTGCTGCTGCCGCCGCCTCCGCCTCCCTCGTCTCCCTTCCGTCTCCCCTCAACGTCGTCCTCCTCCCCTCGATTGGACACCACCACCCACATACCTCTTTCCAGCCCTCGTCGATTCTCGTCGGTGAAGGCGAGGTCACAGAGACGCTGTCCATCACAACGTACCTCGTCTGTGCTACCACTCACCGGCACGTCACGCCGGGCTGAGACGCGACGAGAGGCGCGACTTCGACGACGGCCACACCCACCATCCGATCTTCCCCCTCGTCCCACTTGACATCAGCAGTCAAGCAGTCAAGCAGCACGCCCCACGTAGTGATACCATTCTTTCGACTGCTCATCAGCCCGCTGTAAAGACGCCTTGCTGTTCCTTTCTGACGGGTCCACTCTCCATCATCCTCCATTCCGCGTCCGGCGAGCCTGCCTGCATATGACCGTACGCCGAGCATCATCTCACCGCAGCCTAAAGTGCATTCCCCAATACTCGTAACGCCCTGACAACTGTATCGCTGTTCAGGCAGAGGCGAGCTCCGACCAACTGAATCGCCGTGAGGAGGGAAGGGGGAGTCCCAACACGACGCATATAGCCAACCGCGTCGTCTGGTCGCCATGTTCAACGGCCAGAACTTCATGGCGGGCAACGGCCAGCAACAACAGCCGTTTCAACAGCAGCAGCCAAATCTTAGCACACCGACCAACAATGGCAACTTTGGCAACATCAACGCAGCGGCCAACCCTCAGATCCAAGCTCTGCTGCAGCAGCAGCAGTTTCAGAAGATGCGATGGCAGCAAATGCAGATGCAGGGTCCTCAGCAAGGCTCGATGCCGAATCATCAGCAGCAGAGCATGCCGCAGCAACAACAGCAGTTCATGAATCCCGCTGCCTTCCTTAATCAGCCCGGCGCCGGCGTGAATGGCGTGTACCCGGGGATGATGAACACACAAGCAGGCCCGTCATCCGTGCCTGGGCAGCAAGGCGCTTTCGGCGCAGCTGGTACCTTCATCCCGAATCAGCAGCAGCAACAGCAGCAGCAGCAGCAGCAGCAGCCATTCGGTCAAGGGGCAGCGCAGCAATCGCCAGCCAATTTCATGGCCGGCCTCGGCGGCGTCAATCCCCAGCAGCTGCAGGCCATGCTCAGCAACGCTTCAGCTGGCGGGTCAGGTGACGGCTCCATCAACCCAGCAGCGATGTTTGGAGGTCCGCCTAGCGGTGCAGGCGCTGGTCCCTCGTCCTCAGGTATGATCGATCCGGCCATGCTGATGCAGCAAATGGCAGGAACAGGAGGAGGAATGGGAGGACCAGCAGGGCCGAATCAATTTGGAGGCATAGGTGCAGGCATGGGTATGATGCCAGGTATGGGTGGGACGGGAGCTATGGGAGGCTCTCAATCGTCCGCGAATGGGCAGAGCCAAGCGCCACCTCGTCCGCAGACTGCATCTTCATCTCATGGCGATGGGTCGAGTGGCGCCACGATGGGCACGCCAGAGCCCGCTGCCAAAGCCTCAAAACCAAAAGCGTCAAAGAAGTCAAGAGGATCCGTCATGTCAGACGTCCACTCAACACCGAGCATGCCCAACGCCCAGATACCAGCTCAGTCCCCGCATGCTGCTGCCGACCACAGTCGTCAAGGAAGCACAGCGAGTGGTCGAATGCCTGGAACTCCTGCGCAAGGACCTTTTCCAGGTCAAGGGTTGCAGCAGCAACAGCATCAGCAGTCGATGGGCATGCCGCCGATGCCGCCGCCACCGCAGACGCCTGTAGCAGGGCCATCAAGCTGGCGTCCCTCCCTTAGCGTGGCGCAGCAGCAGGAGGTCATGATGAAGGCGTGGGACTACGCCAAGAGCCACAGCATGAACCCTGCCGAGGTTTTGGGCAGGATGAACCTTCTTTTCGTCAAGGCGGAGCAGCTGCCAGGGGGAGGGTCAGGAGCGACGATGCCCAATGGGTCTGCCGTCATCACATTCGAGGAAGCTCGATTCTTGGGCATCCTCGGCGGCCCACAAGGCCCTCAATCCGCACCAATGATGCCTACACCGCAGCAGCAACAGGCTCAGCAGCCGCCACAGCCGCCGGTGCCGCAAGCTCAGCCCCCACCCCAGCAGCATCTCCAACAGCAGCAGCAACGGCAGTCGATGGCCAATGGTCCAGGCATGCCCATGGCAGGCTCCTCTGGCTCAAATTACCCCACACAGTCACCAGCTGTCCGCGCATTTGGTGGTCCTACGGTGCAAAGCCCGGCAGCAATGTCTCCACAGCAACCGCATCCCCCGCCACAGCGAGCACGCCAGCCTAGCAGCGCCAGGCCAGAGTCAAGGTCAGGTCTTCCTTCCGGCATGGGGCCCACGCCTGCCACGGCGATGGGCCCGCCACAGCAGGTCTACAGCGGAGCCCGGCCGTCGATGACGCCGGATCAGGCAATTGCAGGAGGTGCAGCAGTCAACGGAATGGGCGTGCCGCCGCCGGGCAACGATGCGATGAGAAGACCATCGATGCACGGCCCTCCGTCTGGACTACCGCCGCAAGCCATGGCCGGGGGAGCTCTTGGAGCGACGGGCGCAATACCACCCGCCGCCGCTGTAGCCGCCGCTCCTTCTATACCAGCAGGCCCGCCACCACCAGATCCAAACCTGCCTCCTGTACACGGCGGCGTTCTTCCGCCCAAGACGAGAGGAGGCCATCCCGTCACTCCCTACAACACCCGGTCCACGCCCCTGCCCAACTTCAAGCGCCCCTCGCTGACCACCGAGGATCTGCGCGGCGACTTCTGGGAGCCCATGTCAGAGAAGGACGAGCAGAAGCTTCTGGCTATCATGGCGAAGGACTCGGCCTACGAGCAGCTCGCGCAGCGTCAAATGGATTCGATGCACCAGGCTCTGCGGTCCCGTCTCGAGGAGCTGCACCCGCTCAAGCGAAGACGGAGCGATGGCAGCCTGTTCCAACCTGAGGTCCTGCACTGGTGGGAACGTGCTGACGATGAGGATCAGCTTCCCATCGGACCAGAAGGCCAATTCCGCATCGTCTTCCCCGAGGATCGACGCTTGGAGTTGGAGGAGAAGCGTGGCGGCCGCAAGGCTGCGACGAGCGCATTGCTGGAGCGACTCAAGCCCAGGCAGCTCGCAGCAGTAGGCGATAAGAGCGAAGACCTCGTTGCCATACGATTGGAGCTCGACTTTGAAGGGTGGAAGTTGCGCGATACTTTCACATGGAACGCGTCAGACGACGTCACCTCGTACGATGACTTTGCGCGTGGACTCTGCGAAGACTACGGCTTGCCGGACAACAGCTTCATTCCTCTCATCCGCGAGGCGATGGCCACGCAGATTGCTGAACACGTCCAAACGCAGGCCCTGCGCCCAGAGACGACTAGCAAGGATACCAAGGGCCGGCTGAGTGAGGAGGACGCAGAGTGGTGGCAACGCTGGCGCGAGACGGTCCTTGATTTGCAGGAGGCAGCGTGGGTCAAAGGGGCGAAGCTTCGACCGATGCGCAAGGACCGGCCGTCAAAGGCAAATGGCGTGCTCGAGGCTGTATCGCGCAAAACAGGCTCAACTCGAGCAACGCTGCGCATTCCGATCAAGCTTGACATCACTGTTGGCGCCATGAACCTCGTCGACCAATTCGAGTGGGACATTCTTGACGAAGATGCCTCAGCCGAGACATTTGCGCACACCTTCGCCGCGGATCTGGGCCTAACGGGCGAATTTGAGACGGCCATTGCCCACTCCATCCGCGAGCAAGTCGACGTCCACCTGCGCTCGCTCGCTCTGGCAGGCCACTCATTCGACAGCTTGTACGTCTCCGATGATGAGCTGCGCGGCGCCTTCCTCCCTGAGGTATCGACGGTCTCTCGCTCTGGCCAGGACATTGAGGACCACACGCCAAGGCTGCTGCAGCTCAGCGAGTTCGAGGTCGAGAAGCTCGAGAGGGAGAGAGAGCGCGACAACAAGCGCAAGAGGAGGCAGACGAGGGGACGCCGTGGTGTTAATATGCCGGACCGAGAGCCTCTCAAGACTCAGAGGACGCCTGTTATATGTGGCCTGCAGGCTGCACAGATCGAGGCAGCAGGTGGTGCCGCTGCCGTTGCCGCCGCTGCCGCTGCGGCCGCGGGAGGAATCGGCGCAGAGGGTGGACTCGGCATGAGGACATCGTCAAGGCGAGCGGCCGCTGTAGCGGCGAGCGCACATCTGCAGGCGGCTGCGATGAGCGACTTCGATTCGCCTACACCGGCGGCCGAGGTGCGGCCGTCCGAGCCAGTCGCTGCGGCGGCTACAGCTCCCATGCTTGCGGCCAAGAGGCAACGGCTGGAAAACCATGCTGTTCACTTCAGGTACCCTGGCGGGCTCGGACGATCCGACACGGGAGGACCGCGCTTCGCACCTGGCCGAGTCGACGAAGAGCCGCCACCCTCCGCCAAACCCGAACCCGGCGCTCCCAACGCAACCAATCACCTGCAAACAGCAGCATCGGGCGAGGTCAAGCGCTCTCTGTCTCCTCTCACCGACTTCGCTTCCAAGTCACCAGGTTCCAACTCACCCTCAGCCTCCATGCCCAAGGGCATTCGACCAGAGGACGTTGCTCACCTGCAGCCCGTAATGCACGACGGACAATGGTTTTGCTCGAACTGCGGCATGCCAGGCTGGCTCACAGTGCATCGTCGCAAAGGTCCGCTTGGGGAGAAGACCCTCTGTGGTATCTGCGGCAAGTTCTGGCACCGCTTCAGGCGGATGAAGCCCGTCCAGTACACGCGCGAAGAGGCATACCACCGCAATGCTCATGGGGCTGGTGCTGGTGGGAGCGGTGCAGGCGGTCTGTCAGTTGACGACGAGTCGATCAGCTCTTTGCCTACGACGGCGAGGGCGACGCCTGCGCGTGATAACGACTTTGACGACGTAGGCGGAGCAGGAGGACAGCGCAAGCTCCCATCGACACGGGGTCACTCTCCGGATTTGCCCTTCCAGCCCGTGGGCTCGCCCAGCGACGACTCCGACTCGGACCATTCGCAGTCCCCGCGGGTCAGCAGAAGGAGCTCTCCGACTAAGCGGCCTACGATCGTCCTCAAGAAGAGCGTCAGTCCTGCGAAGCCGGACTTGCCTCCCACCAATGCTGCTGCTGGTGCCTTAGCTCAGCCACCGACGCTGGCGCACCTTGCGCAAGCACAGCCGCCCTTGAACCGCACCGACTCCTTCGGAGCAGCCTCTGCCTCCTCGAGCAACTTCATGGCAGCAGGCTCAGCCAGCCCCCCCTCGACATCAGCGGCAGCGCATCCGACTCTGCCCTCCACCTCTGTAGCGACTACGGAGTCACCCCCCGACTGGCTCACAGAAGCGGCTAATGGCCTACGCGCAAAGTACAAGCATGATCGCTTCGAGCTGCGCTTCAAGGGACCGGGACTGTGGCGCATCAAATGCCTGGATTGCCCGGGCAAGCTGTACACACCGGGACCAGCCGAGTCGCTCACCAATTTCGAGGTGCACTTGAAGAATCGGGCGCATAGGGCGAGCGTTACGGCGAGGCTGGAGAAGTCGCGTGGAGGCGGTGGCGTAGGTGGTAGCGGTAGCGGTGCTGCAAGAGAGTCTTCAGCAGGGGCGGCGAATGCCTCTTTTGAAAGCGCAGCTTCGCCTGGTGGTGCTATCTGATGAGCGAGGGGTCTCAAAGTGGCGTCGCTGTTGAAGAGGAGGACTCAGCAGTGGTCCAGCTCTTTCTCTTCCTGTCAGTCCCTTTCCACTCTTCAGTGTCACAACATAGTAGTAGGCAGTCGTCTATTCGTCGTAGTAGTAAGACTATCAATTTCCTAGAAAGTGCAATCGAGCGAGCAGACCGAGCATCCCCTTCATCGACTTCCTGCCGCGCGCACAGGGCCAGCTGCGGGGCGTGACCCACTTGTGATCTCGTAGGATGACGAGTGCATTCGCGCATACAATCTCGATGCGGGTTAAGGCTCATTGGTCAAGCGATGATGCGGGGTGAGAGGTCAAAGGGCAAGCAAGCCTCGTCCGCGTTTCCTGGTCGACGCTCCTTCGTCAGGAGGTGGTGGTCACAGATCTCGCGGAGAATTTTTTTTTGCTGTGCCCCACACATGCTGGATCATCACTTTACGCAGACTCGCAGGAAGGAGCGACGGTGTAGGACGGCGGGCTGCTCTGCGCTGAGGGCTTGGCACTCTGCAGCGCCTTATTTGACGTGTGCCCTGCCGGTGTGTTATCTAGCTTCCCCCTCGTGCTCGCCGCTGGTCCTCAACGTGGCGCGTGTACGATGATCGCATTGTCCTCGTGCCGCAAGGCAGTGAGAACGTGAAGAAGGACGGCCCGGGGCGGGGTCCACCAGGCTGAGACGAAAGCCAACGGACGCTGTTCGTATTTTGGACGGTGCTACCCGTCTGGACAGCGCCGTCTTGCGGTCTGATACACCGTCGATGCCGGTGCTGGTCATCCTGTGCGCGTGGCTTGCTTGCTTGCAGTCACGATCTCGAGGCCAAGCAGCCACTTGCGATCGATGCGATCCTCGACGGCGATGAGCGAGAAAAGGAGTGAGGTGCGCTTCGGCAAAGCAAGGCAGCAGGGTCCCGCGCCCCGGCAGCCCACATGTAAGGTGAAGTAAAGTAGCCGTCAGGCGAGCGGGCTTAGGGAGCGGGCTGCCTTACCATAGAAGGGGCCGTCGCCTAACTCAGCCTGCCCGGGCCACGGCTAGCGATCGCCTTGCCAAGACGTGGTCGAAGAGTGGACTCACCTGAGGGCTGAGGACATTCTTCGGCAAGGGCAGAGCGAGCTTCCCGGCAGCGTATATGGGGTGCCACGTGTCGGATACGGGGCACCAGTTAGGCTAGGGGGCATCCAGTTCGGCTCCGAAGCATCCAAAAAGTGTTTAAATTTTCTAATCACCTTACGGTGAATACAAATAGTGATTAGAACTGCGTGAATACAAAAAATATCGGATCGGAAGTTAATCAGCCATTAACGCGTCGTCCAACGCGACTCAACGCCTTCTCCGCCTGTTCATCTCACCATGACATCGTCTTCAGCTTCGACGCTCGATTTTCCCTCTCTAAGCGTCTCAGACGCCCCGAGTAGACCTTCAGCGGCTGCTTTCCATGCCTCGCTACCCTCTACAGCTTTCCCTGACCTTGGGGAAGCCCAGCAGGCGCTGCAAGGGCACGCTCAAGCTGAGGGCTTTGCTGTCTCTCGCAAGCTCAATCGTCTCGACCGAAAGCGACCCAAGATCGTCCTCCAATGCACTCTAGGTGGCCAGCCCAAGAACTCGCACAACCTGAGAGACGAGGACCGTGTCCGGCGTCGTCGCTCTGGCCGCCAGGGCTGTCCTTATCAGGCAACAATTGAGCTCACCCAAATCGAGCCAGAAGAGTGGATGCTGTCCATCGACAACGGGCAGCATAATCACCCCCGTCGCTCCATCACCAACCCTCATCATCTCCACCGCTACCTCACAGAAGAAGATAGGGCTAGCATAGCCTCCGTTGCTTGGTCTACAGCCCGGGCGGCAGAGATGGCCGACATCTTGCAAGCTCGACGCACAGATGGTAGCGTTATCCTAGCTCGAGACATCAGCAACGCGCAGGCAAAGATAAGGCGGGATCTCTGGGGTCGCCACCCTATCGTAGAAGGTGCTCTGCTTTGGATGGAGCGCCATGATGACGACTGGACGCACCAAGTGCAAGCGGATGCGGCTGGCGAGCATCTAGACCGACTAGCTTTCATGAACAAGGAGATGATCGAGGCTACACGCCAGTGGGGAAGCGTCTTAATCATGGACTGCACCTACTGCATCAATCGCTACCATATGCCGCTGCTAGAAGTCGTCGGGCAAGCGTCCACAGGCCAGACCTTCATTGCAGGCTATGCCCTTATCGCCCAGGAGACGCAATCCTATTTCGAATGGGCTCTAAGCGCTCTGGCTGATCTAGGCGGCTGGTCAGCCCCAAAAGTCGTCCTTACCGACCGTTGCATCGCTCAGATCAACGCTATCAAGGCCGTTTGGCCGTCCACAGCCGTTTCCCTTTGCCGCTGGCATGTAGGAAGAGCTATCGATGCTCGTATTAAGCTAGAGTTTGTTGGGTGCGATTACGGGGCCTTCAAAGACGCTTGGGGGGAGGTATATGACGCTCCCACTTATGACGCAGCTCGTAGCGCTTGGAGACGGCTGGACGAGACATATGGAGGTGCTAGAGCTGGACCAGCCGCTCAGGTGCTAGCCTATCTACGGCAAACTTGGTGGCCTTGGCACCATCAGTTCTTACTATGTTATGTGGACCAACATCGTCACCTTGGGGCGCACACAACCAACAGGGCCGAGAGTACGCATGCTGCGCTTAAGCGGTCGCTTCTCTCTCGCCAATCGGACGTGCGTAGCCTACTAGCTCGCCTAGCCTTCCACTGCCGTAAGCTGCAGACGGCTTATCGTCTCAGTCTCGAGAACAATGCGTTATATGTTCCCACCCAACACTCTCAAACACCCATCTTCCAGGCAGTCGTACGAGTCGTCTCCGACCATGCTTTGGAGCTTTGCCGAAGGGAGTGGAAGACGACTACTCTACCAACCGTCAAGGTCGATAAGGCCTGTTGCTGCAACTTCTACCGTACCCTGGGCATCCCTTGCCGTCACAGGCTCAAGGCGCTCTCTCGAGAGACGGGCAGGCTGCTCCCCAGCGACTTCCACCCCCATTGGCAGCTGCTACCAAGCTGGATATCCATAGGCGGCGAGGACGACGACTTCTTGCCGCAGCGCCCGTCCCTACCGCTTCTTCCGGCCGTACCAGGCCCAAGGGCGCTCACGCCTCCTCCCCTGGGCCCAAGGACGGCTGCTTCAGCTCCTCCGCCGCTACCGCAGTCGCAGGAAGCTCCGTTACGGCCCGAGACGGCTTCTCCCCCTCCCCTTGCGCCTAGAGCGCCGCTACAAGGCCCACAAGGCTCAGTAGCGTCTATGCTACCTCCAAGATCACGCCCAGCTCGAGCTCAGGCGCCCAGACCAAGCGGTGGCCGCAGCTCAAGGGTCGCTAGTTCCTTCGAGAGGATGGAGAGCACGGCAGCCGCAACCAATCGTCTCGTAATCGGCCGAGCAAGGCCTACATGTGCTCTTTGCCGCAAGATGGGCCATAACAGGCGTAGCTGCCCCGATCGAGAGCTTCTCGAGCGCTTGGGACCATCTAGTCGCTCTCGCAACGCTCTCCAGCCTAGCTCGCAGTCGTCTACGGCTCCTCCTTATCTACAGACGCAAGATACCGACCTAGGCGAGCTGGAAATCCTTCCTCCGCCGCCTCCTTCCCTCTCCCAGCTGTCCCAACCACCGCTACATGACCTTGCTCTCTTGCAGCAACACCTTTTAACGCCTGCGCCCCCCCCCTCGCAAAGGGGACCTTTCGACCGATTCTTCTACGCCCCGACAAGCTTGCCGCAGTCGTCCCCAGCCACGTGGAGACCCCTATAGGATCGCTAAGCTTTGGTTTTGAATATTATGCATCTTTTACTAGAAGGCGACGATGGAGGCGTTTGCAACACCTAGATTTTGGCTCGATACGGTGTTTTGGTCGCTTTCCGCCCTTTCCGCCCCTTAAAAGTCGGAACGGAGGCTAGATTTGGATGCCCCGTAACCATTTGGATGCCCCGTATCGTAACTGGTTTCCCCTAGCTGCAGGCTGGACGCCCGTATACGCTGCCGAGCTTCCCACATCTTCAACTGAAGTCGTACGTTGGCGCTCCACGTCTCGCAGTCAATCTTCCCATGAGTAAGCGCGCGTCGAAAAGGCTATGAGGAGCGAGGTTGGGACTAAGGGACGCGGAGCTACTTTGTTCTCGCTACCGGCATGGATCGTCGGTGTGTCGTCTTTGGACCTTGTCCTGGTCGGCCAAGAGTCGACACCGCGGGTGGCGTTGCATCGGGGTCGTCGGACTATGTGTGTGCTGCTCTCTGCTTCTTTGCCGCTCGCTGTGCCGCTCTGGCCGCTGCATTACGTGGTACATTAGCGTGACCATGATGCCATCACCGCAGACTTGCGAGACCTTGTGTGAGAAAGGGCCATTGCTTTCCGCTACTCAGAGCTACAGTCACAAGGTGGCAGAGGGGCGGCCACTATAGGGTACCCCCATTTCAGCACCATGGATGATGCTGGCAGCGATGCGTGTTTGCTGAGCTGCGAGCGATGGTGTGCTTATGACGAGGAGCTCCTGCGCCGACAGGAGCGAGGGGCAGGGACCTGCCTGCCACTGCCACGCCCACTGTCACAGCCACTCTCCGCTCAGGCTCACTCAACTCACGCCCGCGCCGCCCACGATGACACCACCGCACCCGCGTGCGCTCCCTCTGCGTCTCCGTCCGTTGCCCCCCCTCTTTGTGAGCCACGGCGTGCAGCACCCGGCGCTGCAGCTAGAGAAGCCAGGAAGCTACTCCCGCCCAACCCGTCGACCCACCCACCCAGGGTCCTACCAACTTTCCTGAGTCACATCAGGCCCATGGCCCGCCCGGTTCCACGAAGACAGCGATAGCCCGTCGACAATGTCCACCTCCTCCTCTTCTTTTCACCTTGTCTTCGACACCACACTCCATTCGTCACCACCACCACCAAGCGCACCCCTCCGCCAAATCCTTTGCGCCCTTTGACTACTCGCACCTACCGTTCCGCCCTTCGCCATCCTCCGATAGACATATCGCACGCCAGACCACTCCCTTCTACACTCCAGCCAACCCCGCATCGACTGCTCTTACCACCCTGTATGCCTCACCGACACGCCAACACACTCGCATCCTCCTCATAGCATCGGCTTCCCCTCTCCGCGCTCCTGCTCGCCATGATCGAGGGCGTTGCCAGGCGCACCTACGGGCTAGCGACTCGCACAACGCAGCACCGCAACGACTCGCCCGCTGTCACACCAGCAGAAGAGTTTGAGTCGTGGCTTCCAGATGAAGTCTGCGTAGCTTGCGGTGCTCAAGCTCCTTCTCGTCAACTCTACTGCTCAGCAGAGTGCAAAGAGTCGGAAGAATCAAAGCAAACCCAGCCTCCTATGTCCTCTTCATCCACCACCACGTCGTCGTCCGCCATCGGTTCGCCCAGGGACACCAACCATGATCCCTTGTCTCCGCGCAGCCGCCCGAGCATGGCCAACCTCACATCACCTTCAACTTCAGCCAAGCTGGATGGACCCACCGACCTCCGCTACCACTACCCGCAGTCATCACCACTTCTTCTCGCCCAACGCAAGGCGTCATCGGCGGCTGCCTTTGACAAGGCGCTCCTCGCTCACCGACTACGCCAAGCGCAAGGCGGCAACTCGAGCAGTGACGACCAAGCCGATGCTGGCATGCGTCGTAGAGGCTCCTCTCGCAGCTCGAGCGCTTCGTCAATTGCATCGTCATCGGCCCTCTTGACGGATCCAAGCACTCCTTCGCCAGCATTGGGCTCTGCAGCCGTACGCAAGCACCGATCTGCAAAGGCTCGCTCGTCGGATCTCAGCACCGAAAGCAGCGAGGACGATGACGCGGATCTCAATGCAAGCGACTTCCAGCTGCCGCCATCGGTCACACCCGCTCTCAACACCGCCGCCGTGATGATGAACCGACCAAACCACGAAGAGCAGCAACAGCAGCAGCATCGCCAGCAGCCCGCTTCTCTGGCCTGGGAACGTGGATATGCTTCACCACCTCATCAAATGCAGCATCGCACCGCATCGGCTTCTCACCACCAGCAGCACGGACCGCCAATCTCTTCGCGCAACAAGGTGGCATCCATGTCGTTTGCTCGTCGTCCTAGCAGCACGAACCTCCCTGCACCTGTTCTCTATTCGCCCGCACTTTCGGCCAAAGCGTCAAGGGTCAGTCCCCTCCTGCAAAGCGACAAGGCTCGAGCCATCGCCTCTGGTACGGCCAAGCCAGATGTGGCGCGAACATCAACCGCACGAAGATCATTCAAGAAACACGCGAAGATGCTCTCAATCGCCGGAGCGAACCCTGCGGACGCTAATCTTTCTCGATTGTCAGGTGACGACGAGACAATGACCCTTTGCAGAGGTCAGAGCGCAAGGCTCGCATCTTGCCCTCAACAAGAGGTCCGAGCGTCGCAGCCGGCCCCCTCTTCTTCTTTGTCCCTCGGTGGCAGCACCAGCCTTGGCGGCGGCGCAGCTAGGCTTGTCCCTGGCTCAGGCACTATGACCTCTGGCGTCATGAACCGATCAAGCTCAGACCCAGTCCCTTCTCGCCGACCGTCCTCCGACGCTGTATCCCCCGCAACAATGCAGCACGAAGAAGGATCTCAAGACGGCTCATCGGCGGGTACAAAGACGCTGGCCGCCTCTCGCAACTCTCAATTGGCTTCTCTTCGATCACCAACACCATCCGAGCTCTGCGGTAGGCCAGGCTGCGCGGGAGCGTTCAGCAACCGTCCGCTAGAGTCCTCCTCAGCATCATCAGCATCACCCTCCGTGGCTCCCACGGCACACCGAAAGCCATCGCTTTCGTCTTCCTTCACCGACCGCTCACATCTTAAGATCATCGCTCCATCAGGCTCTCCTCGCAGTCTCAACAGCAGGCGTCACCGACATACGCACAGCGCACAGGCTGGTCTCAGCATTCACGATCACTTCAGCGCCATGAGGTCTACTCTCCTCATGACGCCCGCCAGAACCCCGCGAGAGCTGCCCATTGCCTCTCCTCGACCCGCCGCTGCCGTCGCTTCCATCGCTCCCTCTGGCATGGTCTCTCCCTCTGCTGGCGCAAGCCACGCCGGTGGTCGAGGCAGGTCCAAAGTGCGGGACAGCCGTTCAATCTCCCGTCGTAGCCGCAGCCCTCCTCGCGCAGCAGCACGCGGTCGATCACAGGCCCTCGCTGCGGAAGAACGGGAGCGCAAACAGCCACGCCCAACCTCGCCGCCCATCGAAGCCATCAAGCCTAGGTCGCAGCCCATTGCCATCGGTAGGAGACCGAGCGGTCAGGCCGCCACGCTGAACAAGGGCTCCGTATCCTCTTCTGCGGCGACTTCGAGCTCTGCTTCTGCCGCGCACGACGCCGATGTCAGCACCGAGGATGTGAGCCAGGGACGTGGGCGCGGCCGATCTCCGACTATCGAGCGACAGAAGCGTAACTCCGGCACGAAAGCGCCGCTAAACGACCTCTCGCATCTTCAGCCGGCCTTCAAGCGTTCGGCAAACGATGAGAGCGGCGACCCTGGCTTTGACGACATCGAGCTCGAGCTCGGAGCCTGAACGGCGCCAGCGGCGCAAGCCCTGATGTCTTGCACGGCGCCACCAAGTACGCTTTCACCTCTTATCCTCACCTTCGCCTCTCATCACAATCATCTCCACTTCGGTCCCCTTCCTTCATTCCAAGCGTCATCCCACTTCACTCCAGCATTGCCCCCCCTTTCTGCCTCTGCTCCGCTCTGTCCTCATGTCTCGCCCATTGCTCTTCTCATCTCACTCTCACATGAAAGACCCCACCAACCAAAAGGATTCATTTCTCTCAAAGACGCGGCCACATCATCACCACCACGACTCATCATCATCATCTCTCAAAAAGTACACACGCACACATTGCTTTAATCACAATCATATGAAAGAAGTCCGTGTGACCTTGGAGTGTTGTCGACTGATTGCTGGCCGAGGCTGACCGGATCAACAGGGAGCAGAGAGAGAGGAGGCGCGCACAAGCCATCCATCTCGTCCACGTCTGCGAGTGGAGACGGATCACGGGCGGAGCTTTGCTTTGATTGCCTTTCCTCCCCACTACAAAGCAATCCTTTCGCTCTCGAGGGACCGACGAGGTCCAGAGATGCAGCAGACTTTACCAACTGCAACTCTGCTCCTCTCACACACAGCACATCCCCGTTCCTCTTCCAGCATTCATGATGTTGCCCCATCCTCCTCCTCCTCCTCCTCTTCCTCCTGGTCGTCGTCATCATCCGTCTCCCACTGTCTTTCCCCGGACGGCCGCCGGCTGGTTCTCGCTCGCAGTAGCGCCTGCAGCATTGTCCTTCTCAATGGAAGATACGAGCCCTACCATCACCTCGACTTCTGGTCCGGCTTCCCTAGTGTGACTCCTGAGGAGCGAAAGGCTCACAGGAATGTGACTGCTTTGCGTGTTCGAGGGACGACGGCAGGGGAAGCAGCTGGTAGTGACGGTACAGAACAGGCTCTGATACTGGCTGCTCTGGGAACACGACTGGTCATCTGGTCCTCAGCGTCCATTGCGTCCAATTCGCCAAAGAGCTGGCGCATCCACTCAACGCTCAGCCTCTCAGACAGCATACATTCACTCGACTTGCATGCTGACCGGCTCCTCCTCGGGGTCGGGAATGAAGTGCAGATCTGGAGCATGGGTGACTCTGGAGGTCACTTCTGGCGAAAAGTCTGGAGCAAGAGAGGACCCGGCTCGATGGGACACGTCGAGTTCAATGCGACCGGCAGCAGCTTTGCAGCTGCGGCCTGTGGTGATCGACGGATTGCTGTTTGGCACCTGGGTAGAAGAAAAGGGTCTGAGCCGGTCAAGGGGTGTATGCTAGCGCATGCGATGGAGGTCAAGGGATTCAGGTGGAGAGGGATGCCTGCGGCGACGAGCCAATCCGACGCACTCGTGTCCCTCGCCGAGGATCGTGTTGCGCGGATCTGGGCGCCCGTCATCGATCAGCCATCCAAGTTGAGGCTGTCTGCTTCGATTGATCCATTCTCCCTTGGCGGGTTCAATGCTGCAAATTCCTCGTCGGTGTCATCACGGCCCCTGGAACAGCCCGTCTTCTACCTCGATGCGGCGGTGACCACCTCAGTCCTCACTTCAAATATCGCCCTGCTACAGCGAGACCTTCAGCTAGCAGAAACCGACACGACCACCTCACAATCCCACAGCCCCGACCTCGACAAGAAGTGCACCCGTCTGAAACGCCTTCAGCACCTCCTTGAAGACACACCAGACATGTTCCTACGGCTCAATTCGGACGGCTCTCTCGTCATACGCGCGGTGGCCCATGTGGACCGTCGACCACCCACACTCTTGCAGGCATTCACCGTGCTCAAAATCTTCCCCTCTCCTGCAGCTCTGCCCTCCCTGAAGTGCGAGCTGGTACAATGTGAGCTTCTCCCGATGGCAACGCAGCTTGGCCAGTCCCACGAGGCGCCGCTGGCTGTTCTTCACCTGCAGAGCGAGAAGGCTGGGGCGCTGAGCATCGATGTCAACCCGGCACTGTTGTTTGACGGGATGGAGCGCGGCTTGGCGACGAAGGAGGGTAGTCAGGTGCAGGGGCATGGTAGCGAGATTGTTGCGCTGCTGGGCACAGAAGAGAAGGAGACGGTAGTGACAGTGGATGAAGAGGGGCTCGCGGTTGAGTGGAGAGTCGGGCGACGGCCGTACGTTACTCTGGATGGGAAAAGGGAGGCGAGATGGACGCTGCAAGGAAGAAAACATCGCCTCGCCCCCGCGTCGACCATGGCGAAAGGCAAAGTGATCGCTGCCATGAGCGACAATGTGCTCTCATGGCAGTCGTCACGCCTTGTACTCTGCTCCGCGGCCGGTCCCAAGGAGCTGCAAGGCCTTCAGGCGGAGGAAGGCGTCATTCACGGTGGCCTCGACTCCTCCTTCGCATGGGTGATAACAGACAAGGGCCGCTCGCTCAGCTGGCGCCTCAATCCGGCAGACGCGTCCGAAATCGACACGCCCGTCATTTGCCAACTCGTCGACGAGAGCCTCAGCTGTGTCTTTGCGCCGTCGTCGACTTCTTCTTCAGCCACGCAAGTTAGCACCATCTCGTCGAAGGGCAGCCTGAGATTGTGGCAGCAGTCTGACCCGCCATCCTGGACGTGTAAGCGCGTCGTCGAGACTGGACTACAAGATGTGAATATTGGCGCCGTTTCGCAAAGAGGAATGGTCGCCCTGGCTGCAAGTACTCTGGAGTCGACCACAGGTCTAAGCTCAAGTCAAGCGCCAGCACATCAGCACCACCTTGAGATCTGGGACGCAGTTGCCTCAGAATTCTCCTCTTCACGCCAGCTCTCCCTGAATCGCGGTCCAGAGGCAATAGTGATGATGGAGTGGCTAGACAGCTCGGAAGCAGCCGGCGGCGCAGAAGTCCTCGCTGTCGCGACTTCAACAGGCCGGATCGACATCTTTGCCAAGTGTCGTCCCTCAATGCTCGGCGCATACGGTGACAGCGGCTCACAGTGGCGAATCTTTGCGACTTTCGATATCGCCTACCTCTCCAGCGAGCAAATTACCGGCATCAAGTGGGCCTCGCACGCTGGAGCACTCCTCATTGCGTGCGGTCAGTCGCTTCACCTCGTGGGGCCCCTCATCACCAGCGACACCGGCAATGGTGCGGTTTCCCACCTCCTGGAGAGCGTAGCACAAGAACAAAATGCCCTCCCCTCCTACCATCCCACCGTGCTGCTGCAATGCATGCTCTGGGGCAAGTTCGATGCGGCCAAGCGCGTTGTAAGTGATCTAGCGCGGGCGGTCCGACATATTGAGGCTGTTGAGGATCTTTCCTTGAGGGAGGATGTGCATGATCTGACCGTCGAGGAGATCCTCGAGTCGCACCTCGAGGATGCCGAAGGGAAGTATCAGAGGCACAACGGGTCCGCTCATCGATCTTTGTTTGATGATGAACAAGCTGGCTCGACTTCGCCCGCGAACGGCGCATTCCATCGCGAAGTCGTCTCTGATCTCAATGAGAAGCTGGCCAAGTTGGGACGCCTGCCGGACATGACCATCGCAGAGGTCGATCAGCTCATCTTGGCCAACAAATGCCTGCTAGAGGTGACGGAGCAGGGGAGGGCGCTGGACGATAATGGGCTGCGCTTCCTCGTGTCTTTGCGCATCTTCCTCAACAACACGGCAGGTGCCGCAGGGCTCTCAACGGTGAACAGCGCGACTTCATTCCTGTCACCGAAAACGGCCAATGGCTCCACAGCTTCCGCCGCAACGACTGATCCCTTCGATCTGCCCCGTCTCCGCCACCGGGATTTCGTCTACGCGCTCCACTCGACCTGTCAAGAGCCCCTCCTTGCTCACGTCTCCTCCGCCTACTCCTCGAAACTCCCCTGGCACGTAGCGCGCAGCACCGGTCTGTTCCTCTGGCTCACCTCCGCGCACGCCATATCCCCTCTCGCCGAACAAGTAGCAAGGGACACATTCATGTCCAGTCCCGATCGGGATCCCATTCCGTGCTCTCTCTTCTACTACGCACTCGGCAAGCATAAGCTCGTTTTGAACCTGTGGAGGCAGGCAGCCTGGCATCCGGAGCAGAAGAAGATGCTACGATTCCTCGCCAACGATTTCAGCGAGGAGAGGTGGAAGAGTGCTGCGCTCAAAAACGCCTATGCGCTTCTCAGCCAGAGGCGCTTCGTCTTTGCGGCTTCCTTCTTCTTGCTCGCAGACAGTCTGGGGGACGCGGTGAACGTCTGTGTACGTAATCTCGGCGACGTACATTTAGCTCTTGCGCTCTGTCGGGTGAAGGAGCAGGGTAGCTTCGATGGGCCGGTGATGAGCAGGCTGCTGAGGACAAGATTGCTGCCCTTGGTCTTTGAGAGAGGCTACAGGTGGCTGGGCCATTGGGTTTTCTGGACATTGAAGGCTAGAGATCTGGCGACTCGCGTGCTCGTCAGCCCGCTGAGCGAGCTGAGGGAGGATCCGCGAGTCGTCGCACTACTCAATACCGTCGATACGGGCAGCAGCCTCTCCAAATTCTCCTTCTCCGCATCGTCAACGCCGCCACGACAGGAGGACGTCTCCCTTGCCATCTTCTTTGCCGACATGAAACGCAAGACGGTCCTCACCGCCAAGGGATCGCGAGAGGTGTCGCCGGCAAAGGAATGGGGATTTGTGCTTCACATGAATCGGACACTCAGAGCCATGGGCTGCCACATTATTGGCCTCGCGTTGCTTGCTGGTTGGGATTTCGATGCGCCCATGCTCCCGCAGCCGCCAGTAGAGGCGACGAGCGGCGTTGGTGCAGATGAGCCAATCTCGCCCGCGAGGCCAACATCAGCCGCAGCCAGCGCTTCTGCCGTCCGCACCGACGCAAATGATCTCTTCGCCGCACTCTCCGAGCGGCCAGTGTCACCACCGCCTCCCCCAGCGGGCAGTCGTGGGCACAATCTGCTCGAATCGGCTGTGAACCTCACGGAAGAGCCAGAGGCAGCCGAGTCGCTTGCTTCCACGTCGCAGCCGGTCAAGGGCACCTCAGACTACTCGAGGAGACGGAGCTCCCGTGCGGACCAGGTCACTTCGCCTACCTCGCCCACATCCCCAACCAGGGAGAGAACTCGTCCCCCGCTCTCGCCGCAGCATCGTCGTCGTTCTAGCCTGCTGATGGTGCAGCGTAGGCGAAGAAGTATGGTCAACGATGCGGATATTGAAGGCAGCAGCGAGGCTGACAAGAGCACAATTGCGGTTCCCGAGGAGAGCAGTGACGGGCAGGTCCAGACTCAGAGCGTCAATGAAGCGGAGAACGGTCAGGAGGAGAAGAAGAAGAAGGGCCAAGGCCTCCTCATGAAAGCCTCCTCAAATGCCGCTTCGCAGGGCGCTCAGGACTTTGACTTCTCCAATTTTGGCTTCTGAGCGGCGAACGAAGACAATATGGATGCATGATAATGTCACCGGACCTAGAAGCGGATTGCATGGATGTGAGAGTGATGTTACATTAAAAGATGACTGAGTATGGAGAGATTGATGAGAGAGAGTCCGCGTCGAGGAGAAAAGGACAAGCAGAAGAGGAGAGCTACACCTCATGTCGAGCATCGCCTGATGAGACGATGATAACATCGAAGGACCCACATTATTACACCAGTGTCTTAAGACGTCGGCGTCTTCGCGCGCGACCCTGAAGCGCTACTCCTAGCCCCTTCACTGGTCTCACGCCGCATGACCGCTCCGGCCGACTTTCTTCCGCTCGTAGGCGTGGGCGATCTTGCGGCAGTTGCGGCTCGATGATCAGCCGGTGTCGATTGCTCCTCCTTGCGGAAAAAGAGAGGCAAAATATCTTCCCCGGCTACCATGCCGCTACTGGTGCTTTCTGATGCAGGCAGGGCGCTTGCTGCTCCTTCACGACGAGCAGTCTTGGTGGGAGACGAGTCGAAGAAGGCCGAAGTTGATGCTGCTAGCCCGTCTGCGCGCGAGACTGAAGGCGGAGAGCGCATAGCGCTGGTCGAGCTCGAAGAGGGGAATCTTCCTCTGCGCCATGATGAGGGAGGGCCGGGCGAGCCCGGCGTGGCCGCTACGGAAGGAGAAGCCCCTTGAGCAGGTGCCTTGAGCTGGAAAGCGTGCAGTTCCCCATCTCTTCCTGCTCGGCTCGTGCTTCCCCGCCGCTCATGCTGCACCGAGAAGGGAATCAATGGTGAGGTGGATGCTCCGTCCTTTTTGCGGAGCAAGGTCGGGGAGACGCGCTCCACGTCCACTGCGAGAGGTAAAGGCGGTACTGGAGGCGCAGTAGGGCTGCCTCCACCGCGTTCTGCTGCGACCTGTGCCTGCTTTGAAGTCGGACTGCCGCCTTGCAGCGATACAGTCCTCTGCCTGTGCTTGCCGGTAGGCGTGCGTGGCGACATTCCAAAGTACTCTTGTGGCGAACCGTCTAGGTTGAAAAGAATGGGGGAGGAGATCCCGCCCGACGCGGTAGTTGCCGTTGACGCCGTGCGTCTGCCTTTCATCGCGGAAGTGACAGAGGTGGCCGACGAGCTCGAGGGGACTCGGCTGTGCTCCTTTACGGAGGCAGACGAAATCCACGGCATGGCAGATCCACCAGCGCCATCTGCTGCAGCGAAGCGCGATAGAGACGACGAAGACGGCAGCGAAGATGGCGCGCCCTGTGTCATCCCCTCGCCGTCTGTGCCACTACCGATACCAGGCACGGATAATCCGTAGTGCTGAATAAGGTATCGCGTCAACTCCTGCCATCCACCGCCAATGCGCACCATGATCGTCCTGGAGCGCAAAATGCGGCAGAAGCAGAGCTTGGGGTCAGGGTGACCAACCCAGTAGCGCCCACTGTCGTCCTTCCATTCTTCGCGGCGCCCAGTCGTAGAGTCCGTCGATGAGGAGACGGACCTGGTGCCGACGATTCCAACCCCGTTGTTGCTGAGGCGTGGTCGTCCGCCGGGCACTTGCGATGCATGAACCATGCTGACGGGCATGGGCATGCGGTTCACTACCTTGGCCACCGCGATGTCGAGGCGACTCTTCGGGTTGGCTTTGTAGCGATTGGGGCGGGAGGATGACGACGAGGCTTCGGCGACTTTGCCCATGTTGGAAGGGGTCGATACCGCCGCCGCTGTGGTGGCCCTCGGCCTGCGCGCTGGCGTCCAAACCTTAGACGCTGAGGAAGGGACACGAATGGCGGAGGGCAAAGGAGGAGCCGATTGCTTCGCTGAGGTTGTTCGTGGGCGGCTCGTCGGAGTCGAGTCGACGGTGCGACTGGTGCCCAGTACTCGAGGCGGCGTTGAGGCTGGGGAACCGGCAATGGCGGGGAGCCGTTGGCGGGCGACTGATCGAGACAGAGGCGTGACTTGACCGGCAGAGGAGCGACGCCCTTCAATTGCCACAGGGGGGCGCTGCGGCGTCGACGGCGCGCGTAGCCGTGGAAGATTCGAGTCGATGGCCGAGGCCTGCGCTGTGAGGCTCGTCGTCCGTAGCCTGCTTGAGACGTGAGCGCGCTCTCCAAAGCGGCCCGCTGTGGACGACCTTGGCCGCGGGATCTTGGTTGGAGTAGCCAGCACCGACGAGGAGTCGTCTTCGTTGTCGCCGCCAATTTGAGGCAGTCGCAGAGTGCCCAGCAGCGGCGTATTGATTGTCGACAGGCTGCAATCTGAGGTGGTGCGAGACATTGCGCTGAGACTGCGGTCTGGATCCGGGTTGAGGACGTCGCGAGCCATCTCTGCCATGTCGACGTAGGACTTACGCAGCTGCTCTAATCGATCTCGCACTCGGACATCCTGCGCTACAGGCTTGGCTAACGAGTCTGCCGCTTCCATCAGTGGGTCAAGGGAACTAAGCTGTGTCTGCACCGTTTGGGAAGCGTCTTGAGCCGGCGTTAGAGCTCTCGTAGAGCGGCGAGAGGATGGGCGACTCCCAGACATAGGCGATGGTGCAAAGCGGTCAAGGCCTTGCCCCTCGGCGTCATCGAGCAGAGTGAGAAATTCTCCGAGCGCCGTCTCCATAGTGACGAAAGCCGTATTGAAATCTGCCAATTGCTTGTAACGTCGAAGTCTCGTGGCCCGAGTTTGTGCTTGATCCACGAGGGAGGCGATGCCGCGCTCGGTAGGGTGACCTACTCGGAGCTCACCAAGTTCCTTGAGGAGGCTGGCCGTCGCCTCGCCCACCCTCTCAGCGTCAGCTGCGCTCGGCAGATCGAGCAGCATCTCGCTTTGCTTCTTGCCGTGCTCAGGTATAACTTGCACCTCGACCTCTCCTGGCTGAAGGACGCGCTTGAGGTACTCACTGCGGCGCCGAAGATCGTCGGGCAGCGGAACAGTGGGCGTGAGAGGCGACGCAGGCAACGAGCGCGCACTGCCAAGACTGTCCAAACGGCGACGAGGCGTTGCTGTAGAACCAACGGGCGACGATTCGAAGCTGCTTGAGTTGCTGCTGGTGACCGAAGACTCGCCGCCCTCTGCTGCGATGGCATCGTCGAAGCCCTGTAGGAGTCTAGCAATGTCATCGCGCACCTTCTGCCGCGTAGCTTCAGCCTCTTCGCGCATCACGTCGTACTCATCGTCCTCCGGCAGCACATCGAGGTAGTCTGTCAACGCCCGCATCTTGCTGTCAAAGACGTCGCGACGGGCGATGAGGGCGTTCTCAGCGGCTGTACGACGGCTGGAAAGCTCAGAAAGGAAGGCTCTTTGAGGTAGCCGGCGGCTGTTGGCCGAGCCAAGCACCTTTTTAAAGGCTCGGTCTCGACTTCCGATGTGCGAGTAGCAAGACTCAGCCGCTTGACGCGCTTGCTCGAGGGCCTTGTACACCTTCTCTGGCGCGACAGCCGCCCTAGCGGCGAGGTCCTCAGCGTCAGCCTTAGCTTGTCTTTGCCTTGCTTCAGCGGCGGCCTTGAGGCGGGCGTCTTCCTCAGCAGCCTCGACACGAGCCTTTTCCTCATCAGCCCTGCGACGAGCCTCTTCGTCAGCTCTGCGCCTTTCCTCCTCCTCCCTCCTTTCTCGGTCCGCGTTCGCACGGGCCTGCTCATCCTCAATCTTGGCGCGCTCCTCCATCTCTCGCGCTCTAGCCTCAGCCTCCGCCTCAGCTTGAGCCTCGGCCTCTCTAGCTTCTGCGGCAGCTTTGGTAGCAGCAAGTGCTGCCGCTTCTGCTTTTGCTTTGACTTCCGCTAATGCAGCCTCTTGCTCAGCTCTGGCCCGGGCTTCTGCCTCAATGATCGCCTGGCGCTTCCGCTCCTCCTCCTCCTGCTGCTCTTTGCAAAGGCGATTGCGCTCGCGAGCGTCGTTCATCAGTCGCCAAATCTCGTCTTGAAGTTGATCGAGACGAAGGCACCACGCGTGACTGACATCACGCACTGCGCCATCTGGGGATGTGAGAGGTGGCGACGCAGGCGTGTGCAGAGCATTAGGGTTTCCGACGAGCTGAAGACCGGCCTGCTGGCCGGCTTTGAAGCGAACAATGTCCTCAGCTAGTGGTGAAAGGCGCTTTGCCAGAGTATCGAGGTCGGACTCGGCAAGCTCGCCTACGCTGGCGGCGATGCGTAGATCAGCGCCTTGCTTATCCAGCTCATTGAAGCGTTGTTGCTGCTTCAATACTGACTTGCGCTGATCGAAGAGAGCTTGTGCCCATCGCAAAAGTGACCTGACATCCTCGAGGTTCTTGATCTCGTCTGCATGGCGTGATGTGAGGGTAGCATCATTCTGTGCGGTAGATGCAATGAGACGATTTTTCTTTACTAGGTCAAGGCAAGCCGTGTACTTCGAGACGTAAGCCTCGACGCCAGCGAGCTCCGAGCCATGACGCGGTGAGCGATGAGCGTCTGCGTTATCTTCTTGCAACTTGGAAATTTCGAAAGTGTGATGGGAGATGTCGTCGAGGAGACCCTCTCTGAGCCGTTGGAGCGCTGGCTGAGCCACATCGTGGGCGTCGGAAAGCTCATGCAGATGGCGTAAAGCATCGCGCAGAGCAGAGGCATCTGCCAGAGCCAACCGAGCATTCTCAGACGCCGTCCGCCAAGCGGATGCTACTTCAGCCGCCTCCTTCTCGCAGACGGCAGGATACATGTCCAGGGACCTGCAGGTAAGGTGAAGCTCGGAGATACTAGCGCACCACGCGTCCGTCTCGGCAATGGTGTCTCCTAATCTTGACTGGAGCTGCGGAATAGTATCTGCCTTCGCCAAGGCTTCCTGAGCGGGGCGGCTTGGTCGTAGCAGCTCTCGTAGCAGCTCGCTCCAATGCTTTTCGTGCTCCTCCGCTGTCCATCCCGCGCGAGCAATCGCAGCGATGTGATGACATTCGTCGCTCGACTTCTGCACCTTCTTTTGCAGCTTTGCTGCCCTCTCGAGCGCTTCGTATGCAGCAAGGAAAGCCTTACTTGCTTCGATGGCTCGTCGAACGTTTGTAGCGGTCTCAACCAGCTGGGTACGAAGAGCAGATTGGATCTTGCCATCGATATCGGCCTGATCTGACCAATGCTCGTGACGAGGGGAGGGCAACGAATGCTTGACGGGACAGAAATGTAAACCCGATGCCGCCTTTTCTGGACTGACCAGGAACTTGATGATGTCCTCGCGATCGCCCAGCTCCAGTAGCTCATGACGAAGCGTATCGCTCTGCTCCTTGATGCTGGCGGCCTCGCTGACAGAGGGCTTCTTGGTCCTAAGATTTTCGATGAGAGCAAGCAGATCTCGGCCAGCTTTGCATAGCGCTGTCGTCTGCCGCAGAAGCTCCTCTGCAGCACGCCACTGAGAGAGCAGCTCCTTGACGAACTGGAGTCGAGAGGTAAGAGAGACGGCGAGGTCTTCGATTCTATCTTGCTCGTCCAGAAAGGCCTCTGGAGCTTGGCACTGCTCAATGACCTCGTCGAGCGCCTCTGAGGATCGCGGTACGATGACGTCGACGAAGTTGGCAATGCGGGAGGCGATCCGCTCGGCGCGCTCTGCAACGTCTGAGAATGTTGCGGCAGGTGATCTCTGAGTAGGCATGCTCCACCGTGCTTGTTGTGAGACGAAGTCATCCACGTCGTCGGCGAGCGGGCGATAGAGAGTGCAGCAATCTCGCCTCGCTGTCTCCCACGCTAGACGGGCGTCAAGGAGGGAAAGACGACGTTCCCTTGAGCTGAGAGCGACCCGCAAGCCTTCGAGGGCGACGAGCGTCTGCAATGCGACCTCGACAATGTCCGTGTCCTCGCGCGACATATTGCGCTGTGAGCACGCTGCGGAGAAGAGGAAAGGGTGAGCTGAATATCAGGCGTGGTCCTAGGACAGCATCGCGGGCTCACCCTTTGCTAGCTTGCGCAGCCTCTCCATGTCTGCTGCATCGAATCTGAGTGTCGTCTCCTCGATACCGTCTCTCTCCTCTATCCAGTTTGCAGCCTCCTCTCTGCGAGCATCCAGTGGTGCCCACTGCTGTTCAATGTCGCCCATCGTCATGGCCTCCCATGATGGTTTGAAGTCGGCAAAGGCATCGATGGTGGATCTAGACTCTAGCAGCTGAAGATGCTCGTCTATGCGTGCCTTCCCCTCGGAGAATCGGCCGAGCTCGAAGGCTTCTTCGCGTGTCAAGGTGTCGTGACTGACCTCGTCGTCGTTGGTAGTGTCATGAGAGGCACCGCAAGATGGGGAAGGAGTAGGATCCTCGAGACTGGCCGAAGCAGCAGAGTCCTGCTCTGAGGACGCCATGCCAGAAGCAGAGGCGGCGACGACTGCAGTCATCTCTTCGTCTTCGCACTTGGTCGAGATACTCTGCTCATGAGGCGTGCGCGCCGTACGCCCTCATAAGAGGAGTCGGATGGGTATCAAAAGGAGCAATGGTGAGGAAGAAAGGAGCTCATCATGTGGCCAGACCGCTGCTGTCCCCTCGCCCTTTGCGCTTTGACCTCCGTGTCCGCTCTGTCCGTCTCGCTCGTCTCGCTCGCTCCACGCGCCGCGCCTGCTAGCCCGTTGCCCCCGCCTACCTCTGCCTACGAGACTGAGCAACCAACACTTCGGCAAGCGGCGAGGCGGCGACACATCATCATCGCGATCGTCCAAACCTGAAGGATCAAGATCAAGCTGTCTGACAGCTCTCAGCTTTTGCAGATCAGCCTTCATCACCTCGATGCCAAGGCTTCGATGGTCAATCACAGCAGCGCTTGTTGAAGACGTCGCGAGCTTCGAGCGGCTCCACAAGGGTCCAGCCGCTGACTGGTGCGGAAGTGAAGAATGAGGTACGAAGCCGTCGAGGAACGAGCGGTAGCAGCATGCTGGTAGATGCGCCACAACATCTTGCTTCATGGGAACCACTTGAACCTCATTGCCTCATTTCAGCTTGAAAGCATCAAAAGCCTCGGACATCACGCCGTCGCCTCGGCATGCTCGGCCGTCGATCTTTGCAAGTTCGAGGCAGCGCTCGCGGTGGATGGCACGCGACTGCGCAGGCGGGGATTGAGCGCGAGCGAAACCGATGAGGCGGAGCTTGCTCGCCTACAACTCACTCACCCTTTCGCACTCGCTCTCAGTCAGAAGCGCAGACTCAGTCACAGTCGATGTCCGCGGACTTGCAGGAGCAGCGAAGACCTCAATCGATCTCGACGACCTGCTTCTTCCTTCCCTTCGCCCCACTGCCAGCCTCTGCCATCAGACCACAGGGCATCGAGCACGCTTCTTTTCGCTCGATCGATCGACGTGGGCCTCACACATCCCTCTGAACAACGCCATCCCTAGTGGAAGCCCATCCCCTGCCCCACTTCTCAATTCTACCATTCTGACCATCTCCTGCTCAGAGCATCGTCGTCGCCTCATCGAGGCATCAACGTTTCCACACTACCACCCTCCATTCCTTCTCCTCCCTACCCATCTTTACTGCCAGTACCAAGACCAGTTCCTGCTCATTACTCGCGCAAACAAAGCCTGTTCAGGCTCCTCATCCTTCTCTATACTCCCTCTGCTCGCCTTCGCCTGCTGGAAGAACCCCTCAAGCAGCAAGGCACAGTACGTGCCATGGCTTTCAACCAGCCTTCAGTGCCATACAACGCTGTGCCCATGCCCCTCGCAATGCCGCTCGTCAACGGGAACTCTACGAGCTGCATCCGGGTTAGCAATCTGCCCAAAGAGGGTGAGTGTGCGTGGGAGCGATCGGCCGAGGTGTCAGCATTCACGCAATCTTTTCTTGCCCCTGCCTTCACCTCTCGCCGTAGCTGCTGAGCCTTGGCTCCGTCTGGTCTTTTCGACCTTCGGTGAGCATACCCTTGAGCCAGCACGGTGGCGTACGAAGCAACCTCTCCTCACTCACACCTTCGACTTGCCTCCACGCCAGGCACCATCGAGGAACTCGAGATCTACTCAGACATCCACCCTGGTAGCGCTATCATCCGCTTTGCTACCCCTGAGCAAGCGTCGAGGGCCCTTCAACTCGACGGCTCCTTCTCTCACGGATCAGCTCTGTGAGTATCTACGTGTCGTGATACAGTACTTCACCTAGCTTCTGACTCACTCACCTTTGTTCATCTCTCGTTCATCGCGCTCAGACACGTTTACCTCGAGCCTCAGCCACAGGCCTCTCTCGCATCTCCTACCATGATGAAAGCACCTCATTTCCCTCGAGGACCAGGTGGCACCCTTCAGCACATTCAACCTTTCATGCCCATGCCTCATAACGGCGCCTACCACTCTCGTCAGCCTACAAGCTCCGGACATACCCGCGAAGTCAGCCCTTCATCTACAACATCGTCGCCAGACTCAGCCTACGGCGGCCCTGCCTTCCACAAAGGGAGCGACCCTCGCCACTCGACACCTCCCAGGCAGCTGACCAACAGTCAAGTCGTCCACAAGAACCTCTACGTCCTCAACTTGCCTCTCGATGCCACGACGGACCAACTCGCCTCACTCTTCAGCAGCCACGGCACTGTCGTCCACTGCGTCATCCTCGCCATGCTCGATGCTCAAGCACGCCGACGAGGCTTTATCGACATGTCGAGCCCGGTCGAGGCAAAGGAAGCAATCGAGTGCCTCAACGGCTATGTCTGGAACGGTTATCCAATTGAAGTCTCCTACGCCATCGTTCAGCGCTCTGGAGGCCCTCTCACTGGACCTAATGTCGTCCGACGCACCGTGCCTCGCTCTCGCTGGAATTGTGGACCTCGCCGCCAGCCCATTCAGGATGATTCCTTTGGCGACAGCCCTCTTTTCTCCGGCGCGCCCGTCAATGGCGGTCATGTGCAGTCTTACGATCCTTCTTACCAGAGTCTCGCCGGCGACACCTTTGCGACTTCTCAGCCCCGTCAGCGCGAGATGCAATCCAACATCTGCGTCGACCCCTACACCATCTTCCTTACCGGCCTCGACCCAGCTGCAATTCTCGATGACGAAGACCTGTGCCACTTTGTCCAAGTCTTTGGCACCGTTGTTTCCTGCTCTCTTTCACGTGACGAGAACGGAATCTCGCTCGGCTACGGTGTCGCCACCTTCGCCACGCCGGCAGAAGCTACCTACGCTCGAGAGGTCCTCGACGGCCAGACGCAGAGCGGAAATCGCCTTGGTTGCAAGAAGTGAGACACGCCTCGCTGCGGCACAACATCGAGATCTCTATCCACTGACGATCGCCTTGCCTCTTTTCCTGCGCGGACACAGCCTTCACTTCACCCGCGACCCCTGGGCTGGCGCTCTCCCGGGACCTCTTTCATTCGATCGTCCCTCCTCGACGTTCACGTCTCACCACTCCCATACCGGCGGCTTTGATGCCAACTCCTCCTTTGGCACCAATGGCTCAGGCTCGTGGCCCTCGGAGGTTGACTACTTTACTCCTCGCAGCCAGGCAGGCACCCTACCTCCTCCCGTTGGCCCCACGCGCCGAGCCCCCACCAGCCGAGACCACTCAGCCAACGGTACCTTGTCCACTGCGGCCTCGTCAACTTTTTCTGCGACTCTCCCTGACGGCCTACCCCTGCTCAGCTTGGCTGGCAGCTTGCCCGCTGCTAATCCACTCAAGAAGGAGGACAGGAGCACACCGGGTAGCGTCAAAGCCATCAATACGCCAGGCAGCCTGTGCTTGTCCCTCGGCGGCAGTGGTAGTGGCAGTGGCACGCCCCTCGCAAGCTCTTCTTCACTCGCCACCACGCGCAGGGTCGCGTCGAGCCCCATCACGCCGGTCTCGGCTTCGGCGTCCTCCTCCTTCATGAGGAGCAACTCGGCCTCGAAGAATGTCTGGGGAGAGCCTGCTCCAGCAGTGCGGGGCCCCCGCAAGGTTGAGCCCGAGGTGCCTGGTATCGCCCTTGGCCCCATTGGATCCAGCCCTCCAAAGCGAACCAGCTCAGACCTCAATGATGGGTTGGCGCTTGATTTGGAGAAGCTTTTCCTCGAGGTCAACACGCCCGTCAACACGCCTGTTGCGGGCGCTTGACGCGCTCAGTAAGCTCGCTATGAGGAGCTTCACCCTCCCTTGAAGCTCTAGGATTGGCCTTTCGCCCTCTACTTTACATCATCAAGCGACGAACTCGCGAGCCTTTTGACAACAGCCTTCTTCTGCTCCCTCTTCACACATCCTCGAATGCGACACCTGCTCCTCTGCTGCCATCATCAAGTGCTGGAGGCCAAACTTCTCATCACTCCACTGATTTTTTCAAGGCGACGACCGTGCAAGCACACCAGCTTCATCACCATGACCAGCAAGAGGCCATCGAGACCACACGCCTCTTCCTCCGCCACTCGACTCGCCACCAGATACTCCTTCCCGACCCAGAAGATGCCGCAGACACCCTCGAGCCAAGCTTACAATCCCAGTCAGTGTAGAAAGCAATCGGAAAACAGACGAGGAAGAGCTTCACCACGGCAGCCGGATGAGCGAGACGTATCCAGTATCCAGCACCTCGTTCCCGCTCGCTGTCGTCCCTGACCTCTCTCCTCTTTCTCTCTTCATCCGGTGCGCTCCTTCCCTTCCATCTTGATCGAACTCGACCCGGCCTGGCGATCCAACGTCAATGCTCGGGGCGCTCTCTCTTCAGACCGCGACCAAACCCTGTAGTCTACCCAACGATCATCAGCGAACGAACAAAGATAGAGATCCATTCACACCAAACGCGAGGCTGACTTCGAACGGGCGAGCGCATGTCGTCTTCGAGTGTGCCATCGGCTCGCCAGCCGATGTCACGGCCGAGCGTACGGCTCCGTTTACGAGGAGAAGTAAGCATGAGGTATGATTGACAATGATGTATGAAATCTGACGTGACAAGTCGAGGTACGTTCCCTTCCCGCTTCCCCCTTCACTCTTCCTCACCCTACCATCCCTCTCTGTCTCAAAACAATCTCCTAACCAACAGCCCGATCAGCAAGAGTACGACGGTCAAGATAGCGCGGTCAAGCTGCGCTACTCGAGCTTCTGAACGAGTCGGACGTCGTTGAGCCCCCGGCCCAGCCTCTTCTGGTCGGCCGGCAACGGGTGGTGGGACGATGTTGATCTGAGGTGGGGGTTGAGGCTGGGTACGCGCAGGAGCGGTTGATGCGGTAGTCGTCGTCCGTGACGCAGATGATTGAGGCTGTTCAGAGGGCATCCTTGCTGTCCGTCTCGCCAAGCCTGGAAGACTCGGAGAAGTGCCCGCTGCGATGGCGCTTGAATCTGCTGCTGGAGGTGCTTCCCCTCCTCTTGCGGCTGAGGAGCCTCTAGCTACGACCGTTGACCCCGTCCTGTCACTGTCGTCATCATCGCCATCATCGTCATCGATGTACGTCATGGCTGGGGAGGCGTAGGAGGAGGTGGTGGCGTCTGGTGGCGATGAAGGCAGACCGCTGTGGCCGTGCGGGGATGCAGAGGACGAAGCATCGCCCGCCTGCTGCGTGGGTATCGTATCCGCTGGCGCCGGAACCGCTGGTGTCCTTGAAGCAGGATCTATCGTCGCAGGGACGTTCTCGACTGCCTCAGGGGGGAGAGCGACGGTACTGCTACTATTCGGCGCTTCTGCGACAACCGCAGTAGCCTGAGCTGCGATTGCCGCATCTGCAAGCTCGTTCAATGCATCATGTCCCCGTTGCGCTTGGTCTGCCTGAGTCATAGCGATCCCTGCGGGCGTCTGCGGCGGCGCTGAGCTGGGGGCAGACGATGAAGCCTCCGCAGCATCTTCTTGACTCGCCTTCCCACCCGACGGATCGACGACCAGTCCGTCGGGCAGTCTTTCTCTCTCCTCCAGATCATCCTCCTGAACATCAGGCAAGACCTCCTCGTTTCTCCTCCCCTCTGCGCAGACCGCACAGATCCATCTTCTACTCTGCTCCGCCAAGCTCTCCCGCTCCTCTTTCGGGAAATCAAGAGAGCCCACACCTTGAGCCGCTTCTGCTCTTGCCGCCATGAAAGCTTGTACGCCGAGGAGGGCAGTCCGAATCCCCCAGGCTGGCTGCCACATTTCTTCGTGGAAGCCGGTGAATGTTAGGCAGATCTGCATGTGGGCGAGGGCGAAATAATGTCAAGTGAGTGATACGGTCAAGGCACCTCGGTGTGAAGCTTTTGGTGGCTGACCTTCTTGTTGCACTCCCATCGTCCATTAGGCGTCAACAACTGCGCGTAGCGAACCACCAATCAGATCAGCTCTGCACTCTCGAGACTCGTTCTTCTTCTGTCCCTGTGCTCATCCTCGCTCACCATGATATTCGGTGGCCTAAATGGATACTCGACCGGCAATAAAATACGCCCATGGTACAAGCCCCGAGCAAACTCGGTCCCACTAGGACCACGCAAGGTGAAGTGCCATTCGAAGATATCGGTCTCGAGGGGCCGAGCAATATACTCCTGCGAGGGATCGGACTGCAGCTCTCGAGCTTCAGAGAGGATACGTTTGACGGCGGATGATTTCTTGTTACTAAGAGGCGGATGGCAGGGAACAGAAGCGGTTTGGTAGGCTGAGTGAGAATCGAGGGGGGACGAGGACGTGATGTCTGCATGTATGCACTCACTGCGAAGTCGTAGTGGCCATGGCTGACAGGGAAGCCGAAGCAGGACGAAGAGCAATGCTCAACACTGGCCTACCGCTGTATTCAGATGAGATTGAGGATGTGGATGTTGCGAGTGGAGCTAAACAAAAGGCGACGATCGCGATCTCGTCTGCTGCAGGCGGACGACATTTGTCACTCGACGGAAACGCGGACATCGACTGCCAGCCCAAGCGCACGGCCCTTCGGTGCAGTCGACGACGAGGGCGACGAGGGTCACCAACCTCCACGTCGACATCACCAGACGCACGCAAGCAAGCACGCACGTATCAAGGCCTCTGATTCACTCTAACTCCTGTATATTGCTCATTGCTCACGCAGCCTTGGCCCTTGTACCCTCTCTTACCCACGTCGCTCGGCCACGCGTACCAGATCCGCCACGACGCCCATTGCCGTAACCTCTGCACCCGCACCTGCGCCTTGGACGAGCAAAGGCCTTTGGCTGTAGCGCTTCGTGTGGAAAGCCAAGATGTTGTCGGAACCACTGAGCGAAGTGGCAAAGGGATGGTCCTTGGGGTACTTCTCAAGGCTCGCCTTGACCTCCCCGGCCCTAGCGTCAATGACACCAACGTAGCGCAGCACGCATCCCTCCTCCCTGGCTGCGGCGTTGAGCTTGTCGAAGTCGCCGTCGAACTCGGGCAGCTTCTGTACATACTCGTCGCCCGAGGTGACTGACTCGAGGGGAGCAGGCGTAAGAGAATGAGTGGGGACAGATTCGAAGCCCTTGGGCAACTTGTCCGTGAGGCTAGGGATGAGACGCGAGAGAATGGTGAGCTTGCGGCTGACATCCGAGCCAGAGAGATCGTCTGCCGGGTGAGGCTCAGTGTAGCCTTGGTCCTTTGCTACCTTGACTACCTCTGAGAACTTCTTGCTGCCACCGGCGGGCGTTGACCACTCGTTGAAGATGTATGAGAGGGTGCCGCTGAGCACGCCCTCGATCTTGTGGATCTCATCGCCTGTTTGGACCAGGTCCTTGAGCGTGGTCAGGATGGGCAGCCCAGCACCGACGGTGGATTCGCCGTACATGAGAGGTCCCTTGTCTGAGCCTGTAGAAGCGGAAAGGATGGCCTTGTAGAGATCGAGAGAGCCAGAGAGCCCCCTGTCGTGAGAAAGAGAGAGAGAAGAGGTGAGACTGATAAGTCTGATTGGACTCATTACGCCGTTTGTTCTGCGCCTGCTCACTTCTTGTTGGGCGTCACGACCGAGAGACCAGCCTTGAGGAATTCTGGATAGAAGCTTGCGACGCTATCATTCGACGTGTTATCCACGACGACGGTGTGCCTCTTGCTCTCTTGGGCAATCTGCTGCAGCTTCTTTGCCAAGTCAGCGAGGGGCAGAGCTGACTGTGACGAGTTGGCCAGGAGAGTCTTCCAGTCGGCGGGAGGGGCGAGGGAGAGCGGGCTGGTGGGGGTGGAGAGGAGCGTCTTCTTTGAGTTCTGAAGAGCGACAATGTGGATTTGGGAGGCCAGGTTGGGGATCGTCGTCAACTGAGAGATGACAGACGATCCGACGAGGCCGACGCCTGGCAAGGGGAGAGAGGACAAGAAGTCAGTCTTCTGAATATCCGGACCACAGTCCTCTCTGTCGACACGCGCCTACTCACCGACAATGGCGACGTTGATACCAGTAGGGGCGGACATGTTAGGGTTGGTGTTGATTGGTAGGCGACAGAGGGAAGCTCGAGTTGCTCTCTCGACGTCGACTCGAGATCTTCTCGCCCTCATCGACGCTCCACCCGACATGCGGCCGGCCAGTCCGTGCGCCACGTGGTTTGCTGTTGGCCGCATGGCCAGGCGTTCCAAAAAGCTTGCAGCTGCAGGCTACCATTGCTATCATCACCAACGCCGAAGCAACGATGCCGTGAGCACAGAGAGACCAAGCAGTGGCGCATCGCACTGGCCTTGACATTGGCTGACTTACTCTTCCCTCTGTCCTCAGCCTGTACGAACTCCTCTGCGTATCGGCCATCACGCCATCGACGGCTCCCTTTCGCGAACTCGTCCGCTCAACAACGAGGCTCGTAGTCGACCATGGAGGCGCAGTCAGGGCAATGAGATATTGGGGACGCAGGCAACTCCCACAGAGGACAAGAAGACATCAGCAATGGCATTACGAGGGAGAGTGAGTGCGGCCAACGAGAGGCAGGACGAATCTTTCCCGGAGATCGAAGCTGACAGACTGATTCCCCTCTTTGCGCCGCTCGCCCAGCTACTTCCTCATGCACTTCGACACATCCCCACCCGTCCTCTCGCAACTCTCCTCGCGACTTCGTGCGGACCCGCGAGTGGTCAAGTGGACGACGCTGAAGCTCGGTGAGAAGCTTGAGGAGATCACACCTCCGGGCACGTCGGCTGGCTACACGGATGCCCAGGGGATGGCCATGTACGGCGAGACGAGGCCAACCCCACCGGCTAATACCGTCATGGGAGGTGGCAAGACGGTTGAGTGAGTGGCTTCATCGGGGAGTCTATGGACCGCCGGAGGCGCTGCTTTCGCCGTACGAGGAAGGTCTCTCCTGGAGGATTTGAGTCTTCAGAGCAACAGATAAGCTTGTCCGTGTAGGGCGGCTTTGTACATCAGCAATCACATCACATCCATCTCCCATCGAAGCCGCTTTGCCAATCACAGAGGGACGGCACGCAGCTAGGCGGAACATCAAGGTCAGGGACGACCATGAGAATGAAGAAGCGCCGCGCATCACAGGTCGGGCCGTTGGTAATGAGGGCCGTCAGATGAAGCGGTTGAATGTGATGACTCACGAAACGAGCATCTTTGACGTCCTTCCTTTCCCTGTCAATAGCTGAATCAGGCGCATATCACGCTCACACATGAGGCCGGCCGAGTGGATCAGGCGACGACGCCAGCCAGATGAAGCGGACTACCTCACAGACAGTCCCTCTGCCCCTCGTACCCAGGGCCACTGGCAATCGCCAGCTAGAAGTCGCACTCAAGTTCCTTTCTCGACAGCAGATGCATCCTCGCCCCTCTCCTTCGCGCATCGCAGCCCGCCAAAGTCATCTGCGACAGCAGCTTCTGTCTCCTCCTTGACAGCTCGCGGCTTCTTCTCGTCCCGCACTGCCACTGCATCGAGCACTCCCCTAGACCTGGCGGCCCGACATCGATCCCTTGCGATTGACAAGCAGCTGCGCCTTGAAGCGGCGGAGATCAAGCGCGAAAGAGGCAAAGAACGCACTATCCTGCTACTCGGCCAAGCAGAAGCGGGCAAGACCACCGTCTTCAAGCAGATGCGATTGCTTTACAAGCGGCAGGCATTTGATGGCGAGAGGGAGGCGTGGAGAGCTATCGTGCTGCTGAATGTGATGCATGCGGTGAGACTGTTGATGCGAGCATTTGAGCATCACTTGGTGCAGGCGCTGGAGAAGGCCGCTGCGGTGACTCATGAGGATGCGCCGAGGAGCCGTCATCGACAAACGGCAAGGCGGTCAAAGGCAGCTTGCGGCGTCAACAACATGCCTTGGAGCAGCAGTGGCAGCGCCAGCGGTGCGCAGTCGCTTGGCTCCACTCAGATGGCACTTTCACCAGTCAAGGCCAGTGTCGCGGTGAGGAGCGAGCTAGCCTACCTTGACCGGCTTCGCGCTTCGATCGCCAAATTCTTGGAACTAGAGGCGCCCCTGCGCAAGACCTTGGGCGCATTCGAGGGAGACAAACACGCTTCCGAAGGTCCGGCCCGCCCTCATCACTCACGCAGCAGTGTTGAACACACGGCTCGTCCCTGGCTCAATCGTCCAGTCTCCGCCGATGGCCAACTCCTTCTCCGCTCTGGATGGCAGGAGCGTCTCCGTATTGCCAAGCAGGCGTCATTCTCTGTCCTCAGTAGCAACGCCCACAGCAATGAATCAGACGAAACGCAAAGGCTCCGTCACATCCCTTACTCGTCACCGCGGTACCTGGGGCCAAATGGCTCACCCCTGCCGACGCCGCTCGAGCTGCGGCGTATGAAAAGCGCCAGCAGCGGTCGAAGCATCGGCCTCGACACAAAGTCGCCGGCTGAGTACGGCTACGCCGGCGTAGACGGGGGTACCACAACAAGTTGTGAAGACTACGAGGCCCTAGCAGCGAAGGCCCTTACGACCATAGTAAATGATGTGATCACCCTCTGGCGCCGACCCTTCACGCAGCGGATTCGGGCGAGCGGAGGCAGATTTCATTGTGATGTCAGCGATCTCGGGCAGGGAGCGAGAGGACAGTCAAGCACTGCTGCCAGTGGAGCACACCCCAAGGTTGTGGACGGCAGCGAAAGCATCACTTCCTCCAGCTCTGTCTACTTCCTCGACTCACTCGCTCGCATCGCATCCCCCACCTACAGACCCAGCGATAGCGACATTCTTCAGTCTCGCCTGCGTACATTCGGCGTTCACGACGAGGCGATCACCCTGCCTGGGCGCGGAGCTCGATACCGCGTTATTGATGTTGGTGGGGCGAAGAATCAGAGGCCTGCTTGGTCACATCTGTTTTCTGGACCCAGCGGAGTGGGTGAGGAGAGGCAGTTCCATCAATCGCGTGGCCACGGCGTTCGACCAAGGGCCAACGGCAGCTCGAGCGGCACTCGAGGAACAAGCAGGCGACCTCACTCTATCCTCCACCACCATGCCTCCTCTCACCCCCTGGACGTCCGCCCAGATCTCATCCTCTTCCTCGCCCCACTCTCCACCTATGACGAGGTCCTCTCTGAAGATCCGCGCACAAATCGCCTCGACGACTCACTCGAGCTCCTAGAGCAGATCCTTGAGTCGATCAGCCTGAAGGATACGGTCGTGGTCGTGCTGCTAAACAAGGCTGATGTGCTGAAGAAGAAGGTGGAAGCTGCGGCTAGGGGTGGGGAACAGGGTGGATGTAGGAGCGTGGCGGATGTTTGGCCAAGAGAGTGGGAGCGCTTCATCAAGGCAAGGAAGCGCAAAGCTCCTCCTTCGAGGGACGGCAACTCTGAAGGAGGCGACACTGCAGCCGCTGGCACCCTTCTACCCACGACCGCCTTTCACCTCTCACTTCACTTCCTTGAGTCACGCTTCCGCAGCCTTGTACGATCGAAGCATCATCTCAGCCCGCAAAGGGACGTCCATGTACGTACGACTGTGGCGACGAGCGAGGCGAGGATGAGAGAGGTGTTGCAGTTCGTGGAGGAGGGGGTACTAAGGCAGGAATTGAGGGGGCTAGGTCTGACGTGAGGCGGAAGCGACTGGGTGCGTCGGCTTAGACACGATTGGAAGACGATAGTGGATTTGTGGCATTAGTATGCAGAGGAAAGATGTCAGATTTGTCCGTCGCTCCGTACTTCCACAGACGGTCCTTCGTATTTGCTTTGCTCCCCATTCCATCGCCTCAGAAATCACCCAGATCGAAGTCTCCGTCAGCAGCGCTACTCTTGGCTCCACTCGTCCCGACGGCCGTAGGCGCTGTTGAAGCAGGAGTTCCTGTGCCACTCCCATTGGTAGACCCTCCCTCTGCGACCTTCTCCGCGGCCTCCCTCTGCCTCTGCGCCGCAGCAGCCGCCATAGCTGCCTTTCTCCTCTGCTCAGCCTGCTTGCGCTCCGCCTCCAAAATGCGCTGTCGATCAGCCTTGCGATTTCGCTCGTTAAGGTCGGCGAGGAGCTCATTCTCTGACTTGGCGGCCGCTTCGGCCGCGGTGAGGTTGGACGAACCCGCAGCTGGCCTGCCATTGCCATTGATCGTAGAAGGTGACGATGCTCTGCCAGCTGCGCCCGGATTGCGCCCAGCCACCTGCTCATCGTAGGCCCTCCTAGCCTCCTTCTTTGCCTTCAACACCAAGTCATAATCCGCCTCCGTCCAGACGTAATCCATGAAGTCCCCCCACTCCTCTGCCTGATCCAGCACCTGCCGCTTGGACGGCCTATTTGGAGCCGCCTTTGCCGCTTGCTCGTACCTTTCGAACTCTTCGGGCGTAATGGGCGAATTGGACAGAATTGCGAGGTCGCGCTCGTGCTTTTCCTTGGCAAATTGCAGCACCACAAGCACATTGGTGTACTTCCCCTCGTCGACCTTGTACCAGCGTGAGCCATTCTTCCAATCCACGACCTCGTAGGCACGATAGCGCTGGACTGTCTTGCCTGTACGCTCGTCGCGCTGTGGGCCCATATTTACGCGGACGAATTGGCCGATGAGCTTGTCCTCCCAGTTTTTGAGGTACATGATACGAGTGATGCTGTCTCGTCCTATACGAGCGCGGTTGATGTCGTCGAGATCGGGTGGTATGAAGGGTCCGTCGTCTGCTGTACGGCGGCTTCGCTGAGCTGTACGACCCTTGAGACGACCAGTGCGGAGCCCGCGTTCTTCGTCCGAATCCACATAGCCGGAGGACTCTTCGCTCTCCTCATCTGAGTCTGTGGAAGCCTTGCGGCCTCGACGCCCACCAGCATCGTCATCGTCGTCGTCATCGTCGTCCCCTCGAGCAGCGGCTCTTGCGCGCGACTTGGCAGCCTTCTTCTTACGATTCTCGCTCAACTCCTGCAATTTGCGGTTGCGCGTCTCGCTCGTCCCGACGCTCTTGCGTACGCGGGCACCTTTCCTGCCTGATGTGGTAGCCTCATTGTCACTGTCCTCGTCTTCATCCTCGTCATCGTCTTCATCATCCTCTTCGCTGTCGCCCTCATCCATGTCGCTATCCGCTGCAGGCTTCTTGCGACGGAGCGTCTTCTTCTTTGTCGCGGCTTTCTTCTTGGTACGACTTGCCTGTCCTTGCTGCGCTGCTACCATACCTGCCAATTGAGCTTTACGTGCCCGAGCGGCTTGCTCATCTCTGCGGCCTGCGATGAGCTCTTCACGTTCGATGTAGGGGAGCGACTCGACGCTGAGGTCGAGTAAGGTTGTCAGAGAGGTGCCTCTGGCCTGCCAACCGGAAGCTAACTTACTATGCTTTGTCGGCCTCATCCTTGTACAACCCTTCAAGCGGGTAAGCAGGTGCATCGGCCTCATCGTCATCGTCATCGTCGCTATTGTGGACCTTGCGCTTCTTGGAAGACGACTTGGAAGCGCTGGCCGACTTTGACCTGCGCTTACTCGCCGTCTTTGCCTCATCTTCATCGGATGATGCGCCTCCACCGGCGAGGGCAAGTAGCTCATCATCGAGATTGGATGCCATTGCTGGCGAGCGAGTGGCTTCGATTTGTGTCGAGAGTGATGAAAGCGGAAGATGAGGGATGCACCTCGTCTCGTCCTCCCTCGACTTGCCGCCTCTTGCCGCCCGTCCCTCACCGCCTCTGCCGAGTTCAGAGTCGTCTTGATTTGCTTGGCCCCGGCGTCGGCGTCAAGGCCGACTAATGTGACACTTCAGCGTTTACATCTACCTCATCATACGACTACTGTCGGCGATGGATCATCAGAAACCATAGCAAGCGCACGCTCCTTACTCTTCGATCCCTCCGCTCCTTGCTTCCCCTTTTCGAAACCACCATCTTGCTTAGATAGTCTCGCGTCTGGCCAATGCCTCGGTGGCTTCGCTGGCCTCGCAACATGGCACCAACTCCATCTACCCAGCATACATCCACCGCATCGGCGTCGACGTCATCATGGCAGATGATGCCAGCAGCGCCAGCATCCACGTCAATCACAGGACACCACGTAAGAGCCCGCATGGCAGAGAAAGCCAACCAATCTCGTGATTACTGGACCACAGTGAAGCAGCGAGCCTCCGACCTCAAGCAGCAGGCTGGTCCTCAAGCTCGGACTCTGAAGCACAGCTTTTCCACTTCGCTCCTCAACAGCAATAACATCGCCACCTCTAGTTCCTCAGCATCTTCCTCCTCTTCCTCAGCCGCAGCTACCCGCTCCTCTTCCCCTCCTTCCCGAGATCGCGTCTTCCCTGTCCTGCTCCCCGGCTACACATTCGCCCGCCCACCCAACTACGACCCAGCAGCAGAGGACGAACTCCATCTCGTGCTGCGAGGCTTCGTCGGCCGGAAATCAGCTACCCCTGGACGGGGACAGCGAATGTTCGCCCTAATGGCACGACAGCTTGCCCGCCTACCCAAACCACTCGCCGCTTCCTCGACTTCGTTGCTTCTGCACCCGCGACCCTCGTCAACGGATGATGCCAACTTTTGGCCAGGTGTACCCACGGGTAGTGTAGCTGATGCGGGCCATGTGGCAGCCGATAAGGAAAAGCTGCCCCTCAGCGAGAGGATTGTCGAGGAGGTGGCTGACCGACTGGACGAGAGAACCATCGGCAAACTGGTAGAGAAGATGGGGGCTCTGCCCATTGATGGAGAAGGCGGGGTGCATGATGAACCGGAGGGGATGGACGAGAGCGATTCGAGAAGCGGATCGGGGGCTACGACGCCTGCTATGCCTCCTCATACTCAGGGACGCCCGCTGCCGCAGCTACGTGTCCAGTCCAAAGATCTGGAAGCTGATTTGCGCGAGTCCGTAGGAGGAGACAATTATCCAGCTTCCCCTGAGACGATGCGCTCCCAGTCTTCGTCAGCCACCGATGCGTCTACGCTTGCGTCTACCGCAACGTCTTCATCCTCGCAGCCGGGCAGCTTTCGCGAGCCGCCAACTCGTTCCTCAACAGCAGAGTCAGGCAAGGTCCCTCAACCTGAGCCCACACGTACACTCCGTCCTATGCTGGAGTCCTCCAAGTCGTCAACCGCAGTGCCCCCCTCCCGTCTCTCACGCTTGCGCGGTCTTACCCCACTCTCCTCAAGCTCTCTCGCCTCTACACGATCAGCCCCGATGAGCAACAGCGGCGTCGATGCTTCATCAGCAGCAGCCGACTCACAGCTGGTGGGTGGCTCAGACTTTTGGGCAAAGAGGACACTTGACGAGATCCACGCCCTCACTGCCAACTTGAGCGAGCGACTTGCAGACTTTTGGATCTATCGCGTTGCGGCATCGGAGGTGAGAGTGGAGGTTGAGGGATGGTTCAGCGCCGATCAAGAGGGGGAGAAGGAGGGCGACTGGCGTATGCTTCTCGCTCAGGAGCTGAAAAGCGATGCGCACGGCATGTTTCGACTCAAGGTCAACATTGGTCCCGTGGGCGTCTTTGGGGACGAGCTGCGTAGATTGAGATGCAGGGCCGTTTTGGCAGGCAACACGCAAGATGCTCCAGCTACAGATTGGGTCCCCCTCGATCTACCGGCGTGGCGGGGCCCTCCTCTCCCACATGATGAAGCTCCGGCGCGACCTGCGACTCCCTCAATTCGTCTCATTTCAGACGTAGATGACACGGTCCGTCAAACCCTCGTCACCTCGGGCCTCAAATCCGTCTTTCGTCAAGTATTCGTCCTGCCCCACGACGAGGTCGCCGTTCCCGGGATGGCGGAGTGGTATCGCTGGCTCAAGGGGCCGGGCGCACCTGATGGGGCGGCTGGCGAGAGCGAGGCGACCATGGACACCAAGGAAGAGGTACAAACGACGTCTTCGCCGCTCATTGATGGCCTTCACTTCGTGAGCAACGCACCCCTCGAGCTCTGGCGTCCTGTAACAGACTTTCTACGCGCAGCTGGTATGCCGGACGGGGCTCATGTGCATCTCAAGTCGTACAACTCGGACGTCGAGGCTTCGACTTCCAACACCGCCGGCGCTTCCAATGGCAACACGTCAGATTCAGCCTCTGCAACACCCGCAGCAACAGCGCCCAAGACTTCTCTCCTATCCACTTGGTTGCAGCCCGCCTCGTCGAGGAAGCGCGCTGCAATTGTGAATATTCTGGATGACTTCCCGAAAAGCTTGTTTCTCCTCGTTGGAGACACTGGAGAGTTGGACCTGGAGCTGTACGCTGAGCTGGCGAAGGAGCGACCTGGGCAGGTGAAGGGATTGTATCTGAGGGACGTCAGCTCACCCTACACTGCGACTGCCGCCGCATCGACGGGACGAGGCAGGGGAGGAGTGGAGGGAGAGGAGGAAGGTGATGTGTTAGAGCCAAAGAGCAGGAGTAGCGCTGCCTTGAAGCCCGCGGTGGATTGGGTCAAAGCCAAACGCCCTGCGAACCAGAGAGCCATGACAATGGACGGAGTCATGCTCTCCGGCGTGACTCCCTCATCTGCCGCCGCCAATGATGCAAGCTACACCAGTTCCGGCGGCAACAGTGCCCCTTCCTCCCCCCGCCTCTTGGCTCGGATGCGCGGGCCGAGTCGAAGGGACACGCTCGACTTGGAGAGCATTGCTCCTCTTGGTCCATCTGCTACCAGCGTATCGCCGAGTGGCTCTGCGTCTCCAACGAAAACTGGTAGTGCCGTTGCAGGGAACATCTCGCCTGCTCTGCAGACCAGACTGATCAAGGCGAAAGCCATGATTCCTCCGGGATGCGAGTTGAAGCTCTTTCGCTCGGGCGACGATGTGAGGGTGGAGAGTGGGAGGTTGATTAGGAGGTTGAGGGCAGAGGCGACTGCAAAGGCGACGTGATGATGTAGATGTGTCAGCGAGGTAGTGAGGATGCTAGTCACGATACGACGAGGAAGTTTTTGTAGCATAGCTATCAAGCAAAATCGAACGAAAAGGACATGGTGATTAGAGAGACGAGTGAAAGTGGATGATACGAGATTTGCTCGCTGCCTTACTGATGGTTGATATGTACGGAGCAATGCCGAAAGAGGATCAAATGTGGGTGGCGGTCTAACGAGCGGCGGCCATGTGAGAGAAGTAGAGGCTCGAGTGATCTACTTCGCACCTCCATCTCAGTCCATGCCAACCAAGCTGGCAATGCTGACCCTGCGACTAGAGTCGGGCCTTTTTCTCTCCTCCTCCTCCTCCTCCTCCTCCTCCTCCTCCTCCTCCTCGTCCCTTGCTCCCTGCCCGGATTTTCTCTCCTCAACGGCGGGCGACTCGTCGACCTCACTTTCTCCCTCCGCATCGCGACTACTACTCGTTCCATTCCCAGCGCTATCGCTGGCCCTACTGCTGCCTGTGGCCTGCTGAATGATCTGCCTGGCAATAGAGGCACCAAAGCGAGGCGGGGCGCCCAAAGCAGTCAAAGCGTCACCGCCACTCCCGCTGGTGAGAGGGCGCTTCTTGATCAGGGCGGCGACACCGCTTGAGGAGCTGCTTGACGCCATCGTCGTGGGGCGACGCTCCTCTGCCGCTTCCTTGTCCGCCTCACCTGAGCCCAAAGAGACGCGACGCTGTTGCAAATTGTGAGAGCGAGTTGCCGACTGCCTCTCCTCCTCATCACCTTCGGCGAATCTAGCAGTTCGACGAGGCGTACCACCCTCAGCGGAGGGGATGCGGCTAAGGTGGCTATTAAGGGGCCGCTCCCTGAAGAAAGTGGCTGCAGCAGTGTGACTGCTGCTGGCTCCATCACGGCTGAGAGGGGGAGGCTGGAACCGGAAAGGGCTTGACGATGAGTGGTGGCCAAGAGCGATGCTACTAGGAGGCGGGGAGCAGCCTGCAATGGGTGTGTGAGAGTACTCGATGGAGGCGCGCCTGCCAAAGGGATCGAAGCTCCCGTGAGCAGAACCGACATTGTGACCCAATCGCCCTGACGAGGAGAGGGGACGAAGACGGTCAGATGAGGGTGGGCGCTGTTGCTGCTGCAATGAGGACATCGACGAAGCCGCGAATGGCGCCAAGCTGAAGCTTCCGCGGCTGTTGATTAGCCCAGCTCGAGAAGGCGGTGCTCCCTCGGGAGGAGGCATCGCTGCACTACCGCTTGAGCCACCAGCGTCGTGACGCCCTTGGCTGCTGACGGGCCTGCTTCCGAGGTTCATTTCCGGCAAGTCGAGCATCGAAGAGCGACGCTGGAAGCGGAAGGCCTTGCCGAGGTCGCCGGAGCCCGTAGGCGGGCGTGAGGACCAGCCTGTCGCTCCGCCGCCCCCCGTTCCTGCACCTGCACTGCTACCAGGACGAAGAGGAGGGAGCTGCGTTGGCGACAGAGGAGGTAGAAGAGCGCCAAAGGAGCCTTGCGACGTTCCTGGTCGACTGCCAGACAAGGGTGGCAGAACGGGTCGGTCAGTAGCCGTGAGCGGCCTGCTCTGCGAACCGGTGGTAGTGAGGCCCGGACTCATGGGGTGAGCCTTGGCTAGCGTTGAGGTGCGGACTTGATTGGCAGAGAGGGTGCTCTGGAAGCCGGTATACGTCTCGTTGAAGAGACCAAAGGGGCCGGAAGGCGGAGCTGGCGGCGGGAGGGCAGATGCCGTCGTCGGGGATACCTCGGCCGCGTTGTGCCGTTGAGAGAGGGGCTGAGAGTCAGGCCTGACAGCTGCTGCGGAAGCCTCACCGCCGCCATGGTGTTGCATCTGTGCCCACCTTGCGTGAGCCTCTGCATCTGATTGGCCCGGTTGCTGCTGCTGCACTTGCCCTTCTTCGCCGCCGTGAGAGCTGGCGAAGCGGGAGTATGGATGGTAGTGCTGAGCGGCTGCGTCCGTCTGAGGGTCAAAGGGATATGAGGCGCGCTGCATTGGCCCGACACCGTAGCCGTGCAAGCTGGCTTGCGGCTGGTCTGAAGCAGCCCCATAGTGATGCGGAGGCAAGGAGCCGTCGGCATTGCGATACGGCATGGCCTGCTGAGGTTGTTGCATCTGACCGTGGTTGTAGGCAGGAAAGGCAGACGGATCGTAGCTTGTGGTCGAGTCGGCCAACTGTGCGGAAGGCAAGGCACGGTGCGTCGAAGCCATGCGCTGCTCGTCAGGAACATCGCCTGAAGAGGCGCCATTGACACCCTCGCCGCCCGCGCCAGAACCCGGCGTAGAGTTGCTAGCGCCATTAGCGATCGCCGCTTCTCCATTCAGCCTGTATGGCGCGCTTGCCGTGCTAAAGCTTCCCGGCTTGCCGACCTTCGAAGTTCTTTTGGCGGCTGGAGGCATGGTAGAAGTCGAAGGCGAGCCGGATGACCCTGCTGCTGCTGCCGCCGCCGCTGCGGCGTGACCTTGTTGATTGGCAACAACGAGTGCCTGTGCGTGCTGAGCTTGAGCAGCCGATGCGGCCAGATGGGCGTGCAGATTGGTCAACTCCTGCATCATGGCCTCGTTGCGGTCGGCCTCCTCAGAGTGGACGGTCTGGGCATGTTGTCGCAAGTTGTCAAGACGAGAGAAGGCCTTGCCGCAGTGGCATTGAAAAGGCCTCTCGCCAGTGTGTTTGCGGATGTGCCTAGCCAAGTGTTCGCTACGTGTGAATGTCATGTTGCAGTCACCGAAGCCGCGGCATTGAAAGATGGTCGTTGTCTGGCCATCCTTCTCAACGACTTTGGCCGTGCCTGCTGAGCTGCTATTGCGCTTCTCTGGCCCTGAGGGGCGCTTCGCTGACGAGGTCTTGTCGGACTGTGAGGGGGATCGCGATCGCTTCTTGCTCGCCTTTGCCAGTACTGTAGGCTCTTGCTGAGTTGGCGATGACTGTCTGACAGAAGCGTGAGGGTGATGTGGGAGCGCAGTGTGGTGTGCATGCGGCTGGTGGTGCTGGTGATCGTGCGAGTAGGCGGATGCGCCTGCAGGGTAGCTCCATGACTCGGTGGGGACCGAATGCCTTGGTCCGCTGTGGACATGGTAAGCCGATGGTATGTAGTGCATAGAGTGACCAACCATGGGATGCATGGGTGGGCGAGCAAAGGGAGAGATTGCATAGCCGTGACCAGATAGAGCAGCAGGCTGTTGATGATGATGAGCAGCACCAGGAGGGGGGCCTTGAGGGCCATAAGCCCATGGCTGCTGAGCAGAAGCAGCGTGGTGTGGATTGGCAAGCATCGTGTGCTGCTCAAACTGGACAGCTGTCGGATGTTGAGGATAGGCGACGTGAGTATAGCTGGCAGGATAGATGAAATGATGTGCAGGTTGAGGAGCAGAGGGGAAAGCAGGGGGAATCGGTGCGCTAGATGTTGGGAAGAGTGATGAAGCTGATGGAGATGAAGAGGATACGTCTGGCTCGCTCTTTGGCTGATCGACCATCGACTTCCACGACACGTTTGACCTCGTGGTGCCAAGCAGTGGGATTTGCAGCCTACCAGAGCAGAGCGGGGAGAGCTAGCGGGATGGTCAATGAGAGGATTGGAAGTGGTGCGGCCCGCGAGCTTCACCAACGGAGACTGCGAGACAAGCCGGGTTGGCAGTGGTTGGTTGCGACGAAGAAGGACGAAGGGTCGAGCGCTAGCAGAGTCAGAGCCTGCGATTGCTGAGCTCGTGATCCGCTGCCCTGACGAGATCGAGGTCGAGGTCCAGGCGGCAATCGATTGAGCGGCGGAAGAAATAAAGTGCCTCCAGGGCTGCGCCGTCCGAGAGGGAGATGATTAAGGGCGGGGCTGTGTTCGAGGGTTAGCGGACGCGAGTGGTGGTGGCGGTGATCGTGATAGTAGTGAAGAAGGAAGAGGAAATCATGCGCGGGTCGATGATGCTGATGACGAGACTGGGTATGGTGGTAGTGTGGTGAGGTGGACAGCAGGGCAGAGGCGGCACCATTGACCGGATGGCAATCACGGAGTAGGTGAGCGAGCTGCGACTCAATGCTTCGGAAGGGGAGCGAGGCCAAAGATGAGCTCCGCCTGTTTCAGCCCCGCCCGCCTTTTGCCGTCTGTGCCGTCAGACCTGCAGCGCCCTGGCTCACACCTGCGAGGGCTCCCCTCACACCACTCCGCTGCGATGCTGTGTCGCCATACCACACCACTTTCATGCGGCAAAGCAGCTCGAGACTCGCCTCACTTCACCTCACCTCGCCTCCGGCATCGCGTTACTAGACGGGGAACGTAGCGGAGCATCATTGCAGCAAGACAGCACCCAGCCCCGACTTCCTCCTCGCATCTTCGCCCTGGCGCCCTGGTACCTACCTGCGCTCACCGGTCGAACCTTACTGAGCTGCCACGAGCGAATTTTGGAAACAAGGAGCCCAGCTCAGCCGGCGACTTCGAAGGATTCCATCCCCCTTGACAACCGAGGAACGACGGGAATCGAGCAAGCATGTGAGGGGGTGACGATCCGATCACTATTCGAGACGGGCGCGATGGTCATTGACCACGATGAAAGCCAGCGCTCAGACGTATTGCCTGTTCATGACTTCTCGCTGCAACGTGGAAACCTTCCCAAAGGGACGAACGAAGCTACAGAGCTTGGGTAGAGCTTCTGGTGATACTACCCAATTTACGCAAAGTGTACAGCTATCAACATAATCAATCGATGCTCAGGCAGATAGGCAGCGATCTTGTGTAGGTCCTGGAGCTGTTTTCGCGCTTGGGTGATCTCCATGCCCCGCCCCCGGCTGGCTGTCTGTCCTTCCTGGGTCCTCATTGCCCTGAGACCCAATCTCTCCTCTCTCGCCCTCTTCTTCCAGGCGACCCTGCACTTCGGTACAGGCACAGCAGCGCCCTTGTCTACCTCGGTGACCTTGATGACGAGGTCGAAACGTGAGCTCGTGCTTGCCGCACCCATGTTTCACTACGGCAACTCCAGTGGTGATGTTCCCCTCTCCCTCTTCCCTTTCTATCCGAGGGGCAGTCAGGATGAGACCGGCACACTTCGGTCGTCGATCGATGCGATGCGATAAGAGAGGGCGCCGCAAGATGGGCAAGGGCTTGTTATGCATTTGCGAAGGCGAACAGCCAGGGGAACGAGGGGAACAGGCGCGTGGGTGGTTGGCCGGCAGGATGCTGCTTCGCGACTTGCATTGCTGACTGCAGGAAGAGGCGCAGAGGTGGGGCTTGGCAGCAAAGCTGGCCATCGTCTTGTTCGTCTTTGTTCGGTGACTTTGGCAGGGATCGGCCTGCTTGGACCCAGATGCTTGATGATCGTCCCGGGAACCTTGACGATGCAGGAGCAGGCGTCGGCACCCTGCTGGCGTGAAGCTCTCAACCTTTTCGCTCTTGTTCATCCGCGCGGCCAAGCAAAGCAATCTACGGCGCCCGACACACCTACTTGTCTCCCCTAAGGGAGCGCCATGCTCTCTCTGTCGTAGCCCGATCGCGCCAGGCTGGATGGTGCATTGTCTCGGTGGAGAGACATCGTTAGGCAGCAGTCGGCGCCACTCATCTCGACCAAACGCGCACGCACGCTGATCATCGTAATGTGGCAATGAAGATTGCTGCAGATGAGAAAGTGAAATGAAAGAGGCGCAGCAGCATGATGAGTAGCTATGAGACAATGATAAAACAAGGCGAGGGCATCGTGCATATATCGTATTTGGTGAGGCGCGGCAATGAGAAGGGGTGAAGTGGGGGAAAGGTGAACACTAGGCTGGATGATGCATGCTGGAGTAGAGTTGTCGCCTCAGCGCTCCATAGTCGGCGTCGCGGTGCCCGACAGTGGCGTCGTTCGGCCATCGAGTGCGTAAAGACCTCCAGTCCCAGCAGCTGCAGCCGCAGTGGAGCCAATGAGGTCGCTTCCCCCTCCAATGGCCAGGCCTTCTGGAATCGGCGCTGTGCCAGGCGTGATGTCTGAGGACCAGCAGTACTTTTGGATCAACTCTGACAGATCGGCCGCAGAGCGAGGTCGGTCCGTGGAAGAACGATTGCTGTTCGACGGCGACCAGTGCCTCCTTGGTGTCAAGCGCGGCGTCAAAGACGGGTCAAGCTGCTCCATTGCAGCAGCCAAGTTCGATTCCTCGGGCGTCACGAGGCCGGGCGTGCTGACCCCTGTAGCATCGCTGTCTGCCGAAGAGATGGACATGGAAGGCGACAACGTCGAGGATGGCGGCGACGAGGGCTCATTGTCGTAGTTGGCCAAAATGAGGCCATCTTGCTTGTCAATCGATCCCTTGCGGACCGATGAGCGGGGTACGGTGATAATCTTGGGCGGCGCAGGCGAGCGAGTCACTGGGCTGCCATTGTTCTCTGCGCCGTTCGAATTGTCGTCGTCTTCGTCGGAGTCCATGGGCGAGGCGAGTTGCGAAGAGATGGGCGAGTTACCGCCTCGACGCTGCGGAGGGTACGAAAAGAATTTGCTGCTGCCAGGGCGGCGCGTCGGTGATGCACCAGGCGAAGGGGTGCCTGGCACGAGCGGGCTCATCCGACCATCGTGGCCGAGTAGGGGGACGTTGAGCTTGTCTGGCGAGGACGTCGCTGAAGTCTGTCTCGAGGTGATCGGCTGGTGATGCGCCATGACATCGCCCACGGCGGGACTAAACATCCCTGATCGCACGGGACCAAAGCTGTTGAGCGTGGGGGTGGGCAAAGCGCTGGACTCGCCAGAGGCCGGTGAGCTTCCAGAGACTTTGACATTTGGTTGCGCAGAGGAGCCCGACAGTGAATGCGGCGTGCCTGATGGAGGCTTGGCGGTGAAGTAGTCGAGGACGGCGTTGCGAGATCGTGCCTGTGCAGTGCTCGAGTTGCGCAAGCTCTCACCCCAGTCATACCGGGCGCTCCAAAGGGGAGACCCTGAGCGCTGGCCAGGAGAGACTGGGGGTGACGAGCGGCGAGCGACGTCCGCGACGGCCGCTGATGGCCTCTTGGTGAGCACAGGCGCCGTCTCGACTTCTTCGTCCGACTTGAGGCGGTCAAGCTCCCTTCGCAGGTCCTCGACAAAGCCTGCGCCGCTTTTGTTGTTGTGCACCCCACTTCGGCGAGCGAGGGCAATGGCTCTGGCTTGCGGCGAGGTCTGTAGAGTGTGACTGTTGACGCTTGACGAGCGAGTCGCGCGAGCGCCACCGACATTTGGGGTAGGAAGTGGTGTGGGAGGCAGCTGTCGCTTGCGGAAGTCGAGTTGATAATTCAGACCGTCATTGTTGTCCCAGAACTCCGCATTACCACCCGTTCGGTAGCGCAGACACAAGAACATCGTCTTGGTCTCATGGCCTCCAGCACCACGAGGCCAGTTGAGGAGCTCGTTGAGTTTGATTGAAAAAGTGAAGCGGTCCGACTCGCCGTCTTTGACTGATTCAGCGTAGTCTGCAGATACTTCGTTGACAGTGACCCAGTCGTCGAGGGTGAAACGAACGGCGACCCACTTCTCGAAGGCGATGTTCCGAACGCGGACAGTACCCTTGACGGAGCGAAGGTCATCGGCGAGGTAGATGCGCTCCAGGAAAATCTCCTTGTCGACGGAGAGGCGCGCAGAGGAGGGGAAGTTGGGCAAGCGCAATATGAGCTGCTCGTCCGTTTCTGCAACGCCTGCTACTGCAGACGACGCCGCAGGTGACGACGTAGTCGAGTTGCCAGACGTCGGTGATCGTCGCGCATAGTTGACAAAGGGAAATACCTCGCGTTCTTCCTCGGTCTCGGTCTCGGTCTGCTCTGGCGAACCCTGTCGCGATATGGCTGTAGGACGTTGCTTGAATTTGAAGACCTTAATGTGCTCGAGCTTGGTATCAAATTGGACAGCCTTGGGGACAGAAGGGGTGTTGGGCGTACTCTTTGCCCGAGCCGGTCTAGCCGTGGCGGGCTCCTGGTCTGATCTGCCCCCTACGACAAAGTGTGAGGAGCTCTTGAGCGAAGGCTTAATAAGCCGGCCGCTCTTCGTGCGAATCTCATTGAGCTCGGAGGTGGACTGGGGAGCAGTGGAGTCGCCGGCCGAAGGCGACGGAAGATTGGACATGTCTAATTGAAGGGCGCGTGGTGGTTCCAAAGCGGCGGTCATATTGCGTCGAGGGTCCTGAGATGGGGGCGAGCGACTGCCACTATTCTGTGCGGATTCCTCCATACGCTGCATGCTGCCGTCGAGGGGAGCCGTCTGCGGTTCGGAGGATAGGCGGCCTGGCAAGCTCGCGTATGCTGGCGTCAATCGCATCAGGCGCGGTCGACGCTTCGACTGGGCGTCCATGAGGCGACGTAGTCGTGCCGCGTCGTCGCCGTCCAGAAGCGCCGAAGTAGACTCTTCTACTGACTTGCTCGGTGAGACGTCGACGGATGATGGCGGCGGGGTCGGGAGATTGGCTGCGGCTATCTCTGCGGCTGAGGCTGCGGTACTCTTGGCTTTTGATGGCGCAGGCGGAGTGCCCGCTGGCGAAGAGGCCACAGGGAAAGGATGGAAATTCATTTTGCTGGCGCTGTGTCGGCGTGGTGGCGTCAATGTGAAGCTGGCCGTACTCGCCGTCGATGACGGCGACGACGACGCAAAAGCCATTGACTGCTGGGTGACGCTTCTGACGTGATGTCGAGGGCGCTGAGGCATGGTCGTCGTCGTGAACGAGGACGACGAGCTCGGAGCTGATGAGGACATTGCTGCAGATGCGGTCTGAGGAGACGGCGGCGCGACCGCTGATGCTGGGGGTGACTTGGCCAACACGCCCGTCATCGTCGCGCAGGCAGGCAACAGGACGACTGTGTGCTGCTTGCGGATGCTTGCCTTTGGATGAAAGCTGTGATAGGCCTTGCGTGCTGAGGCTCGGTGGATAGTGTATCGATCGTCTAGCTGAGCGAGAGGTGGTAAAGAAGGAAACTGGACTTGGAGCATTCGATGCGCGCGGGGGAGGAGGATCCTGTGGGTGCGGATGGGTTGTGGAGAGGTCAGGCGGGGCTGCGGTGATGCGACGATGCGGCGATGTCGCGATGTCGAGGCGTCGAAGCAAAGGAGCAAATGGAGCGACGAGTCCGATGACATGACAATGAGGCGCGATGGCCCCATGACCGCGGGCCAGGGTTTGGAATGGCCCGATATTGAGGCACAATGGTGCGAGATCATGCCGAAGAGGCCCTTTACTCGCTCGCTCACGCACTCTTGGCCGCAGGTTTTGCAATGTACTCACCGATGAAGTGCGGTTTGGCCGATGTGCGACCTCCACTGGTACTGACACGCTCGTTCGGGACGTTGATGCTGCTGATGCTGCGTCGCGCTAGGTGGTGCGCCAAACTATTCTACCCTGCTGACCCGCCGACAGCCAGGGAAGATGTGAGGATCCGTGATGATGAAGAGGAGAGGACGAAGGGAGAGAAGGTGTCGTCGAACGGCGACCCAGCGGACACAAGGGCCAAGACGCGGGCAACGCAGGCCAACGATGGTTGGGTTGGCGCAAGTTTCAGGTCCAAATGAGCCAGCCCAGCCAGATGGGGGGGAGGAGATCGTCGAAGTTTGGCATTGAGTCGCAGGGCGGGGCGGGGCGGGGCGAGAGAGTGCCGCGAAGTGAGGGGGCCCGGCAGATTGCAGCCGCGCAGGACCAGCAGCAGCCAGCAGGCAGCAGCGGCCAATCGTTGCAAGGGGCGGCGAGGCAGCGCCGGCGAGCGAACGACAAGCATTGCATCCATGGCGGCGGCCATCAATCGACGATGCAAGGCGGGAGGTTTGGCAGTGTGGCGGGGCCCACACGAGCGGTGAGCAGCGTCGAGGCGGTCGAAGTTTCGTATCGATGCAGGCAAGTAGGAGCAGTCGGCCGACATCGATGCGCGATGGCAGCGAGATGAGGTCGAGGTGTTGTAGGAGCAGGTGGATAAAATAAAATAGCAAAGCATAGTCAGCATCGAAACGCCGTCGCGGTGCGCTGAAAGGGGAATTGCTCACGGTGTACGGCGTATTTCGAGGGGGCGCCTGGCGTAGTTGAGGAGGATGAGGGCTTTTTGTCTTCGTCGATGAGGAAGACGCTAGACGTTGCCGTTGGGTATGCGTGGTCCTTGGCGGGGCTGCAAGAAGGTGGGGCGAAAAAAGGTCGAGGTGATGAAGTTGAATGGCGAAGAGAAGACAAGGTGGTTGGGAGGGAAGGTAGATGTGGTAGCAGCGACGGCTCTGCTCCTCCTTCAGGATCGGTGACGGTACGGAGGAGCGGATCAAACGGCACGGCTTGGGTCTCTGTCGCGAGGAGACTTTCGTCTTTCGTTGGGGAGGAATGGCAGGACGTGGCAGAGATGACACACAGACGGACAGGCGAGGCAGACGACAAGCTTCCCCAGATTCAATGGATGACACCAGACGAGATCCTGTCAAGCACTCTGGAGAGGCGTGAGCCGAGGACTCCGCAGACCCAATTCCTCGATCTCGAGGCGATGGACTGGCAGCGGCGGCAACGAGGCACTTGACGATCTCCCGCCTCAGGGTTCGTGGGAGCAGGCACCGTGCCCCTTTTCCTGCGGGACCACGAGCGGGACGAGCAAATGGGAGTGTGTCGCAAGCCTTCGAGTGCGTAGACAGGGGCTCAACAAGGCGGGAGTTGAATACCTTCCCAAGGCTCTTCGTTCTCTCCGTCGCCGCGTGAGCGTCCGTCGCTGGACCCTTGTCGCTCTCATGCAGGTCAGCTCATCGAGCTCGCAGCGCAGTGCCTCGATATCTGCGCATTGAAGGCGGCATGCAAGCAGCGAGCATGCGAGCATAACGAAGCGACTCACTGCGTGCTGCAGACGTGCTGAGCACCATCACACCACCTCGTCAGGAATCAAAGGAATGGGCAGCGACTCATTGGCAATGGTCTCGAGAGCCAGCTGAGCTCAGCGGCGACATTTCCTGACATGGTCATGGGACCATTGGAGTGCGTGGACCCGCAACAAGAGTGCTCATAGACAGAGCCTGTCGGATCGCAACGCTATCACAGACAGCGATGCGATCACGTTTCAGCGGGCCCTTGCCATCGTCTTGGCAGTTGCGCAATCGCGATACAGGACGACGGCAGCTTGATTTCGGTGGCTTGAGACGACTCTCGACCCCGACAAGACGACGCCACGCTTCGACGCCGCGATTCAGGGAGGGCCGCCGGCGGCCGCACAAGTCAGCTGCAGCTCCGTAGTTGCCTTTGACCAGCAACGGCTCCACTTAGGTGGTATCATGGCTGAACCTGGTAAGCCTGGATGGAGGAGGGCAATAAAGCTACTCGCACTATCCCGCTAGGGTCTCCGCCGAGGCAGCGAGCCCGGCGCAATGTAGAGTAGAGACGGTCACAGATGATGAGAAGGTGTGATGCATCGGTGCGGAGGCATCGGCGATGAGAATCGAGCATTGGGTATTATGGCAAGGGGCAAGACTGAATGAGAGAGGGTGACGCGAGGCTATTTTACAGAAGAGGGCGACAAAACATTAAGGGTCTATCGAGAGACATCTGGCATCTTAAAAGGGCAGGCCATCCCTCCGAGTCCGCTCCCACGAGCGGACGATGTCATTGCTACCCAGCGCTGCAGAATAGGCGCTTGACTCATCTGCGCATGGCGCCAAGGGTTGCCAGAGGTGTTGCGGAAGGTGGTGCCAGAGAATGCGGCGCCGGCTCGACCCGTCCAAAATGCAGTGCTCGACGCGATCATGGTGAAAGCTCGGCTTGTCGCTTTCGTTACTTGACGACCATGGGCGGGTCGAGATGCAAGCATCGTAGCCATGCCCTTTCTTGTCATCATCAAGCGCAAGCCTCGCCCTCTCGGCCGCTGCGAGGTTCTCCATGGTATTACGATTGCCGTCAAGAAATTGCTGATAGACTTCGCCGTCGTCCTCGCAGTCGGTCTCCTCATCTTCGTCGTTGTCAAGGACAAGCGCCGGTAGCTCTTCGCTGCTGGAAAGGGAGTTGTCGCTGTGGCAGTGATCGTGTGAGTACGGATCAGCATAGACTTCATGCTCCGGCACGTCGAGCTCGACGCAGGGATCTTGGTCTGGTAGCACATCTGAAGTCTGCGATTGCACGCCGGCGTCTGCCGAGCCGCCACCTTCAAGCTCCTCCAGCAGATCGTCGAACCACTCTGACTCGGTACATGGCCCTGACGAGCAGACTTGCTCCTCCTCAAATTGATAATCGTCGCACGTAATAGTTGTAGGCGGCTGCGCTTCTTGCGGCTGCTCCGTGATGAGCATGGCGTTGCGTATCAACACTGACCGTCTCAGCCCATCACTTGCATGGACGTCAAAACTGCGCGACATGGTGTGAGTGTTGAGAGTGAAAGATGCTGAGCCTGCGCTGACGGTATCTTGATCCCGGAGATCTAAGACGCCTCGTGCGAAATGAGGCGCGGCGGTCATCTTGTAGCGGCGCCGACGCCGGCAGGTGCGGCTGGAGATGAGAGGTGGGGAAGATTGAGGCGGGAGATTATGAGAGGTAGCAGCTCGTCTTTTGATAGCGATGGTCAGGGTAAGAGGGTGCGAATGGAGGGTCGAGCGCGCTTTGACCCGCTCATCATGACCCTCGAGGATGTGTCGTTGACTCGGACTCGACTCGCGCCATTTTTGAGAGCAGCTCGCGTCAGCTCGCGCCTCACCCAGATGCAGCCGTGCAGGCAGATGGAGGGCGGACAGGACCACGCGATCGGACGCGTGCCTGAGCTCTTCACACCTGAATGTAACGAGTCTTCGAGCTGGTCATGATTGTCAATGAATACGATTCCGATGTACGAGGGGGCACGGACAGCACAGAAGACAGACTCGATACACTGATCCGATAGAACAGGAGAATCTGCGCATCCTTGAACCTCGATACGAGAGAAGAACGTCTGGCAATCCAGTCGCCGTGAAACCGAGAGCGAGGAGCAGCAGCCAGGTCTGATGCGCTCGATCAAAGCGACGCCACCTCTGGAGGCAAGTCTCTACGCGCTACTGCCCGAAGCAGACTCCGTCGTGGTCGCAACAGTCTTGGGGACCTTCCTCTTGCCATCCTCTGCCTCGTCGCCAGGCTTGGTGCGCCATTCAGGCTTGGGGTCTTCCACTCCAGTAGCGGTGGTGTCCTCGGCCTTCTCTGCATCCTTGACTTGCTCGCGACTCTCGTAGCCCGCAGGCACCCAGCTCGTGGACTTCCAGGCTGGTACACCCGAGTTGTACATCTCGTCGATCTGCTCAAGGGTGAGGTTCTGCGTCTCGTAGACAAAGAAGAGGGCCACGAGGAAATTGAGCGCGTTAGCCCCGGCGAAGACGAAACCGTAACGGAATTGAATGGTGTTGCTGATAGGCGGGGAGAAGAAGCCAATAGCGAAGTTCCAAACCTGATCAAAAACGTCCTGTCAGCGATTTGCTCCTTCATCAATCTCGATCTCGAGCTACTCACCCAGTTGGACAATGTAGCAAGGGAAGCTTGCTTTGCCCTGGTGCGCATAGCGAATGACTCGCCGACGAAGAGCCAGATGCCAGGCGCCCACGTTGTCGCATAGCCCATGATGAAGAAGACCGCGGCGACGATTTGAGTGACCGCGATGCCGTACGTGTCTGGATCGCCTCCCGTGCCGACACCCGCGAAGACACAAAGCCAGACGACCATCCAGGCTGCGCCGTAGATGAGTGGTCGACGACGTCCGAAACGTTCCAGAATGTAGAGGCCGCCGAACGTGCAGATAAAGTTGACTGCGCCGAGAATCAGTTGACTGACGAAGGAGTCAGATATGCCCGCCCCGGTGAAGATTTGAGTACCTGGCGACAAGAAGCGTTGCCTGTTAGCACGACGTAAGAGCAGAGCGATGGCTGTTTCGTACACGCACCATAGTAGAAGAAGTAGTTCGCGCCTGTGAGCTGTTGTCCAGCTTGTAGCATGATGCCCAGGAGGGTGCGATACAGCGTGCGACGCTGCGGCTTGAAGCAGTCGAGCCACGTGGACTCCGGAAGGTGCTTTTCCGCTTCGATGCCGGCGAGAATGTCCGAGTACTCCTGTTCGACCCAAGCATTGCCGTCTCCAGGGTCTGCTCCTCGGACCTTCGCGAGAGAACGATAGGCCTCGTCGAAGCGTCCGCGCTTGGCGAGCCATCGAGGGCTCTCTGGGCAGAATTGGATGCCGATTCCGAGGATGAGCGAGAAGGGGATACCGAGCGCAATGAGGAGTCGCCACGTGGCAGAGCTAGGAGCCAGTGTGCGGGTCCCAATTCCGAAGCAGTAACTGATCAGAATACCAAACGTGATGCTGAAGAGACCAAGAGGGAGAGAGTGTGAGCTCTAAGGCTGACGTCCGAGAGGACACGAGACAACTCACAAGAGTTGATAGGTGGCGACGAGAGCACCACGGACCTGACGCGGTACCGTCTCACTTTGATAAAGCGGCACAGCGGCACTCAGAGCGCCGACACCCAGACCAGTGACGAGACGACCGATGGCGACCTGATACCACTCCGTGAAGCTGGTTACTTGGATCAAGACGCCGATAACGAAGATGCCGACTTCGACCGACATAGCCCATCTTCGACCCAGCCTGTCTGCCAGAGGTGCACCAAGGACTACTCCAATCGCCGTTCCAATGGAGAGAAAGCCAACCACCAATCCTTCCAGCCAAACATTCCACGTCTAAATTGCGCGCAAACGACAGCTTGGGTTAGCATGACACAATGGCACCTAATCTTTCGACTGAGTGGAACTCCACTAACCGGAATACCTGAGGCGTCAGGCGCACCTGTTGCGAAACGAATTTTGAAGTCGTCAAAGGCGACAACATTACTGATTTGTCCAGTGTCATAACCCTTTCGCCCGATGGTGAGGGGGTCTCACGATTCAGCGAGTGCTTCGGAGTCACAAAGAAGCTGCTCTACTCGACTCACGAAAAGGAAGCCACCCATTGACGCTAAAACCGCAATGAGAACGGAGGTGTAGCCGATTGGGCTACCTCGTACGTGGAACACCATGATGGCCAGGAGTTGGGGAGGACGAGATGATGTTTTCGAGTGGCGATCGGAACAATGATGAAGTCAAGTGGTCAACCACTTTTCGCGCCCCTTTTTGTATCGCAATGCAAATGCTCAAGACCGTCGCGCACTGGACCTCGGTGCCCCGCTACCCACAGTCACCGTCACTGGGCCCCCGTCCAAATCTCTTCCTCGTCTGCATTGGCATCCTTCTGCCGTGGGGTCGCCTGCCTTGAACCCACCGTTTCCAGGAACGCTCGGTGGTTCTCATCCGTCGTCGTTGTGCCCTTTCGCTGCACCATCTCGCTCTTCATCGCCCACGGGGTATTTTGTTCCGCAAGTAGAGCACATCAGAAAACAGAGACACGCACGCAGAGGCCGGGTGTGTGGATCGGCGCGCTGCTGGGCTCGCATTAGAAGGATGCCGGCCCAAGTCGCCGCTTCCGCTGCGCGTCGCTGCTCTCGTGCGTCATTGGCCCATCTGCCTGTTGCGCGCAAGCGGCTGGCCGTCGAGCGTCGTCATGGTAGCAAGGCGCGACCCTAAGACGCAGGCAGCACCTGGTCAGCAACGCCGTGCTCGTCGCTCGAGTGAGACAACCGCAACGAGTGCGGTGTCCAAGCCGGCAACTGGACGAAAGCAGAGCTCAGCGCCGTCGTCATCGTCGCCGCCGTCATCGTCGTGTGACGCCAAGACCAGATCCTTGGAGCCGTTTCATCACCCGCCGGCAAGCAGCTTCGTCATGAGACGGCAAAGCAGCCACTAGAGAGACGCGTACATACCCCCACCAACGTCCGTCGGCGTCCTCCTCTGGTTCATCATCTTAGCCTGGCGGTGTGAGGGTAAGCCGGCGGGGCAAACAAGCAGCAGCGGAGAGATTGAGCATCTGAGCTTATTGCTCTCGGCATGCCCGTGCCGGTACCTCGCATCATCGAAGCAGGAGATCTTCTACCAGTGCGCACGATGTCCTCAGTCCTCAGTCGTCACGGCTGATATCGAAAAGTGCGGCCCCGTGGGGTGCGGGGCTAAGCGTCGACGATTGCACAGCCAGCCCGTAGAGGACGATGAAGAGTTGCGGCTGCCTTTTCATTCGCCAGACTCCAGGTTGAGCCTGTATGGTCGTCGGCGCCGTCCACTTTCGAGATGAGATGGCTGCCGTCGAGAAGGTGGCAAGTGTTAATGATTGTCCAGTGCTTGCGCATGCGCAGGTGGTATCAGTTTGTCAGCAAGCCTGTCGCGCTGGCACTTCGCTGACATTTCCACCTCAACGGCGAGTCTCCGTGGGTGCAAGGATGCATGAATTGAACACAAGCCTCTGGCCGGCTGCTGATGCGAGTAAGAAAAACAGAGTACGAGGACGAACGACGGCGGCGACTGAGAGCGCGTGAGCGAGGAGCGGGAGAGGGGAAAGATACAGAAAGACGAGAGTGGAACGGGAGGGAGTGGGTAGATGAGAGGGATTCGGAAATAAGTCCATGTTCGGGGCTTTGAGTCGTCAACGCGCTGCCCTACCAGGGGAAACGCGCTGCTGTTGCTGATCTTGAGGCTGCATCTGCATCTGCATCTGCTGGTGCGGTGGGGTCATGAGGCGTTGCTGAGACTGGCGCGCTGCGGCTTGTCCTTGTTGCGAAGGAGAGGGGCGCGCTGCGAGAGGACCGTTGGCTGACGGTGGGCGTTGCATGGCGGCGTGTTGAGATGGACCTCGCTGCCACTGCTGAGGTGGGCTCATTTGCTGGTGCTGGTGTTGCTGCTGCTGGGGCTCGGGTCGAACACTCTCTCGTGGCATGACGGGCCTCAACCAGATCAAGCCAGGGCGCGACCTGTCCCTGAGCACAGCGAAGGGCGTCTGTGCCTCGACGCGCTTGCCCGTGCGCGAGTCGCGTACCGCAGGATTCTTGAGCACGGCGCCGGCGGCAGCGCCCGCTCCATTCGCCGCTGCTGCGCCACCGAGCACAGTTGCGAGCAGTTGAGCTCGGGCTTGCGGGGTGGCCAAAGGGCCTGCACATCTAGCTACGAGGTCCTTGGCATGCTCCGACGTACCTTCCGTCTCAAAGACGATGCGTCCCTCCCATCCCTCGTCGGCGCAAACGACTCCTTCGTCGCTGATGATCTGGCCGGCCTTGACGTGCGCCACAGAACGATACAGCCACTTGGCGATACGGTATCGTGCACCCGCAGCGGACGTGGTCTCGACCTGGTCTTGCACGAGTCGGAGCGAAGACATGATCTGCTCTCTCCAGGGCAGAATATCCAGGTAAACCACAGGATTAGAGTTCGACGCTCGCACCACATTATGGTAGTAGCCCGGCGAGTAGAGGAACATGTTCAACCAGCTAGGCAGATGCCCAGCCCGATCGAAGTTGTAGGACAAGTCGCGCAGATACTGCCCGTCGAAGATCATGCGCCCGACGTTGCTGCCGTCATCACCCATGGCGACGTTGTGCACGATGTCTCCCCGCTTAAGAAAAGACCAGCAGCCTGCGAGGAAGAGCTCGCGCTCGCAGCGGGCCACTTCGGCGTCAGTCTGCCAAATGGAGTTGCTGGTGGGCACCCAGACCCGGTGCAGAGCTGCACGGCCTGGCTTCCAAGGTGAGGCCAGCTGGGACTGAGGCGCATTTGGTGCAGAGAGATTCGGCGAGAGGTGAGGGGAGAAAGGGAGGCGAGAGTTGTGGCGTGGCGAAGAGGTGGTGCTGGGACTGGCAGGGCTGGAGCTGCGTGGGCTGAGAGCGGCTGCGACTGCTGCGGCGGGCACGCGGTAGCCCGGTTGGTTGCGCAGGCGGCTGAGCACACGGGAGTAAGAGCGAGTGGAAGCGCGAGCTAGCCGTGGCATCCGCGCATCCATCTCGTGGGGGTGGCGAAGCCAATCGACGCTCACTTGCGCGTACTCCGGGCTGATCTCGGCGGCCAGTACGAAAGCCTCGACGTCGGCGAAAGAGAGCGGCAGGGGATCCTTCTCTTGCGCAGCCGACTTCCACGACTTGTATCCAATCGGCGAGAGGAAGCGGCGCAGAACGATCTCGCGTCCCTCCAAGTGGTCGAGGGCAAAGCGAACCTCCTTGTTCGTCTGGCGCAGCGCTTTCACATCTGCGCAATCGAGGTGTGCAACGATGCGGTCGAGCACATCAGGCGTGGTACGTGTGAAGACTTGCTCGAAGAGGTCGAACTGCAAGACCTCGTGCGTATACTCCTCCCACACTTCCTCGTACTCGGAGTGGGCCTCGCTCTCGTTGTCAGCGTCGTCGCCTGTGTCGTCGCCGCCGAATGCTGCATCAATCTCGTCGGCGATGCTCTTTGAATCGCGGGAGGTCGAACTGGCCATCTGGCTTTCGCAGACACTTTCGCGCTTAGTGGGCTGAATCTTGCGCTTCGTGAGGCGCACATCGTCGACGTGGATAACGCGATAGTGCGAGCTAATCTTGCGCGGATCTCCAAATCCGTGGCTCCTCCAGCCCTGTCCTGCAACGGGCCGTGTCGGGTCGCTCGTATCGGCCACCGCAGCTTGATGAGCAATCTCAGCCAATTGCGCAGGAGTTGACTCAAAAGAGGGTAGACCAGTACCCCAAGGAGTCCTGATTGCCGGTGCGAGGCTGAGTGTGTGGCGAGGAGTAGCCGAGGTGGTATTGCGCGCGCCCACTGTCAAGGCGGAGGTGAAGCGAAGAGCTGGCATGCGTTCGCGGGGCATCGGCGTGGAGATGTGCTCGGGCGAGTCTTCGAAACGGACGCCGTGCGACTGCGGAGGTGGACCGGCGTGGGAAGGAGGACCTTGCCCTTGACTGGCCGAGCGCTGAACGCCCATGTCGAAAGCGCCTTGCACTGTGGGACCCTCCGTCATCGCCCTCCTCGGCGGTCGCACAGGCGCGGGGCCAATGGCTTGGGTCTGGTCATCATTGGCGTCTCCGCTACTGGGTAGACTGACGCCAGAGTCGGAAGACGTCTGCTGCTGCTGCCCTTGCTGCTGCTGAGCTTTGATCCCAATCTGCTCGCGATACCATTCGGCGCGAGCGTCGGCAGCCTTTTGTGCCCGCTCAACGTGCGATCGGTCTTCTTCGGCAATGGCAGCATGTCCATCTGCGAACGCTTGCACGTACCGCTGCTTGGCCTCCTCCACAGCTCGCTTCTCATCCTCAATAGCCTGAAGACGAGCCTTCTCTGCGTCTTCGATTGCCTTCAAGCGCGCCTTCTCAGCATCCTCCTTGGCCTTCATACGGGCTCGCTCGGCTTGCTCCGCCTTGCGCTTGGCAGTGATCTCACGCTGGATACGAGCCTCCTCCTCTGCGATCTTGCGTCTCCTGTCCTCTTCATGCTTGCGCAGAATCTCGGCCTTACGCTTGCGCTCCTCCTCTCGCAACCTCTCCGCCTCTGCCTCTCGGGAGCGACGTTCACGCTCTGCCCGGGCAGCTGCGGCTTGCTTCCTCTTGACTTCATCCTCCGCCTCGCGCTTGCGCCTAGCCTCCTCCTGCGCTTGTAGAGCCTTGATAGCGTATCTCTCCTTGCGATCCGATTGGTTCTGCTGCTCGCGTGCCTCTTCCCACTCGCGAGCTCGGCGCTCTTCTTCACTCTCCATCTTGAGAGCGCGGCCGATTTTTCCCATCAGGCCAGCGCCTGGGGCGGGAGGGGAGCGCGGGCTGTGATGGGCCGGCTGTGGAGAGCGATGCGTAGTTTGAGGGGAGCGAGGCGTCTGTTGAGGAGAGCGTGGAGAGGTCGGGCGCTGTGATCGTGTCCGATTTTGGTCTCTGTCTGCGGTGAGGTAGCTCTCGGCGGACGAAGGAGGTCCGCGACGGTACGATTGGGCAGAAGAGCCTGGCAGGTCGTCTGAGCTGAGGGTGGCCGAGCGGCGAGCATTCAACGGTCCTGTCCTGCTGACGGGCATCGGTTCGGCGTTGCGAGGCGGTTGGAGTTGCGGAGTGGATGCCATGCGCGGCATCTGCTTTGACAGCGGTCGAGCGGAGGGAGGATGAGGCTGGCGAGTGGAAGACGACGAGGCGCCACTCGACGAGACCGATGAGGCGGGGCCCCTGTAGGCAGAGGGAGGGTTGGAAGGGCGCATTGACTGCGGGTCGAGGGCAAAGTCAGCACGCCCCTCTACTCAGCCAACGAATTCATCTTGCACGCGTACACTCACTGTATGTGCTGCTGATCTGCTTGCGCTGCTACCACCCTTCGTGGTGATGTAGTCTCTCTGCACTCCAGCAGGTAAGTCTTCATCATCAGTAGTAACCAATGGCGAGGGCGAAGACCGCCCATTCAGGCCCGCAGCCCCCATCATTTTGTCGATGTCGAAGCCGGAGAGGCGCAAATCGGGCAGCGGAGCTGGGTTGCGCTTGCGTTGTTGGAGGAGTTCATCGTTCGATGGCGGCGGTGACGATCCCTGGGCTTTGCCATTGAGGCCCTCGGCAGCCGATGGCTTGCGACGAAGCAGGCCCATCATAGCGTGGGCGGAATGTTAGGGGACCAGTCAACAGCCCTTTATTGATTGCGCTGGACCTGAGCGCGCGCGCGCGTATGGATGGGCGTTTGATGAGAGAATGGATGTGGTAGACGCGACCAGGTGGCTCTTATTTGGCGATCCCACAGCGACGACGAGGGCGAAGAGAAAGAGAGAGGAAGAGAGACAGTACAAAGGACCGTGGTGACCTGTGTAGGCGAATGGGCGAGGATATAGATGGGAGGGAAGGAAGCAAAGCCCCGCCTCATCGTCCTCTGGCCTTTGCCTCCGCCGACCTCGGATGCAATGTGTTTCCTCCCTCTCGCGCTCCCCTGCTCCGCGACCGAGACGAGGCGCAGGGCACAGACAGGGACTGACTCCAACTTGGGCGGCGGCGGCGGCACACGGCGGACTGGCGCCCACTCCTCGCCCGCTTGCCCGCCCGCCCGCACGCACACGCCGCTTTGATGCTCGTCAGGAATGCGCCCAGCTTTAGACTTGGCACAAGACACCGCGGCGACGTACAGGACCCTAGCTTCAAGACCATTCGATCCAAAGCCACATGTTGCTTGCGTGTGCACACTACCACGACTGTGGCCACTCGCGCTCGCCCAGACATGTGAGGTGCTGACGATTCCGAGTCGCACCCAAACGAGTACACAAGTACCGAAGGCTACTAGAGATCCAGTGCTATGATGCTGCGACGCTCCGACGACGACGGCGACGACGACTCTGGAGCCCTGCGTCGAAGCCCGCGTCTGCACCGGCTGCGCAACGAATCGAATTGAGCCGGGACATCCTTCATCTCTTGAGCCTGTGGACTTGGTACTGTGCCTGCTCGCGCTCCTTTGGGAAGACTAGGGTCCACTCACTCACATGCGTGCGGCCAGATTCAAGTGCATGGCAAGAGTAGACGCAGACAGTCGCTGATTCCATGTCAATCGGGCCAAGACGGCGGCTAGACGAAGACGAGGGCCAGACCAGCACTCCATCGGGTCCAGTCGCCGCGTCTCCGCTGTTTGTTTCTGCACAGAAGGATGGGCGCGTCGGCGGCCAGGGCAGGAAGACAGCGACTTCGTTGGTGCTTGCTGACCTTGATTCGATACGGCCACCAGCCGCCTCTTTGTAGGCGAACCAGTCAGAAGAGGCGCCCCAGCCTTCCAATCGAGACTGAGTGTGGACCATTAATGAGTAAGTCTGCTCTCCCTCGACGCCGCCTGTCCTCGAGAGTTGGACAGCGGGCGGGGCTGACTGCGAAGCTTGACTGGCGAGGCGGAGAAGGAACTCTTTTGGCCAGCTCGCCGAGGTTCACGCCTGCGACGACTTTCGTGAGAAGAGCGAGCGAGACGTCCGAGCGCGGCGTGACAGCATACTACCCTGGAACGGTACGACGATGAGGGTTCACTTGCGCGCGAATGAATAGGCTCGGATGAGCTGCCAGTGCGACTGCCGATTGTTGACTTGGCTTAGCGTTCGCGACGAAGGGACGGCTGACGTCTGTGAGAACGAAACGAGGTGAGAGCGCTGTGCTACGACTTGCGGGGTCGCGATCTCACTCTGCATCGTTGTTTCGATGGCTCAAGATGTGACATTGTGTGGAGCTGAGAGCGACGAGATGACAAAAAAGAGAAACCGGCGCGAGACAAGGGACGCGTCGTCGAGTTCGAGATCAAAAGGGAAGAGACAGGTTGCCGCCTGGCTGTAGGGGTGGTCGTAGATCGTGATTCGTGGCAGCAGTCGTCGCGCTCAACACGACGAGTGCGCGGCGCATGTGTGCGTATGTATGAACAGATGTTTGGGAAGATGGTCGGAAGCGAGTGTTGAGTCGTTGGTTCGTCTGCGCGTGCTTGCGTGTGTGCTGTCGCCAGGTTCGAGGAGAAGGTAGTCGGGACGCAATTTCGTCAGGTTCATTCGAGTGACTGAAGGGGTGGGGCCGAGCCGGTGAGAGATGGTCGAGAATAATGCTGGAGTGAAGCCGATCAGATGTTGAGGAGCCTATGAAACAGGATGGTGTTGAAAAGGAGTGAGACAGAGCGGTCGCTCATCTATATGAATGCTGAAGTAATTTTGGTCTGTTTGTTGTCGTAGGGTCCCAGAGTCGCGACTCGACACCGGCTCAGAAGTAGCGCTCGTTCAAAGCTGCAATCTCACGGCAGAGGAAACCCCATGTCAACCTGAGACTTTCAGCCGGGATGCCACTCGGTGAGCCGGAGCCAAATGGCCTCTTGTGGACGTCCGAGACCTGGAAACCGTACGGTGAACCGGCACCGAGGCCGATGTCCACGTCGAGATCGGAGCCTTGCTCGCCTTCGGCCTTGATGTTGCTAGCGGTGGAGGCGGTGCGCGCATGCTGAAAGCCACAAGAAGAGCCCACTTTGGCCGCTTGCGAGGCAATAGCGGCGGCATTGGTAGGGTTGACGACGTCGTCGAGGCGTGTTTCGAGGGAGAGAGCGGACAAGGCAGGCTTGCGTTTGAGGTCGGCCTCATCGAGTTGCACGCCAGCCTGACGCATGGCATCTTCTGCTGCCCTCTTGAGCTTTTGAGAGGCGACGTACGTCTCCCAGCCGCGAAGCTCCCAGAAAAAGAGGAGGTGCGGCTGGATCAGGATGGACAGGCGACGAGAGCGCACGAGTAGGTAGCTCTCCACCAGCGTCAGGTCGAGGTGCGCCATCACGTAAGCCAGGACGATGGTCGTGCTGCGGGAGACCCCTACGCGGCAGTGAACGAGCACTCGCTCACCCTTGCGTCGAGCAGCTTCAATGTACTCGACTGCTCGACGCATCGTGGATCGCAGAGGGTCAATGCCGTCGTCGCTTACGTTCTTGAGGTCAAGGACGGAAATGCGCCCGGCCTGCTCCTCGTTCCAGAGGGAGTTGCGGACTTCCGGCTCAGGCACGGCAGGCAACTTGGGAGCGGGTCCGCCACCCGTGGTGCTGGCTACGGTGGTGGACGAAGAGGTAGGTGGGTGCAAGGCTGACTCGCCTACGGAGACAACGTGCGAAATGCCCAGTGCGTGAAGCATGGCCGGGTTGAGGGCGTGATTGAGGTTTCCGAGGTAGAGGAAAGGCAGAATTCGTGAGGGGAAGGAACCTTCGAAGCGCGGGTCGTGGAACCAGGAGTGGTCGGTCTGCTTCTGGCGGACGCTTCGCGGTGTCGGTGTCAAGGCACGTGAGGGTGGCGCAATCTCGGAGCGAGGGCTTGTGGAGCCTCCAGTGTTGCTGGTGGTAGGCGAGAGGTTCGTGCCGAGAGCTGCGCTCGACGGCGTCTTCTTGAGGGTGGAAGATCCGCCAGAGGCTGCAGAGACGAGACCGTGCAGTCCTCGAGCCCACATGCTGCCTTGCTCGTGAGGTTGCTCAGACGAGGTCATCGAGCCACGTCGACCCGAAGGACTCGCTCCTGCCTTGCGCCTTGCCTCCTTCTCGTCCGAGTTGAGCCAAGGGAAGGAGTGCTTGGCCTTTGCAGTGCGACTCTGTGCCGCCTCCTGTGCCGCCTCGAACTGCTCGGCTTCACGACGTCGCATTGCCATGGCGTGGATCTCGAGCTTCTTGAGCAGCGGCACATCCTTGGCAAACACAAAGAAGGATCGCTTGGCCGTGTTCTGCAGATGAAGGTAGGCGTCGGGCAGCGACAGACCGCGAGCGTACATGAGGTATGTGAGCGCAAGGATCGACGTCTCAGTATAGCCGTCGCCGCAGTGAATGAGGACGCGACGAGGATGACGCTTAGCGGTCGGTGTCGAGGGCAGGACAGAGCGTGCTTGTTTGGGTGACGAGGGTGACTGAGATCCAGAGTGGCGGCCATGGTGGTTGCCGACACTGCGAAGTGCTCCCGCGAGTAAGCCACCACTGCTAGGCTGCGGTTGAGAGGCGGCTTGAGTCGCGGCCGGCACGCTCTGATTCTTTAGCCAGACGCACACATTGACGACGGCGTCTGCAACTCGGGAAAGCTGACGGTCGACCTCGGTACCGGGCAGGCGATCTTGCTCGCGGTCAGGCAGGAGGCCGCTGAGCGAAGAGCACTCAAGCTGAACGATGTTGTTGACAGCCGGCGTGGGAGCCTTCGCGACCCCTTCGCTTGGTCCTTCGCTCGTCTTGCGTCTAAGACCACCGCTCTGCAGACGACTGGGCAGAGCTGGCGTCCAGCCGTTTGGGCCAAGGGACAGAGACGATGCGCGAGAATCGTCGCTGCCGTCTACGACACGGCCCCTTGCTTCACTCCTTCCCCTGGAGCCATCTGTCCCTTCATCTTGCTCAAAGTCACGCAAGGCCTGCTTGCTGTTGAGCTCAAAGACAGCCGTCGCTTCTACTGCGTCGAGGAAGTGAGCAGCATGGCTCAGCCTGCGTGCATCAGGCACGTCTGCAGAGTCATGGCACTCAATGCAGATGCTGAAGCCATGAGGGTTTAGTTGACGATTCTCTGCATCGCTCAAGTCGTCGGCGTCTCCGTCTTCATCGTCGAATGCAGGCATGTCCCCCGTGCAGCCCAGCCAGACATTGTCATCGATGGGCGAGGCGGCCGTAAGGCGTTGCATCTCTTCGCGCTCTCGCTCCACAAAGTCGACACGATGCTGAGGTGTCCCATGGGCGTTGACTGCGACGAGGTGGGGTGCAATGCGCTGGAAGGCTGCAAAGGGCTCAGTGACGATGAAGACGTTGTAACGAAGTCCACCGAGCCCACGGTCCACCCTCTCCTGCCAGCTCGCCTCGTGAGCTTCCTGGAACCACTTGGCTAGGCAAAGAACACCCTCGTGGAAGCCGGCGGGGCAGTAGATGACAATGTCCGAGACGGTTGCGTACTTGGCGCTCTGAATCTTGAAGTTGCGCAAATTGACTCCGTCTGGCTGCTCGGGCCGGTAGAAGGAGGAAGTCTGCACCATTGTCTCGTCTTGCGTGGGTGAGGAGCAGGGCACTGCGTGGTACGACTTCTTCGAGCGGCGATTGACCATGACGGGTGGGCGAAGGAGCTCGGCCGGGTAGAAGGACGAGTTGAGAATCGAGTGCTCCGGCTGAGGATCCCAGCTCTCGGTAGGTGAGGCGGCTTGGTGAGGTTGCTTTTGTTGCGCTTCTTCTGCACCACAGCTCGTCGTGACCGACGTCTGCGATGTGTTGTATCCAGAATCGTTGGCAGCGGAGAAGAGAGATGCGCTCGAGCGGTCCGAGGATGCCACTGACGAGTTGATGGAGGTGACTGAGCTCGAAGGGGCCATCTCATGGCGTCCGCCCTCGCTCGAGGCCCTGCTAGCATCCTCGCTGCCTGCGGACGACGATGCGATGGAGTGTGCTCTCGATCTCGAGTGATTGCTGCTGGACGCGGCAAACGACGCCCGATGCTGACGTCTCTGCTGCGTTGGGGTGGGCATGTCTGCGCGGACGATGGCAAGACCGCGGTAGTTAGGTGCTGGCTGGCCGCTGATAGGCGCCTTGAAGAAGACGTTTTGAGCTAGGTTGGTACCATCGACACCATGGAGAAAGGGGAAGACGACGGATTGTGGGACATCGAGTGAGGCGTAGTGAGAATGCAGCTCGGCCTGAGGGGGTGAAACAGGGAGAAGACTTAGCTCACGCATACATCGACACCATCACTTAGCTCGTGCTCACCAACTGCTGGACCGTCATTGCTCTGATCGGCGGAGCATCATCGACGGGGAAGATGTGCGGGTAGCTGTCCTCGTCAAGAAAGGTGCATAAGACTGGCCTATCATCGACGACAGGATACTGCTCCAGATCTTCATGCGTTATTCCCCAAGGCTGCTCATTCTCACGCGCCGGCGCAGAGGGTCGAGGAGTGGAAGGATGGCGGAAATCGAGGGGTCCACCTGGTGAGTCCTCGTCGAGGCTCGCCTGGAGCTCTGACAGGCCAGGAAGATCGTCTTCTGCCTCTCCTCGCTGAGGGATCTCGACCGAGACAATCGTCGAGGATTGGTGTCCTCCGCGGCTGGCGAGCGGGTGAAGGGACACGCTGGCAGCAGGTGCGGCTACGGACACTGCAGCGGCTGCAGTAGACGATGACTGCGACGATGCTGGAGGGAGTGATGGTGCAGCCATCTTCGTAGCAGCACGGGGGAAAAGGATTGAGGGGAGGCTGGAAAGAAGGCGCGGTGGAAGAAGGAGCGGCGTCGGCGGCTTGGCCTACCAGAGCTACCTGCGTGCTAGCGGGTCGGGCGGTTTGCTCTTGTTGCTCCTAGGATCCTCGAGGGCAGGCGGCGACGGTGGGCGGCTACTCGTACGTGGTCGACTTCATTCAATGGGTGGCGGATCGAGATGAGGCGGAGGCGGAGGCGGGCGGTATGAACCGTTGTGCGTGATTGGGCGTCGAGGCAAGCGGGCAAGCGGCGAAAGGGGGGAGAGGCTACAGAGAGGCGCAGGGGGAGGGACCAGGGGATCGTCGGTGATGATGAGGGAGCAGGCTGTTGAGCTTGCGTGCGTGGTATGCTGGGAAGGATGAGGGAAAGAGAGGTAGGAAGGATAGGGAGGGAGGGGATTCAAAGAGCTACTTGGACATCATTGGCGTCGATCACATCACATTGAGCGGACGACGGGACGAGGGACCCCCCATTCGCGGTCGAGAAGCCCTCGGCGGCGTTGGTCTGCTCAGTGCTCTCAAGTCAAGGTCAAGGCATGCATGCACCGCGGCGCGCCAAATCGGTCGTGGCCTCCCGCTCCCAGCTCAGCCTCCCTCCCTCGGCCCTCACCTCCCCGCCCCTCTCTCACATCGGCAGCCAGACGGCGGAGGCTTGCAGCGGCAGTGTTGGACAACGGCTCGAGCTCGACACGAGGGGCTCAAGATCGCGGCCAATTTCAAGCAGAGGGCTCATTGTCGTCCCCTCTCGTCCCTGCCCGCCCTCCCTTGCTTGTCGAAGCTCCGCCTTGTTCACAGCTCGCGGCGGCTCGCGCAGACGACACGTCGTAGGTCGACAAGGATTCGACGTCGAGGGTCGAGACTGGCTGCGAGGGACAAAGGCGTGCAGCTCACGAAGAGGGGGCCCCTGCTCAACGACGACGATCGTCAAAGCAAGAGGCGCCGAGGCGGGATGCCAACCGTCAAAGCAGGCGGGACATCAATGTCGATAACGCCATCTCTCTTGGACGCCGTAGTGAGGATGTGGCCGCACATAGCACAAAGGATGCATGTAGCACGAAAAATGATTAGTGGCATCAACCGATAGAGGCAAGGGTAAGGGCCAATAAGTGCCGGAGGCGATTGGGTTAGGCCAAACTCAGAAGGCAAAAATGTACCATGAGCGAGCCAGTGGGCGAGCGAGAAAGACAGACAGGCTCAGGCAGAGGGGCAGTAACGCGGGCGGGCATATCGACGAGGGTATCATTAGATTTTTTTTTGGTGCTGTGCAAATGCAACGGGATTCTGCCCGCCGAGGCCTCGTATCGTCATCATCACCCTCCACTGGCAGCGTTATAGCCCTGTTCAAAGGAAGCGAGCAAGACGGGGGAAAGAGCGGACAGGGTCAGCGTGGCGCACGCCAAAGACGTCAACTCGCGCCGCCATGCCTTGCGTTGCATTGCGGTTGGGCCTTGGCTTACTACACGCACATCTCGCTCCTCTAGGAATTCGAGGTAGGCCAGACCGACCTGTATGCGCAGCGAGGCAAGGAGAATTTGAAGGTCAGATGAAACGATGAGGGCCACATCTAGTCGCCGTCGCCGTCGCCGTCGCCTGCACGCACCGCCATCCAAAAGGCTCGATCGATCCGCAGTGCCTTGACTGCTTCCTCTTGAAAGACAAATCTGCCCCTCGTGCGACCATCGAAGACCGATGACCATCCTGACCCTTCGTCCTCGTATCTCATTACCTCAACTGACGTCACAGGCTTCGCACCGTTGCTAGCGCTGTTAGATCCGTTGACTCCGCTTGCGGCCACAGCGGCCGCGACCTCGATCCATCGCACTGAGAAGCTCTTCGTCGTGTCAAAAGCCAATTGAGGACGTAGAGGCTCCGGCATTAAGCTCCATGCCCAACGTGCCCAACCCAGCCGTTGAGAGCCTTCCGAGATGCGACCTGGGGCGAGCGAGGAGGCGACGCTGCTCGTTGACGGAGGAGGCAGACGAGCAGCTCCGTCGAGGAGAAGGAAATAGCACTGGGCTGGCTTTGCAGAAGCGGTCGTGGAGGCGGGGGAGGGTGCCTGCGGGATGGTACATGCCTGCTGATTCGCGTCTTCTTCGCCCGCTTCTTCCTCTCGTACGCCCTCAAACGTTGGTATTGACTGTTTCCTGCGCATGTCCGGGCTGGCTGCTGGTGTCTTGTTCGAGGACCGCCGGCGAGCGTGAGAGTTGCCGCCAGCAGCACCAGGGTCGAGGGAAAGCTGCGGAGTCGATGAGACCGATGAAGTGCGAGCTGCGTGGCCTGGCGACCATTGGCTGCTTGACTGCCTAGAGCTACCAGAGACACTGCGTCGAGCGATGTTTGCGCTACTGCCACTCAGATCGACTGCTGTGAAGTCTTCAGCTGCTGCTTGATCTTGATCGTCCCGGTGACCGACGCCCATGTCCGCCTCCTCTGCTTTGCGTACATCGTCGATCCACGCCTTGCAATTAGGTAGTGCCGCCTCATTCACTCTTGTAGTGAGCGAAAAGGTCAAAGGCGTACTGGTTGGATCTTGCACGCCCATCGTGGTCGTGACAAAGTCAGGTCGAGCAGGACGAAGCGGGATGGATCCTCCAGGCGGGAGGAGCGGGGAGCGTATATGCTGGTACCATCCTCTAGTCGGGCGATGGATCGTCCAAGAAGCTTTGCCAGTCGCAGCATCTACGAGGCGGTCGACGATCTCATCGCGAGGTGTGAGGGTGCGTTGACGAAAGTAGAGGGGGCGAGGAGGATTCAGAGGCGTTGTACGACTGTGGCCCCCGCCTTCGTCGAGGGTGATCTGGAGGCGAAGGTCCCTGACTGCGTCCGTCTCTGTGCTGATGAGGTAGCTGCGCAATTGACCAGGAGGTGGCTTTGACCTTTGCGGGGGATATGATGTTGATGATGATGAGGCGTGGTCTGTCGCGGTCATGGTCTGCGTCGTGGAAACAATGCAAGCATACGGGGGAGGTCGAAGTGTTGGTTGGACTCCTGGCGCCCATCCGTCCGTCTGTCCTTCCGTCCGTCCGTCGTCGAGGGCGGAAGACAGACTGCAGACGCTGGACTTTGCAATCCCTCGAGCACGTCTCTGCTAATCTATTCATCCGACGTCTCGGTCCCCCAAGTCTCTCTCCCACTTTGGCTGCGGTCCCTCATGGTCCATTGATGATACATGCTGCTCTCGTACGGCGTCAAGGGTCGATACGATGCCATCAATACATTGGACCTCCTACCATATGGCGGCGATGCCAGGCCACCGTCGCATCTTCGTCGATGACTTATGATGACACGGCCAAAGCTTCCCAAGGTGAGTTGCTGCTGCGCAACCACGGATTATCATCATGATCGTCGTCATCATCAGCTCATCTTCGCCTGCTTGTAGCCCCTCGCAATCCACTTGGTGTCCAGCTTCTTTGCCCTTCATTCTCTCGACAGGTATTCCCTCCAGGAGCTGCGCGGACGCCGCCACTCCATCCACATGCGATTTCCCTCTCCCAGGCGCATTTGCACAATCATGGCCTCTCCCCTTCGCAAGCATCCATCCTCCCCTCTACAGACTTTCGCCTGCCGCCTCTTCAGGGCAAGGACCTCGGCGAGCACTTCTGGACCATTGGTCGAGACGCAGCTCAGCCCTGGCTTGGCTTGTCCGAAGAGCTAGCCTCAGCCAAACTCTTGCCGCCGCCCTCTTCGCAAGACGCAGAACATCAACTTGATGATGCAAGGCCCTCACCTTTGCAATGGATCGGCATGGACTCGCAGCTTCGCACCATGATGGAGCCGCGACACCCGCATTGGCTCAGAGTCTCTGGCTGGGTTAAGTACCCAGTGCTACGATCCAGCGATGGCAACGCGACGACACTGGGCGAAGGTCAGCCAGTCGACTATCCCGACGTCAATGATGCCGCCCTCGTCTTCGATGTCGAGACCATGGTTGCAGAAAGCCCCTTTCCAGTCATGGCCACAGCTGCCGGACCCAACGCCTGGTACGCATGGCTGAGCCCCTGGCTGATGGGCGAGTCAGATCGCAAAGATCACCTAATTCCCTTCGGCGACCCTGCTACGGGCACCTCACGCCTTCTCGTTGGCCACAATGTAGGCTACGACCGCGCTCGTATTCGCGAAGAGTACAGCCTCTCCCTCAGCAAGACCCGCTTCATGGATACCCAATCATTGCACATCGCCGTACGCGGCATCTCCTCGCCGCAGCGACCCGCTTGGATACAATATCGAAGAAACCGAGCAAAGAAACAGGCAGAGAAGCTGCTCTTGGATCAGGAGCTGCGTGATGAACAGAGGCAAGAGGTACTCAAGCTGCTAGGCGGGGAGAGACTCGAAGACGCTGAGATCGCGGAGCTTGTCTCGATGGGCCTCGATCTCGACGCCTTGACTGATCGCATCGCGCCGTCCCCCACGCCGAGCATTGATGAGGACGGCATGAGCGATGATGGCGACTCAGACCCTCGACATGGCTTGCAATGGCAAGACATCAGCTCGACGAATTCTCTTGCAGAAGTTGCCGCCCTTCACTGTGGCATCCACCTGCCAAAAGATCTGCGCAATCACTTCGTTGATGGCACGTCCCGTCAAGGCATCCTCGACGAGCTCGACACGCTCCTCTCCTATTGTGCTCGTGATGTCTCCGCCACGCACGCCGTCTTCGCCAAGGTCCTCCCAGCTTTCAGAGAGACTTGCCCTCATCCAGCCACCTTTGCTGGCGTGCTTGGCCTCGGCAGCCCCATCCTGCCCGTCGATGACGAATGGCTCGAGTACCAGCAACGATGCGACGTCAAATACGAGGATGCCCTCAAGGGAGTGCGTCAAGCTTTGATCTCGCTCGCCGAAGAGCTACGAGAGGAGCACAAGAGGCGTGCCGAAGCCGAGCCCGAGTGGTGGAAGGTGGACCCTTGGCTCTCCCAACTCGATTGGTCACCGAAAAAGCCCAAGAAGCCTAAGCCGGGCTGTGACGGAGAAGAGGTCGAGACTGTGCCGAAGTGGTACCGCGAGTACGTCCTCGGCGCACGCGCACCCTCGACGGCTCAGAAGATCACGCCATTCGTTCTCATGCTTTCGCTCCATGGCGAGCGTATCTCGCAGAGCGAAGAAGGGAAGTGGATGGCTGGCACGGAGCAGCTGAGCGCTATGCCGACCAGCAAAGGCTTTCTCTCGTCTGCTACCGGCAAGGAGGTGGTTTCGGACTTGGGCGAGGAGGGTCAAGCGGTTCTCGACGCCGTGCGCTCAAAGTCCAGCAAGGAGGACATCGCAGACAAGCTGCGACACGCAGCAGAGCTCGTCTACGCTCGCTCGCAAGAGGATGCGACCCTCGCACAACGCATGGATGGCCTAGACTGGTCCCCCGTCAGCCCGCCAGAAGAGATCGATCCTGATTCCTCTTCGGAGACGTGGCCCCGTTGGTACTGGGATCTGTACAAGTCAGCGACCGGCCAGCTGGAACTTACGATTCGCACCCGGATTGCCCCGCTCCTGCTCAAGGTATCTTGGCGGCAATGCCCTCTCTTCCATAGCAGAGAGCATGGCTGGATTTACATGCATCGCCCGCACGAGCAAGAAGCCTTCAGCACACGGCAGAAGCCGCTCATCTTCACCCACGAAGCGGATGAAGCGCTCAAGGCGGCGTCAGAGAACTTCAACTCGCCCAGTCTCTTCTACAAGGTCCCACACACGGCCGGCGAGGACTCGAATGTGGGCAGTCCCTTCAGCAAGAGCTTCATGGCCTTTTTCGAAGACGGAACCCTGCGCAGTGAGCACCCTGAAGAGCTAGGCAAACGCGCCGCACGCGATGCCCTCGATCTCAATGCACAGTGCAGCTACTGGATTGGCGTGCGAGATCGTGTGGCAAATCAGATGGTTGTGTGGGATGGCGAAGGCGGGTCGAAGATGGAATTCGGTCTAGGTGCCAGCGGTATGCGGCGTGGCGAGAAGGAGAAGACGCGGCGCAAAGGTCTCATCCTACCACAGGTAGTCACGATGGGCACGATCACCCGCCGAGCAATCGAGAAGACGTGGCTCACTGCCTCGAATGCGAAGAAGAACCGCGTGGGCTCCGAGCTCAAGTCGATGGTCAAGGCACCCCCAGGATGGGTCATCGTCGGCGCAGATGTGGACTCTGAAGAACTCTGGATCTGCTCAGTGATGGGTGATGCCCAATTTGGCGTGCACGGCGCCACTGCCATTGGCTGGATGACGTTGGAAGGCACCAAGTCAGCTGGTACGGACCTTCACAGCAAGACAGCAAGCATCCTCGGCACGAGCCGGAATCAAGCCAAGGTCTTCAACTACTCGCGCATCTACGGTGCGGGAATCAGACATGCAACGCAGCTGCTGCTCAAAGCCAACCCGGCGATGCCTGGTGAAGAGGCTACCCGACTGGCAAAGGAGCTGTACGCCTCGACAAAAGGAACAAACACGCATTCGCCCGAGTACTTCGGTCGTAAATTCTGGTTCGGCGGCACAGAGTCATTTGTGTTCAACAAGCTGGAAGATGTTGCGCTGAGCGAGCATCCTCGGACGCCTGCGCTCGACTGCGGGATCACTGCGGCCTTATCTCGCAAGTTCTTGCCCAAGTCGCAGGGTCATCGCGGGCGCAACGGCCAAACCAATGTCAATGGCAACGGTAATGGCAATGGCTCCGACCTAGGCGGTGGCGGCGGTGACTTCATGCCGTCCCGCATCAACTGGGTTGTTCAATCAAGCGGGGTAGACTACCTGCATCTCCTCATAACAAGCATGGACCACCTGTGTCGCATCTACGACATCTCCGCCCGCTTCATGCTCAGCGTGCACGACGAGGTGCGCTACCTCGCCCGTGAAGAGGACGCGCATCGCGCCGCATTGGCGCTCCAGATTGCAAATTTGTGGACGAGAGCCATGTTTGCTTTCAAGCTGGAGATGGAGGGGTTGCCCGAGGGGGTGGCGTGGTTCGCGCAGGTGGACTTGGATAAGGTGCTGAGAAAGGAGGTGGACGATCCGTGCGTGACACCCAGTCAGACGGAGCCGGTACCGACGGGCGAGGCACTCGATATTCATCAGATCCTGGCAAAGACGAATGGGGGATCCCTCCATCGTGATGGGAGGGCGATGGAGGAGGTGGCATCCAACAACGAGACGACGTCGAAGCCGCACCGAAGGGCGGTTCACCCTCCTTATCAGCCTTCGGATCAGAAGCACCGCAGTCTTGGCGACCGAGGTATCTTGTACTTGCAGGCGCAGGCGTCAGACGACATCCATGAGATTCGGGCTCTGGAGAGACGGGCCAAGGCACTTTCGCCTCCCGAACCTGCTTCGAGAACAAAGCGATGGGCCTCCGGGTCTGCGGGCAAGAGCGCACGCACGCCTCGCTCAGCCACTGGCCTACCGACGTCGCCTTCTGCGGCTGAGCGCCGTCGAGCTAGTGGCTCATCAGCCGCCTTCTCAACCCACAGCCCATCCAGCGCAGCTGCGCCGTACAGCATACCAGCCGCTAGCATCGACGACCTTATCGCCTCGATGCCACGCACCGTGCGCTCTCCATCGCCCTTCTACGCCACTCGAGAGGGGAAGTTCGAGGTGCTTTGGACCCTCTACCGTGGTCTCCTTCAGCAACTGCCTCTTAGGTTCGCGTCGACCGGGAATGCCGATATGGTCAGGCAGTGGCTTCGCATCCGCTTCAAGCGCGGCAAGTACGTCAAGCGATCCGTATTTGCAGCAAGAGCACTTGTGACAGAAGCTAGGGAGCTCCTTGCTCTGTGCCGCGAGGATGCCAATGATTCGCAAGAAGAGACGCCAAGTCGCGAGCAGTTTTCCCGCCTTCTTGTCCGCATCCGCAAGGAGCATTGCCAGCATTCAGCCCGCCTCAAGTCCCGCAGTCAGATGCGCAAGGTGCGCCCACCACCAGCAGCCTGTGCCCCTCGCGGACCTCGACCTCTCCCCTCCGGCTCACTCATCCCCCCGTCATACTACAACGTTCCCCTCCTGCGCTTCAAGCCGCGCCAGCCCATTCGCATCACCATGACGATCAAAGCCCGCCGGCTGAGACGCATTGCCCGGCAGGAGAGGTTGCGCGAGCTGAACGAGGAGGTGGGTATGTTGTTGGAGGAGGACAGGATCATGGCCCAATTACGGGCGAGCGGCCAGGGCGAGACACGGACCGATCCCCCGAAGATCTGGTTGGACGTCGTGAAGCAGCGACAACAGGTTATAAGCGAGGCGTGGAGGCGGGAAGAGGCCCGGTCGCGGATGGTCTTCAGCCCAGAGATGCTGATGATTGCGAAGGAGGCAAGGAGAGCTAGAGTTGAAAGAAACACGAGAAAGAAGAGAGAGCAGCGCGAGGGTGGAGAGGGGGAGGGAAAGGGTCACAAGCAGAAAGAGGGGGAATGAACAACGACTGGAGGCGGATATTCTATTGTCGTAGCAGCTACGCAGACGTTCCGAAATCATACTAACAGCATTGTCATTGCGCTTGTCTACGCGATATTCAGGCCCTTCTGCGCCAGCATCGCCTGCATTGCCTGACCCGCCTTCGGGTCCATACCCGCCAGCAAACCCTGCAATCTGCCCGGCTGCCTTTGACTCGCCTTGACGACCTGCTCAACAAGCCACTCCCCCACATCCTTCCCGGAGTCTGCTCCCATCACCTCCCTGACAGCAACGACGTCCCTCGCCTCCGTGCCTCTCGGTGCACTTGCTGCCAGCTTGGAGAAGCCAGCCTGGAAAGTGTTCTGCTCCTCCCATTCTTCCGCGTACACCTCGTCAGCCTCGGCTTGTTGGGCTTCAATGCTCTTAGCTGCGATGGACGAGTCACGGGAGAGGGTGACGAGGGCGCCCAGTAGCGGTGCCCAGACAGGGGCGAGGGCTTCGGAAGTAAGCATAGAGGGCGACTCGGTGAGGAGGCGACCGAGTCCGACGACCACGAGGGGCTTGCGTCGAGCGGTCGTCTTAGGCACCTCTGCCGCGATGATACCTTGCACGAGCTGAGTGAATAGGCCGGGCTGGACAGAGTCGAATGCTTGGAAGGTGGCTTCGGGGTAGGTATTGCCTTTGCGCCTGATGAGGGCGAGGGAGGCCACAAAGCCAACAAAACCGCGCACGAACTTGTCCGTGCGGGAGTTTTGCAGACGGGTGAGCATGAGGGTCATGACTGCTGACTTGAAGGGCTGCAATGCCGATTCGTCGACGGTCTCGAAGACGGTTTGCATCAGCTCAAAGCCGAATTCATCGTTGATCCTGCTCGCAATGAGCTGCTGGTAGATGCCCAATACGGGCGAGATCTGGTTGTTGGCCACCATGGCCGCTGACGCCTTGGTGAGGTAGGCCTGCATCAGGCGCACGAGAGCGGGCACATTGCCTCTTGACTGCCAGAGCGTCGGAGTGAGCAGTGACGGCAGCAAGCTCTGGTACGACGCTGGAAGCTGCCCATCCTGCGATTGGCGGGCTTCCAGCAGCTGTGAGAGGAGCTGGAAGACGAAAGGGACAAATTCGGCTACCTCCTGCTGAAGGATGGCTGTAAAGGGGGGAAAGAGCAGCTCCTCGAATCGCGCAATGCTTGCCGGGTCGGCCGCGAGTGCGTATCGCACAAGCGCAGCCACCGACTCGAAAGCGAATTGGGAGAAGCGTGGATTTGAAGGATTCTTGGCGATGATGCTGATGATCTTGGCGAGGTGGTCAAGGAGCACCGAGTGGACCTTGCTTGCTACCTGCTCACGTCCTGTGGTCAAGACGCGCATGACTCCTTTCATGTAAAATTCGTTCTCTGCGACCTTCTCTGGCGTCTCGCCAGCCTCGATCTTCCCGAAGAGGGCGAGGAGCGTGGGCTCAGCGAAGGTTTGGACATCTTCCGGTGTGAACAGCATAGAGTTGTTCGGGCCGCGGATGACGAGGATGCTTTCGACAGCGATGGAGGCGTAGGTCGCGATACCAACATTGTCGCTCTGCAGGTGGTGGACGAGGAGAGGGAGGACGCTGAGGAGCTGCTCTTTTGTGAGCTGATTCCTGAAAGTGTGTAGGTAACGGATAGCATCAACCTTGAGGATAGGATTGACGCTGCCCTCTGATGCTTGCAGATCGGCAAAAATGTGATTGGAGAAGAAGTCGACCACGTCAACGAGGCTGTTCGTAGATGCCTGCGAGACGCCGTGTCGGCCAGTGGAGCCCTTGGCCGCAACGCCCGTCATGAGCCAGATGGCTGCGTCCTTTTTGCGCCACTCGGTCGGGGGGTTGGCGGTGTACTGTTCAAGATACGTCTGAATGTATCTTGAGATGATGCCGGTGATCTCTTGCGTGAAGTGCTCGAGGAGAGAGCGCAGGAACGCTAGTGATGAGAGGCGTGGAGTGTCCGTCTCTGTGCTTCCCTCAACCTCGCGCTTGACCCATGCAAGCGGCTCGTCCTCGAACATTTCCCTGCAAGAGCGAGGAAGGAGCTTGGTCAGTAGATGGCTTCGAGGCATCTGCTATTCTCGCCTTCGTACTCACTCTTCGCTCTCCTTCATGCCAACATTGGGCAGGATGACGCGCTGCACCAGGGACTCCATCACACCAGCTCCTCCCTCTGCTGATGAGAAGAGGTGCCGAAGTGATGGCTGTCGTACAATGACGCTCAAAAAGCTGAGCGCTTTTGACAGCAAGCCATCGTACTTTCCACCCGTCTTGCCCTCTAGCTTGCCCAGCATCTCCCACACCGCCTGGACGAAGCCCGCCACCTGCGGCTCCCACGCGTCGAGATAGCGCTGTGCATACAGCTCGGCGGCCTCGCAGACTGCTGCGCGAACTTTGGTAAGCTCGTCTGGCTTGTCGTCATCGTCATTGGGTGGGAGGCGCGACGATTCTGGTGTATATGACAGCCAGTGGAGGAGAAGCTCGGAGATGGGAGCGATGTTGTCTTCAAAGAGAGGCGGCAAGTCCTGGCATGAGAGGTCGTAGAAGAGGAGTATGTAGGTATGCAGGATGCTGAGCAGAGGCGCAAATTGTGAAGCAGGTGTCGATGGGTCGAGCAGAGCTTGATGAGTGGCCTGCATATACGATGTTTTAAAAGTTAGCCTGCCCATCGTCATTAGAGTTGTCAGCTCTCCGAATTGCTCACCTGTATGCCAGTCCACCAAAGGGGCGCGAACTTGCCCAGGACAAAATTGATTTCCTCGTAGAGCTTGTCGCTCCTGAACTGGCCTCTCCAGCTCTTTGTCACCTCATGCAGCGTTGAGAAGCAAGCCTGGACGACGCCGAGGTCTGCGTTCGGCGAAGCTACATTGCTGATGATATCGTCCAAGAGGCCAGTCCAGAGGCGTGGAAAGTCATGTGATGCTACAAGGGAAAGCGATGTGTTGAGCTGTAGTCGCAGCGGGAGCGGCGCAGGGCTGTTGAGGTGAGAGAGCGACAGTAGGAGGGGAAGAAGATTCTCTCGCAGCGCAGCCTTGGCTCCTTCGTCTACAACTGGCAGCCCTGCGTCGTGCGCATCATCGGCATCCCATCTTGAGCGAATGATGTTCTTGAGATGGATCGCTGCTGCCAATCGAATGGGAATGGGTGATTCTGCAGCCGCAATGATCTGGAGCAACGTCGAAATGTGAGAAGGGTTCGACGTTGATAGGCTCGTAAGCTGCTGCTCAGCTCCAGCTCGATTCGTCGGATTGGTGTCAAGCGTCTTCTCCAGTAGAGACGAGAGCTGACCGATGTCTGTCATGGCGAGGAGAAGGGCGTGCAAAAAGCAGCAGCAGCAGCAGCAGCGAGAAAGAGTTGGCTAGGAAGAAGAGGAAAGCGAAATGTTGGTCAACGCCCTCCGTCGCCTCCACGCCCGAGTGTTGTTCTCTCGATGAGGCAGTCTCGGCCGAGGTGAGGAAGCTGACGTCCAATCTCGCCCTTCCGCCACGGTCCCAACGATCAAGAGGGCCTCATCAAAGGGCCAGGGGCTTGCGTTCCCGATGACAACGGCGTATGATGGGTAGCAAGAACATGCAGTGGCGCTTACGGCTCGGCATTGCTTTGCATCACCACGACGAAGCGTACCCCGAGGCGAGGTGGCCTGCCCTCGAGGCAAGGATAAGTGGACAATCACATCCGCAGGGTCGACCGAATAACATATGGGGACCCCTGCAATCTTGATTGGGTGTGGCGTGGTGTGGTGTGACCCTGCCTACCCACCATCTGTTGAGACTATCGCTCTCAGCATCACCTACCCCTTCGACTACTCCCTTTGCCCTCGCTGGTGCTTGTCTGCTCTCTCCTGCATCCGGCCCCCCTTAGACTAAGACGGTCTGTCTGTCCAGCGCCGCCAGTCCGCCCTCTGGTCTCAGTGTGACTGGCTGCCTCCGCCGAGACGAGGGATCGACGACGGCCTGGCATCAAACGCATTTTGCCTCTTCGCATCCACTCGTCCATCTCCCCTCCTGGCTGCGAGCCCAACGAAAAGCTAGACGGCAAGTAGAGTTGCAATCAACGACACGACAACGAAGCCGACGACGACGAGGATCACGGCGCTTTCTACCCTCGCCCTCTGGTCATCGCTCGCATCGACAACGGCCGCTCCTCCAAAGAGAGATCACTTCATTGCCGCTTCGTCGGCTGCCGCCTCGTCTTCCTCTCCCTCGTGCTGGGTGCTGCTGCCATATCTGCACTGCATTGCTTCCACACCAACTCCACACCACACCACCACCCTCTTGACCAACTTGTCCGTGTCTTGACGTCACTCTACAATGTCAGGGCAACCGCATCAACCGCTGCATTCGCCTCGCGAGGCCGACGACGGATACCAGCAGCCACTGGGCGCATCCACTTCTCAGCTGCCAAAGAGCGACTCTAGAGATCAGCTGCTGGAACTCTACTCGCCCATCGCCAACTTCACCGACGACGCAGCAGCAATGCCGTCCGACCAGGTCAGCGGTGTGACCGGTTCCACAGGCTACGCTACCAATGGAAATGTACCCCTCAATGGCGGCGCATCGTCGGGACCATCCTCATCTACTTCCGGCCACGATCTCGTCCCTCAGCGCAGCGCACCTCGACCGCCTGGATCATCGAACATCAATACCAGTACTTCGGCCTTCGTTCGTCCCTCCGAGTCATTCGCCGTAAAGCCAGCCGCTCAACGTTCCTCGTACATCGCTGGTTCGTATCGCAACTATGCTAATCCTTCATCGTCCGGCTTACCTGCCAAGTCAACTGGCCAGAACTCCTTACCATTTACTCCCGAGGCCGGCTATACCACGGTGACACCATCTCATCCTGCCCCTCCCGAACCACAGCGTTCGATGACGGCCGATGCCGATCGCCATCATGCAGCTCCTGGCGTACGACTGGGCGCGCCTCCAATGACCGGCCCATCAATGTCGACCTCGAATATTCCTCTCGCAGGCTCATTGCAGACAATGTCTCTTGGTAACTCGGCACACGGCGGTGACAGCTCTTCACCAAGCTCACCGAAAATTGGCTCCAATCACCACAGCCCGTCAATGGGAGCGCAGGCGCACTTTGCTAGTGGGGGCGGCGGCGGCGGCGGTGGTAGCGGGTCAGGGGGAGGCGGCCCTTCATCGTCTGCATCATCTGCTCGTTCCAGAGATTTTGGCGCAGGAGGGGGCCGCAACACTTTCAAGAGCGTCTTTGGCGGCTTCGTCAACAGCATGAGCGACGTCTTCTCTCAGCCACAGAAGAAGATTGAGATCTCGACGCCGTACGACCCCGTTCATCTCACCCACGTCGGCTTCAACTCGGACACGGGCGAGTTCACTGGCCTGCCTCGCGAGTGGCAGCAGCTCCTGCAGGACTCGGGCATCTCCAAGCAAGATCAGGAAGCAAATCCACAGGCGGTCATGGACATTGTTGCCTTCTACCAAGATGCTACTCAGCACGTCGGCGATGAGGATGCCGTCTGGAAGAAGTTTGGTGACGCAAAGCAGGGAAAGGTCAACCCTGCCAATGTTGAGAGCGCTCCTGGCGTAGCAGGCACACTACCTGCGCGGGGACAGTACGAGAAGCCAAGAGCAGCGCCAGTTCCGCCAGCGGGATCAAGAAGACCCTCTGAGGCAGCAATGACAGCTGGTCCATCTCGCCCAGCCCCAGCTCCCCCCTCCAAGGGTCCATCACCTGCCGAGAAGCTCGTGCGAAGGCTCTCGCAGCAGAAGACCTCACCTCAGACGGCAGCGACAGCAGCGGCAACCAAGGGCACTATGCAGCCACCACCGCGGCAAGCTCCTGCTCCACCTACTGCCGCGTCGTCGTCATCCCAGCTTTCAGGCTCAACCAAGGTCTCCAAGAGCAGCGGCGGAGCGGCAAGTAGCTCCAGTGGGCCAGGTGCCGCGCCTCGCAGGCGAGAAACCAAGAAGAGCACAATGAAGGACTCGGAGGTGATAGCTCGCCTTCAAGCCATCTGTACCGATGCCGACCCCACAAAGCTGTACCGCTCCCTTGTCAAGATCGGGCAAGGGGCCTCTGGCGGCGTTTACACGGCCTATCAAGTCGGCACAAATGTGAGCGTGGCGATCAAGCAGATGAACCTCGAGCAGCAGCCCAAGAAGGACCTCATTATCAACGAAATTCTCGTCATGAAAGAGTCGCGACATCGCAACATTGTCAACTTCATCGACTCGTTCCTCTTCAAGGGGGACCTCTGGGTCGTCATGGAGTACATGGAGGGCGGGTCCCTCACCGACGTCGTTACTTGCAACATCATGACTGAAGGCCAGATTGCAGCCGTTAGCCGTGAGGTGTTGGAGGGGCTCAAGCATTTGCACGAGCATGCCGTCATCCATCGCGACATCAAGTCGGACAATATTCTCCTGAGCATGGAGGGAGATATCAAGTTGACGGACTTTGGTTTCTGTGCGCAGATTGGTGAGGCGCATGCGAAGAGGACCACGATGGTAGGGACGCCGTACTGGATGGCTCCGGAAGTCGTCACGCGCAAGGAGTATGGACCGAAGGTGAGGCGTGCTACCACGGGAGACGAGAGGCGAGATTGACTGCGAGACCACTGACATTCACTCCCCCCTCGTCCTTGCGCACCCACAGGTGGACATCTGGTCTCTCGGCATTATGTGCATTGAAATGGTGGAAGGCGAACCTCCCTACCTCAACGAGAACCCGCTCCGTGCCCTCTACCTCATTGCAACACACGGTACGCCGAAGATCAACAATCCCGAGAATCTCACCCCAGGCTTCCTCGACTTCCTCCACTCGAGCTTGGAAGTCGATGCCGAGAAGAGGCCTGATGCAGCGGGTATGCTCAGGCATCCCTTCTTGGCGAAATGTGCGGATCTGAGGACATTGGCTCCGCTCATCAAGGCGGCAAGAGATCAGAACAAGAAGTAGACGCGATTGCTGCGGAGATCCATCGTCACAGCGGCATCATTCGACATCTTTGGTCGCCTCTCATCCTCCGCTACTTGCTGCTTCTTGCTAGCGCCGTGTGCACCTGCGCGGTGCTCTAACGCCTCATCTTCCACCTTCTTTTTTCCTGTCTCATCTGTCAAGTCATCTCTCGAACACTTAAGTGCTACTACCTTGTCTCATCTCACCCGCGTCATCTACGCATCGTTGTTCTCCGCGTACCGGCCACTCCGTTGGGCCTACTCTGTCCCTCTCTCTCCCCTTGCTTTTACTCTTTCGCGACAAATCATTTGATGCCCTTCCAGCTCGCACTACTTTCGCTGTTTCTCGAGCGGCTGCCATGTACGGCGTCCACGTCTTTCAGTATTGAATCGACAAGTGAACCTGACTGAACTGAGACAAAGCGGTGATGAGACGGAGAGTTGCACAAGGAAAGACGTGGCCACGTGGCCCGGAACAGGGCGTCTCTGAGCGCTCGACCGAGAATTTTGGTCTACGAAGGAAAGGGAGCGGAAGTGCAGCTTTGCTCCTTCTTTGCACCTATCCTCACGCCACTCCCTCAGCATCACCATCATGGACCTATTCGGCGGCAGTCCTGAGCCAGAAGCCTCAGGAAGTGGTACTCTGAACATCAATGAAGGCTACGCCTCTCGTTTCCAGCATAACCATGAGCGAGCCGAACTGCATCGCCTTCAAGAGAAGTACGGGGCTGCCGCCGCCGATATCCTTGCTGGCAATCGAGTCGCGAGGGACGATGATGATGATGAAGACGAAGACGACTCGAGCGATAATGAGACGGAAGACGAAGAAGGTGAGCAAGTCACAGCAGAGGTGGACGCTGCCATCTTGCGTACACTGGCCAAGATCCGCAGCGGAGATGCTTCCATCTACGATTCAGAGAAGCGCGTCTTCGATGAGGAGAAGGCCCTCGCCGCTGCTTCGGCGTTGCTCCCCAAAGCTACGCGTGAGAAGGTGGGAAAGAAGGTGACGCTGGCCGACTACCAGAGGGAAAGGATGAGGGACCTGATGAAGACGGCAGAGGACCCCGCAGCCGCTTTGGCGGAAGCGACGACCTCAAGAACGAGGCAGGACGAGATGGATGACGAGGATCAAGAGGGCCAACAACCTCTGTCCCACGTACAGGAGCAGGAGGCCCTGCGGAAGCAGGTCACGCAGGCTTTCCATACGATTGGAGATGACGAGGAGAGCGAGGCGGCAGATGGTTTTTTCACCCGTCGGGACGAGGATAATGAGGAAGATCCAGAGGCCTACAGAAAATACCTGCTCGCCAATCTGGGATCCAAGAAGGCGCAACAGGCTGTTCGAGAGGCGTTGCGATACGAGGCCGCGGGATCTTCACCAGCAGCGGGCCCATCTTCTAGCGCCGCCGAGCAAGAGACAGAGCCGAGCACAGCAGCCGCAGATACAAGCATCAAGAAGGAGAAGAAGCAACGCAAATCAGCCAAGAGTGAGGCGCAGTCCAACGAGGACTTTCTCATGAATTACATACTCAACCGCGGATGGATGGACAAGCCGCACGCAGCGCCAAAGCTCACGCGTCGTCCAGCGCGACCGCAAGAGAGCGAGGATGAAAATGGTCAACCGTCCACCGCTGCCAAAGCCACAGTCAACGGAGATGCACCACGTGACTGGGATGCCGAAGCGGCTCAGCTTCTGTCCGACGACGATGAAGAAGATGACTTCGACAATCGAGCCGAAGCCTTCGAGCAAGCCTTCAATTTCCGCTACGAGGCTCTAGAAGCCGGCGCTGCCCCCGCTCAAGTCACCTCATACGCCCGCGGCAAGGACGCTCAGCAGAATTCTGTTCGTCGAGTGGAGGACAAGCGCAAGAAGGAACGCGAGGAGCGCAAAGCTCGTAAAGAGGCTGAGAAGCTTGCGAAGCGCCAGGAGCTGGATAGGATGAGAGATCTGCAGCGCAAAGGTCTGAGGGAGAAGTTGAAGCAATTGAGAGAGGCGGCTGGGAGTCACAGGATTGATTTCGACCCCGACAAGTTGGAAGGCGACTTTGATCCTGAAGCGCATGACCGAATGATGGCGGTATTCGGGGATGCCTACTATGACGAGGAGGGAGATGACGGGGTGGACATGGGCGAGGGAGGCAAGCCAACTTGGGCGGACGATATTGATATCGACGACATCCTAGCGGATGAAGAGAAGGAGGAAGCAGAAGCTACAGCAAGTGGGAAGAAGACTAAAGGCAAGAAGAGTAAGAAGGGCGACCTCGACATGGATGCCGACTTCCTCGATGGTGCCGATGGCGAGGTGGACGATGAGGCTGCTGATGACGGGAAGCTTTCAAAGAAGGAGCGCAAGAAGCTCAAGAAAAAGGCCAAGCGAGCAGAGAAGACTGGCGCTACTACTACCGTCGACCCTATCGCCTCCTCCTCGACAGGCCCCGTCGAACCGCTTCCTCAGACTGACGCAGAGCGCAAAGCTGCGGCTGCCCGCCTCGTTGAACAGTACCGCGACCTAGACTACGAAGACGTGATCGGCGGCGACCTTCCTACGCGCTTCCACTACACCACCGTCCCTAAGACGAATTACGGCATGTCCGCCGTGGAAATCCTGCTTGCCGACGACAAGGACCTCAACGATGTCGTTGGCTTGAAGCAGATGCAGCCTTACAGAAGGGGTGCGGAGAGGATGGAGGGCAAGAGGTCGAAGGAGCTCAATCGCCGGCTCAAGGAGTTCAGGAGGAAGCTTGACAGAGGCGAGGAGGATGCTGGGGCTGCAGCACTCGAGGGTAGGGTGAGGGATAGCGGGTACAAGAAGAGGAAGGCGGATGGTGCAGACGGTGGGGAAAGACCGCCAGCAAAGAAGAGGATGGGCAAGAAGGAAAGGGCAAAGGCTGCCAAGGCAGCTGCTGAAGGTCAGTCTTCGGCAGAAGGCAGCCCACTGCCTGTCTCTACTCCTGCTGTGAACGGCAGCATTGCGTCAGCCGACGCTGTGGAGCAGAAAGCTGTCAAATTGGAGCAGCCGAATCGCAACGGCGAGGAGAATGAGGAAAGCAAGGAAGACAAGCGACGTCGCAAGGAAGAGAAGAAGGCGCGCAAGCAGGCCAAAGCCGAGGCAGAGGGAGCTGAGGCTCCTCAGGCCAAGAAGCAAAAGGTTGCTTGATGTAGCTTCCGCATTCCAGTCAAATGATATCATTCAGCTTCTCTCGCAATGACTGGGTGACGTCTCTCCTCTCAAGCATCCTCCACAGGTACTTTGTCATCCTCCTCGCCCTGCCTCCTCCCCACCTTGACAACAGTTTCCTCCTGACCAGTCACCCCCGCCGGCTGATCTCCATTCTCCATCGCCTCCTGCGTCAAGCCGAACCTCCTCTTGACCATCTCTATCTCGTGGGCATCCCCGGTGTTTTTGGTCAACTCGTCGCTGATCTTAACGGCCGCACGATCTTTGACAGTGGAGAGCTTGATGACGATGTTGAGGGGCTTGGACACTGGAAGGTCTGAGGAGGGCGGCGGACCATCCGGGTCTTGCAAGTCGTCTGGTGATGGGGTTGATTGGCGGAAGTCGTTGGTCAAGAAGGTGCCGATGCCTGGTGCGAAAGATGGAGAGTATCGTCATTAGCCAATCAACGCCTCTTTGTACTCTCATCCTCATTCATGCCTGCTCACCGAATCCAGCCCCGATGCCGATCTCCCTAGAATACTCCTGCAAATCAACGCATCGATCCACATCCAATCCGTCCGAGTAGATTACCACTTTGCTCCTTGGGTCGACCCCCAAGCCATTGTAGACATCCCTTGCCCTCCAGGCAAAGGCTTTACTGTCTCCACTATCCTGCCTCAGTCCTCTCCATCTCTTTGCAATCTCCTTCCCCTCGTTTGTGCTCAAAAGATCACCAAAGAAGACGCTGGTGGAGAATGTGTCGGTGAGGGCGATGGTGAGGTCGTGCGCGGGGGAGTTGGGAACGAAAGAGGGAGAGGAATAGACTTGATCCCAGTATTGCAGGGAGTTCAAGTTTGCGTGGTCGTACCCTTCTAGCGCGGCAATGGCCATCGTCCATTCATGAGCGACAGTGCCCATTGGTGTGAGGTCGTAGAGTTGGGCGAAGTGAACATTGCTGGTACCCAAGAGCTTGCCTAGTGCGCCGGCAGTGCTGGGCTGAGAGGGAGCAGAGAAGCCTTCATTGGCGATTGAGGAAGATGACGAGGCGGCATGTGCAGCAGCGCTCTCCTCCTGCGCCTGCCCGGCCATTAGTCCCTCGATGCAGTACTTGTGCGAGTCGTACGACCTCCTTCTGCGTGAGCCAAATTCAGAGAATCTGATGCCTGCCTTGACGAGTCGCCTTGCCTTTTCCTTTGCTAGCGTTCTCTGCCCCTCCATCTTCCAATCGGTATCGACGATGCGGAAGTACATCTCGGAAACGATGCTCATGAGGGGCACCTCGTAGAGGATGACCTCCGACCATTTCCCCTGTACGGAGAGTTCTATGTCGCCCCTGCCCTCGTCGTCGCTGTCGGGAACGAAGCGCAACTCGACCTGCTCCTTTGGCCTGAATCTGAATTGCGCCAAGTGGGATAGATACTCCTCTCGAAAGTAGGGGCACCTGGTTGCGAGCCAGTTGCGTTCCTCGTCGCTGAGGGCCAGCTGCGACAGCCCGTCAATGCAGCGTTGAATCTGCTCGACACATCGGCGCGTAAATTTCATGTTCTTTGAACGGTTTGTGAAGCGATAGGAGACTGGTGGGTCTTCGAGGGTCGAAAGAAGGATGGCTTGTTGCATCGTGCTGATCAGGAAGGGGGGGAAGAGAGTTGAGTAAATGCAGAGTTGAGCGGGCTGAAGGCGATAAACACGCACAACTTGTAGAGATCCGAGTCCAGTATGCTGCGCACAGGCCTAATGTTGTGCCCACCCGAGGCCATTTTTGAGCTTGCCATGCTTGCTTGCCTCGTTGATGTTGGGCAGGATCCAAGGCTGAGTTGCGAAGTAGTCAAGGCGGCTTGATTGGAATGACTCCACTCGAGGCGCGCTTCCGTGTCCGCTGCTCGACTCGAGATTTTGGATGTGAGAGAGAGCGAAAAGGACAAGGCGCATCTCGTTCCCCTCGACGCCAATCCATCGTATCCGTCAGCCATCGTCTCAGCATATCACCGTCAATGCCCCCTCGAGGAAGACATCGTCGCCCGCCACCGGGGCCTAAGCCTGCTGGAGGAGCAGGAGGCAATGATATCACGGGAAAGCGGGCGAGTCAGGCCAAGAATCAGAGATACGCTAGGCCGCTACCCGTCGATGTCGTCACACCCATTCACGGCAAGCAAAAGGCAAAGCAGCCTACCAGTTGGGCTCAGTGGTTTGCTGCATGGCTGCCAGGTCTCACCTCCGACGCTGCCACAAGTAGTGCCCACGTCAAAGACGAGCAAGATGACCTCCTCGTCGGCTACCTCGACCCGACGACACTTTCAGTCTGGGTGCAGGTGACACCACCACACCTCCTGAAAGCAGGCCCTGCGTCCCTCGAATCTCAAGCACGCATCGCTTCTCAAACTCGTGCGGCACGCATACTTTGGGATGCTGGCTTCTTCGGGAAAGGCTCGCTGAGTCGCTCTGAGCCCACTTGGCGGGCTCGTAAGATCAATGAGGAGCGGGTCAAGCTGCAAAGGGAGAGGGGCATGAAGGCATATACGCCCGAGGAGTTGATCGCAGCCAGGAGAAAAGAGAGACTGCATGCCAAAATTGAGAGGGCTAGGCTGGCCGTCAAGGCTGGGCAGCAGTTGCCGGACGGCATCGTTGCTTTGGGTGGTACGCTGTCTGTGGAAGAGGAAAAGATCCTCGCGGCGAAAGCAGAGAAGGAGATGCAAGAAGAGGGGGACGACGGCAAAGAAGTCGAGGAAGAGTACGGCAAGCACATCCCTGGATTGATCTATCTGGGCCCGAAGAAGGATGATGAGGTGCAGAGGGATCTGACGCCGCAAGAGAAGAAGCGCCTTGAAGAGGAGGAGGCAAATATTGAGGTTGAAGATATGGAGTACCTACACCTCAGCCCCTATGAGGTCTTCTTCCTTGCTGGAATGCTGGGCGTACTTGATGTACGAACTCAACAGGTGAGAAGGCGCGCGACAGAGATCGATTCATCACGGCGAGTGCTGACATTGCCTCCTTCTCTCCTCGCCAGGACGACTCGATCTCCCTCTCCTCCCTCTACCTGCAGCTACTTGCCTCTCACCTGCCTCTACCCATCCGTACCCTCAACCCTTCCTCAACCCTCGCCCGGCCGGACAATCCTTACCTCCTCTCCTACATCGTCTACCACCACTACCGTTCGCTCGGCTGGTCGGTCAAATCCGGCATCAAATTCTGCGCTGACTTCCTCCTCTACAAGCGTGGGCCCGTCTTCGGCCACGCAGAGTTCGCAGTCGTCGTCGTCCCTGTGTACGAGGATAAAGAGGACGAAGCGTCCAGTCCCTTCCCTAGACACCCGGCCGGAGGGGATCGAGATTGGGTGTGGTTCTCGACTATGAATCGCGTCCAGACCCAAGTGCTCAAGACGCTCGTCTTGGCGCATGTTACGATTCCATCCGTCAAGAGACTCGAGAAGGAAGGGATGGGAGAGGCTCTGTGCACGCCCGAAGGGTTGGTTCAGGGGTTGAAGGACGGGAAGCTGCACAGCGTCACGGAAGTTTCATTGAGACGGTGGGTTCCGGCGAGGATGAGGGGGTGACGGGAGATGGGCGAGGGCGCCATGACTGGAGACACCGAATGTTGGGAAGCTTCATCATTGTATCATGATAGAACATTGCATCAGAACGCCCTCTGCCTCGTTGTAATCGGGCACCTCTTCGTCTAGCGTGGGCGTTCTGCTGGGACGGGCCTTGATTTCGCCTCGCCTTGGCTGTGCTGAACCCGCCTCAACTGAGGCCAGGCCAAGGCTGTGCTCGCGACGTCCGTGCGGGCGCGGAAGAGCTGCAGCAGCATCTCAGCCTCTCAGATGCAAATCGTGACGCCGCGGACCCTGCTCGTGGAGAAAGACTACATAACTCCACTTCTGGTTCATCATTCCCCTCCCCCTCCATCTCAATCCTATCCTCGGCTGCAATGTTCAAGAAGCTCACGCAGGGCCACTCTAGCTACCCCAGCTATGGCTCCGATAAGGCTCACCGCTACTCGACCAGCGGCCATGGCCGCATGACTTTCAAGAAGAAGCTCCTCATCGCCGGACTCGTAGGCACGACCTGCTTGGCGCTGTACAAGTTGTCAAAGTCGAGGGAGAAGGAAAAGGAAAAGCTGAGGATCGAGCAGGCTGCTCAGCACCATACTACTAGCCCAATGCCGCCAACTCAAGCGCAGCAGCAGCAGCCTGGTCAACAAGGCCACAACTATGCTGCATGGGCAGCTGGGGGAGCCGGCGCCGCGGCCGTTGCGGCTGCTGGAGCATACGCGTACCAACATCATCATCAGCAAGCGCCAGCACCCCTCGTGCCCGAGGAGAGCGGAGACATCCTCTGGTCGGACCTGCGCGACTGGCGTCTAATCGCGCGCCTCCTCGCAGCAACAGTCGCCGACCAAAATCTGTATCCCTTCTACGACTGGGCCGCCTGCGAGCGCATCGCCCGTCAACTGGCCTCCTCTGGGACTCTGGTCTCACTCGGAGAATCATGGGAGATGCCCCCCTTTCTCGCCCAAGACCTCGTCAAGCTAGCCTTGTTTGATGTCATGTTCCTCCTGGACGACTCGGCCAGCATGAACTCTGAGAAAGGGCTACGCATCGAGGCCTTGCGCCAGATCATGAAGCGATCGGCGGATGCGGCGGGTAGGCTGGATCCAGATGGTATGGAATGCGCTTGGATGAATGCCCCAGGAGGGCATCGCATTCACTCTGCTAGTGAGGCTGAGAGCTTGGTCAAAGCTTGCCAATTCTCGGGGCCCGCTACGCCCCTGGGTGAGGCTTTGGAGCAGAAGTTGATTCGACCTTTGCTCCTTAACCCGCTTTCGAGCGGTCAAGGTCTCAAGAAGCCAGTTCTCGCCATCATAATTACCGACGGCCGACCCACTGGTCCTACGGAGAGTGGGGAGCGTATCGTCAAGGTAATTCAGGACGCCAAATCGCGCCTCAAAAAGACGCAATACGGCGAGGACGCCCTCTCAATCACCATTGCCGCAGTAGGCAACGACTCTGAGGCACAAGACTGGCTCGATTCTATCGACAACCATCCAGCCATAGGCGACCTTGTAGACGTCGTCTCCGACATCCGCGTTGAAGCCAAGCAGGTCAAGGCGCAGACTGGCGTAGACCTCACACCAGATCTGCATTGCCTCAAGCTGTTGCTTGGCGCCGTTGACTCTGGTTACGACGCCAGCGACGAGCCACCTGGAGCGGCAAAGAAGAGCATGAGGAGAGAAAACGAAAGGGAGGCAAAGGCCAAGCATTTCGCAAAGGACAAGGAGAGATTGATTGCTCAGAGGGATGCGGCAATGGCGCAAGCTGGGGTAGCACCGGGGAGGGAGCCGGCAGCGGGTAGTGTTCCCGCTTCCCAGATGAGCGGTGCAGGATATCCTCCAGCTACAGGAGCTCCCTACCCTCCTCAGCAGCAGCACCAGCAGGGTGGCTATCCTCCTGCAACAGGTGGCTACCCAGGCGGCGGCTATCCTCCGGCAAACAACTCGCCCTACCCTCCACAAGGCGGCGTCGGTGCTCCTTACCCACCTCAAGCGTCAGCCTATGGTGCCCCACCTGAGCAGTCATACTATGGCGGCGCAGCGCCTCCTCCGTACAGCGACCACTCGCGGGGCTTCGGTGGTGGTGCACAGTCAAGCTACCCACAACAGCAGCCGCACCAGGGCGGAGCACCAGGAGTAGGCGGCTTCGCCATGCCGCAACCCAATGCTTCGCCGTACCCTGGGGGACCAGGACAGCAGCCACCTTCCTCCTCGTACCCAGGTCAGGGGCAGCAGCCCTACCCGCCACCAGGGGGACCAATGGGCTTCCCCTCGGCTTTTGGATCATGATGACGACGGTGACAACATCCATTGCATGCTTTCTCCCGAACGGCACTGTACTGCCTCTGACAATCACAACTGTACCGTGTTTGCGTTCGGCGCTACCGGCCTCTCCATCCAGGCAGACAGATCGCCCCCCGCGATGAGACCTGTCACCTTCGACAGCTCGCGTAGCTGCTCATCACCAGGATTTGCCGCAAGCTTAGCGAGATGTTGCTTTGCCAGGTCGTGAAGAGGGGTAGCCAAGGCTTGACGGGTGATAAGTTGAGGTGGAGGCCGGAAGTTGCGACATACTGAGAGTGGTGCAGAGGGTGGTAGGAAAGGTCAGTGCCAGATTCGCTGCAGGAGATGTTTGCGTCCTCATGCTCGATCAGACTCACCTATGAAATGCTCATGACTCGCTGCCCTACTACTCCTCGGCTTAGCCACGTCCACCAGCTCGAAGAGGGTCCTCATCTGACTGACGAGAAGCGCAGAAGTGTCCCCCTTTTTCGCTACTCCCACATCCATCGCCGCCGCGGTGCTACTTCCCTGCGAGGCCTTGACGGTGCCCGTTCTACTGAGCGTCGCTCCACCCTCGCAGAAGATCTTTGCAATGAATGTCCCTCCTGGCTCAAGAAGCCTCATTGTGATTTGCAATGCCGACAAGAGCAGCTGAGCTTGAAGCATCTCATCCAACGTGTGAATGCCCGTCACGTCGGGCGCCCCATCGCATACAATGAGCTGCGCCTTTGCCTCGCTCTTCTCGCTCCCAGCAAGAGCATGTGCAACGGCCTCGGCAGTGAGCTTTGTGGTGATGTCCCCTAGGATTTGGTGAACACCAGGGATTGGAGCCATGGGTTGGAGGTCGACAGAGACGATTCGAGAGGCAGGGGGAAGACGTTGCACGAGGACTTGCGACCATGAGCCGGGAGCAGCGCAGAGGTCAACAGCTCGGGTTGGCCGCTGTGGTGTTGCAACAGGTGAGGTGGAGCTCGATGGTAGCTTCGAGGCGTACTCGAGTGTGTCCTGCAACTCCTCAATCTCCTCGTCCAAGCTAGCGAGGTCGTCCTCGTCGACATCCTTGGCGCTGCCTCTCTTCTCTCGCAGCTGCCGCAGACTTTCAAGCTCTTCATTCAAGCTCTTTTCTAAGGTGTATGTTTCTTGCTGGCCAAAGAAGTTGAATTGCTCATCGAGATGGAGTAGTTTGTACGCTGATCGCGCACGATAGCCATCAATCTTCGATTGACGGTAGTAGACGTCTCTGTGCAAGAGAGGAAACTAGAGGATGTGAGTCGCTCTGATACCGAACAGAGAATCTCAACAACAACCTAATGCTTACCGATGATCCTTCGAAGAGCCGCCCATTGTATGATGAAGCGAATAGAGATGCAGGAATCACTGGCCGAACGAGACGCAGGCAGAAGCGACGGAAAGCGACGATACGGACCAGAAATATTGCACGACTGCTTAGTCATCCACGGACGCTTGGCAATTGGAGCATGCTACAACAGGAGCGTCCGGCGATCCTACACATTCTTGACGAATATCTTCTGTCTGTAGTACTTCAGCTCAGCGATGCTATCCCTGATATCATCGAGCGCACGATGGCTTGCTTTTCCTTTGCTCCAGACCGTATCACCCCCATACCACCGCTTCGCAATCTCCTTGATCGACGAGACGTCCACGATACGATAGTGTAGGTGCTCAATCAGCTCCGGCGCTTCCCGCTTCAAGAAGACAGCATCGGCATGCACAGTGTTCCCTGCCAAGCAGGCCACCCTCTTGTCTGGCACACGGTCGATGACGTAGGCCAGAATGGCCGCTCGCACATCGGCGTGGTCGCGTGAGATGGAAGGATTGAGGCAGGCAGCGGTCAGGCCGGAGTTGCCGTGCGTGGTCACGCACCATTCGCCCATGGCGTCGAGGACGGGCTTGGGCGTGCGAATCGAGTACGCCACCCCTTCATCGAGCGGATTGAGCTGGCCGTCCGTGACGATGACCGCGATCTCAATGATGCGGTCTGAGGGCTCCAGTCCGGTCATTCTGGCGGCGATCAGTAGACGAGTCAGCATTCCAGGGCGGCACGCTTCATCCCTATTCGCGCCTGCTCACTCGCAGTCGATCCAGACAAGGGGTCCATCGCGCACGTTGAGCTTGCGGCTCGCAGGTGGAGGAGGGATAGGGCTGTAGCCGCCCAGTGGTAGCGACATGATACCGAGCCACCAGTTTCGAAGTCTGAGCAAGATATCGCTGCTTGCGGACGACCGATGCCTTACGAGGGTCGAGCCTAGCCGTAAGCGACGAGGCGTTGCTCGCAGTGCTCCAAACAGGATGTGGTACAAAGTGGTGCGCTGCGAGCTTGACTTGGATCCTACAGCGACAGCTAAAGCTCAGGAAACGGGCTTGGTTGCTACTTGCTTCGAGTATCTATCTCTGTTGCTACTTGCTGCTTGTTGCTCGTCGCTCGTGTCGTTGTAGCGGTGACCTCGGCGTTGACGTGCGTGGCAAAGGCGGTAGTCAGCACGCTCGCGCTCTCGCCTACCCGTTCCTTTCCCCCTTGCACCGCGCCGAGGCTTCGACGAGGGTGCAACGCGACGCGGCTCGACTCAAAATCGGGCAGCGACCATGGCGGGCCATATTGGTAGTTGAGCGTACATGGTACCAATGCGGCAGCCCATCCTAGCATCCCCTTGCCCTCACTGCCACTCGCGCGTACTCTCGCTTCTCTCATTACTCGTTTCTCGTCCGCAAAGAGATCCCTGGCGCTCGAGCCTCTTTGCCTTTCATCCCTCTCTGACCCTCATCTCCTTTTGCTAGCTCGCTCGCTGTTGTCGTGGCGGCTAATCTGCGCGAGATTTTGTCCCAGCCACCAACTCCTCGGCCTTGCTGCTGCGCTGCGCCCCGTCCGCTTGTCGCTCTGACAGGTGCGCTCGCCCGCTCGCGCACCCACGGACACACTCAGACAGAGATGCCTTGGCGCTCTCAATTGCCTCGCACCGCACCCACGCACCCACCACACGTCGCCGCCGCCTCGTGGACCGACTCTGCCGCTGCCGTCGCTTTCCGCAACTCTTGTCCTCCCTAGTCCCTCGAAGCACTTTGCTTGCCATCCTTTTACTCAATCTACCACCCACCTGCGCCTGCGCCCAACAACTGCTTTTTGCTTTCTTCACCTGCTCCCATAGTACGGCCGATCGACGAAGCAGCGCGCAGGGTCGTGCCAGTCACTCAGCCAACACTACCACTTCATCATCATCGCCGTCGTGCTCTTGCGGCCGTTGGAGAGGCCTCACGCACGCATCCAGAGCAGGCTCTCTAGTCTCAATCCCTCAAAGAAGGCTCACAGGGCGCAGAGGTACTACAATATACGGCTCACCACCTGTCGCACCCTGCCTGGTGCACCATCTTGCTGTTGAGCTGGCCTCTACCGCTTCTACCGGCCTCATCATCTTTTGCGCTTCCCATAACTCATGTCCCATGCAGTCATGCCGCCTCCCGCAATAGCTAGAGCTGTGCCCGACTTCTCCCTCAACACCTCCTCCGGTCCTCGTTCACCCACTTCACCTTATCCGATGTCCGCTCTTGGCTCTGGCATCCCTTCAAGCGGCGGCGTGAGCGGCAGCTTTCAACAACAGCAGCAGCAGCAGCAGCAGCAGCAGGGCGAGCAGAGGTACGCTTCCTCGTCATCTAGCACGTTGCCATCTTCACCGCCTGCATCGTCGTCTATGTCCTATCAGCAGCAACAGCAGCCGCAGAGGCAGCCAAGCTACCAGTCATCAGCGTCACAACAGCAACCGCAACCAGGTCTTCTGGCCTCGCCATCGCCCACTCAGCAAGCCACGCGAATGCGAAGACAACGGCCAGATACAGAGGAAATCCGACGCGTGGGCAGGGTCCACTACCAGGAGCTCCTGAATTTCCTCCGTAGCCATCTCGCAAAGGACCAAACGGGCCCTCGGTCCAATGCTCGGGAGAAGCTCACGCGTCTCAGCAAGCAGCAATTCACTGAGCTCTCGACGGACGTCTACGACGAATTGATGCGCCGCCTTACCAATGCTCGTGAGCAGTCGACATCTTCAAATCCACACCTCGCCGTCCGTGATGAGTTCCATCCGAAGCGCAACCAGGCGAGACAAAAGCTGGCCACTCTGCCCAAGACGCGCTTCAAAGATCTCTCTTCCGATGTCTTCTTTGAGCTGGAGAGACGCTTTCCTGAGCTGAAAGAGGAGTTCAGGCCAGACGCCATTGCCAGGGAAAGGGAAGCGGCTGCCGCTCAAAAACAGCGCGAGGAGCAGGAAGCCGCGGGCAATCGAGGTGTAGCGACGAGCGACGTCATTGTGCCGAAGAAGTCGACGCTGGTAGACGAGGATGTGTCAGTCAACTTCCAAGGCGGCGAGCGCTCGAGCGAGCTTCCAACTCACGGCTCACCGCCAAATGGCGCCGAGGAGAGTACGGCAGATGACCATAATGACAACAGGAGCACGATGTACAGCCAGGCCAGCTCTGTGGGCACCGGCTTCTTCAACGGCTACGCAGCCAGTCGTGGTCCTGGAACTGAGAGCGTCTCGAGCCCTATGCTTGGCGGTGGAGGTGGCTCGTTCGATGGATCCGCACCGTTTGGCGTCGAGAAGCTGCGCTCCGACTACGAGTTCAAGATCGCGACTCTCAATCAGCGCATCACCGCTTTGGAGACGCACAACCTTGAGCTCAAGGAGCACGCATCGAAGAGCGACCAGCACGAGGAGGCTCTGAGGGGCGTGGAGGCCGAGAGGGATAGGCTCCGCTCCGAGCATGCCCAGCAGCTTCGAGATGTCCATGAGGAGTCTCAAAGGCTGAGAAGTCAGCACGATGAAAAGCATCGAGAGCTGCAGGATGCTCATGGCCGGCTTGAATCGACACAGGAGGAATTGCAGCGGGCAATGGCTTCCAACAGCGGCGCCGGGGCGGAGGAGGTCGAGAGAATGCAGGAAGAACTCGCCCAGCAGAGTCAGATTGTGCAGGAGCTGAGGGAAGAGGTCGAGTCGCTCGTCAACGAGGTCCAGCAGCTCTCGGGCCGCATCGAGGAGCTGGTGGCAGAGAAGGATCAGGACCTGGCGATGGTACGCGACCTCAATGCTCAAGTGCAGACTTTCAAGCGCAAGTACGAGCAGGCGAGGACCGAGCTCCGCCAGTACAAAGCAACCTCGCAACACCTTGTCGCTCAGCCCAAGGTGGAGGAAGAGTTCCTCAGGCCCACAGCGGGCGGCGCAATTGCCGACGTAAACGTGACGGCCTTCCAGACCTCCATCGACGAGTTGCTCGCTGCCGCGAGGTCGACGACCCCTTCAACTGTCCTCTCCTCAATGAAGGCTGTCGTGCTCGCCACCACGCTCGTCACCGACGACGTTGCAAAGTACGAGCAGATGCCCACTTCCGCTGCGAATGGCGACGTTGAGTCGATTGGCCAGCTCAAGCCCAAGATCTCTACCACGCTCAACAATCTCATGACAGCCTGCCGCAACCACGCTTCGGCCAAGGGCATGTCTCCCGTGAGCCTCCTCGACGCCGCGGCGAGCCACGTCTCGATGACAGTAGTGGAGATGGTCAAGCTCGCGAAAGTTCGCCCAGCCACCGCAGCAGAAAAGGAGCAATACGAGGCGCACTTCTCTGGCAACACCTTGCCGCCTGGAGGACTCAAACCGCTGCACATCAGCACGACTAACGGCCCGGCCTCCGCCCGCTCCGTACCCATGACTCCCACTGAGCCCCGCAGCGCGGATTCGGTCTTTAAATCCGGCGGCGGAGGAAACGGTCCTTCTTCTGCTGGAGGGCTACGCTCCTTCTCCGGCCCACTGAGCGACCGTCTCAATGGAGCAAACGACAACATGTCAGATCGTCTCTCCCCTCGCACTCTGAAGGGCAATGCGGGTCCTGGCGGAGTCGGCGCAGGCGGTCGCTACTCACCCGTAGGTTATCGCTCGACGAGCGGGGTGGTACCCGTGCGGGTGCCGAGCAATGGAAGTTGGCAGAACGGGCATCGTTCAAGGGCGGCAAGCATTGCTTCGAACTCCAGCAACAACGGCCCTGCCAGCGGTCCACCAATGACGCCCGGCGGAGGGAGCACGAGTGGGGACCAGATACCTGCGTTGCCTCGTACGGACCTGAGCAATATTCGCAGCCAATGGGGAGGCGGGGCCAGTAGCAGTAGCAGTCCGCCGCGCCGCCCGGTCAGCAACGCTAGTAGCGCGGTGAATGGAGCCAGCAGTGCACGCCAGCTCAGTGGGAACCATTCGCAACAATCGTCGACGTCCTTCTTCGCCGGCTCGGGAGCAGCTGGTGCCAACGGTCCACGCCTTTCGGGTGTCTCTCCCGCGCGCGGCCTCCCCAACTCAGGCATGTCCCCCGCAGCTCGCAACAGCCTCATTGGTGCCAATGGCGGGGAGGACACCGGCTCCCATGAAGAGAATTGGGCGGAGCTGCGCAACTACATCGAGGTCCAAACGGAAGCCATCGTTCATTCAATCCAGGCCCTCCTATCCGCTATCCGCGAAGGTGCTCAGGCGAACCAGCTCAACGAGAACTTGGTCCAGATCACCACAATCGCTTCGAGCATCGTCGCCATTTCGCGCGAGAACCTGGGAGAAACCGGTGGGCAGGGAGAAGGCGAGGAGATCCTTGCCGAGCTGCAGGAGAATTGCGATAGGCTAGCGGAGATGCAGACGAAGGAGGTCTTTGACAAGGGGACGAAGAGCGCGATGGCAAGTGCAAGCTATGGGGTGGCCAAGGGTCTGAAGGCGCTCAATGGGCACTTGAATGCCGTGGACGTCTCATCTGCTGCAGCTGCCGGAGGGGCAGGCAAGCAGATGCCATCTTCACCTCTTGCGCAGGCGGTCAAGAATGGGGGGCGTGAGGAGTATAGTGATGATGGGAGCGAGTATGATTTGAGCTGAGTGCGCTCGACTTGCTGAGAGGCTGGCGGACGTTCGGGAGGGGAAGAAGGGCGGCCTGCATCGTCCTGTGGGCATCACATTCAAGGCATCATCGTAGGGTCAATCTCGACGTCTCTGATTAGCTAGCTTACTATCGCTACTGCTCCGGTGCTCATGTACTCTATCGACTCTTGATCCTTCTCGTTCTCGTTTACCTGATCGAATCTATCGTTATACGCTTGCTCACTGCACTCGCGCTAGACTTGCCGACGAGCAGCGAGAGGTGGAAGGAGCGTCGTCACGCAGGACCAGACTACTTCTCGATGCCGGTGAGACATGTGTACACGCTGATATTTCAGGGAAGAATCGTCTACGTCGATGAATGAATAGTGCTACATATGAGAAACCGAGGCGATGTAGTGTTGAAAGGGGACCACGCCGGTCGCACCTTGCCTCAAAAGGCGGAAGCTGCCGCCCTGAGCGTCTGTGGCGAGGGCCGCGACTTCTGCTCCTCGCCGTTGGTGGCGGCTAGCTTGGCCGTCTTGGAGGGCTTGGAGTTGATGCCCATACCCGCTACGCCCTTGTTGAGTCCATCGAGCAGGAGGCAAGCCTTGCAAAGCCCATCAGCTGACGACGTCAGATAGCCGCATCGCGAGCACGTCGTCTGGACCTGCTTTGTTGCACCCTTGGCAGCTGTAGGGGCCGTAAGGGACTTTGACTTTGGCGTGTCTGCCGCAGCAGAGCCGTTTGTACTCTTCTTGTCCTTCTTTCCCTTTTTTTCCTCGTCCTCTCCCTGCCAACCAACACGCAGCGCCTCGCCCGAGTGGATGATATCTACAATCGCAGATGGACGAATCGCCTCCAGGTCCTTGAGGTACGCGCGAGCATACCCGCGGTAAGCGTTTGGCGAGTAGATGCACTCGGTTGAGAAGTAGGTGAGCGACTTGAAGTAGGCGTAAAGGACAATCTCCTTCTCATAGGCGTACTTGAAGGGCTTGGAGCGTTTGATGCCGAGGAAATCTACGGCTGCTGATGCTGGGTCTACTTCGTCCTCGTCTTCCTGGTCACCACCACCGCCACCGCATCCCTTTGACTCTCCTGCGCCGGCCGGAGTCTGTGTTACAATCTCTGTGCAGCGTGACAGCCTTGCTATGTCGCCCCTGAGCACATTCATGAGGACCGTCTCTGCGATATCGTCTGCATTATGGCCTGTAACGATGTGGTCGACGCCGAGCTGTGCTGCCCCCCTGTCTAATGCTTGCCGTCTGAAGACGCCGCAGAAGGTGCAGTTGCTCTTTTTGCCGATCGTAGACACAATGTCATCCATCGTCCATCCATAGAGATCCTTGTAGCTGAGCACCTTGAGTGGGAGGTTGTACTCGGAACTGTTCTGCTTGACCGTTTCCAACGAATCGTCTCGATATCCAGTAATGCCTTCATCGATGCTGAGCAGGAAGAGGTCCAAGCCGTAGTCGTATCTCTCGTTCAAGGTCTTCATGACGTAGGCAAGAACCGTAGAGTCTTTGCCGCCTGAAGCGCCAATGGCCACCTTGTCTCCGCGAGAGAAGAGGTTAGAGGCCAAGATGGTCTCATGGACCTCGGTCTCGAAGACGAGGAAGAAACATGATCGACAGACTAGTAGACCCGTCTTGGGTCGGCGGAGTACTGCCTTTGCTGCATTGCAGTGGGCGCAGGTACGAGGTGGCATCCTTTGGTACTTGCCCCTGATGAGTGGAAGCGAGCCAAGGGTGAGGATGAGAAATCAAAAGTGTTGAAATTCTTCTTCTCGTTGTCTGTCCTGCAGTCGTGTGTGTGGGCGGAGAAAGACGAGGTCCGAGCGAGACGAGGCGAGCGCATCCAAGGCGGAGGCTCCAAATCGATGCAATCGTCACATTGGACTTCCACGTCGTCACTTGGTCATCATCATCATCAAACCAACACTCTGCGGACAGCCGCGCCCTCCTCATCTCGTCATGAAACCAGCCACTGGCCAATTCTAGACAAGACAGCACCAAAAGCACGGGAGAGACAAAGTCACACCATGAGGTGGCCACTCGTGGCCATTGCATTCTCCCTCTTCCTCACCCTCTTCGTAGCAGCTGCTCAGCCTTCAGATTCCCAGTCTGCAGGACATCATGGCCCACAAACCACCTTTGGTCACAGCGACGACGACGTCGCGTCAAGCAATCTGACCGTCACCGAGGCGTACGACCGTGCTCTCGTCTTACTGCGAGGTATCATCGATCCAGTCGTCCTCGCCCACTCCACAACCTCTTCCTCCTCTTCACCCCCGGCTTCATCTTCTTCCGATAGATCCGAACAGCATGGCGTGAATTCCAAGTCGTCATCCCAGTCTGGTACCGAGACCAGCTCGCGAAATAGTCGCCACCTCTCGGCGACCCGCACCAAGCTGTCAGACCTTTCACCCTACTTCACCTTTCTGACCTCCTGGGGTCCGATAGGCACAATGATGCGTCTCTCGATACGGCTTCAGCACATATTTGCAGCCTACTGGCAACGATGTGCTGAGCTCTTACAGACGCTGGGCATCGTGCATCCAGACTCGGCGCACAGCAGGCAGGGCGGGGGACCATTCTATGCTAAAGGATCGAAGCATCGGGAGGGAAACGCACCAATATCTGGGAATGCGAGGCAATGGGCAGGAGAGCGAGCTGCTCAGCTCTGGCCAGAGTGGGAAATGCATGAAGGTCAGCACGTAGTGCATGGTCCCTTCCTCCTTGACTTATCGGCCTCCGATGGAAGCGGGTCAGGCGAAGAAAGCAACACCCTCGACCTCAGCCACGTCGTGCGTCGATGGATCTCCTCTACTTCCATGGGACGGCGACGTCGCGCTGCCCGACGCAGGCAACACGAGAGGGCCTGCGCTAACCTACAAGAAGCTCTCGCCCTTCTCAACTACTCGGCCTATCCTCCAGCCTCGACAGCGCAACGCGGCTCGCCTGACGCACTCTGGGTGCTGGCGCAGCATCATGTTCTGGGGACGCACGGGGCCGAACCTCGCCCTTGGATGGCCGTGCCCTACCTGAATGAGATGGTCGATGTGGTTAGCCCGGGGAACGCGAGTGCTAGGAATTTGCTTGGTTGGATCGAGGGGTCGAGGGAGATTTGGAACGCTTGGGGAGCACCGGAAGTCCCAGAGGCCTTCCCGGGACAGGCTCAGAGTCTGGTGAGCAGTTGCGAGCATTCAAGAAGGCAGGACAGCATGCTGACGCCTCCTACTCACACCTGCCTTCGCGCCTTGCAGTCCCTCCTCCACCACACCTTCGCAGCCCGTCAAGGCGACTACGGCTCGATGCTCTCCCTCGCGTACAGGCACCACGCAGGCATCGGCACACCGGTCGACTGCGACGAATCTCTCAAATGGTACTCGCGCGCAGCAAACTCCTCCTGGGCGCGATACAAGGACGGCCCGGTTGGTGGGCTCACCCCGCCTTACACGCACTTACGTCTCTCCGACTTAGCAGGAGGGGCATATGGGCCTGGGGCATCTGCGGCCAGCACGGGTTGGGAGGCGCATAGGCCCGCAGTACAGGCTGCACTCCATTCTCTGCCGGGCAGCGGGTTGCTTTCATCACAGAATAAGGCTGCAGGAGCAGGAGGGAGGGGTGACCCTTCCTCTTCGAGGCTGGGCGACTTGCTGGAGTTCTACAGCTATCATGCCTCTGGCGGATCAATCAGCTACATGATGCGACTCGCACGCATCTACTATCTGGGATCCATCTACGGAATCAGTGAGAGCGCGGGAAGAGTGGAGCGCGACTACGTGAGGGCGAGAGAGCTAGCGTTGCGAGTCGCGAGGCAGGTCTGGCCGGTCGATGTGGCGCACCTCAGGATGGTAGGAGGGAAAAGAGTGATGGGACGTGCGGCTACTGGTGGTGCCAATGCAGGAGCGCAGCGAGTCGAAGAGGACCTCGTACTACAGCCAGCCGAGCCAGCTACCACCATCTATGCAGGCGCTGCTGCTGCCCTGCTCGGCCGCATGTATCTGCGCGGCGAGGGAGTTGAGATCGATTACGCTCGCGCCTGGTACTGGTTCTGGCGCGGTATTGATGCAGGCGATCGAGACTGCTACTACGGCTATGGCCTGATGCGGAGCCAGGGACTCGCGCCTGATCAGCAAGCTGCCCTTGCTACCACAGGCAAGGCGCAGGGCAAGGGTCGAGTCGCCGACTGGAAAGGCGCAGTAGACGCGTGGGAGAAGGCAATCAAAGCTGGCGGCCCCAACGGTCATGCTGAAGCCTCCGCGGCATTGGGCAAGCTACACTTCGACACCAAAGACTTTCCCGGCGCTATGCGCCATTTCGCCCACGCGGTTGCGTGGGGTTCCCCATTCGAGGGTCACTTCATGCTCGCCACGGCGAATGCAGACCTATACCGCCGCGCTCTTGCTACGCTACGCGCTACTGGCGGCTCGCCATCCGGGGGAGCCGCAGCAGCAGAAGCCTTCCTCGGTACGGACGAAGGAAAGCGCTGCTCGGCCGCTGCTCTGCACTTCAAGACTGCCGCTGAGCGTGGTGACTGGGAGTCTCCTGTTTTCCATCGCGGCATGCGAGCTTGGGAGCTCGGGGATAGGAAGAGGGCTCTTCTGTGGTGGAGTATGGCAGCCGAGCGTGGGGACGAGGCCGCGGAGAACAATGTCGCATGGATTTTGGACAGAGACAAGAGGGCATGGAAAGTTCCGGGCCTGGTCGAGGGTCTGCGACGGGTGGGAGGGAGGAGAAGTAAAGGAGAGACGAGCCCGGAGCGCGTGGGGGAGGAACCTGCGACCGACAGACTAGGGTTGATTTACTGGACCAGGTCGGCTGCGCAGGGCAATGTGGACGCGCTGGTCAAGATGGGCGACTATTACTATCATGGCGTAGGCTTGGCGCCCTCGAGATCAGAGGCGGCCGTAGCAGCCAGAGCGTCAGCGGAAGCCGCGCAGGACTACAACGCCACGTCCACCTCGCGATCCTCTTCGAAAAGCAGCCCTCGCCCTTTCGCTTCGCCCTCTCCGTCCTACGAGAAAGCCATGGCCTGCTACGCAGCAGCCGCCGATCGACAAGTCTCCGCCCTCGCCTACTGGAATATGGGCCATCTCTACGAGGAAGGCCTAGGCGTACCCCGTCGAGACTTTCACCTCGCAAAGCGCTATTACGACATGGCGCTCGAGATCAACGCGGAGGCCTACCTGCCCGTCATGCTCTCTCTTGTTCGCCTGCACATTCGAGCCTTCTTTGCCACAGTCTGGAGTGGAGAAGAGAGCGCGGTGCAGCTTTTCAGCACAGGGGGGTACACAGGCTATGGGGTATTTGCGGGGGCTGGTGGTGGGGCTGAGGGGGCTGGTGGGGGTCAAGGGTATACCGAGGCCGAGGAGGACTTGCTCAGGGCGGCGAGGCAGGAACATCAGCGCAACCAAGCGCAGCGGGAGCATCAACAGCAGCAGCAGCGGGCGCGCACACCTGCTCGTGGGGCACATCGTGGGCCAGACGGGTTCGAGGAAGGGGCCGATCCGCACCTGCCAGAAGGATACAACCTGCGCGAGCCTCGTGGAGGTGATGAGGAGGGTGCTCCGGGCGATGATGGGAGCCAAGGCGTCAGTGATGATGAAGCGGACGCGATGATTGAGGGCGCGATGATCGTCATTGGCCTCTCGGCGCTCGCGATGCTCATGTATGCTAGGCAGGCGGCGCAGGCGCGGGCGGAGCAGGAGAGACGAGATCAGCAAGCAGGGCAGCAGGGTGGGCAGCCAGTAGCGCAGGGGCCGGGGCAAGGCCATCATCGCCCGCCACCACCGCCTCCTCCGAACCCTGTGCCGAGATATGCCGGTGGACTGCCGTGGCCGCCTGACGCTGCAGCTGGGCAGATGGGACTTTGATGTTGCGATTCTCGGTCTCACGACATATACACAATATCAAGAATTGATTAGTTGATTCTGTTGTGCTTGCGATCCGTCTCTACACTGAGCGCTTCTCCCTCTGCTCTGTTCATGCCCTGGTATTCGGTCCTTGCCCCGCTGCTCATCCCTGCAAAAGCGGCCCCGCCCTCTTCATAAAGTCGGCCAGCTCAGCCGACTTGATCTTGTACCCCTCACGCTCCGCATCGGGAAAGGAGCGCTCCCTCACTGCATCGACGTAGGCTTCAATGGCGGCCATGCGGATCGCTCCAATTCCAGTAGGCCCCGATGAAGCTGCGACTGGAGCGGACCCCTCAGCTGCAGGACCAGGGGAGGCAAAATTGTCCTCCTCACCACTGCTACTACGAGGCTGCACGCGCCCAGAGAGGACTTCGTCCACAAAATTGCGCACGAATTTGGGACCAGGAGGGGCTGGTTGTTGGAGGGCTGGTACTTCTCCTACTCCTGCCTTGGCCAAGCCAGCAACCACATGCCAAGGGCTGGTGATCTCTCCCAGTATATCATTCGTAACCAAAATCTGGCCATCAGCCTTCGGACCCGCCCCAATTCCAATCGTAGGGATACGAAGTGCCTTGCTTACCACTTCGCAAATCTTGTTCGGTATGCACTCCAGCACAATACTGAAAGCTCCGGCTTCTTGTAGGGCGAGTGCCTCGGACAGGATGGTGTAGGCTTCGTCTGCCGTTCGGCCTTGGAGACGATATCCTGCTGAGGAGGAGACGCGTTGTGGTTGAAGACCTAGGTGACCCATGACTGGAATACCAAACTTGGTCAAGCGTCGAACGAGGGGAAGAATCTCTGCCCCTCCCTCGATCTTCACTCCATCGACTCCTCCCTCCTTTAGCAGCCTTACTGCGCTCTTAACTCCTTCCTCTTCGGAAGTTTGGAAGGTGCCAAAGGGGACGTCTGCCAGGAGAAGCGGGGCTCCAGGAGTGTTGGGAGAGATTGACAGCAAAGGGGAGAAGAGGCCGCGGTAGACTGCTTGGCAGTGGTGAATTGTTGCTTCTAACGTGAGAGACTGGGTGGAGGAGTGACCCAGTGCGACGTTGGCCATGGAGTCGCCTACGAGGCAGATGTCGATGTCCGCGTGGCGGAGAGAGAGGGCAGAAGGATAGTCATAGGCTGTGAGGCAGGCGCTGCGAGGTAATAGAGGATGCGAGGTGAGGACAGTGTTAGTGAGATTGGCTAAAAGAGGCAGTGGTACGGCAGCACGAACATTGGTTGCCCTTGTCTCTTCATTTCCATAAGATGAGGTATTGACTTTGGTGGGCGACTTTTGGGCATCTCGAGCTGTTGCCTGGTCTTACTGTTACCAGCATCGGTGCGATCAATGGGCGCCGACTGTTGGAGACGTGTAGATCTCCGCTCCTGAGACCCGCCGACCATTCCACCTCCCTCGACAGACTCAGATGATGACGACATGGTAGCATGCATGCCATCCTCGGCATCAACACCGGCCGGCCAAGCGCTGCAATTGCGAGCGGAGGTGTGGAATTGCGATGTGGCCGGTACTCGACGTGCGGACGACGAGGTAGAGGGAGGTGGGGTAGACAATGCCGGTATTGCCGATGCCGACGTCGACGCGAAAGAGGAAAAGGGCGAGATGGGTTGCAAAGCCCTCCTGACTGCGCGCTCCAGGGTCCTCGAGGAAGTGCTGGCCATGATGATGGTGATGTAGCAGCAAAGAGAGTCAAAGGCGGACAGACGAATGTGAGCTCGGGAATAAGAAATTGAAGGCAAAGAGATGGAAAGGAAGTCAAGAAGGTCCAACCCCGCTCACTGCGCTTCCCAGTCCAAAATTCACAGCCGAGCCGGCAAGACCCACCGACTCGACTTCCACTCATGCGCCGGTCCACTCGACGCTTTGCTTTTGAATCGCCGCTGCCGGCGCCGTCGTCGTGCGACCAACCAAACGGGCGGGCGAGCGAGCGGGCCCTTCCCTTCAACGCCTTCTCAGGGTCCGGCTCTAAGCACTCAGCACTACCACCACTTCCACGACCGATTCTTGATACCACAGCTGCACATTAGCGCGACGAGCTACACTTTGTGACGGATGCCATTTGGCATTCTGATCATTACTGCCCATTGACTTCCGCTCAGAAGCGCTTTGCATCCCTCGCCTTCCTCCATCGCAAGAAGACGACTCCCAGCCCAGCAATGACAGCCACAACCAAGCCCCACTTGACCAGGAACCACAGCAGCGTGAATAGTCCATGGAAGAAGCCTGCCAAGAATCCTCCTGTTGAGGAGAAGAGGCCCTTGCCGCTTCTACTCTTCGATGACTTGTCGTATGGTGACTTGCTCCCATCCTTGGGGAAGTGTTTTCGCCTCTCTGCCTCCAACTCAGCGTAGCTTCGCTCCTTGTACACGATGCTACTGCTCGATACGCTGATGACATCGTGCGCATCGCTCACGTCTCCAGTCAAGGCAGAGAAGCCCAGGTAAGGGCGCTCTGGCAGCTTGACATCTTCGAGCTTGAAGCATGTCTCCCACTCGTCCCATTCGGAGTGTTGGACTTGCAGCTCGAGGTAGACGTTTCGTACGAAAGTGAGCTTGGCTTTGGAAGCAACTCTTGTGCGACGGATATCGATGCTGCACCCGGCCAGCTCTTGGTTCGCACCGTCCTTGTCGCCACGATAGCTCTCCACGCCATTGCCTAGCATCGCCATGATACGAGGGAAGGAGTAGGGCTTACAGAGGGGCAAAAAGGTCGGGGTCAGACGACATCCTGAGTGCGCAATGCAAGCCCTGCGTGCGAACTCACATGTCTCGCATTGGCGAAAGTGTCAAAGAAGATGCCCAGCCCAGTAAAGTAGTCTTTCGATCCAAAGACGGGACCACTCTGTGCCCTCTCGTCTGTGAGCCACATCGCTAGGCCATCTCCGTACGTGTTCGTTGCTTGGCCATCGACCTTGAACTCGAATTGCACTTCGTAGTTAGCCGCCTGGATCGGCAAGCGTGACCAGAGCCAACCAATCTGGTGAGCCTTGTCTTGCGTCAGGCGTACATGACGATTCGTGTCGATGATTGCTGCTCGAGGAGTCGGCAAGAAGGGGAAGTAGGAAGGTCAGTCGTGTGAGGACGAGGAAGGCTTCTTGGCATCGCAGACTCACTGTCGCCTCCGTAATCCCAGAAACGATTCTGCAGCGTCGACTCAACGTAAGGAGCATATATGCTATGTGTCCTCAGAGGTACAAAGGCATCGCTGCCCAAGTCGTACTGAGGACCCTTGTTCTGCGCCTCTGCGAAGGACTGGACGAGGAGGACAAGAGCGACCAGGAGCGCATAAGCCAGCGTTCGTATTGTACTGCTCCGCGAGAGCATTGTGGTTGGCGGCGCTGAGAGAGACTTTTGCTGGCCAGCCAGTCAAGAGGATACGTGAGGCAGGTGGGCTCGAGGATGATGAGAAAAGAAGTCCTGACGACCTTCCACTCTTGGTGTGCGTGTACGTGTGTGGTGCGGGGCGGCCGTGTTGCGTTGACAGAGTGAGGGTCTGTGCCCGCCTGGCAATCCAATTCAAGTCTCCGAGCCCTTGTCGTCTCATCTCGACTTTGGTCTGAGTCGCGCGCACGCCGAGGGCGGCCAGAGGGAGAGAGAGAGTCGAGTGCCAGAGGGCGGGCTGGGCGATGAAGCGTCCGACTCCACGGCCAGAAGGTCTCGTTTGGTGTTCTCGTCTTGTTTGCTCCACCACATCGTCATCATTTCTCATCGTTGCGAGTCCTAGCATCGTCATGGCTTCTACTTCACAATGGGCTTGTGCGTAGATATATAGGTAGCTGTTTTGCTAGAGCGATGCTGATTTGGCCCTTTGCACACCACTCTTCGCAGACCGCTCACAAAAGTCCATTGGCCTTATGACGGGTCCACCGTCCTTTGCTCCCGTATCCGGCTTTGATCGAGAAGAGGCAGACAGCTCCAACCCTACGCGTGTCTTCAAGTATAGCCCGGATGGTAGGTGGTGTGCCATGGCAATGGAGAAGCAGTGAGTAGTGAGCGTAGCAGAGCTAGACCGATGCAAGGGCAGCCATTCACGTTCCACTCTTGGTCCTCCTTCTCGCACAGCTTTCTCCTCCTCTCGACCGCAGACCCCACCTCATCCGTACGCGCGCATACCATTGAGGTCCCCCGTGTCGTAGATATTGCCTTTTCCCCTCGCGGCGGATACGTCTCGACCTGGCAGCGTCCCTTCAAGGACGCAGAAGGCAACAATGTGGCCAACCTCAAGCTCTGGAGAACGAGCGATGGTGCAGAGGTTGGCGCTTGGGAGCGCAAGTCGCAGGAGGGCTGCCATCCGCAGATCAACGAGGAGGAGACGCATCTCGTTCGCCAAGTATCCACGGAGCTGCAGATCTTTGAGCCAGACGCAATTAAGGACAAGGGCGTCGTTGGACGTCTGAGGCTCGAGGGCATGACGAGCTACGAGCTGGGAGCGGGAAGCAAGCCTGTTGTGGCCGTCTTTTGCGGGGAGAAGAAGGGAGCACCAGCATCAGTGCGAGTCTACCCCCTGGCTTCTCTCATCCCCAGCCCGCCAGAGCCGCCGGCGCCCATCTCGCAAAAGACCTTCTTCAAGGCAGACAAGATCCAGATGAAGTGGAACCGCGCTGGCACATCTCTCCTTTTCATGACTTCGACCGACGTGGACCGCACAAACAAGTCTTACTATGGCGAGACGAACCTCTACATGATGTCTGCTCGCGGCGACTTCGACTGTCGTGTCTCGCTGGACAAGGAGGGACCCATTCATGACTTCGAATGGTCGACCAACGGCCGCGAGTTCATCGTCATCTACGGTTATATGCCCGCCAAGGCTACCTTGTTCAGCTTCCGTGTCAACGTCATCGCAGAGCTCGGCACGGCTGCCCGCAACACAGTCGCATTCAACCCGCAGGGACGTCTCTTCTGCTTGGCAGGCTTCGGCAATCTGAGCGGGAGTGTCGACGTGTGGGACCGTCAGCAGCTGAGCAAAGGGAAGCTTTTCACTTTTGACGCGAGCAACTCCAGCGTGCTGGAGTGGAGTCCTTGCGGCGAGTATCTGCTCTGCGCTACATTGAGTCCGAGGCTAAGAGTAGAGAACGGAGTCAAGATCTGGCATTGCACGGGGAATCTCATCCACGTAGACATGATCGACGAGCTCTATCAGGCCGGCTGGAGGCCAGGTTTCAAGATGGCTACCGACGCTGGAGCAAGGGAACCTCCCGCTTTCCCCGATGCCCTGCCTTCTCCGCCTGCACCGAGCCCCACGGCCAAGGAATGGCTGGACAAGGTCGCAGCCAAGCCGCAGAGGCCAACAGGCGCGTATCGCCCGCCCGGAGCGAGGGGCGCCGCAGCGAGCGACGCCTACAAGCGCGATGAAGACGGGAAGATCATGATGAGCAGCAGTAGCAGCCCCGCACGAACCGTACCTGGCTCCAACGGGCACTCGGCCGCAGCGCGTGGTGCGGGAGGAAGAAGACAGGTGCCTGGGGCATCCTCTTCGTCTTCGAGGGGCAACAGCCAGCCGGGTACGCCTGCTCCGGGAACGCCTACGGGGCCCAAGGGTGGCAAGAAGGGGGCAGCGCAGGCGGCGAAGCGCAGTGGTACTTCGACCCCAACGCCAAACGACCAAGCCGCTCCAGCATCTGCAATTCAATCCGAGCAGCCGTCTGCACCCGTAGCATCAGGCGCAGCCGAAGTAGGTGGTAGCGCAGAGGCTGGTGCGCTCGACAAGAGGTTGCGCAATCTGACCAAGAAGCTCAAGGCGATCGAGGAGCTGAAGGCGAGGAGGAATGCCGGAGAGAAGCTGGAGCAGACGCAGGTGCTCAAGATTGCGAATGAGGCAGAGTTGAGGAAGGAGCTGGCTGATCTGAGCTAGAGCGGCGAGAAAGGCGGTGAAAATGGCAACGGCAGGATAGAGCTTTGAAGGCGAATGAGAATGGACTCGAGTGGTGAGAAAGGGAGACCCGCAGCATCTGTAGCCTCCAATCGCACATGGGTCGTACGCATCTCGCTCCAGAGTCAATGCCTCTTCATTCATCTGCTCATGTACATGGCGACTGATCGGGACCACCAGCTGTGAAAGCAGCGTTTTCTTTTCACTCGTGTTCAATGCCTGCTAGACGAATGATGATCATGATCTTTTGAATGAAATTGCTCGCTTGCGCACAAATGTCGGGCCCTGGGTTGTTACAAGCCGAGGAATGGTCACGTAGTGACTGACCCCCTATGCAATGAAATCAGGGCCCCCGACCATCCCTCCTCGCCACACGAAGACGAGACCCACCGACTACACCCCCTTGCAACTCCCAAGCAACCCATCCGACCCATAATGAAGCGCCCGCTTGACCCCCCACCGAAGCAACGTCGGATCAATCAGGTGTGACCCTGCGATCGACGACGCTACCCTGGCGAAGGACGAGCACCTCGAGCCTGAAAAAGAAGCCTTTGGTATAGGAGAGGAAGAGAATGAGCCAGCAAGTCAAGTCTAGCTCGCGTGGGAGGAGGAGACAAAAGGGGGTTTAATCGAACAAGTCGCCGCCAGGGTTAAGCCCCTCCTCAGTAGGAGATGGGCCTCTCGCTCAGACACTCGGCAAGCCCGTTAGAGCACCGAGCTTCACGAGCCCGTTCAGGCGGAGGATGATGGAGTAGGAGTTGCCCCCTGATCTCCATCTTTCGACTGTCGTGGTGAGAAAGGAAGAAGGAGACGCGGCTGCTCGTTGGCTCAAAAATCTCGCGGTGAGCGGACAGGCGGCCAAGAGAGCGCGCGGAGCCGGGCCTCGATGGAGAGAGTCCCTTGGGCTGCCGAGAGGCGACGCATCAGAGGTGCTCACTTACATCTTCTTGCCATAACCACCACGCCCCACATCAACATGTCCTGGCTGTCGCGAGCCTCGTCATCAACCTCTTCGCTGGCCAAGCAGCTCTTTACGCCCGCAGTGGCGTCCAGCTCGGCTTTGGCTGGCCCTTCGTCGGAATCGTCGACGGCGCTTCCCTCGTTCAGCTTCGGCGGCTCGATCCAGGTGCGCAATTCGACCAAGAGAGCCGGAGGCACCACAAAGAATGGCAGGAACAGTGCGGGAAAGAGGCTGGGCGTCAAGAGATATGGTGGTGAGTAGCTGAAGCATCAGCAGCTGGTCCGCGTCTCCTCTTCCGCTGACTCGATCCTCCGTCCTCGGGATCATCGTTGCTGCGCAGGTCAATACGTTCAAGCAGGCGAGATCCTCCTGCGACAACGCGGCACCTCCTGGCACCCAGGTCAGAACGTCGGCATAGGCCGTGACCACACTCTTTACGCCCTTCAAGCAGGTTACGTCCGCTTCTACCAACCCTCCCCCTTGCCCGCCGATTCAACCCTTTCCGCGTCGACGCCTTCCTCTCACCCGACGATGCCTCTCATTCCTGGCATAGGCCAACCAATCAGCCCCCTCTCCCGCAGCCGAGCAATGCCACAAGAGCTGGAACGTCGCGCACACCCTTCCTCCCCTCGTCGCAAGCAGGGCAGAAGGTATATGGGCATCGTCTTCGAGAAGGAAGGTGTCCTGCCCCGAGCGTGGGGAGAAGTCAATGAGAGGAGGCTGCCCGAGGCGGACAGGAAGGTGGACATGAATGCGTACGAGAGGGAGATGAGGGCTGCGGAAGAGGAGGTTGAGATGAGGACTATGGATCGGATGGAGGATGATATTGTGGTTGACTCACGCGATGCGCACGAGGCTGAGGAGGATGAGCATACATTCGTCGCGCCGGAGGCCGCGAGTGTCGGTGAAGCAGCGCCGCGAGCGTGAGCAGGCGATTGCTCTGCAGCTCAATGCCATCGATTCGTCAGCACTTCAGCCTGGATTATATTGTCCATGATCAATCTCGCACGCTGCCTATCTACAAAAATTCCCGGCGCACATTCAACGCGGCCTGAGCACGACAAAATCGTCCCTGAGCCCTCTCCTCGTATTCAGGAAGTCCTCGCTCTGCTGCTGCTTCAGCGGTTCCTTGAAAGCGACGATGCCAATGACGAGCCCCGCCGCAAAGAAGACGACGGAGATGAAGAGCCAAAATACGCCCCAGAGTTGTGGTGGGCCGCCCACGAGACGAGAGAAGGCTGATGCGTCTGACTCCTCGACTTTGCGGAATACCAGATCTTCGGCTACATCCCATACGCTAGTGGGAGTCGAGTGGGAAGAGAAGTCCGGAGAGTCAGCTCCACACGGTCTTCTCGGGCATTACCGTGCGCCACTTACGAGTAGAGACAGCTCATGACGCCTACGAAGAGGACAAAGAATTGGAGAGCGACACCGTGCGCTATGAACCAGAAGGCAACGAGGATGCCCGCTGTGATGAAGAGGACGAGCAGCGTGCTGTGCGGTGTGACAGGGATATGTCAGCCTTGGGCGGTTCTATCTGAACGAGAATCGATCACTCACAGCCAATCTCTCCTCGCCCAGAAAGCGGTCATTAGAAAGATGACGCCCAGCACAATGCTCATGACCTTGCTCGCCCTGATATCGAAGCTACAAGCAATCATCGCTGCGCCCAGGAAGCTTGAGCCCAAATACCCAGCAGGTAAAGTCAACCATGCCACCCCTCCTCTCATCCTTGTAGCTCCTCCCTCATTTGGCTCGAGCTTGATCGACTCAATTTTTGCACCCGTAATCAAGCCCACAAAGGCATGGGAGAATTCGTGCATGCCAACGGTGAGGAGCTTGAAGCCGTAGAGCGAGTATTTGAGGATAGGGAAATGCCAGAGGATTGCAATTACGACGGCATATACGCAGGCGACGATGATGATAGTTCGTTGGTCTGCTGTTGGATCTATACGACTTGCTCGACGGGTGAGGGTATGAAGGTAAGATGATGGGGAGGACGAGGGACCATCGAATTCTGCTGCGAGGACAGGGTCGTAGCCTGATTCTACGCTACGGCCCAGAAAGGGTAAGGGCCACAAGGAGGGCATGGTCGGTATGGTATCTGGTGAAGGAGCGAGCGTGCTGATGGTAGGTGAATGTGAGGCGAGACGTTGGATGTCGAATGTCGCTTGACTGAATTAAGGTGTGTTGGTTGGCTCCTCGACGGCCTCCTAGTCGGCAGGGGCAGTGCATTCGACGGCCAGTCCGCTCGTGTGCCTGTTTCGCTCGCGTGGCCACGGCAACGTCGACTGGCTCCACTCAAGTCCACGCGGCTCGAGAGCGTCGTCATCTCCGTCGTCTGTCCGCCTGGCATACATTCGCACCTTCGCACCATCATCACACTCTGCGTGTTGTACCCTCGTCCTCATGTCCTCCGCAGATCCATCATCATCCGCCGCTCCAGGCGCGGGTGCACCACCACCACCAGCAGATGGCGCTGCCGCACCTGCTCAGCCAGAACGCCCCGCTTCGCCTCAGATTCCAGACGATGTTCTCAACGCCCCCACAGACGAGATCCTCACCCGTACACGACTCCTCGACAACGATGTCAAGATCATGAAGTCTGAGAACATGCGGCTCAGCCACGAGCAGGCAACTATGAGGGAAAAGGTCAAAGAGAACGCAGAGAAGATCAGACAGAACAAGATTCTGCCCTTCCTCGTCGGCAACGTGGTAGAGATCCTCGACATTGACCCCGACGTCGACGAGGATGCGCCAGAGAGTGGGGCAGCGCTCAGTATTTCGCTGGCAAAACCGACTGATGCGGCTGGCAGCAGTGGTACAGTCGGGGGAAAGGCAGGGAAGAAGGAGCCACGCTGCGCAGTCATCAAGACATCTACACGCCAAACCATCTTCCTCCCCATCATCGGGCTCGTCGACCCTCACTCTTTGCGGCCCGCCGACCTTATCGGCGTCAACAAGGATTCATATCTGGTACTCGACAAGCTCCCCGCAGAGTACGACTCCCGCGTCAAGGCCATGGAGGTCGACGAGAGACCGACGGAGACCTACAGCGATATTGGTGGGCTGGACAAGCAGGTCGAGGAGCTTGTAGAGGCAATTGTGCTGCCTATGCAGCAGGAGGATCGATTCAAAAACTTGGGCATCAAGCCGCCTAAGGGAGCATTGATGTATGGTCCGCCGGGTACGGGAAAGACTTTGCTGGCTAGAGCATGCGCGGCTCAGACCAAGGCGTGTTACTTGAAGTTGGCAGGACCATCCCTTGTGCAGATGTTCATTGGTGATGGAGCAAAGCTTGTCAGGGATGCATTTGAGCTGGCGAAAGAGAAGGTAAGTCTGTGTAAGGCGAGACAGACAGAAGGTTGCACAGTAGCTGACAAACGCGTCTCTCTATCCCGCGCTGTGCAGGCTCCCGCTATCATCTTCATCGATGAGATTGACGCCATTGGTACTAAGCGTTTCGACTCGGACAAATCGGGAGATCGTGAAGTGCAAAGGACCATGTTGGAGCTCCTCAACCAGCTGGACGGCTTCTCGTCCGACTCGCGAATCAAGGTGAGCATGCCTTGGCCTCCTTGCACCCTTGCCGCCACTGTGACTGACTCCCCTTTCTCTCTCCTCGTCTCGGCAGGTCATCGCCGCGACCAACCGAATCGACATCCTCGACCCTGCCCTTCTCCGATCAGGTCGTCTCGACCGCAAGATCGAGTTCCCTCTGCCTGGGGAAAGCGCGCGTGCTCGAATTATGGAGATCCATTCGCGCAAGATGGCGGTAGGCAGCAACGTCAACTTTGACGAGCTCGCTGCCAGTACAGATGAGATGAATGGTGCGCAGCTGAAGGCAGTCTGTGTTGAGGCGGGAATGATTGCATTGAGGGAAGGAGCGACGGTCCTTGATCATGAGCATTACATGGGGGGCATTCTGGAGGTGCAGGCCAAGAAGGCTAACCCATTGTTCTATGTTGCGTAGAGGGAAGAGCAGAGGGAGAGGTGGCAATGCAATACACCATGATCAGAGCAGATCCAGCATGAGCGTGGCTTGGCCATGTGATGTCGTGACTGAGACTGGCTGCTCGTCTCCGCCCGCCCGCCGTCCGTGCGCCACACGTCGTGCCAGTCCGATGCGGACGGCTGCTGTGTTGCTCTCCATCCTTTGCACCTTCGCCATCCCATCAATTCCAAGCGCTCTTGCCCACAAAGGGGCATTGCGCTCCGCGATCGCCCTGACACCCTCTCCTCGACTACTCTTCTCATCTGTCTCATCATCATCTTGACTTCGCCACAATGGGTGCCTCAGGCTCCAAGCCACCCAAAGTCACCTCGCACGACCGGGCCGTATTGGACCTCAAGCTTCAGAGAGATCGCATTCGCCAGTACCAGAAGAAGGTGCGCAGAGCTCGCTCTCAACTGGAAAGATTGCTACCGCTGCTGCTCACTCACCCACTTATATACACGCGCAGCTCCTTCTCCTCGAGGACAAAGAACGGTCCGCAGCTCGCCAACTGCTAGCTCGAGGCGATAAAGCTCGTGCCCTCTCTGCCCTGCGTCGAGGCAAATACCAACGATCCATCCTAACCAAGACCGACTCTCAGCTGCGAACATTAGAGGACCTCGTCTCCAATATCGAATTCACCCAGATCCAAGCAAGCGTATACGCCGGTCTCTCCCGCGGAAACGAGGTGCTCAAAGAGCTGCACAAGGAGCTCAACCCTGAGGCCGTGGAGAGATTGATGGACGAGACTGCTGCTGGCGTGGCGTATCAGCGAGAAGTGGATGAGGCCCTTGCCAGTCGAATGACTGTAGAGGAGGAAGAGGAGGTGAAGGGAGAGATGGAGAGATTGGAAGCCGAGGTTAGGATGGAGAGGGGGGAGACGGTGCAGGAGGAGCCACAGCAAGTCAAGCTGCCAGATGCGCCCACTACGGAGCCCGTCGCGTCTGTACGGGAGGGAGAGACAAGAACAGAGGAGTCAAGGGAGCCGCAGAAGGCAGAAGAAAGGCAGGCTGTCCTTGCGTAATGACGGCGAGGGGCGTGGAAGGGCATCATGATACTAATGAGTCAACGCATGCAGTGACGACAGGACAAAGATCGTGTGCGCTGGATTGTCTTGGCGAGCACCGACAGGAGAAGACACGACGAGCTATTTGATAGGACGACGGCGATGTTGCTTTTTCTGCGCAGTTCTACCACCTCGGCGGGGGCGGCGGGGGCGGCGGCGGTTCGAGCTCTTGGCCCCAGCTCAACTGTCCATTGACAATCATCGCCCTCCCAGCAATCGATGCTCCCGGCTGCTGGTGCTGCATCTTCGCTCCGTGGCCGACTTCAGGCGATGCGCTCTTGCCCATGGCTGCCATCGGTGCAATTGGTGAGGACGGGGTGCCTTGGTATAAATTGTGCTGAGATGACGAGTCTGTCCCGGCGGAAAAGACGGGAGCTGGGGGCGGTGGGGGAGGGGCGAAGTGGTCATGGTAGCCGTTTGCGGGCGGCTGTGGTTCTTGCTGATGCGCTTGATGTTGCAACGGATAGGTAGCAGAGAAACCCATTGCAGACGAGGGGGGTTCAAGCTCTTGACGGGACATCGATGCCTGCCAAGGCAGCTGCCGGTAGTGGTCAGCTTGGTGAATCGCCGCAGGCGGGTACGTCTGCTGGAGACCAGGTGGCGGTGGAGTCGAGTGACGTGGAGGCCTCTCCGAAGCAGTGCCCTGTTTGTTCCTTCTCTTGCTCGGCGTGTCCAGACCTTCTTCGTCCATCACCGCAGCCTGAACAGCCATTTCCTCTCGCTGATCGTCGTCGGCCGTCTCCACGGGATCGGGCAAGCCAAGTAGCTGTGCCAATCCAGGGACATTCGAGTAGGGCAGCGAATTGCCAAGGCCACACAGGGGCTCCGCAGCGTTGCTTTCCGATGCGTCGAGATAGATGCTGGCGCTACGGTTCTCGTTGCCGCTCAAGCTCGTGTCGTGCACCATGATGCCCTTCTGCGGAGCACTGCCGTCTTCCTTGCTGCTCTCGCGAACCTGCAGCAGGCGCTCAATGTTGGCCTTCTTCGCCTCCATATCCCGCCGGAAGCTGTCCAACTCTTGCGTGCTGCCTGGCTTGACGCCGTGGAGGACGTCCATCTCGTCACCAGATGAATGGTAAGGATCGGCCCGTGCGAGCTTGCGCGTCGGCGTTGCTGGACCATTGCTGCCTGTTCTACTCGCGCCGTTGACGCTCGTTGCTGCGGGGCGTCGACGTTGCTGCTGCTTGTCCAGTGGAGTTGGGTCGCGTGACGAGGCATTGGTGTCGTACTCGTCCTCATCGTCCTCCTCGTCACTATCATCTGAGTACTCTGAACCGTCACCGTCGCTCGAGCTGTCATCATCGTAGCGTGGACGATCGTAGCGCGGTGCTCTTAAGTCCACCACGTCCATATCCTCGTCCTCCTCTTCTTCCTCCTCGCCCACGACCTCCCTGCGTCTCTTCTCCGCTTCCAAGAACGCCAGCAAATCCGGATCCATCGGTCTACTCGAATCCTCCTCATCTTCACTGTCCGCCCCAGCAAGGGGATTTTGCCCTTCATCGTCTTCCTCCTTCTTGGGCTGGAACTCCTTGTACTGGCTTCGAACGAAGTCCGGGTCCCATGCGCCAAGCTCGTCCTCTGCTTCGTCGTCGTCATCGTCGTCGCTGCCAATCTCTATGACCTCGGCGGGCTCTTTTTGGGCGGCTGAGGAAGAGGCATCTACGTCTTCTCCTTGGGCTCGACGGCATTCTCGCTCTACTTCATCTAGGTCCTCCTCTTTGATGTGGAAGGATCCAAAGGCACACTCGTCTTCCTTGAGGGCGCGCACCGTACCGTGGTCCTTGAGGATGCGCATTCGCTTGCCCAGCCAGAGCTCGTCTTGTGGCTCCAAGTGAGCCGACTGGAACTTGGCGTATATGCTGTCCCACTTGCGCTTAAGGCGGAGAGTGGACTGGTAGCGCAGATACGAGACCGAGGGGGTGCCGTCTTCGTTCATTTCTGAAGGGGCGGGTAGCTCTGAGCTGAACATCAGACGACGCTGCTTTTTCTTCTTCTTCTTTGCGGGAGGTTTTGATGTCGAGGAAGAGGTGCGAAGAGGGGGCGCATGTGAAGTGACATGCTGCGTAGTGGAGAGGTCGAGAGGTCAGCCTTGTGCGAGGCATAGAGTCCGCTCATCATGATGCTCACAGAGAGGACAAATTCTTCATCGACTGGCTCTTGCTTGACCACTGATGGGCCAGGAGACGCTCCATCATCATCGCTGTCGTCGTCGGCGAGGTCAATGTCAATGCGGAATGGAGGAGGGAAGAAGCGTTGGCGCTCCTGCGTTGACGCGGCTTCCTCTGATTGTCGTCCCTCAGCTGCTGCGCCATTGCCGGCATACATGGAGTGTGAAAGGTCCGACGGCCCTGCTGCTCCGTCCATGCTGGAATCAGAACAGACGTGAGAGCACCGCGGTGGAGGTGAGATCGAAAGGACGAGGAGTGAACGGAAGGCAAAGGTGACGACGAGGTCGCTTTGTCGACGCCTCCAGAAGTGCAACACGCTCGACGCGCCAGTCCGCTCTCTCTCCGTTCAGTCGTCGAGCCTCGGCATCAGGCCGCCAAGCAACACAACTCACACCACTCACGCCGTCAAAACGAGGTAATCACCACCTCCAGACGGCAAACTGTTTGTAGGGGTTTTGCATTTTGTTGTGGGTTTTCGCGATTATTATCGACTCTTCTCCGATACATGGGAGTCAAGAACATGTCGTGCGGTACGAGGGGCTATAGTGAGTTGAGGGAGAGCGAGAGAGGGATTCAGATCGGGAGCCGGGGTACGGGGCTCAGGCAAAGATACAGCTTGCGCAGATGAATCGCTGAGTACTACCCTCCTTCAACGGTCCATCAGATCTCCCTGGGTACGTCAATGTACCTTACAGCTTCTCCTGGTTGCTAACTTGGCTTCCCTCCGAAGGGGACTGCGACTGCATCGTGTCGTTGGACGGCACGCGCTGCGACCCAGGCGCGATGTAGTATCTGTGCCCAGCGACAGCGTAGGCTCCAAAGGCAAGGATCATGACACCGCCAAAGACGACGCTGGACCAGTTCATGCTCATGGCAGTGACGGGCGTCGTCGAAGGGATAGCAAGGACGATGCACTCGAACAAGGTCCAAACGATGCAGGTCCAGCGGATGAACTGGCCGAAGAGACCCTCGCCCAGGTAGAAGGGACCCTTCTGCTCGCGGAAGCGCACCTCGGGGTGGTCTGCGAAGATGGTGCGGCCAACAATGGGGACCCAGTAAGAGAGGTCCATGCCGAGGGCAGCGAGGGAGAAGATGGCGGCGATGGCCGTGTAGTTGATCCAGGCCAGTTGGATGAGAATGATGTTAGCCAGCACAACGAGCCAGACGGCGTTGATCGTGACCTTGGTGCGTTTCTCGACGATGGCGAACCAGCCAGGGATGGCGCGGTCACGAGCCAGGGCGAAGAAGGTACGAGCGTTGGCCTGCACAGCGGTGATGACGACGAAGAAGGCGACGGCGCAAGCGAAAGGCCAGACGACGAGGAAGGCGACCTTGCCGCCGCGGTTGAGAAGGATTTGCGCAACGGCCAGCTCTCCAGGCCACGTCGTGATGTCGGTCGAGGCAACGTCACCCATGGCGAAGACAAGGGCAATGTTGAGGAAGAAGCCCATCAAGCCGGTCACGAAGACGGCCTGAACAATGGCTACGGGCGCGGCAATGGCGGCACGCGAGACCTCCTCTGAGATGTGGGCGGTAGCATCGTAGTCGGTCATAACGAATTGGACCATCTGCAGTCCGATGAGGAAGGCCAGCGACTTGCTCCAACCACTAGCACCTGAGATGTTGACAAAGGCGTCGGCACCGCTAGTGTACTCGCCAGAGGGCGTCCTGGCGAGGACAAGAATGGCGATGACACATGTGGTGATGAGGTTGACAAAGACGTACGAGGCCGTCAGGCGAGCGAGCCAGCTCGTAGGGAACGAGTTGATGACGCCAGCGATGACCATGATGCCGATGTAGAGACCGACAATCTCTCCCGTCGAGGCGACGAAGCGACCGTCGGTGATGACATAGGCCCACGCCATGATCATCGACGACAGACCGTAGGCCGATCCTGAGATACCAGCAATCTGACCCAGGCCGTTTGCCCAACCGACGCCGTAGGCGGTGATCTTGGAGTAGCGTTTGGGAACGAGGTAGCCAGAGGCCGAGTAGAGACCACCACATGAGGGGAAGGCAGAGACGAGCTCGCCAATGGAGACACCCAGCGTCATGTTCATCACCGAGCCAATGAACCACGTCCAAATGACGGACGGCCCACCTCCGGACAGCAAGGGGGTATTGAACGTAGTGATGACCGACGAGACGAGACCCATAATGGCCATGGCGAAGGAGAAGGTCGACAGGCTCCTGAACTCTCGCTTGAACTCGCTCTTGTAGCCCATCTGGGCCAGACGAGCGTCATCATCCTGCTCGGAGCTATCATCTTCGCCGACTGGGTTATGACGGACGACGGGGTCTCCGCTGGGATATTGTGAGTGGTCCTTCTCTGAGTTCGAGGTGTTGGACCCTCGCCTGCCAAAAGCAGCGGCAATGGTAGAGCTCATCTCAGCGAAGAGGTGCTCAGGGACAAGACACGGTGATGGCTAGCGATGACTGCGGATGGGCGGAGGGGAGTGAATTGGCCGCACGTCAGATCTTCTGATCGTCTGATCGTCTCGTGTACCAGCTGTGCCTGATCGCCCGCAGAGGCGAGGCGTCCGGCAAACAGAGTTGGCACTCCTCCTCCTGGGTCGAGGCAAGACTCACACTTTCTTTGCAACTCTAGTCGTCTGAGCGAGTCGTATGAGAGCGCCGTTGTGGAATGGAAAGATGGGTGGTGGCAGTGGTGAGTTGACCGTCGGCGCTGTGGTGGATTGAAGAGGAGGAGGTCTGGCAGCGCTGGGCTGTCCGACAAATGCCTTGGAATATATGAGGCGAGGCCAGATTTCCAAAAGACCAGGGTGGGATGCGAAAGCATCCGGGCTGGCCGCACTAGCCGGGCTCAATTGAAGGCATCACACTTTCTCGGCGCACGCACAGAGAAGCAGTACTGTAGAGCCAAAATCTGCTGCCTGGGCTGCGCTCGCTCCTGCGGACTTGACGGCGGCGGCAATTGCGAAGGCGAGTGGCATCTCTCAGATGTCAGGCACATGAGCGGAGACGCGGACTGGAACCACGAGCGACGAGCGACGAAAAGGCCTTTGAAATTTTGACACCCACCCACGAAAAACGAGTGGCGTCGAAAGCGGGAAGGCCATGGCCAGTCGCCAGGGCGGAGAGGCAGCGGGGCCAGCAGCGTAAGGCTAGACCAGCGAGTCTACGGCGACAGATGCCCACCAAGAATAAGACGGCCGAAATGCCACTACAGACCAGGGGCCGTCGAGTGTTGCGACGACATTGAATGGTGTGCGGGGACGATGGCTCTCACGGGCAACGGCTTCAATGGCATTGCTCATCATGCTGCTTTGATGAGGGGGCCCGGGTACGGGCCTGCTGGCTACCGTACATGGGGCGACAATGGGCGGCGGGAGCGATCTATCCCCGACGCAATCATGGTCACCACAGCTTGCCCATCGCCCGTCGACCACGCCAAGGGTCTGAAGCGATCGTCATGACCTTGCTTGTGTGAGCACAGCCTTGCTGCAATGACGAAGCAACGATGCCTCTTCGCAGGAAGCAAGGTGAGGATATCAGGATGGGGTCGGTGGTGATTCCGTTCCGATTTCGACTTGGCCGGCTTGGGCCGCTCCCGGTCCGACGGTCGGTGCAAAGTTGAACAAAGAGGACGAAGCCTGGAGACGATGCTGAGAGGCTGTCACGACCAGATCATCGACCGCCACTCTCCTGACTCCTGATCTTCACACAGCTCATCATGTGGCCCTTCAGCTCGTCGTCATCATCATCGGCCTCAGCGTCACAGCCCTCGCCTCAGGCTGAGGCTCACACTAATTTCGTAGACCCTTCCTCTTCGACGACTCCTCAGCCTCAAGCCGCCGCCTCTTCAGCCTCATCAAATGCGCAGCAAGCTGAGCAATCCACAACCGACTACATCCAATCGCACAAGTTCGCACAACCCTCGTCCTCATCCTTCGACAGCACCTATACCCCTACTGCCTCCTCCCTCTTCTCCGGTGCTCAATTCGACGCTGCCCGCCTTCACCCGCTCGCCGGCCTGGGCAAGGACGAAGTCGAATATCTGGACATCGTAGACAACCAACCCAACCAGCTCGAAGGAGCACGCACGGCTCTCCCATCTCGCGGCTGGAGTGACGATCTCAGCTATGGCACCGGTACGACCTACCTCTCCGGCCTGGCAATTGGTGGCCTCCTCGGCGCCCGCGAAGGACTGGGCCGACCCTTGGGAGTCGACAACCCAACGATGCGCCTTCGCCTCAACGCCGTCCTCAATCAGATGACGCGCAGGGCCAGCTTCTTTGGCAACAGTGCGGGCGTCATCGCTTTGATCTACAATGTCACTGATGCCATTATCGACAATGTTAGGGGCAAGCACGATATGGCGGGCGCGATTGCCGCCGGTGGGATTTCGGGAGCGATGTTCAAGGCTACGGCGGGTGTGAGGCCGATGGCTGTCGCGTCGGGGATCATGATGGGAGCGGCTGCGAGCTGGACAGCTGCAAAGCAGGCGCTGCTCTAGTAAAGGAGAGACTTGGTAACAGTGTAAGGTGGAGTAATGGACGCTCTCCATGGCGTTGGAACCAAAAGGCGGGACATCATGCCCTGCCACCCTCACAACTCCTTTGTACGATAGATCGCGGCTGAGAGCCGACTGCACACAAACATGAGATTTCCACGAGGCCATCTTTGCGCGCATTCATTTGCAAGGATTGCCTCCCATCTAGTAACCTCCACCCCCTGCATCCCTTCCATGCCCGGCCATCTTCCTCCTCTGCTCCTCCTCCAGCTTCGGACAATCCTGCACGGAGTGCCCAAGACCACCGCAAATTGCACAAGCCCTGATTTGCCCACCAGCTGTAGCTCTCGGATCCTCAATGGCAGCGAGGAAGGGCGGGATACGCTGCTTAGCCTCCATCAGCAGATACTTGAGGTCGAGCAACGTCTGCTCAGGTACGGACATGTTGACGAACGTTGTGGCGATACCAGTCTTGCCGCTGCGACCTGTACGACCAATCTGATGGACGTATGACTCAATCTCTTTGGGCATCGTGAAGTTGATGACGTGCTGAATCTCGTTGAAGTCCAATCCTTTGCTCGCTACCCCTGATGCGACCATTACGTCCTTCTGCCCTGACTTGAAGCTGCGGATTGCGTACTCGCGCTCGTCCTGCGTCTTGCTTCCATGAATCGCGACTGCCTCCACTCCCTTCAGTAGCAGATACTCCTGGATATCGTCTACCTCGTTCTTGTTCTCCGAGAAGATGATGACCGGCGGGGCAGTCTTTTGGAGACATTCGAGGAGGTAGACCATCTTGGCCTCTTGCTTGACGTATTCTACCTCCTGGACGATGTCGAGAGAAGCAGCGCCTGCTCGACCTACATTGATCACGACGGGGGCGATGAGAGATTGCTCGGCAAAGTCTTGGATCTTTGCGGGCATGGTGGCTGAGAAGAGGAGGGTTTGGCGTTGTTGCTTAAAGAAGCCTGCGGGTAAGGGTGCCAGAAGAGGTCAGCTTGTCATAATTGCTGATAGCAGACTCACTCCTGCGATTCGCTCGCTCTGCACTCACTCATGATATTCCTCACATCCTCCTCGAAGCCCATGTCAACCATCCGATCCGCCTCATCCAAGCAGAGGTACTTGCAGCACTCGAGGGTGAACTTCTTCTTCTCGAGCATGTCCTGCAGTCTGCCCGGCGTAGCAACAACGATGTGGAACCCTTTGTTCATGGTGTGATGCTGCTCCGCCATGGAAATGCCACCAATGCACAGTAACACTCCGATCTCCGGGTATCCATCCTCTGCTAGTGCTTGTGCCATCAGCTTAAGATTCTCGTACGTTTGTCGCGCCAGCTCGCGAGAGGGACAGATGATCATACCCAGCGGCCCCTCGCCACGAGTATATGGCAACTTTTTCTGCTCTTCGACAGCGAACATGACGATGGGCAGTGAGAAGGCCAACGTCTTGCCGCTTCCCGTGAAAGCAATGCCGATCATGTCCCTGCCGCTGAAGGCTGTCGGTAGGCCTTGCATCTGGATGGGGGTGGGCTTCTTGATTCCCTTGGAGGCGAAATGCTTGATGAGGCAGTTGGGAACCTTCATATCGCGGAAATTTGTGATGAGGGGAGGGATGTCCAGACCATCTGCGAGGACATGGTGCTGCTCCCTCAATTTCACATTCTCCTCCTCTGTACGCTCGAGGACGAAGCGTGGCGCCTTCCAAGACGTTTTCAGAGGCTCGGTGCAGCTGATGCCCTTTGCGAGCTCCATGTCACTGGCCAACTTCCTTCGCGCGGCGTGAGCCTCGAGGATCTTGCGCTCCTCCTCTGCCTGTCGCTCAGCTTCCGTCTGAGTGGCGTAGGCTTTGGCCTCTCTCAACGCTCTTGCTTCGTCGAGGAGGCGAGTGTTCTTCTGCTTGACTCCCAAGTCCTCTTCTGCATCCTCGTCGTCAGATCCATCGTCGTTGCCGTGCTTGGCACCATCTCGTCTTGCTGCGCTGCCGCCATCGCCATTGCCATCCACCGTCGCACCATTCGACTTGGACGATGAGGCAGTATTGGCCCCACCCGCACCTGCCTTCGAGGTTCCACCACCTCTCGCCCGCACCTTCTGCAGCTCCTGTAACTTGCGCTGCTTCAGCGGCACGTAGCGCTTCGACTCGTAGTCATCCTCGTCCTCTTCGTCATCGTACGAGTACTTTGGTACGTCGTCGTCCTCGACTGGTCTGCGGCGCTTGAAAGCTAGCGCTTCGCCATCTTGCGCAGCGGGCAGAGATGATGGTGACGACGACGCTGAAGCTGGCAGTGTCGAAGGTCCAGCCAGAGCGGATGTATCTGGAGTCATGGCTGGCAAGATGGATGGGATGTATGGGATGCAAGGCGCAGCTCACATCCACACACGACTTGGAGCGCGAGAGACGCAAGGCGGACTGAGAGCAACTTGGAGCGGAACCAGCCAAGGCCACTTTTCCACTCGTTTGCACAGTCCAAAGAGGGTATCGTGGTCATATTGTCAAGTCGAGGGAACAGAAATAACTGAGAGATTCTCTAAATAGGTAAAAAGGAGTCCAAAAATTGCGCCCATTCATCGACTACTCTATTTTGCCGCTCTACCAGCCGCAACAGGCAATGCCGACGGGCGGGGCAACGCACTCGTCGTCGTCTTGGGCGTCGTCGGCGATCGAACTGCTGGTGATGAAACGATGCCTGAGCCGCCTTTCTTCAAGCTGGTGGCCACAGAAGGTCGCGCGATGCCCGTGCGAGGTGAAGTGGGGCTCTTTAGCGTCATGGAAACCCCCTTTGACGTCGGCGTGGAGGGCGCAATGGCCGGGGCCGTAATGGCCGATGATGCTGTTGAGCTCGATGAGCCCATGCTGTGCTGCGTCGAAGCAGGCGGTCGAAAGCCGCTTGTCCGAGGCGTAGCTGGAGTACCATTGATGCGTGAAGGTGGCGCAACCGCTCCAGCTGGGTCTGAAGGTCGTCTCACGGTCGTAGGCGACTTGAGCCCCTTGGCGGAACCTCGCGATGGAGTCGGCAAAGAAGAACGCGGAGCAGCTGCTGGCCTCGGTCGAGGCGAGGGGGCTGGCTGAGCAAAGCTACGCTGTGGCTGAGGCGATGGCACAGGCGGCGGTGCAATGAGAGCGATACCATGCTCCACACGCACGCCGTCCTCTGAGCCGTCCAGGATCTCCATTGCGTTGTCTTGGTGATGCTCATGATGCTGTTCGTTTTGAGCGCTAGCAAAGCTACTGCTGCGAGGTTTTGCCTCCTCGTCAATGAGCGACAATCTCGCAAATTCAGGTGGAGTTTTCGCCTCATCCACCTCTGTCTCCGTCAGAGAGCGATCGGTTGCCGTGCTGAGACGAGTCGAAGCTTCGATGGCTCCTGGCTGGGATGACGGTGCAGCTTGATCACTGAGGGCACTCATCTCCTCCTTCTCACCGATGTCCGCCAACTTCATCTCCTGCGACGCATGCTTGGTCATAGGCATCGAGTCGCGGTAGTTGTCCACCGTCGTTGCGACACTGGTCGCACTGTCGCGTCCACGGGGCAGGCTCGACCAGTCCGACGAGACGGCAGTGCTCGGCGTGTCGAATGGGGAGGACTTAACGTCCGGTGAGGAAACCTTCGCGAGAGGCGAGGACTTGGTGTCAGGACTGGGAATGACGTTGGCGGCGGCGGCGGCGGCGGCACCTGAGGCGACGGCTGCGCTTTCGTTCGACGCCCGCTTGATGGCTTGCAGCGACGGCCTCGCCTTGGAGGGAGCCGGAAAGTCGAGCTCTGAGAGCATCAGCGATTCCTCCTCGTCTTCGTCTGCCGCCTCTGCTTCGGAGCGGAAGCTCTCTTCCAGATCGGGGCTCTCTGCTCGTGCGACGAGGCGACGAGGGGTCGAGGGGATGGTCGTATTTTTGGACAGTGATGGATGTAGAGCCTTGGCTTTCCCGTTCACGAGGTCCGCAGAGCGAGGCGACGACGCCGAGGAGAGAGAGACAGCGAGACTGGCGATCTCTGTCGCTAAGTCGTCGAAGCTCTTCCCCTTGTTGGTGGCGAGGGAAGCCTTCGGAACCTTGAAGGCGACGCTGTCATTCGCAGCTCGCCCACTGTTGATGCTGGCCTTGACCCTGCCAGAGCCTGCGATCGTTCTTGGGGAGCTGGTGGCCTTGGCAAGACCAGTCGTGTTCGCTTTTGACTGCTGCAGCTTACGCTTCGACCCTCGCGACTGTACGATGGCATCAAAGGCGCCAGTCTGGTCCGCCAACTCCTGCGCAGGCGTGGTGATGTCAAGGTCCGACTCGCCCGAATCGTCATCGTCGTCCTCCTCCGCAATGCCATCGCTGTCATTCTCGCTCGAGTCGTCGCGAGCGTATCCTCCAGTACTGAAGCGCGCCTTGCCGCGCCTTCCAAGCGTAGAGTCAGACGCATTTCCGCCCTGATTAGCATCACCATCAAGGGAGAGCGTCGAGTTGCGGAAGGTACTGCTAGCATAGGGATTTGTGCCAATATTGCTACGCCTGGAGGTCAAGCGCGGGGTTCGCATCTTCATCGGCGGCCACGCACCGTCGTCGAGGTCCTCATCGTCGTGCAGGCCCGAGCGCAGACGGGACGTCCGTCGTCGAATGGGCGTGCTGAGCTGCGTAGGCGTGTGGGAACGAGCCCCATCGTCGTCGCCGTCATCGTCCGTCTCCCACGCCGAGCGTGAGATGTTGGACAGAGCCGAGTTCTGCTTCTTCAAGAGGTGGAAGTGACGTCGAGCTCGATGCGCGTCGGAGCCGACTCCTCCCGTCTCTGCAGCTTCGCCAGCAGCAATGCCGTTGTCACCGTCGCCGGCGCCTACTCCCGCCTCGCTCCTCCCTGCCAGCGCACGCTCTTCCGGTGGTGGGCTGGCAGGAGGCGTGGTTTGCTGTGAGAACTCGCGATATTGCTTGACAGAGCGGAGCGAGTCGCTGCCGACGGATGCTTCGGACATGTGGCCGAGATGACTGCCGATTGAGACGCTTCTGCCGAGTGCTGCTTGAGCATGACGATTGAAATCGAATGCGACGCCCACGGAGTCGTGTGTGGGCGAAAGCATGGAGAGGTGTGAGGTTGATCCCATCGAGTGCAGCGACTGCTGACTAGCACGACCGTGGCTGTGCCCCATGGACTGCAGTGACGCTGCGTAGTCTGGGCCGTGCTCGATGGCGTGGGCATGGATGTCCATAGGCAGCCATGATTTGGCCGAGAGAAGACTAGCTTGCCGCTGTTGGTACTCCTTCGCATCTGCCTGCTTGGCTCGCGTTTCTGCGGCCAGCTTCTTCATCGAGACGGGGCCCGACGAAAAACGACTGTCGATGGATGGAGACACGGTAGAGAAGCTCGTGCTCCGAGATATGGATGCTGGAGGGCTCGTGATGCCTGAGCGAGCAGCAATACTGGCCCATGTACCACGGCCGGTCAGGTCCATGGGGCTAAGACCCTGCGGGACGAAGGGAGGAAGGTCTGGAGAGAAGGAGTAGAAGGCGAAAGGGTCTTTCTCGGGGGGCTCGGGCGCCTGATCCGGTCGAGGAGCAAAGGGCTTGGTAGAGCTCTTGCGCACAGAAGGCAGCATGGCCCTCTGCTCGTCAAAACCCATCGATCTAGTTGGGCGAGATTTCTGCCTGCGCTTCTTTCGCGGCGTATCAGCGTCGTGTGTATTGCCCGAGCCGCCGTCCGAGATCGTGGCATCGCTGTCTACCTCGTCTATGCTGATGCTAGGCGTTCCTACTGCGGAGGAATGGATAGTGGAAAGGTGTGACGAGCGTGTTGTGGGCGTAGCCGGCGGCTCGTGCTGCTCTGATTGGTAGCCAGACGTGGATCCCTCGACGTCCGACTCGGCATTGCGCTGATAGAGGGCGACGAAGCTGGTGTTGGAATTTTCGCTCGCCCTGCTGAGTCTCTGCGCCAGAGCATCAATTGTCGTCCGTGGCTGTCCACCGTGACCCTGAATAGCATTTCGGTGCTCATTTTCGTACGTAGAGTCTTCCCACCCTGGCCCAGTCTCTGTCTCGGCATCGGAAACGTACGAGCGACGCTGGTGTGCCTGTCCCTCAATGTCGGACGGCGTCCCGTGTGACGATCGTGCCTTGCCCTTGGAGTGGTTCGTGTGATTGCCCTGCGGCCCTGCTTCCTCTTCCATGCTGGGAAGCGACTGACCGGCTTGTCCAAAAGCGTTCTCCTCTGCCTCCGTGTCGTCTTCTGCCTCGCTCCTTGCCTCTGACCATTCCGGGCTGGACCATGTCGATGAGCGCCGGCTGCTATCAACGCTAGCACGCATGACGGCTGATGAGCCCGACAGGGAGGTGAAGGGCCGATCACCTGAGGAGCCGCCCCTGGACGACGTCGACGGGCGAGGCAGATCAGGCAAAGGCTCGTTGGGCGGCGGTCGCACAGCATTACGGCTACCTTGGCTACCCCCTGATCTACTGGAGGCGTACGAAGACGTCGATCGACGTCCGGAAGGTAGCATCGGTAGTGGCTCACTCGGCGGAGGTCCTCGTGGTGAGATAGGACGCGTCGATGAGCTTCTCGTTGAAGCGCGTGATCCAGACCCTTTGCGAGCAGATAGAGTAGAGGTAGTGGCCGGACTCGAGGTCCCTGAACGGCGAGAACGCACGGATGAGGCAAGACTGTCGTAGCTCTCGCGACTGGTGGCAGGAGCTGCTGCGAGGGTATCAAGTGAAGCTCGGCCATCGTCCATGCCGCTCTGCATCCAGACTGTCTCTGAAGGTGGAGAGGACGAGGACGCTCCCGTAGACTTGGCCATGCTGGCTGCGCTGGGTGCGCGAGGTGAAAAGGAAGGGTTCATGAGAGAAGCCATGGTGCCGTGCCCAAGGATAGTGCTCTCTTCAGCACTTGCCGAGGACGAGTCGTGGCCGGAGCTGCTCTGCCCCCGCTCATCCATCTCCTCGAACTCATCTGCACACCACGTTAGGTAGCGAGGATCATTCTGCGATAGTGTATGCCCCTGCGTGATGCCATTACGCCCCTGTTGTGGCCTCAGGAAGCCGTTGCTGGAGGACGAAGAGTCTGAATGTTGGCTTGTCGAGGCAGCAGTCGTCTCTGCAACTGCATTCTGTTTAGCCTGTCTCATCTCCTTGATCTTCTCGCGGAGCTCTTCTCGAGAAGCAGCTGTGTGGTCATGACCTTGGCTGCTGTTGCTACCGCTACCGCTGCTGCCGCTAGTGCTAGCAGTAGCCGTCGGCAGGCGGTCCTGCATCCTTGAAGGGATAGAGGATGATACAGCCACGCTTGCACTGGTCATCGACGACGACGACGAAGGCGACGACGATGTGGCAGTCAAGCAGCCAAGCTCAAGCGCCTACCACTTGCGCTGGCTTGAGTAGAGCTGCTGCCCTTGACAGGGAAGAGAGCGAGGCGGAGTAGGGCCAAGGAGCGATGCAGGAGGTGTAGATCTGGGTCGGTTGTGAGATGCGATGCAAGGAGGGGCCTGAGGACATCCGACGCGTGCCCAGACGTGATGGAAATAGGAGTTTGATGTGAGGAGAGGGTCGAGTAAGAGAGGTAAGAAGATGTGAGGGGAGAAAGAGGATGGCCTGTGATCGTCAACGTCGTGTATTGGACACCGGGCGTCGAGGGGCCTTGGAGAGGGGCTAGTGGCTGCTTTAACAAGGAGAAGATGCCATAGCCCTGGACTCAAAAGCCGGGACGCTGTGCGTGCGGGATAAAGATCTCTATCGAGGAAAGAGTCGTGAAGATGGAAAAGAAGAGATGGTGGGCAGTGATGGTGATGATGATGGAGGGAGAGAGAGTGAAGTGAAACCAGTTCCACTCTGCCCGCCGCACTGAGAAAGTGGTACAGTCGTCCTGGTGTCGACTGAAGCACGCCGTGGTGGGTGAACCGCTCCCGCCTCTGCCATCTGCCCTCTCTCAGGCGAGGAGGCCGCCGTCGACTCGACGAGCGAGCGATCTGCTTCCGACGACGCCTCGACGGACACGGAGCAAAGGAGAAAGAGGGGGCTCGCGGCAGCACAGCAGAGGGCCAAGACCTGTGTGTCCAGTCGCTGAGACGCTCAGACGCAGACGCAGACGCAGACGCAGACGCAGCGGCATCGAGGCTTCGTTGGAGCCAATCGAGCAAGGGCAGAGGCAGTCAACGGCAGCGAAAGGCAGAAAAGGTCAACTCGGACGCTTCCATATGAGCTTGTGCTGCTGCGAGAGGCGAAGTCGGCGATGAACGAGACGTCAAGCAAGTCAAAAGCCAATGCGGATCGAAGCGGGCGGCAGATAGGCAAGCAGAGTGACAGCTGATTGAATGAGCAAGTGAGGACGAAGAATCAGAGGAGCGACTTATCGGCCTTTCGGCACCATCAATCGCCCATCATGCGAAGTCGTGATGACATTTGTCGACGTGACCATAGGATGAGGTGATGACTGAGTAGGCGTTTGTGGTGTGCGTGCAGCATCTGTGTGTTTGCGCCCAACTGGCCATGGCAAGCTGTGGCCAACCCCTCTCTCGCTTCACGCTTGCTCCGGAGCTACGCCAACAAACGCCCGATAGTGCGCCCAGCCAGCCGCCATGTGTCGGCAATGGAGCTGTGAACGGTGGGTGTTGGTAGGGGATGGCAGACTGGTAGCGTTCAGCGCAAGCAATCATGGGAAGCAGGTACGAATACAATTACAAAGATGGGGGGAAACAGGACCCTGATTCTCAGCTAGTCGTCGCAGCTGCTTGGGTCGGCGTCGCTATCGCACTCGCGGCAGTAGCCGGTGCAACCTTCGCTGACGACGGCTTCGTCGTCGAGGAACCTGTCGCTGCCTTAGCAGCCGCCTCCTTCTTCTTCCTCTTGGCCATGGCCAGCGCGACGGCACTCTTGGCCTTATCCACAGCTTCCCTACTCTCCACCAAATATTTTGAGTCCTCGAGCTTGCCGCGCTTACCCCCGGCGCCACCACTAACACCGCTCGACGAGGCCTCCTTGCCCCTCACTGCAACCAATCTGCTCGGCCCCTCTCCCACATCGTCCTCGTTCTCTCCCTGACCCAAATCACCGCCGGCATCATCCAGTCTCCCGGCCGCCTCTTCGAAATCCTTCTGATCCTTTGGCTTCCTTCCCAACATCTTTTCAAGCTTTGCGTACTTTTCCGCCTGCGCTTTAGAGAGGGCCGCCTCGCGAGCTGGTGCAGCAGCGAGATATGCGGCAAGTGACTGAGCCTCTTTCACTGTCTTGAGTCGCCTGCCATTGAGGTCGCGGCAAGAGTCGTTGTTCTCTTCGCCCTTGCGTGCGCTCATCTTGCCGCCTTGCGCTCGTAGCATGGAGCCGAAGCCACCTTTGCCGCCCAGGACCGAGAGACGGAGCTCGAGATCGAGGAATGCGCCATTCGGCGAGAGGGTCTGTAGCGTCGTGTCTGGTGAGATACGCTTGCCACTCCTAGCATAGAGGCGCAGCAGCGAGGCTGACTTCTGGGAGAGGTGAAGGCGATCCGCTACTCCAGTCAAAATCTCCTCTGCGGATGTCGACATCGGTAACCTGAGAGACAATGATTTCGGAAAAGGCGCCATGGTACGAAGTAGGACGGGCACGCTGAGAGGGTTGGGGACAACGAGTGGTCAGCAGTCGAGCTCGCCTTCAGGTGCGAGATCACTTCTCGCATTACCACTGGAGCTCACCTTGTCTCCGCACCATGAGGCATCGGATCAGTGCGGCCGACTCTGGCCCACGAGCCTTGTGCGTGTTGTTGAGCGACTGCAGCCATGGCGGAGGTGATGGATGAATGGAAAGATGCACATCGATGCTGCTCAACTTCCATCTCACTTTCCCCGCGGGTCTGGTCTCCGTTCCGGTCTCATAAGACGAGCTCTCCGCTCGGTCGCTATCCGCCTCTCCTTCCGCTATCCTCGCTTCTTGCTCTCCTCAACCAGTTACTATGCAAACAGAGAGCCAGGATCAGGATCAGGCCACAATGGAAACGGCGGAGAGCTCCGGAAGCTCGCAGAGGCGACAGCAAAGAGTCATTGTCCTTGTCGGCCTCGTTGGCTCAGGCAAGTCGAACTTTGCCAACTCTCTATGCTCCCGCGACTCGCCCTTCAACTTTGTACGAGCCTCACAAGACGTCCTCGGGTCGCGCCAGGCAGTCGAGTCTCTGGTCATGCGCAGCCTTTCGCAGGGCAAGAACGTCTGCGTCGACCGCACAAACGTAGACGCCTCTCAACGAGCTACATGGTTGCGGTTGGCTCACCAGTATCAGGAGCAGACGCCTGGCGTGGAGGTCATCGTGGAGGCGCTCGTGTTTGATACACCGCTGGAGGAGTGCAGACGCCGGCTGATGGCAAGGACAGAGCATGAGACAATTAGCTCGCCCGAGATAGGGCTGCGCATCCTCAACACATTCATGGGGCAATTTCATCGACCGACAGCCAGCGAGGGGTTCCACTGCGTTGCGTCGATCACTCCTGCTCGGCTCCCGGCGCTGCCCAGTGAGGCCGACATTCCAGCTATTCTGGACATCATCGCCGCGGCGCCGAGGATGTTGGAAGGAGGTACCAAGGGGACCAGCCTTGCACCGGTGCGAGGGCCGCCGCGGGGTAGTAGAGGCAGGGGAGGCCAGAGCTGGGGAGCGCTGCAGCGAGGGAGGGGTGCGAGTGGCAACGGATCCAGGGGTGGAGGAGCATGGCGAGGACAAGGAGGGCACTACGATTCGCTCCCCTCGCGCCCGCATGCACCTCAACCATATGTCAGACCTCTGCCAGCTAGCTCATCGGCGTACAGTGGCAGCTACTCGGGGGCAGCAGCAGCAACATCAAAACCGCATTCCTCGACGCCCACATTGCAAGATCACGGCTTCGAGATCGTAGAGAGCAGCCAGTCGCGACCACCTGCATGACGCTTAATTGCTACCAATCCATAGATACCAGGCTATCATTTTTTGTCATCTAATGCATTCTTGCGCTACCAAGCTCAAGGCATGATTGCACATCTCCACGTCCGCATTCCGCACCAGCCCCAACGCTCAAAACGCCCCCATGACCCCCTCGTCCGATGCCCACGGGTTCCTCGTCTTCATCCACTCCCTCGCCTCCCTCGCCGGGCGGGCAATACCCGGCCCGGCAACGCAAAACTCCTTCACGATGTGCGCCATCTTCTCCGCATGACCGAAGTCGTACGCCAGCTCATGCACGTTTTCCAGCAGCGAAGCAAGACACAGCGAGGCAAGTGTCGAGTCTGTTGCGGCTGGTAGGACGTGTGCTACGACGAGCGATCTTGCTGCTGCAGGGTCGTGACGCGTGAAACCGGAGAGTACGTCGGCCATGGAGGACTTGAAGCGTTCCTCGTCACAGCCGGGGCTAAACGCCGACTCGATGAGGGAGGCCACGTCCCCCTTGACTGCGTCCACTTGGGCATTGCCAAGCTCGGAGCGAAGCAGAACTTGAGCAAGGCCACTCGCCGACCCATCGGGGTAGTCGGTTGTCTCTTCCTCGCCGCGAATGCCGGAGCGTGCCCCCGTGATGAGAGCGTTGAGGTCGAGACGTGCTCCGGAGATGGTGGAGAGGGTCCCAAGGCAGACTGACGCTGAATTCCTCACCGCCAGTCCAGTTGGGTCGCCCACTGCTTTGAGGAAAGAGCGTGAAAGCTGGGGATAGAAGGGCTTGAGGTGCTGCGGGATGCGCTTCAGGCATGTGTCGAGCGTGTTAAGAATCGCCGCCTTCACCTGGGCAGCGTGTCGCTCTCCGCATGCTCGAATGAGCGGGCCGGCCAGCCCAGTGGTGACAAACGGCTTGATGGCCACGGGATCCGCCTTCATGACCAAGATGCCAAGACCAACAGCGGCCTGCTCCTTTTGCTCGCCCGTGCCGCTCAGCAGACCAGCAAGGAATACGCCCGAGCAAGCGCCGAAGCCCTCCTTCTTCGCCAGGCCGGGGACTTCGTCCGACAGGCCCGACAATGTGTGTCGCAACGGGATGACGAGCTCCTCTGGGTCCTCCATCGCCTCAACGCAGGCTGCAAGTGCGGGCAAACAGGCATCGACGACGTCTGGCTCGCGCGAGTCAAGAAGGGTGGCCAAGCGACGAAGCCAATCCTTGTTGTAACCCTCCAGCGCGCGCGCTCCTCCTCGCTCTGAAAGGTCGGATGCGAACTTGGAGTAGTAGCGACAGCCGTGAAGAACCTTGCGCTTTTCCTTGTCCGCCGCGTCTCCTACCCAGCTGAGGAGGAGCATCATGAGCTGGTGCAAGGCTTCGAAGTTGTTCACTGCCTTGAGAACCGCGTCCACAGCCTCCTGCAGAGCCTCGCGCGTGTCCTCGTCCTCCTCGGCGTCCATGGCTGTTGCGAGAGCGCCGAGAATCTGCGACAGCCGGCGGTTGATTGCGTTGCCGGCGACGGCGACAAGATTGCCCAGGGCGCGAGCATTGAAGGCCGAGATGGGTTGAACAAGAAGCGTGGGCAGCGACGCAGGGAAGACGGTGTCCGCACGAGTGCGCATGACTTCGCGTAGGGCAGCGAGCGATGTCTCTGCCATCGAGTCGTCTCCACCGCTGTCCTTGCGATTCTGAAGGGCGCCGAGCAATACAGGAATGACCTCTTCGATAGCGCGCTGGCCCACCGTCTCTTGCAGAGCATCGAAAGCTGAGGCTGCAGCTTCGCGAACAGCGGGAGAGCGGTCGGTGAGTCCTTGGCGTGTTGCGGCAATAAGCGCGTCTTCGTGATCCTCGAGCTGAGCTTCGGTCGCGTTCTCCAGCAGACTCTCGACGGCAAGCATGACACCAGCGCGCACGGCGGCTGATGCACCAGCATCTGACCCACGCTGTTGCAGCTGCGGCACGATCTCCTCCAGCACCGATCCACCCAGCTTGCGCGTGATCTCTCCGAGCGTGCGCGAAGCAATCTCGCGCTGATCCTCGCCATCGCGGCTGAGCGATCGAATGATCAGATCTATGATCATCGGCAAAAGCTCGCGAATCGTCTTTGCCGTGTTGACGATGATGGCCTTCCAGCTGCCTGAAGCCGCCTCGCGAACATTGAAGGCTGGATCCTGCCTGAGGCAGAAGATGGTCGCCATCGTACGCACGAAGCGCTCCTCGCCGAGCACGTTCTTGAGACGGGACTGCACCGAATTGGAAACGACGACGCTCTGCTCCGGGACCTCGCCGTCCTCTCCCTCTCCGCCCTCGTCCGCTTCTGCGGCCAAGGTGTTCTTGCCCGAGATGCCGCCGAGGCGGAAGAGGAGCTCGGAGCAGAGGGAGAGACTCGATTGCCTGATACGGGGAGTATCGTCGAACATGCTCTGCTCGAGTTCGGGAAGGAGTAAGTCGACCGCGTCCTTGGAAAAGCTGCCAATGATCATGCGACCAGCACGCATAGACATCTCGCGGACACTGTCGCTGACGTCGGCGAGACCATTGAGGATAGGCGTGATGATGCGACTGACGTAGGGACCGAAGCGGACCGCGCCGAAGGTGCCCGGCAGGTAGATGAGGAGGGCGATGCCACCTTCTCGGACGTGGGCCTGCGGGCTTGAGGTGTTGTCCAGGACCGACGGGAGAAGAGCTTCCAGCCTGTCCATGCCCAAGGCAGCGAGCACTTCCGAAAGACCTTGAGCCGCACCTTGTCGATCGACACCAGTGACGTCTGCGCCTCGCAGCTGGGCCATCAATGAGGGCACAAGGTCGGGGAATTGTACTTCTCCCAATCGCTCAACCATGACGCCTAGGGCACGAGCAGCCTCGGCACGAGTCTCGGGAACGGGCGAAACGAGTACCTCACGGATGAGGGGCATCAATCGAGGCAAGTGGCCACGCAGATCCTTGCCGTCTGTCAAGCTCGCCAAGTTGCCCATGATCTTGGCACCATCGCGCTGCACCTGCGCAGATCTGTCGCGCAGACCACGGTCGACGATGGGCACGACTAGTGCAAGCGACGGGGCGTCGAGGTAGTGGGCGAAGGTCTGGGTGAGTAGCTTGTGAAGTGCAGGCGCCGTCTTCGAAGTCGGGTCGACGAGAGCTTGAAGAAGTGCAGGGACCATGGACTTGATCTCCGGGTTCTTCATGACAAGACCGAACTGCTTGAGGGAGCGATTTCCTGCTGCTCTGACCTGTGGATGAGCGTCAGAGAGAACGCCAGAGAGGCGCGGAATGACAGTGGGAAGGGCAGCGGCGAGCTGTGCTGGGGCAGCTGATGAGTAGGCACCGAGCAGCTCGATTGCGCCCTTTTTCGTGCGCCACTGCTTCTCTTCAAGACCCTCAAGCAACGTCGGCAGCATCAGCTTGGCGCAGAAGGCGGAGACGTTGGCCATCATGACCTTGGCCGTCTCCTCCGTCGCGTCTCGAACCTCAGCCTTGCTGTCGCCGAACGATGCAATGAGCTGATGTAGGACACCGCCCTCGATAATGTACGGCTCGAAGAGACGTCGAAGGATAGCAGCCATGATACCGTAGCACTCGACAGCACTTTGCCTAGCATTGACGCTGCTCTTGTCCTCGATGGCCTGGGTGAGCTTGCTCATGACGCCGAACTCGGCCACAGCAGAGATACCGCGTCCCTTGATGATACCGGCAAGACCGTAGGCCGCTCCTCGTCGATGAGCGTACTTGGCGCCTTGGAGCAAGTCGGTGAAGAGACGCTCGACGAGGCGCGGTACATCACCCTTGATTGCAGGTACAAGAGCAGGCAAACAGTCTGCGACGGCAACTTGCACCATCTCGGAAGGGGTCTTGAGAGCATCGAGGAGGCGTTCCACGATGGATGAGATGCGCTTGTCTGTGGCAGACAAGTGGCGAGCAAGTCGACCAAGCAAGATGACGACTGCCTCCAACACACCGTCCAGCGCCTCGGACGGAGGGGGAGGCTTGGCGAGGAAGCTCTCAAATCGGGTGATGAGCTCGCTCAAGCGCTCCTTGCCGTGCAGATCAACGACGGAAGAGGCGGCGTCGAGCATGTTCTGCCTGACGTCGTCGTTGCGGTCCCCGAGAGCCTCGTCTTTGATCATGAACTCGAAGAATGGTTCGAGGTCCGTCGCTTGCAGCTGAGGAGCCAAGTCGCCAAAGGCGTGCGCAATTGCGGTACGGATGCGCCAAGGGTCCTCACGGTTACGAGTGCTCTCGATGATCATGCCAAATTGGTCGTACTCGGCCGTCAGGATTCGGTTGCGTTCCTCGTACAGCTTGTAGAGGCTGGTGAGTAGGGTAGGAAGAGCCTCAGGATGAAGCTCGACGGCACCAGCGAGGGCTTGACCTGCTGCTCGGCGGACGTAGGCTCGATCGTCTTCGAGGTATGGGATGAGCGTTGAGCCAAACTCTTCGGGCACGTCAAGACCGTTGTCTTCCCACGCCTTGAGCGCTAGTCGAGCGTTCTCGGTATCCAAAGGGTCGTGGCATGCCAGCCACAGCTCGCTGCTGTACTCAAGCTCGCTGAGGTCGAGCGATTGGATAGCTTGCAAAGCGCCGAGGCGAACGTATGTCTCTTGCGCCAGCGTATGGCTGAGCAGCTTGGAGATTTCGATCGGCAGAGCCGAGTCCTTGATGGCTTCGCCCATTGAGCGCAGCGCTCCAACGGCGTCTCTCGCCAGTCTTGAGTGCTTCTTGACGATGGCGACGAGGTCGTCGATCATCTCGCTGCGGGGGAAGCGCACGTCCTCGCACGATCCAGCGTGGAAGTCGATGATCTCAAGGGCGAGCTGGATCTGCTCGAGCACGTTGTCGGCAACAGAGGTTTCGCCTTCGCCTACCTCCTCTGAAACGCCACTAGCGGTGTCAATGCCTTCTTTAGCGACAATGAGGGAAAGCAGCGGAACCACAACGGCAATTGAAGCCAGGCTGAGAGGCTCTTGCTCAGACAGGAAGCGCAACCTGTAGAGGACCCGCAGGAGCTGGTCTCGAAGAGTTTCGCCCCGGAAGTCTTCGGCGACCAGGTCGTCTGAGATAGTGCGGAGCAGTACCACTTGAAGAAAGAGCTTCGCCTCGGCCAGGCGCGAGGAGGCGCACGAGCAGAGGGCAGAAAAAGCGGCGAGCAGCCCCGAGCGGTCCAGTTGTCGAGCTTGAGGGATCTGAAGCAATTCGCGAACGATACGAACGAGCGAAGGCAGGTACGAGTCGAGCTCCTCGCTCTTCGCGGCGACGAGAGCAACGATGATCTGCATGCCTCGACGTAGCGCTGACTGCAAGGCCGCGACCTGAGCCCTGATCTCGGCTTCGACCTTTAGTTGAGCGTCGACCTTGCTCTTCTGCTCTTTCGTCAGCGTCTTGCTCTCCGCAGCCTTCTTCTTGGCAAGCTCAGCTCTGAGCTCAGCTTCCCATTGCTCCGTTTTTGCGTCTTTGCGATTCTTGTCGATATTCGCTGGCTTTGTCTCTGCAAGAACGTCGACGAAGGTGACATCAGGCGCAGTAGCGAGGATGCCGAGTTCTTGCTCTGTCAGGGCCCTCAATGCTTTGCCGTCGACTGACGCTTCAATGTCGCCGACGAGCTCTGCAATGACAGACTCGGGGGCGTGCATTGCCAGCGTTGTCACAGAGGCCAGAGCAGCCGATTGAAGCACAGAGTCGGCGAGGCCTTCACGGCAGATTTGAAGCATGGGCATGAGGTGATCTTCGACGACCTGGCTCGCCTTGACTTGTGTTTGCATGCAGAGGCTAGCAAAGGTCGCGTGCTGCGAGTCGTTGAGCTCGGGCAGGTGGGAGCACAGGAGCAAGCTTGAGAGGACCTCTTGCTTGACATCAGACGTGGTCTCGCTGCGCAGAGATGACGCTGCAAGGAGCAGAGCCTTCAGCGACTGAGCATGAGGGTTCTTCTTTGCAGGCGCTTCGTCAGAGACGGCGTTTGCTGCGGTCGACTGACGTTGCTCGTGGACCCAGGCCAGGATGCCATTCTTGACGATGGTGGCAATAAGAACGGGGTGCGAGGCAGCGCAGCCTTTGACAACGTCCACCGCCTGGCGACGGACTTTGGTATGCTCGCTGGTCAGAGCAGCCTGGATGAGCGCGTGCGCGCTTGCCTTGCGCGCTCCTTCATCGCCTGCCATCTCCGTCGCTCTATGCAGCCAGACGCTATGAAGCGCTCGCAGCAGCCATGTCTGCTCATCCTCTGCCGTAAACTTGCGATGCACCTTGTCCCACAGTAGGAAAGATGGCTTCGGCGAGGCGGTGACGAGCAGGCCTTTGAGCACTTCGTTTTTCGCAGCGAAGTCGCTGATCTTTTGGACTTCCTTGAGGGGGCTCTCGACAAGCGCAACGGCAACGAAGCCTTCTAGAGGCCCTGATGGACTCGTCAAAGTGCTCGTCGTCGCATTCTTGAGATTAGCTTCGAAGGCTGGAAGCAGAGCCTCGCCGAAGGCAGCCAGAGCAGTGCTGTCCGCACCGGTCTTAAGTTCCCAGATGGACGAGCCGACGATGCTACACGCCACCTTCCGCAGGGGCACTTTTGCGTTCTGCAGCTCCTTTGCTACTGCTTTGCCTACGAGAGTGAGTGCTGCATGGTTAGCACCATTTGAGGGGGAGCTCAATAGCGCATACAATCGGCGCATTACGGCTAAAAGGGCGCCACGCAGAGACGCTTCCGTGGTCTCCTTCGGGAGAAGCGTTGCGATACTCTCTGCGATCGATGATGATGCGACTGGCCCAAGAGACTCGGGGAATGCGGCCAGCATCTCGTACAAGGCGGCTCTCTGATCGGGCGACGAAGTTTTGCCTGCCGTCTTCAGCAACGCTACAATCTCTTCCGCCGCCTCCTTGAGCGCCTTCTCGTCCTGCACGAAGCTGATAAGCGTGACGAAGAGGCTGATGGCCTTGGCTCGCGTGGCTGGCACCGATGACCTGCTTGCTGAGATGATGCCAGTGAGGAGAGGCTTGACATGTGGGCTCGTGTCGTGGGCATAGCATTGGAAGAAGGCATCCTCGATTGGCAGCGAGACTTCTGGCGAGCGTATCAAGAGCTTCTCCATCGTCGGCCGCAGGCTTTTAGCGACGTCATCGTCGGTGAGGTGACTGGCGAAGAAATCTTTCAGCGCGAATGATGCTTGTGGAGGGACGGCTGACTTGGAAGGAAGGACGTGGGTGGTGTAGAAGCCGAGAATTGCATCCTTCTTGCTCCGCAATAGGGTACGGCCGACGCCATCTTCTGCGCCCTTTGATGTCTCTGAGCCTACTCGGAGACGCAAGCAGACGTCGCATATGAGTCCGAGAAGGGCAGTAGAGCGGATCGCATTCGCCGGCGGTGAGCTCGTGATCGTCTCGATGAGTTGAGGAATGACAGCGTGGGACTGCGGAGCGATTTCGAGGAGGTCAGTTGGACATAAAGCATTGATCCATCACCACCCCTCATGCTCACCTCTCGCACCGAGCGCCTTGCCAAGACAAGGACGTTGCGAATGTTGCTGCGAGCCTTTGGACTTTGCTCGCCCACGACGGCATCGAAGGCTAAGGCCATCGTCTGGACAAGAGGAGGCCAGACTTTTGATGACGTCGCATCTTTGAGCGATGCAAATGCGCTGAAAGTTGCCAAGACGAAGGAGAGGAGGGAGATGCGAATGCTCAGGGCTGAAGCGAAGGTTCCCGCAGACGAGACCTTTGCCGCTTGATCCACCTGCTTCTTCAAGTGGGCGACAGCATATAGCAGCGCTGATGAGTCAGAGGCACCTTCTTTCGTCAATGCTGCTCGTAGAACTTGAATCACGATGATCCTCGACGAACGATCTGTGTATCGCGGGGCTGTCTCGAGTGCCAAAGCGACGACATCGACGAGATTGTCTGACGAGAGGGGCTCATCCTCGCTCTCGATGACGGAAGCGAGATGTTCCCACGCCTCTGTTCTTTGTCTTGTACTTGCGGAGAATGCAGCCCTTGTCGTCTCTTGGAGATATGTGTCCCACTGCTGAGTTGCAGGTGGCTGTGGTTTCAGCGAGGACTCGGACTGGCCCTGCTGCGTCGTCGTCGTCGGGGCCATGTCGTCTGCCTCGGAGTCGTAAGGGTCCTCTTGGTCGAGGTCCCTGCTGCTACTGAGCCAGCTCCCGACCTTGTCCTCCTTCTTGCGCGGTGGCATGAAAGATTGAGGGTGACCAAGAATAGGAAGGATGATAGTAGAGTGGAAGCTTTGGAATATGTTCAACGTCGTCCCTTCGAGTTGCCTGCCTGGCCGCCGCCTCTCTTCTGGTCGTCTCTCCGCCGCCTCCGCTTGCCGAGGCTCCAGTCGCAGACGATGGCAGGCGACGACGACATTTCGACGCCAGTCCGCGCCTGTTCGGCTGCTTCTTCCGATCAAGCAAGCAAGCGACCAATCAATCGACGCCATCGATCGAGGGGTTTGGCTCACCAGCGATGTTGACCTCTCAAGACGGCGAAGGTATTGCAGGCCCATCGTCGACCCGCCCTGAGTCGTCGCAAGCAGCGCTCCTTCGACATCAGCCTCCCTACTGGTTCACCTTCACCGCCAACGCCAAGCAGCGGTGGTATGGCCGGCGCATCCTCGACATCCTGACCGAGGAGTTCCGTGATCGCACCAAACACTACTACACTTGGGCTATACACAAGGGCTTGCTCAAGATCAATGGGAAAGACGTCTCGCCGACACAAATCGTTTGCAATGGCGACGTCATCACTCATACCGCTCACAAGCACGAGCCTCCCATCACCTCGGACCCTGTTCGCGTCATCTACAGAAACGATGCAGAGGGTCGCATCGTCATCGTGAAACCCGGCAGCATACCAGTTCATCCTGCTGGGAGATACCTGCGTCATACGCTGCTCGAGCTCATGAAGTCAGACCATGGCGTCGACAAGCTGTACACGGCCAATCGTATCGATCGACTCACCTCAGGAATCATGGTCGCCTCCACCAACGTCACGGCAGCCAAGGCGCTCAGCGGCGACTTTGACGCAGGCAGAGTGCGCAAGGCATACGTCTGCAGAGTCAAGGGCAAGTTTTCAGAGCAAGAGACTACATGTACCGCTCCTCTGATCTCCCTGGATAGACAGACGGGCGTCGTCATTAGCCATGGGGCAGGGCGAGAGGCAAAAACCATCTTCAATCGTCTGTCGTACGACACTGCAACAGATACATCCATCGTTTTCTGTCGACCCGTCACTGGGCGAACCCACCAGATTCGAGTACACGCTCAACTTCTTGGCCACCCTATACCCAATGACCCCATCTACAACCACCAGATATGGGCCCATTACCCACCCACCAGCCTAGCCAACATTAGCATACCCGATCTGGTCAGCCAAAGGCCTGAGGGCGTGTCAATGCACGATCAGGAGCCGGACTCAGAGAGAGCGATCGCGCAAACCTATCTGGACATAGTCAAGTACCTCGCCTCGACACCACAGTGCGCTACCATCATAGAGTCGCTCAAGAATGCCAAGGACGAAGGTGAGGACTTTTCCCGCTTAAAGGACGAAGTTCGATTTGCTGCTTGGAATAAGGAAGCAGGTTGGCTCGAAGGCGACACAGTCGAAGGGCTCGTCAATGCTGAGCCTGCCAGGGGCAGCGCCGCTGCTACGAGCGATGATGACAATGGGCAGCACTCCCTCGGCTACTGTTCAGAATGCTTCCTTCCCCTCCTTCCTGACCCGGAGCCAAACTCACTACTCATATACCTCCATGCCATTCGATACGAGACGGACGAGTGGTCATTTGAGGACGAGATGCCCTGGTGGGCCATGGATGATTGGGCGTCCCCCGGTGCGCTGCAGAGGGCGAAGGAGAGGAGAGCCGCAGGTCAGGCAGTGAGGCCACCCAGACTAGGTCTGGTCAATGAGGAAGAGAGGAAACCTTTGGCTCCTTCGGCGGCAAATGTGGAGAAGCCTGCCGCACCAGCTAAGCAGGAGAAGGCCGGCAAGAAGAAATCTGAACAGATAGGCATTTCTCTCTCGGCCCCACTCCCAAGGGCAGGCGATTGGCCTTGCCTTTTGGCACATCCATGGGCACCGGCCAACACGGTATCGCAAAAATCCTCAGCGCTCGCCGCCGGCCCTCAAATTCAGATCGTGCTTGAAGTCTTCCGCGGCCTCGAAGACTTTGCCCGCCTCGACCTCCTCAGCCGTCTCCGCGCCAGCCTCCCACCCTCATGTCCCGAACCCGCCATCCAAACAGCAATCCAAAGCTCCCACCTGATTCTTTCCCCCTCCCTCACCCGCTTTGCCCTGGAGACACCCCTACCATTCACGGCGGGAAAGCACATCCTGCTCTCTCAGCGGGCGCTGCCTGACGAGCTACTTGACCAGCTGATGGAGGATCGCGTCAAGCTAGGGACTTACAAACTCAGAAACAGAGCCATGCGCGCCAAGAAGCGGGGTCAAGGAGCGAAGCCTGCTTCGCAGGAGGCCATCGCAGTAGCCGAAGAGCAGCAACAGGAGCAAGCATGCAGCGCCCTTCCCGACGAGGTTGAGAAGATGGCGGACGGGTCATTGGCCTCCGAAGCCCGGCTGAAGGAGCTCATCAGCGAGATGTGGGCCACAAGCAGCGAAAACTTCAAATCCGCAGTGAATTTGTGGCGCGCGCAGCGAAGTAGAGCCCGACGATCGGATCGCTGGACCTGGCGTGTCTCGGTGGAACGCTCGGCGTACAAGTTGCCCAGCCTCGTCACCATCGATCTCGAAGGGCATCTAGCCGACCAGATCTGGTACACCGTCAATGACGATGTCGATCCGCCCGGGTCGGCGGACGACAAGCAAAAGTATGATGAGAGCAACGTGCCACACCCTGTGTCGCTCAAGAAGGCGGACTTGGTAGTTGAGCTCGTCTTTGCGCCGTTTCTTGGCGCAGCACCTACGGCTGCAGACGAGGCTCGCTTCGCGCCAGCACGAAAGGAGCAGAAGGAGCAGCAGGCCAATCAACAAGGCAGCAACGCACCAGCAAACGTCGAAACCCAAAAGTCGCAGCGACGCCGCCCCCCACGCGGGCAGCAGAACCTCGCTCAAGCATGGGAGAGCAATCCCTCTGGCTCGTTGATGCTGATGATCAAGCTGGAGCATTTCGAGGATGAAGACGAAGACACGGGCGAAGCAGAGTCAGTAGACATTGTCGCATCATCGCTCGCCATGGCCCACCGTCCGAGGGTCAGCAATGACCTCACGGAAGGAGGAACCGCCATGGCACGTTTTCGAGCCTACTCTCTCGCCTCGCTCCTTCCTCTGCCTACTGCCCACACCGGCGACAAGGGTCCACTGCGCATCTGGGAACCTTGTGTTGGCACAGGCACCGTGGCCATCGAGCTTGCCGAGCTTCTGCGTCAGCGTCAGCTTGAGGCCACCGTGTACGCTAGCGATGTAGGTGAGCTTGAGGTGAAGAGAGCGAGGGAAATCGGGGCGATGAGTGGTTGGCCTGATGAGGTGAAGAGAGGAGGGGTAAAGGTGGAGTATGGTTTGCTCGATTTGAGGGCTGTAGCGAAGGGAACACACGGCAAAGGACTGCAACCGGAAGAGGAAGTGCCAAATACTGCGCAGCCGCCGTCTTGGCCGGCCCCCTCCTCTCTGGACGGTATCATCACCGACCTCCCGTGGGGTCGTCGTGTTCTTGGACATGGCTCTCTCAACGGCCTGTATCTCCACTTCGTCCAATCAGCCTGCCTTTCCCTCAAGCCGCACTGCTATGTTGTCGTGCTCACCCTGGAGGGCAAGACGCTACAGCGTGCAGTAAGGGAGGCTGAAGGTCTGGCGAGGAAGAGGGGGGAGGGCTGGGCAATGCGATTTGAGGAGCTTGCCATTGCCAGAGGGGAGGCCGAAGCTGTTCTTGCCGTGGAAGAGCAGGGAAGGAGACAGGCGAGGGAGCTCGAAGAGATGCGTGTGGTCGAGATGGGTCTGAGGCCAGTCGTGTGTCTGCTGAGGAAAATTGCCGTTGAATGAGGAGGTTGAGAGAGGCAAGAGGTCACTGGGTAATCGAGATGTCATTTGCTTTCGATAATCAAGCATCATGCTCCAGGCCCCTGCAAAAGCTCCTTGAATTCGCCGCTGCCGTGAAGAAGGTCGGGGAAAGAGTGATCAGCAAAACTGTCTCAACCAAGATGCTACGCCTTGACGACTCACGTCTCGATCTGCTCCTTGAGGATGTCGAGGCCTAAAAGACGCAAGGCGATGAGTATCTGTGAGCGAAGCAGTCGACATGCGCAAAGATGGTGTTCCACTCACCTCCGATGAGTTCGCCACCGACAAAGATCTGCGGGAACGTCGGCCAGTCGTTGAGCTTTTTCATCCCCTGTCTGACAGCCTCGTCTTGCAAGATGTCAAAGGTGCCTGTGCGCGGCAACAAGGAGGGACGAAGGGTCAGCGCCTGGTAATAGTTGCTCGTGATTATCTTCGCTACTCACCGAACGCTACGCCCTCGCTCTTGAGCAGGGCCACGGTCTTCTGCGAGAAGCCACACTTTGGCTGGTCGGGATTGCCCTTCATGAAGAGGACGACCTGCGAGCGAGGGGCGAGGGGCCGCTAGGCGTTAGCGGATGAACAGAGGCAGCCTTGAAAGTCCCACCGCACTCACCTTGTTGCTGCTCATGATCTTCTTGCACCTCTCAAAAAGCTCCTCCTCCGTTTCATTCTGCGGCGGCTTGTGCAGGGAATGGTCGCCTACGGAGCCTTCGATTGCTCCCTGGTATGTCGAGGGGGCGGCGCGGGGCTGCGATGTCGTCGATGAAGACGGCTGATTGGCAGCACCACCGTTCGTAGAAGTCGATGATCCCGATGCAGCATGTGAAGCGAGGGCAGAAGCAAGGAGCGAAGCATTGGCCCCCGACACCCTCGAGAGGAGCGTGTGTCCCCTCAGCAGGACAAAGGTAGGGACCGAGTCCACATCGAATGACTCAGAGACGTCAGGCTGCGACTCTGCCTCGACGCTGAGAAACCACACCTTGGGGTACTTTGCTGCGAGCTCCTTGATCACCTGGTTCATCTGTTGGCAAGGCTCGGCCCAAGGAGCCCAGAAGTTGAGGACGCTGATACGGTCCAGGTCGGCATTCATCGTCGATGTGAACTCCTCGGGCGACTCGATGGAGACGAGATTGGGCAGGTCAGGCGATGTGGGTGCGGTTGCTGTTGTCATGGTGGGCGACGACGATCGATGATAGGTGGGAGCAGGAGAGAGTAGTGGCGGTGGTGGGAAGACGAGAAAGCGCGAAGCATCAAGCGGCAGTCCGCTGCTCTCCACTCGAAATTGGCAATCGCGGCCACGGCGAGCGCGAGGCAGGCGCATGAGTCGAACGAGCGAGACAAAAGGGTGAGACGTGGTAGGCATTGCACTGAGACGCCAATGGAAAGTCGCAAGCATGAGACGAGACCACAACACAGCTGATAGTGGGGGCTTCTTTGCGGTGATGACCACCACTAGCAACAAGGAAGAGTCATACGTTCGCAAAGTCAAGGAAAGTCGCTCATTCGCTCGCTGCAAGGCGGTCGTCCTACGCCCCTCGAGGCCGTGCTTCCGCGTCGCCTCTGCGTCGACGCCCCGACTGGGCGGACCTCGCCCGGGACATCTCAACCCGCGGCTGTTCAGTCAAGAATGTGAGGCAGCCTTGTCGACGTTGAGCACAGCCGGGCCGAGGACACGACATACTCTCCTCCTCGCCTCTCTTCTCATTCCTTTGACAACGCCGCTCATGCTCCCAGCACCCTTCTAGACGCATCCCTCTCTCCCTCTTTTCCCCCCATCCTCTCTGACTGCATGGCCACCCTCGACTCGTCTGCCGTCGCTGGCCCATCATCACGGCCGGCCACGCCCTCGACTTCTGCGGCCACGATTCACACAGCTGCGCAGCGAGGCGACGTCTACACCGTCTGCCAATTGATCGACTCTGGGCAGGCAACAGCCAACGACCGAGATGAAGACGATGTCACGCCTCTGCACTGGGCAGCCATCAATGCCCAGGTACCCGTCTGCAGAGCGTTGCTCGACAAGGGAGCAGTCGTCGACGCCAAGGGAGGAGAGCTGGTAGCTACTCCCTTGCAATGGGCAGCAAGGAATGGTCACCTGTTCGTCATGCATGCTTTGCTTCAAGCAGGGGCAGATCCAACAGTTTGCGACTCTCAGGGCTTCAATACGCTCCATCTCACGACACACAGCAGCGCCGTCATGCCCTTGCTCCTCGTCCTCAGCCACCCCTCCTTTAGCACCAGCCGGCAGCTCGATCACCCAGATACACAAGGCCATACGCCATTGATGTGGGCGGCATACCAGGGCGACGCCATCTCACTGTCTCTCTTGCTGTCGTACGGCTCCAATATTCACGCTCGCGACGAGTCAGGCTTGACCCCTTTACACTGGGCCGTAGTCAAGGGCAATCGCCTCTGCATACGCAAGCTCCTTGAAGCAGGCGCCGACTGCGCAGCCAAAGAGAACAATGGCAAGACAGCTCGAGACATGTCCGTAGAGCTCAAGAGTCATTCGAGCTACGCGAAAGCATGCTCAGATTCGGGGCTCGAAGAGGACGGCAGAAGAAGAAAGGCCCCTCTCAGCGAACGCAACACGCATATTGCCATCCTCCTCATCCCACTCCCCACCTTTTACCTCATCTTCACAATCTTCGGCCTCTTCCCTTGGTATACCGCCGTCCCCTTTGCGGCAGCCACCTTCTCCGGTATGCACCACGTCGTCACGCACGTGATCCTCGACCCAAAGCAGGGGGATAGCATCAAAAAGAGCAAGTATTTCCTGGCCATCGTCAGTCAGTCCATCATACTCGTCGGCTGGAGCTGGTTGCGTACCCTGGTTCATTCGACCCCGGGTCACATGCTGGCAAATGTCACCTTCTTCGTCTCCTGGGTCATCTGCCTCGGCTCCTTATACCTCGCCGCGAGCCTCAAGCCAGGCTACTGCGTTCTCCCCAAATCGGAGACCTACAGACGGCAGATGATCGCCCAGCTAGCAGATGAAGGCAGGCTCAATGGCATGAACTTCTGCATCGATTGCCTCGCCCGACGCCCGCTCAGGAGCAAGCATTGCCGCATCTGCAAGCGCTGCGTTGCGCGCTTTGACCACCACTGCCCATGGGTAGCCAACTGCGTAGGCGTGCGAAACCATCGACAATTCATCATCTTCCTTGCTAGCCTGGTGGTGGGAGTCCTCTCATTCGATTGGCTGGCATGGCAGTACTACAACCTCAACGCACCTGTGCTTATGCCGCCCGCGGTCGAGCCCTTACTGCCCACCCCATTATCGTCCGTCTCGGCGTACGACTCCTTCCTCCTAGCCAATGTCAGCTGGGCAAGCTTGCAGCTCTCCTGGGTCACGATCCTACTGGGCGCGCAGTTCTACCAGATCGCGAGACAAATGACAACGCTCGAGGTGAGCAATCTAGGACGGTACGGCTTCATGGGCGGGAAGGGAGGCAGCTCGATGGCGACTCAAGAGGGGTTCATGGCGCAGCGCCAGGCGGCGATAGATGCTGCGGCTGCAGCTGCGGGGGAGGCCGGGCCATTGGGCGTAGAGGGTGGGGAACAAGAGCAAGACGCTTCGAAGCCAGGCGCGGGTCACCCTGCCCCCGCCGGTGCCGCGGGTGGCAGCGGTGCCAGTGCGGGACATCGTCATGGTCATGGCTCTGCACTCGCGTCGGCCAAGCGGGTCGGCGACTGGCTGCTCAGTATCGTCGGTCTCGACCTGTACACGAAGGGCAAAGCAGGCGAAGGTCTTCGCAAGGCGGGTCAAGGTGGCAACCCCTTCGACCTTGGCCTCACGATCAATTGCCAAGACTTCTGGTCGCGCGGCCGCGAGCTAGACGTATCATACGAGTCCCTGTATGATGTGCCGGAGGAGGGCTTTAGGGCGCGTCATCGCTCGGCGAAGAGGGCACGGAAGAGGAGTAGCAGATACGCGGATAGTATTTCAAGCTTCAGAGGGTTGTTGGGACGAGATGAGGAGGAGGAGGATTACGGCGGGTATGGGGCAGAGGCCATGGATGTTGAAGAGGGGAGGATCGGAGAGAGAGAGAGGCTGTTCGATGCTGAGAGGGAGGCCGCTGCACTGGACGATGAGGCTGCGGGTGGCATCGTGAATAGGGACGCATCGGCAGGCAGGAGAAGCTTGAACCTCAAAGGGGCGTGGGAGTTGAGTGATAGCAGGGTCGGGGCTCCTTCAAGTACGAGCAACGGGCACGCACATCACGCGAGCAGGGAGAGCGCTATCGACGATGCTGGGCCATTGTCGAGACCGATGACGCCGGGCTCGGCCAAGGGCAAGGCGTCGCATCAGGACTAGGCCGTGGGCGAGGCAATGGACGATCTGATACAGTAATTGCATTGCGTTCCTCATCCCTACAGCGTCGTTGCATTAGCATCATTCTTTCGCGGCTCAATCCTGACACTAAGCCGGGCTCGCGTTCTCCTCGATGATGCAACTCGTGTTTCATCCTGCGTTTCGTTGCATGAGCGTTTCATTGCATGAGAGGTGGAGCAACAATCGGCTCGAGCGATCATCATCCGGCACCCTCCTACTGATCATGGCACAAGCTCAAGACGACCACGATGCAGCACTATCTGGAAGAAGGCAAGGCCCACTCTTCAAGGGCACCGACTACTCCTCCCAGGACTACTGGGAGCGGCGCTTCGCTGCCACGGCTGCCATGGTGAAGTCCGCAGAGCAGCGGACCAGCGAGGCTGATGGCGCTGAATTTGACTGGCTGGGATCAGGCGATGAGCTTATGGACAGTTTGATGGCGCAGATGGTTGCTGGGAGTATGAGAGATGGATTGACGTTGAACATCGGTAGCGGCAGCTCCCGAGCTGGGCGTGGGCTGCGAAGACGATTTGAGGAGAAGGGTTGGGACTCACGGCAAATAGTGGTGAGTGGACACACTTGACTGATCGCGCTGTCCGAACGAGAGACAATGCTGATAGCGTGCGATGATTCTTATCGTCGCAGAATCTCGACTACGCTCCAGCAGCCATTGCGCTGTCAAGAATGTCCGAGGAGAACTGCTTTGGTGACCTAAAGACTCAGCACGTCGTCGCAGACCTGCTCGATGGGTTCAGCCTCTCACAGGAGATCAGTACCAGTGTGACAAGGACAAATGCGCAGCAGGTGACCGCAATCTTTGACAAAAGCACAGCTGACGCTCTCTCGACGGGCCCAAACCTCCGCGCCCTCGGGACGAAGACAGGTATGTTGAGTTTCGTCGCTGAGAGGAACGGACCTCGACCTGCTGCGGCAGAGTCGTGGGCGCCCGTCGAGGTGCTGGCCTACAATCTTGGGCGGGTTGCAAGGCCTGGAGCTTTTTGGGCGGTACTCAGCTACTCTGCACAACGCTTTGACTTCCTTGAAGCAAGCGGCGGGCGAGGTGTGAAGGAAGCACAGAGGCTGTGGGAGGTGATGAAGAAGTGGGCCGTTGAGGCCCCGAGCGGTAGAAGCTTACAGGATACTCATGCGCCTGCCGTGTATCACTGGTGCTACATTCTGAGGAGAAGATGTAATGGTCACGACCACACTTGAGCTCTGTCTTGTCCATCAATCGATATCGCCAAACCAATGACCGTGACATGACGCCTTTCGCCCGTTTTCAAAATGAGGGCCCGTGCGACACTCGAAGTCGCCGAATGACCCTGGTTGTTTCTTCTCACTCACTCCACTCCATCTTTCCTCCCGCCCTGCTCACTCTCGCCACCATGGCAACGCAACCTTCCTCTTCTTCGCCACCCTCGTCGATGAAAGTCCTCACCCTGAACGTGTGGGGCCTGGCGCACATCTCCAAAGCGCGGCAATTCCGCATCGGCCACATCGCCGATCGCATCGCAGAGGGCGACTGGGATGTTGTAGCTCTTCAGGAGATTTGGGTCGAGAGTGACGATTGGCGTATGCTCAGAGCGAGATGTTCTGATCGATTGCAGTACTCCAAGTTCTTCCTGAGCGGCGCCTTTGGGTCAGGCCTAGCCATCCTGTCTAGATTCCCGATTAGAGCCACGCATACTCACCCTTACACGCTCAATGGGCTGCCGATTCATGTTGGCCACGGCGACTGGTTCGTGGGCAAGGCGGCGGGAAGTGCGACATTGGACTTGGGAGACGGCTTTCTCGTCGATGTCTTTGATACCCATGTGAGGCGGGTTGAATTCGACCAAGACGTAAGATATTGTCTGACACCTTCTGCTTCCTGCTCACGTCCACCTCGCTCAGACCGTCGCTGCTGGAGGAGAAAGCGGGCCAGAAAAGAGCCGCTCACATCGCATCGTACAAGCATGGGAGCTGGCCAAACTTGTACAGAACAGCGCCGAGCGAGGACGTCATGTCATTGCCCTTGGCGACTTCAATTCGACACCACCCTCCCTCTCTATGTCCATCCTCCGCCACGTCGGTCAGCTACAGGACGCCTATCTCGCAACGCATCCCTCTCTTCCTCCTCATTCGACCTCCTTGCCTGGCCACGACTCAGCAAGGGGTGCCTCACCTGATCCGCAGCGCTGCATCGACGAGCTAGGCGTGACGTGCGACTCGCCCCTCAACACTTGGACAGCGGGCAAGAAGCTCGACCCTCGCGCGTTGGCTGGAGCGGGCAAGAGACTCGACTACGTCTTCTATCGTGGACCTTGTCATCCCGACTTGCTGCAAAGCTCAACAGCCGGAGCGAGCATTCGACTCAAGCCAGTTGACTGCAGAGTCGTCTTCACCGAATTGATCCCTGGAAGCAACATGAGCTACACAGATCATTTCGGGCTCGAGGCCGTCTTTGAGATCTTGCCTAAGACAGAACCTTCAAGTTCGCCGGCCAAATTCTCAACAGCCCTCGCGTCAAAGAGTGTCGCACAGACGCTGACCACCGCCATGACCGTACTGAGCTCGTACTTGCAAGTCTCTCGCAACACGCAACGCTCACATATCTTGGGATTCTCAGCATGCGTCACTTTGGCCCTCGCACTAGCTGTGTTCACTCCCTTCGTCGGCTATCGGGGCTACAGCTTCTGGGCTGCCATTGCCGTTGTCCTGGCCACAGCGGCTGGATGGGGAGGAACGACGCTACTGTATTCTGCGGTGGTGTGGGGAGAGTGGGAGAAGCGTGAGTACGTCGATCACGAGGTTGCAGGACTCATCTCTGACGTCCTCTCCCTCGCTATAGGCGCCGTTCGTACCGTGATCGAGGCCATGGAGCTCGAAAGGAACAACCTCGCCCACATCACAGCTGCCGAGCCTCGTGGCAGCATGAACGGCTCATCCGATGAGCGCAGAGCGCTGCTCATCTGATCAGGGCGCGTAGTGGTCAGTGATGAGGACGGGACTTCGGCGGGCCCACATGCTTCGATTTCCCGGCTGGGTGTGCTACTAATGAGCCGCCACTGTCGGGGCGATTGCCCTGGCCTATGAAGACACTGCGTGACGCCACACAGCGGAAGACCGACGTCATTGGCGCCCTCACATTTGGCTCTCCATGATGTGATCTCGCTCGTCATCTCTTCTCCTCTTGACCATCTTCATCAAGCTCATGCTCAACCTCACCGAACTGCGCCGCCTCAAGGAACCCCTCGTCATCGTGGCCGGCGTGCCCCTCACGGATGTCCAAGTCTGGGAAGTGAAGGACCGCGTCACCATGCAGATGGAGGTCGTCGCCTTCCACAGTGTGGGCTGCACGCTATGCACTTTTTTCTACCTGGCCCTCTTTTGCTGGGCAACGCCCCGAGTCCGCCGCAGTCTCATCGCAATCTTGTTGGGCATCGCCGTCGTCGCCAATATCGTGACAGCGGCACTACTGAGTACCGCTAATTGGATTACGCTGGGCATCAATTCCAGCCCTCGGGAGCTCACTTTGAAGCCAAAGCTGTGGACTGCGATCTATGCTATCGCTGCTTGTGAGTGCAGACGCTCTGTGATGGTCGAGTGAAGCAGACCTCTCAGAATTCTGCTCCTTAGTAGGGGTCGCCATACTATGCAACGCAACCTTTATTCCTCGGCTATTCCTCTTCTATCCTCGAGCAAATCGCAAAGATTTTCGCCGCGGACTCCTGCTGACCATCTTCCCTGCTATCCTCCTGATACCCCGCGTCATCCAAAGCGGCATAGGAGCTTGGGCAATTGGTAGCTCGCCGAGAAAAACGGACATTCTCAACAAGGCGCAGGCTGCGGGCTTCTTCTGCACTTTTGCTTTTGAGTCTTACTCGACTGTCATTTTGTGCTACAAGCTTAGGAAGGTGGGATGGGCGCGTCGTAAGAAGAGCAGGAATCAGCCGCTCGACAAGATGGTGAACGTCGTGAGGTGGACCTTTTTCATACAAGTGGCAAGCTTCGTGAGTGCACTGGAGATGCCACCTGAGGATAGGGGCTTACGAGCACCGAACTGCCTCGCCGCAGGCTGTCCCAGCTGGCATCGAGCTAGCGCTCTTCACTTTGTCCGTCCGCAACGAATCCTGGCTTGCGCCACGCATCTGTGAGCATTCTTTGAGACACAAAGTCGTACAACGTCGAATGATGAATGCTGATCGCCTCGCGTCCTTCTCAGGGCTGCTCAATCTACACATGTACACTGTCGTCATCGGCACCAACTTCGCGTGCTTCTGGCCAGTCATTCAGGCAGACCGCATCAGGTCTGGTCGGGCTTGCGATTCTAACAAGTGAGTCGCCTGCACCTTGCGGAGCTAAGGAAAGCAAAGCTTTGTCTTCATCTCTGACTCGGCATTGATTCTCGGATCAGGTTCGTATTCAAGTTCGACGCAGACATTGACCACGACCTCAAAGATGGCGTCACGCGCATCGATTCGGCAGCCGCAAAGCCTTCCATCGAGCAATTGCACATCTTACGCAAACGCGAGTTACTGCACGGCTTGGGCAATTTCCAAGGCCGTGAGCTGATCAGTCCCGTTCGTGCTGGTATTGTCACTGCTCCGGGAAGACCTCTGCAGGCACCATCAGCTTCGGCGGGTAAAGCACCCTCCTTCAGCTCAGCATTGCCGTCACCCACAAGTGACTCCTCCGTCGAGCTCAGCAGACCTTTGCCGGTCGATGGCACTCCTCCTCGCTCCGCTCGTGCGCTGCACAGCGACCTCTTTGTCGATGTGCGTTGCATGAAGAGCGACTCCCGTCCGACCACGCAAGACAGTGCCAATGGGCGCCATGACTGGCCTCGTGCTGCTTCTAGCATTGCTCACGGCGATAAGCATACGACATTGTCGCACGACCGCCCCAACTGCAGCGGCAATCGACTTGACCAGATCATCGTCCCTTCTGCTGCTCATGCCCCCTGGCCCCCGGCATCGGCAAGCTCCCCAGCCCACGACAATCGAGGCAGCCGTCGCTTCCGTCAGCATATGTACAGACGCAGCCTGTTCTCTCGCACCAACTCTAGCTTATCGCCTCCATCTGTGCGAGATCCGATCCTCACGCCCACAAGGCTGTCGGAAGTGACCGAGGTTCCCCACGAGTCCGGCACTCTCCGATCCGTACGCGCCTCCGCCGAAACCATCAATGCAGCGCTGTCCAATGTCCAGGCAACGGAGCTTTGCGCTCAGTCACGCCGCAGATCTGATGAGATTTCGCGGCAGTGGTCTCGGTCCGACATCAGCGATGGGCAAATCAACAGCGCGAGCGCTCTCGCTGGGTACGAGCGTCACTTCTCTCCCAGTGGTCAAGGCTACACGCAAAGGTCGGAGGCCATGTCGTACGGACCGCTCACTCGGCAATTCAGCGGCCGTAGCTTTGCCTGCAGTGGTATCAGTGCCGGCAGCAGCGACCACTGTGGCATCGACCATGGGCCTAGCGGGATAGCCGATGTAGGGCGCTGCGAATCCTTCACTGGAAGAAGTGTGCCAGTCTCTCGAGCCAGGGCTCAACTCGATGGATGCGCATTTGATGTGCGAGCAGATCACCTTCGTCACCACCATAGCCACCAACACTCTGCCAGCTTCCTGACTCATGAGGCCGACCTCGTCAACGCAGAAGTTCGTCGTCCCTCACGATCCCTTCCGCATCTGAAGCGAAGCAGCCGACCTGACCCTCTTCTCACAGCTAACGTTGAGTGGCGCGACCCCTCCAGCGAGCACCTTCAAGAGGGAGTGGAGCATTACGAGTACTACCACCGACACAATCGTCGCGATGCAGGTCAGCACTCTTGCCAAAGGTCGAAGAGCGCTGATTTTGAGCGTGCGAGGAAGGGTAGCCTTGATGCTATTCGGATCGAGACCGAGGTGCGGGTTGACGTTTCGTAATTGAGGAGCAGCAGGACGTTCCAGTCTACGATTCGTACGTAACCTCTGCCACCTCCAATGACGATCGCCAGTTACTCGCTGCTACTCTGCGCAAGCCGCGTAGTGCGGGTATCATTATCGTTGCTGCTTCTTACAATCATTACCTCATGCATGCAATCCAGCTCCTACTCCGCGAATGTGCGAGACGCGAGATCACAACGTGAACAGAAGCGGCACCGACCCAGTCTACGGGCCCCCGCGCAGCTTCCTCTTCGCCCACTGAGCCAGCGCAACCTTGAGGTTGACCTGCTCTCTCGCCGGAATGACCCGCAAATTGATGGCATCACTCACGATAGTCACGACTGCCGTCGAGCTCGCCGCTACAGCCTTGAGCAGCCCCCGCACAATTGCGTTCTTCGGGGGCTGCGGCGGGGCCTGCCCTGCATCAGGCCCGTCCCACTTCAACAGCTCCTCTGTAGGCGAAAGCGAGTTGGCATCACTCGCGGCCCTCCACATCTGATCCAACAGCTCAGGGTGAGCGGCCCTCAACTCCGCAAATTGCGGCGACGTCTCCTTGTCATATAGCCCCGAAACGACGACGGAGTGGTGGATAGCCTCATTCGTCACGCCCGTGTACACGTTGTCCTTCCAATCCTGCTTCTGGCTCTCATCCGCCTCCGGTTTATCCCGGATCTGCCTCGTCTCCTGCCACTCAATGAACGATCGAGAGGGTTTGGGCGGTTCCTTGGCCCAGGCGTAGCGACGATCTTGTAGGGAGCGGAGGATGGCAACATCCACGTCAACGAGAGGCTCCTCGGGGGCGTGCGTGTCGAGTAGCTGGGCAACCATCCATGCCAAGGCGATATCACTCAGCCCGTGATACTCGTTGCTACCGCCCACACTCGAGTGGGCGCCATTGAACCAGACCTGCTTGAGGACTTGGCCCTTGCGACGCGCTTCCTCCTGAGAGGGCCAGGGCTTGTACCACAGAGTGGGCATGAAGTCGCGACGATCCTCTCCGAGTGCGAGGGCTTGAAAGGCGTACGATACATTGGAGCTCAGACCGGGGTCGAGGAATTGGTACAGCTTTGATTGAGGGAAGAAGCCTGGGATGCCCAGTGCTCCGACCGTGTCCCATACGCCGAGCACCTTGACTTGCGGAGGGACCGTGACTTCATCATCGAGCGGAGCCCCGTCTTCTGCAAGGAGGGTATTCTTGACAGAGGCAGTCCCAACCTCGTCGCTGGTTCCGTTCGGTCCCATCTTCGCAGGCGTAGATACGGCGTCTGCTCCCGTACTTGGCCATCGCCCGACTTTGTCATGCAGCACTTGTGCCGCCCTCCTGATCGACTCTGGATTGTCTGGCTCGCGCTTAGAGTAGGCCTCGAAGATCTCGTTGAAGAAGACCGACTCGTTGACAGCCCTACCGTCTACCATGGGCCTCGCGGCGCACTTCTGCAGGATTCCTGCCCACGCAATAAAGCCGCTAATGCACCTTGCCGTGTACGCGCCCCTCGAGAAGCCAAAGATGCAAATCTCGTCTCCAGCCTGGTAGTTGTTGCAGAGGAAGGAATAGGCCTCCTGCACCTTGTTGACCAGCGGGGCACCCGTTGCGCCAGTAAAGAGGCGGGCGAAGAGCGATGCCTGCTGTGAGCCGATGCCAGGTAAGTAATAGCAGATTTGGCGCCACTGCTTCCCCTGGGAATCTGGACGGGACAGGGGAGGGATGGCAAAGTTGAGGAGGGCCGGATTGGTCCACCAGTCTCCAGACATTGGCTTTGATGTGGAAGAGCCGTACCGCCATGTTGAGGACACGCGGAAAGAGTCGTCCCAAGTGCCGTCACAGAGGAGGATAAGGCGTTGCGGATGAGGACTCGAGGGAGGTGGTTGCCCGCTGGACGTGGGTACAGATCCATTGACGGCTGTATCGGCTGTGCTGGATGGCATGGCGATGTGAGAGATGGCCAGAGGTTTGAGATGAATGGATGACGACGAGACAGAGGTGGCAAGGAGCGTGGTCTACTGCATCGCTAATATCATGATCCGAAGCATCCTGCCAAGTCCCACGATTGAAGAAGCGCAGGTCATGCGGAGCAAGTCGACCCCCCTTTCCCTTTGTGTGCCGAGTCCGTCGTGCATGGAAGGCGTCCTGTCACGAGTGGACGTGCACAGCCTCGGAGAGGTCGAGGCGTGTACTGAACAGCATCATAGATGACACATGGTGGAGCTGACCGAGCTGACCGAAAGAGTAAAGGAGCACGATACGATAGGCAACGGCAGGCACTATGTGTTCACAAGTCAGCCTCGTTGCGGCTCTCCGTTGCGGTGCGGTGGACGATGCGCAACGAGCCACAACGGTCCGTCAAAGTTGGCAGGCGGGCAGCCCCTCGGGTCGAGCTCTAGACTTGTATCCCAGACAGGAACAATTGTCGTCAGATGTCTGCTGATCGTGGCCAATCGTTTTGCCATCGTCGTCGCGCGGCCGATTGGCGCGATGGCGACGTTGATGTCCAAGGCGACTCAACCGATGAGCCGGCGGTGAAATGGCTTTCACCGCCTACCCCGCGGAAAGGTCTCAGACCACGTGTCTTCAGCGTCGGTGGGGCGTGGTGGGCGTGGTGGGCGTGCCGAGTGTGTGTGTGTGGCCGGAAGAAGAGGTCAAGTCGAGGTCAGCAAGTGGCAGCAGACGAGGCCAACTAATTTGGCACATCTTCTCAAGACCTCTTTCTCCTCCCTCGCAGTCGCTCTCGGATTGATCCTCGCTCTTTTTGCTCCTCTGCTGCCATTGCTTCTTAGAAAGCTGAGGAGAAACCTCTTCGTCTACACTCTCTTGATACCCTCTCCCTCATCATCGACTCTCAGGCGCTCGCCATGACGACGATGAATGGATCCGAAGACTGGCGCATCACGTCCAAGATTGCCCAGGCCGAAAAGGAGGGCAGGACATGGTGGAGTTTCGAGTATTTCCCGCCTCGCACTCCTCAGGGTCTCGCCAACCTCTACGACCGATGCCAGCGCATGTCCGAGTTGGGCCCTGCCTTTGTCGACATCACCATGCACGCCGGTGGGCGAACACTGGACCTCACAAACGACCTCGTCAAGATCGTCCAGTCGTACATCGGCATCGAGACATGCATGCACTTGACCTGCACCAACATGCCCCGCGAGAAGATTGACCGCGCCCTTGAGCTTGCCAAGGAGGCAGGTTGCCGTAACATTTTGGCCTTGCGAGGTGACCCGCCTGCTGGTCAGCACGAGTGGGAGCCTCATGCCGCTGGATTCACTTACGCAAAGGAGCTCATTGCCTACATCAAGGAGCACTATGGCGACTATTTCAGTATCGCAGTTGCTGGCTTCCCAGAGGGTCATCCTGAGGCCAAGGAGGGAAGAGATGTCGAGCTCAAGCACCTCAAGGAGAAGCTCGACGCTGGGGCCGACTTCATCTTTACGCAGATGTTCTACAACTACGACATCTTTGCTGAGTGGATGAAGGACATTCGTGCCGCTGGTATCACATGTCCCGTCGTACCCGGAGTCATGCCCATTCAGACGTACAGCGGTTTCCAGCGAGCGACAGAGAGGTTCGGCACCTTGGTCCCGCAGTACTTCCACGATGCCCTCACCCCGATCAGAGACGATGACGAGATGGTCCGCAAAGTAGGCACGCAACTGGTGGGCGACCTTTGCAAGAAGATCATCGACCCAAACAACGGCCTGGGCATCTCTGGGCTGCACATCTATACCATGAACCTAGAACGAGGCTCTCGCATGCTCCTCGAGTACCTCGAACTCGGCCCCACGCCTCAACAGGTCAAGTCCTTGCCCTGGACTCCCTCTCTTACCCCAAAGAGGCGCGACGAAGGTATTCGACCCATCTTCTGGGCGAACCGCGCCCGCTCCTATGTCAGCCGTACAGAGACGTGGGACGAGTTCCCCAACGGACGATGGGGCGACGCTCGCTCACCTGCATACGGCGACGTGGACGCATACGGTGTGAAGCTGCGCTACTCGAATGAAGAGGCTCTCAAGATGTGGGGCGAGCCCACCACCCTCGACGAGGTAAAGGACCTCTTCCGTCGATTCTGCGCCGGAGAAGTCAAAGCTCTGCCATGGAGCGAGACGGGCGTGGCAAAGGAGACGACCAAGATCGACGAGCAGTTGGCACGTCTCAACTCTTTGGGGTACTTTACCATCAATTCACAACCAGCAGTAGATGGCGTACGCAGCGAAGACGAGATCCACGGGTGGGGCCCCAAGGGCGGCTACGTCTACCAGAAGGCCTACCTCGAGTTCTTCATTGCCCCCGACCACCTCGAGAGACTCATCGCGCAGATCGAGGCAGACCCGCAAATCACCTACCATGCCGTAAACGCCCGTGGGGATATGCGAACCAACACGACCAGTGAAGCTCCCAACGCTGTCACCTGGGGCTGCTTTCCGCACAAGGAAATCGTGCAGCCTACCATCGTCGAGTCTATCTCCTTCCTCGCGTGGAAGGATGAAGCATACGAGATTGGCCGCAACTGGGCGCGTGTGTACGATGCTCAGAGCCAGACGCGCAAGCTGCTCGAGAGTGTTTTCGGCGCCGTGGGGGAAGGAGGAGACACGAGCTCGTCAAACGACGAGGGAACCTGGTTCCTCGTCAATGTGGTGCACAACGACTTCAAGTCGCCCGACGCCATCTTCAAGCCTTTCCTCGCTGCAGCGGGAGAGGACGCAAATGTGCCCGCAGTGCAACGAGCCCAACAGGCGGCAACGTCTACGGCGTCTGCAGTCGCCAATGGGATCTCCGAGGCGACGAGCGCAGTCGTCGAGGGCGTCGATGGGCTCGTCGATGGTGGCAATGCCGCCGTCACCGAGAACGGCGCGCCAGCCATGGCTGGCAGATAGATGTGGAGCAGCCGCGATGTGTCGCCCTCAGTGCAAGCACCACCAGCATAGATTTTCTCCGCCTCTCACCACTCTAGACTTCCTTTCCTCCCCTCCCTTCTCCATCCACAACCCCTCTCCCCAGCTTCACCAGCTCGGAGATGACGTCGTGGTCACCAGATCCCCCCTCTCCTCCCCTCACCTCTCCACCTACCTCCCTTCACGTACACGCCCCCTGCTCTCCTCGACCTTATTTGTTGCATACCACACGTCATCGTTCCATTCCATTCAACATGTTCATAATCAATACATCACGATCACCACCACGATCTATACACGTCTGGGAGTGAAGTGGTGTCAAGCTTTGCTATTGCACATGAAGTAGCGAACCACAGCGACACTGCTGTCACCAGAGGGTGAAGAAGAGCACAGAAGCGAGGCTCGGCGATTGGGTATGGTACGACGAGCGCTCCCCCTCCTAGCGAGTATACGAGCCTCGCGCTTCAGCTGACGGTCCCTGCCTTCGCACGATAGCTCTCCAATGTCGTGGTGACCAGTGGGTCTTTCTCCCGTGATGCAACCACATCGGCGGGCACGTCGTCGACGTCATGAGCGGAAGCATGACCATTGGCTCTTCTGCTGCGAAGCTCCGTGCCCCCACTAGCTGCTGCCACGGCTGCTGTTGACGTTGTCGATCCCGCCGCCTCATCCCCACTTCTTGATGAGACCAGATCGCCCTTCGGCTTCTGCTCGTCTGCCCTCTCCCTCTCCCTCCTCTTCCTGTTGGCCTCCCGCATCTTGCCAAACTTCTCCGTCGATATCCTAGTCCCAAACAACACATCAAAGTGGACAAAGAAGGGCTGCGAGTAGTTGAAGCGCAGCCCTTGCATCTGATGATGCACATCGTGATACTCTGCGCAGTTGGGGAAGACTAGATGCAGGGGATCCAGCCACCAGGGGAAAGCGTAACCTCCGTGATCGCAGACGGTCTTGATGGTGGAGAAGGTGAAGAGGAGTACTCCCTGGCGGACGGTCATGAGGCTGACGAAGTGGGAGAGAGCTCCGCCTGCGCTATCAAGGAGAAGCCCTTCCAGCGGGTGATTGTACAGCGCCCCAAAGGCATAGGGGACATAGAGGCGGTGGTGATGAGAGTGGAAGTGGCGGTAGAGAAAGCGGGACTCGTGGAAGGCTCTGTGCAGAGCGTATTGCCAGGCGTCCATGACGAAGCTGCGGGAAGGGGTGAAACAATGATCAGATAGGTCAGTGAGCAATGAGACGATGGTGCAACCTGTCTGTACTCTTACTCACAAGGCCCACCAGAACTGAACAATTGGCAGCCCCCACCAATACAGCCACTGTACCGCTTCGACGCCGTATCGCTCCAACAGTCCCAAGCCGCTCTGGTATCCAACAGTGCCGTGCACCACCCGTGCGACCACTCGACCCAATTTCTCCATATTCTCGCCATGATCCTGAAAGACCTGCGCCCTCACCGTCTCCTCATCCTCGAGGACGAAGACGCCCAGAACAGTCTGCACGACTTGCTGCAGCAGAACCAACGCGACGACTCTCCTCGCTGAGACCTTGTTGCGTTTGCTGACCTCTTCCGGCTCGTGCAATCGGTATTGTTCAAAGAAGGGGATACGGGCTACGTCTAGGAAGGTGAACCACAGGGAGACTAGCCAGTAGACTGCTATTGGTGCCAGGAGGGCGAGATATTTGTCGGAGAGGAAGGGGAGGAGCGACTCGTGCGGGTGATAGTAGAATGGTTTCCATGCTTGAGAGGGTGAAGGTGTGAGGTTGACGAGAGAGAGACGCGATGAGTAGTAAGCATTGCTGAGCGTCGATGTTGCGTTGAGCATCGTGTATGCGGGCGGGCCGAGGATGAGGCAGACACTTGGTCAAGGGTGGCGAGCGAATGGCTCAGTGGTGATGAAAAGTTGAACGACTGGTTCAGCTGCTGTGTTCGAGCGGCGACGACAGCGCTGGTCAGGAGAGCGCAGAGAAGACCTCTGAGGCGGTGGCGGTGGGAGAGAGAGATCGAAGTCGAAGCGGTCAAGGTGTTATTTGCGAGGCGAGGCGAGGCGAGGCGAGGCTTACCGGACGACTTTGGCTTGACTTGACCTTGAGCGAGCTTTGGCCCAGTTCCGTCCAAGCTGCGAAGCGGCGTCTCGACTTTCAAGAGAGCCGGCATCCGCCTTCTCACAGCCACGTGGTGTCGAGCGGGGACTCGAATCTACGGTGACAACGCTGGATTCATTGCATAGAGGTGAAAAGGCCGCCGCTGCTACTGGTGGCAGGGCCGCATGAGAAAACGAGAGGAGGAGAATATGAAAAGAGATTGTGACGGGGGGCGTTGAGTAGATGCCAAGGAGAGTCGATGGATAGATGCGGCGAGACAGAGCGATAACATAATGAGCTAGAAAGGAGAGCGTAGCACGAGAGTCAAAGAGAGTTGGAGAGGTCGGCGGAGAGTCTCCATCGCACAAGGGCGGCGATGTGGCAATTGTTGCCCAGCTACAATAGAAGACAGGAGCGTGAATAGATGACCGAAATGAGTAACAAAAGCGGCGGAAAAGGTCGGAGGAATCTGGACGTCTTGCGAGCGCACATGCGACATTGCTGAATGAACTTTGTATGGAGGAGCGTACTGTCAAGCGCCCGCGCTCACTGCTGCCCTGTCATGTGCGGCGGCGGCGGCACCGAGTCGAAGCTGATTTCACTGAAGGGATTGACCTCAATACCCTCCCCGCCTGCAGGGCTAAGCAAATGAGGCGTGTCGGACGCCGAGAGACCTGCAGCACTGAAGACCGCCTCGTTGAGATTGGAGTGAGGGGAGGGGTTGGCAGCACCAAAGGGCGTGCCGGCTGCGGAAGTTTGCTCGTTGATGATGCCAGACACATTACCGCCGTGGCCGACCTGACCACCGTCGTCGCCGCTGCTGAGTATGGGTAGCTGAAGTGGCTGACCAGGCGGAGGCATGGGTACGGCCTGGGCGTAGGCCTGCGCCTGCTGCTGCTGCTGAAGCTCCATATGATGCTGCTGGATCCGCTGCTGCTGGTCGGCCTGAGCTTGCATATGGCCACCGTCTCCGCCGCCATCTTGGCCGACTGAGCCTACCTCGTACGGGCTGGTAGCTGTCTTCGAGTTGCGCCTCTCCGAGGGCAGCTTCAGCGAAAGGCTTGCAGTCTGATCGCGCTGCATCTTTTCAATCATGGCGCGTACCTGAGAACGCTGAATCTGGTCGTGGGGCTCGAGACTCTGCGATGCGAGCGGTGGGGCAGGCGTGCCTTGGGTCACGGCCTGTGCGCTGTGATTGGGCATGAACGAGGCAGGCAAGCCCATGTGGCCGGCAGCGTGCCCGGATCCCGGCATCGTTGTGCCGCCGTTATCCATGCCGACTGGCTGCGAGGTTGGCTCTAGCTGGTGCTGGTGCTGATGATAGACGGGCAGCATGGGCGAATCGCCATTGTAGTCGGTGAGGTACGGAGGAGGTTGAGGGGTGACGAGCGGAGGAGGATCGGGGTTTGTAAAGTTGTATCCAATGTGGTTGAAGAAGCCCGACTTCTCTGATTGCTGATGCTGTGGTTGTTGCTGCTGTTGTTGCTGGTGATGAGATGCGAGGAGATGCTGGTGATGAGTTGGCATGGGCGGCGGCATGGATGATTGTTGAGCGGCATGTCCCATCGTCAACCCCATGTTCCCCGAGGACGGTACAGGAGGCGGGCACATGCCAGAGGGGACCATTGCCGGTGCAAAGGCCGTCGAGCTCGAGGCCACATGCATCGGCATCGAGGCTTGAAGACGGTGTTGATGTTCCATGAGCGGTACACCAAGGCCGAGGCCACTTGCCACGCCACTGTGACTCTGATGATATTGCTGCTGCTGCTGCGATGCTGAAGCATGCGGCCTTTGCGGGGGCATCATCGCACCACGGTCGTCGCCGCCTGGACCGAGCGTGAGGTCGAAAGACATCTCAAGGTTTTGAATGGCCCCGTTGCCGCGCAGGCATTGTGCGCTCACTTTAACGAGACCTCCATCGCTGCTATCCAATGGCGTACCGCTGAGGGTCTTTTCTGCTCCGTCCTCATCGCTGTTGAAGGAGAGCCAGTCCGGCTTGCTCTTGATCGTGAAGGTAGGCTTGATCGAAGCAGCCGACATCTGTGGGTCCCACACGCGAAGGGTCCACGACCAAGGCACGCCCCGATGAGCCGTCCTGTCTGGCGGCCCAACGATCTTCCGCTCGAAGCGCTGGAACTCCCACTCCTCGTCAGACAGCTTGCGCCCTTCAACGATCCATACATGATTCCCTTTGCTCTTCGCCTTGCGTCCGTCCTCATTGAAGCGCGAAATGTACGGTTGGGTCCACAGGTACTGGCGGAGGCGCTTGTGCGAACACTGCTCCTCGCTGATGCCGCTCTTGTACACCTCTTCTTGCCAGCGATTCACGAAGGCCTGAATGCGGAACTTGAAGGGACGGAAGTCCTCGCTGTGGTTGAGGCGAGACATGCGCTTCGGCATCAGGGTCTGGTGGATCCCCTCACCGTTGGCGTCTGTGCAATCGTTCGTTGAGCAGACCCAGCGCAGATAGCGATAGAAGAGGGCGTCGAGCTTCTCTTGCAGATCGTGAGGCAGGGTCGGGATCGGACCACGCCCAGGCATGTCCGGGACATCGATGGTGCCCTTGAGCGTCATGACGTGCGCATGCTCGTCATTGCCACCGCCGCCATCCCTGGAGTCGATGTCTCCGCTGAGTGCCGATGGGGCAAATGCATGTTGGGCCTGCGTGAAGCCAAAGAAATTCTCATCAAAGTCCTGCGACGGGCTCCAAGCGTCTTGCGGTGATGCTGCACCACTGTCTGCGGGCCAGTGATGGCTGTTGTCGTCATCGTCAGCCCCTGCTCCGTGCTGACTGATGACGGGAGACGCAGCGAGACTCTCCAGACCGTTGAAAGCGCCATCGAGCACGGAGCGAGTGCGCGAGTGCGCGGGCAGTGCTCGTGGGCTGGTAGGCAGTGACTGTGCAGGGACGCCAACCAAGGCAGCGCTATTCAAGCTGGCAGAGCTGCCCGAGGCCGAATTGAAGCTGGATATGGACTGTTGAACGAGTGGCGACGTATTGTTGCCCATACTCGCCGCTGTCAAGCCGTCGTTGTTGCCACTGCCGCCGTTGGTCCCTGCGCCAGGGTCGTGCCACCCTTGCGATTGTAGTTGACCAGGACCCAGTGGCGAGGGACCAAGATTCTTGAGCTGAGGGACCAGAGGCGCCGAGTTCGTCTGCTGCAAGGGCGGAGGTGCGGAGCGTGGGGGCTCGTATCGGGGAGCTTGCAGATTGTCTGACATAGCTGGAGGAGCAGAAGGCGGTGGTGCTGGCGCATCGACGGGTACGCCTTGGTGTCCTCGCATAGTCTTCATCGGCATGTCGTCCATGGGATTCGTGACCCTTTTCCTGATTCCAGGACTTTCCGGTGGCAGGCTAATCATCGAAAAGGCGTTGGTCGCATTCGTCGTCTCGGAATTCGTGCGGTGGTGAGCCGATCCAGTACCACTGGCGGGCGCTTGTGCTGGTACGCCACTGAATGCACCTGTGCTGATTTGACCGTCCCCTTGTTGAGCGTCGCGATCAGTCTTGTGGTGACGGCCGCGGAGATCGCCGAGCATGTCAAGACTGCGGGAGAGCTCTTCGAGGCACATCGAAGTTGAGCCTTGATCGCCCTTGTGGAAGAGGTCTCTTGCGGTAGAAGCGAGATTGAAGACCTGATCGAGGAGAGCGCCAACCTGGTTGGCAGCGAGTGGCCGCGGCATCCCGCCCGGACCGCCACCTCCTACGGACGACTGGCCATTGGCCGGCCCAGCGGAATTGAGCGAAGCAGATTCTGCCCTCATATGGTGAGGTCCGCCTGGACTCGTGTCGATGCTGGTCAAGTGAGGCTTCTGTCTGGTTGCGCCTGAGATGCGTCGTCGCTGAGTCGGCGATACGCGGGGATTGTGCGCCGAAGGAGGCGGAGCGCTGCTCATCTCCGACATCTGAGAAAGGGTCAGGAGAGGCGACGTTGTCAAAGATGAAGAAGAGCCACCTGCTCCGAAGACGAAGGGCTGATCTGAAGATTGAGGCGGCATTGACATCGCTATACCACTTCCAGCTGCTGTGGTCGATATGCTAGGAGGCCCCTGCGTCGACTTTGGCACCGGTGGGAACCAGGAGTAATCTGCAGACGAAGGTGGTGCAGAGACTGGAGGCGCTGACATGGGACCGTCGTTGAAAGCGGGCAAGAGTCCCTTCGGAGGTGCGGCTGACGTCGAAGTTGATGCGAGGTGGGTAGCCGGGGCTGCAGAGAAGGTGGCGCTTCTGCGATTGTCGACTGGTGAATGCGGAGCGGTGGCTGGTGGTTGAGCCGGTCCACGATTTCCATCGAGGCTGTATGCATTGGTTACGAGCTGCTCGGACGATGTACCTGCGACATCTTGGCGATTGATAGCTTGGAGGTTACTGAAGTCGGGAGCATGGAACCCATCCGGATTCGTAGATCGCCGGCTCGAGCTGCTGCTACCGCCCTGGCCTGGTAGAGCGGCAAAGACTCGTCCATCTTGGACATCTCCGCCGCCGCCACTGCCGCCGAAGGATGGCTGGTGCGACATTCGTCGAGATTGAAGCAGCGATGAGGTGCTGCCTAGTGTTGGCGAAGACACTTGGCGCTGCTGATGGTTGCTACGATTTGCCAGAGAGACGGAGAGGGAATGAAGGATGTCCCCATGCGACTGAGTAGTCCTGTGTTGAGGGTGATGAGATGAGTTGATGTGGGGCTGTTGGCTTTGGATGCGTTCTCGCTGCTGTAGCGAAAGCTCTTGACTGCGCCCGCACTCGTTGCGCTGCTGTTGCTGCCGCTGCTGCTGATGGCGTAGACCAAGGGGCGCAGCAGCAAACGGCGTCGGCCAGACCGACGAAGTAATGATTGCGAGCTTTCTAGCTCCTCAAGCTAGTGGTGAGAATGGGCGGAACGTCGCGCAGGAAGGTGCAAGAAATGTTGTGCCTGAGGTAGGGTGGATGAAAGAAGGCGAGGTGTTGGAAGTGATGGAAAGAGAAGAGAAGTGCACGTCGTCTAGAAGAGGATGTTCTCTCGTCTCGCTGTCTTGAGACCTGCCGAGCAGCGGATTGAGACTGTGATGGTGTGTGGAACCAAGCAGCGTCGTTGTCGTTGTCGTCGTTCACCTACGACCTGTCAAAGGCGTGGGCGGCGGCTACGTTTGAGACACCGCTGCGCCCGGATCTTCTTTCGCTGCGCCCAAGTGAAAGAGGCGAAAGGGGCGACAGAGGCGAGAGAGATTTTTAGCTCGCAGGGTGGAGAGGCAGCGTTTAAAGAGAAGCTGAATGGAATGGGACGATGATGGTGGAAAGAGAGGTATGCGCAATGTCAAGAGAAGTAAGGCTGACAGCTTCTCAAAGAAAGGGTTCTGCAAGCAAGTGATTGTAGCAGCCAGGACGCAGCAAAGCGGTGATGGGTGCAGATACAGCGCCTCGAGCAGCGAGCGCTGCCTGTCGCTGGGCTCAAGTCGGACCGGAGAGAGAGCCTGAGAGTGAGCCTGAGCCTCTTCCTCGCCCTGCCCTGCCCTGCCCGGACCCCGCCTACCTTGGCCTCCGCCCTGGCCCTCGCCTTCACGCTGCTCTCACTCGTCTCACTAGCTCCGCTCGCACGAGACGAAGAAATAGCCTGCGCCGCCGTGGGCTCCGGAGAGGTCAAGTCGATGAGTCGTGGTCAGACCCGTCGCTGCCACCAGAGAAGCAGACACCGTGCTCTCCAAGCAGCGACGCTCGCACACGTTGCCATCAAGCATACGCGCTGATTAAGGCTGCCTAAGCTGCTGAATGTCATGATGGTGGTGGCGCCACCGGACAATTAGGCAGTGGTTGTGACCTTGCTGCACCGCCACGATCCTTTGCTCCGCCCTAGGGAGTCCGTGGCAGTTGCATCGAGCCAGTCTCTAAGCTGTGTACGTGGGAATCATCGATCTTTTACAGCAGCAATAACAACAACGGGGATGTCTATGACCGAAGAATATGTACAGCTGATCGGAAAAATGGTCAGAAGGAGCAGCAAGGCAAAAAGAATGCGGCAGAGTCCGTCGGAATAAGCAGAGTAGAGAGGCCATAGAAATAGTCGCGGGCTTCACAAGCCCATCTTCCTCCTCCTGTAGGCATTGCGTCCCCTCTTCCTCCAGCAGAACCACCCAAGAACAGCAAGCAATGCAACACCCAGTAGCACGCCAATGACAATGCCCGCAATGGCGCCTCCACTGAGCCCGCTGCTTGGCCTCTTTGGGATGATCCTAGGCGCCGTAAGCCCCACGAAGAACGGGTTGCTCGCCGACTGGCCCTGGCCGACGAAGTAAGAAGATATCGCCACCATGGGCGCAACAGTGTCCAGCGCAGGCTCGGACTGATCATAGTCGTCGCGCACGTCGTAGTACTTGTCATCCTCGTCCGGCCCGCCCACGACCGCGCCATACAGGACGTGAAGCTCCTGTGGAGGGGAGGTGTTGATACGCGCCAAGTCTGTCCCACCCGAGGCAAGAGCTGAGTGTGGATTAAAGGCCGAGTTGGGGTGAAGTCCGACTTGATACACCGTATTCATTGGGTTCTTCCCCAGAGCATAGTCGATCTGCTTTTGTGCCCATTGGCGGTAGGCGTCTGTCTTGGCCGAGGTAGAAGCCATGGGTGCGTACTTGAGGCAGAGGACCGCGGCGTTCAAGGCGGGGTTGAGGCTTGCAGAGGCTGAGTTGCCCTTGAACCAGAAGAGACCGCCAGGAGTCGTGTGCGTGTCCTTCATATTTCCCGCGACTAGGGCGTCTAGCCAGACCTCAGAGTCGTTTTGGAACTTGGTGAAGGAGAGGCGAGAGTCTGCCCCGGGCAAGAAGAGGGCTAGCTGTGCCATGGTTGTCGGTACCATGGGCCGTTTCGAGTCCCAGTTCAGGGCGCCGAATGTGGGCGGATACGCATTGGTCGAGTACGTGTCGATTGCAGTCGTCACCCACGAGATGTTCCCCGTCGCCATGGCTGTGTAGGCGGCGCCCAGAATCAGCTCGTCGTCGTAGTCTGTGCTGGGGTACGCCCAGGCGATGTCATCAACGGCTTTTTGATAGACTTGCATCGGCGTTGCTGCGAAGGCTAGCTCTAGGAGCTGCACAGCGCGATTGGAGAGGCTGTCTGCGTATGTGGTGTTGCGCAGCGAGCTTGGTAGGGTGCCGTTGACCGACTGAGAGAGGGGCAAGGCTTTACCCGAGTAGAGCAGAGCGCCCAGAGCAAGGGTAGTTGCCGTCGAGGCAAAGACGTCCGTACCCGGGTTCTCCCTCGTCACCGAGTAGACGGGTCGTGGCTGCGGGATGTTGAGGTCTCCACCCCAGTAGGCCGTCTGGTCGCCGACGAACATGTAGAGCGTGTCGGTCTGCGAGCTGGCCTCCATGAGCCAGTCGAGGCCGTTACGCAGAGTCTCGTCGAGGTAGTACGCCTGACTGGACGAGGAGTAGGCCTCGCCCCAGAGGAGAGCCGACTCGATGATGGACGATAGCGTGTAAGTCAGGGGGAAGAGGGCTTTGATGAAGTTGCCTGCATCGAAGAAGCCTGCGCTTAAGTTGACATTCGCGACCGCTCCATCGGTGAGGACAGACGTGTTCCTCCAGTCGACGCGAAAGTCGTCAGGAAGAACTCCGGCTCGCTGCTCGTCATAGTAATAAAGGTTGGAGCCAAGGACTTCAAGCCATTGGGAGTTGGGACCTGAGGAGGAGGAGGGTACGACAGTCCCTGAGGCAGAGGGGGCCGGCTGCCAGGCGCTCGACGGTGAGGATACCTGAGCAAGCGCGGATTGGGCGCCGAAGAGGAGACAGAGGGCTGCGAGAATGCGAGTTGGGTGACCCATTGCGGGATGAGATGAAAGGAGATGTGGCGCCCTGCGAGGGCGAGCCGGTGTGTCAATGAGAGGTGAGGACAAGGAGTGTGTTGATGAGGATGATGAGTGGAGGGTATCGCTGTATCGTCGTTGGTAAAGAAGGAAGAGAGGGAAAGCAGCCGTCGCTCGAGTCGTCGTCGAGCTCTCTGCCTCCTCTTCTTGCAAGGCTGGTAGCGAGAGGTGAGAGAGGTAAGCTGGGCGCCAAGCCACAACAGCTCAGGAACAACGACGACGACGTCGAGGACCCACGGGCAGCAATCGCCCGGCGGTTCATTAGACCTGGCCTCGACTCGAGACGACGTGCACCCTGCCGCGGAAAAGCGCCGCCTCAAAGAATGGACGCCGCCTGCGTCCGCTGCTGTTGCGTGTATGCCGCCTGCGCCTGCGTCCGCTCCTACCTGCCGTCCGTGCCGCCCGCATGACCAGCTTTTGTTTGCTGCCTGCACCACACCCTCACCAACGAGATTTCCATCAACGCTCATCAGCTTGATCACGGATGGCTCCGTCGAGGGCATACTCATCGCCGTCACGGGTAGAGATGCGGGCTCGTCGCTCCCTCGTCCCACTGGCAGCCGTTGTCGTGCTAGCCACTCGTCCTCAACTCAGCTTGGCCCATGAGCACCATCATGATGGCCCCGCAGATCCGTCAATCCCAATCGACTCAATCCTCAAGCTCCACATCCTCTTTCAAGCCGTTGTCTGGACTATTCTTTTCCCGACCACAATGGTCTTGGGCCTGATACGCCATCGTCTTCACGTTCCCCTGGCCACCGTTTCACTTGCTCTGACCACCGCAGGCTACTTCTTTGGGCATGGCCACGGCGGCCGCTCCTTCCCGCATACAGCGCATGGTACCGTCGCGAGCTTGCTTGTCTTCTACCTCTTTGCACAGATGGCCTTGGGAATGTACCTGAAGCTACACTTGAGCTGGAAGGCCGAGGGACGAATTCGCCCAGTTGTGCTGGGGTTGCACGGCCTTTTGGGAAAGACGTTCCCAATCTTGGGCTGGGTGCAGATGGTGCTCGGCATCGCCACGCTTCAATCGTGGTGCTTCGGGGGGCACTTGGGGCAATGCCTCGCCCACTACATAATGGGATCGAGCTTTGTCGCCTACTCGGTCATTCTGCTCATCATGCTCAAGGCTGGCGCAGGATGGCTTGCACGACGTGGTCGTTCTCAGGAGTGGTTTGATAGCTGGGTCATCTGCCTGTGGGGGCTGGTCAACTCCTTCACTGAGCATCACGGCGGGCCGTGGACGCACAAAGACCTGCAACACACGCTTCTTGGCGTGGTGTGGTTCTTTGGTGGAGCTGCAGGCATCTGGACCTCGAGGGGTGGCAAGCGTAGCATCTTCCCGGGCATCATCATTGGGATCACAGGCTGGGCGATGTCCGGCCATGCTCAAGCGCTCATGCTATCCACGATGGTGCACGGTCTTTTTGGCTACGCATTGATGGCGGCTGGCGTCGCACGAGTCATCGAAGTCTGCTTTGTGCTCAACGACCGCCCGACTGGAGAGAGCGATACGAGTCCAGACCCTACCTCATCCGATGTCCACGAGCGGCTCACAGCTACAACTCCAATCCGTCAACCAGAGGAGCTGACAGGCCGCTCAGACTGGTCGCCTGTCCGAGCCTTCCAGCTCCTCCCTCCCTGGCTCCTTACGGCCGCCGGTATCCTCTTCATGTCGGCAACGGACGAGGAGCTACGCTGGGCCGACGGCAATGGCATTGATCACATCACATGGGGCCTCATTGACTTTTCCATCGCGTTCTTCCTCTTTGTCTGGTTCAATATTCTCCTGGACCTCTACACGACTTCGGGCGGGAGATACGGCGCTCGTGTGTCGGCGAGAAGTACGACGGAATCTGGGCCGTGGTACAGCAGGCTAGGCCAGGGTGCGCGGGATGGTGACGACGGTCAGACGAGCAATTCCGCCTCTTCGATGCCGATGCGATCGCTGAATGGCAATCAAGAAAGAGATAGCGTAGAAGGAGGAGGCGGAATACGCAACGGCGGCGCGAATGGGCCGCGCGCTGATAAAGGCGGGTACGGCGATCATGGTAGCGAGGAGGAAAGCAGCATAGAGGCGGAAAGCCACGTCCTCTTCGACGAGGGTGACTTGGACGCAGAGGAGATTGACCCCTTTGACGACGAGAGACTGCAGTCCAGGCAGGCCAAGGTGCGGGGTTCATGACGGCAATGTCCTTATCTCTCGGTGTCCGTGGGCCGTGCTGTAACGTAGACGGGGACGGAGAACGAAAGGCTTTCGCCGAGCAGAAGCCGCCCATCAGTTCACTCAACCTTGATGACCTGCCTGCATGTGAGGAGGGGTCCAGAGCAGCGTGGGGCACCACCACCCCACAAGCCAGTCTACGAGTGGGAAGTACGCGTGCCCCGTGCGTATCGAGATCACACACCGGCGGCTAAACGAGCCAAACGGCGGACGACAGGAGGCCATCGCTCGTACTGAAGGGCTAAGAGTCGCGTGTGCGGGGAGCTCCGACATGGCCGTGATAAGGGATCCGTGAGCCCCTCCTTCTCTCCGTTCGCCCGGCCGCCGCCGCCGCCGCCGCGCACGAGCCCAGTCGAGATTCTCGCCTCAGCCGAGCAAAAAGTCGAGGGCAAACGAGAGTGAAAACGCGACCGAGACGGACAGTTCAATCGATAAGCAGCTCCAAGCCGCAAAGACAGAGACCGTTTGGGCGCAGGAAGAGGCATTGCGATAGCGTGTCAACTCTCAAGAGCCCCTTCTTGCTCGGGGAGAGGGGGAGAGCGACGCAAAGCAGGTGCGGGCAGAGAGATGTCTGTGCGTTTCAGCTGTGTGAGGGTCGCAGCTAGGTTGCAGCTGCTTGCGTCCTTCGTGACAAAGACATAAAGAGGTACGGCTATTTGATCATCAATGCCCCATCCCTGTTCCTCTCTTCTATCGCATCGTCCTCCTTGCTGCGACTCTTGTCTTGTCTTCGAACCGCCCACCCGCCGTCTCCGCTTCCCAATCATGTCTACCTCTTCTCCTATGGTCACCCTCGAGCAGGCTACCTGGGCCTGGATTATGGCCGGCCCAGCCAAGCATCGTCTGTCCATTGGCAAGCGCTTCGTCAAGGCCTTCATGGCTGGCCTCTTCCTCTCCACGGGCGGCATGCTTGTCCAAGTCCTCAGCGCCGACCCTTGGCTGACAGAGAATGCGGCTGGCCTCCTCAAAATCATCCAGGGCGCCGTCTTCCCGGTCGGTCTCGTGATGATTGTGCTTCTGCAGATGGACCTCGTTACGGGCCAGATGGCAATCATGACGATGGCGACGATCAAGCGCAAGGTGCCCTACTGGGCTTGGATTGCTGATTGGGCGCTGGTCTTCGTGGGCAATTTGGCCGGAGCTCTCCTCTACACGGGCATCGTCTACGGCTCTGGCATCTACACTCCCGCAATGAAGACTGGAGCAGCAGGCGTTGCCACGATGAAGGCTGGGTGAGCGCAGCACAAGCGGCCAGAGACGTCAACGACCAGAAAATTGATAAGCTCAACTCTTCCCTTGCACTTTCGCGTTCGCAGCTCCTCGATCTCCTTTGGCAAGAACATCGTCCGTGCCATTGGCTGTAACACCCTCGTCTGCCTGGCCGTCTTCCAAGCCAGCCTCGCAAAGGACGCAGTCAGCAAGGTCGTCTGTGCCTGGTTCCCCATCTTCGTCTTTGTAGCTGCAGGCTTCGAGCACGTCGTAGCTTCGATGTTCCTCATCCCAGAGGGCCTCGAGAATGGGGCAATGGTCACCGTTGGACGCTACATTGGTACGGCACTGGTGCCTGCCTTCTTGGGCAACGTCATTGGAGCTTGGCTACTCGTTCTGCCCCTCATGTACCTCTATGGTGGCGATGAGTTCGACCCTGCTAAGACGACAGAAGAGAAGGGAAGCCCGTCGCCGACAATCCATGAGCCCATGGGCCAGGTTCAGTCGGGCCACTACGTCAAGGACATCGAGAGGGCTGAGCCCTAGACGCGGGCGCACATGCGTCAGTCATCTCCTGCCCGCCCTCGTCCCAAGTCTCTTGTTACTTTCTAGACTAGTTTATCCTGTATTCTGCGCCACCCTTTGACCTTCAATGATACCGCATTGACCCTGAAATACCTTACACGCGCAGTTGCTCATTGCATGATGTCTCGCTCGCTCGACGGCCTCGGCGGCGCCCGGTAGAGTGCCGAGGGTCGACTGAATAAGAAGGCTGGGCCGGGCAGGGGCGTGCAGTGCAGCCTCCTTCTCCCCGGATCCTCGACGAGACGACGCGATCAAGTAGACGATGCTTCCCTTTCGACCGGCACCTATCGCTAGATTCTCTTCCTCGATTGCCAGAATGGTGAGCAGGCTTGGGTGGCAAGCAGCCATCTATGCAACATGGCATTGACTCTCCATCTCTTTCCGCGCAGACCAACGACGTCTTCATCTTGTCCGCTGTCAGGACTCCTGTCGGCTCCTTCAATGGCTCCCTCAAGAAGGTGACGGCTCCCCAGCTCGGTGTCACCGCCCTCAAGGCTGCCATGGAACGCGCCCAGGTCAAGCCCGAGCAGCTCGAGGATGCCTACTTCGGCAATGTCCTTCAAGGCAGCGTTGGTCAAGCGCCCGCTCGTCAGGTCGTCCTTGGCGCTGGCTGCCCAGACACTACCGAGGCGACGACGATCAACAAGGTCTGCGCCTCGGGCATGAAGGCCATCAGCCTTGCAGCTCAGAACATCGCCCTCGGCGACCGCAAGATTATGGCCGCGGGCGGGATGGAGAGCATGAGCAACGCTCCGTGAGTATGGAGTGATTCACTTGGATCGGACCAGCATATACGGCTGTTTCACCCTCGTTGCCTTCGTCTCTCTCTGTGCCTTCCTTCACATGCTGACTGTCATTCGATTTGCTCCTCCTCACTTGCTCCTCCGCACATGGCAGCTTCTACTTCCCCCGCAACGCCGCCTTCGGCCACGTCCAGGCAATGGACGCCATTATCAAGGATGGCCTTACAGATGCGTACGAGGGTGGTGCCCACATGGGCAAGTGCGCTGATCAGTGTGCTCAGAAGCATGGTCTCTCTCGCGAGGATCAAGATGCCTACGCCATCGAGTCGTACAAGCGTGCTGCCGAAGCGTGGAAGGCCGGCGCATTCGCAAACGAGATTGTCCCTGTCACCATCCCCGACAAGCGCGGAGATGTCGTCGTCTCCGAGGACGAGGAGTACAAGAACATCAAGCTTGACAAGGTACCCACTCTGCGTCCCGTATTTGACAAGAACGGTACCGTCACGGCTGCCAACGCGTCAACGCTCAACGATGGTGCTTCGGCCGTCATTCTCGGCTCCAAGGAGGCCGCCGCTTCCCTTGGCGTTAAGCCTCTCGCTCAGATTCTTGCATCGGCGGATGCAGCTTGCGCACCCGTAGACTTCCCCATTGCGCCCGCAAAGGCTATCCCGCTGGCATTGGAGAAGGCTGGGGTGAAGAAGGAGGATGTGGCTCTGTGGGAGATCAATGAGGCCTTTTCTGCTGTCGCGTTGGCAAACAACAAGATCCTGGGGCTGGACGCAAGCAAGGTCAACACTCTGGGCGGCGGTGTATCCCTGGGTCACCCCATCGGTTCATCAGGTGCGAGAATCGTCGTCACGCTCGTCCACGCGCTGAAGCCTGGACAGATCGGTGTGGCCGGCGTATGCAACGGCGGTGGTGGAGCATCCGCGATCGTTGTCAAGAGGGAGGCCTGACTTACTGCGGAGGAGAGAGAAGGAGGTAAGGCTGCGACGAAGCTGTGATGGCGGAAATGATGCGCTTGCGGAACAAATTATGCGTACGACCTCTCGAAGTTGCCGGGCAATGCATTCATTGGATCGAGCAGCAACCCATGCATGCCTGCACTTTTCTATCAGAAAAGGAAGCGAGCCGTCTTGACCACTGGACGACTGCTCGGTGCTGCGCCCTCGCCCATCGCAGCCGCTCCTCCTGTCGATCCAGCAGGCCGAGCGATGACCAGTCTTGCCGTCGTCGTCCCGACTGCGCCTCCACCTGCTCCTCCTGACGTCGCTGACTGGCTCTCTGTGCCACCCACACCACGAGTCGCGCTCACTCCCACCGGTGGAGGTGGCATCGACAGATCATGCACGGGCGTCTGCATTGCGCTGCTCGGGCCTGTCCCTCCTACCGTCGCTGTCGCCTCTGCCGGCTGCGACGTTGCGTCCCGCTGGCTTTGCCCCTGGGCGACCTGAATGCGCAACGTCTGAACCCTCCTCTTCTCCTCATCAATAACTCTTAGCCGCCGCAATCGGCTCTTCTCCTCTTCGCTCCCTTCTCCAGAAAGCAGCCCAGCTAACTGTTCCCTTCTCGCATCTTCGACCTGGCGCAGCCGGATCTTGACGTCTGTGAGGTCCTTGACCAGGGTGGCAGAGATGGACGTTGCGCTCGGCCCCGGTACGGAAGCTGCCAATGAGCTGTTGCCATTTGATGAAGAGGCTGGTGCATCCCCGCCGCCACTGTTGCTGCCGCTTCGACGATGCTGCGCAAAGCAGTCGACGATGCCCAGTGGGGGCGGATTGACTGCGTATGGCGGAAGGACGAGTGACTGCTGTTGCTGCTTCCTGGCCGCAGAGGAAGAAGTTGCTGCTGCCGTCATACTTCCACCAGAGCCAGTCGTCTGGTAATACTCCGAGGGAGAAGAGGGAGAGATAGATGGATTGAGCGGTGAAGCAGGGCTGGGCGTCGTAGTAGAGGGGGATGAGGTCGTGGCAGCGTGCTGCTCCATAGCTCTGAGGTGTTGCGCTTGTTGCTGAGCGAAGGTTGAGGCGGACGAGATGTACAAGTCCAGAAGGGAGTGAACCACCTCTTCTACTCCTTCTGCGTAGCTGCCGAGCTCGCGCTCCCAGAGGGCAGAGGAGGTGAGCCAACGCTGTGCGTGTGCCTGCAAACCTGAATCTTTCCCATTGTTGCCATGGCTGCCGTTGGGAGCCGCATCCGCCTCAGTCATCGTGACGTCTCCTTGCCCGTCGTTTGATTCCGGACGAGGGGCGAGGCCGAACATGCTCTTGACGATTGTAACACTTCGCTCATTAATTCTATCGCTGGGTGAGGGCCAAAGTAGAGCAGCGGCGAGCAACGAGGCGAGTGCGATGGTGACGGGCGTGTGTATCAGGGGGCACGGTGTCCGGTGGCTGCGGACAAAGGATGAAGGGAAGGTCAGCAAGGTCGCCGCAGTCTTCCACGCCACCGCGCTCACATATCTGACGCTATTCTCCATGCGCTCTCAATGACAGCCCTGTTTACCGCCCACGCCTTGCCGAGCTTGACAATCGTTCGTGAAACGCTCTCGACTGCCTGCCTGATCTTGAAGTCATAGCCTAATGAGTCGAGCATGGTCCTTTCCAAGTGGAGAATCTTGTTACGCTCCGACTCAATTAGCTGGGAATCTACATCCGTCTCTTGTAGGATGGCAAGGGCAGGGTTCTGCTGCGTCTGCTTCGCGCCGCCACCACTGCCACCAGCGTTGGACGCTGCAGCCGCGGCGGCAGCAGCCTTGACGAGCTCAGGGTATCGCAGCGGGTAAGATGCTAGGATGAGCTCCCTCGTCTTCTTTGGTGTATCATTGAGCTTGCAGGCCAGAAAGAGAGCCGCCTGCGCGACATGCTGCCCAGCATTGCCTGAGCTTGCGCCATGGTAGAGGCCAAACTTGTGCCAGAGGACAAATGCCGTGTCGATTGTACGCTGGGGTAAGCCGACCTTGGCTCCCACTGCGGCAATGAGGCCGCATGCTTGTGCTCGGCGTCCTTCAAATGCCATGATCGCCGATGGGTTTGACGCGAGGGAGAGCGTCGAAGTCATGAGGTCGTCGTAGGTTGCGGGCGTCAGGTAGCTCGTCGACGCCGTCGTCGTCGTCGTCAGGAAGACGGAGCCATCCGACGGCGGTGGCACTACGGCAGCCGCCATGGTCATCGGTCTCTATGGCAAGAGGATGATGGCAGCCTCCTCTGCGCTCCGTGTATGCTGCCGTCTCGAACCGCGGAACCGTGGAGTTGAGCTGTCACCAAGTCGATGATGTTCCTCTCTGCGCAGCGTGACGCGCGCCCCTGCAACTGCAATCTTGGTCGAGAGGTGGATCAGTGGACCGACGGATAGACATGGCCAGGCGGAGCTGCCAAGTCCACCCACGGCGAAGACGCACAACGTGGCTCGGTGGCCGCTCACAAATTTCGTCCCGAACTTGACGATGCAGAGGCGAACGGGCAGGGCGGCAGAGTGCCTCGCCGCTCTGCTTGTGGCTCAGCCTTGCTCGCTTTGTTTCTTTTCTCCTCCTCAACCATTTCTCTTTAATCCACCCGCAAAAAAACACACACACATAGACATCATGAGCTACGGATACGGCAACGGTGGTGGATACGGCGGACGTGACAGGTGAGTGCACCTCTTCTCGGCAACACATATTGATCTTGCCAGCGTGGATGCTAACCTCGCTCCTCTGACCTCCTCGTCTCGCGCAGCCGACCCTCATATGGCAACGGCGGCGGATACGGTGGTGGCGGTGGAGGCGGCTACGGTGGCTCGAACGGCTATTCTGGTGGCGGAGGTGGATACGGTGGCGGTGGATATGGTGGAGGAGGCGGATACGGCGGTGGTGCTGGTGGCTTTGGTGGCGGCGACCGCATGAGCAATCTCGGCGCCTCGCTGGGCAAAGTCGACTGGGACACTGCCTCCCTCACCCGCTTCGAGAAGAACTTCTACACCGAAGACCCCCGAGTCTCTGGCCGTACCGACCAAGAGGTCCAGGCCTTCCGTGCTCAGAAGCAGATGACCATCCAGGGCAACCAGGTCCCTCGCCCCGTCTTCAGCTTCGATGAAGCGGGCTACCCAGACTACATCATGTCAGAGATCAACCGCATGGGCTTCAAGGAGCCCTCTGCCATTCAGTCGCAGGCTTGGCCCATCGCTCTCAGCGGTAGGGACATCGTCGCCATCGCCGAGACTGGTTCCGGCAAGACGATTGGTTTCGCCCTTCCCGCCATGGTACACATCAACGCTCAGCCCCTCCTCGCCCCCGGTGATGGCCCCATCGCCCTCATTCTCGCCCCTACTCGTGAGCTCGCCGTCCAGATCCAGGCCGAGTGCACTCGCTTCGGCTCTTCGAGCAGGCTCAGGAACACGGCCATCTACGGTGGTGTGCCCAAGGGTCCTCAGATTCGCGACCTCCAACGCGGTGCCGAGATTGTCATTGCCACTCCTGGTCGCCTCATCGACATGCTCGAGAGCGGCAAGACGAACCTTCGCCGAGTCACCTACCTCGTCATGGACGAGGCCGACCGTATGCTGGACATGGGTTTCGAGCCCCAGATTCGCAAGGTCATTCAGCAGATTCGCCCTGACCGTCAGACGCTCATGTTCTCGGCCACCTGGCCTAAGGAGGTGCAGCGCCTTGCTCACGACTTCCTCAACAACTTCGTCCAAGTCAACATCGGCTCTACGGACCTGGCGGCGAACCACCGCATCAACCAGAAGATTGAGGTTTGCACCGACTTTGAAAAGCGTGCTCGCCTCATCAAGCACCTGGACCACATCTCGCAGGAGAATGCGAAGGTTCTCATCTTCACCAACACAAAGCGCATTGCGGACGACTTGACCAAGTACCTCCGACAGGACGGCTGGCCTGCTCTGGCCATTCACGGTGACAAGCAACAACAGGAGCGTGACTGGGTCCTTGCCGAGTTCAAGAGCGGCAGAAGCCCCATCATGGTTGCGACGGCTGTGGCCTCGCGTGGTCTCGGTATGTATCGATGTGGAGTTGTGCGGCGCGATCGTGGAGATAAAGGTGACCACTCTCACCCTCGAGGCGTGGAGCCGCGGTGGGGTGGGGATGATGGCTTGCGCCACTGACATCCTCATTCGGTAGATTGGTCGCGCTTGAGGGTTCGATGGGAGAAGAGAAGAGCACGGCGCTTTTGTTGTCGCCCTAACGGCGCCAGCTTGGGCACTTCGGGACGAACCAGGGCTGCGGTCAAAGGTATTGCTGCTATCGAAAGGCGGCGCCTTCCTCCCCGCAGCGGGCCGCTCTTGCAGCATAGTCTGGGACGGAGCTGTCTCGGTGATCCATTGGCCACGCCAGTGCTGTCAACGTCTACACAGATCACTGGCGGCGTTCCCGTCGGGCACTATGCTGGTAAACGCATCGACAGGTCATCCTGAGGTGGGTAGGGATTCACACAAGCCGGTGACTTGGGCAGAGCGTACCGGTATCGCTGCCTCAACGCAGCTGACCTGAGACGTGAAGCTCAAGTGCGAGGTTCTGGTGGCCCTCTCATCCCCTTCTGGTGGCCCTGGAAGTTGAGGCGCCTGTGCTACTAACATCTCTTCCCAAGTCGATGCTGGCGTTCCTCTTCTCCCTCTTAGCACGATGACGTAAGATCATCAGCCTAGCAACCATCTTCAGCGCGCGTTCTCGCTCAAAGAAGAGCAGGTCGTGCGCCAGATCGGGTCTTTGGTTGCAGGCGCTAGAGGAGGGGTTGAAGAAGGGTCAAGCCGGTGGGGAGGTGGATTCGCGGAGGGAAAGGAGGAGGAGGGTCAAAGCAACGTCACGGCGATTCGTTTCTCGTTACTCACAGTCCCGGTCTCCCATTCTTCTCTTTCCCCTCCCCCTTCCTCTTCTCATCCCGATCTCGGCTCCTCCCCACACCACCATGCTCCTGCCCCTCTTCGATGCTCCCGTCTCACTTTTGTCATCGACGATGGCCATTGTTGTCTCCGCCTGCGTTCGTCTTCCCAACGAACGTCGGGCGTTTGCTGCAATGCTATCGTCGTTTTCAAAATACCCAAACGGGCCCTGCATCGTCGCTGCTTGGCATGGCGTGTGTGCGCGACACCAACACGGATTACGATCAACTTCACGGACAATGACGATGCAACAACTTCTCTGCTTCCCCCGTGAACAGACGTCAAGGACATTGGTGAGTTGCCACTTCCTCCTTTCTTCTTTCGTCCCAATTCGTCATGCCTTGCTGACCCCCTCCTTCACTCTTCTTCTCACAGGCTACGTCCTCAACTACGACTTCCCCACCAACACCGAAGACTACGTCCATCAGATCGGTCGAACTGCTCGTGCCGGTCGCCAAGGAACGGCGATTACCTTCTTCACTACCGCTGACGCAGGCAAGGCTCGCGACCTGCTGAGCATTCTGCGTGAGGCCAAGCAAGATATTCCCCCTGAGTTGGAGGAGATGGCTCCTTACGGCGGACGTGGTGGTGGAGGTGGACGTGGCGGCAGGGGCGGCCGCGGTGGGCGTGGTGGGTACGGTGGTGGGTACGGCGGTGGCGCAAATGCCGCACCGCTCGGTGGAGGCAGCAGGGGTGGATATGGTGGTGGTGGAGGAGGGTACGGCGGTGGACGCTGGTAAAGTGTGGCGCGCAGCGCTGCCTTCTTCAAAAATTTCGTTACGTCTCAAGCCCCTGTACTGGCCTTTGTTGCTTCACATCACACATCCACACCTTCTTTTGAATAGCGACGATATAGATTGGCAGCCTCACTCGCATTGATCGATTGAGCGACGCGACGAGCGACGGGGACGCGATTTGGAGTTGATGAAAACCTCTGATGGGACATTAAACGTGATGCTGGATGCGATGCGACTTGCAGGAGCGGGTACAGTGATGTTGTTGTTGTTGATGATGCGCGACACGACGGTGCGATGTGATGGCCAGCCAATCACAACCTAGCCCGCTGTCCCTCCCTCTTCTCGGTACTCGGGGCCATCCTATCTCCGGCATCCCGATCAGCCAAGCTCCACCTGACCATAGGTACGGTCCTGTACCTCTTCATCTTATCCCCCTCTGGTACCTCCTGGCCACGGCGGAGTGCCACCTCCTTTGTTGCGTCGGTAACCTCATGCGTAGCAAAGCGGTAAGGCGTGAAGATGGGCTGTGATAGGTAGCGAAAGCCTGTGCGTAGCCAGAGGGAAGAGGCTAGCTCGTAGGCATCGCTGAATAGGGGAGGGTCACCCCAGGAGAGGTAGCGTTGAGCACAGAAGTCGGAAATGGCTCGGCGTGCATAGTTGGATTTGCCGCGAATGGCGGAATCGACTACCATTATAGGGGCATCTGAGCAAGGTGCAGCGGAGAAGGAGCGGTGAGCGTGAGGAGCTAGTGTGCAAAGCCGCGGACGCCGGGACTGACTGGCATGAAGGCGGTCTCCTACCACTGCTCTTCTGGTCTCGTAGATCATGTCCTTCCAGAGATAGTACTGCTCCTTGTCTCCACCTTGAGGAAAGGGCGGCATCTCGGGCATCTCAGCTGCCCACGTCACATGCTTCATTCCGGGCTCGACCCTTTCGTAATGGCAGAAGCCAACAGGCTCATCCTCTTGACCCTTCCTACACACGACCATGAATCGACGACTACCAGCATCTGTCCCCGCATGACCTGGTCCCATCTCGGTGTCGCATTGCAAATACCACTGCTCGAGCTCGCCTCGTCGAAAGGCAATGCTGTCCTCGGTGTGGCCGCGGGGGAATATGACGATGGCCGAGCGAGAGAAGGCATCGGACAGCATTGGAGCCAGGCGGTCCAGATCGGAATGCCTGGCTCCTCTGCACACGAAAGCGTCGGTCATGAACAAAGTGGTCAGGATGCTGGATGCTGGATGTTGAATGCTGCACAATGTGTACGAGAGAGGAAGAAGAAGAAGAACAAAGGGGTTTGCCCGCGTTCACCAATTTCATTCTCGGGCCGAAAAATCGACTTGATGCGCGTCTCCGCTCGCACGGACGCACGGCCGACGCACAGCGCTCTCCTCTCGTGGGCCAAGAACGGCAAGACGGAGCAGCGCAGCCAACAGCCAAGTTGCAACTCAACTCACCTCAACGCAACCCTACCTACCTAGCAGAGGAGGACAAGGCAGCCATCGCATAGCATGGGTGCGCCAGCGACATATTCTGCGCCTTGTGAGCATCGCTCTGCTGCTTCCAAGAGACTCATCATCAACTGACGCACCGCCATTATCATTCCACAGGGCCCATCTTTGCCTTGGCGTGGTCCTCAAATGGAGCATCGACGTCGTCATCGTCATCGTCTTCTGGTTCGCTGCGGAGAAGTCAGAGAGAACGAGACGATGCAAGCTCAGGCATGCCCTTTGGCTCTCGACTAGCCATTGGGAGCATCGTTGAGGAATACTCAAACACAATCCAGGTCCTTGGACACGTCGGCGAGCGCGATGCTGCGGGGTAAGGATGACGAAGCTGCATGGCCGTCTACTGTTGGCACACCTTGCTTACTTTCACATCTCGACCACTCGCAGTCAACCTCGTCTATCATGCCTCGCCTCAGCCAATCACCTCTATCCTGCAACAAAAGTAGCCTTCCAGCCGTCGTCCCTCTCTACGTCATCGTCCTCAGATCGGGATCGCGGCTACATGTCCCCTTCCTCCAAGTCAGCAAAACGAGCGTCATGGGGTGCCAATCAAGGCTCTCCATCGCCCCTGGTTCCCAATGAGGAGTCCCACGACGGTTACCCGAATCGAGAGCTCCTGGCGTCCACAGCTGATTGCTTGCGGATATGGGAGTGCGCGAGAAATGCGGATTCGTCGGTTGCGCCTTGGGAGTCAGAAGAGGATGAGGCCTCATATGGTGGGGCAGGATCAGGCTCGAACGGCTACGCGGGGAGTAGAGGAAGACATGCCAATGCGAATGGCAAGACAAGGTTCAGCTTGAGAGAGAAGAGCGTACTAGCACATGTGAGCCGGCGAGAGCGCGCGATGAGCATTAAAGCAAGGCCGTGCTGCTGACCTGACCCGAATCCATCGCTACCAGTCCAAGACCTCCATGTCCCCACCGGCACCCCTCACGTCCTTCTCTTGGAATCAGCCTTCCCCAAACCTAATCGTTACCTCCTCGATAGACACGACGTGCACAATCTGGGACCTACCAACAAGGACCGCCCTCACCCAGCTGATAGCGCACGACCGCGAAGTCTACGACGTCGACTGGTGCCCAGGATCCAGCGACGTCTTCGCTTCGGTGGGCGCAGACGGTTCAGTGCGCGTCTTTGATCTGCGGTCGTTGGAGCATTCGACTATCATTTACGAGACGGCAGGACCACCCCCGCCCGCTTCAACATCCAGACCAGGGACGGGCATGTCGACCAGTAGCTCGTCGCGCAATGGGTCCACGGCGGGAGGAGGAAATGCGGCTGGGCCCGCGGCTCCCTTGTTGCGCATCGCCTTCAATCCTTGGGATGCAAATTACCTAGCCACCTTCCACCTCGAGTCTGATTCGATCCAGATCCTGGACGTACGCGCCCCTGGGCTGCCCATCCTAGAGCTCAAGGGACACAAGGCCGGGATCAATGCTGTAGCGTGGGGACCACCTTCACTCGCTGGTACCAGCAACAGCCTCACTACGACACCTGGTGGTAGCTCCAACAGGGATAGCAGCGGGGCGTCAACGTCGAGCTCCTCCTCATCCATCTCAAAAGGCATGATCTGTACAGCATCAGATGATGCCCAAGTCCTCGTGTACGACTTAGCCTCAAGTACTTTACGATCCGCTTCTGCGCAAGGCAGACGGTCTCGCAACTCGACAGCGGCGGCGGCGGCGGCAGCAGCAGCAGCAGCCCAAGCCTCTCCAGGCACCCCTGGGCACCGTCATCAGCATTCGCTCTCTCATTCCCTCTCCTCCGCCTCGCTGGCTAGCTCCTCAGGCTGGGGTAGCGGCACACCCGTCGAGCACCCATTCTTGGCGTACGAGGCGCAGGAGATGGTCAATAATGTTGCGTGGTTCAGGCCGGGCGGCAACGCGCCGCCTGGCGGGACAGGACAGCATGGGAGGAGCGCCTCGATGGAGTGGAGTGAGCTGACTGCTAACGCTTCGCGAACGGGAGGGAATGGCAACGGGAATGGAGGAGGCGGACAAGGGGGAACGAGGCAGGATTGGATGGCTTGCGTTGCGGGAAGGGAATTGAGGGCTATGCGCGTTAGCTAGAGCAGGCAGGAGCAGGTGCGAGCTGTACAAGATCGACGCGGGCGACGACGACTCAGTCGCGCCGCCGTAATGGAAGAGCAACGTCTTTCTCAGTTTTTCCTCCGCAAGATCAGCTCAGTTGGGCCACGAGTGACTCGAAGACGGTCGAATTGGTAGCTGACTAATGCTCTATGAAGGGGGAAGCTCGGAGAAGATGGGCACAAGGAAACCATGATAGATAGAACGAAAAGATTGGAAAAAGGACTCGAGTCTCCACTGTGGATGCTTGCTTGCGTTTCGTCTACATGCGAGAGAGGGACCGCCCAAAGAGGGCATTGAGGATCCACGTTACGGCGACGCCAATCTTGGTGCGCCAGGTGATCGTCAGATAGAGACCGTATGTGCTGTGCCATACTGTGGCGAGCGTCCGTATCGCATTAGCCAGAAGGAGCGAAGGAGTGAAGGACGTGGTCAGTAAGGTCGTCTGCCCGGCCGCCAGGATCGCGCTTCTACTCACGCGCCGAGGCCGGCTTGCCCTGTAGCTTGCCGCCCTTTAGCTGGGCGATGCCAGTACTTGAGCTAAGCCGCGTCATTGAGCCCATATTCTTCCATCGGAAGGGCTCTAGCTGCCCGGTTGTAGACGAAGTCTTTGTCTTGCCATTGAGAAGGTTTGCGAGGTACTTTGCCTTTTGCGACGCGACCTGTGCCGTAGCCGGTAGGGAATAGTCGACAATTTGCGCACAATCTCCCAATGAGTAGACTCCTTCAACCGTCTTGCCTTCTACCGTGGCTTCTCCCTCACCGGCCGCCAAGACCTGCAGTAGCCCGTTGGTAAGCAGCGCCCCGCTCTTGTCCTTCTTTGCCTCGTCGATGCTGTTCACCAAGGGGCCCTGCGCGTTGCCCGTCGACCATACGAGCATCCCAAAGGGAACCTCTCCGTCCGGCTCGACGATGAATTTGCCTCTCTCCACCCTGATGGGCTTTCTGTTCAGCTTCAGATCAATCCCGTCGTGGAGGAACTGCTTCTTTGCGTACTCCTGCAGAGACTCGTCGAAGGAGTTGAGGATGCCCCCGGCGGCGTCAAAAATGGTAATCTTGGCAAGGGGTTGCAGCTTTGGGAAGATACGCTTGATATCTTTGCGGATCAGGTCGTACAGCGCTGCAGCGAATTCTGCGCCAGTGGGTCCACCACCGACGACGATGAAGTGTAAGAGATTGCGCCTCTGCTCATCGGTAAGATCGGGGTGCTCGGCCTGCTCAAAGCACTCGAGGATACGATAGCGAATCGCACGACTGTTCTGTACGTCCTTGAGGAACCAAGCGTTCTGCTTGACTCCCTCTGTGCCAAAGGTGCGATTGTAGGTCCCGCAGGCAATGACGAGCTTGTCGTAGGGTAGTGCGTAGGTACGGCCTTCCTCTTGGGACTTCCAGCTCTCATGTGCGTCATGGCTGTGGTGCTTCGTCTGGGAGGCTTCGTCACCTGCGTCGCTCCCCTCAATGGCGCGGCGATGAGGCGGCCGAACCATGGCGCTGCTGTGGCCACCGCGCGCATTGGGGATGTGCTGATTCTGCGCTGGTGAGGTGCCCTTCTGCTGCTCCTGGCTCGGGACGGTCGGATCGACGGCTCTAAACGGAGGTGGGTAGGCGGGCGTGAGATGGACTCTGTGCGGGCATTGGAGACAATTTGGTCAGCAAAACGACGCTGTACACGAATTCCTCGATGACCTGGGCTCTGTTCCTCACTTCTTCTGGGCAAAGTCAATGCCGTCGCAGTAGGCATGCCAGAAGTAGGTGTCGAACGTCTCGCGGACGGGCTGCGGTGAGCAGGGCGGGCGTTGTTCAGCAACCTTTCGCGTCAAAGCAGATCTAGGGACGCCCTCACCTCCATGACGTTGCGGAACTCAAGGGCTCCCGTAGCGGCCGAGGCAAGGAGCGGCGTCATGGCAAAGTAGGTGTTGGGCGATACGAGGTACGTGTCGTACTTTTCCTTGTCAATGGCTCGCAGCAGTGTGTAGCCCGCCCAACCTGATCCCAAGATGACCAACTTTTCCTTTGGCTTACCATCCTTGCTATAGTGGACGGGCAGCTTGTCGGTCACGTCGATGGTGGGCCCAGACTGGAGCTGCGAGGGCACGACGGTAGCGTAGGTGCGCGCTGGGGCCCGTTGAGCGTAGGTCGCCCAGAGCTGCTTCGACAAACTGGCAGCGGCCCCGCCTACTGGTGATCGCCTGGACGACAGCATCGCGGCGATACGGGGCGCTTATCGCAGTAAAGGAGGAGGTGACGCGCGCTATTGGCAGGCGTCACTAGCCGCCCTGAATTGTCTTGTTCCTGAGCGCTCGACTGAGTGCGATTCTCAGATGGACGAGAGGACTAAGAGAGAAGTGAATGGTGCTCAAAGTCTCAGACGCCCCAAAGGCGGGCCGTGTCGGGCCCTTCTGAGATAGAATGAGTCCGGGAGCGTGATGATGTCCCCTGGACCCTAGTTCCTTTCTGAAAGCGGAGTGGAGCTCGTGCTTCCGTGTGCGCATTGCTTGTCAAGGAGTGCTTGAAACGAAAGCCGGTCGGGCGACTGGGGCCGGAGCCCGGAGGCCGATGTCCGTACGAGGCGTGGCGTTCACAGCGCAGCTGGATCGCTAACTTTTTGGTTGCAGGGCACCATGGTACCCGCGACCACGCTACGCTCTTGGTGCAAATCGCGATCGTCGAGCTGGATACCAAGAAGTCTCATTACGGACACTAATGTCTGCATCATCAGAGCCATGCGCTAGCGCCAGCCCTCGCAGTCACTGAAGGTTGTTGGCAACGCAGATCACGCTATCTCGCCGCAGATCCGCTTGCTTTCAACTCAATCGTCGTCTAGATGTCAACCTTGTTGCCGCCAAAGGCGAGGTTCCCGAATCAACAAGATGGAGCACGAGCGGATCTCACTGAAGGCAAGCAAGTCTGTGTCTCAATCGGAGGCATTGTTCAGCGTAGAATGTTGTCGAGTCGGACGAGGGATCCCGCACGATGTCGTCTTCAGAAAGACAGACGGGACCGCGTGCCTGGCATGAGGATGCTTGCCCGCCCCAGCAACCTGTTCGCTTCCCGCGTCGCTTCCCCCTTTGCGTCAGTCGATAGCACGAGAGATGATTGCGCAAGCCTGGTGGGCGTCCACTCTATGCTGCGCACACCCCATGCGTGCAAGTGTAGGTGGGTGAGTGGACCCCTGCTCGATGAATGTGTGCGGCCAGGCTCAGTCAAGCAAGCAGCAGCCCGGATGGCAGCTTCTGCTCTGCTGCTCTCTCTCTGCGCCTCGATTCGCGATCGTTTTAGCAAGCCACCCTTGATGCTCTTCAAGGACTCCGGTGCCGCTGCGTCTCCTCGCAGCGGGCACAAGAGCACGAGGCTGCGACAGAAGACAGCTGAGTGAGCTGACAGAAGTGGGAAAGGGCGTGGGCATCGGACAGCAAGGAGTCCTGCGAGATGGACACGAAAGCAGCGTCATCGAATGAGAGTAGTTGGACGATGCTTTGATCGTACTTGGGGAATAGTCCTGAGATTGATGAATCCTGAGGAGAAAGTGGGTCTCCGACTGCGAGCAATCCGTTGCAATGTGGCTGCCTCTGCGTGCGGCGGCGATCATCGAAAGAAGAGCCGGCTGCCTAGCTGCATCGTTGGCGCTCTCGTCGTCTCTTGCTTGCTCCATGTTGCTTGCCTGCCCTGCCTGCGCCTGGGCTCACCCTCGCCCATCCGCCGGACCATTCATCCATCGCACGCCAAGGCAGGCGGGGCGGCAAGGCAAGGGCCCCGCCCGATTGAGTCAGCTTCAGGGCAGAGCCCGCTTGCCTCTTGCCCTTTGGACAGGCAAGTCAGTCGCTCAACACTCGCTTCAACCATCGAGACAGCGACGGCAGAGGCGGCAACGATCGACGACGACAACTTTGGCCCACGCTCCTTTCGTCTTCTTCACCCTACCTCTTGTTCCTACCTCTTATCCGCACTCGTCTCGGTGTCACCTCGCCCTCGCCTCCTTCGAGCGCCGCGTCGCCACCACGACGAAGGGCATCAGTTCTCGAATCTCGTCTTCATCACGCCCACACGCCCCGGACGCAGCTTTTCAACCTCAGCAAGGAGTCCGAACAGCTTTCGTCATTCATCTGCGCCTTTCAATCTAATCATTCACAGGGAGGCCCGAGAGCGCAGCTGAGACTGTATCACCAACAACGGATTCCATCTCTCCAACACGAGTACCTCATTTGAGCAGCGCGTCTCATCATTCGGCAGGACCCGTCAAGCTATCCACCCCATACAGCATACGACGGAGCCATCGCCACCTGTGTCGCCTTGGCCGGAGCCGCCTCACCATCTTCAGCCACCTGGCATCCCGATCCACACCACCTAGCTGCTCTTCATAGAACCGGTCGTACCCTCATCCACGCCACCATCCATTCGACTCGCGAGCCCCGTGATTCTAGAAGGCGGGGATCCTCGAGTCTGGGCAGAACTGAGAACGACAGGGACGAGAATACCCTCATCTAGCCCGCTGACCGTGCCAATCCCAGGATGTCGTCGACACCATCCGGGTCGAGCGACGACACAGCAGCGGCCAATCCAAAGTCGCCCCGAGGTGGCTCTGAATCTCTGGGCTCACAACCATTCATCTATCCAATTCGCAGCGCCGTATCAGTCAAGCCACGTACGCCTGGCTCAGCCGCGGTAGGCAGTGATGGGCCGCCAACTCCACGTTCTCCGCTGTCGCAGGAGGCCTCAATTTCTGACTTGAGGCGCTCCAGCACTCGCTCGTCGTACGGATTCCCTGCGCCGCACCCTAAAAAGATCTCGAATGGCCCACCAGTCCGTGATGAGTCCCAGTCTGGCCAGTCGAGCAAGCACAGCGAGACGACGTCCTCTGTCAAGACAGAGTCCGAGACAGATGATGTGGAGAAGGTCCCATTGAACGGGCCGGACACGACTGCGACAGAAGAGCTCAATGATCGGGAGAAGGAAGAGCTCGAAGAGAGGACGCAGATGAGATTCAAGCATGTCGAGACGGATGAGGGACACATGGTCGTTACTGGGCGAGATGGCGTGCTGCTTCGATGCGAGGATGAGGTGAGTCTGTGCGGCGGAGAGGAAGCGTGGCTGCTCAGTTGCTCAAAATCTCTACGTCTGCCCACAGCCGATTCACATCCCCGGTGCCGTGCAGTCCTTCGGATGCATGGTCGTCTTGAGAGAGGAAGGTGATGGATCGCTGGTCGTCCGACAGGCATCGGAGGTGAGCATACTCTCACGGCCGAGTCTGACGAAGATGATGCGCTGACCTGCTTCGTGACGCACGCGCGCAGAACACGGCGAGCATCATCGGTATGACGCCCAGTCACCTCTTCAAGCTCGATTCATTCCTCGATTGCCTCGAAGACGACCAGGCCGATTTGCTGTGGGACACCATTGAGTCTCTTGAAGAAAGCGAAGAGGCGCTGACCGAATCGGGCCCACAAGTCTTCCAGCTGTCTGGCTTCGGTCAGCCGAGTGATGGCGTGGGCAAGGCGAGAGCCAGGATGCACTGGCAGTGCTGGTGTGCGGCGCATCGCTCCCTCAAAGCGCCTGAGAACAGCAAACACCCGGGTCAAGTCACCATCCTCGAGTTCGAGCCAATGGTCGACCGTCAACATCCGCTCTCCTTTGTCTCGCCGGCGAGCTCTAGTCCGCAGACACCTGGAGGCTCCGATTCCGATCGGACAGAAACAGACAGCGTTGCCACAATTGCTACGACCGACCCAGACAGCGGCGAGACGGAGTTCAGCCAAGCTCAGACTATCATGAAGGGTGCCAAGGCGGAGCGCGGCGGTCTTGATGGCATGCCGTACGTACCCACAGTCGAGCAGATTCGCGAGTCCACCGTATCGACTTCGAAGCCCATCAAGGCGCTCTCGCGTTTGCGGCAGAAGGCCGGGGAGAGGACAGATAAGAGGCCGCGGCCGAGAAGAGCGCCAGAACAGGGAGGCGGTCCTGGCATGCCCCCGCCTCACGTTGCGAGCGGCGAGGATGCGGTGCTTGACATGTTTGGAATCTTGACCCAGATCAACGAGCAGTGAGTGCAGAGAGGATGAGGCCAAACAGTGTTTGAGACTGACGCCGTGCGCAACCTCGCTGCCGATAGGTTGACCGCGCAAACGGATCTGCAGAGCTTCCTGAAGGTCGTCGTGAGCATTGTTCGCGAACTGACCGACTTTAGCCGCGTCATGGTCTATCAATTCGACGACCAATGGAACGGGCAGGTTGTCTGCGAGCTCGTCAACATCAGAGACACGCACGACCTGTATCGCGGGCTCAACTTTCCTGCCACAGATATCCCCAAGCAAGCCCGCGACTTGTATCGTATCAACAAGGTCCGCCTTCTCTACGATCGAGACCTGCCCAGCGCTCGAATGGTCTGCCGAGATCAGAGTGATCTCAAGACACCTGTCGACATGACCCACTCGTTCCTGCGAGCCATGAGTCCCATTCACGTCAAATACCTCGCCAATATGGGCGTGCGAGCGTCGATGAGTTGCTCGATCATGGCCTTCAATCAGCTGTGGGGTCTCATCGCCCTTCACACGTACGGCGAGCACGGTCATCGAGTGGCATTTCCCATGCGCCAGCTCCTGCGCCTCATCAGCGATTCGGTATCGCGCAATATCGAGAGGCTTAGTTACACGCGACGACTGCAGTCAAGGAAGCTCATCAACACGCTTCCGACTTCGGGGGCGCCGTCTGGCTATATTCTCACCAAGGCAGAAGATCTCCTCGAGCTGTTCGACGCCGATTTCGGAGTCATTGCCATCGGGTCAGAATGCAAGATCCTTGGTAGCATGTCGGCCAGTCAGGAGGTACTTGCATTGACCGAGTACCTGCGACTGAAGGCGTTTGCGACGATCGTCAGCACGTCCAATACTGCTCGCGACTTCCCCGACATGTCGTTGCCAGAGGGACTCGATCTAGAATTCCTCTCGGGCGTCCTTTACATCCCACTGTCGGAGGCAGGCGCCGATTTCATCGTTTTCATCCGCCGGGCCCAGACGAGGACAGTCAGCTGGGCGGGTAAGCCTTTCAAGGAGGGCAAGGAGGGCAAGGCATCGCTCGAGCCGCGCAAGTCATTCAAGCTTTGGAACGAGACGGTTACTGGAACATGTCGAGCGTGGAAGGACGAAGAGCTTGAAACGGCATCAGTCCTTTGTCTGGTGTACGGCAAGTTCATCACGGTGTGGAGGAGTAAAGAGGCTGCGATGCAGGTCAACCAGCTCAATCGTCTTCTGCTGTCCAACGCCAGCCACGAGGTCAGAACGCCGCTGCATCACCTAGTCTCCTACCTTGAGTTGGCGCTCGATGGCCCGCTTGACCCTGAGACGCGCGAAAATCTCAATCGCGGGCGCATAGCCTCCAAGTCGCTCCTCTTCACCATCAACGATCTCCTCGACATCTCTCGTGCCGAGCAAGGCAAGCAACTCTTCCTCAAGGAGCCCTTTGATCTGGCAGAGTCGGTGCGAGAGGCCGTCGAGATGCACGAGTGGGAGGCGAAACGACGCAAGATCAACTTCAAGGTGTCAACGAAGCCCAAGACATGTCTGGTGCTCGGAGATCGCAATCGTCTGCGTCAGGTCTTGGTAAATACGACGACAAATTCGCTACACCACACGGGCGAGGGTGGCAAGATCATTGTCGAGATGAAGCGACGGCACAAGGAGGAGGCAACACTTGCTCTGCCGGAAGGCTGCGACGTCGAGGTCGAGCTGTCGATTACGGACACGGGATCAGGCATCCCTCGCGAGAAGCTCGAGGCCATCTTTCGCGAGTTCGAGCAAGTCGAGTCGGTCATCCCGCAAGATTCGCAAAATGATTCGGTATTGGACAGCAGGCGAAGCAGCGACGGCAGTACCACTGTGGGAGCAGACTCCGAGGAGGCCAAGCGAGCGCGTGATCTGCTCGACGATGAGCGCTTGTTGGGCCCAGAGGGGCCAAGCAAGGCGCGTCAAGGCTCCTCTCAAAGCGGGCTGGGAGTCGGTCTCGCTGTTGTTGCTCGCATCATCCGAAACCTCAATGGCCAGCTGCGCGTCGACTCAACTGTCGGCGTCGGGTCGCGCTTCACTTACGTCGTCCCGTTCCAATCGACGGATGGCGCTCAGGCGAAAAAGAGGGAGACCGTGGAGTCGGGAGAGCAGTCAAAACGCATGACTCGCTCTAACTCACAAGGCAGTCTGGGCACAGTAGCTACCAATAGTTCTGGGATGGGCAGCGAGCTCGATAGCCTGGTCGAGGCCATCGGCGCCCCACCAGTCCGCAAGGATCGCCGACGGTCCACCGAAGACAACATTGGCAAAAAGGCTGAGGCAGTCAGCGGCCCTCGTGGTGCATCTGCCATACAGAGCCGCCGCCCGTTTGAGATCGACGGTCAGCGAGAGGTCGCAGGATCTCGGGTGCCACTGCGTGCCAGCAAGATCGACCCTCACACGCTCGATGGAGGCAGCCAGGCCAGCGACGACTCGAAGCCCTCGGCAGGGTCGCGCGACCGCGAGCCCAGTGGCTCTTCTCTGCTATCGCGACCCAAGGCAAGAGACTCGGTCGCACCCCTCGCATCGCCCTCGGTCAACAGCGAAGGGAAAGACAGCTTCGTGTCAGTCCAGTCGCGATTCAGCGCTCGAGCCCTGCGGCGCAGCAACAACAGTACGCCCACGCCCAAGCTCAAGGCGGCACGAGAGCCTGTCTCTCCTTTGCGGGCGCTCGTGGTCGAAGACGACCCGATCAACCGCACAATTCTCAAGAAGCGCCTCAGCATGGACGGACACACGGTGTTGCTGGCCATGAATGGCGAGGAGGGCTTCCGAACGTTCGAGTCACGCTCTAACGAGATCGACTGTGTGCTCATGGATCTGCAGATGCCCATTTGCAACGGCCAGGACTCGTGCAAGCGTATCCGCGCCTTGGAAAGGGAACGCGGTGCGAAGGAGGGCGGTAATGCGGATCGTCCCGCTTCACACGTCCTGAACGGCCGCGTACCCATCTTTGCCGTGTCTGCTACGCTGACACCTGCAATGCGTGGCGAAATGGTCGAGATAGGTATGGACGGCTGGATTCTCAAGCCCGTGGACTTTTCTCGACTCAGCATCCTTCTCCGTGGCGTGACGGAGAAGGAAAAGCGCGATAGCGAGCAATGGACTGCGGGCAAGAATTGGGAGAAGGGAGGGTGGTTCGGTGCACCTCAAGCGGGCGCCTGATCACCTGGCTGAGACAACATTACCTCGAGAGGACCGGGGACCACGCCAGCATTTTTACACATCGGCCAGATATCAACGGAGGATTCCTTGTACTACCTTACCTATGCAGGCATTTACGCATCAGGAGAGACCCTACCGACTACTTCTCCCATCCTCATGACTACTTTCGCTTTCTGTCTCTACACCACGTCGCTCCCCACGCCCCTAGTTCCTAGTCACTCTCATGTCGGTCACTCCTCTTGTTTTTGTGTTCACTACTTTTACCTCGCATGTGCTATAATACACGGGCATTCAGCGTCGCAGTAACACTCCACCTCTCCCTCGTGTGGCGAGCAAGTCGGTCGAGCGTCGGACGATGCGGTGAAGCAGTGAGATGGTGCGAGAGACCGCCGGCTGTTGGACGCGGTAAGGAGATGCCGTCGCCAAGTCTTGGCGCCGATAACACTTCTTCCAGGCCTCTTCATTCGTGGTCGCTGTACCGCCGGACCATCTGCGTCGGCAGTCAAATCTCGCAGCGAGGTGAGCCTTGGTCGATCGTTCCGCGCCACGTGGTACAAAGCCCCGCAATGCCAAGCCACAGCCTTGAATTTGAATTCGCCGACGACTGTCGTAGTGCAGTTGGCAGCACAGGGCGCAGGTACGTCACCGCCCTTAGATTGTCTTGCTTCCGTACCCCGCCCAGGACACATTCTTGGCTCTACTGCATCGGCGTCCTCTGTTTCGTCGCAGTCTTCCTGCCTCGTGCTTCAATATCCTTGTGCCAAGAATGGATCAAGATGTATCTCAGCCAGCCACCGACGTACAGACTTCGTTTGACCCTACGCGGTGACTCAGACGACAACGTGCCTAGCGCTCCTCACGCCTCTGCTCACGGCGCCTTTCCCCAGCGCCAAGGACTGGGCTTGCCACCTACTTGCAGGAGCAATTGCGACTTCCGGAATCGATGATGGTGAGAAGTCGACGAGACGGCTCGCGTGCCTCTGCAAGATCGAGTGCCAGTCGCCGGCAATGATACCGCCTTGAGAAGGTCACGGATACATAAGGTGCGAGTGCCGGCGGCAGACGTTGATGATCCCCCAACTTCAGCGATTCAGCGCAATCCATCTTGAACAGTCGCTGCGCCATCCTTCAGACATCGACAGACAACCACGCATCTCACACGCCCACACATTGGATTCAATGCCCCTTCCTAGTCGCTCGGCGACGAACACCAAGACATCCGAGGCGACGCGAGTCGACCTTGAAAAGGGCGAGGGCTCACAGAGCGCATCGCCTATCGACGAGAAGAAGCAGCAGGCAGAGAAAGCTGCCGAAGAGATTGATGACAACCCTGAGACTGCTCCTCAAGAGTGCACGCGCCAAGAGGCGCTAGAGGGGAGCTACCTCTATCCCTTCGAAGCGGTGCTCACGGCGTTGGAGACTGACCCGGAGGCTGGCCTTCACTCCGGCGAGGTCAAGAAGAGGCAGGTGAGTGAGCCAGGCGGCGACAGCGAAAGGGTTGCAATGTACTGATCAAGAGTTCATGGTCTCTCAGACCGAGTATGGCACCAACGAGCTCGAAGGCGGAGAAGGCGTCTCCATCGTCCAGATTCTCATCCGTCAAGTGGCCAACGCCATGACATTCTGCCTTATCTTGGCCATGGCCGTCTCCTTTGGTATCCGCACATGGATTGAAGGAGGCGTGCTGGCAGCAATCATTATTATGAACATCACTATTGGAGCATGGCAGGAATACTCTGCAGAGCAGACAATGGACTCTCTACGCAACCTTGCATCCCCTACGGCCAGGGTCATTCGCGGCGGGTGAGTGCAGGCGAGGGCGACAAAGACACCATCTTTCGCTGACATTCAGCCCTCTCCATGCCAGTTCCTCGGTTACCGTCAGTGCCAATGAAGTCACGATTGGCGACCTCGTCGAGCTCACCACAGGTGACACCGTTCCCGCCGATCTGCGCCTCGTCGAAGCGATGAACTTTGAGGCAGACGAAGCGCTGCTCACCGGCGAGAGCCTGCCAGTCTCCAAGAACGCCAAGCAGGCCTTTGGCAAAGCCGACAGCACTGAGCCCGTTGAAGTAGGCGTCGGCGACCGCACCAACATGGCTTACTCGTCCTCCAATGTCACAAAGGGCCGTGCCGTGGGTGTCGTCGTTGCCATCGGTATGAAGACGGAAGTTGGCAAGGTCGCTGCGGCTCTGCGTGGCTCCGCCAAGGGCAACAAGATCCGTCAGGTCAAGCGCAACGCTCATGGCAAGGCCGGGCCTCACCGCTACGCCCAGGCTGGCGCTCTCACTGTTTACGACCAGGTACGCAACTTTTTGGGACTCAGCAGCGGCACCCCCCTCCAGATCAAGCTCTCCGCGCTCGCAGTCCTTCTACTCGGCCTTGCGATCCTTTTCACCATCATCGTCTTCCTCGCCAACTTGAATGCCGAGGTCAATCCCTGGAGCAGTACCGAAGTAGCGATCTACGCCGTTGCTACGGGTGTGTCCATCATTCCCGCCTCTCTCACAGCCGTCCTCATCATCTGCCTTAGCACCGGCTCTCGCGCAATGGTGCAGCGCAACGTCGTTGTCCGCAAGCTCGAGTCGCTCGAGGCCCTTGGCGCCATCACGGACATTTGCTCCGACAAGACGGGCACGCTTACTCAAGGGCGAATGATCCTGCGTCAGGCCTGGGTGCCAGCGAGCGGGACCTATGAGGTCGAGGAGACGAACGAAGCCTTCAACCCTACCCTTGGCGCTGTCAACAAGACGCAGGCTGAGCCCGCCAAGCGCGCCGCAGACAGCAAGGAGGAGATGGAAAAGGTGACCGACGACTCGCACGGTCTCAGCAAGGTCTCGGACGACGAGAACTTCATGTCCTTCCTCCGCGTTGCCTCGCTCTGCAACCTTGCTACGGTATTCAAGGACAAGGAGACGAGCGAATGGACGGCACACGGCGACCCGACGGAGTGCGCTATCCAGACCTTCGCCTGTCGCTTTGGCCACTCGCGTCAGTCCCTGACCAAGGCACAGAATGGCAAAGAGCCTAAGTGGACGCAGATCTGTGAGATGCCTTTCTCATCCGACCTCAAACGTATGGCCGTCACGTACCGCGAGGAATCTACTGGCACAACGTACGGGCTGATGAAGGGCGCCGTTGAGCGCATTTTGGACTGCTGCACCCACGTACGCACAGCCGAGGGCGTAGTGGACAAGTCGGACTCTCTCGTCGAGCAGATCCTCGCCAACATGGAGAGCATTGCCTCGCACGGTCTGCGTGTCCTCGCCCTCGCCTCTCGTGAGCTCACCAAAGACGAAGCCGCCAAAGGCGACGAGATCGACCGCGAAGACGTCGAGGCCAACATGACCTTACTCGGCCTCGTAGGTCTGTACGATCCGCCGCGCCAAGAGTCGGCCGGCGCCGTCAAGCTCTGCCACGAAGCAGGCATCACTGTGCACATGCTCACGGGCGACCACCTGGCCACGGCCAAGGCCATTGCCAAGCAGATCGGAATCGTGCCCAAGGACGAGGGCATGCTCAGCAAGGCTCAGAGCGACGCGCTTGTCATGACTGCCTCGCACTTTGACAAGCTCAGCGAACAGGAGATCGACGATCTCGCTGTCCTTCCTGCCGTCATTGCGCGCTGCTCCCCGCAGACGAAGGTGAGAATGATTGAGGCCATCCACCGAAGGGGCAGGCTCACCGCCATGACCGGCGATGGTGTCAACGACGCCCCCTCACTCAAGCTGGCCGATATTGGGATTGCAATGGGTCAAGCAGGAAGCGATGTCGCCAAGGACGCCAGCGATCTCACTCTCAGCGACGACAACTTTGCTAGTATCACCAACGCCATTCACGAAGGACGTAGGCTGGCGGACAACATCGGTGCATTCACCAAGCACCTTCTCGCACAAAACGTAGTGCAGGCAATTGTTCTCCTGGTTGGCCTGGCATTCAAAGACAGTCAGAGACTCTCAGTCTTCCCATTGAGCTCGATTGAAGTGCTCTTCGTCATCGTCGTAACTTCAAGCTTGCCGGCAATGGCTCTAGGCGTCCAGGGTGCCCGCGAGAACACAATGCGTCGCCCTCCGGCCGATCTCAAGCGTGGCATCTTCACGAACGAGTTCCTCGTTGATCTCTTCGTCTACGGAATCTGGGGCGCGGTGCTCTGCTTGGCAACCTTCCTCTTGAGTCAGTACGGCTTCGGCGACGGTAGTCTTGGCGACAACTGCAACGCTGCATACAACGCTAGCTGCGAGACGGTCTTCAGATCACGCGCAGCGACTTTTGCTGTCCTGATCAACGTGTCTCTCTTGCTAGCCTGGCAGCTTGTCGATGACGAGCGCTCCTTCTTCAACCACGCCGACGATGGAGGTCCGCTCCTTACTCGATGGTGGCGAGGGTCGTGGGGTCGCAACCGTGCACTCTTCTTGATCGTCGTCATTGGAATCGCGCTGGAGTTCCTCGTCCTCTACGTCCCCGGCCTCAACACAGTCGTCTTCTTGCACCTGGGTCTGACCTGGCAATGGCCCATCGTCATTGTCGCCACGATCCTCTTCTTCGCTGGGGCGGAAGCGTACAAGTGGGGCAAGAGGGTGGTAGGGCGAAGGAAGAACGACAAGCGCATGAAGCGAAAGAACACGGTGCAAAGAGCTTTGGAAGCTGATGACCAGGCATGAGGCAGAAGTCGGGAGCAGGGGCTGTTTCGCCGATGAGATGCGCTACAGCAGAACCAGCCTCACTGCAAGAGCAGAGTGAGCAATGAATACCACACAACAATCGACGCGCCTCTTCGTAGCGGATCAGCAATAGAATTCATGAAACAGACCAGTCACGATCATCGAAACCTTGCGAGTGCCCTCTTTGAAGATGAGACTTGGAGCGAAGCATTGCCCGCACTACCGTGACGGTGAGGCTGCCCTGCTGCGCTTGCCGCTCCTCGACCTCTGACTTGATGGTTCACGCAGTGACCGTGCTCGTTCATTGACATAGAAGGAACAGCCGGGCGCGTTGTACATTGCTTGCAAGCAAGCTCATGGAGAAAGCAGAAATCGAGGCAGCCAGTCTCATCTCGTAGCCACCTGTCTGGCCGCCTGCGCACTGTCAGCTTTCACTTTAGCGCCGCCTTGGACCCCATGATGAGTTGTCAGCGAGCCAGCTCAGCTTCTTGCCTTCTTTCCCTCTCTATTAGCCCTCATTGAGCCCATTCAAATTTTCATTCGCACCACCTCCGCTGGCCGAGCCTCCACGGAACGGGATTGTGGAGACCCCATGCTCGACTTCGACGGCGGCACTTCGACGTAGCCGCCGTCACGACGCCGCTTGGCAATTCGGTTCGCGCTATGGTGCGCAGTACCTGACGTCTGCGAGCCGCTTCCTCCGAGGAGAAGGCTCGAGATCTCGGACCTTTCAATCTAAGACGCGGCTGGCTGAGTCGTACCGTAAATCTTACGCCTTCCTCTAAGGATAGCAATGTATCATCGGAGGTCGCGACTACCGCCATCCCTTCTCCCGGCGGGACTTAGATCCGATGCTGCTCGGAGTCAAGGCTATTGACATACGACGTCGGAGAGGGAGTCCAAAGCCGCCCACGTTTAGTGTGGCTCGGCGAGGGCGAGGCGGTATCCCCGAGCCGCGGCATTCAACCGCCTTACCGCCTCAGTCCGACTTCCTTCGTCACCGTGCAGCGCAATGCGGTTCACAGCCACATTTCTCGTAGCGGCTGGTCCCCCCCGCGTTTGACGTCTCAAGCACGGGAGATTAAGGGCGAAGGAATCATTGGAAGTGGAGCGCAAAAGGCAGAGCTTGGCAGGCCAGTCGTGCCACAGATCAATTTGTCGCTCCCTCTGCATCGGGCGCAAACTGCCAGCCAGAACAAGGAGCTGCGAGCCTGCGTGCCTACGTTGTGTCAAGGTGATGGACGTCACTCGAAGTAGGGACTAGACGATTGGGTCCACTGGGAGATCGGCGGCGATAGGGCAAGGACAGAGAGATGGCAAAGAGAAGATGATCCTATAAAGAAGTTATTCTTCTCTCCTTAATCCACTTTCGTCCACATCATCCATATCCAATCAAGCAACTAGATTCCCTCTCCAAAGCATGCCGCATTCACCAGCGCACGTACCCGCAGCGCCTGGGTCAGGCAATCTCCTCGTCCACGGGGACCTTCCTGTGAGTGTGCTCGGACTCATCTTGTGTGTGGAGCCAACCTCTCACAACCTTCCCTCCCCGCCTACTGCAACCGCAGGAGCTGACCCGCCTCTACGGCTACTCGTCCAACACCGTCTGGACAGAACCTCAGTACAAGATCTGGCGTGAACGACCGGACGACCAGGTCGTGCAACCAAAGGAGGGCGATGAGCATGTGCCCGGCAAGGGCGCCGCGATTGGCTTCCTCGTGAGCCAAGGCTACGCAGTTGTCTGGGGCTCACCGCTATGCCCCGCAGCCGACTACAAATCCGTCGCTGAACGTTTTGTGGCGTGGACGCATAAGCACAAGCTCAAGCCGCTCTTCTGCTGCATCGACCTCGAGATGGAAAAGGTGCTCGCTGCAGACCCATTCAACTACGTCGTCGTCAGCTGTTCCAAGGAAGACTACCTTGACCCGACGGTAGCGCACGACCCGTCCCTTCTCGACAAGCGCGTACGCACCAAGATCAACAAGGCGGAGCGAGCTGGTCTGGTCATCTGGGAGGAGAGCGCACACCTGCCTGACCAAAAGTGGCAGGACCAGGCAGAAGAGGGTATGCAGGCATGGCAGGCAAACAGAAAGGGTCTGCAGATCCACGTCACCGACTTGCAGCCCTGGAGAGATGTAGAGCACCGCCGCTACTTCTACGGACGAGCCAAGCCAGAGGGGAAGCCAGATGGGGAGGAGAAGCTCGTTGGCATGGTCGTCCTGACACGAGCGCACGACGGATGGGTCGTCAAGTGGGCTCTCGAGTTCCCCTACGCCCCCAAGGGTACCAGCGAAGGCATGATCATGCACGTCATCGAGACGCTAAACAAAGAGGGCCACCACCAGCTCAGCTTCGGCGCCTCTGGTGGCGAGCTCAAGGCCATCTCTGGCATCAAGGGCTTGTCGTTCCAGACGCTCTCCAAGACGTACAATGGCATTGCCAACGCCTTCCGACTGCACAACAAGAGCGACTTCAGGGCCAAGTTCAACGCTGCGTCCAGCCCACTCTACATTGCGTATGCCAAGGACTCGCTCGGGATGAAGGGCATCGACGCCATCTTGACGGCGCTCAAGCAGGAGACGTACGAAGCGCGAGGAGAAGGAGAGGGTGGTGATCGTTTGCAGACGCCGGCGGCTGGGATGGACAAGCCATTTGAGTTCTCGGCGCAGAAGGCTGAGTAGACAAAAGCTTAGAAGACGCTATGGCAGGCGGACCTGTCTTTCTCCCTTCTCTGGATTCGTTTCTGTATTGTATTTCTAGTATACACGTCTCATTCACTGGTGTCCTCTTGCGTGCGCAATCATTAGCTTGACAGCGAGAGCCTTGCGATTGTGCATCCTGGCAGCCCCTGATGGACCTGGTGAGGAGGGAAGGTGGGGAGGCGGCGCCCTGTCGCGAGACGCGTCAATTCATCCCGCCAGGGCTCGGGGCGAGCGGGACTGGAGTCGATGCAGCTTTCTTCCTGCTCCACCACACGACGCCATGCCATCCTCGTCGTGACCACCGCCTTTACATGCTCTCTCGGCCCGCATACAATGACTCCTGAAGACGCAGACCACTCGAGGTCGCCAACAGCCTCCTCTTCTCAACTTCCCTCTGCTCATGATCACCAAGCGCCCCCCTCAAAGCGTTCGAAGCATAGCCCAGCAGCAGCCACTCGACCAAACGACGGCGCCTCGACCTCGACGTTGACCTCAACACCACCATGGGCGCCGACGCCAACGCCACAGCAGCTCTCGTCTGGACGCTACACTAAGCTGAAGCCGGGCGAGGAGCTTCTGCCGCAAGAAGAACAGGACAAGATTCTGCGGCGCAGGCTGAGAGACGCTGAGCGCAAGAGACGAGATCGAGAGAAGGCACAGATTGCCAAGAATGCCGCCGCTGCTGGTGCCATTACCGGCTCAGCCATTCAGAGCGATGTTGAGCAGCCTGCCTCAATCAAGGGTACTCCTTCGTCCTCGACTCCCTCTACCCCAGCAGCTTCCGGAGCTCTCCAAGCTTTTGCGGCAGCCGTAATCGCTGAAGGTCGTCCGACACCCTCGGCGCAATCTCACACCCCAGCAGAGACGCCACGCCCATCCTCATCTTCCTCATCATCTGACGAGCTTAAAGCTCAAGCAGCGGCAGAGAAGAAGGCTAAAGCTGCAGCAGATAAGAGGGCGGCAGCAGAGCGTAGAGCTGCTGCTGCTGCTGAGAAGCTCGCGGCAGAGAGGGCGGCTCTCTTGGCCGCTGAGCAGGAGATGCAAGAGGAAGAGGAGGAGGTCGACGACGAAAACGAGGATGATGCGGACCAGAAGCTGTACTGCATTTGCAGGACATTGTATGGTGAGGCTGCAGAGGCGGAGGGCTCGTGTAGCATAAGACTGACTGGCTTGCCACCTTCCCTCGACAGACGAGGAACGGCTCATGATTGCGTAGGTAAAGTTGCTCTTCTTGACACTGCGAACAAAGCTGACTTCTTCGCACTTCCTCTCTCGCCTCTCGATCATCAGCTGCGACCTCTGCGACGAATGGTAAGTCGCTCGGCGTATCGAATGATCCACAACTTCTCAAGCTGAATCTGCCAATCTCGACCCGCTTCAAGGTACCACGCAGCGTGCGTTCCGTCGATGGACGACGAGCTGGCAGCCCTTGTTGACGTCTTCGTCTGCCCTCGATGCGAACCTCGTGAGGACTGCCAGGACGACGAAGCCCATGGCGTGGCTCATCACTGATCGTAACTTCGCTTCTCCTTCCTCGCACACAGACACGACGGAGTGCACAACGATGAAGCCTCCTTGCCTACGACAAGGGTGCAAAATGGCTGCTCGACCTCCTCTTTCCCGCTACTGCTCGGATCGATGCGGCATCCTCGTCGCTGCGGCACGCATCGCCAAGACCAAGTACGCCAAGAGCTCAAGCGGGGGACCGAAGAGGCTGCTTACGAAGCAAGTACAGGCGGCTTCCAGAAAGGAAGGCATGGTCGTATGGGGAGAAGCGGACGCAGAGGGGCTGCAACAATGGTTCGCGAGTTTGAGCGTGCGCGGCGCAGATCACGGCCAAGAGGAGGTCGAGGACGAGGACGAGTCCAAGCCCATCCATCCGACCTCTGAGCCACTCTCAGTCGGTTCGAGCAGGGAAGAGGAACGCCTCGTCGACCTACGCCACCACCTGTCCAAGCTCACTGCCCAACGGCAAGAAGTCTCCACAACTCTCGACCTGGCAGAGAGCCGCGTCAAGCTCCTCCAGCTTGTCGACGATCGTCTTGGTGTGCTCCCGCCCGTTATGGTGGAAGAAACGGCAAGCTCGTCCTCATCAAAGAAGAGCAAATCCAAAGGAGGTAGCAAAAAGGATGATGCTGGTGCCGGACTCAAAACGCAACCCCGCTGTGGGTACGACGAGCGCCTCGCGTGGGATGATGAGCGCTTCAGCGCTTGGATGGCCAGCAGGGAGGGCAGAGAGATGCTTGCAGGCAGCAAAAAGCTCGATGGTCACTTGGTCGATGCAGACGGGCAAGCCGTCGTCCTTGAAGACGGAGGTGGGGCAGATATTTCGTCGGCGTCGGCGACGGTGGCAAAGGTGTGCGGTACGGCAAAGCGCAGATGCAAGAGACACGCCGACTGGAATGCGGTCAAGACGGACGATTTTGAGGTCGAGAAGGACAGTCAGGTGAGGAATACGATGGACGGCGACAGTGACGGCAGTGCTCGAAGCGCCGGAATCGTTGACCGAGCAATCCTCCCCACGCTTTCCTACCACAGACTTCGAAGCTGTCCACGCTCTCAGAGGAGATTTCTCGTACGAACGCACAGCTTCTTGACCTCGAAGGCGTCCTCAAAGCAAAGCGACCGGTTGATGAGACGAGGACCTCTGGCAGCATAGTCGACGGGCAGGGCGGGGACCTGCCGGTAAGATGAATGGAGCGCAAAGCACGTTGGCTCGGTCTCCTCTTGTTCTGGCTTTTGTGTAATACCACCTTATTGACAGCAACCCGCGCCAATGGCGATTGCGCGCGAGACATCATTTTGTCCTCAGCAAAGCCAGAGCGCACACGCTCTTCTCGCCTCACGACCAAGCAGAGGGTGGAGAAATAGCAAGCGCGATTGGATAAAAAGGCTTGCGACGAGGCTCAGGTGTGATGGTTGACTCTGCACTCTCTGTCACTCCTCCTGCTTTCCCCTACGCTGCTGGTCAGCCTTTGTCCAACCGCAAGAGCGCTGGCGCCCTTCCACTCCCGATCACGATCCATCCTCCCTTCGACTAGCCGGTCTAGCCATCTCCTCCGTGCAGCTGGTCTGCTCCATCTCATCTTCCTGTGACTGACAGCCTCGCCGCTATGACCCGCCCTTCCGCCGTACTACAGCGCATCGAGAACGCTGCCGAAGGCAAGCTTTCCCGACTCCAGCACAAAGCGTCGGTGCTCTTCGACGGTGGATCCTCGGGAAGGGCGTCCCGCCGCAGGGCCACCTCTCGTCGCCACGGCGGTCCGATCATCAGTGCGCCGCTCAATTCGCGCGATGTGCACTGGCCGGCCATGCCTAACTTCCAGGCATCGGCTGCTCACGTCATGGCGGCACATCAATTTCCCTCGCCCGCACCACTCGTTCTCCATGACCCTATCGGTGCGCCTCAAGAGACGATAGAGGTAGCTGAAGACGGTCTTCCAGCCCCGCCCCACGCTGTTTGCGAGTTCATCGACGTCTTTGCCGGGACACACGATCACGACCCTCTCGCTTCTGAGGAAAAGCATCTCGCCCTGCAACTCCTGCACAAGGCGTCCTCCAATCTCGGTGACGCCCTCTTCGCCTTGGACGAGGTAGCCCTCATCTACTCGTCCGAGGATTGCGATGAGAGACGTGGTCGAGAAGCGAGCAAAGGCTGGCAGGGCCCTAGCACGATCGAGGAGCTGAAGATGCTGAGGCAGGCCGTGGCGGAGGTGCATCGAGCATTCAGCATGGGGAGTTTCGAGGTCTCGGCGGAGGTGCATGAATGTATTGGGCTGGCTGCATCGCCTCCAAAAGAGTCGCCCTGGTCGGAGACAATAGACGACAGCTCCACAAGGATGAGCTGCAGTACTCAGGTGTCGCATACGAGCCAGTACAGCTCATCGCAGAGCACCTCGAGGACATCGATCAGTAGCCAGCTCTCGGCCGCGACTGGACTCATATCGAACGCTTCTTCGACCCGTTGCATCGACTCGGTCCAGAGTGAGCCTCGGGGATGGAAGGCACAGTGTCCGTTGGACGCTCGTGGAATGTCAAGTCAGGGCCTTCACAGCGACGATAACTCTCGCGGCAGCGTCGCTGCTTCTGACGGTGTGATCAAGATACACCGTTCTGCTGCGCATTTCGATGCGGTCACTCCCCTCGAGGTGAGCGGTTCACATCAGAAGCCGCGACCGCGACCTCAAGAAGTACGCCATGACCTCCCTACGAAGGAGGAGCCCCGACTCCCCCGTCGTCACCGCTACACGGCCAAGCCCACCCTCGCAGCGCGTCGCCTCTCTCGCAAACAGCCTCCTCATCTCCAGACACAGCGCAATCCAGTCTCTCCTCTGCGCATCGGACAGCGAGCGGCCTCTGTCCCCACTTCAGCCTACATCCTCAGCCCAATCCAGTCGGCCGGCTCAGAGCAAGTTGAGGTCCTACAATCCCCAATGAACGCCGCCGTCGAGCTTCTCCTCACGCCCAAGGCGAACGAAATCAATCAGGGAGTAGCACGCGCTCGTGCCAACATCGAGTGCGAGGGCTTGCCTAGTGTGCCTTTCGTGCTTGGTCCTTACGAGGGGTTGGTGAGAAAGGAGCAAGCGCGGCAGCACAATAGAAAGGAGCAAAGCACATCGAGTAGTCCGCCGTTAAGGAGGACTTCGAGTCGCAGGAAGCCGAGCACGATCATTGCGGGCCGACTATGCGACGTGCCCGTCAGCAGCAATGATGATGGAGATGGCTTCGCTGCGACGCTCTCGGCGCTACGAGCGATCAACAAGACTGAATCGGAAGGAATCGAGGATACTGTGGCGAGGCATCTGGCCCTGCCGCCCTCGCCGTGGCTCTCCTCCGGCCTCACGCAAAGCTCACCTGACCTCGCTCACAACGAGTTTGACGCGGCTCATTTCGCAAAGAATATCTCACCGGCCAGCCAAGCACAAATGAGCACGGGTACGAAGATCAAGCCACTCCATCTTTGTCGTCGAGCCGCGTTGCCGGGCATCGTAGTTGAGCACAGTGCGCAACGGCATGCGCCGGTCAATATGGAAGGGATGATCTGAGTAGCGCGATAATTCACTTGCCATTTCAGCGATTGATTTCTCCCAACGTTGATGAGCAGCGTCTTCCTCCTCCTTTTCTCGACTGTGCGTGATCGCGCTACTGACCTGACCTTGACGCGCGGGGATTGAATGAGGTTGTCGGGCTGGTCTCACCTTGATTGGCGTTGCCTGCATGGAAGCCCTGGAACTCGCAAAAAAGGCTGGCTACGCGGTCTCAGTATTCCAAGCAAGCAACACAACCTTGCGGCGCAGCGCCCAGCAGCAGCAGCAGCAGCAGCAGCTCATGGCGCTCAGCGCTTGGACCCTTTCGTTGATGGTCTGACGCCGAGGGGGGACTGTGCTCATTGGCGTTGACTAGGGACCTCCTCTTCGACCCTGATGTGCCTCTGAATGCCATCTCGGCCGCCCGTGCAGTCACGCTCGGCCCTCACGTCCTGCTCTCTTTCTCATGACTACGATAGCCACTAGTCGATCCAATTTCCGTCGTGTCTTTAGAAGAATCGCGTCGCGGGGCGTGAAGTGAAGGCCTGGTGCCTCATTGGCTGCTTCGTCGGCTAGGCGGCGCCGCTCACCCTAATCTGGCCACACTAACAAGCAAGGGGACGCCGGCCCAAATGAGGCCTGAGAGCCGTGAGGAAGTTAGGCGGCGTGTGCGATGCGAGTTTTGGAGTCAGGCGGCAGCGGAGAGAGGGCGCCATCGTTGGCGTCGTGGCGCGGCGGCAGGAGAGAGCCACACAACGGGCGACGACGACGAGGACAAAGAGGAGAGCGGGCGGACCGTCGACGAGCAGGCGGGCAGGCGGGCAGGCGTCTGAGCATCTGAGCATCTCTGACCATCTGTTCCTCTCAACCAACCAATCGACCCATCACGATCCACCCACCCACACACACGATCACAATCGAGCCCTTTCTTCATTCCTGACACAGGGTCTGGCTGTGACGTCGTTCGATCGTCTCCTCTCTTCGATACCTTGCGCCCGACGTCGACGCCTTCTAATCTCTTCATACCAGTCGCGGTCGCAGCGGCGTCACATTACCGACGATTAGCTTCAGTCGACATCGACGCCCTCCCCATCACCATCGACAACAACGCTGCATAGACGGCAAGAGCCTGGCTCGACGCACAGCGTAGTCTCACATTCGCTCGCTGCTGGCCAGGAAATGGCCGCAGTCCAGCACCAATACAACGGAGGAACTTCACCTGGGGCGAGCAGCAACCCCAGCAGCTCCAGCTTTATGGCGAGCGGTAGCGGTAGCGGAGGGGGTGGAATGAGCAGCAGTGCGACGTCAATGACAGCTGGCAGCGGTGGAGACAATGGGCGTAGAGCAGCAGCGGCAGCGGCTGCTGCGGGAAAGCGCAACACGAACAGATACAGTGTGACGGCACTCTACTCGATGGCGGCAGAGCAGGACATCGAGGTCGAGGACGATCTGGCCAGAGGTGAGTGCCGCGAGAGGCTATATGCTGCGAAGGCGAGCAGGTGGACGACGAGGCTGACCCCTCGGAATTTCTGTCCACCGCAGCCCAAAAGCGTCTACGAGAGCTCAAGGGAAGAATCTCAGCGCAGTCGAAGAAGAACTTCGTCCTCGAAAGAGACGTACGCTACCTCGACAGCCGCATCGCGCTCCTGATTGCCAACCGCATGGCCGCAGACGAGGTGAGAAAGAGGAGCATCGCCTGACTCACCAGCTCAGACTATCACTCACGCCTCGTGTACTTACCACCGCTCGCCCGCAGCAATCCGAGATGGCCAGCGCTTTTGAGGAAGCCGAGATTCCACCAGGAACTGTTCTCGATGACCGCAAGACGCAGCAGTATGGCAACCTCTTCTTCCTCTTGCAGTCTGAGCCACGTCACATTGCTGCGCTATGTCGACTGGTCAGCCTCTCTGAGATTGACACGCTGCTACAGACGGTCATGTTCACCCTCTACGGTAATCAGTACGAGTCGCGCGAAGAGCATCTTCTCCTGACGATGTTCCAGGTGAGTCTCTGGCGACCAAAGCAAAATGTCGACCCGACCAATTGCTGATCTTCTCACTATGCCCTCCGCGCCTGCAGTCCGTCTTGTCTGCCCAATTCGAGACGGCCACCGATTTTGGCTCCTTGCTGCGAGCCAACACACCCGTATCGAGGATGATGACGACGTACACCAGAAGAGGGCCTGGTCAGAGCTTCCTCAAGCACGTACTCGCCGAGCGTATCAACTCCCTCATCGAGCACAAGGACCTGAACCTCGAAGTCAATCCGCTCAAGGTTTACGAGCAGATGATTGGCCAGATTGAGGAGGACACTGGGTCTCTGCCCCCCAATCTGCCTCGAGGAGTTGCGCCAGAGGTAGCACAGGAGAATCCGGACGTCCAAGCCATCATCGCGCCTCGCCTCACGATGCTCATGGAGATTGCCAACAGCTTCCTCACCACCATCATCAACAGCCTCGAGGAGGCACCGTACGGCATCCGATGGATCTGCAAGCAGATTCGCTCTCTCACGAAGCGCAAATACCCTGACGCCACCGACTTTGCCATATGCTCCCTCATTGGTGGCTTCTTCTTCCTCCGCTTCATCAACCCAGCGATTGTCACGCCGCAGGCCTACATGCTCGTCGACGGAGCGCCGGCTAAGCACCCTCGCCGCACCCTGACGCTCATCGCCAAGATGCTGCAGAACCTGGCCAACAAGCCGAGCTACGCCAAGGAGCAGTATATGATGTCGCTCAACCCGTTTGTCGAGCAGAACAAGACGCGCATCAATGCCTTCCTTCACTCACTCTGCGACGTCGGAGACTTTTACGATACGCTGGAGATGGACCAGTACATGGCCTTGTCCAAGAAGGATTTGCAGATCTCGATTACGCTCAACGAGCTGTACAATACCCACTCCCTCGTCGCGCAGCACCTCGACGTCCTCGCGCCCAACGAGAAGCACCATCTGCGTATCCTCATCGGAGAGCTCGGCGGCTCTCCCAGCCAAGTAGCGCGCAAGGAGAATCGCACTGTGGACCTGCCCCTCTTCAGCCGATGGGAGACGCCAATCCAGGACTTGACCACGGCGTTCATGTCGGAGAACAACGTGACGCAGAATGACATCCTGTACATGGAGGCCAAGTCCATCTTCGTCCAGTTGGTGCGCTCTATCCCTCAGCTGGCAGACAAGAAGCCACTCAACCTCCCCGTCATTGCCGAACGTGCCGCCACGACGAAAGACGCGACGCTGGTGCGCAAGGGCATCAAGGTCAAGGAGATGCTTCGCGAACTGGAAGAGCTCAAGGTCGTCGACCGTCGCGACGGGTACAACCTTATGACCGACGAGGTTGCCTCTGAGCTGGCTCACCTGGGCAACATGCGCGAAAAGGTCATGCAAGAGATGAAGTCTCTCGAGAGCGTGTACCGCACCATCGTGGGCCACAACAATTACCTGCGTTCGCAGCTTGACACGTACAAGAACTACCTTCAGAACGTGCGCATGACCTCTGGTGCGAGCAAGGACAAGCAACTCGGCGGAGTAGGCGTAGTCGCCTTCGGCGGCAAGGAGAAGAAGCAGTCCAAGTCCCAAGTCCTTGGGCCTTATCGCTTCACGCACGCACAGATGGAAAAGGACGGCACAATTGTCGAGACGAATGTGCCTGAGAACCGTCAGGCCAACATCTACTTCAATATCACGTCCCCTTCGCCCGGTACGTTTATCATCGCCCTGCATTACAAGGGAAGGGACAAGGCTATCCTGGAGATGGACTTGAAGCTGGACGACCTGCTCGAGAAGCAGAAGGATGATGTGCAGCTGCTGGATTTGGAGTACGTGCAGCTGAACGTGAACAAGATTTTGGCGCTCCTGAATAAGACTTTTGCTAAGAGGAAGGCGTAAGTGGCTGGTGGGGAGGAGAGAAGGCGGGGGAGTCGGACTCGGAAATGAAGCTCAACCGCTTCTACGCCGCGCGAGAGAAAAGGAGAGGTGGCATGAGGATTTATCACTGTCTGGACGGATCCACTGCGGCGGTGGATCCACCAATTTCCTTCACCAACGTCACCACAACCCACCTTCATGGCGACGGACCCCGACTACCAAGGTACGTCCGCACTTTGCGTGAAATCACGCGCTGGCCACACGCTTTGGGCCTCTCATCATTCGGCGACGGCGAGCGTCCCATACGGGCATTACTCACCTTGGCGCATGGACCACGATATCTACATCCTGCCCATCACCTCGGTCATCACATCTTCTGCCTCCCTTGATCTCACTTTCTTCATCTTTGTCCTTTACCTTTTCTTGACCTGTTGTCTTGCTTGTCTCTTCGCTTTCATCTCGATCCCCTTTTCTTTCTTCTTGCTGCCAATGAAGATCATACCTCTCCCGCAGGGCGCGCTTGTCCCCGCCTCATCCAGGATGAAGCGGCTTCTGCTCCTCTGCCTCCACACTGCAGGCGCAATGCATCTGCCGGCGGTTTATTGGTGGCCCGCCGCATCAGAACCTGGCCAACTCGCCTCGACTGATTCCCGTCCTTCTCTCGCAGCTTAACATCACCACAACCCACCATGTCGACCCCCTCAACTCCCATCAAGCACTCTGGTGACAGCGGCAGCATGGACGCCCACCGACCCTCGCTCAGCACGTCGCATTCGACGATCTCTCGCGCACTATCTAGCGATCTCAATGGGCTCATCCTCTTCGACCTCACCAATCAGCCCGGTTCCACTCTCGCCTTCAGCCCGCACTGCATCAAGACAGTCGTGGACCTTGCCATCCTCAACATCGGCTACGAAAGGCAACGCTTGACCTTCCACCAAGTCCGCACCGACCTGGAAGCCAGAACCCAGCCGGGAGTAACCGTGCCAAGCGTCGAGATGAGCGATGGTACTCACCTCGTCGACTCGTGGGCCATTGCTGAGTTTCTAGCCAAGCATCACCCGGAGGGTCACAAGCTCTTCCCCACTATGACGAGTAAGAGGATGGCCCTGTTCCTCAGCGAGGTGGGAAGGACCTTTCTGACCCCAAATCTGGGGCCATTGGTCATGCCATCCGTGGCAGCAAAGTTGGACGACGAGTCGAGGAGGTACTTTGTCGAGGAAAAGTTGGGCAAGGAGCGCTTCAACAAGATGAGCGCAATCGGCGCTGAAGAGAGACAGGCGTACATTGACGGGGCAAAGAAGGTGCTGGGCACCGTTGAGGCGATGCTGGGTTGCAATGACTCCGGGACCTCGTCGACTTCGTCGTCTCCGTGGCTCGATTCCGGGGAGAGCCCAAGTCACGCCGACGCCATCCTCTATGGCTTCGTCGTCTTCTCGCGCATGGCGGGCAAAGAGACGTACGGCAAGCTCTGGAACGGCTTCCCTAGCATCAAGGCGTGGATCGAAGCTATGGATAAGTGGATCGGTGAAGGTATCACTAAAGACTACGTGCAGTGGTAGCAGCCTCATCAGTGGAGCACGTAAAAAAGACCATCACGATTAGACGGATACCCCAGTGCAAGGTAGTGAAGGTCGTGGTAAAAGGGTCGGTGATATGAGGAGGGCACGGGAGAGGAAATAGTCCGTCTCTATCCCAGCCGTTACGATGACTCCGCTACCGCCTCCAGCGCTTCATATCCGTGTCCCTCTCTGTCCAGCGAGCGTCCCACCTTCTTCTCTTGCCTGACCTGCTACATGCCCGCTCGCACCCGCGCCAGCCAAGCTGACCTCACTCGGTCTCGTCCCACTAGCAACCGCAGCCGACCTGATACTCTCCATAGACGAAAGGAGCGCGGCAGCCATCGCCGTAGTGGACGATGGTTCAGAGCTGAAAGTCCTGCGATGTTGCTTCTTTCTCTCAGCGGCAGAAGTGTGCGTGTGGCCGAAGTCGACCTTTGCACTCGGAAGCAGCGAGCTGAGCACATTGGCCGAGTTGGCTGGGCCTCCCGCGTTGAGATATGCGCTGAGCCTTGCGGGGGTCGAGGTGGCAGAGGCCATCGGGGAGGAGGAAGAGGCTGATACGGCTGACGCTGGCGGTGGAGGAAGAGAAATGGGCCTGCTGGGCGTGCCTGTGAGGCCGGCGCTTGCGGGACCGAGGCTGATCTTCTTTGCAGAGGCGGGGCGACTTTGCGTTGCGCCGCCTGGCGACGTTGTCGAGGCCACATTGCTGCTGCCAACGCCCTTGCCGCTGCCTTCGCCGCTATTGATAGACAGCATGGGTATGCGTCGGGCAGTCTCTTTTGCCTCACCCCTGTCCTCCTGATTCGGCTCCCTCGCTGCCGCGGGCTCGAGACGCCCAGGAAAAGCGCCATCGAGACGAGCACTTCGCAGAGGGAGCTCTCTGCCGCCGCTCGCGCTAGCGATTCCTCCGGCACTCCCCATTGCCTCGCTGCTCCCTTGTAGCTTGAGCGCAGGTGTCCTCATCCTCCTTCTCGCACCGAGTCCGCCTCCTGAGGTCACGACACCAGGCAATCCGTTCGGCACAGCTCTCGGTGAGACGGCTGCGACACTATCGCCGTCCTCCTGCTCTCTTCGCCGCCGCTCCGCCGCTTGACGCGCCGTCTCCTCTTGCAACTTCTGCCGCCTAGCCTCGTCTTCGAGCTGCTCCTTGCGCTCCTCCTCCATGCGCATCCTCGTCCACTCCTCCTCGCCCATGGCTTCGCTCGACCAGCCGACCGCTGCTGGGCGAGGCATTGCATCGGTGCCTGCGTGCAATGGAGTCTCGCCCACTGCCGCGTGGCTACTGGAAACCTCGCCCGCAGCACTGTTGCCTGTCTCGCCGCGTGGGCGGATCGTCGCCGCGGTTGTCGCACTGTGCTGAGAGGACCGCCTCTGAAGGGCATCTCTCAGCCTAATAGCCTCAGCGCTCAAATGCCTCTCCCATTCGACCAGTTGGTAGATGAGAGAGATATTAGGCGAGATGCTTGACGAGAGGTCCTTGACTAGATTATAACAGTCATGCATCCCCGTTAGCGTCTTTGTCGCCTCGTATGGGTAGTTGAGCGCGGCCGCCTGCATCACGAAAGCGATGACAAGCGTGGCGCTCCGGCTCACGCCGCACTGGCAGTGCACGAGAACGCCACCTGGCTTCAAAGGGCGAGCATCATCATCGAAGAGGGGGCGACCATAGTGGTCTATCGCCATCGCTTCAGAAATGACTGCACAGCCCTGCGCGAAGCCGCCCTTGGCCGCGGCCAGCTCGGTTTGGTCATGCGTCCACGGAAGCTTGATGTAGCGAATGGACTCTGAGCGCCCTGCTGACGGCGACGCCGGGATGCTGAGCTTAAGGGCGTCTTCGGGAAGCTCGACGGCCGAGTAAAGGGTGTCTGGGTCATCGACTTCAGTGAGTTCCTCGCTTTCCACGTCGGTTGCGTGGGTCTGGTCCGAAGGTGGTGCCTCGCTTGAGTAGAGCGAGGACCCTTTGCCGCCGCCTTCTTCGGACGCATCACTACTACCTGTGCTTCTGTCGCCTTGCTTCGGGCTGGCGCGTTGAAACTGTACTTGGAGGTTGGGCGTAGAAAGGGAGCTGCGTAACAGATGCGACGATGCGCTCTGAGGCAGAACGGACGGCGGGGACTCGCTGATAGGCGTCATGAAGGATTCCGTTGGCTCGCCGAGGGAGGTGCTGGTCGCCGCAGACAAGGGTGTGCGAGGCATGCCGCTGCTGCTGCTCGCGCACGGCGAGAAGAGCGATGCAGTGGGCGGCGTGTGGAAGACCTCATCCGTAGAGACGGTGCTGGCCCGCTGAATGCCAGAGCGCAATAATGGATCGGCAGATGCTGCCTGCGATAGGATCTCTGAGTGCCACACGCCATGTCGGCCCTTGCGAAGCGGTACAACGTTCGACTCGGTCTGGAAGGATAGCGTCGTCTCCTTGGCCACATTGAGAATCGTGGTGATGCCGCGAGAGGCGAGCATGTGATTGTCTCTGGCGTTGTGCTCGTCGCCTAGGTAGAGGCCGGGCAGCACTTCGATGGGACCCGCGGCATACACGCTACGAGCATGCTGTAATGTTGAGCCCTGGCCAGAGAGAATGTCTTGCGAGGGATCTCTCCACGCTTCTGGCGGCTGTAGCGAAGCATTGTCGTCCACGGCGGCAGCAAGAGGAGGCTGGGCCGCGCCAGCCCGGATCTTGGTGGGACCAAAGGGCATGCTTGGCCGCCGCCTGGGTCTGCCTGTCAGTGTGCTCCTGAGCTCTTGCTTTTCCTGCTCTGCAATGGCAGTCAAGCCAGTCGAGAGTATGGCTGAGGGCCTGAGGGGCGCTGCTGCTGGAGGTGCGGCTATGCAGGGGGAGTTGGGTACGCTGTGGCTGTTTGAGTCGACTGCGGCGGAGGATGATCCTGACGACGATCCAAGCGCATTCCCGCCAAGATTAAGGCGAGCCGGTCTCCGTTTGGACGACGAGACGCGCTGAGAGAGAGGGGGTGCTGGCCCAAGCAGACTGCTGCCGCCGCTCCCTTCGCCATGCTGCGCTGCAACCGGTACGAGACGAGGGGCCTGCGTATCGACGGCTGAGACTGGCGGCGCATCGGCGCTGCCCAGAGAGGACGACACTGGAGTAAGACCTCCGTACGCCTGCGATCCTGGTGGGATGTTGAGGGACAGGCCTCGTGTTGGCTTCTTGATGCGGGGGCTGCTGCTGCTCGAGCTATCTGACAAGCTGACTGCTGCTCCTGCCAATGATGGAGCAGATGTGGGGGTCTGAGCAGGGCGTGAGAATAGTCCAGCCGGGTACGACGACGCGTTACAGCCGCCTTCTTGAGCATTAAAGCCTGAGTTCGCAGGGCTAAAGAGAGCTGAAGGCGCACCGTCCTGGTAGCTTGCTGCGAACGGCGGCGGCGGCCGCCTTGTTCTTGGCTCTGCCACTGCATTATCAGGTCGTGGGAGGTCAATGCGCATAGCAGACGAGGCGGCACGACGGGGCGACGTGCCCAGCACGTCGCTCGGTCCCGCCCGTCCAACTTCCTCTGGTGGTGAAACCATCGCAGAGGGAGGATAAGATCGTTAAAGCGCGAGACGGATGATCTCTTGAGGGGCTACGTGGTAGTAGAGGAAAGAAGCAGAAGCGGCAGCGGTGCCGATGGAAGCAAAGCAAGTCTGACTTCAGAGCGGGCCAACCGCAATGGCTGAGTTTAGTCGATTTTGATGCTGCGAATCGACGAGGGGAGATCCTCTGCCTCTATCGTCTTTGTCCTTTTGTCCGTCACCTCGTCTTGACAGCCATGATGAGGAGGACCTTCTGACTCGCCCGAACGGGGAACTGGAAATTCTGCGACCGGGCTGGTGATGATGATGATAATGATGATGGTTTAGGAGGAGGATCAAGCTACACCAGGCCCGCCCCACTTGTTCATGGTCCGCGTTGCAAGCTGCTGCCTTTGCCGTCCAAGGGCGCCGCCGCCTCGTCTCGTCTCGCCTCTCAGGGCGCTGCCCGTCGTTGCCGCACGCCTCTCGTTTGCTCTTGCTCGCTCGCTCCCCTCAGCTCCCTCTCCCTCGCTCCTCTCCCCGTCTCATGCACGCGGGCGTCGAGGCTCTCCGGCGGCGTCTCGGCCCTGCCGCCCCTCAGTGGCCCAACCTTCACGCACCACTCACGCTCTTGACTTTCTTGCTCGCTCAAGCTTTTTGGTGGGCTTAATTTCTCGATCCTTTCTACGTCCGTCGAACCAGACAGACCCGCGCTAAGCCCTCACTCAAATCGATGTGACGTCGAGCATTGACATTGAGATGTCCGCGGGGTATCGCATTGCAAAACCACTACTCTCCTTGATAACAGACGGACAGAAGACATTGAATCAGTCCTACCTTGTGGACGTTCGACGACTCGACTCGCCGCTGCCACCGCCGCCATTGCTAGATCCGCTGGACGACGAGGGCGAGTACAGGGTGAGAGAATCAGTCGAAGCGGATGAGGGAGAGGCTGCCAAGCCATCCTTGAGCTCCAGCCATTCACTCCTCTCTCCACGAGACTCTACGTCGTGCCACGCCTCGCCTAGCCTGCTCGCAGAGCGCTGTCTTTTCTGCTGCTTCTTCGCCCAAGCCACCTCATCTTCGTCGTCATGAATTCCCTCGCTATGCTCGAAGACGACATTCTCGTGGAAGGTTGGCAGGCTCTCGTAGCGATGAGCGTGCGGAGAGGGCCAGCAGAAGAGGCGGTCTACACCGCGAGTCGTTGCCTCTTGCTCGTGCTTTGTCTCGAGGCTGCGTAACGCCTTTGTCGCAATCGTAAATGCTCCCAGAGATAGGGCAGAGCCCAGGAAGAGGTCGATAGCCCAATGGTGGTGGAGATATTGCGTGCTCCAAAGCATGGCAGAGTAGTAGACGAACATGACACCGTGACCCCATCTGCCGCCGTAACGGGCTACGTAGAGGGAGCAGCACATGGCCGTGGCAGCATGCAAGCTAGGTAGCGCACCAAAGACGACCGGGCTTTTCTTGAAGGCTGCCTGGTACAAGTGAGTGTGCAGCACCTTGTCGACCCTTACGAGGCCGGCGGAGGAGCCGGGGAAGGAGTAGTCGACGTTGAGCGTCTCCCAGTCGGGATGTTCGTCGTAGCTACGAGGTCGACAGAGATGGAAGGAGGGGTCTCAGGTTAGCGCCCGTCACAGGTCAAGGTGACTCTCAGCTCTAGCTCATCATTGGCTCTTACTCACAACCACGGCGCTGCGGTAGGCAGCAAAATGTGCGTGCATAGACCAGTGAAGTTCTGTACACCGAGCGTGATGCCGAATACGATGGCGGCGCCAGGCGGACCAAAGCCCCAGATCCACCATCCTGCGATGAAGGGCGATGCGAAGTGAAGGACGCCGTAGAAGACCCATGCGACGACATCTTGAAAGTCGCTCTGCGAGCGTGGGGCACAATGAAGTCGATTGTTAGCTTTGAGGACTCGATTTCAACTCCTCTGCCCATTACCGTGTACTTACCCATTCGATGTGCAGAGCGATGTAATTGAGGAATTTGAGCCAAAGCGGGAAGCAGAGGACGAGAATAGGATACAGTCGGACCAGTCCTTGTGAGTTCGCCTTGTTGCGCTGGCGAACGAAGTAGGCCACGGGGGAGAGAAGCAGGGTGAGGCCGACGACGCCGCCCGGGGAGAGCATCAGGGCCTCGAGGATGGGAAGCAGATGAGTGTGGATCTGCGAGGAGTGAAGGGGAAAAACGAGGTGGCGTGAGCAACGCACGACAGGGAACGCTGGTCCGGCTCCATACCAACATCCGGCCTCCATTCATCAGGGATGTTACGGGCAAGCTTGAAGGCCATGGTCCACCCTACAGGCGGTAAGATGCCGGCGAGCAAGCCTGCCAGCCATCTCAGCGGGGACTTGCCATTGAGGAGCGTACGAACGCAATGGGTGAGGAGACGTCTGCCATCGCGAGTGGCAGCGAGGAGAAGGACGATGAATGCTATTGGGCACCAGACATAGAGGAGTATGGGGTGAGCTACCATGACCGGTGACTCTCAGAGTCAACGGAGGCGGTAGAGCAGAGGAATAGTCGTGGGTGATGAACGCGACGATCCGAGGTGCAACAGGTTCAGAAGCGCTGAACACAGAAGAATGAGATGAGATCAGAAGACAATACTGGTGACGAAGGAGTGAGGAAGTGAGGAAACAAGGTGAGTGCAGAGGAGATCAGTGAGGTCACCCGCAAACAGTGCCATTGCATCCATGGGCAGAACGAGACCAACAGCCTGATGGCACCCGGTGGTGCCGGGCCGACGGCAGCAGCGACGGGAGAAATCGAGAGGGAGCAATTAGCGCCGCATCTCGGCCACTTAACTTCAGTGCCCACTCTTGTGACCTTGGCAAGACCCGCATCGCGCGTCCCTTGCCGCTCAGCGGCTGCAGACTTCCGTCTCGCACGCTGCTGCACCGCTCCTTCGCTCCCTCGCTCCTTCGAAGAGCTTGAATCGCACTGCCGCCGAGCTACGGTGTACTCCTCTTCATCGTCAGCGGCGGCAGTCTGGCCCCCAGCTCTCTCCCTCTGCTCACACACTGTTGCGTCTCCGCCCGGCGCCATCACTCATTGCATCGATCACCATTTCAATCAAGGCTGAGATTGGCGGCGGCAGAAAAGTCTTGGCGCAATCTGTCGTCGCCCTCAAATTGAAGTCATGCTACGCTCACATGACACTCCGATGCGCTCTCCGATTCCTCCGCTTTGCCCGCTCTGTACCTGGCTGACTTTGTGTGACCGAGATGCCATGACAAGGAGACCGCGGGCCGCTGCTCCCTGCTCGTGCTCAATCCTCGTCCTAACCCTACCTTGTCTTCAGCTCTCTCTTGAATTGTCGCGCCTCGCCTGACGCCTCTCGTACGTGAACTCCATCCGCCGCGAGATCGAGCTCGGTGTCAGACGAGAAGAAGGGTGCCGCCGCTTTACGAGGTTCGCGACGAGATCTCGACGAGGCAGCAAGACAGAGCAGAAGCGGGGGAATCGGACCCTACTCTGAATTCCAAGCTCAGCAGAGCGGCTTGGAGCAGCAGACACTGCATACGGCATCTTGAAGCCGGGAGAGCCAGCGGCAGCAGATGCGCGCGGCAGATGCAAGTGTCTCCGCCCTGGGAATCCGCACGGCCACCCACCCCTCCTGCTCCCTACGGCCCTCAGCCTCCTACTCTTGTTCTTCGCGTCGTCACATCGTGGCGCGAAACTGTTGGCCCGCTTCCTCGCCTTCGCTCTCAGCCACGAACTTCATTCCGCTTCGCCACACCGGTACGAGGGTGCTGTTCTGACCAGCCCGATGCTGCGTTGAGATCGAGAGCTGACTGAGATCGAACAGCTCGAGGTAGTACAGCGTCACCGTGACGTCTTGGTGATCGGCGTGATCTGAGATCGGAATCTGTGGACCAGGCGAAGGGCAGTTGAGGACGAAGCTCAAGAGCATGATCGGAGGGATGAAGAGACCGGCGGTTGGAGCGGCAAGCGTCTTGTTGAGGGTCATATCAAGCTATGCGCCTTCGAGCGTCAAGTCGGCTGGTCCAGCCAGTTCAGACGGTCGTAGCAATGATGCCTGACCTTCTGATTCGAGCAACACTACTGAGATGGCTGCAGAACAGCTCAATGAACGAGATGATGAAGTCAAACGCGCTGCTCCCGTTCCGACTTTCTCGCCAGCTCCACGTCGATGAGCGTGGCTCGAGCGCGAAGAAGCGTTCGTGGTGTTGGTCGAGTTGAAGTTAAGCCACGAAGACCTCCAACCACCTCACTCCCAACCTCGACCCAGACCATGAAATTCCTCTCAACATCGCTGATCGCTGCCTCGCTTGCCGTCACTATGAGTGTGGCTCGTGATCCGCCAGCAACGTTGCAAGTGGGCGTCAAGCACAAACCAGCCGACTGTGTCGTTAAGTCGCAGAGGGGCGACAAGCTGGCAATGTGCGTGTGCCTTCATCGGAAAGGATAAAAGGGCGAAGCTCACGTCTGCATCATCTCGCAGGCATTACACCGGAAAGCTATGGGAGGGCGAAAAGTTCGACTCGAGCCTCGACCGTGGAGACCCATTTGTGAGTCGGCGAGCAAGCGGACAGCGAGGGACGAGCCCGAATGTATGCTGATCAATTTCTTTCCCTCTCACAGGAGTTCACTCGTGAGCTTGAAAGAGCAGGCGAGACTGCGTTCAACCTGTTTAATGCCTCTGACCCTCACTCGCATTTCCTTGATCCTCTCAGTCGGCACCGGGCAGGTCATCAAGGGTGAGTGGTCTCTGGTAACGAGAAGGAGACTGGGCTGACGATCCCACTTGTACACGCTTCTCAGGCTGGGACAAGGGCCTGCTGGACATGTGTGAGGGAGAAAAGCGGAAGCTACAGATCCCTCCTGGAGACGGTGAGCATACGCCTCAAAATCCTTTTGTCGCTCCAGCTCACATTCCCCTCGCGCGCGCTAGGCTACGGCGACCGTGGTGCCGGAGGCAAGATCCCGGGCGGTGCGACTCTCGTCTTCGATGGTGAGCAGCCGCTTGCCGTAACTCATCTCCGGGATGACGTCTGATTCTCCAGCAGATCGCTTGACCATCGTCTTTACTCCGCGCCATCGCAGTCGAGCTCCTCGAGATCCAAGGCCCTCGTGCAGCAGCCGCAAAAGCAGCAGCCAACAGGCAGGAGCTCTGAGTCAGGGGTGTCTTCCGACGCTCATGCTGCCATCACGACTCAATGATATTCCTTTCCGCTACTTCGGCGCTCATTTGCGCCCCAACGCCGCAAAGCCTAGTGAGCGCGAAAGCAACAGGTGACGCTCGAGCCTCGCGGACCGAAGAGAGCCTCATCTCGCTCCGCAAAGACCCTAAACGCGGTCCGAACAGGAGCCGCAAACCCTCCCTATGCCTCCTATCTTACTGACCACGCGCCGAACGATCGACAGATACGGCTTGACATTACTGGTGGGCGCGGTACGGTACGAGGGATGATGCATACAAGCCGAAAGGGAACCGGAGGGAAGAGGGGCGCTTAAAGGTGCCAGGGGTCATGAGTGTTCTCGGCCTCTGCTCGTCGCCCTCGCTCGTTCGCACCCTTGCTCTTTCATATCGTTGCCTCACTCGACCCTCATTCGACCTCCTTCACATCGTTACCTCACTCGATCTTCTTCACAGTCATCCCCGCCATCGACATGATCGGCAGCGGTAAGTCGACAATGCACCTGCGCAAGCAAGTACGTCTGCCCTCTGACCCTTTCCTCGCGTTACCTCAGGCCTTCAAGCCCGAATCTGCGACGTCATCTCCGGCCGGGCGCTCCCCGAGTCGCCCTCACCGGGTGATAGCAGCAAAGCCCCCGCCGCTCTTCAACGCCTTTGCGATGACAGCGTTCCACTCCATCTGCTACGCCGAGGGTCCGTCCACCCGAACACGGCTACGGGACTGATCCTCTTCTTCCGCACCTTTACCCCCGGTGTGACGGGCGTCGCTCAACCAGCGTTACCGCAGGTGGCCGAAGAGCCCAGCAGTACCAGCATAGCCGACATGGCAAACAGCAAAGAGCTCTGGATTCGCTTTGCGCTCAATGGAAGGATGCGCTCGCTGACTGCTGATGCTGCGTCCACGGGTTTGCTTCCCGTCTGGACTATTGCTGAGGATGACGAAGCCGAGGTCGGCCACGATGACGAGAAATCACCCACGGTGCGACAGGCAACAAAAGTCCCTCACGATCTGGGCCGTATCAATCTTCCGGCGGCGGAGGACATCGAGTCCGTAACGATTGCGCTGTGGTATGTCATGGAGGGATTGGGATTCCCTGACCCACGCCAAATCCCGCCTACAGCGGCTTTGTGAGTAGCGGCGATCGAGCGACTGGGATGATCTCGGCGCTCCTTGGCTCCTCACTGTACCACTGATGCTCATCCAACACAATGGTCACCTTTCTTCTGCCGCTGCCCAGCCACTTTGACTTTGCCAAGGACGGTGTCGCTCCGACCCAAGTGTCACCTCAGCAGGACCTGGCCCTCAACGACAAGCAAGCAAAACCCAGCGCAAATTTTGTGACCGCAGCAAAGTCCCTCGCTCGCCGCTACACTGTCAGCAGTAGTGATGGCGGCGCCGCTGGGCATTTGCCACCTGACTCCCCCAGCGATCTTCATGGGCCGATCACGAAGACGAGCGCCTTCAAGGTCTGGCAAAGCAGGGAGGCCGCTGCTGAGAGTGCTGCTACGCAAGAAGGGAAGAAGGGACTTGCGTCCCGACTCAGGAGAATCATCAAGAGCAAGGAGAGCGACAAGGAGGAGGATATGCCGCAGGTTCCCAGGAAGGAAGCTACGCTACGCGGTCGCTTCAAGAAGCTCATTGGCAACAACAATAGCGGCGGTAGCGACGGCGAAGCTTTTCCCGATACAGCATCGCCGATTCCCGCGAAGCACGAAAGCCACGGCTTCACACCGGCCCCGCAGGACAGTCTGCCGCTTTCGCAGCATTTTGACACGCCACAGCTGCCCAATGCGATCCCCCTGGGCGAGGCGGAGAATGCGGTCACGCACGGCGAGGATGCACAGCGAACCACAACGCCGCGCCCGAATGCTGGTCGAATCCAGCTCTCTCCTCCTCCCGCGCACGCCACAGCCCACACACCCTCGTTGGGTCAAGCCATTGCCGGCGCTGATGTCGTCTCGTCCACGGCGACACCACAGCGCGAGAAGTCCATTCGTCGCAAGCCCTCGCCCCCTCGTCTGTCCTCGCCAAAGCAGGATGACGCCGAGTCCGCAATCGCACGAGCCTCTCATGACTCTCACGTCACCGCTCCAGAGGACGTCGCTCAACTCACGCCAACACTCGCTCAGCCTCGCCCCATCTCTGCAGACCCTGCTTTCCCGCCTGCTCGTCAAGGATCGCTCCCTCTGCAGCAGCAGCAACAGCAGCAGGCCAAGCAACAACGTCGCGCCTCCATCACCCTCGATTCCCGTGACGGTGCTCCCAATGCATTTCCCCACTCTGGCAGCAGTGTCCTCGACCCTCACCCCCCGCTCAATCGCGGAACGACAAGTCCAAGTAGCACAGACTCTGCCTCCGACTCGGCAAGAGTCCTCGCCTCCCTCAGCACGATCAAAACACTGCGCACTCGTCACGCCGATCTCGACGCAGAGCGTCGCGACCTCGAGTCTGCTATTCGGCTAGACTTGCTCGAGCAGCTCGATAGGGAACGCAGCGCTTGGATGGAGAAGGTCAAGGCGAAGGAGGACGAGGTTCGAGAGTTGAGGGCCTTCCTTGCAAAGAGGGACGGAGGCGAAGCAAGCGAGGGAGCGGACGGTCAGGATCAAGTCGACGATGAGAGGCATGTGCGAGAGAAGAAGAGCGCGGGTGCGGTGAGTGAGTATGCCGATGCACAGGATGGGCATGTCAAGTGGGCTTTGCCGGATGGTGGCGCTGAGATGGATGGCGCGGCGAGGCCCAACGCGTAGGTTTACGGCGGAATCAGGTGATGCTCCTCTTCTCAGCTTCCCATTGTCACCATAGAATCGTCGACGTGTCACCTCCTTTCTTCTTATTTCCTTCTCTCCCGAGTCTCAGTGCTCCTTGTTGACTCTCAGCAATGCCTCTTGCGCCACGCTATCTCTTTTTCTACTTCTCGTCTAATCAGAATCTCATCATCGATTGAAAAAATCGCGTCGCCCCGTCTCCCGGGCTGATTACTGCTTGCTTAGTCTATGCAGAGGAAGCATCGATGACAGGGTCGGCTGGTGGACCTTGCGTATCCTGTCTGTCATCGCCAACTTTGGCGTGGGCAACGGCTGTCTGCATTTTGGCGTCGTCGTCTTCCTGGCCTTTGCTGCTTGCTGCTGCATCCTGTGGGGGGCCTATTAATGCTGTCGGATCTGGCGTTGGTGAAGCGCCTGCTTTTGCTGTTGATGCTACTAGCGCTGCGTCTGCTACCGAGTGATGATTGCTGCCAAGTTGCCCATCGTCGACGTCCATATCACCTTCGACTGGCCCCGATGGTTGGCTTTGCTCCTCGTCGCCCTTCATCGGCGCTACTCGTGGCAGCTTCCTCCCCTCCTCCTGCTGGTTCTCCTCCCCTCCATCTGCCTCCCCTTCCAACCTTGACGCCATCTCTTGCGTCCTCTCCCTCAAACTTTGCAACTCGTCTTCCATCCTGCCCTTGCGCTCCTGCCAAAGCCTATCGGCCTCATCGATCTCTGCATCCACCCTGTCCTCCTGATCATCCAACATGTCCTCCTGCTGGGCTGTTAACTTGCGTGGTAGATAGTATATGGGCCAGCGTTTACGCTCGTAATCTGATCGGGACGTCGGAGGAGGGAGGCTCGAAGGGACAGAGGGGGCGACATCATGCATTGGATGGGGCGTAGAAGATGAGGAGGAGGAAGGACCGTCGACGTGGCGACCGAAGCGTGAAGCATGTCGCTGCCGTTCGCCTCCTCTTACTAGTCCTGGGGAAGATGTGACGAGAAAGCTGGCCAGGCGCCGCTTCTGTGCGCGTAGGCTGCGATGCGCTGCTTCTCCCTCTAGCAGTTCGTGGACGAGGGCGAGCTCTTTCTGACATTGGCGCTGCAAGCTCTGCTTGGCATCGATGTCCCTTCGTTCCTTGTCCAGCCTGGCCTGTGAGCGGGCGTCGATGGTTGCACGTCGTTTGGCATCTGTTCGATGAGCTTCTGCTTGACGCTTTGCCTGACCCAGAGTGGCATTGAGCATGCCGAGGAGACGCTTGCCGCGAGCGCCATCTTCTGCTGAGCGGCGTGGGCGCGGGTTCGGAGGTGGTGGCGGTGACCGTGATGACGACGCTTGCGGCTGATCGTCGATAGATGCCGATTGCGCCTCGACTGCCTGTGCCATGTCTCCGTCTCTTGTCGCCATTTGATGGATGCGAAGGATTGCATTGCAAGATTGCTGCCTCTTCGACGGAAAAGGCTTCGACTTTCTCTCGCCCAGTCGCGGGGCGGCATCGTCTCGTCTCGTGTTGGATTGCATTGGCGCACCGTCCGACTTGTCTGGTCCGCCCGCTTTCCTCTTCTCCTCATCGCCATTTGATTTCACCCAGGCGCACAGCTGCTATGGGTGCCCTTGACATCCTCGTCCTCGCCGTGACGCACCCGACCGAGGTCCGCTCCCTCGTCAGCTACAAGGTATGGCGCGACCCCTTGAACGACATCAAGTCGAATCCAGAAGAGAGCGGCTGGAATCGCCAGACGATGAAGGACTGCTGGGGATTCCTCGACTTGACTTCGCGATCATTCGCTGCCGTCATCAAGGAGCTCAAGGGAGAGCTCAGCAGGGTCATCTGCTTGTTCTACTTGGCTCTTCGCGCACTGGACACCATCGAGGATGACATGACCATCCCTCCTGCTCAGAAGGTGCCCCTCCTCGTCGACTTCTACAAGCGCCTCGATCAGCAAGGGTGGACATTCAATGGCAGTGGACCAGACGAGAAGGACCGTCAACTCCTCGTCGAATTCGACAAGGTCATTGCTGAATTCCAACTCCTCTCTCCAGGCTACAAGACGGTCATTGCCGATATCACCGCCAAGATGGGCGCAGGCATGGCATCCTACATCGAAGCCTCGTCGAAGTCTCCTCTGAGCGTCAACAGCTTTGAAGATTGGGACCTTTACTGTCACTTTGTCGCTGGTATCGTCGGTGAAGGTCTGTCCCGCCTCTTTGCCGAGTCAGGCATCGAGCGTCCCTGGCTGGGCGATCAGTTGCAGCTCAGCAACCACATGGGCCTCTTCCTTCAAAAGGTCAACATCATCCGCGACTATGCCGAAGATTCGGAGCAGGAGCGCTTCTTTTGGCCAAAGGAGTGCTGGGCCGCTCACGGATTCTCGAGCCAACCAGATGTGGCCAAGGGGATTGTGGAGACGGCGCCTGGGAGCAAGAAGTTCAGGCCCCAGGGCGAGGCGGGAAAGAGGGGAATGGCAGTCTTGTCCTCGATGTTGCTCAACACGATGCGTCACTCGACACGAGCTTTGGACTACCTGACCTTGTTGAGAGAGCAGAGTGTGTTCAACTTCTGTGCCATTCCGCAGGTTATGGCCATTGCCACCATCGAGCTCATGGTCAACAACCCCAACGTGCTGCGACGCAATGTAAAGATCAGGAAGAGTCAGGCCGTGCAGCTCATCCTCAAGGCGACGAACCCGAGGGATGTCGCCTACCTTTTCCACGAATACGTGCGTGCGGACGGCGGTGGTGGTGAACAAGCACGAAAGCTGACCTTTCCTTCTCGTACGCACAGGCCCGCAAAATCCACGCCAAGATCCCCATCGACGACTTCAATTACATTGCCTGGCAAGTGGAGCTGGGACGCATCGAATCGTGGTGCGAGCACTTCTATCCCTCCTGGATCACCCCAGGCGGCGGCGAGCCCCCCAAGGGAACCGTCTCTGCCTCGGGACCCGACATGCGCAAGGCAGCTCTTGAACGCTACGCTGCCACCCGCCATTCACTCGCAATCGACGAAGCCAAGAAGCGTGGCGTCGACCTCTTTGGCACTCGCGAAGGCCGCAAGCAGCTCGCTGCGGACGGCAAGGGCGGTCGATTGGACCCGCGAAGGGCCACTATGACGGAGGCACAGATCGCGGCGCAGGACAAGGCTGATCGGGATGAGATGCTCAAGTTTTTCATCATCATCATGATCGCCATCTCGGTCGTCATGGGGCTGGCAGGGTTGGTTGCTTGGTACATTGCATGGTATTGGACCAATCCAAGCGAGGTGGATCCGCTCACCATTTTTGTGGGCAAAGCTTGGGGTGGGGGCAAGGCGTTGGTGCAGGAGATGAGTAAGGATCCTGTGGGATGGGCCAAAGGCAAGGTGCAAGTGATCAGGGCCACGTATGAGCTCTAATCATACGGGCCAGCGGGGCAAAGAAAGTAGATAGCAGCGCCGCACGCATGCAATGACCATTGACTCGAGCCTAACACTTAGCGCCAGCCGACGTACCAGGAGCTACCTTTTCTACCTCGTCTCCCTTGCTCCCGCCATTTGCCCTCTGATACGCCTCGGCCAGCTGCCTGAACACAGCGACAAAGGTATCAGCATCCTGTGCACCCGGTATCTCAGCCTTGACGACCGTCTCTTTCCCCTCCTTGCTACCGCCAGCAAAGATCTCGAAATGCGGCACGCCTGTGATACCCTTTCTCCTCGCGTCCTGAATCCCCTCCTGCACCTCAGGACCATACTCGTCGCTCTCCGTAAGGAATTTCAGTGCCTCGTCCTCAGAGGGAAAGACACTCGCCTCTACGGCGATGCGAGCCAGGGCGGCCGGGTCTCCTGGGTCACCACGATGCTCAAAGAAGTGGGGAAAGAGCTTGTCCAATAGTGCAAGCTGCGTCTCCCACCCTGCTCCCTCACTATCGTTATGGCCCTTCGGTCCGGCAAAAGCGCGCTCCATCAGCCTATGACTGAGCAGCGTATTGCGAATGTTCCCCCCGTAGTCAAACTTGATCCCTTCACGCTCCCCGTTGGCCTTCATCATCGATTCCATAGCCGATGTGCGTGCAGCATCGCCCCCGAACTTGGCGATGTACCTCTCCCGCTTGGGCACCGCATGATCGGACGGCAGGGTCGGGTCGAGCTCGTATGGGAGGAAGCGAATCGAGGGGGGCTGAAAGAACGCAGTAGGTGAGGGGGAGGAGGAGGAGGACGAAGGGGAGGGAGAGATGTGGGGCGAGGTGGAGAGGGCTTTCTGGAGCTTGCGAAGACCGAGGTAACAGAAGGGACAGACTGATGGACGAGGGAGTGCGATGACAATGGTAAGCAGGATGTATGGGGGAGTCAAGGAAGCGAGTCGGGGATGAATGGCCACTCACTGGTGTCGCTGGTGACATTGATCCGCAGTGGGACCAGGCTTGGGGCTGCTGCTGAGGCGGCCATGATGCTCAAAGGTCGAGATATGGTTCGCAGCTTGAGGGTGTGGCTTAAAGATGAGAAGTCATAATGTCTACTGAGCTGCGCTTGCTCAGCCGGCTTCTTCTTACGCCCGTCTCGTGTCCGTCAACCGGTCCCACATCTCCATTTCAAGACGCCGCACCCTAACCCACCACGTGGGGTGCGTGTTTCGAATTGAATTGAGTTCCCGCCGGTGACGTCTTGCAGCTCCGTCTTAGCGGGCGATGTTCACGCGTATCGGAGGGAGCCTGCCGAGAGTCAATGAGAGTAGGGAGCGAGGTACGCAAGGCCGGTCGTGTGGGGAAGATCGCGAGTGATCGAACGAATGACGTCTCTACCAGGGTAAGAAAGCGTAAGGCCAAGAAACAAGACAAGGGGAGGGGGTTTCAATCGTCGTGCGGGCAGGAAGAGCCGCTCAGCCTCACTGAGAGTGACAACGAAGGGACGAGACGGCATGAAGATTTCTCTCCATTGCGAGGTGCGTGGTGGCCGGCGACTTGAGCTGAGTGAGGCGTCCGAGACGTAGCACGGCCGGCATCGACGACGGCGAGCTAGGGCGGCAAGGCTGCACCGATTATCGCATCGCATCGCCGATGCCGTCCATCGAGTCGAGCAGTGTGGAGACCGGCCCGCGGAATATGAAACTACTCAGCAGTGAGACAGGGTCTGTAACACATCCTCACCTTACATTAAAGTCGTACTATTGCGTCCCGCTCCCGTCTTCGCTGCTCCCTACGGAACATTTCTCCTTTCCTCTCACTCCTCTCTCGGTGATCCCTGTATCCGGTGGTCTCTCGCTCACGATGTCGCGCGCTCAGCAACACTACACCGTACCTATAGGCGGAGCTCCCTTCGTCCACCCACAGCTCTCCCAGCTGTCAACTTCTCCCCCTCACTATCACTCAACGGTAGCCGCGTCGACGTCGTCTTCGTTCAGTTCGAGCAGCCCCTCCTCTTCCTCATCACTTGCCTCCTCCCCGTCGTCAGCACAGGGCTCGGGCTCCTCTGGCTCTCCGACCTCATCATATTGGGCCGACAGCCAGCACCACGATGCATCGGTCCCTCCTACAGCGCACGAAGCTGCCGTACTGTACTCGCGTCAGCTTCATCGTCACACGGCCTTCATGTGGGAGTCGGAGCGTCTCAACATCGAGAAAGCACGGCTGGAGGGCCGCGACTCCCCGTCGAGCAAGTCGCCCAAAGCCGGCGGTAGCGGTGGTGCTCCTCTTCATCACAGGCAGGAGCCTGCTAATGCTGGCAGCAGCGGGTCCAAAACTTGGGATTTCTTGCTCGGGAGGAGCAGAAGTAGGAAGGAAACGGGCGGGGCAAGGAGCGGAGCTGGGCACAAGCGTAATGCGTCGCTGAGCTGAAGAAAGAGTTTGTTTGCCAGGAGTCGTTCGGCACTACTACCACCACTGCATGAGATGGCTGTGCGCCAACGCTAGCCTCTGGAAGGAACAGCAAAAAGTCTCACGGATTCAGCAGTCAGTCATCCACGTCTCTCACTTCCCGCTCGCTCGTCTCATCTCTTTCCAGTTGCGATGTATCGCTCTACTTCTCACCACTGCTGTATTTTAATCATCTCACATACACGCGTCATTCTTGTATCTACTCTACGACCTGTGCTCTTCTTGGAATCAATGTCATCAAGCCCACACGACATTGCCTTTGCCGCGATTGCTCAGCCAGGCTTTTCTCGCCATGCCATGCCCGCCGCACGCGTGGAGCAAGCAACACGGTTGAGGCACGGCGGGCGGGAAGGAGAGTCGAGCGGCAAGTGCGCCTCTGAATCGAGTCTCGGAATGAAAGTGAAGAATAACAACTGCATTCTCCTCACTCTCCTTCAAACATCTGACATGAAGCCATAGGCAGGGCAACGGACCCTCACACGACACTCACGACCTTTGCAAGCTGCTTGGATCGCTTCCTCGCGCTGCTCTGCTCCTCTTCTACTTCGTTCTGCTCCTGCAGCCACCTCGTTCATCTCTGCGGCGCAGTACACCACCAGCTTAACAAGACGATGGCCGGGCTTAGCCTCAGCCTCGGCGGCAAAAGCGGGGGCATCAGTCTTGGCGACGAACACTCAGCAGTCAAGAAGCGTCTCCTCTTCCTCCTCCTCGCCGTCCTTTGGTATTCCTGCTCCTTCCTCTCTTCGTCAACGAGCAAAGCTCTACTGTCAGGCAAAAAGGTCAAGTTAGCATCTGCTGCTACCTCATCGGATGGTACCATCACCAAGACGACATCGCACACTCCTCCCCTCTTTCCCTATCCGGTCTCTCTCACCGCCCTGCAATTCCTCTTCGTCTTCGCCTTCTCCTACCTACTCTCGAGCCCTACCATCGCTGCCAATCTGCACCGCGCCTTGGGACGTCCAGCGCCAAGGAATGCACAGAGTGGACTACCGGGTGGTCTCATGAGTACTTTGGTCATGGTGGATGCAGCGAAGCTGAGGGAGATGGTCGGATTGAGCTTCTTCAATGTGGCCGGCCATGCTATGACCGCTGCTGCCATTCAGATGGTGCCTGTCAGCACGGTGCATACAGTCAAGGTGAGTTCGAGGCAGCAAAGGAGATCGACTCCACTCTGCCTTTCGATACTGACCCTCACCTTCCTCTTACTGCGCGCCAGGCCCTTTCTCCCCTCTTCACTGTGCTCTCGTACGTTGTGATTCTCAAGCTCTCCTACCCGCTCAGGACGTACCTCTCCCTTGCCCCACTCACTATCGGCGTAATCTTCGCCTGCTCTGGCCTATCCTCCATCGAAGGCCCCAAAGCCTGGCTTGGAATCCTGCTGAGCGTTGGCAGCACCGTAGTATTCGTGGCGCAGAATCTCTGGTCAAAGAGACTGCTCGGGCATGCGCTGCACGGCGGTGGTGGCGAGGGAGGAGCGACGCCTAGCAGTGGAGTCAAGTTGGACAAGCTCAACATCCTCTTCTGGTCGAGCGGAGTCTCTGTCCTCCTAATGATCCCAATGCTCCTCTGGTCCGACCTACCCAGAATGTACGCCGCGGGTCGAGCCGTGGCTGACCACCCAGGGAGCGCCTTGGGCCACGCAGCGGCTCAGCAGGCAGGCAGCGCAGCAAGGGCCGCAGCACTTGATATCGCTGCTGCTACCCGAGCTGCCAGTAGCTCGGCATCCAGCGGCCACACAGCAGCGATCACCCGTCTACTTCTCGCAAACGGCGTGGTGCACTTTTCCCAAAATCTCTTGGCTTTCAGCGTTCTGGCCCTCACCTCTCCCGTGACCTACAGTGTTGCCTCTCTGTGCAAGAGGGTCTTCGTCATTTGCTTCGCCATTCTCTGGTTTGGACAGCGCGTGACGGGCACGCAGTGGGTCGGCATCGGTTTGACCTTCGTCGGCTTGTGGCTTTATAATGATGCTAAACAGCGTCCGAGCGCCGGGGACGCGGGAGCCAAGGGGGCTGCTCTCAAGAGTGGCGCATTCAACGGGCCTGCGAGTATGGCAGCAAAGGAGGAGGAAGCTGCGCTGGACTTTGGATTAGACAGAGGAAGTCGGAGACGGACGGGCATCTTGCCGACCAGCGGCGGCAGTGGGAGCAGTGGGCCGATATGGAAGGATATGAGCAATTCACTGTACGGCTCAAGCTCGACAGGATCGGCGGGAGCGGGGCCAGCAATGAACGGGATCCCGATGCGCGGCATGCCCACTCAGCAGCAGCCGCAGTACAATGGACTGCGGTCCCCCCCTGTCGCGAACGGTCACGCCAATGGCTCTGCGATGCCCAGTGGAGCTAATGGTGCAGGGCCGCCGCCAGTGGATAAGGGCGGGGCTAAGAGGGATTGACCGTAGACGCTTCCATAGACAAAGCTCGATAGACGCTCTTGGAATCACGTAATGCAAAGCAAATGCTGAAATGCTCGTCAATGGTAGGATGAAGATACGGTAGCTGTAGCGGAAGCGTCCTTATACGCCAATAATACCTGTCCCCCATCCTCCTCCCGCCACCAGAGGCGGAGGACCGGTGCCGCCATTGAGGCTACTAGAAGTAGCGCTGCTCGCCGCTGCCCTTGATGCAGACTTCGATGAGGCCTTTCCTGCTCCTGCTCCTCCGCTTGCGCCGTTCCCCTCTGCAAGAAGCGCAGCTCTAAGCATCATCCTCGCTCGAGCCTTACCACCGCTGCACCATGTGCCTCTTAGCCTACTTCGTCTCGCCGCAATAGGCGTAGGCAAGGGAGGGAGTGGCTGCTGCGCCTGACTCGATGTTGCAGTGCCATTCTTCTTCTTGCTGCCAGAGGCTGCGCTCAGAGCCGATTTGGAAGTAGCGTTCGACGCCAAAGTGGGAGGAGGGCATCGAGCGCGCATTGAACCAAGAAGGGAGGAAAGCTCCGCATCCACTTCGCTGTCTTCCATGCCGTGCAGCGCGTAGAGATCTGTCGTGGGACCCCCTTCCAAGAACTCTTCGAGGACGGCGGTGGGGCCGTTGTTGGAGGTCGAGGATGAGGTGGAGCCCCATGCGTGCAGGCCGCTTGACGAGGCTGATGAAGAGCCACTGCCTGCTGCCAGAAGAGCGCTGAGTGTGGCAGCATCGAGGCCTTGCCCACCATTGACCGCAGACATGGCTGCGGCCGTGATAGTGGCTGGTCTGCCCTCTGCATCCGCTGACGAGGACGCCCCCGCTCCAACTCCTCCATTCTGTGAAGCAGTCCACTCAGCCATGATGGCGGCAGTGGCGCTACCGGCGCTGGCCCCAGCCAATCCCGGGATCCCATTCGCACCAGCCCCAGCCCCGCTTCCCTTCTTCTTCTTCAATGGGCCACCCATCTCCTCCTCCTTCTTTCTCCGCTTCTCCATCTTAGCCGCCCTCCTCATCTCCATCGCTTTCATCTTCTCCTCTTCCTTCTTCTCGAGCTTGGCGAGGAAGGCTGGATTGTTTGCCTTTTGCCATTCGAGGAGCAACTCATCGTACGGACGAGAACGACCCGGTACGGCGCGTTTAGCGCCCATGGAGTGGGTCTTGCAGGTGAGAGAGCGCATACAGGGGGGTCCGCCTGGTTCGGTGAGAACACCGCATTGCTCGTTGACGTCGAGGGGCTGGCCTGACGGTGCGATGGACGAAGCAGTCGTGTCAGTTGACAAGGGTACGGCGTGTCTGGTCACCTCCTGAAATGCGTGCTTACCCTTCTTTCTACGACCCTTGCTCTCTGCAGCCTCTCGCTCCTTTCGCGCCTTCTTCTCCAGGCGCTGTCTCCTCCTTTCTTCCACCTCGAGGGCTTTTGCGGCCTTCTTTGTAAGCTTCTTGTGCGGAGAGATGGACGTGGATGTGTCGCGCCCTCCTCCTCCACCGTCGAGGTGGGAGGGCGTGTCCGAGACTGCCGGTGAGCGATGACAAAGAAGATCAAGAGCGAGGTTTTCAGCAGGCTATAATCGGGTGAAAAGTAGGCGAAGGTGGACAATACCACGCACCATCTGACATCCGTCTCTTCTTCCTCGTGGCCTCGGGCTCCAAGCAGCTAGGCGAAACTCTTCCTTGTTTGATGTCGTGGATCAGGTCGCAATTCTCTGTGCGAGCAATGCGTGCGGTTGAGGGTCGACCTCTCGAAGGTCAGTCATCCCACCAAGCACTTGTAGATCTTTCTCTGTGCTCGTACGTACCCTTGTGATACCCTTGATACCTAGCCAGCACCGGCTTAGTACATCTCTCGCATTTCACCACCTGAATGTAGTCGTCGAGCCGCTCAGGGCCCAAGTCAGTCACGTCCCGATCGTTGCGTCTCCATCTCTGCGATGGGTCTAGTCGAGGCTTGCTTCCGCTAGCAGTGGGAGAATTGGAGTCTGTTAAGAGTAGCGAGGATGCGTAGGAAGTCAGCGTCGGGACCGCATCGAGAGTCAAGGGAATCAATGCTCACCACTGAGGACAGCTTCTTCGATCTCCTCCCACGAGGCATGAGCTGCCATCCTTTGCTACTGCTGCTGCTGCCAGCTGATTCTTCTGAGCGGGTCTGAACGGGTATTGATGAAGAGGATGTTGAGAATGGTAGGTGTTGCAGCAACGCTTCCTTGGCATCTCGGCCACTTGGCTGCCTTCGAGTTAGCTTCCGCCAGTCCGCGGTCGCCGCACGCATCGCGGGGACAGCTTCGTGCATAGGCGGCAAGGCGGGGAGCGCGACAAGCCATTAATCGGACGGTTGTATTCACTCCAGGCGAGTCTGAATACAAAGCTGATTACAAGTTGCGGACGCGTCTCAACTTTCGTCGCGCTACACGCATTTTGAGCCAAGAGCAGTATGTTGCACGACTACGCCCTCGACTTGGGCTGATCAATATCTTCCAGCAGCTGCACGATCTCGTCTACCAGCTTCGGGTCCTCCTTCCCCTTCGGCCCAGCCGCATGCTCTGCAATCCCTCTCAAGGCGCTCTGCGGCACCTTGTACTCAGCCAGTGTCGACGTCAATCCAAGATCAGAGACGAGTCTGTCAACCTCATCTGCCACTCTGTTGCCCTGCTCCCGGAGCTTTTCCAAGTCTTGCGAGTCGATGGGGGCGAGCGAGCCAGAGGAGACGACAAAGGGCAGGGCTTCTGCGAGCGAGGCGAGTCGGTCGGGCGTGCTATGACGTGTTGTATAGCGGATACTGCCAGCGAGAGTGAGGCAGGAGGTGATTCCGTGAGGAATACTATATGAGCTTCCTAAGGCATGTCCAAGACCTGAATACAGCGATGACGGGAGTCAGTGGAATCGTCGTACGATGCCTCGTCTACTACCACAGCTCACCGTGACTCAGTCCAAGCGCTCCCTTCCTACTCTCCGGGAAGAGCGAGGTGACAGCTGCGATCTGTAGCCTCTGCCTAGTATCCACATCGTCCGGCTTCTCCTTGCACCTCCTCAGCATCACAAACAACTCCCTCAGTGCTGCGAGGTATTGGCCCCTCAGCAGCCACTGCACATCTCCGGGCCTATATAGGCACTCAATCGCGTGATCCACTGCCCGCATGCCGCTGCTCAAGAACAGCCACAGTGGCGTATGCATTGCCACCTCGCCATCCAGGATGATCGCCCTCGGTACGAGGGCAGGATGAGAGACTCCCGTCTTCTTCCCATCGCGGGTAAAGCCAGAATTCTGCGTCGTCTCTGCGCTACTCAGCTGTGCATGAGATGGGGCGAGGAGTGTCAATATAGGTTTCATCCTCTATATGCCCACGAAGAGAGCACTTACCGTGGTCGGGATCGCGATCGAGGGGATGAAGTTGCGCGGCTCGTTGTCATCCTCGCCGTGACGCTCCTGGTGCACAAGGTAGGAGACAGCCTTGGCTGCATCAATGGGACTTCCTCCTCCCACTGAGACGAGAGCGTCGATTCTTTCCCTTTTCACGAGCTCGACGGCCTCATGGATCGCTTCGACCGGTGCATGCTGTGAGATGGAGTCGAAGGTAGCCACATAGCGGTCACCCAGGGCGGAGCGTACCTGGTGGATCACGTCCGTCTTGGTGCTCAGAGACTTGCCCGTGATGATGAGAGCGCGTGATGGTCTTGGGCTGAGCAGAGCCAGGTCTTCCTCGAATACGGAGCGAAGAGAAGGGGCGAGACATCCCGGCCCATAACGGATCGAGCAGTGGAGCGTGTTCCGCCAGACGCCTGATGGGCTGGACGCGGTGTTGGTGGACATGCTGCGGGCAAGAGAGGGCGCTGCTCTGCGAATGAGGGGGGTCAACATGCAAGCTCTGTTATTGCAAGGAGAAGATGAGGAAGTCTTCGTCGACTACGGCCAGGATATCCCACCTCATCAGATGCCGCCATGCCGAGCGCCGTCAGGGCCAACCGACGCGAGGTGGAGGTGTGGTTTTGGCTTCCCGTCCCGTTTCAATGCAGCGACGGCCGTAATCCAATCCGCAATCCATCTTGACAAGCTACTTGATGCTTGCAGCCAGGTCGCAACTTCGCGTTCTAGCAATTTCACCTCTTCAGCGCCTCGCAAGTCCACCTATCCGCGCTCTCGCAACCACTACCATGTCAGGCACAAACGATCAGACGCACAAGGACGGCAACACGAAGTGGTGAGCACGGGCGCCTCACACGCAACCAAGTTTGCTTCATCTAACCCTGACCTCATCGTCTCTCTTCCACTCGTTCAGGGCCTCATCAGACGGAGAGTTCCGCCGCCAGACCTCTTCCTTTCGCAGCCTTGTCCAGCCCAACTCGCCTCACCCGCCGGCGCGTAACAGGTACAAGCTCTTCGTGGCCCTCGCCTGCCCCTGGGCCCATCGAGCCCTCATCGTCCGCAAGCTCAAAGGCATCGATAAAGTCTCCGACCTCCTGCCGGTGTACGTAGTTGACTCTCTCCTCGGTCCAGAGGGGTGGTCATGGAAGCCCTACGGCGAGACGCATGACGAGCTCAAGGGGTTGGGCGTGCCCGGAACAGGTCCTCCTCCTGGGCATGAGGATAAGGTCAGGATTAAGGACTTCTACCTCCAAGCGGACCCGCAGTATGGCGCCCGCTCGACTGTGCCTGTCTTGTGGGACGAGGAAAAGAAGACGATTGTTAGCAACGAGAGTAGCGAGTTGATTCGCAACCTCAATGAGGCTTTTGACGAGTTTGTGCCGGAAGAGTACAGGGGCAAGACGTACTATCCTCAAGAACTCAGAAAGGAGATTGACGAAGTCAATGAATGGGTGTATAGCGATGTCAACAACGGCGTCTACAAGACCGGATTCGCGACGACGCAACAAGCTTACGAGAACAATTTCGTTCCCCTCTTCAAGGCCCTCGACAAGCTAGAGGCCATGCTAGCCAAGAAGGGATGCAAAGATAGCAAGAAGCCAGTCTACCTAGTCGGTGATCAGATGACTGAAGCTGTGAATGCCTACAGAAGCAGGCGCCCTATTCTGTAGCCTCTGCTGACCTTCCTCCTCCACCCTCGCGCCAGGACATCCGCCTCTACACTACCATCGTCCGCTTCGATCCCGTATACCACACGCACTTCAAGTGCAACAAGCATCAGATCCGCGACGAAGCCGTCTACCCGAATCTGCACAAGTGGTTGCGCCACCTTTACTGGGGAGATGAGGCTTTCAAGTCGACTACCGACTTTGAGAGCATCAAGGCGCACTACTACCAGAGTCATCCGGGCAACAACCCGCACAGGATCGTGCCTAGTGGGCCGCTGCCTCACATCAGAGGTTTGGATGAGTAAGGTATTTGTGCGATGGGGCTCGTCTTGAAGCGGGTATCTATTGTGGGAATCGCCGTCGGTGACGTAAAATGAGACACAGAGATTCGAAACTGCTACGAAGCCGCAGAGCCTGCCGGTCTGGGAACAGGCACAGCTTCGTCGCGAGTGCTCCAGTGCATGAGAACTTGGAGGCTGCGGTAGGGCAAAGGAGAAGTAGGCAGGTCAGCTCTTCGGTCCCGACTCATCTGCCTGACTGCCTGCCTGCCGCCTTTGATGGCACTCACTTGACCAGCAGATACTTCATGGCGCGACTCCAATTTTCCTCGCTTGTGAATGCCCCCACCAGCCGCACGCTATAATCGCCGATACGATCGCCGTTGATAGCATGGACCATACGTGGCGGCTGCGCTTGACCATCTTCTCCGCCGTCGCCGTCCTCTTCGGTCCAGCGGTACAGCTGAGCCGTACAGTCCAGCACGCCGACCATGGCCGCATCGAAGCGCCTGAGGTGCAGGACGCGGGTGAGAGAGGCCCAAGAATTTGGATGGTGAAGCTCGTGCGGCTCGTGCGAGACCGATGACGTGGAGCTGGCAGCATCTGCGTGGGAAGAGCGCGCTTGATCCTCTCCAATCGAGACGACCTTGTCGAGATAGCTCGTCGACCCCTTTGGGTGTATGCGCCACCCCTTGAACTCTCGGGTCTTTCCAATGCGAACCCTCAATGTCTCAAGTAGCAGGGCCACTTGTCCCCACGCTGCGTTGACTTCGTTCCAATCCACCGCTGAGGACGAGCTTGACGAGCTCGCCGTAGCCGTGCGTCCAAATCGCAACCCATTGATCGTCGCCAATCCGGTCGCAGCAGCAGCGCCCCTCTTTCTCCCACTCGAGCTGCCTTGCTCATGCCCAATTGCAAACGCATCAAAGAAGACGTTCGTGGCCTCCAAGCGCGCCAGGGTAGCCTCACCAGTCTGGATGCCACGCAATAGAGTCGCCCGCGCCTCCTCACGATCACTCTCCTCCAGCAAGGTGAGAGAATGCTCGGCCCAGAAGTCTGCCTCTTCACGCTCGAGCTGTTTCTCCTCGATGTCCAGGCGGCGCATTTCCGCCTCGAGGGCCTCTCGCTCCCTTTCGCTCTTGCGTAGAGACGAGGTAGCTTTGCTGATCAGGTCTTCCAACTCCACTATCTCTGCTTCCATCTTGCGGACCTCCTCCTCTCCGCGAAACCCGGCCTCGCTCTCGAGGTGTTTGTTCCACTCCTTGAAAGCATCTCGCTCCTTTCTCGCTATGTCGAGGAGGGAGCGCATGACTTCGATGCAGAAGTCGGCACATTCCCTGCAGAGGGGGTGGTCGATGCCCATCGCGAGCGAGTGGGCCGACGGCGCGACAGAGCTGGAAGATGTGGGTACTTGAGGGACGTAAGAGGAGACGAGGTCGAACAGACGCGCATGGAGAGTCATCCCCGTTGAGAGGGAATTGGGAGCTCTGTGAGATAGAGAGGGGCTTGCATGCAGGGTGAGGTGACGGGCGACAGCTTCCGAGAGGTCTGTGTCGGTGCTGCTGCTCTTGCTCTGACCCTTGCTATCTGTAGCCGAGAGCTGATTGGACTCGTGCTCATCAATTTTGGGCACCAGACTGGAAATCACGTCGTAATGCGATCTTGCGAAACCCTCATTGGACGTTGCTGAAGAGGACAGGGCCTCATCCGTGAGCGAGTCGTCGAGGCGAATAGGCTGCATGCATCTTTGGCAGGTCAGAGATGCCGCAGAGGACAGTGACGACGTTGCTGGGGCCGTCATGCTCGCACTTGCATTGCGATCGAGGGGAGGGAGTGGTGTGGTAGGTACTGAGGAGGAGCTCAAAACGCTGCAGCGGCGGCGTGAGTTGGGATGTCGAGTGGGCGCACGGGCCGAGGACAGCTGCAAAGTCGGAACGGCAGCAATCGAAAGCATCGGCCGCCCTCGGGCTTCGCTGGAACGGGGCGATTGGCGGGCGGGCGGGCAGGCAGGCGGGCAGGCAGGCAGGAGACCTTCGCATCGACGGCCACGATCTCGATCAACCTCCATCATCACTACCACCACCACTCCCACCACTCCCACCACCCCTCTTCATTCCGATCATGGTCTTCTCCCTTGCCACACGTTCCGCCACAGCTGGTGCCCTCCGATCGGCAGCTCCCGTCGCTGCTCGCCGACCTGTGGCTGTTGCTCTCCCCACTGCCATGAACCTCGGACGACGTGGTTACGCTGAGGCTGTCAGCGACAAGCTCAAGTTGAGCTTCATCCTTCCTCACGCTGTGCGTACGTCGAGCGAGTAGAGTGGATGGAGATCGAGAGACATTGCGCTGGCATCTACTACAGATCCTATGCTCGGGTCTCCATCCCTCAGCTGCTGCGCTCCATCTCTCACATTCCCACCTCTGACACTCATCCCTCTGTTCATTCTCGTATCGCGCCAGGCCATCTTCGACTCGCAAGAGGTCACGCAGGTCAATATCTCGGCAGCCACAGGAGAGATGGGCATCCTCGCATCCCACGTCCCCTCCGTCGAGGAGCTCAAGCCGGGACTCTTTGAGGTCATTGAGAGCAGCGGCACCAAGAAGTGGTTTGGTGAGTAGCGCAAATGGAGTTAGCACTTCACTCCAGTTCTCGTCACTGCAAAGACGACCTGTCTATGGCAATCAAGCTTGCAGAGGTAGAAGAGCTGGATCTGACCGAATCGCACCCTCCCCCTCTCCGCCTCCCTTTCCCCCTTCCCTTAGTGTCCGGCGGCTTCGCGACCATGCACCCCAACAACCGTCTGACTGTCAACGCCATCGAGGCATACCCCATCGATGACTTCTCCCCCGACGCTGTCCGCTCCGCCCTCTCCGAGGCTCAGCGTACCGCCTCTGGCTCTGGATCGCCCGAGCAGAAGGCTGAGGCGGAGATCGAGGTCGAGGTGCTCACTGCTCTTCAGAGCGCTATGGGCAGGCAGTAAGCGTTGGTCGCAAGATGGGTAAAGAAGGAAGGCAGGACATGGAGAAGGAAACGTGGCAGGGATAGATGACGACACATCCGTGGGCCATATAGTCTGAATCGCGGCGAGCAATGCATCACAATGCCCGTCGTCGCTCGAGCAAGAGTATTTAATGCAACGCGGGGTGGAAGGCCAAGACGACAGTCTCATGAATCTGTCGCCAAACCATCATTACAGCTGCTCTGCATTCCTCCCATGTCTTGTTGTATCGTTGCTCGCGCTCGCCGAGATCAGACCGCGTCTTGACGCCCTCGTCGACGCCCATCTCTCGCTCATCGTGTGTTCCTGTTTCCGCTTCTCCTGAGCCGCCCGCTCGCCCTTTCCTTCCCCCCACTTGACATCTCATCACCATTTCCATCCGCGCACCGATCCCTTCAGCACTTCACCATCGCACACATAGGGTGATTGCAGTCTCCTGTCTCGCAACGAGAGATTAAAGCGCGCTCCATCGAGCCTCGCTCCTTTGCTCCTCATCATCACTCGCCGCATCTTGAACGCGATTGGGAGGATCGACGCGCGACCAACACCTACAACTCCGCGACTCCAGCACCAAGCTCCCTTTATTTCCTCATTCGGCCTCACCGCTCACAGCGATGTCATCACCGCGTCGCGCAGCCTCTCGCGCCCTCGCTCGGTCAGAGAGCATCGACGCCGCAGGTTTCGACAACGGCAACGACAGCCCCAATACCAGCGCCGGCCGGAGGCGCAGCCGCCCAGAGGTCAGCCGTAAAGTCATTCACCAGAGCTTCGCATATGGGGCGCCCAGTGATGGGACCATGACAGCAAAGCGGTCCACCAGCGGCGGAAAGAGGGGCGGCTCAGCAGCAGGGTCGCCAGACACGTCAGCAGAGAGCATGGCAAAGGAGGAGCAGGAGGCGGCTGCTTCGACTCAGCAACCTGCGGCACCCGCAGCCTCGCGATACGCAGCCTTGAAGGCCAGAAAGCAGTCAGGGGGAGCAGCAGCCAAAAAGGGTGCGGCTTCGGGATTGGTCAGCGCTTCATCGCCTGCCACTCGCAGGTCTGCTCGACTCAGCGTCGCCTCAGGCAGCCAGGACGCAGACAATGCTGCCAGGACGCGAGCGATGGCAGACTTTGAGGACGACGAAGGGGAGAGTGACGATGAAGAAGACGACGCACAGGGCAAAGCGAGGAAGTCATCCGTACCTCCGCCGCCGGTGGCTGGCGTTCGCTCTGCAGGCGGCTACCAGCTAAGCAGCTACTTCGTCCGCGCTCCAGTTGGCAGCATGTCACCCGGCCCCTCCGAGGACAGACGTAGCATGATGCCCTCGTCCCTACTGCGCGGCGCTCAGCGACCTAGTCACGACCCCTTGTCGCCACGCCGCGGCGACATGGACGGTAGTATGCGCTCCAGCGATGCAGGCGACTCGCGCTCTTTCGCCTCAGAGGAAGCCTTCGTCCGCAGGGACATCGATCGAGACATGACGCCTCCTGCTCGCGGAGGTGCACGCGGCTGGCTGGCCAATCTAAGCCCCTGGAACAAAGGCGCCAATAGCAGCGGCAGCTCACGCGCACGTCGCGACCCAGACTTTGTCCCCGACGCGGCCGAGGAGACAGAGGAGAACCATCTACAGCGCCGCAAGGCTCGCAAATCTAAGGACGATGCCGTGTACAAGCCGTCGGAGGACGGAGAAGAGGAGGACGATGATGATATTAGCGATGATGACGGGCGGAAAGGTAGGAGGCGGAAGAGTGGAGACGTGGATAAGAGCGCCAGAGGTGGGCGAGATGATAATCGCATTTGGATGGGAGCAAAGAAGCGTAAAGGTCGTAAAGGGAGGAGGAGCGATGGGACTGAGATGGGCGTGGATGATAGCCAAGAAGTCGTCTACGATGATGATGCACAAGAGGCCGCAGCGCGACCCTCTGTCCTGCACCGCGCTGCCGCGACGGGAACTCAAGCAGCCGATACCTGGAGTGGATCCTCAATGCTCAAGACCGTTGGGCTCGCAGTGGCCGGTCTAGCTGTCCTCGGAGCTATCAGCCCCAACTTATCCAACTCACCATCTACCCGGTCGAGCGCTCCCTCCTCCTCGGTTCCCCTCTTTGGCAGCTTCTTCAGTGGACGAGGTACCTTCACCGCCTCGAATATCCCCCCCTCCGACTTCGACGCCTTCGTCTCTCGTCTTCTCAGTCTTGAGACAACCGTCGGCTCCCTCAGCGCAACCTCCGATTCGCTTCTCAAGTCGCACAAGGAGATGGCGCGCCAAGTGTCCACTCTCGAGCTTAGCTCCAAGGAAGTCCGCTCACTCCTTCGCAGGATAGAAGAAGACAGTAGGCTTGCTCAGTCCAAGCTTGATGGCAAGACCAAGTCACTCGAGGACGTCGGCAAGCGATTGCGGGAGCAAGTCGACAAGCTCGAAGCGCACGTCGCCGCGACACCGTCCTCCTCCAGCGCTGACACTGATGCCCTTCGCCGCGAGAACGACAAGCATCGCCAACAAGTCGAAGTCCGTCTGGAGAAGCTACGCGCCGATCTGAAGGGCAACGAAGATCAAATGGCAAAGATGGCCGCCTCGGTCAAGTCGGCAGAGACTGTTGCGAATCAGGCAAAGCAGGCGCTCCAGCCGCTCCTGGAGGCCAACCTGCCCGCCCAGATGCCAGTCAAGATTGACAAGCGAACGGGCAAGCCGCAGATTGAGCCTTGGTTTTACGAGTCGCTCAAGAGTGTTGTGGCGAGCGCCGACGGCAGCTCAAGCGGTGGCGGCCAAGGTGACGACTCATTTTCGTGGGACTCGTTCAAACGCGCGCACGGGGCCGCTCTTCGCGCTCTGGTCCATGAGGAGTCGTCTGACCTCTTCGAGGAGCGCCGCAAGTCTCACGCCCTCGTCTCTCGCTCAGACTTCCTTGCTCTTCTTCAGGCGGAGATCGAGACCATGAAGGGGTCTCTGGAGGAGACATTCAATGAGAATGCGCAAAGCATGCAGAATGAGATACTGGGCAAGGTCAGGGCGCAACAGGCCATGTTCGAGGAATCGGGCAGCTGGTCCAAGGGTGGGAAGAAGATCGTCGCAGAGGAGTCCGCTGCCGCCAGCGTCCCGCTCTCTCTACCCGACCTTGGACAGCTACGCTCCAAGGACGGGGCTGATCCTCGCAACTCAATACTCGCCCTCATCGACGCGGCGCTCGACACGTACTCAATGTCTAAGACCAACAAGGCGGACTTCGCCCTCTACTCTGCCGGCGGACGTGTCATCCCTTCTCTCACGTCGCCCACCTTTGAGATGACGGCGCGCGGCCCCAACAGTGGCAAGCAAAAGGGCTGGCTGCCCTGGTCTTCTGCTAGCAAGCCCGTCACGCAATTTAGGTCACGCTCCCCGGTCGTCGCCTTGCACCACGATAATGCTCCAGGAATGTGCTGGCCCTTCGCTGGGTCCAATGGGCAATTGGGCATCCAACTAGCTCGACCGGCGGTGGTCACCGACTTCACCATTGAGCACCCGCCCGCTTCGCTCACATTTGGTGACTCCAGCACCGCCCCGAGGGATATCACCGTTTGGGGCCTGGTGCAACGCGAGGAGGACAGGGAGAAGCTGAGGCGCTGGAGGGAGTCTGAGTCTGCCCGTGGAGAAGACAGAGCAGGAGAGATGGACATGATGCCCGCTCCTCCCTCTCCCAACCACTTACACCTGGCCACCTTTACCTACGAGGCTGGAGGCAATGGGACGGCCTCTGCGCCCGGTCGTCGCCCCCGCTCAGTGCAGACATTCCCCGTCTCACCCGAGGCGGCCGCGTTGGGTATCCCGGTCTCGGTGGTGCAGGTGAGATTCTTGTCCAACCATGGTAACAGGGATTACACGTGCTCCTACCGGGTGCAAGTACATGGCGTTGCGTACCAGCAGCAACATGCGTAGGCGCAGATGCAATGGCAGAAGGAGAGGCAGTACCTGTAGCGTAGCGAGGGTCTCTATATCCAGAATTGTCTCGTCCCGGTTCGATTCTCTACGGTCCAGGGCACTCTGACTCGAAGAATACCATCTAAGTGACATGGCTTTATATGCTGGGTGATACAAATACAACAGGCCTCTCTCAAAGCCTGTGATGCCTCGTGTGTGCCTCTCCTCATCCCTTCTTGGCGTCCTCAAATGCAATCGCCTCCCTAATCTTGTCGATTCCCCCTGCCCTCTTAATCCTCGCCCTGATCTCGCCCTTTGTCTTCTGCAACTGGTTAAGACCCTTGTCCATGAAGATGGCGTCGACATCGTCTCCGTGCTTGCGCACGATGCTGAGCAGCCAGTGAGCCTCGAGTTCCGAAACGTGACGAGGGAGCGGGCCAGGGTCCGGGATGGATTCGAGGTGCTCGACTACCTTACTCTTCGGCTTCGGAGGAGCTGGTGCGGCGGTGCCTCCTTCTTCTTGCTCATCATCCTCCCATCCTCGCATGCTCTTGCCCCAGGGAGTGGCTTCATCAGCCTGGCCATCCTCTTCTCCTCCCTCGATGATATCAATGACGTTGCCCTCTTCGTCCCTGACAATCCTGCCCATCCCTTTTCCCAACTTCTTGCCCGAGCCGCTTGCGCCCACGCTCTCCTGCCCAGCGCCGCTTCCGCCAGGCTCTGTCCCACCTGAAGGGCGCAGCGAGGTGTCTGCGATCAAGCCGAGGTCGATGTAGTTCTGTCGGACCGTCTTCTTCTTGTCCCAGGCCTCGCGCAGCACCTCTGGCCCTTTGATTTCGGCAGCGCGATTGAGCTTCTTCTTGATTTCGCGCTTTGCTGCTTTCGAGGGCCCAGAAGAGGTGCCCGAGCGCGCTTTCCTGCGTTGGCGTGGGTTAGCCATTGTGAGGAGTTGTTTGTGGTGGGTGGTTAGGACGCAGTGTTGCAAGCGGCCCGCTGCTGCTCACTTTGGCCAAAATGTCAAATCTCCTCCCGGACTCGACGACCACGTGGCTTGGCCCGCCTGCATTGTCGTCCGCCTCCGCTTTGAGTGTCGTCGTCGTCGCTGTCCGCCTTGGATCAGCTCGCATCGACGCGGCGTGTGCCACTCAACCTTCTCATCAACTCACCACCACCTACAACTCACAGCTCGACATCAGTAACACACGGAAGGGGATCGACGGCGTCACACACTCGCATTTGCATTTTGGATACGGCAAATTTATTGCTCCCTTCTCTCCCTTTTTCCATCGATCGATTCGACTGGCTGTCTCGTAGACGCCACTACTTCGCAGCATGGGTAGGTAACAGGGCAAGGACTGGCGCGATGATCATCGCTGACCATGCCTGACCCCTTGCCCGTCATGCGACCCTTCTCACTCTCTCGCTCGCAGGTATCCCCAAGTTCTTTCGCTCCATGTCGGAGCGCTACCCTCTGATCAGTCAGCTCGTCGAGGAGAACAAGGTCCCAGAGATCGATCGTCTCTACCTCGACATGAACGGCATCATCCACAACTGCTCTCACCCAAACGATGAAGACGCTCACTTTCGAATGAGTGAGACCGACATCTTTCTCGCCATCTTCTCTTACATTGAGCATATCTTTCTCAAAATCAAGCCACGCGAGCTCTTTTTCCTCGCAGTCGATGGAGTAGCGCCGAGAGCCAAGATGAATCAACAACGTAGCAGAAGATTCAGGACTGCAAAGGAGGCGAGAGATACAAAGCTCAAGGCCCTGGCAAGGGGAGAGGAGCTGCCTGAGGAGGAGGCATTCGATTCCAATTGTATCACGCCAGGAACGCCATTCATGGCGAGACTGAGCGAGCAGCTCAAATGGTTCATCGCCAAGAAGGTTACCGAAGACGCTGCATGGCAGGGGCCCGAGATCATCCTCTCAGGACACGACATCCCAGGAGAGGGAGAGCACAAAGTCATGGAGTACATCCGCCTCGCAAAGGCTCAGCCTGGCTACAACCCAAACGTTCGTCACTGCCTCTACGGTCTCGACGCAGACTTGATCATGCTTGGTCTCCTCAGTCACGACCCGCACTTTGCCCTGCTGCGTGAAGAGGTTAGCTTTGGCCCAAAGAAGAAGAAGAGCGGCGGCCTCGAGTCCCAGAACTTCTTCTTGCTTCACCTCTCCTTGTTCCGAGAATACCTCGACCTCGAGTTTGCAGATCTACGATCGACGCTGCCGTTCCCTTACGACTTGGAAAGCATCATCGTGAGTACGAGCGTGCAATGAGACAACGCGGGTTCAGTCGCTGACCTTGACCTTATGGCCCCACCCCGCGCTAGGACGACTTCATCGTGCTCAACATCTTCGTCGGAAATGACTTCTTGCCTCATCTTCCTGGCCTTCACATCAACGAAGGAGCGTTGCCGTTACTCTTTGGCATCTACAAGCGCATTCTCCCCGCAGCAGGCGGCTACATCAACGAATCCGGCAAGCTTCGCACCGACCGCCTCGCCCTCGTCCTGACCGAGCTCACAAAGTTTGAGCGTGAGCAGTTCGAGGAAGAGTACGGCGACACGTTCATGAAGCGTCACCGCCAGCAGAAGAAGTCTCGCGCGTTAGACAAGGCCAATGCGAAGAGGAAACTGTCAATGACGACGGCTCAAAAGGCAATCTATGACAAGGTCAAGGCCTTTGTCCTCGACCTGCGCGTCAATCCGCACTCTGCATCGCGCGATCTCTTCCTCCCGGTCGACATGAGCGAAGACGACCGCAGCTTCCTCTCGGAGCTCTGTCGAACAATGGGACTCGGCCTGACCTTCGATGAATACGATCCCATTGAGGATCAGCCGGCTACAGCCATCTCGTCCAGCGTTGGCTTGTACGACGAGGACGAAGTTGCTGCAGCCGAAAGCGAGGCTGCCATCTCGCGCGTTCTCAAGAAGTACGATGGCGCCCGCATTGAAGCTGCGGACGGTGGTTCAGCAGGCGAGGAGGATGACGAGGAAGCAGAGTACGAACGCATGCTCGAACAGAAGATGGAATCGTGGAAGCGGGACTACTACAGGAACAAGCTCGAGATCGATTACTCAGACAAAGCAGCGATGAAGCAGCTCGCCTACCGCTACGTCGAGGGCTTGCAATGGGTCTTGCACTACTACTACAGCGGCGTCGCCTCGTGGGGTTGGTTCTACGACTACCACTACGCGCCCAAAATCTCCGACCTGCTCGCCGTCGAGGACATGACGTTCGACTTTGACCTGGGCAAGCCGTTCCGACCCTTCGACCAGCTCATGGGCGTCTTGCCCTCGCTCAGTTGCCAGCACATCCCCTCTGCCTTCCGCGATCTGATGACCGACCCGGCCTCGCCCATTATTGACTTCTACCCCGCCAATTTCGAGGCGGATCTCAATGGCAAGAAGCAAGATTGGGAGGCAGTCGTCAAAATCCCCTTCATCGACGAGAAGCGACTGCTCAAGGCTCTCGATAGTAGAGCAGGCTTGCTCACTGCTGAGGAGAAGGCCCGCAACGGCTTCGGCGTCAGCTGGAAGTGCAGTTTTGACGCAGAGAATGAGCACTTCTACCCGTCATCTCTTCCTGGCGTATTCCCGGATATCGTCCACTCACGAGCGAAGGTCGAGCCCTTCCACCTGCCCCAGCTCAATGGCCGCGAGCTCGTCAAAGGCCTGGCCGAGGGCGCCAAGGTGGGGCAGGGTGCGCTAGCCGGCTTTCCCTCGGTCAAGACCCTGCCCAACTATGCTCGACTGGGCTATCACGGCGTCAGCGTCTTCCAGGGCGAGTCCAAGGGCGAGAGCATTGTCATTACCATTGAGAACACGTACGAGGACGCCAGTATCGAGGATCTGGCTGGCATCTTCGTGGGGAAGCGCAGCTTCATCTCATGGCCCTTCCTGCAGGAAGGCCTCGTCATCGCCGTATCGGACAGCCTCTTCCGCTACGAGATGGGTATCATTGGCGGGCAGAAGAAGATCATCAAGAACCCACACTCAGCTGAAGCGCAACTCGCGTGGAAGCGCAAGGCGGGCAAGATCGAGCATCACTACAACAAACGATTTGCGATCGTGACGGGAGATGTGGACGTCTTGCTGCATGTGCGCCCATTGAAGGGCCTCAGAAGGCTGGTGGATGGGTCATTTGTCAAGGAGTACGAGGAGTCGGCTGACAAGGAAGTCGAGCAGGCCGTGCAAATGTGTGTGCCCAACGTCACGCACGAGGACAATCGTTTCATTGAGCAGCCGGCGCTGCCTCTGCATGAGGAGTTCCCTGAGCACACCAAGGTGAGCGCGCCAGACTGAGAGCCGCAAATGCGATGCAGATCACTAATCCCCACCGCCTCGCGCACAGACCTTCTTCCTCGGTGATCATGCCTACGGTGCACCCGCCGCCGTCGTCGGCTCAACCCAGCAGATTCTCGCAATAGAGATGGCTATCTTCCTCGATCAGGCCAAGGAGATTCGTCTGTTCCACCAACTCGTCGAGAGTCGAGCCCGCGAACGATACTACCCCTCCTTCCAAGTCTCCAAGATGTGTGGCCTCTCCGGCCTTGCAGTAAGCAAGATGACCTCCTCCATGCTCCTCGACCTCCCCGAGGGCGGGCGAATCAACGTCGGATTGAACCTCAAATTCGAGGCGAAAGGGCAGAAGGTACTGGGCTATAGCAGGAAGGGCGCTGGTGGTTGGGAGTTCTCGGACAAGGCTGTGGCTCTCATCAACGAGTACAAGCGACTCTTCCCGGAAGTGCCACAGGCTATCATGGCCAAGTCGAATGAGGACCTGCGCGCTGCTACCCAATTCTTCGGCGTTCAGGCAGCCCCACAGCGTACTCAGCAGCTCAAGCAGTGGATCAAGGAGAAGGAAGTGCGCGACCTCGAGGCTGTACCTCTCTTCGCTGAACAGCTGGGCAAAGACACGGTGTCGTCAATTGAGGCCCTCTCCTCGCGCATAGCGGCCGCTCGCACCCAGAACTCAGTGAAGCGCGCAGCTCTTCGAGGTCTTCCTCGTACAGCCCTGCTCAAGCCTTCTCACGCTCAATTCCGCCTGCAAGCACAACGCTTCGAGCTCGGCGACCGCGTCGTTGCAGTGAGCGACTCGGGTTCGGTGCCTATGAGCGCTCGCGGTGTGGTCGTTGGCCTGGGCACAACGAGCATCGACGTGGTTTTCGATGCGCCCTTCCTTTCCGGAAGCACGTTGGACGGACGCTGCAGCTCACACAAGGGGGCCACCGTCAGCTTCAGTCAGGTGCTCAATCTGAGTCAGCCTCAATTCGTGGTGCACGGCGGGAAGGAGGCAGAGGCCGCTGAGGGCCAGGTAGCAGACAATGCTCTCGAGCGCACCATCGGGCCTATTCAGCCCAATGGTATGCCCACGGGCGGGGCCAACGGTGCTGCGAGGAATGGAGGAGCGGCCAATGGCGGCGGTGGCTTGGGCGGCAACCCTGCTTCACGCAACTACCGTCCCCCCTCTCACTTCACTCCCGCCCCTGCGCCGCGAGGCGGAGCCCCGCCTACCATCATGAAGCGCGGCGGTGGTTCTGGTGGGCAGCAGCACGCCTCCGTTCGCGCAGAGACGCAATTCTCAAACGTGGCGTCTGGCAGTGCGAAGCCGAGCGTCGAGGAGGCGAAGAGGAGGAAGCAGCAGCAGGGTGGAGTCAATGCATTGCTTGCCGGGCTGAACATTGGAGGTGGACAGAATGGCCATCAGAACGGACATGGTGCTGGGCGCGGCGGGAGGGGAGGCGTGCCTACGGGGCCTGCTAGAGGCGGGCGTGGTGGTAGGGGTCGTGGCGCGTAGAGTGAACAGCGCTTGTTGCTTGCTCAATGTAATTTGCTTTGAAAGGTTGCCACCTCGTTCCTGCGGATGACCGGATCAGAGCCACACCTGTGCGCCTGCCACTAGATCGACTAGCGCATCGTCTGTGGGCCAGGAAGTCGTCTCTTCTTTCTTGCCCAGTATTCTTAGCGAGTGGCAGATTATCCAGTCCGCGTAGTATTGTCGCGGTAGCTTTGCCTCGAAGTCAGCAGGGCAAGAGGTGCGGTGAGGGGGAACGCACTCCAGCCTGGACGGCCGTGACGTGGATGGTAGCCGCACTCGAGCACCGATGAATGTCCGCGTCCGCCGCCGTCCCCGTCCTCAGCGGCTCTCTTGCTCTCTCTACTCAGAGCTCTCATACCGTCTTTGGTTTCCATCCACCTTCACATCTTCTCACCTGTTCTGCGCTGCTCAGTCCCACCATCGCGGCCCATCTCATCGTCGCTGCCTTGCATTCCCTCCCACGAGCCCACGCTGCTCAATCGATCCCTCCGTTCCACGGCTACCGCCGCTGCTGCTTCGCTCCCTGATGGCTGGGAGGGAAAGCGGCGAAGGCTGAACAGGATTGTGCTGCTGATGATGCTGGGCGATGGGGGCGCCGCGTGTGGGGCTCGAGGGGGAGGGAGGACCGGAGAGTGACGCCTCTTTCCTAATCTGCGGTGTCAACATAACGAGAGGTGGGGATGAACGACTGTCCGTCTTTGTCTTGCTGCTGATGGCGGGCGGGTGACCCTGAAAATTCTTCGATGTCATGTCCCGTCCCTGGACGACTCTGGTGTTCTTGCCCGCCTTGGGCTCGCGCGTCTCCTCCGAGCCTTTGCGCCTTTGCCCCTCAACCTCTGCATCCTCATGTCCGCTACTTCTCCCAGCCGACTTTTCCTGCTCGGTGCTCCGAATGAATCTCGCATCATACTCCCGCCTCACAAGCTTCGTCGTAGTCGTAAAGCTCACGTTCTTCGCCACCGGGGGCGGAGTAGCCTGCTCATTCGCCTTTGACCCCTTGACCCACCTGAGCGGCAACGTAAAGCGCGGCAGAGAGGAGCGACGTGGCGAGAGCGCTGGTGTACGGGTATTTTTGACGCTCTTCGGGGCGAGGACAGGGGGTTGAGGAGGCGTCGCCACTCGAATGGTCTCTAGGCCTTCCACTACGATCCAATAGGGTGTGCCTAAGCCGCACCGGTAGATGTCGACTATTCTGCCTGTCCACTCTTCCGCGTCATTGGACTCGAGGCTGGAAGTTGAGCTTGATGAGGACGAGGTGGCGTGCAGTGAATCGTCGTCTTTGCCGTGAGACGATGCAGTGCGAGAAGCCTTGCTCGATGAGGAGGCGCTGGAGGAGATCGAGGGACGCGAGGTCAGGTGGGCGATGTGACGGAGCGGCGAAGGCGTGCCTGCGGCCCCGTGACGCTCTGGTGAGGAAGTCGTTGAAGCGGCGAAGGCTGCTACAGCGCTCTCCTTCACATCGGTCGTCCATGGTGTCCGCAAACCGTCGTGACCAGCCAAGCCGCTGCTTCCCTTCTCTGCCCTGCTCTCCTCTGAAGCCTCGCGCTGGTAAGACAAGCTGCGACTGGGTTTGCTCGGAATCGTCGGACCGCATTCAAGCTTGGCGTTCGTGAAGCCGGTGCGTACGAGGCTGCGCTCACCCTCACTGATGCCGTCGTCGCAGCCTCTGCTGCTTGCTCCGCTCTGGTCTGGCTTGGTCGCGGTGTCCAAGAAGAGGGAGAGCGTTGAATCGATCGATGCTGTTGACTTGAGTGAGGTGGATGAGGAGCGAAGCATGCTTGGACGCGCCAGCATAGACAGTCTCCGGAAGTTCTTCTTTGCCGAGCTGATGGCAGATAGCTGTTGGATTGCACCTGTGGTTGCCGTTGTTCCGCTCCTCCTGTCAGATGATGAGCCGACCGAAAGTGTGACTGTTGTCTCATCAGTGAGGCGCTGCTGCTGCTGCGGTGGCGGAGAGGGTGCGAAATAGCCGCCTTGCCTCCGAGCAGGATCTCGAACTCGTGCAGTCGGCGGAGAGCTGCCTCGATGGTCGACAGTGGGTGAGTGTGAGCGCTGCGGGTGCAATGCGCTACCAAAAGTACTGCTCGAGAGGCGATAGGGGAAGGGATCTCTTGGGTGGCCACGGTCCGATAGGGAGTCCCTTCCACCAGCGCCACCGTATTGAGCACTGCTGGTGATGCGTTGCTCTTGTACATCGTCGCTCGACTTCTTTTGTCGAGACGATGAGGGCCGACCGAAAAAGAAGCTGCTGCGACCCTTGAGCTCATTGCGACCAGTCAAGGACATGATGCTCGTACTCGGTCTGACGCGAGGTTGGGTCGGCGACAAGGTGTCTGTCCTGGAGCTAATGCTTGCCTTCCGCGTCTCCTCGTCGTGCCTTTGCTGCTGCTTTGGTCTCTCTTGACCCTTCTTCTTCTCCCTTTGCGCCATCTGTTTCTCCTTCTTGATCCTTTCTCTCTCCTTCTTCTTCTCCCACCTTCTCCTCTCCCTTTCCTTCTCTTTGCGTACCTCATCCACCAACTTCTGCGCAGCCGACTTGTGCTTTTTGGTCGGAGGACAGACGACCATTTGGCCAATGGCGAATGGATTCTCATAGCGTGGCTGTCCGGGAGGACTGAATGGCCACGCCGTAGCGGAGGGTACAGTGGATGACCCCCTACTGGCCAGGTCAGGGGCAGGTTGCGACCAGACGGAGTCGTGCGCGAAAAGACCGACTTGGTCACTTGTTTGCGGTCCGGCTGAGAAGGCTGAAGATGATGTGAGTGCGCCGCTGGTGCTGGCTGCGCTGCGCTGACTTGGCTTGGATGTGCTCGAGCGTGCGGGCGCCATCGACGTCGACAACTTGGAGAGACGATGCTGACTTGAAGGCTGCGGCGCCGCGCTCGCCGAGTAGTTCTTCGGGGACACCATTCTGCTGCATCTGCGACTGGCGAGTGGAGACTAGGTAGAGGGTCAAGAAAGATTAAATCATTGCGATGGAGAGATTGCAATTGATGTGCGAGCAAAGGGCGTCCCGCAAATGAGCAGCCGCCTCTCCTCCTCTCATGGCAATCAATGTCTGCGGAGGTCAGTGGTTCCCGCCATGCCGCCGTTGGCCCGCGACACGTTGGTTGCTCTCAGGCACCGTCGACTTCGCGTCCCTCGCGCTCTCATTGCTCTATAATCGTAGATGGTCATTCGTCAAGATGCGAAATGCAGGGGTTGTACGTACATCGAACGCTGAGAATACAAGCTTCCATGATGGGCCCGCACCACTCTACGCATCAGCGGTAGTAGCAGCTGTACCAGCGTTGGCGTTGACCTGGTCTGCGCCCTCGCTACCCTTCTTGCCCTTGTCCTCGCGCAAGTCGCTGCTGCTCCTCTCGAGCTTGTTGGACCCGTCACCAAGCTCCTCATCAGAGCCAGCGCCCTTGGAGCTGATGCCTTGCTCGATACGAGTGGTGTAGCTGGGCCAGTGTCTGGTGGGCACCTTGGCGTCGAGCATTTCCGAGATCTCCTCGAGCGAACGGTGAATCGTCTCGGGAGTGTAGAAGAAAACGAAGGCCAGCGCGATGAGCTGACCACAGCCGTAGATCCAACCAATCTGAGGTCCAAGACCGGCCTCCTGCCCGTCGTAGAAGTAGGGCAGAGTGAAGGTGACGAGGAAAGCGATGATCCAGAAGAGGGCCGTACCGAGTGACATGATCTTCTGGCGATTGACACCTGGGCAAAGCTCGGCAGCGATGGTCCAGGCGAGACCTCCCCATGCCAAGTTGAAGAAGAAGACGAAGATGCAGATCATGGCGGCGATGGTGTTGTTTTGCGTCTCCGTGCGGTTGGCGACGGTGCCCAGGCCTCCGATGACGAAGAGGGAGATGAACTGGATGATTGATGTGTAGATGAGGAGCGGTCTCCTGCCGAAGCGGTTGATGAGGAGGAAGGAGCACATAACGCCAAAGACTTCGATGACATCGACGATGATGGTGACGAGGAAGGCGTCGTTGATACCGACGTCGGCGAAGAAGGTAGTCGTGTATGAGAAGATGAACTGCGCGAGCGAGAGGCCGAGAGAGGGACGTCAGCTTCTGGGTAGGCTGTCATCGTTGCGTTGACATCATGCTCACCTGAACACCACCAATCTGCTGGGATCCCAGAATACCCACGACACAAATGAGCTTGCGACGCTCAACGCCGTTCAAGAGTGACCTCCAGCCTGACTGTCCCTTCATGGCAACCTCCTCGTCCCTTGCCTGCACAAACGAGCGCATCTCGGTAGCAGCTACGAGCTCGGGGTCCTCCTGACTGGCATTGATTTTGCGCAGGGCAGCCATGGCCTCGTCATCACGGTTCTTCTGTACGAGCCAGCGGGGTGACTCGGGGATGATGAACATGCCGCCGACGATGACGGCGACAAGGCCGAGATTGACGAGGATCGGAATGCGGTACGACCAGGTCGACGTCATGGTGTGGGTACCCTGACCGACGCAGGCGCCTACGACTTGACCGATGGCGAGGACCAGTTGCCAGCTCGAGACTATAGTACCACGGATAGCAGTGGGCGAGACCTCCGAGACTAGACATAGGGCAGAGAGGACGGGAGAAGTATTAGTGCGACGTGTCGCTGAGGGCTCCCGGCCTACGCCGTCTTCGCGCACTCACGGTAGAGGGTTGTGCAGTTTGAGATGATGCCGACGCCCATGCCAAGCACAGCTCGTCCAGCACCAAGCGCAGCGACGTTTCCAGCTGGGGCGACCTGGATGATGACGCCCAAAGCGACAAAGAAGCAAGCTCCGAAGAAACCTCCCCTCCTTCCAGCGTAGTCACCGAGGAACGAGGCGCTGAGGGAACCAAAGAATTCACCAATCTGGACAGACGAGGCGAGAATGGACTTTTGCGAGGAGCTGACGTTGATCTTGCCGTCCGACTGAAGCGAGCCGTAGTCGAGCTTGAACTTGTCCATCTCTGCCACACGCACGTAGGAGGGAGATTGAGCGAGCGTGAGTAGGATGGACGTATGACGGAATGCACTTCGCAGCGGCGCCTACTTACCGAGAATGGAGGCAAAGTAGGTACCATCGTACTGCGAAGAGACGGATCGAGGATGTCAGCAAAGGATCAGGAGTGAGAGAGGCTATGAATGCGCGTAATCACCCCGTAGAGGAGAGCACCCCAAACGGCGATGGCCGCATAGAGGAGAGGGCGCACATAGGCCTTGCTGAATACGTTGGTAGGGCCAATGGGCGACCCAGAGGTAGTGACTGCTCCGCCCATGTCGTAGAGTGTTGAGGGATGCGGAGGATGAAGAGGAAGGATGAGAAGAAGCGACGCAGCGGGGCTGTCAGACCCTTTCTGGAGGATTTGGTCTCGCTCTTTATAAGACGAACGAGACGGCAGCAACTCTTGGGTCCGACACCTAGGCAATCCGCCGCCGCCGCTCGTACGACGTCAACCTCCCCTCATCCTTTCCCCGTCTCGAAGCTCGTCTCGTCCGTTCAGCCACCACATTGGCAAGTGCAGGCACAAGGGCCGCATCTTCAAGCCTCGAACAAGGCTGCGCTGCTAGCTGTGACGTGCCTGCCGGCCTGCGCAACAATCACCCCGTGGAGCCCATCCTTTGACCCCCTCGGGGCCCCCTCACTAGCCTGGCCACCTTCTCTCGCCTCCGCCTCCTCTGAACGATGCTTGACGTTACGTATGTAGGTTCGCCCGAACCATGCCTTGGTGCCTGGCATTATGCTTTTGCATTTTCTGTGGGGCTCTTCGCTCTCCCACATCCATTCATCAACGTCGTTGTCGTTCAGTCACCCGCCTCGCCGTCGCTTGGAAAGACTTTTTGGTTGAACAAGGCTAAAAGCTGCTCAATGCACGAGATCCGTCCGTTACGCTCTGGATGGTCGCCGCTCCACCGCATCCCGGCACCCCTTCACTGCATCACACGCCCTCGAGCGGCGCGAAGGCCGCGGCGAGATTTTGCTCTTTTTTTTCTCCTCTCTCGCTCCGTTCGGCGGGTGGCCAGGCAAAAGAGGACGAGAGTCGCGGCGACGAGGTCGAGGTCATCTGCAGACCAAAACGCGCTGCCGCCTGCATCTGCATTGAGCCACAGTGTGACGCAGATGACGACGGGCGGCGACTAGGCCTACGCTGCACCCAGAGGCCAGAGCGCTGCAAAGCATCGTGGATGTGGCGAGGAGAGCCCAAGAGAACGGCGCGCGAAGCTCGACGCGACTGTGGCCTCTAGCCTCGAGTCTCTACGAGCTGGTCCAGCCCAAGCGGCAACCAGCATCGCATCAAGCTCTCGCACGACACACGCGGGAGCGTAGAGCGGATCTGTCTTCGCTCAATCAGTGATCCCTGTCCGCCGAAAAGGGCAGCGCGATCACGACGGCGACCACGGCGACACGGCGACGACATGACGGGACAGCCTTGAGAGGAAATGAATGTCTATTTGCGATCCCGCTTTCGAGGGACGATGTGATGTAGGAAGTCATGGTGGCATCGCGACTGCTTTGTGAAAATACATGTGTTTGTGTGGGTAGGAGCTGGGTGCATGCTGCGGGCAGATATGTAGAGGGAGGTGAAAGTGAGATGAGGTCCGGTACGAAACCGAAAGGTCGAATGCTTTTTGATAGGTAGTACTGCGTCCGAAGCAGCAGCAGCGGGCCTGGTCTGCGAATTCGGAGGGCGGTCAATCTACTGCTCCTCTTCAACCACCTCTCGCGCAGCCTCCGCTGTTGCGCTCTTAGACTCCCTCCTCTTCGTCTTCTTGACTCTATGCTGATCGTCGTATTTCTGAAGCTAGTGTTGCTGCTCCTTCCGCCTCAAGCGTCTCGCTTGCTCCTCCCCAATACCAGCAAGATGTCCTTCCTCACGGCTCAAACCCGTGGACGAGTCAGAGTCGATGCGGATGGGCTTGGCCGGCCTCGTCGTAGCCGATGGAGTATCAGAGTCGAGCTTGACAGGCGGAGCGAGTACAGCCCCTCCGGCACCACCAAGCTGCGGTGAGGGACACTGTGACGGCCCAGCCGAGGACGAGGAAGCGGCTGCCGACGAATCATGGAGTGCCGCAGTGGAGAAAGACTGCAGTTGCTGGCCGAGCGCATAGGAGCGACTACTGGGAGCGGCCATCTCCCCGCTGACGCCGCGACTGGGGGTCAAGACGACGGAACGCGTCCCTGGCGTGCTGCGAGCGCTGCTCCATGCCGGGCGGCGCCATCGTGGCTGCTGCTGCTGTTGGCCTTGAGACGGCGCCTGCTGTTCCCCGTCGCTCAGCATAGCTGATTCGAGGCAGGATCGCAAAGTTGTCCACGCATCTGGCGAGTGCGCGCCTACGTATTGCTGCGGCGAGCCGGATGTCGTAGTGTTGCCACCGAGGACCTGTTCACAGCTGGCGAACGTGCTAGGCTCGCATCGTCGCGGATCCGACCCCGTCGCCTCTACTGCCGCAGACGAAAAAGAGCGCGATGCTGCTGGCTTGACAGGGATGGGCGAGAGGCGCGACCTGGAGCGAGAGGGGCTCAACGACGGGCTCAGAGGCGTACCACTGGCGGCGCCGCCACCGCTGACGGTGCGATGCGATGTCGTCATGGAAGGGCGACGCGAACCTCTGTCCAGCGATGCGCCCTCGATATCGCTAATAGCCGGCGTAGGCAGGCGACCTCTTGCAAAGGAGAGTGGAGAGCCGTGGTTCGACATAGGCCATGGATTTGGCGATCGCTGTCTGCTGTGCACGAGAGGCAGCTCATAACTGCTTGGCCCTACCTCGCGGTCCGTGATTCGCTCGCCCGTGCCATCTTCGTCTTCAAAGTCCGAGTGAGAGAAGGCGGCGGGATGCGACTGAGAGTCGACGCTTGGGCGTGGGGAGGGGGCGATGGCTACGGGAGAGGAGGAAAGAGGTGCCTCAGGCTTGTAGCTGCCGATGCCGTCCTCGTCCTCACTTGTGTCGTTCTGGCTGCTGTCGTCGTCCTCATCGTCGTCGTCGTCGCTGCCCTCGTCATCCTCCTCGTAGTCCAAGTCATCCGCGTCGGGGGTTGCAGACCGAGGTAGGGCTACCCGTCCACGCGGCGCAGGCGACCTCGGCCTGCCCTTACCGCTACCACGCTTCGTCTCCGGCCCTCCGAGCTTCTTTGGTGCTGGGCTTCCACTGCGGTGCCGTCTAGGCGGGCCTGCTCTCCCGCTCCTCTGACTGCTCGCCGCAGCCACGCTGTCGACGTATGGCCGCCCCTCCTCGTCCGAGCTGATAGACAGAGATGCCTTGGAGGAGCGCGGTCTGGGGCGTCGAAGGCTGCGACGAGCCGAAGCAGAGCGACGCAATTCGCTGGGTGAAGCGGCGAAGGTGAGCTTGCGCTCCGTTGTTGCTACCTGTTCCGTGAGCTTGGCTGACACTTGAGTAAGCATGCTCTCGTGAATAGACACCGGCACCTGCGCAGGCGAAGGTGATCGAGAGCGAATTGGTGGCGTTGGTGCGTCGCTGGGATGGACCTTTGTCGAGGATGGGCCGGCGTCGGCACCGGACCGCTCACTGCCCTTCATCATGGCGGCTGCTTTCGCTGCGGCATCGGCCGCAACAGCCCGTGCTCTTGCTCTCTCTTCAACGCCTGCAGCGTCTTGGAAGACCAGCGTGCGCTTTCTGGCAGGCTGCTCCGGACGAACTTCAAGAGGAGGAGAAGCCCTACCCTCGGCTTTAAGTACGGACGGCCCAGCCGGAGGCAGAAAGGATGCATGAGCTTGAGCGTCGAAAAGCAGCGGCCTCGGCGGCGATTCTGGCCCCTCTGAGTAGTGCTCGGGTGAGACGGATAGACGAGCGCCCTTTGCCTGCGGCGGAGGCAGACTGACTCTCCTGCCGCCAATACGTGCTGGTTTCGGTGGTTCTGCGAATCGAGCCTTAGCAGATGGCGCACCCTGCCCGGCAAATGACACTTTGCCTGAGTCGTGATGCTGATGCTCTGCTCCTCCATTTCCATCACTCGTCTCCTTTCTGAGGATGCCGCAAGCTATGTTGACGCGCTGAGGAGCGACAGCGCCTTCGGCCATCAGGGCTGCGGTCAGAAGAGATACTGGCGGCTGACCCTCTTCCTCCTGTTTGACTTCTTCGCCATCATCTCCAGGAGCGTCGGAAACCTCGGTATCAGAGCGGCAGAGCGAAGGTGTGTGGGTATAGGCGCTCGTCGCATTGGTGGCGAGGCTGGCTTCGCTCGTCGGCGACGTGCATGTAGTGGAAAAAGACGATCTGGATCGGTTGTTGAGGCCGAGAACTGGTCGCTTTGCGAAGACAAGAGGATCTGAGTCGACGGAAGTGTCGGTGACTGCGGATCCTTCGAGCCGATATTCTCTGCGAGCATTTGCGCCGTGGTGAGGGTCCATGAAGGCGACATTGTGCGTTGGCGGCAGAGTGGGTGCAGCGTCTCGCAAGATGCCCTTCGCGGCGGCAGCAGCAGCAGCATTGGCGTTGGCAGTGATATGATGAGGTGATGACGAGCGGTCCGCCTCAACGTTTTGATCGTTGCCCTGCATAGTGCAAGCTCAATAGGAGGAGTGGTCTCGCTCGCTCGCTGCTTTGCGATCGCACCGCGTGCGCTGAGGGAAGTAACGAGGTGATGCGTGGCGGCCCCAGCCTTCAGAGGCGTTGTGGAAGAGCGCTACTCATTCCAAGAGCGTTGAATGAAAGGAAAGAAGGGAAGTCGCGACGAGTGAGGGAGATAGGGTATCTCACGATGCAGTGCTGGTTGGGTCAAGTGGGAAAGTGTGATGAGTACAGAGGACAGAGAGCGTGGGGAAATGAAGCGGGCGGCCGAGCGCGAGCGGTAAAATTGGGAGCTGCGCAAGGCTTCAGGGTCAAATCGACCTCGGAGAGCAAGCAAGGAACACGTTATTCCGAGCCCGAGGCCAGGTGACAGCCGGACCTCAAGTCGTCGAGCGTCTCAGGCAAACGAGGCTTCCGAAAACCGATGAGTAAGGAGCGAGCTGAGAGAAAACGTGCTGCGAAAAAGTGGCTCGACCAGCGGTGCCACCGTACTTGAGCACTTCGACTCGCTGCTTGCAGTCTAGCGTGAGGCATTGATCAGCCATGATTGGCTCGAAAAATCGGTGCCTGCTTTGCTCGGGGGACACACGCCACTTTCTCTTCGTCATGAAAGTGGCGCGCCGCCCGACGGCCAACGGAAGTAGGACCATTGGACTCCGACAGGACCGAGCCACCGCCACACATTTGTTGCCATCCGTTCACAGCCTCCATCGTCTCCATCACAGCTCTCGTCTGCTCGTCTGCACTTCTCAGCGTGCTGCTTGGCGCTCGTGATGGTCCATTTACGCCTCAATGACGGCGACACAGCACGCAATGAGTACATCAACTTCGTGTCTGCCCTCGATCGTCACGCGAACAAGGACGACGCACTGCGACGCCTCCACCAACTCGCAGCCATCTTCAAGCCTATCATGAAGCGCCACGGCCTGCGAGTCAATCACCTTGTGGAGTATGAGCCCAATCCTGAGTTCGCCGGTCGTAACTGGAACGCAGGCGAGAACATCGAGATGGTCCTGCGCGACCACTCCGGCCTCTTCTTACCCTTTGGCATGATATGCTACGTCTTTGCGCATGAGCTGGCCCACAACTTTCATATGAACCATTCGTCTAAGCACACCCAACTCACCAAGGACTTCAACGAGGAGCGTAAGGACTTGCAGAGCAAGGGCTACCTGGGCGATGGGTTCTGGAGTGCGGGCAAGAGGCTCGACGATGAGAGCTGGGTCGCAGGCGAGAGCAGCGTCACTAACGCAGAGTTGCCCTCGAACCTCTGCGGTGGAGCGTGGAAACGACGTGGGGCCGCGGCGAGGAAGAGACGCACGAAGCGTACTGGTGAGGGGACAACGAAGCGGCGCAAGAAGGGTGTGCCCTCGCTGCGGACCGGAGCCCAGACTAGCGCCAATACCGAGAGAGTGGCAGGCAAGACACGCCGCTACATGGACTTGCCAGGTGAAGGGTCGCGTGTTGATGGACGCAACGATTTACCCAAGGCTTCGGCCAAGTCTGATTCGTACAAGTCGGATCCCAACTCGACGTTTCGCAAGCAAGCAAACACCAATGCCGCGAGGGACGCAAGGGCTGCGGCCGCCATGAGGAGGATGGCCGCACTTCAGGTTGAGCAGAAGGGACACAGTGGGCCAAAGGATGAGGGGAAAGCCAAGGCGGAGACAGATGAAGACGGGTACCACACGCAAGAGGAGGACGACGGTTCATGCACCGAGTCAGAGACGGAGAGCGAGACAGGCAGCGATAGAGAGGAGGAGCTCCTGTACGACTCGTCCGACGAGCAGCCACGAGATGGCGTCTGCGGTACCGATGCATCATCCTCATCGACGTCGACCTCTGCGCAAGATCCTCCGGCATCGCGTACTGAAACAGACGCACAGCGTAAGCGCAGAATGGAGGAGTTCCGTCGCTCTGACGGGGGTCGCAACGAGAGGCAGGCGCGCGATGAGTGGCGAGATATCGTGAGGGCAACGCAAGGCATGAGGGTCAGCAAGCCCGGAGTGAAGACTGAGATAAGGCCTGCAAGAATTGCCGCAGGTGGGAGCACAACTAGTAGTGCCAGCAGTAGTAGCGGGCAGCAACGGGCTGCAACGACAGGTGGAGGGACTGGAGGAAGCAAGGCTGTTGCTTCGAGGGTCGAGGATGATGACGACGATGACATCGTCTTCGTCAGCTCCTCTAAGAAGGCGTAGGGAACGGAGCAGTGACCGACTTCTCTTCTCCTCCCTCTTTGTTTCATCTCATTCATACCATCACCATACTCTCATTCTCATACCAATCTCAATCACACTTCAAGCATGATCGATTCGCGTCCTTACAGCTTCGCCTTGACCCTCTGCACCTCCTCTCTGCCCTCCTGCCTGACCCAATTCCTCAGGCTGCCCAAGCCCCTGCCCCCACTGACCACACACTCATCTCCATGCTTCAACCACTCTTGCGGGTTGCGCTTGAACCCCTCGCCAGGCGGGGTGCCCATCGAGATGATATCACCAGGTAGCAGCGTAGTACCCGCGCTCAGCTCAGCAATAGTCTCTGCTACTCCCCACAGGTGGTCTCGTGTATTGCCATCTTGTACCAATCTCCCGTTCACCCGTGTCTGTAGGGGCACATCTTCCGGGTCTCCAAGGGCGGAGGGGGACACGAGGCAGGGCCCAATGGGAAGATGGCCATCGAAGGATTTGCCTAGACCCCATTGCGGTACGGCGAACATGCGTTTGCGGCAGGAGACATCGTTTGTCAGGGTGTAGCCCAACACATAGTCCAGCGCTCGCGACGGAGAGACGTCTTTGCAGGGTTTGGAGATGATGACTCCCTGAGCGTGCGAGCAGGAGAGCAGAATCGTCAGATGGGGTCGCAAAATCAGGCTTTCACGCTCCAATGGTGCCTCACCAGCTCGACCTCCCAGTCCGTCTCGTCCCCGTTGCGCGTAGCCGCCTGTGGGATCACAATGTCCCTCTCAGGTCCACTCAATGCCGTCAAGGGCTTGTAGAACAAGATGGGCAGCACAGGCCTCTTCTTCTTGGCTTCGGCTGCATCTTGACCACTCTGTACAAAGTTGGCGCCCAGAGCACGAATGCTCGGGATCTGCTTTGAGTCCAAAGGTGGGAGGAGAACCCGCACTGTTCGCTCGAGGCTGGTAGGTGTGGCTGATGGGTCGAGCGGAGAGACGCCAGGAGGGAGGATGCGAGCTTTAATCTGTTGGGATTTGGCGTAGGCTGCGCCGATGTCGAGGTTGGGGTCGACGGGCTCGCCGCTGTGGACGGCGTTGTCCTCTACGGCGATGAACGTAATAAGTCGGGACCAGCCGGGCATTTCGCGCGATGAAAGGGAGAGATTGTTGGCTTGATGATGGTGAGGAAACAAGACACGAGCCAAACGGCACGCGAGTCAAGGATGTTGTTGGACTGCTCTTTCGCAGCATCATCAAAGGCCGATGTCGGCGTCCGATTGAACTGGGCCCCGCTCCGCCCCCGCCTCCACCGGCACGGACGGACGGACGGACCGGCGGAGACGTGCATGAGGGGGCTGCGAAGAACACCTTGCACTGAAATTCAAACGGAGCAAGAGCAACGGTAATGGCCAAGGAGACGACGACGACGACCAAGACGAAGCAGGGACCGACGTCGGCTATGGACGAGCTAGCACGGCAGCTGCGCCTGATCCACCACGAGAGCTGGATCAGCTTGAAGGAAAGGACGCGTAAGAAGACTTGGAAGCTAGCCGCTCTATACCGGCGAGATGAGACCAGCAAGGTCAATGGCAACACCTCACGGAGTCACGGCCTTCGCAGCACCCCAGCATACGATTCCATCGACACAGTCATCGATTTCCTCGTCCAATACAATCGCTGGCTTTTCCAGACATGGGGCCGTGTCTCTTTGACCACTGTGACCCTCTCCCTTTTCACCCGGCCCTTCGACCTCTTCGTCCTGTACCTCTGGGCTTCGGTGACGACTCTGCTCCTTACTTTGCTACTCGTCCTCGATATACTGATCATCCTCTTTCCAACTACTGTGGGCTCAATCTTCGATGCCGCTACGGACTACCTCATCGCTGGACGGCAGGCGGAGTCCATGAAGCCAGGGGAGCAACACCGCGTCTTATGGACCCATTTCCCAGCAGAGGTCAGGCAAGCAGCTTTTCTCTCCCTGTCTGCCCCGTCTACAGCACAATCGAGTTCAAACTTTCCAGAGGGCGACGAAGGCAACACGCACGTAGTGGATCTCGACGTCAGCAAGCTCCTACTAGCCTTGAGCGCTCTCATCTACACGCGCCGTCGAAAAGTTGTGAGCGAAAGCTTGCTTCTCTCCTCTCCACCACCCTCCGACCCCACTCTCGACCCAGACATTACCATCAGCGAGACTGCCTCTGCGTGCTTCGGGGGCTTACATTACCAGCCCATATGCGAGCTCGGTCACGGTCGCTCCTCAACGTCGCCAGGCGCACCGGTCGCGGGACTGTTCTACCACCCCAGTCACCCCAACTTCATAGTCTTGGCATTCAAAGGCACAAGCCCAGCAGCTTTCAGCGAATGGGTGGTCGACTTCGACTATCGGTGGATAGATGCGAGTCGCTACCTTGGCCCAGGGTATGGGCAGGTGCATCGCGGATTCTACGAGTCATTCTTCCCCACTGGGAATGGCAAGGAGGATGCGTACAAAAATGGGGTGACGCCTTATGAGCTGATCCGGCGAGCAATTGTTGCTACGGCTGGGACACTGAGAAGGCTCAACGGAGAGAGGGAGGTGAATGTCTACGTGACGGGACATTCGTTGGGAGCAGCCCTTGCGAGCATGTGGTACGCTCGTGCAGTGCAGCGACCAGGCGACTTTGCAAACGCCAGTTCCGGCTCTTCAGCAGGGCAAGCTCTGGCCGTGATCCGAGACTTGCACGTGTATGGTGCTCCCATCTTCGGCGACGTACATGCTGTCAACTCCTTCAACTACCGGCTCAATGAGGACGACCCCGGCGAGCTCTCCAGCCAGAGTACACCGCGACCGCAGTCCTCCTCCACCCCTCCTGCCCGCAACCTCCGCCGAGAAGCCTGGCGCCTCGTAAGCCACCGAGACGCAATAGGCACGCTCATCCCCTCATTGGGCGACGACGCAGGCGGAGCAACAGATGTGGACGCCGCACTGAGCGCTTCGAACTCGTTCAACTACGCGCACGTAGGCCAGGAGATTCAATTGCGAGCCTCTCCCCAGCTCTCGTACACGGGACCGGGAACGACGCTTGTGAGAGGTACCCCCGTACGCATCGTTTCATCAGCGGTGGGGACTGCAGCGCCCTGGCGACTGGACGTGCCCCGCCTCTTGGTGAAGGCGCAGAAAGTTGTGCCTGTGCTGGGAAGGCTGCTGGCACATGCGCCGCTGCTCTATGCGCAGGAGCTGAATAAGGTGAAGACCAATGCCGGTAGTGGCAGGGTGGGAGACGATGAGCAGGCTTTACCGTACGCTGATTTTAAGTTCTTGCAGTGAGGGTAAAGGGCCACGGCGAGCGCGGCCACGACGCTCTGCCTGTCGGCCTGCTCGGCCTCTCCACGTCATGAATGGTCCGGAGGCGCAATTATCAGCAGCATCAAGTGTACAATATCTGAATTGCAATCAATTCAATGAATGGAGACGCGTGTATCTAACTGAGCAGGCGGGTGGATGTTAACCCGCGTCCGACACCTCAATTCGGCTTATCCCTCGATCCGGGATAACGTCCGTGGTAGCCCAGCTGTGCGCGCGAAAAAGCAACGACGTAAATCAGCCTCCTGTGCTCGTCACCACTAATTTCTTTCACCACGCAAACTTACCCTCCTGTGCACCTCGTCAGCCCATACATTCATCTTCCCAACCTGATCGTCCATATTCTCCATCCTCCCCCTCAAGTCGCCGATCACCTTCTCGAGCCTCTCGCGCTCGGCTCGCCACTCCTCGGGACTTTTGTGGGCGTCTTTGGACACAGCAACTTCGAAAGGGGCGGTGGTGTCCTCTTCTGTCAGGCCCGAACCTCGGTACAAGACCGATTGAGAAGAGAGAATGGTGCGCGCAAGTGGGAAGTCTCGCCATTGTGCGTCGTCCCAGGTGCCATTGATGGAGCGCGGCTGTGGCGAGGATGAGGATGCGGAACGCTGTTGACGTGCACGAACGTCGCGGCCTTCCTGTGCGGCGTGCTCGAGAGCGGCATCGAGGAGAGACATGTTGGAGCTTGCTCGCTCGTGCTGGTGCTGTTGCTGCTCTTCAGCGACTTCAACGTCGACGATGCTGTCGGAAGCCGTCGCCTCGCTCGCCGGGGCCTGGGAAGCAGGGCGCCCTAGCAATTCAGCTGCGAGCTCCTCAACGAAACGATCGTGCTTAGCCGTGGCTGCCTCTTTGGCAGCGACCGTCCGAATGCCATCTCGCTTGTTTCGGCCACGCAGCAGCGAGGAGATGGTCGCATTCGTCGCGTCAGGACTGCTGGCAGTGCGAGCCTCCCTCTGCTCCCTCTGAAGACGCAGCTCACGTCCTTCCTCTGCGGCGTCTTGCAGCTGCTGCTCGAGGAAGACATTGTCCATCGAAACGTGCTGATTGCGCTGCGCAGGTGATGAAGCGTCCAAGGTGGCGGCAGTGGCGTTTGTCTTGACCTGATCATTGCCTTCTTCCATCTCACTGGCCGACGCCTCCGTAGCGTGGCCGTTGGCAGCGCTACCGTTCAGATGATTGGCAAAGAAGGCTGCATCCAGCTCGTCGAGAATCGCACTGTCGATACGCTTGGCCTTGTCTGCATCCACTTTCTGCTGTCGCTGAAGCTTTGCCTCCTTGCGCATCTCAGCGAGACGCTTCTGTGCTCGAGTGACGGCGGCTCGATTGGGCCCGGACATTGAAGGTCCCTCAGCTGTGGCGGTCTGCGGCTGATCATCTAGGTTCGCAACCTTGCTTCGCGCCTCTTGCTTCTGAGCCAGCCGCTCCCACGCGGCATCATCGTTGCTAACAGCTTGTGGTGTAGCCTGTGTCGACTGTCCCGCTCCGGCGCCAAAGGCTCGCTGCCAACGCTGTCGTGGATTGAGAGCTGCGGCGGGCTTGCGTGCACAGTTGCCTTCCGAAGACGATTTTGCGCTCGCTTCAGCTGCACCTCCATCGGCCCAACCAGGACCGGCTCCTCTCTTCATCCATGGGCCACCACCAGGAAATGGGTCGCCTCTACCCGTTGCCATGCCCATGAACTGTCCCAGCCCGGAGGCCATCTCCCCCAGCATCGAGGAGCGGGATGAGTTGCGACCAACGCCACCGATTGCCATGTTATCCAGGGCCTCCTGCTCTTCACGAGCTGCTTGTGCTGCTACGCGTGGGTCGATGAAGCCGCTGCTCGAATTACCTGAGGGAGCAGGAGTGACTTTCTGCTCTGGACGCATGTTTGGCTGGAGCTGTTGCTGCCCGTCTGGCTGATAGCTGCCGCATGGGGGTTGAGCTGCAGGAGGTCTGCCAACGTTGCCAGCCATCGCACTCTTATACGCCTCTCTCCATGCCGACTCGCTCGCAGCAGCCCTATCTCTAGCCTCGGTCAAGGAAGAAATCATCTGCGCCTGGTGATGGGCTCGACGGGCGCGCGATTTGGCTGCCATGAGGGTGATGACGCCTGCGGCGATGAGGAGGCCAATGACGGGAGGACCTGCAGTGGGAGGCGACGAGGAGCCGTTTTGCTGACGCTTGCGCTCGCGCTGCTCTTCTTGCGAGGGGTAGCCCGGTGGACGAAGGCTGGTGTGAGAATCGGATGCTGACGATGAGGAGAGGATGGCTTGAGGCGGAGGTGGTGCAGCCTGGCGTTGCTGCTCGCCACCGCCATCGGATCTCAGTGAGAAGGGCATGGCTGTGGCTGTGATTGACTCTGTTCAGGGATGTCTCGACTTGGTATGAGGCTTCTTGATATGGGAAGGGAGAGCAGAGTGGGCTCTTACTTAGTCTCGAGGGCTGATGATCCATTTGTGAGCTCAGCAGAGTGAGGGCGAGTGCCGGTCATGAGGGGCGGCAAGAGCCCACTCTAGCCGTGTCAGCCGCTGTGCTGCGATGCTCCTCCCGCTCTCACTCTCCGGCTGCAGCCACTCTCAACTCGACTGAGCGAGGGCACGCGAACGGGCCACCGACTTTTCGCGCGTGGCTCGTCGAGGGACCACGAAGCCGCTCCCGACGCGGGCCTCACGTTGCTTCTTCTCATCCTGATCACATTGATACCATCGCCTTGCAAGGGAATCACGCTCACACTGGCTCCATCGACCATGGCATCGACCGCCATTTATCCCCCTCTCTTGCTCTCCCTTCCCCTCCAGATCTCACATCGTCTGCCCCCCTCCCTCCAATCAGTCGACCCTCAAGTAGCTCTCGTGACGCACGTCTTCCTCTCCCTCTTCGCCTCCATCTTTACAATCCACCCAGCCTACCTACTTCCTCTCTCGCTCTTCGGCCTCATCAGCTCTCACCCGGCCTTGACGTCTTTATTGCCGCACTTCCTAGCACTATGGGTCGTATCGATTGGCATGGACATGGCGTGGTTGCTGCGCAAGTCTGCTGATGCAAACCTACTGGTCACGGCAGCCGTCGGGGCGAGCATGGTGCTCAAGCTACCTTCTGCGGCAGCAGTGGCGCAAGTCGTGAGATCTGAGGGGTACATACAAGAGGATGGAGGTGCAACTGGCTTCGCTGGGCTTGGAGGAGGAAGAGGTGTGTCACTGCCGGGTGGTGGACTGTGGAGCGGGACCGGTGCGGCAGGAGGTGACCGTGAAGCGGGTGGGTTTAGGGACGGTTGATGTTCAGTTGAGATCGTCTTGTGGCTCGTACGCTGACGCTGCTCCCGCATCCCTGCACAGTCCCTGGCGCATACAACAGCGTCTACGCAGACGAAGAGGGGGATGAAGACGCTCAGGAGGTCCATCATCAGCATGGAAAGCCGCCAGCAGCAGCGGGACGGGGTGGCTACAGCAGCATCGCTTAGATACCAGCAGCAGACAACCAATCAATCAATGAACACTTGCGCAGGGGTAATCACTTCTGTATTGCTACACCGCCCGAAGGCGAGAGACTGAAAGCGAGCGAGTGCGAGCGAGCGAGAAGAGTAGAAGGCCATCATAGAGGGACGTCAAACTCGTGTGTGGACATGACCCGCCTCGCGGTCTATTCGCACGCCTACTGAGCCAACGCCTTGGGCGCGCTCCTCATAGCGGAGAAAGCCGCGAAAAGCCTGGCCTGCGAGCTAAACAGAATCGCCGCCGTCAAGACAGACTGGGTCAACTTAGGCCCAAGTCCCCTGTAAAGCCCTGCTACTCCCTCATTCTTGAGAATCTCCGCCAGTTCACCAAAGAAGTTCCTCTTCGCCCCCTTGGATGGCCCACTGCCAGCCTGCTGACGACTCTTCACCAGGACCTGCGGGTAGGTCAGTCCCGTAGCAAAAAGCTTCGAGAGGGCTCCGAGGATGAAGAAATCAAAGTCTGAAAGAGAAGCAGAAACCCCGCGTGCCAGGCGAGACTTCACAAGAGCGTTCTTGAACTGCTCGAAGGCCGTGTACTGGAGGATAGGGTTGATGACCAGGAAGAGGGCAGGGCCAAGACCACGCCACAAGGCAGGAATTCCGTCTGACTTGACGATGTGCTGAAGCGTCTCGAGGAACGTAAGCTTCTTGACTGGCTGTGCGGGCTTGCCTCCAGGCTGTTTGGCGTCTACGACCTTGCCTCCGTCGCCGACGCGTACCGTCTGGCGAGTGTTGATGACCCAGATCGGATTTGTGATCACAGTGGTTGCTGCCCCGGCCATTGCGCCTGCCAGCATAGACTCGGCGGTGCTGAGAGCACCGCCAGCGGCAATCTTGGCTGCGGCAGTGGTGGCGTTGGCGGCCGCATCCTTGTTCTTGCGGGCGAGAATGGCCTCGCGAGCCGTCTCGAAGGCTCCGTAGTAGACGCTGTGAAGGCGGGTGTGAAGGTGAGGAGACGTTGATGACGTAGGAAACCTACGTGCGCTGCCACTCACAAGTTCGTTACACTAATGCCGAGCAAGGAAGAGCTCAACCCCGAGTACAATCCAGAGATACCCTCCTCAGCCAGAATCTTCTGAGCCGCTTCGATGGCGCTCTTCTTGTCCTTGCGCTGCTCGACGGCCGCTCGCATCGAGATGCTGACGAGCGGGTACGTGGCTGTCATTGCGATCATGCCGCCGGCGCCACCTGCGCAGGCGTGGATGATGCCGTCTGATACCATGGTGAGATAAAGGGAAGGAGAGGCTGATGCGGGGGAAGAGGGGGTTGGTCAGCTACGGTTGGGTCGAAAGAGGGCAGTGAACGACATGCTCACTCGGTGGCTACTAAGAATGAGGTGACTAAGATGTAGGTGTTTCGAGGGCTTCGGCAGCTGAGCTCTTGTTGGTAATCCTCGTAGCTTTGGCGTGTGTTGTCTTGGAGTTGATTAGGTCGACAAGAAGCACAGCGTAGACCGGCTCGGTCCGGCCCTGACTTGACGCTCGACGTGCTCTTTCAGATGCCGGCGGACAGACGAGGCACCATCGGAGCGATCAGGGCGCGTCGACCAAGATTGAGGGGGGTGAGAGGCGACAAGCCGACGACGACAACAGCGATGGCGACCGATACCAAATGGAAGGGCCGAGCAATGTGCATCACAGTGCTACGCGGCACGTTAAGGAGAGCGTGAGCCTCACGTGAAGCAGCCTGACGAGCATCGCTCGACACTGGGGAAAGCTGTGGGCTCCGGCTCTGCTACCAGGGGTCCGCCTGGTGCCCGTACTGACATTCTCATTACTGAAAGAAGGCCCCAGCTTATCCTGTCCCTCTGATTTGGCCTCGGCGCTCTTTCGACTAGAGACTTCAATGCTATTCGAGTCCATAGAAGACACAAGCTGAGCAAGAGCCAGTTGCAGCCATCTATCGATCCCGCCTGTTCCACGCGGCAAGGCTCGCCGGGTGGAGAGGAGGCGCGGACAGAGACGAACGTACGTCGAGGTGAATTGAGATTTTGGCGTTGAGCCTTCAGGAGTATCGCACTTCTCACCTCACAGAACACCGAGCAAAATGGCGACCGCAGCATCGGATCCAGAGACAAGCGCAACCAGCCTCGTTCTCGGCTCATCAGCATCGCAACGAGTCCCCCTCCTGGACGAGGAAGGCGAGCTGTCCCCTGCGTTCGAGGACGCTCTTTCCTACATCTTTCAGAAGTACTCCTCCATCTCCCTCTCGCCAGAACCAGCAACAGCATCAACCTCGACACCCCCCACGGGAACCTCTTCTGCCTCTAGCAGCAGTCTCGCATCCGGCTCGCCTCGCAAACCTCAACCTGAGCTGGGGTCGCGCCCGCCAAAGGGCGCCGTAATGACTGACGTGGCCTTGGATCGCTTCGCGTATGATACCAACGGCCAGCCTTTTGATAAGGACAGCAAGGAGGAACTGAAAACCTTTCTGGATTGTGACGATAACGGGAGCTTGACGGTGAGCGTAGGAGGAGGACGGCGGGGAAAGAAGGTCGGGGACCGCGATGCTGATGCTGATGTTTGCGCTTCCTTGCCGCAGTGGTCTGGCTTCATTCAGATGTATCACCTGCAGGCCGACAATGATGTCGAGGAAACTTGGAAGTGAGCATCAAGAAACGCACCGCGTGTCTGAGCTTGACGAGCAGCAGACTGACTCTCCTCTCCTCCTTCCCCAAAAAGGGACTTGTCGACGCACGGCTTGTGAGCTTCGCCTAGACTGCAGTGAGAGAGGGAGGAAAAGCACGACAAGCTGACTTTGCGCCTTGCCTCTCACAGTCAGAGCAACCTGGAGCTGGTGTCAACGAGGCGTGAGGGCGAGGAGAAGGGGGCTGGTGAAGTGACTGCGCCCAAGGAGGAGGAGGAGAGTAAGTTGGAGAAGGCAGACCAAGATGATACCACAAAGTCGACCAGCAAGACAGGCAAGCAAGATGTAGCTTTGACGGAGGGTCAGTAGCTGTCGCACTTCTTGACTTACAATCACGATCTAATCTAGCATGAATTGCCCCACTCCGCCTGATCATGACTCGCAGCTTCGCACGCAGACCCCGATACCACCCTCCTCACCCAGCTCCACATTCAGCACATTCTCCGGCTCTCATCCAAAACGACGTCCCTCTCCTACCACCTCACCACACACCTACGCCTCAATGGCGTCTACTGGGGCCTCGCCGCCCTCGAGCTCATGTCGCCAGGCTCCTCTCTCCTTCCCGCACAAGATCTGGTTGATTTCGTGCGATCATGCTACGATGCAAGCTCAGGGGGCTTCGGGAGCTTCCCAGGTCATGACGCACATGTGTTGAGCACCTGCTCAGCCGTGCAGGTTTTGGCCATCAAGGGACGTTTGGAAGACTTGCCAGATCGAGAGGCGACGGTGGCGTTTATTCTCTCGCTCTTCAACCCAGTCACGGGACTTCTTTACGGAGATCGGTCGCGACTAGAGGAGGACAATCGTTTCCTCTATTGCGCCGTGAATGCTCTGGCGCATCTGAGTGCATTGGACAGGCTGGATAAGGAGAGAGCGGTGCAGGGCGTATTGAGCTGCGTGAATTTCGATGGCGGGTTCGGGCGGGTGCAAGGAGCTGAGAGCCATGCTGCTCAAGGTGAGTCTGCGATTCACCTGCCACGCTCTACTCTGTCTGAATCTGACGCTCCTCATCCGTTCGACCGTACAGCCTTTACGTGCCTGGGCATTCTCTCCATCCTCTCCTCATTAGATCGCCTGCCCTACCAGGGACAGCGCGCCGCCGCCTGGCTCTCAGAGCGTCAGCTGCCCGGTGGTGGCTTGAATGGCCGCCCACAGAAGTTGGAGGACGTCTGCTATTCGTGGTGGGTACTGAGCTCACTCAGTATCTTGAGGAAATTGGACTGGATTGACGGGGAGAAGTTGAGACGGTTCATTTTGTCGGCACAGGTGAGTCTGAGGAGCGTCGACGACCATATTTGAATAGCTCCCATCATTCTGACTTCACATCTTTCTTGCGCCCAGGACCCGGACCTCGGAGGCATCGCAGACCGACCGGGCAACGTGAGCGACGTCTATCATACCTTCTTTGGGTGCGCTGGCCTCTCTCTATTGGGACATGAGGGTCTGCAGCCCATCGACCCAGTCTATGCCATGCCGCAGCGCGTGGTGCGTGAGCTGGGCATGGAGAGACCGTACCAGCGAGCGCTGATAAAGCCAAGTAGCTGAGGATCGGTAGCTTAATGAGGATTTGGAATTTCTTCTTGGCCATTCCACTCAACCTTGTACATCATATCTGCATTTTGCACTTTACGGCGTGACAGTAGCCACAATCCTCCTAGAGTGCTTCGCCTTCCTGAACTCGCACAAGTAGATTCCCTGCCATGTCCCCAGGTTGAGCCTGCCGTCCGTGATGGGCACCGAGACGGAGCTGCCACACAAAGTGGCTTTGGTGTGGGAAGACGAGTCGTCTGGTCCCTCATCGGTGTGGACCCACGGCCACGAGTCAGGAACGATCTTGTCAAACGCCATGGTCATGTCCGTGCGGACGTCGCGGTCGAAGTTCTCGTCTGCAGGGGAAGGAGGGGCGGGGGCATGGCAGAATAGGTTAGCTCAAGTGAGAGCAAAGAGGGGCCGGAAAGAAGAGGTGTACTCACTGATGGAAAGACCGGCTGACGTGTGCTGAATGAAGAGGTGCAAGATGCCCACCTTCGTGCCCTTGAGGCCTTCGGCGATGTGCTTTGACACCTCATTGGTGACGAGATGGCAGCCCTTGCCAGGCGATGAGAGAGTGAAGGTTGTTTGCCAAGGCATGGTAGATGCAGATTGCTGACAGTTGCAAGCAGGTACTGAGGAGGATGCTTTGTTGCTTCGAGGCGTCCAAGGCTTTTCAACACCAGGCCAAGACCAGTAAATGAGAGCGAGGGCGAGTAAAGAGAGAAGCGCCCAAGTGGGATCGGTGTAGTGACGTGCCTTGCGCGCTTTTGCGTCTAGCTTGTGATGCGGAGAGGAAGAATAGAGCGTCGACTTAGTGTCTGGCTCTGGCTTTGGTTCGGGAGGTAGTCTGCGACGAGTTGGTGGTGGAGGGTAAGAAGAGGACATTTTGCTCGCCAATCGAAGCGCAGAGGGAGCGACGTCGTGTGCTGCGAAGGCGGGCAGAGTGGAGGCGGCTGGATTGGGCGACGCCTCGTGGCTCTGCGTCACTGCGCCTAGTCGGCAAGTCTACGAGCACGAGCAACGACGGCCGAGGCTACGAGCTACACGAGAGCAGAGAAAGGGCTAGACAGACGAGGTCGTTTCGAAAGAAGCATTCTGATTCATTGTGACGGGCCAGACGATGGACGTGGCGGCGGAGGTGATGTTGGCTCCCGGTGGGTGGAAGCTGGCTTGCTTGCGATGCGATCCCCGGGATGCAGATGACGCTGTTCCTCGCCGAGGTAGAGGCGCTTGTACAAGACGACTGCGGGGGAGAGAGAGTGTGAGATGGACAATCATTGACTTTGCTCTTCCGACTCACATCCAGACGCCACGGCTAGAGGGAGGGAGAGCATCATCATCTGAAGGGACAGAGAAGATCAGCGATCCAGCTCTAACTCGAACCTAAAGGCTTCCACGCTGGTGGCACCCACCCTCAGCCTCCTCTGATCAGGCGTCAAAATGACCCTTGCCATGATGATAGCTGGCCGTGTGCTGTGCTATGCTCCTTGCGAAGCCTTTTTGATGAGGCTGCCTCGTAGAGGATGGATCGGGCCGACCCTTGATCGCCAAGGAGGAGCTGCTTCCGTCATGAGAGAGACGGCGGGCAGGCGGGCGGGCGGCAGCGGCGTCGCCGCTCAGGTCGATGCGAGTGCAGCAGGATGACGGCGGGCTGCCGAGGAGGCCGCAGGGAGGGTGCGAGAGTGAGTGAGTGAGAGTGCAAGCTTCTTCTCTCCTCGCTCCATCCTTACCCTTCATCCGTATCCCTGCAACATCATCCTCCAGATGGCATCCATGTCATCGCTGGGCTATTCGTCGCCCCTCGACTCTAATCGAGTCAGGGCGCAGCCCTTTGTCAAGTTAGCCATCGTCCTCTCGACTGCCCTCGGCCACGCCCTTGCAGCCCCTGTCGTTGGACGTGATCATCACCAGCTCCCCTTCTCCGCATCAAGGCACCACGACGAAGATGAGGGTCCACGCTCTACTGGTCAGCTCATCATCGACTTGCTCGGCGTTGCTGGCCTCGTCGCCTTGGGAGGCATCTTTGCCGGCCTGACGCTCGCTCTCATGGGACTCGATGAGCTGCACCTTCAAGTCCTCTCGAGCTCGGGCACAGACCTTGAGAGGCGCAGAGCTTCTAAAGTGCTCAGGCTTCTCGCAAAGGGAAAACATTGGGTTCTCGTTGTCTTGCTGCTGGGAAACGTCATCGTCAACGAGACGCTGCCCGTCTTCCTCAGCGACTTTGGTGGTGGACTCGCGGCCGTCTTCACATCGACGATTCTCATCGTCATCTTTGGCGAAATCGTATGTATGACCGTACAGCGTCGAGTGCTCGTCATTTACTGACCTGCTGTTTCCTCGGCCCCCGCTGCCCAGGTTCCGCAATCGGTCTGTGCTCGCTATGGTCTGGCCATTGGCGCCTTCTGTGCTCCCCTCGTCAACCTCACGATGCTCGTCTTTGCTCCCGTTGCCTGGCCCACTGCCAAGCTCCTGGACTGGTGCCTGGGCGAAGACCACGGCACGACGTATCGCAAAGCCGAACTCAAAACGTTTGTCTCCCTGCACCAAACGCTGGGTGCAGAGAACCTGAGCGAGGACGAAGTGACCATTATCCGCGCCGTCCTCGACCTCAATGACAAGACAGTCAAGGACGTCATGACGCCCATCGAAGATGTCTTCATTCTCTCGGCAGACACAGTCCTCGATGATGAGGGTGTGAGCAAGCTTGTCAACTCGGGCTATTCCCGTGTCCCCGTTCACGAACCAGGAAAGAAGGATGCCATTCTCGGCATGCTGCTCGTGAAGAAGCTCATCCAATACGACCCAGAAGACGCTATGCCCGTTTCGTGGTTCACCCTTACCCCCTTGCCTGAAGCAAGCCCCGAACTCACCCTCCTGGACTGCCTCAACTACTTCCAACAAGGACGCTCCCACATGCTCCTCGTCTCCTCCGCACCTGGCGAGTCAAAGGGAGCAATGGGCGTCGTCACCCTCGAGGACGTAATCGAAGAGATGATCGGCGAAGAAATCGTCGACGAGTTCGACACCATTTACAGCAATACGATCAAGGTACCGGTACAGCGTCGTGACCCCTCTCAGCAAAAGGGCGCGCCCGGCGCATGGGCTCCGCTCATCAAGGGAATCATTGAGCGTCGTCGCAAGTTTGGCGGCCCGGCTCGCACGCCTCTGCGCTCAAGCTACGGCGTACCAGCCAGCAAGACGGGCGGGATTCCCTCGGCGCCAAAGGAGGACGGCAGTGCCGCAGGCGGTCTGGCCGGCAGCCTTACCAAGACGACCAGCGGTAGCAATGGTCGTGCGATGGATAAGGTACAGATCAAACGCACCGCCTCGCCAGGTCCATACCCTGATGGGCAGCAAGCAGGTCAAGGCCAAGCCGGGATGACCTCACGCCGAGCGTCGGACGTCTACTCGCCCAAGACTCGTGTCAAGTCCCTCTCCCGTCACAACACGATGGAGACGGGCAGCCCAGTCTCTTCATCGCCCGCCGACCGCGATTCTCCCGCAGCAACGGACGAGCGTCGTACGTCTTCGCCTGCGAGGGGACGCCCCGGCGGGGTTGCGGTCAGGAATGAAACCCTCCCGCCCGCACTGGCAGAAGGGGCTGCACGACCGGCAGCCGGTATGACGGCTGGTCCGCAGGAGAATCTGGTTGACGTGAGCATTCCGGAGGATGCGGAGCGACAGTCCGGCAAGGAGGAGACAAAGCAAGAGCAACAGCAGCAAGGGGCCTCCTCATCATCCGGACAGCCGCAAGCACAGTCGAGTGCCGCCTCCGGCACATATGCATCAAAGGCGACAGAGGCGTCAGGAGGCAAAGATGGCAAAGACGACGATACCTCTTCACAGAAGCCGATCATCGTCGAGCTCGGCCCCGGCAACTCTGGTCCCGCTGCCGTGCTGCAGCCAGAGGACATTCCACGCGAGGCTAGCCCGGAGATGTCGAGGAGTAATTCAGTGGATGCCAAGGGGAAGAGTGGCGGCGAGGAGGGGAACAAAGACGCATCGTCAGGCCACGGGGAGGGGTCCAAGAAGACTACTGGCGGTGGCGGTGGTGGTGGTGGTGGTGGCGGCGGCGGAAAGAACAAAAAGAAGAAGAACAAGAAGAAGCATTGAGCGGGATCGACAATGAGGGTTTGGAGGAAGCCCCGCAGGAGCGGCAGCAGGGGCTTCTTCGCCGCCACCATCAAACAGCATCGCAAGTCGCCGTCCCATCGGCCCGTCTTCGCCATCACGATCATCTTACGGACTCGCTCGCCTACTCTATCCATTCCCCGTTCTCTATCATCCATCACACTGAGGCGCCTCCCTCAAAATAGCATGCATCGCGCATTGACGTGACGCCGAGGCGAAGTAGCCGCTGCCGCCGATTCTACTCTACTCTCCATCATCCAGGAGGCGTCATGGCCTGATCTATTGCAATACGATCGTACTTCTCCGCCAATGTAGACCATATTGTTATCGAGGAGCAGGACTCAGGTTGCACAGAACCAGTTCACGCCCAGTCGATCGCCTCGTGCCCCTCACTGGCCGACATCATCTTCCGTCACAACATCAGCCACATTGCCTTGTCGAGAAGACCACATCTAGTAATACATTGTCGTGTCGTGTCAACTCAAGCTCAAGAAGCAAGCACAGGCAAGTCGAAACATCAATCATATCTCTGCCTGTCCCTTAATCTCACCCTGTCGATGCCCTGCCTCCAGCGGGCTCTTCTTACTTCCTCGGCCACTGGCTGCGCAGTGCCCGACCCTGGCGAATCGTCCTCATCCTCGTCCCTGTCCTCCTCTCCATGGCGCTCATCGATCCACTCCTGATCCTGCTCCCCGCCATCACACCCGTCCTGACTCGCTCGCGCAAGGACGGAGCGCTGATCCCCAGCGAGGGCAGGCCCCCCATCACTCGAAGGGCTCGTGGCGGTAGTGGCAACGCGAGTGCTGCTTGCGAAGGGATTCGCTGAGGCAAGACTGCTCGCACGTCGGGCACCGCTGTCTCGTGATGCCTCCCCTTCTGCTCCGTGCCCTCGTTGTGGCACGGCTGATGCTCGTCTTGACGATCTCCCTCCTCCACCCTGTCCTGGGCCCGATCCCTGCGCCTGCGCAGCATGATCGAACATCATAGCTCGAAGTCCAGGCTGGCGATTGGCATTGAGTACTTGATTGCGCAGGATGGTCTGTTCCGTCGCTGCCTTCTTGGCAGCTGCCGCGTGCGCGATCCGCAACCTACGCATGCGTCGACGGATAAAGGACGGTTGGTAGTGATCAACCATCTCGCCCACGCGACCCATCCAGCCAGAGTGGCTGTGCGTGGGGCCTGTCTGGGCGGAGGTCGTGGGGTTGGAGTCCGATGATCCGTCCTGCGTGCGGTGATCGTCTACGACCGAGACGCTGGTGAGGGCAGGACCGTCTCGACCGGCCTGACGGTCTGGCTGTTCGCCCGCAGCAGCATCGTCCTGACCTTCCTCTGCATGCGTGGCAATTTCGCGAAGCTCAATATCTTCGTTCTCCGTGCTTGCCTCTGCTTTGCCCCTGATCCTCCTACTGAGCGTAGAGTCCTTCAAACCGCCCTCGGACGTCGTCGTCAAGGTAATCTTGTCCTTGATCCTCTTGATGCCCAACAACACGTCAGACCCATCCTCCGCAGCCTGCTCTGCTTTCCTTCTTTGCCTCTCCTCCTTTTCTAATTTCCTCTTGATCTTCTCCCTCCTCTTCTTTCGTCTCGCCTCGCGTTCTGCTCGATCCTCGACCTCACCGATTCCCATACCAGCGCCGCACCACCACCAAAAGCCCAGCCATGACTGCCAGATGGTCAAAGTCCAGCAGATGTCTGGCAACCACCATAGCCGGTCGTAGCGAATCTGGACAAAGGACATCGCCGTGTTCATGACGGCAAGCCCCATAGCTCCGCCGCCGAAGGCTGCGGTCCCGCCATCTGAGCGCCATGCTCTTCGTCGATTGACGAGACCGCCCCAGATGATGAGGGCGCAGGTGTATAGCAATGTGAGAGTACTGTTGCATATGTTGCGGATGGCGTCGCCCAAATCGGAAGTCTTGACATCATCCTCCGGAGAGAGCCAGGTGAACTCCATCCCGGCAGCCGCAATGGCTAGGGGGCCGAGCATCCAGAGGATGAGACGGGCCTCGAGTGCCGAGGGGAAGAGGAGAGTGAGGAACTGGATGTGCGTCAGGTGGATCAAAACGGTAGTGATTGCCCGCATGAGTAGGAAGAAGGCTTCCTGCACTTTGGTCCATGATCCGTCCCCTGGTGGGAGGCCGGACGCGAGGTAGGGAAACATGAATGGCCACTGGTGGCTCTTTGCCTCGAGGGAGGTCAGATTGGTATTGAGGTGAACGCTCAAGTTGATCAACAGGATGAGGGTGCTGCTGATTTGCAGACTCCAGTTGGCGCGACTTAAGGGCAGGTGGTAGTGGACGGTGAAGAGGAGGTGGACACCTAGGACCGAGACGAGGGCGATGTTGATTCCCGCGACTACGATTTGAGCGGGCATGGAGAAGGCAAAGTCTGGCATGATGGCCAGGAGATTCTGGTGTGAGAGTGCAGTTGCTGTCGCCGAGGGTTGACCCTGGATTGTCGTGGCCGACGTGGGAAGCTCCGAGGTGTTGGAGGCAGTGAAGGTTTCCTCTGCTACTTGGCGGCGCACCACGTCTTGGACGATGGAGGGTATGCTTGTGGGCGCTGCAGCTTCGTAGCTGGGCGTCTGGTAGTATACGTTGCCATTGCTGGGACTCGAGCCTGCTCCGTGGCCCTGAAGCAGTTGGTCGAGATTCCCCTGGTCAGCAAGCTTGGCGCCACCAAGCCGGCCCTCGCTCGATGGATATAGGCGCGCAGCAGCATGACCAGGTCCAGGCTGATAAGAGGGCGCTGCCGTGGACATGATGGACGGCATGGCCGCCAAGCCTTGTGCGGGAATGTCTCAAGGCGTGATGTCGAGGTCGAAGAAGGTGATGATGGTGATGGAAGGAGGGAGTGAAGGCAATCCAAGCCAAGCCAAGCCAACCCCGGACGACGAGGGAGCGTGCCATCTCTCGACTGGCTGCAGTGCAGTCCACTCTCGAGTCGAGCGACGCCCGGCAGCAGCGGCTGCGTTTCCGTTTGGCCGAGTCGAGTGAGCCAGGTCCAAATCGCAGCTCAGCTCGTCCTGATCCCTTCTTCCGCTTCCAATTCCAAACCAGAGGAGCAGGCCATTATGGTGAGCAACGAGAGGCATCCCTTCACTACGCTAGGTAGCTCAGCTGATACCCCTCTCTACTACCGCTCGCACTTGCAGTCGTACATGACCGCCAATAAGGGCGGCTCGGCCAGCAGTGGCTCAGAGACGGCAGAAACGCCCATCCTCTGCGAGTCGTGCTTGGGGCCCAACCCTTTCATCACCATGACCAAACAGAGCTACGGCAAGGAATGCAAGGTGAGTGTCAGGAGCGACAATATGATGGCGAGAAGATTCTTAGGGCTTGCGCTGACCTTTGCCCCTGCCATCCGCCACCTCGCCCGCCAGATCTGCGATAGGCCCTTTACCGTCTTTCGCTGGAAGCCAGGACAGGGCTCACGCTTCAAGAAGACGGAGATTTGCACCACTTGCGCTACCATCAAGAATGTCTGCCAGACCTGCGTCCTTGACCTGCAGTATGGCCTACCCGTTCAGGTCCGCGATAGTGCCTTGGGCCTCAAGAGCCAGATGCCAACGAGCGACATCAACAAGCAGTACTACGTCAATAATCAGGAGGCGAGGATCGCAGACTCGGCCGCTTCTGGATCGCAGATTCTCTCAGCTATTGGACCTGCCACGTCTGCAGGCCATGACATGCTCAAGCAGCTCGCTCGGAATCGCTCGGGTGGGCCCAATTACAATCGCAACAAGCCGCATCTATGCTCCTTCTATGCAAAGGGGGAATGCAAGAGAGGGGATGCCTGTCCGTTTAGGCACGAGTTGCCTGTGCAGAACAACCTCAGCAATCAAAACATCAAGGACCGCTTCCATGGCCGGAACGATCCAGTGGCAAAGAAGATGCTGAGCAGTGCAGCGTCGGATGCTGGTCTGACGCCCCCAGATGATCGTGAGGTGGTGAGTATCAGATCGCGGTGGCAGGTCGTGGTTCCTGGCGATCATCTACTAACAAACCTGTCCTCCCTCTCACGCACGCAGACATCCCTCTTCCTTTCCTCCCTCCCTGAAGGCATCACAGACGCAGAGATCCGGACCTGGTTCGTGAGCAATGTCTCGACGCTCGAGCCACACCAAATCAAGTCCATCACACTGGTTGCGACTAGCAAATGCGCCTTTGTCAACTTCAGAACGAGGCATGCGGCTGAAGAGGCTGCCTTGAGGTGTTCAGCTAAGATGGAGTTGGGCGGGCAGCAGATTCGAGTAGCGTGGGGAAGGAGTAGACCAAAGAAGGCTGGCACCGCAGGGGCGGGTGCAGGGGCGACGGTCAGCGCTGCGACTACCGCCAAGGAGGTTTGAGAAGGAACAGAGATCTCCGTTGTAATCATCTCACCCTGTACACTATACCATGTCATCTACGTCTTGGCCAGTCTTGACGACGCGCGAGTGGATGAGCTGCCGCCTCCCGCTCCTTGACGCGCGGGTTGGCACGGCTTACCTAAGCAAATGTCAGGACGCGGCTCAGACGCGCCCGACCCATTTGACGGGCCCAGACAGGACACAACCCACACACGCCTCTTAGCTGTCCAAGGTCCCTCTCACCCACCACTCGACACCCATCTCTCACACATATCTATTAAGAAGAGGCTGCTGAACAATAGCGTCATCGCTCGTCGGCCTTCCTACTCCATCGCCATCATCATCATCATCATCGCCCTGAAGCAACCACAACAGACTCGGCCACCACCAACACCACCCTCCTTTTTCCTTGATCCCTAACCTCACCCCTTCGCCGACTCATGCCAGCGCGCTGACGAGCCCTTGCAACTCCAATTGAGGTAAGATCGCACCTCCCGTACCCCTCTCCCGCCTCCAACCCCTCCAAAATTTCCTCTCGCCGCGTCAATGGCTGGCACGCTTGCCGCCACGCCATCGCGTGCCGACGCGGGAACATCACGGCCTCACCTCAATGGAGGCAATAGCGGAGAAGGTCGACACGCTGCTACTCACCTCTCGACAATCGCCTCACGCCGCGACGAGGAGAACAATCCGCCATCAGACGACAGCATCTCAGCATACATCAATCATTCGACTTCCTCGCCCCTCGATGCCGGGTCTCGCCCCAGTCAGGAGGCAAAGGCACAGGATGAAGATGCACGCGTCCCTTCTTCCCCTTCACCCACACCAGCAGACGATGAAGACGTCGCTGCAGCTTCGGGAATGCTGAGCTTGCGTGCATCTCAGGACTCGAGCGCGTCAAGACCAGCTCGTGTCTTGAGCGATGCATGGCGCCTCCCTCCTCCGGACTCGACTGCTGCACACCAAGACGCCTTTGGTACCGGACGACCCTCTGACTTCTTTATTCACCGCGACGACGACGACAATAATGTGCCTACTTCGATGAGACTGGGAGCGAGAGATGCGGTACTGTATGGTCTCGGTGCCTCATCACCCGCCTCGCATCTCCCAAGAAGTGGTTCCGGGGCTCACCCGCACAGAGATCGAGAGTCAACCACAGTTGCAGAAGAGGGAGAAGGCGAAGGCGAAGACGAAGACGAAGAGCTCGACGAACTTCAAGACCCCAACGCGTCACAAAGCTTTGACTCTTCACGCGGCGATGATGACGACTCGCGCGAGTACGATACCTCGACTGGTCCTGATGGCAAGCCAAAAAAGCGTCGCAGGAGAACCAAGAAGGAAGAGGCAGACGTTCTAGTCAGCGTCTACGCGCAGACAGCTTTCCCCGATTCAGCGACGCGTCAGAGGTTGGCGTCACAGCTCGGTATGACGACGAGGGCTATCTCCATTTGGTTCCAGAATCGTAGGCAGGCAGAGAGGAAGCGGGCCAGTCGTTTTGGGCCAGCCTACTCTGCCGCAGAGATCCTTGTGTCGTCACAGTCGTCTAACACTACGGCACCGTCGCGATCGATAAGCTTGGGGTCGGGACATCACACGCTGCAAAGGTGGCCTAGTCTCGATGCTATCGCAGCAAGCCAAGGGACCGAGTCACGCGCAGAGAGTCCCGCTAGCGAGCACGATGGTCAAGGACTGGCTAGCTTACGGGATCCTTCCGCCTCCTTTGAGGTCCACGAGGACAAAGAGAACATCTCGCTGCCATCGACACAATCTGCGCCTACTGCTGTCGAGCGCAAAGGTGACCGTCAACGGCTGCGCGACATCCGTGACCTGGTCTTCGGCCTCGACGCCCTCAAGCCGCCGCAGTGCGAAGGCACCGACACCACTGAAGGAGACGAAAACGACGCGTCTGTGCTCGATACCACTCGTGCCAACTTTGCCGGACGCTCCCCTTGGGGCCGCAGTGTCAGCTCAAGTGCGGCTCTTTGTCGCCCAAGCATGGAACAAGTCGTCGGTCGCTCTCGTGCTCGTCACCATCACTCCCCCCATCACCGCCACGGCAGCGGAGCTAAGGCTAATCTGCTCCGCTTTATGTCCCTCTCCACATCAAGACGAGGCCGTGCTTCGCTGGACGGTCAAGCTTCTCCACCTGCAAAGCGACCCTTCTTACGCAGTTTATCGGAACGGGGCAAGCAGCTACCCCCAACACTGGCCAAGGCGATCCACCTGTCCGAGAGGGCAGAGGAGCACAGCGCGGCATTGCACGAGCAGAGGGAAGAGCAACGCGACCTCCTGGCCAAGATGAGCAGCAGTAGCTCAATGAGCTCCGGCGAAGAGGGTGCAGCAACCAGGCTACCCATCTGCGGCGAGGAGGAGGACGAAGAGCAGACGCTCCGTCGTGCAGCTAACCGTCGACTCGTGAAAGCTCAAGCAGCAGGCAAGGAGCTCCCTGACCGCTCTGACGCTATCAACTCGCTGCGCTCTCGCCCTTGGGCACGCTCCATCTCTGGACCTGTGTGCGGGGCTGCTACGCTCGATTTGGCTGCGGGCCGTGACCGTACTAAGCCGAGTCCACTCGCCTTTGTGCAACGACCCCAGTCTCCGCCGGTGCAGAGTCAGCAGGACATGTTTGCCCTGCCCAATGCTGTGGTGAAGAAGCAGCCAACCCAGTCGAAGGCCGGCAAGAAGCGTAAGTCAGATGAGGGGCCGAGGAGCGTTGGGGGATCGGGCAAGAAGAACCAACTTGCAGGGCAGGACGCCTCACTCGTTTCTGCTGCCTCTTTGGGCCAAGAGAACCTCCCACCGACCCCACTCCCGCATCAGCAATACCACCCCCACGCATCTCCTTCCCCTCGCCATTTCGGCGCCACGGGCACGCCTCACCTAGTCAAACAACACTCCTTCGTCAGCCCTAAAGGTCTTCCAAGCTTCGGTACGCCCCGCAGCGAGCTAGGTAAATCACGATCGTTCGGTCGCTCGATCTCGGCGCAATCCACTTTGCCTTCGCAGCTCGGTGGCATAACAGAGGAATCCCCCTCCTCGGCTCGCAACGGTGCACCGTCCTCATCGTGGGCTCCGTCTAGCATGGGGGGTGTATCGCTTTACTCCACAAATGGAACTAGCGCCACACCTGCTAGCCACTTGCATCGTCCCTCAATGCAAGGATCGGCAAGTCGGGAGATGACGCCTCGTAGTCTTGCGTTTGCGCTTGGTTTGGCACACGCCACGCCTGGTGCCGGTCATGGCAGTAACAGCAACGGCGTCAGCGGCGCTGGAGGTGCTGGCGGGCTCGGTTCCCTCTTCATGAGCTCCTCGCGCTACTCTACCAGTCGCTACCTCGCGTCGAGCTCGCGAGACTCGATCGCCGCCGCAGGAGGGATGCCAGGCAGTGTTCGTGCCAGTGGAGGTGCAGCAGGCGGGATAGGAGCAGCGGCTGGTGCGCCGTATAGTCCGCTCGCGCGAGGAAGGCAGGGAGCCATGCTGTACGCGGCGCCTACGCCTCGTACTGGCGCAGACACTCCCGCTCGTCATCACTCCAGTGGCCAGCCTATGTCAGCCATCGGAGGTGAGAAGCGCAACTCCTCCTCCAGCGGGAGCAGTAACGGCAGCCGGGGCAGCAGCGAGGATCAAGAACAGCGAAACAAGGCCGATCCACAGACCGCTGCACCGCCCTCCTCCACCCCTCGTACGGGCGGGCGTGTGCCATTCAGCAAGGTACACTCCCAGCCTAGCATGCCTCCTCCGCCTCTCTTCTCCGCCAATGGCACACAGAGCTCCTCTCAGCCGCAACGTAGGGTACAGCGTCTCCCCTCGCTTTCTACTCTTGCGACCGCGGCCGGTGATACCGAGATGAACAAGGAGAACGAGAGCGGCCTCACGGGACCATCTCCCGGTCTCCTCCCCCTCGGGGCACTCAAGTCCCGTACCAGCAATGCAGCGTCTAAACACCCTAGGCAGGAAGACGTTGGTGATGACTCTGGCTTTGCTGCCCCTCTGTCGAGCGCGTCCGACAACGAAGACGACGGTGAGGGTCAACAGCGCTATCAGAAAGCTGGGAAGGTGGTGCTACAGAGCAGTGCAAACGGGAACGGGAGCGGTGGAAGTCCAACGAGGCAGAGACAACATGATGCTGCGCAGGTATTGTTGGGGTTGGCAGGGGAGGGAAGGTGATGCGCTGGACTAGCAGGTACGTGAGAGGGCGGCAAGCAGTGTGCTACTCAAAGATGGGACCGAAAGGCGAGACTTGGCAGAAAAGAAGAGGATATCACTTAAATTTCGATGGGGATCAAGATCGGGAGGAAGGGGGCTGAGCACCATCGACATCAATCGACGTCGTGTCGGACCATATATGTCTTGAGTGATCGCTCGTCATTATTCAATGCAATGAAATGCCATCAGCTACACTTGCCCGCCCAGTCCATCCAATCACTCAACTTTCAGCCCATTCACCCCTCCATCATCGCTGACCCTCTTTCGCTTCCCAGCGCCCTTCCCCTTTGCCCCCCAAACGCAGTTCAGCACCCTGCTCAGCTCACCCCTGAAGAGGTCAGCACATCGCTCAGCCTCATCCATTGCCTCGCCTTCGTCGTCGCTCGAGTAGCAAGCATCCCCTTGCCCCCTCACAGCGCGTTGGAGGATACGATTCCACGCCAGACCAGGCAGAGTATGTGAGATGGGGCCTGTGGAAGGGTCGGACGAGTCGTGCGTGGGTCGAAGGTTTGCTTGCTGCGATTGAGCGCGTCGCAGCCCAGGCAAGAGGTCGGAGCCGTTGAGTGGTCTTCGAGGGGGTAGGAGACTTTGCGAGCCTGCGAGGGTGAGGAGACCAGCTGCCCCCGCTCCACCGGCTGCGGAGCCAGCCCCGCCGATGCTGCTCGCAGCACGCGCTACGGCCGCTGCAGCATCTGTGTGGCTGCGCTCTGCCCCGATAGTTGCACCCGCCGTTGCCCCCTTGCCGTCGTGACTATCCTCCTCATCGCTGCTGTCATCATCGTATCCTGGCAGGGAGCTGAGCGCGCGGCGTCTACTGGCATCGGCTGCTGATTCGTCGCCTTTTGAGTCCTTGCTGCCACCGCCTTCGAGTAAGTCGGCCAGCATCTCGTCCGCCTCATCTTGACCACTCTTCCTGCGTCCCTTTAGACCACCAAGGACAATCTTGCTGCCGCCTGCCACTGGTGCGCCGGTAAGCTTTGAGGAGCTAGCACGCGCAGCATTCTCCTCTGCCTGTGACACAATAGCTCCTTTGGCTCTGCTTGCCCTAGGCTTCTTCCCCTTCTTGCCTTTACCCGCCTCACCTGCGGATGCGTTCGCAGCCGCAATAGCCGCCGCAGAGCCTGGTATAAGGCTAGCATAGCCACGTGACTTCTTTCCCTTCCCTTTCGTAGCCGTCCCCTTCCCTTTGCCTTTGCCTTTTCCTTTCCCACTCTCTGCTGCATCATCGCCTTCACCCGCACCCTGACCCGTCATCATTCCCGCCCCCTTGCCCGCCTTAGCCGCCGCTTCCTCTTCAGCCATCCGGTCCATGAAGTCTCTCCTCTCTGAAGCCTGCTCACTTCCCCAAGCCAACTCGTCGGGCAGGTCTATGTTCTCCTCGCGGATAGCCTCTTGCGAGATGACCCGCCAGTCAGGGGCGAGTTGGCGATGCGTGTACTTTTCATTGTCTTCGACTACCCAGCCGCCCGAGTCGGCGTCATCGACGAGCGAGTTGGAGATGAGGCTGTGCGCCGCTGAAGTGGCTTCGCTGTTTGCCGTGGTGGGCGCACTACCACTACCGCTGGGCCCTGCAGTTGATGCTGCCGCTTCGTTGGCGGCAGCGGCCCGGGGTTCCTTCTTGTTCCTAACGCCGAGCCACAAGACTCCCTTTCCTCCAACTGTAGCCTTCCGTCTTCCCTTGTCATCCAGCGAGTCCCACTTTGCCTTCGCCCTCTGCGACGACACTTGAGCTCTCTCGTCCGCGAAGGGGTTAGAACGCGTCGCCTCATTTCCTGGCGGCAGGAGAGCCCCACCTTCGAGGTAATGCCAGACCAACCAGAGGAATGCTCTTGCTCGATCCTTGGCAGGAATAGGATAGTCCTTATGCGGGAAGAAGATGGAGTGAACGTCGTGTGGGGCAGTGAAATGCATGGCGCTCAGATCATTTGCTTGCGAGGCAAATGCGAAGATGAGATTGACAGCGCTGGTTGCAGGCACGCGACCTTCGCTGTGGCGTTTGAGGATCTCTTCCAGCGTGCTGGGAATCTCTAGCATCTCGTGTGGAGCAGGTGCATGCTCTGCGACGGCCGCTTGAGCTGCCTTGGAGATGGGAGCTGAGCCTGGGCCCGTGCTGGCTTTTTCGAAGGGGAGGAGCACCGACTTGAGGAGCGACTTCATTCTTGGCGCGTCCTGCATGTGCTTGCGCGAATTTTCGTTACCCTGCAGAGCAGGTAGAGGGTGGTAGGAGCGCAAGACGGTCTGCATCTGAGCATAGAAGGCCAGCGTGGTGTTCATGCGTCCGACGTTGATGAGAAGATTGACGCAGGCGAAGTCCTCGGCGAACTGCTCGTCACTCCAGACTTTATCTCGTACAGCCTTTGTGCAGCGCGGCGAATTCATCAAGGCCTCCATATAGAGCTCTTTGAATGTGAGCAGTTTGGCTCCAGGGCGTGGTACAAGCCGATTTGGGTCTTGCTCCCTTGAGGGGTAGGGATTCTTGTGATACTCCTCCCATCGCTTCTCCCACGCCTCGTACTCTTCCTTGGTCTCGTGGCTCTTGCGCGAGCTTCCCTTGGACTGACCGTACGGATAGACGGGCGAGTACTCTGGTACGCCGGTAGCGGCTGCCTCTCCCGGACGAGGGGCTGTGGTCAAGAGGTTATCAGGGGCTGGGCGTGGATTGCGGAAGCAACGCGTCGTGTCGCCAAAGATCTCCATGAGGAGAGCATGCTGCAAGTCTGAGCGGTGGAATGTGGTGCCATCAATTTTCTTGATAGGCGTGTTGCGAAGGCTGGCAGGCGCAGGCGTACGTTCAGAGGGGCAGAGTCAGCTCTGAGCACTGAGCTCTCATTAGTCGGCGCTCACTCACAGCTTCTCTCCTGTGTGGCTAGAGTACAGATTTGCTGATCCAGGATTGACATCGGGTGGAATAGGCGGCTCTGAAGCGCGAGAGATGTGATAACTCTTTAGCTTCTTTGCGCTGCCTGCCGACAGGGCAGCGGACGATGGCTTGACGTCTTGACCGTCCACCTCTGCGTCTGCCATGGTGACGTCTGCCATGGCAGTGTCGTCGGCGCGGCCAGTTTCGTCGCCTGGTTCGAGCTCGTCACCATCCTCGTCATCGTCGCGTCCCTCCTCGTCGTCGTCATCATCATCATCGTCATCATCCTCTAGCTCGTCTTCGTCCTCATCAGCGTCTTGTGCCATCGGGACGTCTCCACCCTGATTTGCAGGTGCTCTGACTGACGTTGAAGGCCCAGAGTGTACGCTATTGCCATCATCATCGTCGTCATCGGGCGTGTAGGAGATTGATCTCCTCTTTGCGGCCGCTGGAGACGACATGGCTGCTGTCGCTGTCGATGGTGATGATCAAGAAGCAAGGCAACCAACCAAGCCACGTCGCACTCGCGTTGAGTGGTCGACTCCCGTCGTCGCCGTCGAGAGGACCGGGGGCGGACTGGCGTTTGAGTTGAGTGGACTTGACGTCGACTGCCCCGCGGCTCCACCAATGCTCAGTCTCTGTCTCCTCACCACCAACACCACCACCATCACCGCATAACATCAACTCCTTCTACATCTACACTTGCCCGCTGCTTTATCAGCCTCGCTCACCGCGGCGAAGATGCAGTCGGTCAACCGCTTCCTCTTTGGCCCGACCAAGGAGGGTGAGTGAAGCGCAGCATCTTGCTCAGACGTCTGGACGCTCCCTCATCAGCTAACGCATACATCCACACACACCCTTTCACACCCATACAGAGCGAGTCAAGCAAGTCCAGTCACAATTGCGCTCAGAGCAACGCCATCTGGACCGCGAAATCCGCAACATAGACACAGCCGTTTCAAAGGCCAAGCAAGAAGTCAAGCGCTTAGCTACAAAGAGCGACGTCAAATCAGCAAAGATCCTCGCCCGCCAAGTGGTCCGATCCCAAGCGCAACGCAATCGTTTGGTCACATCCAAGGCCAGGCTCAACAGCATCGGACTGCAGCTCAATCATCAGCTAGCAATGTACAAGGTCACTGGATCAATGGCCAAGTCTGCCGAAATCATGAAGTTGAGCAAACAGCTCGTCAAGCTACCTCAGCTCAACGCGACGATGCGGCAGATGAGCGAGGAGATGGTCAAAGCTGGAATCATGGAGGAGATGATGGAGGATACCATGGATAGTGGCGTGCTTGGAGAAGACGAAGATGAGATGGAGGAAGAGGCTCAAGGAGCTGTGGATAAGGTATTGTTTGAGTTGACCGATGGCAAGTTGGGACAGATGGCTTCGACTGGGCCGCTACCGGATCTGGAGGCTCCACAGCCAGTTCAGGCTTCAAATTCGAGGCAGGAAGAGGAGGAAGACATGCAGAGGATGCAGGCTGCTTTGGATGGCTTGTTGAAGGGATAAGAGGCGGCATATGGCAAGGTCATGCAGGGGCAGGTAAGGTGGAGAGGCTGACAAATTACTTGTAACAATAGACGATCGCGACGATCAGTACATACGACGCTAACTTCATGCTACGCCGACGTGGTGAGATGATATGATGTTGTTACACGGGCAGAGGGAATACACGACTAAAAGAAAGGCCGCCCGCAGATCCTCCCCCCACCGTCGTCGCGGTATGTCTCCCCACAAGTCCAGTCTTGGTCATTCTTGATGCCCACCGCCCACGTTCACGGTGTTTCTTTGAGACAGCCGTGCTTTCTGCTCTTAGGCTCGCCAGAGCAAGAAGGCAGTCTGGCCGAGGTAGAAGTCTGGGTAATGAGGAGTGAGGATGAGATGGATGAACCCGTCAGCGAATGATCCACATGCTACCGCGCAAGGACGAGAGCTCACAGATGAAGTGCTGCGTCTCTGTTCACAACGATGAGGGAAGAATGAGGACCAGCGAGCATCGGAGTCAGTTTCCTGGCCTTGTATGCGATGAGGTGAAGGATCATCCACTCACCATGCGTGACGTACGAACCAACTGACAGTGGCATGATGAGCCGGTCAGTACTGATCCTGCCTCTCTGACTGCCCCACGCCGCACTCACACATCTTCCCAACAACGGCGTGCCATGTGGGCCCGAGCTTCTGGTCCAGAGCCCTCTTGACGTGAGCAGCAATGTCCTTCTCCAGTGTGAATTTGCTCAAGGCATCTTGCGCAATGTCAACGGTGCTGCGAGCGAGTGACGAGGAAAAGGACGTAAAGATAGGGAAAGACGGTCAGAAGCTAGCGCGTGGATGAAGGCGTGCGATCGACGTATCTCCTCAGGCATCCCCCCCATCCAGTTCGCACCAGTAGCCTCAGGAAGCACTCGATAGCACCCAGGCGCCAACTCACATCTGCTGCATCTCCTCGCTCATGTCAACGTTCTTAATGATGGCCTGCTTGGGCAGAGCGGCCGACCCGCCAGCCGCTGGGCTGCTACCTGCAGCCTGGTTAGAGCCGTTGGGCGCCTTGCTGTCGACGTCCGTCATGGTGAAGTGCGCTGGGGCGATGTAAGTGAGCTTCTTGAAGTAAGGTGTGCGGCTCTGCTCAACGTGTTGGTCGCGCCAGGCGTGCGCGTCACAGAAGGGCAATGATGGTGACGGTAATGGTGGTCGCGGTGACTGTGATGAATTGAGCTCAAGCTCGACCCTCGAGCTCGCTCCTCTCCACCGCTTGATTGAAGTGTTGCTTCCACATCCGCCCCTGCCTGGCGCCTCGGATCGGAAGAGGCAGAGAGAGCGAGTTAGGAAAGGTCCGCGCTTGCGAAGAAATCAGACGAGCAGGGCCACCTCAACTTCTTCCTTCCTTTCTTCCTCACATCACAATTCATCCAACTATCTTCAGCATGGTATGAGATCCGCACGCGATGTGTCGACACATTTTCAGCCAAACTGTTGGCGTCTGCTCTTCGCCTGCAAATCAGTCGTTCTTCCCATGGCCCCCCATTCCCTCCCCTCCCCTTCCCTCCCCTTCCCTACAAACAGCTCCCTTCTGCCCGCCTGGCCCGGTCCTCGTGACCATCTAGCCATCGCGGTTCCTGGTGAGGAGCACAGATCAATCCACCGCAATCCACTCTCTCTGCTGAGCTCCTCCGCCATATTTTCATTCGCGTGAATGGAGGTGCTCGGTAGGGAGGGACTTAAACTTATGGTCGTACCCTCTCCTTCACGACTCTCCACCCTGCTTGGTGCTCATGCTGCGGACTGTGAAAAGGTTCGTGGTCGGTACTGGGCGCTGTGGTAGGGAGTCGGCATGAGGAGAGGGATGGGCTAGATGGGGTGGTGGGACATGCTGTACTCGATTCTTGACGTTTCATCTGCGTGCAATGCAATCGCTCCGAGCTCATCGTAACGAACGGTCTGACGATTGTTGCGAGTTTGTGAAGACTCAGAGGTAGCACAGATATACGAGGAAACGACTGAAATGTGGGTAAAGGGTTCCGTAGCATAGAAGACTGAATAAGGCCGAGGCGGGCCTAGCGCCCGAGGGAGGATCGATCGCTCACAAACCATCTACGCTACGCTCGAGCGGATGGACGGGCACCTCCGCTTCATGTCGATCGTCTGTCATCTTCAGGTGGTCTGCAGCAGCTTCTCCGCCGTCCAGCACGCTACTCGGCGGCGTGTCTGTCGACCCCGCGCTGTTCGTCGCTCCACCCATAGCGGATGCCCTCTTGCTGCCATTGACAGCCACGGAGTCTGCATCCTGTCCTTCAACCCCCGCGCTGGCATGGATAGTGGACATCGAGTGGAAGCCAGTATCAGCCGTGCCGTGCGAGAGGGCCGACTCTGGTCCTGAAGACCCAGATGTAGAAGGGCGAGCGCCACTGCCGCCGGGCGACGAGCCGGACGGACTCGCACCATCTGCGCGTGCCAAGCTCATCTTTGCCAGGTGTTCCTGCGGCGGTGACGGCATCGGAGCCATGCCGGGAGGTGCTACGTTGCCAGAGCTCCTTCTCTCGCTCTTCTTGTTGCCATTCTGGCCCCGCAGCCTGGAGCTAGCACCACTGTTCCCCGACTGGACACGATGGGGTGCGCTCGACCCGTCCATGATGCCTGCCACGCTTGCAGACGGTGGGGAAGTAGGCCTCATCTGACTGGCCAGCTGCGCATCCAGGCTGCTACTGGCCCCATCCACAATGGGCGGCGTACTCGCTGCAGCTGCCGCACCCTCCTCAATGGCGGCCAAATTCTTCTCCAATGCCGGCAAGCTCGTAGCCTCACCCAGCACCTGCTTCTCAACGCTCCCATCCATCTTCGGATACGACCAAACGAGCACTCCATCCGGCTGACGTACATTCCAGCGATCCACCATAGTCTTGCCCACCATGTACGGGCGCAATTTGAGCCACGCAACACGCAACTTCGTTGCCAGGACATCGCGCCGCGCCTTGAGGGAGGCCAGCTCTGGTGGCTCATCGTACTCTGCGCCACCTACGACCGAGCCGCCGTCGTCTGACGACTCTTGGTTGGAGGACTTGTAGGAACCTCGCCTCTTGTAGGAGGTTTTGGCAAGGGCACGGACGATTGCGCGTGTTTCGCGCTCGAGGTCGAAGCAGATGGAGAAGTAGTCCTCTTGGAGCTTGTCTCTCATCTTGGTATCCTTTTGGAGATCGTTCTCGTGGGGATCGGGCATGGGGTAGTCGAAAGCCCATTGCATCTGGCCTTTCATGCTATCCTTGGGCAGCCGATCAAGCGGCACAAATTCGGCCAGCTCCTCTGGCTGGTCCGTAAGTCGAATCTTGTCCCGTACCACGGGGTCGAGCAGCGGCTTCAATATTGACCAGATGGGCTTGAAGATCCAGGGGGCTCCGTGCACATACACACGGGCAAGTGTCTCGACGTAGAAGCACTCCATTGTTTTCACCATGAAGAAGACGCACCACCAGTCCATGTTGCGGATGCCGAACTCGTTCATGTTGAAAATCACGATCTTCCTCTCACAGGGTGGGGGCATGAGGGATTGCAACGTCTCTTGGAGGAGAATGACCCCCCTCCGAAGCTCATCTTGGGTCTGGGAGGCGGAAAAGTGACGCCCAACTTCGATGATGTAAACTGGCTCTCCCGCGGCAGAGGCACCGTACATGTAGGAGATGCCGTTGCGGAGGATGTTCATGCCTCCGCGTGTGCTTGTGAGCTCCAGCTCGCCACCATTGACTATGGCCTCGACGTCGTTCTCCACTCGCCAGGCTGCGGTCGATCCTAGCACAGCAACTGCCCGATCGACGTTCCACTTGCGGGCGCGAAGGAGGCGCAGCATGATTACGTCTGGGTGCTCGCCCTTGACCATTTGCCAGAATACCTTGCGCAAACGCTGCCCGCCGTACTTGTGGAGAAAATTGCGCATCTCCTTGGCCTCATGCTGGCCTTGAACGTGAGCTTTCGCTTGGTCGTCTTTGGGAATGTGGCTGCCTGAAGCGGAGACGGTGTGCTGCGTTGGCGTCGTGGATGAAGCTACGCCTGTTGAGGAGGAGGAGGAGGCGGCAGCAGCAGCTTCTCGAGCGGCATTTGCTGCGGCGAGGTTGGAGGAGGAGAGTCGAGGGTGGCCATTGTTGGTGAGATGCTCGCGAGAGGCGGATCGGGAAGGTGCCGTGGATGGGCTGATGGACGAGCTGTTGGATGCTGGCATCGAGGCAGCCCACGTCGACCTCGTCTTTGGCGCTTGCGGGCGAGCATTTGAGTCGGTAGATTCATCTGCAGAGCCTGCTGGCGACTGACAGAGGCGGAAGAAGCGGCCCCACAGCTCAAAGAGGGCATCCTGCTGCCACGGCGTGAGGTTGTCTGTTGCGGGAAACGGCGAGGTGGCCAAAGGACATTCAGTCCGCCTATAAGCCACTCTGGTGTTGCTGACGCTTCCACTCACCCCTGTAGCCAGGCTGCGTACGCTCGTGAGCGCCAATCATCTTCGTCGCTGTGTCTTCTGCTGTCGTGGCAAAGTGTAAAGTTAAAGTGAGGATGAGTTCGGGAGGGCAGGAGTTGCAAAGCGAAGGCAGCAGCTGCTCGTTGCTTGCCTCTCCCTCTCTCTCTCCCCCGCATTGCTTTGCCGCCTGCCCTCTCGAGTGCACACATCCAGGCTCAGCCTCCGAGCAAGCAGCGCGCCAAGCAGGCAAGTGTGGGTCCGCCCTCTCGCTCTCTCAAGTGTCCTGAGGTCTGCCTGCCCGCTCGGACCACGTCGACGCGGAGCTGCTCGAGCTTGATTCGGACTTCTGACTTCGACTTTCTTGCAACCTACTCTTCAACCATCCCTCGTTGACTGCTGCACTATGGCGACACACAGCCCTGAAAAGGTGGCTCCCGTACACATGCACAACCCCACCTCATCCTCAGGATCAACAGCCTCCACGTCCTCCTCCTCGGTGCAACAGTTCACCGTTGGCAAGCTCGATGCAGGAATGGCCATTCTTTTGGGCTCTCGTGCCTCACTCATCGAGTTCCCTTCGCTCCTCCTTCCTCAAGACGTCACAAGCGGGTCTGTCGTTGAAATCGTCGTGAAGCGCAATGTAGATCAGGAAAAGAGGAACAAGCGCGACTTTGACGATCTGCAGCGGAATATCCTCGATACCTTTGGACGAGCTGGGCCTGTCGCCCCGCAGCTGAGGTTGCGAGCTGTGACACAGACCAGCGTCGTACTCGAGTGGTCCGCAATGGATCTGGCCTCGTCCAAGCTGCTCTCCTTGGACATTTATCGCAACAACTCGCGACTTGCGGCCATCCCCAATCCTCTGCAGAACACCAGCACGAAGCTCAGCGGCCTTGACGTAGGAGTCGAGTACGCCTTCCACCTCGTGTTAAAGACCACCGCTGGTACCCTGACGAGCAACACGATCAGGACAAAGACGCACCTCATGACCGACACAAGCGGCATCTCCGTCTGCTTTGGCGCTGTTGAGGGAGGCGCGGCAGTCGCAGAGAATGAGCCCGATGAGCCGGTGACGCAGCTCGAGGCTCTTGCAAGGGATCTCCTCGGTCAGATGGGCGCAAAAGCGTCCACAAAGTTGCAGATCGATACAACGCATTATATTTGCACCTCACCCAGGGCGAGGTCAGCTGCGAATGCGACTGCCAATGGACAGACGGGCGAAGGGGCTACGTACCGCAAGGCTTTACAGCTGAACATACCCATCATCAGGCCGGAGTGGATCGTCGCGTGTTGGGAGGCCAAGAAGTAAGTGCAAGCGAGAAGCAGAAGACCGCAGGTCTCTACACGCAGGGAGCTGACCCGTACATCCGTTCGCCGCCGCCAGGATGGTCCCCATTTCATCCTACTACATCGACAAGGAGCCGCCCAATCAATCGTCGGTGCGCAGCCTCCTCAGCAAGCAAGACGCGAGGCAGTCCGTATCGCAGGCGACTGAGCCCGAGGTAGCACCAGCTACAGCTGCAGCAGTCACAGCAGCAGCATCAGATAATGCTGCGTCTGCGAGAGAAGACAAGGAACAGCCCGTGCCCCCACCCGCAGAGAAGGATGATGATCAGGAGGCGCCTACCGTTGCTCGAGCTCAAGCGATCGAGGAAGACGAGCAGCCCGCATCACCTCTTGGTGAGGCGAAAGAGCTGCCAGAGACAGGCGCGGCAGCAGACGAGACGGTCGTGGATCGAGGTCAAGAGGAGACGAATGGTGGGCACAAGCTGCCAGACGGAGGAAGCATGGAGGATGTGAGCTTGGGAGGGGCGATGGCCGGCAAGAAGGAGGGCGGCGATGTGGACGACGACGAAGGCGAAGAGGTTGATCTTTCGTAGCGGCCTCTTACTCTGCTCGATCGTCAGACCGATGCCAATTCATCTCAGCTGGCCATCCATTTTGTTAAAACTCCTCGATTGAGGATCGATTGTATTTGGTGTGGCGTCGCGCTTGGACTGGGCGTCGAGGCTGCATCTCGACGCCCCGAGGTCTGGTCTGTCCGCGCTCGGACTGCTCTATGAGCGCTCAGCTGAACGCCGTGTTGCTTTGCCCTTCTTGCCGTTCCACCCATCCCTTGAATCAATTGTCGTCGAGAACAGAGAGGGAGTCGAACAGCAGCCTCAAGGCGGGCCATCAAGGGCCAAGAAGTGTCTCATCAACAACTCAGAGGCGACGAGCTCGTCGCTCTCACCGCCCATCCTCCGACCCCATCCGCCATCGTAAACTCAGCAGCGTACTGCCATTGCCGATCAACCCAACCACAATGGCCTCTCGATTCACACAACTTCTCTTCCTCGCTCTCCTGGTCCTCTTCCTCCCCACCATATTCTATCTTCGTCCCACTTCCCCCTCTCGGATCTACTCTCCCTCGACGGGAAGCTGGTACGGCTCAGCCGGCTCTCTGCCCGGCTCGCCCTCGAGTGGCACCACGCAGGGCAAGGGAGTCATGAGCAATGACGACCAGAGCAAGGGAGACAGTGGATGGCGATGGCCTGACAACCTGGTCGAGCCAGCTAAGCTTAAGGCCGGAGATTACTGGAAGAGCTGGAGAGAGAGTTGGAAGACGCAGGGCAAAGGCTCAGCAGCTGGATCACCTGGTAGTGCCGCCCCGGCCTTACCGGCAGCAGATGGCAACTCTGCCTTTGCCTCCAAGATGGGCAACGAAACAGCGAAAGCCGAACTAGGTCGAGCAACCTGGCGCTTCCTCCATACCATGACGCTCCGTTTCCCCGATCACCCTACACCGGAGCAACGTACTACCCTCTCCACCTTCTTCCACAGCTTTGCGCTTCTCTACCCTTGCGGAGAGTGCGCAAACCACTTTCAGGAGCTTTTGAAGGAGCTTCCGCCGCAGACCAGTAGTCGAATGGCTGCTAGTCTCTGGCTTTGTTCGGCGCACAACAGGGTCAACAAGAGGTTGGGCAAGGCAGAGTTTCCTTGCGACAAGCTGGATGAGACGTGAGTACGAGGTGCATCGCTTGACTTGGTCGTCAGTCGGCATGATACTGACCAAATCACTCTCAAACGCTGTCAATCGCACCAGCTACGATTGCGGCTGCGGGCCAGACCCCTCGGCCTCTACGAATGACAAAGCAGCGACACCAGCAAAAGCCGCCAATCTCGCTGGCGCACCAGGCGTAGCAGGTGCTCCTTTACGTCCTCATCGCCGAGGCTCGCGTCGCAGAGGCGATACCGATCACCGCTACGACGGCGAAGCCGCAGCAGCAGAGGAGCAGATGGACGAGTCGCCCTTGGACGCGTTTTTTGGAGGGATGAGCGACCCTGTTGTGGAGCGTGATGCAGCGGGAAGGCAGTGCGGACTTTGCACCGTACGATCTTGAGAGAACCGGCAGCTGGACCCCAGCTCTACTTCACCACGTCTATATCACAATGTCTACTCTAGTTCGCGCCTTTCACACATGTATATCCCTCCACGACGCTACGCCTTCGTGAGTCACTTTCCTTTTGTCACCATACACAAATCGATGCTCTACTTTCTTTCAGGCAAGCGCAGGCTGTCTTGTACGTGCTTGATTTCCTTCATTATGCTCAATCATATCATCTCGCTGACCCTACCCTCGACTAGCCTCAACAATCTCCCTGCTTCCCTCGGCCACTCGTCCTCAAAATGGCTGACGACGACCATGGCCATTCTTGTCCTCCACTCCCTTTCCTCTTCGGTCTGCCCTTCGCTCGCAAATCGACCCCTCTCATCCAGGAAGTCCCGCACCAGTGCTACCTGACGTGAGGACATTCCTTGAAAGGGCTCGTCCAGCACCAGGAGGGAGGGACGATGCACGATGCTTCGCAGGAAAAGCACTACTCCCTGGGAGCCAGGGGTGAGGGAGGCGAACGGAGCTTCGAGGAGTGCCTCCGTAGTCGTCACTGCCGTTGAGGCCGCCCCGGCGACGCCTCGCAACCCGATGACAGGAGCAAATGCTTCAATCAGCTCCTCTAATCTCCTTTCCTGCTCCACTGTCCGGCCTGAAGCCGGCCGTCTTGTGAAGATCCCCTCAAATCCAGTAGCAATCGCTTCCCTTACCGTCAGCCCACCTCTTTCTAGGCCCCTGCGGGGAAATGCGTTTGCCAGCTCTGGGCTCAGCTGTCCTACCTTCCTCAGCAGGAGAGGTGCGGCATTAGGAGGTGCAGCGCGTGCAGAACCTAGTAATTTGAGGGAGGAGGCGGGCAGGGCGAATGATTGCGGGTGAGAGCCGAGAAGAAGGGACAGGAGAGTCGTCTTGCCACTGCCATTGTCCCCTACGAGAACCGTGCGGGATCCAGGAGGGAGTTTCAGGGAGATTGACTGCAAGCACAAAGGGCAGGAGGAGCTGATGAGCACGAGGAAAAGGCGGAAGGGGGGCAGGCAGACTCACATCTAGCACCTTCTTCCCCTTGTACGCGATGCTGACGTTGTTCAACTCGACGACAGGCTCGGCGCTCTCATCTCCTCTGCCTACACCTTGCGCAGCCTGCTTTTTGAGAACAGGATAGCCGCCCTTGAAATCCTCCTCCCTGGATTCTCCTTTGTCACTGGCTCGCTGTCTTGCAAGCTCGACTGCCCTTCCGACCCCCTCCGGTCGCGCCCCATTGAAGAGCACCTCCCCCTCGTCCCCGATAGCCAGCACGTGGGTGATGAAGCCTGGGATTTCATCCTGCTCTCTGAGTACACAGACAGTCCTTGGCCTCCTCTCTGCGTGTAGTGAGGCCAGCAGCTTGGAGAGGCTGGCACGCGTTGGAGGATCGAGCCCGGTAAATGGCTCCTCGAGGACCAGGACATCGCTCCCCTGACAAAGCGCGGCGAGAATGCGTGCCCTCCTTGTCTGGCCATTTGAGAGGGCAATGAGTGGTCGCTCGAGCAGGGGTGGGTCACCGTGCGTCAAGTTGAGCAGAGGGGCTAGCGCCTCAAGGCGGGCCACGTTCTCCTTTGCTCTTTGTCGAGTCGCCTGCTCGTCTCCGCTACTAGACCAAGGCAATCTCGTTATGCCGCTTTTTTTATCCTGCCTTTTCTCCTCTAATGGGTCCAGCAAAGGATCATGATAGAGTGCCATCCTAGCCACCAAGCCAGTGTACGTGCCCATTCCCTGCAGTAGATTCTCACGGAGTGTTATCCTGTCCTCCTCCCGAATAGCGCCGTAGCGTGTGGTGAAGTCGATGAAATTGTTGGACCCCCCTGCACTGACTGAAGAGAGGCGAGAGGAGAAGGAAACGAGCTGTATTGCCTGCGACGGCGATTTTGTGGTCCCATGAAGAAATGGGTGGGAGAGAGGAGGGCGATTGACTTGACCTTGAGAGTCGCGCTGCTCCACACGGCTGAGTCCGAGAAGGGCGCCCACGATGCGAGCTTTTACTGCTCCACCCACCTCTGCTGCTGGCCCAGTGATGGCCCAGGCTTCAGCTTGTCCGGCATCTTGAATCTCGAGGTCGAGTGGTTGAGGCGTGTGGCCATGTCGCGCGAGGAGGCCAGGAATGAGGGCCTGGGAGAGGCGGAAGAGGGGAGGGCGGGTGACTGCCTTGCTAGATGAGCTGACCGTGCGCCTCGAAAGGGGAGTTTGCAGGTGAATTAAGCCATGCCGCTTGATCGAGGCCGCCGCCCGGGGTATCCTGAAGAGCATTGAGAAGCAAGCTGTAGGGAGAAGGAAGCCAAAGCAACGCCGGCAAGACCCTTCTTCCGGTCGCTCTGTGCCTGGCTTGTGCGCCGCAATCTTGTCCATCTCCGTCCGCTCCCGCTCTCGGTCCACTTGTCCGATCGGAGCCCGTCCACTCTTTGCCTTGTCAAGTCCCATCACTAGCGCATTGAAAAGAACAACAAAGGGCAGCAAGTAGTGCCTCGCCACGGTCGGCACGACCGGCATTTGAAACAGAGAGCTGCTGCTATGGCCGCTGCTGCTATGTCTTCCAACCTCGCCAACAGCCTCAATTGGGCCAGGGACGGTGGTCCTGGGGCCCGTCTTGATGTTGGTGGCAGAGATCCTGCTGCCAGCACGACAACGATGACACCTGGACAAGATGCGAACAGCACTTTCTATCGCTCGGCTAGCATCTTCATCAATGAGCCCATCGGCAGCATGAGCTTAAGCCCGGCTAATCGGGATGTGGTCCTCGCAGCGAGAAAGGGACTCTACATTGTCGATCTCGAGTCGCCCTTTGCTCCTCCGCGGTTCCTTGCTCAGTTGTCTAGCTGGGAGGCTGCAGACGTGCAATGGTCACCTCATCCTGCTAGGTCGCATTGGGTGGCTAGCACGAGTAATGATCGCCTGCTCATCTGGAATCTCAATCGACCGGAAGGAGCGCCGAGGCGACTGCCACCATTCATGGCAGAAAGTGGAGTCAGCGCCGGCGGTCGCGGCCACATTGGTGGGGGAACGAGGATGTCAAGACAAGCAAATACAGGAAGTATGACCTCTGCGCATTCCAACGAACATCTTGCGGCCCTCTCCGTCTCTCCGAGCTCGACAGCCGCCGCTCATTCCGTCTATCATCAGGCATCCTCAGGCTCCTCACTCCGCTCCTCTGCAATCGAGTACGTCCTGCAAGCCCACACACGAGCAATCACCGACATCAATTTCTCGGCTCATCACCCCGACATTCTCGCCTCATGCGCCATTGACGCCTGGTCCTGGGTCTGGGACTTGCGCACGCCGGGCAAACCTGTCCAAGGGTACTCGGCCTGGAATGCTGGAGCCACCCAGGTCAAGTGGAATCGCTCCACTCCGCATCGCCTTGCGACTGCTGTAGCGAACAAGGTGCTGATATGGGACGATCGCAAGGGCGCCCTTCCCCTAGCAACGATCGAAGCGCACGAGAACATGATCTACGGCCTTGACTGGAGCAGGGACACTACCAGTGCCGGTCTCGATCAGCTCATCACCTGTTCGCTGGACGGAGCAGTGAAATGGTGGGATCTGAGCGCCCCAGCATCCAAGGAAGCCATCGCAGCCCGCACACGCATCACCGAGCCGGAGCAAGTAATCCAGACCGCCACGCCTATCGCGCGCGCGAGGCACCTTCCTTTCGGTCGGGGCGTCATGACTCTTCCGCAGCGGGGTGACCACACGCTAAGCATGTGGGCTCGCGACGATCAGCTGCCCGATGGTGGGCCAGTGGAGCGCTTCGCAGGGCATCGTGACATCGTCAAGGAATACCTGATCCGCACACGCGGTGGTGGTGACGTCGAGCATGATGACCGGCGCTTCCAGCTGATTACCTGGAGCAAGGATCAAACGCTGCGCCTCTGGCCTATCTCGGATGAGACGATGCAGAAGGTCGGGCATAAGCCTGGTGGACCGATCAAAGTGCTGCAGACCAGGAGGAACGCAAAGAATATCTCGTATCGTGATCCGCCGGCACCAGCACCGACTTCAGAGAGCACGACGGGCCTGGTAGGGAACAAGGCCGCAAGTGGGTCGACAACTTCCGTCGTACTTCCAGATGGATCCAACTCCTTCCACCGAAGCTCCATCCTCCCACCTCCTGACGCAACAGCCGCGCTACTGAGTGCTCGCGGCAGTGGAATCCCACGGCTGGGCGGTCCCCGCAGCCCTGGGTCAGGCAGCGCCCGCAGCCACGAAGACATCGCAGCTGGCACGTCTGCATCATTCGGCAACAGGGGCAGCATATTGAGCACATCAGCGGGCGCAGAGGCTTACCTATCTAAGTCGTATCCAAAGCTCAGAGGTGCAGGGGGAGCTACAGCAAGAAGTCAAGATAAAGGTACAGTCACCTTTGGACAGCGGCCTCATCCTCACCCTCGACGCGCGCGAATGGGTCGTCATGACAGCAATAGGTCACACGGTTCCCACAGGAGCACCGGCGGTAGTGCAGCAACAGCAGCAGGCGGTCAACCGCTCTCCGCCGGCGCAAAGCTACGCGCCGATGCGCGCAAGTCCCGACAATTAGCACAGAGCGCCGCAGCTACGTACATGACTCGCGGGGCCGGCAGCAATGTGGCTGGTACGGCCGACATGATGCTGCGCCATCACCTGCGGATTGGAGCCCTTGGCGCTACTGTGTCCTCCACTTTGGGCGCAGTCAATATCGGAGCGAGCGCGGCTGGCGTTGGCAGCGATGCCGTCACCTGGATCTCAGGCGTGAGAGTGGACAAGGAGCCTACACGAAGGAGCAAAAGTGAGGCGCCGAAGCTCAAGGACGCTGAGAAGAGAAGGAGACGGAGGGGAGAGAAAGCGGCGAACAGGCCAGTGGCGGGTCTGCAACGCGGCGTGTCGGACACGGCCGCTGTCATCACCTCTTCCGGCGCGGACAATAGCGTCGTCACGGCAGCGCAAGCCGACGGAGACGACTCGGAGGACTTCGACCTCCAGCACGAGGTCATCGACGTAGCAAAGACGCTCCCGCAACTCACAGTTGAGAAAGTTGATCTCACCTCCTCGTCGCGCTCTTGCACGCTATCCCTCTACGGTCCGTGGGCGCACGGCCATCGAAGCGGCAGCGGTGAGGATGCGCAAGTCTTCCTGCGCTTGGACCTCTCATTCTCCCCGTCTTACCCTGCCGAAGCCCCTCACTACGACCTAGAGCATAATGCCTCGGTGACACAAAGAACCCGCACTTTCCTACTCAAAGGAGTCGACACCATTCTCGCAGAATGCAGTAAAGCACGACAGGGCTGTATGGAGCCTTGCGCGCGCTTCCTGGCTGGGGAGGAGAGTGTCGAGCTCGGAGTGGGCGGGCTGGTGTTGGTAGTCAGGGACAGCTATGCAACACAGCAGGACGGAGTCGTCAGAGAAGTATCCAGCGAGGCAGCGGCGGGTGAGGATGCCAACCACGTTGTGCGGGTGCCCACGGGTGCGAGGTGCGGGGCCAGGTTCGAGCCCGATGGACAGCTCTGCGTCTTCCGGCTTGCGCCGAGCAGGGCTGGGACTGTGAGTAGCAGCTCCAGAGGTACGCCGAGTATGCCACCATCACCTGGCAGCTCTACAGACGAGGAAGAAGCTACACTGCCCTCCTTGCCCGCCCCTCTCGTGGCAAGCATCGCAGCCAGCAGCGTAGACGTGTCACGGCCAGGTACAACAGTTGGCAGTGTGCAAGGTGGTCCCACGGACGATCGAGCGTCACGGCGCGCCCGAGGTGGTGACGGCAGTGCCAACGGCGGTGGCGGTGGCGATCGGTTTCTGCGGAGCTACGCCGAGATCACGGCCGCGATGGAATCTCTCACGCGCATGGGTATCGACGGGAATGGGGATGGAAGTGATCGGAAGTTACGGAAAGAGCAGCATCAGCAGAAAGGCGAGGACGAGTCAATTTTGTCGCCTGTCGTGGCAGCTACGGCAGCCGAGCCGGAGCTGCTTGCACTGATGTCGACGGAATTTTTAGCGCGCAGGATACAGGCACGTTCTGTCTCCAACTCGTCGAAGGGCCAGCGTCGCCGCGGCGGTGCTAGCGATGGTGTTGAAACGAGTCGTGGGGACGAAAGGCGTGGTCGGCAGGGCAGAGGCGCTGTGCATATTGGCTCACGCTCACGGTCCATCGCACGCGGAGGCGATGTTGAAGATGCTGTGGGCAGAGACGTACCGCGCTCGCGATCTGTCGTGGTGACTGCAAGGGAGGCCGCTCCTCAGCACAGCCATCATCACGATCATCAACAACGCCAGCGTCAGCATTCTCTCGTCAAGCTGTATCCTCTCGACCTCGATCCGATGGTCTTCGGCGGCGGCAGCATCGGCAAACACCTCGGAAAGCAGACCGCTTGATCATGATTCATGCGATGCGCGCACCGGCTACGCCCTCGGAAGTGTCGACGGTCAGCCGATTGCGCTGTGCGAGGTGATGGAAATATTTCGTGGCTTGGATCCTACTGTCGAACTCGAATGCACCTTGATGAGATGCAATCGCAACTTGTTCCTCATCGGGCATGGCACTAGAATCCGACGTGGGCAGGTGAGCCGTGGGATCTCGTCATTGCTGCCCATCGACGCGGAGCCATCTACAAAAAGGTCCGATATTTGCGTCTCTGCGTCATGCGTTCAAACATTAGAGCTCATGAGTGGCTCTTGGCAATTGTCACTCGTCATGCGGTCATAGAGTTGCTTTCTCTGCACCCTTGACAGGGGACGAGCAGGAGCGCAAGAAAGAGCAGTGCAAGAAGCCGCGGGTCGACCAGTGGAGGGTGAGATGCGGCGAGCAACCCGCGACTCGCGGGAGCAACCAGCAGAGCAACGAGCACTCACCATCCAAGGCCACCCAAGGTCATCGTGGCTTGAGCATCAAGAGGGGATTGGTGGTAACTTGCTGACGCGAGCGCCTGCTTGCAGCAAGACTTTGTCTTGTACCTTGCGCTTGATCCTCCCGATCCAATGTTGTGCAGCCCATGATGTTAGGCCGTGGGCTTCGGGAGGCAATCAGAGGTACTCTGGCATTGGCGTACCTTGTCATCCTCAACAAGGAGAGCTTCATACAGGCTCCAGATCGACCTTGATTGCTCATTGAAGCCAGTGATCATTGCCGCACATCCGCAGCCTTGCTGTCAGTCTCACTCAATCTTGATAGCCGTCGAGGTCTCCCCCACTCTGCGGCGCCACATCCCACGACGGGCACAGTGACAGCCGTCACGCCTCATGATGGAAGGTACGGATGTCATCGAGGCACACGCGACGACGATCGGCAAAGGCTGGTAAGGCGTACGGGCTCGACTTCTTGTGCCTCGATTGGAAATCGAGCGAGAGAGCAGCCGATGCCTCAAGCCGTGACAGATGACAGCCCTCTGATCTAGCGATCAGAGACCACAACTACATTGGAGCGAAACGACTTCGCATTTCCCAGACGTGAGGTGGCTGTGCCAAAGATTGTCGTGAAAAGGACGAGACGGTGTCGATGGGGCCTCAGCTGCTATCGAAAGATCCGCTGCTTTTCGGTTGCGGCGAGATCGTGACGAGCAGATCCGAAGTGTGAAGAGTCGGGCGTGAATTCCATTCATCGAAGGGCAAGAGGCTGTGGTGTCCATCCTCGCCAGCATCGGCTTCACCCTCTCAGCCCCCAACCCAGATGCGAGCGAGTCGTCTGAAAGCGTGCGTGCACGTTTGGGGAAGACGAGTCGACTCCGACGGATTCACGGCCACTAGAGTAGACGTGCACCCCAAATTGGTCACCGCCTGGGATCACCGAGTTTGAATGACGAAGGATTAGCTCCACTCAGGCACTGCCTGGCTGCGTTCGTAGGCGCACCTGTAGAGCGCGCGCGCATAGCCCTCTCCCCGCATAAATGAAGGCAATAGAGCGCAGTCCTTCGCTATTGGCCGCGTCACAAGGCGGTTGACGCGCGGTCAGCCACCATCGGTGGAATCATGCGACAAGACACATGACAAGCAGAATGTAGCAGCGTGGAAGCGCGATCTATGCTTGGGCTGTGGTCGTCGTCGACTTGACATGGCTGTGATGCCTGGCCCCACAGTACACGGACATTCGGAGCAATGCCTTTCATTGCCTTGACCCGCCATGCTGGGTCCGCCAAATGCACGAAGTGAAAGTGAGCCACAGGCAGGTAGGCAAACGGCCCCCACTGATCATATGCCCATGCTGCACGCTCCCACCCTGCTGCGACGTTCCCGGCGGCTTGTCGACGGTTGCCGGGTCAAACCTTGGAAGCAGAGCTGGTCTTCCTAGTCAGACGGGCGATTGTAGCAAACTCTGGCAGCCCAGGATTGGCTAGTGGCCCTCGACATGGTAGTGATGCGAGGCATGCATTCTTCCTAGGGCCGTTTCGTTCACTGATAGCCGCCAAGACGAGCCCGATCGCAGCATCAAGGCGGTGCTGAGTAGCAAAATGGCGCCGATGATAGCAACGCATCGTCTGTGCGAGGCAGACCCCCGCGTTTCGATGGTCAAGTTGGCCGCGGGCCACCACGACGACGACGACGACGACGACGACCGGCGGCGAAGGCTGAGAAGGCGTGACGATGAAATCGAAGATTTGGAGGAGGTGTTGCAGTGCAGCACAGCTCGAAGACGACAAGCATCAGAATCCGATGAAGAACGGCGATGAAGACGCAGACATCATAAGGAAGCTCGAGCTGGCTGCCTCGACATCACTTCTTCTCATCACGGTTACTCGGATCGATCTCTTGCAACCACCACAACAACTCCGCGACCCCGCTCCACCCTTCGCCCCTTCACGAGTCTAGACCTCAGGAAAGTCTATTTCGGCACCGGCGAAATCAAGGTCTTCATCGTATCGTCCGCCTCCTCCACTACGACGTTGCACCGCCGCATCTCCAAGCTCAGCCAGTGCTCGGGGTGCGCTTGTCAGTGGACCTCGGCCTCCCAGTCTGAAAAAGTGTCGAGCGTTCAGCCTCTCTCCTGCACGACGTCCTGCAGCAGCGGAGTTGCCGCTTGACGCGAAGGCGATCTGAACCAAGCCGGCTTTCAAAAGGCCGTACAGAAACAAGCTCCGCCGACGTCAGCTTCAGCCTCGATTTGGGCTCCACCATCCTTGGGGTCCCACCTTTACTCCTTCTTCCCTCTACTCTTTCGTCGACACTATCTACGGTTTCCAAAAACCAGCCGCTGGCCGTCTGGACAGCCAGACAGCTCCGAGCCTTAAAGACGGGAGGTCTGGGGTAGAAGTTTTCAGGTAGTCAGGTGCGGAATCTCCAACACCGCCTTTCGTCGTCCACTTCAGAGTTCGGTCACAAAAGATCAGCCCGCAGCAACCTCGTTGTTCTCAGTGGGTGATAGAGGCTTGCCTACTGTTCTTTGCATTCACACCAACAAACAAATCGTCACCGTCGATCAGGTCGCCCGTCTCCGCTCCTACGTTTCCTTGCACTTCTTCTTCACGAGGCCTCCATCTCTATCCTTGGCCGGCGCCTCCTCCTCCTACCGGTCATTACCGACCGGCCGTCCAATCTTGGCCCTCAATTCCCACCTCTGTGTGCGCCCAGCCGATTCTTCTCTCTCGGGCTCTCTCTGCGGAAGAAAACGAGTACTTTGGAGTCCCATCTGGACCACTCTCCCTCTACCTGGGCCCACCGACAACTTCGAATCAGGCGGACTTCCGCTGAGGCATTTGGTGCCTTAACACTCATAGCCTCTCCAGCCAGCGTGGACTTGGTTCAGCTACGCAGCCAACAGTGTCGACCAAGTGTCAATGTACTTGCAGCCACCTTGCTCGCCCAACTCCTTCATTCGCCTTGGCGAGTTGCCCTCCTCTGACGTCCTCTTGTCCGTCATCGGACCCCCGCAAGCAAAGGAGACGACAACGACGACGAGCATATCAGGCATGTCTGCCTCGTCAAACAATAGCTGGCAGACGCAATGGCCTTCGCATACCGACGAGACATCGCAGCCAGGCGGCTCTGAAGCCTCAGCACAGCGCGATGCCTCCTACGATGCCATGACGACACTGGCCAATCCCCTCGACGCAGCATCATTTGATGCTTTGCTTCAGAGCACTCCTCAGACATTTTCAGGGCCGTCACCTTCACGCTTTGCTCCCGCTAGTCATTCATCAGCAGGTTTTGCATCTCAGCAAGACGGCCACTCTTTTCTCGCCCCCTTATCGACGGACTTTGGGCCATCGACGAGCTCACATCACTTCAGTCACAGCCCTCTGTCGATAGAAGGCACACCTTTTGCGCTCCAGCAAACACCTTTCGCGGCACATACCCAACCTTCGCCCGTATCCCAGCCGCAGCAGCAGCACCATCAGCAGAACTTCCATCAACAGCATCACGATCAGCACTTCTCGCCGCATGGCCATCAGATGCACCATCGCCCATTCGTGAGCCATGACGCAAGCTGGCCAATGACGAACAAGAGCTCTTCACTAGATAGTCATCAGGCGACGTCGTTTCCTCATCGTCAGGCAGCCATGGCTCGCAGGACCTCGACAATCGATACCGGTAGTCATGATATGCTGTCACTCTCTGGCGATATGCCTCAGCACCCAGCCTTTTCCCCTCCATCCCACTTTGCAATGTCTACGACATCACCGCCCTACCGCATGGCTGGCTCTGCTCCCACCGCAGCATCTTCACAGCCCGGCCTAGATGGCCTCGACCAGCGCGACTTTCATCAGATGCAGCAGTCATGGGCACCTCGAACTTCTGTAGTCTCAGCATACTCGTCTGCGTCTTCGATGGCTGACGACTTCCATCAGTACCCTCAACGTACATCGTCTCAACCGCATCAGCAGACTCAGCAACTTCAGCATCAGCACGTCATGCCTTCGAGCGAGAAGCCATGGCGCTTCGTTGACCCCAATGCACCCGCCATGCCATCGAGCTGGCATCCAGCAGGGATGACTGCTTTCCCCTCTAATAACCAATCTGTAGCATCATTCGCAGGACCATCATGGCAGGAAGCGGGCCCCTACCCTTTCGGTCAGGACGGCCTTTCGAAGCGTGACGACGGCGAAGACGATTACGAGGAGGAAGATGCAGAAGGTATGTCACCTGGTGGCACCAGTATCCGTCGCGAGAAGGCTTCACGGCGACAAGGCGTCACCTGCGATCAGTGCAGAGAGAAGCACCTGAGGTGTGATCTGGCCGACCGCATCGCTGAAGTCGAGGAGCGCAAGAAGCGGAGCCATGCCGAGATCGATGGCCTAGATGGCGCATCACAAGAAGCCAAGGCTGTATGCACCCGGTGTTCAGAAAAGGGCTTCGTCTGCAACAAGACCACTGCGGCGCCTTCACGGAGGTATCCTCGGCCAAGCAGGACAGGGAAGAGGATCGAGCAGGCTAGGTGAGTATGCGCCGCCATCCCGAAACGAAGTTGTCTCCCAGCTTGCTCACCGTCGAATCCTTTACGCTCTACGTTCAGATCTATGCACGGCTCGGTTACCTCCACTGGCGCCCCTCCCGACACCGCCGGCATGCCTAATGACCCTTCGCCATCCATGCTCGAGTTTCCCGGCTTGGGCTCGCTCCAACGCGCCGACAATCGCCTCTCTGGCGCTATCATTACTGGCGCGCTTTCCCTTCGCCTCCTGTCATGCTTCTTCGCCACGGCACACATCCAGATGCCCATCGTCGACTTCGCCTCCTTCAGCGCGCGCTACAATGCTGCTCAAGGCAATCCCCGCATTATGAGCGTCATGCTCAATGGCGGCGACACTGCTCAAGCCATCCCTTCGATGCCGTTGCACTTCCCTGGTCTTGTCGCTTTGAGGTGGCCGAACTCCGGCGAGTCGACCATCTCGACGCCCGGGACAAGCGAGACGCTTATTGCGGCAATGCATGCGTGGGCAGCCCACTATACCGATGTTCCACTTGCCTTTGGCAACCATGCCAAGGCATTGGGCCTCTCAGACTCTAGTAATAGCAAATCAGAGAGCCCAGTCGACCCTAGCGGTCGTTCAACATCAGGCGAAGCCATGAGCGACGACGGGGTGGATGACACAGAAGCTGGGGAAGACTGGTCGCACCTACCTCCCGGCAAACGTCCCAAGCGCAAACAAGGTGTTGCGTGCGATACCTGTCGTCTGAGGCGAGTGCGTTGTGATCTCATGGAGCGCAAGGGTGGAGGGCCATGCTCTCGTTGCCAGGATAAGCGCATCGTTTGTACAGACGACTATATCCAGATCAAGAAGCGCAAGAACCTCATGAAGCTGCAAAAGGAGCAAGAGAAGCTCAAGAAGGGCAAACGATCCGAGGACGGCGCGTCTGGTAGCGGCAACGTCCTTGGGTTGGAAGGAGCAGGCTCGTCAACATGGAGTCAACTTGGAGACAATCCTGACCCGCTCGCATGGTCGGACGCTCCTGCCGTGCCTGCCGTCTTTGTCGGGTCACCCAAGGTCTCCTCGCTCACACAATTCGGCAAGGCGAGGGAGGCTTTCTGCCACGACCTTCTTACCCGCGCCGTCGTCCTTGTCCACAAGCATCAGCTACTGCGCAAGCCCTCCGTCGAGGCCGTTCAAGCTCTCGTTCTCCTGGTTCAGCTCTTTGATCTGATCGACCCGAGCTTTGCATCCGAGATGACGGCCGCGGCTTCGAGTCATCTCAGGGAGCTCAATCTGCAGAGCAGCGAGGAGATTGACGAGACTGATCGTCGAGCCGTTGAGAAGCTGATCAACCAGATGCAGGACAAGCGCGTGTGGTGCTCGACGTGGACGAGGGATGCCATTGCGACGTGCATCTACCGTCGTCTGCCCAACTTCGAGGAGGAGCGACCAATTCGCATTGGCGCAAGCAAGGAAGCAGCCGCCCCATCGCCTCGTGGAGCACCAGAGCTCACGCCGGAGATGGGCCTGTCCTTTTCCGTCATGGCCTTGATGCAAATCGGCGTCCTGTCGCGCTTTGTCACCAAGCACATCGACAACATCAACCCGCCCGAGCTCCTCCCTCCCTCGGATCGCTTCCCCATGCTGCCAACGGCTGCAGCCAATCGCAAGCTGGAGAAGGCGTGTCAGAATGTGTGGAAGAGCAATGATGCGCTGAATGCCTTCTTCGATCGGTGCACTCTCAAGGCTTGGAACCAGATGGAAGCCATGAAGATCTTCCAGCCCAAGGTCTGGATCGCATCGGTCAAGGTGACGTCAGCTATGCTTACACTGAGCGTCTATCGTATCCTCGGGGAGCGCCATAAGCTCAACGGAGCTTACCTGCAGGCCGTCAGCGACGCTCATGGTGCACATGTCATCTCTGCCGAGGATCTGGCTCAGTCACAGGCGCTCAAGGAGCTCTTTGAACATTCGTGCCAGCGAGCATTCATCGCCTGCCGCAAGATGGCCCGACTGACGCAAAAACTCCTGTCCAAGCCCAGTCTGACATTCCAGACGGGCGGCATCCTCCTTCGACAGCTCTTTGCCGTGGCGCAGTACCTTGCTCGCACGCCAGTTGAGAAGGACAACTCGCCGCCTGTGCCCGACCCGGCAGCCGCGATGAGCCAGGCAGCTTGGGCGCACAGCGACACTGTGGCCTGGTCCAGGGATGCGGCCGTGGGCGGTTCCGCTGGTGCAGAGGGATCGTCCAGCCAACAGCAGCTACTGCAGCAACAGACGATCAATCCACGCGCTCTGACCATCTCGTCGACGGGTACTTTCATCCCGACGGTGAGGCCCGAGGCGCCTCCCTCGCCCTCCGAGCTCGTCTCCCTTGCGATGGACTACGACGCACCCTTGCCTCCCTTTGACAGCGAGGCCAAGGCACGCGAGGTCAACGCTTGTCTTGAGGCCCTAGATCAGCTTGGCTTTGCGTGGCCGATGGAAGAAGAGATCGAGAGTGTACGAGGGATCATGAGAGGGGAGGCTGGCAGGAGATTTGGTCATGTATTGGCTTAGTCCTCTTTACCACAACTAGCAGAGGGACCGTTTTGGGGACGGTCGCGGTATTCACATCTGTATCACCATCATCATTATTATCCATCGACAGTCACTCACTCACAAATCTTGACCGCTAATAAGATTATCTACGTCGTGTTCGCGAAAGTGTGCTTCGGTCCAAAGCGCTCAAATCAGCCCGCCGCCGCCTTTCACGCCCTGCGTTGGACTGCCAACCTCGGCCATGCAGGATGGCGCATCCCGCGACTACAACCCCGCACGCACTCGGGCCCCGACTTGCTCGAGGAGAGTGCGGTGTATCCGGACGACGGCAACGCCTGCTCCCCGCTTACTCTGGGAAGCCTAATAGCCTTTCTCTCGTGCCCTATCAACTCGCTGACCTTTCTCGCACTTGGGCGTCCCTCTACTCGTAGTGAGAACCGCCATGGCTGTCGACGCCATCGTGCTGCGCAAGGTGCGCGAGGCCAAGGCGCCCGTGCCACGCAAGCTCGTTCCCCTGCTACGCTACGTGAGTGCAACGAGGATGGTGATCACCGGCGATGTGGCTTCATTCAGAGGTACTTACCATTCTCCTCACCATCCCTCGCGCACAAAAGCTCCTCTTCCACATCTATTTCGTCCCCACCTCGATTGTCCTCCTCCCCATCTACCTGATCCGCTCCATCCTCCCTTTCCTCAGGCAAGATCCACGCTGGTCGTTCCTTCAGAACCTCTCAGTCCTTTACGTCCGCCGAGTCATTCGCGTGTACTGTCGCCTGCGCACTCAGCCCATCCAGCCGCGCGAGGATGGCTGGCGAGAGTCCAACTCGCACTTGGGAACCTTGCTTGAATTCGCCAACATGTCCGGCCCTGGGGGCAGGGTGATCGTCCACCCAAAGGAGGCGATTCAAGCTGCTGAGCAGGCCGCAGGAAAGAGGACGGATAGAGTCTGGATCGACCCACCACCTCTTGAGGCGTTCAGGGGAATTTTGACGATCAATACTGCGGGACCGGGTAAGGGATTCGCTCACTGCAAGACGTACGCTGGTCCGCCGCTAGTCGAGCCGGGCTTCGCCAAGGTCAGGACGCGCTGCTTCTGGTTCATGCACAAGGATGGCTTGAGGCCGCCTCATCGCTCTGAAAAGAAGAAGCGGGACAGACCTGTTATCCTCTACTTCCATGGCGGCGCTGGTGTGACTTTCGGCGCTGGTGATCCGTTCATGGGGCAGTGCCTCGCGGTCAACATGGCGCACACGACAGGCATCGACGTCTTCTCCGTCGACTACCTCCTGGCACCCACCTCCCGCTGGCCGGGACACATTGTGCAGGCTCTGGCGGGCTGGTTCTATCTCACGCGGGAGCTGGGCTACGACCCGTCTCAGATCATTATTGGCGGAGACTCCTTCGGTGGAGCGCTGACGCTCCAGCTGACGCGCTACCTCCTTACCGACTTTCCCTCTTACGAAGGCTACGACGTCGAGTCAGCAGCAGCTCGCAAGGGCGAGAAGCCAGGTGCCTTGCTCCTACTGTCCCCCTTCTGCGATGCACGCAACGACGGCGACAATGTACCGCCGTGCTACGCCGTCAACCACAAGCGAGACATCATCCTGCTGGCCTACGGCGAGTGGGGTCACGACGCTCAAGGCGTCTTCTACGGGGCTGAGAACCAGAAGCGTTGTCCGATCGGCAAGGCGGATCCTTGGTTCAGTCAGGTCCTCTTACCTGACGCGGAGCTGGCTGAGTACCCTCCGATGTACGTCATGAATGGTGGCAATGAGCTGCTCATCGATCAAGGGCATGAGTTCGTCGCTCGCGCTCGTAAGGCCGGGGCGGTCAATGTTGCTCATGACGTGGTTGAGCACGGTGTGCACGACTATTGGACGCTGCATACCTTTCTGCCCGAGGCGAGGGAGAGCTATAGCCGCTTCAAGAAATGGTGGAGCACCGTCGAGAGGACGCAAAGTCATCTGTAGGAGGATGAGCCGAGTTTGAAATGGAAAGCGTCCTGCACACGATTCGAAATAGGTGACATTGAAAGAGCCTGTTGATCAAGACAAAGCTCTCGACGTCGCAGGCCTCTCACTCGGCCCTCTCGTCAATTTCGCCGTGGCCGTTTGCGTCCTCCTCCTCTCCTCCTCCCTCCTCTCCCTCCTCTCCTTCCTCATCCGTCTCTGATCTTACCCTCTTCTTTCCACCTTTTCCCTTTCTTGCCAGCATCTGCGTCGCAGCGAGCCAGTCGATCCTTACCAGACCCGCTGCCGTAGCGCTTGCCAACAAGAAGGGCGTCTGTACGTTGGGGCTCCACGCCAATCCAGTGACGCGGACGGCTGGATGCCAAGCCGAGTTCTGAGAGAGGAGATTCAGCTGCGAGAGTGATTTCTGGCCGTCCTCATCATCGTCATCGTCCCCCTCTCCGTTCTCCTCTTTCTTCGCCGTATCGACCAAGTCCTCCGGTAGTACCCGGTCCACGAATCTGAGCTTCCCGGAGGAGCGGTGGATATCCAGTCTGAACAGCATTCCATCGACCATCTTTGCCGTCCTCGAGACGCTGAGCAGTGCATTCGTCACCTTGACGCTGCCGTCCGCCGCTCCGCTCGCCACAAGAGGGTGATACCTACTCCCGCTCAGCGCCGTCACCCTGCCACGATGCGACGTCAACCCGTGCGATCGCCCGTAGTTGTCCGGGCGCGGATTCATGAGTCGCACCGCATTCTCTCCGCCTCCTCGCTCTACGAGCCAGCAGCCCAAGAAGGCAGGCATGAAGCTAGAGGTGTAAAGGGGCTCGCGCAAGCGCGTCGCTTCGCCGCAGAGTAGCTCGGGCGCGTCTAGGTCGACGATCTGCTGTGTTCCATCCAGCGAGGAGACCAGAAGAATGTGCGGCGCAGAGTCCTGTTCAAATCCCTCTACACCTCCATCTCCGAGCTTGGAGGAGGCCGTATCAGAGTACGTGAGTAGGTCTCGTCCCGTCGCGGAGCGTCGAGGGAGATTGAGGAAGGAGAGCGAAGTGACTGTACCTTCTACTGGGTGGATGTGGTGGGAGGGCGGAGGACTGCGCTCCCAGGCTAAGATCCAAGGAGAGGGCCAAGTCATGCCGATCGAACGAAGATGCTCACCGACCGGCCAGACTGAGACGGATCCGTCCACACAGCCTGCGGCGAGGAGCTCGCCAGATCCCCAGGCGATGCAAGTCGGTTGACGGGAGGCGCCGTGGAAGGGTAATTCAAGAAGAGGTGTAAGCTCGACGAGGGGGGCGCTGCATTCGTCGCGATTGTTGTCCTTGCCCTTGCCTGCGCTGTTGTGGATGACGTCCGGGTGAGGCGGTGCGAAGATCGTCACCTTGCGATTGCTTAGCATGACGGCGAGAAGGCCGATTCTTGGTGGTGGGCCCGCCCCGGCATATCCTGAATGGCCTACTTCAGGCGGCTCACGATGATCCCACCCCCTCGGGCTCCAGAGCACTTGGCGCACTTCTGCTTCCTTGATCGCGATCTTGTACTCGAGGCGGCATTCCCCGTGACTGAGACCTAAGATGTGGATAGCTCCAGGCGCGTCGCTTCGCTCCCCTAGAGCATGCTGAGGCACGGCGCCTGGAGGGCTGGTCAGGCTGACAGCAAGTGCGAGGTACTCAGGGTGCGGAGAGGAGATGTGCGAGGCTGGCGCCCAGTCTAGTGAAGAGATGAAGGAGCCCGCATTGTAGACAAAGCCGGACGCCCCCAGGCCGAAGGACTCCAAGCTCGTCGAGCTCTCCCTCTTGACTTCCACATCGTCTCCTTCATCGAGGTTAAGAGCGAGGCTGTAGTCGCCGCGAGCATTGTTGACCAGGGGTGGACGCTCCACAAGATCTCCGACCGTCTTGATAGCGTCGGTGGGAACCGCCGGCAGTGGGTCTGCAGGAGGTGGAACGTAGCGATGCGCTCGCCTGAGCGCACGAGGATGTGGAGAGAGGCGTAGTCAGCCAGTGATCTTCGAGCAATGAGGTCCTCTCTCCTATGGACTCACGTGCTATCAACGAACCGCCAGCCCTTCTCTTTGCTCTCCAATCCCAGCAGCATCACGCCGCGAGCGCTTTCGAGCACACTGCGATGATCTCCATCCGCCATCTGCGCGTCTCCGGCCGCCTTCTCCTTCCAAGCCTCCCTCACAAGCTCCTTGTCATCATTCTCGTCATCATAAACGAAGCCCTTACCCGCATCCCATCCCCAATCAGCAACCAAGCTCTTATTATGCTCCTTCCACCTTCCCAACAAGGCCCAGTGTGTCACATGTTGCCAGGCGTGTATAGACTCATCTGAAAAGTCGACTTGTCTGTCCTGCTCGTTGATCGTATCGAGGCGGACCTTCTCCTTGCCCACGTCTGAAAGTGAAAGCATTGGGTCGGGCACGCGAAGTAGCTGCCCGCCCATGGAGAAGGGGAAGAACAGTGGACGCTGCTCCTCGCGAGTGAGGTTCATACCATTAGAGGCACGAGCGGATGATCCGATGGTACGATCAACGATGTAGGGGCGATAGCGACCGTATGCGCCATCTGAGGCGTCACCGCTGGCCCTCAATATCTTTGGCTTGCGTGGTCGGCTGGTGGACATTCTTTGCTTCTGTTTCTTCGCCTTCTTAGGGGACTTGGCGGCAGCACTAGCTCGAGGAATTACTCGAGGGGCTACACCGATGACTGGGTCATCATCATCGTCATCTGGCTCCCTTGTCGCGACGCGTGCATCGTCGTCCTCATCCTCCGGGTCGTCCTCATCCCCGTCTTCTTCATCAACATCGTCGTCTTGATCGTCCTCGCCATCAGCTTCCTCGGGATCAAAGTCGCTTCCTTCGCTCTCCTCGTCCCTCCTCATGACAGACGATGAAGAGGCTGTGCCTTCTCCCTCGTCATCCTCAAAGTCGATGGTCACTCTGGCCGGTGCACGCCTTATCCTCTGAGGCCGCTGAGACGAGGACTGACGCGGCTGAGTTTGTGTGTTGCTTGCGCCGCTATGAGGCGGAGGAGTGCTAATCCAGTCATTGGTACTCGCCGAGGAGCTGGTCTGCGAGTTGGATCGTTGAAGTCGCGAGGGCCCACTGGTGGGAGGTGGATGCGAGCCATCCGCAGGGCGAGGGTAGAAAGGCGGCGATGACGATGTGAAGGCGGCCATCATTGCGACATTGTCGGGCCGAGCCTGGCCTGGAGCCTTTCGAGGCGGCATGCCAGGCACACTGGAGCGCACAACGCTCTCCGAGATGATCAGATGTGTGGGAATGCGATTGTCAAGGGGGTGGCAGAAAGTCAAGACGGAACAGAGTCACTCGAGGCCGACTTCAAAAGGCGCGTCGCACGGGCCCGCGTCATGACCCTCGTCATTAGTCGAATCCGTAGATGTGGTATTGCAATGCATCGTGCGATCCAGGCAAGCACAGATATAGCGAAAATAGCAGCAGCATATGGTTTCCTCCCAGTCGACTCATTCAGCTTCCCATCTCGGCATGCCTCAGCGCACGCGACTCTCCCTCTCCCTCTCCTTGGCGGCCCCTACCCCCTCCTCAGTACACGTAAGGAATGAACCTGTACGGAATAATCTCGCAGTACTTCTCCCAGTCCTTACCGTACTTGCGATGGCAGCGCTCGAAGTCCCTCCCACAGCGGTGCGTAAGCACGGCAAGGAAGAAGAGCGGATAAAAGTACGGGATAGGCGACGACAGCCCGGCAATAGCTCCCCAGAGGAAGGACTGTGTCCAGTCAGCCGTGTAGTTGATCTTGCGGGCAAATTGCCACCACCCATCGATGAGCAAGGCATTGCCGTGCTCCGTCTGAAGGTAGCGCGGGTTCTCGAGGGTGGACCAGGGCCACTGAGGGAAGGCCCAGCGAACCTTGAGGTTGCCCTGACGCTGCATCCTGAAGCGCGACTTCTGGGCCATACTCGAATCGAAGATGTAGTGGACGGTGATGAGGAGCGAGTAAAGGAAGATGTAGGTCGGAGTGGAAAAGCGGTAATAGTGAGGAGGGTGGGCAGCCATGTAGACGATAGAGTAGCAGTAGGTGAAGGGCACGCCGGCAAAGTTCCAAAAGATGACCATGAAGCCCCACTTCTCGTGGAACATGTCCCAAGTCTGCGGGATGCACTCTTCGCCCTTGGCGCACGCATTGATGTAGAGGCCGGTAGCAAGGACCATGAAGGCCATGTTGGGCGTCACATAGCCGTACGACTCGTACTGACGGCAAGCACCAGAGACTGAGATGAGGAAGAGGAGCACCCACGGGATGCGCACCTCTGCCCACATCTTGAGGTCAACACGCCCGATCCGCGGGTTGAGGGAGGCGCCCATGAACAAGTCGTAAGCAAAATTGCCCGACATCCTGTGCGTCGTGTTGGTCACGACGGCGTGGAAGTATGTGGCAAAGGAGACACCGAAGCCCCAGATCATGGAGACGGTCATGTATTCTCCAAAGTGGTCGATGATCGTCGTGAGTCGGTAGATTCCCGTCGAGTGGAGCACAGCGCAGGTGACGAGCGTGGCGTAGAAGGACGACAAGGCGTTGCACTTGTAGGTGAGCGTCTTGTAGTTGAGCGAAGGGACGGGCAGGCCTTCCTGCTCGTATCCGGGCATGACGACAGCGAGGAGAAACTGGAAGACGACGAGGCCGCTGTACCCTAAGAGGGCTCGAGGAGTGGGGAAGGCGTCATCGTAGATGTGCTTGCCTAGCTTATGGAAGAAGGGACCAATCTGATCGATGCTCTTGGGAACGATGATTTGGCCATCGTAGAACCACAAGCCTGCGAGCGCGTAGGAAAGGAAGCGTTAGCGAGGGGTCGAAGCGGCGAGGTGATTCTCTTCCCCGAACCTCGATGATACCCACAGATCCAAAGGTAGTACATGAGAAGCGGAAAGAGTGTCATCATAGCGGTTACGCCCCACGGTCCACCAAACTCCCATCCCTCATGCTCATCGAGCTTCTTGTCTTTGGCACGGCCCTGTTCAGAAATGACGATTCCGGGATTGTAATTGACCAAGGCAGTTTCCTTTGAGCCGCCGACGATCTGCGGGTCGCTCAGGTCCGGCTTAAAGTAGGCGTGCTTCCATGGCTTCTGCTGAGCATCCTTGATGATGCTGTGCTGCTCCTTGGCGGCGGCTACTTGCTCGTCGTGGCTTACGCCGTTGCCATTGATTGCAGATGACGTGCCGGCGGCAGCGTTGGACGACGAGGCCTTTTTCCTGGCCATGTCCGTTGTGTCAGAAGATGAGGAAGATGTGGATGGGTTGTGAGCGCCAACGAAGGGGGACAGAATGAAGGGGATGACAAGAGGGATGACAAGGGGTGGGTGAGAAGAAGGCGATGCGAAAGAGTGGATTGGTCGACGAGAAAGAGGGAAGGAAAGAAGAAGCCGGGCTGGCCGACTGGCTGCAGTCGTGTTTCTTCAGCGGAACAAAGATCAGCCGCTCTCTTCCGTCGAGCAATGACGATCCACAGGCAGCAAAACGCGTTCGGCGATCGAGAAAAGAGCGGCCGCGAGTTGATCCAGTCGAATAGCAGCAGCAGCAAGTAGTAGCGTGAACGTGAGGCGAGGAGGGCGATTGCATTGCATGCTTGACACGCTCAAGCTCTCCAAATCCTCACTTGCCTATCCCTCCCACCACTCGCGATCTTATCCCCGACCCAGTCCACACAGTAAACCTCATCGCCATGTCCAGGCAGATCCACCTTGATCTTGTACGTCTTCAGGTCCCAAATCTTCATCGTCGAATCCTTGCTCGCGCTCACCAGTAACCTCGAGTCGCAAGACCAGCTGAGACGATAGACACTAGAGACATGGCCACGCAGCGTAGCGATGAACTTGCCTTTCTCCGTGCCAGACCAAAGACGTACCGACCCGTCAAACGAGGCAGAAGCGATCAAGCGGCCGTCAGGTGAGAAGCAGACGTGATTGATAGGCTTCTGGTGGCCTACCATACGATTCAGCGGCTTCTTGGGAGTGACTCCTCCTGCCTCGCCCTGCGTTGCGTCGCCCTTGAGTTGCGGCGGCCAAAAGTAGAGCGTGTGGTCCTCCGAGCCAGAGACGAGCGTCTCGGGCTGCGACTGCGTGAATTTGCGGAAGCGCTTCAAGCAGGCCGCCTGGATCTCTGAGGGTGATGACGTCGCGTGGGAGAGACCGTCGATGAGGCCGCCTTTGCGTTCGTCGAAGGCGCCATTGCGTAGGATGAAGTCGGTTGACAGGGCCATGGTATTGACCCAGTGGGCGTGAGCGTCGAGGCTACGGATGAGACGGCCTGTTGCACCGTCCCAAATCTTGACCGTGCGGTCATTGGCCGCAGTATAGAGGACGCCGCCGCCATTCTCGCCGCTCTCGCCACCCCAGCGGACCAGGTTGACCGAGGAAGAGTGCGCAGCAAGAGTGAAGGCGCAGGTGCGGTTCGAGGTGTTCCATACACGTACCGTGCCATCCTTTGACGACGAGGCCAACCTGGGCGAGTCGGCATTGAGATGCGCTGGCTCAAAGGCAAGGGACGTGATCCATTTGGTATGGCCGCGCAGGATGTTGCCTGGCGGCGCAGCGTGGCGAAGGGCGCGCTTTTCTTTCGCCTTCATCTTGATGCGCGCAGTCGGGTCACCCGAAGATGATGACGACCCGTCCTTTGACTCTGCGGCCGCCGCCTCTGCTGCTGCGGCTGCTCTCGCCTCCTCCTCTACCTGCTCGCCCGTCCTACTGCCCCATGCCTTGCGCCCATACGACGCCTGATCGATGCTGTTCCACAAGTAGATGACGCCGTCCATGTCTCCCGTTGCACACCGTCTCTCCAGCGGATCCCACGCAGCAGTGAGTACCCAATTGCGATGGCCCTGCAAAGTATGCAGCGGCATCTCCGTCGACACATCCCACAGCCTGGCTGTGTTGTCGCCGGCCGTGGTCAGAAAGAGCGATGATGATGGAGAGGCCAACGAGTAGAGGATGGGAGAAGCGTGGCCGCTCAGCGTAGCGCTACATCTTCTGATTGGCCTGACTCGGAAGACTGCCTGCGGCTCAAAAACAATGCGGAGCGTGTCTTCTGAGCTGAGATCGAGCTTGCGAGCTAGAGCAACTTGCAAGACGTCGTTGCTGATGGAGCTGGCAATGTCCAGCCGGGTTGGTGCATTGGAACCTTCGGCCGTCGCTACGTCGAGGTGAAACGCAAATGGTCGATCCTCGTCATCCTCTTCATCGCTTCCCTCGTCATCGGTGTCATCCAATGCTCCCTCGACTTTCCTCTTCTTGCCCTTTCGCGCTTGTCTACGCAGCTGATTGACAATCATTTGCAGCTCCCTCTGTCCAGTGCTCGCGGCCGGCAGGCTGATGGCGGGACCTAACGTCTCGCCATCGATGGAGGATTGGAGCTGGACAACGACATTCTGCGTGCTTGGATTGAGCTTACCCTGCTCAGCCAAAGCCTGTATCTGGGTAGCCTCGCGCTGATTGTTGAGGCGTTGCCTCTTGGCCGTCGGTATAGGAGGCGAGGTTGCCATCTCTGCCTGATCGCAACAACTGAAGGATGTAAGGTAGGAAGAAGTTGGACCACTTTCACTCCCGCTCTCCGCCCGACTAAATTTTGGCCGAGTTACGTAAGCAACACTCGTAGCCGTCTACAACGAGGCATGGGAGTGATGATCCTAGGCCATCCCGATGCGATGTAGAGCTGTCGAGCATGTAAGAGAGGTCATTCTTCCCTGCCTTGCTGAGGCCTGGTGCTCGCTGTCACTGCTGTGGAATTCATGACATTCGCATCATACGATCGCGGTGACACGCGCTGCAGGACGGTACTCCGCTCGCGGTGGACGTACGTGATTCAGGTGTGCGAGGATGGGTCAGATATGCTCAGGGAATGAGAAGCTGTTGTCTCCCGGTCGCATCGCAGACGAAGCTGGGGATCTTCTTGACCATCCTGTCGTGAAGTAGACCAAAAGTGACATCGGGCCCGATGTACAAAGTCGATCTGGCTGTGTGCTTCCTCGTCGTTGTCGCGTCCTCGTCGAAGTGGAACGTCGTCGCTGAGCTCGTGGCGCCAGGTCGCTCGCTCGCTCGCTCGCTCGCGAGTGGACGGCACTGAGGCTGTGAGGGAGGCGAGGGCCAGAGCCGTCCCGCTGCTGGTCTGCCAACGCCCCCTCTCTCTCTGCCCGCTCTCGCCGCTCTCGTCCACTCCTCCGGGGACCCGTCGACCAACGCCAGGCAGGCGGCGCAGGCGGCGTGGCGCTGCTCGCTGCTCGACTGGACTCGACACTCAACTCAACCCAACTCCTTGGCCCTGACTGAGTTCATCGTCGTCTGTCCCACACCATCACGACCACCTTCGAACGATTCAAACGACCACCACCAAGTCTATACGTCAATCAGCGTCGTCGTTACGACCAAGCACACATCGCCATCTTCTCTTTCTGAACTCACGCAGAGCGTCACCTATCAGCGCGCTCTCCAAGCAATCCAGCAGACGTGAGTTGCCCGTTGCGACTTGACGACAGCTAGCGGCAGATAGATCGGCGAGCGAAAGCAAAATGATAGGGGTCGAGATGATGTGAGGTTGCGACGACGGTAACGACAACGAGAGAGACAACAGGCTCTACCTCGAAGATAGCCAGTCAGGCATATCAATGGGGCGTGGTTCGCGTCATCGACGGCGTCGTCGTCGTCATCACCACCCACACAATCGGCTACCACTTGCCCACAGCATACTCCGATCCATTGCCTCATCGTCATCGATATATGCTGACGCTCATTCACTTTATCCTACTCCTTCTCCCCATGCTCATACCGACCATTGCGCCCCTCGACGCTTGATACCTCTCCCCGGCCCTTCTGGTGTCATGACAACAGGCCCCTAACCAGCACCTTCACTCGTTTACGATGGATATCCGAAGGAAACTCGTAATTGTCGGAGACGGAGCTTGCGGTAAGGTGAGTACAGTTCAGCCAGCCGAACTGGATGCCGTCTCTAGCAGACCTTCTGATCGCTCTCTTGCCCTCTCACTGCGCAGACCTGTCTACTCATCGTCTTCTCGAGGGGTACCTTCCCTGAGGTGAGTCGGCACAGCAGCCAACGGCTCCTTTGTGAAACTCATCTGACCCCTCGTCCCCTCGCCGCAGGTCTACGTCCCTACCGTCTTCGAGAACTACGTCGCAGACGTCGAGGTGGACGGCAAGCACGTCGAGCTCGCCCTTTGGGATACCGCTGGTCAAGAAGACTACGACCGCCTGCGTCCCCTTTCGTACCCCGACTCGCATGTCATCCTCATCTGCTTTGCCGTCGACTCACCCGACTCTCTTGACAACGTCCAGGAGAAGGTGCGTCCCGCGAGCGAGAGAGCAGGAAGCTTCTGTCAGCTGACATGGACCCCTCTTCCCCTTTTGCTTCCCTGCAGTGGATCAGCGAGGTGCTGCACTTCTGCCAAAATCTGCCGATCATCCTCGTCGGTTGCAAGAAAGATCTTCGTCGTGATCCCAAGATCATTGAGGAGCTGCGAAAGACGAGCCAGAGGCCAGTCAGCCCTGAGGAGGTGCGTTCCAGGAGCGAGAGGCGGCTGCGAACAAGTAAGTCGAGACTGACTCTCTTGCTCGTCTCTCTTGTGCACACACGCAGGGCATGGCCGTCGCACAGAAGATCGGAGCCGCTCGCTATCTCGAGTGCTCTGCCAAGACAGGCGAGGGTGTCCGCGAGGTCTTCGAGCACGCTACTCGTGCTGCGTTGCTCAGCAAGAGCTCTAAGAAGAGGAGTGGTGGGAAGTGCCTTGTCCTCTGAGGAGCGGCAGCGTACGGAGGTGGCAGTGTGAGGATAGAAGACAGTCGCTCGGCGATTGGAGAAGGAGCGAGATAGCGGCGGCAGATGGAGACAGAGGGGCAGGTGCTGCCCAATGATGACAGCTTGCCCTCGAGATCTGGGGTGCCGACGCTGGAAAGGAAAGGGAGCAAAATTACTACAGGCAACGAGAGAACCATGCTGTCAAGCAGGGACGATTCTCTCGTAGGGCATCTCCGACGCCTTCGCCTTCTCTTTGATCAATCAGCACCACCTGCAGCCCACGTCATCCTCTGCTTCCTCAACATCAGCTATCCTCGTCTCACCCTATCTCCCTCAACCGCCAACTCAGCTCCGCAACGACGACCTTCGCCCTCCTCTCCCTTATCTGCTCGCTTCATCTTGTGCTTCTCGATGTCTCTGTCGCTCTCCATCTCTCCATTTCTATTCTCGTCGCGTGCTCCTCACACTGCCTGTCGTGCCTGAGACGATTGACGATGCGGTAGTTGACCTCGACTTCGGCCCACTTCTCGCCCCCATCACCTCCCATCCTCCGCCCTGCCTCGCGAGAGAACGACGAGAATAAGACGTCGAAGCAATGCCAGGCAAGGAGAAGCGGGGGGCGGGGGGGCTTGCGCGCCTTTCATGTCGTCGACTACGAGGGATGAGTGCCACAGCGGCCTCCCTCGGCTTGACGGAGAGAGGGGCACACGCAGGCTCAGGCGCAGGCGCAGGCGCACCACACGCAGGGCGGTCCGCCTGCCCGCCCGCCCGATGGCCTCGAATGGCTCGACTCGAGACGAATCCAACACTTGAGCTTGATTGGCTGAATCGACTCACGTCTTGGACTCGGATTGCCTTGTCCGTCCGTCCGCACAACGACGAACAGTGCCTTGTCCTTCGCCTCATCGACAACATCGCCACCATTCAACGCTCGGCATGTCGTCCATCAGGAAGAAGCGCAACTTCAAGGGCCTACAGCTCAACGACTCACCGCTCTCTGTTCCAGCGCCTCAACCTTCAGCTAGTGGCACCGCGCTGGGCAAGTCGTCGACGAGCAGTTCCTCCTCTTCCCTCGCAGGCAGCTCCTCCAACGCTACGACGAGCGCAGCGACGAGCAACAATACCCTCACCCTCGGCTCGTCGACGACCGCTGGCACTCGTGGTGGTGCTGTCACTGGAAGCGGGGATGTGGTCGAGCCCTCATCAGGGGCCAACTACCACAACACCTTGACAGAACAGCTCAAGAACCTCGAGCTCGGAGTCGAGTATAAGCTTGATCTCAAGAATGAAGACCTCAAAGTGTTGAGCGAGCTGGGCAGTGGCAATGGAGGAACAGTCACGCGGGTCTTGCATGAAAAGAGCAATACAGTAATGGCGAGAAAGGTGAGCGCAGCTGCCAATAGTCGGGTCCGCTTCGCATGCTCATCATCACCGCCTTCTCCTGTGCGCGACGACAGACCGTCTTCATCGACGCCAAGCCTGCAGTTCGCAAGCAGATTCTCAGAGAGCTTCAGATCTTGCACGAGTGCAATAGCCCTTACATCGTCTCCTTCTATGGAGCTTACCTATCTGAGCCGCACATCTGCATGTGCATGGAGTTTATGGACAAGTCGTGAGTTCCAGACGATGATGAGGAAGGCTATGAGAAGGTAAGAGCGCATTCTTATTGACCGCGCTTGCTCTTGCTACAACAGATCTCTCGATACAATCTGGAAGAAGTGGGGTCCGATACCAGCGTGAGTCTACGCCTCTGCCCGTTCCCCTCTTTCGCTGCACGCTCACTCTCATGTCGCCCCTCTTCGCATCACGCACAGCGACATCTGCGGCCTGGTAGCCGTGACCGTAGTGCAAGGTCTGACCTACCTCTACGATGTGCATCGCATTATCCATCGCGACGTCAAGCCGAGTAACATCCTCGTCAATGCAAAGGGAGAGATCAAGATCTGCGACTTTGGAGTCAGTGGGGAGCTCATCAACTCCATTGCTGATACATTTGTGGGAACGAGCACGTATATGAGTGTGAGTGCGGCGGTGCTGAGGGCATGTAAAGCTGGAGTCGACACAAAAAGGCCAGCGCTGACACCTGCCGTGCCGCGTGCAGCCCGAACGTATCCAAGGCGACCAGTACAGTGTCAAGTCGGACGTGTGGTCCCTCGGCATCACCATAATTGAGATTGCGCTAGGTCGGTTCCCTTTCGCAGAGGATGATGAAGAGAACGACGATGGGGATAGCGAGGATTCCGATGACGACTCTGATGACGACGACACGGAAGGCGACGAAGATTCCGACGATCATCTACGTACAACTCTCTCCCCAACAAAGCCAAATGGAGCTAGGGACAACGCCAACATGCAACGGACAGCCACTCTAGCAGCTACCGCGTCTTCGTCCAAGGAGAAGAAGACACACCGTCGCCGTCGTAGCAAGAAGAAGCCCGGCGTGAGCTTGGCAGGAGGAGCGGGCCAGATGAGCATGCTGGAGCTTTTGCAGCGTATCGTCAATGAGCCGCCGCCGAGGCTGCCGATCGCTCCAAGCGTCGAAGAGGAGGAGGGTGGCAGTAGCGAGGACGTGACCATCGACAGCAGTGCCGCTCGTACGCAGCAAAGACGACAACGTCAGCATCGTCGCACCCGCCGGCCGCGGGGCTTCCCGCCCGACTTGGTGCGCTTCGTCGACCTCTGTGTCACCAAGGATCCGTCGGCACGGCCTACGCCAAAGGAGCTGGCCTCGGGAGTCGGGGCTGTGGGCGAGTATGTGAGGAGATGTGAGGAGAGGCGGGAGAGAGGCGAGACAGATGTGAAGGGTTGGGTGGATGGGTTACACTAGGACGATGCGGACAGTAGGCGTAGCAAGTCGGCTGGAGTGTGCCTACCGGCTAATGTATATCACGAGGAACGCGGCTGGTGGTGATAATGTGAAGAGCTCTACGTGTGCGAGCAGGGGCTGGGCTGAGCAGGAATCCATATGTATTTGAGTGAAGGCAGCATGGAACGAGCACAAGAACGGCAGCGAAAAATGAAGAGAGCCCGGTGGGCAGGGCGGAGGGCGATGAAGAATGGGGTAGCGCGTCCCATCAGGCGTCGATGAGGTTGCCCTCCTTTGCGCCATCCTTGTCCTTGGACCCCTCACTCTTCCCCTCTCCCTCGCCGCTCGTATCCCTGGTCCCCTTGTCCCTCCTGCCATCCTCATCATCGTCATTCTTGCCCTTCTGAGTTCCACCTCCACGCTTCGAGTACCACTCCTTGAGCACCTTGGGGCTGACTCGGCTGAGCATCTCCTTGGGGAAGATGCGGAGCAGGTTCCATCCCACATCAAGGGAGTCAAAGATGGTACGTGCCTCGTATGCCCCCTGCTGTACGAAGCCTTGCTCGAACTTGTCGAGGAACTGGAGAGCGAGCTTGTCCTCGGAGGAAAGCGCATCGTCACCCACCACGGCCTTGAGGGCTGCGACGTCCTTTCCGGTGGCGTAGAGGGCGTACAGCTGGTTCGAGACGTCCGAGTGGTCCGCACGAGTGTGTTTGGCGCCGATGGCTGACTTCATCAACCTGGAGAGCGAAGGGAGCACGTTGATGGGCGGGTAGATCTGTCGGTTGTGCAGCTGACGGTCGACGTAGATCTGTCCCTCGGTAATGTAACCCGTCAAGTCCGGGATCGGGTGAGTGATATCGTCGTTGGGCATCGTGAGAATGGGAATCTGAGTGATGGACCCGTTGCGCCCTGCTACTCGGCCTGCACGCTCGTAGATGGTGGACAAGTCCGTGTACATGTAACCGGGGTATCCTCGACGACCGGGCACCTCCTCGCGGGCGGCGGAGACCTCACGGAGGGCATCGGCGTACGAAGTCATGTCGGTAAGGACGACGAGGACGTGCTTCTCGAGCTGGTAGGCAAAGTACTCTGCGGTGGTGAGGGCAAGACGAGGCGTAATGATACGCTCGATCGTCGGGTCATTTGCCAAGTTCAAGAAGAGCGTCACACGGTCGAGAGATCCATTCTCCTCGAAGTCCTGCTTGAAGAAGCGAGCCGTCTCCATGTTGACACCCATGGCACCAAAGACGATGGAGAAGTTGTCCTCGTGGTCGTCGTGGATGCCCTTTGAGGGGCGTCCTTGCTGCTTGCCATCGCCTCGCGAGTCGCCCTTTTTGACGAGGCCGGCCTGGCGACAGATTTGGGCGGCAATGTCGTTGTGCGGGAGACCGGAGGCGGAGAAGATTGGGATCTTCTGACCTCGGGCGATGGAGTTCATGACATCGATTGTTGAGATGCCCGTCTGAATCATCTCCTCGGGGTAGACACGGGCATACGGGTTGATGGGCGAGCCTAGCGAGCGCGCAACGTGACAAGAGGATCAGTTCGTGCTCCACAGATCAAGCTCTTTCGCCGCTCTACCCACCATTGATGTCAATGTAGTCCTCGGCAAAGACCTTGGGTCCCTTGTCAACGGGGTTACCGCTACCGTTGAAGATTCTGCCCAGCATGTCCTCCGATACAGGCAGCTTCATCGACGAACCGGTGAATTCGATGTGCGTCGCCTTGACATCGATGCCTGATGTGCCTTCGAAGACTTGGACGACGGCCTTGTTGCCGCTGACTTCGAGGACCTGACCGCCACGACGAGATCCGTCGGGAAGAGTGAGTGAGACAATTTCGTTGTACGATGGGAACTGTGGGCGTGCGAGCGGAGGTGAGGTGTGAGCGGTTGGTGGAACGTGTGCAGAGGGTAGCGGGTTCGACTGCGCACCTTGACATTGTCGAGAATGACGAGAGGCCTGTGAGAAAAAGGAGAGGGAGGAAGGGCGAGGCGAGGTAAGGATCGTGCTGCGAGGGGAGGGAGAGGTAGCTGGCTGTATGCGCTCACCCATTGATAGAAGAGACAGTGCGGTAGTCTGCGAGGACGATGGAGGTGATGAGCCTACGATCACGCTGAAACCTCGCGATGAACAGCTGACTCACCCAAGCGCGGGTCGACGGAATACTCCTTGACGCTGTGAGGTACCGAGGGGTTGACGAGGAGCATGTCAGCAAATGTCCTCCACCCGTCGAGGCTTCATGGCCGTATGCCATGATCCGCGCCCCATTCAGGGGGCATGTGGCCCTTTTCCCAAACTCACGCCGCCTTTGCGTTGAGGTCAAAGAGCTCCTTGTCGCTCATACGTGCGCTTGACATGATGGGCGAGGTCGGAGGGAGGATGGTAGTTGTGGAGAAGTGAGAGTCGAGACCCCTGTGATCCAGGCACTCACTCGACTGTCTCGCTCCCTCGCTCAGCCACACTGTCCGCCCGCGTGCGCGCTGGGCGTCGGCGCCAGTCGAGTCGACTTGGCGGACAGACAACGATGAGACGAGGGCCGTGCAGCAGCAGCAGGGCGGATCGACGTACGGACGGACGGAGAGAGCGACCAGAGGTTCCAGCTTTGTCGACGATACCACGCTTCCAACGTTTCCAACCCTCTCCAGCAATTCCCCTGCTGCTCATCGCAATGGCACCGTACAGCAAAGACTAGGTGTCACCAAATCAATGTCGAGGCCGGCAGCTATGAGCCCAAGCGTGCAGCGAGCGCCCTCGACCTCAGCATCTTCACGCCGCTCATCGTCTCGCCATGCTGCAGAGTCGAGGCCAGTCATCAACTCTCGCCTCATCACCCTCTGGACCCATGAGCCTCCCAACTTTAGCTCACATGAGATTGTCCTCAGCCCTGAGCTTCTCGCACATTTTGGCGTTGTAGGCGAGAATGATCTCCTCGAAGTCACCTTTCCTCCTTCCGTCGAGCCAACCTGGCCTACCGATTCCAATGGCCGCAAGCGCAGGCATGGCCACTTCGCGCATCGGTCCTTTGTATTTCGAGCCAGTCAAGGCATCCACGACTCGTCAGAGGCAGTCTCGCGCTCTGGCCAGCTACAGCTCTCCCTCGCCCGCTCCATCGCTTCAGTCTACGGCTTCCACAATCGCCAAGAGGTGCTGCTGAGCAAGGTCAGCCGCGAGGACAATGTCATCTCTCACGTCGAGCTCTACTTTCGCGACCAGTATGTCGGCAGAGCAGATATGTGGCGCCTTACTACGCTACTTGACGATACCTGCGTCTACGTGGGCCAGAAGATTGCGCTGGCTGGCAGCGTGAGAGCTACCGTCGGTCGCATCTTCATTCGCGAGCACAAGGTCACGTCCGGCTACGTGGCTCCGCAGACCAAGGCCATCTTTCGCAGCGAGTCGGCCAAATACCACCTCTTTTTCCAATTCGCAAAGGAAATGTGGGACTTTGACGAAGATGGAGAGCTCTACTACGAAAAGGCGCTCACGGGCTTCATACCAGAATTGCTTCGTCGATGGAGGAGCGTACCGACGAATCACGTACTCAGCATCATCCTCTTTGCCCGCGTGTACTACGATGAGGACGAGCTGCACATGCTCGATGAAGCCGCTTTACCTGTGCAGAGGGAGCGGTGCGAGAACGGAAGGTGGTACATAGACTACTATAAGGTCATCGTGAGTACAGCGAGGCGAGGCGAGGCGGCGGCTTTTCTTGCATGCCGCTCAGCTCACCATCGTCTGCCCGTGCTCTCGTTCCGCAGGTAGATCTCGAATCTCGCACAGACTGGAAAGAGGTCATCTCGATGCTCAAGGAGGAATGCTTCCGCTTCCAACACGACATTCTCCTCATCGGTCGCCCAGAGGCAGGTCCTGCAGGCGCACCAGAGCAGGAGGAACAACATGCGGACCTCTTGCGCAGAGATCGAGCCCTCCTCGCTGGCAAACTTTCCGCTTCGCACGAGGGCAATATCCTCGAAGCTGTCAACCTCGCGCTCAATCCATTCGATGAGCACTTTATCGATCGCGATCTCAATCGTACCGGGCTGGATCTCGTCATCCTCACGGCAGGTACGGGCCACTTTCGCGTCGAGAAGAATCTGTTGCGCTTGACTACGGAAAGGATGAGCGACAATGGTATCGGGCTGGACCTCGTATGTCTTACGAAGATGCCGCTGCATTCGGTGCCACTCTTTCGTTTCTCGAGCACTGTGCCGCCCTTGTCATCCGGTGTGCCCAAGCGCACGCCATCACGCAGCGCTGCGCCCACCGCATCCTCCTCGGCAGCGCCTCCGGACCCGCTCTACGTAGATGGCGGCACAGGACCGCTTGCAGACTTCTACTCCATCCCACACTGGATCGACGCCTCCTTCTACAACTTGCAGCAAGACCAGCCATTCCGAGCTGATCGCTTTGTGCCACGCGTCAAGATGAGAGAGGTCCAGCAGATTGGCTATATGGAGAACGAGATCAGCGACATTTCCCTGCCGTACTTGGAAGTTGGCAAGGCAGCAGGCGGAGCGCCACCGGGCAGTCTCGACGACTTGGCTTCACGCGAGCAGCGACGGGCGCTGCGAGAGCGCTTCGACCGCGAGACGTTTAGAGATCTGGAAAAGACGCCCAGGCGACCGACTACGACGCCCAATCGGAGCGTTGGCAGCATCGACAGCCCGCGCAGCGCTGGTGCAGAGCTGCTGTCCAAGACGCCCAAGACGCCGCGCTTTGCCCGGGCGGGTAGACGGCCAGCACTCGAGTCACATCCAGAAGATGGGGAGCATGGCGAGGATGTGGTTCGCTCTCGCCCGACAAGCGTGGTGGTGTCGGGCTCGCCCAGCATGATGTCGCCGAGCAGTTCCTTTTCGTCTCTGAGACCTGCTTCGATCCGCAGCGTGTCGACGCTCAATCGTCCATTGCGGCCGTTGCAGCCTGTGGGCAAGGCAGAAGCTTGGGTTGCTCCCATGGAGACAAGCGCGGCGGGCATACACGCCCCCGCAACGATGGCCTCTTCTTCACTGACTCGCTCTCGTAGCTACAAGCTCGACGCGAGGTGGTTATGGAACTCGTTGAAGGGAGGCAAGCAGGAGGAGCGAGAGGGAAGTGAGCCGCTTCAGCGTGAACGACCGCCTCAGATGACTACGTCAGGGTCCGCAGCCTCGCTCCGTATCCAAGCGCTGCTGAAGCGATCTGAGTCGCCCAGCCGGTCTTTGGGCCGCGACCACGCCCCGGCGCCTATCTCAATCCCATCCCACGCCAGCAGCACCAGCAGCAACAACAACAACGGCAGCGGGCCTAGCAACACGAGTGGCAGTGGCAAAGAGGGTGACTCGAATGCACAAGGCGGCGGTGGTAGCGGGAGTGGAGGCGTCGGCTTGGGCGAAGACAAAGCATCCTCGCACGACTCGCCCGAAGACGAAGAGAGTCGCGCGGCTCGCTACGCCCAGCGCGCCAAGGTGGAGAAGCAGACGCTTGTGAATCCCTCCAACCCACGCAAGGCTCTATCGGCCTCCAGCCAACTCCTGAGATGGCAACACCTCTTCCCACGTCGTCTCAATCGGCATGTAGTCAAGTGGCGCTCTATCACCACTCCGGCCTGCCTACCACTCACAACGCTCTACTTGCCGACGCAACATGATCTGGCCGAAAATTGGGCAGAGTATCCGCATATCCTCTCGATCTCGTCGGATCTGGGAAGTTTCCTCGTCAAACGATCTTCGTCTACCTCACCCGCGCTGGCGGCGCTCAAGGAGATGACGTCGCAGCGACTGGCGCAGGGGTTCCAGTTCATTGTACCTGCGGAGAGATCGTCACAGAGGAGGAGTTCGCCATTCAGGTTGCGCCACCCGAGCGAGCTTTTCCAGCCTGGGACCTTGACGTCGGGAAACCCAATTGTGCTGGGTATGTCGAATCAAGTCCACCGCCTGACCTACGACCGCGGTGCCGGCGCCATCAATGTGGAGCGCTATATTCGCAACAAGACGTACGACCTCACGCCCATCGAATACAGCTGCTGTGTTTGGCCGCGTCATCTGCCGGGGTATCAGACTGTCAAAGCTACCTTTCGATACCCAGACTACAGGTCGTACGATTGGACGTATCTCGATTCGCTGGTCACGGGCCACGCTGAAGAGCAGACATTCACCGAAGGGCTCCGCTACTGGCGAACGCGCTTTGTTATAGTGCCTACGGGCGATCGTCCGCCCCCAATGACGGCCACGACGGGCGAGCAGCTGGACGATGAGGAGATTCGGCTTATTGGTATGGATCGATTGGGCGACCTGTTTGCTCGGGCCAGGTGGCGTGGTGCGCGCGGCACGAGCTCCTCGTCGAGCACCGCCGCCCCACTGCGCTTCATTCCCACTTCACTGGACCCGTCGCAATGCGTGCACGACGCCGAGTTTATGCGTCAGGCCGCCGCCATGGCCGAGGATGTGCGGGTCGCGAGCGCGAAGCGGCTACTCTCCGAGACGTCGAACGAGGGCATCGCCGAGGGTATCGCGACGGGCGTGCCCATCGAGGATCGATTCTGGCATCGTCACTCCTTCCAGCAAGTCTTCACGGGGGCTGAGCTGACTACGTGGCTCGTTGGAGAGTTCAAGGACGTCAAGACGCGTGATGAGGCCGTCGAGGTTGGGGAGAAGCTGCGGAAGCAGGGCGTTTTTGAGCATGTGTTCAACTCTCACGGCTTCTTGGACGGGCATTACTTTTACTACCTGCGTGGGAGGAAGAGGGCGGCAGGCGCGGCGCCGCACCAGCAGAAGCGCAAGGCTGCCTCACGAGCTCCGCGCTTGTTGATGTCACGGTCGGCTATCATCGATGTGGACCCGGCACGCAAGTCGGATCGAGCAGAGACGTGGGTGCGCGCGCGTGCACAGAGAGACGATCTAGCGACTGACACCCCGCCCCCTTTACCGCCCGCCAGTGCCTTTCTCCACTACGACGTCTCGCACAACCCCGCGAATGGATTCAATGCCCAACTGCACTGGCTGGGCACGACCGCCCGCTTCATTGAGGATACGGTGCAAAATTGGACACGCACCCTGGAGCGCTATGGTCTGCGTCTGATCGAAGCGCCCATCGGCCAGATCTGCGACGTTGGGCAGCACAATCCCTTTCAAGCTCCTGTGCCGATCCATCTTGCCCTCCCTCCACCAGCGGCAGCGTCGTACGCTCACTTCCTGCCGCCTTTCACGCACGCGGCAGACTACTTTGAGTGGGCATTGCTAAAGCGCTTTGGCTTCGTGCTCGATCAGGAGGCGGCGGGGCGCTATCCGCAGGATGTCGAGTTCATCTACCAGTCGAGGCCGAGTCGCTTCGAGTACAGTCAGTTTGTGCATCGCACGGGCATCGCCTTTGTGCAGGTTGTGGGTGGGGCGCAGGGCTTCTTGTGGTTGAACAATCGGCTCTTCAACTCGCATTTGGGCGTTGGAGGGGGGAGTGGTGGCAGGCAGAGGCGGGGCGGTGGCGGCGGCGGCGGCGGCAGCGCAGCCGTGGAGATACCCGATGCTGATCGAGCAAGGAGGGAGTTTGAGGCATTCTGTAGTGATCCCGCTGCGCTACACGCCTTCTACCTCGAGGTGTTGGTGGGCTTGCAGGCTGCGAGTACCGCGGGCGGCGCGGGCGGCGCGGGCGGGGCGCAACACGCAGTGACGGAGTGACTGCAATGCAAGAGCATACCATGTCGAACGTTGTGATGGGTGAGTAAGGCGTGGGGAACGACCCAGCCGCCGCCAAGGCTTATTGTTTATATGTGCTTCTGGAGCTGCGGCATAGCAGCCCGATCCGAGAAAGTTTAACACGGACGGTTCCGTTTCCTGTGGTTTAACGGCTAGGACGTCCGCTTGTCATTACATAATGTGCGGGAGCCCCGGGTTCGACTCCCGGCAGGAAAGTAACCACCTCCCTCAGTACGAGAGGAGGAATCGCTTTTTGCCCGCGCGCGCATGCTATTCATTGTCGAGACTACTACTACTTTATTACAGGAACGAGCGTTCACGCCGCACCGGCGAAGAGATCGGCCAGCGCTGGGTAGTTGGGCGTGCCCAGACCAGCGGCAGCGTCCCACCCCTTGGTGGCCTTGAAGCCAGGCGCCTTCTTATCACTGCAACCGTACGATCCGCCCGAGACGACGTCATTGAAGGCCGCACTGTTCGCCGCTCTGTACAATGTCGGGTGGGCCCAGCCAATCGTGCCCTTCCCTTGCTGCCTCCGCTCGGCATTCAAGAGCGCAATGATCGAAGCCCACGTGGGCGCAGCCGCAGACGTACCGCTGATCGTATACCACCCACCGTTCTGGCGTATCACGTACTTGGTGCCCTGCGCCGCCACATCCGGATAAGCGCGCCCCTCGATGTTGTATCGCCCCTTGTCATCGTCGCCAATCGTCTTGAGATACGCGGAGACCGCCGCGTCCTGGTATTGTGGCCGCGGGATGTACTCCGAGAAGCCAGCGCCTGACCACATGTTTGCGACTGACTTGCTCATCATCACCTCGGGAGCGATCTTGTTTTTGGTGCCAGAGCCGCCCGTCGCACCCACCGAGAGGACATACGGGCAGACAGACGGGTACGTGTTGATAAACTTCTTGTCGCACGACTGTTTGCTGTTCACTCCGAGCACTCCGTAGTCACCCGCAGCGACGACAATGGTCGTACCCAGCGCAGTGAGCTTCTGCGCCGTCTGGCACATCGACTTGACAGTCGATGCCGAATACCAATTCTCCTGCGAGGCGAAAGAGTACGAGATGACGCCCGGTCGGTCCGCAGCCTTCATATCGATGAAGTCCTGCCATGATTGAGAAAAGGCATCGCCTCCCGTCTTGGTGGACCCCCACGCGTAAAAGGTCGAGTTGAGAGGGTACGTCTGGCCGAGCACCACCTGCGCGTCGAGTGTGCCCTCCTTGTCTGGGTGCTTGGAGTCAAAGGGCGCCCCACGAGTGATGTTGACGGGCATCTCGTAGCCAGCAGCATCGCTACGGTAGCGCTGCGCAAAGTCGGCCAGGTCCTCCTGGCTGAAACTCGCATTAATGATGCCCATCACACCGATGTCGACGGTGCCAGCAGCAGCAACTGGCTTTACGCTGCTCGTTTGGTACAGATCGCGCAGGCAAGCCGGCGAGACAAAGGTGGCGTAGCGCGAGCATGACGCAGGGCTGCTCTGACGACGCTCGAGGTGGGCAGCCATCTCCGCGACTTCACGCTTCTGCTGAGCGATCGTTGCCTCGACATTGTCGGCATCGAGAGGCTCAGCATGGCCACCGCTCTGCGAGGCATGGGGTACGCCAAAGTGTGTCAACGGAGCAACGTCGACGATGTGCTCGGCCAGATGTTGGGGCAGAGCAAAGCCCGAGGGGGCACGGATAGCTGAGCGCCTTTCGAAGCTGTGATGGAAGAGCTTCGTATCGAAGAGGCGCTCAACCTGGTCTACAGTCGCGTCGACGGTGAGAAAGTCGCCGTGCTTGCTAGGAGTAATGTGAGAGGCAGAGATGCCAGCGGCAGCCAGCTCAGCTTGCACGGCACTCAGAGTGTCGTCTGTAGGAGCAGTGTATTGAGCAAGCTCGTCGTCGGAGAGCCATCCTTCTTCGCCCCTAGATACCTGCTCCATCCTCGAAGCCAGGCCATCGAGATCTCTGCTCTGCAGCGCCACCGTAAAAGTGTAGGGTGTGTCGGCCTCGGCGCGCTTGCCGAGCGTCCATCCAGGTCGGACCGTAGGAGGGAGGGACCTCGCATTGAGGGAGTGGGTTTTTGAGTGCGGCAGGGCTACAGAGGTGGCAGCCAAGAGGGCTGAGGCAGCAGTGACCGCGTAGAGGAGGCAGCGCATCGCGAGCAGACGTCGCTGGTCAGCACGTCGACGTCGAGACAAGGGAGAGGGGGGAGAAACGGGGGGGACGAGGAATTATTCGCGACGAGCGCGCATCGCTATCGCCTTTTGAGCGATCTCTCGCCGAGCGATCTCTTGGTGCTGCTCAACCACCCCCAGAGCACAGTGACAGAAGCCACGCTTGCGGACGCCGAGCCCCGAATGACTAGGGTGCATGCTAGATCTCATGCACACCGAAGGAGCGAGGAAGGGTTCAGCGCATTCTGTGCCCCATCTTCATGTTGAAGGAAAATCACGCAGCCGTATCCTGGCAGCCCGCCCTCTTGCGGACGACATCGAGCCGTGACACCGCAACTTGATGCCGGACCGCACATCGCGCACCTCTTCTCAAGTGCAGGCAAAGTCGTCGTAGTCGTCCCCGCCGTCGTCTTCGCCGCCGTTGCCGCCATCTTCGCCAGCTGTTCTTTGCGGTAGGGATAGCCGCGGCATCCTCTGTGCAAATGAAGGGAGAGACAGACAGGCAGACACGCTCGAGTAGACTACGCTACCGCGACTTGCCATATTTGCTGAATGATCCGGCGAAGACTGGGCTGCACTATCCTTGGACGCCGGCAGCGGGACTGAAGCGACGCGAAGGCGCCGCCCCGCGCGGAACCTCGAGTTCGATGCAGGGTCTCACAACGCGCCACGCACCTCCGATTTGCCTGCCTTGCCTTGCCCACTGCCGGGGAATGAAGCAAGTGACAGTATCATACGAGCGGCGAAGTTGGGTCACAATGTACCGAGCTGACGGATCCGCTGATCGTGAGCGCTTCGATGTAGCGTGCAGGGTGAGGGCCGGTACGAACTCCAATGGTCTGCATGACAATGAGGCTTCGCGCTGCTTCACACTGCTTCACACTGCTGCACTCTGCTTCACCGCGTGAGACAGCACCGTTCACTCGGGTTGTCACTGAATGCGCGACGGTGAGACAAGTCATGTCCCACTTCGTTTTCGCAATTTATTGTAGCCTCTGCATCGCAAGCGTCGCAAGCGCGAGAGCGGGCGACTCGCGCCGCGGCAACGAGGTGCGACGCGGAACTGGGCGTGTGGCCCACTCGCCTCCTTCCGTCGTGCTTCCTTGACTTGTGATGCACGCCGCCGCCGCCGCTCCTCGTCAACGGTTACCCATCATATTGTCGTCCAGTCTGCATCGAGCGACAGCAGCAGCAGCATGGCGCGTCAAGGCGGAAGGGTCGTCGACGATGACAGTGATGATGTTGATGTGCCAGTGGCGTCCTCTAGCAGAGGCCCTGCAATGCCCAGCTCGATAGCCGAAAAGCTCGAGGAGTGAGTCGGACGCACGCGCAATCCGACCTGCGTGGGGAGATGCTGAGCACTACGAATGTCTTGCTCTGCCTCGCGCTACCTAGACTAGCATCAGAGATTCAGCAAGTGGATGATGACATCTCAGAGGTGAGCATACGATCGAGGAGAATCGACGAGGCTGGCTCGCTGACTTCTCCCTGCTCGCGCGCGTGCGCCCGCGCTCAGCTTCGAACACTTCGTCAGTCCCTCGAGAAGCAGAGACGCCAGCTGCTAGCCAAGGCGCAAGCTCAGTCAGGCTACAATAGCAACGGCAATAGCGTTGCCACGGCTGGACCTTCACGACTGGCTGCCGGAACAGACTACACACAATCCACCTTCCCCTGGTCGGGCGAGCTGCTCAACAGGGCAAAGGCGACGTGGGGCATTGAGAAGTGGAGGATGTGCCAAGAGGGTGTCGTGAATGGTGAGGGCAAGATTCGCTGATACAGGGGTGCAACAAGGCGCGCTGACTCGCCACACTCCTCGCCCACAGCTGTCCTCGATGGACAAGACGTTGTATGCATCATGCCCACAGGCGGAGGCAAGTCGCTGTGCTACCAATTGCCGGCCATCATGAGTCCAGGCGTGACCCTGGTCATTTCGCCGCTCATCTCCCTCAGTACAGAGTGAGTACACCAAAGCGCATTACCGCTCGCACGACTCTCATCTCCGTTGCCACCTCGCTGCGCGCAGCCAATGCTTTCACCTCCGAGATGCGGGCGTACCCTGCGAGTTCATGTCCAGCGCACTAGACAGGCCAGAGGCGAACAGCATCCTCCGCCGCATCAAGAACTCTGGGCGACAGCAGCCAGGTGACGAAGAGATACAGATTCTGTTTGTCACGCCAGAGCGCGTCGCCAAATCCAAGACGCTCCTCTCCTCTCTCCAGACGGCCTACCAGCGCCATCGACTGGCTCGGGTCGTCATCGACGAGGCTCATTGCTGCTCCAATCAGGGTCACGACTTTCGCCCAGACTACCGCAAGCTCTCTATGCTGCGAAAACTCTTCCCCGAAACGCGAGCCACTTGCCTGACCGCAACCTGCTCGCCGAGCGTCCTACAAGACGTCCTCGAGATCTTGGGCATGCCTGACACGACTGAGCCTCCGAACGCACGGCCGAACAAGACTGTCTTCTTCACCGCCCCACTACATCGTCCGAACCTGAACTACAAGGTCGTTCCTCGGCCCTCAGCAAGCGCAGCTGCCAACCAGGCCATCGCCGACTGGATTCTCGAGCACCACCCCAACGAGACGGGCATCGTCTACTGCCTCAGCAAAAAGGATACCGAGACAATGGCTGATGCTCTGAGCGAGCTCAGCGAGGGGAAGATCCGAGCAGGCGTCTATCACGCCGACGTCGATGATCGAGAGAAGCACCGCATCCATGTACGCTGGCGCGAGGGTAGAATTCGCGTCGTGTGCGCGACAATCGCCTTTGGGATGGGCATTGACAAGCCCGACGTCCGATTCGTCCTTCACAGTGGCGTCTCCAAGTCGCTGGAGGGCTATTACCAGGAGAGCGGCAGAGCAGGTCGAGATGGCAACCCGTCAGACTGCGTCCTCTTCTACCGACCGCAAGACGCCTCACGCATGGCCAGCTTGGTCGCGGGTGAGCCCACTGGACGCGAGAAGCTCGGCGCTATGCTCGACTACGCGCAGAGCAGTCGGTGTCGCAAGGTCATCTTCGGCGAGTACTTCTCCGACGCCTATCAGGACGAAGAAACATGCGGTCGATGCGACAACTGCCTTGAGCCGCCTGAGCCGCGCGACTGCTCCTTCTATGCCTGGCAGATTGTCAACGCCATGCGCGAGATGTACGACGATGGCGGGCGAGTGACGCTGGGTAACCTGGCAGATTTGGTGCGCGGGCTCAAGGGAGGACAGTACACAGTCATTGCAGACTCCCGTGGTGGGAAGAAGAAACGCAAAGGCGCCAGCAGCGGCGGCCAGACGGCGCTGCTCCAGATGGACCAGCACGGTGGCAAGATCACGGAGCTGAGCAGCGACGACGTTGAGCGGGTGATTGTGGCGCTCCTCAACAAGCAGTACCTCGACGACGAGTACAACGCCACGGCCTACTCGGTCAACGTGTATGTGAAGCCGGGTCCACAGGCTATTCGACTCACTCGTCTGTCCGAGGAGAATGCTCGACAGTTGACTGGTCTGCTCGACGTCAATCTGTCGTCCAAGCCAAAGAAGAAGGCAAAGGCGAGGAAGAGCAATGCTGAAGAGGAGAACGGCGAGGGGACTGCTGCAGGCAGCAAGAAAAAGGGCAACGGGTCGAGTGGACCGCCAAAGAAGAGGCAGCAAGGAAAGGAGCGCACCCTGACAGACGATCTCGACGACATCATTGACTCGGACGAGGAGGCCGCTTTCACCGAAAGTGCATCTGCAGCAGCAGAGTCGAGCTCAAAGCCGGCGCCAGGACCCACAGCGACGGCTGGTCGCTCCTTCTCTGGCACGCAACGACCCATCAGCGAGCTTCTCGAGCGTATGTCCGCATCGCGCAGCAAGAGCGGGGAGCAAGGCCAGGAGTACAAGAAGAAGCGAATCCGCCCCTCGAGCAGTGATGAGGAGGATGACGACATCGAAGTTGACAGATTTGGCTGGCAGGTGATGCCATCGAGGCTTGCAGGCAAGTCTGCTTTACCGACGTCGAGCGGGAGCAGATCGTCGGGCGTTAAGGACGAGCCCATCGAGATCGACTGATGCTGAGAGCAGCGTGTGAGGGTCCGTGTACGCGCCAATCATCCACTCATGTATCATTAGCAATCAATCACCAATGTGATACCCCCTGAATGCCGTATAGCATGCTTGATTGTGGTGTGTTGTCGTACAAGTACAGATGGGCGAGAATGCGGTGGGCGAGGTGATGTTGCTAGTCTAACGCGCATGCGTCTATGACTATGATTTCGAGCTACCGCGCTCCCTGAAGAGAACGTGTCGCTTGACTGAGAGCGATCAAGAATGGAGGGGTCGCAAAGAGAGAGGAGAAACAGCTTGGTAAGCTCACTACCCATCTGAGGAGCGCGGGCGCGGGCGCGAGCACAGGCACAGGCACTCGTCGCCGCAACTCACCAATGGGGTCGTACTTTCGCAGCACGAGCTTCTCTGCGATCCTTGGCCTGACAGTAGTGTAAGCGTATCCAGTTCCAGCCGTCGAGAAGAGGCGTGCAATGACGATGCGTGACCTCGATGAGGCGGCCATGATTGGTGAGAAGGACTTGGTGATAAAAGGATGGAGCCGATTCGTCGTCAGTCCGAGGTGTGAGTGCAAGATGCCCAGCTGAGAAAGCCTCCCGTTCTCTCCCGTTCCGATGTGATATGCCGAGCTATCCGCCCTTTGAGATGAAGCGGGCGAGCTCTCGAGCGGGGCTGAATGCAAGTCGGCGCCAGTCGTCGACGTCGCTGCAGGCGGGGAGCGGTCAGGCCAACCAAGGCCAGCTCGGTCCCTCTCTCGCTCGGTCCCTCGTCCCGTTCATTTCCCGCCCTCGTAGCCTTGGTTTGCTCGCAGCAGCAGTCTTTGCCAACTTGGCTGGCCCTTGTCTCCCTCCTCGCTGTCGCTGTGTCTGCCCTTTCGGCATGACTGGGGAGAGATTCATCAGCACACTCCCATGAAGAGCCTGTTTGCTAAAAGGGGCTCGCGCTCCTCCTCGCACCATGTTACGGCAACGAAGAGCACATGGGGCAAGGGCAGGAGGCCAGGAGACGACGACGACGGTGACGGCGGCAAGGATGATGGCAACCTCTACTATACGCCGCCAGCTGCTGTGGAGCAGCCCGCTGGACCAGACGCTGGTATTGGTTCAGTCCCACCGCCCAAGGCCAGCAGCAGCAGCGCCAGCAGGCGATTAAGCAAGTCGGCTTCCCTCGGCACCATCACAGGCCTCGTCGCTGCTGCCTCCTCATCCTCTCGAAAGCCAATCCCGCCAAGCTTGGACCGCAAACATTCCAACCAATCAACGACGTCTATTACTCCCGAAGCGATACCACCATCACCCTCAACTTCTTCTTCTTCCACCTCAACGACCCCCTTCACCCTAGGAAGAGATGCCTCTCGCCGACTCAGCAGCTGGAAGGGTGACGTACGAGCGAAGCGCAAGCAAGGCGGTCGAGATCACCCTCCGTCGTCGTATCACTTTGACGACGGAGTCGGAGGAGCCAACGCTACGACGACGAAGCGCAAAGATGCAAACCAAGTCGGCTCTACTGGACGCAACGAGCAAGAGGACTTACACCCCGCCGTCTTTGTCGTTGGCAACCCGAGCGTATCCGTCTCCCCTCCGACCCCTCGACCACGCACTACATCGACCATGTCCAACAGCCAGGCAGAGGAGAACCAGAGCCACAGTCACGACGGAGGGAATACAATGACCACAAGCGCGGCAACGACGAATACCAACCACAGCAACGAAGAACCCGATACCACGGAGACGCACGAGACGACTTTTGAAGCGCGAGAGGAGGAGGAAGCCGAGGCTCAAAAGGGCCTGATATTGCCTGTCAATGGCAGTGGTGGACCAAGTGCTGCGAGAGAGAGCAGCAGCAGCAGCAGCAACCCCGCGTTTGGCGGGGTCTTTAGGAGCAGGAGCAGCAGAAGCAAGATGTCCAAAGTGGGCGTCAACATCGACGTCGAAGCCGCATCATCCGCAACAATGCCAGCAGCAGCGGCAGCTGCAGCCTCACCTGGCCCACCACTCTCGCCCTCAGCACTGGCCAGGCAGCTGGATGACCTTGCCGTCAGTCATGGCGACGGGCTGCTCAGCGACGATGAATATCGCAAGCTGCGGCAGAGGCTACTGGAGCGAAGCGTCGGCCTTTCAACAGCCACTGAGGCTCCCGAAGACACTGACACGTTGGTCCTCACCAATCGGCGCAGCGTCATTGATCTCGAGGACGAAGAAGACGCTGCTGGACAAGCTGCCGTCGCGCAGGAGAATCAGACCCGTCCACCCTCCCCTACGAGATCATCCCGTACGCTGCCCTCAATGTTCAAGCGAGCCTCAGTGCTAGTGAAGTCCAAACGTACGCAAGGGTCATCTGTTTTGACGTCCACGCCGCCCTCATCATGGACGCTGCGTCGACCGGCATCAAAGCGCTCCCTCACCTACCCAGCAGCATCAGGCGCAGCCGCAGGTCCGCTCACAGAAAGCCAAGTCGGGAACGAGAATGGCAACAGCATCGGTACCAGTGGCAGCATCGGCGTGGCCCCGAGCAGTGCTTCTGCGGTGAGCTCCGGATCAAGTGCGGCCCCACGCTCCCTCAACCTCAAGCCGGGCATGGTTACCCGCATGCTCTCCACACGCAGCACAGCCAGCAGCCGCGATGCTAGGTCCATCTCGGACGACGGTCACGGCGACCGTGCAGCTGCGGGCAGTGGGAGCCTGCGCCGTAGCACGAGCACAAAGGGGGGAGCTGGTGGAGCAGCCAGCAGCTTGGCGCCTAGCTCGACGCGCCGACGTCGCTTGTTGAGCGGGGCGAGCTTCAATACGACGACAAGCAGTGAGCGCAAGGCCATTGAGGCGGGCAATTTGGAGCGAGACGTCGTTTCGATGAGGCAGGCCAGAAGCTTGACTACGTCGCCTGCTCCTGCCCAAAATGGCGCGTCAGGCCACAGAGGGCTAGCAAGACAACGTAGTCGCAGCCTGCGGGTCGACGCAGCGCAGCCTGCTAGTCCAGAAGCCGTCCGCAGTCGCGCGGTCTCCCTACCCAAACGATCGTTTGATGGGCAACGCATCTCCCTCGATGCTCAGTCGCCTTCCCCACAGAGTGCCACCAGCGCGACAGCCGCCGTGCTCAACTTTGACGATCTGGACTGGCAATACTCGGACAAGGGCAGCAAGGAGATCCATGCAGAGATCAAGATTGTCGAGGCGGAGGGGAAAAGAATGGCGACTGCGTTCGAGGGCAGTGACGCCGGTCTTGGCGGCGCAGATGAAGCGCAAAAGGTTGCGCAGAGATATGAAGAGAGGCTGGCTTTTCTGCGGAGCAAGTTGAGGAGCGCTAAGATCAGAGAGGGCTTCGCGAAGTGAGCATGATAGCGTCAGAGCTGGTCGCTGCGCCGGCGTGATGGCCAGCTCGATCACTGAAGGCCGTGGAGGATCGGAATGTGGCTACCTGTAGAACGCAAGTGACGATGCGATGGGCAAAGGAACTCTCTATCTTTAGTCTCAGCAAGCTGCGATGCTCGACACTAGCCCCCAATTGATATCCACCGTGCCCGCCGCGTGCGCTTCAGCCTGTCGTGTGCGAGCCTAGCCTGGCGCCTCGACCGGCCACGCGTCCGGCGCGCCCAACGCGTCGATGCGTCCGCGTAAAGTGGACAGGGCGACGAGCGAGTCGGCACGACTGACGGGAGCGACGCCTTCCTCGTTGGACTCGCATCGCAGCAGAGATTCCCTCTCACCCTCATTACCACCTCTTCCTCCGACTCGACTCCACGACCTTTCCACATCTGCTTGCTTGCCCAACATGGCCACGCTTCCCGTGATGCGAGCGCCCGTGGACTACAAGGCTGAAGGGGAAAAGATCAACGAATTCCTCTCTCACTTCAAGGGTCTTGTGCCCACGCAGAGGCAACAACGTAAAGCGATGATGGCGATGGATGATTCGGATGATGATGGCGAGGGCGATCTGGAGGATGGACTCGATGGCATGGGTATTGGATCGTCTTCGAGGAAGGAGAAGAACGTGAGTCAGCGCAGGGAAGCATGACGGATGCTCCCATCGTTCGGCGGCTGACCTTGATCAAGCATCGCTTCTCTCTCGCGACCAGGGCTTCAAATATCGCGAGCAGCTTCAGAGAATCGCAAATCGCGAGCAGGACTCCCTCGTCATCGACCTCAATGACGTGGGCAAATTCAAGTCGACGCAGAGCACCGAGTCAGGACTGCGACTTGCCCACTCGATCATGGAGAACACGCGACACTACACCGACCTCTTCTGCAGAGCCGTCGATAAACTCATGCCAGAGCCGACAAAGGACATCTCACACAAGGACGACGTTCTCGATGTGATCATGCACCAGCGAAGAGAACGCAATGCACGCGCAGCTCAGGGTCTCGAGTCGTCTTCTGGGCCATCAGCAGAGGAAGAGTCCCAAGTAGCGCCATCAGCAGAGGGTGAATTGCCCTTTCCCCCTCAGCTTCTGCGTCGGTATCAGCTCTACTTTGCACCGCTGCGCACTACGCCGCACTTGGCAGTACGCGCAGTCAAAGGTGCTCACCTAGGCAAGCTCATCTCTATTCGAGGCATCGTTACGCGCGTCTCCGAAGTCAAGCCATACCTTGTCGTCGATGCATACTCGTGCGACAACTGCGGCGCAGAGATCTTCCAGGAAGTCGCAGGTCGGTCCTACATGCCTTTGCAAGACTGCCCTTCGCTCAAGTGCAAGACTAATGGCGTCAAGGGCCCCTTGTTCCAGCAAACGCGAGCCTCCAAGTTCGTGCCCTTCCAAGAGGTCAAGATTCAGGAGATGGCAGACCAGGTGCCCGTTGGCCACATCCCTCGTAGCATGACCGTCCACCTGTATGGGCCTTTGACTCGGTCTCTCAACCCAGGCGACGTCGCCGACGTGGGCGGCATCTTCCTCCCCACCCCCTACACGGGCTTCAAGGCTGTGCGAGCAGGTCTTCTTACCGACACATACCTAGACGCGCAACACGTACACCAGCTCAAGAAGCAGTACGACGCTATGGTTATGACGCCCGAGATTGAAGAAGCAATCGCAGACCTCAAGGACGACCCGGCTCTCTACCCGAAGTTGGCCGCATCCATCGCACCGGAGATTTACGGTCACGAAGACGTTAAGAAATGCCTGCTTCTCCTCCTCGTAGGTGGAGTGAGCAAGACGGTCGGTGACGGAATGAAGATTCGCGGTGATATCAATGTGTGCCTCATGGGTGATCCGGGAGTCGCCAAGTCGCAGCTGCTCAAGTACATTTCCAAGATTGCGCCACGCGGCGTGTACACGACTGGGCGTGGAAGCTCTGGCGTTGGATTGACGGCAGCCGTTATGCGCGACCCGGTCACGGACGAGATGGTACTGGAGGGAGGTGCCCTTGTGCTGGCCGATAACGGCATTGCGTGCATTGACGAGTTCGACAAGATGGAAGAGTCAGACCGAACAGCCATTCACGAGGTCATGGAGCAGCAGACGATCAGCATCAGCAAGGCGGGAATCTCCACCACACTCAATGCTCGCACCTCGATCCTCGCCGCAGCGAACCCGCTGTACGGCAGGTACAACCCTCGCGTCTCACCGGTGGACAACATCAATCTGCCCGCCGCCCTCCTCTCACGTTTCGACGTGCTCTTCCTCATCCTCGACACACCCTCTCGCGACGATGATGAGCGTCTGGCACAGCACGTTGCCTATGTCCACATGCACAGTGAGCACCCGCCCATTGAGCACGACCCTCTTGACCCGCAGGTCATGCGTCATTACATCGCCCTCGCCCGCCAGAAGCGGCCGACGGTGCCCAAAGCAGTGAGCGAGTACGTCGTTGCCGCCTACGTCAAGTTGCGCGCGCAGGGCAAGGAAGACGAGGAGCGCGATGCGGCCTACTCGTACACATCTGCTCGTACGTTGCTCGGCGTTTTGCGCCTCAGTCAGGCGTTGGCGCGTCTGCGCTTTGCCGACGTGGTTGACGTCAAGGACGTGGACGAAGCTCTGCGTCTCATGGACGTTAGCAAGGCCTCCCTCCACGCGGACGGACACAAGCGCAGCAAAGACGACGAAGTGGCCGACCATTCGCCCATCTCGAAGATCTACCGCATCATCCGCGACATGGCAATGGCTGCTGCAGCCGAGTCGGCTGAGAGTATGGAGGTGGACGACAACGAGGCTTCGATGGCTTCGCGATCCGGGCCTGGGGAGCTGCTTATGAGAGATGTGAGGGATAGGATCTTGGCGAGTGGGTGGGTTGAGGATCAGCTTCAGGAGTGCCTGAGGGAGTATGAGGATCTGGGCGTGCTGCAGGTGACGGGCAACCGTCTCGTCTTCTTATGATGCGCGACTTGTGCTACTATGCATGCTTTGCACGTTGCCATTGCTCTTCTCTTCCTGTTGTCACTAGCCTCTTTCGAATACGATTCGATAACGATATCAAGATTGACGACCGGGGGATGATGAAGAAAAGCTTGCACTGCTGGAAGACCCTTCGTCGTTCGTCGGCGGAGTCCCTCGACGACACGCTGGGCCGCGGAGACGAGAAGGCCGGCGGAGTGCGGAGAGCAACCAACACTCAAAGTCGAGGCGGCCGAGGCGCTTCGCTTGACAGAGCGTGGACCCCCTTGCTCCCTCCTTCCAATTCGACTTCTCGATCCGGATCTCGTTGAGGGGTGGTGGGGTCTTTGCTCGTCTTCTTCTCGTATCCTCACCATCACCGCCACTCAGCATCAACATATCGCCCTCCTCATTCCGGCAACCTAGCATACACGCTGCTTCTTGGCAGTCGTCAAGGGTCCAATCGGACCGCACGTCCGGCCGCCGAGACGTCGCACAGCCCTAGCGGCCCCTTCCACGCCCCTTCGAGGAGCATCAACTCCGATTTCTCATCGTCGCTTGAGCTCTCCTTTCCTCGTCGACGACCAGCCATGACAGACGCCACGCCTCGCCTCGCACCCTCCATCGCCCTCACAGTTTCACCGACACTGCCCGACAAGGCCTTGCCTCAGAAGCGCAAGGTGGGTCCCAAGATCTCAAAGCGCCAGAATGCGCGTCTCCAACTGGCAGCTGCCCTCATTGAGGCGGATAATGACTTTTTCGAGGCTAGAGCAGAGGCCATGGCGGCTGCTGGAGCAGCAGCAACAGCCTCTGCACTCGACGCCGGTGTCGCAGATCCATCACCCGCACCGTACCCACCACCCGAGCCCAAATTGGCCAGCGAGAGTGTCATCTTTGCACCTTATCGCGGCGACGATGACGAAGCAGATGAAGCGCAGACTGTAGCCAGGCAGCCATCAAGGACACGTTCGATTCAGCGACCTCAGAGCAGAGATTTCCTTGGCGTACACCTGCCCGGTCAGGAGCGATATCAGCCTCAGCAGGAGGCCGGACCTTCCCTACATTCTCACTCGCGTAATGTCAGCCTCTCTTCGCGCAAGTTGGGTCTCTACGCCGATGAAAATCTCCCCGCTTCACGACCGGGTAGTGCTCTGAGCCTGAGAAGCAGGGCCCCGAGCTCTCTACATGGAGTCGATCGTCCAGCGAGCGTCTTCAGCCAGATTTCTCAGACGGGCAGCAGGCCAATGACCGCGGCAGGTCGCTCTGAAGCAGGTGTAGGAGGTGACGATGACGAGGGAGGCGCAGCGGCAGAAGAAGGCCTAGGCGACTGGGGCCTCGACAAGTTTCTCACCACCGAAGCAAGGCAGCGCATCTCAGCCGCCCGGGACCGCGATCGTACGCGCGCAGTCTCCATGGTCGAGGGCATCGACGTTCCCGATGAAGCTCAACTGCAACAACGCCCTCCGCGGCGCAGCTCAGCCACGCGAAGTCGTAAAGGCTCAGGCGCCTCGGCTGGCTCGGCGCCTTTCGCTTCACACAATCGTCGTCCAATGAGCGCTGCGAGCGATCTCGAGGTGCCGCAAAGGGCCAAGTCGGACATCATGTCGACGAGGGGCGCAAGCTCGTCCCGCAACCCGGACCTGGATCTGCTCGCTAGGATCAAGTTGTACCGTGAGAGGCAAGAGAATCTGCCACCGAGTCAGTGGGGAGAAACGCCAAGTGCTCAGCTGTCGACTGATGCTGTGGACCCCACAGCAGCCATGCAGTCTGAGGCAGCCAGCCTACCTGTTCCTCCGAATACCTCTATCGATACTGCTCTCGCCGCGAATGCCCCCTCGGTTCCCGCCGGCGAACCGACCCCACGCCTCAACGCCGCCGGCGCAACCCTCGCAGCACCGATGAGACTGGACAGAGAAGACACCAACGAGCACCCTGCACGAGATGCGCCTTCCTTCCATCGAGAGGGTCTCGTCCCTTCACATCAAGTCGAGCCCAGTGCTGCAGACATCGTACGCGTCGAGTCCGTCAGGGGGCGTACAGGCGAATCATGGTCCGAGCAGGGCTCCGAGATATCCCATGGCGCTCACACATCGCTGGGATCACAGTCTGTCTCTGCCCCAAAGCCAAAATCCTTCGTTGCTGAGCATCTGAGTCCGACGCCCGAGGAGCAGGACAGTGGAGAGCTCGACGAGGCGGCGGCTCGAGATGGAGCTTTCGGAGCCATGCCGAATCCACATCGCGACTCCATGGCGGGGATTGGCTCTCGTGCAAACTCACACAACGCATCGACAGATGCTCTACACTTTCTCGGTGAGCAGAATCCACCTCAACCCGTCTTTAGCAGCCCCTCACTCGGCGGTGGCTGGGCGGACAAGGACAGCCGTACTCTCTTTCGCGCCTTTGGCCAAGCGTCGCCTCCTCTTGCCAACATTGACAGCGTCGCTGCCCTCCAAGGCGACTACTTTAGCGCCTTGGCCCTCGGTCCAAGCCCGTACTCGGTCGTCGATCGAATGGCGCGCCCAGGCAACGCTACTCCCCCTCCGCTGCAAGACGTCGGCAGCCCTCGCCTCGCCATGATGAGTCCCAAGCTCGGTCCTGTTCCCCTCACGCCGGAAGCCTCCGAGCAGCAGCAGCCGCAACTTCAGACGCCTCGCATGCCACCGTCGGGCGCCTTCATGTCAACCCGTCAGCTGCAGGAGCTTGCCCGCCACTCAGCCTTTCCCGACAGCTACGGCATCCAATCTCCCTTTCTCGGCTCCGCTGCAGAAGAACAAGGGCGACGCGTCGAAGAGGCTCAAGAAGCAGCCGCTGCAGGACAGTACGGCTGGCAAGAGCTCGCACCCGTTGAGAGCCTGCCCTCAGATGGTTGGGTGCCGGAGAAGCATGAGGGGCTCTTCACCAAGGCCTTTAGACCCGTGTCTGGCTTCTTTGGCGGTGGCAGTAGCGGCGCCGTCTCGGTGGAGAAGCTCAAGCAGGACATGGCCAAGATGGAACCTGACCTGAGCTCTTCAAAGTGGGGGCGGAGGAGGAAGTCACAGCCCGCAGCGGCAGTGACGACGTACGTCGAGCCGGTCGTCGAGCCTGTTGATCCTGCTGCAACTGGTCATGAGCCCGTCATCGACGACAGCCTCTCCCGCCAGATGACGGACGCAGTCACTGACGCGCGTGTCATCATCGGCGAGTCCAGCGATAATCAGGAGCTCGACCTAGATGACGAATACATCTCTCCGCCCTCCAAGGGCCCGCTTCGGCCTCGAGGTGTCGAGCACTGGCTGCCAGACGTCCTTGTCATGCCCGGCGTGCTCGAAGGAAGCCCAGAGCAGCCCCGCTCCAAGCTGTGGCAGAACGTCGACGATGGTAGCCCTAATATCGGCGGAGCCACAAAGCATCGTCGTCGTCAAAGCGGCCTGTACGTACCCGAGGGCTTCGTCTTGCATAATGCTCAAGGGTCGGGGCCGGCACAGATTGTGGACGACATCGGGTTTCCACGTCGCACTGCATTCATCTACCCAATTGCAGCGCCGAGAGGCATCGGCCGACGCGCAATCATGCCTTCTACGGCTCTCTTCCGCAATGAACTCGTCCGCCGGGACGAGGACCGTGAAGGTTGGGGTTTCGAGTCCACCTCGCTGCCACCGGTGCCGGGCGAGGGCATTTCTCCAGACGATGCTGAAGGGGACGCAAAGCTATCAAAACGCCAGAGGCGCAAAGCAGAGAAGACGGCGAGCAAAGAAGCCAAGCTACGCCTCAAGCGCAAGCGAGCGCGAACCCTGCGTCGTCGCACGAGACGCCGCGCTACGCGTGAGGGCAAAACGTGTGCGGAGCTCGGCGTTGCAGAGGAGAGCCCCGTGGAGGACCTCTCACTGACTGAAGACTCGGAGGGAGATCTCACAGATAGCTCAGATGGAGAGCTCAGTCCGGATAGCGACGAGGAACCCATCCTGATTGATGAGGCCAAGCCTGCCGGCAAGCTCTATGGAAAGAGTCTGATGGACGTTGCCGAGGAAAAGAGACGGCAACGCCTTGCGAATCGACGTTTTTACGGACAGCAAGAGCTGGATGTTGTCCGCGATGCATCCGTCGACGGGGGCGAGACCGGCCACAGGGACTCAGCCAGCCCGTTCAGCTCCAATGACGTGACAGCTGCTCCCTCTCTTCATGCGCCGAGCATCGCCGCCCGATCATTCAGGGACAACGCCAACGGGAGGTATAATGATACGCGTGAGAGGATGCAGGCCGCTTTCGGTGTCGATACGAATTGGGCGAGGGAGATGGCCAAGAGGAGAGATGAGGAGAGGGTTGAGGAGGAGCAGAGGCTTGAGGAGAATGAGAGGAGAGAAGTGGGGGAGAGAGAGAGGGAGAGAAAGAAGGAGGAGAAGAGGGCGAAAAGGGCGATATTCAGCAGGAAGAAGGTAAACAATGCGACTCCGGCTAAGGTGGACCAGGTGGGCGCGGATGGAGAGGTTCACTACCAGGCTGATGCTTCTGCGGCAGCAGCCTATGCGGCAGCCCATGCCGATCATGGTCTGCAAGAAGAAGACGCTCACGGCCAACAAGCACAGGAGCCGATACCTCCCTCGCCTCCGCGATCCAAGACGCCTGTTGAGCCGCCTCGTCTCGATGTTGCCGCCAACGGTGAGAGCAACGCTGATGCTTTTGGCGTTGCGCAGTGGCTCCTGCCCTCATCTGGGGACGACTCGTCTGACTCCGAAAGGGGCGCAGCAAGACAACGAAGCACAAACATACAGCAGCGCAGTCAACAGCAGTACACTGGACAGCAAGCACCTCGCGTCCAGCTTGGCCGCCTTGCAGACGACACGAGCGACAGCGAAGATGATGAGGTACCTCTGGCCCAGCTCAAGCGCAAGTCGGTCATGACGTTAGCGCCTATGCTCCTCACAAAGCCCACTCGAGCAGCGCAAGACTCGTCAGAGGAGGATGAGAATATGACCCTCGCACAGCTCAAGCGCAAATCCGGGGCTCCTCATGCCAGGCTCTCTTCGCTCAACAGCCTCGGTAGCGGTACAGGCGGTCGCGACGCTAAGCCTTCCTCATACAAGGCCTCTACGCTGCGCTCGTCCTCGTCCTTAGGCCAGCCCAATGGTGGCGTGAACGACGCAGCATCGTCTTCCTCGGACGACGAGGTGCCTCTAGCCCAACTTCGCAAAAGCACGGGCTTATCGCATGCGCGAGGAGGCAACAGCGAGCAGGACAATGCTCCAGCTTCCGACGAGGATCGCCCCCTCGGGCTCCGTCAGGGCGCCTCCGAGGCCGTGGCTGCGGCCCTCTCCAAACTCCAATCGAGGCAAACCGCCCCAGCCGACCCATCAGACGAAGACGATCTCCCTCTCGGATCCACCCATCCCCAAGCGGCCATCATTGCCCGCCAAGCAGCTCAGATTCGGCAACTCCAACAGGCCCAGCAGATGGCAGCCATGTCGCCTGCGATGTCAATGATGCCGTGGTCTCAGTCGATGGGCTCGCCGTCGATGATGAGCTGCAGCCTGCCGATGCAGATGCCGGCCGCTACCTCGTCAATGATGTTTCCCTCGCAGGCTATGCTGCAGCAGTACTATGAGCAAGGTCCATCAGGCGCTGTGACAGGTATGATGAGTCCGCATTTGGGTGGTCCAACGCCGGCTGAGGCCGTCAAGGCTTCGTCGATTGAGCGATGGAGGGATGACGTGCGATGAGGGAGATCTTGACGCCGTTCTTCTGCTTGCCTACCGCTAGCACTCCCACTGGCCTCCAGCCTGCTCATTTCTCTTCTCATCTTGTAATATCGCATCATCTGCCCCTGTCTCAATCGGTTCGCATCACACGTACATATAGAATGGAGCATACACAATCTCTCGTCGATCAGCTCAGCATCGTCTTGCCATCGTCTTCACGCTTCGTCGGGACGAGCTTCAAAAGGCATTAGAATAATCTTCGACGTCAAAGGGACATGAAAGGCCGACCCTGCGGAGGAGCCCGCGAAGAAAACAAAGTGATAATGACAATGACGAGGATAGACGAGAAGGCAACCACTCAGCTCTCCATCTAATGCTCTCCACCTCCAACCGATCGAGGGGCTAGATGATGGCCGCAGCAGAGCGACTGCCCCGCTGTTGCATGCTGCTCCCTATCGCCATCTATCCACGCCTTCGTTCCTCACCTCCGCCTTCCCTCTGCCCAGTTGAAGAGGTCAAGGCTCTGCAAGCCCTTCGAGCCGCCCCCTGTACCGCCGCCGTTGACCGTCGCTGCACCCGCGTTTGTACCGTTCGCCATCGATCCGCCCTCTGATGGCGAGCTACCACCGTTCGCTGCTCCTCCAGCCGCCGCTGCCGCTGCGATCCCTGCTGACGCACCCAATGTCGCCACTCCCAACGTGGTAGACGTGGCAGCGCGAGGCTCAAGCCACAGACTGCGCCTGTACAAGTCCTCCGGGCCGGAGGTCTTCTTGCCCTTGACCAATGCCACGCGCTCTAGCCAGACCTGTACCTCTGGCACCTCGACCAAGCTGTAGGGACTCTGGAAGCGCTGCACCTCCGCCACGATCCTGCTCAGCTTGGCGTACTTGTCGAAATTGACCAGGTGGTGCGGCTTACCACCCCTCGCCAATGGGCTAGGCCGCGTGTCCGCGTTGCCCTCGTCGCAGAAGGTCAAGTCGGTGAGGAAGAGTCCCAGGAAGGGCAATGCAGGGCAGAGGGCGCTTCGCACTCTTGATCGATAGGTGGCAAAGTTGCGCGTGTGCTCAATGACATGGCGCTGTTGCTCTGCCAGGTTGACGTATTTGGCAGAGAGGAAGTTCCACGTTTTGCGGAGACGGGAGATGGTCGAAGCTTGTAGGGCGCCCTGGATCGCGAAGAGGGCGTTGTAATTCTGCAAAGCCAGACAGCGGTCGCCGAGTTTGATGAAGAATTTGAGTAGCTGTGCGCGTCGCTTGGGATCCTCCTCGCTGAGGATCGACTCGGTGATCCAGCCGGTAATGTGCGTCGTGAGAGCGCTCATCTGCTTGATATGCGTGCCCGTCGAGGCGGTGGGCGGGAGGCAGCTGCCCTTCTTGCAGGTGACGCGGGCTAGCAGCTCGTCTGGCAGGATGCAGCAGAAAATCTTGCTCTCCATGATGGTGAGCTGACGTGCTAGCTCCAAGGGATCAAAGTCGAGTACACTAGGGGCGCTGCTGCCGTCGGGGCTCATCGCACGCAGTGAGGCCATGAGCGATTTGTTGACCACGGGAGCGGGCGGGGCTGGGCCAGTGCCCTTGGATGTGGCAAAGGTCGATGGTAGGTACATGGCGGAGATATCGATGAGGCCAGGTTGGAATGCCGGGTCGAGACCGACAAGACGCTTGAGGCTTCCGGGACCCCTGGTTGCACCGGCCTGCAGCGCCGTCGTCTTTGTCGAGTCCGTCAATGTCTGACGTCGCTCAACGAGCTCAGCCAAGCGCTGCCCACTGCGCTGCAGTGCGTGCGTGACAGACGAGGAGATGAAGTCATTCAGCGGTTCTAGGATAGTCCTGTCCGTCGAAGCATGCCAGTGAAGCCCGAGCCAAGTCTTGAAAAAGTTGAGCACCCTCAGCCTCACGGGCATGACCTTGCTGCTGACCCAACGAGTCATGGCCTCAGGATGAGACTCAATCTCAGGAGGAGTAGGCATGCTGAACCGAGCCACGAGCGCGTCGAAGAGGTCAAGAGGCGTCGTGAAGAAGCGGAAGCAGAGGAAAAAGGCGTTTGCGAAACCGGCATTGACCATAGTGTCGTGAGGCGTGAGCTTCTCGACGAGGGCAGGAAGTGTGGCTCCGGTGACTTGACCATCGGTATTAAAGCACACGTCTTCTGGCTCGTACGAGGGAGCACTGATGAGGCTCTCGATGGAGGTTCGCCTATTCGCGAGCATGACGCCGCCATTCGAGTTGATCGCCGCTGACGCAGTGGGAGTCGTCTGCGCCCTGTCGTCGTAGAAAGGAGCGCTGCGGCTGCTTGCATCGGTGCCCCTGCGGTCCATCTTGGCGGAGCCAGCGGAGCCATGGACCTGCGATGAGTTGTCCGCGGTGGTCAAGCTCGTCTGGCTCGAGTGCAGCGAATGCATGGTGGAGCCTGACGTTCGCGAATGTTGGCGAGACGCAGCATCGCTGGCGTCGCTGGTCTCGCCGCTGAGATCGCTCTGCATCGGTACACTGGTCGGCGGCTCTGTAAGAGCGTGATGAGGAAGTGGCGGACGGCGATGATTCGAGTCCCAATGTGCATCCTCGTTCTCGCTCGTCTCTGCGGACTCGCTCTGGGCCATGGCATCTTGCTCGTACTTCTGTCGCAGGCAGCTCAAGCTCGTGGCTTTGCGGCCGAGGAACGAGAGAGTGTTCCTGCCCTTGCGGATCGTCGCCGGTGGCATCGGCTGCCCATTCCTAAGTCCCTCTTGCACAGCCCTCTCTTCCAACTCTTCGAGCTCCTCCTCCTCCTGTCGCTCTCCAGCGGCTGCTCGTGCATCTCTCGCAGCCCCTGCCTTGCTCGGCATCGGCATGCTGATTTGAAGCGACGGCTCTGCCTTGCTGAGACACATTCTGACAGCGCCAACGCATTCTTGGCCGGTGCGCAACAGCCCAGTGGCGGCGGCCAGGAGCTTGCTCTTCTCCTCGTCTTCGCTGCCGATTGTTGGGGAGGCACCGGGCCCTGAAGCCGAGGTGGATCGCGATGTAAGGATTCTGGCCGCAGTGACGAGCGCAGAGGTCGCCTCGTACAGACTGTCCTTGGCGTCCGAGAGGATCGACACTTCCCGCGGCCATAGTGAGCTCAGCGTGTTGGTGTCGCAAACGGGCTCGACAACGATGAGGAGATTGCGCACGCTGTCAACGGCTTCTCGCGTAACGTCGATGAGGAAGGCGGCGCTCGCGGCATGGGAGTCGCGCGCGTGACCGTGCGTATGGCCGACAACGGCAGCGACGATGGACAACAGGTGCTCGTGTGCACGCTTGAGTCTGTCCAGCACCTCCTCTCGCGTGTGTACCGTCGAATGTTGCTCCTGGCTCTCGTCCGACAGTGACTCAGCAGTCGAATAGTTCCTCGAGCGAAGCGACGCAGAAGCCGTCTCGTTGTCCGTAGCGGTGCTCTCGGCAGTGCTGGCTGTTGAATCTGCTCGCTTACGACCGTCTTCTGGCGGGCCAAGCCAGCGATCGGAGGGCTTCGCGCCAGGTGAAAGAGAGGGCCCAGCAGCGGACGGTACAGGCGGTTCATGTGCGCTCAGAAGAGGCGATCGCCCGCCCTTAGCGCTGTGGCTTCCATTGCTCGAGCCGCCAACGTTTGAGCCCAAGCCAAGACTTCTTCTGTTGGTATTTGTCGAGGTGCGAGCGGTGACAAATGAAGACCGAACTGAGCCAGGCGTAGGCGTCTTGTCTGACTCGGCTCTCTCCTCGGGTGTTGAGTCTGGACCGTCAGGGACATGAACGCCGCATTCTGAGGCGACAGCGATGAAGCGCTTGCTGTTGTTCATGACGTTGCTGGCATGGCGTAGCATGTCCTGCATATCTTGCGGGGACGGATCTGCATCCGCAGCGACGGCAGATGCACGCCGCGATTGGGTGACCAGCCTACTGAGCTCAGAGAGAACCTGCTTTCTTTCTCTAGCCAGGACTGGATGAGCCTTAAGCGTCTCCGACTCGCGCGTGAGGCAGTCAGTTGCCGAAAGCACCGAGCGCACAGAGGAGATGACGCAGGCGGTGGCTGGCTGAAAGTGCGCCCATCTGACGGCCTTGACTGCGTTTTGGAGGAGGGCAATGGAATGCTGGATGGGCTCGAGGATACCCAAGCCGCTGCCGCTGCGATACGGATCCACGAACGTCGAAGCATGAGGGCGACGGATGGTGGAAGCACCCGCGCTACTGCTTCCGCTGTTGCTGCGCCGTAGACCAAAGACACGGTAGCCCGACTCATGCGACGCCGGGGCGACGTGGTAGCTTTCGCTCTCGCCAAAGCTATTGTCGGGCGAAAGCTCGGAGTGGGCGGCAGAGTCTGGGCTGCCGATTGCCATGCCTTCCTCGTCTACGTAATTACTCGGGAACCACCCTCGCTCGCCATCGAGCTCTCCGTCCCACCAGCCCGACGAGTCTCGATTGAAGACCCGAATGACCTCGCCAGCCCTGAAGGAAAGGCAGGTCTCGTTGCTCGACGTAAAGTCGTGCAGAGCTACGACGTGCTCTTCAGGTGTGGGTTCCTCGTCTGTGCCCTCCTCGCTGACATCTCTTTCGTCCTCCTCTGTAATGGCTGAAGCCCCGTGAGAAGCCTGACTGCCGCTGCCTCGAGGGGACGTATAGGTAGCTGGAGTCGTTTGCATCCTCCTCGCAGTCGGTCGAGGCGGACGCGGCGGTGTAGCGCCAATGTCTAGGGGACCAATGGTTTCTGAGCTGGCGCCCGAGCTCGATGTCTGGGCCGACGCTATTGAAGATGATGTGGAATGGCTCGTCATTGCTGACGAGAAAGAGACTGGTCGCAATTGACTCCGTGCTAGTTGAAGCTTGGCATCACCCCTCGATGCGACATCCGGCACCTGGAGCGCAGTCCCCGCCGAAGGAAGTTGGTGATGCTTCTGCATCGTGTATGCCGCCTCAGAAGGGAGGCGACTGCTTGAAGCAACGGGCATCGTCCTCAGTCGCGTGTTGAATGGAGGCTAGCGAGAAGATGTAGAAGCGGGTCGCGTTTTGGGTTACTAGGCGTTGAGGGGCATCACGCGCTGTGCAGGGGCGTCCAAGGCGAGAAGAGGTAGGCGATGATGGCGACGAGGTGAGAGTGTTCAAGGAGAAGGGCAGGCAATTAGCAGGCCAGAATCGGGCCAAGGATTTTGTATGAAGGCAAGCGCACTGAGAGAACGCAAAGCAGTTGCTATGAGGTCAGTTGAAGATGCCCTGGTCGCGCCGCGTGCTGTTTGCTGTCGGACATCTGGCAAGCCCGACGTGCGGTTCCTGGCCTGAATGAAACTCACCTAATGGTCGATTGCTCAGCGATGCGGCAGGAGATGGTCTTGTAGGATTGCTCCTTCTGCTGCTAGCTGACTCGCGTGCGGCTGTGATGAAGATCGTGACACGACGCGATGAGGTGAATACGACGTCCGGAATCGAGGCAGGGGGTCAGAAGATACAGAGAGTGGAGCTGAAGGTGGTGACGTGGACTTGCGCGCAAGATGCCGGATCCTGCGATGGGCTGAGGCGGCAATGAGACGATGCGTGTGTGCTCTGCCGTGGTCGCCGACCGTAGAGAAGGAGGCGTGTCTGAGAATGTTTGGCCGCGGGAACGCGGTCAAGAAGGAGGAGCAGGGCCGCGAGCCTATACTCGAAGGCTAGGTACGGAGGCTTTGGTGTGTAGGAGGAAAAGAGGAAGCAACGCAGACCGGCGGACGTTGATAGAGAGATGGAGATTGGGAGAGGGAGAAGGAGATGATGATGTGCGACGCACTGCGATCAGGGCACTTTCTCGTGCGGAGGCGAGGGGGGGGGGGCAGTTAGCAGTCAGGGGGGGGCGGCGGGCGGCGCCTGGGCGGAGCAGGGAGCGGGAGCCAGTGCGGGCAGCACGAAGGGCAGGGGCGGCCGCCAAAAACACACGGCAGGGCGGGGAGACTAAGCAAGGGTCACACTATTGACGTACATGAGCCTTAGCTTCTTGGATGCTATCAGCAAGTGGCACGCACGGTCTCCCACACTTCCGAGCCTGCTGTCATGTCATGCCCATGTCCGCGATTCATGATGCTCATCAACATCGAGCCGCACCAGACTGGACGATCCAAGCTCAGAGACATTCGATGGGAGCCGCGGCCGCTGCTCGTTGTGATGCTAGCGTAGCGTCGGGCGGCGGCTTTGAATGAGGGACCCACCTAAGACGTCTTATGAGAGCTTTCGCGGAGATGGGTGAAAGGGGCTAGTTGCTCACAGATCGTCGTCGTCGCACTTTCGCTCCGTCGCTCCGCCCGGCCTCTGCTATTGAGCCGCACCGTCACTAACGAACGTCGGAGGGCGGCGTGCTGAGAGAAAGCATACAAAGACAGACAGCCACCCAGGCTAGTCCACCGGCGGTAGTTCAAGCGGGATCTCGCTCTAGCACTCGTTCTTACGAGGCTCGTCGAAGCGATCAGACGATCGCGATGATGATGCGGCCTCTTGCAGGCGAAGGAAGGCGACTTGAGCGCAGCCCGCACCGTCGGGTTGCAGATGTGAGCCAAGCTGTGAAGGTGGGTGCGGGCGAACCAACACATGTGAATTTGGACCCTCGTTCACGATGCCACTGACGAGGCGAGGTCTAGGGAAACAACTGTCACGCATTCAGCAGTGTGCCTCGCCAAACGGTGACTCGTGCAGCGGCCGTAGACTAGCAGCGCACACGTCGCTCTTGTTGTCGATTGGGGACGGTCCAGCGAAGGGTAAACAGGGGGGAGAAGAAGAGTCCATCGACGCGATCGAATACAAGTCACATCGCAGGATAGAGCCCGCCGTAAGCACAGACTTCGCTATATCAGCTGCCAAGCAAGCACGACTCACCAGCTGCACGGCACGAGGCATGACAAGCGACACAATGAAGGCGCGATGAACGTCTGTGCAGTATCGCGTCGCGAAGAACGAACTTCGTATCAATTGCATCTCCTATACGAAGCCGGGAGTGATGAGTGATGATGACGAAACAAACCCCAAACCCCAACCACAGCACGGAGCTGCCCTGAGAATTCATTATCGCGGATCCCCCCCATCCACGACGTGGGGACGCCAAAGGACGTCGACATGGGAAGCGTGATCAAGGCGGATTTGGTGAGGGGCAGCTCTGGTCCCTCGTCGAGCTCTCTTCTCTTGCTTCCCTTCTCCCCACGCCTGCAAGGCAGCTCTATCCGGCAGGGACACAGCGGCCGACGATGTAGGCAGGGGCACGCGACCTCGTACCACGGGCCGTAGCTTGCTTTGTTAGTGTGGGGAGCTGTGGGAAGAAGAGCAATTCCTGGTTCAACGAGCGGTGCAATTGACGCCGTCCTGATCAAGTGAACAAATGGCGACGCCACCTTCGTCTATGAGCATCGCGCTCTCTTGGGTCAGAAGAAGCGAGTGCACACGAGACGAGGAGCAAGTTCAAAGCCTTTCACGTTGCGGCTGCCTTGCATGCCAAGGATGGCCGATCTGCAAGCGCACGGCCGAGCGCGCTTGGAGCGGAGAGGAGCAATCAATGCAGACTCGACGTCCCATGCAGCCTACCACCATCTGAAGTGATACTCTCGGTGGCCACGACCGCAGGTTCAGCCTACTAATGTTGCACCTTTGCACCAATCGCGCTGGGCAATCACACAACTCAGGCAAGTCTCAGTGGGCCGACTGGGAAGGGGAAGCTGGTTTACAAGCTTGGAGGAGACTGCACAGCTACTGCAAGCAACGACTACATCCAAGGCTAGGGCGTAGAGGAAGTCAAATCCGGCTGAGCTACGATGTAACGCTTCGTCTCGCCCCGCCGTCATGATCATCGAGCGCGCGCCGCGTCGGAACCGGCCAGCGTGGGCCAATCAAATGCCCGCCGACGCCAGCTCATCCATCTCGAACCTCAACGGAGTCAGGCACCGCCTTCCGCCATCCGCACCACCACTTTATCCCTCCATCTCGACCCTCGAAAGAGTTTTCTTCAAGCACTGGCCGTCGCTCTCGATGCTCGCCTCTCGATCTCGGCCCTCGACACCGACTACCTGGGGCGGCCAATCAAGCACCGCCACCCGCCGTCCGAACACTCGATGGTCACCTCTTGTTCTCGACTCGAGTTCCTCCTTTTCTCCTCTTCCCCTCGCGCGTGCACCGATCATGGTCACGCTCCCCCGTGCTCTGCGACGCTCAAGGTGCAGCACCAAGCTCGTACTGCTCGAGGCACAAGCTCCTGCTGAGGACGGTGACACGGCCGTGCGTAGCTCAGCGTCCCTCGCCCACGCCGGCCCAGACAAAGAGGCTACTCAGCGCCACTCTACCGAGTCATCTGTCCCCCAGCACCTCCCCACAGCACCTCTTTTCTAGCACCTCTCCCCCAGCACCTCTCCCCCAGCACCGCTCTCACAAGTGCATGCGCACGACAATCCTAAGCCAAAATCCGTGCTAGAAGCCATGACGTTTGGGACCATGTCTTTGGCCTCGCAGTCGACGGCAAGCTCCCTCACCTTGACTCTACATCCAGCGGATCAAGGTATCGAAAAGCAGCAAGACGAGTTCGTCACACAGTGGGTAGAACCACACCCTTGCATGCATGGGTAAGCCAAGCCTCCACCGGCTCAGCATTTTGACGCCTGCTCCAGGCGAGTGCTCTATGCTCCTCCTCGCCTTTCTTCATTTGCTCCTCAAGAGCCAATCTCCCCTATTGTCCGCCTCACCCCTGCGTACATGCACCACAATGGCTCCAAGGCCACCACCAGCAAGCCTCCGCAACGCCCGCTGGGCATTCTGCCGATTTGAGCCACCCTATAAGTCCCTCCTCGCCGACGACGTCGTCGAGCTCCCTCCACCTCGACCGGGCAAGGACGAGGCTGCCATCCAGGCCGCACTCAAGCAACTGGGAGGCAAGCTGGCGCAGAGGATCGCTCAGAGGATCCTCCCCAACGGGGAATGCCTGTCGGACGAGGATCCCGACGAGGACGATGAGAGCGAGGAGCCTGCCACTTTCCGCTGGAGGGATGCCAATGCTGCCTTCGCTCGGGCACCACTACGCCCCCTCTTCGCCGAGGCTAGAAACGCCAAGGGAAGCAGCAGGACGCCCCTTGCAACCATCAACCTCAACACGAAGCAGGCGTTCCTTCACCCGTCTGGCCTGCCGCACGCACAGGTCACACTCAACGTTGCCTCGAGTGGGACCGAGATGGAGTGCAGGTGAGTAGCTGGACGTCTATGCCGATGTCGAGCCGCAGCTGACTTTGATAGCACGCCCACAGCTTTCGCTCTATCAAGAAGATGGTGACGCTGCGTCACGACCTTCGCGATGCTCAATGGCTCCCCTCCCTCACCGCCGCCGCAAAGGCGTACAACCTCATCCCGACGCTGAACAACCTGTCTCGCGCGGGCAACGCCGACGAGGCAAAGGCTGTCGCCTCCCTCCTCCTCGCCTTCTTTGCGGGGCCTCTACACGCGGCCATGTCCTTCAACGTCAGCGAAGGTGCCATCCTCCAAGTAAAGGAGGAATTCGACATCCTCGTCGGCGCAGCCGAGCAGCCCAGCTTCGTCGGCCATCGCGGAACGCGCTTCCGCGACAAGATGCACAATGGCCGCTACCTCCTTGTCCTGGAAACGGCAGACCGCGTCAGCTGGGAGAGCAACCCTGGCCAGTCTCGCGCCTTCCTGCGCGAGGATGACCGCGAGCGCGACAAGGGCATCCTGAGGGCCATGCTCTTCCATCCTGCCTGAGACGGCTTTTCGCTCAAGACGGTCTGGGATGCATGGTCGCAGCTTGTCCTGGTCGAGACGCAAGCAGACGAGGTTGTCTCCGGAGTCCTCGTGCATGCTGGGCAAGGCAACTCTCGCGCCCGCAAGGAGACGACAGCGCGCAAGGACACCGTCGGCGACACCATCCGTCGTCGCGCCCATATCAAGTTTTGCCTCGCCCCTGGCCTCGACCAAGGCTGCTATCGGGAGGAGCTGGGCCAGATCTGCACGAGCAAGCGTTGGCACAACGCCTTCATTCGCAGGTTTGCATCGACCTGGCAGATCGACCCTTCCAGCTTGGACATCATGGTGCCTCACCTCGGACCCAGCTCCATCAAGTGCTGCGACCTCATCACCAGGGACCTATGCAGGGCCTGCTTCGTCGCACACCACGCCCATTACGCGCAGCTGCCATTCAGGGAGCTGTGGGCCGACGCAGCCGACGCTCGTCTGGTGCAGCCGCATCAGATTCGCGCACAAGCCGTCCCCGTCTCGGACACCGTCCTGTCCGGCACTGGTGACCCCGCTATTGGCGCAGTCGTTGCGATCTTTCTGTCCTCTCAAGACGCGGACAACGAGGCTACCTGGGCGCTGGGTATTTTGCCAGCTTGGGTGCCGATGAGCGCGATCCCGGCGAGCAAAAGATTCCTCGCTCGCCCTGTCCACCAGCTTCTCGAACGCCATGGCATGCTCTCCATGGCTCGACCCTCAATGGACAGGATCTTGGACGCATGGCTCTTCGACGACGGCAAGGTTGCGCTGCACTGCCGCGAGAACGTGCGCCTGACGGATGTGGCCCGCAATCTGGCACGTGGGGCGTACACAACGGCGCTCGAGGCGGACCTGCTGGAGGGCGCCATCGTCGTACACAACGTCATTCGGCCCATCCTGGGCGACGAGGTTGGGGACCGCATGCGCGCCAACATCGTGGCAAGCCTCGAGAGGGAATTGAACCCGGACAGGTTCTGGGCGAACGAGCATGGCACGGCGGCTATCTACGACAGGGTCAAGAAGCACAAGTCTCGACAACTAGCAGATCAGGCTAGCAGCTCCTTCCGTCTCGTCGCCGCCAACCTTCCCCGCGCCTCGTGGAACGACGTCTGCGATGCGACGGCGGAGCGCTGCCGTGCTCTGCTTGCCAAGCTCAAGGCAGGCAGCAAAGCGCAGCCGCCCAATGAGGAGGTGAGCTCGGAGGTAGACGTCAAGCAGCCGGCAGAAGGCGAGAAAGATGAGGGAGACGACGAAGATGATGGCAAGGCGGACGATGGAGGCGAGAACGAGCGCGACGAGGAGGACGACGAGGCTGCGTTCACTCCCGCTCAGCGACGAATCTTCACGAACAAGGAGATTCGCATCACGGCAGCGATGGCGCAGCAGCTGGAGCAAGCCGTCTCCCCTGGTCGCCCCGCCCTTCCCCGCAAGCCCGGTTGCCTGCTTCCCCGCCTCCCTTTCGTCCGGAGCAGTGGGACGACCACGACGTGCTCTCCTTCGCGGCCGCGACGTGCACGCGCGTCAACGAGTGGTGCGACACTCAACGCCGCTGCCCTCGCCCGCCTCCCACCAGCCTCGCCGCCAACACCACGTCAAGGACCGCTGGCTGAACGACGACGTCGAGCCTACGCGCACCCCTTGCACAGTCTTCTGTGCATGGGTTGTCAAGGCTTTGGAGGGCAAGCTCGACCACTGCCCCGTCACCGGCCTTCCCTTGCTCTTCGTCGGGGCAAACTGCGTCGAGAGGCACCCTCTCGCAGCCTCACTGGCTGCGCACAAGGTGCACGCTTTGCCTATCGACACTGGCTTCGACGCGGGTTGGCCGACATCCCTCGCTCAATATCACCCTGAGCGAGTGAACTTCTCCGTCGAATCGTGGTTCGGCAACAAGTGGAAGAAGACCTGGCGACTCTCGGGCCTCGCTGCCACCCTCGATCGACGAACGGACCGGTTTCTGCGGGAAGAGGCGCTCTTTGATTCAGACTTTAATTTTTAAAAGGATCGAATCAAGAAACCTACGAGCGCGTCATTGTCAAAAAGTGTGTGACAATGGAAAACAAAGTAGAGCAACACTGCGTGAAGCGTGAAGCGTGAAAGTGGACTAGGCGCGAGAGGGTCGTCGTGGGCGAGGACTATCTTGACGTCGTGTACTAGGACGTCTTGTGACAGCCTATCGATGGGCAGGGCTGCGGGCGTCAGGCCATGAGTGATGACGAAGGTCAAGACGAGCAAGGCAGCATTCAATGCGATACGAAGCCACTCAGAACTGGCGGCGAGTGAGCCTTCGCCACGGCTTGCTTGTACGAGGATACAAGCAAGAGCTTGAGATTTGAGAAAACGTCGAAACTCCAAGCTACGTGTGAAAGGCGTCACCGACGTGGATCACAAGGGTGGCAAGAGCCAAGTGACGAGCGTAGGGAATTGAATCACCTCTGCGTGTCCACAAGAGCAGATGAACGCGTGCTTCGGCCATGCGACCCCGTTGGGATGCCACTAGCTCACGCGGACAGTCGGTGCTGAGACGGCGAGCTAACAGCAAGACAGACGCAGGCAAGCCCGAATGTACGAGGAGAGGAGGAGGAAGGCGAAGGTGGAAGCGACTCAGTGAGCTCTACTCTGCCCGTGACACGATGGTTAACCGCTGTGATGCGCGATGGCTTTCTCTTGAGCCCGACCGTGCAATTCTCTCACTCGTCTCGATCGCATTCTACACAAGATCTCTGCAGCCTCTCTCTGGTCTGCCGGGTTGTGACCGCACGCTTTTGTGATTGAATTGTGTGAAGAGCGACATGGGCAGGGGTTGCTGCTTCAAAAAGAATTGAGCTACGGAAGCGCGTACGAGGGTTGGAATTGGGGCTTCGTCTTGGGAGACGGAGTAGGCGATGGACGGGAGCTTCTTCTCTAATTGACGGAGAGAGGAGCTGCTTATCCGGATCCACCCTTGTAGACCTTGCCGAGGAAGACCTCCTGTTGAGGGTTGAGCGGCGGGAAGGGGAGGCGGAAAGAGGCGGACGCGGAAAGACGCGGGGCGGGCGGGGGCGGAAAGAGGGAAGGGCGAGCAGCAAGACAAGCGCGAGGGGGGCGTCACGGGTAAGGCGGGGAGCTCCAAGATGGTCAGTAGCATGCTCGCCATCAACAACTTCACCATCATCATCACACTTACCTGCAGCTTGTCGTACCCGGACAGCACACCGGCACCTGCGATACCACGGAGAATGTTAGCTCCAGCGCCCTGTGAAGAGGATGAGAAGGTCAGCGGGGTGTTGCGGGACGACTGGGGGAGGGTCTGGCATACCTTGAAGAGCGACTTGATGCCCTCTGCGGCAACGATCTGGCGACCGGCGTCCATGATGCCCTTGTACTGCGTGCGAGGAGGGGCAGAGACGTCAGAAAAGGTCGACTACCGCGAGCACGCCGCCAACTCACGTGAGTAGTCGTGCCCGAGGTCATCATCATGCGACGACGGATAGTGTCGAGAGGGTACGAGGCGAGACCAGCTCCGGTGGTGACACCCCAGCCGAGGAGGAAGGAGGCGAGGAAGTTACCCTGGAGGTTGCCGGTGAGGAGGACGGGCTTGAGCGAGTCGTACATTCCGAAGTAGAGACCACGGTAGACGATGATTCCGACGACCGAGGGGACGAAACCACGGTAGAGACCGGCGATACCGTCCGAGGCAATCGTCTTGCGGTAGACGTCGACGAGACCGTTGAACTGACGCTCTCCTCCGCCCTTGGCAGAGGACTTGGCGTCGTTGGCGAGACGGGTACGGGCGTAGTCGAGAGAGTAGACGAAGAAGAGGGACGAGGCACCGGCGGCACCACCAGAGGCAAGGTTGGCACCGAGCTGCTTGACGTAGGGGTCAGACTTGGGGACCTTGAAGAGGGACTTAAAGAAGTCCTTGAAGGCGAAGTTGAGCGCCTGAGTGGGGAAGTAACGGATGACGTTGGCCGTGTTACCACGCCAGAGAGAGGCGAGGCCCTCAGCCTGGTAGGTGCGGACAAAGCAGTCACCGATACCCTGCGGAGCGCGAGGAGGACACGAGATTAGCTGCCCGTCTTTTCGTTGGGGCGCACGCAGGCGCGCACGCGCACACACGCACCTTGTAAGGCGAAGCGAGACGGCCCTGCTTGATCATCTCGTCCTGGTTCTGGACGAGGAGCTTGATACGCTCGATGGGGGCGGCAGCCGTCTTGGAGACGGCGGCGGATACACCACCCATGAGGAAGTCAGTGGCGAAGCCGGAGGCCGACTTGGTGCCCTGCTTGGCGGGGTCAACAACTGTTCCCATTTTGTCTGTGGAGAGCGAGGTGAAAGGGGGGAGGTAGGTAGGGTGTGAGCCAGAGAAGAAGGAGGAAGAAGTGTGTGTGCGTGCGTGCGGGCGGACGGCTTGGTTCGCAGCACGAGACGTCGGCAGCAGATAAGGACGTGAAAAGCCGCACCGAGCTCGACAGCTTTAGCCAGGCCAAGGGATTGCAACGCTTCACTGCTGCTCTGCCTCGTCACCTCCCTGCATTGACACTCACGTTTTGTTCGGAAGAGTGGTGGTGAGGGGGAAAGGTGAGAAAGAGAAAAAAAGGAGATGTTGCGCTCTTCTCGCCCTCGAAGATCGCAAGCCGCCTGCCCGCCTGCTCGCCCGCCCGACCAGCAAGGCGAGGCGAGGGCCTTCAACAGAGGCCGGCCGCCTAGCTTGGCCTCCCCGCCCCGCCCGACCACCGCCCGGCGACAAACTCTGTGTGCGCTGGCGGGAGGTTGGCGTGAACCGGCGAAAAGCGGGTCGAGCACACACACAGGGCAGACAGTGGCGGCGAAGGCAAAGGCGAAGACGACGCCGATAGAGCTGCTGCCTGCCACTGTGCACGCCAGTGAGAAGGCCGAGGGAAGGGAGCGAGGGGAGGAAGGCAGGGCAAAGAGCAACACCCACGAAGAGTTCGAGGAGAGGAAAGCATTTCAAACGCAGAGCACGAGAGCGCAGAGCAGCGTGATGCTCATGGTGACAATCGCAGCAAAAGTGTTCGAGCGGCCAAGCGTGGTTCTGATGTGCGCTACGAGCCTGCCAAGACGCCGTGGTTGCTGAGTGTGAAGGGAAGCCCAGCTGCGGATCAGACTCGGAGCGAGCCGGCGATGGACCGGACGGTGGCTATCACAGCATGATACACAGTGTGAGGAGTGGGATGAATGCGATCTTGTCATTGATGGCTATAGTACAAAGGGTGATATCGGCGCTGACCTTGTAGAGCCTCTGCGAATTTGGTGCCATTGAAGCACTGGGAGCGAGCAATGGCAGAACAGTAGCGCTTTTGATGAGCGCGGAGACTGATGTCAATCGCACCGTCGCAACCACCCCAATATGATGTGTCGAGTACCGCCTCCAGGGTTGCTCAATCGTGAGTCGCTGCCAGCCTACACACTGGGCGCAAGCCTACACAATGGGCGCGAGTAGCTTGCGCAAATGCCATCCTGTCCTCCCCCTTCCCGCAACAGCCGTCCCACCCAGCGAGTTCAACCTACTCCCATTCACCTGCAAGTTCAAATGTCTCTTCCCTGCTTTTCCCCTCTTGAACAAGGGCCCAGGTCGCATCTCACCGCGTCCTTGCGACCCCATCTGCTCAGCCGCGAGAGCGTAGTCGATCGAGGACATCGTGCCGCCATTCTGCGCCGAGTAGGAGGCAAGCTGGGCTATGATGCTGGCTGGGTTGCTGTCGTAGCGTGGCCGACGCTTGGAGAGGGGACGAAAGCGTTTTGCGGCGCCTTGATGCGTTTTGAGCTTGCCGCCTCCCCAGGATGAGCAAGGGGCAGAGGAGGAGGAAAAGGCGCGGGCGCTGAGAGTTGCGTTGGCGGTAATCGATGATGATCCGGCGGCGTTGAGTCGCAAAGCTGTCGTCGTCCTCGCCGCGAGCGAAGACGTTGATTTGAAGAGGCTCATCATTGACGGACGAGGTGATTGAGATGGGAACAACTTTGAACAACGGACGGGCCGAGGAAGAAGTTGCTTACAAGGCCTCAGTCCGCCTGTCCGTCCGCGACTCCACCAAGCCTTCACAACGATCTTGTCAGTCGCACTGCCAGGCTGCAAGCAGACAATTGAGCAAGACGCCATGTTAAGAGCGATGAAAGTGCGCTGGCGTTGCTGTCAATTCGAGGGACGATCTTGCTTCAGAAGTCGTGTGCCACGCTCACACCGTGCCTTCGAGCAGCGTCACCCGCTTCACCGCACGCAGTCGCTCTTTCGCAGACTCTGACACACTCTTGATCGCTACGTGTGACATTTTAGAGCAGGGAATACACATTTATCCTCTAGCTACACACACGCTTAGAGCTTCTGCATGGCAGCAATGTCAGTCGACTGGACGTAGTCCTCGAGGTCCTCGGCGACCTGCTCCTGGAGCTCGTCGAGCGAGACCTTCTCATCCTCGACGACGAGGGTGATCTGGAGCTTCTTGACACCGTAGCCGACAGGGACGAGCTTCGAGGCACCCCAGACGAGACCGTCCTTCTCGATCTTGCGGAGGTTCTCCTCGAGGGCGGCCATGTCCGTCTCGTCGTCCCAAGGCTTGACGTCGAAGGTGACGACGGACTTGGCGGCGGGGCGAGGGCCCTTGGCTGCCTTCTTCTTCTCATACTCGGCGACACGCTCAGCCTTGATGCGAGCGGCCTCGGCGTCCTCCCTGTTTGCGCAAAGACGGTGGTGGTGGTGATGGTGAGCGATGCGGTCAATCGAAATCTCTGCCGGCCCGCTGCGGCGCTCGCAGCACTCACTCCTCGTCGTCCGAGCCAAAGAGGTCAATGTCGTCGTCTCCAGCGGCGTTGTCCTCAACAGCGACGGCCTTGGCGGCAGTCGACTGGACACCAGTGTTGGCGGTGGCAGCGAGAGCGGCAGCGGCCTTCTTCTTGTCGCCGTGGAGGTTGGGGTGCTCCTTCTCGAAGGAAGCGACGTGGGTGAACCAGCGAGCGACGTTGGGGTACTTGTTGGCGTCGGGGGCCGAGCAGACCTCGAAGACGGCAACGTCGGCTTGCGAGACCGAGTAGCTGTGGGCGAGAGGGGGAGAGCCGATGGCGTTAGTCTGTGCTTCTCACAAAAAGAGTGATCTTCCGCAGCAACCTAATGCCCGCCCTCCGCGCCCCGCCCTCCGCCCTCCTCTCGCTACCGCTGTCCAACAACTCAGAGAGCTTCGGAAAGGTGTTCTCGTCAAAGCATATACCACCCGGCATAATGCGGGGTCTTAAGCCGCACCGGGATGGGCTCGGAAACACGGACCGTAAGCTTTACAGAAATCATCATGGTGTGTTGGTTGCGATTGCCCCTCGTAGTAGGTCTCCATCCCTGGCCCCTCGTGCTGCCCTCGCTCTGCGCGCCCAATGCTTCTGACTCGCTCGTCTTGCCACACACGCACACTCACCCGTCAATGTATGACCTCGACGAGAGGAACTTCTCGAGGGTGGCGAGACCGCCGTCAGTCTTGAAGTCAGGGAGAGACATGGTGATGTGTATATGTGAGTGTGTGGTGATGGACAACTGAGAAGAAGTTGTCAAGTCGACGCAGCGCACGCATCGACGACTCGAAAAGTGGCCCTCTTCCCTCCGCTTCGTTTGCCAGCCTGCCTGCGCGAGGGGCCACAGACGCAGGCAGAGACGGTCACTCAAGCCTCCGTCTGCCTCTCATCCGCCTCTGCCTGGAATCGGAGCCGCCCCGAGTGCGACGACAAGACGGATAGAGAGGCAAGCCAAAGTGACCAACGAAGCTCTCGGCGCTCACTACCACCCACCACCCTCATCGCCGCCATGCTGAGGTCACTCTTCTCATCGGCGCTGGCCCGCTCATCACCCATCGCTTCGACATCTCGCCGTACCCTCTCATCCACTGCTAGCTCTTCACCATCACCGCCGACCCCCCCACCTGGAACTACGGCCCCGCGCAAGAAGTTCCACCCCTTGTCACAACGCTCTCCCGTCTCCCTCCCCATCGACTCCCCGGTCCCACGCCCATCGCGCACCCCGCCAGCCCTCGCACCTATCGATACCCCCTCCGCATTCCTGCGCGCCATATCCGCGCCTCGTCGCGACCTTACGGCGGATAATGCGCTCACGAGCCTCCTGGGCGAGGACTGGGCAAAGATGTGGTCGCTAGAGAGTAGAGACTTCAAGGGGGCTGGAGTTGGGATCAAGGAGAGACGATACGTCCTGTGGTGCATGGAGAAGTTCAGGCAGGGCTGGGATCCTAAGCATTTCAGGAAGAGCCCAAAGAACAAGAAGAAGGTCAGAGGGTGAGTAACGAGAAGACGATGAGAGAGAGGACATGCGCGCTACGACAGCTTCGCTGACATCCTCTGCCTCTGATTCCGTGTCGCTCACTCAGATGGGGACCGAGAGTGCAAAAGGGCATCAGAGTACGAGGAGAAAGGCGACCGGGAGAGAAGGCACCTTGATGGGCCACGCATTCGTCAATGGCAATCGTATTCCCTTGTCATGCCTGCAGACACTCAAACTTCACTGCGGCGCCGCTGCCTTCGTTGCTGCCTCTGCGTCGCCAGTCTGCCCTGCCAGAATCCTCCGCACGCTCTCCCTCTTGCGCTCATTCTCTCCCAGTCCCTTGGCCCATGCTTGCTCTTGAGGCTTGTCTGTGCGGGTACCGATGCGCATGTTGGACGAGATGCGGGGAGCTCCTTTGGCGTGGACCTGTGTGAGAGCGAGAGGAAGGGTCAACTTTGGCTCATGGCTCGTTCTGCTCGTGCAACCTGCTCACGGCTTCGTGACATCGCTCGATGGCCTGACAGACGAGGGGAAAGGGCCCTTCCAGGTTGGTGCCGTAGCCGCTGCAAGAGGATGACGAGTGTCACAGTCAGTAGTGCGGCTCAGCGACTGTTCTTGTCTTGCTCTCTCGTACTCACTGCATCTGAGATCATGATAACACGACATCGCGCATTCATCTCCTCGTCAGCTGCACGACCTCCAATCCTCTTTCCCCTGCGCGCGCCTGCTCACCTCGTATTTGATCCCCTCGCTCTTCATGGCCTCCAGCACGCGCTGGCATTCTGCGATGTAAGGGCCAACGGACGTCTCGGTACCCATTGGGATGACTGGCGCCATGCAGCGTTGGATTGAGTCAGCTTGCCCCGTGCGTGAGTGCGTGTATGCTATCGGACGGGCTCACGGCAGAAGTCACTGTGGTGGTGGAGAGCAAGGCTGGCGCTGGGTCAGCAAGCTGGCAGGAACCAGACGATTCCTCTTGTCCTCTCGCGCTCACGCGACCGCAAAGAGAACCATTGTGTCGCTCCTTATCGAGATGAGAAGTGGGTGCTGATCGAGAAGAAGCGCGAGACGGACTGGACTCGCGGGCGGCAATGTAGCAGAGCGCACGGATCGCCGCCACTTGGCGCGACTTGGCAGCTTCGCAACTTCACCTACTTCACTTCTCCTCCTCAACTCTCCTTTCCCGCCATTCATCTGCGAGCTCCATTGAATTCCAGAAAGATAGAGTGGGACAGCTCAAGCAGGACAGAGAGAGGGCAGAAGCACATCGTTCGTAATCGTCAAGTCCAGGCCGCGTGGCGTGACAGAATCACACCTCCTACTTCGTCGTACCAGTAGCAAACTGAATGCTCGGCGAGGAGCCCGTGTTGCCCTTGAAGATGGCTACCACGTTTTGCAAGAAGGTGTCGCCGTAAATGGCACCCACTTGCAGGCCAATAGCGGCATCTCCTGCTCGTGCGAAGGCGATCGACGTCAGCGAAGGTCAAGTAACGTGGATTTCGCGCGAAGAGACTGACCGAAGATGCCCAGGTAGGTTGTGGCGCCGTCCGTGGCCAAGGTAAGGGACTCGGGGCTGAGGGTGTAAGAAGTGCCCCCAAATGCGACCTTGACGTTGCTGGGCGCAGGGCCATTGACGGCGCAGGCGAGCGAGGTACCCTGAGGAGCGATAAAGGCACCGCGAATGGAGAGGCAGGCCACAAGGAATTGAGGGATGGGCAGGATGATAAGGGTTGTCCCCGTGTCGATGATCGAGGTGGGAGTTTGCTGGCCCTGAATCGATCCGGACACCTGGTCGCACGGTCACGGGAAGATGCAGTCAGTACGAGCGTCAGGTCGTCCCGCAAAGCGTGCACTCTCACCTGCCAGAATCCGTTGGCGCTGTTGACGGGGACATTGGTGAGTTTTCCCTTGTACGACGACTTGTCGACTCCGCCAAGGAAGAGCTTGGAGGCACCAGGGGTGCGACGAAGCGCATAGGCAAAGACGTCCGGGATCTTGGCTTGCTTCACGAGAGTGTAGAAGAAGGGGTCCATCTTGAACTGGCTGATAGACTTGAAGGCCATTCCGCTGATACCGGCCGCTCCGGGGAGGCCGAGAGAAGCACCGTTGGCGACGCCCAGGGCCTGGTTCTTGACGGCGAGGTCAGAGATGTAAAAGTTGTCGGTGTACACGGGACCGGAAGCAGTCGTGCCGTCACCGTACGAGATGGTGAAGTTCTGACCCGTGTTCTTGGCCGTCGACGAGGCCTTGGGGTTGTACGTACCCTCGTTCAGGATGGTGTCGCTGCTTCCCGTGTCGTGGTCAAGCTGAAAGGGGCCTTGCTTGGGGATACCGTACGACTGCGGCCCACTCCAGAAGAGCTGGTTCTGCTGGTCAATGAGGTCGATGCTGTGTGGCGTCTGGCGCTTGGCGAGTCCCGCAAGACGATTGGCGAGGACACCGCCTTCAGCCAGACCATGGCCGATCTCTTCGAGGGCCGTGACGTTGGCGGCAGGAGGGAAGTGACCGAAGTTGGCCTTGTACTACCAGGGCGCACCGGGAACAAGTCAGTACCTGATCGCGACCGCCTTCGCTGAACCAACGCCGCGCCGACTTACGTTCTGCATGGCCGTGTAGATCTTCTTCTTCGTCTTGGCAATGTCAGCCAGAGCATCCTCGAGCGAGGCAGGAGCTCGGCGGTTGATGTCAATGACGCTACGCGGGGCAGACTCGGTGGGGACAGCCACCGTGACCGACGCCACCGAGGCGATCAAAGCCGTGACAAAGGCGAGGGAGAGCTTCATGGTGATGGATGTGGGTATGGGTAGGGGTAGGAGTAGGCGGTAGTGAAGCAAGGACGGTTCAAATGGGACACGCTCAAGATAGGTCGAATGGGCGTCTACCTTATGAGTGATCCTGCAGCACCGTCACGCCCACGGTGCGGCGAAGGGACAGAGGGGTCGGGATGGAAAACGTCCCGCTCAGTGCTTCTCGAAAAGTAATTGAAATGTCACATCATGGCAGCTGCGCCCTGGTGCTTGGACCCCCGAGTCTTGCTCGGCACACGACGGCAACGAGAGTACGAGGTCAAGGCGGGCGTCATGACCGAGGGGCCCAGGAGCAACGAAGCTCTGTCTCTAGGCGGGGAGGGAGCGGGGTCTACCTGGGGGTTGGGCGACTGCAGTCCAACCTGGGCGTGGCTTCATTTGTGGCACTGCTGCCAACCCCAGCCAGGTACGATGGCGGCAGGCACCATTGCTACTTACTGCCCTCGTTCCGATCTTACTTCGCAGTACGGTCGACCGCACCATTAGCCCTCTTGACCCGCTGCTGAGCATCTCGAAACGCAAGCGAATGAGGGCGATGGTTATGTCGGGTGATGTGCTGTTGTCAATCGATCCCCCGCACTCCACTCCGCTGCCCTCTCCTCGACCCGCCCAATCAAGGCCGGAGGTTCCATCCTTAGTCCGCCTCGCCTGCTTTCCCAGGGACTGAGCGAGGAAGCGGCTACGAGCGCGCTTACGCTGTGCGTGAGAGAACATGTGCTAAAGCTGGGTGAGGCGAATCCTGAACATGTACGAGAGGCCAACACTTGCTTGCTAGCTCGCCGTGAATCCGGTCTCCGGAAAGCGAGTCCTTACGAGAGCAGGGCAATCGAGGTCATTGGATGGGAAGATCAGGAATGGCCGCGATGCGCAAATGGTGTCCGCATCGAGTGGGCGCGGCGAACCAGGTTGACGCCAATCACCCTTTCGCAAGCCATTGTGGCGTCCTCAAAGACGCTCTGAAATGGCGACAACTATCTCGATCGATCATCAATTTACTGTCAAGAGGGCGCAATCCTGTTTCACAAGTCTTTCAGGACTGTCACACGCCCAACCGATGGCGGCGACGCTGCGTCGGCTGAGGCGGAAGTTGGACTGCATTTCGTCTGCCGCTCGCGACGACTTGTTTGTTGCCCCGCACTTCACGGGCGGCGGGAAGAACCATGGTCGACAGCGCTCCGAACACCGCCGGCTGATTGCATTGGGGTGGTGACAAGTTGCTGTTGGCCCCGAGCGCACGAGCACGGACGAAGAGGGACCGTCTGAGCGCTAGGATGGGAGTGGTAAGGAGACCTCGTTGACTCCACGCTCCACGCTCATGCGCGATGCGTCACGCTCTCGTGGCTGCGAGTGGGCGTTGCCTTGACCCATCACCATCATTTGTCCTGCACATCGCTGTCTTTGTGCTTATCGAGTCACTGGCCGACAGAAGGATAGCAAGCTGTCAGACCCTATAGCTAGTCGCCTCAATCTCACCTGAGCTTCTTCTCGATCCGCCTTGCCTCGCCCGGACGCGATCTCCTCACTATCCCGCTCCAAGGCATTGAATTCGTCGCGGAGGCGTCAGGGCGCAGCGAGGATGCGCTGAATTCGCTGCGGTATCCCACTCCCGATGACGATGTGAGCCGGCGAGTAGGCCAGAGAGACGTGAGCAGACGCACGCCTCGGAGACTGCGAGAGTGACTGCACACCTCGTAGCCGCCGCCGTCAGACTTGCGCTGTACCATCGTCGCGCCAGTGTACGGCTCACGCACGGCCAGCACAACAGCTCTGAAATCCTTTGGACGTAATGCATGGTCAGCACGGTGATGATCTGTGGGCATGCTTCGACTACGGCACGCTGGGGCTGTCATGGTGCTTGGCTGTCAGGGGTCATCAAGACGATGAGTAGGTGGCAGGACGTCGAGCAGCACCGAAGATACGTCCATCAGTCTTGCTCCCTGACCATCGTGCTCACGCTCGTCAACCTAGAATTGGCAATGCATTGATGGCCGCTTCAGCCGTCGGACCAGTGCTCCTCTCCAGTCGGATGGATATCGTGACGCCGCAACAGGATATATAGTACAATCTTGAGGGTGGTTAGAGGGGCGTCTGGTGAGAGAGGCGTCTGTATAAACAACTTGAAACCAAGCAAATGGAACCACGCCTGCCCTTCTGCCTCTCACTCTGGCCGCATCTCTACGCATCGCTCGATCTAGTCGTTGGAGCTGCGAGAGCGGCCGCTGCCTCAAAGTCAGGCTCCAAGTCTGCTGCCATGGCCGCAGCAACGACGCCGCTGGGCGTCACGGTCTCGTTCTCCTTGTCGCTCGAGCTAGTTATGTTGACCCAACCCTGTTGGCCTAGTCGAGGCGTGCCATCGTCCACCACGTCCAATCCGAGCTGCTGCTTCTTTCCTGTCTCCATAGGCGTAAAGTTGAGCATCGAGTGCTTCAAGCCTTGTCGTTGTCTCCAGCCAATTTCGGGACTCTGCGACCCGCTCTCTGCACCGCTATCTTCTGCATCTGACTCGCTGAGGCCTAACGGGCCATCGACTCCAACGCTGGCCCTGGCCGAGGGAGAGGGAGCTCCATCCCCTTCGGGCGAGGACGCCCCACTGGCTGAGGAGGCTGCCATGCGTACTTCTGATACTCGCGCGAAGCTCCCGCCGGTCCTTTGCCATTCTTCGAGGGCTTCGAATGACGCTGAAGAGGTGCTGCGGGCGCGGTGTCGCAGTAGGGCGTCGGCATCGTATGCTCCAGGCGCCAGGAGAGGAGCAGGACTGAAGTAGCCTGCATGTTGGCCTTTGCGCATTTGAGCGGGTGAAAGGCGCATGCGGTTGTGATATCGCGAGCTGGGCTTGTGAGAGGACGACGATGAGGTGCCGTTGGTGCCGCTGCTGGGCTTGACTCGCAGCTTGCGACGTCGCATGCCTTGGAGAGCGAGGATGGAAATGAGGTCAGTCGAGGCTCTTGTGTCTACTTCGCAGCCTCGCCGTCACTCACCTAGCGTCCGAACAACGGCGTACTCTGCAAAATCGACCAGACCGACAAGAAGGATCGGCGCGAGAATGAGGAAAGCGATGAGCCTTGAGAGCCAGCAGGCAGTTGCGAGCCAAGGCGGCAGCTCGGGGAAGAGGATCGCAACTATGCGATCTGTTGGAAGATGATTGATGACCCTTGCTGCGAAGTGAGTTGACGTCGGACTGGGCGATACGAGAGTGGAGAGTTTGGCGGCCACCTTACTTGCGGTTGCCCGACCTGAGTCTCCCAGCATATTCTCGAGGACTCGTCCAAACTCCTTGACGTCCTCTATTGACGGCATCGACGGCTCTGATGCGCTTGATTCTCCGAGGAAGGACATTCTGACGATGATCGTGGTGGTATATTTGCGTGGCTCGCGCCGTACGAGACTGAGGCTGAGGCTTTGCAGACGACGGTAGCGGCGGCGGGAGAGAAGTGGTTGGGGGACGGGGGTCTCTTTATTCTCTGAGGGGTCGCTACGGGCGTCAATAGGTGATCACAGTGAGAGAGATACGGGAGAAAACTGAGTGGTGGGGAGAGGAGGAGTAATGGTGATGTGAGGGGAGCAGAGGAGGTGGGACGGGTCCTTTCGATCGATTAGCCTCCGACCGTGCGAACCAGGCCAAGCAAGCAAGGCAAGCCACAAGAGGCTGCAGCTCTGGATCCAAGACAAACAGGTGGCCCAAGCGCAGAATCGCGACCAGATCTCAAACGACTCGCAGCCAGCCAGCCAGCCCGCCAGCCCGGCCTCCCCTGCATATCATCCACCAAGAATGGAGGAGCTGCGTCGCAAGCGAGCAGAGTGCTACTCTCTCTCTCCTCTCGTAATAGCATCAAGAAGCGCCCATGCCAATCCACCGCTCAAGGGTCTCAGGGTCTCGTCAACCAGCATCGCTTGCCCTTCTTCATCTCGGTCGCTCCATGATGCCGCAAAGCCGCGGTGCCCCGGCAAGAACTGAAGAGTTGGGCAAAAGGGTCCAAGAGCTAAATGGTCTCTCTCGGCAGATCCCCGTCACGCCTTATGGTCTCCTGACTGGTGGTAAGATTGTCCACCACTCTCCCACTTGAGCGCAGTAGCCCTCCACCCTCGTATCATTGTATCACGAGCTGGTGAGCGGCCGGCTGGTTGTTGTCGTCGGTGTCATCGTCGTTTTCAGCTGGCGCGTCCTTCTCGCCGCCGCCCCCGTCGCCGCCACTATCTAGGATCAATGAGCAGACCTTTCGCCGGCCAACGTGCGCCCTCGTCAGGCACCAACATAGCCTGTGTATCCCGGCCACGGCCGTAGCTGTGCGGGCACTCACCGCCTCGACTGCTTGGCGCGCCCGCCTAAACACAACAAGCGGGTAGGCCTAATCAATCTCGAGGCTCGAGGCTCTAAGCTAGACGGGCGAGCTCTTGCCCTCGTCGCAAGGATTCGAGGGACAGACGGCACGACGCAGCCGTTGCTCCTGGCAAAGCTTCTACCTCACCAACGAGACCCTGCGACCTAGAGCCGCGTTGCGCAACATGATGAGAGTCACCAACCTGGCCACGCCAACTGTCCGGGAGCGACAGGGCCGAGAGGCCACGACCCCCTCGCCTCGTCATATCAGCGGCAGCTCCATGCCCCCTCCTCCTCCTCCTCCTCCTCCTCCTCCCCTCCCATCTGCCACTGCTGTCGTTCATCCTCGTCTGCCTCCCCTCTCTCCTACCTTGCGAGCCAGTGCTCTCAATCCGAGATACCCTCGCGGCAAACGCGCAGTTGCGGCACCCGTTCCTCAGCACCACAGCGTTGTCCTCAATCAAGAGAGACCGACTAGCCAATCTCGCAGCTCATCACCTGCAATGCTCGACAACGAGATGTCTCCCTGCCCGAAGCGCAGCACACCCCCACCCATGATCCTCGAGGAACATCACGGCGATGACAGCGAAGGCGAGGAGCAAGCTGAGCGCAGCAGAGAGGAGCGCATGCACAAGTCGCCTACGCTGAGCCAGCCTCGTGAGTTGATTCCACATGCGCAGCGACGCAAGCGCACCTTCTTACCTGCTTGCATACACGTCATCATCACGCAGATGGATGGCATACAAAGGGTTTAGCACCAGACAGCAGCTCACAATCGTCCCTTCTGCCCACCGGATGGAGTCCTATCACCGCATGGTTCTTCAACAAGAGCAGCGCAGGCTTGCCGCCTGGCTCAGCTCGGCTTCCCACGCCTCGCTGGGCTGGTGGTAGTCACGAGCCTCTCACGCCCTCGGTATGGCTCGCTCAAGACGGCACATCCATGACGACGTCGACGGGTTTCACGCCTACCTTTGCGCAGGCGCCGTATAATCAGGGCTCACCGGACGTGGCACAGTCGTACAAGTGGCAACCACCCTTTTCGTCGTCACTTCACCATCCCAACCACCTTCAACCTTGGGCCAATACTCCCCATGTCAGCGATACCACTGCTTCGAGCGATGCTAGCTCTGTTCCTCTTCACGATGCGCACCAAGGTGCGCTGGATCGGACGTCCAACGGCCACGCCGACTTTGTCGCTCGACCGGCTGGCGCCGAGCCCGTCTCAAGTTCCCTTACCACGGTCACCACGATGACATCGAGGACTGATCTCTGTACCGGCACCGGCAGCCTGAATGGCGGTGCTCGCCCTCCGCTTGCTTCGCCCGAACGGGCAAGCACCTTTCGTGGTCCCGAGTCGGCCACCTTCAGTGGTAACAGCCAGCAGTTCTCGCCTTATAATGGTTCATTCTATCCCTCGGCGCCGACGATCAACAGCGATCCAGGCATCACCGTGACGGGCTCTCCTCATCACGGCTGGCCGGTGCCCACTTACGAGCCCCTCCGACCGCTGTCGCACACGCAGTTCAACCCCCACATTCGAGGCAATGAGGTCGGTCCTCTGCCCGGTCAGCCACTCATTGGCTCTCCTCCCATGGCTGCTCGAGCTCCACGCAGCCGTCGGATTGATGCCAGCACGGGCAGTATTGGCGGCGACGAAGGTCTCGGCGCTAGATCCTCGTATGGCTGGCCAAGCAATGACGGTGTGCTGGCCCACTCCAGTTCCTCACCACACCACGGCTACCAGCTGCAGCACCATCACGCAGATGCTCACCAGTCTCCGACGCGCAAAAGCTCAAATTGGCCAGCCTGGGGCCAGTCAAGCAGCTGCAACAACAACGTCAAGACGTCTGACGACGAAGGCCAGATGAGCCCGTACTCGCCCAGCCAGGACGGCCACTCATCGGGCAACGATAACAGTCTTGAGCGCCACTTGACGTTGCGAGATAATGCTCACCACTACGTCAGTGACGCCGCTAAATGGGCAGCCGTACAGGCACGCGACCCACAGGCCTCAGCTGCCTTCTTCTATTGCGTCCTCTCGACCAAGGTGAGCCATGATGAAGCAAGGAGAGAAGGCGTAAGCGTAGCTGACACTCTGCCGCTGCATCCGCAGATCTTCTGTCGCACTACATGCCCTTCACGTCGCCCGGTACGCAGCGGCATCTTCTTCGTCGAAACAGCCAGCCAAGCCACCTCCCTAGGCTACCGCGCTTGTCGACGTTGCAAGCCGGACGTTCAAGGGGGAGATCCACATGAGGAACGCCAGACCCTTCTCATCGGGCAGGTGCAAGAGCGCCTTTTGGCCAGCATCCACCGCGGGTCGAATGGCAAGGCGAGCAAGGGAAAGGGCCTGAAGTACATTGCCGAGGAGCTCGGGGTGAGCCATTGGCATTTGCATCGCTGCTTCAAGAAGAGGGTCGGGGCTACGCCTGAGGCATGGGCCAAGGCGCAGGCTAAGCGATTGAAGGGGCAGATGCAGGCGAATGGACATGGGCATCTACAGTTGGGCCAGAGGAGGTCGGCGAGACTTGGCGGTGGCGGGGTCGAGGGCTTCATCGAGGGAGAGCAGAGCATGCTCATGGACGGTTCTCCCGTCACCCCTTCCAGCGCAGACCGCTCGAGCTCGTCGATTGCGATGATGCACTCAACTTACCACCATGAGCACCATCATCATCATCACCAGGAGGAGGGCGATGACAAGTTACTGGCTCTGTCGCCTCGACATTCGATTGGAGCCAACAGCAGCGCCGCTATTGGTGGCGGCGACGGGGATCCTGGAGGCCCTGACTTCATTGGGTACCCGCAGCGCTTCGGAGCCACAGGCACCGTCATGACGTATTGAGACTAAAGACGTACGGCCTCTGCGGTCCTTGCCAATGATTTGAGGTGCAGGTTGATTCAGCGACTCTCGATCTTCTCTCGCCCTCTCCCATACCCACCCTTGCCTGCAGAGATCTTCATGCTCCTGGCCCTTCATCATTCATCGAGCCATTCATAGTCGCCATATGCCCTGCTGGCTGTTGATGTCATTCACCATCTCTATAAAAATGCGATCCTGGTTACTCGTCCTGACGAGTGCGAATGAGCCCCGCTGCGAGGCGAGGACTCAGGCGGACAGAGGGCGGACAGAGAGGACGGGAGCGGACGAAAGAGGTGGTTGTGGGATCTTCTTACAACCCTCTCCCCTCTCGAGCCGTGTCCTCGCAATCTGCCGTGATTGCCCCCATAGCGAGGCAGCTCTGAACGTCAGCTGGCGCCTGACGCTTCGATTGGATAGTTGAGCCCTGATCGCCAGGTCTTAAGCTGGCCCTCGCCTCATCGTCACCCTCTCTTTCCTTCCTTCCTCCTTCCCTTACCAAGTTCACGTCACGGCGAGGCTGACAACGGCAGCGGGTACGTCTGGCTGGACATTGCGGGCATACAGCCTCCCATCATGGATATCAATGACAGCGCTCAGTCATCTGGTAGCAGTCTGCTCGCAAAGCGCGCTGCAGAGGGCTCAAATGGGGACGTCGTCCAAGTTGAACACGAGGCCGCCGCCCAGATGACCAAGAGGCCTAGGTTAGATGGCGAATCCAAAGTGAGCTTGCAGAGATCGTACCACGGTAGTCAACGCTGTCTCGAAAAGCATCTCACCAAACTCTCTCCCCCCTGCTTCTCCCGCTATCAGCCCGAGGATGCCCGCGTTCACTCACTTCGCGGTGACGAGAGCGAACCGGCCTCACCTTCCAACAGCCGCCAGTCGTCACCCTCGATGCAGTCACCCAACACCTCGCTCGCCACGCCTGCTGCAGACAAAAGCTTCGGAGGTGCCAAGAGGAGAGGCGATGATGGACGAAAGGCTCTGCCGCGTAACATTGATCGGTGAGCCTAGCATGCAGAGGGGCAAGAATACGCCGTCATGTTGTCTCGCAGGCTGACCCTCGTCTTCTTGCTTACTTGTAGCGTCTACTACGGCGAGTACGACATCAAGACGTGGTACCACAGCCCGTATCCGCTGGAGGATGATCATTCTGCTGCAGCATCGAGTGGCACCAATGGCAGCCCTGCGTCTGGGAATCGCACGGCCTCGTCTTCGAAGCTGAAGATCAAGATCCGCAGCTCTGGCCAGCAAAGTGCCGCTTCGAATTCAGAGCAGCTGAATGGGAATCAACAGCCAGCACCAACATCGTTCGACCCAAGTGCAATGCCACCGCCCTCGCTCCCTTCCTCATCTTCGTCCTCCTCCCTCGCTCCTCCCTCGACCCCTTCCTCCTCCCTCACCTCGAAACCCACTCCACCTCCCCCCACCCCTCGAGTCCCCCACCTCTGGATCTGCGAAGGTTGCTTCAAATACACCCGCAGCTACGCAGCCTGGTACGCTCACAAGCATAAAGAATGCAAGCAGCACCATCCACCAGGGCGAAAAGTCTACCAGAGGGGATCTCACATCATCTGGGAGGTGGATGGCGCAAAGGAGAAGCTCTACGCCCAGAATCTGAGCTTGTTTGGCAAGCTGTTCATCGACCACAAGACAATCTACTTTGATGTTGAGCCCTTCGTCTTCTACATCGTGACGGACGCTGCCACGGCTAGCTTCGACTACGTGCTGGGCTTCTTTAGCAAGGAGAAGGTGTCGTATGACGATTACAACCTGGCGTGTATCATCACGTTTCCGCCTTTCCAGAAGAAGGTGAGTCGCAGAGCGCCACGGTGACGTATAATCGGTGATTCTCCGCTGACCCACTCCTCCTGTTTTCCCACCAGGGCTTCGGCACCCTAATGATCGAGTACAGCTACCATCTTTCCCTCACCTCAGGAATCGCCGGCACGCCAGAGCGACCTCTCTCCGAGCTAGGATTCAAGGGTTACCTCTCCTACTGGTCGGCTGTTGTGCTACGTACGCTAGCTTTGGCGCTGGACGATGATGACGCGGATATTGCAGCGAGGTTGCTGCCCCTGCCCGTAGCTGCGGCGGGAGGGAGCGGATTGAGCCCGAGTAAGAAGGCGGCGATGGAGGCAGCTGCGGCAAGTAACAGCCAGGAGGCGAGCAAGACGAGCAAGGAGCAACAGAAGGCGGCAGCGAGGATCAGAGCGGCGCTCTTGTTTGGCACTTCGCCTCTTGAGACAAAGGAGGCTGGGCCATCAAAGGCAATTTCGAGCTCCTCGCAGCCTTCACTGTCTTCACAAGGAGATGCGGCCTCATCACCGGCAACAGGCGATGATCGAGAACAGGATCAGCAGGCGAGCCCCGGCGAAGAAGCCAGCGCCTCCACCTCCTCAACTACACGCGTCAAGCTCGACCGAGCAGCACGGCATCTTCTTCCTCACCACCCAAGCGACAAGCCTGCGACAACATCAACTGCGGCAACGGCCACCAGCTCCTCTTCCGCGATAGCAAGCATCCCTCGCGATGTCCCCTGCCTCGCCACGACGCTGGAGCGACTCAGCATCGCAGCCAATCTTCGCGTGGAGGACACGGCGTTCGCACTTGCTGAGTGTGGGCTATTGAAGATGAGGATGAAGGGGCTGCCTGAGATCGAAGACGGGAAGGGGGGTCAGCCACTCATCGCTGATGCCGCAGCAGAAGCGGCCACGGCGACGATGGGCGAAGGTGATGTGATGGGCAGTGGTAAGCCGGTGGCGCAAATGGTCATCTTGGTCACTCGCGACGCTGTAAGGAAGGCCATGCGCGATAGGGGGGTCAAGAGGCCGGTGCTGGAGATGCAGTATGTGTTCGCGTAGTGCGAGGAAGTCGATCATTTGGGAACGTTGCGCAGCAGGATGAAGCAGCAAAGGAGAATCCTGCGTGCTGCACATCATCGAAATGCAATGTCACAAAGACTATCTATTCCATTCTATGCTTGCCACGGTCATGCATCGAGGTCCTCGATGGTGAATTGCACCACAAAATAGATGTCGCCCGTCTTCCTGCGAGACGGAGGGTGAGGAAGTGGTCGTCAGTTAGCAATACAAAGCTTGATTCGATCTCTTCCTGCCCCAACAAATGGCACTCACTGATTCTTACAGACGTATCTCACCGGCTGTCCATCCCAATAGCGCTTCAAATCAAACTGCAAACCACCGTACGGCAGACTCAAGCTCAACGTATTGAAGTCGATGAACCCGTTGTCAAAGTCTGCAGTCCACACATCCTCCGGTGTGAACTTGATTGCTTGCCTCTTCTTCTTGTCCCCAAAGAGGCGCTTCCGTGCCTTCAAGGCCTCGGCATCATCCGTGTCCTCCTTGTCGTCTGAGTCGCTGCTTCCCCAACTGAGGCCGAGGAAGGTAGTGTTGTCCATGAGAGAAGAGAATTCATCTGCCAACACGCGCTTGCCTTCGTCGTCTCGAGCGGCATTCTCTACAAGGGCGGACGTGTTGTCGAACACGTAGCCTGCCTTGCCCGCTGGCGTGTCCTTTCCCCCATCTGCCTGAGGAGAGGGGAAGCCTGGATACCCCTTTGTTTCAAACTCCTCCTTTGCTGTCCCACCCTTCTCGCTCAACGCCTCCTTCTCGAGGCGCTGCACATTGAAATGTGTCATTGTCGCCACGAGCGGACTGAAGGCCCAGGGCGTATCGCAGTACAGGTCATGCTGCAGATTTGGGTCGACAATCTTGGCAAATTGCAACGCCACGGACGTACCATATGGTAGATGGTCCTTGATGGGCTTGTCAAACTGATTGCCAAAGACGACGTCGTCCGTATTGACCTCGTGGAGAAAACGGCCTTGCAGCTGAATGGACCAGGTGATCCCTTTGCGATGCGTTGCGTTGAAGTAAGGGGAGTCTGATTGGTGGGTGACGGATGGTGGGTCTACGCCTGTGAAGTTCTTAATGCGAACTGTTGCTCGGCCGTGGAAATGAGGAGAGTTGATCCTGAGTCAGAGGGATGAGATTGAGGGGAGGCAGCAGGCGCGGATGGTGAGCTCGCTGCATACACGGAGGCGGCGCAGCTTTTGCCCTCGCTCACTCTAGCGGGATGTCATCGTGGTTGACTGCAATTGGTTGAAGTGCCTTGGCGTCTGGGCCGGCAGAGATGTGCAACGAAGGCGCCATTGTATCGTCTCGTGCTGACAATGCTACTGTTGGGTAAGAAGGTACGGCACGGTCGTTGTTGGACCCTTGCGAGTCGAAAGCGGCAACGGCCTCGTTGTGGTGGAGGCACCCGAGGGCGGAGAGAGCGGAACAAGAGTGAAATGCCGCGTGGCGATGGCGTGGCCGGCTTCTTGGGTTGGACTGACGCCGCGGCTTCCCCTGCGCCTCGTCTGACTGAGCCGTCGAGTCGAGTCGACGGACAAGCTGACCTGACGACAAGAGGCGGCGACGACGACGATGTCGACTCCTTACCACGGCATCCCTTCCTAGCTACGTCTCCAAATCCCTCAGCAAGCAACAGGACGGGCCCCTTTCGTGACATAGATACAGGCCCAACGGGCTCAATAGCACGCTCAAAGTAGGCGTCACGTCTTACTGGCTCGACGCCACCCATAAGCTCCTCTTCCTTCTCCACCCCTTCCAGTCGCTACGCAACCATGTTGGCCTCAATGCTCTCCCGCCGCATGGCATCCGCCACTGCATCGTCATCTGCCTCCTCCTCGTCATCATCACTGGCCCGCGTTGCGCTCTCATCATCAGCACGCTCCGCTCCACGCCGGGTCGCCCCGCTCTTGACTCGCCGCGGGTACGCCACCCCGACCGAAGACCCAAAGAAGCCAGGCAGCGATGAGCAAAAGAAGGCATCGTCATCAGACGACGTCGGCAAGGAGAAGAAGGAGGACAAGCTGCCAGAAGTGCCACCAAAGGAGCAGCTCCAGTCGCAGCTCGGCCCCATGTTTGGATCATTGGTTCACTGGGGGCTCAAGACGCAGAGAGAGATGGCAATGAAGGAGAGAGAAGCAAGTCAGCAGAACAGTAGCAGCTCGCAGAGTGGCGATAGCAAGGACAATAAGCCCTCACCTCCGCCACAGATGGGTGGCAATGGTGGAGCGAACAAGAATGGCAGCACCGGCGGGGCAGGCGGCGCTGGCGGCGGCAATGAGTTCAAGGTCAATGGCAACGCCCTCCTCGCCACCGGTCTCACAACATGGCTCGTATGGAAGCTCACCTCTCCCGACCAGTCGTCTCGCGAGATCACATGGCAAGAATTCCGCAACGCCTTCCTCAACCGCGGTCTCGTCGAGAAGCTCGTTGTCGTCAACCGACAGAAGGTCAAGGTCTACCTTGTCAACAACAGTGGAGGTGCGGGTCAGGCAGCATTCTGGTTCTCTGTGGGCTCCGTAGAGGCCTTTGAGCGCAAGCTTGAGGATGCGCAGCGTGAGCTCGGCATCCCGTCGCACGAGCGCATTCCCGTATCGTACCACGAGGAGATCTCCACTGCAAGCACTCTCCTTCATTTCGCACCGACCATCCTCCTCGCCGGCCTCCTCTTCTACATGTCAAGGAGAGCGGCTGGCGCAGCAGGTGGCGGCGGTGGCGGTGGGGGCATCTTCGGCATCGGCAAGTCTCGCGCAAAGATGTTCAATCAAGAGACGGACGTCAAGATGAAGTTCGACCAGGTAGCGGGGATGGACGAGGCAAAGCAGGAGATCATGGAGTTCGTCTCCTTCCTCAAGAACCCTGAGCGCTACACCAAGCTCGGCGCCAAGATTCCTCGCGGTGCTATCCTCTCCGGCCCTCCCGGTACGGGTAAGACGCTTTTGGCCAAGGCTACTGCGGGTGAGGCTCAAGTGCCATTCCTCAGCGTCTCTGGATCCGAGTTCGTAGAGATGTTCGTCGGAGTGGGTCCTTCGCGAGTACGAGACATGTTTGCAACGGCGAGGAAGCACGCACCTTGCATCATCTTCGTCGACGAGATCGACGCAATCGGCAAGGCTCGAGGCAAGGGTGGACAATTTGGCGGCAACGACGAGCGTGAGAGCACGCTCAACGAGCTCCTCGTTCAAATGGACGGTTTCTCCACGGACGAGCACGTCGTCGTCCTCGCCGGTACCAACAGGCCCGACGTCCTCGATCCCGCGCTCATGCGACCAGGCCGCTTCGACCGACAGATCGCCATCGATCGTCCTGACATCTCTGGCCGCAAGGAGATTTTCGATGTGCACCTCAAGCCACTCAAGCTGCAAGGCGACGTAGACCGACCTCTCCTCGCCGAGAAGCTCGCTATCTTCTCCCCTGGCTTCTCCGGCGCTGACATTGCCAACGTGTGCAACGAGGCTGCCCTCATTGCCGCCCGAAAAGGCTCCGAAGGCGTGAGCGAGCACCACTTTGAGCTGGCAATCGAGCGTGTCATCGCTGGTCTCGAGCGCAAGAGTCGCGTCCTGTCGCCCGAGGAGAAGAACATCGTTGCCCATCACGAGGCGGGACACGCCATCGTTGGGTGGTATCTTGAGCACTGCGATCCGCTCCTCAAGGTCTCGATCATCCCCCGCGGTGTCGGCGCTTTGGGTTACGCGCAGTACAACCCAGTCGACAAATTCCTCTACAGCCGCGAGGCGCTCATCGACCGCATGTGCATGACCTTGGGCGGTCGTGTGAGCGAGGAGATCTTCTTCACTTCGATCACCACGGGTGCGCAGGATGACTTGCAGAAAATCACCCGCATCGCGCAAGAGATCTGTGCCTCGTACGGCATGAACACGGAGCTCGGCCCAATCTCTTACCGTCAGGATCGCGAGTCGATGCACAAGCCCTTCAGTGAGAAGACTGGCGAGATGCTTGACTTTGAGGTGCGCAAGCTGGTCCAGTACGCCCACAAGAGGACTACCGAGCTGTTGACAGAGAAGAAGGAGGACGTGAAGAAGGTGGCGGAGCTGCTGCTCAAGAAGGAGGTTATCACGCGAGAGGACATGAGAGATTTGCTCGGGAAGAGGCCATTTAACAGGGCAGACGAGGCCGACGCCGTGATCGACAAGGCCATGCTTAAGCGCGGCCCTGTGAGTGCTCCGCCGCCGCCGCCGTCTGAGAGTGGTGGGGGCGAGGGTGAGCAGCCGGGTCTGGCCGTCAAGGGCGAAAAGCCGTCGGTGTAAAGGCGTCAATTCATTGGCGTCAACTCATCAGCATCGATGATCATCCACACCTTTTTGATGATCGACCAGCACCACCACTTCTCCCCCCAACGCCATGCGAGCTTAATTGCTCCGCTCCCTATTCTTGAATATGCTCCCTGTGTAATGTACAACGACATCTCTTATCGTATTGGGCCTGCGTGTGTGTCCTTTTGGGCGTGCATCTGTCATGTCATATGTGCCATTTGATCAGTGATCCATTTTAGATCCGCTGGGTCTACTGAGCCCAGCCCGAGCCCCACTTCTCGCGATGCTGAGCTCAAGGATGATGACTCGTATCTGCGGCTCTGAACAGCCGCTCCCGCGAGCCAGGCTCAATACCCGGCTGCGCTTCCCGCACGAAGCAGTCATCGACTTGCAGGCGCAGACCGACAACGCATCACATCGCGTGTCCACCTCGCACGCCCTCGCGCTGGTCCTCGCCGTCCTTGGCTGCCAGCCCTTCTCACGAGCAATGAGGACCACCTCCCCAAGTTGCTCTCCGTTTCCCCCGCATTGCTTGGCCGCTCAGCAACATCGGACTTAGAGGCCGATTATCGATCTTTGCACATCATCATCAGACTACGGGGAATCGCCGTGACAGCGCGTGGTAAGATGAGCTGACTGACATCGACGTATGCTTTTCCCCCGTTTGAGCCAACTTTCTCCATCAGTCATTAGTCCTTGGTACCCGTCCTCGCCGTCGTCGCCCTCTTCGAACTCTCAACGCCACAATTCTTCACTTCATCCGTCATCGCTGCCTCGTCCGCGGCCGACTTCCTGAGCTAGCTGAACCCCGGCGCCGCATCACGTCGCGCTTTGCATTCGTCGGTCAACCAGGTCAGAGAAAGTGCCCGTCCTCGCGTCAGTGGCGCTGAGCCTTTACACCGAGGGAGCGAGCGAATCTGCGCAGCACTCCCACGCAAGCACCAGCTGCCGGCCAACCTATCCTTAAGCTCTGGCTCAACAATCGATCCAATCGGGCTCGACGCTTCTTCTCCCGCTTCTAACACTTCGACTTGCTTGCTCTACGCCCTCTTCGAGCAGATTGTGCGCTACCATCGCCATCTTCCTGCTTGCTGCTCTGCTTTGCTCTGCTCTGTGAACGAGGGTCTTTTCAGTGGCTTGGCCCTCGCCCAATTTTTTGCTCGGACATAGTCTAAGCTCACTCTCGACTCCAACTCTTCGACTCGCCCCGCACGACAGCTGCCCCCGCCCGGCGGCATCAGTATCGAGCCTCCCTTCATCCTCTCCAACCGCGCTCTCCTCCTGCTCCCTCCATTATCCGCCGCTCAAGTTGTGTGGCGTAAAGCACTGTCGCTCGTCTCCACGCCAAGGCAAAGGAACTGCCCATCGAAAGAGCGGAACACCGCAGTCAGGGCCAGCGACCAGCCGAATTACTTCCGAAGCGCTCTTCGAGACGGAGACGTAGAGGTTGCGCCACCCCCGCATTACCAGTGCACTTGAACCCACCCAAGCCCAAGGCAGGCCTCGCGATCAGCGTCACTCTCCTTAGGTCGGAGGCTTTTTGGCAGCAAAGAGATAGCCAAGAAGGGGCCGTCGCTGCTACCAGCTAGCCCAGACCAGATATCTTGGGGTTGCCGACTCGCCGCATCGACTTACCGCGAGTCACCTGGGTGGTGACCGTCGACGAAGCGACGACGGCGAGCGACGCGGTAGTCCGTCGACCATTTTATTGCGCCTGCCGCGACTTCCTGGGATCGTGGAGGGTCAACAGTAGCCAAGAGTGAAAGGTGAAAGGCCAGCCCAGGAAAGCTCACGTATTAAGTTGGACTCCTCGACCGCAGCCCAATCTTGGCTCCCCACCAACAACATCAATACCCAATCAGCTCTGCCGGTACGCTTTCGACGCCGCTCAGCATGTTCAATGCCTTCAATCCGGCCTTCATGCCGCCAGGCGCGGTCGCGTTCGATCAGGGTCCTGCACTGCCTCCTCATCTTGCGCCGCAGACGAGCTACGCAGGATACGACTACGGCGCCTCAGCTGGGATGGCAATGGGATATGCAGGTGGAGAGAGCTCGACGGCGGATGCGGGCCACGACGAGACTCACCTACACGGAAGCCCCAAGTCGAAGGACGAGGCGCTTGCTGGTGGAGACGATGATGGGGGAAAGCGAAGGAGAGTTCAGAGAGCATGTGATGTAAGTACGCCGTGGAGCAGTGGCCGTATCAGCGGCTCTCTGACACCGGCTGATCCCGGGAACCACCCGCAGATCTGTCGCCGCAAGAAGATCCGCTGTGACGGCCTACAACCGGGCAAGTCGGCATGCACAAACTGCATCACCTATGGTCACGAGTGCAAGTTCGAAGAAGCGGCGAAGAGGCGAGCACCACCTCGCGCCTACGTCGAGGCCCTCGAGGCACGCATGGAAAGGATGGAGCAGCTCCTCGTTGATCTAGCCCCCGGCGTCGACTTCACAGAGCGTGTTGGCCCGCCTGTCAGGCTGCCAGAGGAAAACAAGGACAAGACGGGCACGTCACCGCCCACTACCTACAAATCGCTGCCTCAGCCTTCAATCCGTCGTAATGAGCTGTGAGTGCGAAATTTAGTCTCACTGACACTCGAGGCTGTGGCTGACCATTCGTACTTCCACGCTCGCAGTGCTCATTCTGTCCTGCCAGACGACCCTGCGGAGCGCCAACGCTTCATCGACGACATTGGCGGCAAGATAGCGGTCAAGGAGGAAGAGACCGGCGACGAAGCTGACCAATCATACAACGATGAAGAGATTGCCCTTGTCCAAACCGCAGACAAGCACAATGACCTGAGTCGAATCAAGATCATGCTCCAAGGCCGCCAAGACGTCTCCGGTAGCACTCCTCAAGACTCACCAGAGACCTCGTCGTCACTCTCGCCGCCCACCGACGCAGGCTCGTCCACTCATCACCCAGACCCCGTCGCCTTTCTTGGCAATTCGAGCACCATACACCTTGTCCACGGCCTCGAGAAGATGGGCGGCAAAGGCGAAGTCATGAAGAGCATGATCGACTCGATGCGTCCAGAGTTCTGGAAGAACCCTACGACGATCATGGAGGATCGACTGGATCCTGCGCGTGACGCCGCCGAGCTCGAGGACACTATGACCGCGTGGCCCGAGCCCGACTTGGAGAAGAAGCTCGTCGACGCCTACTTCAGACGGGCTCATCACGACAATCCAATCCTCAACGAGGTCACCTTCCGCGCTGAGCTGCAGGACCGGTCTTTGCGCCTGGATCGCGAGTTTGTCATGGTTGCCATGATGGTCTTCGCCGTAGCTAGCCGTCTGATCGATGACGAGCGTGTCCTGTGTACGCCACGATCAGACGATTTCCTCATCAACACGCTTGGAGCCAAGTGGCACAACTCCTGGAAGCGCCTGGCATTCGGCACGCGGGGCCCCAGTGGGTCGCTGCGCTACATCCAGTCGTTCGTCCTCGCCGTCGTCTACCTCTGCGGCACAGGGTTGCATTTCAACATCGGCTGGTGTCTCCTTGGCGTCGTCTTCAGGCTGCTCGAGTTCGCTGGAGCGCACCGCAAGCTCACGGCACAACGTCTGCAGCACCCCTTGGCCATCGAAGAGGAGTGGCGTCGTACCTGGTGGACAGCCTACTCCCTCGACCGTGAGATTTCGACGACTCTCGGTCGCCCCATGGCCGTTCAGGACGAAGATTTCGACGTCGCCCTTCCCCTCGAAGTAGACGAGCGCTATTTCACCGCAAGTGGAGACGGTGCCGTCCCCACGCAACCCAAGGGTAAGCCAGCCCACATCTCCGGCTTCCTCTCAGCCCTCAAGCTGGACGAGATTATGGGTCGCACCCTCCGCACCATCTACGCGATCGGCAAAGCCAAAGTCAGTCGCGGTCTCGTCGGCAAGGGTTGGGACCAGCTCATCGTTGCAGAGATCGACTCCCTCCTCAACCAGTGGCTCGACAGCGTCCCCAAGCACCTCCGATACAATGCAAATGAAAAGAACGAGGAGTGGCTCGTCCAGTCGAGTATGCTGTACTGCAAGTATTACTTTTGCCAGATCCTGGTGCATCGGCCCTTCATCGTAGGACCGAAGATGAGCAGCTCGCTCAACTACCCCTCCCTGGCTATCACGACCAACGCCGCCAAGTCTATGACGCAGATCCTCGGCAACCTTCTCAAGCGCGGTCTTATCCACGAAGGTGGGCACGGAGCGGGCTCGCGAGCCTTCGAGGCTGGTTGCGTGCTGCTGGTCGTGGTTTGGGGATCAAAGAAGAACGGCATCCGCGTCTCCAACTCGACGTTCAGCGACATCAACAAATGTCTTGAGATCCTGCGCGAATTTGAGAAGAGGTGGGCTATCGCAGGTAGGCTCAACGACATTCTCTCGACGCTTTGTCGCATCTTCAAGGTTGAGACGGCTCAGCAGGAAGAGGAGCAAGCGGTGCTTTCCAAGCGCAAGGCTAGCGCTGCGGACGAGGCGGGCAATGCAGCCGCTACTGCTCATGGTGCCCCTGCTGCACCGTCCGAGCGCCCAGTGCGCGGCCACTCTCGCGTCGACAACAGCAGCTCAGGCAGCCTCACCAACGGGCACAATCATGCTCAGCCCAGTCGCAGCGGCAGTGGCCACCTGGACCAGCTTCCTCTCTCTACGCAGGACCTCGGCATCACGCCCACATCGGACTCGTCTGGTTCGGGAAGCATCAGCACCTTCACGTCGCCCAACACACGCTCTGCTCGAGCCGGTCAGCAAGGTAGCGGCATGTTCTCGAACGGTAATACGGGCACGGCTGGCGCTTCTAATGCAGACTACTCGGACCTCGCCGCCGCTACGGCTGCGGCAGCCGCTTCAGGCTTTGACGTCTCATCCACCGGCAACAATGGCGGCTTCGACATGTCGGCTCTCGGTGGCTCAGGGGATCTCTTCGCTAACTTCGTCAATGGTCTGAGCGCTCCTACCTTCACACCTTTGGACCTGCCCTCTTTCTCTTCTGCCTTCTTCACCCAGCCGCCTACGGGTGCTACGCCTGGCTCGGCGAGGAGGAGAGAGAGCAGCTTATTCGCTGGCGGTTGGCCGAATGGTGCTCCTGCTGCAGGGGACAGAGCAGGTGCGACGGCGGGCGAGGACGCTGGGGGCCAGAGCATGCCTCAGCTCACGCCAGGTTACAGCAGTATCTTCGGCAGTGGCGTAGACTACAATACCTTCCAGCCTGCCGCCTCGGATGGCCAGATGCATCAGCATCAGCAGCAGGCTGGCGTTCAGCCCGGATCGACGATGAATGTCGATGGTAACGCAGGGGGTGATCCCTTCAATATGCGCGATTTGTGGCCCCCCGGTGCATATGGGCAACACCATTGAAAGCGGAAGCTCGCATGGAGCACAGGGCAACGAGGACAGACCTCAATTGAGTTTCCAAGACGTCTTGCTACCACCACTGAACCACTTGCTTCTACCGTGTCATCTTCTCTACTCGAGGGTGAGGCCCATTGGGCTCTACCCCTCCGCTCCTTTGGCTCTACCTGTCTTTGTATCCTCGCTACTCTTCTTGCTCTCTGTCTCAGACCTCGATATCACCTCTAATCCATGTCATTATCTGATTCCCTGCACCTTCATGTTCTCCTTTTCGCCTTCTGCGACACCTCATCGCCATCCTCGGTGCAGTCTGGGCGATGTGACCTCGCGACTTTACTTGGAGCTCAGCCCTGGCACTTTGCGGGCGACCTCTCTGGCCAATGTGAGGACGAGCACGGCTGAGCGAGGCGGAGAGCAGCGATATGGATGAGAGCGGGTCAAGTCGACTACTAGCCTGAACCATCAGCTCTTGGTCTTCACCGAGCAATCAGAGCCCGCACTCGCTGCGCATGATCAGCAACAGGTGCGCAGGCCTTGAGCGCTGATGTCCAGCAAAGAGCCGATGAGTCGAGGTGGTCATAGACCTCACCAGCGCCCCATATTTCGCCTTCCCTCGCAGCACTCGGCCTGCTTGCGCTCAGTGAGCGCTTCAATCTGGCCCGATGCTTTATACGACTTGCCACCTCTGAAAGTAGGCGTGGGCTGCCGAGAGCTCACGCCGCGGAGGGGAATCGCCTGCTTGTTATCCGGGCTGCGAATGCAGGGTTCAGAGAAAGGAAGAGAGTGGGAAGAGAAGCGGCACAAGCTGAATGCGAGTTGTGCGTGACAAGGACATAGCATTCAGTCGTGGTGTCTTGTGACTTGAATGGCATTGAGGCGATATGGTGAGGAGCCAAGGGCGGACCAGGCACATTGACGCACATTCATGGCCTGCCGCCGCCGCCGCCGCCGCCGCCCCGGAACGGAGTTTCGACGGACAGGTGCGCGCCTCGAAAGTGAGTGTCGTTTGGGTCGAGTGAATCTGGGCGGCGAGTTCGAAGTTGTCTGTGGAGTAGGAGCCTCGAGTCCGTATTGCAGCTTTCGTTACTACAACCCTATCCTACCTACTCGCCACAGCGCGTCCCTCCCCCCTTGACTACCTCACATCGCGTCGCTGCACACGCCAAAGATGCCGCCAAAGAAGAATAACCAAAAGGCGGGAGGTGCCGGGTCCAAGGTAACGGTGGACAAGACGTTCGGCATGAAGAACAAGGGAGGAGGAGCAGCTCAGCGCCAGGTCAAGCAGATTCAGCAGCAGCAGGCTCAGCAGGGACTGAACAAGGAGGCATTGGCAAAGCAGAAGAAGAAGGAGGACGAGAAGAGGATGAAGGAGGAGGCAGACAGGAGAAGAAAGATTGAGGGAGAGCTCTTTGCCGTCGTGCAGCCAAAGGTGCCCTTTGGGTCGGGTGAGTACGTAGTGGCTGGGCATCCCACGCAGCGAACTGACAAAGCTGCCCCTACGCTCACTCATAGACCCCAAGAACTTCACTTGCGCCTACTGGAAGGCGGGCAAGTGTGAAAAGGGCTCCAAGTGCAAATTTGCCCACTCCAACGACCCGGGTCGTAAGACGGAGAAGAAGGACCTCTACACAGATATGCGCGATGGTCCAGCAGCGGCAGAGGAAGACAAGACAAAGGACACGATGGACACATGGGACCAGGCTAAGCTGGACAAGGTCATCTTGTCGAAGCACGGCAACCCGAAGTCTACGACGGACAAGGTGTGCAAGTTCTTCCTCCAGGCTGTCGAGGATGGCAAGTACGGGTGGTTCTGGGAATGCCCCAATGGAGGAGAGAAGTGCATGTACAAACATCGCTTGCCCCCTGGATTCGTGCTCAAGAGCCAGAAGAAGGAGCTCGATGAGCTGGCAAAGAAGACGGAGATTTCCCTCGAGGAGTTCCTGGAGGCGGAGCGACACAAGTTGGGCACTCAATTGACGCCTGTGACTGCCGAGTCGTTCGCCGTATGGAAGAAGGAGCGCCAGGACAAGAAGGCGGCAGAGGAGGAGGTGGAGCGCAAGAAGAAGGAGGCGCAGGCTGCTGCGAACAAGGCCAATGGCCTCAGTGGACGTGAGATGTTCACCCTCGGATCGCTGCAGCAGGATGACGAGGATGACGACGGTGACGACGACTTCGATATGAGCAAGTACATGAAGGCTGGGTGGTCGCAAGAGAGGCAGGAAGAGGAGGAGCAGAAAGCACAGAGGGAGCAGTGGGGCGATGACGACGAAGATGACGCCGAGGAGAATGGAGGCAAGTCGGCGGACGCAAGTCGACCTACGAGCGGGCAGGCATCACCAAATGGGGAAAGCAACGGCGATGGCGGCGTGAGCGGGGCTGAAGCGGGAGTCAAGAAGTTGGCCGTCAATGGTGACGGTGGATCGACGACATGAGTGGGTTCGACCTACGCTCCCGCCTTTCGTACTCTGTAGCCTCCTCAGCTTCTCCTTTTCCCCCTCTCGCTCTCACTCGCTCTCAGTTGTTGCATCCTCCCATCATCATTCCCTTGAGACGTGAGCAACGAATCGAGATTTAGTATGCTCCCACATTTAGTTAGCAGGCCGTCGAGTGCGTCGATGTCGCGTTTGGCCCAGGCTTGTGGGCTGGGCTTCGCCGCGAAAGCCGAGTCGAGCGGACAGGTCTCAGAGAGCAGCCTGGCGGGCAGGCGGGCGGGCGTTGCGTTGCGTTGCGTTGAGTTGCGGGCGAGAAGAACAAGCGGCGCGGCCATCGAGAGCAAGTTCGACACCAGATCGGTCCGTCCGTTCCCGTCCTCCCACCTTGCTTTCTCTCCTCATCCCTCATCACGTCCTTACCCTTCTCGAGATGCTCGCAAATCCTCTGCGCTCCACTCTTTCTGCTGCCCGTCCCATGAGGACGTTCGCAGCAGCACCGTCGTTCACTGCTCCTGCTCTGCGCCGAAGCTACGCAACGCCCGCTTCCTCGGGCAGCCCAACGTCTGCCTACGCGCAGAAGCCAGGCAAGGACGGCAACTACCTCGTTACCCTCGTGCCCGGTGATGGTATCGGGCCGGAGGTTGCGCAGGCTGTCAAGGGCATCTACAGCGCGGCCAAGGTGCCCATCACTTGGGAGGAGGTCGATGTCACGCCTGAAATCAGGGACGGACGCTCGCGGTGAGTGCCCAACCTCCCACGCTGCGTATATGCGAAGACGATCTCACAATCTTTTCCATCTATCTCACGCGCGCGTCAGCATCCCGCTCTCTGCTGAGGAGTCGATCAAGCGCAACACACTCGCGCTCAAGGGCCCCCTCGCAACCCCCATCGGCAAGGGCCACGTTTCCCTCAACTTGACCTTGCGTCGCACCTTCAAGCTCTTCGCCAATGTTCGTCCCTGCCGTAGCATTGAAGGCTACAAGACCCCTTACGACAACGTCGACACTGTCCTCATTCGTGAGAACACCGAGGGCGAGTACTCGGGCATCGAGCACGAGATCGTCGATGGCGTTGTCCAGTCGATCAAGCTTATCACTCTCGAGGCTTCCGAGCGTGTGGCTCGCTATGCTTTCCACCATGCTGAGCAGAACGGTCGTAACAGAGTGACGGCGGTGCACAAGGCCAACATCATGAAGATGTCAGACGGCATGTTCCTGCACGCTTGTCGTCAGGTTGCCAAGGACTATCCTAAGATCCAGTACGACGAGGACAACCTCGACCGGTGCGTGGGCGCGAGGAGCAGCACGTATACTTCTCTCTGCTCCCACAACTGACACAACCCCTCACCCCCTGTCCCTTCTTTCCCGCCCGCAGCGTCTGCCTTCGCATCGTTCAGGACCCTGCCCCTTACTCCGACCGCGTGATGGTCATGCCCAACCTCTACGGAGACATCCTCTCGGACATGTGCGCCGGTCTCATTGGCGGTCTCGGTCTCACGCCTTCCGGCAACATTGGCAAGGACGCTTCCATCTTCGAGGCCGTCCACGGCTCTGCGCCGGACATTGCTGGGCAGGACAAGGCCAACCCTACCGCTTTGCTGCTCTCCTCGATCATGATGCTGCGTCATATGAGCCTCTTTGACAAGGCGGACCAAATCGAGAGCGCCATCTTCAAGACGATTGCTGCTGGGGAGACTACGGGCGACCTGGGTGGGAAGCTGGGCACGAGGGCGTTCACTGACAAGATCATTAGCAGGTGAGTAGGCGCGGAGGGTACACAGCAGCAGGACGAAAGAGCAGCTAGCTGACCATGGTTGCCTTCTCTGCCGCGACGCCAGGCTCTGAGTGATTTTCTGCGAGCCGCGATAGATTGTTCAGTACCTGCGTAGCCTTTTTGTCTATTTGAAACCTGCGTGACAATGTCATTTGGACGAATCAAGAGGATGGTATGCTGCACCCGCTAATGGCTGTGATGGTCTGCTGCTCCGGGCCGTGGCTCGTCTCGACTTGCAAGTCGACGTCGTGGTCCGTCCAAAAATCAAAAGAGCGGAAGCGCAAGAGACGACTCGCGACGCTTTGTCTTTCTTTCCACGATTCAATCATCCATCGCTTCGATGCTCAGACGAATAGCTACAAGGGCATCGTCGAGCAAGAGCGCTCAGCATCTACCCCATCGCTGCCCTCTGACTCACTGTCCTCTTCGTCCGCACCAGCATCATGTCTCGCCCCCTACTCAGGCTCTCCAGCACCGCTTTCTGACCTCTTCCTCCTCTCACACCAAGCAATTTCAATCTCGTCGAGGTCGCACCCACTCTCCTCGCCGTAAGCCCATTTCAGCATGGCGCTCCCGCGAGAAGCTTCTGCGCTCCGAGCTCACCGACCTAGAACGCAAATTGGACCGCGTCGACAAGCGTGAAGCGGCGAGCGAGGCGGCAAAGGACCTGCCCGAATTGGATGACGAGGCCCTCGATGAGGTGTACAGGGGGCTGGAAGCGCCCGAGGAATTGAGTAGAGAGGACAGGAGGCTTTTGGAGAGCGGTCAGCGAAAGGTCATGGAGAGAAGGGCGAGGGTCATGAGACTCGTGCGGGGTCAAGGCGCAGCATTGAATGCGCCGGATGCGCATCACCTCGAGGGCAGGGCTGGCAAGTCGCACGAGGCTGACAATGTCGCAGAGGAGTCCTCCGCAGACAATCTCGCCGCTCCTCTATCCTTCTTCGAGCGCATTCAACAGCGCCTAGACCGACTCGCTGCCCGCCTGTCAGACGTAGAGACGAAGCTGCACCAGGAGGGCAGTCCATCAACATCTCAGGCGGGCGAGCTCATCAGTGAGATCAAGGACGACGTTGAGGCCGTGCGATACAAGGCACATACATTGCAAAGCCAGCAGAGCGAGGCGAATCACGATGCGGTAGAGGAGGAGGGAGGACACGAGCAGTTTGAAACGATTCATTTTGATGAGGAGCACAAGGCACCCAAGGCAGCAGTCTGTGACAGCATGGAAGAGGCTGCGCAAGAAGCAACTTCGTCGATCCTCGTCAAGAAGCTGGAGGAGCTCGTTCATTCCGCGGAGGCGGCACAAGACAACGATCTGATAGCTTCTATACAACCTCGCGACTGGTCAGCTCTGGGCACTACTCTGGTTCTCCGTGGCCAGCAAGACTCGCTCATCAAGGCATTCAACCTCCTCTCCCATCTCTCGTCCTCTGGCTCAATTGAACCCAACTCCCTCGTATCCTTTCACGAATCAGTCGCAGACGCCATAGCTTCATACGGTGACTCTGCTCGTTGCGAGGCGGTACTGGCCCGGATGGAGGACCTGGCCCTCACTCCTACACCCTACGCCTACCATGCTCTCGCGAAAGCATATCTACGCGACCCAGCTAAAGGACTGTCTTCGGCGCTGGCGCTCATCGACCATATAGAAAATTCAACTACAGTCAGCGCTCCTCCCTCTCAGGCTACGTACTCATTGATTCTTTCAGCCCTACTAGACGAGCCCAACTTCGAAGTCAAGGATGAAGCCTGGGGCCTCTGGTATCGCATGCGTCTCAACGCGCACCCCGTTCCCGACGCCGTCGTATGGAGCAACATGCTTCGCGCCTGCGCGTTGGGCTCGACTCCGTCCAGACACGCAGAGCTGGGTATGGAGGAGGGACATCGCGGCTCGCAGAAGGGAAAAGTCTCCCCCTCTGCCCTTCTTGCTTCACTTCGCAAGAAGGCTGGCCAGGCAGAGGCGGATGTTGCACTGGACCTCTTCCGTGAGATGACAATTGTTCACGGTATTCGCCCTACGCCCGCGTGCTACGATCATCTCATCCTCGCACTCTGCCGTGGTCCAGGGGGCAGGTACCTGGAAGGATTCAGGCTGTTGAGCGAGCGTATCACCCTTGCGAGAGAAGCGGCAGGTGGGGACAGCGAGGTGGCAATGAGTAGCTATGAGCCATCCCGCCTTACATTCAATGCTCTGCTCGAAGGGTGCAGGAGACATGCAGACGTGCTCAGGGCCAGATGGGTGCTAGCTGAGATGATCAGGAGCTCGGCCCCCTTGTGGGCTACACCAGCTGGTGAGAGGGAGACGAGAGGGATGGGATGGAGGGAGAGGGCGAAGATGGAGTTGCGGATGCCGGATGCCGAGTCGCTGGGTAAGCTTTTCCTCACGTATGCTGCGTGGACGCCTACGACTGAGCATCTAGTGACGAAGAAAGGCTCCAGCGAGGACAATGTCACGGAGAGGGCGAGGCACGAGGCACGCGGACGTACTCACAGCGGGTCTGCACAAGAAGTCGCGGCCCCACCTCAGTCCACCACGCCACCGCCCAACAACATCGAGCTCTCCCAGCCTGCAATGGACGAAGCGGCCTCCGAGTTCTCATCCGCCCCTCCAACAACATCAGCCGATGTCGTCCGTGAGATCCGCGGTCTCCTTGCACGCGCGATCGCCGACCACTCGCCGCAGTCTTCAGATGACGAGTCGTCATCCTTCCCAACAGGACCCCTCTCCTGTGTGACCATCTCCACTCGACTACTCAATTCGTACGTCACGGCCCTCGCTGCGCACACGCCACGAGGCCAGAGGGCAGATGCGATCAGCGCTGCCGTCAGGGGCGAACAGTCTCTCTTCACCAGGCTGGGATGTAAGCCAAACGGCCGCACCTTCCTCATCGCACTCCAAGCATGCTTCACCTCCGCCTCGGCGGACGGTCGCTCCACATTGGCGGCGAGCGAGGTAAACGCCCTCTCTTCCTGGGCCTGGTCAGGCTGGCGTGACATCGAGGGATCAGGCGCTCCTCCCTCCCAGCTCCTTCCTCATCGCGAAGCAAACAAGGACGCGGGGCTGGATCGACGCACCCGCGAGCTCATCTGGGGCGAGCGTATTCGCCTCCTTGCCAAACAGGGGAGATTGGATGAAGCACTGCAGACTTTGCGCGAGTTCACCAGCTTGTACCCGCCGAGGCCAAGGGGCAAGGTGATGGGCGAAGGAAGGCAGACGCCTGTCTTTTCGGCAGAGAAGGACGGGCCGGTCAGAGAGGGGAGGAGAAGGCCTTTCTTTGATTTCGATGCTGTACGGAGCACATTGCAAAGGCTCGAGGAGGGGAGAAGGACCGTCGGAGGCCAGCTTCAGCTGTCTGTGGATGATCAAGGGTCGGAGGACCTGCTTGATGGACCAGATGCGCAAACAGGGCAGGCGGCCATTGACACCGAGAAGTCCACGTCGCTTGCGTCCTCTTCTCCTGCCACACCCATTACCGCTCGCCGCAAGCCCCCCGCCCTCTGGCAAGACATGCAGGGTCGCCCCACCTCACAGCCTCCCTCTCTCTCGTTCTACGAGCTCAATCTCCTGCACCAACGTCTTCTAGAGGCAACGGAACGACCGACACGCGAGCAGGACATCGGATTTGTCGGGTGGCTGTGCAGGACTTGGGAGAGTGTGGAGAAGGGCCCGAAGCGAAGAAGGGACAGAAAGGAGAGCGGGAAGGCGAGCGGTGTGATGAGGAGGTCGGAGGAGGATGAGAGGGAACAAGGTGAGGCGGAATGGTTTGGCGAAGGTGAGGGGGAAGGGCAGGTGTGGAGCGAGTCGATCGATGAGGGGAGTGTCTCGTCACCAGCCGATCGTATGCAGACCAGGGCGACTGGATGAGGATCTATCCTCGCTGCCAGCAATACTACCACTTCTTCAGTATCTCGAGGGGTGGTGGTGACGTGGCGTTGCGATGTGATTGTACAGTTGCATCGTTGCTCTATGACCCTACAAGAATGGCGCAGCAGCTCTCTCGTCTCAGCATCGTCAACCCTACGCTACACTTCCACTCCACCATTGTCGCTGCGATCGCCATCGAGGAGCCCATCGCGCCTAGCAAGCTCCTCAAATATGTTGCGGAACCACTGCGTCCCATCACCTCCGCCCGTTGCACCACCACCATCGTCACGCACAATTGCCCGTGTGTCCGCCTCGACCGCAGCAAGCAGGTCGTACGTGAGCCGCAGGGACAACCCCTCGAGCTGAGCAAGGCGAAGCGTTGTCAAACCCTCCAGTGGGACCTTGCGATCTCCTCCCTTCTCCCGCCTCTCCTCCCCCTCCCTGGCCAATAAGCGCCTGACCGTCCGTCTCGCGAAGCGCTGAGAGCCGAAACGTGGGGTGTGCAGCACCTTGAGCCCCTCTCCTCCCGCTGTGCCCGGGAAGACTCGCACATCGATGCTCGGTTTCGTGATGCGCGGCAAGATAGGTAGCACGGCCAGTAGAAGTGAAGGAGGTAGGAGGGCTCCAAAACCTCGGAGGCGATTCCAGAGCACCCAGACTTCGTCTAGACCGAGGATCCCACGGGGTGGAGGTGTAGAGGAAGAGGAGGAGGCTGGCGCGCTAAGTAGGTCAGAGGGGAGATCGTCGAATGTATCAGACTCTTCGCCATCCCCTGCAGCCGTGGCATTGATCGTGGGCCAAGAAGCCCCCTTCGCGAGCACCTTGCCCTTAGCCATCAAGCCAGGCGATGCCCCGCTAGATCCGATGAGCAAGACGCTTGCCAGCTCTCTTGCTAGACCCTCATGATACTCTGCCTCATCCCTCGCCATTTCCTTTGTCACAGCACGCGTAGGCAGGCCAAGCTGGACGAGCGAGGAACGGATCAGAGTGGCAGCAGCAGCCGTATCTGCGTCGTCCTCGGCTTCTTCCTCGCCTTCGACGTCCTCGTCCACCCCGTCGCTGCGTCTCCTCGCTCTCGCAGCCTTCTCCTCCGCCTCTTTCTTCGTCAGCCTCGCATTCAAGTTCTCCGCCAGATCAACCATCTGTTTCGCCTTTGCCATGAATGCCTCCAAGTCGCGCAGAGCATCGGACATGTCTGATCTCTGAGCTGCTGAACGTGAGTTGTACGCTGTCAGCAGGCCGTCGATTCCCACGACTGGACCCGTGGATGCTGAAGAGGAGGGGGTAGAGCGCCCGTCGATGTCTATTCGTGAAGGGGGCGGACGGGGTGATGGGGCAGGAGAGGGGCGACCGCTGGACTTGTGGTTGGTACTGGTGGTGCTACTGCTGGCCTTCCAAGCTGCACGCCGCATTGCCTGACCCAGCGCCTCGTTGAATGCCCTGTCGCCTCCCTTGCGGAAGGAAAGCTTGACCGTCGTTTCCGCAGGCAGGGGCGGTGCAGGCGTTGAGGGGCGAGTACGCGGTGTGGTCCCAGGCGAAGGTGTGAGAGAGGACACGCCCGTCTGTACTCCTCCTGCGTTCGGAGTCCCTATCGATTCGTTACCCAGCGCCGAGTCACAGATTTCGCAGCGAGGCATTGAGGGATGATTGAGGAAGGTGCAAGTTGGGCACGCGATTTCAACGCGTGCAGTATCCTTAGTGGCCGGAGGCGCTGCGGCATTTGACGAGGACAGCGGTCGCGGTCGCGAAGCTGGTGGAGGGGCTGCAACTATGACTGCCCTGGGATCACGCTTGACACCGCAGAGCTGACAGGCATCCACGCCGTCCGTGGGCCCGGTGTTGTTGCTGAAACTGCACACGGGGCAGATCCATCTCTCTTGCGAGGCGGGCGACGTCGTCGATGACGATGGAGCTCCCGGTCTTGATGAGAGCGTCGCACTTGCCGTCGCATTGGCCAGTTCATCTTGCATCCTTGCTAGCTGAGCTCTGGAACTCTCTGCAGCATCCTCGCCATCATCGCTTTTCAGGCCGAGAATCACCTTTGGGCTACTCTTTAGAAATCCCGCATAATATTCTGTCATCTTGACATGTGCCAGTGGCAGGTATCCACTTCTTGTGCGCGCATCTCGACTGTCGATGTAGATGATACGATGAGAGGTGAGGTAGGCAGTTCCATCTTGCTGTTGCGGGAGCTTGGATGAGCCGGCGTAGAGGCCGACGGAGGGGCAGAGGGAAAGGACTTCTTCTGTCGGGAGGAGGTGCAAGCCGAGAGACGAGGCAGTGAGAGAGATTGGGATGAGAGGTGACGTTGATGAAGATGTAGAGGGGGCGGGGGATGAAGTCATGAGCCCGCAACGAGGTGATTGTATGCGGCAACGAAGAAGCAAAGCCAAAGTCGTGCGAGACATCGATCGACAAGCGCCACCTCTTTCGCCGCTCGGGCCACCGGATGATCAGCGCGCCACGCGAGACACCGTCGCGTCAGGGTCCAGCCAAGCCACCGAGGCGAGCCTTTGTTCTTGCCAACACAAGATACAATGGCATTCAAGACACAAAGCAATGCAGACCGAGCGAGTAAGACACTGAGTCGTGTCAATCAGCCTACAATGAGCCTCCCATTCCCTACCATCGAGGACAGCCCCTCCAGCAGGACCAACGCCGACAGGAGAGGCCTCGCCACCAGACGTTATGGCGGGCTCGCACCACGCAAAGCTCGTCTCACAGGCCGTCGAAATGAGCCGTTGATGCAACTTCGCGAGATCTTGTACGATGCTGTCAATGCGTGATGAATGGTAAAAATCAGAAGCCCAGATACACGTTGGCCATCCCAGGCCATCTATCGCTCCCTTTTCTCCCCTTGCTGTCCCTGCTACTCCTTACATGCATTGCCTTGACTGTCTGCTGCCCCTCTCCTTCCCTATGTCCGATCATGACTTTTGCTGCTCCCCCGCCTGCTCGGCCTTTTCCCTCTGCTCCTTCTCCTTCATCAATCGCTCGCGACGCTCCTCCGCCTCGACCACCTCGCGCACAACCTCCTTGCTCTTCTCGAGCAGGCCGGCGCTCTCCTGTTGAGCGGGTGCTTGCTCGCCCCCAAGGGACGAGCTGGATGAGGTGGAGGATGTCGCGGGAGCGCTGAGAGAGGGAGTGAAAAGTTGCGGAGGCGGGTAGAGGGACAGGGGGAGGAGCAGCAGATCGATGATCGCCGGCGGGGCTGCAGCTTTCAGTACTGACTCCGCCTCTGCTTCTTTCACCCCCTCCTGCTTGGTCGCCGCCTCTCTCCTTCCAGCCAACCTCTCACTAGTCTTGGTCCACAGCCTCAAAGTGGCCTCCATTTCGCCTTGCTCTATCTCGCCTGACCGCAAACCACGCTCGGTCAAGACCGACGAGAGAGTGGGGAGGTCTGACGGGAAGTTGGCAAGCGGTGGAAGCGGAGGCGTCGATGAGGAAGCGACCGCCGAAGCTCCCTCCGTGGGTGTGGCGGACGAGGATGAGACGCCGCCGATGACTTCCTCCTGGCCGGCGTCGCCTGAGCGACCGGCGGTCTGGGTTCGGCTTGCGCTGGCAAGGTCTACCTTGGCCGTCAACGATGATGTAGACGCCTTGCTGCTGGACTGACCGCTACTGGCCTCTAACAGCTTGTCGTCCTCAAGGATGAAATCCGCCCTCTTCTCAAGATTCCTTCTCAGCGCAGCCGTTGGCCTCAAGGTAGTCGGCAGCGTAAAGACGGCGCTCAGATCCACCAGTGTCTCCTTGGGCAATGCCTTCCACAATGTCTCAAGATCTGCTGCCGCAGCTGCGCTCAAAGTGGGGAGACGAGCCAGCTCTTCGTGGACTGCAGAAGTAGGACGGCTAGGCGATGGCCCCTTGTTCGGGCCCGGAAGGGAGGCGCTCGCCATGAGGTCTCGGATGGCAGAGGAATTGCGGAGCCGTTCAACGGCGGCGGCGCGTTTGGTTTCTTCTCCTTGGCGGATCTTGAGGAGTTGGGAGGGGAGGATGCAGGTCGAGGGGAGCAAGAATGGCTGGAGACGAGAAGAAGAGAAGTAGAGGGATGTCAGCAACGCCCTCTTACACCCAACTACCTCGCTGGTACTCACGGCATATATCACAACCAACGGCAGCACTTCTTCGACGATGAGCAGAATCGCCAAGAACAGCGGCAGCTTCTTGATGTCCTCCCTGTGCACCTTTGCAAGCCGCGCCTCGCCCCAAGTCATCTCTCGCCTCTCCTCCAGGCACGACTTGCGGATCTCTGCTACTCGCTGCCGATCACGCCAAATCTGCTTGACTCCGTTGAGGTAGAAGCGGAAAAGGAATTTGAGCTGGGCGTAGAGATCTTTGATACGGGAGCGCCACGTCTTCTTGGGAGGCTCGGGTGGCGGCGAGGCGTTTGAAGACGATGATGATGATGATGATGATGATGATGATGGAGTGGCAGTGGAAGAGGTCTGTGATGAAGTCTGGGCTGAGGCTGATGTTGATGCCGTGGAAGATGATGAGGCGATAGCTGAAGTCGACGCAGCTGGAGCAGAATTTGACTGCGCTGCTGAGCGTGATTGCACCTGCCTTGGCTGCAGGCGTGATATCGATTGCCTTGACGTCGCTTTGTGCTGGGATGTCGATGCGGTAGGCGGGGGGGCGTCATCTCTCGACGATGAAGATGACGAATGCTCTGTATGCGGCGAGAGGGCCGCAGAGTACCGCCTAGCTATTGACGGTGCGCCAGCTGCTGTGTATGCTGGACACCGTGAGACATGTACGGCAGTTCGTCTCGCCGACGAGGATGCGGTCCTGATCATAGCGAGCGGAGGTCGTGATGCTGAGGAATCCAGACGATGAGACGATGTCGGCAAGCAACCTTCGTCGTCGCCGTCGTCGTCTTCGGCGGCGGCAAGGGCGGCTCAGCCTGTTTGCTCCGTCCGCTGCGCGTGCCGTGGCTCGACGTCGCACCCAGTCGCGAGGCGAGGCGAGACGGAACCAGGAACCAAAGTGAGGACCGAGGCAGGCAGCGCCAAAAGTCATTTGATCCTGACATACCACCACCTCACCATCAGCGATGCCAGACCTCACACCTTCAAAGGCTCGCAAAGCGACCTCCATTGTGCCCGGTGGAGCGAGCGGCGATGGCGCTGGGTCATCTATCTCATCTCAAGACGCTCAGATGCGAGACGCTTCCGCCAGCGAGAGCAACAGCACCTCCGCCTCAGCCACAGCGGCCGCCGACGACGATGAGGGCAAGACAATCTCAGCAAACGACAACTCTGACGATCGCGAGGCCGGTCCCTCTAGCCCGCGCTCCTCTCAGACGCTCCGTCATCAGGAACCTCTGGACCCTGATCTCCTGGCCTCTTATCCAATCTATCTGTCCACCTCACTACCTCCCTCCTCCTTCCTCCATCTCCTCCAATATCCCACCTTCCCACGCAATCAGCCCCTTCCTGTTCCCGATGTTGCACGCCAACGTGGCCTCACGCAAGCGATCAGGTGGCGCCCGCAGTCAGGATGGGTGCAGGTGGAACTCCCCCTCGACTTGCGTCGCAGTGTCTACGATGAAGAAAAGGGCGGGGAGATGGGCAAAGGAGCGCACGCTGCTGGAGGCGAGATCGGATCCAAGACCACACAAGCGGACTCGGATGACGACGACATATCGTCGGGCAAGAGGAGCGGGAAAAAGAAGAAGAAGGCAAAGAAGGAAGAAGAGGCGATGGATTTAGATGGGTTGGCCCCGCCAAAGAGGTTGGAAAAGATTAGATTGGAGAGCGAGGTCATGCCGCCTATGACGCACTATTGTGTGGGGGTGATGCGTGATCGTGAGTACCGTTCGAGCGATAAGCGTCGACTGCAGTTCACTGATCTATCATTTGCACGCCATGTCATCCATACAGAGGCCCTCCATCTCACCCATTTGGACAGGGTCGTCCAGCTTCGGCCCTCCATGCACCACCTCGACGGACTAGACACGATGGAAGCCCAAGCCAAGCGCATGGAAGCCAAAGCCAACGCAGACGAAGAAGGCTCAGACAATGACGAGGCCGCAGCAGCCGCAGCTGCCAAGAAGAAGAAGCCCACCTCGGTCAACGTGACCGTCAAGGGAGAAGCGGGCCAAAGCGGCGGCCAGCCTGGTCGTGGAGGACCTGGTGGGGGCGCAGGTCCGATGGATGCCAAGGATACGCTCATGGCTGCAAAGAGGTTGGCAGAGGCGGAGAATTGGGTCGATTTGGAATGGAGAGACGCTCAAGGGAGGCATGCGGGAGAGGTCAAGAACATCATGGCCGCGCAGCTCTTTGCTGGCAGTAAGAGGGAGCTGAAGTGTACGACGAAAGCGCGCGATTACTTGCCGCCGAAGGAGTAGACGCGGAGGGGCCGCAAGGAATTGGCCTACAGTTGTCAGGGTCAGGGGCCAAGCTCGCTTCACGTTCACGACTCACTCTCACCATTATTACCCTCTAATCTCCAACAATTATTCTTCTGCACAGGCGTGAGTCGCATTCCAGCGAGCGAGCGGCCGGGAAGTGGCTCAATGATGGTTCGCCCAAAGATTCGCAACGAGGGGCTGTCTTCACGGCTTCACTGCCGTTATCATGACCCGCTCTTGGGTCAATCACAACATCCAATGAGCGAGCCTCCGTTCCTCCGACTGTCCATCATCGCCCACTCATCTACTTTCCCTCCCCTCACCACGAAACATCACCCCTCCTACCGCCGACATGCCCAAAGAAAATTGGGGTCCCACCCAGGACACTCTTCTCGCAAATGGGATGGTCTCCCTCATCCTCTCCAACCGCGCCTCCCTCTACACCATCGAAGGGCTAGGACCCTGGCGCGGCAACGGCGGCTCAACGATCAATGCCAAAGTGAAACAGCTGCTGCAGAGAACGCTCTGTAAGGGGTATGGAGCGAGTATGGAGATCAAAGCTGGTGCGGGAGGGAGAAAGAGGGAGAAGAAAGAAGAGATCACGAAACATTTCAAGAGTGAGAAGGGCAAGACGGCAGGGAGCGGTGGGAGGAGCAAGAAGCGACCGCCCATTTCTGACTCGGACGACAGTGACAGCGAGGCCCTTCCTCGCACCTCGAAGGACAGATCTCAACAGAAGAAGCAGAAGAGCAAGGACGCTGGACAGAGCGAGGAAGAGCTCGAAGCCGAAGCCACCGGCGACGAAGCCGAAGATAGCAACGAGGATGACGAGCAAGACGAGTCTGCAACCTTCTACGTTCCTCCTCGCGAGAAGCGCCCCTCTCGTGCTGCAGCGAGCAAGATCCAACACTATGCTGAGGAGAGCGAGGAGAGTGATGATGATGATGGCGATCACGAAGTCGATCAGGTGGCTGAGGGCGGAGGCGAGGTCGGCAATTCCTATGAGCGAGCAAGGAAGGAGGCAGTGATCCGTAGCGAGAGCGGGCACGAGGCTGCTGCGAGCTATGAAGAGGAGAATTCGGATGGTGAGCTGGCCGATCAGAAGGGCGAGGAAGAGGGATGATCCAGTCCTCATCTCAGTAGCAATAGGGTTCGCCATATCAGCTCAGTTTCCATCTCGCCATCTTGCGGTGGGCTCAGACCATCGACAGGCCGTCGCCAGCAAACGGCGGTCTCTTGTCATTCGCTGTTGCTTTCGTAATCGACTAGCTCTCGTTCACCTCAACGACGTCAATTTTATCCTCTGCTTCCTCATGCGCAGTGCGAACTCGACCTCACCGTAGACTCAGCCTGCATTTCCCAGCAAGTCGGCCATCTCTGCTGCCGTATTTGTCGTCGCAGCGTAGCAATAACCATAACGAAGCGGCTGCAAAGTCTTCTGGATGGTCGACCAACGATATCCAGGAACAAGATTGCGAATGAGTGTACCGTCGCTCGATGACGCACAGCTGCTCCCCCACTCGAGCGAGCTCAGGGTCACGCCACGCCTCCTGATGCATCTCGTCTCCTGCCCATCGAACTCTCGCTCACTGCATCGCATTGCTCTTCGAGACTACCATGCCCAACGAGCCTGTCTGGACGACTCGAGACGACACGGAGTTGGCTAGCGCAGTGGCCCAGGTGCTCGTCGACCACCGTAAGGAAGTCTACGCTTGGCCCACACTCAGGGAGCGATGGAGACACAAGGGCTACGATACGCTGTTCAGAAAGCTGAAGATGCTGATCAACAATCGAATGGTCAAGCCTTACGATGCTGTGATGCCCAAGGGCCCGATGGGTGGGGCAGCGGGAACCTCTTTGTCGACCAAGGTGAAGGTCAAGAAGAAGGAGGACAGCGATGAGGATGATGACAAGAGCGAAGTCAAGACCGAAGCCAAGACGAAAGCGGCGAAGAAGGAACGCCTCAACCTCTTTCGCTCCTCGCCGGACGAGGCAGATAGCGAAAGCGAGGACAGCCGGCCTAGTCGAGGTCGACGACCCGGTACCACACTTGACACCTATTTTCGTCCCAAGCCCAAGCCTGCGGCTCCTGCTCCCTCAGCATCCTCGTCGAGCCACATCACACGCGCCGTGACTGGCAAGTCTCCTCCGGTCGTCATCTCGCTCATATCTGACGACGAGGATTGCGGTCAACCGACGTTCCATCGACGCGGTCGCTACGCCACGCCTGTCGAGGATGATGACGGCGACGAGGCAACGCCTCCGCCCTTGGAGCTCTTCTCCAGCCCCGGCCAGGGCCAAAGCTCAAGTATGGGTGCGTGCAGCACGAATCCCTCGTCGAGCCCGGTGACCGCAAAAAAGCGCGTGAGGACTGCACGCGACGAGGATGGTGACGACGACAAGCGTGCAGTGGCCAGCACATGCAAGGATATCGCGTCGACATCCCCTTCCTCTCACTCGATGAAACGTCTCAAGATCCCTCGCCCCTCAACTTTCTTTGAAGACGGTGACTACGAATCTTCGCCGACTGCGTATCGCTCTCAACGCAGCGCCGCTGCGCAGGCTACGACGAAGCTGGCTGCCCTCTCCTACACTCTGCCCACGACCGAAGATGAGTGGGAAGAGGAGCAGGAATTTGAGAGGCAGAGGGGAACTAGGCGGGCGACTTCCAAATCAGCAGGGATGCATGAGGACCATGAGGCTGGCACCAGGGAAACGCCAGCCAGGAGACCTGTAGGAAGTCAGAGCAGGCAAGGCAGCACGGCCGTGGACAAAGGAGTGCAGTTGGAATCACAGGATGAGCTTGAGGGTGTCCATCAGTCCACGACCGGCCAGACGCAGCTCCTCGCCGAGCTGGACATGCTTGGCGACGACTAGACGATCGCGTCGGCATCACTTTTGCTACTTGATCTTGATCCCTGTCGTTAGATTGCTTCAACGCCGTGTCGACTCGCATCGATGTCCAAGTCTCTTTCTTGTCCCTACGCGCTGCCGGCGATCTTGATTGTCCTCGCTCCCTTTTCAAGCGACGTCATGCACGTCGCCCCAAAAGGCGGGGTCCGTGCTTTGAATCCTTTTCCGGGCGGCGGTGAGCTTTTTCCTTCCTTTCTCTCACTTAACTCCACCTCGTCTCTGCTTAAGTCTTAAGGCAGCGTGTCGACGTCTTCATCACACGTTGAGAAGGATCGTCGCCATAGATGCTGTTCCAGTCGCAGTTTGAAGCCCTAGCCGGAGTGGCTGGGGCTCCTGTGGACTACGTCAAGGTAAGAGCTACTGTTGAGCTGAGACACGCGACACCCAAGTCCACGATCGTGCGTCCACTGAAACTAACATGCCCTCTCTCTCGCCTTCTTTCTCGCGGACCAGCTCATCACACTCCTCATCATCGCCTCTCCTCTCGCCTATCCGCTACCCTCTCTGCCAAGCACAGCAAAGCATGTCGTCTGCTTGGCAACGAGCGCCTTCTTCTTCGTCGGCATCCTTGACCTGCAGGCCGGCTTCCTCCAGCTGTTGGGCACCAGTTTGATCACTTACTTCTTGGCAAAGCTGCAATTGGGTGGAAGGAAGATGCCTTGGATTGTATTCTTCTTCGAGATGGGCCATCTGACGATCAAGTGGGTGCGACGAGCATGTATGCTCTCGCGTCTGCCTTGCTGACCAGCTTATACCCTTGTCCACCGCGCAGCCATCTCGTTCGAGCCTTTGGCAACATTCCGTTGACGACCATCGAAATCACGGCGATGCAAATGGTCTTGACTATGAATCTCACTACCTTCGCATGGGACGTCTACGATGGACAGATGCGTAGCGAGCAGGAGTGCGATGAGCAGCAGAAGGGCCAGAGGATCACTGAGTTCCCGAGCTTGCTCGAGTTCTTGGGATATGCGTGCGTACAGGAGACATCCATGACTGAGTGATGGAGGTCAGTACTGACCTGTCTCGCCTCGTTACCCGTGCAGCTTCTACTTCCCTGGCGTGCTGGTCGGCCCTTCCACCCGCTTCGTCGACTACCGAGCTTGGGCAAATGGTACGCTGTACTCGTCGCCCAAGGGCAAGGAAAAGTGAGTGCAAGCATGCCAATCGATCTATTGACCGATGCGGAGAGCTGACCCTCAACCTTCGACCTGCTCCCATTGCGCAGAGAACACGGCGGGTCCGCCTCTTCTCCCCCACCTGGACGCTTCCTCGCAGCCTCCCGCGAGCTCGCAATTGGCTTCGTGTCGCTGGCCATCTATGCTCTCTACGCTCCCAGCTGGGACTTTGCCGCCCTCACTGTGCCCTCAGCAGCGGGTGGCGTCCGCGACGAGTCCTTCATATGGCGGGCCTGGTTTGCAGTCGTAGCCTCTTTCATGGCGCGCACCAAATACTACGGGATCTGGACTCTCACCAATGCGAGTTGCATTCTCTCTGGCCTCTCCTACAACGGCCTCGCTCCCCTCACGACCACCGGCGGCAGTGATGTGGCCTCACGAACCCGCTGGAACCGCTGCCAAAATGTTGACCTCTTGGGCGTGGAGCTCGCCCAGAACTGGAAGGAGTTGCTTGACCATTGGAACATGAACACGAATGTCTGGTTGCGCAATAACGTCTACAAGCGCATCGCTAAGCCCGGACGCAAGCCTGGCTTCAAGTCTACCATGTTTACCTTCATCACCTCGGCCTTCTGGCATGGAATCGCGCCGGGGTACTACGTGGCCTTCGTCCTCGGTGGCTTCTGCCAGAGTGTCGCGAGGTCGCTGCGCAAGAACCTGAGGCCGCGCGTCTTCAGAGATCCTAAGCAGAAGGGAGAGGTGCGATCATTGAGCTCGCTGTCGCAGATGAGGGCAGGCCAGCTCATCTACGTCTCACTGAGCATTGCTGCGGTGCACACCACGCTCAGCTTCGCCGCCATGGCCTTCATCCTCCTCGACGTCCCCACGATCATGCGCGCTTGGGCCTCACTCTACTTCTACGGCATCATTGCCGTTCTTGGGCTCATGGTAGCATTCCGAATGGGGCTGGGCAAGTACCTCTCCGGGTCGAAGCGCATCGTTCATCCGAACAGCGCCAATGACGAACGTCGCGCAAAGATCAATCGAGCCATCTCGCTCCCAGACGTGCCTGCTGCGAGCCGTGAAGCGAAGGAGGCGGCGCTGCAAAGCGTACAGCGCGAGATCGAGGACCTGGACGCCCAGCCTAACCTGCCGGATGTCGAGGTGGTGATGGAGGAGCTGAGGAGCAGAGCGCAGGAATTGATGAGGGAGCTGGGCCAGAAAGGCGAGGGCCAGCCGGCGGAGGTGGCCAACAAGGCGGCCGAAGTGTTGGCGAAGTGAGCGGGGCTACGAGGGATGAGGAGTATGAAGGAGAGGGGGCAACCACGATGCCGCACTACGGGAGCACGTGAAGGCGCGCACGAGTGCTACACGATGCCGAGCTCCTTGCTTGAATTATCGGACAAATACTCAACGGGAGAAGTGCTGAGGTCGGAAGACAGAATTACCATTAATTAAGAATCTACGGATCGAGCAGCGTGTGTGAGAGAGAGAGAGAATCGCATGGTAGAGGTGACAGGAGGTGGGGTATGCTAGGTAGCTACACGTGTGGAAGAGGGTATGGGGAGGAATCTGAGCCGGGATGAGTCGAAAGAAGGAGCCAGGGGTCCCACGCAGGGAGGCGGCGAAGGGGAGAGAGCGCATCTACTGCCCTTCTTGACGTCCGCCTACCCTTGAACCAGCAGTTGACCCACGCCACCGAAGACCTCCTTGAGGATGCCTTGCACCACCTTGCCCGCGTCAGGGTTGCTGCTGAACTTGGGCAGGGGCACGCTCTTCGTCGCCGAAGCGGTGGACGGCTTTGCGCTGCTCGTAGGCGAGACAGGTGATCCAGGCTTGGCGAGGCGGCTACCCGGGTTGAGTTGCGGGAAGGTGACGCCTGGTCTGTCCAGCCTGAAGGGGTGAGCCTCGGTGTTGAAGACCCACTCGCCGAGGTCGATGGTTGATGGGTCGGCGAAGATGAGGTAGAGGTACTTGAGCAGCTCAGCATAAAGGAATGACTCGGAGTCATCAATCTGTGGCGGAGTAGCCTGGGTGACGTCCGACAGAGCTGCCAGTGCAGCGGGGGCTTTGCAGTGGTTGCGAATGTTCTTGAAGGCTGCCCAAGCCAGGTCCTGCCACTTCTTGTCGCCCGTGAGGCGGTACGCGTAGAATACGGACTCGAGGACCTCAGGACGAAGCACGTAGTACTTGGAGTCGTAGTCGAAGCCGTGCTGCCTGTAGAAGTCTGGGCTACGGATCTTGACACCATTCGTGGAGCCGCTTTGCGAGGCGTAGACGAAGGACTCAGGACCAATGCCAGAGGCGCTCGAGGTGTATGTGTTGATGCAGGCGTCGGTAAGTCGCAGCCCGTACTGGAAGATGTCATCGTTACCCAGCAGCTTGCCGCCGAGCATCCAGTTGCCGCCATGGAAGCATTCGAGGTGAGAACTGCGCGGAATCAAGCCTCCAGAGGAGGCGGAGTAGTCGGCGAGGTAGAGCAGGTCCTTGCGCGTCGTGTTACCGCCTGCAGTCGTCATGAGGTGAGCGATCGACGAGTTGACGGCGCGAACCCAGGCAGGCATGTACGAGTAAGGGTTGCCGTTAAGGTACGAAGCCTTGATCAAATATTCAAAGTAGCTGTCGCTTCCACCACCCCACGTCACGTAGTCGCCTCGAGGTTTGTTAGTAGCTGGGTCGATGCCTTGAGGATTGAGTCCGGGGAACGGGAGGGGCGACGCGTTGATGGTGGCGCGCATAGCCTTGGCGGCGAAATTACGGAAGGTGGCATTATTCGAGTACTTTGAGAGTCTGTCAAATTCCAAGATGAGTGTGCCTGTCTCTGCGATGATGGCACCTTGGTCGGTGACTGGAGTTGGGTTGGTGTTCCAGTTGCGGAGACCGTTGTACGGGAGCGCGTTGTTGCCGACCCAGCCGTGCAGCAGGCGATCTGCGACGACGACGGCCTGGTCGACGAGCTTTTGATTGGTCTTGCCGCCTAACTCATACGATGAGAGCAGTCCACCAACGTGCCTGATTGTCGTTTCGAAGATGGAGATCTGGTCTTGCGACGTCTTGGTGTAGTCGACACGCAGCGACTGGGCGACGCACTCGTTGTAAATGTCGTTGAGGCCCATGATCTTAGCCGTGCTCTGGACGTCGACGATGGTGGCTCCCCAGCCACCCAAAGGGTCAGCGCAGGTCTTGGTGAGTGGGTTGAGCTGATCATGGCCAAAACAGTAGCGCTTGTAATCTGCGTAAGAGCTGGCAAAGAGGGACTTGACGGCGTTGGCTCGCGCAGAGTTACCACGCGCATTGGGCGATTGAATGCCGGCAAGAGCGGTGGAGGCCAGAATGGCGAGGAGAGTGCAAGTGTAGAGGCGAGTGAACAAGAGCATGGTGGCGAGGAGAAGGTGAAGAAAGGGTGAGAAGGGGGAGGAGGGGGAGGAGGGGAGGGGGGTTGTGACAACGATTGGTGTACACTCGCTTGGCTCATATAGGTCGAGAGGGGTCTCACCTCCTCTGTCCTCCTGTTCTGCGACGGCCCGCTTCTCTCGAGAAAAGCGGGCCTTGTCGCTTCACCTTGATGGACTTGATCATCGATCTCCTCTCCATGGCCGCCCCTTCCCGATCAGGAGCGTTCGTGTGAGGGGCCCGCTCGTCACAGAAAGGTCTGACTTCGCTTGTCCGTCCCGTCGGTGCTTGTCATCATCGAAGCCCGCATCTTTCTCTCGTCGAATGCCACGCATTGCTCTTTCTCCGTTGCCTGTGTTGGACTGCATGAGTTTTGCTTGCTTGGATGCAGCTTGCCCCGCGTTCTGCCCGCGTTCTGCTGCAGGAGCGGGACAAATGGCACCAGGTGGCCGGCCTCATCTGTCGCTTCTTCTTCACCTCTTGCGCACTGTCATCAACGAGCACAGCCAGCAATGACAATGTCGACCAAACAACAAGCTGCGGCATAGCGTCGCAATCACGATCCTAACTCATCGCTCGCGTGGCTCGCATGTCGTTGCTGTTGCCCTCTCGCTCTCGTGCTCACTCTCGCGCAGAGGCGGCTGGATATCGCCGCGCCTTGAGGTCCGTTACGGGCCGCGAAAACGTCCAACATTGCCCCCATTCACGGCCGCCACGGCCATGCTCCAATCGTCCGGCGGGCAGATAATCGCAGCCGCACTGTGGCAGCAAAGGGTCACTCGTAACTAGCCAAGCAACACCGATGCCATCGCCGGGTTTGGAGCGACCGTAAATGCCCATGCTGTGTCGGGCTTCCCCTTCCACCCACGCTTCCTCACGCTCGATACGTTACCCAGACTCTGCCGTACCCTATCACACCCTATTCTATCTCGGACACTGACTCCTACACCCACTCACACTCTTTTCAGATCCTGCTCTGCCCGCTTCTTTGCTCGACTGCAGTCATACCTTGCTCTGCCACCGCATCTCGACGATGCTACCCCGACTTCGATGCGCGCGCATTCACTTGCTATCTGTCATCACGCTCGCCTTGGCTGTGCTCATCCCGAGGTGCGTCTCCGAGGGAGGACGAGTGGCTACCAATGGCCGTTCAGGCATCTCTGCGCAGATGGCGTTTCTCAACTCGGACGATACCGTCATCTTCCTCGACAAGACGGAAAACAATCCGCTCCAGATCAATGGCAGGCCTGCGTGGGCGTCCGAGTACAACATACGCACCGGCAAGTCGAAGCCATTTGATATAGTAACCAATACTTTCTGTGCGGGAGGTGCGCCGATCGCCGATGGAAGGATGGTCGTCACGGGTGGCAATATCGCCGTTGGACCCAAGGGACTCGCCGCTAACCAGTCGGTGGGGCCCTACTTCTCGATTGATGGAGGCATGGCCGTCAACATCTGGAATCCTCGTGATGGCACCTGGGACTCACGACCGCGCGGGCTGCACAGAGAGCGGTGGTACCCAAGCATGGTGCGTCTGCGCGCGCGGAGAGCCACAAATGATAGGATACTGACTGATTTCCTCCTCACTAGGAACCCCTCGCCGACGGTAGCGTTGCCATCATTGGTGGCCAGAGCGGAGGAGGCTATAGTGCCATCGAGAAGCTGATGGAGCCCACGCTCGAGTTCTTTCCTGATCGTGGAGCACCAGTGCCAGTGCCAATCATTACTCGCACGCTCCCCATAAACCTCTATCCTTTGACCTACCTCATGTCCAATGGTGGGTGACGAGCGGCGAGGTGTACCGAGATATCTACTGACATGCAACACACACGCAGGCCGTATGTTCATCCAGTCGTACAACGAAGCCGTGCTCTACGACCTCTCCGCCCACACCGAGCAGAAGCTTCCTGACAAGCCCGGAGCCCCCGGTCCTTACCCATCCAACGCTGCCGTGACTTTGCTCCCCTTCACGCCCGACAACAAGTACGAAGAGACGGTCTTGTTCTGTGGCGGGCTTACCGGCCTGTCCAAAGTGGACTGGGGAGGTACCCACGGCCCGAATGTCTCGCTCACGGACAAGTCCAACTCTCGGGACTGCTGGTCAATTGCACCCCTCATTGATGCGACGTGGCGACCTCGTCCACCCGCGCCGGAAGGTCGCAGCATGGCTACCTTTATTACTTTGCCTGATGGGAAGATTGCATGGATAGGAGGAGCCAAGAAGGGGACTGCAGGATACGGTCCTCCGGGAAGTACCGGCCAGCCTATTGGCCACTCCTATGCTGACGATCCCGGATATGTGAGTGCGAGAAAGAGCCTAGAACAAAGGCGATGGCTGATTTTGGTGCGTGCCCTCGTAGGCTGTGTGGGTGCTCGACCCCACCCGCTACACCTGGTCGTACGAAGGCACTTTGTCAAAGCCTCGCATGTACCACTCGTCGATGGTCCTCATGCCAGACGGGTCCATCGTCGTGGGCGGCTCCAACCCCAATCCTGACGTGACGACGGTCAAGTATCCTACGGAGTACTCCATTGAGGTCTGGTGAGTCAGTAAAGGCACGTCGCGGCAAAGCATTGAGCTGACTCCCCGTTCTTGCAGGTACCCGCCTTGGTACATCACGCCTCGCCCTTCGAACGCCCAGCTGCCCACGACCTTCAGCTACGGGAGCAGCGGGTTTCGCATCGATCTCACCAAAGCTCGTTCTGCAAATTCGACCGCCTCCATTACAAAGGCCACTGTCCGTCTGATCCGCACAGGCTTCTCGACGCACGCAGTTCAGTGGGGCCAGCGAGCCATCGAGCTTAACTGTCGCATCACAAATGGGTCCTCCACGCTCGTAGTCGATGGTTTGCCCAACAATCGCAGTCTCTTTGCGCCTGGCACCGCGCTGGCTTTTCTGGATATTGACGGAGTGCCAAGCAAGGGAAAGTTCGTGCAAGTTGGGCCTAAGACCATTCCTGGCGAGAGGAGGAAGAAGAAGAAGAGGAGGATGGAATGGAGCGATGGAGCGAAGCTCTTTTGAGCGGGTTGAGCGTGCGAGGGAAAAGCGGTCGACTTGACTCGAGATTGCAGCCTCTAGCATGGACATTTGGCCCTTTGGCCCCTCTTCATCCACTACTTGCCCTACAACTTCCTGACTCGGCCTGCAGCGAGGGCGCCCTGAGAGCGTACTCGCGCACGCAGGAGCATCGACTCGACCCTTTGCTTATGCTTTGACGACCTCAATTTATTTGCCTGCCTTCTTGATGAGGATGATGAAACGTGACAGACGAAGTGGAGCATAGCAACCCTGTCGTCCCCGTCTTCGTCGTAGTCGGGCCATGCTGACCTCCACCCGGCCCAAAATGCAGTTGGCCCGGGCACGCAGGCATAGGCGAAGAGAAGGAAGTCAGCATCGCAGCAGCGCAGAGCAATAAATTGCATTTCGAGACGGTGGGCGAACACCTGTCTGTCCTTCCAACCTGACCACCACCATACCACCAGTTCAAAATGGTAGCTGACAAGAAGCCGATCCTCGTCGTGAGTAGTTGCGAGCATTTGATGATGTTAGGCATGAGATGCTCACCTCGTCGCCTCTCGCTAGGTCATCACGTCGCACACCAAGCTAATCGGCAAGGACCACCCCACGGGATGGTACTTGCCTGAGCTCGCTCACCCTGCGTACCATTTCAAGAGGGAGGGTGAGTATGATGAACAAGGCCAACTACTTGTCAGCACCTCCGCTCATCACCCCCTTCACCACCCCAGGCTACCCCATGATTTTCGCCTCCCCCAAGGGCGGTGAGGCTCCCCTCGACCAGTCGTCTGTCGAAGCCTTCAAGGAGGACAAGGAGAGTCAGGAGTTCCTCAAGGATGAGGAATTTCAGCAAATGGTCAAGAACACCAAGAAGCTCAGCGAGATTGACACCGACGTCAGCAAGTACTCGTGAGTGGGCACGCCCGCCAGAGAGAGGAGTTGAAGCTCGTCTGTATGACTGACCTGTCTACGCTATCCCGCAGCGCCATCTTCTACCCCGGCGGCCACGGCCCTTGCTTTGACCTGCCCGTAGATGCTACGTCTCAGAAGCTCATTAAGGACTTCTACGAGGCCAAGATGCCCGTCTCTGCCGTCTGTCACGCTCCCGCCGTCTTTTCCGACGTCAAGCTTTCGGTGAGTAGTTACTCCGTGCGAACGAGATACAAGAAGGTGAGCCGCAATCTGACCAGCCCTTGCGTCTCGGTCTCACAGAACGGCAAGTACCTCCTCGAGACCCGCAAAGTCACCTCCTTCTCCAACGAAGAGGAGGAAATGGCCCAGCTCACCGATGCCATCCCCTGGCTGGTCGAGACCCGTCTCGGAGAGCGTGGTGGGATGTACAGTAAAGCAAAAGTTCCATTCGGGGAACACGTTGTCGTAGACGAGTCGGGCGATGGCCATACTCTCATCACTGGCCAGAACCCAGCGTCAGCTAGCGCTATGGCCAAGGAGCTCACCAAGGCACTCCAGAAGTAATTGGAATCCAATTCAATTTGACATTAATCAATGAGATAGCTGCTTTGGGCCGACGTGAACGATGAGCTTCGCGCGTAGTTGTCGCCTCGTCTGGTCGTGGCGCTAGTGCTTGCCAGTGCTTGTAGAGGCGATCTGACCTGGCAGGCGATGCCTTACGGGAATAGGCTGGTAGCTAAGCACAGGGCCATAGGCGTACAGCTAAGCGTTGCTCTACGATTGTCGAGCAGCTACTTTGCGATATGCAACGAGGGTGCGAGTTTAGACTGCGAGACGCGCTGGCATAAGCGAACTCATCACTGAATGGAAGCTCAGCTCACCTGCACCGCGTGTCGGCGCCCACCTCCCCGTATCGACTTCCACAGCGAGCTGCTTCGACCCGTCATTAGCCCGCATAAAGTGGTTACGATGTACTCTGATGTCCAAGAAGCAGGACGAAGGGGCTGGCGTTGTTGCGTGTGCAGGATCGACCCTCAGCAGGTGAGATTTTGAGAGACAGAGTGGGCGGCGGCCCCGCCGATGTCGTTCAAGAAGGGGTGGTAAGGCCTCTGTCGATCGAGCTCGGGTGGTTCATATTGAATCTGAGGACGTGGTGGGAACAGCTCGGGCGTGGGACGCCGCGACCGACCTTCTCGCGGCTCGAGCAAGACAGTGAGCGAACGGACGTAGGCTGAGCAGCCTTACCATGCTCAGGTTGAGTCGCGGCTGTTGGTAATGAGCCGCAGCGAGTGGAAAGAGTTGCAGAATTGACGCACCATCTTGACTGGCCTCCACTCGGAGGTGGCGCTTTGGCCATGCATGGCGCGAGCGAGTCGAGCGTGGGCGTCAGACGGAGCTCGGTTGGCGTCGACGAGGCAGCCTTGGTCCGGTCCGCCGTCCGAGGTGTCGTCCCTTTGTCTCGCACCATACCTCCAATCTTCACGCATGGCCGCCGATCTCGAAGAGTGGACAAAGCACCAGATGCTTGATCGTCCGGCGCCATGACAAAGGGTCGCCGAGCACGACACGCTACACGCCGCGATGAAGGCGTTTTTGCGGGCCTTGAGGAGGACAAGGGACAATGAGGCGCCGGAGGTCGAGCGGATGGTACTGCCTTGAGGCCCAGACGTCTTAAATGGGCAGCCTCTCTTCGTTGATGTAAACGCGACGTGTTCTCCTTCAATTTCTTCCTTCATCATTGATATGGCCGACACGCGCCCCACACACGTACGGACTGGCTCCATTGCACGATCGCGCAAGGGCAGCGCCCCTTCGACGCCACCACGAGTTCAAGTGCGCCTTCCCGCCCACCACCAGCAGCTTCGATCCAAGTTCTCCTGGACAAATTCAAGCTTGCACTCGACGACGAGCCCGCTGGATCAGCGCTTGGTCAATGACTTTGCCTCACCGCCTTGCTCCTCCTTCTCGCCGGCGAGCAGGCAGAAGAAGATGATGGGGGCCTCCGCCACTCCTAGTCCAGACCACCGCCTCGCTGCACTCCCACCTGTCGACGCACACTTCAAAGGATGGGACTTCCATATTGCGAAGCATGGGCAGGACAACAGCAGCAGCAGCAACAACAAGCTAGCAAGAAGCACAAGGTGAGACCAGCCGACAAGGCCCGCACCCTTAGTATCCACGTAGCTGACCCACTTGCACCCGCCACTCAACAGCTCCCGCACGGCTCAGGAGATGATCTCGCCCAAGAGCAAGCCAATCCCATCCTTCATCCGGAGACATCCTCATCGCCCATCGACAGCGGTCCACCGGCCCAATCACGGCGGCTCATCCGACGACGAAGAGGAGGAAGAGCTTGCCTCACCAGTCCGCAATACTTTCGGAGGCGCAGCGAGACGCTTCCTGCAGAAGGCCAAGGGTCATGGGCGCAGCTTTTCGAGCGATCATGTCAATGCGATGTCGCTCCAGAAGGTGTCCATGATACCCTTCTCCTCTGGAAGCAGTGAGCATGACGACTCTCCACCCGCTCTGCACTACGGCTCCGAGGCTAGCTCAACTTCGATGGAGAGCCTCCTCTCAACAAGTCACGTCTCTACGTCTTCGCTCGGCGCACCCATTCACATTCCCGAGCGAAGACGAGGTCGCAAGGGGTCGCTTGGTAGCTCTGTAGCTCCTGCACTCTCACACCTCTTCGGCCTGGGGATCTCTGAGAAAGACGAACCCCTCACCACGCCTCGTCCAGCACCCGTCCCCTCAGCTTCATCCGATACACACCGCCCACGGGGCCATCAGCGCGTGGATTCAATATCTCGTGGCGTACCTCGCGAGGCTGCCGAACAGGCGGGCAATTCCATCCAGATGCTTCCGGAGGCGCTTCAGTCGCACCCGCCCAGAAACGGCATCGTCGTGCTAGCCACCGAACAACTTGGGCTGCGCAAGGCTACGTCGCTGAAGTACGACCCGAGCAGGCGGCCCAAGCATCCACCCACGCCGCCTAGGCAGTGCGTGAAGGCGCTGCCCTCTTTGCAGTCGGGCGATGTCGCTCAACTCAACGTCAACTCGACAGGCTCCGCAGCACAACACAAGACGGCGCATGACTGCTCAGTCACTGGCCTGACCACAACTGCCGTCGCCGATAGCACGATCAGCAAACGGCTTCAAGGGCATCGACGCTCGGAGTCTACTCCCATGCCCGCTGTAGACGAGCCAGCCAGCGTGGAAGACTTGCACAGGGATGCCCTCGTCGCTCTGACCTTTGAGTCACAGCAGCGTGACCGGGAGATTGTGGCGCCGCTAAGTGTAGTCAAGACGAGGAAAACTGTGATGGTGAAGCCGCCGGTCAAGGAGGAGGCGAAGAAGGACGCTGCCGTTGCTGCGGGTAGCGAAGAGGCGAATACCGATCTCCCAAGCACTAGCAAAGAGAACTCCTCCACATCTTCGATCCTCTCAATCAGTACCGACGAAAACCATAGCAGTCCCGCTCGCCCTCGCAAGACCGCCGCAGACCACGAAAAGTGGGAGAGCGGCGCCACCACCAGGCAATGGTCTTCGATGCTTCAAGACGAGACGCACCGTCGTCGCAGACCTCGGAGGGCGGGTACTGGTAGCTCGGATGCGAGTGAGAGACAAGTAACACTGCCCGCAGTAAAGGGCCCGGCACCGACAGATGCGCTGCCTGCTTTGCCTGATAGTAAGGGTGCGGTGCGAGAGGCAATAGTCGTGCAGCGGCGCCCCCTCAAGCCTTTGCTGCTAGCGGCACGACACCCTGTCAGCCAAGTCGATCGCGCCGAAGATCGTCCAGAAGTAGACGGAGACTGCTCTCCGCCACACTTCCCTCTCCCGCCCAAGCTCGACCTGGACCTGAGCGGCGGGACGATCAAAATGTGGCGGCAAGGCCATCAGCCTGGTAGCAGCAACAGTGGAGGGAGCACGGCTACGCTAAGACGAGGAAGAACGCCGCGCTCTGGTCGAGGGATGACGCCCGTTAGCGCTGCAATCAAGACAGAAAGTAACGCAAAGGACACCCTTCAAGACCTTGTCGAGTCATTCGACATCGAAGGCGCGGATGTGGAACAGGAGATCGTTGAGGAGCCGCAGTCGGCAGAGCCTCACGAAGGGGAAGAAGACCGACCAGAGAGCAGAGCTTCGAGTGCGACTTCCTCTCGTAGCGGAGATCTGCCCAGTGCAGGCAGCTCGGCGCAATACGCTCGCTGGCCCCCACTTCAACGTCCCAGGCCCACACCTACTTCGCTGCCAACCTCGGTCAAGCCCTACGAGGATGTCAGTGGTGAGGCCACGCCTGCGCAGGGAAGCATATGTCTTCCGGCCGCGACGGCCGACGAGGCGAAGGAGGAGCCGAATCAGCAAGGGTGCACATCCCCTACCTCGCCTGACTGTGACGGACGAGATCCTTGGAATCTCGATACTCTCCGTCTCGACCTGGATATAGACGAGGCGGACCTTCGTCTCTCTTGCGACGATGACATCTCTTCGTACACACGCTCGTCGCCCCCCTCGGCTGCCGTCTCCATGACCTCAGACGGCAGCGCCTATTCTCTTCCCTCCGAAGGGGCCGGTAGGAGTGGAATCTTTCAGTACGAGCTTGCATCGAGCACGCTGACTAGTCGAGCGGTCAGTGGGATCGAGGTGGGTGAAGAGGCGAGTGGGTCGACGTGGAATATGAAGGTGCCGATGAGGCAGACACGACCTGCTAGTAGCATGTACGGTGGGGAAGAATTGGATCTCGAGGGATTGTTGGAGGGGGCTCTTTTGGGTGAGGAGGAGGCAGCGTGATCAGAACTTGCATAAAGGAGAAGTGATTAAGTGCTCGTACGATCGCTTCATTCCTGCTGTGCGTCATTGAAATAGTGGATAGATTTGCGATTCGCAGCGATTCGCAGTGGTCCGCCTTGTGATCAACCTCTACTCCCACGCCTGGCCTATCGCTACAATATACCGTCGAGCAGGACATGCTATTCGTCCTGTGGCCTCTGAGCGGTCCATAGACCGCCTTCTCAAACTCCATTGCCTCATCTACTTCTTATTGCTTAAACGCCACTCTCCTTCTGCGCCTCCTCCGACTTCTTTTCCTCCTCTGTGGTCTCGGCCTTGGGCATCTCAGCCTGTTGACCAGATGAAGAAGCCTCCTCGCTCATCGTCGGCGCGTTTGCAGCGGGTGCGGCCGAGCCAGATGCAAAGAGGGGAGAGGGCGCAAAGCTGTTGGCGTCTCCGCTTGAAGTCAGGTGGAAGGGCTCTTTATCCTCGCCAGTCTCCTTCTTCTCGGTGCTCGTCGACGTCGACGATTCGGCCTCGCCTTCCTTCTCCTCTGATGGTGAGACCTCTGCGGATGACGATGTGGCTCCAGTTGCGGCGGCGTTGGGTCCAAGGGATGCACCGCTGAGCGTGTCCCATTCTTGCGAAGAAGCTTGCGAGGGAGGGCCAGAGGCAGGCGCATTCGGTCCCTGGGCGCCACCAGCAGCAGGCTGGCTAGCGGACGGCCCTGCTTCGTCATCCACCTCGTCTAGATTGCCCGCAGCGGCCCCCGCACCACCAGCCCCTCCAGTAGCAGCAGCCATTGCCGCGAGCGGGTTGGCACCACCACGTCCACCCGCAGCGCCTTCACCACCGCCGAGCTGTGCGTCCTTGCCAATCATCTTGATGATAATCTCAAACACCTCTGGCGGCGTCGCCTTCTGGTAGATCATGATGAGGTCAACCGGGCTGGGATACACCTTGATTCCGCGGAAGAAGGCGGCGGCAGCCTCTACACGGTGCTCTGCTCCCATTGCGATGAGCGCTTCTCCCTGGGTGACTTGCTCCATGAAGCTGAAGGGTGGAGGGCACAAAGAGAGAAAGGATGGGTCAGCAAACACGATGCTCAGCCACTCGAGATGACAACCACCCTTCCTCTCGCTGAACACTCACTATTTCTCCATCTCCTGTGGCCCACTCGGCAGCACACCGGGCTTCTGAACCTCCTTTACGACGGCGTCGATGGCCTCATCGTCCTCCTTCTGTCTCTTTGCATCTTCCTTCTTTGCCGCCTTTGTGGTGCGCTTCTTGTCCTTGTTGAGCTTCTTGCGGAAAGCCGCATCGTTCATTCGCTTGTGGTCGAACCAAATGGCGTAGCCGACTCCAGCGGCAACGAGAGTGCCTGCGCCGATTGTGAGGATTTGAGATGTCTTCATTGCGAGGAAGAGGCGGCTGTGGTGATTGACTGCCTGGCTGGTGGTGATGAAGGGTGAAGAAGGAGGTCCGGCCTTCCCGCTGCTGCCGTCGTCGCTCTCAAGTCTCGTCAATTTGCCATGAGGCGCGCACTCGCACTCTGCACAGCTCCACTTTGGACGAGCCCCCGCCCCGCTCATCGCCCTGTTGAGCCTGAGGCGTCGAATGGCCGTTCTTGCCGCCCTTGTCAGCCCGCCACGGCTGGCTCAGTGGCTCGCTCGGGCCACGACTTGCCCACGAGGACAAACGCAAAGGACCCTTGACTTGCTGCATTCATTCATTCATTGACCGCCACTGGGTTCTCTTCCTCCCTGGCCATCCTCACCATCTCGGTGGTGTCGCCTGCATCGCGATGAGCTTCGACCCGGCCTTTCGCCAGGCAGGCAGCACACGCACCGCCTTTGAGGTCCAGGAGGAGAAGGACCTCGAGGCGAAAGCGCACGCTACCAACGAGGCAATCGCTGCAAAGATACCAAACCTGCGCCATGACGAGGATCCGAATAGATTGACGCCATTACGCGCTCACTACCTCAAGAAGCAGCTGGTCAAGCTACAGGTCGAAAGAGAGGTCCAGCAACTCAATCAAAAGGGTAAAATTGACCCGGTCCTAACAACCACAATTCTGCTGAGCGCCCACTGATCTTCCCTCACGACGCTCCTCGCTGCCAGATGCTCTCTCAACCTTTGGCCCGCCTTTCAAGCCATCACCCGCAGCACGTCGAGCGGATTTGCCACTGTCCCGCTTCATCTTCCACCACTTTGTCCTCACCTTTCCCTTCCTCCGGTCGGCCCCTTCCAACTTTTTCTCAGATAAAGTCCAAGTCTTCATGGACATGTTTCTCGAGCGTAACATCTCGGGCACGGACGATCGGGAGGAGGAGACGAAGAGGAGGAAGATTACACAGAAGTTGGAACGCAGTATCACACTGCTCATTGCGGCGGCTATCCGTGTTGGCGGCGAGGAAGTTGTACGCATTTCGGACGAGGATAGGGAAAGGGCAGCAGCTGCGCAGGCTAGGGTCAAGGCGGCTTTGGCTGGGAAGCCATTCGAGCGCGATGACGCTACTTTTGACGTCAATGTCATTGGTGTCAGGACGCGCACCACAAAGGGTCGACTGCGCCACCGCCACCATGAGGAGTTCATCATTCGTACAAGACGACAGGGCCAGCCAGACGTCCATGTGAGCAGGCGATACGGCGACTTTCAGCGCTTGGCCGACACTTTGCGGGTCGAGTATCCAGACGAGGATATCAGTCGTCCGCCTGCCAAGGATCGCAGCCAAACAGATGCGGTACCGCCGAGTCCTACAATGAGCGAGCCAACAGCAGACTCTGTACGCTCTTCCATCGACGGCCAAATGGAAGGCCTACATCTCGACCCTTCGTCCAGCGTCAGCAGCAGTCGACGCTCATCAGGCGCCCCTTCAGCTCCTCCACCCGCCCAACTCGCCCGCGAAAAGAATCGACTCACTCTACGCGCCTACCTCCGCACCCTCCTCGCCATCCCGCCTGTAGCGGACAGCCCCGTCCTTGCCGACTTCCTCCTGGGCGAGCCTGTCCACCTCACTCCGGCCGAAGAAGCAGACTGTCGCTCGCGCGAGGCATTGGACGCTGTACGCGCCGACGAGACGACCCGATTCAACGACGAAGCCTCAAAGCGCGTGGCCTCCCTCAAGAGCCACTTGGCGACGTTCAAGGCCGACCTGGTCCAGCGGGATGGGCTCAGCCGGGTCTTCGGGACCATCAAGTCCACACCAAGCATCGAAGACTTGCCAGAGAGCTATCGTGCCTTGCTAGCATGGGCGCGGATATCAGCGGCCTCGACCCTCTTCCACTTATTCATGGGGAGCGACACCAGCTCGGACCTCTTTTCTCAACTCAAGCGTATACATGGGCTGATGCCCTACTTCATGATGCGACAGATCCTCCGCATTTCCAACCCTGTCACCATGATCCGCGGAGTCATCGACCTCTTCCTCGCCCAGCCATTCGGGCAGCGTTCATTGTTGCAGCGCATGTTCTCCAGCTCATTGCAGGAGGAGGCGCGCGACTTGCAGGAGATGGTGAACGCGGTGCGTGCAAAAGTGGAGGACGAGGTCTTGTGCGAAAAGGTGCGACTATTCGTCTATGCTCCACCGGACGTGCAGCAGGTGTATCGCGATGACGCGCAAAAGGAGAATGTGGACCTTCTCACCACCATCCTCCGCTCCCCTGAGGAACCACGTCTGGGCCGGCAGCAGATCCATCGCGTCATTCGTGCTTCGCGCGCCTACGAGGTCTACAAACGACATCGCGCCTCCCTCAAGAATCCCGAGCTAGATGATGAAGGGCCCCAGAACGATGACGCCTGGCTGTACGAGGACCTGCATGTCCTACTGCGCCTGTCAACGCGACTGCGCGATAAGGAACAACTTCTCTCACTCATTTTTGAAGGCGTCACAGCTGACCTCTTAAAGGATATGGTGACCATCTTCTACTCTCCGTTGGCAACCGTATACAAGGCGGCGAACATTGCCGATTCACTGTACGACTTGCAGGTCTTCATCAATGACTTGATCAAGACTGTGGAGGCGACGGAAGAGATGAGCTACACGGAGCCTCAGCGTACCGTGCAGGTCTTCATCGATCTGGTCGCGCGGCACGAGGGCAAGTTCTACGGATTCGTGCACCAGGTCCACTCTAAAGGCGCCGGATTATTCGACGGGTTGATGCACTGGATTGAGTTGTTCCTGAATTTCGTCAGAGCGCCAGACGGGGATGAGATGGATGGGAGGCAGAGGCAAGGCTTGGGACAGCTGGACTTGGAGGTGTGCCTACCCGCGGGTGGAGCAGATCGAGCTGCCGCTTTGGCAGAGATAGATGCTCTGGTGGTGCACGCATATCGACTCAAGCTGCTGCGCGAGATGAAGCTTCGGAGGCGTATCGCAGATCGAGAGGTACGAGGCGCAGCACAGAGCGCTGACGGTAGTACTACTGGGCTCATGGGTGGGCAAGGGGTAGAAGAAGATGACGAGAATGCCTTCTTTGCTACAATGGTTGATAACCTGGGCTTCGGCAAGGGCTTCGAAAGTGAAGTGGCCGACGCTGAGGCGGAGGGAGACGAGGATGACGAAGAAGACACGGATGATGAGGATGAGGACGATACGGAGGACGAAGCGGGCAAACACGCCTCGCGAAAGGCGGGAATCATCTCGGACGACGAGAGTGGGACGAGCGGGGACGAGTCCGAGTCGATGTCTGGCGATGCACCACCAGCCCGTCCGCCCAAGTCATCGTGGCGTCCTCCGCCACCCACACGAGACGCCTCAACGCTCACCATCACCGGTAGTTCAATCACGCCAAGAGTGGAGAAGGATCTCCCTGCCCTTCCTCCCGTGCGCTCCTCCTCTCCCGCCGAAGAAGAAGAAGACGAAGAAGAGCGCCAGCGTCGCTTGCAAGAGAGGAGGAGGCGCAGACGCGCAGCCGCTAAGCCTCGTCCGCCCACATTGCGCGTCATTCCTGAAATGGTGCCTCTATTCGTGGAGATGCTGCGCCCGATGCTCCGGCCGGCAAGGTCGGCCAGCGCTTCGAGCTTCGGAAGCGCGAGCGGGGTGGGGGGTGGACCCCCTGGGTCCACGCTGCCAGAGGGGCAAGGGCAACCGCAGGGGTGGGGAAGCTGGCTCACCGGCGGATGGGCGGGTGGTGGTGGCGGAGGAGGTGAAGAGGGATCGCCTGCCCCCTACCACAGAAGAGATAGAAGTCGGTGAGCTGCGCTCGGGCACCCATTATCGCCCTCCTCTTCCTCTCCTGGAGTCTTGCCTCTTCTCTAGCATAGCCACGCTTCCTCTAGAGATCATTGTCAATCTTAAACGTCGTCACGAAGATGCAGATCCTGGCGCATTGTTGTGTTTGCAAGGCGACGTGGAGATTGCGGGTGGCTCGGGAGGCGTGAACAGGATCGTTCATCGCCACGCGGCGCGACGAGAAATGGGCTGATCCGGGCGTCGCAACTTCTTGCCGAGCGATCCGCACCAGCCATCTCTTCTCAAGACGCAACATCAATGGCAGCGGGACGCCATCAGCAAGATAGAAGCAGATAGCGCTCGTCGCTAAATCATGAACAGGGCAAGGTCCCAAACCCACCAGTTTCCCTGGCTCACCGACTCTGGCGAAGGCACGACCGGAGCTTCTCGCTCACCTGGTGCTCCAGATTGGCGTCGTATTCTCTATCGGGAGCAGTCGTCCTATCCCGATAACTACCTGCCCCCGCAAGCCTGGCTTACGCGGCGACAAAAGACCAGACTTGAAGCTCCTCCAACACATCTTGGCATCTTGATTGCTCTCTTACCACTGGTCCAGGGCTTGAATGTCATCCTCGTCTTCTTGGCCGTCTTTCAGCGGCTAGAACAGGGGAAACTTTTTCCAGTCGTTCTGACCGCGCAATGCTTTGCCGCTCTCGCGGTCGCCTCGCTCGTCGGTTGGCTACATCGTCGTCGATGGTCCTCGCAAGATTCGGCTCATCAAATCCGTAGCGCAAGTCCAGCACGCGCCTCGTCCCCTTCCCTGATCATCTCCTTTGGCATCGTCCTACTTCTCCTGTACGCTCTCTCGCCCGTCCTCAAGACTTTGACAGAGGCTACGTCAGGGGACACCATCTATCCGCTGGCGTTCTTGCTATTTGCGCTGCATATCGCCTTGGCTGATAACACCCTGCCTAGCCCGCCCTCACGCACGGCAAAAGAGAGAAGGGCAGTCGAGTCGCGCAGTCAAGAGCTAGCAGGGCAGGACGTCGGCAAGGAACAAGAATCAAGAAAGAAGCAGCGCAAGGCAAACAGCAGCGCAAGATCGCCCACCGATCTCTCCTCGGCCCTCAGCTTGAACGCAGCCACCTCAGCCTCGCTAGTCTTAGCTTCCCGACTTCCCTCGAACGAACATGTGTTCGCCCTCCTCTTCCTCGCTGTCCTCTGCTTCGGCCTCCTCCCGAGGGTTACATCGTGGCTGCTGCTAGGCTACGCAGCGCCTCGAGACGAACCACGCAGAACTCGCGCGCCGCCCCTCCTCCTGGTCATCTGGTCAGTTCTCTTCTTGCCTTGCCTCGCACTTTACCTCGCCCTGACCGGTGTTGGTGAAAAAGGCAGCCGCTCATTTCTCGTACCCACGACGATGCTCATCAACGTCTTTGTGCTCCTCGTCGTCCCAGCATGGATGCGTAGCTGGTACGCCAAGCCTGGTGGGCCGATGACGGGGCTGACGGGGCCTTGTAAGGTTGCGAAGCCGGACAAGCGAGAAGACGAGGAGTAGGAGGCGAGGTAGAAGCAGCAATAGCGAAGCATCGTAGCAAACATCGACCTCTGCTTCACATTGATCACAGCATGGTATTAGTCCTAGAAATTAAGCCGCAGGCTTCTCTACCTTTCGATCTACCGTACTCGCACCAGCCCTTGGAAGCAGTCGACCACTCCTCAATCTCCCGCTATTAAAATGCGCAATCGCCTCGTCCTGCCCTTCGTCGGCGTAGACGTCAACCTTGATCGACCAATCGCCAAGTTCCCAATCGAAGCCTTCTCCGCCACCCGTCGTGGTGCCGCGTGCGGCTAGTGCTCGGAGCAGGATCGTTTCGCGTGGCTTGACGAGACCGCTTGCTCCTCGATCCCCGGTGGCATCGCTGCTCCTTAGAGTCAACCTGCCCACCCACGCCGCCTTTCTTAGAGGCGTAATATTCGGGTGGCCTGCATCTCCTTGCTGTTGCGATGGCGCAGCAGCAGCAACAGCCCCAGCGATATCCACATCCGACTCGACTGCGGCGTCCAGGTCAATTGTACAGCGGGCCGATCGTGTGGTCGACATGTTGCGGACGCGAAAGATTACGGGAACGAATCTGCAGCAATTGAAAATGGTGTGTCAGTGAACTGATCAGGAACGTGGCAAAGGGACTACTCACCGAGACGACGAGGGGGCAGGACTATGCGTGGAAGTCACATCTATGTCGACAACCAAAGGATCCTCCTCGTTCGCCAATGCACTCTCCCTCAAGTTCCGCACGAGAGCAGCACGTTGCTTGTCCGTCTCCTCGTACATACTTCTGCCGTGACCTTGTCCCTGCGACTCTTGGCCTGTGATCTTCTTGCGCGCCGAGTTGGCTTCTGTAATCGCTGCCGAGGCTTCGCTACTGGCTGATGCGGTGGCGTTGGACTGTGATGAGTCGGTGAACAGCTGTCGAACCGTATCGATGCCGGGACCCAGGCTGAGCCCGAAGATGAAAACTCGCCCTGTTCTTGCAGGTGCGCCTTCGGACAGTGAGGGAAGTTGCCACTCGACAACCACATCTAGGTCTTCAGGCTGGTAGAGTGGAAAGATCCGCCGCCTATCCTCGAGAGAGGGTATAGTGGGGAACTCGCGTGCTAGGGAGGTCTCGCGCCAAGCGGTGCGCGCTGCGTGGAGGAGGGCTGTTCTGGCCTCTTGTTGTTTGTTTGAGTCCGAGATCATCGAGCTAGAAGAGAGCTGCAGCTTCACCTCCCCCGGTCGGGCGTTGCGATCGATGTCTCTCGCCACGATCTGGGCGCGCAGCTGCCTGATTGTATGGTCCATGGCGACTCCACCGCAACTCTTCCTGACGCCCTCGTCGGAGGATTCGGCGATATTTACGTAGGCGGTGACAACCTGGCCTGGTGGAAGGTTGGCGAGGGTCTCGTGTGCGGGCAACGAGGAGGCCTTGTAGTCGCATCTCCATCTTGGGCTGAGGAAGGCGACGTTTGTGACTTCTATAGGCTCGCGCTGCGGTGTCAAGTTCAAGGCGGAGATGGCTAGCGAGTAGGCAAACCCTTCGCGTGAAGGGCTGATCTCGACGCCGATATCCAGAACTGGCTGAACGTGCAACGTGAGTTCGTACCGGGCTTTCCCGAAAAGTGTTGATGATGTCGCCACAGTGTCAGAGGCAAGCTGGAAGACGAAGAGGAGGTGAAGATGGATGGTGCCTAGTGAGGCGCCACGAAGCAGGAGACGACGCTCTGTGCATTCGCCAGGAATGAGAGTGGCGTCCGCTGCTAGGAGCGAGGCGGGTGATGAAGGGGTGAGAGCGTTGCTGATGGTCATCTCCTCTTCTTGACTGCTTCCCTCCGACGACGGCGGTGAAGCAGACGCAGCATCAGCAATCTGCACAGCCTCCGCACGGTCGCTCAAAATGACCAACCCCCTCAATCCAGCCTTCCCTGTGTTTTTCAACCGCATTGTCACCTCTCTTTCCTCACCCAATCCCATTTCCACCTTCTCGGCACAATCCACGAGTTCGACCTCCAGCTCTGGGTGTGGCGGCCGCACTTCGATGACCAGGCTCTGATCCTCCCCGTACTGAGCAATTTTATTCCTGCGCTGCTGGACCGTGGCGTTCAGCCGGGGCCCGCGTTTGTTCAGCGGCTGGACAATGGGTACTTGTCCGGCTAGGCGGTAAGAGATGGAGGCGGCGCGATAGCGTCCTACGGTTGGGCAGTGATGTACGAGGTGGAGAATTTTCCTTTCTCTGGGCTGCAGCTCGATCTGACGGGTTGCGATCTCAGCGTCTGCTACGACGCCGCTGCCTGAGGCTGTCGAGTCAGGGCTCGTAAAGGAGGTACAGAGGTCCGAAATGGAGAGAGGAATGCAGAGGGGGTTTTCGATACACACCTCGAGAGCGAAGGCTTTGTCCTGCGATATAGCCAGATTGTCCATTGAGGCGAGTGATGAGGCCGCTCTGCTGTTACTTTGCTGACTGGCCGTAAAAGCAGTCTCCAATGCCAGCCACTCCGGCCCTTCGCTCATACTCGACGCACTGCTCTGTGTCCTTTGTATACACGTGTGTGAAAGGTCTACGAGTGGGTGGGGGAGCTCCAGCTCTGCTTGGTCTGCTGCTTGGCTGGCGGCTGTTGCTGATCCGTAAGCTGCGAGGAAGTCCCTAAAGTAGCTGGAATGTGTTGAGGCAAATGCGTCCGGCATCTCTTCTGACGAGGTAGTCGAGATGCCAGGGAGAGGGCGCAGCGTCTCGAGGAGATGCTCCACAGCATCTTCCGCTCGACCATCATTGAGCGCCTGCTTGCCCAGCTCGTGCTCGACGTGTGAGCGGATCAGCGCCCACTCGAAGCCGTTGTTGCTCTGCTGATCTTGATCATCTTGTTCCGCTGCCGCAGTCCCCTTATCCTCATCGCCGCCGTCTCCGTCTTCCTCAGCAAACTCCTTCCTTTTTGGCCTCCTCAAATTCAGGCAGACGCCTCTAGCCTGCCCAAAAGCCCGTTGACAAAGCATCTTCGCTCCAGACTGTCCGTATCTATGACCAGCCATGATGAGATAAAATGCCCACTTCCTCAGCGCGGGTCGCTGTGCATCTAATCGCAGGCTGGCAAGCGCAGCCTGCTCGATAAGCATGGCGCTCATTACTTCTAGGTCGGCACCTGCGCTCGCCTCTCCGTTCGCCCCTGCTACACGAAGTAGCGCAGCAGGCGCTGGACGGTAAAATTCAAGCGCCCGGTACGCCTCGTAGTAGAGCAAGACGGCCCTCAATGGCTCCAGTAAACCACTGTCCCCAGCAGGATCTATCGCAGCCGAGCGGTGCAGCTGTGCCGCCCCTGCCAGGTAACTATCCACATCAATCGGACTTGCCCTACTCGCCAACATCATCATCAGATGTGCCAATCCGAACATCTCTGTCGCCGCCGCCGCATGTCTGTACGCCTTATCCCCTACGAAGTCCTTGCGGATCACATCGTAGTGGGACGCTGCGAGCTTGTAATCCCGGATCAGAAAGGCGAAGTCCGCAAGCCTGCGAGTTTGAGATTCGAGTGAGGTAGGGAGATAGTAGCCACCTTGGGGGTTCCAGCCTTCCCTTTCTCCTTTGCCGGCTGATGAGCCCGTGCCCGAAGCAAAGAATTTTCTGCCTGCACCGAACAGGCGGCCAGCTACACCCTTGCGCGATGCTATGACCGACTCGTTCCAGAGGCCGACGGAGCGCTCCATCCAGGGTATGAGGCTTTGGGCTACCAGTTCCCGAACGAAGGCGCGGAGGCGTTTGACGTCTTCCCCATCGAAGAGGGACGCATACGGCGACGAAGCGGCTCGGCTGCGCCCCGAGGAGAGCGAGGTAGACCAGAGGTCTGAGATTTCGGGCGACGGCGAGGAACCCGAGTTGAGGATGAGTATGCAGCAATTGAGCCCGTAGAGCTTTTTGATCGAGTCGAGGAGGATTTTGGATCTGCGCCAGCGAAATGCGGTGGTCCGTCAGCATCTGAGCTCAACCTGTCTGCTTCATCGGTACTCACTCCTCGATATCTGTTCCCTGCGAGCTATCATGCACAAGCACATAGTAGCGCAGCACGTTGGGATCCACATACGGCCTCGATGTGAAAGCCTCGCACGCCTCAGGCTGCGTAGCTGCATACAGGCTGGCAAAAGCGTTCATCGGGTCGGGCGAGCGATTGGACACGGCCAATATCACGGCTGCAGGATGGCCAAACGTCTCGTGGCGGGTGATAGATCGGGTGGAGAGGACGAGATCTCGTGCATCCGTGAACCAGGGGGCAACGTCCTCGATTGGCGAATGCTGTAGCTGAGCCAGTTGGGACGGATCGAGAGGGTCGAGCTGCGGAGCGAGGTTCTGCCATGACTTTGCTCTTGATGAAGCCAGTGTGTGCGCTGAGATGCGGTCTAGAATCTCCCCGGGTCTGATGCTGCGATCACAGGTGCCTTCGTCCTCGTCCTCGTTGCCATTTGCGCCTGACTGACTTCTGCGATCTTGCGCTGCGAAGGTCGAGAGTGGCTCAAACTGTACGGGAAAGGTGGGACATTGCTTGCTCTCCAGCTGTGACGTGCGTACGGTGACTATCATTTAAGAATGCAGCATACTGATGAGCATGCTACGCCTTGGCCTTCTCATCGCGTTGGCATATACTCACCCCCTCTGACGCTCTCCTCAAAGGGCCTCAAGCAAGTAGCCAGCTCCTCAAAGCCATTAGGGCTCAGCGTCTCGGCGACATCGCCCGTTTGAAGCACAGCAATGCGTGGGGCTAGAGCGTGATGAATTTGGTGATGAGCTGAGTCTATGCGATCTTTTGATGAGGAGGGGTGGGCCATCGTCGTCGGGGAACGAAGAGGACGGAGAGAGCGGACGGCGGACGGCGATGCTCAAGACAAGGAAGCCAAGCCGGTGTTGGTTTCGCGGAGAGGAGAGAGACGGACAGAGAGCATCGAGTGTTTCAGAGCCGACGCCTTGCCGGGCGGACTGAGGCGGCAATACGAAGCTTCAAGAGGCGGCACTCGCGCTACTCGTGAGTCCTTTCTTCCTTCTCAGTCCATCGTCTCTTCGACTCAATGACGGCAATTGGCTATCTTGGCCAGCCCCTCAAGGCAGCATGGCACAGCTCCACACCCTCCGTGCTGCGGGCAGGCCAATCGTCCAAATGTACGCTCGAGCACCTGGCGCGATGCAGCAACCCGAGATCAACGTCTACTTCTCGACAATGTCGAGCGTCACGCTCCCTCAGCACCATACCCAGCGACTCTCTCGGCTCTTCGTTCAGCATGACCCGCCACGTCGCAGATCAGCTCCACCTCCCGCGCTTTCGCACAAATGCCCGCCGTATGGACCTGATCCAATCCCCCTCAGCATTCTACAAGGCCATCGAATCCATGATCCTCAACGCAAAGGAGCGCATTTTCCTCTCCTCCCTCTACATCGGCAAAGACGAATGCGATCTGATCGACTGTATACGCGAAGCACTGGAGAGGAACAAGGGGCTCAAAGTCACAATATTGGTCGACGGACTGCGCTCCACCCGTGAAGGGCAGTTAGGTCCGCCAACCTCTGAGAAAGCGAACAGGCCGACGAACACGTCCTGCGCTTCACTGCTAGCCAGTCTAGCACGAGACTACCCAAATCAGGTCGACATCTGCCTCTATCGTATTCCTGGTCTGCCACCATGGATGGAGAAGCTCATCGGCAAACGCTTCGTCGAAGGAGCGGGGCTGCAGCATATGAAGATCTACGGAGCAGACGACGACATAATCGTCTCTGGGGCAAATTTGTCGCATGATTACTTCACCAATAGGCAGGACAGATATCTGCGTGTAAGGGGCAATGGGTTGCTGGCCAACTACCTGCACTCACTCTTGCTATTGACCTGCCGGTTCTCCTACACGCTCGAGGCTAAGCATAAATCGGGTCAGCTACGACACGCCTATCACTCTCCATACACGTTGCAGTGGAATAGCGGCCAGTCACTGCTCCTGGCAGAAGGGACGGGAGGCTGTATATGGGAGGGAGGACGATTGGCCGAGTCGGAACCTTTCGCAGAGCATCGCTTTGCTCTCGCTGCGGGCAGAGCCGTACGACTCTTCACAGAGCGATGGCGTCGTCATACGCAAGATCGTGAGGCGGCTAGAAGACAGGGCTTGACCAGCTCAAGCGGCGAGGAGGAGGCAACAATCGTCCCCCTCCTCCAGATGGGCCCGATGGGCATAGACGATGAGACTCGATCCATGCCCCTGATACTGTCTTACATCGAGGAACAAGCACGACGAACAGGCACCACCTCAACCCTCGATGTAACCTCGGGATACTTCTCTCTCTACCCACCCTATAAGCGCGCACTCATCTCCCTTGGCCCGGATGTAGACACGAGGATAATAGCCGCCTCGCCAGAGGCTAACGGCTTCTTTGGGAGCAAGGGAGTGAGCGGGCTAATCCCCGCCGCTTATACATGGTTGGAGTCAAAGTTCTGGAGGAGCGTGCAGCAGGAGAGGAGGCGGAGACGGCAGAAGGCAGGCCAGGAGAAGGAGTTAGGCCCCTGCATATCTCTCAGCGAGTGGAGCAAGTCAGGCTGGACCTACCACGCAAAGGGGATGTGGCATCGCTCATCCACTCCTTCGTCTGCACCGGTTCAGACTCTGATCGGCTCCTCCAATCTGGGGTCTCGCTCAGCCTTGCGAGATCTGGAGTGCTCGCTCCTCGTCGAGACGTCCGTGGGATCTTCGCTCGACACTAAGCTGAACGACGAGATTGAGGCGCTCAGACGCTTTGCTACAGTGGAGGTCGACGAAGAGAGCAGTCTGTTTGGGGAGGAGGAACGGAAGGTGTCGTGGGGGGTGAGAATCGCTACAGAGATTATCAAGGGGAGGTTGTAGGCGTGCGGCAACCGAAGAAGGGGAGCAGGCCCGCGAAGAGGTTCGTGCTGAAGTCAGACTGGCAATCTGTCGTACTAGAGCAAAGGGACAATAGACGATTCCATGCAATGAGACGGAGTACAATTTCTGAAGATCGAGAGACAGGTGGGAGAGCAAAGAGTGTGGTGGAAAGCAGAGCAAAAGAAAGTCGGAAAGAAGGCGAAGTAAAGCAGATCCAGGCTACTGCAGCCAAATTAGAGCGCAACACCCATCTCCCACTCTCCACTGCCGCCGGCCCTCACACCTTCAGGGGCAGAGTGGGAGTAATCGCACAAATACGCATCATCATGCACAGCCTTTCTCGCGCCGTAGGTCCCATGTTGCTGGGAGTACTGAGGGTAGTAAGCCCCGCCCTCGCTTTGCTGCCACTCCCCAACGCCCATCTCCGCTACCTGTTCCTGCCCAAAGTTGAAAGCCTGATGGGCGTGATAGTCATGGTACTGTCCCATTTCCGGCACAGATCCGCCGTATGCGGCCTTGATGGGAGTGCTGGCTGGTTGCATGACTCGAGCTTGAGGACCGAGGTCGAGGCCCAGGCCGAGACCAGAGACGGGCGCGACAGGTGCGGGAGGGGTGGAAGTGGACTCTTGGGTGGGCGTGACGGAGCGTGTCGAGGGCGTGGGCGAGCGATGCCCTGCGCCGCGCACAGTACGTGTTGACGCAGCCGGGCTTGGTGATCGTGAGGCCCTGCTGTGGACGCTCGGGCTCAACCTGCCTCCAGCGTAGTGTCCTACAGGCCCAAATTGCTGCGTGTACGCCAGGCCAGGCGACTCCCCACCGTCGTCGGTGTCATGCTCAGAAACATTGATCTCCAAGCGAGGCGAAAGTGCCCTGTCCTTCTTCTTCTTGTCACCGAAAGAGCCATCATTGAACGAGGTAGGAGTGAGGCTCGGGTCTTCAAACGCTCCCTCGCTCAACTGAGCGCGATGCGTGTACTTGCGGGGCTGCTCCTCTACCTCCATCTGCTCTTCGTTCTCGTATGGCCCGCCAAGCTCGAAGATCGAGGTGCGAACAGTCGTGGCCATGCTTCCATGAGAGTCGGAGGAAGTCATGCCCAGCAGAGTGACGCCGAGAGAGTTGTTGGCGTCGAGTCGCGGGGAGGGAGTGGCAGCGACATTGCGTGCGGGTTGCGCTGCTTCCGCAATGTTGTCCGAAGTGGACGCCATAGAGCTCGAGCCAGAGGCGGACGAGTCAAGTGAGGGCATTGAGGCGGCAGTGGCCGCCGTACCCAAGGAGTCCTGCGAAGGGCCGAAGGCCACGAGCTGCGGTACGGCTGCGGGAGGTGCAACGCGGGGAGCTGCGGGAGCTGCGTGGGTTGGACGAGCCGGAATATGGCTATCCTCGTAGTTGCCCAGGTTGGCCATTGCTTCCTCGTTGTTAATAAGCGATCCCAAGCTCGTAGAGAAGAGCGACTCGAAGGCACTGCTGCCTTTGCTGCTGAGCGTGTTGGCACTTCCGCTGGCGCTGGGATGACCGAAGCTCTCGGTCTGCGGCAGGCTGTTTTCGCTGCTAGTGGGCGTGACGGCAGGAGAGCGCTTGTTTCGCGGCTTGATGTTGAGCGGGGCCGTCGACTCCAGCGAATGGAGCGAGGCCATGTCAACGGAAGGAGAGCTCATCTTGGCGAGAACCGGCTCAGCCTGCGCGGCTTCGCTGAGGCGCTCCTCTTCCTCGTCCTCCTCGTCGATTCCGTCAACTGAGCAGTGAGCAAGGGAGAGGGCGAGAATGCAGCTGTCCCTCCTCGACCAGCGACGTCGGATTTCCTCTTCGCTCAGGTCGGCGACAAGGGACTCTGCAGATCCAGGGGGAGAGCGCACAGAGGCTTTTTTCGAAGGCGGAGTGGCCACGGACGCAGCCGCTGTCGCTGCCTTGCTTGCGTTCGCTGGCGTCTCGGGTTGAGCCTGCGGTGAGGACAGGGGCGATTTGACGCTCGGCGAAGAGGGAGGGAGAATATTGACAGTAGGAATCGGGCTGGCCTTCAGCAAAGGCGATCGCAGCGAGAACCCGGATGGGCTAGAGCGCATCGACGGGCTGCTGAGAGCCGTAGCTTTTGCCCTCGTTCCAACAAGCTGCACGCGACGAGCAGCTTGCACCGTCTCCGTCAGCGGAGCCTCCTCTGAGTCACCCGAATCCGAGGCCGACGAGACAGAGTCGACTGAGAATTCCGACTTGTGGCCGCGAGGCGAGAGGCCGGTGGCGGGTATGGGAGCAGGATCGGGAATCATCTTGGGCACAGGCTTGCGAGAGGGGGAGGCAGCAAAGGCAGAGACGCTCTGCTGCGTGGGCGTACGCTGTTGCGAGCGAGAGGTCTGCGGCGCAAAGAAGCCGTCCGCCGGGAAGACCGCTGCCGGAGCTTTCGCTGGCGCTGGTGCTTCGACGGTGAGCGATGGAACTACGAAGGCAGGCACGTCCATGGCTCCAACGCTGCGACTTCTCCTGCGAGCAGAGCGCTGCGATGCACCCGAGCTCACGGTCAAGTTGCTGTCCTTGCTCGTGGACCGAGGCATGGGTTCCTCGTGACCACGACCCTTGCTGAGCTCTCCGTTGGCCACCTTCTGCGCCATCGACACCTCTGAAGGTAAAGAGAAGAGGCTGGCGCCCACGACGCGCAGCGGCTGGTTTTGAGGGCTCGGCGAGGCGGAGAGCTTCTGCCAATCGATGACTGAGGGAGACTCAGGCATACCTTCGAAGCGACGATTGACGGGCTTACGTCGCGCTGGGCTAGGCGTGGCATCGACGGGCTTGCGGCGGATGGAGCTATTGGAGGATAGAGCAAGGCTGTGGCTGCTCGCGCTGCTGGTGAGGCTGGCGTCGGACCTGTTGCGGGCTACGCCTCGTCCTACGGTTGAGTATCGACGTTCGGTGAAGCTAGACTGCGAGTCGGTCGATGAGGAGCGGGTGACGTTGCTCGGTGTCCAGAGCGGAGAAGGCGGTCCTTGTCGCCCGCCGACCTTGCGCAGAGACGAGTCGCTTGCCTTGCTGCGAAGAGGGGCAAAGTGCATCGAGGGCAGCGAAGGCGGCGCCTCAGCTGAGCGAGGAGGCAGCATGATCATGGGCTCTTCCAACTCTGGCTGGGGAGAAGGAGCGCGAGCAACATCCTCCGAGGCTGCGCGCAGCATAGGAGCGCTCTGCTTGCGGAGGATACCACGAGGCGGAGGGCCGCCCTTGCGATGAGGCATGATGGGGCTACCACCAGGCAGAGTCATGACGGCGCCGCCGATTGGGGTAGGAGGCAGAGAGCCAGCGGTGCTTGAGGCAGAGTCGCTCAGAGGAGGCATGGATCGATCAAAGGTCGTGATATGCGCGGGCGCGCTCATAGGCTGCGAGTCAAAGACATCTGATGAAGGCGATGCTTGCCCGTTGTTCTTCTTGTTGCCGCGCTTCCAGCCAAAGAGGCGAGCGAGGGGTGACGATGCTGAAGAGCCGTAGTTGGATGCTGCTTTGCCGCCACTGCCGCCCTGCCTTGCGGCCATCATCTCCTTTGTGGCGTCTTGCGAGCCACCTCGTACGCGGAATGCCACCTTGCGACCAGTCGAGAGCTTGGGCGATGCTGCGTCTGCATCGTCTTCGAAGAAGGATCCCATCGTCGCATTCTTGCGGTGAGATGGAGAGGTTGACCACTCGTCGGCATAATCGTCGTCGTCGCCGTCGTCGTTGCGACCCGTACGGTGGCGAACGAGGGCTGCAGCGGAAAAGTCTTGCATGGTGAATGCCTCGAGCTCTGGTGTAGGGTCCTCAATGTAGCCGCCGCGTGACGACGATGACGACGACGCGTTGGATGGCTGCGAGGCGTGACGCGATGATGAGGGAGACTGATGGTGCGACTTGGACTGAGACTGCTTGGACGAGGAAGAGATGGAGCTCGAGTCGCTCCAGGAGTGTTCCATTTCGACGCCCATGGCGTAGGCTGGGTTGAGGAGGGCCATGCTCGCCTGTGAGGCCTGATAGACCTTCTTCTTCGCCATGATGGCTCGGCCAGAAGCTCGAGGAGCGTCGTTGGCCATGTGCTGCAGAGGCTGGCGTTGATGAGGGCGAGCGGGGATGGCTACCATGATGTGGGTTTGGGTGTAATGAGTTGTTGGCGGAGCGCGTGTGATAAAAAGCAAAGAGCGTGGTCTGTGTAGAGAAGGAGCAGAGAGAGAGTGGGGAGAGTAGAGCAGGCGCTCAATACGTCGTCCTGAGGTATCAGTGGGAGCGGGTGAAAGACGGAGCAGCAGAGAGGAGGTAGTGGTCGGGTGGTACTAATGGAAGGGGATGAAGCGATGGGGAGGAAGTCAAGCAAAGCCAGAGATGCGAAGGCGACGTCGAGTGTCGCGACGAAAATGAACCGTCGACGACCAATCTCCGAGGGGTCAGGAGGGTGAGACGGCGCCAAAGAGGCAAAGAGGGTTCAGCAGCCTTGTCGTGGAGGGTGTCGGAGGCTTGACCGCACCGCTGACTTGGGCAACAGACAAGTCGAGTCGGCGTCGCGAGGGGGGGGAAGGGGGCAACAACGAGCGCGAGCTAGAGCTAGACTGTCGCCTGTCGATCATTCATCATTGACCCATGGACTCAATTCGAGACCCTAGATGACAGTCGCCCGCTGTCGACGACGACGATGGACGCGACGACGATTGGCAGGCACGGCCCCTTACCTCGATTCTGCCCGTGTCAAGCGCCGCCGATAGATGAGCAAGCCCAAGCCGCCGTCAGACGAGCAGAGCAGGACTCATGAAGCCTTCCTCATTGAGCAAGTCGCAGACTTCGCGCCTCTCTCTTGGGACCTTTGCAAGCTCAACTTTTGACTTTTAGGTCGCGGCGAGTCGCGGCGGGGAAAAGGAAGTGATGGACGATGGCAGCGTGACAGTGGGGCAGAAGACGACAACGGTGTCGAGCGGGCTGTAGGCTGCGATGAGATGCACGCGCCTTTGGGCGTAAGGGGTCGACGAACCCCTTGCTCGCGGACGCCACCGCGCTCAGCCGCGCCGCTTGAGCGCTAGAGCCAAAAACTGCCACGCGTGCCCCGACGCGCCTCGACAGCTCCAAGCTCGAAGAACAACTCGACAAGCAACCAGCGCCAACGTCGCATGGTTGCCGTAGCTCAAGACTATGAGGCACAAGGTTGTGGGCAGCATTCGGCAAAGGGTATGTGAAGATTCAGGCCAGAAAAGAAAGAAAAAGAGACAGGAGGAAGAAAAGAAGCCCTTCCCTCCGAAGCTTTGATTGAGAGTCGAGCCACAGTCGCGCCAGCCTACGCGTCGCACCCACTCTCAGAATGAGAAGAAGGGGGGCGCATCAGGACTCGTCGCCGTCGTCGCCGTCGCCGGCAATTTGGGCGCAGAGGCAACTCCATATCGCGATGCCCCTCCACCGCTGCTACCACCTCCTGAGCTGCTCACGTCTTCGTGATTGACAGGCGAGTCGGCTGACCACTCGATAGTCGGCGCGAGGGCCTGCTTCTTCCCACTCTTCTTCTCGAGTTTCTCGAGACGCTTGAGCTCTTTGGCGCTCAGCGTCGGTGGCGGGAGACCTACGGCTCCGACCGGCTGGTGTAGCTGCTGACCGAGAGGCGGAGCTGTCCGTGATCCGTATGACGAGGAAGTAGAGAAGGAGGAGGCTGAGTGCGGTGTCATGGCCGTGAGCGTTGCTGACGAGGGAGATGGCTCGCGCGGCGGCTGCAGCGACGGTGCTCGATCGCCGTTGCTACTTGCGCTCGCGATTCGAGAAATGGTCCCGCCGTCCGATTGCGAGCCATTCGTCTCGTTGTCCCCGGTAGCACCGCTACTGCTTCCACCTCCACCGCCGCGGCCGAAGATGCTGAATCGCTTGCGAGAAACCGTGTTCGATCGACCTGCACTTGGCATCATGGGCGCCGTGGAGGCAGTCGTTGATGCTCCGTCTGGGCGTAGGAAGCCACTCGAGCCAGCAATAGGAGGCGCCGCTGCTCCCGCAACGTTACTGCTTCCAGATGCGAGACGGCGGAACGAGCCGCTCCCTCTGACCCCCTCTTCCGCCATCGGGCCCAATCGTCGATCGTTGCTCTTGCCTGGTCCTATGCCTAGAAGCTTCTCTGCTTTGCTGCCTGTGTGCGTCGTCGCTCCCCTGTCGCTGTCGTAGCTCTCGGACGCCGGCGAAATAGGCGTCATAGGCGAATGGGGCATCCCGCCGCTCACAGCCATGGAGGTTGGCCTATGGCCGCGCAGCGTGACGGGAGAAGTAGCAGAGGAAGAAGGCGTCATACTCATGGTCCCCTCGTGTGTGGCATTGCGGCTCATCTCAGAGGGTCTTCTTGATGTGCTTGCCGGCTCGCTGCCGCCAAAGTGTATACGCTGGATATGCTTGCTGAGTAGGACGACGGTGCGCAGGGCACGCAGTTGCAGGGGCTCACACCCGGCCATCCCTGCCGCCTCATACAGGACGACCGCCAGCCGGTGGCATTCCTCCGGTGAAAGAGCTGCCGCCGCCTTCACGCTAAGCGCTCGTCCAGTGGGCGTATCTGTAGGCGAACTAGCCATAGGCGTACCCACTCCCAGGTGATTCGCAGCAATTCCTTCCGGTAGCAGATCCTCGCTGAGCAACACTGAAGCGGCATGCCTTGCCCACATACCAAGGGTGTCTTCCAATCCATAAAGCTTTGCAAGGATGAGCAAGCTTGCCACTACCGCGGGATGACGCTGAAGTGGGGTAGAGATGGAGCGCGTGTAGAAGAATTGCAGCAGAGCAAGTACGACGGGTGAAGCCTCGGACATGTGAAGATGCCGCGGGAGATGGGAGTGGTCCGCCACTGGTGGACGACCAAATAGAGCTGTTCCATTGGAGCCGGAGCGTGAGTGCGCTGGGGAAGGTGGAGCAGTACCGTCGTCCAGGGAGGCATTGTACCGTGCAATGACGTATCGTGTGCGATGCTCGACCGCATCGTCGCCCTCGCCGTCTGCGGGCCGCTGCGCCATGACCAGCTCGGCTGCAGCTTTGGCTTGCTTCTGAAAGCGCTTCATCCTCGCTCGAAACCACGGCCAACGAGCCTCAAGTACTGCTCGATCACAGCCTAATCGCACGCCGTCGGAGCAAACGATCTCAAAGTCGCCTCCGCTACCAAAGGCGGTAGGTAGGAGTGGGGCGTGAGGGCCGTCATTGCGTGACGCCAGCCAAGACTTGGAGTCGAGGATCGAGGTCGTCCGCGAGGTATTGTACTGTTGGCGCGACCCTTGCTTGGCGAGCGCAGTAGCTGCAGAGGAGGACGCAACGCTGGCCTCCAGCTTTCTGAGCCCCATCTCCATCGCCTCGTTGCTCATTGGTCTCGGCGGAGGTTGCGAAATGCCCCATGCCTCCAAGTCGAGCACGAGAACGTGATCCCAATTGGTCTGGCGATGGTTGTAGTCGGCCACGAGGTCACGATCGCGATTGCCCAGGATCAGCAGCTGGTTTCGCGCACCCCAATGCACTGCACGATTCCACGAGCCAGACTGCAGCAGAGGCCCGACGTCAAGACGAGCCCATGCCAGCTTGGGGAGGTAAAGCGACCAGATGCTGAAATTCTGCGCCGTATTGGCCAAGTATGTACCGGAGATGAGGAGATGATCGCCCACGACGACTCCCGTAGGGAAACGAAGGCCGGGCGGTAGCGTCGCGCCCGCCATGTGCGAGGAGCGATCCTCAAGCTCGACCACCGCGCCCTCGTCAGCTAGCGACGCGACCTCGAGCTCCCTCTTGACATCAGTGAAGTTGTAGTTGGAGTAGATGTAGATGCCCGACGAATGGACATCTGCTGCACGACTCATCGAGAGAGGCTGCAGCCCTGTCAATGGACTGCGACTTTGCCCTTCTTCCTTGCTACTTGCGGCGCCGCCTATTGAAGCTGCGCCGGGGGATGTTGCATTCGTATCAGATTCGGCCAGGCCGCTGAGGTTGGACGCTGAGCCGGATAGGGACGAGGGAGTCACAGCGTTGAGGCTGGACCCAGCTGTCGTGCTCGAGCTATGCGTCCCAGCTCGTGGCCTTCCCTGAGCCACCGAGGTGACCGGCGTCGTCGAGCCTGTTCTCCTCCCAGCCAGAATCTCCACTAAGTCTTGTGACTTTGACCCGCTCTCGACGATCCAAGGCGACGAGACTGCCAGAGAGCGGTAGCTCCCGCATTGGCGCTGGAACGTCGTCGATCCTGTCCAACTCCTCTTGCTCAAATCTAACACGTTGATCTGGTCCACGTACTGGTTCGCCACGTCCTGGCCCCCAATGACAACCAAGGAGTCACCGCATATGGACGATAGATGAGCATAGCGAGGCGCAGGCCCGCCCTCAGTGCTCGGCGGCACATAGTCGAGCTCCCACTTCCTTGTTTCGAGGTCAAAAGCCACTACCTCACTGAGAACGCAAAGGGCCTCGCTCTTGCTTCCAGGCTTTGCTGGACTATTTGGCGACGTCGCAGCCGCAGGATCCTCCAAGGGTGTGGCGTGAATTGTCTGATATCCCATGCCGCCAAAGACGATGAGCTTTCCACGCCATACCTCGCATGAGTGGAAGTAGCGTGGTGGAGGTCGGACGTCTGACTCGTCCAAATCGATCTTCTCCCAGTGTAAAGTGGCGAGGTCCAGAGCGTAGAGCTCGTTGACCATGCGCCGAGTTGAGACGAGGCGGCCGCCGAAGAGATAGATCTTGCCCGCAGAAGGGCGTGATGATGAGGGGCCATCGAAGCGATCGCTGTCTACGACGGTGACAGAAGCGCCCTGCGCGGTGAGAAGGGGTGTGGTGAGTACAACTCTTTCTTGTCTGGCGTCGCTGGCCCAAACTCACGACGAGGGGCGGTGGTACATGTCCTTTGCACGCTCTCCATCTTGTCGCCAGACTGTTCAGCGGCGGTTGCGAGGTCGGCATTGTAGCAACGCTGAGTCACCCAGTAGCTCTCCTGTCGTCGTATTTGCGCCCCACTCGCGCGACGAGCGCCGCTGCTGCTGCTGGTGGTAGCGATGCTGCTGTCTTTTCGACAGATGAACGAGGTGATCGATGTACGTGCCGGAGTGGGAGAAAGAGAGACGCAAGGAGAGTGATGGGAACGACGGCCGGGCGGGATGTCGGAGCGATCGAGGATAGATCCAAGGTTTCGCAGAGATCTCACGTCAAGCGGCAGGCGATGAGATGATGCTGCACCGAGATCACCACCGATATCGCGGGAGAGCAGGATGGAAGAGGCGAAATGAGGATCGTTGCCGATGCCGTCGCCGTCGCGCTTTCGTCTCCGTCGCCCTCGTCGCGGCTAGTGTCGATTGTCGAGTTGGATTGACTGCTTGTTGCTTGCAGGCTCACCTCCCCTGAAAAGGACGGAGCAGCTGCGTCGGCGGGCGGGGGCGGAGTTGGAAGGGCGGCACCAGGGCTTGTGGAACGAGCCTAAAATTGAATTGGGCGCGAGGCGTGGCGCACGAGAGATCTGGTGAAAGCTGGGAAGGGAGAAGATGGTGAGATGGTGAGATGGTGATGGAGTCGAGACTGCCGACAAGGAAGCTACTGGTCTTCACGAAGAGTGCCTTCGCTAGCGTAAGACGGGCGAGTCTGAGGCTCTGTCTCAAAGTGAACCTCGAACAGTGTTAGGCTAATCTAACCCCCACCACGTCGCGACACGCCTACGCCGTGCGAACTCGCCTCACCTCACCTCGCGACTTTCGAGGCTTCAGCATCACGGCACCAATGCATCATGCTAGCTTGTCAATGCGTATCACATACACACTGTCTGCTGGCTAATTCTACAGACACTAGCCTGGAAAGCAGAAAGAGCCGGTCGCGATTTGCTCTCGGCCCCACCTTCGCGGTGGGTGGACTTCTCAACTTCTTTGCTTTTTTGCTGCGCTACTCCCACACTAATGCAGGGCCAGATCCACGGGGCAGCGGGGCTTCCGCGACTACGGCACCGCATCAAGACCACGATGTGTGCCACGAGGTTGTCGAAGATGTACGAGGAGAAAGCACATCGACATGATGCCTAGCGAGTGAGCGAGGCGCACGCAGCTCAAGTGAACCAATGAAGAACAGACAGGGACCGGAAGAGACGTTCAAGTCGACGCACCGGGCGAGAAGGGAGGAGAAAAGGTGGTTTGGGCGCACGCAGAGCTCGATGGCAATGCAGACGACGATCGTGATGAGTAGTGTACATGAGACGAAAACGAGCTACAAGCAGGGGCGCGCAATCACGCCTGCGTAGCGTATCGCTGAGCGACAGCCGTTCTCGTCGTTGTACTACTACATCGGATGGACGAGCTGCCGCAGGGCCGTGAGGAGGCTCCGCGCTGGGTCGACGGCTGCCTCGCATTTTGAGGCAAGACGGCAATGAAGACCAGGGTCAGTCTCGTCCGCAATCGATCATTCAAGCCCTCCAAAACTGCCAGCTTTGGAAGTCTAAGCTAGAGTCTCGCCCACCAGACCCCATCCTGCCTCAGCTCATCAGCGCCAATAACGCCATCTCATCCTCCTCTGAAAAGCGGCGCTTGCTGTCTCTGAGGCTTCAAAATCGCAGTGGATGTCGTCGCCTCTTGAAGGCCCCCCTCTTGCCTCTTGTTGAAGCTGGCGAATGATGGCATTGACGGCTGCATGACCGCGTTGGGCGGCGGCGCATGGGCCACCAAAATCGACTCGAGTCCGAGTCTCTGAGTCCAAGTCCGCCGCTGCCGGTCCCTCCGCTCGACTTCACCACGACTACTTCAGCCTCACGCCGCTCATGGCCAGCGACCCCTTCGCTGTGGGATGCATCCTACACGATCCGCAGCAGAGCCATCGAGTCAGCAGCATCGCCACCCACGGCGAAAAGCTGTATGTCGGCCATCCTTCTGGCGCCCTTTCCATCTACCGGTTGCCGTCATCGACTTCCACCGACGAAGAGGCCGCGCATATATCCAGTCATGCCAGCTTTCATGCGGCCAATAAGCCTGTCAACAGCCTGCGCATTGTACCCTCCCTCTCCCTCATCCTCTCTTCGTGTCCGGATGGAACGCTCCACTTTAACAGCCTGGCGACTCTAGAGCCCATGCAGACGCCTGCGCCCCTGAAGGCGCTCCCAGCCAAGAGCCTCGTCACCTTCGAGGTTCAGACCAATGTCGTCGAGTGGAAGGAGGACGCTCACGCAGCAGCGCCTGCTATACCAGCTGGCAATGCCTCTAGAAAAGTGACTGCCGGTGGGACCTTGCCAAGAGGAGGCGTCGGACGACAAGCTCGCCCTCGTCCCATGTCCATGTACCAACGTCGAGAGGCCGCAGATGTAGCCGCTCCGCCTCAGGCTAATTTGCGATTGGTCACGACCATAGCTGTAGCAATCCGGCGCAAGCTCTTCATCGTACGCTGGATAGACGGCCAGCCGTGGGATTGGAAGGAGCTGCCTCTGCCGCATACACCCAGAGGCCTCGCCTTCTCTCCTTCGCGGCCTAGCAACATCTTCATTTCCTACGGCACAGCAAGCGAATTTGCCATTCTAGACGTTCCGCAGCCTTTTGATAGCTCAGCAACCCCACGGCGGGCCAGCTCATCTTCTCACGACTTCGTCAAGGATGAGAGCGAGTGGGCAAGGCCCAGGGAGCTCAACATACCAGAGTATGCGTCGCCGGCTGCTGCAGATCAGGCAGCGGGGCCTTCGAGTCTGGATGCGGCCTCAAAAGTGTCTGCGAACGGTGGCAAGCCAGGCGCAATATCGGACGCAACGTACAGCGCAAAGGCAGGTCTGCCAATCGGGGCTGCAGCAGCTGGAGGCATCTTTGGCGGACTGGGCGGCTACATCGGCTTAGGCACGCGGAGGAAGTTGCCAATGGTAAGAGCCATGCCGAGATTAAAAGCTGAAAGTGATGGCGATCCGAACAGCGAGAGCGAAGTGGTAGTCGTTCGAGACAACACGGGCGTATTCTTGTCCTTCAGCACAGGCAACCCGACGAGAAGAAGAGGTATCGAGTGGCCTGCGGCTGTTGAAGACGTTGGCATTCTCTCCTCTGGTCATCTCTTTGCCGCAATACCGGCTCACGGCAACGCTCAGGCCAGACCAAACCTCCAAGTGCGAGCTACTTCGACGCTCGACACCGTTCAGTCCGCCAGTCTGCCGCTCGCAGCAGAGGCAACACCGACGTCTTCACAATACACTATCACGTCCCTCCTCGCGCCATCTCTTGCTTCAACAACATCTTTGTACGCGGTCGTCACGCCAGCGTCAACAAGCGAGTCGGCACGCATCTACCGCATGACTCCGCGACCGTGGCGCTCACGACTGCGCGAGATGATCCGCGCCCGCAAGTGGGAGGAAGCCGTAGAGCTAGCCCGAAGCTCGCTCATCAGTGAGATCGAAGGAGAAGACGGTGCCTCATCCGCTCGCTCAGCGCTAGTCCCACCGCTCCTCGCCCTCCACTCCCTCGACCGCTTCCTCGCTGCCTGCCAGGCCGCAGAGCGGAAGCAGATGCACGCTGCCCAAGTCGGCTTTGAGGCTGCCGTAGAGCAATGGATTGAGCTTGACCTGAACCCGGCGAAGGTACTGAGCATTTTCCCAGAAAGTATTGCGGGGCAGGGCCTGACGGCGCTGCCAAGCGACTGGATCAAGGTGTGGGGCGAAGGGCTTGAGAAGGAGGGTTTCAGCCTAGATGGGGTGGAGGCTGCGCAACCGCCGCCGCATCGACCAGAGATGCCGTCAAGAAGAGGTTCGACATCGTCTTCCATCGCACCAGCTGCTGTTGATGCTATTCCGCGAGATCGCTCTCGTTTGACGAGTCTCTTTGGCCGGGTGAGCAGGCCGGTCAGTACCATCGACGCAGCTGTACCGCCATCAACAAGCCCGAAGCCAGAAAGCATCCTCAGCGGTACACCGATGGGATCCGGCAGTCCAGCCAAGGCTGCGACCAGCGAGCGTCCATCGCGATTGCTGGCCAAAGCCACCACAGCAGGCACTGATGCTGCTTCATTGAGAAGCGCCACCACAAGTCCTACCCGTTCCTCCGAGCGCGACGGCTTCGACCCACAGATCCTCACCTCGCGGCCCGCCCTCGAAGCCCTAGGTCGCTTCTTGGCAGATCGGCGCCGCATCTTCAAGCCCATCCTGGAAGACAGGCTGCCTGTTACCCCTACCCCACACGAAGCTATGCTTTCTCTCCCCTCCGTCCCCTTACCGTCCATGTCTCTGCAGGACGTGACAGCCCTCGCTCGCGTGGTGGACACGTCCCTCTTCAAGACTTTCCTTGAGACCAAGCCCTCCCTCGTTGGACCACTTTGTCGCATCCAGAACTGGTGCGAGGTGAGCGAGGTAGAGGAGATCCTCGAGGCAAAGGGCAAGTTCTCCGAATTGATTCACCTCTACGGCGGCAAGGATATGCATGATCGTGCACTGAAACTGCTGAAGAAATTCGCGGACGAGGAAGACGATGAGGAGGAGAAGGTCGGGCCGACTATACGCTACTTGCAATCCCTTGGACCGGAGCACATCGGCGTAATACTGGAGAATGCCAAGTGGGTGCTGGCGGAAGATAGGCAAAGGGGAATGGAGATATTTACGGCCGATACGGGCAAGGTGTCGCAGCTGCCCCGGCTGGAGGTGGTGGAGCTACTCTGGTCCATCGACGAGGATATGTGCGCTGAGTATCTCGAGCATATCATCCATCAGGTGGGGGATGGAGATCCAGAACTGCACGAGCGTCTTGCGCACATCTATCTGCGCAGAGTACGCAATCACCCAGGCGAGTCGGATCATGGCCTGCGGCTCTTGACCTTCTTGAGTCAGTCGCAGCAGTACCGTCCCGAGAGGGTGTTGACGCAGCTGCCCTCTGAGGGGCTATGGGAAGTGCGTGCCGTCCTACTTGGTAAGATGGGAAGACATCAGGGGGCTTTGAGCATCCTGGTGGAGCGGATAGGAGGGGAAGAAGGTAGGCAGAAGGCAGAAGCGTACTGCGCGGACGTGTACGCGAGGCGCAGTGAGTCGGGAGCGAGCGGTGAAGAGAAGAATATCTTCTTGCTGCTGTTCACGCTTTACTTGCGAACGGGGACGAAGCAGCAGGCAGAGGATGGGGAGGGTTCACTACACCTCAGCGACCTCGACGCTGCTTTGCGCCTGCTATCTGTGCACGCTGCCTCCATGGATCTCTCGGCCGTGCTGGACCTGCTTCCACCCCTTGTCCCGCTCTCCTCGCTGCGTGCTTTTCTCGTCAAGGGCTTGCAAGCCTCGCACCGCCGCAAGTTCGACAGCTCAATCCTCTCGTCGGTATGCAAGGAGAGGGACAGCCAGCTCGACGAAGGGCTGGCCGTGCTGCGAGGCAGACGGGTAAAGGTCACGCAAGGCAGGACATGCCCCGTCTGTGGGAAGAGACTAGGTGTCAGCGTCATTGCGGTCACGAGCAGGGGAGAGGTGCTGCACTACGGTTGCAGGCAAGCGCAGCAGCAGCAGGTGGAAAGGGAGCAGCGTGACTGGGAGATAGGGTCGAAGCGGTCCCCCGTTACCAAGTTTGGGGAGTTGCGGTGAGCACGATGGTAATCTCAGCGCTGGTAATGCTACATTTGTCTGAATTAGAGCTCCGAGTCTATTGGCTGCGCAGCCCTGTCCTGCACGCTCAGGCCCTGCTTCATCTTGCTTCCTGCCCTCTTCACCCCGCCAGCCGCCCAGTCTAGGCTGCGGACCGTCTTGTGTGCTCGCAGGCCGCGGTGTTGTCGGTCCAGCTCCCGCCACTCGGCGCGCCATTCGCGGAGTCTGCTGGACAGGGGTGCCTTTGAAGCGGGGTCTGCGCCCTTGCAGCGCGAGTCAATGTCCTCTGAATCACGGCTGTCGTCGATGTCATCAGAGTCGACGTCCTGACCTTGCCTATCCGCATCATGTCCTTGAGGGGAGTTGCGCTGCGCAGTAGTTCGTGTACCATCCTCATCGTCTGACTCTCCCTCACTCTCTTCAGTCGCCTGACTTTCCCTCGCTTCGTCTCCGACAACCTCGCTATCCTCCTCATTATCACGTACAAAGTCTCCATTCTCGCTCCTCAACCCAGCAGCAACGCATGCCTCCCAGGCCTGCATCACCGCTCTGCTGTCCGGGTTGGTGTCAAGCCTGGCGTGGGCGAGGCCGATGCCAGACTTGAATTGCAGATCCACGACTAAAGTGCCGACGCGGGTCACGCCGAGCGAGCAGGCTTCGGATTCGTTGCGCCAGTCGTGGTAGTTCTGAAGGAAGCGGTGGAGATCAGGGCTGGGCGGTGCGCGGGTGTCAAGCGGTGAGCGCGAGAGGAGAGAGAAGGTGCTTCTTGGAGCCATCGTCGCCGCACTCACTCGCCCTTGTAAATCGGCAGCCTTGCCTCCCATCTCGCATCGTCCTCGACGTCTTGAAGCCAGATGATGCTCGCAGCAACGAGCGACTTTTTACCTACCGCGTTCGGCCTTCTGAACTCCAGAAGAAAGGGCGCACTGTAGCGTCTCCTGGCCGGTACCCGCAACCACAAGTCCTCAGGCTTCACCCTCCATTCCAGATCTCCATTGTCCACTGTGCGCTGATGTCGGCTCGTCAGCTTCACCTGCCCCGCAAGAGTTCGCATTCTCAATGAGCAGAGCTTCAGCAGGCTCGGGTCTTTGAGCTCAATAGCTCTCGGACTACTGTGCACTCGCATAGTCCCTATGTCGAAGCCCAGCTTGCTCTTGTCGAGTTGCATCCCCTCTACAGGCCTGAAGAGCACCGAAATGCGCACGCGACCGTATCCGAGACCGCCAGCAAGAGGGAAGTGCTGTGTGACTTGGCTGGTGCCGTGTTCCGAAAAGAGAGTCGAGAGTTTGATCGGTACCACACCCAGTAGGGCGTCCTCCTCGCGTAGGCGGCGATCCCGTACGACGACCATGACGTACGCACGGCGCCAGTCTCTGAGAAATCGTTCGGTCCCAACATTGAAGAAAGGGTTGCGCGTCAATGCCTTGACGCGGGATCGCATGATGGTGGCGTCGTTGAGAATGATGGAGACGTAGGAGCTGGGCGTGTCGGCCGACTCCTCTTGCTCGTCTTCGACGTCGTCCACTTGCTGCGCCGCGCTGCCTGCCTGGCCGCCTCGAGCATTGCTCTTTCCCTTTTGGGCGCCGGCATTGCGGAATCCGAGGTCTTCGATGTTGTGCACTTGGATCGAGAGGATGCCGCTTGGCACGTCCGGATGCGGGGGCGAAAATTGAACGCTGCAAGCCAGGCGTGCGTTCGTCAGTACAGACGTCTTTGATCGACAAGTCGCGCATACTCACGAGGATTGCTGGTTGCGCGTCTGCCTCGAGCTTTCAGCAGCGTCCAACATCTTGAGCAAGTCTCTCGTGCTGGTCTTCTCGTCGAGATTCTCGAACGGGTCGCCATCACCGTTGCTGTCTTTGTGGCCCTCTGGTGAGCTTGAGGCTTTCTTGCCAGCGTTTGCAACGGCACTTTCACCATCGCTTGTGCTGCTGCTGTTGCTGCCTTTCATCTGCATGTCGTTTCCCCGCTCCTTCGTTGCATCCTGTCCATGCTTCTTCCCCTGCTCCATTCTTTGCCTTTCGACGCGATTCGACGATTTCTTATAGAATGCCACCGTCGTTTCCACCTGCCCCTTCTTCGTGTGATCATTACGCAGTCCCATCAAAGCGTCGCTACGATGGAAGCGATGACCTGGCCGTCTGATCAAGGGGGCGATGTCGAACTCGACCCTCCCCAGGATGTCGTCAGCGGTAAGCAGGTCGCTATCGTAGAGGGCCAGAGAGATCTTCTCTTTCGCTCGGACCGCCTCTGCCGTGACCAAGAGGATGTGACACTCCTCCCAGCGCGGATTGAGGTCGTTCAGCGCTACGCGCGTAGCATAGAGAACTTTCCCCAGTCGGCTGTAGCTGACGGTGACGTACGGGTCTGAGGAGCCTCGACGATCCTGCTTCTCCAAGTCGTAGGCGCGATGAATCCAGACCGCTAGCACGCCGAGCGCATTCACCTCTCGCTTGATATTGTCGCCCATGAGGATCTCGCCAACGTCCAGCGTCAAGCTCGACGGTGCGCAGTATTCTGCCAACGCAGCATCGATGGACGACTGGACAAACCCGCTCAGCAGCGGGATGTCGGCGAGGTTGACCTTCAACGGGACCACCTCGACGCGCACGCGGGGCAGGCCGAGGAAGGTGACGGTGACATTTTTGATGAATGGCGCCTCCGGGCTAAGTTGAAGCCTTGCTCGCACTGTTCCTACAAACCCTTTGATCTCTACCCAGACTGGCAGCGGTATGGAGACGAATTTGCGTAGACCGAGGTAGAAATAGATGACGAGCCGAGCATTGCGGCTGCGCGTGGTCATGGCTGCTCCAGTTCTGGCGGCTGAGTACACAACGGACATTTGCAGGTTGATCACCTTGCCTACGAAAGCGGGTGGACGATCAGCATAGTGCGCTTGTCGAGAGGGATGGCTTAAATGTTGAGCGGCTCACCTGCATCGTCTGCCTCGCCACCGTCATCGCCGCTGCCGCCGCCATCACCGTCTTTCGAGGGGTTTACGTACTCTGCCTTGACTCCAGCAACTCGAAGCGGCGTCAGACCGTGAGCGAGATCAGCGACCTTAATCATGTGGATGAAGGAAGGAGCCGACGCCTGCATGACGTCCTCCAGCGTGCCAGCCGCAGCCTCAAAGAGCGCCGGGTCAATGACTTCCCACATGCTCTGCAGCATGCTATTTAGCCACTCGGCCCCCTCCATGTTGCTCTGTGATCCTGCGACTCCGCCTGTCTGGCCCTTGGTCGACTGATCGTAGCTATTCAAGGAGGCGATGTTCGCTGACTTGCCTCTTGCACTCTCCCGCTCCCACCTCTTCTCGTCCACTCCGAGCTTGATATGCCGGAATGCCCACCAACCTAGCCAGGCGTTGACTAGAGCAAAGGCGATAGCAGTGGATGATCGAGACCAGATGATGAAGCTGAGCGACCAGGTTAGCCAGAGTGGCAGCAGCCAGGGATGGACATCCCTGAGCTCTGGTAAAGGCTGTTCAGGAGGGAAGACGCCCTTTGCGAGATTGACTGGGCGTTGCGAATCTTCGCTGTACATGTCTCTGCCGTGTCTTCGCGCCTCTTCGCGGTCCATGGCCGTCCGATAGTCACGTTTGCGCACGTCTCGGACCTTGATCTGAGGCCACAACATCAGCTATCGTAGACTCGAATATGCGTCTTGTCACGCCACTCACTTCCTGCTCCGTAATTGGATCATAGACATTTGTGGCCTTGCCGCGCTTTTGCTTGCGGTACTTGCCTGATGCTTTCTCCTGGGCGCGCTCCTCTGGCGCCTTCTCCTCTTCCTCCTTCGCTTCCTCATCCTCGTCCTCGTCGTCATGCCCAGTGTCCCTGTCGTCTGTCTTGCTCCGTTGCGAAGATGCTTCGTCCTGCTGTCGCATCCTCCTCTCTCTGTTCGGGTGAAGCACCTTGCTCAGCTTCCCTCCACTTCTCAGCGACCCAGAGGACGATGCCTCTCCTGCTGTTCCACCATCAGGCAGCTGCCTGTCATCCTCATCTTCGTCATCCTCATCGCTCTCAGACTCCTCCGAGCTACCTCCGGCAGCCCTCTTGGCAACCAGCGTCGAGAGCCCCTTCTTGACGAAGCGCTGGATATTCGGTATGGGATTCTCGGTGCTGTAGAAGTCGCTGTGCTTGTGCTCCTTGCCCACGCTCATGGTGGGCGAATGGGCATGCAGAAAAGCGAGAGAGCACGGAGTAGAGAAGACGATGATGGTACGAGTCGATGTGATTTCAGACCCTAGCGAAAGCGAGCCACTTTGTGGTCGGTCAATTAAAACTCGAGTACGCCGAGCAATTCCAAAAAGCGCGATGACGCTTGTGCGGGGCTCGGGCCAGCCACGGCGCGAGGCGGCGCTGCGAAGCACAGAGAGCCCTGGACCCTGGCACTGATTGGCCGGGCGGCTGGCTCCCTGCCTTCCCCGCCCGCAAGCAAGTACCAACACTTTGGTGGCTGTGAAGAGCTTTGAGGTCGAATGTATGGCATGTTGTGGGGCTCAACATCCTCGTCAAGTTGAGTCACTGACCAGTTCCCTACCACTCTTGGTGCCTGATGCCGCCAGTCGTCGTCGGAGCAATCCCTTGGGCTGCGAGAACAAAGCGGCCGAGAGTCGCACAAAAGACGATGATCTGTGCACGGTATGGCGTCGCCGTTGGCGTGGCGTGGCGCATGAGATGCCGACGCAGCGACGCAGCGACGCAACACCTCTCCGTCCTCCAACCTAGTCGGACGACAGCTGCTGCGTGCTCCTCATCGCCCGTCCGCCAACGCCGGTGCATCCCTTGCCCCCGCAAAGGGAGGTGCAGGTGTCCAAGATGAGCCGCCCCGCCTTATCAGATGTGTACGATCAACTATCATCAACACCATCATCAAGACCACCGAGATACCCGGCCATGGGAGCTTACGTTCCTGATGGACGCGATCTTGCAGCATGGCTTGCCGATGGTCCGAGGAGGGCAAAAGCGGCTTCTGAGGAAGAAGCAAGTCCAAAGGGCGGCTCAACATCAAGGAGCGAATCACCAACGGCCTCGTCTACGATGCCTGCAAGGTCGCGCCTCCCGCTCGAGCTCATTCTACAGATCGCCCAATACCTCGTCGAGCCCCTACCTCATGCTCTACCTTTCGCATCGTCCCACGACGTTCCCGTCGCGTCTTCATCATCTTCAATACCGTCACCGACCGCCATCTCCTCCCACTCGGCCCTGCTTCCCCCAGGCTACAACATTGATCGCCCCTCCTACCTGGCTGTCCTGCATCTCTCCTCGCTTTCCCTCTCACTGCGTCGTCTCCTTGCCCCTTTGGTCTGGCAGCAAGTCTTGATCAACCGCAGCGATAGGTTGGGGAAGCTGCGTAGCCTGGTGGTGGACTACTACCAACGACTTGCCTCCTCCTTTAGCGATGTAGACAGGCTCCTCTACCCCCTGCCACTTGTCCGTGTGCTCCGTATCGAGATGCCGGATCGCTACCTCTCGTTCGACCAAGAGATCCTCCGCCATCTTCTGCGCTCGGGACTGAACGCAAGTACGGGTGGCCTGCACACCTTGGTATGGGATGCCGAGATGCTCCCTTCTCCTGCCATATGGAAGTTACTGGGTGAAGGGGAGAAGATGCTAGGATTAGAGGCTGAGCTACAGCAGCGCAAGTGCCGGACGTTGGACAGGGATCAGATTCGCGCACTCGCGAACAGTGGTAGAGGCGAGGGGATGTTCTACAATCCAGATCACCCGAGGATACGCACGGCCAGGAGACGGAGTGGCAGCCGTGGAAGCAGCAACAGTGATACGACGAGCAGTGATGGGGCAAGTAAGGTAGGCGACATTGAGGTGGATGACATGACTTTCGAGTCGCTCAGCTTGGCCAGCGCTGGACAGCAACGCAACAGCCGACCACCACGCCCCTGTGCGAACCACCAGCAGCAGATGAGCGCCTTACAACGCCGCTCCCCTTCACGGCCTCCTCTTCCACGCGGTCTGCACTCCGTCTCCATAAACTGCAAAGTCTTCTGGTCCCTTCACTCCGAAATGTCGCGCCTCCGTTCCCTACAGCATCTGCACCTCACCTCCTTCGACAGCCACCTGCTCCCGCCCCATCTCCCTGGGCTCCTGATCTCCCTGCATCGGCCATTGCGGTCTATCTCCTTGTCGTCCAGCAAGACTTCCCTCTTGCATGATTGGGATCTGATACGGCGTGGTGTGCTGAGCAGATTGGAGTGGATGGATGTTTATCCCGTCACGCCGGAGTGGCCATTGGTCCAAGGGCTGAGGAGCGCCGCGAGGTCATTGCGGGGCTTGAGATTGATCCTGGACGTCAGTGGTGAGTGAGGTCGACGTATATGGCATCGCGCAGACTTCCAGGCTGAACAAACTCTATCGTCGCTCGTGCAGGGAGCTTCGGCAACTTCGACCGACTCTGGCGTGACCTGGTCACGGGTGATGACTTCGACAGATACGGCGAGGATGGCCAAGGCGAGATCAGTCAAGCCCCAAGGCGCCTGGGCGACAGCAGCGGCGGCGGCGGCGACGATGACGTTGGAGACGACGAGGATATCACCATTGATGAGAGTGAGGCAACCCTTGCAGCTCCCACGTCGCAGCCTCCGCACGATCGTGCTACGATCTTCTCGCGCCTCGAATGGCTCGTAGTCGACCCCTTTCCACAACAAAACACGGCGCCTTCCTTTGTCGCCTTTCTTGAGACCTGCTGTCCCTCGTTGAAGTGGCTCAATGGCAGAAGGATAGACCAGGTGCCCAAAGGCCTGGAGATGTGGGACTTTGATCCGCAAAGGATTTCAGGGGCGTTTCCTTACTAAGCGACGATGGGGTAGACGACCGTGATGGGTTGACTCTCGGACTGTATATGTAATAGCCACCGCTACTCATGCTGCAAACGATTGTTGTTGCTTGTCTCCATTTGCTTCTCTCGTGGCGACAGGCTGAATGGGCTTGTTCGCAGGCATTACCGCTCGCCAGATCGCGGCGCCGGCGAAGCCAACGCCAGCCAGAGCGAGAAAGGCTACACGGCCTGTTGGATGGCCAACTGGCCTTTTCAAAGAGGGCGCAGCAGCAGTGCTGCCGCCAGGAGATGAGGGGGCAGGTGCAGGAGACAATGGCGCTCGTCGCGAAGCTGCGGCCGGAGTATCTGACCCTGCGCTCGGAGGGAAGACGGCCATCGCCTTGACAAGGCGGGAGACGGTGGCTGCTGCACCCTTCATCACCTCGGCCGTCTGAGCCTGAGCTGAGGCCGAAGACATGCGGTTACCTGTGCCGGCCTCGCGATGCAGTCGCCATGCTTCCTTGAAGGCTCCCAGGCTCAGCATTGACATCACCACAGTCCCCGTGAGCCGACAGAGAATGCAGTCCTGATATTCGTTGACAGCATGTTGGGGTTGATCTGCTGCTTTCGTTGCCATGCCTTGCAAACCCTTTTTCGAAACCGATCTGATCGCTTGATGGGGGCTTGAGGCGATGGTTGATGTCTTTTGCGGATAGCGGAGGGAGGCAAGGAAGAGAAGAAGAAGCTGCGACGCGAGGTCGAGCCTGACGGTCTTCATTCACGCAAAGCGGAAGACTTCATCATGATCAGTCAACTGCGGCAGACGAGACCCTCAGACAAAGCAAGCGAAGACTGTGGTAGAGGACAGCGACAGCGAGGAGCTCATTGTGTATAATTGCAGAGTTACACCTCTCATCCCGTCCCTCAACCTGGAAGCGGTTTTAAACCTGCCTGACCTTACTCTTGACCTCCTCCTTGACTTCTCCAACCTTCTGCTCAACCTTTCCCTCCATCTTCTTGACCTCCTTTCTCGCATCCTTAGTCTCCTCAGCTACCTTCTCCTTTGCGGTACCAAATGCCTCGCCCGTCTTCTGGCTGAGCATCTCGAGGGTGGATCGCGGTGCTTCAGAGGCGGACTTGGCTGAAGGGGGGAGGATGCGGAGACCGGGGGCAGAGTAGGGGTTGAAGGAGCGCTCGCAATCGGTGTAGGCTGAGCCCATACCGAATCCTGTGCCGAGCCAGACGGGGAAGGCGCGGCCTAAGAGCGAGGAGCGAGAGAGGGGAGAGGAGGGCGAGACGGGGACGTTACTTAGCTGCGAATGCTGGAGCATGTGAGATTGTGATGCGCCTACTTACGGCGAAAGAGGAGCACACTGAGCACAACACCGGTACCGAAGCCGATACCAGTCTTGACGATGGCGTTGGAAATGCAGAGGTCCGTCTGTTTTGAGCGTGGGAGGACAGGAAGAAGTGAGCGACCTGCCTGCATATACGCAGGGCCCCGGACCTCAGCTTCTAGCAGCACTGACCTTCCTCGCGATCATGTCCTCTGACGGACCCTTGTCAGCCGACGACGAAGGAGGGAGTGCTGCCATTGCGGATGCAAGATGTGAGGATGTGGTGTTGTTAGGAATGGCTGGTGGAGCTGCTGTCGACGTCGTCTGTCCGGGCGGCCTCGGATTCGGTCTCCCTCGAGCACAGGCCACAGCAGGCGAAGCGCGCGAAGGGTCGAGCCAGACGAGAAAAGAAGAGCCCGTTGAGACTTTCTCACCTTGGCTTCCTCTTTTCCACCGTTGATCCTTGCTTGCCATTCCTTCTCCAAGCCATCGTCCTCGTAACATTCCAGCCATCGCCCTCGTACCATTCCAGCAGGTGAGCATCATTTCGAGAGCAGGCTATCTATGTGATGAACCCCTAGCTGGCACCAGTCGGACACACGATGTCGACAACCCTTAACGCTGGGTCGTTTCAAACAACAACAACAACTACGCTATGCGACCCCTGATACCATTCAAGCCACCACGATTGATGAGGAGCTCGAAGCTGATCCCGTTCTCGCCCTCAATCCGTTGCTCAACACAGATTACCTTTCCGTCCTTGTAGCATTCTCCTACCGTAGTTGAGCACCGCCTTCCGTCCCTGTACTCCTTAGCTTCCTTTCCTTCCTTCTTCATTCAATGCCACCCGCCATCGTTGGTGCCTCTTCCTCGTCCGTCGCCAAGATGAGCTGCGCTGTCGTCGCAAGCACTCGCCGAGCAGCACGGCAGGCTGGAAAGAACGCATTACCAAGCTCATCAAGGGCGCCGTGAGTGCCTCGTATGCTTTTGCGGATCGCTCCTTATGCTGACACAGCACTCGTGTCTGCGATGGCCTACCCCTCATTAGCCCTACCGCGCGTCATTTCTCTTCAAGTTCCCAGATAGCGGGACCATCATCGTCACCAGGTGCTCAGCAAACATCCCTCGACCCCTCGGAGATAGCCCACTTCACTCGCCTCTCTTCAACTTGGTGGGACCCACATGGGGAGCTCGGCCTCCTCCACAAGATGAACAAGGGGCGCGTCCAATTTCTCAAGGAGAAGGTATTGGAGGTAGAAGGATGGGAGAGGGCGCAGCGTAGTGACAGAGGAGAGGAGATGATGAGACCGGAGGAGGAACAAAGGTGGAGCAGTGCGTGGTTGAGGGGAAAGAAGGTACTCGACGTGGGGTGCGGTGGTGGCTTGTTGAGTGAGGTGAGCCGATGAGGCGCAAGAGATAGCATGATGATGAATGACGGGCAGATCAAGACTGACCTTTTTCCCTTGGCCCTCACCAGTCCCTGGCCCGACTAGGCGCCAACGTCCACGGGATAGACGCCACATCCACCAACATCGGCATTGCCCTTGCCCACGCCTCCAGGGATCCTTCTCTCTCCCAGTCCCCAAATCTGACATATACCCACACAACAGCCGAATCCCTCCTCCCTCAACACCAGGAGCAGTACGACGTAGTCGCCTCGGTCGAAGTCCTCGAACATGTCAGCAACCCTGCCGCCTTCCTGCGCTCGCTGGACGCGCTACTGAAGCCCGGTGGACATTTGCTACTCAGCACGATCAACAGGAACGTGCTTAGCTGGGTGTTGACGATTGGGGTGGCGGAGAAGCTGAGTCGCCTGGTGAGCCCAGGGACGCATGACTGGGGGAAGTTTGTGAGGCCGGAAGAGCTGGAAGGATTCATCGAAGAGAAGCTGGGCTGGGTTCAGTCCGGCGAGAAGGCTTCCCCCTCACCATCGGCCTCGAAGCCGTCTCTACACGCCACGGCTGACCTTCCTGTATCGAAACGGCTGCGCCTTGAGACCCGAGGCATCGTCTACGACCCGCTCATTGCGGATTGGAGGGTACTGGACCGCGCTGGATGGATGCAGAGGAGTGGGTGGGGCCAAGGATGTAACTATCTGCTGTGGGCGAGGAAGCCTTTGACGGCGTAGGGTGGATAAAGTGTGGACGAGTCACAAATCAATACCATGGTCATCACGTGTCCTTCTTTTCTTTGGCGGCTGAAAGACTGGATGAATTGTGCTTCGGCTTCATCGTCCGACAGCAGTAGATCGCGCACTGGTCTGATCCCCGTTCCCAGCACCCTCCTTTGCCGGCAACAGCGTCCCATCCGCAGGCTCGCGTCCCAACCAGTCCCACGTATACACGACGGTACCAGCCGGCCCTCCCTTCTTGGGCGCGCCCACTTGTCCGTCCCCTCCTCCCGCACCAGCAACCCCCGTCGCTACTTTCAGCGCATCGTGCGCCCCCTTCAACCACCCCTCTGCCCCTGTACCATTCGCCGCATCCCCTCTGGTGGTCTTACCACGGAAGACCCGCTCTACATGCGCGGAGTCACGCAAGGGCGCAGGGTCGTATACATGAAGGGAACGATAGAGGGTCGAGGGGTTGAGGGTTGATTCTCCGTCTGGATTGGTCGACGGGGCAGTGGAGAGGGGCAAGCCATCCGCGCCTACAGCCGCAGGTGCTGCCCCTTCCCCTCCGCTACTTCCGCCCTCAGGTCTCTGCGGTACAGCTGGCGCCCCCGCCAGCAGGTATCGCGCCACTTCGGCCGCCATTCTAGGCTGCCTGTACCCCAGCGCCGGGTGACTCGCGCCACCCAACTCCCCTCCTACACTGCCTAAGCTCAGTGGCCTGCCCCTAGGCCTCGTAGGGGTGAAGCGCGGTGCTCCTGTCCCGCTCTCTGGCAATGTGACCAGGTGAGAGGGCGAGGGGAGGAATGGCATGCATGAAGGTCGGGAGGGGAGAGAAGAGTAGAGGACGTCGTTCGGCTCGTATCGATTTGGTTGAGAGATGAGAGAGGCCAGGCGTCGTCGTGTCTTGTTGGCAGATGTGGCCGACGGCTTGGGAAGGAGAGCCGGGCTTTCCCCTGACTGGGCGAGGGAGGTGAGAGCGGTGAGCAGAGAGGAGGTGGAGCTGCGCTGGGAGGATGGGCCGGCATTGTCGAGTTCCAAGGAAGGCAAGGAGGAGGCTGCAGTCTCTATGTCGATGGTCGGCTGTGCAGCCGTGCTACCGTCAACAGGTTCTCCATCGAGGGCTGCGCCGCTTGCGTTGGCATACAGAGAGGATGATGCGTAGGGGACCGGTGGTGTGAAATACGAAGAGGAAGCGTCGGCCTGCTCTTCGTTTGGTCTAGCTGCTGGTGCTGATGTAGCCTGAGGAGCCGTCGTCGCGCTGACTTCGGCATTTTCGCCAGAGGCAGCGCCAGCAGTAGGTGCACCCTCATCGATGGACATAGCCTCGGACTGGATGACCTCCGCATGCTCCTCCTTGACTTGCTCTTGCGAACGGGCATCGGGCGTCTTCGAAGGCAGCGGCGGCAGATACCATGGGATGTACGCCGGCTGGTCTCCTTGATCGTCTCCGGGATGTGTAGGGCCAGCCACGCTGTCTCCGTTAATGCTTCTGGGAGAAGCAGGGAGGCTGCCGATTTCCTCTTCGTCTTCGTCCTCGACTCGCTGCTTCTTGGGCAATCTCTCCTCCTCTATCAGCCTGAACTCCTCGTAAAGCTCAGCCTCTTCCTGCGCCAGATGAAGATATCTCATCTCAGCAATGGGCTCAGCCTCACTCCGTCCATGGCTCGTTCTTTGCCGAATTGCCGCTTTTCTAGCTTCGTACTGCCTCTTTGCCTCCTCATCCCTCCACCCTTGCTCAATTCTCTCCTGCCAATCTTTTCTGACAACGGCCGCCTCGCTCTCAGCAGGTGGAGCCATCCACCCGGCCATGAGATCGTCGACGCCCCTCGACCCGACCTCGGCCAAGGCGGCCATGATGTCCCATACGACGAGATGTGTTCTTCCAGCATGTCGTGCATTGTGAGCTGCCAGGCGAGTGATGAGCTGGAGGTAGTGGTGGGTGATCTCGGAGAGGAGAGGAAGAGTATTCGAGGGAACAGATGTGAAGGGATAGAGGGAGATGAGGTGCGCCAGTTGAGGTTGGACGAGGCAGAGGGGACCAGGAAGTGCCGATGACGAGGTCGATGGCCGCGAGGAGGTGCTGGAGCTCGAGGCCTTGGTCGACGTCGTCATGCTGGTGGTGACTTTGGTGGACTTGTGGAACAGAATGAATGCTCGTCGCATCGCAGGCTGCACTGCGCGTCTTGCTTGGACTGCGTCTTGGCCACTCTCTGTCCGTCGTCGTTGTCCGCCGGCCGACTCGACTCCAAACCAAGTGGCGGCCTCGATTGCTCCTCGCCTTTCAACTCCTATTCGCTTCGCATCATCACACGATCACCCTACCCCCCGTCCATCATTCACGATGAACGCAAAAGCGGCTTCGCAACGCTACCAGCGACAAGTCCTCGAGCTGGCAAAACAGCCGGGCAACGACTTCTGTGCAGACTGCAAAGCCCGTAACCCACGATGGGCTTCACACAATCTCGGCATCTTCGTCTGCATGAGCTGTGCAGGCATTCATCGAAAGATGGGGACCCACGTTTCCAAGATCAAGTCATTGACGCTCGACGAGTGGAACAAGGAGCAGGTCGAGAGGATGAGGGAGATGGGCAATGTCAAGAGCAATGCCTATTACAATCCAGATGAAAAGAGGAATAGGCCACCAACGAATGCAGAGGAGACTGAGAGGGATTCCGAACTAGAGAGGTTCGTCAGGGACAAGTACCAACGCAGGAGATTCATCGGCAAGCTGCCACCTCCAGTGCCCGTCAAGGGACCTGACGACCTCAGAAGGAGTCAATCGCCTATGCCTCCCGCTTCCCCACGTCACCCTTCTCAGCAGCACCAGCAACAGCAGCAGGCGGGTCGACCTACCATGCCCCGCAGCTCTTCATCCTCTTCCTCCCTCTCCCCGGCTGATGGCATCGCCCGATCGCGGACGGCGCCCATTGTTCCCAGTACATGGCGAGAGGCAAAGCGGGCTGCTTCGCCCCTACCGGCCCTTCCCGACGAGGCGAGGGAGAGCTCAAAGGCCAAGCCTCCGGCCATCTCCATCTCTACAGCTGCCGCTGCTGCAGCACAGCCTGCCTGCGCTCTTTCGGCTTCGACGTCTGCCTCCTCATCCTTATATCCGACCACGCCAGTCAATCTTCCACCGCGGGCTTCGTCTGCGCAGGGGATCGCACATACAGCCAACGGCAATCAGTATGGCGCCGCCTCTTCCTCTGCTACTCCAGTGTCCCCAAATGCCCCATTCGAAGGAAGAAGTAGCGTCTTCGATGACCTGCTTAGCCTGACGAAGCCGCAGGAGCAGCAAGCACAGCAGCTTGGCGGGATGGCGTTCGGACAAGCTCAATATCAGCAGCAACAGCAGGCAGCGATGATGGGCATGGGAAACCCATGGGCACACATGCAGCAGCAGCAGCAGCAGCAGCAGCCCTTCCAGCAGATGGGCGCTATGCAGACTGGCTTCGGCGGGGGATACGGAGGCGGGGGTTACGGAGGAAATTTTGCAGGAATGGACGCCTCAGGGCTGGGGAACATGGCGTTCGGCGGTCAGATGCAGCAACCTCAGCAGCAGATGATGATGGGCGGCCAGCATCAGCAAGCCATGATGACTGGCTATCCAGGAGGCTATGCTGCGCCTCCTTCGCCGTCCAACCCATTCTTTCAGCAACAGCAACAGCAGCATCAGCAAGCTCAGTACTATGGTCAGCAACCGGTTGATCCGTACGCTGCACGAGATGCTATGGCGCAGCAGCGTCTGCAGTCCGGGCAGGTTTTCGATGATTGGGCGAAGGGCATGATGCCAGGAACGAGAGGCGGGAGGCCGGGAGGTGCTTAATGCGCAGAGTTGGGTTCATTGATGATGTGAATGTATGGGTCCTGCTCGTGCTCTGCCTGTCATGCTAATACCACTGTCATTGATCGCGTTTTGACTGGGATGTGGCTTCGAGTCGGCATCTTCGCAGCGATGTGGTGGCCCATGCGCGGCAACCAGACCAAAACTGCCGGAAGCCGCGGCTGGCGTCGTCCGACAGTGCACCGCATCTGCCGTTCGTACCTATCACCTTCCTCCTCGCAAACCTCCATCTCACACTAGGTCCGCCAATTAAGGCGCTGCACTCGACATGGCAGCTGAATCGTCTTCCACGGTCAGCTTCGGCGACGAGCTGCCGGTAAGTGGTCCCTCTTCGCCCTTGTTGCCCCTGCCTACACATGCTGATGCCCACTCGACTCGTCTACTCTCTCAGGACCAATTCGCCGTCATCACCACCTCAGTCTCAGCGCATATAGGCCTCGCTCACGATGCTGCCGCTTACCTAGCAGAGCGAGCCGCCCTAGAGCGCGAGTACGCCTCTAAGCTGCAGGCCCTGACCCGCAAGCTTGGTGAACGACGTCAAAAGCGCATGCAAGACTGCACGGTAGGCAACGACCCAAGTAAAGCATGGAGCATCGAAGTGGCCAATCGCTCCACTTTGCAACGCTACGTCGCCTCCCTCGTCAGCACGTCGGAGTCTGCGGCAGGAGACCACGCAGGATTGGGTGATGCGCTGGACAAGGTAGGTGCGGAGATCAATGCTGGAGGCAAACGGAGCGAAGAGATGAGAAAGAAGCACAATGCCTTTTATGAGAAGGTGGTCAGCGAGAGGGAAAAAGTTTATGCGGAGAGGACCAAGGTCAAGGCCAAGTATGACGAGCATTGCCTGGAGGCTGATGGGATGAGACAGAAGAAGGAGAAGGCCGAGGCCGAGGGCAAGCATGCCGATAAGGCTACAAAGGGCTATCAGGAGGCGCAGGCTGAGATGTGGAATGCAAAGGTGCGTGAGAGGCAACGAGAAGAGGGATCATGCTCGCGCTCATGGAATCACACCTACTGCGCACACAGAACGTCTACCTCGTAGCCATCTCCGCGTCTAACCAAGCAAAAGCCCGCTTCTACCGTGAAGATCTCCCCCGACTTCAGGACGACCTTCAGTCCCTTTGGACGCTCGTGGATCGCCGTCTAATCGCCCACCTACAGCGCGCCTCTGCAATCTCAGCCGACCACCTCGAAGCCATCGCCGCTAAGCATCGTCGCCTTGAATCTGACGCAGCGCAATGCGACGTAGAAGGGCAAGACCAATCCCTCTTCGTCGAGTTCAACAGCAGGCGATACGACGAGCCTGCAGACCTGGGCTTCGAGCCATGCGTGGGCTTCTTTGATACGCCGGAGATGGTGGTGGACGAATCTCACGCAGCAAAGACTTTCCTCTCCAACATGTTGATCCGCAAGCGTCAGAGGATGAGCGAAGACATCCCCCTCGTCAACTCGAAGGCCAAGGAGATCCAAGGTCTGGAGAGGCTACGTGACGCCTACTTGAAGGATCCAAAGCTAGGAGACCCGGAGGAGGTCACAGACAATCTGCTCGAGAGCGTGCGCAACTCCCTCTTAGTGGAGGCGCAGCTCTCCATCCTCGAGGCAGAAGCGGGGACCATCTCCTCTGCTATCGGTTCGGTAGGCGACGTGCGTCCTCACAGATTCAAGGCCACCAAGTTCGCCCTGCCTGCCACCTGCGGCCTTTGCGGCGCCAAGGTCTTTGGGCTATCTGGGCTCAGCTGCCAACCTTGTGGGTTCGTATGTCACACAAAGTGCGAGCCGAAGGTGGCACCGGAATGTAGGGCCGCGGTGGCGGAGAGGGGAGACAAGATGCCCACGCTTGATCGCAGTGTCAGTGTGAGGAGTAGCAGGAGGACTTCTGGTGTACCGCAGGGTGCGGCAGGCGGGTTGAGCAGGACGGATACGGCTAGAACGACCACCTCGACGCGGTCGTCGCTTAACAGTAGCACGGACACGGCATCAGCGCCCGTGGCAAAGACTGCCGCGCCTGCTCGGAGGACTCTGCCCCCTATGGCGTCCGCCTCATCAGCATCCAATGGCAGCGCCTCCGCTATGACAGCATCGCAGCGTCGCATCCTCGAAGCGGCTGGAGCAAGCGCGCCCACAGCTGCCGCTCCAGCATCTACTACTGCCGGCGGACGGCGCGTCCGTGCCCTGTACGACTACGACGCTTCCTCACCCGACGAGCTGAGCATCGTGGAAGGGGACGTCCTAAGGGTGGTCGGAGACGATGACGGTAGCAGCGGCTGGCTTAAAGCCTCCTCCTCTTCTTCAGGCAAGCAGGGCCTCGTACCTGCGAATTACGTCGAAGAGATGGACGCCTCGGGCGATCAAGTCGCCACGAGTGGTGGCGAGGACAGCCATGGAAAGGTGCGGGCCCTCTACGACTACGAAGCGCAAGAGTCAAACGAGCTCACCCTCAACGAGGGAGAGGAGATCGGATTGACGGACGTCGGCTTTGACTTTGGATCGGGTTGGTGTGAAGGGGTGGACGCGACCGGCAAAACGGGCGTCTTTCCTGCAAATTATGTGGAAAGGGTGGCGTAATGAGCAGGGCCCGGTCATTGCTCAATGGCAACGCGCACGTCTAGCCATGGACCTTTGGCCATGAAGCCTTTCCTCAAGCGGCGGTTGTCTGTCGCGACAAACCATCATTGAAGCGAGGAACGCTTCGGATGGTATCGGTCGAAGAGCCCGTACGAGCCAAGGGACTCATCGCAATGGTGTGGCCCGCAAAAGTGAGGAGGAGGCCCGCAATCGCGGGCCGAGCTTCCTCCTTGATCATCAGGCGAGGAGCAAAGCATTGACGGCTCCCTGATCGGGTCCAGAGCGGGGCCTCATGCAGGGACGCAGTTGTGTGCACCAGGTCGGGGGAAAGGAGCTCGCATATCGTACAGGCATTTGCCTTTTTTTTTGTTGGGCTGCTGCCCTTTGACAACACCCGCAGAGGAAGATCCTCGGTCGGGCCGCACCACATTATTTCGTTGGGCTCTGTCTTTCTTGTACTACGCAGCTACAGCGCCGCACCTGCTATCTTCCCCGCATTGTATGCAATACCCCACCATCAACAAGAAGCTTGTGCGTGCGCTTGAACGAAACGCTGATATCTTCGCTGGCTCACGCGTTTGACAAGCAGTTGGCCCTCGGTCACCATCTTCCAAGGTCCCTCACCTCGGTGGCCAAGTAGCCAAGCCTCCTGAGCGTCATGTCGAGCGTCCTCTTTTCGCATCTCGATTTCCGAGGATGAGATCTTCCTTCCCTACCGTCCCATAGACTCCGAGAGGCTGGCTGCGCCGACAGAGGACCGAATTGACGGAGCAGAACGCAGCGTGGCGTGGCGTGCCTCGCTGCATCTTCGCCTCTTATCGGCGAAAAGCGCCGTTTGCGTTCACGCACCGCTCGTCCGTACTGCAGCGTCCTTGACCGATGCAGGCGTGCCTGCTTGGCTGCGACAAGAAGAGAGGAGAAAAAAAAGCCAATCTGAGGAGGGGAGGCATATTGCTACTTTTTTGCGCTGCTTCAGGCACGCCCCGAGAGGGTGGGAAGCTCAGGTTGCGGGGCGCTTTGACATGCGAGAGAAAGTCTTGGCTCTGGTTTTTGGCGGGGTGGCTGCGAGACGATCAGCAGACCCAGCAGCATCAGCATCAGCAAGGCTAGTGCAGGCACGAGAGCGCGGAGGCTTTGCGCACAGGCTGTGCCACCGTCGCGAAAGCGAGACGTACGAGCGAGACGTCTGAGCCGCTAGAGTCCGAGCGCAAAGAGGGATTCATTGATAACGAAGGGGGTCAGGCCGAACGAAAAGATTGCAAAGCCGCTGTTGCTCCTCTTTGTCACCGTCCAGGCTTCTTTCCTTTCTTCCATTGTCGTTGTCGACCCGCTCATTCGTAAGAACTCGCCATCTCTCGCCGCGCAATATAGCAACGCGCTCGGACCGCCGTCACCGTATCCGTTAGCTACCGCAAACGCGCGCTACGTGCCCTCCCAGCTCGACGACACGTCGCTGTCATTCACTGAGCTGTACCTATCATCTACTCGAGGAACACATCCTCCAACAGCCGCTCCCTAGTCCTCAACAGGTGATCCCACCTATTCTACAACCGCCGCCATGCAGAGCCACAACGAGCACGACATCGTCGCGGAGAAGGCTCCCTCCGATGACTTCAAGGACCTTCAGCAGCAGCCAAGCGTTGGCGCTCTCTCCAAGCAGCAAGACGGCGTCGATGGTCACGGCGAAGGAGAGCTTCACCGTGCCCTGTCTAGCCGACAGATCACCATGATTGCCATCGGCGGCGCCGTCGGCACGGGTCTCATTATCAGTAGCGGTTCAGCCCTTCATCAGGCCGGACCTGGAGGACTCCTCATTGCTTATATCGTCTTGGGGGTCGTCTGCTATGGTGTCCTGACCGCTCTGGGCGAGATGACGTGAGTTTTGTCGGCCGCTCGGTCGCCTGCGCCGCGGAAACGCGTCCGCTGACCTCTAGGCCCTCCCCGCCGCAGCGCCTACATGCCTTTGAAGCGCGGATTCGCTGGGCACGCTTCCCAGTTCGTAGACAACTCCTTTGGGTTTGCCGTTGGTTTCAACTACTTATTTAAGGCGAGTTAACATGAAGGTTCAGAGGGAGGCCCATGTGCTGACCTTTTGGCTTTTCCCCCCACCCCTTCCTGCCTCCCTCACCGCCTCCTACCTCCTCTACGACTCTCTCCGCCGCACGCACGCCCGCGTGGCGCGTCTCTGGCGCCTTTTGCTGCTTTCCTTCTTGCCGGCCTGCAGTACCTCGTCCTGCCGCCCAGTCAGCTCAATGCGACGGCCGTCCTCATCACCTTCTGGCGCCCAGACCTCAGCGGAGCGATTTGGATCTCCATCTTCGGCGCAGCCATCATCTCGCTCAACGTCTTTGGCGGCGTTCGCGTCTTCGGTATAGCAGAATATTGGATGAGCTTCGCGAAGATCCTCGTTCTCGTTGGCCTCATCATCCTGTGTATCTGCATCAGCGCCGGCGCCGGGCCCAACAACAGCTACCGTGGCTTCTCCGCCTGGGGTAACGGGCAGGCCTTCAACGAATACCTTAAGACTGGAGCAACTGGCCGCTTCATCGGGACATGGTCTGCGTTCACCATCGCTCTCTTCGCGTACATCGGATCTGAGCTCATTGGTGTCACGGCTGGCGAGGCCAAGAACCCGCGCAAGGCCATGCCGCGCGCCATCAAGAGCCTGCTCTACCGCATCCTCTTCTTCTACGTCCTCCTGATCTTCCTCGTCGGACTCATCGTCTCCGCCGATGACCCGCTGCTCATTGGAGCTTCTAAGGGAAAGAGCACAGCCGCCGCCTCGCCATTCGTCGTGGCCATCAAGTCTGCAGGAATCCCTGTTCTGCCAGGTTTCCTCAACGCTTGCTTCCTGGTGAGTCAGGCCGCTACTTCGAGGTCTTTGAGACTCTTTCTGACCACAACTTACGCTCCGTTCTCATAGATCTTCACGTTCTCTGCGGCCAACTCCGACTTGGTAAGTCGTGTTCTCAGGGTTGCGTACGGTACTGAATGAAAGTCGCTGACGCATCCCACGTTCTCACCGCGTCCTCAGTACATCGCGTCACGTACGCTCTACGGCCTCTCGCGCGCCGGCCAAGCCCCTCGCATCTTCACCAAGTGCGACAAGCACGGAACTCCTTACGTTGCTATTCTCGCATGCTCTCTGTTCATCGCCCTCGCGTACATTAACGTCGGTTCTGGTGGACCCAAGGCCTTCACCTATCTGACGTCGTCCGTGACGGTGAGTGCGACGCGTCGCTTGCGACTTCGCCCTCTTGCTGAACTTCTCTTACTCCCACTCGTGTATAGATCTTCGGAGGCCTTGCTTGGGTGGGCATCCTCGTCTCTCACCTCAGGATGATGGCAGGCATGAAGGCGCAAGGCATCGACCGCAAGACCCTCCCTTACGCGTCGCCCTTCCAGCCCTACTTCGGCTACTTCTGCCTCTTCGTCATCTCCCTCGTCATCTTCTTCAAGGGCTTCACGGCCTTTATCGGTACCTTCGACTACAAGAGTTTCATCACTAACTACATCGGCTTGCCCTTGTTTGCGATTTTGTTCTTGGGATGGAAGATTGTCAAGAAGACTCGCTTCGTGTCTGCCACGGACATGGACCTGTCCACGGGCGCCCGCGAGATCAGCGACGTCCAGGAGGAAGAGGATGAGGTGCTCGACGACGAGGAGAAGCTCTCCAAGAAGCAGCGCATCATGAACTTGGTCAAGGTTATGTAGGCGGGGGTGTGAGGAGATGCGACGGATGCAGCGAGAATGCTAGGTTTCTTCCGCTGCAGTGCTTGTAATGATGCTTTGACTTGCTCACAGAAAATGCCAAGCCATGTAGACACCTGACGAGTAGCATGAGCAGCGTGACAGATCTCTGTCGACATCCGCAAGCGCTCTCCGGTATGTCCGCGCATATAGTGACAGGCGTTCGGCCCCTCTGACGCGTCTACTCTAGAATAAATTGCCGGCAGTACGTCGGCACGGTATCATCTACTGTATGCACAGTTCCCGCCTCATATCATCGTCGAAGCTCCGCTGTCTCCCTCGTTCCCTTCCTCATTGGCCTTCCCTTCTTGCCTTCTCAAGTCATGAATCAAGACCGCGCCCGGCGTACTCAACGAAGGCCTGAGTCCCATGGATCGATACATCAGCCCAGCAAGGGACCGCGTGCGATACTTCTTATGCTTCTGCGACTCGCTCAGGTCCTTCAAGCTCGCATGAACCACCTCTACATCGTGGTCTAGGTCATGCTTGAGCTCCTCGTCCTCGATCCTTGCCGGGTCTTTGACGAGATCCTTATAGTCATCGGTCCGGCGCGGCCTGCTTGCCATGCCGCCGGAGTCGGTGCGGAAGGCCACGACACCTTTGAGGTGTTCGTGAGTGCTGCTGTGGTGAGCAACGGCTTCGCCTTGCCGTCTAGCTTTGGCAGCGGGATGATCGTCCCCTGCCTCGCGGGTGGGATGAACAGACTTGTCCTCACCATCGTCCGCCACCGCTCGTATTGGGTCTTGGCCCGATTCGACGGCTTGCTCCATCTCAGTCTCGGCATGCGTCCGCTCGCCACGAGCAAAGCGCTGCCAGCTTGACTCGTTGACTCCGTCTTCACCTTCTTCACCAGCTGGAGGAGGAGTGGCGTCTTGTGTCCCATCGTTGCAAATGGGCTCGGGAGACATCGTTCGTTCGTTGCCCGTCGCTCCTTTTCCTTCCTGCCGCACACCCAGCGTCTCGTCCTTGCTCTGCTCCTTTTCCAGCGCCCTGCTATCACCGAACTTGATGCCCGGCTGATCAGCCCTCTCTCTGTATCGCTGCCTCAATAGTCCAACCTGCACCAGAGTTGCCCGAGTGTAGATCTCGATAGCGCTCCGTGGCGAGATGGTTGTTCTGAAGATCCTTGGCAGCAGTAGCGGATAGTCACTGAAGCTGAGGTGCTCCGAGCCCGCAAGCGTCATGAGCCAGCCACGATTCTCGCGATTGGCATGCTGTGCGTCACCGGCTAGACGTTTGACTTTGTCGAAGTGCGAGCCCCACAGAGTGAAGGATTCGCTGTTCATGACATAGACTGGCGCGCGAAGCGGCCGTGGCTCAGAGTCGTCGATGATGAGCGGCTCAACCCAGGGGTCAAGGATCATCGCAAAGGGAAACGGAGGGTCTGGCCCTCGAAGCAGTTCGAGCGCTGTTGCTCCGCCGAAAGAGTGACCGGCTAGCGCTGGGTAGTCGACGTCAATTTTGCCTGCCCAGCATTTGAGGTTGGACTCGTCTTCTAGCAGGCTGCCCGGTAAACCTTTTCTCGTATGAGGTCGCCCGCCTAATTTTGACGTCAATGAGCGAGTGCTCTCCTTCGCGACTGCAGCGCCATCGCCTTCTGCTATCCTCTTGAGTACGTGAAGGCATTCCTCGATTTCGGCGCAGCGCATGGCCAGCTGAGCCTGCCTCATGCCAACCTCCCGCTCGCTCGGGTCCGTAGGAAAGCTACGGAGTCCGACTGCCTCGAATGTAAAGTAAGGCACAGCCGCCTTTGGGTGACCGCGTTTCCAAGGCTTGCTCGAATGCTTGCTCTGCTGCGCGTTCTCGGCGCTCTGGTCCTTACGGGCCAGTTGAGGATAGATGGGCGGCCGTACAACCGATGCGATGCCGGATCCATCTCTGTGCTCGATCGCAGCAACAACAATGCCCTGCGATGCCAGCTCGCTGCAGTACTGCGAGTAGGCAAGCCGTGAGCCCGCCAAGCCATGGCTGAAGACGATGACGGGGAAAGAGGCGGGCTCATGACCGAATAGCCCAACGGTAGGTCGATTCTGCGGCGGTGGTGCTCGAGCTCTCGGGTCTTGAGGATCTGCAAGAGCCGGTCCTGCCCAGACGCACATTTTTGCGGCAAGCAAGGTAGCCACCGCGGGTGAGGCAGGCACCGCTGCGAAGGGTCCGGCGATGCCGTACTGCGAGAGATAGGAGAAGAGAGCCTTGACGCCTTTGCGCTTCGGCCGACCAAGCCATGCTGTGCGTCGATAGTTGTCGTCTAGGTCCTTTCCATCGCCTGCACAGGGGTAGTAGACTGTGAAGAGAACAGTCGACAGGTGCAGCGTTGATGTCTTCGAGCCGTGTGCTAGAGGTGACCATTGAGGCAGACCATCGTTGCCCTCGTTCGGCGCATCGTCACTTGCGCTACGCGAATCGCCATGCTGACCTCGCTCTGGTGAGGAAGACGCCCGTTTCGACGAGCCGCCGGCTGTCGTCCTCGACTTGCGCGACTTACTTGATGGCCGATTGATACGGCTGGGATCGACAATGTCCGTCGCAAAGGAGCGTGGCTCTCTCACGGGAACCTCGAGGTCGATGGCTCCCACCGCAAACGGTCCTTGCTGCCTAGCCAGAGGCATTGCGTTGGCGCGCCAGAGCTCAGCGAGATGCTAGCTTGGAGGATGAAGTGACGTGCAAGATCAAGTGGAAGGTTGGAGGGGTCCGTACCTCTAGCCCGGCAAGGATTGGAAAGCGGGGAATTTTCACAGCCCTGCATGCGCCTGCACCTGCAATCATCGAAATGACCTCACGTCGCGTGAGGCGGCCCGGCGCCAAGAGAGGGCGAGTTGAATGTGCCGCGAGGACGGCGTTGATGCAAGGCGGGGGCTGGATTCCGGGGTCCAATCTGTCAGTGCGCCAAACCTTCGATCTACTTGAGGTCGCACCGCATCACACCACCATCCAGAAGAACACCGCCGGCCATGTCACGGCAAACAGAACGCTACTCGCTCGTCGTCTACGGCGCTACGGGCTTCACAGGCAAGCATGTCGTTAATCAAATTGCGGGCGAGATCGATGTGATGCGAAGGGAAGTGGGCGCAAAGTTCTCATGGGCAATTGCTGGACGCAACAGCACGGTCCTCAACCGCATGGCCGCGGATCTGGGCGGACGATTAGGGGAAGAGAATCACCCAGGCGTCGTCGTGGCAGATATCAAGGACCAGATAGGCCTGCAGAAGATGGCAGAGGGAGCTCATCGTGCGTTGCAGGAGAGGCAAAGGTTCGCGCACAAGATATTGACCTCCACCTTCACATCGCGCCGCCAGTCGTCATGTCTTGCGTGGGACCCTACGCCTTCATGGGCGAGCCCGTAGTCAAGGCCGTCCTCGCAGCTAATGATGCGCTCCAGAAACATGGCGACAGCCAGCCGTGCGACTACATCGACCTAGCAGGCGAGCCCGCATGGATCGAGGAGATGTGCCTACGCTACGGTGATCGCGCCACGCGCTTGGGCTGCTCCATCATCCACTCCGCCGCCTTCGACTCGGTACCATCCGATATCGGCGTTCTGGAAGCCAAGAAAGCGCTCATCAGAAAGTCAGCCATTCCGACGAGCGTCGAGGTCTTCGTCCGGCTCAAGGGCTCGTACAAAGAGGGCATGGGCATCCATTATGCCACATATGAGGCGGCCATCAACGGCTTCTCGACACGTAAGCATCTCAGCTCGGTACGCAAAGCCCTCTACGCTAAATTGCCACGCCCAAAGCCGCAGCCGGTAGAGCACGGCCTCCCGTCTGGCCTGCCGAAGCGCAAAGGTCGTTTCGGCGGGCTGATCAACTACGCGCCCGACCAAGGCCTGTATCTCCTACCCTTCTTTTTCGCAGACCCCTCCATCATCCGGCTCAGCCAGTCCCTCCAAGCACACCTGAATCAAGACGTCCCACCTGTCGTCTTCTCAGTGTGGCTCGCCATCCCCTCCTTGACCGTCCTTCTCTTCGCCCTCGTAGCTCTCACCATCTTTGGGATCCTCGCCAACTTTTCCCTCGGTCGCGCCCTACTGCTGCGCTACCCTCGCATCTTCAGCTTGGGCATGGTCTCGCACCAAGGTCCCACACAGGCACAGCTAGACGCTTCGAGCTTTGCAACCACTCTTGTCGCGAGAGGGTACAGCGCCGAGGCAGTCAAGAGCGGGAGTGGGCCGGACACGAGGGCTGTCGTCAGGGTGAGAGGGCCAGAGATAGGGTACGTCTCCACGCCCTTGCTCTTTGTCACCGTGGCGCGTACGATGCTCAAGCAGAGGGAGAAGATCGTAGCCGGGGTGTTGACGCCAGCCGCAGCGCTGGGCCAGACGTCACTCGTAGACGAGCTCAACCGCGGTGGCAAGGTCAGATTCGCGAACATAGAGTAGGCGCGTGCAGCGCGACGATTCGGGTCGGAAAGCTCTATTTGAATTAAAAATGCTCGCACTCAAGCAGAATGAACAAAGAAGTTGAAAGAGACTGCGCAATCTCGTCTCAGTTGCCCTTCTTGGACTGGAAGGGCTTCATGACGAGCTTCTTGACCGGCCCAACACCCAGACCATAGCCCTTGATGCGGAACCACCAGAAGAGGACAAAGGCCGCAGCCACGTTGCCCGCGACGTAGCAGAGGAAGATGCCGAAGGCCTTCCATCTGAAGTCGAAGGGGGCACTGAGCGTAGCTGCGAACTGATCGCCAACCGAGTACTGACAGTAGCCACAGTTGGTGGTAGCAGCCGGGTTGACAAGGTAGCCGCCAGCTTGCTGTGCCCAGGCCCCCGCGTATGCATCGCAGCTCTGCGTCGGCGGGGGGTTGAAGCGCGCAATGTCCTCCTCGTTGCAGATGACGGGCGTACCGTGCAGCATCGTACCGATGGTGCCCTTGAGGTAGTAGGTCAAGGGATTGGCCCAGTAGATTGCCTTCCAGGGCTGCGGCATCATGTTGTGCGGCACAATGACACCATTGACGATCGCAAGGATCGGCAGCATGAAAGGGAGCAAGTTGGCAGCCGTCACCGGCGTAGGAGATGAGACGGCAAGCATGAGTGAAAACTCGATCTCGAAGAGGTTGATGAGGAGGACCATGAGATAGAAGTATCCCGCCTTGTAGCTCGGCTGTGAGTAGTAGGGGATGTAGAAGGAGGGAAGCCAGTAGATGATGCTCGAAACCACTGCGACGGGCGCTGAGACTACGATGAAAGCGCCGAGCATTGCACTCCAGTGATAGATCTTGCTTGCCGATTCGCGCACCTCGAACAGCATGCGGAGCTCGAAGAACTTGGCAATGATCGAGTTGACGACCGAGGGGAAGTTGAGGATAACCAAGAACTCAATGAAGACGCGATTCTGGTAATCGGTGGGGCTTAGGCCGAGATGAGCAAAGGCACCACCAGCGACGAGACCAGTGACGAAGTTGGAGAAGAGGATGGCGTACGCGAACGACGGCTCGCGCCAGAGATCCTTGAACTGACGCAGCGTGACCTCTCGGAACTGCTCGCCGAGAGGGGTAGCAAACTCTCTCTGAGCACGAGGGTCGACCTTCTCTGGTCGCTCCTTGCGCGTTTTGACAATCTGGTCGATCTCTGAGCGGACGTTGCAGCACTCCTCCGAATTGAGCCATGCGTCACCCCAGTTGATACCCTTGGACTTGCCGCCGGACACGACCTCGAGGATGTACTCGGCGACGTTGGCCGTAGGGTCGCAAGGGTCGGCACCGTTGCGCTCAAAGTAGGTTCGGATGCGGTCGGAGCCGTGGCCGTGCTGCTCGCCAATCTGGCCAAAGTAGGTGGTCCTACCGCCGGGGGCCAGAAGGAGGACGTTGTCGAATGACTCGAAGAGGAGGGCACTGGGCTGGTGAATCGTGCACAAGATAGCCTGGCCGTCCTCTGCTAGACGACGCAACAGTCTGCAGATGGAAGCAGCGCCAGCTGAGTCGAGTCCTGAGGTAGGTTCGTCGAGGAAGAGAAGCAGGTCGGGTTTGGCCGCGAGCTCCACCGCAATGGTAACACGCTTGCGTCGCTCGACGCCGAGACCAGCACCAGGGGTACCGATGAGAGCGTCGGCCAAGTCGCCGAGCTCTAAGAGGTCGATGGCGTGCTGAGCGTCGCGCAACTTCTCCTCCCGAGGAACCTCGCGAGGCTGGCGCAGCAGAGCGCTGAACTCGATTGCCTCGCGAACGGTTTGTGTCGACAGGTGAACGTCCGCTTGAAGGACGAGGCCAGTACTCTTCTGGAACCCAGGACCGAGGGGCTTGCCGTCAACGAGCATGTCGCCAGAGAGGGCTCCAGCAGCTCCTCGCTGACTGAGAGCGGTCATCAATGTTGTCTTGCCTGCTCCTGATGCACCCATGAGAGCGGTGAGAGTACCGGGTCGTACGTAGCCGTCAACGTGCTGAAGGAGCTTACGTCCAGTAGCGAGCTCGAGCTGAATGTCCGACCAGGTGAAGATGGGCTTGTCCTCATGCGTCTTGATACGCTCAAGACCGCCAGTCTGCTTCTCGCCATTCTTGTTCGCCTGTTCGAAGCCGCCCTGAGGAGGTTGTGAGTCGACGGGCGTGGCATTGGATGAAGAATGCGATGATGTGCGGTCGGCGGGTGCAGCGGCTGCTTCAGTGTCATCGGCGTTGGGCGGCTTAGTGGCCGCAACTTCCCGCTTGGCCGCCTTGGTCTTGGCAAAGACGGTGACACCACCGCCTGCGCCGCCGTAGTTCATGACCTCGGACGCAATGACCGTCACGATGAGGTAGAGAGCGCTGAAGGCGATGACGACACCGATATTGGGTCCGACGCTCGACTGGCTATAGTTGAACGTGGTAGATAGGTAGTCCTCGCCGGTGACCACGAGCGACCCGGGCCTGCCACCCGTGAGAGAGCACGTCTGGTAGGTCGCATCGCGCGCAGCGTTGAAGGGCACGATCTGCGAAGGATTGCATTCGATTGGGTACTTGAACTCGTTGGCGAGCATGCCCTCAAATGCGTACGAGATACCATTGGCGTAATTGAGCCAGATGAGCCAGTTCATCTGCGGGCGACGGATGACGTAGCCGACGAAGATGATGATCAAGTTGAGGCCCAGTACCGAGAAGCGAATGGCCTCGTTGAAACCGGGCGAGAACGCGGCAAAGGCTCGGTAGAGGGCTGTGAGGTTGTAGGCGCAGAGGAATGTGTAGACCAGGAAGATGAAATAGGCGCCCGCATTGACACGCAAGTTGGCCAAAAAGTAGATGATGATCGTCGAGACCACGCACTGCACGACCAAGAATGGAATGTCGACGAGTGCTCTTGAGATGGAAACGGCCGATGGTCGATAGAAGGCGAACTGTCCATGACGCGTGAGCATCGGTCGGCCAGCAACAGCCTCGTACGACTCGGAGAGCTGGAGCCAACCGTTGAAGAGACAGGCGAAGAGGACGACACCTCCGCGAGTAAAGGCGCCAGTCGAGTCCATGCTCTGCTTGTAGAATAGTGACGAGATCATGAGGGAGACGGAGACAATGGTGAAGAACTTGATGTAGAGATCGCCTCGGGCGCCCCACTTGACGAGGAGATCGCGGTACATGCATGCCTTGACTTGATCCCAGTAGTTAACGGTGTAGGGCGAGCTGTGGCGCACACCTTTGTTCTTCTTGGCGCGAACCCTCTCCTTGAGATTCTCGGCCTCGCGGACCTCGTTGTTCTTGACCGCCGTCTCGTACTGGTCAACCTCGGCCAGCAGATCCTTGTAAAGCTGACTAGACTTCCAAGCGCTCTCGCGCTCCTCGGCGGTGCGGGGCGCCTTCTTCTCGAAGCCCTCACGAAAGATAACTTGGTTGGGGTCGGTGACAGCGCAGACGAAGTCAGACGTAGTCTGGCGAGGCGGAGAGTAGTAGCCGAGCTCTTCAAAGTAGCGTCGCGCCTGATCTCGGGGCCCGTAGTAGATGCACAGGCCCTCGTCGATGACGGACACGCGGTCGAAGAGGTCGTAGATGCTCTCAGAGACTTGGTAGAGGGTGGCCATCGTAGTGCGTTGGCCAACGTCGGTGATGACGCGCAAGGAGCGGGCGTAGTCGAGGGCGGTTGATGCGTCGAGACCTCGAGTGGAATTGTCCCAGGCCATCACCGAGGCGTCGGTAGCCAAGGCCTCCTGAAGAGTGACACGCTTGCGCTCACCGCCGGAGACTCCGCGTACGGCAGCGTCACCGACGATGGTATTGCGTACGTGCGTCATAGCAAACATTTTCAAGAGAACCTCAATAATGAGGTCGATGAACGCTCCACGGCCCTCGTCACGTAGACGCGAAGAGCGGTGAGGCACCTTGCACATGAGAGCGAAGCGCAGCGTCTGCTCGACGGTCATGGTCGGAAAGTGGATGTCGTCCTCATCGACGAAGATGGTCTCGCCGCGATACTTGCGTGCGATCTCGCCAGGAGTGAGACCACCGTAGGTGATGGATCCCTGGGTGGTCAAGTTGGCGTGAGAGCTATTTGTCAAGGCTCGAAGCGTGGTAGAGCATCCGGACCCAGGACGACCGAGGACGAGGAGCATCTCACCGGCCTTGAGGACACCGTCGTGGCCGTGGATGATTGGTGTGGGTGTCGTCTTGGGGCCCATCATCTTACCAAGAGGTGGAATCAGGTTGGAGAGGACATTGATGGGATCCCTGGTCGCCGTGTTGACGATGGCCTGGGGTAGAGTCTTGACGAAGACCTTGGCGCCAGCTCCTGTCGGGCTCACGACGTTGACATTGCGCCATGATACGCCCAGTGGCTTCTCGCTGTGAACACCTTGCTCCTCGCGCTGAGCCTTGCGGGCAAGCATCCATTCACCGAGATCAAAACCTCTCTCCTCCTCCGACTTGTCTCCCTCGTGCGTCTTCTCCACGATCTCGGACTGACGGCCAGTGCGCGACCTGCTGAGCATGCGTCCCATGCTGCGCGGCATGCTGGATCGGGATTGTCGGCTCTCTTCGCGGGCGAGCTGGAAGTCTTGCATGGCTTGCTTGGGGTCGACTGGTTCCCCAGTCGCTCGTTCACCCCATGTACCGGTGCTGGTCTGCTTTTGAAGCTGCGAGCCACCCTGGAGGCCTGCCTTCCCACCATGATCCGTTGAGGCGACGGCGGGAGCGGGAGCAAGGGCGGATCTTGATTCATCTGCTGCTTCTGCGCCAGGGGCCCCTGCGGATGATGGAGGCGCCTCGGCATTGTATGGCTGATCTTGATTGGAGCTCATGATGGAGCGAAGCGCAGTGTTTGTCAGCTGCTGTTCTCGCCGCGAGTTGATGGCAGCCTCGGCCTAAGCTTGCGGACACGCGCACACTCTCGACGGTATGGACGTCGAAGTGATGGTGAAGAGGACAAAGACGTCGTTGCTGAACAATTTCAACTTGGCCTCCCAATGCTTTTGGCCGCTTTCAATCGGGGTTAAGTGTCCTTCGCCCTGCGCTCCTTGGAGGCGTCGTCATTCTTGCCTGCCCGCAGGGAGAATTTGGCCTGCCGCTGCATGACCGCATCGAACCAGTCTCGAGGGAGAGGATCAGGCGGAAGACGACGACGGGGGTAAAAACGCTGTGGAGCGGCGACCTCGTGCTTGCAGCGGCGACGGAGGGTGCATTCGCTGAGCGCGTCTGGCTGGACGGTGAATGAGAGCCAAACCGCCCGAACCCCTCTTGTGCCCGTCATCCTCGCCTGACGGCCTCGCCGGGACCGCTGTCCCGATGATACGCTCGCCCCTCGTCCGGAGGTAAGGTGACGATCAGTATGACTCGATGGCGACTCTCATCGACTTGGCATCAGTGCGGCTAAGCATTTGGCATCAGTGTAAATGCAGACTTCGAGAGGTGGACCAGAGTCGACATTGCGATAAGGGGGGAAGAACGGTCGCTACAGCAGCGAAGTGACTCCACTCTGAACCAGAAAGGGCATCGGCGCGTGAACTATCAATCCTCGCGCGCCTCGAAGAGCTCAGCAATGGCCTCGAGCGACTTGCCCTTGGTCTCTTTGACCTTGAAGACGCACACGATTGTCGAAAGGACGATACATCCCGAAAAGAGGAAGTATGGGCCAGAGGGCGAAGCTCGAAGAAAGACTGGAGCGATGAGCGCTACGAAGAAGTTGCTCGACCAATTGGCAAGCTGCTGGGCTGCTGCGGCCCGAGAGCGGAGACGAGTCGGCATGATCTCCTGGTTACGGTCGTAGGGGAAATTGATCAGCTACGACCGCGATCGTGCTGCGCATTGAAAGCGTACTCACCCCGGCGTAGATGCGTGTCACGGGGGCCCAACTGAGAGAGAAGGCCTGCCGGAGATAGGGCGCAAGGATGAGGTATCAGTGATCGTGACAGCCAGGTTGAATCACTGCCTCGTCTCATGCTCACCGCGATGAAGAGGTAGATACAGACGACCACAACCCACTTGGCTGCTCCTCCTCTGAGCACCACGCGTGGCTCGCCATTCTCGTCCGCCGGCAGTCGATCCCCGAAAGCCGCAAACAGTGAGCCGATGATGAGAAAGAGTGTAGCCATGGCGACCCCTCCCCACACCATCGTCGGCTTACGCCCCCACTTGTCCATCCAGATCTGTGCCGGGATCGTCGAAACGACGAGGACGATGCCGGACACGCCAGAGGCGAGGAAGGTGGCCGTGGTGCCGCTGAAGGTCGAAGAGAAGATGATGGGTGAGAAGTAGAGGATCCTGATGACGGGACAGGATGAGACATCAGTTACCTTGGCACTTTAACGAGACGCCCGCTCCTCGCACTCACACATCGATGCCGCTGAGCTGCTGGCAGGCCATAAAGAAGATGCCAAGCCAAGTACGGAAGCGGTAACGCTTGTGGAAGAGCTCGGCGTACGAGGCGGAACGCCCGCTGCTGAGCGTCGTAGCTGCGATAGACGCCTTGATGTCGGCCAGCTCCTTTTGAATGACGATCTCATCTTCCTCAGTGTGCATCGCATCGCGTCTACCTCGCAGCTGTCTAAGCACGTCGACGGCTCTCTCCTCATGCCCGTGAGCTACGAGCCAGCGCGGAGAGAACGGTATGAAGGCCAGCACGCTGAAGGCCAGCAGAGCGGCGCAAATCGTCTGAATGATGAAGGGCAGCCTCCATGACAGGCTCGACGGGATACGCTGAGACCCGTAGCAGATGAAATAGCCCGACATGATTCCAATCGTGATCATAAACTGAATCATGACTGCAAGCTTGCCACGTACATCTGGCGTCGCTACCTCCAGCAGCCAAATAGAGGCTACGCTTACCGTTTGGCCGGCGCCAATGCCGGTAATCAGGCGAGCGGCGAAGAGAGAAGCCATGTTCTGGCTGGCGGCAGAGAGTGTCGTACCTACAATGATGACCAGGGCGCCTGTGCCTATACCGAAGCGTCGTGAGATCCTAGCAAGAGGTATCGGGATCAGCTTCAACATCTCGCCCGATGGCGTACGCGCACTTACTTGTCTGCAATGTATCCGCTGCATAGCGAGCTGATGGACGCTGAGAGCAGAATGGAAGCAACAAAAAAGCCTTGCAGACTAGACGATGTCGTGATTGCACCACCAACAGCTTCAAATTGCGGCATCTCTGTCAGAGGTCCAATCGACCCCGTGTCGAGGCCATAGATCAATCCGCTAATGGAAGCCAGAGCTCCGATGAAGAACAGTCGTACCTTCGGGGGCAGGATGGCTGGCATCAAAACGTCGCGAGCCAGCCAAAGCGACACCATGTCGCGGTGCTCGGGCAAGCGCATCGGAGGTACAGACCTCGCTGAAGGGCGCCTCATTCTGGGACCATGGCCCAGCGCAGCCCCATTGCCATCCTCTGCTGAAGCGAGCAGGAGTGCCTCTGAACGTTGGCTTGCAGGTGTTTGGGCCATGAGGGTCACCAGAATCCTGCAGCGATGATGTGAGAGCCAAGATGCGTGTTTGCAATCGATCTCGTTGAGGATCAGCCAAAATCGACGTCGGGCTATCGGAACCAGAGGGGAGAGGAAGAGCAATGCTCAGCCCAGACCAGCCGGCCCGTTCTTGCGCTTCGGCCCTTCCAATGATCGACCCAATTTCAACGCCTCGGCGCTCACAATGGCCATGAATTGACCAACGAAATTCTCATAATTTCCGTGGTAGCGACGGAGGCATGACCTTCGCGCCGCTATTGCTTGGGGCCCACGCTCAAGAGTGGATCTTGCCCAGTCACGTTAGGGTAAGCCGTGCTAAGGCCGGCATTGCCTGGCGAGCTGCGAGGCCCCCATCTTGGAAACAAATTTCCCTCATCGTCCATCACCTCGCGATCAGATACGGCGTCGGGCCAAGGCAGAGCAAGCAGGCACATTGAGCACGGGCAATCGACGACGAAGCTTCGCAGTCTATCTCGCGCTATTTCTCGCAATGTCCGAAACCATCTGCTCGTCGGCTCCTAGGCGCTCGCTGACCATCATCTGTGCATGCATGACATGGGCTGGCGGCTTCTTCTGCTCCTCTCATCACGTGGCATTCACGAACGTTGTCTTGCAAGTCTCGCAGCCCAAAGAGATAGCAGAGCGCAGCAGCATCGTTACGATGCCCTTTCTCGCCTACAATGGGCCCCCGCATACCCTTCATTTCCGCGCCCTGCCCTGAAATCCTCCAAAGTCGTGCGTGCATCGTGGCCAGGGTCGACCCTCATTCTATTCCTCGAAGCCGGCCAAGCCGCCGCCGCGGCTGCCTTCTCGTGCGCAGAGGGTCAAACTGTCTGTCGCCTGTCAACGCCGAGGGCAATGTGAGACCAAGGCTCTTCCTTCGTCGTTGCCCGACGATCCTCGATTCGCGGTGTGTCGTCGGTCGCCTGTCGATCACCTTGAAATGCCCGGTCGAAGCTCTCAAGGGAGGAGAGGGCAGTTTCACTTTGCCTTGCAGGCTTGCAGGGCCTGCAATCTCGCTTTCTGCCTGCCTTGCTTGCCCGCTTGCCTGCTTGCCCGCTTGCCTGCTCTGCCTCGCCTTGACCTCCTCTCCCACCTCCAGTCAGTTCAGTCAGACGCAGACGCAGACGCAGAAGCGGTCAAGCCGAAGGGACGACTGCCTGACCATCGTTGCGAGCACTACTACAACAGCTGAACTCCTCGACAACCTCACTTCCTTCTTTCCTGCCTCCTCCCATTCGACCATTAAGCTTACGCGCTACCACTCATCGATCATCGCCCGTCCCCGCGCTACGAGAAAACAACCCACTAGCGCATCAGCTCCTTCCCAACCGGTTCCCATACCAGCGTTGCGCCTGGCGACTTTTCGAACGGTAAGTTGCGAAGTCGAAGCAGCATCCGGCTGGCGGTTGGCGCGGCGGCTGGCGGCGCGGAGCTTGCTTTTGCGGCCACTTGCGAAGCAAGGCAAGCAGGCGCTCCGCTCCTTCTCCACGCCCTGAGCCGGTCTATGACCGACCCTGCCCGCAGGTCCGCACGAAGGCTTGACGAGATGAGAGCTGGCTTCCTGACTTCCAGCTTCTCGTCGTTACTCATTTCAATAGATACCGCGTCAAGACATCTATAGCACCACGCCGTCGTTATGGGACGCAAGAAGATCAAAATCGAACCTATTCAGGGTGAGTGTACGCCGTGCTGAGGCCCAATTGAGGCTTGGCAATCGCGAGGTCGAGCGAGACGAGGGACGAGGGACGAGGGACTTAACCTGACGTCTCATATTGCGCTCGCTCATAGAGGGCCGCAATCGTCAAGTCACGTATCTCAAGCGCAAGGCTGGCCTATTCAAGAAGGCCTACGAGCTCGCGACGCTCACAGACTCGCAGGTCGCCGTCATTGTCTTTGGGCACAATGGCAAGTGAGTGGGCGCAGAGGCGATCAGGTAGTGACGGGCCTATCGTGCACATTGACTGATGTTCCTCGTCCTCTCCCTTGCAGACTCTCACAATTCTGCTCGGGCGACATCGACCAGTGAGTTCCCTGCATGAAGCTCTCGTTCAAACCTTAGCATATACTGACCGACCCGCTCTTCTCTTACCCTCGCAGAGTCCTGCTCCGCTACACCGAGTTCGACGGAGTGACCGAGAGCAAGGGCCCAAAGGACTACGTCGGCATCAATGACAATGACGACGATGACGATGCTGAATATTCAAAGGACTGGGACGGGCCCGGTCCCTCAGGAGGAGCAGGGCCGTCAGGTAGCGGCGGAGCAGGAGGCAGCGGTGGAGCTGGCGCTGGTCGTAGCGGCCGAGGCGGAGGGCGAGGGTCGAACAGTGGACCCTCAGGCAGTGGTCCGTCCTACAGCGGTGGTGCTAGCTCGAGCTCTCATGGTGCCGGAGGTGGCAGCATGAAGCGCAAAGGCGGTGCTCGTGATGCCGATGACATCGATGGCATTGGGGAAGACAGCGGCGTATCCACCGCCGATGACAAGGCTGCTGTCTTCACCTCCATAAACAAGCTTCAACAGGATGCAGCTCGTCCGGCGATGCTGCGAGCTCACCATCGCGCTTCACTGCCGGATAGCCTTGATCACACCAGCCTTCTCAGCCAACCGATCCACCACCATCAGCATCAGAATCATCCGTCAAGCGCCTACGTCCCTGTCGGCGGGCAAAATGGCAGCCATCAAGCATCACCTTTCTTGCCCAACTTGCCGCCCTCAATGTCGATGCCGCCCGGAAATGCGCCTGGCAGCGGAAGCGCAAACCTGTCTTCACATGCAAACGTTGGCTCATCCTGGCCTGGCGCTGGGCACGGCCGACGCAACAGCCTTTCGACGCCGCCCGACCACATGCTCCCCTCCATGCCGAGGCCCATGACAGCCGATGCGCACCCGCACGCGCACGCGCCATTCCACGCTCTCCCTCATCATCATCAGCAGCACCAAATCTACGCCTCGCACACGCCTTCGGGAGCTTCACAAAGCATGTCGCCCTTCCCGCCCAATGGCGCTATTTACGGCGGCAGCGGCGGCAATCTACCCGGTGCATCCTTCTCGCGCTCCTCCTCTTCATCGTCTTTCGCCATGCCTCCTTATCCACAGCAAAACCACCTCACTCACCCATCGCACGTCCTCTCCATCATACCGCCCACCTCCAACCACTCAGCCTCAGCGCCCGTATCTTCCGTCTCTTCGGGCGGTACAACCTTGTCCTCCCGACCAGGGACGGACGACCGTACGGCGTCTAGCAGCACGGCGGGTGATACGCCGTTGTTGGCATCGAGTTTGAGCTCCAATCCGACGCCCAACGGGAGTAGTGGAGGGGAGTCGTCCCTTGGAGACTTGTTGGCTACGGGATTCCTGCCGGGGGGAGCGGACTTCCACGCAAGCGCTACGAGTGTGGGAGGAGGAGCAATGGCAGGCTTGCCGACTGCAAATGGCTTTGCGCCACCCATGGGAGGCCCAAACCCCTCTTCACTCAAAACGATGCCCGCAGCCGCTACCGCCAACACCAGCGGCTTTATCGGCGGCGCTGTCGCCCCCACCATGCCTGGTATACTTGGATTTGGTGGTCAAGCAGCATACCAAACGCAGGATGAGCGCCACCGCTTCGATCTGCAGTACCCCTCTGCGACGACGCAGCAACAAAAGGGGCTGCAGATGCCCGCTACCGCGCAGAGCTTCTTGCCGGCGCCCACGGCGGCTGTTCGTGAGGGTGGTGGTAAGAGTGAGAGTGGCGGTGCGGGCACCACGTTTGCGTAGGGGAGGATCGTGCGCACTGAAATGAATCTGGACAGAAGGGCTACAAGAAGAAGACTCTGAGTGCCGCGCCTTGTATTTGTAAATACCGTTCTCGACCAAGTGCGCGTGCGCCGCCAGCCGGACACCTGCCGTGTCGTCAAAGCTTTCCTCGCCGCCCGGAGCGTGCTGAGGCTGGCAGCACCGAAATCCACAATGCTATAGCTTTAACGAACGTCTCGAGGAAGTGATACCGTCCGTCTTAATGTCGAAGACAGGAAGCCAGAAGCGCTGTGGCTCCTCCGAGCGAGCAATGACTGGGGTGCCCCGTGCGCAAATCTGTTGCCCTTTCTTCCCGTCCAGCTTATACCATCAAGTTCAAGCTCGCAACGGCCTCGAGAGCATCAAAGCACACGCAGGGCATCCACGTCGAGCGCAGCATCAATTTCAGACACCTCAACAGATCAGTTCATGTCCTCGTCCTCCATTGCGCCAACTTACCACCATTCCGAGCACGCGGCCACCTACCAGAGCAAAGCCAGTTTCGTGTACAGTGCCGCAAATACCTCTGCCGTCCTGCAGCTCCTCGATGCTCGACCTGGCCAAAGGGTGCTAGACATTGGGTGTGGATCGGGAGAGTTGACGCGAATCATCGCCCAGCAGGTCGGTGAAGGCAACGGGGCAGGAAAGGTGGTCGGCGTAGACGCTTCGGAGGATATGTTGCGGTCTGCGAGGTTGGCCGGCAGCGGGAATATCGAATATCATCTGGTGGACTGCTGCGGCCTCCCTTCCTGGCTGCGCACCCAACCTGGCCTCTTTCACTCCTTCGACAGCGTATTCAGCAATGCCGCCCTCCATTGGATGAAAGCCTCCCCAATCGCCGTGGTCTGCGGCGCTCATCAGGCCCTCAAGCCGGGGGGTTCCTTTGTCGGGGAATGTGGCGGATTCCTCAACATGATCGGTGTACGTGGCGCTCTGCACGCAATGCTGCGGAGATATGCGCCAGAGAAAGATCCCAAAGAGGTGGATCCTTGGTACTTCCCTACGCCTGAAGCGTATCGCAAGCTTCTGAGCTCGCCAGGTGAGGATGGGGAGCCCATGTTCGAGGTGGAGTCTTGCGAGCTCGTGCCGCGGCCGACACCGCTGTCTGCCGGATTGAGAGGGTGGCTGGAGACCTTTGGCGGGACATTCTTGAACGCGATGCCCAGCGATCAAGTGAGGGCCAGGGCAATGGAGGAGCTAGAGGAGATGTTGAGGCCGGATATGTACGATGAGGAAAGCGGGACCTGGACTGCAATGTGTAGGTGTCGAAGGCGAAGCAAGACTCGATGGTAGCATGCTGAACACTTAGCTCTCGTTCCCAGATGTCCGGCTACGCTTCAAGGCTATCAAGTCTCCTCGCTCCGCCGCCTCGTCCTCCGTCGCTCCACCAGCTATACCAGCAATCCATGAAAGCAAGAAGGTCCAGCCCGACGCCGCCTCCTTCCAGGCCGCCGAAGCCATCCAGGCACGCTTCATCAATCGCACCGTTCTGATTCACCTTCGCCTAGCCTCTTCACTCGACAGCAGCGCAGATCAGGCGCAGGACCACCAGCAGCAGCAGCAGCGCGTCTTCAAAGGCGACTTCAAATGTGTGGACGATGCAGGGAATGTAGTTCTCTCTGACACGGAGGAGTGGACGCTGCATGACCAGGCGGGGAGCGGAGATGCAGAAATGGCTACAGAGGATCGTGTGGCCTCTCGCCGTTTCGTAGGAATGGTGATGATCAGGGGGGAGGATGTGGGGAGGGTAGAGGTACAGGATGGCGACGCTGAGGGGAGAGGCGGTGGTGCTGGGCCGATGGGAGCGGGATGGCCTGATGATCCCAACATGTATGCGTAGACACCTTGTTCAGGCTGTGAGGGGTATTCAATCAAATAATCAAATTGTAGACACAGACGCAGTGAGAAAGGGCACGAGGCTTGAGGTCTATGAGCTCTATTGGTCGCCGATATCGTGTCTTTCGAGCGCGGGATGACACGGCCGAAGCCGCCTATGGGGACGATGAAGGTCCAAGCTGATGCTGTTCACTCTCTGCGAACCTACCTTCTGATAAGCGCTCGAACGAAGTCGTGGCGCGGCGATCCAACTGTGCTTCTTGAACAGGCGTGCCTCGAGCGCGGGGCTAATGCGGGGTTATGGATGCTGCCATTCGGCCTATGTGAATGTCGATCTTGCTCCTCCGGTATGCGTGTGCAGATCGCTGTAGAGGCAGGAACGAGAGGGGTAGGGGGCAATGGGTGGGCAGGGAAGCCGTTGAGTCTCTGAACACATCACATCGGCCTGCTATCACGATGCCTCGACCAGCCTGAGGGGGAACGTTGCGAAGCCCTTCCGCCATCACGCCTTTGATCCTCACGACGACGCTAGACGTATCCTCCGCCAGCCATGGCTCGGAGCTCCTTTCTTATCTATCTGCAGGCTCTTGTGCTCAAGGGGCGTGAGGTGCTTGTTGGGGCGCCAGGTCAGGGCTGAAGTCGAGCTCGCATGTAGTCCTGCCGAGAGTGACGGATGCTGATCGTGAGCTCCGTCAATCAGACGCGGTCTCCCTTTGAGTGCACTCACGCGCACTGCAATGGAGCTCGCATCAACCATCTCCAGCAGCAACAGCCTCTCTCTCCCTCTCGAGATGCTCTTGCCTCTCTTGCTTCTTTTTGCGTCTCTTCTCCTTCCTCCTCTGCCTTTTCGTGGATGGTGCCGTCTCAACATGAGCAACAGAGGCTGTGTCATCATCCTCAACCTCTGCCTGCGTCGTAGTCGTTGCCTGCTCTGTGCTCGAATCGTCCCGCGTCTCGTCTGTCGAGGCGGTGGTCGCCGCAGATGTATCTGCAGATGCTGACGCCGATGCCGCCGCAGCCTCTTCCGCTTTGCGCTTCTTTCCCCTCGCCATGCTTGCCAAGAGACGAGCGCGTTGTTGTGCTAGTTGGTCGGCCGCGGCAGCGGCAGCAGACCCTTCCTCTTCGTTTTGTGTGGTCATTCCTATCGCCCACTCTTGGCCCTCGCTGTTGAGCGTTGGCGCAGCACCTGCTTCTGCGACGAAGCTCTCATCAGCCAAGGCTGCCTCTTCCCCAATTGCATCGACCTCAGTCTGGCCCCGCTCTCCTCTGCTTGCTTCCAGAGTGGCTAGCGCCTTTTTCCTAGCTTTTGCCTCATTGTGCTTCCGAATCTTCTCAAGCATCGCCTGTATCTCTGCCTGCTTGCGTTCGTACTCTCCCAGACTCGTACTCGATGTAGCCGTACCCTGCCCGATCTCATCGGCACCCTCGATGGCCGGAGAAGACCGCACAGAGGCGTCGAGCGGAGTTGTCCAACCAGATGCAGCATCATTTTCCTTGGTCTTGCCCTTTGACGATGAAGCGCCGTCTAGGAGCTTGCGGCGCACGTCGACTAGGTCGATCGTTTGGCGTTTACGCTTTGCGCGACTCAAAGCTGCCCGGTTTGCGTGACTCGACGACGACGAGGGTGTGGATGAGCTGGATCCACTAGGAGAAGAGCTGTCGTCGTCCTCATCGCTGCTCTCGTCGACGTCTATCACAACAGTCGTCCATGCGTAATAGTCTGAGTGAGGCCAAGGCGTACGTATTGCCGGGGGTTGAGGAGAGGGATTGAAAGGGATCGCTTGGGCTTTAAGAGGTGCTGGGACGGGTGACGCTGAAGCTGAAGCTGAAGCTGAGAATGACTTGGGATGAGGTGGAATGGGGTTAGGATGATAGAAGGTGTTGGGTGGACCTATCTGCTGAGGATACGGAGCCTGAGGCGGTGGTGGGCCTGAGTATAGATGCGGCTGCTGGGGAAAGGGAGGCTGCGTGGGAGGCATGTGATAGGTGGAAGGCCCTGCTTGTGTGTAGGCATGTTGCTGTACGTATGGATAGGGCGCAGGCTGGAATGGTACAGCATTTGGATTGGGCGGTGGTCCCGTGTAGAGGGGAGGTGCGGGAGGAGGGCCAAAGAGCCAGGGCGGTGGCTGCTGCTGGGGTTGAGGCTGTTGAAGCTGGACAGGCGGCGGTGCGTACGAGGGCTGCATGGCTTGTGTCTCACCACTGGCCCTGGGTCCCCTCTTTCGCCTCGTTATGCTTGCGGGACTGCTCGAGGCGGCGAGCGAGGGCAGAGGAGCTTCATGGTCCACATCCCCCGTAGGCGCTGCAAGGGAGTCCGAATAAGAGAGAACTCGACGTCCCGCTGCTGCCATGCTGGCGTGATGGTAAGTGATAAGTAGGGACCCAGCCTGCGGATCAACTGAAATGAGTGACGAGGTTGTGACGAGGACGGAACCAGCTCGACGACGACGCGAAATGAGCCCCTCGCAACGGCAGCGGGAGCGGGACTCGCAGTCGACGTTGCTCGCGTGGCCCTACGCGGCTGCTTCCGCGAGCTCGACATTGCTGAATAAGGCTCTGCTCCACCTTTGAAAGCGCGTCGTGCCCTTTCTTCTCACCAAACCACGACTACCATGATCCCCGCTATCCGATCAGCATTCGCTGCTACCAGCAGGGTCTCAGCACAACGAGCGCCTTGCCGCTTTGTTGCTGGGTCTAGAGCATTGAGCTACTCGCCTGCTGCGTGGGCCAAGCAGGGCAAGCCGGCCGACAAGCTCAAGTGAGTGATTGCGGATTGATGTACTCGACGAGGTACGATTCACTGATACCCTTATCTTCTCTCGCCCTCAGAGCAGGACAAGTCGACGAGCATGCTCGTATCTTCGACCCCGACTCGCGTGCAGGCACGGCCGCGGCTGCTACTTCAGAAGGGGGCGATGTCACACAATCAAGACCTACGGACGTCCCCTCACCTACCCCGGCTTCAGGTAGTGCAAGTGCCTCCGCCCCTCCTGCGCCGGACACGGATGCCGGTTCCTCCGTCGACCCCGGGTACGACGCTCCTTCTCAAGGTACGGACCCTTTCCCCTTGCCCTTTGACTCGAGGATCAACCTTGCTTCGCCTTCTCAGTCTGACTCTCTCACGGATTACGGTGCCCCGCTCCGCGTACCTGGCCGAGAGCCCGGAAACGAAGGTCGAGAGCAACGCATCCGTCGCTTGATCTACCAGACACGGAAGCGCGGCATTCTCGAAACGGATCTGCTTATGAGCACCTTTGCGCAGAAGGAGCTGTGGAACATGCCAGATGCAGAGGTAGAGGAGTTCGATCGTCTGCTGGACGAGCCTGATTGGGACATCTATTACTGGCTCGTAGACAGGAAGCCTCTTCCCGACCGGTGGAGGGAGAGCTTTGAGACTGAGGGAAGGCTAGGTTACAGATTGAGGAGGCATACCAAGAATGAGGAGAAGAGCGTGCGATGGATGCCGGATGAGCTGCCCGCTGGCGAGGGCAAGGCGCAGTGAGAGATGAGCACAGTGATAGATACAGAGTTGCCGGCCTGTTCAAAGTGCAATCCCATCCCCATGTCAATTGCTCCTTCGCTGCCGATCTGTTGTGGTGAGGGCGAAGAGCGATGGAGCGAGCAACCAACCATCTTCCATTTGGCCGGCAATTGCTGCGTGTGGCCCGTCCGCTTTGCCGCCCGCTTTGCCGCCCGCCCTGCCGCCCTGGCCATCTCTCATCTCGCTCTCCCCGCGTGAGACGAGCCAGTCCGGCGGGCAGAAGCAGCAGCGCTTCGATGCATCGAACACTCTTGCCTCTTACCCTACCTCCTTCATCTCCTTGTCACTACGACAGCTTGGGAGCGGATGGCACACAGACAGCGCATCTGCATGTGATCGAGCGCTCTCGACGATCAGACGCTCTTTACCAGGCCACCCTACCACATTGTACCGTATCACTCTTCCTTCCACGCTCGGCGCCATGATCCTCCCGCTCCTCCTCCTCCTCTTCATCCCAACCCTGCTACTCAGCATCTCCCTCCTCTCCCTCTTCCTCTACATCGCTCTCTATCGCGCTCCATCCATCACGCGCCGCACCTCGCTCCGCCGCTCAGCAGCGGTAGTAGTCCTAGGCGATGTGGGTCGCTCTCCCCGCATGTGCTATCACGTCGAGTCCCTCGCCGATCAGGGGTGGAAGGTCAGCGTCGTGGGTTATGGCGGGTCGGCATTGCCGAATGCGATCCAGAGGAGTAGTGTGCGCTTTCTCAAGCTGAGAGAGGTGCCCAAGTGGATCGCAGGACTGCCTAGGCTGGCCTTTGTGCTGGTTGCGCCTTTCAAGTTGGTGTGGCAGAGTGTGGGCTTGTTCTGGAATGTGGCCATGCTCGTGAGCCCTCCGCCGGAGGTCATCATCGTTCAGGTGAGTCTGCGTCGGTGATATGGGTGCTATATCTCTGCCAAGCTGACCGATCCTTTGCTTCATCGTCGCTCGCAGACTCCCCCCGCACTCCCCTCTTTGGCTGTCATCCGGCTTTGCTCCCTCCTCCTCTCATCGCGCGTCATCATCGATTGGCACAACCTCGCATACACCATCCTTTCGCTCCGGCTGGGTACCACTTCTCCTGTTGTCAAGCTGGCTCGCATGCTCGAGCGCTGGAGCGGCCGAAAAGCCTTTGCGCACCTCTTTGTCACCCACGCGATGCGACGTCATCTGGAGGCCGAGTGGGGACTGGAGGGGCACAAAGAAGTACTGCATGATCGCCCGCCTAAGCACTTCAAGAAGTGCTCGACTAGAGAGGTCCATGCTCTTTGGAAGGGGCTGGGACCTCGCTTGGAGAAGGGATTGGAGAGCTGGTGGCCAAGATGGGATGCGAAGAAGGGGACTTCTACGCCTTTCACGACAATGAATGCCGCAGGACAGGCAATGCTGCGAGCGGATAGGCCGGCACTGGTCGTCTCGTCTACTTCGTGGACTGCGGATGAGGATTTTGGGCTGCTGCTGCGAGCAGCACAGCTGTACGAGAAGCGGGCGAGGGAAGTCAACAGCAGAAGCGAGCAAGGGAGGGTTCACTCCCCTTCACCGTACTCAGAGCAGCAAGTCTTTTCCTCGTCACCCAAGAAGATGAACAGCAGCAGTAGTGTGGCTCCGGAGCGCCATTCCACCTCTTTAAGCCTGGAGCTTCCCCCGGCCAACTCCACCACACCAGAGCGAGCATCCTCCCCTCCCTACGACTCAAGCTCCTCTCCCCTTCCTTCTCCTTCGAATCCTCGCGCGGCGCATCGCAACAGAAGACCGTCGATGCTCTCTATGCCTTCTGGCTCTTCTTCACCATCCCTCTCTACTTCGGGGGCAGGTCTCGCCTCCCATCTCCCTAATTTGCCCGCTTCCCACCTCCCCAAGCTCCTCATCATCGTCACCGGCAAGGGAGAGCTACGCGCGCAATATGAGCGCAAGATATCGCAGCTCGAGCAGGAGGAGGGCTGGCAGTACGTGCGTATCCGAACCGCCTGGCTGGAGAACTGGGAGTATCCCCTACTTCTCGGCTCGGCGGACTTGGGCGTCTCACTGCACTCGAGCTCTTCTGGCTTGGACCTGCCAATGAAGGTTGTGGACATGCTTGGCTGCCATCTCCCCACTCTGGCGCTGGACTTTCCATGTTTGGGCGAGCTTGTACAGCACGGAAGGAATGGGCTCAAATTCAGGGACGAGGAGGAGCTGATGAGGGGTTGGGAGAGCTTGCTTGGGGATTTCCCGTATGAGGGGCAGTCCGGGCAGGAGGGTGGTAACTGGCTGGTGAGGGGCGGCGGCATGCTTGATCCCTTTGCATTGGCGGGACAGTACAGTGAGCCTTCCGCTCAAGAAGACTCAGGCGGTCAGACGCCACGACAGTCGCTAGAGGTCAGCAGCCCGATTGACGGCGAAGGGAGTCTCGACGAGCGTGCCAGTCTGCTGCACAGCCGGCCGAGGAGTGTTGAATTCTCCAAGGGCGGTCTGCCTACTAGCACCAACTTCGGCCCTGCGGCCCTGACGTCGTCCGGTTCGACGTCCAGCTTGAGTCACCCTTCTTCTCCGTCGCCAGGGGCGAATTGGAGGTACGCGAGTGGCAGCGGCAACCGAGGATGGGTGGATGAATCGCAGGCGACAGCAACTATGCACCCTCCCCGGCCATCTACTCCTACGCCAAGCTTCACAATGCTCGCGTCTCCCATGTTGGCGTCGCACGCCAGCCCGCCACGCTCGGTCAACGGTGAGCACGGGGGAAGGGAAGGAGCATCGATCGAGAATACGTGGGCAGCGAATTGGAAGGCCAAAGTGCGGCCGCTGCTGCGACTCAAGCACGACGACGACGATGATGACGAGGAAGAAGAACAGTATGCTGCAGCTTTCTCAGACGAAGACGAAAGCGCTGTCCTCTTCACCACCGCGGACCAGTTCGCCGCCGCAGCCACACCTAGCTCTTCTCCCGCCCGCAAGCTGGAATGGGGCAGCGAAGCTCGAAAGCGTACCCCTCCGACGTCGGCATTCAAATCTCCCAAACAGCAGCGCAAGCAACGTCGCATCCGCGGCGATTCCGTCCACGGCCTCCTGTGGAGCGAGGATTTTGGCCTCACACCTCTCGCCGGCGCAGGGAAGGCTGCTCCAGCGGAGGCGTATGCGCAGCAGGATGAGGAGGATGGAGAGGAAGATACACTGCTGAGTAGCTTGGGGATTGTAGTCACTCGCACGCCCGGGCAGAAAGCGAGGAAGCATAGCAGCCGGTGGGGCTCTAGGAGTGGAATGGGCATCTTCGGTGGGTCACCGAGGGGTGCAACGACGAAGTGGCAGGAGCATGCGCGCAAGAGGTCAGATGAGGACGAGACGGCCGAGGGGGATGAGCTCATGGGCTCCAAGCGTGCAGGCACTGGTGTCTCGCATGCGGCCTCGTCTTCACTCGCTCAAGCCACGTTGGATGGCTACTACCTGAGCTCCAACGATCAGCGGCAACAGCAGCAGCAGCAGCCACTGCGCCATCGATCGGCCAATAGCGCTGTGCGCTTGGGTAACGGTCGAGGCGGAGGAGGCGCGGGCAGTGTCGACGAAGGGACGATACCTGATATCCGGGTCAGTCAGCAGGACTCGTAGTGTTGACAATGTATGACGTTTGAAATACCATCGGATACCTAGCGTTGAGCAGACCGCTGAACAGGGGGGCGTTGTGACGATTGTTGCGCGGCACGTCCAATCGATTAGCACTACGGGTATATTATTGCTTAATTTCACCGCGTTCGCTGTTTGGTTCTGTGGTCTAGCGGTTATGACGTTTCCTTTACATTTTCTTAGATGTCCGGAAAAGCTCGCTGGTTCGATCCCGGCCAGAATCACTTTTTTGCCTCTCTTCTCGTGGGTGATGTTTGCACTGATGGCCTGAAGCTCACTACGACATACGACGCCATCGCGATTTCGTTTTGGCTGGGTTGATGGTGACAATTGAACCACGATGTGCGCCGCCTTGTCGCGGTGGTGCGAGCGACTGCCACGCGCCCCGCTGGCGTCTACTCTTGGGCCAGCCAACGGGAGGGAGAGAGGGTCCGGCCAAAGCAGGCGGCGGCGGCAAGCCACGCGGAGTGGAGCCACCAAAGCAACGCACGGCGGGGCGGCACGCACGAGCAATTGGGCTGAGAGCGGCAACAGCGTCCGCTCCTTCTTGTACCAACCCAAACATCGATCGATCGCACGACCCGGCCTCAAAACTCCACCTTTGCTCCTCATCGTAGATTGAATCATGGTGAGTATGCGCGGCATGCCGTGAAGGGAGTGGCTAGGTAGGATGAGTTGGGTGGAAGGGCGGGGTTGCGGGCAGGCAAGCTAGCTTATCGCATGGAATGTGGATGGGAGTCAGCGTCGTCGTCGAGGAGATTGAGAGGGGCGATTGCAGGGACTTCATCAGGCGTAGCATGGTACGCAGGAATATGCAGCGGATATGACAGGGAAGCAAGGATATGCCCGACCTGAACCATCTCCGCCATCTCTCCCCGGTGTCACCTCATCCTCAACACATCACTTACTCACCTTCACCCGCCCCCCGCGCTGCCAGTCCTCCGGCGTCGCCGTCTCGTCCGAGTGCCTCGAGGCTTTCCAGCAGCTCAAGCTGGGCAAGAAGCTCAAGTACATCATCTACACCCTCTCGCCCGACAACCGCGAGATCGTCGTTGCCAAGACTTCGGACTCTTCCAACTACGACGAGTTCCTCAAGGAGCTTCCCCCCGCCGAATGCAGGTACGCCATCTACGACTTTGAATACGAGAAGGGAGACGAGGGCAAGAGGAACAAGATCTGCTTCTTCACGTGGTGAGTGGGCGCGATGAAAAACGGGGTGGATCGTGGATCGCCGGGTTTGGCTACGGCTCGACGCTAACTAAGTCCTCTCTGCGCTTCTTGTCAGGTCGCCCGACGAGTCCAAAATCAAGCAAAAGATGGTCTTTGCCTCGTCCAAGGACGCACTTCGTAGAGCCCTCGTAGGCATCTCGGCGGAGATCCAGGGCACCGACTTCTCCGAAGTTGACCACCAGAGTGGTGAGTTGGGCGAGCGCGTCTGTGAGGACGTGTACAGACTCATCATGGCACTGATATCGACGCCTCTTCCTCTCATTCTTTGCGCGCGCCCCGCCAGTTCTGGAGAAGGTATCGCGATCGACGTTCTAAAGCTGGAATGGGATGGGGTTATTGGACCCGGTCTCGCACGCGCAATGCCCACCGTTTCCCTCAGCTGCCTTGACCCTCCACGGCGTCACCTGGTGTGCCTCTCTCTCACAGGGTGCAATGAACGAAGATTGTTGCTCCTCTCTTCGAGTCGTTTCGTCGTCGTCGTCGAGCGTGATCTCATGCTGTTGTTCTCTTAGCCGTCGCGTGCATATAGGGGTCATCGATGGCGCGTAGACTAGGGGCAGCCGGGAGTAGAGAGAGCGGGCGTCGAGTCGGTGTGCCGCCGCATAAGCAAAGCGGGAGCAGCAGCGCCCATTGGGTCGAGCGCAGCCAACTGCAACCAACACTTGGATCTCCTCGTCGATCTCCACGTCCACGTCCAAAGAAGGGTCCTTGGACCCCTCTCCTCATCTCATCCTCCCGTTGCCGCATATCATGACCACCTGAGCGCCCATTTCAGTCCCTGACAGCCCCCTTGACCGAGGGCCACGCCATCATGGACGCAGCAACCTCATCCCCTGCTGCGCCTTCGTCTTCCTCGTCACACATGCAAGACCCTTCCTCCTCACATGCTACAACGACGCAAAGGGGACGCACAGGTTACGCATACTCGGCCATTGGCACTCTGTCCTCGGCCTTTTCCGGCTTGTGGTATCGCGGCCCAGTCGGAGCGAGCGAGGGCGAAGACGTGGCCACCATTCGAGGCGAGCCAAAGATCAACGACGCAGCACCAGCTCATTCAGCTACAACTGCCAGCAATGGTGGTCCATCGTCGTCGTCATACGCTTTTCCAGGTGGTTGGGCCACAGGCTACTTCACTCGTCCCAGCTCCAAGCCAGCGAAACCATCCGCGGCCGCTGCGGTTGAGTCTCCGTCTGGTCGCGCAGCGCAGCGCCAACTCCAGCGATACGATGATGAGGAGGACGAGGAACACGATAGACTGGGCGGCTCGCCATCGCCCGCGTGGAGACAGCGATCCAGTACCGCCATGAAGAAGAGAGGGCCTTTGCCGTTTGACCTGCAGTCTAGCGGACACTCGAGAACAGCGAGCGTTGATAGCAAGGGAGAGGGACAGTCGGCCTCGTCATCTCCTCGCCCGGCCCCGTTGCATACGCAGGCAAGCGACCGCTCTGCTGTAGCTACATTGACGAGGCTCAAGGCGCAGAGCTCGAGAACTAGCCTACGCAGCACCTTCGACGCAGGTGGCAGATATGAAGCTCCCTCGAGCTCTGCATCGGCTTCGTCGTGGTTCTTCTCGCAACATGGCGGCGATCATGACGCCGCTTCCTCTTCAGCTTTCACTCCCTCATCCTCCTCAACACCAGCCGCGACTGACGCCGCTGCTGCGTCCATTCGACCAGGCGCACCTCCCCCGACCGATTGGCGCGAAGCCCTGGCTCGTACCACTCTCCTGGACAGCTATGTCCAGTCCATTGTCTACCAATCAGGCATCGATGAGTCGCAACGGCCCATAGTCATCCTCTCCTCCTCATCACTTCCCGACGCAAAGCTGGTCGACTATGACGCTCTCCTCACCCGCATCATGGACACAATGGAGCTCTTCGTTCAGAATGACTATACCGTCGTCTTCTTCGCCGGTGGGGCGACTCATCGTCCGCCCTGGAACTGGATCTGGTCCGCATATAAACGACTCTCTCGCGATTTTCGCAAGAACATTCGACGGCTCTACATCTGCCACCCGACCTTCTTCACGCGGAGCCTCGTGCAGATCGTCTCTACCGGGTCGGCGGTACTCAGCCCCAAATTCGCAAGGAAGATTACCGTCGTCAAAACGCTCAGTGAGCTTGCAAAGCACGTGGATCTGACGCAGATGGACGTACCGCCGCATGTCTATGAGTGGAATTTGCGATACGAGAAGGAGGTGGTTGTGCCCGAGAAGCGGGCGAGTGCGGCGGCTTCAACACCGCAACCAGCAACATCACTGTCTCCGTCAGCCGGCGTCTTCGGCGTCCCGCTCACCTCCTTGATGGGGGAGCGAGGCGAGCTAGGCGGCATACCTCGCGTGGTGCGAGACTGTGTGGAAGACCTCCTCCGGCTGAACGGTCGTGCCTTGGACTCCGAGGGCCTCTTCCGTAAGAGCCCCTCATCATCCCTCTTGCGGCTCGTCCAAGCAGCCTATGACCGTGGGCAACCAGTCAGCCTGGAGAAGTACGATGATCCACACATGGCTGCCGCGCTCCTCAAGCTCTTCTTTCGAAGTCTGCCAGAGCCGATCTTTCCGGCTAGCACGTACGCAACGGTGAGGAGCCAGTGTCCCCCGATTCCAGCAGATGGTGGCGACGGCGAAAAGATGCACGAAGTCATCGCTTGGATCCGGGCATCCCTCATTCCACTCATCGAGCCATCGAGCAAGCTACTCCTCTTCTCCTACGTGGTCGATGTACTGCATAAGGCTAGTCTCCGGGCCCACGTAAGCAAGATGGACGCCAACAACCTCGCGACAGTTTGGGCGCCCAACTTTGTGAGGAGCAACGACGCCATCAAGGATATGAGCATGTGCCTTGTTGCGGCTGGAGCGGCTGGCGGACAGGAAAGCCAAGCGACCTTGGGCACCATCATCAAGATCTGCATCGAGCGCTACTACGAAATTTTCGAGTTCGATTATCATGACTATGAGCCGCCCACCACCTGCGATCTCTTTTTCACGGCGGCCTCCTCCTCCTCCCCACCACGGCAGCCTCCGACCATGGATGACACAGGGTCAGCCACAATACCGCAGAGCCCGCGGAGGGCGATGGCGGGAGGCGATGGCGGGCAGTGGACTGCAGCAGAGTCGTCAGCGGTGGGGAAAAAAGGCCCTCCCGTTGCTCTTCGATCGCCCGCCTCGTTTTTGTCGGCAGCATCTCGTCGCTCCTCGGCCACACGAGCTCCTCCACCGCCAAGTGCATGGTCAGGGCACAACCCCCGCTTCGTATCCGCAAATGGTGGGCGGGCTTCCCTCTCATCGTCTTCATCGCCTCTTGACGCCGAGCAGCACGGACAATCCCCAAAAGTAGCGGCAGCAGCACGTCTGCGATCCCCGGCCTCCTCCTCCTCACTTCGCCCTAGTAGCCCAAAGACAACAACTCTCCTCTCTCCGACCTCTCCGCGGCGCCCTTCCGTCCCTCCATCACCCGCCGCGTCTGGACGAATGCGGTCCCCCTCCTCATCGATGCATTCGAGCTTCAGTGGAGCGCAAGGAGGCCTCGGTCTGGCGTTGGCTGGGGGCAGACAGCATTCAGGGCTGGGCAACCCATTGGGTGTGGGCAAGGGACGAAGCGCCTCCGGCTCGCTGAGGCTGATCTCTTCCAGCGCCAAATTGCGCGGTGCCAGCTCTCGCCTACCTTCCAGCTCGGTCGTAGCGAGCCCGACTACGAGCACAGCGAGCGGTGGTGGGAGCGCTGGGCTAGGAAGTGCTTTCTCTTCTCTTGCTGGCAGCAGTGAAACGCCTTCGTCGGGCGAGGTGACACCGTCCTCCAACCAGACGACTACGCCGAGCAGTGCCCTCCTCTTCGCCCCGCCAAGTGGAGCAGCACTGACGGGAGCGGAGGCGTTGGGAGCCTTCTTCGTCAACAACAAAGACGAGGATGGCGCTCTTGCTGGCTCTGGCGAAGGAGGGTCAACGAGTCACGACGGGGGCGAGGAGCAAAGCGAAGAGCTGGCAGACGAGTGTGGCGAAGGAGAGGAAGATGGCGACGGTGAGGCAGAGGGAGACCAGACTTTCCTTAGTACAGCGGAGACCCTCTCCCCTCCACGGGTGAGTCCGAGCTTAAGGAGTAGCAACGAGTCGTCACCAGAGCGTGCGTGAGATGGTCGAGGGGCGGCAGAAAGCAGCGGCGAGGGCAGGGGATTCTTTGTTACCATGATCCGGTTCGCAGATTTGTGCGTGCGCATGCGGTGCTACAGGTGCTTCCCAATCAAGAAACGTCATTGTTCGCTACCCTCGATCGAGCTCATAATTCAGAGAAGCTTAAAATTCGTATGGTAGTGGGAGAGTCTGCGGCGTAGAGCCAAGGTAATACTAGGGGCATCGACGGGGTAAGAGACAGTGGACAGAAGAGCATGAGGCGAGGATCTTCGTGAAAGAGCGAGTAGAATCGAGAGAGTAAGGATTGTGAGGTGTCGCGACGGTGACGACTACGATGAGATGCGCGCCAATGAGGTGACGAGATTCTTGCAAGCCCAGCACCCTTCTCAGTAAGCAGATCCTCACGCTCTCGAAGCAGCGAAAGCGTGTGCAGCAAATGCAGCACCATTGTCGCTCGTGAAGCGCAGCGCCTCCGTAGCTGTCCTGGTAGTCCAAGCTTGCTGGTCCCTCAAAATCATAGCCTGCTGCGCCGCCGCATTCCTACCGTCTCGCTCGAACTGGGGCCGCTGCCCGCTCTCCAGACCGGAGGACATCAACTCCAAGTCATCCAGAATGGCGAGGAGAGAGGAGATGGCATGACGCTGCAGCAAGGCGCGTTGGCGTGCTGGAGCAGAGCGAGGCGTGATGGTGCGAGCCTTTCCACCAAGCGAGGAAGATTGGGAGGGGACACCTGCACGATGATGCGGGTGGTAAGTCGATGCCGAGCCGGGTCCACCGCCACTGCTACCTGCACTGGTATTCGTCATCGTCGAGGTGCGGCGATCCACGGCCCCGTTACTGCCGTGACCTGCGGTGCTGGGCGCTCCGATGGCGAGCACATCGTCCGTCGCAAGGGAGCGCAGAACCGTCTCCACGATCTTGTGCGTCTCGTTCACGATGCGCAGCGCTTGCGTGTAGTTCTTGCGGCTCACGAGGAGGAGGGAGCGGGTGATCATCTCCGAGACGAGGATCTCGATGCGGCGGCGAGTGACGATCGGGTCTGAGGGCAGCGGCGGAGGCATGTTACCGCCATCGCCGTTGAGATTCAGGTACGGATTGTTGCCACTTGCATCAACCTCGATTGTGAGGAGAGTCGGGTTCTTGAGGCGGGCGAGAGATGCCCCTACCGCAGGGTCGCGATAGCTTGCATCGACCTCGAAGACGGCCACCTCCTCAATGAGGCTCTGCATACCATCTGCTGCGTTCGCCTCGAAGAGATTGTCGTCCGCTTCGGCATCGTTGAGGCTGAGGTTGGACAGCCCCAGGCGCTGCATGAAGTCGTCCGTCGCTGAACCCTGCTCGATAGCCGGCGCGTTGTGCGGGCGACGCATGCTTTGCCTGTTTGCGCCGTTAGCCCCGCGCGTGATGAAGGGGACGAGTCCATTGAAGTCGACCTCCAGCTCTACGAAGAGCTCGTGCACCTCACCGAAGCGTAGCTCTCCGAGCTCGATATCGACCTCCTTGCCAGAGTTGGACACGATTGCACCAGTAGGCCCAGAGACTTTGCGCACCTTGAAGTGATTGTCTCCAGGCACAGCAATGAAGAGCTTGACAGTGTCGAGCGCCGTGCTCATGAGCGAGCCAATGCACCCTGCTACGCACTCGCGCAGCTGGTACCACTCGCGGACAAAGGTGTAGCTGCCGCGGGTGTGGTTGGAGATGAGCCAGAGCGAAGAGGGATTGCTCGACTTGCCAAAGCCAAAGCAGTGGATGGGGACGTTGGCCGCCTCTGCTCGAGCCATTACCAGATCCATCTGGCCGCGTACAGGGCCGTCAGAAGTGTCGTTGATCAGAATCATGCCCGTGCAGGGGTTCTTGCTCTTGCGAGACAGGACGACGTCTAAGCCCACGTTGAGTGCAGTGACCGTATCGGTACGCTCGCTCGCCCCGCCAAGCTTGTTGCTGTCGACACGATACGGATCGTCGTCGTCGCCCTCCCACGGCTTGCCGATTCCTTCGATGAAGTCGATTAGCTTGGCGCGACTGCGCTCTCGCTTGATGTTGAGAAGCGCCGTGCGCCTCACTTCGCCGTCGATGCCCGCGGTGAAGGCAACGATGGCGACGCGATCTCTTGGCCCCATGTGGGAAGTAACGAACTCGAGCGTCGAGCGAATCAGACGCAGCTTCAGCGCAGCAGAAGACGAGACACCTGAGCTCTGCTGCTGGACAACGACAGGCACCGAGACCATCAGGACGAGGTCGAGCGGGGTATGCGGTAGCATGGGCGGGGGAGCGAAGCTGGGGTCAATGCCGCCTGACGCTGACCACTGCTGCTCGGTGGGCATGCCAAGGCTGCCCGGGTTAAACATCTTGCTCGCCCTGCGCAGGTTCTCGACAATGTTGGCATTGCCAGCACTCGAGGCTGCGGGTACGCTGCCGGACTTGCCGCTCATCACCGATCCCGAAGTCGAGCGACGGCCCATGGGTGACGATGGGGCAGGTCTGTACTCGTGATTGGCTGGATCCTGCGCTGCAGAGCTGGAGGGTAGCTCCTGGAAGCCCTGCTTTATGTTACTGCTGGCAATCGAAACGGTGCTCTGGGGTGGTGGCGGTCTGGGATGGTTGTGCAGCTTGTGCGCATCGACGAGCTCGATGAGCTTGACCTTCCACAAGTCGAGCGTGTTGCGCTCCGAGAAACAGAGAACGAAGTGATCGAGACTGTCGTCATCGAGCTGAATGCTGAGGCTGAAGTTGGCGCCGACCGAGGATTCTTGCACGCGCGAGATATGGCGAATCCAGATACGGCCTTTGAGCTTTAGACCTGGCCGTGCTCCGCCTCCTGATGGCATTGCGAGAGGTCCTCCGCTGGTATTCTGGGATGAGCTTCCGTTGCTGCCTGTGCTCATCAGCCGCGTCAGGCCACGCTCCCTCTTGCGCTCTTCGGTGACGCAGAGCAGTGCATCGTGGAAAAGGTAAACCCAAAATTGCCTCACGATGGCATCTTGCCTGACGCCAAGATAGTCGTATAGGACCAGAGGACCAAAGCGCTCCATCGTTTGCCCCTTCCAGTCGATGATGCGTTGACGCAAGTCTTCGAGCACAGGCCCATGAGGATTCGAAGGTGGCTCGCCTCCTGGCGCAGGAGTGACGCCAAAAGAGAAGCCTTCTTCATCGCCGCTCTCGTCCTTGGCCTCTTGATGATTGTGGTGATGGTCCACGCTCGGCTCGTACGCAGTTTCACCGGTATCCTCGCGTTCGTGAGGCGGGTCAGGCTGCTCAACGCTGTCCTCACCGATGAAAGAGGCGAGGTTACGCCACTGCATTCTATTCTTTGCCTCCTCCTCTTCAGGCGAAGGCGGTGGACGTCGAGAGGGCATCTCGACTGTGACGACGCAGACGACATTCTGCTTGCCCTGCTGCCCCGTGGGATCCTTGCGGTGAAGGATAGAGTACTCGGACCGGACTCGCACCGCAGGATGCACCATGCCATGCCGCGGCGAAGGTGACTCGGCAGGGCTATGGGTGTGGGCAACGCGGGCAGGTGACTCCGAGGCTTTGCCATTCGGCTGGTGAGAAGCGGCTGGATCGTCGGTTGCCGGATCCACAGCGTCAGAACCGCCATCAGAAGGCCGTACGTTGCGACTCATACTGATGTCTGGTCCCATCATCCCTGCGAGCTCTGCGGCGGTGCGAGGGGGGAGCAGGGTGGATTAGGAGAAGTGAGGAAGAGAGGAAGGAGCTGGTCAGCAGCTGTCGAGAGGCCTTGCAGCGAGCCAGCGAGCCAGTGGTGAGACTGCACCCTGCCACACTGCCCTTGGCGCAGGCTCTCCGAAACGATCGCCGGCCATGAGTGCCACGAAGCGTGGGAATCAGGGACCCGTGAGATGTTGGCGATGGGTGAGAGGGCGAGGCAAGCAAAGAGCGACACTGCAGCCGCGCATTGAATGACTCGCCCTTCGTCCGCCCATTGTCCACCCGTGCCTTTTCGTCCACAGACCTCATTGCTGGCGCAACGCTGAACTCACTTGATCCTTTACTGCTGCCACCTTCAATCTCCCCTCCGAGTACGATAGCTTTTCGGCAAACGCCGCACATCCCAGGCGGGCTGCTACCTCCGTTCTGCGAAGCAAGCACGGAGTCTGGTCGACCGTAGACTGCCGTAAAGCAAGCGTTGTGCAGCGCGTGTCCACAATTGGGCACGACGTGAGGCTTCTCTCCCGCGAGTCGATACGAGAGCGGCTCCAAGCAGACTGGGCAATCAGCGTCGTTGACTGCTGAAGCAGCAGAGAGGTCGTTGGAGGACGACGAGTGGCTCAGAGGCATGGAAGAAGCGGAAGGAAGTGACGCCATGGACCGATGGGGGCCATTTGGCGAGGGGCTACGGGGACCGGTGCCGGCCGAAGGAGGCCCGACGTTTGGCATGCGCATGCGGCTCGATGATGGCGAGGATGACGATGAGGGGGCAGAGGGCAGATACCCGATGTCGCGCAGATCAGAGACGACGTCGTGGTTTCTGTTACCGCCGCGGTGTGAGTGCGGCTCTAGACCGGGATTGACGCCCAGGACAGAGGCAAGCTTTGAGTTATTGCCTCGTTGCTGTGCCCCAAAGTCGGGTCGGGATGCTATTGGGGGAGCCACGCCTCGCTCGTAGTCGTCCCTGAAAAGGAGCGAGATGAGCGGGTAGAAAAGCAATGAGCGGCCCGAAACGAAACCATGTATCTTGCCGCCACCACGCCTACTCACCAGTCATCCTGTCCTGCAGGCCTTTTGCCAGAGGTCTTGCGGCCGAAGGGCATCCTCCACTTGCTTGTGCTCGTCTCCATGCGGGGGTCGTTGATTGTTGGCGTACGGTCTGCGTCTGAGGCGTCGGTGAGGGTACTTTGTACAGAGGGTGGTGGACCTGGCTCCGGCGGTGAGGCGATGACGGTGGGCAATGCAGGTGGCTCGCCGGTGACCTTGCGTACCCGGCGAGGAGATGAGGAATTATTGCCTTGCGAGAAGTAGTCTGGCCCACTGCTCAAGCCGCTACTGGATGTGCTGCGGAAGCTGTCTGTCGATGCGGTCGGACGCAGCGCAGGATTGCTGCTGTTGTTGCTGGGCTGCCTGCTATCCGCTGGTGAAGCAGATCCAGAGCTTGAGAAGGGAGGACGTTGGGAAGAGGGTGGCTCAACCGAAGTCGACGACGGACCAGAAGCGATGGATCTGGAGTCGTCTCGCTGATCACTTGGGGGGATCGACGTGTCTGCTGGTCGGTCTCGCTCGTTGCCTGCTTGGTTGGTCGAGAATGTCCTACGCCAGATGCTAGGATGCTCGCTGTACGACGAGGCGTGCGACGAGATGCTTCTCAAGCTGCGAGGCACACCACGATTGCGAGGATGCTCGTGCTCTGCGGCAGCCTGACCAGTTGCAGGATCGGGTGGCTCTTCAACGTCTAGCTCAACGAAGCTGCGTCGACGTCTCTGACGATCTGCCTCGAGCTCCTGTCGCTCGCGTGAAGATTTGCTCTGAAAGAACTTGCGGATCGACCGGGTAGCTCGATTATCACCAGACTTAGGGGCAGCCGATGTCGCCTTGCGCTGGTCGGACTTTGGTGGTAGGTCTGGCGGGACCTGCGCGCTTGGCTGGTAGCTTGCGTCTTGGGAAGATTCGCTGCGATCGCCTCGAACGCTGGCGGGAGGAGTCTTGAATCCGAATCGACGAACGAGGCTGGGGAGGAGGTGATGGTGAGAGAGGGTGAGTCAATGATGATGCAAAGATAACAAGTCGGGCGCGTTTGCTCACGTATCGTAAGTGGACGAGTTGATGCGCTTAGGCTGCTCTGGTCGTCCGCCTGGCTTCAAGTGCGAAGAGTCGTACGAGAAGGTGCTTGGCGGGGTGTCGTCTGCGACGGGCGAACGTCCAAGAGAGTCGGCGTTCTGAGAGGGATAGGAGGCGCTGGTATCGCTGCGAGAAGAAGTAGTAGTCTGATGAACAACGAATGGATGCTGTTGAGGACGACTATTCATGCATTGGCAGGCGGCCACGTCTTTTCCCTAGGCCAGTGGGATGAGGGGGGGAAACAGGGGCGACGCAAGTGGCTACCGAGGAAGAAGGGAGATTAAGCGGATCAGTAATCACTTGTCAAGCTCTATGCTGTCAACTTCGGGCCGGTTTCGCTCAATGTGAACTCACGCTGGGCACAACGCCAGGCCACGGAATCAAGGTGCGACCGTAAATAGGTCGCCGAGGATGGAGAGAGAAGAGGAGGAGGGGAGGGATAGCCACCACGATCAGCCTTTTTGACTCGCCCGAGTCTGCTCTGCCATCATGGCTTTACACGCACTGTGAATTCCCTGACGTCGTCAATCTGCTCTGCCCTTGGCCTGTTGCGATGATGAGGAAGTGGACAGCGCTCAGAGGTCCGAGCGTTGCGCTGCGCTAAAAGGAAGCGTTGTTGAATGCTGCGCAGCGCGACGATGGACGAGGGAGCCGAGCGTGAGCGATGTTCAAGCCGCGATCAACGAGGGGAGCCGTGCGAGAGAATGGAGATGAAGTTGCGAAGCAGACGCGATGGAGCGAGCATCGTCGTCGATGTCTGCGACTAGACTACTGCATTGTGAGCCAATCAGCGCCGCCGCCGTCGCCCAACTTTCTTTGTTCGTCCCACAGGGTCCAGGAGTCGCGGCGTGAAGCTCGCGGCGTTGAAGCTCGCGGCGTTGAAGCTCGCGACTTGACGCCGCGCCCGCCTCAGCTCCCAACTCCGGTCGGCTGCAACGGCGGCGACGAGGGCGGCGACGATGACGAGGGCAAATGCAACGAACAAAGGCGGTCGAGGCGTAGTCATGAATGGCCCGTCCGTCCTTTGAGAGGGAGCGGATCTCATTGCAAGTCTGCGGTACGGCCTCTGCCATGTCGCTGTCGCAGTCCCTGGTGCTGGTGCTGGTGCTGGGCGGAACGAGCCGTCGATCGAGCTTTAACTTTCTCTACTCACCCGATTCAGCCCCAAGCTGTCCCTCCAAGCTGCTGGCGCGATAGTGAAGATGTGTCGACCAGACGATGGCAACGGCGATAGATGAAGTGGCGGCAGAACGAGCTGATCAAGGAAACGCGGAAAGAGGAGGACGGAGGAGGAGGAGAGCAAGGTCGAGTCTGCGGGGGGGGGGGGGAGGAAGAAGAGGAGGCCGGCCAGACTAGGCTCTGGATATCTCGGAGACGGACCGAGAGTGAAACCGCCAGAGAAAGACCGAACGCGGGGTTGCAGGCAGCAGCGACCAGTGAGAAGATCGAGGATGCAATGTGATGGATGGAAAGATGGTCAAGAAAGTGAGATCGTCGACGCGCAGAAGAGATGTGAAAGACAAGTACTCGTCGTGGCCGTGAGCGTGGGCGTCAGCGGAAGGCAAGGGGATCGACCACCAGCTGCACAACGCTGCGCCCTCTCTGAGCTTATCGATGACGAATTGCCTGCTGCGAGATGTTTGGGTACCGCCAACCGGAGGCGGCGAGGGCGTCGGCGACTGCAAGAACGAGAGAGCTAAGGCGGACATTGCATGACATTGCCGTAGGCGCTCGCGCAGACTCTTTGACAAAAAGGGAGCAGCCGGCAAGGAGCAGGTTGGACAAGCAACGAGCGGCGATTTCGCGTTACTCAGACTCGACACTCCGGCTTGCTCCTTGAACCCAACCACACCACACCTGAACCCCTTTAATGTTTCGCGACACGTCGTTCCCACCTCTACCTCGACTCGCCTTCAGCTCTTGTCCCTCATTCCCTTTTTTTTTCATCTCATCGGCATCGGTTCCTTGTTCCGCTTCTCCTTGCGTCGCCTCATCCCCACGCCGCACCGACGAGGGCGCGACGAGGGCGCGATCAGGGCGCTCTGAGAAGAAGCTCCTGTATTCGTATTTCGTGCGGCATCGCACCTCGATCTAGGGGCTGCACTGCTCGAGTCGCCAAGCTCTATTTCTCGCCCTGCCTGCCTGCCCGCCGAAGAAACGAGGGCAAGAGGCTGCGTGGGAACAAGCAGCGTACCAAGCGAAGCGCAGGCTCAGATTCAGCCGGGCCCCGGATGCCGGAGAGTGATCGATGCGTGTCAATTGTATATATATTGTATCTTTGACACTTTTACAATTATGCACCTATGGCTCAGTGGTTAGCGCGTGGAGCTGTTAATTCTAAGCAGGTCACTCCAAGGTCCCTGGTTCGAAACCAGGTAGGTGCGAGTAAGCTCTCCTTTTGCCCCCTCTTAGGTACGCCCCCTTTTGCCAGTCACGAAACGCTCACTCCGAGTCGAGGGACCGCTGATTGGATGTCATTATAGCTCGTCATGATGATAGGTCTAGGCGTGAGAGAATGTACATTGATGAGGGAGAGAGAGGAGGTGATGAGGAGAGAAGAGGACGTGACGCGAGAGAGGACGTCGTCACGGCTGGCCTTCAGTCTTTGAAGCCCGTGTTCTTGATGTTCTTCCTCCCCCTCGCCTTCAGCGCCTCAACATCGAATCCTTCCTGCTCCCAGATCGCCTCCTGCCTGCTACGTCCCGGCCTTCCGTCGGGCAACGTCGTGCTTGGGATCTCGCCCGTAGATGCGACTCGCAGGGCGTGACGACGGCAAGAGGGGTCAGGGCGCCAGTGGTCGAAGGTGGCAGCATGATTGACAACGGCGTTGTTCCACAGGACGAGGGTGTTCTTCTGCCATCGTACACGCAAGGTGAGATTGGGGTCGACGTTCATGATGCTGTAGAGCATGTTGAGGATGGCGTCGCTCTCCACCTTGGGCACGCCGACGATGTGGCGAGTGAAGGCCGGGTTGGCAAAGATGCTCTTCCATCCCGTGACGGGGTGGGTGCGGACGAGGGGATGCTCAGTCTCTACGGCTGGGCGACGGAGATGGAGGCCAGCCTTGCTTGCTCCTTCAGCTTGCTCAGTGCCCGAGTGCAGGGCCGTGAGCGTCTCGAGGTACTCCTGCATCGAAGGGGACAGGGCATCGTAGAGGCCGTAGCAAGAGGAGAAGAGGGTGTCACCGCCACCGTGGACCGGGTTCGTGATGTTGTACAGCGCCGTGAAGCCGGGCGGGTTCTTTTCAAAGGTAACATCCGAATGCCAGAGCTCTGTAGACGTGTAGAGGGTGCCTGTCGGACGCATGTTCTCGTCGTGCCAGATGGTGTGCACCTCGTCGAGGGAGGTGCCGTTGAGCTTACGCGCACGAGGTACGCCAGAGGAGGGATGCTGGTGCAGCGGTCGCTCGCTCGCGCCAAAGTAGCGTCCAAAGTTGACGAGCTCGTCTGCACCCAAGTCTTGGTCGCGTAGCACGACGACACCGCGCTCGGCGACGAGGAGGGCGAGGTCGTCCTTCTGTGCTGGAGTGAGGTCCTTGACCTGGAAGCCGCTCAGCTCTGTGCCGATGTGGACGGAGAGGTTGTCTACCTTGTCGACTACCGAGAGCAAGTGACGCTTGGCCGGGTCGGCAAAGGACCCACGATCGACGACGTTGTGGATGGGCTGGTACTCAGGCGTGCTGATGTCCGTGGGGAAGCATGGCTTGAGGTGAGGGTAAGGATAAAGCTTGTCTGCTTCGGTATCCTCGGCGGAGAAGGGGTTGTGGTATGGGTTGTATTCCTGGCGGCGGAATGAGGGCAAGAATGAAGAGGAGATCAGCTTCACGCTGCCTTGCGCGCCGTCCTCGCGACCACCGCCGCCACGCTCGTGCTCACCTTGATCGTCGACTTCTTCTCATCGGTAGCGCCCTTGGGAGGCTGCGTCTTGGGCTGAGTCGGGTTGACTGCTCTTGCTGGCGCTGAGCCCGCACCCAGCGGCTTCTCAGCGTCGACGCCGTAACTTCCAGCTGAGTAGCGTGGCGGGGGAGAGACTGAGACCATCTTGTAGGATGGTATTTGTGCTGAAGCGGTGGAGCGTGTGGGAGTGATGATGAGACGGGGAGGGAGGGGAGCAACAAGCAAAGCCTCTCATTCTTCTATTTCTTGCCCATCTCCACGTATGGGAGGCCATTGTCTCATCACCTCGACTTCATCGTGATCGTCTGACACTGCGACGTGCGACTTGCGACCGATCAGCCATTGACGCGTACGACTGAGCTGAGCGGGCCGGGTGAGGGCGGCTGGCTCAGCGACGCGGGCCTAAGGGCGGACAAAGTAGTCACGCCATCAAGTCGACCCCTCGCGTGACCTTGGCCCGCACGGAGGCTAGTCTCAGAGCCACTTGGATCGACATCGAGCTTCGAGCTTGCGAATGATTGCGAGCTTCTCCCGTTGCCGCTCTCCACACATCGATGAGCGCGGCATTTGATGGTGAGGCGCTGAGGGATGCAATCGAGCGAGCGGATAGACGGACGCACGATGAGCCGGCGGTCTGGTACGGCCGCGCCCGCGCATCTTCCGATGCTTGCTCTCGACTTTATCTCGAGGCCATGGCCCTGTGCGTTGCATCCCACCATCGTCTCGTGATGATACAGAGCTGCTCACGAGGTCGTATCAGACCACAAAGCCGCGCTGCATTCACAGGCGTAGAGGCCGGCTTGAGGCTCAGGGCAGCAGCTGCTGGGACACTCCTCGTGCTCGTGACTGACGCCAGTCTCAAGGCCAGACCAAACTCAAATATCGTAAGAGCGGTCGCCTCTAATGATTCGAGCAGCAAGCAGGGTAGTGGAGCGCAGCAGCGGGTGTATGGCGCCTTCAAGAGAAAGATCGGATCGGCCCTCTACCCATCGCCCAGCCTCCACGACCGCCCTCCGGGAACATTCGCTATTGCCTCGGAGCCTCTTTAGCCCCATCTGTCGTCTTCATCTTCCTCCTTCAACACCCATCCGAGTTCCATTATCGCCGCGTTCGGGGCGCTCTACTTTGCCATTTGTGTTCTGGCATTCGGATCTTACTTCTCATCGCCACCCTCCTCTCCATCCCCGCCGCCGTAGAATTGCCTCAACGCAACCTCCGCCTTGGAGTAGTTGGTCTTGACGTCTTTGAGAGTCTTTTGCACCTTCTCTAGTGCCTCCTCCTTTGTGATGTCCATCACGCCCGCCTCGTCGTGGAGCTTGCCCTGCGAGTGCGAGTTGTGGGGGAGAATGGGCGGTCAGCCTCGTTGCTGCACGGCAATAAGAAGAGTAAGAAGATATTGCAGCGTGGTACTCACCAAATGCTGCATCGCCTCACACCCATCTCTGACCCTGATGACGCCTACGGCCGCTGAGGAGCCCTTGAGGAAGTGGCCGAGGGTTGACAGCTCGGCGAGGTCCTCATCCTTGCTGCGAGGGGCGAAGGGCGAAAGCGCGGATCTGTCAGCATAAGAAGTGAGGAAGGATGTGCAGGTCGCAGCTGGTACGCACAGCGCCTGATCCATCTTATCGAAGGTTGTGTTGGCTTGATCGAAGAAGTTCCATACCTGAAAGGGAGTTGCAGCGCAGCATCGCATCGGTGCAGAAGGGGCAGTGGGTCAGCCGTCTAGACTCATTAAATCTCAATTCGCTGCCGCCTCACAATCTCCTTGGAGAACTCGTGGTCATCCTCATCGTCCATCTCGAGCAATTGCCCGAACGTGTCCATATCGATGATCTCTGGCGGGAGCATTGAGCCTCCTGCCTCGTCACTTGCGCCGCTCGATACGTCCACCTGCGGGTGAGAGCGAAAGTAGTTGGCTGTTCAGATGAGCTGCGCTACTGTGGTATGGCAGGTCTCGCTGCGAGCTGCGCACCTCTTTGGCAGACATTGTGTTTAGGTGGAGATGGGGGAAAGGGTCCTGGAAGGCGAGGGTTCTAGTAGCCAAAGAGGACGATAAGAAGCAGTCAGCTTCCCGCTGGGGCCGAAATGGGAGAACCTCCAGTCTATGACGCCATGCCGTCCAGTCTCATCTGGCCCTGACTCGGCCACCGCAGTGACGAGATGAGGCTCGGGACAGCAAACGGCAGAAAGGTCGCGGGATACCCACCGAGCTCAAGGCTAGCCGGATAGACTGAGTATCGAGGCGAGGCAGGGAGAAGTGTGCAGCGCTGCGACTGGATACCGCCGGTGTAAATGGTTGAGCGCAATAGAATGGAGGTCGTGCCGTTGGTAGTCGTGGAAACCTGATCGTGATCGGTGTGGTGGCAGTAACAAAGAGGTACTGATTCTCGTCGCGAGTCCGCGGCCTTTTGCCTGCGTGCAGCAAGCAGCGACGCTCGATGTCGCTGTGTCTGTGTCTGTGTCGGTGTCGATCTCTTGTCGTCGTCTGTCGCAGCTAGCTTGCGCGGCTTTCCTCGACTCAGAGGGAGCCACTCCAGGGCGGAAGCCGCCTCGTGGGCGTGGCAGGGGGGCGTCGAGATGACGTCGGCGGCAACTTTTGCGGGCCTGTGGTGGTAGCAGCTCAGCTTGCTTTGGCGCCACAATTGCCCTTCTCTTGTCGTACGAGAGAGAGAGAAGGGAGATGATCGATGCGCAGAATGGAGATCGAGCTCAGCACCTCGCTGCCTCGCAGCTTCTTCGACTGGAGAGCTTCGGGGGTCAGTCGATAGGCTGCGAGCGAGGCGGAGTCCCCACATTTCATCTGACCCTCGCCTGGACTGCCACGTTTTGCCGGCTCTCGCTCGCCCTGCCTCGAGGTACTTTCACAAAGGACCCGGATCGCCCGTTTGACCGGGCGACGTCGAGGTCCAAGCAAGCAACACCCAAACGTCGACGACTCCATCGATACCCTCGCAGCTAGCCGGTCGCAGTTGCCTTCTTCTCGTCTATTCTACACTTGCTTTCGTCCTCTTTCAAGAAGCAGGGAGCATGCTTCTCAGCACCACCACAACAGCAACGTCACGACGCCTTAGCCCCTTTGTTCCTCGCAGCACAGCAAGCTCTCCCGCCCTCTCTCGCTCGCTCAGCAGCACCCCACGCAGCATGTTCGCCCTTACGCCCTATCGTGGTGCTCCAGGCACTTCGCAGCCCAAGACGTTCTCCCGCCAAGGTGGACTGCCCCGCTTGCCCATCCCGCAGATCGACGCAACGACGGAACGCTACCTTAAGAGCATCGAGCCCATCCTGCTACAGAAGGAGGAGTTTGGCGAGCTCAAGGGAAGCAGCGCCAAGGAGGAGATGGACAAGAGGAGAGAGTGGGCTAAAGAGCTCGCACAAGAGGGCGCAGTGGGTACCAGGCTGCAGCATAGGCTGGTCGATGTGGACAGGACCACGCCCAACAATTGGCTTGATGACCGCTACTGGCTAGTCAAAGCCTACCACGAATGGCGCGTGCCCCTCCTCATCAACTCGAACTGGTGGCTTATGTTCCGAGCCGACCCTGGATCTCCTCTTGCGAAGCTCGAGGACACGAAGGGACAGCAGAAACAGCCAGAAGACTGCGATGTAGCCGGTCTCGAGGGAGTTGGGCTGGGCAAGCAGCAGTGGGATCAGGCGCAGTGGGGAGTCAGAAGGGCTACTTGGCTCATTTCCAGGTTCTTGCAGTTCAAGAGGAGATTGGATGAGTGAGTGCCAAGTCGCGCGAGATGCGCATCGATGATGAAAGGCGAGTATAGACGCTGATATTCCTACTTGGTGTCGCTGCTACGCACAGCGAGGACATCATGCCAGACGCCTCACGAGCGGGTGCGTTCTGCATGCATCAGTACACTCGGTGAGTGTCCCACCGAACCGTCCTTCTCACACGCCTTTCCATCATCCTTCTGACACAGGCCCCTCCTCTCCTCGTCCATCTCGTCGCTCCCTCTGGTTCAACCGTCCCGCCCGCAGACTCTTCGGCATCACCCGTATCCCTGCGCTGCCCCATGACTGGAATACGGAGCCCCCGCACCCGACGACGGCCAAGCATGTCACCGTAGCTGTGCGTGACAACTTCTACAGTCTGGAGGTCCTGAATGATGATGGCAGCATCAAGTGAGTTGTGGCAGGGCGCCATGGCCAGGCAGGCCATTCTTTGTTACTGACCGGCCCGTTTCTCCGCCACGCATAGGGAGCTCGACGACATTGAAAAGGCCCTGTGGGACATTGTCAACGACGCAAAGCAGTCGGATGGCGCAGGCGTAGGCGTCCTCACCAGCGACGACCGTGACACCTGGGCTGTAGCCCGCGAGCAGCTCATCCTCTCCTCGCCGGCAACGAACGCCGCCTCCCTCCGCTCCATCGAGGACTCTCTGTTCGTTGTTTCCCTCGACTCGTCCAACCTCGGTACTCCCACCAACCACCCACCCCCGCCGCACCAGGCTTCACCCATGAGCACTGATGCCCATGCACGTAACACGTCGGGCGCAGGGAGGTCAGGACACAACAGGTGGTTCGACAAGGCACTGACAATCTCAGTCGAGCCGAATGGACGGGCGGGAATCATGGGAGAGCATTCGCCTTGCGATGCGCTCATTCCCTCCATCGTTGCGGACTTCGCTGCGGCCGAGCCTTGCCCTGCGCCTGGGTCACCCTTCCCCGCAATTGCTGGACGAAACAAGCAGGGAGGAAGCGTGCCTACTTGGAAGAAGTGAGTCCGAGCGACGATCACGATGACAAACCTAAGCGGACACTGACGGTACTCTTCCTTTGCCTTTCCCTACGCGCAGGCTCGAATGGAAAATCAACGAGTCCACCACTACGAGCATCGCCTCAGCGGAGAGCAAAGCCAAGGAGCTCGCCAGCAACTCGGACATTCGCATGCTCTGGTTCGATGAGTACGGCGCCGAATGGATGAAGAAGATCGGCAAGCAATCGCCCGATGCGTTCATCCAGCAGGCTCTCCAGCTAGCCTACGCCAAAATCGCCGGCCGCCAGACCGCCACGTACGAGACTGCCTCGACACGCCTGTACAAACATGGCCGTACCGACGTCATCCGTTCGTTCAGCAGGGAAAGCTACGACTTTGTCAAGGCGGTTCGCGATGGAAAAGGGTCGAAGGAGGTCTATGAGCTTTTGAGCAAGGCCACGACGGCGCACAATGCCCAGACGCGTGCGTCCTCCACGGGTGCGGGTATTGATCGCCACTTGACGGGCATGAGGCTCGTATACAACCCCTCAGTGGACGGGGAGAACAACATGCCCTCCCTTCTGACCGACCCGCTCTTCGCTGAGTCCCAAACGTGGAAGCTCTCAACCTCTGGCCTTTCTGCTGGTGACAGGTTTGCAGGGACCGGCTTCGGGTGCGGCTATGAGGATGGGTACGGGATCAACTATCTGGCTGGGGCTAGTCTGCTCAAGTTTGGGATTGAGAGCAAGCACAGTGGCAAGCAGACGAGCACGACCGAATTTGCGAAGGAGGTCGTTGAGGCGTTGCGCTTCATGAGGGAGGTGTGCGAGAAGGAGGCGCCGAAGGACGAGGGGGCGGCGAAGGGGAAGTTGTAGACAGTCGCGAGAGAGACGAATAGACGCCTTCGTGACTTTCGCTGCTCGAGTCGCAAACATCATGCGCATGCGGCAGTATTATGATAGGCTGTCAGCCTGAGCGCTGGAGAGCCGTGAGATCCGGTCTCTCTTGCAAGCTCAGACCTAGCCTATTGAATAGAGTTGACCTCACCTAAGGCGAGACTTCGCCGACCCCACACTCGAATTCATTGGCCGGTAACGCGGAGACAACTGTTTACCGTATAGTAGAAATCGGCACCGCTTGCGCTGGCACGATTAGGTTGTCTCGTATGAGCTCGGAGACCTGAATTTAAGGAGGCATTAGCCAGCGCCGGACACGACGATGAAGAACGCTTCTTCCGCATTTTCCCTCCGTACCAGAGCCACTGCCCGCCGTTCGCTTGTATTGCGAGGCCGTCGTGTCGTGTGCCAAGTCACGCCCTTGATCATCGTTGTCGACTCGCTGATCGCTGTCAATTGCATTCCCCGGCACCCGGCAATGGCTCTCTCCTAGCCAAGCTCCCCTCGCCTCGCGCCTCTGAGACTCCGGTCTGTCCTTCGCAGCGGACTCCGCGGAGAGGAATTGTACCACCCGTCCCTCGCTCACCCTGTCACACGACTCACGCACGTCGCCGTCTTAATTCTCTGGACGAAGAAGAAGCACAGACAGTCCGGATTGAGACGTCCGAACTACGTCTAGAGCAGGTCCAATGTGCCTTCGCGGCAGTGTTGTAGCCAATACCGAGGTCGACTGACGCTCTGGATGCATACCAGACCGCTTATCTCTCACTCTCCGCTGCTCTCTCGCAGCCATTGTCCATTTCAAATCACTGCGCTAGCCCTACCTCAATCCCTGCGATCCCTGCTCTGCCTGCCTCATTGTTTGCATTCTGCCCGCCCTTGCTCTTCCCACCCTGTTCTTGTAGGGTCAACGCAGTACTCTCTGCCTGCGAGTCGATCGATCGGCGAGACGCTGAAACGGGTGATGCACGCACGCACATACGTGCAGAAAGTTGCAGTGTCGAGAAAGAGAAGATGTGGCTGGCTGAGTAGCCCGCTCATGCCTGGCTGCCGATAGCCTTCTTGGGTGTGTGCAGCTGGAGCGTGAGTCGTGAGTCGTTGGTTTAGACTAGTCGTCGCTCCGCATCATAGCGATGGTACGCTCTCCTGGATTCGTCGAGAGCGTCAGCTGGTGTCGTCGATGGTGCAACGAATGATTTTTCTTTTCTTTTCTTCTTCATCTTTGCTTCTCGACCTCGTTACCATCGTGCCCATCCTTTTTTGCGGTCTCGCCGTGAAACAACAGCTCTCGCCTCGTCCCCGCCTCGTTCCCCCGCCCCGGAGCGCAATTGAAGGCTTGAATTATCACCCTCCGCTCGCCTCCCAGGAAAACTCGTTTGGACGTCTGGCTGTCAACTCGATCACAAATCGGAGCATTTCCAAGGAGGAGCGACGACTCCTGAGTTCGCTATCACGAGGTGCTACTCTTCCATCACCTCTTTACATCTTCACCATCTTCGCTCCCCTCCCCATCCTCTCCTCTCTCACGGCGCCTCTGCGAATGGCATCTGAGACGCGGCTCACGACCTAAGTCCGGCAAGCCAAGCTATAATCGCCCGTTGAGAGAGCCAGTCGTTCCAGCTGTCGTCGTCTCTCCAGTCAGCTCTGCTATAGCCGGGATTCACTTCAGCTCCGCCGCCGCCGACGACGACGAGGACGATGTTTTTGCCCCGCACCTCATCCTCGGCCAGCCTCGCCTCTCTCTCCTCAATACGAACGACCGACTCGAGGCGCGCTCCCATCCTTCCTGGCAGCTCCATCGGAGGCTGGTCCAACCCTACCACCGCCTCAAGCAGCATCAATGCGTCGGCGCATGTGCATTACTCCCTACTAGCGTCGCAGTACAGGCAGCAGAGCGCAAACAAGGGCTTAGGCATTACGGCTGGGGGGTGGGAGGCGAAGAGGGAGCTGGAGCGCCTCGCCCAACAGGCGTCGAGCTCGTCATCTTCGTCATCGAAACAAGCCCTCGCAGTCCCTGTGCGTCGCGCGGGTCGCCGAAGTCGCAGAGGCTATGCGGAAGAGCGACTCAAAGCCTCGGAAGCCTTGGACGATCTCATCTTCTCAGCAACAGATACGGGCCGACTGAAATGGGAAGCCAAAAGCGCCCTCCTCTCGGCCTCGCCCGACTTGGCGCTCAAGCTTCTCACTCGTGCCGCCTCCCTAGGCAGCGTATCTGCTTGTATATCATTGTCCGCCCTCTATACTACAGGCGTGGCACGGGGAGGCCAGCCGGTCGTGGTGCTGGTACATCGCGAGCCACAGGCTGGTCTTGCTTGGATCTTGGAAGGCTGTCGTCTGCTCAAGAGACGGCGTGAGAAGAATCGTGGACAGAGAAGGGCAGCAGGAGATAAGGAGGCGCTGGATCAGGTGGTCAAGATCTTGGCATTACTGGAGCGATTGTTGAGGACGAAGCAGGCCTTTGCGGCGGTGGGAGAGAGCGGCAGCGAAGAGCAGCAAGACGGCGAACAGGGGTCAGACGACTCGGGCATCATCTTGCCCGACATTCAACAGCTTCAGGCACGCGTGAGAGGCAGGGCACCAGCGTCGCAATCGGGCCGTAGTGACGCCAAGAAGACGGAAGTAGCAGCAACGACGGCAGCAGCCTTATCACTACAGGCTCGCACGCAATTATGGCCGTCCGTGCTCGAGGCCAGACTGTGGCTCGAGGCAGAGCTCGACCTCTTATCCCCGTCAAGCTCAATAGCTACATCGGATCCTCAAGCTTCACCACGAGGCCCAGACGACGAGACAGAAGAGTCGCTGCCCATCATGCTAGCTCGCTCGCATCTCAGCCTCATCAAGGCTCTGGCTTCTTCTCATACAGTCTGCCTGAACAACGTCGCTGATAAGGGAAGCATTGAGAGCCTCAAGCGGGCGTGGACCGGCTATCGCAACACTCTGCGTGATGCCAAGGCGAGAAAGGAGGCTCTCCCGCTGGTCGAGGCCGCAGATCAATTCCTCGCTGACCTTCCGAAGCTGCGAGATGGCACAGAATCAGGAGGTGATGACAGTGACGATGTCCGATCAGCAGGCAGCAATCTCTGGGCTCGTCTTGAGGCCGCCTTGCCCGAGGCGGCTATCCCAACGCTAGACATGCGAGCCAAGCAGCCTTCAGCGGCAACGAGCTCGACCTCAACGCCAGTCGTGACGCCGAAGAAGAGCCGCACGAGCGCAGCTACGTCAGGCCAAGCGACGCCGACGCCGACTAGGAAAGATGCGGCACGTCGTCGCTCCTTGGAAGAGCTGGCGCCGCTGGACACCGAAGACGCTGCAAAGACTCAGCCGGCCTTACTGCGCCCCTCATCTCCTACGCGGTCTCGCAAAGGTGCGAGCGCAGAGCTTGTTGATACCAACGTCCAAGGCATGGCACCTCGTCGCCTACCCAGCGTTTCGTCTCGCGATGTGCTGCATCGCGCCATCAGCCACTCCGGCGCGACTACAACATCCTCGCACCTTCTCTCGGCCGCCCCAACCATGCGACGCACAAGCTACAAGACACCAAGCAGCGGCGATACCCTTCCTCCGTCATACAGCCACCACTTCGGCGGCAAGACTATCACTGGCGCCGCTTTAACGTCAACAGCAGCCAAACGCCCGTCTTCCGTTGTGTCCGACTCGCCATCGCTGCTTTTCGGCGACGAGACCGGCGAGTCAGGGAGTGCGCAGATGGACCGCTCTGCGAGCTACCAAACCGGCTTCCCCACTGCTGCGAACTTGGAGACAGAAGATGCAAGGCTCCGTACTGCACGGCCGACCCCGCCAAACGGCGCCCCACTCCGTCGTCGCGTCACCTCTCTTTACGGACAGCCCTCTTCCAATACCTCATCTGTACACGGTCTCGGCTCAACGGCAACAGCGTACGGCCACGCAAACGCGACAGGCATCTTCGACCCGACAGCCTCCCTCCGCGAATCGCAGTACCAGCGTCAGCGTCGCCGCCGAGCAGACTCGACCGCCTCGGTGGCAACAGGGACGTCCATCTTCTCCACTCAGCCGATTCAGGACGCAGACGAGAAGGGCTTCTACGCCCCGCAGGAGGGGCATGTACCGGGGGATATCCTCGTGCTGGGCCTGAATGGTGGTGAAGATGCGCAGGAGAAGTTGAGAGGCCAGCTCGGTGGGGCACCACAGAAGAAGCCGGGGATGCGCCGCACACCCAGTGGATTCAGTATCGCGTCGTTGCGCAGCAGCTCGGCCAATGCTGTCCCCACCAACGCTTTCAGCGCGACGGCCGATGGGCAGCGCGACGGATCCGCAGCGCCGATGTTGACAGAGCGACTAGAGCGCAAGCTAGCTGAGAGCTACGCCTCTCAACGCTTGACACAACGACCTGGCTTGGCAGCCTTGCGCGGGGACAGTGCGCAGTCGATCAGGAGTCGCTTCTCTTCAAACACTGGGCTTGGATCGCTTCGTGGGGCGCCCAGCTTGTTGTCATTCGGTGGCGCCGGAAAGGGCAGGGCACCCACGCTTGGCTTCTCGACTACGGGTAGCAAATCGGCTACGCTTAGTACCACGGTGGAGATGGTTGAGCCTGAGACAGGTGCACGAGGTAGCAGCAGCGCCAGTAGCACCAAGAGGCGGGAGCAGGGTAGCAGGACGTCCACCTCGGCCGTTGGCACGCTTCGCGCTCTCAACGTCGGCACATCGGCCGGCCCCTCTGAGACCCTCACAGCAAAAGGCAAGAAGGCATCCCTCAGCGCTCGCCCAACTTTGACAGGTATCTTCGGACCTCTAGGCCCGGCAACGGCTAGCGCAGCGCAGATCAGTCCTGCAGCTCCTACAGCCTCGACCTCAGCCTCGTCTCCACAAGAGTCTGCGTCGAATGCGAACGCGACGCTTCGCCCTGTCCGCTCTTTTAATCTTATCGACCCGACCAGCAGCGCGTATGCCTCTTCCTCGCCTTCGCCATCCGGCTCTCAACCCCCCACCCCTGGCCGACCCCCTTCTGCGCTAAAGAACAGCGCCAGCAACGGCGGGTCTGCGTCGTCCTCCCCCACTAAGCGCTCACCACCTGGCTCGGTGCGCTCTGTACGCTTCGCCGAGCTTCCTCCCTCAACCTCCGGCTCAAGCAGCCCAAGATCCCAGCAGTCTGGCCTCGATGCTGCTCTCGCGTCTGCAGAGGATCGCTCGAGGCTCAAGACGGCGGCGGGCTGCTCGAACTGCGGTACACGATGTATCAATGCGCCTGTGGACAGGAAGGGAAGGAAGTTCTGCTCGAGAGGCTGTAGGATTGAGGTCAAAGAGAAGGACAAGGAGACGGGCTCGACCGCGAGCGACTCGTTGTCTGTGCCGTCAGCTTCGAGAGCACCGGCCACGCCGAACTCGAGCGTCGCTGCTGCTGCAAAGGGCAGAGCTTCGCCTGTTCCTCTTTCACCTCGCGTCGACAACTCTCCGAGGGCGTCAAGCTCTTCTCCACCTTCACCGACGACTCCTGAGTCAAAGGCGACTGCACAGGAGCCGCAACGGCCTACACAGCGAGCCGTGTCGGCTACGGGTGCGTGATGTCGTCATCATCGCGATCCCGGGGGAAGGGGAGCCCCATCCACATTAATCTCTTTTCTGCCTTTGTACTACATTATTTTGCACGTCTATTGTCTAATTGCATCTTCGCATCTGAAGCAGAGTCTCCCTCTCGCCTGCTCCTCTCCGCTCTCTTCGTTCTCGGCTACTTTGCCTCACTCCTCGTCCCCTCGACCAACCTGCCCACCACAGGGTACTTGCCCAAGAAATGTTGCTCCCATTCCAGCATCTGCTTTCGCTCTGCTGGCTTGAGATCCTCCAGCGTATCCAAGGGCTGGTCGAGGGGCGTGAGTACGTCCTCATCGAAGGACTGCAGCGCCATGCCTCTGGATGCGTCCCTGCCTGCAAAGTTGCCGTAGGGGCCGTCAGGGCCGTAGAAGCGTGCGCCGGAGGTCACGTCGAAGACGCGACGATTGATGCTGAGGAGGATGCGTGGTGGCTGGGTGGGAGCCAAGAGAGGTAGAGTGGTAGGTAGTGGAAAGGTGAGCTACGAGGAAATGAAGCAGAGCTCGATAGCTACTCACGCCTTGCTCCGGCCTTCCTGTGCCAGGCTCAGTCGCTTCCTTCTTTCCCGTCCCATCATAGACTGCCAGCGTCTTTGGCGTGTAATCCATCCACACGGTGCTTTTTGGATGCTCTGGAGGTAAAGAGCTGTACAGGTTCGAATGTCTTGCCTTGATGATCTTAGGTGAGAGGGTAGACAAGGGTGCAGGGAGGAGTCCATTGATGTGATAGAGGAGGACGAAGAAGAGGAGTACGTTGACTGGATTCGAGGCGATTGGTGCTACAAGCGGGTGGGATACTATGCGCTCATGGAGAGAAGCGGCAGGCGGCGAACCATGGCCGAGGAGGTGGCTGAATTGGGACATGGTAAGCTGCGAGGTTGATGGCTTGGACGAGGAAATCAAGAGTTGAGAGGTTCACGGCAGGCTCAGCGGCCGCTCGCAGCGAGCACGGGCCAGGACATCGCGAGTCAAGTCGACCGGACCGGAGGAGAAAAGGTCAAGACTCATCTCGTGGGTCGACTTGGGTTGAATCCTTCGCAACCGATTATCACCTCCCACCCTCCGTGTATGCTCATTGGCTCGACTGTACACGCTCTACTACCGCAACGCATCTTTGCCACTTCATCGCCGCTCCTTTTCAGTGCCACCAACACAACTTGCTTCGCCCCTCGCCGCCTCGTCACCACGATGAGCGCGCCCACCACACAGGACTCGCGCTTCGCGACGACGTCCAAGTTCGGCGACTGGCCTGCAAAGAAGGTCCGCAGTCAATTCATGTCTTACTTCCAGCAGCAACATGCCCATTCCTTCGTTCCCTCCTCGTCTTGCATCCCCTACGACGACCCGACTCTCCTCTTTGCCAATGCGGGAATGAACCAGTACAAGAGCATCTTCCTCGGCACCGTTGACCCTTCGACTAGCTTTGCGCAGCTCAAGAGGGCTGCAAATAGTCAGAAGTGCATTCGTGCGGGAGGCAAGCACAATGATCTGGATGATGTGGGCAAGGACACTTATCATCACACTTTCTTCGAGATGCTGGGCAATTGTGAGCAGAGAGCATGCCGCGTGAGGTCGAGAGAAGAGCTACCCCGCTGACCTTGTCACCTCTGGCCCTCATGCGTAGGGTCCTTCGGCGACTACTTTAAGCAAGAAGCGATTCCCATGGCCTGGAATTTGCTCACAAAGACGTACGGCCTCCCTGCTGACCGACTCTACGTCACTTATTTCGAGGGCGACGCCAAGGCCGGCCTGGAGCCGGATAATGAGGCGAGGGATATCTGGCTCAAGGTCGGCGTGCCGGAGGATCACATCTTGACGGGCAATGCGAAGGACAATTTCTGGGAGATGGGAGCTACGGGACCTTGCGGACCTTGCAGCGAGATTCATTACGACCGCATTGGCGGACGCAATGCTTCGCACCTTGTCAACCAAGACGACCCTGACGTTCTGGAGATTTGGAACAACGTCTTCATGCAATTCAACCGTGAAGAAGACGGCTCCCTCCGCCCTCTGCCCAACAAGCACATCGATACCGGCATGGGCTTCGAGCGTCTCGTCTCCGTCCTCCAGGACAAGCGCTCCAACTACGACACCGACGTCTTTGAGCCATTGTTCGCCAAGATCCAAGAAATGACCAAGGCGCGCCCCTACGAGGGCAAGCTGGGCAAGGAGGACGCCGATGGCATTGACACGGCTTACCGCGTTGTTGCAGACCATGTTCGCACGCTCACATTCGCAATGACTGACGGTGGGGTGCCGGACAAGGATGGGCGCGGCTACGTGCTTCGTCGTATCTTGAGGAGGGGTACGCGCTACGTTCGCAAATACTTCCAGGTCCCCATCGGCGACTTCTTCGCACGATTGGTGCCCGTCGTCGTCGAGCAGATGGGCGACTTCTTCCCTGAGCTCAACAAGAGGGTAGAGGATATTCAGGCTATCCTCAAAGAGGAGGAGGAGTCCTTCTCCCGTACGCTGGACAGGGGAGAGAAGCTGTTCGAGCAATTTGCTGCTAAGGCTATTGAGGCAAAGCAGACTAGCTTGAGCGGAGAGGATGTCTGGAGGCTGTATGACACGTACGGCTTCCCCGTTGACTTGACGCTCATCATGGCAGAGGAGAAGGTGCGTTGGCCTAGTAACGCTGCTCTACCAAACTTGTTGCTAACCTCGTCACTCCTCGCCGCTCTTTCCGCAGGGCCTCGGCGTCAACGACGAAGAGTTTGAGAAGGCTCGCATCGCCAGCTACGAGGCGAGCAAGGGCGTTGGCAAGAAGCAAGAGGAAGGCATGCCCCGCCTTGATGTGCACGACCTTGGCGCCCTTGAGAAGATGGACTCGGTTCCGAAGACAGACGACTCGGCCAAGTACGGCAAGGGCGACGTCAAGGCGGTAGTCAAGGCCATCTACCAGAACAAGGGCTTCCACCCATCCTCTGACGGGCCCAACCTCGACACCAGCAAGCCCGTCGGGCTCCTTCTCGACCGAACGAACTTTTACGCCGAGTCAGGTGGGCAGCAGGCCGATCAGGGCAGCATTGTCATCGATGGTCAGGCGGACTTTGAGGTCGTGGACGTGCAGGTCTTCAACGGCTACGTCCTTCACTCCGGCTGGTTCAAGTATGGATCGCTGAAAGTCGGCGACGAGGTCGTCGCAGGCTACGACGAGCTGCGTCGATGGCCTCTCCGCAACAACCACACCGCGACGCACATTCTCAACTATGCGCTTCGCGAGGTCCTTGGAGACCACATCGACCAAAAGGGCTCGCTTGTTGCACCGACAAAGCTGCGCTTCGACTTCTCCCACAAGTCCGGGGTTTCCGTCCCCGAGATGAGCAAGATTGAGGCCATCTCCCTCGATTGGATCAAGCGCAACGTGCCCGTCTACGCAAAGGAGATGCCCCTCGAGGTCGCCCAGAAGATCCCTGGGCTCCGCGCCGTCTTCGGCGAGTCGTACCCGGACCCTGTGCGCGTCGTGGTGCTCGAGTTCGACCCGAACGACATTGAGAAAGACATCGAGAATCAGAAGTGGGCCAAGAGCAGTATCGAATTCTGTGGAGGCACCCACGTCGAGAAGACGGGTGATATTGCCCACTTTGTCGTCGTTGAGGAGGGAGGCATCGCCAAGGGAATCCGTCGCATCGTAGCCGTCACGGGCGAAGAGGCTGCCGCCGTCACTCGAGTAGCGGACGAGGCTTCTGCTAAGCTGGCCTCGGTTGTTGCCATCCAGAACAAGAGGGAGAAGGACACGGCACTCAAGGCCTTCAGCTCGGAGCTTGCCAACCTCGAGATCTCCGTTCTTCGCAAGGCGAAGTTGAACGACGACTTCAACAAGGCCCGTAAGGCACACGACGCCGAGATGAAGAAGGTGGAGAAGGAGCAGGCTACCCTCGTCACCAAGGCTGTCGAGGCGCAGTTTGCGCCTGGTGGTCCTGGAGAGGGCAAGGGCTACTGGATCGCTAAGCTCGATGTTGGTGCTAATGCCAACGCTCTTCGCGCGGGAGCGGTTGCGGCGAAGAACCTGGGCAAGGCCGTCTACCTCTTCAGCGAGGAACCTCTGCCTGGCCACCCAGTGGTTGCTGACGGTGCCGCGGTGAAGGCCAAGGTGCCCCACGTCAACTTTGTGCCCAAGCATGACCTTGACAAAGGACTGGATGCGAGGGAGTGGGCCGATTTGGTCACACATTCGATTGGCGGCCGAGGCGGTGGCAAGCCGGATGGCGCCCAGGGTGTTGGTGAGGATGGTGGGCCCGCGATCGATGATGCGATTGCGGCTGCGGAGCGCTTCTACTTGATGAAGACGACGGAGAGTGGGATGCCGAGGCAGTAAGCGGGGCTTCGCGCTACGGCAAGATGAATGCTAAGGTGGGAATGAAATTGCTTGCAATATGACAAGGCGAGAGCGGGCGTGATCATCTTCGCTTCTTTCCTCCTCCTCCGCCACCACCTCCACCACTACCATGCGCCTTTCTCCTCTTCTTCCCACCCATTCCAGAGATAGGCAGACCCCCTCCTCCTCCCGCACCACCTGCTTCTTCGTCTCCACTGCCCATATCTTGATCATCGCCCCTTCCATTCTCTCGTCTCCTCGCCCTTTTCCCACTTCCAGCCCCACCCAATCCCTTTTCCCTGATTTCCCTGCTCGCCTCCCTAGCAGCCTCCTCCACCCTCCCCTGTAGGAGGGCTACCCGCTCTCTCGGAGCACCGTAGTCTGTCAACTTTGTCTCGATGGCCGTCTCGATGCGCTGTAGCAGCTCGACGTCGTACTGCGTGACCAAGGTGACTGACCGACCAGAACGACCAGCACGGGCTGTTCGTCCTACTCTGTGGATATAGTCTTTGGAGTGGGTAGGGATGTCGAAGTTGACTACAACGTCTACCGCTGGGATGTCCAACCCGCGGGAGGCTACGTCTGTCGCTACTAGGATGGAGCGCCCTCCCGCTTTGAACTTGGCTAGGGCGGCCAGACGCGATGACTGACTGAGCTGGCCATGTAGTGGGACAGCAGGGAAGCCAAGAATACGCAGCAGTGACGCTACACGCGCGCAGTCGTGTACAGTACGGACGAAGATGACCGTCGATTTGGCCGTCGTTGCCGTATCATTTACAAGGTAGACGAGGTAGAGGTCCTTTTGTGCGAATGGCAGGAAGAGGTAGTACTGCGTCAAAGTGGACACGGTCGAGTACTTGGTGCCCACTTCAACTCTAGCCGGGTTCTTCAACGAGGCGCGCTGGAGCTTAGCGACCTTGGTTGTCATTGTAGCGGAGAAGAGCATAGTGTTTCGCTCCTTTGGGATCGATTGCAATAGCTTGTCGATGATAGGGCCGAAGTCCATGTCCAATAGTCTGTCGGCTTCGTCCATGACTAGATAGCGTAGACTCTTGAGATTGAATCCCTTTGTGTTCTCGAGGTGATCCTGCAGTCGCCCCGGAGTGGCGACAATGATGTGTGGACGCTTGGAGAGGGCAATACTCTGCGTCATCATGTCCATCCCTCCGACGATACAGGCGCACCTCACGCCAATCGTGGCTCCTAGCGCCTCAAATTGCTGGGAGATTTGGTAGGCCAGCTCGCGTGTGGGAGCAAGTACGCAGGCAAAGCCTGAGCGAGGTTCATCCCAAAGGGCTTGGAGGATCGGAATGGCAAAGGCGGCCGTTTTGCCTGACCCAGTCTGGGCGAGGCCGATGACGTCGCGGCCTGAGAGGGCGACGGGAATTGCTTGGGCCTGGATGGGAGTGGGCTCCTTGTATTTGAGAGCGTCGATGGCGTCGCAGATTTGGGAATGGACGCCCAGAGCTGCAAAGGTGGTTGGAGTCGAGGCCGGCGGGGAGGAGGAGGAGGAGGATGCTACGGCATTGGCTGTCTCTGTCGCCGGCTGTGGTGAGCGTGAGGAAGAGGCGACGGGTGAGGCGCCACGATCTGAGGGTTCATCTGAGGACGCCATGCTGAGTAGAGTGGTTGTTATGATGAGGAGACGAGCAAAGCCTTCGTTGGTGGCTGCACTGTATGCGCCTCTTTCCCTCAGTCCGAGGGCGTCGGACCAAAAATCACAGAACACACGTCCGTCCGTCATCCTCCGTTCCGAGGAACCTGCCCAAATGGGACTGCATTCACTTGGTCGCTCGACGCTCGACGCTCGACGCTTCGCCGCGAGACGGGTCGCGCTGGGGCCGCATCACTTTGTCGCTCGACGTCGAACGTCCTGCCATATTCGGATCATCATCGTCGACGAGCGAGAAAAGGAGCGACACGACCTCAACACGCACGCAGACACGCAGATACCCGGCCGCACACTTTGCTCTCTCCCTCATCTCGACGACGACGACGACGACGACGACGACTCCGCTCTCAAGAAGAGAAGAAGGCGCCCAGGCGGCACCCCCTCTTCTCCTCCTGACTGCACGCGTCCACCAAGTACCAAACCCCCTAGCTTCGCTTGCCGCCCATCATGGCATCCGTTGCTGCAAAGCCGGCTCTGTCGGTTGATACGTCACTTGCTTCCAATCAAGGCAGGCATCCTCGACAGGGCAATCGTGCTGCGACTCATGCTGCCAGATCAGCCCAAGCCCCTCGCGACGAGCTGAGCCAGGGAGGATTCAGCTCAGATGACGAGCCACAGCAGCAGACGATGACGAAACAACAACAGCAACAACAGCCTAGGCGTACTCTGGTCAGGCAGCGCTCCAACGAACCACAAGACGACTCGTCAGATGAAGAAGGACAACAGCGCAACTACACGCATCATACGCCAGACGGTCGCCACGTCGAGCTCGAGGGCGAAGACGGCGAGGGCGGTCTTGTCCAGCAAGGCATCGATGTTGATGAAGACGACGATGAAGAATACGATGACGAGGAAGAAGACGAAGAGGAGCTCGACGACGATGAAGACGACGATCTTTCATCTAGCCCCTCGATCCCAGACGAGAACATCGACTTCGACCTCGTATACGCGCTTCACACTTTCGTCGCGACCGTCGAAGGTCAGGCGACGGTCAACAAGGGGAACAGTCTCACCTTGCTCGATGACTCAAACAGCTACTGGTGGCTCGTCCGAGTCCTTCGCACGCAGGAGGTCGGATATATACCTGCAGAGAACATCGAAACTCCTTTTGAGCGACTGGCTCGCCTCAACAAGCATAGAAATGTTGATCTGGCCTCGGCGACAGACGATGACCATATCCAGGTGCCATCCAAGATCTACTCGTCACACCTTGTGAAGCGCAGGGATGCTGCGGGGCCTGAGGGTATGTCGGTCCACTCTGGCAAGCTGTCGGCTTTGTCGAGGAGGAGGGACGGCGCTTCGCCTCAGAACCCGTCGCCCGGTCCAGCATCGAAGCCTTCGGTCATCTTCGGGCCCTCTTCGTACGTTGAGCACAGCGGCGATGAGATGGAATCCGAGTACGATGAAGACATGGATGACGCGGGCGAGTACGAAGAAGACGACGAGGAGGGCGAGGACGAGGAAGAAGACATGGACGAGGACGAAGTACGAGGTCAACTCGAGCAGAGCGAGCCGGATGTAAGGAGCAGAGGTCAGGCAAGCGTACAGCAGCAGCAGCAGACTGGTCCAGGAAGCGTCGACACCGCCGCAGGTCGGAGGGAGATGCTCGCCGGCATGGACCCCGATGACGGTATGGACTGGGATGCCAAGGAGGCGGAACGCATTCAGAGCCAAAAGGCAGCCGCAGCTGCAGCCGCCGCTGGTGCTGCAGGTGTCGGCGCTGCTGCCCTTGCCGGCGGACGCGGCGACGCTAGTTCAGACCCTCAGCGTGGCATTCTCAGAGGGCAGCAGGTTCAGGAGCAGGGTCGCGCGCCTGGCACAAGCTGGGATAATGCTCCCATGGACGAGAGGCAGCCACGACCTTCTCGCGACCAAAGCCAGCTGGGGTCTGGGCGACCCTCGCTACAAGGCCAATCCCAGCAACAGCAAATTCGCGCTTCGTACGGCTCACAGCAAGACCAGCAGCAGCGCCCTTCGACCGAGCGCACCTTCTCTGGAGAGAGCCGTGACAGCGCTGTCGGCGGATCAGACGGTGGCTTCCTCCCCTCTCAAGTGCAGCGAGACCGCACAGTCTCCGACGCGAGCATGGCTTCCTCCTCTGGCAGCCAGGCGGGCAACTCTTACGCTGCAGGCGGCGGCCCGTACGGTCGAGGCTCCCCTACCCCCGCGCAGCTTCGCAAGGACAAGGAGCTCAGGCGCAAATCGAAGCAGAGCTCCATGGACGCGACGGACGACTCCTCTGCCACCATCGACGCAGGTAAGGAGGGCAAGAAGCGCTCCGGCGTCTTCTCTGGTCTCTTCTCGCGCAACAAGGATAAGAAAGACCGCAAGTCGGGCTCCTTCTCTTCTGCTGGAGACGAATCTGCTATCATTGGACGACCGTCGGAGGAGGGAGGGCGCGCGGGTATTCTTCGTCCGAGCAGCAACTCTGGAACCACGGGCATGGGAAAGGGAGTGCAGGAGAGGGATCGTCTCACGCAAGAAGCGTACCAGCGTCAGTTCCTGTCATCAGACCGGTCAAGCCTGGATCCGGGCCAAGGCCAGTTCATCTCACGCCCTGGCGGTGGCAAAGCTCGACCTGGCTCGCTCATGGCCACGCCCAATTCCGTCCCCATGCTTAATGTTCTGCGCATCTTCGCCGGCGACGACATCGGTGCCGATTCGACCTTCAAGACTGTCCTCCTCAACGACTCAACGTCAGCGCGCGACCTCGTTCGCCAAGCAATGCAGCGCTTCAGACTGGGTTATGGCGAATTCATTCTCAGCGTCAAGCTTCTCGAAGGCAGCGAGCGACCTTTGGGCCCTGATGAGAAGCCATTGCAGGTCTTCGACAGGCTCAGCGAGATGGCGCCTGAGTCCGCCGTGATGCCGAGCGTCAAGCGCTCCTCTGTGGGAAGCATCTCGTCAATCTCGTCCAATCTGAGCCTGAACCCTGCAATCGCGAGGGTCAATGAAGACTTCAGTGACGACCATGCTGTCAAATTCTACCTCAAGCGTGCACGCTCTCCCAGCGGTCGACAAGGGGCTAGTCCGGGCAGCATAGGTATCCAGCCCGGCCAGATCTGGTCCTCTTCCAATGCCTACGCCGGCGAGTCACCCGATCCGAGTGGCCTCCGCGCCCCAGTGAAGATACCCGGCGGTCTCTCACCACTTGGCACTCCCCTCGAAGGACCAGATATGGCTCTCTCGCAGTCACCACAAGCGCGCTTCGCCCTTCGCCTTGTCATCTTCCCGAACGACCTGCCAGAGGGTCTCTCCTTTGATCCGCAGACCAACGCACTCATCCCCACTACTGTACTGGCGGAGCGTGGCCCTTCTGGTGCCGCACCTGCCGATGGAGTTGAGCAACGCTTCCGTGAAAAGGTCCTCTCGTTGCCACGCAATGCCACAGTTGCAGAAGTGGTCGAAGCAGGGCTGGATCGCTTCGGAATAGCGGATGGTCTAGTTGAGGGAGGGGACGATGTTGAGGAGCGCACATCACGACGTCGTAGCCGCCCTCGTGTGAGATATAGCCTCACGGTCGACGTGAAGCGCCAAGGGCCAGGCAAGGAGCGTCATCTTCAGCCCAACTCGCGCGTCGTGGAGGCGTACCCTACCCCGCCCGTCTTCAAGGCTTCGTCGTCAACGAGCAACAAGCGTCGTTCCAATGACTCAGCGATGCTGCTTAACATGGCCGAGGAGCAGATACGACGCGAAGACCCTGTTTTCGTGCTGAGGGCAGTCACTGCTGCCAGCGCTAATGGGGCAAAGGCGCCACCTGGCAAGTCGGTGAGGTCTTTGAGTCCTACGGAGGGGGTGTTGGCTGAGAGGCAGCAGCAGAGGAGACAGTCTGAGCTGGACGCGACCAAGCTGACGGGTACGGCGGGAGTAGCAGGAGTAGGCGCGGCAGGCGCAGCAGCAGTAGCGGCAACAGCCGGTGGTATGACCAACTCGCGCAGTCGCGAAGTCATCGCCGCACAGCGTGCTGCAGCCCAAGAGCGCAAGGCAGCCGTCCTGGGAGCACAACGCAATGATCAGCAAGGCGTGGACCTCTACCTCGTCAACGACGGCAAGATCCGCTCCTCTCGCTCACTCGAGGGAGGGAGGGTGCGCTACTCTTATCTTCCGACTGCAGGGGGCCAGGAGATGGATATCAGCTCCATCGTGGAGGATGTGCTCACCATTGACGCCAAGGAGCCTTCTTCAGCGGATACGGGAGGCACCCTGACGCCTACTGCAAGTGGGCTCAGGCCGAAGATCCCTACAAGGGGAGCAAGCGCCTCGACGCTGCAGAGCCAATACATGGACGCGCCTTCGTCTCCGCTGCCCGAGTCGTCGGATCCCATGGCCGCCACCAAGCCGAGCACTGCGACCTCAGATCGTGACCTGCTTGAATCGTTCGTGCGCAACCCGTCCTCGGACGAGGACACCATAGAGGACCGGATCAATCAGGTTCTGTCACGAGTGACGGACGCCAATACGAGCTCAAGCAGCAGCGCTGGTCGCCGAACACCTACGACAGCGCAGCCGTCGGGAACTGTAACAGCCCCGCCTCGCTCAGCCATGAGACCCGGGCAGCATCGCAAGCAAGGATCGGGCAATGTCGACGGCACGTCGGATCGCTCGTATGGTTCCGTCTATGACAGCAGCCCTCGTTCAGCGTCGACCGCAACGGACAAGAGTGCAGCCACCACCAACCCCACGCCTATCTCCACCCTTACGACAGCCGCGGCAGCTGGAGGAGCTGGGGCTGGCGCCTTGGCCGCAGGCACGGTAGCTGCCGCAGGAGCGGGCGCGATCGTGGTAGGCGGTGCCGCCGCCGCAGGAGCGTCTCTCGCTGCCAACTCGAGTAACAATGCAAGCGTAGCTGGCTCCGCCTCCTCCCCACGTCGTCGAATGGCCAACGCCGGCCCTGCAGCCTTCATCCCTCGCGACGACTTTGGACTCGACCATCTCTACACTCTGGTGGACGCTGCGGCACGTCGAGACCCAAAGAAGTACGTCACCCGCGTCGTTAGTCGGTCGGCCAGTCGGGCTCAGACCTCACGCGATAGCAGCGGGGGGGGAGGGATCGCCTCGCGTAGTGCGAGCGGTAGTGGCGGGCCGACAGGGCCTAGTCCTCCAGCCTCGAGGCATAACAGCGTGGTAGCGGTGACCACTTATGCGCCGGAGCGTGAGAAACCGCGAGCTCAGGTAGCAGGCCTCTTCCCTCCGCCGAGCAACCAGATGCCCTCGGGATTGTTCAGGAGCGCGACGTTGGCTATGAGTGGTGGTGAGGCTGGGGCAGGGGGGAAGGCGCAGCAGAACGCTCAGCAACAACAGCAGGTCCATCAGGCGTATCTGCCGCTTGAGAAGCAGCTGGACAGGATTGAGGATGGGCTGGATGCCCTGCTCGAGCAGGCTTTGAGGGCATTCTAAGCAGGCGCGATCAGGATGAGATTGGGAACGCGATGGTGATAACAATACGACGGTCAAAACGGATGGCAGCGACGACGACGGCGATGGGCTCCAAATGAATTCTCCCCTCTGTACTTTTCCTGCTTCTCTATCAATATCGATTCCCTCGATTCTTCTCGACTACCTGCCCTCTTAGCGCACAGTTGGTGATTGAAACGACCGATGCCCACAACATGGTGCTGTCCACGAGAAAAGTGTGGTACATCGAGAGAGATATCACTATGCGAGACCCGAGCTTTACGCTTCCACGATTCTGCCCACTTGCGCAGCGAGATCTAGCCAGCTAGCGTATCGAAGCGACTTTGACACCCTTCTTTCATTCGCTTGCGGCTTGCTGCCCTGCGTGTGCATGAATGCCTGCGCCCCTGCGTCCGATGGCGAGGGGGCGAGCTGATTTTCGACATCTTCGAAGCCGAGGGGGGCAGGCTCGTGCTAGGCAGCGCATCTACAGGTTCTTCTGGAAAGGCGTGAATGATTACAATTGACGGACCAATGGCTAGGGGCGTCGAAGTAGTTGGCGAAGATAAGATGGGCCGTTCGTTTACGAGTCGCACGTATGGGGAGCGGTCAGGGTCGTACGGTGGAGTCTAATCCCTGGCAGTGGCCTCTTCATCGCATCACATTGACAAGCGTCTACAATTGGGCGCTCCAGCCGGGTCAATGCGATGTTGCAATGCGCTGGCTCTTGTCTCCAAGTCGCGGATTTACGGCGACGAATGAGACAACGCAAGACGATTCTGATTGTGTGAGCGAGCCGGCGGCCAGACGCGCAAGGCCGGCACATCGGCCGCCGGGGCGAAACCAACAGTTGGCTGACCAAAGGGTGAGGTCGTCCAGCTTGTCGCGGAATACGATGAGGCGCTGATGTTGATCAGCTCAGCCTCGGCCTCAGAAGGTCACTCACCGCCACTACCCGACCAGCTCCTCCTTTGTCTGCCGTGAGATACGGACGCCTCTCCTCGGGGTAGCGCAGGCGTCGATTGATATTGAGCTAGCCACTTTAGCCTACTCAGCCGGACTGGTGTCGGATCAGCGCGGTTCACCCTACCATGGGCTCGACCCGCTCGACCCTATTGGGACGGAGCAGGAAAATATGCGCCGCCACACCTACGCCTAGCGCTCCGCTGAGCTGCTCTCTCAATCAACTCTTGACTTTCTGGAGGGCGGGAGCGGCAATAAGGATGAGAGCCAGCGCCAGCGCTGTGCCAAGAGAGGGAAGAGACGAACGAAGCTTCGGGGACGTGCGTGCGTTCGTTGCCTGGCCTGTGCTGCAGACAGTCGATGTAGTGGTGCAGACAGCGTCACAGCACAGCCCTTTGCCGCCCTGCTTGCCCCTTTCGCCCGTTCCCGCACCGCGCCCAAGCCCGCGCTTTAGTTGCTCCCTCGCTCTTGCCTTTACGAGAAACCGGCCTACGATGGCGAAGGCGCCAATGATCAGCATTGCTGCGCCGCCCTCTCTCTCTCCTGCTTCTGCGTCCTGTGCGTGCCTCTCTTTCTTGGCTGCCGGAGCAGCCGATGGATGGCCTCAAGGTCTGGACCTCTGCGTAGCGTGAGCTGAGGCAGTGGGCGGCCTGAGCGCTGCTCTGCTCTGCCCTGCCCTGCTTGCTCTCTCCACCTCGCACATGATCCTGATCCTCGCAATCGAAATCCAAGCTCGCGGTGCTGCTGCGTTGCATTGCCTGGTTCCGCCACCTTCTACTCGCGGGTTGGTCGAGGTGTGAATTGAATCGCCATAGCGTCAGACAGAGGGAACGGACGGGCCCGACGCCCCGAGAGGACTGAGCGTGACGTCTCTTGGGACTCGACTGCCGATTTGCCGAGGCTGCTCGATTGCCTGTCCCGTCGATTCCAAAGTTGCCCAGGAGCGAGCGAGCTCTCTTTGCCCGCACGCATCGCCTCGACCCCTAGGGAAACGCGCCACGCTCCGTCGCTCGGGTAGGCTTATAGAAAGAGGTTCGGGTCAGAGACGGCTGCGCCTTCCCTCCTTGCCACTCGTTATCATCCTCCTCGCCACTACTCCATCTCGGACTCGACTCACCTCACCAAGCATCATCAAGTCACACTACTCTCACTCATCACTCAAGATGCACTACTCCACTGCCGCCCTCTCCCTTACGGCCATTGCCGCCGCTGGTGTCGCCTTCGCCCAGAACACCTTCTCAACGAACACGCCCACCGTCTTCCTCACCTGCCAGCCCTCCCGCATCACTTGGGTCGGTGGCCAGGCTCCTTACTTCCCCCGCATCACCGCGCCCGGAGACACTTCCAACACGCTTCGCTCCTTCGACCAGACCAGCGAGATGGGCCTCACCTGGAACGTCGACCTTGCCGCTGACCAGTCGGTCACCATCGCCGTAGGAGACTCGGCCGGCCAGACTGCCCCCTCGAACCAGGTCGCCATCCGCGCTGGTGGCTCCACTTCATGGTGAGTACGCGTGCGCAGCTTCGACGATTCTGAGTGAGAGCGGACGGGTGGGGGAGCCCTTACGTGGGGGAGATGTTGGAGGATGATCGCTGCTCAGTTGCCACCTTGCACATGCTACTGCTCGAGCGCGTGTCAGCATACCTCGTAACAAGGAGACAGAGGCGGCAGCGGCAGACGGTGGCCTCTGCCCTTGCTTCGCTTCGCTCTCGCCACGCCTCTCCTGCTTCCCTTACCTCAAGCAAACTTTTGCTGACCTATCTTCCCTTTCTCTCACCTCCCTCAAAGCGTCCGCGCCGCTGGTGGCACCGCTTCCGGCGGCTCCTCGTCGGCTGGTGGCTCCTCGTCCAGCGGATCGTCTTCTCAGGCATCGTCGTCCAGCTCGTCCAGCCGCCCTTCGTCCTCGTCGAGCTCTTCCGCTCCCTCGAGCTCTTCGTCGGCTTCGACCCCCGCCTCCTCGTCGTCGGCCTCTAGGCCCGCCTCGACCACGGCTGCTGCCACCTCGTCGCCCTCTGGTGGCGCCAACGGCGCTGACTCGATCCGCGGCTTCTCGGCCGTCGTCGCCGGCGTTGTCGGTGTCGCTGCTGCCGCTCTCCTCTAAGCGCGCGCGACCCAATCATGGCCTCGATAAGTCTAAGGCAAGCCGGAGATGAAAGCTGAAGTCCCGGAAAGGTGCTTGGTCGCACGCGCAAGCCTCAATCGAGCTTCAGCACGCCTCGCCCCCTCTGGTCAATCTCAAGCCCACTCGACCGGCATCGCCCTTCTTTTCCAATGAACAAATACCGATGGGGAGAAGTTTTCTTCTCAATGTCTCTGCGTTGACCTTGAAGTTGTCCCTACCTCCATCTTTCCGTCCTTCCCTCGTCCTCGTCCTTTCTCCGATAACTTTCAACTTCATCCAAATATGCATTCTTCTCCCCTATATCTCTGTCGCAGATACGCGGCCAGTGTGAAGACACCGTATCAGCAACGTGTGAAGAGCCAGATTAGAGATCGATGACGCAAGATGGGAGCCAAGGCCGCCAAGCAATTGCACAGCACGCGTGAGGGGGCCGTATCGAGCGGTAAGCGCGTAGTCAGGTTGTCAGGGTGCTGCCAAGGCACGGCCTGGTCTCGGTCGCGACACAATCAAGCTGTTCGCCTTCTAATTAAGTGTGGTACACACGCGTGGATCATGCTCAATCCATTCGCTGCGAAATCCTCATCCTCACAGTCGTCGAAGCAGCGGCCTCCACTGGGAGCGACATTTTGCTCTTCGTCCTGGCGAGTCGCGGCCGACCAACTCCGTTCCCGTCGCGTTTCGTCGTCATCCAAGCCCAATGCTGAGAATGAAAAAGGCTCGCGCACGCCCAGCCCCGTTGCCTCCTTGGCGTAATACACGCACGCGGCTGCTCAACCAAGGGAGTGACGATGATGTCGCTCGTCGCTGCCAACGGCCCTCCTCTCTTGCAGCGGCAGCGGCGAAATTCAATCGAGCGTGGCTGCTTGACGCAGTCCGCCGGCGGCTCAACGCCCAAAAAAAACGCAGGAATGCATCGCCTCATCGTCGAAAGCGTCCGTCCGTCCGTCTTACCTCGGCGACTACATCCGTCATCTCGACAGAGGAGGCCGATCGAGGAGAGCCCAGCTCTTGGACGCCGGGCTTGCAGGGAGAAGCAAGGCGTTGCAATACTCCGGTCGAAACCCAAGATTATCCTGCCATGGCGACGCCTCATTCGCCTGCCTCTCGTGGAGGGGCAGCAACAAGACGGTGAGACTGCGACGAAGACAGCGACTATGGCATCCCGTCAAGAGGTGGCGAAAGAGGTGAGAGACTAGGCAGAGCTGTGGTCATTCTGCTTGGCTATGCAACCTCTCTCTTGGCCACCCCTGGTGCAGGCGAGACGCGTCGGTAGTCATTCAAGGAGTGTCAATTGGTGTCGTCACCAAGGATTCGAGAGTCAGGCGCAGCAGAACAAGGGTACAATTCATCCGCCGCTCACTTTCCTCAGCTCTCGGCCCAACCTTTCGCTCGAGTGTCATTCTGGAGATCCATTTCATCTGGAGTGCGGGTCCCCATCCTTTTCTCCAACACCACTGCCTCGTCACACGACGACCTCTACTTCCCCTTCATCCTCGCCACCACCGCCTCAGCTATGGCGCTCAAGAAGACGTCCATCTCAGCTGGCCTTTTCCCAGGCTCCTCCAACAACGCAGGCGGAGGAGCCGCAGCCGCCGCCACGCACACCGAGACGGCCGATGTCGACTCAGCGAGCGATGATGTTGCTGGAGACGCCTCGCAGCCCATGTCTGGCCAGACGACGCTGGCTCGTAACACGCCTTCGCACACGCCTCGCGCTGCGGGCTCCATGGACTCTACGTACCAAGGAGCTGGGGACAAGGACGACAGAATCATCCTCGTGCAGTTCGATGAGGGGGACAAGGAGAACCCAATGAACTGGAGCAAGCCCAAGAAGTGGTTGATGACTTCGCTTCTGTGCTCGATGACGCTGGCTATTGGGTGAGCAGGCGCGATGTGATGGTGACGAGAGCGCTTCTGACCCCCCTCACGCTTCTCTCTCAGTCTATCGACGACGGCTTACAGCAGTGGTATCGGCACCATGGTTGCCGAATTTGGTGTCTCCAACGAGCTCGGACAGCTCGGCCTCTTCATGTTCAATGCCTCGTGCGCCATTGCTCCCCTCTTCTTCGCTCCTTTCTGCGAGCTCACGGGTCGACGCGTCGTCTATGTGACCGCCTTTGGCCTATTCAGCGTCTTTACCCTCATGCTCGTCTTTGGAGAGAACATCGCCACGATCCTTCTGGGCCGTTTCTTCCAGGGTGTCACCGGATCTATAGGCACCATCCTTGTTGGTGGTACGCTCGCCGACCTCTTCGACGATGACGAGCGCTCTATCCCCACGTCCATCTTCACCTTTTCCGCCATTGTCTCCACGGTGGGTGCGCCCCTCTATGCCAACTACATCGACCAGTACCTCGGCTGGCGCTGGATCCAGCGCGTCATGATCTGCTTCACAGGCGCCGTCTTCATCCTCGAGGCGGTCCTCTTCCGCGAGACGAGGGGCAGCGCTATTCTCACCACCAGGGCAAAGAAGCTGCGCAAGGACACTGGAGACATGCGATTCCGCTCTCCTGCTGAAGTTGAGAACCAGGGGATCGCCCAGCTCTTCAGAGAGTCGAGCCTGCGTGCCGTCACCCTGCTCATTCGCGAGCCCGTCGTCTCCCTCTTCGGTGCCTACCTCGCTCTCGCCTGGGGAGTCATCTTCCTCTTTCTCTCGGTCATCAATATTACCTTTGGCGACATCCACGGCTGGAGCGAAGGAAACGTTGGCTTGGCCTACATCCCGCTCATCCTGGGCTGCTTCATTGGATTCGGCACAGGGCTGTTCCAGGATCACCTCTACTTCCGCAAGAAGGCTGAGAACAAGGGCGTCGCCGTCCCCGAGGCTAGGCTGTACGGTGCTATGATCTTCTCCCCTCTCTTCGCCATTGGCATGTTTATCTTTGCCTGGACTGGCTACCGTGCCGACATCTCATACTGGGGTCCTCTCGTCGGCCTGTGCCTCATCCTCGTAGGCATTTACCACGTCTTTCTTGCTGTGTATTCGTACACGGGCGACGCTTATCAGGAGCTGGGCAGCTCTGCCATCGCTGGACAAGGTTTGATGCGCAACATGTTTGCAGCGGTCACCCCGCTCTTCGCGACACAGATGTTCAACGGCATGGGCGTGCAGTGGGCTGGCACGCTCCTTGCTATCCTCGCTCTCATCTTGGCTTTCCTGCCTTTCATCCTATTCGCCAAGGGAGAGACGATCCGAGCCAAGTCCAAGTACGCCTCTTCACAGACTGGACTCTCGGACAAGAGGGCGCAAAGCGGGGATGAGGAGAAAGCTGGTGGCAAGGCTGAAGAGGGAAAAGCGGCGAGTGAGGCGAGCCAGTAAGGCAAGAGAGAGATTTCGCAATTAGTGCAGCACGTAGATCGATTTCCGTAGACCATCGCATTAGCATTCAGAAGCATCCGCAGCATAGAACCCAAAGCATTTGTACTCTGCCTCAAGTCTGTCGCATGACGAAGTTGTCTCGTCAGGGTGTCGTATCGCGATTTTAGCTGTGACTGCCTCGCTCTTGGGGTCGCACGCTCAGTCATCCTCAGTGTCAACCCTCCTCACACCATGTTCGGTCTCGACGTCACGCCATCGCATCAGTGAATCAATGTGCTTTTATGTGTCGAGAAGACGGAAAAGACGCGGCGACAAGAGGGTGATGAAGTACATGCGTGAGAGAGAAGAGATACCACTCAGAGGTGCGCCAAGTCCCCCGAGCAGCCAAGGTGAGAAGGTAGTGTGGGTGATGGAGTGGTCCACGCCAAACGGCAAGACGATGAAAGGATAGCTCCTGCGCCTTCACACGTCGCTGGACCGCAAACGACAACCGTCATCAATTACGCCGTAGTCAAGAGTGCGCACAATGGCACACGCTTAAAGCTGACGCTTGACGAGGGCGTTGATGTCGCCTTCCCTCGAGCCAGTGTTACCGCCCTCGATGAAGGACGTGAACTTCTTGCCCTTGTAGCCGCCGTTGGGGTTGGCGAGCTTGAACTGCCAGAGGAACTGGTTAGCCCACTTGAAGTTGGGGCCAGCAGTGGCAATCTCGTGGACAAGGTCCTCGACGGAGATGATGCCGTACTTGCCGAGCTGCTCCTCGATGACGGCGTTGGAGGTGAGGGGAATGCGCTGGCGGTTGACCTTTGCGTATCCGCGCTTGTAGATCAAGTTGCGGATGGTTGCGACCGAGGGCTCGCCGTAGGTGACGTAGGGCTCGACGAGCTGGAGCATCTGCTTGGTGGCCTTGGTCAGCTTGACGAAGACGGCGTTGTTGATCTGGACGAGGCGGAGGAGCTGCAGGATCTTGCGGGGCTTGGGAGCAATGTTGTTGACACCACGCAGACGGATGACGAGGGCAACCTTGGGCTGGGCGGGGACGTAGAAGTCGCCAGAGGCCTTGGCTGCTCGGCGGAGACGGATCTCCTCACGCTCGCGCTGCTGGTTCTCCTTGACGTACTGCTCAGCGCGCTTGAAGATGACGCGGCGCTTAGCCTTCTGGGCCTGTGAGAGTCGCGAGGATGAAGGTGAGGGATGTGTCAGAAGAGCGTGTTCACATTTGGCGTGAATTGGCGAGGATGGCCCGTCCCAACTGCTATCCAACGAGCCCGACCGCTTCCCCCAACCCTGCCTCCTCTACGTCCCGACTTGATCGACCGGCGTCAGACCCGAAAGATGGTATAATTGTCGACAGCATCGTCCTGAGGACTAGCCAGATTCACTAGGAAGATGTTGTGCATCCCTGCCGGTGATCGTCCGACGATGGCTGCCATGCTACTCCACGAACAGCATATAGCCTCGCAGAGGGGGCAGTGTCGCCTGACGACCATCTCATGTCCATCAATACTTTCCCGCTTCAACGATGATTCCCCAATCTCTCAATGCCTCCGCCGCTCTTCGATAATCTTCTGTGGGCCCTCATTGAGTCCCTCTCCTCTCCCGCAGATGCTCACCTTCTTGGCCTCAGCGGCGAGCTTCAGTCGCTCCTCCCTCGACTTCTGGTCCGAGCGCCTCTTCTTGAGAAGCGTCTCGGGGACGAGGACGTCCTTTGCTGAAGGGACCGAGGTCTTGACGGTAGCGGTCATTGTGTGATGAGGAAGAGGGAAGGGGGGGTGACGTTGGTGGTGTGGACGACGAAGAAGTCTCGATGCTCTGGCTCGCAGTGGGCCCGAATCGAGTCGAGTCGAATTCGACCTTGGCCGCCGCCCCGTGTCTCTCTAGCCCTCGCTCTGTCTGAGTGGGACTTGAATTCGCTCGCTCACTCGACCGCGTGGCTCTCTCAGATTGGCTCGACGAGGGTGGGCGGCCGGAGAAAGGACACTGCTCATCTGCCGTGCGGCCCAATTGCGCGCCTGACTGCGGGCTGCCTCGGAGCGGAACCTGGCCCACTCTCACATCGATTCTTGACCTCGACGAGGGCCAGAGAGTCGACGGCGGCCCTCGAGGCAAGGCAAGCCAGGCAGGCGGGCAGGCAAGGAAGCCCAGCCAGAGTGAACTCGCCCGCTCGCCCGCGGACACACGCGAAGATCGACCAAGGCCAAAGCCAGCATCATCGACTCTTGCTCCTCACCACTCCGTCCTCCTCATCATCATCATGTCGTCGAAGCTCCTCCGCACCGCCGGCTCAGTAGGCGCTCAGCCCACCGAGACCGAGTCTACCGTCATCAACGCCCTCGTTGAGCTCGAGAACGCCGTCAACGAGCTCAAGACGGAGCTCAGGACGCTGCACATCTCGGCAGCAAAGGAGGTCGATGTCAAGGGCGGCAAGAAGGCCATCGTCGTCTTCGTCCCCATGCCAGAGTTGAGCGCTTGGAGGAGGATTCAGGGAAGGTGAGCATCGTCGGGGCAGCACAACCACCACCAGCAGCAGCAGCAGCAGAGACGAGTGTCGGGGCTCAGGGAAGAAGTCGGGCAAGCTGGCCCGCATCGAAGAGGTGGTGTCGGTTGAAGGGCACAACGTTGGCGGTGGGTGCAGTCACAGTTACTGCGAAGCACGGCGCTGCTCATCAGCAAGATGATGACGAGGTCTGGTGTGGCAGACATTCAGACGAGCCAGAATGGCATTGGAGCTGGGCTCTTGATGGGAAGGCGGGGCTAGAGGAGATTATTAGGCAGCCCTACCACTTTCCAACTTCGGACTATGTGCTGACCATTTTCACCTCATCCTGACACGCAGGGTCACCCGTGAGCTTGAGAAGAAGCTCTCAGACCGCCAAGTCCTCTTCATCGGTCAGCGTCGCATCCTCGCCAAGCCCGGACGCAGCTCTGGCCGCAGCAAGCAGCCTCGCCCCCGTTCGCGCACCCTCACCTCGGTCCACGCCTCGATCCTCGAGGACCTCGTCTACCCCACGGAGATTGTCGGCAAGCGCTACCACCAGGCCGTCGATGGCTCCAAGCTCGTCAAGGTCTTCATCGATGCCAAGGACTCGACCAGCGTGGAGCACAAGGTCGCTTCCTTCGCTAGCTCGTACAAGGCGCTGACTGGCAAGGATGTCACGATTGAGTTCAAGGCTGCTGACCTCTAAGTGGGAGGATTGGAGGACCATGCGAGGCAGGACAGGAACTTGGTTAGCTAGGAGAGACTTTATACTCTCCGGCGAGAGGAGATGAGGGTCGAGCAGGAGGAGCACCCTGGCTGCGAGACATTTCCCATCCCTCCACCCAAACCCCTTTACCACCGCCTCAACCTTCACTACCACCACCTTTCACACAGCATCGCTTTCACTTACGCTCGCCTCGTCCGCTTCGGCCTCTCTTTGTACACTCACCCACATACGAAAAGTCCACTTGGCAATCACCAACGTCATTTGGCACGGCAGCACACGCGCTTTTGAGGGCATGACCTGAGAGAAGAACGAGGCATTGCTGACTAGCTACACTATGATCGAGAGAGGGTATAGATGAAGTTGCGTGCGCGTGTGTGTGCGGCGTGTGGGTGTGTATGCCACGGCGAAGGATGGGGCAGCGAATCTAGACAAGGAAAGAAAGTGGCGTGTGGTGGTGTGTTACAATTGAAGCCTCGACCGTTTGGCTCGCAGCCTAGCGATCGATCAGGATGGCCCTCTGCGACTCATTCAGATAGTCCTCGAGGACATCCTGGGTCGGGCACCAGTAGCTTACTCTTCTATCACCGGCAGCGAAGGACTCATCCGGTTCGCCGCTCACGCTGCCGCGAGGATCGTTGAACGAACCCACGGGCGTAGGCGCAGGTGCGGTACAGATGCTGCTCCTTCGGTCTGGGATGCGGGGGCTGTTGGCGCTCACGCTGCTGCGCCCGGTGTTACTCGCAAAGGTACTGACACTGTGGTCTTGCGTAGGGGACCAATGGCAGAGGATGTGACGCGCGAGGCGTGACTCTTCGCCTTCGTCCTCTCGCTCGCGCTCCTGTCCGTCGAGGTGGGACAGGCTAGCCGACAGATCCGAGCGAGAGGCACGGCCTTCATCCGAGCCGGAGGTGTAGACTGCGACCCACGAGTATTGCGAATGAACGGGTGAGAGCGGGCGACGTCGTAGTCGCCTGGAATGCTGCGTTGATTGAAAGGACGTGTCAAAGGGATCGGCGGAGGCGAGGGTGGGTGCAGGCGCCTCGATGCTGGCTAAGCTGCGCTCGCTTTCGAGCCAGAAGGTCATGGTGCTTTCGTCTAGGGAGAAGGGATCTTCCGGTCTGAGGTGTTGCTGCTCAGGCGTCGTGCTGGGTACCTTGCGTAGGCTTGGAGCACGGGTCGAGGTGGTAGTGATCGTCTTCGTGATCTTCACGCCGCTGTTGGCAGATGCGCTGGTCGTCGGCTGCCTCGTGCCACTGGTCTCTCTCGCCTTGGTATGGTCTTCCTTGGCAACTCGAATCTCCTGTTCGCCATCGTCATCGGCGGAGAAGTGCTGCCACGCTGTGGGCATGGCCTCGGAGGAGGTCCTCGTCATCCCATTGCCCACATCAAAGCTCGCATGCGATGCCGTTGAGGCAAGGAAGGCCTCCAGTGCTGAAGCTGCGCCGAGGGAGAAGGCTTGGCTGTGTGTATGCGGTGGTGTAGCTTCACAGCGTCGACTGCGAGGTGGGAAGCCGAACGCATGGCGATCGTCGTCGTCGTCAAGTGAGCTAGGGAAGCCTGCGATCTCGGAATAGAGGGAGGGCGAATGATCAACGCCCACAGAGAGAGTCTCTGAGGCGTGACGGCGCTGCTCATATACCTTCCTCGGGGCGATGATAGCCGTAGACGGGATCCTGTACACCTGCAGGCGCTGACGTTGCGCCTCAGCTGCGCTATACTGATCTTGTCGGGTCCTCGGGAGCAGGTTCTGAAGGCTTGGAGGATGCTGCAATCTGCTGCTGATCGGAGTCAGCGCCATCCCGTGACGGTGGTCTTTCGCCCCTCGATAGAAGCCCTGCTGAGGTAGATGAACTGGCCCTGCTTGACGGGCGATGACGCGGGGGATGACGAGACGCTCAGGCTGTGGGGACTGATTGGCTGACTGTTGATCCTCGAAGGGCGAAAGGGTCTCTGTGAGCTCAAAGGCTCTGCGCGAAATGAGTGAGGAGTCTGGCATCATCGGGTCGCCGCCGCCGCCATTGAAGTCATCAAGCATAGGCAGCGAGACTGTGCGCTTGTGTACAGGAGTGTTGGTTGCCTGTCCAGATGGTAGGCTGAGAGCCTCTCGACGGCTGCGCCACTTTGCAACGCGCTTCCCTAGCTTGGCCAAGGGCGACTTGGTGACCTCGTGGGACGACATTGGGAGCGGTGACGTCGAGTGGTTCCCGTGTGGTGAGCGCGGCGGCGAGCTAAATGAGGAGCGGTGGCGTAGAGACGATCGACTCTTAGCTGTCTTCCTCCTCTTTCTGGCGATGCGCCAAGGCATGCGCTTGGTTGGAGAGCTGGTAGCCTCGATATGCTGAGAGAGAAGAGGGGCAGCGGAGGAGAAGGTTCTTGCCCTGCGATGTCGTCGAGACGAGGAGCGAGGCCAAGAGGTGCTCTGCTGGTGCTGATGGCCGGGCTGGACGTTTGCGTGGCGACGAAGGAGGATGTCTTCGAAGATGGGTGTAGAGGGCAGCAAGCTGGCAAAAGAGGGCATTGTATGGCAGGTCGGGCCGGCTGCGTTGAGCTTGAAGGCGACTCACTGGCTCAGGATCGTTGGGCCAAGTCAAGGTGAAGTGGTGATACGATCAAGGGCTGAGATGGCAAAGGGTGATAGGTCGAAACGGAGCAGGCGGTAGGCAGTCAAGGTCCAGTCCGCATCCACTTTCATCTCCATCGTCTTGGCTTGGCCGACCTCAAACGAGGGCGAGGTCGTCATTTTGCTGTCTCTCGTTGCTCGTCGCCACGGCTTCAACAATTGGCTGTAATTCAACACACAACCTCGCGCCCTGAGTGTTGCGTTGCGAGCTTGCAGGCGGACGGGCTGGCAAGAGCCGGCGGGCTGGATGGGCGGAGCGAGTGTGTCGACTCGACTCGACTCGAGGTCCGGCTTCCGCATCGCACTCGCATTTGGTGCAGGCAGCGGCGGCGGCGGCGGCGGCGACGAGAGCGAGGCGGGACATTGTCCTCGCAGTGTAAAGGCCGTGAGGTTGCCATCCTACTTCTCATCGTCATTCAGCAAGCCCGACAAGCACAGTCTCCCAATAGTCGTCTCAAAGCTCATCGACGTCAGCCTTGTGAGCCTTCACTGCCAGCTCAGTCCTGCTGCTCCCCCTCCGTAGCCTGCACTCCTCCTGTCCAACATGGCTACCCCTACAACTGGCGAGTTCGGCCATCCGCTGAGGAAGTTCAAGGTGGGCGTACCAGCGCATCGAGGAGACTCTGTCCCAAGACGATCCGCTGATCACGGCTTCACTGTTCTGCCTCCCTCGCCCTTCGCTCGCAGCTCGTCTTCCTCGGCGAACAATCAGTAGGAAAGACGTCGCTCATCACCCGCTTTATGTATGATACATTCGACTCTACATACCAAGCGACAATCGGCATCGACTTCCTGAGCAAGACGATGTACCTCGAGGATAGGACAGTGCGACTGCAGCTTTGGGATACCGCCGGCCAGGTGAGGCAGAGGTGATGCAGCTGGAGCACATGAGTGCCTCTCAGACTGACCTTGCGCAACATGTTCGTCTCTGCGCAGGAACGCTTCCGCTCCCTCATCCCCTCATACATTCGTGATTCAAGCGTCGCAGTTGTCGTCTACGACATCACAAGTGAGCTCGGCGGAGAGTCGTCGGCCTTCAGATAGCGGGCGCGTGGCTCACATGTCTCCCTTCTCGCACCTCGTACAGACCGTGCCTCTTTCCAGAACACATCAAAATGGGTCGACGACGTCAGAGCAGAGCGTGGCTCAGACGTCATCATTGTGCTGGTGGGCAACAAGACGGACTTGGGTGACAAGAGGTGAGCGAGCGAGCGAGCGATCAACGGTGCTGGGTACCGAATCAGCAGCTGACCCCGTCCCGTTGTTCTGCTCACGCAATCAGACAAGTCACGACCGAGGAAGCAGAGGCAAAGGCGGCCGAATTCAACGTCATGTTCATCGAGACGTCTGCCAAGGCTGGCCACAACGTCAAGGTGCTGTTCAAGAAGATCGCTCAGGCGTTGCCGGGCATGGACAAGTCGGGCGAGGGAGAGCAGGCAAACAAGAGTGAGTGGCCGACCGATAAGATGCTATCACAAAGACCATTTTGGAGCCGAGTGGCTCAACATCTTTCCCGCCCTCTTGCTCGTAGTGATTGACGTGACGGCACCGACAAGTGCGAATGCCGAGGAGGGCAGTTCAGGGTGCAAGTGCTAAGGACGAGGCAGACTTTCTCTGTATGCAGGGAGAGTCGTCAAATCAAGGGAGAGGCGACTGTTCATGCCTGTCAGTGGGCCGGCGTCGAGGAAGCTTTGCAGCATTCAGCCTCTTTGCTCGCTCCTCGTGGTTCTTTGAAGCCGGCCTCTCCCTCCTTCCTACCTTGCGCTTCCCTTCTTCCCTGACGCCTTCATGCCTCCTCTCTGCGCCTCTGTCAATATACAACCATCGTTACCCGCCACGGCTGCCCGCTACCACCTGCCCTACCCAGCTGAGGCCCGAAATTCTCAGGCTCTGGGCAATGGACGTTGCTGCGTCCCATCAATGTGAATCCGTAGCCTATCTGCGCCCGCCCTCGCTCTCACACTCTGCTTGCTCTGCCCTCGTCGTCGAGCGCCCCTCCCCGCTTTCTGTCCTTCCGATCGAAGCCACACACACACACGCGCAGACGCAGGCCCGCGCTCCCGCGCTCCCGCCCAGCTGAGACTGACTGACGCTGGCCCTGGCAGCTTCTCGAGTTGAGGCGCCCGCGGAGCAGCGAGGACCCGTGGGTGTTGGGTTAGGCCGCCTCTGGATGCAGCCTGACTTGATCGACGGATCCTTTGCAAGGTGGCTCAGCTGCGCTGCGCCTCCTCCTTGGCTCCGTACTCCTCACTTCTCAGCTCGTCCCTACTCATTCATCGCGAGGATGGCCAAGACCAGATCATCGTAGCCCCCCTCTGCTCGCTTGACCAAGAGGAGCCGCGAGGAAGCTGCTCGATCAGTAGGCAGGCCCTTTCATCTCCTTGTGCTCAGCCTCGCGACCTGCCTAGCTCATCGCCACGATGCCAGGACCATCCGTCTCCATCACTCTCTTTGAGCCCGTCGCCTACCTACGAGGCCAGTCTGCATCCGGCGAGGCACGAGGACGTCGTCATACCAGCACGATTCATCATGAGTCGGCGCCGAGCCAATTGCGTGGACTCGTAACCGTCTACTTGCCCAAACCTACGCGCGTCAAGAGCGTCGAGCTGACGCTGTTTGGTGAAGGACGTACTGATTGGCCAGAAGGTGAGGGAAAAGGAGACGACCCGCTATTCAGAGGTCACGAAAACTGATCATCCTGCATCCCCACGCTTAGGCATTGGCAACAATCGCATCGAGCTGGCCGAAGTCTCGCAAATCATCAAGCAGCAAGTCACCCTCTTCGACGCCCGCGCTAATGACGCGCCACTGGCGCCGCCACTCCGCCGCGCACACAGCATGGGCCCTGGTATAGGCTTTGGAGACCAAGACGACCTTGACTGGAATATGGCCGACCACCAGCATACATCCTCATCTGGCCCGAGCCGCAGCGACCGCGAGCGAGAGGCACGTGAAGCGGCTGCCAAGATGGCAAAGAGCGTGGGCAAAGCGGCGGCCAAGGCTGGTTCAGCCATTCTCCCACCTACGCTGCGAGAGATGACTGGGAGCGGCAGGTCTGGTAGTAGCAGCAAATCGAGGGAGAGGGAAGGCAAGAGGCAGAAGAGTTCTGACCGCAGGCAGCCATCGGGGAGCAACAGCATTCCGGCGACGCCTTCGGGGTCGAACACGCCGGCGCGCAACTCAATGACGTTGCCACGAAGCGTCGGCGATCGTGGCAGCCAACAGCAGCTGGCTCCCCACGACCCACCCCCAGACTACGAGCAGATTGACACGCCTCCTGCGACAGCATCCACGTCTCCCTCGGCTGGCTATTTCAACCAATCAGCCAATGCATCACCCACGCACAACAATCTCGTCACTGCTGCATTTACGCCAACTCTACCTCCTCAGTCGCGTCCTGCCGCAGGGCCTCACGGCCGCTCCATCCTGCACCGCCGCGAAGCCACCAACGGTGCTGCAACGACGATACCAGCAACAGCGGCAGGACACTCTTCCTCGAGGAGCCCATCTGTTCCTCCATCACCTACTGTCCCGACGTCATCATCGCAGCACGTCGTCCGCTTTGGCCCGCCAGACGAGATCGTTCCACCTCCTGAAGACGAGTCCAGGGGCCGTCCGCGAGGCATGAGCGGCCCCCATGTCATCAATGCTACGCAGTGGCCCCCAAGCGACATGGTTTCGGCTTCGCCCGATGGTGCGACTTTGCCGTCTTCGGCGCCCCACTCACGCCGCCCTTCGCTCGATCGACTGACCCAAGCCCTCGAAGCCCTCCCCTCCGTCGTAGCCGACAAGGACGGCAACCCCCCAGCGAAGAGCAGTAGCAAAGACAAAGGCAAGGGCAAGGCGACTCCAGACGGGTTGCGTAGCCCCACGCTAGCCAAGAAGAGTCTGAAGCAGCTCTTGGCAGGGTCGGGTCGCAAGGGCGGAGAAGGAAGCGGAAGCTGGCACGGCAAGCATGGCTCTTCGCCTTCGCCTAGTGGCAATTCACGGCCGACGAGCTCTTCGGGTCGAAGGGAAGGATCAGGAGCACCGACCGCAGGAGGCGGTGCACCGGGCGACACCGAGCCTCACCCCACCCCGTCACTCAACCAGCCTCCCTGCGACTGGCGTGAATTCAAGAAGGGCACCTACACGTACAGCATCTCCCTTCCTCTTCCCGCCAATCTCCCGCCGACCCTTTATGCTGATTTCGGACGCAACACCTATACCCTCAAAGCCGTCGTCAAACGCTCAGGTCCACTCACCCCTAACCTCTCCTGCGAGCGCGAGGTAGTCATGGTTCACGCGCCTGACGAGGAAGGGACTGAAGAGACGGAAGCCATCGTCGTTGAGCGGACTTGGGAGGACGCCCTTACGTACCGCGTATTCGTCAGTGGACGCTCCTTTGCTTGCGGCTCCAAGATCCCGCTCTGGATCAAGTTCATCCCGCTGGGCGAGAAAGTCAGGCTCTGGCGTCTCACCGCCGTGTTGGAGGAGAAGACGCACTATTACGCCAAGGGCAGAAAGGTTGCCCGCCACGAAACGCCGCGACGATGGACCTTACTCAAGCTCATGGGCCCCGACGGCAAGCCCCTAGTACCCATCATCTCCGACGAGCCCAACGCGCTGAGGAGTAGCGTGCTGGCTGACTACGCCATCGCGGCCAGCGAGTTCCACATGCCCGCCGACGCACGCCGTCGCCGCACTGAGGCAGCAGCGCAGCTCTCCGCCATTGCTGGACCGTCTAGCAACCCCATCGATCGGATCGCAGTGATGGACAGCGATGATGAGGAGGCGGAGCAGGACGCTCTCGCTTCACTGCTCGACCCGGCCGGGCCTTGGGAGCTTAGCATTGATCTTCAGCTTCCCGGAGCAGGCACGCGCATCAACTTGAGCACGGATCATGCAAAGTCGAGCATCGCGGTGCACCACCTCCTTCGCCTCACCTTCCGGGTCGAGAAAGCAGACGGATCCTCGACGAGCGCCAGCAAAGCCAAAGCCGGCACCGGTGAAGCTCTCAAGCCCAAGCTCTATGATATAGTCATTGAATGTCCGATCGCCATCAATCACTCGCGTACATCGGATATCTGGCTCTCCCTCCCCAACTACTGGAGCGTCGCGGGCGATGCACCCCCTGCTCCACCTGGGAACAGCGTGGTCATTGCAGAGCCGGACTGCTATTTCTCGCCGCGAACTTCCTCTTCGAGCCCGAGCACGCCAGCGGGGTTGCCGCAGCAGGGCGGCTCAGCTTCGGCCGCTACGACGCCGACGTGGATGGCACACCAGACCAGCTCGTCATTCCGCAACGGAGGAGCAAGATCAAGTCCCACATCGCCACCTTTGGGTGCTCCAACGCGTACGCTCGGTACAAGCACCAGCAGCAGCGGGAGTGGCAGTGGTCTCATGTCCCCTACGTCCACCAGCGCAGGCACGCACAGCACCCTCTTTCCCTCCTCATCATGGTACGGCTCCTACAATTTCGCAGCAGGTGGAGCATCCGCCCCTGCCACGCCTACCATCGGGTCCATGGGGCGAGGCAGGTCCTCCTCGCCCGCCTCGCCAATGGTCTCACCTCATCCGAGCGGGCCAGGAGGATGGAGGGGAACGTCTGCGGCTGCGTCTGGCGGGCTAGATAGTGACGCAGTGGCGGCAAGACAGAGTGCGTCGCATTGGCTCAGCCTCTCGACACAGGCTGCCGCTCAGCAGGCTGCTCAGCAGAGGCAGGGAGCGACGACCTCCGGCGCTGATGGGCCGGCACTGGCTACTGCGCGATACGGGGGTGGCTCGGCGGCTGCAGAAGGGGCGGACGTTGGGATCCAGGAGCAGGGCAATGCGATCGAGGAAGCGGCGTCAGGCGAGGAGGAGCCACCCCCGTATTCGGGCCCTCCCTCGGGCCCTACGCATCCCGCTAGCACGGCCGCAACCGCGGCAGCAACGCCAGGTGGCACGGCGGCAGCGACGATACCCACGACTTCGCTGCCCCAGCCTCCTGCTGCGACTGTGACGGCTACGCAGGTAGAGACGAGTACTGCTTGAGCGCAGAAGCGCGATGAGCTAGGCAGGGGGTGAGAGAAGAGAAAGAGCATAAGCTGACAGCAAGGTCGACGACCACGACGACGACAGTGATAATGCGGCCTATAGACACGCTCGGCCGAGCACTCATATCTATCCAGTAGAAGATCAACCGATATGTTTACCATCATCGCGAAGCTTGACTCATCTATTGATTGCCAGTCTTGAATGGGTCGACGATTGGGAAGAGGACGCAAGCACCGCCGACTCGCGAGGTGGTGGCAGCCTCTGAACAGTGAGGTGACTCGACCCGCTCATATGGCCTGCCATACGAACAAAATCGTCCTTCTTCATCACTTTGACTTCTCACGATCCAACTGTGAATCAAAGGTTTCGATAAGGACTCTGCCCTTACCGGCCAGGTGCAGCGACGCATCAAGCTGCGCCAAACCCTTACCCTCTCCTTCCCCTGCATCATCATGATCCTCCTCAGAGCCAGAGTTGGGCCTTGGCTCCGCGTTGACGCGAGGAAGGTGCTGAAGCTCGATGGACTCGTTGCGCATTGAGGCGGAGCAAGCCTTACTGTATGGGTGAAGCAGGACTTTCATACGCAGTGAACCTTCCGAAGCTTGGATAGCGTCTACCCAAGAGGTCTGAGTGAAGTCCAAGCGCGGGGCAGGAACGTCGTCAGCTCGGGTGCAGCTTCAGGGACGCCTGTGTCGTACACCCTCACTTCATCCTCACCTTGTGAGAATGGGGCTGTTGATCACCAGGGTAGTCTGATCTGGTCGTATGGTTGACATGCCTACCACAGCTCGTAATACCGCCTGCGATGATCGGACACTAGATGCGGAGGGAGACATGTGTCTTAGCTCCGCTCACGAGCACGCGATACCCGCACAAAGATATTGTTGCGCTCCTCGATCGTGAGCTCACATTGGCGGCATTACCGCGAGCATCGAGTCCTTCGAAGGCTGTGGTAGCGTTCATAGCAGAGGTCTGTGTGCGCCTCAGCAGATGGAGAGAACGTCGTCAGGTCGAGGCCAGCACGGCGTCCACGTTCACCTTATTCGCGTACCGGTATGACTGCAGCCATCGAGGCGGTAGTCAGGAGATGAGCGATGCCCATCGAGACGAGAAGGACGAGGGTGAGCTGGACCGCGTGAGTGATGGATCGTCTAGCGATGTGAGGCTGGCCGAGCTGTGGGGCAATGCTCCAGGCAAAGCGCGTGAAGGGCACCATTGTGAGTCGCAGAGTGAGTGAGAGGAGGGGATAGGGAGGCAAGAAAGGCAGTGCGAGTGTGTAGGGGTAGCCTGCTTTAATAGTCGTCTCTGTAGCAAGATGACCTTTCTCAAGCATCCGCAGCAGCGTCACGCCCTTCAATCTTGACTTGAGAGTGCAATTTCTGCTTGGGCCGCACTTTCTGATCGCCGGGGCACGCACACTTCGATGTCGTGCTGAAGATCGCGCCGAATCCCTGACGATTGGGCGATCTACGGGGCCTGATCGCAGCGCATCATATGAGTTGTTCTGCATTGAGGCCAGCAATGACGTCGTTCTCAGTATGCCCGGCCGTACATTTCCATCAAGCCGTATCAAAAGCCGCGTTGCGGCCGTTTCGCTCCTTGAAGCATCCAGTCCCAACTGGATCGTAGGTGCACTGCAGTCGAAGATCCGAGGCGCCATGTCAGCTCGCGATCGAGGTGTATAGCCCAGCGGAAATATATTTCGCTCACATTGTCCTTCCTCTTGACGTCGAGCTCGGCCGTGATGCGCTTGGACAGGAGTCTTACAGCTTCAGTCGAGCCGTGGCCATGGGCCAGGGGAGCCTGTTGCTGGGGATGTCGAGCGTCAGCACCGCTGAACCTCGTCGTACTGCGTGCGCTTCACCTCCTCCGCACCGTGGGAATGGCGACGACCGTCCATACGGAGAGGGTAAGGGCGAGAGCGAAGTAAACGCTCCAGAAGGCAAAGTATGGGATCATAGGCAAGACCTTTTCCTGGCGGGGGTTGTGGAGCATCACTGTCGAGTGGGGAAAGAGATGAAGTTGGTGATGGGTGTCGAGCCAGAAGACTTCATGGGACGAAGGTGACGCTCTTATGTACACACTGCCAACGGTAGATGATGCCACGCTGCCTGCATTGCTTTTGCGGCGCAACCCTTGACCCTCGATCCTTCTCGTTGCTGTAAGCGCGGACGATGGTCACGAGCCGGGTTGCGGGCCGAAGGAAAGATGTTTGAGACGTGCCCAATGTCGTCGGCAAGAGGAAATCAAGTCCTCTAGAAGACTCTTTTGAGGGCTCAAGGGAGCATCAGCTTGATAGCGTCTCACACCGAGGTTGCCGTTGTCTCGCCTTGCCCATTCGTCGCTCTCTCCTGATCAGCATTGGCGGCACGCATTGGTGATGCAAGCTGCAAATTCGCCGTCTCTCCTTCGCCTGTCATGATGGTATCGAGTGTAGAGGACTGCTCCTTGCCTTGACTCTGAGCTTGTGCGTGGGATGCCTCGTGCGCTTGCCCATTAACATCAGTAGGTGCATTGGCGCCTAACTCGGCGGCGCCCTCTGCAGTGCCTTGCTGCGATTGCTGTCCTGCCTCCATCTGGCGCCTCCTCTTCCTCGCCCGCAGTATAGCTTCGCGCTTCTCTTCCTTGCTCATCGCAGCTGGCGCGGCGGTTGGCTTGTCATTGTCGTCATTCTTGCCTTTGTTCTCGTCGTCGCCTCCTCCTTGCCGCTCCCGCTTCCCACCTCTTTGCCTGCGATGAATCGCATGCGCCCACTCTGCCACCTTCAAGCTTGAATCTTGAGAGCCATCGATACTACTTGACGATGCGGCAGCACCCATAGCAGCAACGAGCTGGGCAACGATGCTGCGTACTTGCATGACGAGGGGACCGTAAGATGGCATGGCTGCGAGTGGAGGTTGCGTGCCGCTGCCGGATGAGCGGGAGATGTCCACCAGTGGGGAGAGAAGGTGAGGCAGGACCTCTACGAGACCTGGGAAGCCAGTCTGCGGGGCGAGAGAGGATGACGATGCTGAGGTTGAAGATGAAGCACGCCCTCTTGGATCGAGAAGGGAGGCCAGCTGAGCGAGGTGGCTCATAGCCTGTTCGACTTCTGCTGATGAGGGCGGAGCGGCTGAGAGGTCTCTGCTGCGACTGCTGCTGCTGCACTGTCCATTCTGCTGCTGCGGCTGTTGCTGCGCTTCGTTCTGCGCTCCAGGCGGTTGTTGAGCCATTGCGAAAGCTGATGAGGAGTTTGAGGAGTCAAGGCAAGGAACGAAGCCTAGATGCAATGCCAAGGCGGGAGGTCAAGGCTGATCCGAGCGCAACTTTGACTTCAAGGCCGACGACGGACTGCCGGCAAAAGTCGATGCAAGGAATGGCCACTCGTCTTCCCTCTTGCTCCTCTTCCATTTATCCGTCAAAGCACACCCACGCCTCTATCCATTTCATGTCAGCCGGACCTTCCTCACCGGCCCCTAAATCGAGCTTCACCGCCTCAGGCATCGTCTCGGACCCTTCAGGAGGGCCAGGCCGTGTCATTCCTGAGTCACGTCGAGCTGATGGGTCGATAAGAAAGGAGAGGCGCGTCAAGCCTGGTTTCACGCCTAATGAGGATGTAGCGCGATTCAGGCCGTCGAGGCTGCAGAAGAGGGATGAAGAGGAGGAGCGAAAGGGTACGGCTGGCAGAGTCGTACCAGGAGTTGCGGCGGCGGGGATCAATGGCAGGCGTATAGAGGGATCCCCGTCGGTCTCGCCTTTAATACCGCCGCCGACGAGCTCCTCCACTGCATCGCCGCAGAGGAATGGCACAGATTGGCCTTCTCTCGGCTCATCGGTATCGGCAGAGTCTGCTGCATCCTCTTCGTCAGCAGCAATCCAGCCGCCTTCGTCAAGGCTCGCATCTCGAGCTCTCGCACAAGCTCTAGGCGGCGAGCGGCCTAAGCGTAGCAATGGTTTCAATGCAAGCTCTACCACAGCAAACGCCAGACATACCTCTTCCATCCCTTCTTCACAAGATCCGATCACTGTGCGACCCACCGATCTATCACAAGAGCGGCATCAGCAACAGCGCAGAGGCGCCGCAGACTCGTCGGACAATTCGAGGAGACGAGCGCCGCCAACGACTGCGCCGGCCTCATCCTCGTCTCCGCGTGCGGCGCACAGCACTATGGCTGCTGTCAATGGCGACCCGAAGAGGTTCGACGTGCCATTGAAGGACGATGACAAGGCGGAAAGACTAAGACCCTCCGCAGGGTCGTCCATGGAGCCCGAGAGTGGGAGAAAGGGAGGCGGGAAGGATGTTGACGACCTCGTCAAGGGCCTGGGAACGCTTGAAGTCAAGTCAAGCGACGCAGACGGTTCCAGAGAAGCGCCCTAGCGGACCAGAAATTGAGGCGCCGCGGTACCGTGTATCAATAGGATTTCATAGACGTCTCAATGCCGCCTTGCAAGCTCTACCTCCTCGTTCTCTGACTCCTTCGTGTTCTCCTCCTCCTCCTCTTCTTCCTTCCCCCTTGTCTTCTGCTTCTGCTTCTGCTTCTTGCCCCGATTTCTTTTCCGTCTCCTCACATCCTCTGCCTCTCTCCCTCTCACGCTCTCCTGCCCCCTCAACCCCTCATCAAGCATCAGACTCATCCTCCGTCTCGCGATGACTCGATTTCTTTCCAGGCTCCTCGTCTCCTGACATCTGACGATGGTGCCCGTGGGTATGTGCAGTAAGTCGCAACGGGAGCGATTCTTGTTGATGGCTTGACCGCCCTTGCCGCCGCCACGACGGAAGGACTCGCGAAGGTGCGTCTCGTCGAGGACGAGCGGATGGGACTTGTGCGTGCCCGTTGGGTGGAAGTGGTAGCTGCCTTCGATGAACCAGGTGGGGTAGCCGGAGCCTGAAGGGTGGACCCAGATGGAAGATTCGTCCGCATCTTCATGTCCATCTTCAGCGCCAGAAGTGGTGCTAGCCTCGCGGTCATCCCGGTGCTCCTCTACAGGTGGACCCCTGTGAGGGCGAGCGAGTCACGTCAGCTGACAATCCTGCTGATGCCTGAGCAAACACGCCCACACTCACTCACAATCCACACTCGTCCTCCAGCCAGGCCCTCATCTCCTCGGGACCCTGTCTGTCCGCATTCTCCCAGACAATCCGGCCCTCCTGCTCTTCCTCCTCAATCAGCTCCTCCTCAATACGGTGTAGCCTTGCCTCCTCACCATCTGCCTGCAGGCGAGCCTGACTCCAAGCCACCCTGCAAGCAAAGCGAGGCTCGAAATCAAATTCGAATCCTTTCCCCTCCTCATCCCCTCGCAGCACCTTGGGTCCTCCACTGCCTCGAGCCTCAGCGAAAGAAGTTGCCGGGTCTAGCAGGAAGAGGGCGGACAGCCCGTGAGAAGAAGCATACTGCTCTGCAGCTACACTATCGCAGCCTCTAGCGAAGAGGATGGGAGGGAATGCTGAGGCGCTTCGAAGCTGTGTGACCATTTCGCGCTCGAGGAGGTCTAAGACCTTTGTTGGCGCTGGAGGAGAAGAGGTGTGCAGCTCCTCTGGGTCGACATCGAGGAGCATGCTCTCGTACCCGTGAGTGGTGGCTTGACTGATCCAAGAAGACCAGAGAGACTGGGCATCCCGCGGGTTAGGAGCAGGATTGTTGGAGGAAGCATCGGCGAATGGCTTGACGGCTAGGAAGACTATCGGGGTGGGGGCGTATCGTGATGCTGAGCCCGAGGGCTTGACGATCGTTAGGGTGCTCTTGGAGCGACTCAATGGCAGCCAGGCGCGATGACCTGTGCGCACTCGCCCTGCTATGTACGAGCCCATCCGAGGGCAAAGAAGCTGTGTCATCTCTGCGTCATCATCTGTCGACTAGAGTGGAAAGGATCGAAAGAAGTGAAGAGTTGTCAGTCCGCCTTCACATCGTGTCGTGCGCGCTTGGGCCACCGCTATTCAGCCTGTGTTCAAGTTCACCGTCGATTCGCCTCGTGATCGCTTTCTTGTCAATCATGTCTCTCGCTCACGTCGATGTCCTCTTCTTTGAGGTCTGCGGCACCGTCGTTGATTGGCAGTGAGTGCGTGTGTCCGCTTGTAGTCAAGACTTGACCTCTGACCCTTGCTACGTCAGGAGCACCATCACATCGGAGCTGAAGTCAACGATGAAGGGCGCTCCCCATGAAGACGCCAAAGTGCAAGCGCAGCTACTTAATCACGACTGGAATGCGTTCGCGAGAAGATGGCACGATGAACGTCGTACGCAGCTCGAAGCAAAGTGAGCCCGTTGAGATAAGGTCTGCGCTCTCGCACCAAAGCTCACGAGGTCATCTCCATCTCCCCGCCTTTGGCAGTCCCCAACTCGACACAGACCAAGTTTCGCGTAGCATCCTGGAGTCCTTGATTGAATCCACACCACACCTCTCTGAAGCTTGGCGGGACGACTTCGTCCTCACCAACCTGTCCTTCATCTGGCATCAACTCCACCCTTACCCAGACTCGCACTCAGGCCTACTCGAGCTGCGACGGCAATTCAAAGTGGGGACACTCACTCGCGAGGGGAGGGGAGGAATGGCGCTCAATGTCAATCTGGCAAAGTATGCCGATTTGAGCTGGGATTTTGTGCTCGCAACTGATGTGCTCAATGAAGGGGAAGGGGACCAGTATCTGGTGAGAGCGATGGAAGTGTTGGGGATTGATGATCCCAAGGGACAAGGGGCCAGACGGGCTGCCTTGGTGAGCTCGAGATTGAGTATTCTGGAGGGCGCGAAGAGGAGAGGGATGAGCACAGTGTTTGTGAGGAGAGAGACGGGGGACCCTTTGCCTGAGAAAGAAGGCAGGCCAGCTTATGTGGACGTGGTAGTCGATGGGTTGGAGGAGCTGGCTCAGGTTGCCGGTGGGCTGCCTATGGCCTAGCGAGGGTCGCGAGAGTCGTCAAGGTCACGAAGTTGCGATAGTCGTTCCCGATGCTATGATACCATGCTCACATCTCATTATCGCATACCCAGCGATTGTAGCTACGAGCTCGCTCGTCACCGCCTACCCTGGGCGCACGACGTCAACCCTCGCTCTCACTCCCGCTGCATCAGACGCGACGTGCCTAGCCATTCGCGCTCGCGATCGAGCACGAGAAGACGACACACACGCAAGTCGCCGCGCCGAGGAGCCGTCCCCTCATCTGCCCGCCGGCAGGTCGGCACGGCGATTGTGTTGCTTTGCTTTGCTTTTCGCAAAGCGAAGGGGTCCATGGCCAGGCCGAGCCAAGAGTTTCTTCACCGTCCCTGGTGAGCAAGCAAGGGGATCGTGGGATGATGAGACAATGAATTCGATTGCGGGGCCACAGAGAGGGTTGAAAGCCGTCGACGGGTCGAGATGAAGTCGAGGGCGGCTAGAAAAGACAGGCGGCTGGCGGGACGGCAACCGCGTTTGACATTCCTGGTGGCCTTCTTGCATTCTTCCCCCGCACGAGGAGACAACTTTCTTTGCCTTGTGTCCACTCTTTCCTCGCCACCACATTTTGTGACATCCTCGTTACCATCATCTTCGTCACGATTGCCGACTAGACAATAATGCGCCTCACGACGTTCTACGCTACTTGCCTCGCCCTGGCTGCGATGGCTTCCGCTGCCGCGGTGCGGTCGCCACTGGATGACGTCGTGCTCGAGAGGGATGCACAGTGAGTAGCATCGCTCGACATTCTCCCAAGCTACCATAACTGACCCTTGATTCCTGCGACTACCCATCAGACCGCCTCACCTAGCCGTACAAGCACGTCAGGCCTCCAGCAACGCCACCTCTACAGCCTCCTCAGCCTCGAGCACCGCCAGCAGCTCCTCCTCCTCCTCGGGCGGCTCCTTCAATGTCACCGAGTCCGCATCGCAAGACCCGCCGAACGGGTGCAGCATGTCCAACAACCTCTCCCCCGCCCAGTCGGCGAGTTGGACAGACTATTCAGCCTCGACATGTTGCACAAATTCGACGGCCACCACGTGCTTCTTCCGCCTAAATAGCGACGTGAGCGGTCAGGAGAGGTGTACGATCCCCAACTGCGCGACGTTGGAGGACGGCGATACGGCGCAGATGGCAGGCTTCAAGCCGTTGAGTACGTCCAGTGGCTCAGGGCCGAATAACAACACGTTCAAGATCTCGTCCAGTGCGGCCACGAAGGCACATCAGCACGGGCAAGGAAAGCTTGTGGGTGCGGCAGCGGCGCTGGTCGCTGCGGGAGCTACGGCATTTATGGTACTGTAAAGAGCTCCGGCTCGCCTTCCCGATATTGTAATGGTATCTTTTCTGTCACGCCGAGCCCTCGCGACTGCGTGCATGAAAGCGGTGTTGTCTTGCTAGTGGTGATGTGGCTCTCGGAACAGGCTGCTGCTCCTCACCGCGTACTTTGCGTTCTCTGTTCGCCTCGCGTCTATCCTCGTCCTCCATCGTGCGCCCCCTCCCCTGCCCTTACTGTTCTCTCTCTGAGCTCTACGCTCGATCACGGCTTGCTGGCGCTCTTTGCGGCGGCGCTCGCCCCACCCTGAGCACCGCGCTTGGCTGCCGTAGAAGCAACGCCTCCCGCAGCTGCTGTACCAGCCGCAGCGAGTGGTGGGAGCGGCTTTGCCCATCCCAGGCGAACCATCCAATTCTGTGCGCGCAACGAGAGGAGGAGCAGGATCATCAGCTTCGGTCCCACGTCACGACCCTCTCGTCGCCACGTCATACTCACCACAAAGCTCGGCGTCAACGCACCCGTGCCCATCACTCGGAACGGCAGCAACAGTGTCTTGTGAATGGTATACGCCAGCACGGCCTCGGCCCAGAGCGTGCTTGAACCGGCACCGTTCGACTTGTTTGCGCCAGCTTGCACTCCTTGTGTTGCCTCCTCCTCACTCACTCCCTTCGTCAGCCTATCCGCCGCAACGTGTGCGGCAGCTTCGTTGTTCTCGTGCTTCTTCTCCCCTTCGCCCAGCACAGCAGGCGTCTGCCCGTTCAAAGGCCACTGTGCCACCTCGACGTCGGTCGACTCGCGCTTCTCCAGCCCAATGTACTTGCGTAGCCGTGTCTCGACGTCGCGAATGTGGTCTGCGCCGTAAAGGTGAATTACCGCCCACGTGAGGGAAAAGTCGACGAGCGACCAGAGGTTGTACACTCCGAATGCCCACCAGCCATACCGCTTCCAAAGGTAGCGCATGCGTTCTCTGAAGGTTGGGTTGGGGCCTTGCGGATGGTCATACGTTGAGCCATCTGCGCCCGAGCCAGAACTCGCACCCGCGCCGCTTGACGATGATGATGACGACGACGAAGAGGAGGCATGTCTTGAGGCGAGGTTGAGGGTGGACCAGCGAGGCGTTCTTGCCCTTGATGATGACTGGAGCAGGACGGTGCTGCCTGATGATCGCAACGGCTGCAAAGTCGTCGCTGTCGCCGATCGCACCGCCTTCGTAGCGATCGAACGTGCGTGGAGGTGCAACAGCGACAGCGACGATGCCGAGGAGGATGAAGCGGCGACGCCCGTCCGCCTCGTCAGCGCATTGGCAGCCTGAAGCATCTGCCTGCTAGATGACGCTGAAGCAGACGCCATTGCTGTTCTGTCTACCCGTGTTGATGAAGCGCAGAAATTAGTGGTAGCAAATGGATCGAGATGCTGCGTGGTTGTGTCTCTGTCCGTCCTCGACCCAACAGAAAGCGCAGCTCGCAAAGTCGGCGGCGGAAGGAAAGGCTAGCCTGGCTGAGTGAGCTGAGCGATCTCGACTTTAGGGCCGGCCCGCCCTCGGCCGCCGCGGAACGACTCCTGGACAGCACCTCACAACGAGCGAGCGGTGAGGGAGTGAGGAGCAAGGCGAACGTGAGCCTTGTAATAGACAAGGTGGTGCGATGAGCAAATTGACACTGAGGTTCCTCTGTACGTCGCGACTGATTGTGATATCTTCGCGACTCACGATCTCACTGTGATACGCGCTCTGCGATGTCATCACCTCATCAGGACTTAGCCACGTGGGTGAGCAGCACCCTTAAGCTACCACTGCCGCCGTTGGCTGTGCTGAGGGAGGGTCTGATCGCCGTACCACGGCTCGGCAGGCGAAATGGGGCCAGTGCGCTCGGGCCTCGCGGTGACCACTGCCGCAAATGAAGAGGCGAATGGTCGTCCGCCCGCTTTGCTCGCTCGCTCGTTCACGCCCAGGCTCTCGTGATGGAGCCCCGCTCCCTCGTCTCGTCTCATTTCATCGACGCGCCCAAATGCCTTGCTTTGCTTTTTCCCTCGCTGGCCTCCCTGGCTCACGCTCGCTCGGACGGCGGACTCCCATCTGGGGCGAATCGATCCGCGCTATGCAACTTGCGACGACGCACAGTGGCAACCTGCCTCGCTCCGCGCCTGCCTCATCGCCGTTGCCGTTGATTGGTTTGTGTGCCGAGGCAGAGAGAGGGCCAAGGCAAGGCCAAGGCAGGCTTGTGAAGGTCAACCGCCGTCCCTCCCTCTCAGCAAGGCCCTTCACGCGCCCTTCGTCCTCTCATTGCCATCCATTCTTACCTCTGCGCAGAGCGTTACGAGGCTTCTTTTTGTCTCAGGCTACCACTTCAGCAACTTGTCAAGCGGCATACCTGCTCGCGCGGAAGCGCCTTTTCCACCCTTAAGCTCGACGTGGGCCATTCCCAGATTCAAAGGCCGCAACTCTTCTCGTCAGACGAGCTCGAGCCCCGCTTTTGCCTCCCTCATCCTCACCATCAGCGCCATCGTCATCAACGTCTTTCAACCACGCCCTTGACAACACCTCATCACCGCTACCCATCATGCTCGCTTGGCGCCACAAGATCGGCCCCGGCTTCCTCATCCTCATCGCGGCCGCGGCACTCTTCTGTGCCTTCATCCTACAGATCCTCGTCTCTGTGGGCCTGCCAGACATCCGGTCCATTTATTTCCTCACCTTCACGCTGAGTGATCTCGGTCAGGAGATCAAGGTTGGTCTCTGGACTCTGTGCACCAATCAGTACTACTCGAGCTTCTGGGGAAATGATGATGGAGAGACGTGCCAGGGTAACAGCCTGTGAGTGGGCGCGTGACCGGCGGTGGCGTCAATGATTGTCGTGGCTTTTTCGCTGACCTCGACACTACCGTCTCATTGCAGCGGCTACGAGGACTCGCAATACGGCGACATTGCCCAGCAGATCCTGATCCCTGGCCTGACCAAGGCACTCGCCATTCAACCCCTCAGCACCGCCCTCTCCGGCGTTGGCGTCGTGGCTATGGGGCTCCACCTCTGCACCAACTTCGTGCTTTGGCCCTTGCTCTGCGCTCTCGCTGGCGTGGCCAGCATTCTCGCCTTCGTCTTCGAGATCGTAAGTCTCAGCAGCAGATCCTCTGACTGACGTCGTCGTCGTCCACCCTTGCTGATCGTCCTCTCAACCCCCCACCTTTGTCACGACAGGTCCTCTTCAGTACCGCACGCATGCGCCTCAACTCAGACCGCATGGTCGAATGGTTCGGCTCGCCCATCTCGGAGAGCAGCTTCGGCCCGGGAATCTGGATCCAGCTTGCCGCAATGGCCCTCGTCTCCTTCGCCACTTTGATGGCCTGGACGGCCTACGTGAGAAGGAAGCTGCACAAGTCTCACACCGCCGGTCGTTTCGGCAAGAAGGCTCCTTCCATCTACCGCGCGAGCATCGTCGGTGACAACGAGAAGAGCCTGCCATACGACGATGAGAACGTGGGCCGTTCAGCCAGTCGTGCGAGCAGTACGGCCAAGGGGAGCGAAGGCGGGTCCAGCAAGGGCAGTCACGGCAGCGGCGGTGCAAGCAACAAGAACCGCATCGTCGCTGGAGCAGCAGCAGCCACGGCCGCCCCTGCGGCTGCCGCACCGGCGCTGAAGACGTACAACAAGCAGCGCAAGTCCGTTCCCTCGATGGAGATGGACTCGCCTGTGGCCGAGAACAGCACCAGCGCCACCACCGCAGCGGCCGGCGCTTCTTCTCCTCGTCGCCGTCAAGGTCACGGTCGTATTGAGTCTGACGACATCGCGCAAAGCGAGGCAATGGCTGCCGCCGCGTCCCGCAGGCAGCGTGTTCCGTCGAGGAGCTCGACCGCCCGCAGCGAGGAGTTCGTCGACGCGCCCGAGGAGGATGAGGAGGACCAGGAGGAGGAGAGCGGCCGAAGGTATGCAGCGTACAATGCACCCATGGACCCCAAGGATGAGACGGTCATCAGCCCGAGGAAAGGACGCAGGCAGGCACGATACAGCGCTAGGATGGCCGAGCTTGATGCTTGAGCCGTGGAATCAGCGTAACACCCGCATACCTTGCACGGACCCTCTCGCCAGCCATGGCACGCATTGTCACCTTGTCCTGTCTCATGTCTCTTTGTCTCTCGCCCCAGTGCCGCATACGTCCGCGTCTCGTCGATCTGTATTGTCCTCTGTTAGTCGTGTCATACCGCATGCGCGCATACGATGTCTCAATTCGTGTGCTCGAATGTTGCTGAGCTGTGCAAATGCCACGATGTATTGCTTGCCAGCATGCAAGATCTACCTTCCTTGTGAGCAACATGGCGGCCCTCAGGGGAAGTGAGCCTAGATGGTCTGAAAGGTCGAGCTGTTACTCGTAGACTGTGGGGACCGCAGGGTGAACAGCATCGCGGTTCAGTGATCAGCCCTCTTCTCAGCACTCAGCGGGCGCAATATGGTGTCTGAGCCTCCTTGCGCCTCACTCACCATGCACAATCGCAGTCCAGAAAGTCCACCAAAGCACAAAGCTCAACACCTCGCCCTTGAGCCCCTCGAACAGATACCACACTACCTCAATGACGTCTTTCCCCTCCTTGCCACCCACGACTTTCTGCACCCTGACCTTGCCCGCCGAATTGGCAGTATTCGCCGCTCCACCCAGCACGGCCGCCGCTCCATACGCCACAATGCCCGGGCTGGCGATGGCTGCCGCTGTGGCCACGCTGGAGCCTATGCTGAAGACGAGACCAAGCGGAGATTGGGGTGGAGGATTGAGGAGATACTTGTGCGGTTGGCCGTTGCAGCAGAGGAGGAGGATGAGGGCATTCGTGGTGACCAAGGAGAAGAGGAAGAAGGCGAGGCCAGGGAGAGAGACTAGCCCGAGGATCCCGGCGAGCGAGCCTGAGAGGGCAAGGGATAGGGAACGGATACTGGAAGAGAGAGGGTGATGGGGCGGCGGAAGATGATGTGAGTGAGGGGCTGCAGGGTGAGAGATGGGGCAAGCCTACCCACTGAACTCACTTTGCAATCTGTCTCTGATTGTGCACGATGTTCTCGAGGTAGAAGGGCTGCAATTGCTCCGCCTGTCTCTCTTCGGCCTTTTGCGCTTGGATGGCCGCCGAGTTGGCTTGACTGCCCATACCTCCCATGAGTGCTTCCATGCTGGGCGAAGAGCGTTGAGGGCTGGAGGATGAGTAGAAGGATGAGAAGCAGACGATCGACTCGACTCGACTCGACTCGACTCGACTCGTCCTCGCCGTGGTCTGTGCTGTGCTTCTTCGGAGCGGGACGCGCCTTGCCGCGTGGCTGCGTTGAAGGCTGTTAGAACTGGAGAGAACGGATGGATTGAAAGCTGAGATTAACTCAGCGCACGGGCGACGAGTTGGCAGGGCGGACCGGAGCCGGAACGGCTTCACAGACTGACCCTCGCACAACATCTCGAGCCCGCTCTAAGAGTACAATGTAGAGAAGACAGAGAGACGATCTAGGGGTTGGCGACGAAGTTGAACTTCGAAGTTCGCGGTGTCGCGCGGTTCGGAAGGAGAGAGAGAATGGAACAGAGTAATGGATACAGAGATGGGAACGAGAACAACGCTGACCCTGGGGGTCACCGTAGACGCTGACCCTGAGACTCACGAGACTTGGGCTTAGCCGAGCCGATGCGAAGTGAGGTTCAGGTCTGCGACTTGAGAGCTGGTCCCATAGGGAGCAGGTTGACTGAGAGACGAAAATTCTCGAGGGCCGCTGGGCGAAGTGGCTTGGTGAGGGCGTCGGCCAGATTCTCGGCGCTCGAGACTCGATCGATGGTGATGAGGTTCTGCTTGACGAACTCTTTGATGATGTGGAAGCGGAGTTCAATGTGCTTCGTGCGCTTGGGGACGCTGGTTGGGTGGGCAGCGCGAGAAGCGTTGTCATTGTCGCATAGGAGCTTGTAAGGGGCCGACACGGTGTCCTTTCCGAAGACATCGTTGAGGAGGTGGGCTATGCCGAGGAGCTCGCGAGCGCCTTCGGAGAGGACAATGTACTCTGCCTCCGTGGTCGAGTACGCTTGGAGAGTCTGGAGTCGAGAGATCCAGGTGATGCAACTGCCACCGAGCATGAAGACGAGGCCAGATGTACTCTTGCATTGGTCCCCTGTCTTGGCGAAGTTGGCGTCGCCGTAGCAGACGAATGGGAGTGGGAAACCTAGGTCGCGACGCTCGTAGGTGAGAGCGAGGGAGATGGTCTTCTTGAGGTAACGGAAGACCTTCTTGGCTGCATCGAAATGCTCTGGGGTAGGGTTGGCCGATGCCCTGGCCAGTCTGGATACGGCCTGGTGGATGTCAGGGCGAGTGAGGTTCGAGATCCACAAGAGCGTTCCAATCATGCTGAGGTAGAGGTGGCGCTGCTCGGGAGTAGCCTCCTCCTTGGGTTCGCCGAACGTCTTTCCCGCCTCCATGGGAGACAGTACGCCGTTAGCATCGGCGAGTCCGAATCGCTTGAGAGATGCCTCGATGTAGGGGCGTTGGTGAAGCTGGATGCTGCCGGAGCCATCATCGAGCCTGCGGATGCATAGGCCGATAAAGGTGCTGTTGGAGGGAGACTCGGTCATCATGAAGTGGCTCTGAAGGAGGTCACGAGTCTTCTCGATCCTGTCGCGCTGCTTGGATAGGACGATGATGTCGTCGACGTAGATCGCAATGACAACGTCAGTGGTCTCGGAAATGAAGATGCAAGGATCGTAAGCGGTCCTCCTGAAGCCGAGTTCTTCGATCTTGTCGGCGAAGGTCTCGTACCACTCCCTTCCACTACCTCGGAGGCCGTAGAGTGATCGATGCACTCGGTAGACGGACTCGCTGGGATCATTGATGTAGAAGTCGTTGGGCTTGACCATGTAGATCTCGTGCTGGTTCTTCCCATAGAGGTAGGCTGACTTGACGTCGAGAAGCATCCACTCGAGCTGTAGTTGGACGGCCATCGCGAAGATGAGGCGTAGCGTGTCCATTTGACTACGGGAGAAGAAGTCTCTCCGCAATCGACTCCCTTGATCTGGGTGAAGCCCTGAGCTACGAGACGAGCGCGCCAGCGGACGGGCTTGCTGTCGTTGTCATACTTGACGACGAGTACCCACTTGTGTCCGACGAGATTCTTGCCTTCGGGTAGCTTGGAGACAGGCTCGAAGGTCTGGCGACTGTTGAGTGCCTCCCATTCCTCCCTCATCGCCTTCTTCCATTGTTCCCCGTCTGGTCCGGAGAGGACGGAGGAGAGCGGCTGCGTCTGACCCTCAACGGAGCAGAGGTGGTTGGGTCGTCGGTAGGAGACGACGAATGCATGAGAGTTGGGGATCTTGGGGCCCATGCCATTCCCTGAGCTGGCTGAGAGAGCCATGGCGATGATCGTGTCGTCAGGGAGATCTTCGTAGACACTCGTGTAAAGGGCACCGGTCCGGTTAGAATCCGTCACTCAAGATACGGTATGCGCAATCAAGAGATCCCTAATACAGATTAATATGAATGCGAGGGGCACGGGTCCAGGGCCTGTTACGGAGCCGGACCTACACGTTCAATGGGTAAGAGAAGGCAACGGTTGTCAGTCTGTCCAGCAGATGATACGTACCACGGGTGATCAATCCGGGTAGAGGAGGAAGAAGGGACACGTCGTGCACGGGGGACGTACAAGGAGGAGACCAAGAAGATGGAATTGAAGTGATGGGAAGGAATCAAAGAAGTTAAGAGACAAAAGAGCTACTGGGAAGATGTTTTATAGTTTTCAGAGATCTGGTCGTACGAAGCTGGGCACGTGATACGGGTCGGATAGCTATGAGTCTGTTTTGTGTTGCTTTTGTGTGTTAGTTATACGCGGCTACGGGTAGAGTCTTGTACGAGTCACAATACGATACTTAGGGCGGGTAGGCAATCCGTTACAATCACCCCCCTCTCTCTTTGAAGTTCTGTCCCAGAACTTATGCGCTGCATGTTGCTGTATACGCCTTACTTGTTGCGTAGACCAAGCATAAGACGTGCAAGCCTGATGTCAAAGTCAGCTTCCTTGAGCCTGTTGTAGGTCTCTCGGTTGATGACCGGCTTCTTGTTGTGGGCCTTAGGCGTGTTGAAATATGTCTCAATGGCCTCGTGGAGACCCGGGTTGCCTGCAAGTACGCGTACGTCGCCTGAGGCACCATCCGCATAGGTGACTTTGAATGAGAGGTGGCCGTCTCTCTGCTCGTGCTTCCAGATGCTCCTGATGCGTGCTTCAGGTCCATGTCTCTTGCGCGCAGTGGTGGACGTCGTGTTGGAGGTAGACCTTGACGTCGACGTAGATGGTGCACGTGGCGTGTGAGTGGTAGTGCGGGCTCGGAGCGCGTTGAGCAGCTGTTGTTGGAGGCGCGTGTTGAGCTCGTCTCGCTCCTTCAGCTTCCTCTTGAGTGCCTTGTTCTGTGCGCGCAGTTTGTCGCATACGTTGGCGTACGAGGGAACGCGTTCCTCATCCGTGTCGTTGGACGAAGAGTCGCTGTCAACCTGAATAGGGGAGGCAGCCTTTGAGTGTTGCAAGGCGCTCTGCGAGTCGCTGTCTTGATGGCTGTCTTGGGCAGCAGGTTGGTTGACGTGTTGCTGGACGGGTTGGTCAGCAGTTACAGGTACGCCAACACGTACGGTGGCGTGGCCAGCAAGGACGGCTTGGTCGACGGGTTGAGGGGTCTCTTGCATCGCAATCGAGAGCGGCTTATAGCCCGTGGCAATGAGCAAAGAGTTGAGAGTGTCCTGCCCAGTGCGTGTAGTGGGGTCGGTGAGCGCAGCGTGTTGGTTGTGCGTGGTAGCGTCGGGTGAGGGGCTGGTCATGGTGGGTGAGAGTGATGGATAGGAAGGGAAGATGTGTTCGCAATCCAGGGCCCTTATATATCCTTCTTGATGCGGCTGTGCTGCGGCTGTGTCGGCGTGGCTGCGCCCGTGGCTGCGTACGTGGCTGTGCGCGCCGGAGGGGTCCAGAAGGTTCCGCCAGGTTCCGGATGCTGCTGCGGCTAGGGAAATGCGTGTGTTGGCTTCAATGAGTGCGTCTAAGCGTTGTTGGGTGTTGAGGATGTTGTGCCAACGGATATTGGCTGCGGTCAAGGGGTGTATCCGGCGTGCTCCGGCGTGTTCCGGGCCGGTCTTCCGCCTTCTCTTCTTGGGGGCAGAGACGGGTGGCAAGTCTGATGTGGCAAAGCGTTTGTGTGTGTTACCTGAGCGTGTGATCTTCGTGTTGGTGTCCGGTAGTGTCGTCTTCATAGCCGTGCTACGCATGTTGCTGCTGCGCGGACCATTGGACGTAGGCTTCAGTGTCTTGGACCTCGGATAAGGGGAGCCAGGTGTTGTCTTCATCCGGATAGCCTGTCCATTTGACCAAGTATTGCGTCTTACCACGACGTGCGCGCTCTCCAATGATGGCTTCAACTTCGTATTCTTCTTCTCCGTCAATGATGATGGGTGGTGGTGGTGCTTGCGTACGTCCTGAAAAGCGACTTGGAGATTCCTTGTGCGGCAAAAGGTACTCCACGTTGACTGTTGGGTGGATCTTGAGCGTGGATGGAAAGTCAAGTGTGTACGCTGTGTCGGAGATCTTATCCACAATTTTGAACGGTCCATAATACTTCGGCTGGAGCTTGCGCGATCCATTGCGCGGAAGCCAGGGCGGGTTGATGTGCTTGGCTGAGATGCGGACTGAGTCTCCGATGTTAAACTGCATTGGCTTCCTGCCTTGATTGTACGCGTTTGCTTGCGCGTTCTGAGCCTTCTCAATTGACTCGTACGCCTTCTGGGTGCTGACCTGAAGCTGGTCCATGAAGTCTTCAGTCAAAACGGGTAGTGCTGTGTCTGATGGGTTTTGCCTGAGTGGTGTGCGTGGATGACGTCCTGTGTCAAGCTCAAATGGCGTATAGCCTGTGCTGGCGTGTACTGAATCATTGTACGCAAACTCTAGTGCAGGAAGCTGACTGTCCCATGCGTGCTTCTTGCCAGATGTGTAGTGCCTGAGCATCTCCTTAATTGTACGGTTGGCGCGCTCTGTCTGTCCGTCTGTCTGTGGATGGAATGCGGTTGACATGGCTGTCTTTGTGCCTAGATGTGCGCATAGCGCCTGCCAAAACTGTGATGTGAACTTTGCGTCTCTGTCTGAGATGATGACGTGTGGGATGCCGTGTAGCTTGACAACGTGGTTGAAGAATCTGTCTGCCATCTCTGGGGCTGTGTCTGTAGAGCGTGATGGATAGCAGTGAAGGCGCTTTGAGAACTTGTCAATAACTGCAGTGATCATGTCGTATCCACTAGACGTCTTGGGTAGTGGTCCTGTGAAGTCCATTGTGACTGTGTGCCAGCGGATAGGTGGAGTACTGATTGGGCGCAACAGTGCTTGTGCGGATCTGTTGCCCGACTTGTTCTGCTGACAAGACGTACATGACTGGACGTACTCTTCAACGTCTTTTGCCATTGATGGCCACCAGTAGAGTCCATGTAGTCTGCCCAGAGTCTTGGCTGTCCCAAGATGTCCGGATAGCATTGCGTCATGTGCATCGTGCAAGAGTGTTAGGCGCAGTCCCTCTGCGTCTGGTACACATAGTGCTTTTGATCCGTTGTGCTTGTCCGTCCGATAGATCAATCCGTTGTCCAGACTGAAATGCGCCAAATGAGGTGGATTCTCTCCGCTGCTGAATCCGTCGATGATCTTCCTGAAAAATGCGTCTTGCTGGTAGGCGTCCTTGTAGTGTGCGTGATGGTCTGAAGGCGTCTCTTGTGCCTGTACGTTGTACGTTTCAATGTGTTGAAGCTCCTCTGTGAGTGGTAATGCGGCTCTTGAAAGCGGGTCCACATTGGAGTGAACACGTCCTGCTCTGTGTATGATCTCCATGTCCTCCTTGTACGGGATCAACTCAAGTTGCCATGCAAGTAGTCTGCGGTTGGCTGTACGCAACTTGAAGAGCCATTGAAGCGCGCTGTGATCCGTGATCAGCTGGAATTTGCATCCGTCCAGGTATGCGTGCCACTTCTTGATAGCCCATACTGCGCCTAAGCATTCGAGTTCTGTGGCGGAATAGTTCTTCTCTGCGCTGTTGAGTTGACGTGAAAGGTAGCAGATAGGATGTTCGCGTCCATCCCCGTCCTTCTGAGAGAGGACTGCCCCTAGTCCGGATGTTGAGGCGTCTGTGTGTACAATGAATGGCTTGTCCCAGTCTGGATGCGCAAGTACTGGTGCCGTGCAAAGCTTCTCTTTGAGTGTGTCAAAAGCGTGTTGACACTCTTGTGTCCAGTTGTATGGATTGTCCTTCTGCGTGAGTGCATAAAGCGGGGTTGCAATGCGTGCAAAGTCTTGGATGAAACGTCTGTAGTATACGGCCATACCAATGAACCGTTGAACCTCCTTGACAGTTGTTGGGCGTGGAAACTGTCGTATAGCGTCTGTGTTGTGTGGGGCAGTGGTAATGCCAAGGTCACTGACCGTGTGTCCAAGCGCCTGAATACGTTGGTGTGCAATGTGTGACTTCTTGAACGCGAGTGTGATACCTGACTTGACCACACGTGAAAGCACATTGTGAAGGGGTGCGCAATGATCCTCAAATGTGTCTGAGTACACAATGATGTCGTCAATGTAGACAAGCGCGTGTTGCCATTTGCATGCTCCTAGAATGCGGTCTGTGAGCCGTTGAAATACGCCTGGTCCCTTGTGGATACCGAAAGGCATACGCGTGAACCTCTTGAGTCCAAGATGCGTACGGAATGCAAGCTTGTCTCTGTCGTCTTCTGTTGCGCATTCAATCTGGTGAAAACCCTTGTTTGCGTCAAAGGATGAGAACCACTTCTTGCCTGAGAATGCGTTTAAGATGTCGTCTGGGCGTGGGATTGGATACTGATCCATCTTGGTAACCGTGTTAAGTCGTCTGTAATCTACGCAAAAGCGGACCTTGTCCCCTTGCTTAACCAATACGACGGGTGAAGCCCACGGGGAGTCTGAATCTTCAATGATGCCTAGTGATTCTAGCTCTTGTACGGTCTCTTCAATGACCTTGCGTCCAGATGGACTTGCGTGATACGGCGGCTGGGAGATGGGTAAGGCGTCGCCTGTGTCAAGTGATAGCTTGACCCAATCTGTGCTTCCAATGATACGTTGTCCGTGTGCAAATGCGTTGCTGTTGTCTGTGAGAATGCGCTCAATCTCTGTACGTTGTTCTGTACTCAAGTCTGGGTTGATATCCGCTTGGGCCATGGCGTCTCTAAAAGACGGGTGGTTTACGTGTTGATCAGTGAGTAGAGACTCAACAGTCTGCTGCTCCTGTACGCAACCGATGGCGTGTCCAAGGACTTCAGCTGGGTTGAGCAGGATGGGTGCCATATCCGTGTTGATGAATTGAACGTAGTGACACTCTGCGTGTGTGGGAACCAATGTGCGTGCCATGCATCCTGTTGTGCGACCGTCTCTGAAACGCATGTCTGGTTGACATAGAAGCGTGTTGGAACGTCCTGTGTAATGCTCAATGGTGACTGGAATACGTGCAATGCTGCATGGCCTGACCGTGTAGACCTCTTTGACGCGTACCTTTCCCGGTGCGCCCATCAAAGGTTCCAGCTCTGGATCCTTCTGCGTACATGTCAGGGGTATGACCATGTCTGGATGGCGCATAAAGGTAAGGCGTCTGTCTTGCAAGTCGATGAGTGCTCCATGTGGAGAAAGCGTATCATTGCCAATAATGATCTTCGTGTTGTTGAGCGGCAAAAGGTAGAAGCAGATAGTGATGGTGGCCTCTGTGTTGCCCGCTGAAAATCTGACGGGTAGCTCTGCGCTTGATGTGATGTGTGAACCTGATACTATGCCAGTGGCAGAGAAACTTGAGCAATGCTCTACATGCGCCTTGGGGAAGTTGCGCCTAAGGAATGTACTGTCCATCAAAGAAATTGCGGATCCACTATCAATGCATACTGCGTGTTTGAGGTGACCGTCCAAAAATGCGTCTGCATACGCAGGTGTGTGCTGCAATGGGTTGCTCAGCTGCGTGTCTGCTGTGTGTTGGTCTATGTGTGTCTCTGTGGGCGCCTGGGCTGGTGTTGCCTCTGTTGCGCATCTACTGCGTGTGGATACCAGATTGGCATCTGCGTCTTGGGCTTCTACCCAACGGTTCCTCCTCAGAGGAATCTTGTTGACGCCTGCAAAGTTTGACTGTACGTTGTTGCGTGGTGCAGGTGCGGATTGGGCTCTGTTCTGGCCTTGCGCACGGCAATCTCTGCTCCAATGACCTGTCCGTCCACATTTGAAACAGGCACCTGGGGGTGCGCCACTGTTCTGCAGAGGAGCGGGTAAGGCCAGTCTCTGAGGCTGCTGTGGAACATACGTGTTGTTCATGGGACGCTCCTGCTGTCCATAGTTGGCAGTCTGTTGCTGCGGTCTGTTGCGCGCGCCGGCGCCTTCTGTGTGCTGATTGTTGGGACCTTGTGCGCTGTTGGGTCTGTTACCTGCCTGACGTTGATCTTGCCGGTTGAGGAATGCGCGTCTAGACGCACGCAATCCATTCTCCAGGTTGACCATTGTACGTCTCAGATGCTCAATATCATCTCTGTGATTGCCCATAGACGCCAGAATGAGCGGCACATAATCCGATGGGAGTCCGTCTAAGATCTCCTCAATACGGATAGTGTCCGTTGCGTCTCGTCCATACTTCTTGTTGATAAGGGCTAGGCGCTCCTCAAAGAAGTTGTCAAACGACTCATTGTCGCGTAGCCGTCTGCGTGTGAGGGCCAATGTTGTACGCTCTCTGAAGTTGGGCGGTCTGAACCTGCTGCGTAGAGCGTCTTGCCAGTCTGACCATGTACGTAGCTCTGCACGCTTCTCTCGTAATCCGATGAACCAAGTGAGCGCATTGTCCTTGAGGATGAGTGGGAAAAGGGCAAGGAGCTTGCTCTCTGCTGTGCCTGAATAGTCGTATATGGCTCCAATACGCTCAATCCAGTCATCAATGTCGCCTGTGTCCTTATCCGGAATGCCATGGAAGGTAGGCAAGTCTGTTGCCTTGAGGCGTGTAAAATCTCCTTGACTTCTTGGATACTGCGCATAGTCTGATGCGTCTTCTTCTGCGTCCATTCTTGGCGCAGGGGTGGCGAAACGTCCTTGATCTCTGGGCGTGTGTGCGGCGGGGATGTCACGTACATCCCGGGCTGCCATTGACGCTTGCATCCGCTCTTCAAATGCGTTGAGGCGGGTAAGGAACTCATCTGCCTGCTTGAGGTTGTCCTCCTTGAGACGCGCAATCTGGGAAGCTTGGTCTCGTACGACTTGAAGCAACTCCTCTGCGCTGGACTGCGCGTCGACAGGGACCGTGGCAGCTGTATCTTCTGCTACACGTCCTTCACGTGCAGTAACTGGTACGGAGGGGGAACGACGTCCGGGCTCCGTGGAAGGCTCTCTCGCTCTTCCGGGTGTGTTCATCTTGAACGGGTAAACTTGAAACTCTTGATGTGCGCTCTGTTGTGTTGGCGCGGGCCGTATAGTGTGCTCAGGCGTCCCTTCTTGCACCACTGACTACGTGTCTGGTCCTGTTACGTCGGACTGTACGGAAACTTGAAACTACGGGTAGCTAATCCGTCTTCTTGCCCAGTTGGGGTCAAGGATAACCAAAGGAGTGCGCACTTGCGTCTTATCTCAAACTGAACTGCGCTCCTGCGTCTTACGTTAAACGAATGCGCTCTCTGGCGTCTTATATCAACCTGGGGCTGCGCTATACGTCTTATGCCAAACTTGATGTGCGTGCTCTTGTGCACCACTGGAACGCGCTACTTATTGTGCGCAGATGACTACTTGAACGCGCTACTGTTGTGCGCTGCTTGAAAACTGATAGGCGCTTGTCTTGCGCGCCTGGGGTACCTCACTCTTGCTAGCTAGCCTATAGGTCACCGTTGTACGACTCTGTACCCGCCAATTGAAACGTGTGGGCCCCTCGTTGGGAGCCAAATTGTAAAGGGCACCGGTCCGGTTAGAATCCGTCACTCAAGATACGGTATGCGCAATCAAGAGATCCCTAATACAGATTAATATGAATGCGAGGGGCACGGGTCCAGGGCCTGTTACGGAGCCAGACCTACACGTTCAATGGGTAAGAGAAGGCAACGGTTGTCAGTCTGTCCAGCAGATGATACGTACCACGGGTGATCAATCCGGGTAGAGGAGGAAGAAGGGACACGTCGTGCACGGGGGACGTACAAGGAGGAGACCAAGAAGATGGAATTGAAGTGATGGGAAGGAATCAAAGAAGTTAAGAGACAAAAGAGCTACTGGGAAGATGTTTTATAGTTTTCAGAGATCTGGTCGTACGAAGCTGGGCACGTGATACGGGTCGGATAGCTATGAGTCTGTTTTGTGTTGCTTTTGTGTGTTAGTTATACGCGGCTACGGGTAGAGTCTTGTACGAGTCACAATACGATACTTAGGGCGGGTAGGCAATCCGTTACAGTCGGTACGAGTTGGGAGTTCTGGGCAGAGTACCCAATAGCAAGTCGGGGGACTTGGTTGCCAGTATCCATGGCTGGGATGGCGTTGCGCCATTGCATCTGCTGCTCTTGGTTGAGCCTCATCTGGTCTTGGTAGAGCGCACGTCGCGCCACGTCGTCGAAGGTGACTGTGCCGTCCCTCTGAAGTTGGTCTCCCACAATAGCAACGAAGTGGCTGAGGTGGGGTGGAAGGACACGGAGTAGGTGTGACACCTTGTCTTGCTCGTCGATCTCGGTGCCCACGGTCATCAACCAGTGCTCGAAGATCGCTCGAAGTTCGTTGATGATTGTCTCGACAGACTTATTGGTGGAGTTGTACGTGATGAGCGCGGTGTTGACCATGGTGCGAGCGCCGGGGCCTTTAGCGAGGAAGCGTGCGTGAATCTTCTTCCAAAGTGCCTTGCCACTGCCTGCTTCGGGGGATCCATCAAGGATAGAGAGGATCACCTTGCGGTCGAGTGTGGCGATGATGATGTTACCAATCTGGATGTCATCCTGTTCGCGCTGATCCTTGGCCAAGCTGTATTCAAGGAGCTCCGCCTTGTCGTATCCATCGCGAGGGGTCCAAGGGTATCCGAAGTAGCGCTGGTAAGCCTCGACGCTCCCTTCAGCGGTGTCCTTGATGATCCCTTCTGCTCTGTTGCGTGCGAAGATGCGAAGGGTGGGTTCCATCATCTTGACCCAAGAGTGGAAGGTTGTGGTCCCATTGTTGTGCACTTCGAGCTTGGGAACCTTGTTGGCAAAGGTCATGGCGCGAGAGACTTCGCCATCAGTCTTGTCACGAAGACAGCCGACTGGGATCTTGTCGAGGACGGCCTTCTTGATAGGGTCAAGGCCGTTGTAGGTGATGAAAGGCGTGTTGACTCTGGCCGTGGCGGCCGTGCCAATGGATTGATCAGAAGACATGATTGCGACACTAAGCCTCTTCTTGCTCAAGTGTGGCTGGAAACTACGAGAAAGAGTGTGTTGAGGTCCAGTTGGCACCTGCAATAACCACTCGAGAGGGGCTGAGGAGGGCGACTAACGCCACCGTGTGACCGACAACACGGTGCCGTGCGACAGACGCAACGGTTCTGCTCAGCACTTGGTGCGACAGACGCTGGGGGACAAAAGGCTTGTATCTGACTAACAGATGGGGAAAGAGGTATTCGTAACAAGCGTGTATGCAGCTGAGTAGCGCAGTGGTAGCGCAATCAAGGCTCACAACCTGTTAGAACTGGAGAGAACGGATGGATTGAAAGCTGAGATTAACTCAGCGCACGGGCGACGAGTTGGCAGGGCGGACCGGAGCCGGAACGGCTTCACAAAGGCGACGACGAGGAGCGGGAGCTGTCTCACCGTGACGCTCTTTCGTAGCAGTGGGTCAGGATGTGGCTTGTCGAATGTGTCCAAGACGCACTTCGAGCACCTCTTTGTGACACTCAGTAGATGCATTGGATGCTTGAACGTGGATCGCAGCATTTGCGCTGGGACCCGGGCTCTTGTTTGCTCAGCAGGGCACATATGTCCTTCTCACTCGCAATGCAAGATCAATGCTGATCTACAAAGGTCTGCAGAGCGAAGAGTAACAGAGATGCTACTGAGAGGGGGATTGCGGCTGCTCAGAATGGTTAGATGCTACGTAAGTGCGGTCCATGCTCGCCACGCCCGTGCAACTCCTCTGCTATGTCTTGAGCTGATTGCGTGACGTGACGTTACCGTCGCCATCTTTCACCTTCGTCTATCGTGCCGAGCGGTAGCTTTGCAGGCAACCTGTCCGTTCTAGTCTACACGAGGCTCAGCTATGGTCAATCCCGTCAGCGCTACGGTATGCCTGCCTGTGTTCATTGGCCGCTTGGCGGTGGGCGTTCAATTACAGCAAACCCTAAGCGCATATGGTCCAAAGGTCACGAAGAAGCGTGGCACGACTTCATCTTTAGACGAGTATCCAGCACTTTATCGGGTGCATCAGCATCGCTGCTCTTCCCATGTTTTTCTGTTCCCAACCTGTCGATGCGATTGGCGGCAATCATCAGCGTTGCCCAGCTCGCAGACTGGCCTCGAGTGGCAAGAAAGGGAGCCAGCAACCAAGCACGTCCTTGATCAATGGAAGTGGCGGTCACGAGGCTGAGGACTAGGTGTGAATCTCATTGTCAGCCAGCTGTCAGCGATCTCACATCGTCCACCGCTGTTACTGGCTAGCATCGCTCAGCCTACAGGCAACTGCTCGACCGTGACGCTCGCGCCGCCCCTGTCCGTGCCCGCCTGCGTCTGCAAATGCGCCGCGATGCCCACCGACGGAGGGGCCGAGGACCGCACGGTAGCAAGCAAGCCCATCAAAGTGTCATTGTCAGGCAGAAGAGCATCAGACACGTCACACGAGGACTGTACCAGCCCCCATCGCCACTTGTTGCCGCTATCACTCTTCGCGATGGGACTGAAAGCGAGATGGCAAGGGCAAGCCACGTGTGCTTGATGTGGCTTCGACAACGAGCACGAGCCCAACTTTGTCTGACGCCTCGCCGTCGTCCGCCCGGGCGGAGGGCGACTGAGCAGCTTTCTCTGGCTTTGCATTCCCCACCTTCCCTTCATTCATCATCTTCTTGCGGGTGGCCACCATCACGACGTAGACATAGAAGACGACGCAGTCGTCAGGGGGACGATCAACTGTCGTCGTTGAGAGCGGCTACTCGTCGCCACTACTACTGGTAGACCATCAGCTCGCCATTCGCATCTGCGCTGAGCGATCATCACAGCGCGGGCCGCACTCGTTGTCTTACATCCTTTACAAAGCGCCCGAGACGACAAACGAGATCCCGAGACCTCCAGTGAACGACGACGATTTCCCCTACGCAGACCATGCCAGGCAGTCCCCATCCGGACCACAGCGCCTCCACAGACGCAGCCTACGCCTACGCAGCACGACCTCTTGCCCAACACCACACAGCAGCCGCCCCCACATCCGCCGCTTCACCATCATCCACGTCGAGCTCATACGGCTCATCGTCATCGTCATCCAACTATAGACCCAACAACTCATCCTCTTCGTCATCTCTCGACACCAGTCCGCCTTCGCAACACGGAGGCAGCTCGAGCGGCGTCGGCGCATATCCATCCCTAGCGCACTTCTCGCCAAGCACGCAGCATACAGACTTGCTCAAGATCCAGCGCGACCTCTACCACCAGGCGAGCTACAACGCTAGTGCCAGTGCTGCTGCCGCCTTCTCAGACTGGCCACGTAGACACAGCCAGACCCGCGCTGCGCCTACGACCATGAGCGCAGAGACATCGACTTTGGCTCCAGCACCGGCACCCGCACCGGCATCTACACAGCCGCCACACGTAGCAGCGTCGTCGTCATCGTCGTCGTCGTCAGTCCGCGCCTCATCATCGCCATCAGCTGCTGCGAACACGCATCAGAGAGAAGAGCTCGCTGTGACACCGGAGAGGGGAACACGAGGTAGCAAGTCGCGCAGAGCCAGCTCTGGCGGCTCAAGGATACCCTACGAGCAGGAGGAGACAGCGAGAGCGCACGCGGCAAGGGGGTCAGCATCGGGCTCAACATCCTCGCCATCCGGCGCTGCAGCCACCACATCAACCATCCCCTCATCATCGTCATCTCTATCGGCATCGTCGTCATCATCCCGACAACGACCAGCGCGACCATCCTCGCCATCCATGCTCGTCCCTCCGCCATCCTCCGAGAGCAAAGGCGCCAAGCCCCTGCCGCACGTCGACCTAGCCACATACCCTTCTCCAGACCTCCTGCGAGTCCTCGCCGTGCTCCTCCACCAGATTGCCACAACCAACGATGCCATTCGCCCGCCATCTGCTACGCAAGACGAGAGGGGACGGAGGTCGGGCTCGAAGTCGAAAGGTGATACATCTGCAGCGGGGCAAGACGGCGACGAGGCATCTTCATCGTCTGGAGCAGCAGCAGTGCATCATCCCCAGGGGGTCACAACGGCAGCCATGGGTGCATTGGGCCAACCGAGCAGCACCCTCTGCTTCCACGCTCGTAACGTGCCTAGCATCACCATCGAGAGCTACCTGCTGCGTATCCTGAAGTACTGTCCGACGACGAATGACGTCTTCCTCAGCTTGATCGTCTACCTCGACCGGATGAGCAGGGTTGCACAAGGGTCAGAGGACGGGTCCAGCGGCAGCGTGGCGCCAATGATGTCTGGCGGCGCCGCCGCTCCTCTGACTACGCCAAGCGGAGCCCTGCACGAGGAAATAGCGAGGTCAGGAGCGGTCAACGGAGATGACGACGAGTCGATGTCCTCCTCCTCTGCATCCGCGCCGGGCTCACATGTACACCCGGGCATGAAAGGTTTCGCCGTCGACTCGTACAACATCCACCGTCTCGTCATCGCAGGCGTGACTGTAGCGTCCAAGTTCTTCAGCGACGTCTTCTACACCAATTCTCGCTACGCCAAGGTGGGCGGTCTGCCGGTGCACGAACTCAACCAGCTCGAGCTGCAGTTCTTGCTGCTTAATGATTTCAGGCTAGTCATCCCTTTGCCGGAACTGCAGAGCTACGCGGATCGACTGCTCGTCTATGCTACAGGGTCAGGGGTGGTGCAGACCGGGGTCGTGAAGGAGCTGGGGGCGCCAGGTGCAGGAGAAGCAGCAGCAGCGGCGAGTGGTCAGCAGAGGCGAACCTCTCACTCGAGCTCGACGAGCAGGCCTGCGGCTACCACACCTGCTGCGTCATCCTCATCGTCCTCTTCGACCGCCACGCCTCACGCGGCTTCATCGCCTCGTCCGGACCGGTCAGCTGCAGCAGCGGTACAGATGCAGGAGGGGTAGACCCCGAGGGGCATGGAGAATAGACGTGGAGAGGGAGACTCGTAGGAAAAGAGGCCGAGAGATGGAAAGCAGAATGGTACGGGAAGCGGGCGACCATTGATCGATTCAGTCTTTGTACATTGTGAGCTCGTGAGCCGGGGTGGCACGACACGCTCATCCTTCCAGTCAGCCAATCGGCTCGTTGGCTCGCCCAGCACTACATCACATCATCATCACTGCGTCCTCTACGCATGTTACCACCATGATCTCGTCGTCGCAATCGTATCCCCATCATCGTTATTCAAGCGTAGCCACGAACGATTTGAGCGAGCGAGCGAGAGAGCGACGAGACGGATACGAGGCTATCGCCTGACGCGACACGACGCGACGCGATGCCCGTCACCCTCTCACCACGATCGACGTCAGAGGAGTTGTCTCCCGGATAGCAGCTACGCCCTCCTCTTCGCTCATCTCGCTCGTGTCACACGCTCACACGCGTCGGAATGGATGAATGTGTAATCGATTCGTCTTCAAGGAGTCGCGATGAGCGCTCAAGGATATAGACGAGACGACATGATGGTGAGAGAGACAGAGAAGAGCTAGAGTACAGAAGGAGAAACCACGCCTATCAAGGAGCCAAGTGTGTGTGTGTGTGAGGAGCCGGGCCAAGCTAAAGCTTAGGTCCTCTCGCCTCGGAGACGACGAGCAAGGGCGATGTCCTTGGGCTGGATGGTGACACGGCGAGCGTGGATAGCGGCCAGGTTGGTGTCCTCGAAGAGAGAGACGAGGTAAGCCTCCGAGGCCTCCTGGAGAGCCATGACAGCCGACGACTGGAAGCGGAGGTCGGTCTTGAAGTCCTGGGCAATCTCACGGACGAGGCGCTGGAAGGGGAGCTTGCGGATAAGGAGCTCAGTCGACTTCTGGTAGCGACGAATCTCGCGGAGGGCGACAGTTCCGGGCCTGTAACGGTGGGGCTTCTTGACACCACCGGCCGAGGGGGCGGACTTGCGAGCTGCCTTGGTGGCGAGCTGCTTACGGGGGGCCTTGCCTCCGGTCGACTTGCGGGCGGTTTGCTTAGTGCGGGCCATTGTTAGGATGTGTGGTTGTGCGACTGAGAGAGGGTGCGAGGTGAGGAGCGTATTAGAGGGGCTGTCCTGGCGTGTCTGCAACCACTGTCGGTCTATGTATCGCAATACTCACGGTAGTGTGGTGCGAGATGACGAGGACAAGGTGTGGTAGTGGTTTGTGAGAAGGAAAGGAGGGGGGAATGCGATTTTCGAAGTTGCCTTATGAAGGGACGCTGCTCCCCCTGTAGCGTCGCCGGAGCCAATGCCGCCTGGCCACTGGCATCGGCTCGATAGTGGCATGTACACCCGCCGCCATGTTGCGACGAATCAAGCCCGTGCCTGAGCGATTCGAGGTGCGAGTTGCTGTGACGAAGAGAAAGTCGGGCCTCTCGAATCTGATCCCATCAGTTGGCTCAACGGAACAGCCGCGCCCTGTCCGCCCGTCCGCCCGACTTTCCCACCACACGATGAATCAAGAAGCAGGCCGGCTGTCCGCCCACTCCGCCCTGCCTGTCCGCCCAGGTCGCGCCGCGCCTCTCGCTCACATCAGAGTGATCGCCACTTGCACGACATTAAGAGGCCACCGAATCATCGACGGCCACGATCCAGCCACGCCGTCGATTCCTCGAGTTGAGTTGCGTCGACGCAAAGTCAGGACCGGAGGCGTGGGCGTGGGTTCGCAAGGCAAGGCAAGTCAGGCCACACTGGGCGAGGCCGACGTCGGGAGCTGACTGACTGCTGGCCGAGCATCGTAGAGGTTATAAACCCAACTCGCCGCCAATAGCTCCTGTCCTTTTCTCCCCACACAACTACTCCCTTCTCCCTCACACACTACAGCTTTCGAGCGTGAGTATCCCAGACGATCCACAAAGACTCTCGTTGTTATCACCAGTCGCTGATAGTATCTTACTCACCCCACGCCCGCAGTCACCCACTCTCACCCCCACCACTTTTTACACACACAAACATGACTGGACGAGGAAAGGGTGGCAAGGGTCTCGGCAAGGGCGGTGCTAAGCGCCACAGGAAGGTGAGCACACACACCGGGCGCGCCCCGCTGAGGATCGCATCACCACGAGAAGTTGCAACTCACACATTACATTCCCACGCACTACAGATCTTGCGAGACAACATCCAGGGTATCACCAAGCCCGCTATCCGCCGTCTCGCGCGTCGTGGTGGTGTCAAGCGTATCTCTGGCCTCATCTACGACGAGACCCGCGGTGTCCTCAAGCTCTTCCTTGAGTCGGTCATCCGCGACTCGGTCACCTACACTGAGCACGCCAAGCGCAAGACCGTCACCTCGCTCGACGTCGTCTACGCTCTCAAGCGCCAGGGAAAGACCCTCTACGGTTTCGGCGCGTAGACGTTGGTCACTACCGCCCTCTTCGTGTTGTTTCCTCTCTCTCTTTTGCTTGTTCATTCCCATCTACCTGTAACATTAGCTATGGCTCCCTGCTAGCCACCACATCGAGGTGATCTCATTCAAATCATCACGAGCTTCTACTCATACCAAAGTGCCGCTCTGCCGCCCTCCTGACTGATCCCTCCGACTGAGCAGCTCGAGCACCAGCACGCTATGATGCGTGGCTGCCTTGCGTTGCGTCGCAAGGAGCTACAGCTGCCACCTCTTGCTCTTCACCTTCTTGCCTTGCCCTTTCGCTTTCGGCTTCTCTTCTCGACGTGTGCAATACTGCGTCATCATTTCACACACTCTCTCACGCAGGCCGACTCACTGTCTTCTCTCGTACGCAGCAAGCAGTTCATGGCGACGACGAGAATTCATTCTTGGTATACAGTGGTGTCTGTCTCGATGGAATGCAATGGATGCAAAGAGCTGTAGCAGCAGCAGCGACGACGGCGGGTGCGCGACTGTGAGCGCGCTATGCGCGGCCTTGTGCACCACGCTCTTCTAGTAACGACGCTCAGGATTGTACGGGTAAGAAGATGCCGACGAGGGCCCAGCTCCTCCTGACGTGAGAGCAGCGTAAGACGACGATCCCGGCGCTCCGTCGCGCACGCCTCCCGGGGGCGGAGGAAGTGGGCGAGCGCTGAAAGGCGGGGGAGCAACGCCCTTTTGCCCGACGCTACTCATCGGATCCTCCACCCTAGATACCATCACGTGCGCAGCAGCCTGAGCTGCCTCTCCTTCTGCCTTCCTCCTGTGATCCTCCTTCTTCTTTGCTCTCCACGCCCTCCTCATCTCCCTAAACTCTTGCGGCGTGCGCTTCGCTCCATGCTTCTGCAGCGCGACGTGCGCATTGAGATGGTTGAGCGTGCCGTAGCTCTTGTCGCAGCCTTCGAAGCCGCAGCGGTACATGCGGTCGATCTCCTCATGCCTCCTACGCGGGCGCTTCTTGCGCTCCCCGTCGGGCCCCGCCGTGCCGCTGCCTTCGCCCTGTGTGAGGTGACCGCTGCTCCCACTCCCTCCCAAGCCAGTTGTACTTGCCGGTGCGCCACTGATGCTCTCGTCTCCCAGCCCCTGCGAGATGTAGCCGCTGCCTGACACGCTGCCGCTCGGCGTAAGGGAGCCAGCGCTCGAGTAGTCGGCGGACGTGTTGCCGGCTCCCCAAGCGCTCTGGAAGCCTTGGTGGTACTGAGGGTAGCTGGCGAGGTGTGCGCCTGGGTAGCTAGGTCCAGTGTAGGCCCGATCTCTATAGCCTGTGTGGGGAGGTGGTTGGTGGTGTGGATGGTAGGCGCCTGCAGTGGATGCGTCAATCAGCTATTGTTCGGAACATGATGGGACCAGCTTCGACTGACCTTGCAAATCATTTGGGCCAAGAAACGTCGAGCCGTACAAGCCGTCTGCTGTGTGTGGACGAGAAATTCCACCGGACGAGCCCGCCCAAGCGGTGATGGGATCAGCAAAGGGAGGTCCGGTGACGGCAATGCCGGCAGCGTTTTGCTGATGCTGCTGTTGCTGCGGCTGCTGAAGACCATCGGGAGGCGCGGGATTGTAGTGTGGTGCCATGACTGGGCCTGAGATAGAGGCACGATGACCCGAAGCACTGCGGTGGCCGTCCTCTGGGTCATCGTCCCCCCCCTGCTGAGAAGTAGCAGAATAGTAAGCCTGCTGCTGCGAGCCATCTCCGCCCGAAGTGGACGCGCCGCTAATGCCTCCTGCTGAGGCTCCCTGACCCCACTGTGGGCCATACGACGGCTGAGTCGATGAAGATGAGGGGCCAAACATGATGTGCGAGCCGGCAGGCATGCCGTCAGGACCGAGTACGACACCCTCTGGCGCAGACGCGTAACCTGGCGGAGCAAACTGGCTGGACGCCGCGTATTGCATGTGGTATTGGGAATGGTGTTGAAGTTGATGCTGAGTGAGGTGCTGAAGTTGCGAGGATGGAAGTTGCTCATAGGATACAGACGTAGGGTAGCCTGGATAGTTAGCTGCTCGACGCTGCGCTGATGCGTCTACGCCGGCAAAGGCAGTCGCATCGTATCGTTGAGGGAGATCACCTTGCTGATGCTGCCCAGCTAGTGGTACAAAGTCGGACCCTCCATTGGGATGTGAAAGGCCAGAGCCACTGCCGTGGGATGGGTACGAAGCTGACGACGACCCTGCGGAAGGGGGAACTTGATTGGCCTGATCGGCGCGGGCGTTGCCATTGCGACTCATAGCTTCGAGTGCGTCAGAGGCTGCCGCAACGTCGTCGTGTGCACCACTGACGGGGACTCCTTTGTCTTCGCGCAGAGGACCGCGGACGCCGTCGTCTTTGTTTGGACCGTCGACGTCCCCGCTGACGCTGTGGTCTGTGCTGTTGCTGGGCCCACCGCTGCTACTGCCGTCGGTGGTACAATGTGCGCGACCGCCGACGTCTGACAATGGGGAAAGACGACGCTGACGACCAAAAGGAGAAAATAATGAAGAGGATTGGCTCGGAAGAAAGGAAAGCATCGTCTGTGAGAGGACGACGCTCAAAGAGCTCGAGCTGCAAAAGGGAGCTGGAGCTTCACGCTAGCACTAGTCTGAAAATGGGAGGGTGGGCAAGGCGGGCGGCGGGGAAAGGGCGACGACGCCGGTCGGCATCAGGTCAGTCGCAGCGCTCTCTCCTCGCACGACGAACGAACAATGGCGCCCTCTTGCGCGTGCGTGTCAACGAAAGCAGTTTTGCTCTCTTGTCGTACACGAACCATCTCTCACGTCTATGAGATGTGTGATGCTGCGCAGGTACGCAACGAACCGCTGGGCTGGGTCACCCAACTTGCAAAGAAGACTCACGATGCGTTCCAGATGGTGGCCAGCGTCCTTTGGCGGACCGTGGGAGAGTCTACGCAGCTCCTGAGGCGGATTGACGCGAGAGAGGGGGGGGGGGCGACGTGCAATGATCCAAGCAGGCGGAGATGAGCGATGGAAGTTGTACCGGATGGCGTTTTGGGCGTGGGCGCACGACGGACAAAGCTGTGACAACTTGGCGCCCCTCGAATCGCTCGGCGAATCGGTGCGCTCGTTTGGATTTCCGCTCCTTCTGGGTGGTCCGTCGTCTGGTCGGCGGCAGCGACGACGACGAACGAGGCAGAGGTACGTCGCGTGAGGAGCAGACGGCTTCTGAAGAAGACGGCAATCGACGAGGAGACTGAGACCGGCAGTCTATGCCCGTCAATGCAGTTGAGCTATGGACGCGGACAAAGGCTGCGACAACGGGCGTCGATTTCTCGACGACAAAGGCGGGTGTTTGGTGAGCTGTGGCGTCAGAGCGACGATGCAAGCCCCGGGCGGCGTATAGAAGCGACGATGAATCCACGGAGCTCGTCTTGGGGAGGAGGCGGTGTGTGTCTCGGAGGCGATCAGGCAGCCAAGCAGGGTCGATCGGGCAACGAGATGGGCGTTTGCTGTACAGCTCGCGTTTGGCTGTCGTCGTCGTGTTCGTTGCCTCCTTCTCGTGCGTGAATCGCAGCTCAGGGGGCGATGAGCCGCGGCGGCGGCGGCGGAGGAGCGGGAGGCACTGTATGCCTTTGGGATGGGATCTTTCTCTGCCTGCCGAAGCGTCGAGGCGAGGCGAGGAACAGGGTGGTGTTGCGTGATGCGATCTTGCGTCGTACCAAGCAATGGAGAGTCTTCTCGAGTCTCCTCTGTTTCGGCTCTTGGCTGCTGCCTGGCGATGTTTGAGCGATTCAGAGCGAATGAATGCTACTAAGGCACCGGTCCAAGGCCGACCGACGATGTACAGGAGGAGGGTAAGAGAGCAGTGGACAAGTAGGGAAGGAGGTTGACCAAGAGGCGCGGGCTGATGCGCAGAGGCGTGGGAGAAACAAGTGGTGCGTCGATGCGCTCGACTAGCGCCCTTTTTTCCTTCCTCGAGGCTCGCTCCTTGCCGCGCTGCTCTCTCGCTCTCGCTGATTCCGGGAACGGCGCAGGAAGGCCGCGGACATCCACTCGGGCGCGCACTCAACGGCCAGGGCAAAAAGGCCTCGTCGCTCGTTGCTCGTGCGGAGCTCAGGAGGCGATGAGGCGTTGATGGGGATCATTATTGTCGTCCGACGCTTGCTGACACCGCTCATCGACGGTATGTGAGCGAATCGCAACGACTGATGAGTGAGCAAAGATAGGCGCTGAAAGACTGCGCCTGGGTAGCGACGGAGAATGACAGAGGGGGAAAAGCCAATCGGCGTGACCGGGGCATCCTCTCAGACCATCAGGGGCGGGCGGGGCAAAATTACGATGAAGGAGGAGGGCGGCGATGCTCGGCTCATTTACTCATCATTCAATCAATCAATCACCGTCTGGGCGTCAAGGTGATGGCGACGAGCGGCGGGCAGGTACCGAGGCTGGAGTAGCCATCGTAGCGCGCAGGACTCTACTGTTCCTCGACGTGGACCTAGCTGCGAACAAGGTACGGATCTAGACAGCTTTGACGTGATGCGGCGGCATGCACAGCGCAAGAGCATGAGAAAAATACGAAGCAACCTGTTGGCGTAGAGGAATGAGATGGATTAGCGCAGCGCAGCCACTGGCTCGAATGAATGTGCGGACCTCGGTGACGGGATTGATATCTTTGACAGAGCGGGGGACTAAAGGCGTCGTGAGAACAAGGAAAGGGGAGCGAGCGGCAATCGGCAGCTGTGCGTAAATTGACGCGGTGTCGTCGAAGGCAACGTCCGGCTAAACAGTCGGACAGTCATTTGCTTGCATCGTCGGAGCGGGAGGTGTTTCTGGTGGCGGCGTTGATGGTGAGGCGAAGGTCAAAGGACAAAGGCGTTGGTATGCGGCGTTGTGAGCGATGATGACGGCGAGGACAGCGAGCGAGCGAGACATCGGGCTCCAATCGATCCAGAGTCAGTGACCTCCGACAAGTTCCAATGATTGCCGTACAGGACTGCGTGGCGCACTGAGCACGACCAGGTGCGTGAGAATAAGAAGACATGGATGCGCAGACTGCGTACGATGTACTGCCAAGCAACGTCGCCCGACGTCATCAAATGCCCGTCATGATCACTTGGATAAGCGCGTGCAGGTCCATAGGCAGGAACGGATGACATCCAATGCGAGATGCTCATCGATGAGCCGCGGCGTCCATGTGAGAAAGGGCGAGGGATGAAGGCGATGAGCCGCGGCGATGACGATGGAGACGATGTCAAAGGAGAGCTTTGACTACCACGGGAGGAGTGGAGTCGTCCTCAATCAGACGAGCGACTCCCTTGACCACTATCAAGCGTATCAAGCGGCCATGGATCCAAAGACGACTGGTCATGTATTCAAGAGAGACTGAAAGTATCGCTTCGAATGGCAATGATGTCACGACTCTTGCTCAGCCTCGGCGGTCTCGAGCTTTATAAGGTCGCTGCGTCAAGGGTCTGTTCACCTTGCGTCGCGACCAAGACATCAGCGGGGCCTATGTATCAGACAGCACCGCATATGGGCTCGCGCGCAAGACATGGGCCTGACTGTGAGACCGCGAGAAGGTGTGACAGGCAGGGGAGGCCCCTCTTGGATGACGCGGTGTAAGACATGTCCCATCTGATCCCGTGGGGAAGGTCTCGTAACCACCTATGTTGCTACCAAGGCACGACTGTAGCCAAAAGCATAACCTTTGCCGTCTACCACCACAACCACCACCACTCAGCCCACTCCACGCCGTCCCCACACAATGCCTCTCAGGGATCGCTTCGAAATGATGCGCGCCTTCTCGATCCAGTCGCGCAAGAAGACCAAGGAGCTGAAAGGCAAGAGCAGAGAAATCGAGCCCGTATCTGCTCGTGAGGCTGCTGTCGCTGCTGCCAAGGCCGATGGGGATGGTAGCTTGCTTCCCAAATACAGTGACCTGGTCAGTAGCGTCACCGGTAATTCTGACTCCTCTGCCACCTCGACTCCCTCTGGCTCCTCTGACCTCTCGCCAGCGGACTTGTCATCCGTCTTGGAAATGACTGCCTCTGACGCAACGGCTGCCGCTGAGAAGCAGAGGCTTCGCGCCCGTTACGACAAGCTGGAGGAGGAGTACCTGAAGGGCCTGAACAGGAAAGCAGGTGCTGCGTTACCTTCTACGTCGCTTGACATGTGTCCTCGCCCAGGGGTCGGAGCACAGTACGACTCCAGGGGTAATGGAAACAGTACAGCTGCGGTCGACGTCGCCGCTGATTCTCTGCCGGCTCAAAAGTACCGTCCTCAGGATGATATCGATGTCTTGCCCAAGAAGAAGGGCCCAAAGCTCTCCAAGTGTAAGAGCGTCAAAAATCTCTGAAAGAAGTCGGCGGCCGCGCCTCCCTGTGAGCCCGATGAACGGGATCCCGCGCCACATCTGGTGGCTTATACCTGAAGACGGTCAGTCGTCAAAGCAGTACGAGCGACCCGGATCCTCAACGCCCGCTTGCATCTTCACTCTCTCATGGTGCTCGCAGGGAGTCTAATTTGCCTCTGAAAGCCATGGACCTTGCATCCTCTTGTCTGCAGCGAACACTCGCTTCGTCTCGTTCTCGTCATCGTTCTCTCCGCTCTCCTTCGCCTTTCCTTCACTTCACTCCGTTTCTTGAATGACATCTTTCTATTCCCTCCAATCACTTACTCGCGGGCTCCACGACGCCATACCTCTGGCGGTACTCCTTCATGCCCTCGACCTCGTTGCTCATACCCTTACCCTCCAAGAATGCAATGACCTGATTCAGGTTCACCACGCTCACAACCTTGGTTCCCAACCTCTGCTGGACGGCGCCCACAGCGGAGGTCTCATCTCCTTCCTTGACCTTCTCTTGCCTATCCAGCGCAATGACGATCCCGACAAGTTGACCTCCCTCGGCCTTGATGATGTCAACTGCCTCGTTGATCGCCGTTCCTGCCGTAATGACATCGTCGAGGATGATGACGCGCTTTCCCTTCATGGGTGCGCCTACCAGCGTACCACCCTCACCATGGTCCTTCTTCTCCTTTCGGTTGAAGCAGAATCCGAGGTCGAGGCTGTGTGGTGGCAAAGAAAGGGAGAGGGAGACGCCGGTTGCGAGTGGGATGCCCTGCGTGTGCGAGAGGGTCCGGTCAGAAGTCTGCCATAGTGAGCAGGTCTTGCAAGGCTGCGCTTCTCTCACCTTGTATGCAGGTCCAAACAGGACGGTATTCTCCCTCTCCTCCTTCGTCTCGCCTAGCAGCCCACTCCTGACAATCTCCTCGGCGTAGCATCTTGCGAGCTCTGCCACCTTGGCTCCCGAATTGAAGAGGCCCGCATTGAAGAAGTAGGGAGACTTGCGGCCAGATTTGAGCGTGTAGGGCCCCTTGAACGCCAAGATGTTCGATGCGAGGAGAAGATCCAGGTAGGACTTCTGGTGAGGCAGGACCTGGGCTGAGGATGATGACATGCCGGCAGAGAGTGGTGCGATTGGGACGACGAGAAGGAGTGACGCCGGGGGTGGGGAAGCCTTGAAAGGCAATTTAATTGCTCGCGTCTCGTCGGAACGGAGCAACGCGGTTTGTCGTGGGCGGGCGAGCGGAAAGGAGAAGCCCAAGGCGGACAGAGAGATCAACACTTTGGTCCGTCGCCGTCTGTCGCTCGAGGAACACGCTGCTCAGCCTCACCTCACCATCAGGTCAAAATGGCAGCTAGAGGGCGCGGCAGCAATGCCCTCTACCTCGAGCTACTTCAACATCAGCATGAACAGCTCAAGGCGTCTTCAAGCCTGGCGGCACCACACTATGCCCGCGCCATTGCAGCACTCAGTGCCTGTCCGGTACCACTGAACGATGTTGAGGCGCTTGGCGATCTCGATGGCTTCTCGCCCGGACTCAAGAGGTGGCTGGCCCAGGCAGTGAGGGACAGAGGAGGCGAAGCTACAATCAAGGCCAAACGGACGCAAGCAAAGCAATGCCGCGCTAGTGACCTCAGTCTGCTTGACTCACTCGATGCGGCGGGAGAGGAAGCGCAAGATGAACCTGAAGCGTCAACATCGCGGGCAATCAGCAGCAGCACATCGGCAGGCAAGAGCACGATCAGGAAGCGCAAGGCAGTCTCGAAGAAGGATGGATCAGCAAAGCCAAAAGCATACACACCACCTCGTCGCTCAGGAGGGTGGGGCATTCTCATTGGCCTCTGGCTCCTCACCCAGCAAGAGCCCTCCACCTCCTTGCACCCCCACTTCTCCAAGGATGACATTATATCCACAGCCAAGAAGTACAGTCGCTCCTCCTATACGCACTCGATTGTAGCGCGCTTTGCGTCCTCGTCGTCAGCAAGTGGGGCAGGGAAGGCCTATTCAACAGCCTGGGATACGATGCGCACGCTGCTCAAGCACGACTTGGTGTGGCAGACGGGAAGGCCAGCAATGTTCGGTCTGAGTGAGGTAGGATTGGAGGTGGCGAGAAGCATCGCCAAAGAGGAAGGGAAGCTGAATGAGGCGGTAGGAGAAGATGAAGGGTCGGCCCTGTCGGGAGAGGAAGACGAGCAGGATGATCCTCAGCTGGCAGAGAGCTCAGACCGTGGTGTTCCTCGACATGCCTCGACGGCGAGCAACGACATAGACGCAGAGTACGAATATATACTGCACGGGACACCTGGCGCTGCCTCATCAGCAGCAAGAAAGCGGAAGAATCAGCCATCGTCGGCGGCGGCTGTAGGGGGAAATGAGAGCACTACAAGCTCTCGAAGGGGAGCAGCCCTGAAATTGCCGCCAAGGTCTGCAGCCACTGCAGAGGGAAGGGCGGCCAAGACCACTAAGGTGCCCGCTAGAGGCTGCCGGAGAGGGGCGCCTACTGAGACAATCGAGCTGAGCAGCGATAGCGAATGAAGCTCTCTGTGCAATCATACCTTTCATCATGCCGTCATCATCGTACAGCATTCTTCGCCGCCGGTCGCGGCGAAGCAGCCCGTAAAGTGGTCGGGCGGACTGGCGGCGCGTCGACGCGTCCGTCCGCTGATCCTGCCTGACCTGACTTGGGATGCAGCTCTCCACTCCTTCTTCCCCTACTCGTGGCATCTTACCATCGACGATTTCGAACGATGCTTGCCTCTGCCTCATCTAGCCTATAGTGCAATTCTTGGTACCGCGCGGCATGATCTCAACGCAGCAAACGCCCGCAGGCTCGCCTTCCACGACTGGCCAGCCATCTCGCCCCTCTCCCTCTTCACATGCCACCCCATCAGGCGCCTCCAAGCCGCGCCTCCTCTATCGTGGCCCTCTACGCCTGATCGACGGGACATTACTCAAAGGTGTGGCTTTTGTCTCTACCGTCGACCCCTTCGCAGCTCCCAACAATGCAGCGACCTCCGCAGGCGCCGGCGCAGACGATGCTGACATCTGCCTGGCGTTGGAGATGGCCAGAGGAAGGAGCACGTTGGGTATCGAGCAGGTGGATGAGGCTACCATGCCAAACACGTCTGCAGGATGTGATGTGAGACTTGAAGCTAGTGGAAGGATCAAAATGTACGTCTTGCAATGATATGCATACGAAGAGATGAAATCGGACTGACCGCCTCTCGCTCTCCCACAGGTTCATTGATCCTAACGAGCCACTGACTGCTGCCTACTTCGAGCGCAACTTCTGCTGGGGGGACGATTGGTCTGATGAAGGGAAGGAGAGGAGCAGGTGAGTCGATGGGCGTCGCAAGCAGACTCTACGAGCTGGGAATGCTGACTGCCTGACCGACGCTTTCTGTCACAGGACCGCCTTTCTGCTCTCGACTGGTACAGCGTCAACCCTACTCGCAACCTCAATCGACGGAAATGTTACGACAGACGCAGCATCGCAGTCACAAGATCCCTTTATGAGCTCCTACGCATCCAAATCAGCGGCGCCTCTCCCCCTCGTAGAGCGACGAAGCGCTGCACTCCAGCTGGTGCTGTTCGCACGAATGGGAGAGGGAGACTCGGTACTGGATGTCGTCGTCGGCCGGAGGGTGGTGCAGAAGCGTAGCAAAGCCGCCGCGGCTGGCAATGGACAAGCTCGAGGGATGAGCCAAGGTCTCAGACCAGACGATCCCCTGCCGCGCGTCCCCGCTGCTGCTGCCCTGCAGGACCCTCGACAGAAGACGAGGAGGGAGGGCGAAGAGGAATCCACCACCGCAGCTTCAGCGTCAGGTTCGACCATATGGCGCAAGACGGCTTCTGCACCCAATCTTGCACGGCCGCCGCTGCCGCCTGCCAGGTCATCGTCAGGCAGCGCGTCAGACCGAGGAGGAGATCGCAGCCTCGCGTCAGTCATGGAGGCTTCCTCGTCACAGGAGCAGCAGGAGCCTGCCTGTTCGAAGACGACATCAGTGAGGGGGGAAAGCAGCAGCAGCAGTGCTGCTCACGGCATGACAGGAGGCAATCACACGCCAGGAAGAAGAGGGGAGAAACGTCGCTCCACAGCTAGTGTGGCGGCGAACAGCAGACGCGGCCCAGAGCATCTATTATCGCCTTCCAAGAGGCGCCGCACTACAGTGGCTGGCCTGCCGAATGCTGTCGTCCCCACGCGCCCGCCGCCTCTCGCCCTTCAGCCGCCGCGGCCACCGCCAACTCAGCGAAGGCGTTCAGCTGCCTCTCCTACTCCAATGCCCGAGCCACCGCCCTCGGCCACTCTTGCGGCGCCCTCCGCAATGACAGCGTCCTCGTCGAAAGGGTACACCGCCCTCGAGCTCAAGAATCGCAGCGTGATCAAAAAGCTCGTCCAGCACCAGCTTCTTGGCCGCGGCCTAGAGCGGCGACGAGATCCCGGAGATGCGGACGGGCTCGAAGATGGAGAAGACGCAGAGGATGGTCCGACCGCAACAGACGATGGAGGGGCAGGCGACGAAGAGGAGGAAGAAGACTTCGATCGCCTCTTCCACGGGGCGTACACGTCCACTTGCGTCGCCCTGCGCCGGGACTTGAGCAGGAAAGCGATTCGGCGCGACGTGGCTGCGAAGGTTGTCAGGTGGCATTTGGATCTGTACCTTGAGGCTGGGGAGGACACGGGAGGAGCCGTAGTGACTTCAGGTGGCACGACCGAAGGATGAGCAATGTGTCATGTGGAGCGTGAGGGAGAGGCAATCCACTGTCCAGTCCACTGTCTATTAGTCATTAGCCATCATTGCTTCATCGTGATGAGGACGGCGCCAAACGGTCCAGTGTCGCCTTTGTCGTCTCGCTCCCTGCTGATCTCTTCTCTACCCTCCTTTGCCTCTCGTCATCCTCCCCTTCATCATCCTCCCGATCCATCTCATCATCGCTCCATCCGGGCAGCTCCTCCTCGATGGTCCTCGGTGCATTCCCTCCAGCGCCCGAGTTTGGGCCATCACCGCGTTCAATGGAGATACTGGCACGCAGCGGCAGGTAATGGGTGCGGTTCTGTTCCGTCGTGGCGAGTGAAGGCTTGCTAAGCGGTAAGGTGCGGTACGTCCCGTGTCGCAGGTGAAGAGCGTAGGAGTAGAGGAGGAGGGCAAAGTAGATCTGCACGCGATGGAGGAGGACGAGGAGAGGTCAGCATCATCTGCGACGGTGTGCGGGTCTTGTCAGCTTGCCCACGCCTGCTCACCTTGAGAATCCAACCCGCCGCCAAGACTGTTGTACTGAATGCGCTCTCGCTCCTCCAAACCTGCTGGGCCGCCTCAACCCTGGCCTGACCCTCCAACGCCTTGTGATGCTGCACGTCGCCTTTGGTCTCGTACTGCGCCTCGATCCCCTCAATCAAGCTCATCAGACCAGCTTGATAGGGACTGAGATTGGGCGGCTGGCCATTATGCTCCGTGTAGTAGTAGACGACCTGAAAGAAGTAGAGGGACCAGATGCTCGAGATGAGGTGGTCCGCTAGGTAGCAATGTGCGTATAAGACCACCGTGGGGCTGGACTCTTCGCTGATCCCGCGCAGTCCCCACAAAGAGATGAAGATGGTTCCCAAAGAGTAGGCATACAGGCTCAACTGCGACCAAGTTCCACCTTGAAAGATGGCGAGCAGGCCAAAGACGCCGGCGGATTTGTTGAAGAGGTTGAACAGCGTCAGGATGGTGCAGCCTAGCTTTAGGTCGACGAGCCGCAGGAAAGATGTGAAGGGGCCATACCGATGGAAGGAGGGGGTGATCGCCATTGTTTGGCGTCAGAGGCACGAGAGGTATTGCCGCCTGGGCTGAAAGATGCTGTTGAGTGTCGAGTGTTGAAGCTGCTGATGGGACGCACCGACGAACGGACGGACGGAAGACGGGCGGGCCGCAACTTGGAGCAAAGTGCTCGACGGGCGGGCGGATTGGGCAGATGCAGAGCTCTCAAGCGGGTCGGGCTGCTCTCGAGACGCAATCTGGATTCATCCTCCTCACCAACCAAGCACATCCTCATCGCCCCACGCATTTCCCTTCGTCTTCGCCAGGCATGGAGGCAGCTCCGACTCTGGTCGCGCATCCCGCGTCCGACGCCGACATGATGGCAGAGGACGTCTCTGCCTTCCAAGCAAATGCTGACACGATGGAGTACGACGAAGACCCTCACGTCGGGGCAGCATATGAGGATGAAGTCATCGCCGACGTGGAGATCGGGGACGCACATGATGAGACCAATAGTACGGACATGGGCGACGACGAGGTCGTTCAGCCTGAACCGGTAGCAGCAGCAGCAGCAACAACAGCAACAGAGCCACAGCAGGACTTGCAGTCCTCCCTGCCAATGGCAACGACGATGGCCTCAGCGCCGATGACGGTGGCCGAAGTTCCCATGGCAGGAGACGTGGCCGAGGGCTCCACGGGCGTACAAAGCGCACAAATTAGTGCATCTACGCCTGTGGCTGCTGAGCAAGGATACGAAGCTGTAGAGGCGGATGCGCCTCACGACCAAACGGAGTACGAGCAGCCAGCCGCACATGACCATCAAGGACTCGCAGCCGTCGCAGAAGAGGCGGGCGAGCCCGCTGTCCATGTAGCAAGCGAGGATGCTGGAACCAGCGCTATCGGGTCAACAGCTAGTGGGGCCGTACAGCCGCTCACGAAAGGGTCAACCTCAGCAGTGCCGCAAGCTTCGATCAATGCTGAGCAAGCAGAGCCAAAGTCAGAGGCACGCGCTGAGGACGACGAGAATAACGACGGCGGTGAAGGCTCATCCGAGCAGGCGTCCACGTCAGGCAATGAGCAGCAGCCCAACGACGAAGCCGATGCCGCCTCAAGCAGCAATCCATCCAAGAACGAAGACAGCAACGCCAATGACGCCGCCTCGCATCCTACCAAGCAGCCTGCCGGCGACGACCCCAGCAAAGACCCCTCCCGTTCGTCCCATCGCGCCTCTACGCCGCCTCCCGCCCAAACCATCCGTCTGACATTCAACGACCAATCTTTCGCCCTCTTCGCCGCCTCCTCCGAGTCATCCACCTACCTCGCATACAAAGAGGGAGCGGAGGAAGACGAGATCGAGTCCATTCCTGCGCCTCCCCTCGCCGTGCCAAAGGAAATCTTCCACCAACCACTCTCGACCCTCTTCCCAGCCTTGAGAGTCAAAGAAGCCCTCGGCGAATTCCTCGAAGACGCTGATGGGGCCATAGCCTCACGAATCGCAGCCCTCGTCCCTCACACCTCCACGCGAACGGGGGGAACTACGCTCGTTCTCCAATTCCCTCAGCTCGGCCTCGCCCTGAGGGAGGACTCCGTCTACGTTAGCGAAGTCAGTCTCAGCGACCTGGTCGCTGTGCACGAGGGAATGGCCTTCGAGGACAGTATGCATGTGGTGGTGAGCGAGGATGAGTGCTTCTTGAAGGAGTACAGGCTGCTGCAAGCTCAGGCTGAGGTGGCCGGGCTGGGTGGCGGAGATGATGAGGTCAATGGGCTGAGGCAAGGAGTCATACCGCAGGACTTTTTCGATGAGGTCAAGGCTGTCGAAGAAAAGTGGCAGAGTGAGCATGGCAGGGATGCGCAGCCGGGAAATGAGGAGGCGCACGACGCGACGTCCGACGATAAACAGGAAGGAGTGAGCGCCGAGGTCGAGCAGAATCAAGGGCAAGAGCAAGGTGCCACAGACGCTGCAGAGCAAACTTTCGTCACTGCCGCCGGCGATGACCACGAAGAAGAAGGAGACGAGCAGGATGGAGCCGCAGGCGATCATGATGACGCCGATAACGCCTATGCCGACGATGCGGCCGCTGAAGGCCAAGACGCAGAGGCGACAAAGCAAGACGCCAAGACAGGCGCAGAGACTGAGGCAGAGGCTGTGGCAGAAGCAGAGGCAGAAGCAGAGGAGCCCAGCTACGAGCCTGTCGCTGACGAAGGTGTAGAAGGCAACGAGGACGAGGAAGACGCCACTGGAGAGCAGGAAGTGCTTGTCGAGTATGAGGAAGAAGAGGGAGAAGAAGGCGAAGAAGGAGCCGCAGGCGAAGAAGCGGACGAAGATCAAGGTCAAGTAGACGATGCGTACGAACCAGAAGATGGGGAGCAAGACTACACAGCGGAGGGTGACGACAACGGAGAAGAAGAAGAAGGCGAAGACTACGCTGAGGACGCCGATGGAGAGGAAGAGCTCGAAGCCGGTTACGGCGAAGATGGGGAAGACGCCGAGGCTCTCAATGGCGAAGACAACAGTGCCCAGGGCGACGAGGCAGGGGCTAACGGTGAGCTCGAAGCAGCAGAATCAGCGGCGACGAAAGAAGTCAAGCCGATCAACACCGGCGCAGCTACTCTGGGCAAGCGCTCCTTTGATGCAGAAGCTGAAGATCAGACCGAAGACGAGGCGCATGCGGACTCAGGTACGGAGAGCAAGAAGGCGAAGGCGTCCCACTAGAAGAGAGCTACGAGCTCTCCACCTCTCAGCGCAGATTGAGGCTGAGCAGTATTGCTCGCCAGCCATGCCCGTCTCACTCTGCTACGAGTGGTCGCCGGCATCGTCGCACACTCAACGCACGTCCAGCCACGTCCAGCCGCAATTATCTTCAGACCGTTCGATCAACGTCATCATCACCTCGACCCGCATCCCCCGCAAGATCGCATTCCTCCACTCAAGCTGTACATTTACTCATGATCACCATCTGCGCCCGACGCACTGCGAGGCGAGGGCTGGCTGCCAGTCGATGCGATTGGCACAGTCGCCCACATTGGCTTGCTACAGCAGCTCGCCCCCGACTCTCTTCATAATTCCTCCACTCGTCATCGAGGGAAGATCAAGCATACCCACCGGCAAGAAGACTCACGAATCACACACGGGGAGGCGTGGAAGGACAAATAAGGGTAGCAAGGCAGGGCAAGCTTACCATTCGATGGCAGCAGAACTTTGCAACGCAAGACCAACCAGGATGTGAAGTGAGTAACGCGCGCGGGTCAGCTAACAGACCAGGTAAGGCCTTGTGCCCCCTTCTCTCCTCTCTTTTCTCCACGCTCTCCCTTATACGAGCCCCTGTTTCTTCCCCCACACCTTTCCCTTCGCGACGTCTTGTCACCCGTTACTCCCTCCTCTCCCTCTCCCTTCCCCTTGCTTCCCCTTAGCCCCCGAACAGCTGTCCTGCTTCTCCATGTCGTATCGCTTCGGTATTGTAGTCGTTCTGCTGGGAGAGCGATTTGCAATGAATGATTCGTGCGACTCAAGAGTTCATCATGGGCGAAGAGCTGGTGGCCGATATGGTGTTTCACGTACGACTCGACGAGAATTGACAGCTGTCCATACCATCGCTCGGCATTGCTGTCGCTTGCGCTTTGCGCGCTACCTTCGGTGATGTGCTCCTATTTGTGTACAACCTCGACATCTGAGTAGCCGGGACCTGTCGTCGTCAAGGCCAGAGAAGTCAAAGGTACCTTCCTGATTGGTACTCGACACCGGTACATCGCAGCAACGCATCGCACTGCGGCTCAACGCAGGTTGGTGATCCCGAGCCGGCATGCTACGGCAGGCGAGACGTCCCTTCAAAGCACCTGCTCGAACCCCTTTCTTCACGTCACGCAGCAAAGGTACGCGCAGTGCCGTGACCTCGCAGACATGCTGTACTAACATCGTCCCATCGTGTCAAGGTCAAGTGGAGCAGCGCGAGACCGCGGCGACAGGAGCGATTGAGAGCCTGTACAGTCTGGGCTTGCGCAGTTGTTGCGTACCATCGTCACCTCACTCTTTTTTGCGAAGGGAGTATACAGCGACGGCCGAATGAGCGCTACCGGACGTCTGCATCCCTCGAGAAAGACGGAGGCTTGGCACGCAGCCTAGCTGTCGCTTAAGCAGGAGATCGCTTCGTATGCCCTACAGCGTCGAGCATCCTGCCTTAGACCGGGGCTCGTCTATCTGTCTTGTCTGTTCGCTCTGTCCGCGAAAATAGAGCTCTTGGGAATGCGACGACGTTCGTGTGATAATCGTTCTCCCATCACCGAGCAGTCGAGGTCCCCTTGAAGAAATGCTGATGCTGCCTGCGGTCTGCGGAGTCCAGAGGAGACGGTAGCGCGTTCCTCGCCGCCTTGGAAGGGGCCGGCGGCGAGAGCGGCGGCGGCGTAGGCCGGTCGGCACTTGGACTTGGTCGAGTAAGGCGGGCCTATGCACGCTGCGAGCTGCAGTCGCGCCATCTCCTTTTCATTCATTCAACACTCATTCGAGTCTCCCTCAGGTTCAGCTTGAGGATTCCAGAATCGACAGCTGTGAGCTGAGTCCGTGTGTACATCTTTGACAGGCCGAATAGGCTGATCACGCAGACGGCAGGCACACGTACGTCCGTGCGAACTGCGGGCGAGCAGGCAGGCAGGCAGAAAGCAGTCGATGCGATGTATAGCTGCATCCTTGGTGATCCGTACTCACGCTCTCGCAGCCCAGACGACTGGGTGTTATCTCGTCCACAATCACTCAGGGGCACCTCGAGACAGCAAGCCTTGATCAAGTGTACATCTTCCCATGATCACCCATCGCGCTCGCGCTCAATCGACGGCCTCTAGCGTACGACACAGATTGATTTGTCCTCTGTTCCCCATTTTCACTTATTGGGAGCTCTCGGCTCATCGAACCAGGGAGGAGAAGGGACAGTGTGCTTGGTCCCCCTCGCCCTCCTTCGCGTTGACCCGTCCGCCCGCTCGCGGGGTGGGCGCGTCTGGTTGGACTTGGGACTTGTTCCCCGCTGCAATGGCGCGCAGGAATGCATCTGTGCACTCTGCATGGCGAGCTTCGAGAAGGGCGGACGACCGGAGATGAAGGAGGGAGATGTAGCGGGATGGAGCGGGGAGGGGGGGAAAGGAAGGAGGTATTGCATCGTCTATGCGAAGGAGGAGGGGGAGACGGCCAGGGCAGGGGGAAGAAAGCAGGGAGGCAGAGATAGCAGAGCGGTCGAAGCGAAGCTGTGGTTGAGGAGGAGGGGTTGGCATTCTTGGGACGAGGGAGGAGGAAGCGCGAAGAGGAGACGGCAGGCTGCAGCGGGCAATGGAAGAGAGAGCTTTGTAGACAGCAACTGGGTCCGCTGGGTAGATGAGCAGCCGCCTGGTGCCGCCCCTTCCGTTTGGTCCAAGTCCAAGTCGCGACATTCGATGAAGAAGACGTTGCGAGAGTGTGCGGACTTGGATTGGATGAACGAGAGCTGGGCTTGCTTGTGTACCTTTTGTATCCGATACCATTCGTCCCATCCTCAAGACCTTTTCCACTCTTTCCATCGTACCAAGTCGTGGCACCCTCATACCCGCCAGCTCTCTGACGTTTCAATACCCCAATCAGCTAGCCAGCCAGCCAGCCAGCCAGCCAGCCAGCCAGCCCGCGAGCGGCGCATATAGCCATGGCCGCCCACGTCGAATCACGAGTGGGCGCTCAATCACCAACCTCATCAACGCGCTCAGCCTCACCGTCAATCAAGAAGCGCATGTCCCTCTTCACTCGTCGAAGAGGCAGCGAGAAGCGACGAGGGTCAGAGGGGGATACGGCAATGCCCCCTGTGCCACCTCTGCCTGCGTTGCAGAGGCAATGGACATTGCCGGAGCAGGAGCGCAAGGCGCTCGTGTCTCCAGTCGAGGCGACGCCTTCTGCATCGTCTACGCCCAGCTCGCCCACCAAGATCGCTGGTCCTTCTTCGTCCTCCTCATCATCTACCAAGCCATCTCGACCAGCCCCTCGCCAAGTAGCAAGCTGCCCTCAGGCGCCCACGCAGGCCTTCCCCTCTCGCGAGCAGGAAGACCAACAACGCTTCGCAACTCACCCCTACCTCGCGCAGCTGGCCGCCGACTCATTGCGTGGCCATGGTCGAGTACGCTCTCACTTCAGCATCCCCGATGTCATGGTCACCGCCGCCGAGGAGGATGGCGAGGAGACTTACTTCGAGGTTCGCCTCGAAGAGGACAAGCGTCGCACACAGCTTTTCAACCACTCGGAGCCAGTCACGATCGACATGAGGGACATGGTAAATGTACCAGTCTCGCCGCCTATGGACAGTGCCGCTACGCTGGAGCCATTGGACGAAGGAGCAATGACTCCTACAGCACCGAAGCGGACTCGCAAGTCGTCGCTGCCGCTCATCTTCGGCCGCTCCTCAACGCCCAAGCCATCGAAGCAGCAGCAGCAGCAGCAGCAGCGCGACGCCGTTGCATCAGAAGAGGACGAGCCCCGTCGCTCGCGATCCCCATACCAACAACCAGCCTTCTCCTCCTCCGGCTCCCTCCCCTCAGCCGCAGCCTCTTCGCGGGACTCACTGCCGTCCAGCTCCAGCACCCCACGCACTCCTCCCTCGGACTTCCCCGTCAGTCCGCCTGACACCCCTTCGTCGGTCAATGATGGATTTGCTGCTGTCTGCGTGCCGCCCATGCCGCCGTCCATCTTGGCAGCCATCGCGCCTGTACCGTCCCTGAGTAAGAAGGAGCGCAAGCTCCGCGAGAAGGAGGAAGAAGCTTTGATGCGCGAGCTGGCAAAGGTGGACAAGATGGTCAGGTCACATGATGCTAAGCTGAGGAAGCAGCAGCAGCAGCAGCAGCAGCAACAGCAAGGGAGAGGGCGCAGCGCTTCCGAGAGTGAAAGCCAAGCCAGCGCGGCTACGATGTCGGGCTCCAACAAAGCCCGCAACGCCTTTAAGCGCATGACCCGCTTCTCCGTTTCGACCAAAGGCTCCGCAGGCGGAGTCGCGGCTTCGTACCAAGCAGCAGCGGGAGGCGTAGTAAGGAAGACCAGCGTTGTCCGCCGTGAAGCACCACCCGCCTCTACGGCCGCATCGACGAAGAAGGGGAAAGAGCCTCACTCCCCTCCCCAGCTTTCATCAGCTGCAGCAGCCATGGTGGCGGCCAATGGCGGGCCTCTTCGTCCTGTTCGCCCCCCTCCGCTCTTCTCCAGTCAGAGCGAGGCGGCAGAGATTCGCCGTTCTCTCGACCAGCAGCAGATGCGCCAGAATCAGCAACAGCAGCAGCAAGGTCGCCCCTCCGTGGAGCGTACGAAGGACAGCGATGAGTCTGAGCGTCCTACATTCACGGTTCAGGAGTGGCAGAATCTCGGCGAGACGAAATTTGACGGCGCAGTCGGCGTCGAGGCGGCGATGGATGGTGGAGTGTTCGCTAGGGGGCCAGTCGGCGCGATAGGAGAGGCGACGCCTGATGTGAGCTGGGAGGAGGCGCAGCCGCAGCCACGAGAGAGGGCGACTCAGTTCGATGGGCTGCTCGAGCAAGCTGGACTTGCTGAGCTTCAGCAGAGGCAGGGAGCGGGCGTGACTCGTCGTAATAGCCGTGGCGGAAGCCGGACGAACTCGCAACGACGCTCCTCTCGCACTGGGAGCGTGCTGGTGGATGGGCGACGACGCAGCGCCTTGCTGATGATGGGAGGCCAAGAGCAGCGTAGCGCTAGTGAGGACGACGGACCTTGGGAGGAGGAGGACACCCTCACTGCAGAGGCGCAACGTCGTGGTAGCGGCGAGGAGACGCCGAGGGCTCGTACGCCTGCAGTGGGCCACCCGATGTCAAGCCAGTCGACCAGACAGCCACCTTCAGCTGCGAATGGCCCTTCTCCTTCTGGCGCCTTCCCTTCTCTCCCCCTCCTCGACCTGGGCAAACGTATGTCCCGCGGAGACTTTGCAGGCTTCGCCGGCGCTTTCGACGATCTGGGCTCCTCCGCTGGCGGGCCAGCCGCTGGACTCGGGATGGTCATGCCCACCTCGGCTGCCCCAGCTGCAGTATCAAGGCCACGACGCCCTGCTCCTACCCCTTGCTCAGCCGCTGCTGCAGGAGGAAGACCCATCGGACCATCACCATCGGGCTCAATGGACTCCATCTCCAGCTCATCGATCTCCTCCTCCTCCTCCTCTTCAGGCAGCACAAGCGCTTCCTCCTCGTCGAGCTCGACGCCACACAGCTCTGCTTCTGCTCACTCTACGTCGTCTGGATCCATGCGCGCGAGGAGAGAGGCGAGATCTAGCACGCCACCCACCTCTTCGGGTGGTCCCGTGGCTGGGACAGGGAAGACGACGGTCTTCAAGTCAAAGGCGGCTGCTAGAGCTGCAAAGGCGGCTGCGGCCGCTGCAGCGGGAGCGACCGTTCCTCTGCCCCCGGCTGGCACGGGGATGAGGAGGGTCGCTAGGCCAGCCCCGCCGCCGATTTGAGAAGGGTAGGGAGGCACGCAGTCTGATGCTGCTACATGTGCGGCCACCGCCACTCGGTTTGGCCTTCCCTCTCTCATCTCATTTACCCCTTACTCCATCGCTTCGACCTCGACATTGCTTCATACCCCGCTTCCTTCTCGCACCGGCTCGCCCTCTTTGTATGTACTTTTTTGTTCTACTGAGAGCCCCACCTGCGAATTCACGGTATCTATTGCTCTGAGCATCTGCCAGCCGATCGTTCACTCGCTGCGTCTCGCAAAAGAGATGTGGTCGATCGCGGGCCCAAAAGGTATGAATTGAGTCATTGCACAACGGTGTAAGGGGCAACAGGTAGCGCCGCGCGAGGGCCGCGACGACGAAGGGGAAGGGGGAAGAGTCATGGGGGCAAAAACATTATGAGTGAGGGAGGTACTGTTGTCCTTCTCGACGAGGCGCTGAAGGATGAGGCGAGTAGAAGCAGCCCGTCTATCGTATCCGATCGTATGCGTCTTGCCCTCCGTTCGGTGGCCCTGACTACGCCCCCACATTAGCCCACGCCGCATCCCTCTCTCTCCTCGCCCTTTGCTCCTCCTGCTCAGCCGCCTCAATCTCGTCGTCCTCCAGGAAGATGTCGCGATAGTGCACCAAGATGGTCTCGACGGCCTTGCTCTGCGAAGCCATATCCGCCAGCGCTCCTCCAGAGCCATCGTCATCTGCGCCTCCTGTCGCCGACGTATCCTGATCCGTCGAATCAGCAGCTCCGTCTTCTCCCTGCTGGTTCTCAAACACCATGCCCTTCGGCGGTGGACCCAGCAATGTCGGTCCAAACACGATGGCTAGATTGCTCGCGCTCATCTGATTGACATCCTCTGCCCCCTTGACCCTATCCAGATGCCCCATAAGCGCCTTAAGTGTAGAGTAATTGGCGTCCGGCAGCAGATTGACCACCTCGTGCAGCCTAATATGCCTCAGTCGATCGTTCTCCACTTTCGCCGCGTCAATGAATGGACGATAGAGCTCCCAAGTGAGCAAGGGCTCGGGGAGCTCACGGAACCAAAGCTTGAGACAGCCAGAGACGATATTGATATCCGAAAGGGCTTCGCCGTCGTCCTCATTGAAGAGATCGACAGACGTCCAGTCGGCATCAAATTTGGCCTTAAGTCGTTGGACTTTGGAGGTCGTCCCGCTCAGACGGTAGATTCCCATATTCTCTTTGCCTACTTGCTCGACAGCTGCGCAGCACTTCTCGAGGATGCCGGGCACCTCCACGTTGTCGCGAGCCATCTGCGTCGCTAGGTCGACGCCAAAGATGGGGCGGGAAGGCTGATGCTGGGAGGCTGCGCCATTGTTCGAGGAGCCGCCGCCGTGCCCGTTGTTGTTGTGGCTCGACGATCCTGCACCGAACACGCTCGCCCCTCCATCCTCGTACTGCCCCTCCCTTCTCGGTCCCTTATAATCCCGCGCGTGCAACACGGTATAGTTCTGCATGAATGTCTTAAAGTCGGAGCGGTTGTCGATGAATTCTGCGGCTTGTTTCAGGCCGACAGACGACGTCTGCGCGGGGGTTGATGGTGTGGAGGAGGAAGTTCCCGCGTCGCCCACAGGGGTGATGACCATGCCATCGGCGAGGACGGTTGACTCGTATAGGTAGGCGTAGCGTGCGAGGTGGTATTGGAGGCCATTGTCAATCTCGTCTGCTGACTCTTTGAGGCTGCGTAGAATGCGAGGAAGTTGGAGGTTGAACCCTGCGCAGCGCCGAGAAGAATTGCAGGTCAGTCTCGAGGCCTGGGTATTGATCCCCTCTTGTGCGCGCCCACTCACACTCCTGCCTCATCTGCTGCGTCTGTAAAACCTCCCTTCTAAAGGTATCGGAAAGCTGTGATGTCCTCATCCTGGTCTCCTCCTCCTGCCGCATAAGCTGCTGTGGGTTCTTAGAATTCTTGAACAGCATTCCCCCCTTGCCTATCGCTTTACCCAGGGACCTGCCCTTTGTAGCGACGAGATTCTGTGACCCACCCGATCCACCGCTCCAAGATCCCGAAGCAGCATGCGACGCAGCGAGCTCCCCTCCCTTCCCTGACTCGCCCGACTTTACCAGGAGGATACGCTCCAGGTCCTCGGCGGCCGAGTCGAATCGGGCGCGCGCCTTCTCTACCGACGCCTCTGCCTCGACGAGGTTACGCTCCAGCCTCACGCCAGTATCCTTTGCCGTCTTGCGATTACGGTCTACCTCTTTGATCAAGTTGTTGAGCTCTTCGCTCATCTCGCCCAGCCTCTGCGCAAACTTCAGCCTGCTCTCTCCTAGGTGTTCATGCGTGGACAAGATGGTGTGATAGGAGGAGACGTAGCTGCCTGCCTTGCCGTCTACGGAGCCGTACGATTCGAGCGAAGCCTTGGACAGCTTGAGGAGCGAACGACCATACTCTTCTTCGAGGACGGCACGCTTCTTGAAGAAGTTGGCGGCTTCGCGACATGAGTTCATTGACTGTTTGATGCGCTCGTAGAGAAGGGGCAAGCCGACCTGCGAGAAGCGGAGATAGGACGCATGGAAGTGGGACGGTGAGCAGATGACTGCATATGAGCTGCTTCTTGCTATCTCGCACTCACATCTGTGTCACATAATGCTCTCAGTGTCGCCTCATCGAATGTGGTCGGCACGATCTCTCGCTGCGTCGGCTGCTGCTGCTGTTGCTGCTGCTGATTGTATGCTGTTGGCGAGAATGGCATCTTGGACGATGACCCAGCTATCGTCGTTGCGGTAGTGGATGCCGTCATATTGGCCGACTCGCTCGTGGTAGAAGTTCGCTCCTCTGTTGATCTTCTCGAGCTCATCGAGGGACGAGTGGGAAAGGCGGCGAGGGGCGGTGCGTTGGACGACGACATGGTCGGTGCGTCGGAGGCCATGCTGGACGAGAGACTGGTATATCGAGCGCTGGGCGTGGTATGACCGATTGCTTCGTTGGAGACGTCACTGCTCCCTCCTGGAGAGGTGCCAAAGACGTTGAGCTGTCCGTGGTTGGGGGAGAGGGTGGTGCGAGCCGATGCCATCAATGATGCTGGTCAACGTTGTTGAGGACGCGGCTATGCACAGACGGCAACGGCGGCGGGGTGGGCGGCACACGGAAATGAACCTTGTGTGCGTGAGTGTGTGTACGTGCCTCTGGTGCCTCTCCTTTCGTGGGCGTCACGTTCTAGCGTAGTGGGGATCAAGTTGCGAGAGAAGAAGAAAAGAAGGATACGCGGGCTCAGAGGCGGGGTGCGGGCAGGTGTTGGTTGGCTAGCCAAGCTAGCTAGCCAGCTGCTGCTGCTGCTACCAACGAGGCTTTGCTTTTGCTTTTGCTCTTGCGGGGCTCTTCTGGCGGCCTCGCCCGTCCCCACGGCCAAATGGCACTTGACCTCCGCCCGCCGTGCAGCCTCGCAGCCTGGTCTGGCGGCAGCCGCACTACGAGCGAGCGGGGCGTCGACCGTGGAGCTCCTATTGCAGCCGCGACTATCGAGTGCGAATCCTCGACATATACTCAAGCTTTTAAGCTACAACCTCTACGAAGAATCGATACCGCAGGCAGCCAGCAGGAGCGCTAGAAAGGACAAGTAGAACAGCGCCTGTCAGAAGCCTCCTCAGTAGTGGGACTTCGTCGTCTCTTCGTCAGAACCGCAGACCGCAATCGACTTGATCGCAGAATGTATGCCATTTGCGGACGAGGCAAAGAACGAAAAACGAATAACAACGATGGTATACCACCACCCCCTCTAGGTGGCCAAGAACGACTGCGTGTCTAGGTGACATTCTTTTCCACTTCCCCTTTGACGTGAGCCTGAATCTCAAGGAACCCTGATACCCACCAGCGGGGCATAACGATGCTGCCTAAGTTCCCCATAAAAGTCTGTATCCTCCATCACGACCCCTCGTGCCTCTCTCCTCAAATCACTTCTCCTTGTCGAGACTCGCCAGACTCTCTCTCCTCGACGAAGAGGCCGACGTTGTTGCAGATACAGCTCCCGCCCCCGATGCCGAAGCCGAAGTCGGCGCCGACGCCGCAGCGGCGGTAGTGTAGTTACGAATCGGTGCGAGCACCCCTTGCCCAGCAAGAGTCCGCGTAAGCGGTGTGCTCTCCAATGACCCGGGGAAGCGGCGTGGCGAGTAGTTCTCAAAGATGACCGACGTGACTGAGGTGACAATGCCGCCCGCCAATGACGGGGACGACGACGATGAGGGGACAAGCCCACTGCCTCCCATCGAGCCACTTGCAGCAGCAGTGGTGTTGCTCGTCCCATCCGGTTGGCTCTGCGCCATTTGATCGTCCTCCTTGTCCTCTTCTGCGTGCGGCGTTCCCATCAACCGTATCAGATTGAAGCGCAGCGCGAACATTCCCTCATCCTTGATGCTCAAGTCTGGGAAGACGAAGAAGCAAGCCATCGTCTGTCCATCCAAGTCCTTGACCAGATGTCCGCTCGAGTACGTCTTGCCTTCGAGGCGACGCGTTGTTGGGGTTGGAGTGGGTGCGACTGGGGCCGAGAAAGAGGGCGAGGAGCCAGCGGGGTCGGATGCTGATGCTGAAGATGAGGAAGAGGGCGACCCTGAAGATGGCGTGGCGCTCGACGAGGCGCGAGCTGCTTCTGTAGCTGCTGGATTGGATGTGGGTATTGAAGGTGGAAGCTGAGGCGCTGGTTTCGGGGGCGAGCCCGCGGAGCTGTCCGATGAAGGCCGCCGGCCATCGCGAGCTGCAGTTGTCGCTGATGTCGGGTCCTGGACGAGGGCAGCTGGTAACAGTAGTACCTGCACGCAGAAGACAGATGATGTAGTTGCACTGAGCAATGTCCGTGAAAGCCTGACGGTCAGCACGGGTCGACAGTAGGCGGGAGGACTCAACTCACTCGGTATCGATACTGCCGTCCGGGCGATAGATGACGAGCTGACAGATGGGAGGCGGATCGATAGGCCTGCGCTCCCTAGATCCAAGGGCGCATTGTCGACCTCGCTGAGGCTGTTGACGTATAACAAGTTCATAGCGTCGTCTGCGAGCGGGAAGAGATGGTAATCAGAACGTCAGGACAGACCATTAGGGAAATCAGCAAGGCCAAATTGCACCGACCTCGGTCTGGAGGAGGTGGACGTCCGTGTCCCATCTTGAGGTCCAGCTACTGCTGATGACGACGAAGATGACGGTGAGGGATGAGATGCAGCCGCGTCTGCCGTCCTCGAGTGACGCCGCTGCTGCTGTTGAGGCAGCATCCCTTTGTGCACGAAAAGACCAGCGTCCGCAAGCGAATCCTGGCTCGCGTCCGTTCAATGGTCTAGCTCGATGTTTTGTTACCACCTCCCTCCCCTCAAACCCACGGGGATCGCGGGAGGAAGGCGCGAGAGACGGAGATGGGAATCGCTGGTGAACAACGAGAAGACAAAGAGGTGTGCAGCCTAGCGTCGTCCCGCCGCCGCTTGTCTAGACTCGCCCTTTCCAGCGTGCGTCTGCGGTCTCTGCCTCTATGAGTTTGCTACGTATAGCTGCCGATGGCTCCCGCGGCAAGTTCCGAGATCCGCTGTATTACAACGGAGCTTATTGACTCCCTGTCGCCCGTCTGATTGTCAGGTCAACGATGTCGCCGGAGCGAGCGGCTTACCGCTGATTGCGGCGGTGCAGTTGCGGTTGCGAAGTCCCTCTCTACAGCTGCGCGTGTGGTACGCTTCGCTTGACGCTAGTCAACAAGTGCCAAACAAGCCTCTCTCTGAGCTATGTGAAGGAGGGGCGCGGGGCCTCACCGTCGATTGACGGCTGCCTGAGCTTCCTTGGCAAGTAAACGACCGAGCGAGGTTTACGCGGCGCAGCGTCGCGTTGCGGTGCAGTAGCGACCTGGTTGCTGTGCAGAGGCGAGAACAGGAGGACGGCGTGGGAAGAATGGTGATGCGTAGCGGTGGTCTTCCGTGACTAGTGACTTAGCCGCCTGCTGATCAAAGCCTGCCTGAGGTACCACGCTAAGATGCAGAAGATGATGAAGCAAGATGAAGCAAGATGACCAGACACGGGACGTCTGCTGCCACGGGGGGCGGAGACAAGGCGAAGGCGAAGCCGAAGACGAGGACGGAATGTTTGCGAGGCGGTCGAAGGGTTGGGTTGACGTACTTCTTCCGTGATTGACGTTTGATGCAGTAGTGGGGAGATAGGGAGCGTTAGCTCGGTAGACTCTAGAGGAGAGAAGGAGGAAGGGAGGGAGGGACGGAGGGAAGAGGTGACAAGGGGAGGAGAAGTTGCGATCGGTGAATAGAGAGAAAAGGGAAGGGAGCAAGCGCTAGGCAAAGGGCATACACGCGAAGCCCGAGGGCGCCAGTTGGTGATCCAGTGAGTGTGACCTGCGTGGGAGCTGCATCGTCGATTGCGTACGTCTCCACTAGCCTAGGCTACCACCGCCAAACACCGCGCGAGTGAGTGTCGCATCCAAACGGCTGGTTCACTAGATCGGAGTCGTGCAGAGAAGCGGCGGCGGCTTGCTCGGACCTTCCATCGGTGCATGCGTCTCTACAGAGTCTGACGATGACGATGACGACGACGGCATTGACAACTACGAAGGTGAGGCCGACGACTTTGAGGGGGCGGCAGCGGCACCGGTGGCGGCGGCGGCGGCAAAATGGGGAGGTTAGGGCGAAAGTCGAGCGGCCAGTCTCAACTAGATTGGCTTGAGACGACGCGAGCTAACGGCAGGCGTCAGTACTTTTCGCCACAATTGCCTCACATAGCTCCGTGAGTTTTTGAGCGAGGAGCTTAGCCGTCTGCCATGCTCAGCGTGGGTTGACGGGATTGAAGAGCAGCAGGCAGCAACAACAGGAACAGTCCAACGGCAGCAGCGTCACAACGAGCGTACCCCGCGACTGTCAAACAAGCTCTCTGACGGTCCGTGGCGTAGAATCGGAGAGGGAAATGGGCCGGATTGTCTAGCGGCAGCTCGATGCCCAGACGACGGCGACCGTCGGAGGGGAGGACGAGATGCAGCCGCCTGGCTGCACAAATTAAGCTGTGGGCCTGTCAGAGTCAGGACCCATCAACGATCTTAGTCTAAGTCTCACTCAGGACGTACCGGGCGTGGCTTGCGAATTTTGGAACGGCTTCACGCGGATGATGATGGCAAAGGCCGCGGCTTCTCGCCATCTCATCAAGAAGTGAGAGTCAGTCTGCGAGCGTGAGGGAGAGGCCGAAAGGGGGGATCGAGGTCTAGCTTGGCCTCATCCGCATAGCATGACATGACATGGCATCAATCGCCGCCAAGCAGTCGCATTGATGTCTGTCCGCGATTTGCGCTACATTTTGAGGCACGCGAGTCGCGCGTACCATCCACAGAGAGTGAGCGAGTGGATGCCCGGGCCGTTGATCAGGGACCAACCCCGACAATAGTAACCAGCCACACCGGGAGATCGGGATCTCAATCTCACTGTGTCGTCTCTCTCGCACGAGGAGTCTTGTGACGTAGTGACGAGCAAAGTGAGGAGGCTAACCAAAAGAGAGGAAGCCAGCAGCCCACCGCTTCTCTTCCCCTTCGAGAGGTGCCCACTCCTCATCCAGCACCATGATGTCGGTGACCAATCGGAGCGTTATGCACGCACTCTGAGACCAAGAGTCGTCGGTAACACGTCCACCTCGTTTGGACCTTCACGCAGCCTGCAATCGGGCTAGTCTACCAGATTGTACCGAAAGACCGTTTGCGGTCCCTTTCCAGGACATGACGTCCTCGCGTCCTTGTCAAGACAAGAAAAGAATCTGAGCTAATCGAGAGATGCGACTGACACGACCGTGCGACAACAAAGGCCTACTAAATCCGAGGTGCAGGGTTGCAGCGTGGCGCCACTTCAAGCGGATGAACTTCTTCCGCGGTGGGCAAAGAGCGAGCAGAGCAGAGAACGTCCGCGGACTGACCGAAGGGCACGCACGCACCTCAATCGCACTTGGGCGACCGGCCGACATGAATGCCGTGACTACGATGCAACAGGTCGATGACATTAGCGAGACTTGAAGGTTTTACACAGAGACCTACGAAGAGTACCGGAATCGAGAGCGAAAGAGGAAGCTGAATGTGGTATGTAGCCGGTGAAGAGGGATAGAAATGGCAGCTCACGAGGATCACCAAGGAGGGGTAACGTGACCGTGACGAGAGGCCCAAAGAACGTGAACTGTAATGCGGGTCCGTTGGCCTTACGACAAGAACGGAGACGGCCCGTCAACGAGCGATTGCTCGTGGATCCGACTTTGACGTCCAGCTCAATCGGTGTGCTCCCCCTGTGGCAAGGGCAAAGCAGCTCCTTGCCGAGCAAAATGACGCGTCAGGTCAGTGACGTACGGTGCTATGTATTCCGAAGCCAATTGGACGTTGAAGGGGCTTGTCTGTATCGTGGCCAAGACGGCGCTCGCTGACTGTGAGGTCGACGCATCTCCCGAGGTCGGTTCATTGGTGTCAGCCGCAGCCGTAACTGAGGTGGTCGAAGTAGAGCTCGGCAGTCGCAGCAGCGTGGCCCGCAGCCTGTATCGACCTCGTACGCGGACGCAGACCTCCGGGAAGAAGAAGAAGGTAGCTAGGGGTCCGTCCGTGGAGCGGAACACTTGCGGACTGGCGGTGAGGCTACCGTAGAGCATGCGCAGAGGGTGCGTGAGGATGCCTGAAGGGGATGAGGTGCTGACCGGGCCGCTAGCATCTGTATTTTCAGCCGTGCCAGCTCCGGCGGATCCCGAGACGACTGCTTGTGTGGGTGGTGGGGATGAGGACGAGGCTGTCGCTGCGGCAGTCGATCTGGCTATTTGGCGGGACGACCTCCGAACGGGAGGACTCGTGACGCTGCCACTAGTTGCGGCGCTGGTGCTGGTGCCACCTTCAATGCTGCTACCACCGGCCTCGTCCGCTGCGGTGTCTGCGCTATCTCGACGGCGCTTCTGACGAGTCTCGCTGACACGAGCAGACGCTGCCACCTCACCCTGAGTCGTCGTCGCCGCCGCAAGGGACGAAATCATGTCGGCCGTCTGCCCTGACTCGGTAGTGAGCTGAACTTGACAGAGTAGCCACGAGCCTTCTACATCACTAGGGAGCTCTCGGCCGTCGCGCGTGTCGAATACGCGAAGCCGGAGGATTAGCGGAGGTGCAAGAGGGAGTCGGGAGAGGAGATTGGAGCCGAAAGCAGACCCATCTGTAGGCTCTTGAATCGAGACGAGCTCGTAGCGGCTACAACGACACGAAGGCAGTCAGGTACGCTTGTGAGCCGCTGCTTATCATCTTTCTCATTCTGCTTTGCTCTGCTCAAGATCTACTCACCGATGGGAGAAATCCATGGCTCGCTGCACGGATCGAGGCTCCAGCGCCTGTACCGATCCACTGAGACTGCCACTCGCCGAACGTGTATAAGTTGGCGTTGGCGGTGGAGGTGAGCGAGGAGTCGAGGCACCAAGTGAACGACGGCGGCTTGGCCTACGACGCTTTGGCCTGCTCGAGGAAGGTGATGTTGGCGGGGAAGACGAGGGAGAGCGACGATGAGAAGGGGTGGAAGCAGAAGTTGCAGGGTCACCAGCGCCTGAGACTTTGGTACCAGCATCGCTTGGGCCGATGCCCACACCACTCGAGGCCGTCGATCTCGAAGCGTGCCCCTTTCTGCCGCTTGCACTACCACTGCTGCTAGTCGGCATTTGCTCTTGTGTTGCCCCTGCTTCTCTCCTCGTAATACCTGCTGACGAGGAGGACGATGCAGTCGGCGTCGACGAGCGGCGCCTCAGTCGCCGGGTAAAGACTCTATCCGGTGGAGGCGCCGCTAGGAATGGATACGAGTGAGAGGCGGGTAGTCTTGACGGTGCTGCCGTCGACGTCTGTTCCGCTGTTTCGTTGCGATCGCTATGCGCCGGCCCAGAGTCGAATGCCGTGTCCGTCGTACCTGATGATGAGCCTGCTGCCAAGACCGGTGCGGGTCGTGATTGGCCCTCTTCGTTGCCTTCTGTCGCAGAATGCGGAGAGCGCCGTAACGAGGGCAGTGATCGCCGCCCGCGACCTCTACTGGGTCCTGCCATGGTGACAGCAACGAACAAGGCACGAGGTGACTTTCGCTGTCAATGGCCTTGATCGCTCGGAGCTGGCTGAAACGGAGCTCCAGCAGAGCCTTGCACCCTGCTCCGCTCCTCTGCGACCGCGCTACGCTTCGTAGACGAATACGAGAGACGAGAGTTATCCACGAAGAGTATCGCCTCGCGATAATGCTGATGCTGAAGCTGATGCTGGAATGAAGAAAGAGGAATTTGTAAGAAGAGAGGAAGCAAGGTAGCCTTGGACCATCCTATCACGGCGACGGCTGCACCTCCTTCGCTCCTTGCTCGCCTTGGCTACTTGGGTCCAAGCACCAAGCAAGACGAAATCTGCGGCCGCTATTCCCCTAGCAGGTGCTGTCGCTGTCGGTGCTGCTGCTGCTGCTACTGGTACTCCGAGGCAACGGTTCGCTAGCTAGTGGCAGATGAAAAATAGAGGGGAGCGAGGCAGAAAAGCGGTGCGACGAGACGGGAGGTCTCAGATGTCTCAGATCCTCGGTCACTCGCACGACCCAAACAATCGGCATCGTGGTGGTGGCATGACTAGGAGCGGTGCTGGAGGAGGGAGAGGAGGGTTTAGGAGGATATACCGGAGGTAGAAAAAAGAGCTGACGATGAAAAGACGGCGCTTCCAATCGGAGATCATCATGCTCGAAGGTGCAACATGCGCGCACAAGCATGCTGGGCGGGGTGACAGTGTGTGTGGGATCGACACTAGTTCCCATGGGCTCGAAGCTCGGCGATGGCAGCAGCAGCGGCGGTGCAATAAGAAGAGCTTCCGTCTTCGTCGCCTTGCAATTAGTTGGCCGAGGTTTAGGCGACCAAAGCCGATGAAAGCTGATAGGGATGTGGGCTGCGAAAGGGAAGGGGACTGCTGGTTCTCGACCTCGCTCTTCGTACACTCTTCTTGCATTAGCGCCGTACGGTAAGACTACCAACGACTGACACTTGAGACTTGCCATGAGAAGGGTGACGAGAGAGAGAGACTCCCAGCGAGTCGTCTGGGGGCAGCCAAGGAGCCAAACAAGGGTGCTTCTCGCGTCTCGTCGACGTGGGCTCGGCATAGCAAAAAGTCGACGGCGGTGTGGGTGGGCACTGCAGCCGGAAGCGTTCGAGGGGGTTGAGGCGGACGGGCGGGCGGGCGGGCGGAGAGGCGAACCGTTGCCCAGGTTCCAGATTGCGCCCCGCCAGATCACCCGAGGTTGAGGGTGAGTGAGGGTCCGCGGCCCTCGGGCAACGAGGGTATGCGCACCAAGCCAAGGCCAGGCCAGGCTAGGCCGGGCTCGACTGATGAGAGAGCTGGCCGAGACGTCTTGTCTCAGTGACGCTGCGACGCTACGGCGCTGCGACGACACGACACGACACGACATGACTTGACACGACATGAAGCTGGTAGCTCGCTCGATTGATCGCTCGCTCCTACGCTCACTCAGGAGTCAGGACCACAATGTGACACTCGCGCATCCGCATCGACGTCGACACGAGATCGGTAGATACATCTACGAGCGATCTCTAGCTTCTTTCCCACACAGCCGAAGGCGCGCATTGTGCTCTGCATCGATTCCAAGATAGGGGTTCGCGTGATGGAGGAGACGACCCGAGGAAGACTTTCGCGCGAGTTGCGGACGAGTGCCGTGCCATGATAGGTAATGGTAGGGCGGGACAATCCATTTGCTCACTCAGATCGCAGCAATACGGCCCAAGAATGGGGGAGCAATTGCCGCTCGTTGACAAAACATGAGAGGAGGCGAAATACACGAACAGACGGTGAGGAGGGCGAGAAGACTTGACCCGGTCGTATCAATACGCGCTCTCGAGCATCGACATCTTTTGGTGCTCCGACGCTTCGCCACCGAGGTTGTTGATCACATTCTCAATCGAGGTTCCCGGGTTGCCGCCAAATCGCACGATAGTGGCGTGGCGCACCAAGCAGTCTTTCACGTCGTGCCACCCGCTCGACAAGGGCTGGCTAATAGCCGTCGTGGCTACGACGTCGTCTACTAGGAACACGCAATAGATGCCTAAGCCAGTGGCATAGTGCGATTTGACAGCCGGCGCGATCTTGTAGCTTGAGTAGCCCTTGATCCGGCCGTGGCCCCAGACTTCGTTGTTGGGAGCGTCGTAGGGGAATTCGCTCTGGTAGAAGAAGACCTGACCGCGTTCTCCGTTCCAGAGGGCTTGATACTCCTGGCAATGCTCGGCAAAGAGGCCGTAGCAGATGACATCGTCTGCGTCGACGATTATGCCGTTTTTGCACGGGTTGAGGTACCACCCCACTCCACTACCGTGATCCGCCCTCCAGAGCCACGTGTTATCCAAGATGGTATCCTTGAGATTGACCTGCAACATGCTCGCCGTCCTGCCCAGCCCAGCCCCACCCACGCGGAAGAAGACGTCGCTCAGCACGGTAGGCGATGCCATGTGATCTTTTGGGGACTTGGCATCGCCCACTTTGCACAAGGTCGACGACATGTGCGGGCCTGCGTCGAGGAGCAAGCCAGCGAGGTGGACGCCATCCACGTCCGAGATGTTGATGGCCGGCGTACCGTTCATCGGCTTGAGCGTGGCGAGGCCCATGCCTAGGAGAATCGTGTCCGGCTTCGTGACTTGGAGTGCGCTATCCAATTGATAGATGCCCGGTGTGAAGAGGATCGACTGGCCCTTGGCTAGAACGGCATTGAGCGTGCGACTCGTCTCGCCCGTAGGGGTCGCAATGTGGAACTGAGCAACAGGGATCTGCTTCGTAGTGGCGCTCGCAGCCTTGCCCCCACTTGGCGTAGCAACAGCACTCCAGCTAGGGCCCGTGCTCTTCTCCCTCACCGCAGGGACGTTGATGAGCAATTCCTGCTGATCATTGACGGAAAAGTAGGGCTTCTCGCGCACGGCTGGCGTCTTCTTGACCGTCGAGTAGGGCTTGCTCGGCCAATTCTCCTCGGGCGCACCACGACAGCCAACGAACACCTGTGCATATGCTCCGCCGGTGTAGTTCTTCATGCCCGAATTGCGCAGAAAGTACTGCTGTTGAGTGCCATTGTCAATGACGCCGTCGACGAGCGAGTCGGCGATGAAACCGCCGCTCGACCAGCCGCCGTGGTCCGAGAGTACCATGTCACCCATGACGTGGACACGGCGCACCCAGGTGGCCTGAGAGGTGGCCCAGACGAGCTTCTTTTCATCTTCGGCAATGGAAGGGATGACGGTGAGATTCTCGATGCCGCGCCAGAAGTTGATAGTAGCGTTATTGCCGTCCATCCAGTCTGCCTTGGCGCGAACCGCACCGTCGAAGACAGTGTCCTGAGGCGAGTCGCCAAGGCCGTGTACGGTGGTGTAGTAGCCGACTTTAACGTCGAGCTTGTAGCGGCCGGGGAGGAAGAGGAGCGCCCAACGATCTGCGCCGAACTGATTGTCCACTTGCGCCTGCCGCAGCGTGATCTCGTGTCAGCAGAAGACCTCAAGGTGTTCACATCAGCGAGAGCTCACCTTGTACACGTCATTGACTTGCTGTTGGATTACGTCCATCTGTTGGTCAGGAGAGAAGACGAGCACCTTAGGGCCCATCTCGAGCTGCTGAACAGGCATCGTTGCAGGAGCTCCGTTCCCATTGGAGGGCGCAGCCTTCTTGGGCGTCGGATACGCTGGAGTCACGGGCGTTGGAGGAGCTGGCGTACCTGCAGCGCTATAGTCGCTATCATTGCCATCGCCGTTGCGCTGCTTGCTTTTACCCAGCGATGCCTTGCTACGGCGGCGCTGAAGAATGCCAGATCGCTGGGCCGACGTCTCGGACTCGTCACCAGATGCGCCGCTGTCCCCCTTAGTCTTCATGCTCTTGACGCTGAGTTTGCGGCGCATCTTGCCTGCCAGGCCGCCATTCTTGCTAGGGTCAGAGGTCGAGGAGAGAGCGTCAGAGTCTTTGGCCATGCTGATTGGAGTGAGGTATCAGTGGATGGAAGGGTGAGGAATGAAGAGGACATGAGCGTCCTAAGGATTCAGCGCTGGATGTCAAGGCCGCCATCGTGGAAAGAGGGGTCTCGATGGCGAGGGGTCAGGCGGTCCGAGCGAACTCATTTCGAAGACGATGCTCTCGCTGGCCTCGTACGGCGCGACGGCAAAGACAGGGGTCCCTTCACTTGAATCAGTCCATGACAAGCTACACCCTCCGACCTCGCCAAGGGGACTTCATTGCCTCGGATGAGGTGTCAGGTCCATCTTCAAGCTGTCCTTATTCAGGGGCCGTAAACAAGTAGAGAAAGAGCGTTAATGAGATGGCGGATCGAGGTGCGGGGATCAGGCGATGCGCTCGCCGCGTGGCCTGTCTGTGCGTTCTCCCGGCCTCGGCGGAGGCAATTCAAGCCGAGTGGAAAGCGGCGTCGCCTTCCGCTGCTTCGCCTCGCTCTTGCGTTCCCATCGTCCGCTTCGATACGACTTGGTTGAGCAAAGCAGCATGGCCCGTGAGTCGACGACGATGCTGCGCTCTAGCCATGTTCAGTCCCAATGATCGCGGACCTTCTGACGAATCTACTTTCTCCACTCGCTCCCTCGCTCCTTTGCAGGCGGCAACCAACGAGATCTCGCCCGCGAAAAGGCAAACAAGAAGGCGGCGGCTGCGGGCAAGGGCAAAGTCAAGGATGATGGTTTGACGGTCACGCAGAGGAAGGAGAGGGACGCTCAGGCCATGAGAGAGAAGCAGCTGGTGAGTGGAAGAAGCAGCCAGCTGGAAGCTCATGTCGGCGAGTGAGGCGCTGACCCATTCCTGTCCGCCATCCCGCTCGCCGAGCAGAAGAGGGATGCTGAGAAGGCTGCAGAGGCGGCTGCGGGTAAGAAGTAAAGGCTGTCCCTGCCCCCCTCAATCAATGGCAGACCTCTTGTAACATCATCATCACCACCATCATCATCAAAGGCGATCATTACTTATCATTATACACAGCCCACGAGTAGCGCGATCCGCAAACGCACCCACTCACAGTGCCCCCGCATTCCCCCACATAACCTCCCTTCTCCCTTTTCCCGCCTCTGCGCCCACGCTCCTCAAACAAGCCAAATGCCGCATCGTTGGCCTTCCGTGCGGGCAGTTCCAAGGCTGCTCAATAGTCCCCATATGGCGCACGATCCCGCGCATCTGCCTTTTACTCAAAGCCGTCCCAATCATGACACTCTTCCTGCAAGCCCGAGAAGCCCACATAGCTCTCGCCTTACTACAGCGGACGGACATTGCCTTGACTGAGCCGGGCGTGACGTCTCGTAGCTGGTAGAGAAGCTCTTCTAGGTCGCGGGCGCCGAAAGTCACATTCTTGCTTACAGGCTGGGAGATGAGATGCACCCTCGAGCCGGCTGGGAGGGACTCGTCGATGCTAACTTCAAAGCCGTTGGCGCTCAATGCGTCCAAGTGCTGAGTAGCCACAAGCTCGTCGGTGGCTGACAGCTCCAGCGCTCGCGGGACAATGAGGCGTTGGCTTCTCATCTTGGTTTGGGTTTGGAGGGTCTCGAAGTTGAACTTCTCGTCCGAAGCGTGTTGGTCGATGATGAAGAGGTCGTCCATGCCCGCTCCAGCTACTCCCACACCAGAGTCTTTGGCACTCCTCCTTCTGCGGGCGATGATGAAGCCCAAGTTGAATTGACCGAGGATCTCCATCTCTGCGAAATCGGTCTTGCTGATCACGCGCTCCAGTCTGCTTTCCACGTCAGCGAAGTTGGCATTCTCAATGCCCGCCTCGGAGAGGTCGACCTCCGCATCCTCATTGCCTTGCTCGTTGGCTTCGCTTGATCGCTGCGTTGTACGCATGCTGGACAAGCGCTCGGCTAGGGAAGCAATGTCGATAGCCAATGTGCCCGCAGCGGCTGTGCATAGCGGTCGCTCTCGATGGCTCTGTGAGGGTGCGGCGCCGTTGCCGGCCTCATCGTCGCCTTCATCTAGGCCAGCGAGGTTGCGGCGTCTCTCATCGTCGTCCTCATCGGCCTCCGCACCGTCTCGTGAGACGTGCTTAGACTTGCGTAGCTGCTCAGCGTCGTCTTCTCCATCCTCGCTTCCATCGCCACGGTCAGCCTGCGGCGCGGGATGCTCTACCATATCTGACGCCTCTTGCTCTCCAGCCTCCAGCTGTGACTCCGGTAGCGATTCGCGATACTCTAGATCCTCAACGGGCTGGAGCGCTGCGCCGGCGGGCGACTCTTGCGCTTCTTCTTCCGCCCTTTGCTCAGCCTCGATCTCGCCATGCTCTTCTCCTGTTGCATCGTCTCTTTCCCCGTCCTCATCGACCGCCGGCGCCTCACTCTGAGGAGCCTTGTACCGGGCGAGCATCTGATGAAGAGTTTGTGACGGCTGCTTTGATCGAGCGACCAGGGCGGCTGGCATGGAGGCTGATGGTCTGCTGGAGGGATTCGTGGAGGAGCGGGCAGGCGGTAGATAGGGAAAAGACGGAGCAGCGCTTGTGCTTGTGCTTCTGCGAGCGCTAAATGGAGCTGCTGCGGCTGATACGTTGCCGTTGAGTCTTGATGGGATCGCAGCGGTGGAGCGACGTGTGCTTGACAGTGTAGAAGGGTCCGCTGTATCCTCGTCCGACTCGTCAATTTCGTCTGAGCGTGACGGGGCTTGCGGAGTGATGTCTTCGTCCTGCTCCCCCTCATCTTCGACACTATCTCTCCCTGCAGCCTCTTCCATCATCTCTTCGTCCTCGTCCTCGTCCTCCTGCCCCTCATCCCTCGCTATCGCTGACGAGGTCCTGGTAGCCGGAGCCGGAGCACTCGCCATCGGCAACTTCTGCTGCGTTCCCCCAATCATATTGACAGCCAACGTACTCCTCGCGGGAGCCCACAGCTCCTCCAATGCAGCCTTGAGCGCCTCGACAAGCTGGCTTTCCTCATGCAGGAAGATGGTGCGCTTATCCGGGCTCACGTTGACATCGTAGCTCTCCGTCGGTAGCAGGAAGTCAGCAACGACGATGGGTACTTGATTCATATTGAAGTGGCGATACACCTCGTTGAAGGCGCGCGTCACCTTGACGTTGTCCCAGGGGCGACCGTTGATGTAGAGGTATTGCCTGTCCGTCGAGGTGCGGCCTGAGCCTCGAGTGGGGCGAGAGATGAGCCCACGGACGGATATGGCCTGGCGGTTGGACGTGTCGATATCGTCTTGCTGATCTTCGTCGTCTTCGCTAGCGCTGTTCGCCTCGTCCTCCCTGCCTGAGGCGGCATCGTCTTCCTCGCCCCCTAAAGCTTCGCCGTCGTCGTCTGAGGATTTGCGCGTCCTTTTGCTGGGTGCTCTGGGCTTCGCGGATCCTGCCACCTGACCTAGCCGTCTCTTCGGTCTACCACGCTCAATCTCGAGGTCAAGCTTCAACTCCTGCACAGCAGCGGGCGCCTTGGACCCAAAAAGGGCAGCGAAGTTGCGCATCAAATAGTCTGGCGAGCTGGCCGAAGAGATGGTGAGGGCGACATTCTTGCGTGGCTGCGTGCCGTTGCTGCTGCTGCTGCCAGCCCCACCACTGCCGCTGGAAGGGCCGGTGGTATTCGAGCTGCTCCACCTCACTCCCTTAGAGATGAGCGCATAAGCCTGCAGAAGGGCCTGTGCCTTTCCATACTCCCTCTTGCAGTTCCTCTCCAGCTCCCTGCGACGGACCGGCAAACCCTGAAAGAGACCATTGACAGATACAGTCGTCCCGCGCTGCCTTGCCAGCTTCTTCTCGCAGCTCACCAAGCTGCCATCCTTACCCAGCTCCACCAGCGTTCCCATCGGCGCCTCATCCTGTGTAGCTGTTAGCAGCGTCACGTCCGCATGCGCGCAGAGGGATGCGAGTGCTTCGCCACGAAAGCCAAAGGTGGTGACCGTAGTGAGGTCGTCGAAGCGGGCCAGCTTGGAGGTGTGATGAGGTAGGGCGACATTGCCGTAGTCGTGCGAAGCGATGCCATGCCCATTGTCGATGACTTCGATACCGTCGAGGCCAAAATTCTTGAATCGGACCTCGATACTGGTCGAGCGAGCGTCGAGAGCATTTTCTACCAGCTCTTTGACCGCGGATGTAAGGTCCTACGAGTGTGTGGGGAGGAGGGCTCAGTCGGTGGTGACGTAGCGCCGAGCCTGCATACATGCGTCTTGACTCACAAGAATAACTTGGCCGCTCGTAATCCGATGAACGTCCGAGCGAGAGATGGCTTTAATGCCTGAAGCTGAGGAAGAAGCATCGTCGCCCAGCCCAGCTACTGTGGTCGACGCCTCCGCCTGCTCACGTTCGCCGCTGCCCTCCTCATCGATATTGTCGCTGCTTCTCTCGCCGATTGGCAGCTGACTGGTAGCGATTGATGTGGAAGCTGTCGCGCCCGCCGTTGTCCTGGGCTTGAAGCGGCCCATCGCTCAGTCCATTGAGGAGAGGATGATGTGAGGAAGGGAGAGGCAACGACGCCCGCCTGCACGGACTGCAACTTTTGGCCTTCAGTCCGCCCTCACGGACGGAGACAAGAGCGACCGACGCGCCCATCTCAGTGACGCGTTCGTGGAGCTCACTCGGAGGTGCGGACGAGACGAGATGGTCGCATCGATTCAGCTGATTTTACTAGTACAAGAGCATGTCACGACATCTACTGAGCGGGCGCATCAGGAGCGGCAGCATCACTTGGCGCGCCTGCCTCCGTCGCACCCACATCAACGGCGTTCTCAGCCTCCTTCGATGGCGTGGCAGCCTTCATGCCCACATCTTCGTCTGCACCAGTCTCGATGCTGGCTTCACCAGGAGCAGGTGCGGCACTCTGCTCAACGGGCGCAGGGACTGCGGGGATAGCAGCGGGCGCTGCCTCCTGAGTGCTCATGGCTGTAAGCTCAGAGGAGGGCTCATCCTGCTGCATAGCCTCGGCGGGCGTTGATTCCTCCTGCTGTTGCCCCTTCCCACCCTCGGTCTGCTCTTTCGAAGCAGCCTGCGCCTCAGCAGATAGTGGGTGAGTGAGAGCCTCTGCCTCCGTCGCAAGGGCCTCAGGCTGATCGAGCTTTGTTCCCTCGTCGCCGTCTTCGTCCTCTGCATCTGCATCTGCGTCCGCCTCCTCTCCACCTTCCCCACTCTCCTTTGCTGTTCCATCGGCGTTCTCGTTCTGTACAATGATGACGTCTTCGCCCTTGTCTTGGCTGTCCGCGATGGGCGCCTCTGAATTGGCTGCTGCAGCAGAGGGCTCGACTGCGGTCCCTGCTGCAGGCTGCGATGGAACCATCTCGGCGGGCTGCTGCTGCTGTTGAGGAGCACCCGACTGAGCTGGCTGCGGCGGCTTAGGCTCCTTGGGCACCTCAACTCCGAGCGTCTGGTTGATGCCACTGATCTCTTGAGCTTCCTCCGCGCTAGGCTGAGATGGGCCTCCTTGCTGCTGCCCCTGCTGCTGCTGCTGCTGCTGCTCCAAAAGCCTCTCCCTCCTCACAGGCTCAGGTGTCCTCGCTCTCACATACACGAGTCCGCCGCGTGCCAGCGTCCTGCCCTCTCCAGGGGCTCGTGCCCAAGGCTCAGCGCTCTCATCGTCTTGACGAGCGCGTTTGCGGGCTTGCTCAAGGTCGGCCTCGATTCGCTCTGGGTTGAGAGACTCGCGCAGGGAAGCTAGACGCTCTGCGTGAACTTTGGTCATCTCTTCTGCGGTCTCTTGAGCCTTGCGCAATTGGATGCGCAAACTCTCGGGGGAGAGGACTGAGTAGGGTGAGGGGGGTGGGACGAGTTTGGCTGGGAGTGACGTGGGGTCAGGCGGGTGGGCGAGTATCAGCTGAACCTGCTTGCGTTGGCGCGCGCCCGCCGCTACGCACCGATCTTGCGCTCATCGAAGATGCCCTCCATGAGCTCGTGATTGCGCCTGAATCGGGCTACGGCGAGGTCTCGCGGTGTGAGTCTGTCCATCTCATCTGCAAGAGTGGTTTGTAAAGGAGAGGGCGCGATGAGTGGAACGTTCAACTACGCAGGTGCCTGTATGCGCCGACTCACCAAGGACGAAATCCGTTTGATCGTCATCAAAGGCGGATCCCCATCCCATTGCTCCACCATGGAGGGGCGGATGCATGTTCATGGGCTGACCTGCAGAGGGCCTGCCCTGCTGTTGATGCTGCTGCTGTTGCTGATGGTGCTGTTGGTGATTGGCATGACGGGACGCTGATGCGCCTGGGCCGGCCTTGCGCTTCATCTTGCGCGAAGAGCCGCCAGCAGCGTGGTGATCTTGGGTCGACATTGCAAAGGCGCCGTCACGCTATCTTTGTGATGAGGCGGCGCTGAAGTGGATGAAAGCCGCGAAGATTGCAAAGGGAGAAGATGAGCAAGGAGAGCGGGCGGACGGATGGAGACGACGTCGAGTCCACAACGATCGGGTCTGCCTTCCGTGCGCCTCGCCAGCCGCGCTCACGCTCACGCTCAGGGTCAGGCGTCGCGTCTGAGCAGCCATCATTTACGATGGCTACACGCAGAGCACACTACGTCTAGCGCACTTCGAATGGCTGTTCCTTGTAGTAGTTCTCATTGATTTCCGGGGGCGATTACAAGGACAACACGATGACAAGAGAAAGGCGTGACGCTGAAAGGCATGGTGGAGAGACGGGAAAGAGGATTGACGAGATGGGAGACCTTGCCGAGTCACGGAGTATTTGTGAGGGGCCCACGGAATATTATAAGAACGGTGAAGAGAAGCAGTGCTGCAGCGATGACGTGTATAGGATATAGCTGCGAAGATGCGATGAGAGTCGATAATGGTGTCGTGAAAAGCTGTCGTCGATGGGACGTTAGGAGGTCGTGTATGTGTAGTGTGTGACGGGGTGATGTCTAGGCACGACAACGAAGTGCCTATGCCAGAGTGAGCCATTGCGTTGCTGAAGCAAGCGACTGGTCACCATCTGATCGACGACGAATGTCGAGCGATGCGTCGTGACGCTCGAAAGAAGGACGGCGAGGTGGCGGCTTCTGGATTGATGGCACAGCATGGCACAGCGGCGCTGGCAGAGCCAGGGCCCGATCGCCCATCTCTCCTTTGTCGCCGCCGTCGCCGCCGCTTTCCCCACTATCAGCGGCATCGGACTCTGGCGTGGTGACGTCGCTCATGGTGCCATCGTCGGTCGTGGTGAGGGAGTCTGACCTCCTTGCGAAGTGAGGTTCCGCCGCGGAGTCGAATGCCAAAGGTGAGGACTCGAAGCCGGTGGACGTCTGACCAGGCGACGAATCCGACGTGTTGCTTCCTCTGCGATCATAGCAGCCAAAGGGCACGCCAAGTCGTGCGGACAAATTGACGGCCGGGGAGAAGCGCGACCAGTCGTCCGAAGGGCTGAGCACCTCAGCGTAATCGTCGAAGCCATCCTCGGCCGCACATTCGTCGCCTGCCTTGCGAATGAACAGCGGCGGGATTCTGCGGGCCGCAAGCTCGACGTCCGCAGGATCCGAATGGCGATGCTTAAAGGCCGGACGGCATGGACTTCTTTCGGGTACATCGACGCGCGCTGCCTCCATCTCGCGTTCCAATTGTTGGTACAAGGCTTGCTGACTGATCGTCATAGAACCGTGGCGCTGGCCGGTGTGGGTTTGAGAGCGAGGGCTGGTGTACTTCTCTGAGGCGTGCCGACGGATGCTGTTGCCGGCCGCAGTCGGCTCTTCTTGCGCACAACCCATCGGCGGTGTCGCACACTCGCCGTCGTCGTACTGCCTCAGCGTGCGTCTGTCTGATACGCCTCCGCCTGATGTGGCTTCCATCGTCGTCATGGCACAAGCGCCAAATTGCCTGAGCGACGTGCGCGTCTGCTCACGCAGCAGGAGCTCAAAGTCGGAGCTCTTGGTAATCTCCGGCGCAGGAGAATTAACAGGCTGATTGCCTGAGGGGAGGAAGAAGAGACGTTCTGCGCCGAGGGTGATGGGCAGCATTGGTGGCAATGGGCCAAGGATACGTTGTCCCTCGACATCGGTACTGGGCAGATTGTCGTGACCAAGGGCTGAAGTCGCTTCCGATGAGAGCGGGGCGAGCAGCTCATTGATGGAATCGTAGACGACGGGCTTGCCGATTAATCCATCGAACCCGGTACGGCGATACAGTATCTCCGGCTCGTCGCCGACGGCGGTGGTGACTGCGACGATACGTGCTGTGCGGTTTATCTGCAGCACGCCGTCCTGTCCTGCACGGATGCGTTTGGTGCAATCGACGCCAGAGAGAAATGGCATTTCGATGTCCATCAAGATGACGTCAAAAACGTTGGAGCGGAGCAGCTGCAAGGCCTTCAGGCCTGAATCGACTGCTACTGGTGGACCATCGAGGATGTCCGAGAACTTCTTCTTGAGAAGGCGCGTAAGCACGGAGAGATTGAGAGCGTTGTCGTCTACGACGAGGACGCGAAGGAGATGCTTGTCGGCGTGTGCGTTCATAATGACTGTGTGGTGAGAGATCGAGAGTCGAGTGGGTGATGCTTGTGGTAGAGCGGATGGTGCGGTCGGCGATCGAGAAGGAGAGAGGTGATCGGGACAGAGTTGAGGTAATTGGGGGGCACGCTGAGTGAGACACGGGAGAGATGTGACACGGTGTCAGTCGACGAAACTGGGGTACGGGGTGGAACTACCCCGCAGTAACGAGGACGAGGACGTACTCACGCTGTAGCCAATGGGACAGCACTTATAAGACCTCCACCAATGGAATGGGAGAACGATGGGATGAGTCCGGGATGAGGATGCGCTGACCAGGCGAAGGTGCGCCGGAGTCGCGCGAGATCGAACGAAAGGAGGTGACTCTCTAGCTCAGCTTGAGTGGAAGCTTTCGGCTCAGAAGAGTCTTTGATATCTCGAACGTTGCCGTAGCGTTTTCCAAATAGTGCAGAGCGATATCGGCTGCTTGGAAAACTGGTAACGACGAGGTGAATAGGTGGATGAGTGGTTAGGAGAGACAAGTCCTGGGGCGAGCTCGCAAGGAGAATGTCACGACGCTCGATCCCGACCCAATCGCCGTCTCAGGTCATGATCAGGGTCCTCCGCTGCCCTTGCGCGGGCACTGAAATTTGTTGCAGTGGCGTTTGGATCAGCACAGATGCTCTGCCTCGCTCGCGATCTTCACGGCCGAGCCTTACTTGACAGACTGGCAGCAGCGGTGCGGAGGGACGCTTGAGCGGCCGGGGACTGCCTCACCGCCTCACGGCCTCAGCGCGACCGGGTAGCCGTCGAAGCGTCAAAGGAGAGGGAGTGGCGAGCCGATTACTGCGCGATGAGCTTGATACGGCAGGGTTGGCCTACGCGCGGGACGCCAGGAGGTCAGAGCGCGCCAAGGCAGTGTAGATCGTGGCCAGGGCTGTCCACCGCATTCGAGCGGCGCTAAGAAGCACCAGCATGCGCAGGGCAAACAAGCCGAGCTTCCGCGGCCATCGAGGAGGACCCTCGCCCGCTGCAGAGAGATCGCACGCTGGGATTTTAGAGTAGGCCAGGAGCGAGGAGCGAGGAGCGAACGAGGAGTACCGCGATCGATCCCGGTGGAAGAGCAAGGTCGGCATGCTGTTCTTTGAAGCTCTCACAACGATGGCCGACGAGAGCCGAGGACGGCATCGGTTGTGGGTCGTGCGATTGTCAGTGGACCCTGGATGAGGAAAGGAATGAACGACTGCACACACTACCACGCGTGATCCATCGTGAGCTTTGACACACTCAGCGGCCGTAGTGGAAGGTGGAAGGTGGAAGGTACGACTTTGTTCATCAGCTCAGTGACGGCCCACGATCAACAGCATTGAAGCTATTTGCTCAACCTTGCGCCGAAACTTGTGATCAGGTCAATGAATGCTCCGATCTTTCTGCCAAGTGCCAAGGAGCGAGAGAAAGAGCAGTCGTTGGTCGAGGTGGCGGGCATCGGTGTCGCGTGGTGTGAGGAGAACGCGAAACGCGTCTCGCGGTGCGGCATCGATTTCCGTTCCCGACTGGCGGCACTCAGCCGTGCCCTAATCTCTCACTCGATCCATCGCGACCCAAGTCGCAGCGCTCGCATCCACCTGAAAATCATCTTCGTTACCAGTCAACAAGATGATGGGACCTGCATCCTCATCATCATCATCGACACCGCCGCCAATGAATCGTGCCAACGAGGACGAGTCGCCATCAAAGCGCAGGCGGAGGAGCGGGATCGAGCACGATGAGCCTAGCTTACCCTCGCCGTCTACGAGCAATGCTGCAGCAGGCCCCTCTCGACGAAGTCCAAGACTACACAGCAGCGAAGCAGAGGCGGAAGAGTCCTCAAGATCTGCCATCGATCCCATCGATCTCAGAGTAGCGTCCGCAGCCAACAGTGGACGGACGATGACCCCGCGTCGCCCTATTCGCCCCTTCAACAGCTCATCACCTTCAATCTCGACAGCGGGCCGGTCGCGGACTGCTCCTGGCCCAAGCAGCCGTCGCATCGTCTCTAGCGGTGGTGAAGGGAGCTGTCATCCGCCGAGATCCGCAGCAGCAGCGTTGGCCCCTCGATCGGCTAGCAGCGGCAACCCCCCCTCGGCCGGCAGCCGCAGGGTGCTTGGAGAGATGACCTTGGCTGATGCTGATCGACAAGCACGAGAGATCAGGTCGCGACACGAGCAGCAAGAGGAGAGGAGATGGACGCACGAGCAGCAACGAGGTGTGGAGAGCTCGGGCCCTCTGACTCCATCCTCATCCTCTGCGCGGGCGGCCCCTCGAACCTTTTCACTTGGCAGGCGATCCAGGCCGAGCAGTGGGCGAGGTGTGCCTACCACCACCGCAAGTCTGGTCCCCAGCAGCGATACGCGGAATGATGACTCCTTTGGTTCTTCCATATTCGACGACTCGGTGGCCAGCACGTCCTCGATGGCTGACACTTCGCGCGAGGACGTGCTGCCGTCGACGCCCAGGGAGGGGCAGGCAATCTTGACTGCTGTAGCCAGGTCGGAGCAAGTCTCGCCATCCGCGCCTCGTACGCCGTCGAGAAGGGCACGAGCACGGACTGAACGACACGCACAGGCTCAGGTGGGCGAGGCGAGCACGAGCAGTGCGAGCAATACGAACGGCAGCCCAGCATCAGACGAGAATGACGATTCGCCAGGCAGAGAGCGACGCAGGAGAAGGGAGGAGGCCGCTGCGACGATGCGAGCAGAAGCCGAGGCGAAGCGAGACGATGAGCAAGTAGCGGGCGAAGAAGGGGCAGATGGGGAAGATCACATCCTGCTGGAGAAGGGAGATTATCGAGAAGTCGCAGCCGCGAGGGCTGTGCGTGCTGGCCTGGCGGGGCTGCCGAGGTAGGCGCGGGCACGAAGAGCGACGTCACTGCCCCGCTCGTTTCTATCGCGCAAACTATACCATTACAAGAAGAGCTGAATCAGTGGCTATGCTAGCAGACATTGCTCGTGGTAGTGAAGAGATTCCACCGCTCAATCCAACGCTTGTCTAGACGGTTCCCGCCTTTGCCCCCTCGAGCCTGACAGCAGCCGCCGCGCTCTCCTCTGCCGTCCTCCTCGCCTTTGCATCCAGCGCTCCCAGCATAAGTGTCGTTTCCAGTCTCGAGGGCTCGCTCTTCTGCAGCTTCTCCAGCCTCTTCTCGTCCTCAGCAACCGAGCCGGCCGCAACAGGCAGCGGGGCGAGGCCCTGCGCTGCGCGACTGGCATTGTCTGCCTTACGACGAGCGATAGAGGCCTCGAGGCGGGTGCGTTCCCTTGCAAGCTGGCGCGACTGGAAGCCGATGTTGCCTGCCTCGGAGAGGTAGTCGTCGACGTGCTCGAGGGTCTGTTCGAGAGCCGAGGAGAGGACGGGAGTGTGTGCGAGTGTCAGGTTCGAGTAGGTCGACTCGATTGCCGCGCGAGGGGGTTGAGAGAGGAGAGAGGAGGAAGAAGAGGAGAGGGAGGAAGAGGAGGGAAGGATCGAGGCCTGCGGTGCTTGCGGGGTTGCGAGCGTCGAGATGAAGGCGTCGAGGAGGGCCGTGTTATGCAGAGAGAGGGGCAGCTCGTGGAAGAAGTGAGCAAAGGTAAGGCGGTGGTCGATGAGTCCCTTTGCAGAAAAGTCGTTTGCCTTGTACGCTGCCACGAAGTCGGAGCTGAGGCGGTATGCCTTGACGACTGTGTTGCCCTGCGCTGACTGAGCAAGGTCGTGGACGAGGACGACTGCCTTTTCCATGCCGTCACCGCTCGCCGTATTCTTTGAGCGAGATGCGGGTGAGGAGCCCTCGTTGTCCATAAGATTGCCTACGACCTTGAGGCCCTCGAGGACCTGTGCAGTGAAGGCAGCGCCGAAGCCGAGGAAGGAGGAGACGTAGATGCCGACGGGGTTGGCGTCGGCGTTGACTGACGCAAGGAGGCCGAGGGCGTCCTGGATGTGCTTCGTGACCGGCGAGGGCGTCTGCGAGGTAGCAGCAGCGGGCGTGCGGCTGTCGTCGTGGTCATCGGTGCGGAGGGCGTTGCGAGGGAGGCCAAACAGGTTGGTGACCTCGAGCGCTCCATCAAGGTCGAGACCGAGGAGCAAGCCGGTAGCATTGTGGGGATGAGCATCGCGTGAGTGCTTGACGAGCTTGGTGAATGCCAATCCATCGAGGCGAATCGAAGAGGGCGGGCCAGAGCTGAGTGAAAAGGAGAGCGCAGCAGCGTCAAGTTCTGACGAAGCAGGCTTGGCTGCGGGCGCTGCTGGCGCCGGCGGCGGTTGAGCAGCAGCGGCTGCTGTGCGAGTGGCAGTCGACATGATGAAGCGTGATGGCGTTGAGTGGAAGAAGTCAGTTGCTGCGCGGCCGAGATGTGAGGGCGGGCAGAGCGAGGCGGGCGGCAGGGGGGAAGAAATCATTGCCTCCGTTCCGGGCGGGGCGACGTCGAGGTCGAGGCTCGCGGCTCGAGCTCACTGAATGAAACGGGTCCAAGCACGGACGGGCGAGCGACTCCACAACCTCTCTCCGCATTCGCATCAACAACACGATATGGCAACCCTGCGGCTCGGTCTCCGTTCAGCGGGCACTCTCGTCGGGAGAAGCGCCGCTTCCTCGCATTCTGCTTCGGCGCGACTGCCATTGCGCTTCCTCTCCTCGTCCTCATCGTCATGCCGCCCGACGGCCATTGCGGCAGCGGCGCCCATTGCCAGGAACCAATCACAGCAGCGCGCGTTTCATTGGGCCGCCGTCGCTGCGCTCGCTTTTGGCAGCGTAGCGGGTGTGGCGTCGAGTGGCAAGGCGATTCAGTGCGGTGCGTGCAGCGACGCGCGAGCGAATGAAGCAAGGCGAGTGGCTGACCCTCCATGCCTCTTCCAGAGGGTCCCGAGCTTGGACGCCAGACGTACGCTTCGCCTGAGTACACGGGCGCCAAGAGGGAGCCGGAGAGCATCGTGAACCCGTATCAGCTGAGCTTCGGTGCCGTGTGGTGAGCAAGCAGGATCGAGATGCGCGGCTTCGGACCCGCGACTGATGCCCCTCTCCTCCCTCTCTACTGCAGCGGCATCTGCGCCGGCGTCTTCATCAAGAAGGGCCTGAAGCTCATCGCCTTCCTTCTGGGCGGCGGCTTCGTCTTCCTGCAGTATCTCTCATCGCAGCGCGTCGTGTCTGTCGACTGGTTAAAGCTCGGTCAGCGATACAGCAACGTGCTCGAGTCGAGCGCTGGCGGGCCTGCGGACCCCAAGGCAAAGGGGTGGAGCGGATCGATGGGTGCGAGGATCTACCATCGCTTCGTGGACTTTTTGACTGCCAACTTCCAGGAGAGGGCATCGCTGTTGGCGGGTCTGGCGTTGGGGTTGCGTCTCGGCTGAGCGGGCGCAAGCAGTGGAAGCAAGGCGAGATCAGGAATGAAAGCGATACATGCTGCGATACAGGCTATGATACAGTGGCGAGACGATGACGATGACTACGCTCTTGCCGCGGACGACGGGCTTGCGAGACCCAAGGCAGTAGGCAATGTCTCTTCGACTGGCCCTTGAAAGAAGAAGTCAGCCTCACCCGATCCAGTTTCCTCTCCTCCGTCGAGATTGAACACCGCCACTTTCCCTCCCCTCGCCCTGACCTGTGCCGCAAATCCTGCCGCAGGGTAGACTGTGCTCGAAGTTCCCAAGACGAGGAGCAGATCGCAGCGTTCCACCAGTGGAGCGATTGTGTCCAGCAGCGGGATCGACTCGCCGAACCAGACTACGCCTGGGCGCAGAAGCCCGCCTCCGTCCACCGCATCGTTGCACCTCGCACTCTTGCAGCGCGGTAGCTTGTCGAGGGAGAGGCGTGCAAGTGGCTTCGAGGTGTCCTCCGTACCACGCAAGCTGTCACAGATTGGCGAATCAAAGTTCCACTGCTGGTCGCCGCAGGAGGTACACATCGTGCGAAAGAGGGAGCCATGCATCTCGAGCGGGTCGAGCGGGGCCCCACCTGAGTCGATGCTCTTGCTCAGCGCATCGTTCGCACGCTTGGACAGGCCATCGACATTTTGCGTCACGAGACGAAAGCGGCGCGACGGCGATGACGCTGCGGGAAAGGTAGCCTCGTGCCCTTGCTTGGAGGAGAGCCAGCTGATGGCCTCGTGCGCGGCGTTTGGCTTCGCGGAGAGGCAGGCCTGTCTACGCCAGTGATAGAATTGCCAGACTTGAGATGGGTCTGATTGGAAGGCTGCAGGTGTTGCGAGGCTCAATGGGTCGTGCGATCGCCACAGACCGCCGGGACCTCGAAAGGTGGGGACTAGCGGCGAGAAAGACGCGAATCGATCAGCGTTCGTGCACATCGTCTTGCCTCGCCAGGCAAGTCTGTACGCCGCCGTACGCACTGCCAGATGCTGCCGACAAGCCGGCGCCGGCCAATGCCAATGGTGAGCGAGCCTGAGCGCAAGCCTGACGAAATAGAGCGGCCGTCGAGGAGGCGCCGCCCCCGCCACCAGGAAGCTGCTTGCCGGCTGGCATTCCTGTGAAGCCCGTGCTCAGCAGACCTTGTTCCTGAGCGAGCGGCGTCGAGCGGCGTCAATGCTTGACGTCCGACGTCACAACGGCGTCGAGACTCGATGCGAAGACAGTGCGACGTGGGCGCGACGTGGGAGCGAGTTGATATGTCGCAAAGGAATGTCGGACGACGAGAGCAACACACGCACAAACACAAAGCCAACATACGCAGGCGCGCAGCGAGCCGCTCGCCACTCGCCGCCCCGCGCCGATTCGCAGCCAGCCTTGAGCGCAGGCTGTCAACGGGAAACTTGACGTGCCGGTCCCTTTCAATTCGCTCCGATTTTGGACCTGATCCGCCATTGCTCCTCCGCTGCTTGTTTGATTCACAACAACGAGAGACATCGATCGCAGCAGCAGCATGGTGACGACTCGCGATCGCACTGACGGGAATCCTGCGACTTCTTCGAATTAGCATCGAGCGTCTACCGGCCCCGGGTCCGTCACGATGCCGAAAAGATGGTTGACAGATCATGGCGCGCGCGATGAGGATAGGCTCGAGCGTTGAGGCTCGAAGCTCGAGGCTCGAGGCCGTACTGCGTGTTGGTTCGTAGGCAGGGGGTAGGCCCCCTCGATGTTGGCTCTTGCTGCGAGGCGAGGCTCGCATTTTTACGCGGCGGAGTTGGCCGCCCCTCTTCCAAAGAACACACAGAATCGCCTCGTCGACTTTTCTCCGACGCGGCTGGGATGCCTAGTCGCCCTGACCCCGCTGCGAGCAGGCGGCGAGCGACGACGCCCACGACTTGCGCCAAGCTCGCTGGCCAGGCCCCTCTGGCTCGCGCATGGACGCAAAGAATGCGTCGCTGTGTGCCTGCAAGTCGAGGTCCAAGTTGACGTCGGCTGGGCAGGTCGGCTGGGCAGGGGTACCTACTGTAGTGCCACGGGACCAGCGCAACGACGCCAGCCAAGTGGGTGTGCCTGCGAATAAAAGGCCCCAGGGGTCCAACGCTTTCGCCTTCTCCTGACCCTCATCAACTCCTCGTCCCCGGCCCTCTTCCCCTCTCATCTCCAGGTCGCAACTCCCACTCTCCTTCTCATCCTCACAGTCTTTACCAACACCAACACACAATGTTCAACAAGCTCTCCCTCCTCGCCGTCCTGGCCCTCGCCGCCGTTGGCCAGGCCAAGTACGACACGCCCGACAACCTGCCCGCCAAGACCGACTCCAAGGGCGGCCAGATCGGCTACAACGACTGCCGTAAGCGCTACGGCGAGTCGAGCCAGAAGTCGATGTGCCAGAACGCCTACATCAACTCCATCAAGGACTTCTGTCTTTGGGGTCCCCCCAAGGCCGGCTCCACCGTCGGCGACACCGAGGCCATCGAGGTCGCTTGGTGCCTCAAGTCCGGCTACGGCACCAGGCTCATCCCCAACGGTGCCATCAAGGGTGCGTTGCGCTGTGGGCGGACGGTCTTGCTGAGTTTGCGCATGCTGACAACACCCTCATTTTTTAGGAGCGCACTTTTTGAAGACACCATCTTACGTCCAGGTTACCGGTACCGGAGACCTCACCAAGATCAACGTCAAGAAGGGCGACGACGGTGGTGAGCTCGACCCCCACGGCGCCACCGGCTCTGGTAACCCCGTCGGCGGTCTCGTCTACACTCGTGCCTACACCGGCCAGTTTCAGCGAGTCTACGAGTGGCAGAACTTCATTTCCGACAGGGAATTCTGCGTGGGTATGGTCGGACGTGGTAGACGGCCCAGTACACACTGACATGCCTCTTTCTCCGCAAAAAAAGTTCCGTGCTTGTAATCCAAAGGGGGCCAATCAGAAGGAGTGGTGCCCTGTGAGTATCTTCGTGGTCTTCGATGGCGAAGAAGGGTGGTCGAGAGACCGTATACGCCGCGATTCGAGGTGTTGTGAGCCGATCACTGACCGCGTCCTTCCGTTCCGCTCTCCGCTCTCCGCCCCGCCCTTCCGCCTCGCCTATCTGCCACGTGCTTCCGTCTCCGCCCGCCGCCACGGTCAACTCCTTCGCGTCACGCTCCCTATCCCCATCCTACCTCTTCTTCTCATCAAATTCGACCTTACAGCACATCTACGACGTCATGGGCTGCTACTGGAATGAACCCGCCAATTACAAGTAAGTAGCTCAATGCGTCAATTGGGATCACAGAACGACGCTGACCTCCGCGCCTCCGCACTCTCTCCTTCAGCGCCGGATCCTGGGACCAGTGCGACGGTACCGAGGGCGAGTGGCCCGGTGTCTACCACGGCTCGACCTTCTACCAGGGTCAGAAGCACACCCCTGGACCTCAGACTCCTGGCAAGTCGTCCAACTGCCGCGCTTACCCCTCGCTCACCTCTGGTGGCGACGCCATCAAGAAGCCCGGATCCAAGCGCCAGGTCATGGAGACCGCTCGTCCTGTCGCCTAAGGAGCACACGCTCGGCGCACGTTTTTCAACTTCGTAGGATAAGAATCAACTCGCCGATCCGGCGTCTGTATCTTGCGAGCGTCGTACCCAGCCGGCACCAGCTTTCACTGCCTTCGACGCACCCTGCTCGTTTTCTTCGTCTTCTCGCTAGCTACATTTGTCAATTTCATCATCGTCTTAGTCAAACTCAACAACATGGCCCTGCTACAGCTCCGAGACGGCTGGATCATGCGATGCGACTGAAGCGGCATCAGTTACAGGTTCACGGCTCTCGATGGCTCTGAACATACGCTCTCGTCGGGTCTGCCCTCCTCTGTACCGCTCTCAGCACCCACGCGAACACCATGCGAAGTTTCCCTCCTCGGCGGCCCGGCTTTCCTCTTCTCCTTCACGGGCGTCGGGATCGTAGCAGCCCTTGAGCTACGCAGAGAGTCTTTGCTCCTTCAACACCACCTATCACGCGCGCCTCCTGATCACCACAAAATTCAGAGTGTTTCGCAGACTCTACTCCTTCTCCCCTCCCCTCGAGCGTCGCAGCAGAACATGAGCTGGGTGGCTCTCGACCCACCATGTACACATGTGGAGGAGCTGTCGACCACCCACACCTCGAGGCCTCCCAAGCGAAGCATTAGATCTTTCTTTTTCTGTCTGAGCGGCGCACTATGATGCTGCTGAGCCAGCGCCCTGCCGCCTCCCTGACACCGCTATCGTTTGGCAGGTGCTTACAGCCCTTCTCCCATTTCATCTCGACCAGTGCAGCACGTCACATGCCCACCGCCTTCACTTGCCCATCATCCGCCGTCTTCAAGCGCTTTCGCTGAGCCTGTCCGTGAAGGTGGCGATATTGCGCCCGCGGGACTCGCTCGATGCTGAGCCTCGCGCTGAGGATGGAAGCGTCGACGATGGTCACGGTACTCCGTGTAAGACTTATATGGCCAGTCTCGCTGATGGGTGGGAGCTAAATTGAGCAGTGAGGAGAACCGTGGTGGAGCCTGCGATTCTGCTGCCAGCTCAGTCTTTTCGAATCATGTATGCTCCCTCAAGCTGGACCAGAGGTGCCTCTCGGCCAGGCATCTGAATGGTGCGGCCCTCGCGTAGCTCGCTGACCTCCTCTACTCTTATCGAGCGGCCTTCGCGCTCAGAGAAGCGCGTGTGGCGCAGTCGCTTGCGGGGAAGCAGGATGTATGGCTGCAGCTTGATGAGCGCAGGGCGAGAAAGGGTGAAGTAATCGATCGTGCCATTGCACTGCTCAGAATCGTACGGCCCGTACGCGGGGCGGCTGCCGATCTTGCCGACTCTTATACCCAAGCCCTCAGCGAGCCGACATCGTCCAAAATTTGGCGATGCTTGTCGCACTGGGTGAAGCAGTAGTGTCTGCCGTTATTGGGCTTGGGAGTGCCGTCTGTGTCCAGCCGACCGGCGAGGACTTGCGCGCGCACGCCCTCGCTGGCAATGAGGTAAATCCAGGGGATACTGCGAGCCTTCCAGTTGCCGAGCATGTCCAGCTCCTGCATCGCCCTCAGGAGAGGGTTGAAGTACTCTCCATCCTCGCGCGGGCAGCTTATTGTGCCTCCAGCAGTCGATGGTGCTGATTGGACCGCGAGATTGCTTGGTTGAGGTGACTTCGAGCGGGCGGGTGCCGGCAGGCCTGCGCTCATTCATACTGATGATGAGGCTGTAGATCCACTCCCTCATCTCGTTGTCGCTGGAGAAGATGGTGATGCTCTTTTGGCATCCGTCTCCTAGCCAAGCGCCGAGGAGGTGGGGGTGGGGGCGGTAAGGGGGGAAAGGCATATCGTCTGCCTCTGCGCCGCCCGAAGGAAGCGTCTCAAAAGGGTAGCGGGGCATCTCAAGCGCTGGGTGACGCTCTGGACTGCCCTTTGCAGCGTTTTCGATGTGCTTTGCGGAGAAGAACTGAGCGACGGTCAAGGAGTGGATCTCCTTGGGCCTGATGATATTTGCGTCCAGCAGGTAGGTAGCGTCGTGGCTGAGCGTCGCTCGGAGGAAGTGCTGGGCCTCCTCGTCGCTTGGCATGAGGATTGTGAAGGTCCTCGTGCCGCCGCAGGGGCAGCTCGCAGGCAGACGGCGTTGAATTTCCTGCAGACACTCGGGATTGAAGTCACCGTCGTTCCGCCAGTCCTGGCTGTCGATGTCGATGGCGAGTCTAGGATCATTTGCCTCGTCCTCGCTACCGCTATGATTGTCCTCGCTGCCATGCTGGCCGTCCTCTCTGCCACGCTGGTCGTCCTATTATCGCCGCTGTCGCTGCTAGCGTGACAAAGGCGCTTGTAGGATATGACGATGAAGGGCTACATCTTGAGCAAGGCAGGTCCAGAGAATGTGCAGTAGTCGAGGTTATCAACCTTGCTGGGTTTGGTGGGATGGGCATTGGCCCGGGTGCCCACCTTCCCGACGTGGATCCCCAGTCCCTCAGCGATGGTGCGGGCATCGTCGAGAATTTGTCTGCGTGCGCGGCACTGAGACGATGGAGTGTAGCCAGACGTCCTTGCTCCGAGCGAGTCAGGCGGCTTCTTGACGCTCTTGAGGGCGACGGGCCAAGCTTGAGGGGGCTTGGAGGCATTGAGCTCCTCAACGATGCGTAAAAGGTAGAGGCGAGTCTCATCATCCGCCGAGCATAGTGTCGGTGCATAATGGAATCCATCCCCGAGCCAGGCACCGATCAGCCAAGGGTTGATTGGCATCTGTGCGATGCCGGCGCCGCCGGCGGCGAGCGTCTCGGGCTCCGCCCGTGGCATTTTCATGGTGGGTTGTCGCTCTGGCCTTCCTGACGCGGCGTTGTTCACGTGCTTCGCAGTCATGAATTGTTTGATGGTCATTGTGTGGGGCTCGCCGACCCGGATCACGCTCGTGTCGAGGAGGCTGACGGCGCTCATGTCGCGGGCCATTGCGACCAGATGCTCCGCCTCGAAGTGACTTTGCATGAGCATGGAGAAGGTGCGAACAGCTCCGCAGGGGCAGGGCTTGGAGAGGTCGGCCTGAATCTCCTTATGCCTCGATGCGTTGAAGTGAGACATCGTCTGGTGCTCACTCTCATCTCCGTCATCGCTGCTGAAGTCCCGGCTTCTGGGGAGGGGCTGACGATGGTTATGGTGACCGTGACGTGGACCAACTACCTGCCTGAGACAGGCTCGAGGTCAAGCTTGCGTGACCAACACGAAAGATGCGAGGCCCGGTCCACTTGACCAAGACCGTATCTTGCGTGACGGTGACGGTGACGAAGGCGAGCCGTGACTTGAGAGGAAGATGGGCAGGATGGCTCTGAGCGCGCGCGTAGCAGGGAGCAAGACTGTAAGCAATCACCCCTCTTGCAGGCACTGCTGCGCTCGCTGACACTCACCAATGCGCAGTGACTTGATCGTCACTTTTTACGAACTCGTGCTTGCGCCAAGGTGATGAAGGCAAGGCTCAGCCAAGCAACTGATAGCGAGCGAGTCGAGGTTGAGGCGCGACGCGTCAGCAACGAGATCTGAGTCAGGCGCACAACCACACCGCTACTCACATACAGTGCCGCTGATGCTAAGCTTGGTGAGTTGCACTGCAGAGTGACCACACGTGGATTGAGGGCTGCTCTCGGTGCTTTGCACCTGTCGTAGATGCGAGGCTGCTTGACGAGTGGGCGCCATGATGGAGTGATGGATGCCTTGAGGTTGCGAGGTTGACGAGTGGGGCGACAGGGGAAGATGAAGTGCACGAGGCGAATGCCAGCTTGACGTGACGCGACGCGCGAGGGCCATGCTTGAGCGAGTGGAGAAGAGGAGGCGAGGGAGGACCAGCAGCGCTGTGAGGGCAGAGGTGAGGCCTGATGATAGTGCCGACTGGCTGACCTGAGGAGGGGAAGGGACGTGGTAAGAAGACAAGAAGCGGCGAGCAAAGGCCTTTTGTATCCTCGCAACAGCACAGCCACACCCCCTCCCTCGTCGACGCCGTCGACTCTCGTTGAGCATCGTAGCAGGCAATCTCTTGCCCAATGCGGCTCTGCTCGCCCTCACTGCACAATCACATTCAGGGCTCAGCTGTGCGGAGCGGCGAGAGATGAGCGGGCGGAGCGCTCGATGGCGACCGCGAGGATCGAGTTGCCCTCAAGACGAGACGAGCGAGCCGCCCTTGGCTCGCGCACGGTCCACCACCTACGGTTGAGGAGAAAGCCGCGCCTGCGTTTCCTGCGTCGTTGCTCACGAGATCAGGGAAAAAGGCCAAAGCCATGACTTGAAGAAGATGACGTATGATATAGATTTGTGTGCTGTGTGTTGCGCCCGCCTCTGATCTGCCTCTCCTCGTCTACTCCTACTCATCGTACTCATCATCCTCTCCCGCCCCTGTACGACGATACACCCCGGCCTCACTCCCTGCGCCCCGCTTCTTCTCCTCACCGAGCCCAAACTCGTGATGTACCCCATGCGTCCAATCAAAGCTACCCGCCGTGTGCCCATCATGACTGCTCACATCGCTGTACGACCTCGTCATGACGGTCGGTCTACAAGAAGGGCTGGTGGGACTGCCCGGAGTGTACCCGGCCGTGACGTCGTTGTACGTCGGCAGCTCGTCGTCATCTTCGCGATTGCGCATCGTCGAGTCGCCTGCATCGTGGTCCCACTCGCCGGCAGAGGCGGCTTGACTGCTCGAACGCGAGGAGGAGCGGCGAGACAGGGGGAGGAAGTCTTCCCCGCCTCCTGGCCCCCATGGCGCCGTACTCGCCAATGCGCTCGGCCCTGCACGCGCGCCTGCCTCGTCACTCCTCGAGTTGACCCCACTGGGCGTTGCGCTGGCCATCCTGACCATCTCCTTGCTCTTCCCGCCGATGGTCCTAGTCGTCCTCCGTCTGTAGAACAGCAGGTAGGCCGCCGGGCCTTTCACCTCCTGCTCCACACTGTCCGCATCGATCTTGTGCACGCGCGAGTCGTCAAAGTAGTACCACTGCCCGTCTTCCGCGTTGCGCGCTGAGGAAGTGTAGTGGCCGCCACCGAGCCCGCCAAAGTGGTTGTCCACTGCAAAGAGGTCGTAGATGGGCGCATCGGACGTGACGGACTCGTCGTTGGTGGCTGAAAGGGCTGAGAGTACGCTAGAGGAGAGGGCGTCCGCCGCCGTGGCAGGCGGAGAGTCGGCCATGTCGCTGCCAGCGGACGGGCTTGGTGGGGCAGGAGCGTTCCCTTCCTCCCTCAACTGCGCCAACGCCTTTGTCCCCTCGACCCTCTTTGTGAGATCCAGCCCCTCGATGGGGAAGTCTACCGCAACGTCGATCTTATCCCTCAATCCCCTCCCCGCGCTGAATCGCTTCAAGTGCACAACGAGAATATCGGGCACCTTCCAGAGATCAAACTTCTTCGTCGCCTGCCTGAACTCCTTGCAGTCGGGACAATGCCAGAGGTCTTCCTCGCCCAGCTGCTCCTCGCGCGTAAACTCGTCAAGACAGTCCTCGATGCTGAGCTGTTGCTGCTTGGACCCGGCACGTCGTTTGGAGCGAGTGGCTTGTTCTGCTTTCTCCTCAGCGAGACGCTTCGAGTCGACTTCCGAGAGAGAGTCGGGGGAGCCCCAGTGCCCAGTATCGGCGCTGCGGGGGAGATGGTCACGCGCCGCCTCTTCGCTCCAGACGCAGAGGAGTGCTCCACCGCGGTACACGAGAGGCCAAGCACCCTCACGATGTGCTGCCAGGCGTGCACTGCGATCCGCGAGCGGCTCGACGTTGTACTCGTTCCAGTTGTCGAGGTCCTTGATGGGCTTGTCGAGGTCAGCGGCGTAGTAGAGTTGGAAGAGGGGTGGGCGCGTGGGGGTGTTGAGCTCCTGGACCACAGACGGGTGGGCCGGAGGAGGAGGTGGCGTGCTCATCGTCGCGCGAGGAGGCGTGCCCATTGTCTCGTCAGTGTCGGCGTCGGCCTCTTGCGGCTCAAAGACGTCGCTATTGACGCGCACCTCGGCCACAACGTCCTGCGACTGGACGGTGGGCGCCGGGCCGACGAATTCGTCCTCGCTCTCTTTCCGTCGCATCGCACCTCGCTGCTCGCGAGCGATATCCTCTGGCACGTCCGGCGCGACACGCCTGTACTGGTCCATCACGGCGCCCATGACCTTGCCCGCATCATTAACGTCCTCGCGAGGAATAGCGACGAAGAAAGGATTCCCCTGGCTCGTCCTCTCCAGATACGTAAAGACCGGCAGGACAACGTGCGTCCCCTCGCCGTGCTCCTTCAACACCGCCTCCTTGACCTCCTCCCGTGCCCTCGACTCAATCGTCTGTGGGAACTGCAGCGAGTTCGAGAAGGACATTCGCAACCCGCTCGTTTCTGGGGGAGGAGGCGTAAAGTCGCAGGGAAGCTCCCAGAACCAGGCGTGGTCTGCCCTTTCGATTGTGTGGACTGGCTCGTAATCGTAGTAGAGGCGGTAGAAGACGGACTTCCACGTTTCGGCGCCGAGGATTCGCGAAGGGCCGCCTTGAACAGCGAAGAGATCTGCGAGCTCCGTCTTGAGCTTGGACATTGAGACCTCAGAGGGGAGGACCATGTTGACTGCCTGCACGGGCTTGCTGGGGTCGAGCGGCACGAAGTAGACTTGGTGGCGCCACATGCTGGGCGAGGGGCGCGAGAGGAAAGGGTGTCAGTGTCGTGTGCGCGCGCGCGTATATCCGCTCTTGGCGGTCGCCGCGGACTCACGTCTTGTTGGGCAAGGGCAGCGTCAAATACATGAATGGGTCAAACTTGATCGACACCTTCCCACACTCTGGGCATACCAGCGTAGACCTATACTGACCCTGGAACAGGTCTACGATGACCGAATCGTTTCTCTGCCGGTAGTCGGCCCACTGCCTGCGGGCGAACTGCACCATCTCCATCAGCCCGCCGCCCTTCCAATCCTCCGCCTCGATGTAGGGCTTCTTCTTGATGCGATTGAGGTCCTCGTGCAGTCCGTCGAGGAGGAAGGCTAGGAGCTCCTGCGTGTCTTGCTGGGAGTAGCCAGAGAATTGCGGGGCGAAGCGTCCGAGGGTCCATTTGAAGTCGCGAGGGGAGTAGGCGTTGTTCCCCTGCGGGGACCAGAGGGCGTTGATCAGCCCGCCGAAGGCTTCGGCGAGGGCTCCACCATTGCCAAGCGGATTGTCTGTGTTGATCTCCTGTTCGAAGACGCGAGAGACGAAGTAGTCTTTGAGTTCGGGCGTGTTGCTGAGGCATTGAAGCGCGGAGTTCATGAAGCAGGTGTTGCCCAAGTTCATTAGACCTTTGAGCCCCAGCGTACGGCTCGAGCTACCGCGCTCGGTAGCGGTCTGCGAGCGAGTAATGCGAGAGGGATTGGCGTTTGAGACGGAGGCGCTGCTGGCGCTCGTGCTTGCGGTGGTACTGGCCGGCGTGATTGTTGGTGACTGCTGTTGGAGGCGAGAGAACGAGTCTTGCCCCTTGGCCTGGGCGAAGAGGCCGTGCTTGCCGCTGGGGGGAGGCGGAGGAGCTTGCGGTGCCGCGTCTGCGATTGCGCTGCTCTGCCTGCCGTTTTCCGTCGGCCAGTCGCCATTGCGATAGGCAAGCTCAACGACGAGCGGCATAGGCTCCCACGGCAGCCGATCAGCAATGGAGGCAAGAGACTCGCTGCCTTGCTTGTCTTCCACCAGCGAATAACCAGAGTCCTCCGCAGTGACTTCGTCAACTGTGACGCTGGACGAAGAAGCCTTCGTCGATGGAGGGCAGGTCCAAAGCCTCACTTCCGTCTGCGAGCTGGTCGCGCCCATCTGCTCGCGCGCCAATCGAGCAACAATCTCGAGGGGCGTGGCTCTACTGATGCTCGTTGCTGGCGGAGTGGATGTTGCCGCAAACTCGTTCGCCGCTTCGCGCTCGGCGGTGAGTCGAACAAAGACGACCTTGGTCATGTAGATCTCGAGGATAGGTGGGTTGCTCTTGGGCAGCACCCCTCGCTTGATAACTGGACCACGCAAACCGTACCAGGTAGTGAGGAGCCACCATGCTGGAGCAGGGAGGATCTCAAAGTGGTGACCTTCCTGCAGTCCGTTCGCCAACTTGACCTTCGAACTGCTAGCCTCGCCCTGACTCGGTGGACTGGCAAGGAGGTCTGAGCAGTCGACTGGACCAGGAGATGAGGGAGCACCGTCATCGTCGTCGTTCTCCCCACTCGCGGCTGTGTACGCGGCCCAGCGACGATACCACGCTCGCGAGATGAGGTGGTAATCCTGATTAGAGTCTAGTGGCGCATTCTTATATTCTGTGATCTTGGCCAGCTGCTCACTGGGCGAGGGAGGAGGAGAGTCGTCGGATGGAGGCTCGTTGTGCAATGATGGAGCTGGCGAAGACACGACGGGGGATGCCGATCCAGACGATGCGGCTGCTGAGCGAGGTGGAGTATCTGGCGCCATGACGCTGCCCGAATCATCTGCCGCGCCATTACCAGCTCGCACGCCGTCATCGATGCGCAGCTGCTTCTGCTCATCTGTCAACCCGGCCAGCGAGCCGCTGTCGCTCATCTTGGTACCAAAGACAGGGCGAGGCACGTAGCTCTGAGTATCTGTCCACTGGCGCAACGGGCTAGCTGCAGAGTCCGTCGCTGTTGCGGCTGATGCCAAGTCAGAAGAGGCAAGGCTGTTGCCGTCGACGTCTGAGTTGGGCGTCGAAGGGCGTGGACGCTTGTGAGCGGGCAAAGCGTGGTGAAGCTGCTGTGACCCGCTTGGATGTCTTCTCAGCTTGGGCGAATCTGCGCGAGATGAGCCAGCGCCGAGTGTCTGCGCGACGTGGAAGGGAGAGTGGGGCTGCGATGAGGTGATGGGTGATAAATGTCGGACGGAAGAGGGAGAGGATGATGTGTTCGAGTTCGACGCCGTTGCGGTGATGAGTGAATCCTGATTCTTGTGCTCAGATGCAGAGGGAGGACTGGACATCAGGTGTGCACGCGGGCGAGCGGGTGGAAGGCCAGGAGGGCGACGCTGCTTGTCAAAGGAGCGGTGACGAGGCGAGGCAATGCGAGGCTATGCGATGATAGCCAGCACCACCAGCCCTATTGTTGATTGTGTGCGCGTGCGTGCGTGCAAGCGTGCGAGCGCTCCTTTTGTGGGGAAATGAAGAGAGGGAACCAGTGGAATTGCACCTGCTCCTCGGCAGACGACACAACTGAGGGCGGCGGCAGCGGCGTCGGCGCGCAAAGTCAGTCAGTCGGTCGACTGTCAAGTCTGATTTCCATTTCCACGACGTCCTCACTTCCACTTCCACTTCCGTTCCCACCACTCACTCACTCACTCACCCTCCGCCCTCATACCACCACCGCCAGCTAATGAACGATGCAGCTCGACGATGATGAGGCGCAGCTTGCCTCAGGCTCATCAAGCGCACAGCCGTATGCACAGCAACTCCTCTCTTCGATCCTACCCTCCTCCACTCCTCGCTCAGAGGTAGCAGAGCACTACGAGACCCGCTTAAAGGACAAGAAGGTCCAGCTAGCCAATCCAGATCGACGTCGACCACGCTCGACAGATGGCATCGAGAGCAGCGGTGGGGCTCACACGGCGAAGAAGCTCGCAAAGAGGCAGAAGAAGGCGGGTCGCGTCTTGAGGAAGCCGGCAAAGGCGATGCAGAAAGAGCAGGCGGCGGCAGCAGCAGCAGCAGCAGCTCGAGAAGGCGGCTCACGCCGGCCACCAGCACATCGCGGCATCCAGGGTCTCGACGAGGAGATGAGCTACACTGCTCTGCTCCCGCTACATCACTTCTGGACCTCATACATCCAGCAATTCCTCAACCTCGTCCGCTCCGACCCAGCTACACAGGAGTGGCTGCCCAACGCCGCTCTCCTCGACAATACCTCACGCCCGCCGCGATGGCGCCTCACGGAGAGTGCAATAGCGAATGTACAGCAGCAGATCTGCAAAGCCGATCTACTCGGCGCGCTCATGAGGGTGGAGCGAGCGGCGAATCCCAGCTTGGTTGGGTTGGAGGGACTAGTGGCAAGGGAGACGGAGCATACCATTGTGCTTGCGCATCGTTGCGCAGAGGGGGAAGACGGGGTGCGGTCAAAGAAGGCGAAACGCATCTTCAAGGTCGTACCCAAGCACAATGCCGTCTTTGTCGTGAGGGTGCCTCTGCCTGACGTCGGGGAGAAGGTCGGAGGTGGAAGCCCGACGTACCTGGAAATGCCACTGCAGGGCAATCAGATGGAAGGCCAGATGGTGACTCGCGCAACGAGGAAGTGGAAGCAGAAGAGGACAATGGATTTTTGATGGCGCAAGTCGTCGTGTCGTGTCATTGTAGATATGCGTGTGCAATATTGATACCCTTTTGTCAAGCTCAACTTAATCCTCAGCAGCAAGCGCCGCCTCATTCAACCTCTCCGCCTCTCTCATATCCCTCTCTGCTCGCAGCTCCTCGACCCTCTCCCTCAACGCTCTACGCTCATCGTCCAACTCCTTGTACCTCCCCTGTCCAACAGCCTCACGTCTCTCCAGTGCTTGCACCTCCTTCTCCAACTTGCCCACACGCTCACCCACCGCCACACCCTCCCCGAGGGCAAGACGCTCGAAGGCAGCGTGTTCCACCTCTCCCTCGGCAAGACGATGGGCGTGCCCCTTGAGCTCGTCTCCAAGAGTGCGCGAGCGCGCCTGATAGCCTCCAAGCACCTTGCCAAGCTTACGCTCCTCCTTTGCTGCCTTGCTGGCCAGCTCCGTCATCTGCTCGCGAGCGAGATTGAGCAGCTCGGCCTGACCCTGACGCCACTGCTGCATTGAGAGGCTGGAGCGGGGCACCCAAGAGTGCGACGAGGCAGACCAAGCCGACGAGTCGTTTCGCTTCTTGAGCTGCTCATCGAATGCGGCCACCTCACTGAGGCGCTCCTCGCGCTCCTCGCGGCTTTCATCCTCATCCTCTGCAGTGTCCAGTCGCTGCGCGATCAATCGCTTCAGCAGGGTCTCATTAGCGCCGGGGAACCCAATAGTCTTGGCCATCTCCGCCCTAACCTCCTCACGTGCTGCAGCCAAGGCAGAGTCGGAGAGGACGGGCAAATCGCTCTTGGTACCCGCCGTCGTGCTACTCCCCGCGATGGGGTGGGCGAGAGTGTCGTGCTTGATGAGGGCGACCATCTCGCGCAGGACGAGGCGTTGGGCGGCGGTTTGCTTGCCCTTGTTGAGAGTTGCAAGGAGTTGCTGAGCATCCACATTGGCCGGGCGAGGTAGGTCACGCTGCACCACCAGTGAGCGTCTTGCGAGGGCTTTGAGACGTTCCTCCTCCTTCTCCTGGCGCATGCGCGCATCGCGGTCCGCCGCGTCTTCGCTGATGGAGATGAGTTGGTCGTCGTCGTCCTCTTCATCATCGTCCTCTTCATCCTCATCGTCGAGCACCAACTCGAAGTCGTTCTTCGGGCGAGGTAGGTTGCGCAAGGCCGAGAGCAAGTCCTGCTTAGCCGCCTTCTGCGCTCGACGTTCGTCAAAGGGCGTGCCCGCTACGCTCATCGAGTCATTGAGTCCCAATCCGTCTCGAAAGGGGGTGCGCATGGGCGTTTGGCTGACGCTTCGGCCTCGAGGATCAACGCGATCGTCGCTAGGGCCTGCTTGGGTGCGCGGTGTGAGGAGTGGGTTAGGCGTTTGTACGACTGAGCTGCGGGGCGTGGCTCCCGTGGCTCCTTGGGCGAGGCCATCCTCCATGTCCGCATTGGCGTCGCCGAGCAGCGGTGTCTGCGCTGCAGTCATGTTGCGCAAGTTGCGCGCTTCACGCATCACCGCATCATCCTCCGGCGCAGTACGCGGCGTGCGAGCCGTCTTGGCCTTCTCGAGCGCATCGAAGCTGCTCAACAGCCCCTCTGTAGCCTCTCCATCCTGCTCCTCACCAGCGACCAAATCTCGCGCCCGCTCTCCCGACTGGCCCAGCTTGACAATCTCTTCCAACTCCTTCTCTCCCACCTGCGCGGCCGGAAGCGTCAACTTCCTTCTCTTGCTAATCTGCTCAGCTTCCTTCATTTTCCTAATTTGCTCCGCCCTCTCGCCGAACGGATCGTCCTTCCTCTTCCCCGCTTCTTCCTTGCTCTGCTGACTCTGCTTCTTCCGTCGCTCCGCCTCCGCATCATCCGGCGTGGGGCGCTTACGCTCCATACTGCCCAGCGTCTTCCCCACTGGAGCTTGATACGACTTCGAAGCTTCTTCGGAGGTATCGTAGAACCCCTTGACTGGCTGCTTCTCGAAGGGAATGTCGGCATTATAGTCTACTGTGCCCTTCTTGTTGACCTTGGGCCCGCGAGTGACAATACCAGCCGCTTTGAGCTCTCGCCTCTTCTGTAGGATGGCCAAGCGACGAGCCTCCTCCAGTGCGCGCTCACGATCCTTGCGCTTGGCCTTCTTTCCTTGCGTATTGGCGAGACGGGCACGGGCTTCGGAGAGCATCTCCTTTTCGTCTTCGTCCATGTCGATGGGATCCGGACGGGCAGGCTTGGACTCCGGGTCGGGGTCGATCTCTCCTGGCCTGAGCCTCCTCACGTCCTCTGCTGATGGACCGGCTTCGGGCCCTGAGACGCCCGTGAGGCCCAGCTTGTATGGTCCAGCCTCTGCACCTCCCTCTGCCTCCTCGGCCTCATCCAGCAGTCGCTGGTACCTTTCGAGACACTGCGTCGCCGTACGACCGACGATGGGAGCAATGGTTCGCCATTGTGTGGGCATGAGCTTTGCGAGGTGCAAGAGCTTCTCGTCTTCCTCTTTGGACCATTCTGTCTTCTTGATGGCTGGATCCAGCCATTCGTACCAGCGCGCTTTGCATTGCTTGGGGGTTTTGCGGACTAGGAGGGAGGAGATGCGGGCCCATTGCTGCGAGGGGCGGGGGCGGTGAGGACGTGGGTCAGTGTCGTGATCGTGTATCGTAGTTGAGCATTGCTCTGCAACTCACGTTCATGCCATATTTAGAGATGGCCGCCTTGAGGATCTCATCCTCCGTCTGCACAGCGAGAGCGGGGATGATGATGGTCAGTCTTCCGCACCTCGCTGCTCCTCGCCGCCTTCAAGGCTCACATTCTTCCACACGCCGCCCTTGATCTGTACGCGGACCATGCTGGGCGATTTTGATACGCGATGCTCTCGCGGTGGTAGTGGTAGTGAAGTCAAGGGTCGAGGTTTGGTAGCCACCCGACAATCGCCTCGTCCGTCGCGATGGCCTGGCATCCCGTTCCGACAACTTGAAGGGCGAGCGACTCCAGAGCGGATGCGGCCACAGACGCGCTCCTTTGCTCCCCCGCGCCTCGACCACGACCATTACTTCCTGCCTCCCTCATCGCCTCCAATTGGCCAGCTGCAGACAGTCGCCTCCCCTCTTCTTCGCAATCAGCCTCGCCCCGTGTTCTCACCAGCAATGCCAGCAGCAGCAGCAGCGTCATCCAGTCCAGCGCACAGTCGAACCGGCCGATCCAAGAGCGCCAATCAAGAAGCGGAGACGTCCTTGGCCGGTGCGACATCCACAGCCTCGCCTGCTGCCCACGAGACAAACGGAAGCGGCAACGGAGATGCCGAAGGAGACGAGGAAGACGAAGAGGGAGAATACGAGATTGCAACCATCATCTCCCACGAGACGGGTCTATATGCTGAGGTGAGTGGTACTATGCTCGGCAGAGCGCGCATAGCATATACGCGACATCCGCTCACCCCGGCTCCGCGTACATGCGCTGCCAGAACGAAATGGCTTACTTCGTATCCTGGGTAGGCTACGGTGACGAGCACGACAGCTGGGTGCGTGAGGAGGATGCAGAGAATGCGGCAGACATGCTCGCCGAGTACTGGAAGAGGCAGAAGCGACCTGCCAAATCGATCCTGGCCATCTCCAAGACGGCGAGGCAGGTGTGGGCTCAGTTGGATAAGGACAAGGAGCTCAGCCAGTCGCAGGGAGGTGCGGGATCGAAGAAGCGGGGAAGAGGATCACACGCTGCCGGCGCGAGTGGATCGGCGGATCCTTCCTCTTCGCGGGGGAAGAGCAAATCAAAGAAACAACGCAACGCAGATGCCGACGCGGAAGACGACAGCGACGATCCCGATGCAGACGTAGATCTGACCCTCCTGAGCAGCGAAGAGCGAGAAGTTCTCCTCATCAAACGCGCTCGTAAGAAGTACGAGCGCGTGGCGGACTGGGAGGATGTGGTGGACGCTGTGGAGACTGTAGCGCGTACAGACCAAGGACGACTAGTTGCGTCGGTCAGGTTCAAGGATGGAGCCAAGTTCAAGTTCGAGACTCCCATTGTCAACAGGAGATGCCCACAGAAGATGCTAGCGCTTTACGAGTCGAGGCTGAGGTGGACCCCGCCTAGTAAGGATGTCCCTCCTGTGCCGGATGCCGTGCCAGCTCCACCTCCGGCGGCACCACCAGCAGCAGCAGCAGCAGCAGCAGCAGCAACAACAACAGCAGGGGTGGGATCAGAAGCTGATCAGCCATCGGCAACAGGGGGAGGCGATGGTGCAGCGGAAGCAGGCGTCACTGGCGAGGCGACAACACAGCAAGCTACGCAGCAAAATGGAGGGACCACGCAACCGGATACGGAAGCAGCGACTCAGCAGGGTCATGATGAAGAGATGGCGAGCGCGACAAAACAAGGCGAGGAAGAGGCGTCCACATCAGGGCAGGGAGAGACCTCTGGCGCAGAGAACGAGGCACAGCCGGTAGCGGTACCGTCAGCGGAGGGAGAGGCACAGGATGGCGACACAGCGGGACGAGAAAGTGTCGGTGCCGTCGATCCTAGTCAGATCATCTTCAGCGATGTAACCATGTCCGAAAGCGTGGGCGCGGATCCGAGGCCAGAGGCTGTTGCAGGGCCGGGGCCCGGGGCAGGTGTTGGGGAACAAAGCGTTGAGAGTGCGGCTAGTGCAGAGGCTGAGGCTGTATTGTAATCGCTTCATTCGAACTGCATCATTGGTCCATCCCAAGGGGTATCTGTGTCATTTCAGAAGAGAGCCTTCGTCGTGGCAGCCTGAGGCTGAGGGCGGGGATTGGACGCGAAGGCGAAAGCGGCGGAGGCGTGGAGTCGAGAGAGCGGAAGCGGCCTTTGATGTGATCCTGGCAGAAAGTTGGTCCTGCGACTCGCCTTGCCTCGCCTCGCCTCGCACCTTTCATCCTTTCCTTCTCCTCCCCCAAGATGGCTACAGCCGCCTATCCAGCATGGGAGGATATCCCTTCTCCCCCTCCCACTTCCACCGCTTCCTCCTCCTCAACACCACTCGCACCTCCCGCCCCTTCAACCTCACGCAGCCTCACATCCTCTCTGGCGCGCTTCTTCTCCCTCTTCCCTCTCCATCAATTCCCAGCTGCTCAGCCTCTCTACCCTGAGGACGATACAAGAGTGACCAAACCGACATTGTACGTCGCTCCTGGCCATGCGAGGGAGAAGAACGGGAGAGTAGAGAGGACATGGACGAGCGCAGATGCTCGCTGCTTGAGGTGGCAGATGGAGTTGCTCTTCCGCTCTTCGCCGTCCCTTCAAGGCTACGAGGTGGATGGAAGTCGTGCCAGTACCTCGGGAAGCAAGTCAACGGGCCACTTTGATTGCGAGCAGATTGAGCACCAAGATGCGTGGGGACCAAAGATCGATTCCTTACCGTACCTTCAGCTCCCGCCGCATGGGAAGGGCAAGGTCGTCCCCTCGTCAACAGCGTACGTCCCCTCGGCCCCGCCAAGGCTGCTCGACGACGAGGCTCTGCCAACGTGGGCGGAGACGCGATGGCCCTTCGAATGGGAGAAGGTCGAGAAGCACGGCGCTGAAGAGGAGAGAGGGCAGAAGATGAGCGGGGCGTACGAGAGCGAGGAGAAGAGATTAGAGGCGGAAATGTGGACAAGCCTTCTGGAGGGGAAGATCATGGGCGCAGTGGTGAGTTGCTCGAAGAGCGATGCGGCCACCTGCTACGACGAACGAGGAAAGCTGACATCTATGTCTTCTCTGCAGCTCCTAGCACAAATGATCTGCTCCCCGCCTACCAGCCCCTCCTCCCTGCCCCTCTTCTCCTCCCTCCTCCACACCCATCTTACGACTCAACGACTGAATCGTCGCGCACATCACATCTCCACTCTCACCATCCCTTCCCTCCCGCGCTCCGCCACCCTGTCTCGCGGCGCGAGCTGGTCATCCTGGCTACCCTCCCTCAACTTCTCCCTCGACGGGCCCCTACGCGGGACTGGAGGGGGCGTCGAGCCTGGTACGGAGGTTGTGGGTTGGCCGGAGGGGGAGGAGTGGGATGAAAAGGGCATCGTTGAGGATGCGGTGCAGGGGCTGAGGGCTGTTGCCGGAAGGATGGGGAAGAGTAGCATCGAGGAGCCAGCAGGAGGGTGGTTCTTAGGGGCGAGCCAGCCGACGGGGCTCGATGCGCTGCTATTTGCGGTGCTGCACACCATTCTATCCCTGCCTGGCGCAACGGGGAATCAGGTGGTGCAGCGTCTAAGAGCTGCCGTGCAAGGTGAAGGGGATGAGAAGGCAGGCGTGCTCGCCGCCTGGGCGAAGCGGGTATATGGGGAGTGGGTCAAGGAACGCGAGATTGAGTGGCAGCGGGTGCAAGACTAGAAGCATGCTTAAGCTCCGTCATGTCAGACGACGAGCGACCGGGAATGTCACGATTGTCTATTGAACAAGATTGCTAGTCTTCAGTCTACTCCTCACTTCTGCCTCACCCTCTTCATCCCCCTAGCGCTCCTCACCCCTCTACCACGCTCCATGCTGTTGTTCTTCCTCTTCCTACTGGCATGCTTGGCCGCATTGCGCTTCTCCTTGCGAGCGATCGTGGCTGCAGCCTTCTCCTTGTCCTCCTCGTCACCATTATCGTCTCGATCACCAGCAAGGGAGCCAAAGATGGCCCTTCTCCTCTGCTCCCTCCTCTGCCTCCTGCGCTCATTGACACGCTCAGCGACGCGAGCCACCACACTGCCGTATCGGCTCGCCCCGACTTTCCCCTGCACGAGTTCCTGCACCTCGATCGCTAATCCACGCAATGCCTGCTGAGGCCCATCCTCCGCGCTCATCTTCTTGCCACCTGCCTGATCATCAGCGCGCGTCTCCGTGATGCGCCAGATTGGTGTCACGATGTGCGGCAAGAAGGGGGTCAGCCGCTCGACGGAGAGATGCTGAGCCATTGCTGCGAACCAGCGAAGGACGCTTTGTGGCGTCAAGATGGAGGTCGACGTGAGCGGGGCAGAATCGGAGGGGCGGGCCAGGTAGGAAAGCTTGGTGAATAGCCAAGGCAACGGGGCTGAGAGGGAGGAGCCAGAGCGCTTGACCTTCGAGGGGCCGTCCTCCTCGCCATCATCGTCATCACTGCCGTCTTCGCTGTCTGCAGCGTTGCTGCCATCGTCGTCGTCGTCGCCGCTAGCCTCTCCCTCGTCGCCTTCGCTCGAGACCAGCGCAAACGCCCTGCCCACCCAGAGCAGGTTCTTAACGATCTGCAACGCCAGCGCGTCATCCAACGCCTCGCTTCTCAACTGCAGGCTCATCTTCTTTGCCGCGTCCACCAAATTCTCAACGCTGAGCATCGAGCTCCCACTTCTCGGAAGCATCGCCTCCGTCGGCTGACCCACACCAGCAAAGAGGGCGCCCAGCAGGCGAGACGAGGCGGAGCGTACCCATGCGTGCGGGAAGAGGAGGAGACGACGCACCGAGGACCAGGTGGCTGCTACGTCTTTGTTGGACAGGTTGGGCGCGGTGAACAGTTGGGCTGAGACCGATGGGACGCGCGTGAGCTTGAAGAGGACTTGCAGAGCGTGGTAGGGGAGTTGCCAGTCCAGATCGATGTCCATAGCCGTGTCGAAATCGGTGCTCGCTTGCTCCTGCTCAAGCTCTTCGAGAGCGTCGGCGCATTCGCTCAGCACCTTGCGGACGTTGCGTAGAGCGCGATTTGTCCACTGTGAGTCTCCCTCGTCGTCCACACTCCCAGCATCGAGGAAGAGACCGTACACCTGCAAGCCTACACGACCCAGCTCCTGCTTCTGACCCTCAGCCCAAGCATGAGTCATACCGACGAAGCGGGCCCGCTGCTCCGCACCCATGATGCCGAGCAGCGCCTTCAGAAGGACAGCTGCCCTCTCGCGACACTTTGTCGCCTCATCATTAGCCAACACCATGACCAGCGTGACGAAAAACAGCTCGCCATACTCTCTGAGCACCTCGTCCGAGAACTTGGCAAAGATGGCTCCAAGCAGCTCCATAGTGCTCATCCGACCCGCCTCGAACGTGTACCCCGATGCGTTCTTGGCGAGGAACTCGAGCTGGTTCTTCAGTCTCCCCTTGCCCTGCGGGTAGTCCAGCAAGAACTGCAAAAAGGCCGCTCGGCTAACCTCACGTACCTGTGAGGACTGATTGGTCACAACCATCTCCGCCACCCGGTCCATGACATCGTACACCTCGGGTACCACGAAGCGTCGCGAAACGATGGCGCGGACGAAGGCGAAGATGGCGCTCTGCGAACCCGGCTCCTCAATTTCGGGCAAGACGAGGGAGAGGAGGTCGGAAAGTTGTTTCTCCTTGAAGTCGGCAGAGGGACAGTCGCGCAGGATGACGGTGAGAGTCTTGAGACCTGATTGTGATACGTCCGAGCTAGGATTGGCTTCGCGCGTGAGGATGGAGGTGGTTTGGCGAATGTAGATGGGCAGACTTGCCTGCAAAGAGGGGAGGGAGGGAACACGCAGCAATGCTCCCGCTGCCTTGAGACCGAGGGAAAGGACATAGCTGTCTGCTGCATAGAGTGTGTTGCCCACGTCTGCCAGGAGAGGGTCGAGACGACCAAGCACGTCAACGTCGCTGAAGTCGAAGCGGGTGCGACGCAGCGCCGTGATGAGGAGGTCAAGACCGAAAGCTACGAAACGGTAGGCATTGACGGCAAAGTGGTCGCGCGATGAGCTGCCAGACTTGCCCGCTTCGACGTCCTTGCGTTTGAGCAGGACGAGATCGCTCGAACCGTTGGCCGCCGCTACACCACTTTTGCTGCTCTTCGCTGCAGCCTTGCGCGCCTTGAGGAAGGCGGCATTGCGGCCGATCAAGGCGTGGCACAATCCCAGCAGCCCTGCAGCGTCGAAGTGCTGATTCGCATTGATGCCAGAGGCGATCCTGCGCAGGGCATCCTCTACGGCCTTCATGCTGCGGGGCACCTCTGTCTCCTCGAGCACCTTCTTCAGAGGCTCCAACACTGCCCTCATCCTCTGCGGAGAAACCATCTTGCTCACTTGCTCAAACGTGTCCAAGCTTTTACTGTGCCTCATCTCCTTGACCTTGGTGCGGGACTCGATCGTCTCGCGATCCTCGCCTGTGTGGCCGAAGAGATCCTCGGCGGCTATGCTGATGATAGCGTCGACGACGGCGTCGTCGAGGAGGGTGAGCGGGTTGGTCGAGCTCTGCATCAGGTGCACGAGGAGAGAGTGCACATTGAATGCCAAGATGGCCAGCTGCGGTCCCCTAGTGAGGGCGCGTCGTTGCTCCTTAATGATCTGCCCGAGTCTTGCCGGTCCCAAGGCTACTGCCGTCTTGCATAGCGTCTCGCGAGCGAGATCGCGCGTCTCCTGCGATTTGCTGCGGAAGACGTTGGAGAGGACGTTGAGGAGTTTGGAGAGGTGGATCTCCTTGTCGCTCGAGGGCAGAGCGTCAACTACGCGCACCACGCCGACAGCGATCGGTAGGCGAATGGCGTCGTCTGTCTTGTCGTCGTGGTGCTCGAGGTAGCCCATGAGCGCGGGAAGCAGCTTGGTGGTCACCGACGAGATGACCTTTTGCTGCTGTACGTCGTCGCGGGGCTTATGCGCGGGTGCTGGAGCCATTTCTGCCTCATCTTCCTCGCCCACCTCAACTTCCGCCTCCGCCGCTGGGTCGCCCTCCTCGGGAACAATCTCATCCTCCATGGCGAAGTGGAAGTTGTCCAGAATGCCCATTGCGGTACGCACGAAGACCTTCTCTCCCTGCGTCTTGCCGTCCGCCAGCTTCAAGTACTTCCAAAGCAAACCATTGTAGGCACCCCACTGGAGGTGTCGACAGAGCGACCCCATACAGGCGATCGTCTCATTGACGAGATTGTGGTCCCCAATCTCGGTATGCCCCGCCTCGAGGAAATGGCCAATCAAGGGCAGCAGGACTTCGGTGAGAGTCTTGCTCTTCAAGGCTCCAGTAGCCGCATGGTCCGAGAGACGACGCAGCGCACGAGCGCGACGGTGCAATTGGACATGGTGGATATTGTGGAAGAAGTTGGCTTCCTCGTCCCCGCCCGCCAGCAGGCCGCGCATCTCGTCCAGTGCAGCGAGGTGCGGGAGCTCCTTGACGGCGGCGTCGAGGACGGAGAGGGCTTCGCGTCTCACCAGCTCGGAGCGAGCTTTGAGGGTACGCTTCAAGCCGGGGAACACTGTACGAACAAAGAGGTCCTCGTGGCTGGCGTCAACAGCGACCGAGGAGACGAAGCGCTTCAGCACTGCCGCCGCGTTGGTGCGGAGTACAAGCTCGTCCGCGTCTTGCAGGAAGAACAAGGCGTTGTGCACTATAGGCTGCCATTCGACCGCGGTAAGCGCTGGCGTGTCCTCGCTAGTTAGCTCATCGAATGCGTCCAGTCGCTTGTCGAAGTCCACTTCGTCAAGTCTTCTTTCGCTGTACGCGTTCAAGGCTCGCACCCAGCCTGCGACCCTACTGAGGTTGGGCGTGTCGAGCCGACTGATCTGCTCGAACAAGCCCGCGAGGTTGAGGCGCGCATCACGGGAGCGCAGCCGAGACCACATGGAGGAGAAGAGGTCGTAGTGCCTCTTGAAGAGCTCAGATTGCGGATCCTTGAAGGAGTCCGTGAGTAGGAGCAGGTCCCTGAATGTCGCGAGGAGGTCGGCCTTGCTCTTCTCGGGGATGAGACGATTGCTCTTCTTCATCATGGGGCCAAGAGCAGAGAGGACCAGCTCGGCGTCGCTCGACTGGTCGACGAACGAGGCGAGGCGGGCGAGGAGCTGCACCTCACGCTGAAGGAGTGGATCGGGCGTGCTCGCCGTGGCAGAGCGATGCAGGGCTGGTGCAAGGCCAGTGACAAGGTCCGAGACGAAGAGTTGCGGTGTGGCGGCCGTATCGTCTTCGCTGAAGGTGAGCAATCGGTCGATCAAGTCCAGTATGACCGTTACCACTGCCGGCTTGACGGAAGGCACGGCCAGTACGGCGTACACGCTCGGCAGTACGAGATCTAAAAGCTTGAGCGTCTCCTGTCGCGTAGACCAAACAGCAAAGAGGTACAACAATGCCGAGGGGCTCTGAGTATTCTCCGCAGCAAAGAGGGGCAGGCGCGGCTGTACCAGATGCTCTTGGATGGCCGGCTCAAACGCGCTCCAATCGAATTCTTCGGTGCCAGGGCATCGGTAGAAATCTGCTAGCCTCCTGACCGCGTTCTGCCTTATGTCGCGAGACTGGGCCGAAGCTCTTCCTGGCCCCTCTTCTGCGGCTTTGAGTGAAGAATGGTACGCCAGATTGATGGTGACGGAGACGAGGGAAGGCCAGTGCGCGACGAGCTGCGCGCCCAGGTGCTTGATGACGTCGCTCAATAGAGAGAGGTACCCTTCTTGCTGCTGAGGAAAGGCGGTGGGCGGGGAAGGGGAGACGACGTGCCGCTGGTCCGAAAAGGGGGCGAGCATCAGGCCCACCCATTCGCCGAGTTCATCGGGTGTACACTCCGACAGAGCATTGAGGATCGCAATACGCTTGCCTGCTCCACTCGCGCTTGTCCTCTTTGCGATGGCAAGGCCGAACAGCAAGCGAATAATGAGGGGCATTACCCCCCCTCGATGCTGCGGCTGCACGGCCGTCGAATTGGCAGAGAGATCTAACCCGACCAGCTCGTCTCTAAACTTGCCCTGCTCTAGAAGAGCATACATCTTCTCCTCATACGGCTTCTGCGTCGGATCCTTCCACGTCATCACGCACTCGAGCGCCAGCTTTTGAAGCCTGACTTCGCTGCGTGCCACAAGCTTGTAGAGGAGGGCGTGCAGCTCGCTGCTGCGATAGAGGGCCTTGGGGTTGGAGAATTTGGTAAAGACCTTGAGATACGAGGAAAGGCGATCGAGGCGAGCGGATAAGGATGTCGCGCTCTCATGATCTTCGTCGCTTGTTGCGTGCTCCTCGCGCGTCTCAAGCCCAACCTGTTCCACCACGCCGAAGAAGTGCTCCATGAAGTCGTGATTATGCTTCTCGACGACCTGGGGCTGCTCAGAGAAGAGCAAGAGGATCTGCGCGCGATAATTGGCCACATCCAGCCTGCCTTGCGGGGTTTGCAGCTTGACGAGTTGGCGACGAAGTAGAATCGAGAGAGGACGATGGCTGTCTGCCCAGTAATGATGGACGCGCTGCGAGCGTGCGGAGCGTTGTGGGTCGATGAAGGTTGCTTCGAGATCTGACTCGGGCTCCGGCTCGGCGGCATCCTCCTCGACGGTATCCAAGCTGCCCTTCGCCTCCTCCTCGGTCGACCACTCAGCGGGCAGCGTCCTCTTACTTCTCGTTGCCACCAGCTCCTCGAACGCCACCTCCCACAGCGTATCGCCAAATCTCCCTACCATGTCCGCAAGCCCCTTTCGGCACTCTTCCCAAAGCGGCTTGAAGTTCAATTTGAGCGTGCCCGCAACGAAGCGGCACACCACTTGCGCTGCATGCTTGACCTCCTCGTCGTTCGGTGCCTCAACGTCGAGTCGCATGAGTTCGCGTACGAGCCCGCGAAGACGTACATTGCGATCACGAACCGTTTCGACGCGCAGAGGGATCTGCTCAATCGTGCTCATGGTAGCGAAGAGGCTCGCGAGAGCTGTATTGCCGGATGAAGAGCAGGCAGCCACCCATCCTGTAGCCGCTTGGCGAAGGTGCTCGTCTTCGCTCATGAGCGCGGAGGTGAGGAGGCTGGATGCGGTTGATGCGGTCACAAGCTGTTCTGCGCTCGCCTTGCCTGCGTTGAAGAGCTCTAGCGTCGCTTGAAGGGCTGAACGATGCGCACTGAGGTGGTGAAGGGCTGACTCGCACAATGTCTTACTGCAGACATCGCCCAACAGAGCCTTCTCGCTGGACGCGACCGCAACCAGCGCAGTGGCACAGACGGCGAGGAGGGATCGTGCGTTGACGGGCGACTCCTGGTACCCTTCGTCGTCTCCAATCTTGCCGGCGAGCATCTTGATGCACGACCGAAGTGACGCTGCGATCTTCGCATTGCCCGCGAAGAGTGGTACGATGCGCAATGCAGCCAGCGGCGTCTGCGTAGCAGCCAAGCTGTGCTCGCCCTGCTTGATCGCTGTGTCCAACTTGGCAACCTCCAGCTCGAGATGCTCCCCGACAACTCTTCGCCATTTGACAACATTGGGAGCATGCTCCTCGAGCGCAGCCAGCTGATCCGCCTCGACAAGACTTGCAAGTAGATGCAGCGCTTGCGCTCTTGCCTTCTCTCCCCTGCTGATCGAGTCGAGCGTCGCCCCCAACACTTGAGGGAGTACGAACTGCCTAAATCCAGACCAGGCCGTCTCCGAGTCGGCGAGGGAGAGAACCACAGTGATAAAGAGCGGGGTGGCCGTCCCGTCTTGCTGGCGCGCCTTGGCCAGCTTGTCGACTATCTTAATACCTGGCCCGACGAGGTCTGGTATTCGGCCGATGGGCAGTGCGGTGGTGATGAGAGAAGAGAGAGCCAGAGTAAAACTGTTGTCTTGCCCTTGATCGACGCTGGCCACGAGATTGGAGAGGGCGGCGAAGATCTGCGCTTTGCAGATATCGTCGACCCTGTTTCCCTTGCGGGTTCCCATGGCTGCTATGAGCCAGCGAATGACCTCTTCCAACGCGAGGGTATCCCCACTCTCTTGGCGTTGCTTGAGCCACTCGACGAGGAGCTGAAAGATGGGAGCGAGGTGCGCAGACTGTCCATGATGAACGAGCGAGGTGAGGAGGAGCTTGCCGACGAGAAGCCTGGCGCGCGCAACTTCCCGGCCACCGGCCAGGAGGAGTGCCGAGAGGTGCGAAGTAGCCTGACTATGCAATCTTCGATCGACGGACTTGGCTACCTCTGACCAAACGCCCGCCACGCCCGCTGACATGGTGGCGCGCGGAGGCTCCTGATCCAGCATAGCTTGCGCATCCGCGAGCATGAATGTCGCAGCATTGCGAAGGTGTTGCTGTTTCGATCGTCGCAGCAGATGCGAGAAGGCCTCTGAAGCGAAGCGCCGAACATGCGGAGGGGTTCGATGCGGCACCTCCTCTTCTGCAACCCAACCCATGTACGGTCGCATGATTGTCCACGTCTCACGCAGCAGATCGTGCCCATCATCCGTGTCGGCCTTCTTCAGGATGAGGGGAGCGAGATTGCGGAACAAGGCCGCCACGCTCTCGAATGCCTTTTCCACGATACGAGCAGCGCCCTGCTCATCGCCTGCCGTTGCATTCTTGGTGATCGTCGTAGACTTGAGTAGCGCATCGAGGCAGGGAGGGTACACAGGCAGGAACTCGGAGCCCAAGTCCAGCGCCAGACGCGGGATGAGATCGAGTACTGGCTCGTAAGCTAGATGAGAGTCTGATTCTCTCGTGAGGAGCGTAGAGCAAAGTGCCTCGACGATGGACGAGCGGTAGTGGATGAGCAAAGGGAGGGAGAGGGATTGCTGCGAGATGCTTCTCAGAAGCGCCACGAAGGGGACGGTGAGATTGAGCTCAGACCAGGCATTGAGGGCTGAACCAAAGGCTGTAGAGGCTTGCAAGGCTGCCATGCGAGCCTCTTCCGTGTCGAAGTCGTCATCCTCATCACGGCGCATCGTCTCGTCTGCTGATGGGGCGACTCCATGTACATCGAGACCAGCTAGCGTGGAGCCTCTGCCTGAAGTGAGGCCAGTGGCGGCTGAGAGGTGTACGGAGGCCAGTCTGTCGTTGAAAGACTTGTAGCGAAAGGGATGTGGGTCCTCTGCCATTGCTCTGAAGCTCTGCATAGTGCGTGTGAGTGGCGCGGAGGAGGAGTATGAGGACGACGATGATGATGAAGAGGCAGATGCTGCGCCTGTTGCTGATCGAGTCTTGGCCTCTCGCTCAGCCTTTGCCCGAGCTTTTGACTTGTTGTAGGCGGTCTCTCGGCTCATGGGGCGGGCACGAGCCTTTCCCTTGTCGCCTGCCATGATGACGAGTGGTGATGATAGGTGGTAATGAGAAAGCAACGCTCCGCCGCCGCCGCCTCCGCCGCCTCCGCCGCCTCTCTTCCGTCGTTGGCCAAAATTCCTGGTTCCGCTCAGACGGCAGAGAGTCGAGTCGAGTCGAGTCGACGACGAAACGGATCGGGATCGAGACGAGAGGACAGAGACCACGCGACCACGCGACAGCTCCACGTCGACGGAGCGCCCCGAAGAGGCGGCCTGAGCTCAACTTTGGCAATTGACACGAGAGCGTTGCGCTACGCAAGCAGCTGCGACGCAGCTTCTTCCTATTCTTCTCTTCCATCACACTTCGCCAGCCATGATCATCGCGAGGCACGGCGCATCGCTAGCGCTCCTCGTGCTATCAGCCATTGCGCTGCTAGCCTCGACGGCAGCGTCACTGGGCGTAGTCTCCTTCGACTATGGCGCTGATTCGCTCAAGACGGCCCTCATCAAACCGGGAATGACACCGGACGTCGTACTCACACGCGACTCGAAGCGCAAGCTGCCAGCCGTCGTCGCATGGAAGATGCAAGATCGATCCTACGGTACTGATGCCCTCAATCTCGCCACGAGGTACCCAGGGGACAGCTACCCAGCCGCCAAGCTGCTACTAGGTCGCTCTTTCTCCGACCAGGCAGTTGCCTCACGATATGCTCGTCTTCTGGCCGCCAACCTCACCGCTACGGACAGAAATACATTCGCCGTCACTAGAGCCACTGATTATACGCTCGACAACTCCGGACCGGACACCCATACCGCCGAGGAGCTCGTGGGTATGCAGCTCTCCCACGCCAAGATGCTAGCAGAGGAGACGGCAGACGAAAAGCTCAAGGTCACCTACCCGGGAACTATCGGCACCTTTGGCGGGCTAGACGCGGTAGTCACCGTCCCAGCATACTGGACTGCTTCAGAGCGCCAGGCCATCTTCGATTCTGCTACCCTCGCCGGCTTCAGGCCAAGAATCGTAAGCGATGCAGCAGCCGCTGCCACCTCCTTTGCCCTCTCGCGCAACTTCCCAACGCCAGAGTTGCACCTACTCTACGACTCAGGCCACTCAGCCACGCGCGCCTCGCTTGTTCGCTTCTCGACCAAGTCTTTCCCCACGCAAGATCTCTTCGGCACGTCACTCAAGGAGCATACCTTCATCGAGGTCCTCTCCGTCGGCTGGTCGCGCGACTCGGGTGGTCTCGCTCTGGACGACATCCTTCGCCAATTGCTCGTCCAAAAATTCAAAGAGAATTCGAGGGAGGACATCGAGGCCAACCCACGCGCGATGGCCAAATTGCTTCTTTCGGCCTCCAAAGCCAAGCACGTCCTCTCAGCCAACAGCGATGCGCGCGTAAACATCGAGGGACTAATCAACGACGTCGACTTCCGCACCTCGGTCACCCGCGAAGAGTTTGAGGCGGCCGTATCCAAGCAGAAGCTCGACCAGGCCTTTTCCTCCGTCGTGGCTGACGCTTTGAAGCGCGGCGGCAACGCAAAGATGAGCGACCTGTCCTCGGTCATTCTCATCGGCGGAACATCTCGTGTTCCCCTCGTTCAAAAGTCCCTCAGCACGGCTGGCGTGCCCGCGAACCTGATCGCTCAGAATCTCAATGCGGATGAGGCCATCGCGCTCGGTGCTGGCTTCTACGGTGCGAGCTTCAACCCGCAGCTCAAGATGAAGCCCATGCGCGTTGCAGACGTCAATGCGTACCCCATCGTGCTGCGCGAGTCGGACGGCAAGGAGGAGCTGCTGTGGAAGGGCAGCCCGGAGACGTTTGAGGAGGAGGTAAAGGCGCGATATTACGATGGCGCTACGGAGGATTTCTCCTTTGAGATCGAGTATGGGCCAGGGGCGGAGAAGTTGCTCAGCGATGGGGAATTCGAACGCCCGCTTTACCGCGTTGAGGTGGAGGAGATCAACAATACGCTCGCAGCGCTCAAGGCCGCTGGTGAGCTGAGCAAAGTGGAGACGAGTGTCAACGTCTCGATCGCCAGCAGGCCGCTCGGTGCTGTTGTGGTGGAGAGTGCCTGGCTGACTGTCAAGCCAAAGAAGGGCGGGGTCGTCGGTGCCCTGCGCAACTTCTTTGGCGGGAGCGCTGCGGGAGATGAGGCGGACAGCGCTGCGGCAGTCGACGTCGACGCCGCTGGCTCGGAAGCCTCGGCGGACAACGCTACCAACGTCAGCTCAGCGACGAACTCGAGCAGTACCCCCGTCGCGGACGCCCTTCACCCTCGCCACGTCCGCCTCTCCGTAAAGACGATTCCTCTCGGCTCCATCAAGCCCATGTCAGGCGAAACGCAGACCAAGTCAAAAGACAAGCTCTACCTGGCCGATGCCGCAGCACGCCGCAAGCTCCAGACAGAGGAAGTACGCAACAAGCTCGAGTCCTACATCTACCGCGTCCGCGAGCTCACCAGCTCCGACGCGCCGGCCGGGTTCGTGGCGGCTTCCAAACCCGCAGAGAGGGAGAAGATGGCCAAGTTGGCCGGGGAGATTGGGGAGTGGCTGAGCGCTGGTGGCAAGTCTGTGGAGCGGGCAAGCGCGGAGGAGTTGAGGGGTAAGCTGGGTAGCCTGGAGAAGCTCGTCCAGCCCGTCGAACGCAGGCAGGCCGAAGCCCGGGGAAGGAAGAGTGCGAGCAGCAAGATGAACCGTGTCCTCTCTGACGCACGCGACTTCCTGACTCAAGCTGACGCAAACCTCACCGAGGCCGTCGCATCCGGGACTAGCTCCCGTTTCGCCCGAACGGACTTGGATGCGCTCGAGACGCAGATCAAGGCGGAGGGCGATTGGTTTGCGAAGGTGGAGAAGGAGCAAGAGAAGAAGGGCCAAGATGAGGAGCCTGCTTGGCGTGTGGAGGAGGTGGAGAAGCGTAGTAAGAAGTTGGCGGATAAGGTGGGTAAGCTGAAGAAGAGGAGGATACCGAAGACGCGACCTGTTGCGAGTGGCAAGAGGGGAGACAACAAGACGAGCAGCAGCAGCAGCAGCAGTACGGCAAGCGCGGCTGATGAGACGCCTAAGCACGAGGAGTTGTAGGCGCGCGACGACGTAGAGGGAGCGGAATGGTGGGGTCCAGGAAGGAATAGAATCGCAGTCACGAGTGGGACGCCCATACAATCATGCAAACGATGTTCTCTCTATTCCATTCCTCTGCTCGCCTGCTCAACGCACAGACCAAAGTTGCACATTCATAGCCTCGACCTTCTTCTTCCCCTCGGCATTCTCGCTCTCCCTCCCCACCACCCGCCAGTGAATCTCAACGTCGAGCTCACGATCATTCTTGCCCTCCTTTGCATCGCAAGGCGTCACGTGAATCCTACCGACGATGTTCTCCCCGGGTTGAAGCTCGAAAGGTTCCTTGAGCAGGAAGACGGTCTGCGCCCAGTGAGTGGGTTTACCCTGCGGCCCTGTGGTAAAGGAGACGATCTCTTCACCCTTCTTCTGCTCCTCCGGGCTCGGCAAGCGCTGCATCGCTGCCTTGCCCTGCAGGTCGATGCCCTCCACGTCGGCCTCAACGATGGGCTTCGTCGTAACCGGTGGCAAGCCAGGGATGAGTGTCCCTTCCTTCTCAGGCGAAGAAGGCGAGGTGCGCAATGGCTCCTGCTCGGAACGTGGCAAGAACCAGGTGTCGAACCAACTGAGGAACCCATGGATGGTCTTGATCTCCTTCTCCTTGCCTTGCAATGTGAAGTCAGACACAAAAGCCGGTTGACGAGGCTTCATCTCTTGCAGCGGCAAATCGTAGATCTGCTCCGCGCTCGTGACGACCTTATCCTCCGCAAGGGTCTCAGTGTACGCCTCATCCTCCAGGCCGCGACGCATGGCGGGCATTGTGAAGCCGTGGACGTTCTCCCAAAAGCGGATGCGTTGGTGTAAGAGAGCTTGGTCGGATACGGCTGAGAGGAGCATGCGGCAGTGCGAAGGGGCGAGAGTGCCCGTGGACGGGTTGAGGTAGAGGTCCCGAGCTACGAGGACGGAGGGGAGCATGGATTCGTAGAGGAGGAAGTAGCCCTGTGCGGCGAGAGGGGGAAGAAGAGAGGAAGAGAGGTCAGCGATGCTGCGTTGACAAGGCGCTGTACTGGGGCGGCGCGCTGCTCACCATCCACTCGGAAACGATGAGGTCCACCTTGCCCTCGTACTCCTTGAGCGTCTCCCCTAATTCCTCCAACTTCCCCTTGTGTACCTTGACAACCCCATCCCACCCATTCGCCTCAACATTCTTTCGCGCCCGATCGGCCACATCACTCGCATCGATTGCCAATACTCTCTTCGCCCCTGCCCTTGCACAGAACAAGCTCAAGATCCCCGACCCGCATCCCACGTCCATCACGGTCTTACCGCGAAGGAGGGAAGCGTTACGCGGGGAGAGAAGGAATTTTGCGTAGGACAAAGTGCGGACTGAGTCTTCGATCATGGTTTGATGGATATCGTTGCCTGCGTAAGAGGCGAAATAGTGCGTGTCGTTGTCCACCGGAGCGGGCTTGGCGGGCTTGGGGGTGGTGGTGGCGGGCACGGCGGCCGAGGAGGATGAGGAGGATGTCGAGGGGCCAGCAGCGAGGACATTGTCATTGGTGTCCTGCTCGTTGAGGCCAATGCGGGCAAGATACTGCTGACGCAAGTCCTGGAAAGCCATGCGCATTGCGATGAGCTCGTTCTCGAGCTCTTGCTCGCGCTTACTCGGTTGCCCAGCTGCGCCGTCCTTCGTACCGTTTGTCGCGCCAGTCTCGGGGAGCAGATCGTCGAAGTCTAGTTGGAGCAGGCCGTCGTTCTCCTGCCCCTCGACTGGCATCAGTTCCGCATCATCGTCCAGCCATCCCTCCTTGCCGCTGAGCGCGTTAACCTCCTCGGGGCTCATTCCCGATCTACGGATGTGGTTGATAAGTCGGATTACCTGCATCGTATCCAGCCCGAGACGGTGCACGATTGTGACTAGGTCGACGCCATGCGCCTTCTTTGCTTGGGCCAGCGCTTCCATGGGCGAATCAAAGCTCTCCTTGCTGAAGAGGGCGCGCGTGGGCAGCTTGAAGCTTTGCTGCTGGCCCTGTGACGACGTGGATGCGCCGTAGTGCATAGCAGCATCTCCTCCAGCTGCAGCATCGTCGTCATCGACCCAGTCGGCCCAATCTTGATCGTCGTGCTCGTCAAAGGACGAGTCGGAGTGGATGCTCTCTGTGTCTTGGGCGCTCATCGTGTAGAGAGTGGATGCTAGATGAAGAAGAAGGCGCACCAGGCACAGGCGGAAGGCGGCCAATCAAGTGCGAGTGGCTGCCCGCTTCTCGAATGAGAGATTCCACAAAATTGCTGTGATTACGTAAACGCGCGAGAAGAGGAGTGGCCCGTCCGCTCGAGAGAGGGACGGACGGACAGGCAGGAAGGAGCGTGCGTGTCGAGCGACTCCACGAGTTTGTGTTAGCATCAAGAAAGGAGCAATCAAGATGGACCCACAGGAGGTGACGAGGCAAATTGCTTCTTTCACCGGGCTAGGTGAGTGTACGAAGGCTCAGTCTCGGAGCTACTCAGCAATTCAGTAGACTCATGGCTCCCTCCTCTGCCTCGCAGACAACGAGACGGTCTCCACGCAGCTTGTCCCCTACCTCAATACGCTGAGCGACGCGCAGGCTGTACGGCATCATCTCGGGGTGAGCTCTCACACCTGGTCTTGCCTCGCCCTTCGATGATCATTGACCCCTCGCTGTGCCCCCGCTGCAGGATCTCATCGGCCCAGGCACAGCTCAGGCTAGCTTCACTCAGCGCTACGTGGAGGCGAGGTGGCCCCCAGCCAAGACGATAACACCGAGGGAGGCGCCAACTGGAGCGTCGGTCAAGGCTGATACGAAGCAGGCCACAAAGCCATTCAACTCGGCAGCATCACCTCAAGCAGGCCCCTCAAGTCCACGCCCGCCACCTTCAGCCCCTCCCACAGCAGCCCCGCCACCCTCCTCAACCTCACCCTTCGACCTAGTCCCAAACGATGCGATCAAGAAGCTCGACTCTGATCTCGCAACCCTCACCGGTGACGCACCCATCACAACCCGTCCCCGGGCATGCTTCTGTCGCTCGCTTCGACACTCTCCCTCACATCGTATCCCCATCTGCACCAGCTGCGGGCTAATTCAATGCAGCCTCAACTCACCCCCACCCCTTCACCCCGGAGCGACCTGCCCATCGTGCCACACGCTACTCCTCGGTGACGAGGGCAAGCGCGCAGCTCTAGTGGCAGAGTTGAGTGACGAGCGGGTCAAGGCACAACAAGCGGAGCAGAGGAGGGTGGACCAGCTGAGGGCACAGAGAGCCGCCAGGGACAAAGCGAAACAGGCGGGACAGGCGGTGGATGTTTTTCCTGAGTTGGGCGGGGGTGTAGACTCGAGGGGCAGACAGCAGAGGGACAATGTCAATGCTGCCCTGGGCAGGGGTGGAGCGAGGCAAATTGATGGGCTAGCAGGGACTGTTGCAGGCGGGAATAGCCCCACACCGAGACAGGCTAGGGTGCTTACGATTGGCAAGAAGGGCAAGGTGATGTATGGGAGCAAGCCCGCGAAGAAGAAAAAAGCCGAAGAGAAGCAGACGAATGGCACCGAGACGGCATCGACTTCCACAGCAGCTGCCCCAGTGGTGGAGGAGGATGCAGCCCAGCAGGACGACGATCTCGAAGACGAGAGGGAGCAAGAGGAGCTCCAAAGGCTCGGCTTTGTCATCGATCCGGATGATGATTGTTTCCGCAGTGCAGGTGAGGACGAGGAGGAGCTCGATCTGCCGGAGACGACAGCGATAGAGCGACCCAGACAGCCAAAGGGACTCGATGTGCGGTACGTGCCTGCGGATGAGAGGCCGGCCATACCTGGAACTGAGGATGGCGTGGGGGAGAATGGCATTGACTTCGATGGTGGGCAGGGCGCGCAGGCGAGCTCGAGCGCAACTACATCAGCGACCAGAGTACCGGGGTCTGCGGCACCGCGAGCTCCAAAGAGAGGCGGGAGGCGGGGCAAAGGTCGCGGAGGAGGGGGATCATAGTCATCGTCCACTCCAAATGGCAATCGTGTCACTCAAACAACCATCCCGTCGCATCCATCAATCTGTAAACCTGGCTGAAACGTGGACGTGTCGTGTGACGTGTGACCCGTGTCGCGCCTAGACGTGGACGAAGTCGTGTGGGGTAATGTCTGAGATTCTCCGGTCACAAAGCTTCCCTCTGTCTTCCCTTCTCGTCTCAGAATAGCTCCCGTAGCCTTCAAGAGCACGCCAGCCACCGCGCCTACCTCGTGGGCATTAACGAGGCGCTCTACAAGGCTCTGGCGATGAGCATGGTGGGATCGATACGCTGGAACTCTCTCACACTGCTCGCGACTCCGGATAGTCTATCCGGCAGACCGGCCGACTGTCGTAGCCTGTCGTCGATGCCGGAAGAAGATGTGACAGGTACTGTGGACAGGTCCCGGCGCTTGCTAGTAGGCTAAGCCCCTGTCTTCGCAGAGGGGTGTACGCCCTTTTGCTGCCAATCAGGCCCCCCTATCCTTGCCTGCTAGCATTTGCATTGTGGGGGAGGCAGAGGCTGGCTTGCTTGCCTGCCTGCCTGCTTGGCCGGTCAATGCCATGCTATGCCATGCCATGCCACACCGCGCCACTGCCATGCTTTGTTTTGCTTTGCTTGCTCTGCTTGCTTTGCTTGCTTGCTGCTGCCCTGCCCTGCGCTACGCTACGCCGCCTGATGCCCGCTGAGTCTAATCGTGACTTATTTTTGCTACTTTCCTCTCGCCGCCGCCACCTGGCGTGTGTATGTCACAGGCTGGCCGACTGACTGACTGACTGACTGACGGATTTGGGCTCCTCGTGATTGGGAGTCGCGCTCAACAATGCCACTCTGATCTGACCGCCTCATTCGTCCGAGAGCGAGGAGCTGTGAGTAGTTGAGACGGATGCGTCGCGTTGCAGTCGACAGGACAAGGCTGCTCCTCTCCTCGTCACTTCTTCGTACGTACGACACGCCCGCTGCGATGAGGTGGCGGGGCAAGTGCCATCGAGACCGAGATCTGAGGCGGCTTCTGCTGAGTTGTGAGGATTAGTGACGTGACCTCGGCCTCGAAACCAAAAAAAAAAAGAGAGGGCATCGGGGGCGGCGTGAAGGCGGCAGCAGAGCGGCAGAAGGGGAGGGGGGCAGGGCGGGGGGATGGGGGAGTATTTTTTTGCGAGGCGCGTTTGGACTGCTGCGACTAGGGTTCAACGTTCATCCCGCCATCGAAGCGGTGTCGGTTGGGTGAAGTCGTAGTTGAACCACGGACAGACAGACGTCGTGCAGGCATGCCTGCCATCGACGAGAGACGGCGGCGGCGGCGGCGGCGTCGGGCATTGCTGTCTACGCCTGCGTGTGGCAGGATATCTCGGTGATCCGCGGCGAAGACGGCGGCCGGCATGCCAACGGCCATCGGCGAGGCAATGAAGCTCTTTAGTGCTCTGAGACCGCCGGCCAAGGCTCATCATCATCATGACGGCGGCACCAGAGCGAAGAAGGAGGGCCCATGTGACAGACAGTCCATTGCCCAGCTAACTGTAGCCAAGGCGGCCGGTCGACGACTAACCCACTCACAAACGGCCGGCAATTGGGGGTTAGGTGTCACAGCCCATTCTTGGTGATGTCTCGCCGGTGGGATGGAGGAATAGGGAGCAACGTGTAGCTGTGAGAGCAGCCTTCGTCACTCATTGCTCCCTGCTCGATTGTGTGTCGTCTCGCACCTTGCACCTTGCACCTCGCACCTCGATGCTCGATGCTCATCGTCCGCGCCGGCCGTCATCGCAGAGCTGCGAGCGCCACGCCACTTTTACCGCGATCTCGCTGCGCAGCCCAGCCCCCATTGCATCCCCGCCGTCGTCCCCAAAGTCTGACGAGTGAAGAGAGGACGTATGTCTACGCCGAGGCTGATGTTTGCTTTTCGTGGAGAACCTACATCGAGTCTCGTCTTGTCTCGTCACAGCCTCAGTCCTCTCCCCCCGCCCCTCACCCCCCGGCGCTCCTCTCGATTCTTCTTTTTCTTTTCTCTCGCATCCTCATTACCATCTCCCTCGTCACTACCACTCATCTGCGACTACTCTCTGTTTGGTCGCTCGCAGAGTGCTTGTCTCGATTGTCTTCCGCGACTGCCGCCACACAACCTGACTCAGGCTTTCACGCCACGCCTCGCCTCGTCCGTTGCTCGGACCCTGCGAGCGTGAGCGTCGCCGCCCGCTCAGCCTGGCTAACTCACTAAACATTTGGCCGATCGAGCCCACCACCAGGCCCACGCGCATAATCGCGACCACGACGTCGTCTGATTGTTGCTGCCATCCTCACTACCATCCTCATCATCACACCGCAATCCGCGAGTCGTGCGACATCTCCTCTCTCTCCTAGCCAGAGCGAGCCAATCAGCCACACACGTAGCTGGTCACGCGCGCCGACGGCAATCTCTCTCCCTCGTCTCCTCACCTCCCCCCCGCCGTACGGCCCCTGCTCCTGACCCCGCGAGCCTCGAATCTCGAGCTTCCTTCGTCGTCTCCCGCGGCCCGTAACGACACATCTCTCGATCCGCGGCGAGCGATCCCCCGGAGCAACGAGCAAGAGCAATTGCTTGCCCTCAACATCAACATCATCCCGCCCCGAGAAGCGCGATCCTGGCATTCGGCATCAGCCAAGGCGAGTTACGCCGCCGATCATCACGACGCTCAGTCAGGCACAGCATCACGAACTCGCCGCCGAGCGCCGCCCAATTACGCTCCTTCGTAGGGTCCACCCCCTCACTCATTTGATTCGTGGCCGCCACCGCCCTTAAGGTCCAACCAATCGGCGCTTCTGCTTCTCTCTTTAGCTCCACCGCCTCTACCGCCTCTGGCCCACCATTGTAGTCCAACAGACGTCTTACGCCCTCTATAGCTATTTGGCTGCAAACGCAGCTGCTCTCAAGGGACAAGTCTCGCGCATCGTCCGCAGCGAGGACAAGGGCGCACCTTACTCCCCGTCCTCGGGGGACAGCGAAATGGACATCAATCACGAGAAGGCGGCGGCGACGGCGGACCAGCCCGTCGCCGAGTCGTCGTCAGCACCACATAGAGTAGCCACGCCCCCAGCAAAGACGACGCCTCCTCGTCGCTCTTCTGCCACTCGAGTCAACAACAGCAATGAGGCAACCTCACTATCCTCTCAGCCATCCGCACCCGCACCCGCTGTGCCGCTGTCGGCAACGGCGTCCTCATGTACAAGCGCTAGCGTAGCATCTGCCGCTCAGGTGCAGCAAGTCGGCCAGAGGCAAGGGATGCGATCAAGGTCAAGGACGACACGCAAAGCCTCTAATGCATCCAGTACAAATCCGCCCCCGAATCTTCCCCGACACAATAGCGAAGACCACCCGCTCTCGGCTCACAAGCTGGCAGCAAAGGGCTACCATTCCTTTAGCTGTTTAGGTGTTCCTTTCCACGTACCCAAGCGCTACACCTTCCTACGCGAGCTGGGCATCGGTGCATACGGATGCGTTGCACTAGCTCGAGATGAAGAGCTCGATACCAACGTAGCCATCAAGAAGGTCACGCGCGTCTTTGAGCGAGACGTGCTCGCGAGGAGGGCGCTGCGCGAGGTGGCAGTGCTCAGACATATGCTCAAGAATCAGAACTGCACGGCCCTCATCGACTTTGATACCACATTCATCGTGAGTACGGGCGGTGCGGCGACTATATGCGTCGCTCCCCAACTAATCATCATGCCCTCCCTCTCCCGCGCCACGCTGCCAGGACTTTTCCGAAATCTACCTCGTCCTCTCAGCGAGCGAGGCCGACCTCAGCCAGATCATCCGCTCTGGTCAGGCCCTCTCCGATGCCCACTTGCAGTACTTTGCAGCCCAGCTGCTACGAGGAGTACGCCACATGCACGCAGCCAACATCATTCATCGCGACCTCAAGCCGGGCAACCTCCTCGTCAACGCCGACTGCGCTCTGTTCATCTGTGACTTTGGTCTAGCGAGGGCCTTTGCTGGTCCCGCGACCGAAGAAGAAGAATCAAGCAAAGTGGCAGATGCGCCGCAGGTCGACGGGCCGTCATCCTCATCTGCGACCTCAATCCCTCCGAAGACGCTGCCGCCAATCCGCACTTCCCGCCTCGACTTCCCCGGCGGCCCGCTCACCGAGTACGTTTCCACGCGCTGGTATCGCGCTCCCGAGATCATGCTAGGGTTCCGCGAGGGCTACGGCACAGAGATCGACATGTGGTCCGTCGGGTGTATTCTCGCGGAGCTGGCGTCTGGCAAGCCCTTGTTCGACGGCAAAGACTACGTCGACCAGATTGCGCGCATCCACAGCGTGCTTGGCCCACCTTCGCAGTCGGTCATCGACCGCATCAGCTCAGAGCGTGCTCGCGTCTACGTCGAGTCTCTGCCGAAGCAAGCACCGGTCCCGCTCAGCAAGATCCTCAAGCGTGCCTCGCCTGGTCTGCTCGACTTGCTCGACAAGCTTTTAGCCTGGGACCCTCGCGAGAGGCTCAGCGCCGCCGATGCGCTCAAGCACCCTTGGCTCTCTGCGTATCACGGCATTATCGAGCAATGGGAGCGGCCCGAGCCTTTCAGCAAGTTTGCAGAGGTGGAGCTGATCAATTCGCTGCAGGAGTTCAAGGGCGCGCTTCAAAAAGAGGCGGACGAGGTCAAGGGCGAGTATGAAGCCTTGTTCGGAGAGAGTGGAGAAGATGGGGATGAGAGTACAGCCGACTCTGCTGCTACGGCTGACGGAGATGCGGATGGGGAGGAGGAAGGAGAGGGGCCCGATAACGACGTCGGGTCGTCGCGCAGACACAGCTTCGATGACTCGTCGGTGGGCAGTCGCGCGTTCGCGAGTACTGCTAGTCAGGACTACCAAAGTGCAAAGACCACTCCATCCAAGTCGAACGGCTCCAACGCGGGCGGTGGTATGGATTCTCTTCGGCCTGGTCTACCCTCCGAAGCATCCTCCGGCTCCTCGTCGGGTGGGTCAAGCTCAGACCTCTCCCGCGTCAAGCGCAATAGCCATGGACTTGGCGCTCTCTCTTCGCCCGATCCTTACAGCACAGACACGGGCACGGCCCCCTCCCCCATCACCCCCTCTGGAGAGTCGGCCTTGGGCGAGCACATGGGAGGCAGGGCCTTTCCTTCTGGCCCAACCAAGTCCAGCATCGCTATGACGCCTGCGGGGGGCACGCCTAATCAGGAGACGCCCAGCTCAGTCGCGGCTGACGACACAGTGGTAGCTAGCAGTGCCCCTCCCGCCACTACGCAGGCAGTGCGCGGCCCTCGTCAGACGCTCAACAGCATCTCTGTAGGCGGTGGACCAGATGACCCGGCAGCTCAGCAACCACGCTACCGTCGTCGTGCGATCAGCAACGCCCCTCGCCCGCAAGAAGGTGAAGAACGTCAGGCCAGCAAGGATCGCGTTGGTATGCCCCCGCGCACTCCCTCTGTGGAGAATGCTCCCACACGCTCCGCCTCCCTTCGCCTGCTACCCGACTCTGCTCGTCACAAGCCCCGAGGAAGCGTCGACAGCACGACGAGCAGCGCGGTGCAACATCTCGACCTGGAGGGCGTAGCGAGCCAGTTCCCTCCAGATCGCGACGACGTCGTCCTCACGCCGCAGAAGCCTAGCCCGGACTTCCGACGCTACACGACCGACCTGATCCCGCGTCCGCGCTTCGAGCAGGGAGCCTTTGGGTCACCAGCGCTGGATGCCGGGGACGATTTTGCTAAGCAGTTGAGGAGGAGGAGTAGTGGTGCGAGCAGCAAGAGCGGGACAGGGCACCACACTGATCTGGCTGCGTTGAGGATGGAGGCCGGTACCAAGGGCGAAGCAGTGTTGTCGTCGTCCGCCGCGGAGGTGAGGACGCCCGGAGGCAGCCGATCGAGCTCTAGTCGCGCTTCGTCTGGGTCGACGCTCCTAGGTGGATTGGATGGCAAGGAGACCCCCGCAAGTGACGGCCAGGCCACTGCTCATCAGTCCTCGGACAAGAAGGGAAGCACCACCGCTGCTCCCTCTTCACTGCTCGGCGCTCCCTCCTCGGTCATCAACGCAGCCACGTCTGCCCTCTCGCATCTGGTACCGGGCGTAGGCGCTGGCGGAGGGGATGGAGACAAGGGGAAGGACGAGGAAAAGAAGTAGGCATGTGCTTACGAGCGGTCTGTGCGGATCTGTCGTGATAGTTTGTCCCATTCTTTCGTTTTACTCTACATTTCGCTGCACTCCTCTAATCACTCATCATCATTCTGACACCTTGATCTCACCATCGACTTGCCTGAACGTCGTGCCGCGTGGCTGAAGTTGACTGGCCGTCCGTGCGTCGCTTTCTCTCGTCGATCCTTTGTGCCTCGATCCGAACTTGGCTGCTTCGCCTCCCTTCGCGTTTCACCATCTACGGCAGCATGTCTCGCTCAAAGGAAGGACAGTCTGGCGCCGCCAGTAGCAGCGGCGAGGACGATGTTCTCGACCCTCATCTAGTGAGGAGCATTCTTCCCCGCCTGCAGCGAATTGTGGGCATGCTACAGCAGGCGGCAAAGGACGGTCAGTCCCTTTCGACGCCCATCGCGAAAGAAGGTGGTGCTGAGTCCAAGCTAGAGGACAATGGCAGCGCTACTAGCAGAGCAAAGGCTGAGCCAGAAGCAGCGACATCGTCCACCGGTCCTTCGATAGCCCTCGGCGCAGTATCGGAGGACGACCATTCCCTGTACGACTTTCTCTTCTCTTCCTCCTCCGCCGCTCCTGGCGACGCAGCTTCCTCCTCCACTCCTACTGAGCTGAGCCTCTCCCTCCTTCGCGAAGCACGTGAACTACGTGACGTCTATCGCAAGGCGGAGAAGGCTTGTAGAGGGATGGAGGGCGCAAAGTGGGGGATAGAGGAGCAGACGGTTGCCATTAGGCAGTTGGAAGGGATGAGGGCGGAGGAGAGGAGGAAGGCACGATTCGAAGCGACGACGACGGCTGCTGAGACTGCAGCGCAAATGATTCCAGCTAAGAGAGTGCGTGGTAGCGAGGAGGCAGATCACGGCAGGCCGATGGGCGCAGAGCTCCTGCTCCATTTCAGGCTGTCCTCCCAAATAGTCCAGGCACTCCTCACGAGCTTGCAGTCTTCCTTCTCCGGCTCAGCCCTACCGCCAGACCCAATCCCTCGACCAGGCAAGCAAAGTCGATCGATCCATCGTGGAATCAGGCAAGACGACGAACATGACGACGAGCTGGAGGAGCCTCCCTCCTCCCTCGCCTCTCTCCCCATCTGGAGCGGGTCGTCCGCGTCTTCCTCCATCACTCCGGCAACCTTGCTACCCAGCCTGATCATGGTGCACGCATCGCTGGATGAAGCTCTGCTCCGCGCAAGAACGCATCGCGCCAATACAGTGCGTATAGCTTCCCTCTCAGAGGAGGTCGGGAGGCTGCGTCGAGCGAGAAGGGAGAGGGTTAGGAAGTTGAGGGACGCGGCGGGGGAGTTGAGGGAATTGCTTGCTAGAGGGGCAGGGCACGCTGGGCGCGTGGGAGAAAAAGAAGCACAGTCTGGGAAGGGTGGACAGGTTCAGTCTGGGTTCAGATTGGTGAACAGGGCGGATGTTCTAGCGTACGCGGCCGAGCTTGCCCGTACTACTTCGGCCCCGCCTGGGTGGGGTGGAGCGGCTGCGATACTAGCGAAGGAAAAGGTCGGCGAGACAGGAGCAGCTGTGCCTACGGCGCAAGGCCAAGATGGACAAGCAGGAGAGCAGACAGGAGAGGACACTTCTATGCGCGACGTCGCAGAAGGCGACAACAAGAATGGCGAAGCCCACCCGTCATCCTCAGCTACTCCAGCCGAATCTGCCACGCCCGCAACGACTTTTGGCCAACAACAATCGCAGCAACAACAGCAGCAGCAACAGCAGCAACCGCCACAACCAGCCGGTGGCTCTTCCTCGCTCCTTCTTCTCGCCCTCGCCGAGCAGCAAAACCGTGAAGCCGCTGCCAACGGCTCAGCCTCTCAAGCGCCTCTGGTGGATCCGGCCGCGTCCACCTCCTCTGCGCCGTACACCCTCCCCTTCCCCTCTGACGCGGATATGCGCCGCGGCCTGATGGGGGTGGCAATGTTGACTGATATGGCCAGACTGGGTGAAGCTGCTGAGGGTAGGGGCGAGGGACAGGCCGACTCGGCCATGAGTGGCCTCCTGCCTAGTTGGAAGGAGTGGGGAAGGTTGAAGAGGGAGGAAGAGGAGGTAATGCGGCAGAGTCAGAGAGCACAAGAGGGGCAGCAACAGCAACGCGAGCCGCAGGAGCGGCGACATGAGACGGTGAGGCGGCCCGCTGAGCACGTTCACAGTCAAGATGCTGGCGGGTTTGGTCTCGACCTGTAAGCAGGGTCATCGAGATGGTATTATCGCGTCATATATAAACCCTCAGTCTGCCATGGCTTTGCCATTCGCGTGACCATTCATCACAGCCGCTCCCTTCTTCTTGGCCACCGCAGCCTTATCAGGCGCCACCTCTGGCAGCAAGAAAGCCCGTCTCCTCGCACCCGCCGAGGGGGCATCGCAACCCTTGAAGGTCCACGTGTGAGCATCGTCCTTGAGGATCATGCCGAGGAGCCCGGCGGAAGCTACGAGGTGGTATGCACCGTAGCCTGTGAGCATATGCCACCACGCGTGGCCCTCGAGGAGGACCGCGAATGGGTAGCCTACGTAGCGGCGTGCGACGCGGAGGGAGTCGCAGCTGCGCGTGCAGGCAAGGGAGGAGAGGGGAGAGATCGTCTGTCAGCATTGATGTGCCAGCTGTTCGCTACCGTCATGCCACCCACAATGCATTATCAATGTTCCAAATCGCGAATCCCAGCAAGAAGACGGCAGTCCCGAAGACGTAGCTCTTCCTGATCATAGCCCGTTTGCGTCTCGCCTCGCCGCCGTCATCCAGTTTACCCAGCGGTGATCCAGCGGCAAAGAGGAGCCAGAGCACCCTCCCCGTGGTGGCAATCTGGATGGCAGCATAAGCCACCTGATGCAATATCGGGTTCGGCAGTGCCAGGTAACCTGCAGTAATCAGTCCACCCGACCCAGCTAGACCGAGCGGTAATGATACGCCATACTTCTTGCCCTTGGGATCATTTCGCCTCGAATCCTCCAGGATACAGTAGGAGAGACAGAGACTCGTATAAATCATCGGCAACTCGTCGAGCAACTGTGCCTCGTACAGCAGTGTAGCATGAAATGCCAGCGAGCCCAGCCCAACTAGAGCGATCCCCAAATTGGTGACGGTATAGCGCCAGGGCAACTTTGAGCGCAGGGAGTTGCGAGCGCCGTACAGGGCGAGGGCTATGAATGCCAAGTTGGTCACACTATTCATCGGCTCGGCGATGTACTTGCTCCACCGATACTTGTCCTCGCACCAGAGAAGGGAGGAGGTGATGGGACCCCAGTAGCCCTGCGGAAGGAGACCGTCCATGCCGTGATGTTGGGCTGTCCAGGCCATGCTGCGCGCGTGGTGGTAGTGATGAGGCAAGGGCAAGGGGGACGGTTGAGTGATGAGCTCGCGATGGGATGTCGGACGAGTGCTAAGCGCGAGCTGAGCGCCGAGCCAGAGTGGACTTGGACCCTTTGATTTGATTTGGGAGGCGGACGGACAGGCGGACCGGCGGACCAAGAGGGCAAACGGGGCTTTGTCTCTTGCCTCCTATTCCGTTTCAAGGGCCGCTGCCAAAGTCGTTCGAGGAGAGAGAGGACAATGCTTTCTAAGGCGGCGTGGTCGGAATGAGTATGGTGATGGTTGATGAGCTCAGAGTAGTGCCACGCGAGAGAAAGCGGGGGACAAAGAAGACGAACAAAGGAGCGAGGATCTTTGCTGACTAAGCAATCAAGTGCCGCCCGCGAATGTCGCCCGCCCATGCCCACGCGAGCATCTACATTGCACATCGCCGCTCATTCATTTGCGTCGGCGTCGAGGGCGTCAGTCTGGCTCCCATAGAGTAGCCAGAGCTACTGCGGCTGTCAGGCGCCAACGCCTTGCTGATCCTCACGCGAGGGTCAAGTCGGAGGCCGGCCTGAATGCAACCTCATAGTCCTCATGCCCGCGACCCATGTTCGTCACGATCCCTCGAAAACGATTTGTTGCTGCTAGCTGCACCCGCACCCCTTTTTGCTCATCAGATATACCTGCCTTCACACGCTGGCGATCACGCTCCTCATCAGCAACAGCCGCCTCTCTTTCGCCCAAGCCACGCGGCGTCTCAATTGACCGGCTTCTTCCGGCAAGCTCTCACACGCTTGTTCCGCTCCCCTTGAGCCGGACTGCGAGACGGCGCCGTGTTGCAGCAACGCAGCGTCATGCCTGCGATGCGGGGAAAGCGGGATAGAGAGAGAGAGAGAGGTCGAGGTGAGACCTCGAGACAAGTTGTCGTGCCGTAGGCCTCACTCACGCACACACTCTCGATCCGGAGGACACCCTCTTCTCCCTTCTTTGTCTTCCCACCCATCCTTCAGCAAGCATCCACCCCATCCCAGCTAGCATACAGTAGAGATTGACCATCATGGCAGGCGGAGACAAGAAGCAGCCCAACAACAAGCCCAAGGTGGCCCCCTCAACGCACCTCATCGCTGGCGGTATCGCCGGCTTCGCAGAGGCGTGCACATGTCATCGTGAGTTGGAGAGAGACGATTGCCTCCTGGGATTCCCGAGCCACTACTCACACAACATCTCGATTTTTCTCTCTCTCTCGTGACCGCAGCCTTGGACACGATCAAGGTCCGCATGCAGCTCTCACGCCGAGGCAAGGCCTCAGGCCAAAAAGCCCGCGGTTTCCTCGCAACGGGCGCCTACATCGTTCGTCGTGAGACGCCCCTCGGCCTCTACAAGGGTCTGGGTGCCGTCGTAGCAGGAATCGTCCCCAAGATGGCTATCCGCTTCATGTCCTTCGAGCAGTACAAGGCCCTTCTCGCGGATCGCCAGACGGGCATTACCAATCCTTCTGGCGTCTTCCTTGCCGGACTGGGAGCTGGTACCACCGAGGCTGTAGTGGTTGTGAATCCAATGGAGGTCGTCAAGATTCGATTGCAGGCACAACAGCATTCCCTTGCTGATCCGCTCGAGGTGCCGAGGTACAGAAATGCGGCGCATGCGCTTTACACTATAATCAGGGAGGAAGGGTTCATGACCCTCTACCGCGGTGTAGCATTGACTGCTGCTCGTCAAGCTACAAATCAAGGTGAGCAGGCGGCGGGCGCGCTTCCAAAGGAGATCCGCGTCATTTCCTCCATCTAGAATAGTTCGCTGACCATCTCCTTTGCTCCCCCCTTTCCCCGCCCCCAGCCGCCAACTTCACCGCCTACCAAGAGCTCAAGAACCTCGCGCAACGCTATCACGGCACCTCTGAGCTCCCCTCGTACGAAACAGCCGCCATGGGTCTCATCTCAGGCGCCCTGGGCCCCTTCTCCAACGCTCCCATCGACACGATCAAGACGCGCATCCAACGCGCATCCAAGATCGAGGGAGAGACGGCCATCTCCCGTGTCATGAAGGTCGCAGGCGAGATGTGGGCTCAGGAGGGAATCTCTGCATTCTGGAAGGGTATTACCCCGCGTGTGGCTAGGGTTGCCCCGGGACAGGCAGTTGTCTTTGCCATCTATGAGAAGGTAAAGGGGAAGATTGAGGCAGCTAAGGCGGGCGAGTTCAGTCTGACGGACACGAGGAGCGATGAGTAGGCGAGCGGGCGAGCGTGGGGCGTGACTTTCGTGTCTCGTCGTGGCTTTTGTGCTGTTGGGGGTGGCTTCTCTAATGCATTACAATACCGGACTATAGCGACAGTTCGTCGAGCATCTCACCACCTGGCTTGCCCGCCTTCTCCCACCTCTGCAGCACACTCTCCTTCCAGCCCGAACGGTTGAGTATCTCCAAGCCTCGACGTGTGAGCCACTGTGCCTTGTGGTCCTTCTTCTCATTCTTGGCGGCGACTGGGTTCACCCAGCCCTCAGTGAAGCGCAGCCAGGCTATGAGGGCGAGGTCCCAGTCGGCGAGGAGCTGCGGGAATGTGTAGTCAGGCGAAAGGCTTCTACTTTGCAGATGGGTTGTAAGGCGGGTATAGTAGAAGCGCAGCAATCCCTCTTCTCCCTTGCTTAGCGCTTCGACCTCCTTGCCCTGCTCCTCAGTAGTCGTGCTCCGCCTCTCCTGCCACAGCCACTCGACGGGCACGGCAACCGTAATGAACTTGACGAGGTCCTGCACGCCTATGCCCAGCCCAACGTACTGGAAATCATAGGTGCTAACGTGATACCGGCTCGGAGGGTGTGAGGAGGAGGTCGAGGTAGATACTTGAGTCGCAGCGGCAGCGGCTGAGGCTGCCTCGTGCCACGCCTCGTCGCCGTCTTCGTCACTAGGCGCAAACGCCATATTCGCCAGCTTAGCATCGCCGTGTACGAGTGTCCTGCCTGATCTCGTCTTATCCCCTCGTCTATCTCCCTCCAAAAGCAGCCACTCGACCGCAAAAGCTAGCGGACCACGCAACTCAGCGAAGGGCGAGGAGGCAGGAATGCGCTTGAGCTCGTCGAGTCGAGTGGAGAGATAGCTGTAGGATCCGCACGGCCAAAGAGTGGTGAGCCGTCCCTTCGCTATGAGGATCGTAACGCTTTTCCGATCACTCACTTGTACGTGCCATACTGCCAAACCCCTTTTCCACTCCACGGCTCCCCGCCACGCTCAGCACGACCCCGAGTAGCGGCCATCAACTCCCTCGGTGGGGGACACATCTCAGCCTGCCCCTCATCAAGCCCCCAATAGCAAGCATTAAACCCTGCAAACCAATTTAAAGCTGCAAGACATTGTCCCCACGTCATCTCCGTGGGCTTTATGCCCATCACTGGATGAGTGGGCTGCACGTCCTCGAGGAGGAGCAGTAATGGCGCTCGCTCGGTTGAAGGCTGGCAAGGGCCGAGGAAGCGCGGCACGGAGGCGAAGGGGCGCCATGTTGGCGCAAGGGAGGAGGAGGAGGAGCCAGAGGGCTCATTAAAGAGGGACGAGAGGTATTGGTAGTAATTGGCCTCTACGCGATACGAGGCCAGCTTGCGCGTTGTGCCTTCGTCTAGCCCTTGATGCCCGTGCCCATGCCCAGCATGACCCGCATCCGCTGTGATGGCACCAGCGACATCCACATACTTGAGGATGGCGGTAGGAGGTACCTCGCTTTCATCTGCCACGAAGTGTAGTCGCAGGATCCATCCATAGCCTGCCCAGAGGCGGGCGAGGGATTCGACGCTTTGCAGCTGCTGTCCTGCTTGGCCACCGGCAAAGGTGGTCGGGAGGAGATTGCGAAGCGAGTCGAGCGTGGGTACGCCTGAGTCTTGTTGCATTCCTTTTCTGCCTATTTGAGCTCTCCTAGCTTGGCTCGGCTTGGCTTGGCTTGCGCTGTTGAGGAGCCGGTGTCGAGAGAGTGAAGACAAAGGGCAGAAGCGAATGGCGGACTGAGCTGTGGAGGCGATGGGGGCGAAAGCGCGCCAAAGATACTTTGCGATGCCATGGTGGTACAATTGCTTCTATGGTACGAGTCTCACCTCAAAGAATCCTCTTAATGCATTACAGAGCCAGATCTTTACCCCTCCGCTCAGAAGCTCCTCATCATCATCAATCTCAATACCCTCCTCCACCACCAGTCCCCTCCTGAGCGCCTCCTCCCTCATCAGACCAGGAAGGAAAGCCACCCCCTCCTTTACTCTCAGTTTGGGCGTGACGAGCTGCCCATCGTTCCGCTGTAGGACGACATTCGCGATGGAAGATTCCGTGAGGAGACGCTTACCGTCGCACCGTGTCCAGAGAAGGACGTCGAAGACGGGTTGCTTCTCAGCGTCAGCGGAGGAAGGCATGCCCAGAGTGGCATTGACACGAGCACGCGCTTCATCGTACATGCTGCGTCGGTCCGTCTTGTTGACCAGGAGCTCCTCGCGTGTGATCGACGTTGTCTGGTTGTCAAGACGCACAAGGAGCGGCTCAGCTGCTGGAGGGGCCATGCTCGCCTGCACCACCTTGCGTTGCCCCTCACGGCCTACAGACCAGCGAACGCGCCGTTTCTCTCCAGAACCTTTGGCAAGCTCTGACGCAAGGTGATCGAGGGACGCCTTTGCCCAGCCGTCAACCGACTGTGATTGGGCCGCAAGACCCCATCGTGTTGGCCAGGTGCGGGCCAAAGCGAGGGTGGAGGTGCGAAGCCGCGTGAGGTGGGCGAGGAGCAAGGGGATGTGTGCGTGAAGAGGGTGCTGGATGGCCGTTGTGGTGATGAGGTCGGCCTTCGTTGGTGCAGCCGTGCTGACATTCTTGACGCGCATGATCGGCCTCAGCAGATCATCGACTGTGACGCCCCCTCTATCATCGTAGCAAAGTGTAGTAAACACCTCGCTGGGACATTCGGCATCCGTGCCCTCCCCTTCCTCAATCTCGGCTTCTCTCGCCACACTATGATGTCCCTTGGCCCTACTCGCCCCCACCTCCATCTTAGCGCTCCTCGCCCCAAACTGCATTGCCCTCTTCTTCTCCCTCCCCACCTCTCCCAACCCCAACCTCTCGCGCGCCAACATCCGAAGTAGCAATTTGTCCCCTACCCCTTCCCCTCTACCCCACTCCGCCTTGACTCTCACGGGCAGTCTTGCCGCAAGCTGGAGGACAGGCGCCGCAAGAAAAGGGTAACGTGCCTCGCGCCCATGCGAAGAGACGGCACGATCGTCCCTCCCTAGGTTGCGGGTGGGGAGACGATCCAGATCCATCTGAAGCTCATCGACGGCTCGAGCCCATCCGCCAGAGGCAAAGGCGCCACGATGGCGTGAGTAGCCGCCGAAGAGCTCGTCCGCCCCCAGGCCGGAGATGTATACGCGAGGCCCAATCGAGTGTTCTGAGCCTTTTGAGGCGAAGTAGAGGACAGAGGCCAGAGAGAGATCCATGACACTTTCGCTGGGGTGCATGATGGAGAGAATAGTAGGCTTATGTGCCAGGTAGGAGGAATAGTGGACATCGATCTCCACCAGGTTCCAAAGTCGATCCGGCGCGAGAGATTGCAGTTGCGCGAGGCTTCGTCTGCTGAGTAGGCGATCTGGCGTGTCGAAGGAGCTTGACGCCGATGGTGATGATGAGTTCGAGCCAGCCTTTTTGCCCGCAGCAAGCACCCTCGGGTTCTCAAAGGCGACATTAATGAGGTCGATGCCCTGGCTCTCAGGTACGACCTGATGCGCCAAGTAGGCAAGAATGGTACAGTCCAGCCCGCCGGAGAAGAGGATGGCAATGGGCGGCGCCTTCTCTTGTGCTGTGACGCCTTGCACTGTAGTGACTCTGCGCCGGACGCTCTCGAGGAGGGCAGCCTGTATACTATCCAGGGCCGCTTGACGCTCCGAGTCTGTCGGGTCGGCGAACGTGTCTGTAGGGCAGAGGAGGAGCCGTTCGGCGTTGCGCGGCATAAGTGTGGTGAGATGGCCGAGCTGCCATTGCCAGAGGGAGGAGCAATCCACCTCCTTGAATGCTAGACTGACGTCGATGGCTTCTGGAGAGGCGACAGAGGCTAGGACGAGCTCGCCGTCCTTCTGAGAGACGAGGAGTGATCGTCGCCCAAGCGCATCCCTACCGAAGTAGACGGAGCCTGTATGTGTATCGACGAGCACCATAGCCCACTCAGCATCCTGCAGTGCAGAAGAGGCAAAGACTTCCTGCAAAGCCGCCTCAACCCCCTTCTCGTGCGCAGCATCACAGAACCAGTCGAAGAGAATGCGTCCATCGTTCTCGCCTCGTCCAAGTCGCTCAGACGCCCATGCTGAGCGCTCGGCACCTTCGTTGATCGAGTAGACCTGCCCATTCCAGGCAAAGAGGTAGCGTTCGTCTGGAGAGACGAAGGGTTGGCTCGTCAAGTCATCCCCTCGTAGCGAGAGGACCGAAGCTGTCAATCGAAGCGAGAGGGAGCCGCTTGCCCGCTCGGGAGAATCATGAGCATGTGGACCGCGACATTTACATGCATCCTCTAGACCTGAGTCCCATACTGGCGAGAAGGATGTTGACGATGACGACGATGACGACGCTGTTGCTCTCTCTCTAGCGAGAAGGAGAATCCCGCACATGGGGCGTGAGAAAGCAAAGAAAGTCGAAGCCAAAGTCAAAAGGAGGCACTTTCCTTCTGTCCGTCCGTCCCGCAGCGCCAATTGCAATTGGCGCGACTGGCCTTTGGATCCAGGAAAAAGTCGCCGCCCGCCTTATCTCGCATAAGTGGCTTGCTCGCTCGCTCGCTCGCTGCTCCCTTCCTTCTCAATGTGGGGCGGGAGGGCGAGTCGATGCAACTATTTCCAATACCAGCCTCGTCTCACCCATCTCTTCTTACCTCCTCTCTCTCCCGCCTCGCAGCATGCTCCCCCTTTCCCTCCCCACACGCTGGCGTATCCGACGTCGTCCGACTCTCTTTCTTCGTTCGATCCTCCTCCTCTCCCTACTGGTAGCCACCAACCTCCTTCTCTGGATCGCCTCGCTCCTCGTTTCCCCTCCACGCGGCTCAGACTCCTTTGCCAGCCTATGTCTGATAGCCTGGACCACCGGTCTGCGTCACGCTTTGGATGCGGACCATATTGCTGCCATCGATAATGCGACGCGAAAGATCATTGCCAGCTCCCCGCGCTCCTCGTCCTCGGCGCGCGGATCGAGAAGACCCATCACCGTAGGTCTATGGTTCTCCCTCGGCCACTCGACAATAGTGGTCGCAGTAACGGTAGCCATCTCCATCTCCATCTCGGTGGCCTCGCGACTAGACGGGGTAAGCGGGGTAGGCGGGGTGGTAGGGCAGGCGGTGAGCGGGAGCTTCTTGATCGTGGTCGCGATTATCAATAGCGTCATCCTCGTGAGAGCGATACGGCGTCGTCGCAGGGAGAAGAAGAAGAGGGGAAGCACAGAACCCTCCACTCTTGTTGAAGAAGATGAAGGAGCGAAAAGTATTAAGGGTGAGGTCGAGGGCGAGGGCGAGGGGACTGCTGGTGGTGAGCAGAAAGGGCTCCCTGCACGGCACGGGCTACGCACCATCTACACCCGTCTTGCAGGACCCCTCTTCCGCATCGTCACACAACCATACCACCTTTACCCCATCGGGGTCCTCTTCGGTCTTGGATTCGATACCGCATCGACCATTGCCCTACTCTCCATCTCTGCCGCCGCTGGTCGACGGGTGAGCAGCGCAGAGGAGGACCTGAGTGGATCAGAAGCGCAGCAGGAGGCAGGGAATTGGGGGAAGGGAGGCGATGCTAAAGTGGTGCTGCTTGCACTGCTTTTTACTGCGGGAATGACGCTCGTGGATAGCGTGGATAGTGTGTTGATGGTGTACGCTTATGCACCGCCGAGGAGGGAGGAGGGGAGAAAGTGGTGGGCCTTGTGGGAGGAGCGTCGCAGTGATGAGCACGGCGATACCGAGGCGAACAGTCCGCCGCCAGTCGAAAAGGTGGTCAACTCCGATCAGCCGGAGCAAAGTTGCTCTCCTATCGAGATGGCGGAGCAGGAGCGGCACGATGAGGAGAAGGCGGGCTCATCCAACCACCCTGCCCTCCCAGGGCACGCTCTACCCCCACCAGCCACAACAACCCTCTCCCTCCTCCTCACCACCCTCTCCATCCTCCTCGCCCTAATCATAGGCACAATAGTCCTCCTGTCCCTGATAGCATCGCGCTGTACCTCTTGCTCAGCCGCAGCTGAAGCGCACGACTCCCCCGACGAAGGCGCGGGTGGGGGCGGGTTGGCAGGAAGCTGGTGGTCCTTCTGGCTCGCAGCGGGCGACGCTTCTGGGTATATTGGAGCGGGAGTCGTTGGGCTCTTTGCTCTCCTCCTCATTGGGTGGTATGGGGGTAGGTGGGTGTGGAGGAGTACACGACGACAAGAGAGAAACGGCGGGGAGAGCGGAAAGGCATGAGTCTGTAGACGTAGACGTAGATGTAGAGGACGTGCGTTTGTGCCGTGCAATGGAATGTATGATCGAGCGAGCGTTAGAAGTGATGACATGGCATGAAAGGACGTAGCGTGAGATGGCGTGGAAGCGTCAGAGAGATAGGGTAGAGCAGAGTGAGTAGAGTAGACAGTCGAGAATGCGGAGCAATGCTTTGCCTGCACGAGAGCGAGAACGGGATCGAGGACTGGCAGCGGGGACGGGGTGGGGGAGGCGGTAGCACGCTACTCTCTTCTCCTGGCGGCGGAAGCCGAAGGTGACCTAACGCCAGACCTCGAGGCAGGACCAGAAGCGCCCAGATCGGCGCCCTGCTGCTGCTGATGCTGCCACTCCCACGCGCCGTAAGATACTGAGCGGGAAGGCTGCTGCTGCGCCCCCGCCCTACCCGCACTAGCAGCGCTGCCGCCACTCAACGTCTTGAGGTCGTTGGAGCTCGAAGCACCCCCCATCGGCCGACGTACCGTACTGCCGAGGACAGCGACATCGCCTCCTTCCTGCCTCAACCTCTCCGTGCTGCCCCTCGTCTCAACGCTGCTCCGAGGCGCACCGCTGACGCTGGTGTCAGGCTGATAGAAGCCCGAGGAAGCCGAGGCCGAGGCCGATGAGGAAGAGGATGAGGAAGGGATACGACGCGCTGCTGGTGGTCTGCTGGCTGTAGAAGGGGCATCGTGCTCCTCAGCACCTATTCCGCTCACTTCCCGTCCTCGTGGCATGGACTGATCTCCATTCGCTCGCCCTGTACCGCTCATAGTCGTCGCTGCAGCAGGAGAAGCAGCAGCGGACCGTGGCGTCCTCCCACTCGCAGCAGCGCCTCCCCCGCCAGCTGCACCGGTACCGCTTACAGGCCAGTCGTTCCTGTCACCGCCACTACCGCTGCCGCTACCGCTGCTACTCCCGCTGTTCCGCCCCCCACCGAGCCAAGCGCCCGAACTGCTTGCAAGATCCGCTCCTGAGCCCGAGCCAGAGGGGGCGATTGAGGAAGCCGCACTGCCACTTCCACTGCCACTTCCACTTCCACTCCCTGCCCCGCCAAGGCCACGAGAACGCTGGGGTGCCATTGCGGGGCTAGTCCTCGGACTAGTGGTGGACCCAGCACTTCCCGTCGATCGCATCGATGCGGAATCCTCTTCTCTCTCCCTCTCGCGCGTTGGCTCCTGACCCGCTGCCTGCTGCAAATAGGCATACTGCAGTGCCCGTGGATCTATGACCTGTCCCACACTGATCCCACCGGTAGCTGCCGCGAGGCTGTACTCCTGGACTGGCTGGCCACTCCTCCCTCCACCCGCTTGCTGCTGCTGCTGGCGTTCCTGCTGGGCAGCAGCACCGCGCTGTTGACGCTCCTGATGCTGTTGGAGCGCAAGGTCATTGTTGATCTGACGATGCTGCGCCCCGTACCCCGCGGCAAGGATGGGCGTTTCGGCTGATCGATGACCCCCGGGAGGGGCGCGATTGGGTTTGACCAGGCCGGACTTTTTGGTCTTTGTTGGAGAGGAGGACGAGGGCGAGGAGGAGGAGCTCGAGGGCGTAGTACGTGAAGGCGGGGCAGGGGCTGTGGCGGGAGCGGCTGGCTCAGCGATGGGGGTGTCCCCGCCAGAGGGGTGCTCGAAGCTGCCAGCGCTGCTCAAGGCCGTGGCCTGTTGAGAGGGAGGAACATCCGACTGAGATGCTCCTGGCTGAGCAGAGGGTTGCTCCCCGTGATCCTTGGGAGTCGCTTGGGCGATTTGTTGTTCCTGCTGCTGCTGCTGCTGCTGCTGCTGGGCTTGCGGCTGTTGACTCGCTTGCGGTTGCTGGGCTTGGGCTTGCGCCTGCTGCTGCTGCTGTGCCTGCTGCTGACTACGGTTGACCACGCTCAAATACCAGAACATCAAGTTACTGATCAGCACCTGCTCATAAAGCGGGCGTCTCGGATTTGCCAGCTTGATATGACTGAGCCGGTATACGGCTCGCTCGATATGGATCGGGTACCGGTAGGAATGACGCATCGCCCCTCCCGGTCCGCCCGAATAGCGTTGGTCCAGTAGCGATCCGGCGGTGAGCTGCCCATCGTAGCCCTGCCCTCCACGATGGCGATCAGAGGCAGAGCTGGAGCGCTCGGCGTCGTCGTGTCCCTTCTTCTTGCCGAACAAGGCGCCAAGGAAGGAGCCTACATCCTTTTCGCCCTTTTCCTTCTCGCCCTTGTCGGCTTTGCCACCACCGCCCGTAGGCGCACTGCCAGGCGTTGTAGCATAGGGCCCCGCTGTGTTCGACGCCGCGGCAGCTGCAGCTGCTGCTGCAGCCTCCTCTTTGCGCGATGCCTTCTCCCTCTTCTTCTCAGCACGCGCTCCATCTTCGTCGTCTTTACCGATGCCGAACCAGCTGGCAAAGCCGCCCGAGCGCTTCTCGCGATCTTTTGACTTGGAGGCGGGGCCGGAGGAGAGGGAAGGTGGCGCGCTTGGCGGTGGAGCGTTGAGACTCTGAGCGCGCGGCTGCTGCTGCTGCTGCTGGCGTTGCTCGTGGTAAAGCTGGGCGAGGGCAGACTGCGGTTGTGCTTGATCGGAAGGCTGGCGGCGGATCGCTGGCTGCTGCTGGTGCTGTTGATGCTGTGGAGGTGCTGAGGCCGGCTGCCTCGCCTTCTCAAAGGAGGGCACAGGCGGGACGTGGGAGACGGCGACGGGCCAGTTGGAGGGGGAAGGCGGGTCCGTCTGGGCGCGTTGGTCCAGGGACGATGTGAGGGCAGGCTGGGGCTGTGCCTCTGTCTCTGGTGACTGTACGGGGGAGTCAACGAGCATCGTGCCCTGTCTGCTGCTCGAACGGCCGCTTTCTTGCACTGAGCGGGACGGGATATCGAAGTACCCTCCTCCTCCCATGCCTGCCCCTGCCCCGCTGGACTTGATGGATGCTTGTGTCGGCGTATCCGGGGGCGACTTGCTGACGCCCTGCTGGCTCGCACCCGCAGCTCGATCGTCAAGATTCCACTTGCTCAACATCCCCTCGAACGTATCGTCTCCACCCGTGATGCTCGTCGTGCTAGTTCTCTGACTCCCCTCGGAGAAGATCGACTCGCGCGATTCGCGAGAGTAGGCATCAAAGATGGACTCGGTCGTATCGTCTCTGGATCCCAACTCTCTCCCTTCATCGTCGCCTGAAGAGGACAAGTCGGACGTATCACTGGCTCTGCGTTGCATGAGGGAGAGACCCACCGACGACAGATCGTCGTCTGCTCCACGAGAGCCGCGCTCAGTAATCGTCGTCTCTGCCTCTGACGCCGTGTCGCTTCCTCCACTCATGGACTGACCAGCCATGGCTCGACGCCGGGACATGCGCGACGAGAGGGAGGAACGCTGCTCCCCCTCTACTCCGGACATGGAGCTCTTCCTGATCTTGGTGCGGGCTGCTCTCCTCAATATCTGTCCAGGCGGAGGAACGATGAGGGGCGAGTCTCCATCCTCCCCTGCTGGAGGAGGGACAGCGTCCACGGTATCCATCGTCGCCCCAGGCCCGGCTCCCAAGCTCATCGTCCGCCTCAGGACGCTCCGTAGCTCATTCTCGTCGCTACTCTTGCTCGCTTCCTCGGCGAGGGCCTCGAGCTTCTGCAGGTCCATGATGCTGAGCGCTGGCTCCCCTGCTCTGTGGACAGGCGCCACAGATTGTGGTGGGGCCTCATCGTCATCCGTATCGTTCTCTGGGCGATATTGTCTACGGAGCGTGCTGCCACGCCGGGCGATGCTGGTTTGGCGGGAGGCGAAGCTGATGGGACTGGGTGGGGGCGTGTTGTCGAGGATGGGGGAAGTAGGCGACGTGGGTTGCTGTACAACGCCGAAGGAAGAGGACGAGGACGAGGAGAGGGAGGAGTTGAGAGGGTTGAGGCCGGCTTCGCCTGGAGGTGGGGTCCCTTCTCTTACTGCTCTTGAGGCGTGTTCTTGGAGGAACTGCTTGAAGTGGGAAGGGGAGATCTCTGGGTGGATGGAGGCAGGCACCCAGAAGAGGTGAGAGGGGTCCGTAGGCCCTCCTCTGTCTGTCGATGACGAGGGAGATGATGATGCGGAGGATCCAGCTGCAGAGGACGATGCGGCTAATGCTTGAGCACTCGGACTTCGAGGGCGATTACGGATTGATGTTCCCTCGCCACCAGGGCCACGCCGCCTAGCAGTGAATGCCTGACGTCCAGACCCAGAGCCGGCGCCTGAATTCGACGAAGACGATCCAGACGCTCCTGTCTGCCTATTCGACGGTCCATCGTCATTGAGCGTGACTCCCATGGGTCTCCTCAGCGACCTCAGACTTGACGGCGGGCTCGCAGCGTGTGGACTCGCGACACCACCTCCGCCGCCGCCGCTGCCGCCGCTGCCATCGCTTCCCCCACTCCTATTGCTGCGATTACTCGCACTGCTCTCCTGTCGATGCGGCGAAGCAGCCATGATCTCCTGCCCGCCGCCGCGAACAGCAGCCATGTCCGGGAGGTCTGGGTCGAGAATGGGTCGATTCACCGAGATGCGTCGATGAGACTTGAGTGCCTCGACTTCCCGCTGAAGCTCTTGATCGGTGATGTTCTGCATCCTGGCGAGGGCGGTGTAGGAGGGCTTGATAGCTCCGTGCGAGGAAGGGGTAGGGGATGTAAGCACCGCGCTAGAAATGGTTGATTGGTGGGGCTCTCCGGGCGTGTGAGTCGAGTGATTGGTGAGAAAACACCCGACTCCCGCAGCCCCTCTTTCGTGGTTGCTGCTTGTATGCGAGTGAAGGGGGAGGGGGGGGGGCGGAGGAGAGAAGAGGTGTGTGACGACGAGGGTGAAATTGGTGCTACCTCTGCTGAGGAGGAGGAGGAGGGGAAGAAGGAGCAATCGCTTAATCGATGAAGCACAGCTAGCACAGAAGAGAGCTGGCAGAGCAAGGCAAGGCGAGGCAAGGCTGCTGCAACACGGAGAGAGCGAGCGAGAGTGCGAGAGAGAGAGAGAGAGGAGCAAGCGCCGAATCCCATTCGACAAGTCGACACGACCGAGCGAGCCAAGTCGAGCGCTTGGACTGGACTCACTGACTGGCCCTGAGCAGCCCAGTCGGACCGGCGGACCTCAAAGCCACGCGGGGCATAAACGATGCACAAACCAACGAACAGCTCAGCATCAGCAGAACGCTCACTCAGCCCACTTCGCCGCAACGAAACTCTCTCACACTCTCACGCTCAACTGGGTGGGTGTGGGGGGTCAAACTGCAACGGTGAGGATTGCCATTTTTGATAGTGACCGATGCAACGCAACGCAAGGCAACGCAACGCTCGGCGACGGGCTGCTGGGTGCGGGGGGGGGGATACACACTGACAAGAGGGGGAACCAGCGAGGCGAGCGAGGCGAGCGAGGCGAGCGAGAAGAGTTGAGATGAGGTTTTGCTCTTCACATCTACGCCTACGCCTACGCCTCAACATTACGCTCCTCCTCGACCTTCTCCAGCAACTTCTGCTTAGGCGTCTTAATCCCTTCTCCCTCTACACTCTCTGCCAACTTCTCCACATTCTCCTGCGGCAACCCAGCCCCGACGAGGAGGATGGCCATGAACTTGTACACGCTCGGCACATCGATGGAAATATCGTCCAGCATGGCAATTCCTGCCTCCTTGAAGCCGGCCTCAAAGTCCTCGTCCTTGAGCAGCGACGACTCACGGGCAGAGGAGAAGAGACGCGAGACGAGACGGACATCGTCCTCCTTCTTGTTGAGGGCCACCTCTGTGATCTTGGTGATGAAGGCGGGGCGCCGTGATGCTGGGAGCGTCTCGAGAGCCATGGCGCCTTCTTTGACGTCGCGGATCTCCATGTACTCCTTTACGTCATTGTCGATCTTGCGTGTCGCAGTCGCATCGTCCATATCCGCCGGCGCGGCAGCGTCCTCAGCATCGCCATCCTTTGCGTCGTCTCCCTCCTCTTCGTCGTCCTCGCCCTCATCGCCCTCGTCGTCCTGCCCCTCGCTACCCGGCGCCGGCTTAGTACGCGGCGCCAAGTTGAGCTTGGGTCGCTCAGCCTGCTGCGGCGGTTCTGCCTGGTTGAGCATCTCGAACATGTTAGCGCTCGAGTTGGTGCGGCTCGGCGGCTTGGATCCGTCCTCAGAGCTCTTCTGCTGCTTCTTGGCAAAGACGTTCTGCGGTCCCAAGCCGAGAGAGAGCGGTCGCCCAGATCCGGTGCGCTCGATGCCCTTGCCAAAGGCGGACATGTCGCCCGTACGGGTCGGTCGCGGCGGAGGAGGAGCATTGCCCACTGACGTCCACCCGTCGGGACCCACAGGCTGACCAGGGCCGGGGAAATCGCCACGCTGCTGCCCTCTTCTCGATCCACCACGAGAGGGGGGTCCACCGCGGGAACGAGCAGCAAGCTCGGCCTCTGCTTGCTGTTTCTGCTTTGCTGCGTCCTCGTGGATCTGTGCAATGCTCTTCGGTCCGGCAGATTCCTGCTTGCCCTTCCAACCCGCAGCGCGCAGCTCGATGACGTCTTGGATCATGAAGCGCATGCGCGAGTTGATCGACTCGCTCTTGCTCATCTGCTGCATACGCTGGAAGTAGATATCGATGTGACCGCGAGCCTTCTCCGTGTCGAGCTGGCGACCGACGGTGGTAACGAGCTTGCAGAGGGACTCGATCTCCTCCTCCTCGGGGTCTGTAGCGTTGCTCAGGAGCTTCTTGATGCAGTTGTGCATGATGCGCTCGGTGAGCATGGACAGCTTGAAGAGCTCGCCGATGAAGCGCACCAGACCCAGGCCGCGACGCTTCGCCTTGGCCGCAGCGTAGTACTCGTCGCTCATGAGCTCTGCCTCCTTGTTCTCCTCGACCTTCTCACCGCGCTCGGCAGCCTCCTTGGCCTCGGCCTCTGCCTTCTCATTGCTAGCCTTCTTGGCCGAGTCCTCCGCCTCCTTACTCTTGGCTGCGTCGACCATGGCGTCTCGCATGGCCCAGCCGCGCTCGAAGTCCTCTTGGCATCGGGTGAGGAGGTACTTGCGGAAAAGGTGACCACCAGTGACGGGTTTGCCGTCGGCTGTGCGAAGGCCCTCGTCTTGGACGTCGAGGCTGAGCTTCTCTTGGAGCTTGCGGCACAACTGCGCGTACATTTCTGACCAGGCAGCCTCGTCCGTGGCCTTTTCAAAGATGAGCGCAATGACCTGGCGCAGCGTGCGCCCATCATTCTCCTCGGTAGACTTGTTGGCCCACTCCAGAATCTGATCCGAAATGCTGGCAAACTTCTCGACGGTGAGCTTGTTGAGTAGCGCCTTGACCTTGCGCTGCACAAGCTCGGGCGAATCGGCGCTGACCTTGGTACCGGCCTGCCATCTAGTGTCCGAGTGAGCAAGAGGAACAACCTGGTCCATGGGGATCGTCGGCCCACCCTTCTCTGGCGGGTTGACCTTGCCCTCACCACCGCGGCCTCCTCCTGGCTCTCGTGTGCGGCCACGCCTAGACGCTGTGCGAGCGCCTGCAGGGACGCCTGTGCCCATCATCTCGCGAGAGGGCAGAGCGCCCGACCCGCTGCCGCCACGCGACAGGGGCTGGGTACGGCTGCTGGCGTTGAACGAGCCCATGGGCCCCGAATTGCCAAATGCGCCGCCTGGTCGCATGCCTGAGCTGGACTGGGCGAAGCGCTCCTCGCTCGTCTTGGGCGGGTGGGAGAACGACCCCATACCACCCATGGCTGATCCTGACCCGGTACGCCCAAAGGCACCACCCGCTCCACCGAGGCCGCCGAGCCCCAGTCCTTGGCCACGCCCACCTGCCGCGGGAGGACCCATCTGCGAAGACCTGCGCCCGCCAGCACCACGGCCTCCCGCGCCCATCTGTCCTTGCTCCATGCCAATCGAGGCGAGCGGGGGCATATCCAGCGGCTTCTCTGAGTACACGCCCATGAATTGCAGCAGGAAGTCGCGGTCGTAGCGGAACTTGCCAGGCTCGGCAGTCTTGTTCAGCTCGGGCTTCGGAGATTGCACGTTCTCTGGGTAGGCAACCTTGGAGATGTCGTCGATGAAGCGTGCGGAGCCCAGGGCCTGCGAGGCAGCAGAGGCTGGCGGCTCGCTGCTGCTGCTGGCAGGCGCGGCAGAGGCCGTCTTCTGAGCCGCGGCAGTGTCGAGTGCAGCGGGCTTGCGACGCTTCTCGAGCTGTGCGCTGTCCAGTGTGATGCTGGTGCCGCTACCGACACCGCCGTTGGCGCTGGTAGAGGCGGACATGGAGCTCATGGGCTTGGCGGGGAGGCCAGCGAAGCCCGGTGTGCCAGGAGTGCGGGGCGTAGTGGGGAAGAGAGGGGTACGGCCGACCGTCTCGTGCGGTGTGGAGGGGACAGACGATGCCTCTCGCGCCATGCGCTCGATGTCGGCGACGGAGCGTGGGGTGCCTAGAGCGTCCTTGCCTGCCTCTGCGCCGGACTTTTCGCCCGTAGCGACTGACTCCTCGGCGTCGAGCTTGGCGCTCTCTGCCTGTGTGCCTGCGGCATTGGTGTCGATGACACGGTCGGCGACCTTTTGCTCGTCCTGCTCCGCCTTGTCCGCAGTAGCCTTGGGCCCCTCGGCAACCTTGGCATCGGCCTCGTCCTTCTCCCGCGCAGCCTGCTCCTGAGCAGCGGCGGCCTTGCGTGCCTCCTCCTCTTTCTTCTCGGCATCAGCCTTCTTTTCGGCCTCGAGCTTGGCTTCGCGCTCCTTGTGCGCCTTTTCCTCTTCCTCGCGCTTCTTCGCAGCCTCAGCGTCGGCATCTGCCTTCTTCTTGCGCTCTTGCTCGGCCTCGTCAGACTTGGCGAGGGCGGCCTCCTTTGCTGCGGCCTTCTTGCGCTGGTTCTCCTCTGCGAGGGCCTTTACACGCGCCTGGAATTCGTTGGCCGTCTCGATGCGGCCTTTCGATGAGGGCGTGGCAGGAGCGGCTGCGGCTGCGGGCGTGGGCGTGGATGGAGCGGCTGCGGCTGCAGGGGCGGGAGTCGCAGGTGCTGCAGCTGGTGCCTGGGCGGGCGCCGGGGTGGCAGCGGGCGTAGAGGCAGGCGTAGCGTCCTTGCTGTCGTTGGTCGGAGCGGGTGAGGCTGCTGGGGCTGCAGGCTTCGGCGTCGGCGCTGGGCTAGCCTTGACGTCGACTGTCGCCTTGGTGTCAGGGTTGACAATTCTGATCGCGCTGCTCGCGCGCTTTTGTGCAGGCTCAAATTGTCTCGCCGAAGGACTCATGGCATTGGCGCCGCTGAACGAGTGGCTCGGGCTGTGACCATAGCCGGCGCCTGGCATCTGGAAGGCAGGCGGAGGGCGACCCATTCCGAGATGACCGCCGTGGATCGAAGGTGACGCAATGCTGCTGGGAGCAGTCGAGGGCGAGAAGGGCGCAGCCTGTGCTCGACTGGATGCTGGGGAGGAGATGGTTGCGGGCGTGGAGGGAGGGTGGTGCACCATTGGTGAGGCGTGCGGTGAGCGGGCCTCGAAGCCCGGCTGCTGTTGTTGCTGCTGCTGCTGTTGCTGCTGCTGCTGCTGCTGCTGCTGCTGCTGCTGCTGCCACTGAGGCGGGTGGCCACCTGCGTACTGGTAACCGTACGCTCCCGCGCCCATCGGATAGTACATCTGCTGAGCGGCGTGCTGAGCATGCTGCTGCCAGTGAGGTTGAGCGCCGCCCATCATCGGCTGCATAGGTGACTGATTGAGGTGCGGGCTTCGCGGCTGATGAGGCTGGAAGGGTGCTGGCATGCCACCGGAGGGAGCGCGCATACCACCTGCACTCGGCGTGCTGAAGTGGTGAGAGGGGGAGCGCTGCGGCTCAAACGGCTGGCTCTGGGCGTTTGGGTGGTGATGCTGAGGCGTTGCCAAGAGGGACGGATTGCCGCCGACAGGAGCGGGTGTAGATGGCGGCTTGTTGGCTGCTGCTGCTGCTGCTGCGGTGCCGTTGCGGTTGCTCACAGCAGGCGACGAAGGGGGCTGAACCTCGGTGGCGGGGGCTGCAGAAGATGCCTTGACGCCGTTCTGTGAGTCGGTATTGGCAGGAGCAGCAGGTGTGGCTGCCTTGTTTGCAGCATTCTTGCCGCCACCCTGGAAGAGCTTTTGGAAGTCGACCTTCTCGCGAGGAGCCGGAGTCGCTGCATTGGTGGAGCCTGCGGCACCCTGGCCACCGAAGCCGACGACTTTTTGCTTTGCAGCCTCTACGGAGCCAAAGAGGGCTGGCTTATCGCCCTGCAGATGCTGTCCCGATGTAGGCTGAACGGCGGGCGAGGAGGAGAGAGCAGCGCTCGAGTCGTGGACGGAGCCAAAGTTGATGCCTCCTGGTCCACCTGAAACGGATGGCTTCGCCATGCTAACTGGTGCGCCTCGACGAGCATCTGCGCCTGCGCCTGCGCCTGCGCTCGCCCCTGAGCCGTTGACGCCAGGCGTGGCAGTCCTGCTCACAGCATCAGCGGGCGACGCATTTCCTGATGAAGTGGCGGTAGAGGATGCGGCGCCTGCTGCTGCGCCGCCTCCTCCTCCTCCTTGCTGCTGCTGCTGTTGCTGCTTCGACTTGGCAGCGGCTGCAGCGTAGTTGAAGGGAGCTGCTGCTGCTGCTGCTGCTGCTGCTGGGCTGGCGTTCTGCGACTGTTGCGGCTGCTGCTGAGCCGGTGTCGTGCTCATTCTACGTCGATGAGTGAGCGCGAATGAGGACTAGATGGGAACTAAGGGCGTCGAAAGTCGTCGTGCGCTCCTGGCGACTTGCGATGCCTGATCACTCCCTGTGTGGATGAGAGTGACTTGCTGTGGGGAGTGCGACTTCACTTCCCCTTTCTGATGAAGTGGAAGTAGGACAAAAAAGGACAACCGAGGCAGGGATAACCGCCTGGAAGGTTGGGGGGAACAGGGACGCTGACGAAGGCGAGGAAGGAGCGTCGCTCGACTTTCTCTCTCTCTATCGTCTACTTGACGTCTGTCTTCTTCTTTTTCCCTCTCTCTCTCTCTGCTTAAAAAGCGGAGAGAACTCTTTTGAAAGAGGTCAAGGGGGGGAGAAATGGGGGTGGAGAAGGAGAGAAATGAATTCAAGGTCGTCGTCGACTGGCTTGGTTGCCTGTCTGCCTGCCTGCGTGCGTGAGCGAGCGAAGGGTGCAAAAACTCAAGGCGCCCAAGGCTCAAGGCTCAAGGCTCAAGGGCACAAGCAACCCAGCAGCAGCAGCAGCCAACCGTCCGCCCGCCCCGCCGCCGCGCTCCTCTCTATGTGAGCTCGACTCACTTTTGCCCGCTCGCCCGCTCACTCAGCCGGTCACTCGCTCTCGGCGACTGGCGGGGCATCAAAAGTGCGAGGACGAGAGACGCTTCCGTTCCGATGCCGTCCTAATCAATCACGACGCGAAACAACACCGGCGAGGGGGAACGCAGCACAGCAGCCTCGGCATCCCGCCCTCGATTCGTCGATTGAGTGTTGGTTCCTCCTACTCTCCACACGATACCACCGCCATATCGCGCCGCGCATGGACGTCCATCTCAGCACCCTCGACGCTACGCTGGCCAGCATAGCTCAGCTGCAGCGACACGTCTTGACGAACCCCAAACCGCAACCCTTCACCAACGCCTACCTCGCGCCAATCGACGCGACGCTCCTCGCTAGCCCGCGCCCACCGCGCGACTTCATCAGAGAATGTGATGCCTTTGAGCGCAGGCTCTTCCATTTCCCCGCACCCGGTGGGATGATTGACGATGGATCCGACTCCTCGGCGGCCGACAGGATGCAGCAGCAGCATCGCGACGTGGAAGAGGAGGCGGCTGATGTAGCTGCGGAGCTCGTGCCGAGGAAGCCAGAGATCAGGACAGTCAGTGTGCCCACGCCGCTGCGACCCTCTGCGCAGGGAGGCGGCAATCGCAACGGTGGTGCTAGAGGGTCGAAGCAGTACGATGCGAGGGCATCTCTCATGGCGGCTCAGCGACTCAATGACAACTAGTGAGTGCGAGGCGAGTGACGCGAGCGGCGCGAAGCACGAGCGCCCTCAATACTGACCCACGTTGCACCCCGACACCAACAGCCAACGCGCCCCACGAGCGCGCAAGCACATCCGCCACCTCCTCAAACGCAACACCGAACTCTCCACCGCTGCCTCAGCCCACACGGCTCAAGCTGCCAAGCTGGAAGACGTCCTAGCCCGTATCGCGAGCGGCCAGGATCCGAACACGATGATGGACGAGCTTTCTGCCCTCCTCGACGGGTCCAATTCCATCGACGCGCCCACCGCAACGTCGTCGACTTCCCAGGATGACAAGGCAAAGAAGCGCAGATTGAGGGAAATGCGCGAGAAGCTGCAGACAGCGCGCGAGGAGCTGAATCGCGAGGAAATGGAGGTCCTGGCACTCGAAGAGATGAGGGAGGACATGCTGCGCAGACGCAAGGCAGTGATGGCCAAGAAGGCGGGAGCAACGGGAGCGAGCGGACCGAGTACGGATGCGCCAGGGAAGAGAGTGCCTCGGGTGGTAGCGGCAGCGCAGGCACAGGCAGCTGCAGCGGGAGCTTCTAAGCCTCGCACGTCAGCTGACGCGTCGACCTCATCATCACCCAAGGCAGCAAAGAGCACCGCTCCGCTCGGTCCCGGCGTTCGCAAGCTGGCAGCGAGCGCCCGAGGGCGACCCAGCGTGGCTCTGCCCCAAAGCAAGCCGGCAGAAAGCGCGAGCGCGAGCGCAAGTGCCATCAGAAAACCCTCGACTACGCTGCGCAAGCCCTCTGCCGTCGGAGCAGGTCCGCGAGGCTCAGTTGTCAAGTCAGTAGAGCCTGCGCCGGCAGCGGCTGCTACGACCGACGATACCCTGCAGCCCGAAGGCGGCCATCACGATGATGGAGACGACGACATTACGGTCCGTCTGAAGCCCGGCGAGTCGCAGGCACCCACGCAAGAAGAAGAGGCAGAGGCCGACGAGAGTCTCCTCCTCCCTCCCCCTACCACCACCACACCCGCATCGACCGACCCCCTCTTCCGTGACCCTGAGTCCACGGACGAACTAGAGCGACTAAGCGAAAAAGTCTGGGACACCTTTGGCGAGCACCTCCGCTTCTTTGCTTCTCACCTCGAGTCGGCTGACGCGACGACCACGCTGGGCCTGTTGCGCAAGCTGCTGGGCGCTTCGACGCTCGAGGGTGCGGCGGGCGGTGCAGCAAGGGGAGGAGGGGGGGATGACGGGTCCTCCGTCTCGTCAGGAGCGGCCACGAGCTCTAGTACAGCAAGCAGCAGTGCGGCTGGTACGGCTGTTGCTCCCCCTACGGTGCAGGCGCGTATCACTGCTCTTACCCTGTTGCACCTCCTCACTTCCTCGGACGCGGAGCAGCCGCATAGCGTTGAGTTCCCCCTGCTTAAGACGCGTGCGAGGCGGTGGTACGAGGACGAGGTGAGCGAGGAGGAGAGGCTGGTGCACCAGCGTGAGGAGGGTGGCGCAACGGATGGGGAGGCTCTGGTTACTAAGGCGGTGTATGCACTCGTGGCTAAGAAGCTGTTGAGGATCAGGAGGAGTGGGGGAATGGCGAGGGTTGGATTCAGTTGAGCGCGGGCGCGCGTGCACGCGTGCGAGCAGGGAGGAGCGAGCGTGCTGTGGAATCGAATGTGATATCAGCGCGAAGGCGCATCAGATGAACCGCGAGTGAGACTGCGACCGAGGGTGAGCGTGTATAAGAGCACTGCGTGCGTGTATTACTTGGCCCCATTCCCCTTGGCCTTGGCCTGCCCCTGCGCTTTGGCCGCCAACTCCAAGCTCATCTTGACCGCTCCGAGCAATGCAGTCAGTTGCACCTTTTCCGCCCCTCCCGTACTCAAACGATGCTCAATCCCACCCAACTGATCAAGGAGATAGACCCTTGCCTCCCTCCCCACTTTCACCTCATCCAAAAATTCATAAATGCCCGAAACCATATCCGCCAACGCCATCCCCTTCTGCGCCTTGAGCGCCGAAACGGTATTGTAGGCCGTGGTGAATTCGTCGTTCATCATGCTCTGAACCATGGCGCGGATATCGTCGGGGTGGGGGGAGCCAGTGCAGTTGTAGACTGCCGTGGAGTCGATGGAAGGATAGGCGGCATGGCAGGCTTGGAGGACGTTGAGGGCGCGACGCATATCCCCCTTTGAGAGCTTGAGGAGGGCCTCTTTGCCGTCTTGCGTTATGTGGGCACTGCGAGCGCGCGTGCGGGCAGAGGACGAGTCAGCTCACTCCTGCGTCTCCTTAGCATCCGCCTCAACATGATCATTGTGCGGGTTTGGCTCGCCACGCACCCTTCATTTTCGATGACGTGGTCCAATCGCTCCTCTACCTGGTCGAGCTCGAGAGGATTAAAGCGGAAGCGCGTACAGCGGGACTGGATTGCTTGGATGATCTTGTTGACATAGTTGCAGATGATGCCTGGCGTGGGCGTTGGGGCGTGGGGCGGTGGGGCGTGGGGCAGAGGTCAGCTGGAGCACGGGGGAGGACCGTCGTGGCTGATCGAGGGGAGGAACGTACAGAAGCGGACGTTGCGCGTGTATTGCTCGATGACTGGTAGCGAGTGCGAAGGCGTGGGCAAGAGAGGGACTATCAGTGAGGAGGGGCCCTTGTGGCAGTCAGGTCATCCTATTGCCTTGCACACGCACCTCGTCGCAAAGCCCCCTGAGCCGCAGCGGTCATTGCGTCTGCTTCGTCGAGGACAATGAGCTTGAATCCTGGCCCTCCTCCTGCGTTTCCGCTGCGAGGGCGATGCCCCATGAGAAGGAGAGGACGTTGTGAGTTCTAAAGCGGGGACTCTGAAAGGGGGCAAGATGGGGTTGAAGGACTCACGAAAAGACGTTTCGCGTACTAGCAAAGCTCTTGACTTGCTCCCTGACCACCTCAATTCCTCGCTCGTCCGATGCGTTGAGCTACACCACGGACCGAGAGGACCAGCATACAGCGTTGCGTTCGTCAGCCATTACTCGCCGAGATACTATTGGGTATTGGACAAGACCTACGTACTTCAAGCACGTTGTTCCTCCAATTGTCGCCATAGATCTTGCGAGCCATAGCCAAGATGGTACTCGTCTTTCCCGTTCCCGGTGGACCGTAGAAGAGGAGGTGGGGCAGACGATTCTTTTCTATGAAGCTCTCGACTGCGGGTGGTGCGGGGCGGGACCCAGGATAAGACATTGTCAGCATTGTCCTACCTGCCTTCCACTGCGTGACGATGGTGCTCACCAGTCGTGGTGATATCCCTGTGCGATACCAAGTCGTCCAGAGTGACTGGACGATACTTCTCGACCCAGGGTAGAAGGTCCTCATCGCCTGCTGCGTTGGCTTGCGCGACGGCGATGTCGCTGGCCTTACCCTTTCCTTTCCCCTTGGACGAGGAAGATACGGCGTTGGCGTCGGCCATCTCTGTGTCGCCGTTGGACATGGTGGCGGCCGGCTTCGAGTGCGACGGTTGGGAAATGGTGGTGCGTCGTCGAGGATCGACGAGAATGATTAATGACTCTCGACTCGCGCTTCCGTTCGTGACCCCGCCGCCGCCGCGCCCGGCCCACGCACGCACGCGTCGGTCTGCCAGGCTGAGCCTCAGAGTGGTGGTTGCCTTTCCGCCTCGACTCACGCGTCGGACGCCGACTGAGAGCAAGCAAGCCAAGCAGGCTGGGGCCCAAGCGCAGAGTCGAGCACCAAGTCAAGCAGCGGCTGGCCTGGCGGTGGTGGCTCTTGCGTCCCGTCGTCCTTCTCCGCATCTCCAATCCAACTCGGCCCACATCGACTCGACTCGCGCTCCATCTCATCATTCATTCGTCGCCTCTCTCCATGGCAGATCCATTCCTCGAGGATCAATTCGCCTCCCCGCCCCGGCGCGACGGCATAGACGCTGCCGGGAGCGATGCAGGCAGCTATGCGGCTCATCGACGCCGAAGGTCCAACAGTCGACACTCGAGGCGAGCATCCGTCGAGCCGGAGCAGCAAAGGGTTCCACCAGTGCCGACGATGTCATTTCCCACGTCGACCTCGCGAGGAGGCGGGTTCGGAGATGCGGCGCCAATGGAAGGCGAAGAGTACCTGCCCCCGATGACGGGCCCGTCGAGCAGGAGAAGGCAGAGGTACGATTCCGTCGAGTCGTACGGGAGTAGCGTCATGCCTGCTGCGCTACCTTATGCTGCAGGAGGAGGAGGAGGAGCAGGAGGAGGAGGGATGAATGGCGGGCAGCAACACCACTCGAGCAAAGCGCGCAGCAGCAGTCGTACGCAGCGACAACGAGAGCGAGAGGGCGAGGGGAACCTGCTATCCCCGACGTCCGGCGGAGGGCTCGAGAGTTGGCTGCGCTCACAGGGCTCAGCGGGCGTAGGCGCAGGCGCAGAATCAGCGCAAGGGTACACCTCATCTTTTGCACCTCAGGGTCGCGTGAGACGAATGGGCTCCGAGGCGGGATCCGCAGCAGGGGAAGGAAGTGTGGGAGGTTGGTCACAGGGCACCACGAGTAGGCGCAATCACCACAACAGCAAGTACAAGCGCGAGGAAAGGGTCAGGTCGGCGAGCAGTCGTGGCGCATTGAAGGAGGTGTATGAGGGACCGGACGATACGCCGCAAGACAACTTGCAGCGCTGGCTCACCTCCTCTGCTCTTCCATCCCACGCCCCGCCGTCTGCGAGCACCACCAGGCATCGCGCACCCTCCAACGCCGGATCGGGTCTACCCTCCAGCATATCAAGGCACTCCATCCGCGCCGCCTTACATCGCGATATCGCCAGCGTTCAACAACAATCCGCAACCCAGCCGATGGCAGCAGCAGCCCTTACCTCTCCTACCCCGCTCCGCTCTCTCGTCCGCGGCCTGATGAAGGAAAACGTCCCTGCGACAAGCATAGTGCTCATCGCTCTGGCGCTAAACAGCTTCTTGCAATACCTCATCGCCCGCAGCTCGGCGGGCACCGCAGGATGGGAGACCCTGCGGCACTGGATGTCCCTAACGACCAACGTACCCTCGGACGAATGGTACGCCTACGATCTGGACCATCGCCTCCTCGATCGCCCACCCCTAGCCTCCGGCTGGGCTTACGCGGCAGGGAGACTCCTCTCTAGCTCGTATCCGGAGGTGGAAAAGGGACTACGTTTTCCTCCTCGCCCCCTCGCCAAGGGCGGCGGACCCCTCGCCCCTCTGCCGTTGTTGAGCCTCCTAGCCTCACTCATCTGCTACGCGGGTCCAGTGCTATTCTTCCTACATCGTCGCCTTGCAGACCGCGGGCGGCGCACGCGAGCGATTGCTATCCTGTCCATCCTGAGCCAGCCGGCCTTCAGTCTTGTCTCCTTTGGGCTTGGAGGGCTCCAGCCCCTTTACTTGGGCATGGCCACGCTCGCCATGGGATTTTGGCTCACTTCGCTACCCAATCCTGGCGCTGCAGGGCAGGGCAGGGCAGCGCTGCAACGCATCACGACGCTTTCGCGCAGGGTAAGCTACAATTACGTGGCAGGGTTCGCCACCTATCTCTGGGCGGTCGGGCTCGATCAGACCTGTTTGGCCTTCGCGCCCGCCGTGGGTGCGCTGTTGCTGGGCCGGTGGGTGGGGCTGGCAAGCGTAGGCGGCGTCGCGAGGGGGGCAACGCTGACCGTTGGGCTGGTAGTGGTCGCGGGCTTGACTTTCTTGGTCCTCTTTTGGCCTTGGGTCCGCATCGACTTTCCGGGGCAGGGCAGCCAGTCTCTCGGCTTCGAGGCCACGAAGCGCGTCTTGGATCGGCTGGTCAGCCAGGCGTGGAGATGGGATGTCGTCGTGCGTGGCTCCGCTTCCTCTTCCTCCTCGTCCCTGGAGGCCGGGGACCGCACATTCTACGGTTCCCTCAGCCAAGCCCTCGACTTGGACGGCACACAGCTGCAACGCATTGCCATCGCTCTCACGACGCTGGGCTGTCTCTATCCTTTCCTGATCCTCTTCCGCGCTGCGAGGCAGACGGTACAGATCGAGATGCGTCTCTACGAGGACTCAACACGGGACCAAGCTGCCGCGCGCCCCAACGGCTCTACGCTGGCGTCAGCATCAGCGTCAGCCTCAGGCCCGGTGACTGGGAACGGTAAGGCCAGGCTGCGCGAGCCATCTCGCAGCAGTCGTAGTCATCGGGCCAGCTCCGTCGCCCCCTCGGATGCAGGCAGCGATCTGCGCAGTTTTGCCGAGTCGATGATCAAGGGGGGCAGCAGTATGAGTCTAGCGGGCACGGCGGGGGTAGGGTACGCAGGAGATGGTGTCATTGGTGGTGGTAGTAAGGAGATCGGCGTCCCCGTGGGCGTGGAGGGCGTCAGGGTAGCCTCCTCCTGCCCTTCGCCCAGCGCCGCTGTCATCCCCTACGCCTTCCTTGCCGTTGCCCTCTCCGTGTACCTCTTCTCCCCGCCCGCGGCCCAGGGCGCGGGGTCTGGGCCGCTCAAGGTTCTACTGCCCTTGTTACCTCTCACGCTCCTCATGGTGGCCAAGGGGGACGAGTATGCCGAGGGACGCAACAGAGCCGATTGGGCTTGGGCGGCGCTTGGGAACAATTGCGCTGTGCTCAGGTGAGTTTCCCTGGAGAGAAGTAGAGTGGAGAGGAGACTTCAGCTGACCTTTGCCTCGCCTGCTTCCTCGCCGTGCCAGTCTCTGGCCTCTCGTCCGTACACAGCGTCTCGGCATTCCGGGCTTGGGCCTCGTTCTAGTTTGGAACTGGTTGATCGGACATCGTCCCTTCTCCCCCTCTGCCTCTCAACCGAGCCTCTCTCGCCTAGCACACGCGGCCATCCTCGTCGCGCAGGGCACCTCCCTCCTCGTTGGCGGTATAACGGGCGAGTCGTCGCCGATTGTGTGGACGATGGTCAATCTCGTTACGACACCTGTATGGTTCGCGGTGTACGTCTGGTCGTTGTTGAGGATCGGGGAGGTGGCGTTGGGTTGTGGAGTCGAGGTTGGGTTTGGGATGCGGGGTGGTGGGAGTGGGAAGCAGCAAACGAGGACGCCAATGGAGCGCAAAGTGAGATGAGCAGGGGCGGCGGGTCGGCGTATATGTAGCATTCCATACGAGCTGTACTGCGACGATAGCTTAGCATAGCTTGGATACCATACCATTTCATCTGCCCACGTCACCATAGTGCATTGCTTGGCAACTCTTTCCCGCTCTGACGGCCACCCGATGCAGGGCGGCGGCAGCGACGGACGGGCCACGACTGGGACGGAACGAGATGAGATTGACTTCGTCTCGAGTGTTGCGCTGCTGCGCTGCGTTATTGCATCTTGTCTTCGTACCTTTCCCACCATACCTCGCCTTCACCCCTCATGGCTGCTCCTCGCTCCTGCAGCACCAAGGCCGGTGAGCTCGACGAGTCGAGAGAACAACGACACACCATACCACAGGCTGACAAGATAGCTGCCCCCTCTTTCCCAGACTTCGACGCCGCCCTCTCGGCTGCGGGCTCCAAGCTCGTCGTTGTCGACTTTACCGCCAGTTGTGAGTTCGCGACTGTGCCCACGCTCGCTCCTGCCAATCTGAGATGAGAGACTGATCCGTACCCGCCCTACGAACCAGGGTGCGGCCCATGTCGCATGATCGCTCCCACTTTCGAGTCCCTGGCAAAGAAGCATACAGGCTCGGTATTCCTCAAGGTCGATGTGTGAGTTGCGACGACGAGTCAGCTGCCGACCAAACGCTTTGCACAGCGCTGATTTCTCCCCCTTCATTCGCTCGCAGCGACGAGAATGCAGCTGTAGCCCGCGCCTACTCCGTCTCTGCAATGCCTACCTTTGTCTTCCTCAAGAACAAGTCCGTCATCGAGACATTGCGAGGAGCCAACCCTTCACAGCTCACCTCTCTCGTCGAGAAACATGCATCCTCTTCATCCTCGTCTGGCTCTGGTTCCTCCTTCTCGGGCAAGGGCAACACCCTTTCGGGGGGAAGCGTGAGTGGATCGCGTAGCAGTGGTGCTGGTAATGGAGGGGGAGGAGGAGGCGTGGGGGGATGGATGCAGGGTCTCTCCAGGGATAATGCGCTCCCCTTGCTCGTGCTGGCGGGATACCTCGGCTATGTCATTTACAACAAGACGATGGCGTAGTAGAGCGATAGAGGGATACAATCACAAGTCACCGTTTTTCCATGTTCTCCTCACAGGCCGCCGAGACTGAGCTGAATAGCTGATGACGACGTGACGCTGACCGCCATCCCTACTCGACCTCTGCACCTTGAACAGTCTGCCCCCTCACAACCCCCATTCCGGGGTCTACGTCGCCCCAACCCGTTTGGCGAGGAAGAAGAGGATGAGGAAGAGGAGGAGGGGGCGATCCAAGCCGGCCAGAGCGATGATCATGCAGCCGCAGACGAAGTCGTCGATCCAGCCGTATCCGCCTTTCTGGCCCAACAACGCGCTGCTAGCACCTCACACCAATCAGAAGAGGGGGCCAGAGCAAAAGAGGAGAGAATGAAGGCTGGAGGGGTAAGGGGGGTCAAATCGCGCTACCAGCGGGAGAAGGAGGAGGCGGAACGCAAGAAGGCTGAACAGGCTTTGGCTGCTGAAGAAGCGTACAAGGACTTTGCTGCTGCGATGGATGGTGGACGTACGCGTGGGACTGGGGGAGGGGAAGGGGCGAGGAGCAAGACGATGGGGTTCGTTAGTGCGGGTGGTGAGTTGACAAGGGGACGCGAGACTACGAGGAGCGAGTCGGCTGCTGACTAGCCACATGCCGACTCGTAGGTACGAGCGCATACGCCCCATCACGCCAGACACAGGCTTCATCCTCCTCCGCCGCGATTCCTTCGGCGCCCAAGGCCATGCGTCTCGCAGAGTCAGGCGCTGCTAAGCCTACTTTGAAGACGATGTTCGGCGACGACGAAGAGGACGACGACGACGTCCAAGCCCCAACAAAGGGCAATGCAACCTCGCCTCCCCCCGTCGCACCGACCAGTCGAACTCAAAGCGCCACCTCCCACGGCCTCGGTCCCCCGCGCACCAAATCAGGCGGCGGCGGCGGCGCAATGAGCTCCTTCCTCACCGAACTCCAACGCACTCAAGCGGACCGCGAGGAGCGCTACAAGGACCAAATAGCAACGGGTCGTTCCGTCTCCTCCATCCTTGCTGCTGCCGCCGCGGGCGCACGGGGAACCACAGGATCGAGAGATACGGGGGATCCGGCCACGACGAATGTCTGCTTTTTGAACCTGCCCGCAAATGTGACCGAGATGGCTTTGGGCGAGTTTGCTAGTAAATGGGGGGATGTAGGGTCTGTGAAGGTGAGTGCGAGTTTGATGAGCTCGCGTTCACTGAGCATCAAGTGGCGATCCAAGCACTCACTGCTCCACCCCATTGCCATCTTCGCCCCCCCCGCAGATCATGTGGCCGCGCGGCTCAGACGCCCAAGGCGGGGCCGGTGGCGGTATAATAGCTTTGCGTACCTCTCGCTCCTCTGGCCTCTTTGGTTTCGTCAGCTTCATGTCCCGCGAGGACGCCGAGCTGGCCTACAGTGAGGGGGCGACGACGAATTGGGGTGGATGTGCGCTCAGTACCAGCTGGGGCAAGGCTATGCCCCCGCCGCCTATGCCCAGGTTCTACGCTTCGGCTGAGCGTCGTGATCGGGGAAGGGGGCCGCTGGGGAGGGAAGATGAGGAGGGCAGGGAGAGAGACATGGGACAAGGTAGGAGGAAACGCAAGCTCTCCCCTGGAGGCAGCGAGCGTCCACACCGCCGGCAGCGACGCTCGAGGAGCCCTTCGCCACGTAGCCTTCTCGTGCGGCAGGTCGAGTCGTCCGATCCTGAAACGGCACAGCTGATCCGCAGCATTGCAGAGCGTGTACGCTCGTACGGTCCTTCGTTCGAGAAGCTGGTCAAGGAGAGGGAGGCGAGCAATCCTTCTTTTGCTTGGCTGCGAGGCCGTACCGATAACGATGACGACGACCATCGCGCGACGGAGAGCGACAACTGTGCTCAAAGGGAGTACTACCAGCTCCTCCTCAACCCACGCTACGAGGTTTCCCTCCCCTGCAAAGACTTCTCCGACTCCGGTCCCACCGACCTCTATTCAAGCGACAGTGGCGAGGACTCAGAGCGTGAGCGTGTCAAATCCCTCTCCGCCAAACGACGCAAGATGGCCCCCGTCGCCAGCACCACCACCATCGCTGGTACCACTCCCCTCTCTACATCCTCAGCTCTCTCCTTCGACACAACGCTGCTCGGCCCGCAGGCAAGAAAACGCTTCGAAGCAATGCTACGCTCCCTCACGCTGAGGAGGGAGCGTATAGCCCGAGCGATGTGCTTCGCAATCACCCACGCCCACGCGGCGGAGATCGTCGTTCGTATCCTTTTGCGATCCCTCCTCATCCCCACCACTCCGCTGCCACGCAAGCTCGCCCGCCTGTACGTCCTCTCGGACATCCTGCACAACTCTGCGGGCGGCGGCGGCGGCGCAGGAGCATCGAGTGGCGAGGGAGCAACCCTCCCGCCTAACAATGTATGGCGATACAGACATTGCTTAGAGGGTGATGCTATCGTTGGGGTCTTCCAGCATATGGGGGACGTGGCTAGGAGTTTTCCGGGGATCATGAAGCAGGAGGCTCTTAGGGGGCAATTGAGGGGAGTGGTGGATGTGTGGGAGGGTTGGTTGGTATTTGCGCCTCAGACTTTGGAGGGGTGTAGGGCGGGGATTGAGAGGGGCAGTGCGGGCGCGGTGGGTGGTGCGAAGGGAAGGGGGGTTGATGTGGATGTTGAGGAGGGGAAAGCTGTTCCTGAGCCAAGCAGCAGGGACGTGAGAATGACGGTCGCAGCGGGCTTCGATGAGGATGATGATGAGGACGAGGACATCGATGGCGAGGCGCTCTGAGCGAGTGAGAGCGAATCAGATTGGGCATTGGCATCGTCCAAAACTGGTGTGTGTGTGTGTGTGTGTCTATGGGTGGTGAAGCTATCGTTGTGGATGAATGGTTGAGAACCTCGTTCCCGATGGTGATATGACTGACTGACTGACTGCTAACAAAAATGCTTCCTTCCTTCGCCCCCCTTGGCCCCCGCCTCGGCCCCTCCTCTAAATCTGATAGCGCTCCCTCAACCTCCCCCTGATAACCTCGGGCAACTGTCCCCTCATCCCTTCCCACCCCTCGCCACTCATATCCCTAAACCCGTGCAAGATCCTCCCAAACTCATCATTCAACTCCACGCTCGGGTTCGTCCACCTCACCACAGCATTACAGAAATAGATGAATCCCTTAACAGCCCCATTAGGGTTGCACTTGATCATCTCGCACAATCCGCGAAACGCGCTGTCCTTCTCCTCATTGTCCTTGATATCCCAAAGGGCGGCGCACCAAGGCTCGAAGAAGAGGTGGAGCGAAGGAGCCACGAGTTGAGGGGAGAAGAGGCCAAGACGACCTAGTGTGACGGCAGAGTTTTCCGTGAGGGATTTGATGGGGGTGCGAGAGTGGAGGACAGAGATGAGGCGCTGTACGAGGGGTTCGAGGAATTGCGCAAACTCCTGCGATGGCGCTGACGACGTGGCCGTCGATGATGATGATGATGAGGGAGCCACGCCTGAGCCCGAGCCTGAAGCGGAGCCCGAAGCCGACTCCTCGGGCGTCGCGACTGCCTTTGCGACTACGGCGCGATACTGCAGTGCAATCTCCCCTACGGCCCACGCGGCATTATTGCACACGCTGACGTTGGCGAGGGAAGGCTCTGGCTCGATCTGGCTGATGAGCTCTGGCATGATAGAGGGGATGGTGGGGCGTAGCAGGTCAAAAGTGGAGAGGGCCAGATCTCCGAGCAGGGCGTAGGCGGACTGGCGTATGGGCGGAGAGGGAGAGGTAATGCACGCCCCGAGAAGCGGGATAAGCTGCAATTCTGCTTGGCCTGGGTTGGCACCCGATGATGTTGATGCTGCAGCTGCGGCTGCTGCTCCGTCTTCCCTCGCTACCAGCTCGGCGAAATGCGGGCCCAACCCCTGACTCAGCCCGCTCAGTAGGTCGAGGGCGACGACGACGAACGAGTCGTCGGGTAACTCCCTTTCCTCCTCTGGTCGCTCCATTTCCCTCTGTGTCGCGAGGAGATTGTCCCGCATGATCTTGAGGCAGCGCGAGTACACGGGCGGGCTATGCGGCGCAAAGGCCGGGCCGAGGGCGATCGTCACGCTGCTGAGGCACTCCAACAACGGGATAAGCTGCCCATCGTCGTCTGGCAACTCACCCCACTTGGCGATCAGCGGCGGCATTAGGATGTCCACATACTCCGGCCGAGACCCCAGAGCCTGGCCAACCGAATCTGCCAGCGTGCCGATGGCGTCGTAGAGGATTAGGAGGTTCTTCTGCTGGTACTTCGCGAATGCGGCAGCGAGGGTGCGTAGGACGGGCTCGAGGAAGGGTTCGAGGCCCGAGCCTGCCTCTTCTTCTAGGGTGGCAAAGGCTGAACAACCCGCCTCTTGGACGCGCTTATTATTGTCCATGACCATGTTGAGCAGCCCCTCCATCGCCGGCAGGAAGAAGGAGCGCAGGTGCTCGTCAGACTTGTCCGCTATGCACCACGACGAGTAACGCCCTAGCGTCCAGCAGGCGATGGATCGGACGAGTGGCTTGGAGTCGGAAAGACTGCTGACGAGGAAGGGGATCAAGGTAGGCAAGTGCGGCTGGATGCCACCGATGCAACCCTCAGCTATAGCTCCTAATGCGAGGATCCCTGACTCGCGCTGCATCCAGTCGGGGGAGAAGAGGCGCTCTTTGAGGTAAGGGAGGAGGATCTCGAGAAGCTGCTCGCCGAATTGACAGGCCATTACGTCTAGCGCGGCGGCGGCGCATTTGCGGAGGTTCCACTCGGAGACTTCAGAGTCGCTGTCCTCTTCGTCGTCGTCGCTGTCGTAGTCGTCGTCGTCTTCATCGTCGTCATCATCGTTGGCGGCGTTGCCCGAACTCTCGATGGCGGCGCGTGACTTGGCAGTACCGCTCGTGCTCGGCCCAGCAGCTGAGTCCTCCTCTCTCTCGTTGCGATGCGTCTTCGCCGAGTAATGCTGCGGCTTCAGGTCCTCGAGCTTGTCCGGTACAGCGGCATCGTCGTCGTCTCCGCCGAGGAGGATGAGATCCATCTCGCCATAGACCATGCTCTTGAGCAGGACGGGTGCGACGCGCGGCATAAATGGGACCAGGTGGGCATTGACGTTGGGATCTTCTGCGAACTGCAGCCAGAACTCGCACGCTTCCACGGCGACGTCCTCGTCCTTGTCCTGGGTGCTGTACAGCATAAAGTCGACGACGTTCCCCAGCTCTGGAAGAAGCTTGTCCGGTCGAGCGCTAAGGGTGAGGACGAGAGCCTGGCAAACGAATTTGCGAACAAAGTCGCTGTCGTCTGACGCGCGCTTGAAGAGGCAGGCGATGAAGGAATCGAGGTGGTCCTGCAGCGAGGAGGAGCCGAGGGTGATGAATTGGTTGAGGCAGTTGAGGGCGTGGACGCGAATGCGTGATTCTGGGTGGTCGGAGCCTTGGATGAACTTGGGGATGAGGATGTCTAGGAGCTTGATTCCGTTGATCTCGCAGGCGTCGAGGTCGCGAGGCATGTCTTCGCACATCTTGGCAAAGGTCGAGTAGGCTCCCTGTCGCGGCGCGGGCGGGGCAGAGGTCAATGAGTTGGAGAGGGGAGTGTAGCGTATATGCAGGCCTGGGTGCGCGCCCACTCACCTCTGCCTCTACGGTATTCTCTGTTCCTGCCAAGGTGATCAACTTCTCCAATCCCTCCTGCCAGTTCGCTGGACCCAGAATGCCCATCAACATCGACACGACCTGTGTGGCCGTCCTCCTCAGCAGATCCTCCTGAAAGGACAGTGCGACTAGCACGCTCGCCTTTACATACTCGATGGACTCAGCGGGTACCTTGTCGTGGTTGAAGTGCAGGTGGTTCTTCAATATCAGCCCTGCAACGGATCGCACGGCCACTTCCTCGTTTGTGGCCTGGGTAAGGACAAAGGCGAGATAGTTTGCATAGTCTGGTATGCGCGAGACTGAGTCGAGGCGCTGCGTGCGAGGAGAGGGGGAGGGAGAGAGAGAGTCAGTATCGATGCCTCCCTTTCAGACTACGGGAAGAGTTACACGCCCGCACTCACATCGGCAATCTCAGCCTGTTGAGCCCCATAAGTGGATTGTGACTTCTTGAACAAGTCGATGAGTTCTGCCAGCCCGCCAGCTTGAGGCTGCCATGCTCCTGGCGCTAGCGAGGGAGGCGCCGCCATGACGGCTATATGCTTGCTGATGCTGTGGGTGAGGAGCGGGGTATTAGAGGTGGGGGCAAAACGGGTAGTGCGTAGCGCGAGTCTGGTGCTGATGATGGGACGTCGTGATGCGATGCGATGCGATGCTCAGTCGGAGGCTGGGCTCGTTGGTCTGGAAGATCGTCCATCCATCCAATCTCGAATCGAGTCGACGTCGACGTCGACTGCCTCGGTGTTGGTTGGCTTGGTCTGGCTTGGATCCGCGCTCAGCGGAGCAGAGTCCCGCCCGCTTCCGTTCCGGCAGACGAGCGAGCGCAAGTGGGCGGAAGGCGGGAGGCGGGGAGGCAGGGAGCGGTAAGCGGGAAGCGGTCAAGGATATGCTACGTTGCCTCTCCATCCATCTCGTCATTGTTTGTCGAATCTAATAGCATTGAGTCGCTACATCTACAGCTTCTCTCTCTCTTCCCTTGTCCCTTCTGCCGCACCCACACCCGCGCCCCCACTAACAAACACCCTCGGCAGCACCTCGACCAACTCCGGGCCCAACTCGCTCAAGCTCCCAACCCCAAGGAAACGCATACAACGTTCAATCTCATCCCTCATAATCTCCACTGCCCTCTCCGCCCCTGGTTGACCGAACCCACTCTGCGCGTACAGGAAGGGTCTACCGAGTCCAACAGCAGAAGCGCCTAGACAGAGGGCCTTGATCACATCCGTGCCTCTACGGACCCCGCCGTCGAGCCAGACTTCGATCTGGTTGAACAGGTGAGGGGCGTGTTGGCGAAGAGAGATTAGGACATCGAGTGGGGGAGGGGAATAATCCACTGCGCAATGCGCGATGACGCGCAGAGAGAGGAAGAGATTGGGCGGACCCCAGTCAGCATCAGTCACTCTTCACTCCATCCGCCCTCGCACTCACGACTGCGTCCCCCATGATTACTGAGGATCACTGCCTCAATACCATGCTGCACGGCGAGCTGCACGTCCTCGACGCTCTGCACCCCCTTCAAAATCAAGGGAAGCTTGCAGTGTCGGCGGTACCAGTCTATATCAGCCCAAGAGATGGTGGGATCGATGTACCCCGAGATAGCGCCGGCGACCCCTCGTCCAGAGGTCGAGGTAGACGCAGACCCACCCGAATCTGGCGAGGCAGGGCTAGAGACTATCTCTCCCTTGGCACGCATGTCGAGCTCGCGTTTCCCCATCACGGGAGCCTGGCCGAGCGCGGAGGGGGAGGGGGAGCGAAAGATGAAATCAGCGATGATGACGATGATGTGATTGAGGCAGAAGGGAGCCAAGAGGTGATAACGGGTAAACGCACATCTACGGTAAGCATTACGGCCTTGAACCCGTCTTGCTCGACTTTGCGCAAGATCTCTTCTGAGGCCCGACGATCCTTGTTGATGTAGAGTTGATAGATTAATGCTGCGCGGTTCGCGGCCCGAGGCCGACGGTAGGGTAGGGGCGGGCAGGAGTGAGCGAGGACGAGGACGAGGAAGGAAAGAAAAGGCATGTTATTGGCGCGAAGGGGGGAGTAGGGGAACTCACGCTGCTCCCTCGTCTCTCTAGCCGCGACTATCTCGTCAAGTGAGACACTAGCATTCGCAGAGACCTGGCGCCCACGCTTGCAGGGGGTTAGCCCTCTCCTCTCTTTTCCTCTTCTCGTGCCCCTCTCTAACGCGCAACTCACCCCCTGCACAATCCCCGCACTACGCGCCGCCTTGGTAAGATTGACCTCCCCCTCCGGATGACCCAATTTAGCCATCGCGGCCGGCGAGATATAGATGGGAAGACTCGATTCGATCCTTGCGCTGTTCTCGAGCAGCGTTGTGCTGGTATCAATGCCCGGCTTTCCAGACGCGCCGCGTAGGACGCGTGGCCTGAACCAGACGCGACTGAACGAGGTGCGATTCGCTCGGAGGGTCACACAGTCGTCTCCCGCGGAGGAGTAGTAGGCCCAGCCTCTGCGTTGCCGCGGGGGAGAGAGAGAGGGGGGGAAGGGGGTCAGCGCGCCGCTCGCCATTGCTTGCGAGAGACTCCTCTCTGCGAGTCGGCAAGGGAAGGCAGGTGTGGGGGAGAAGGTGGGACTCACTGCTCGCTCAGTATCTCTTTTGCCATCCGTTCGAAATCATCCAGATTCAACATGGACCCCACGGGCGGGAGGTTCTCCAACGCGATCCGGCGTCGTCGTTCCTGGTCGGTCTCTTCCTTTGCTTCCTGCACCACGGTAGCCGGGTCGAGACGACCGACGTGTTGCTCTTCTGTGAGGTTCTTGGCGATGGCGTCGCTGGGGTGGATTGGGGTGTAGAGGGAGCTGTGTGCGAGTGCAGGTGGGAGGGGAGGGGAGGGGGGAGGGGAAAGGGATGAGCAAGCTGTGCAGCGAGGAGCGTCGCATTGTGATGTCGTGGGGAGACTTGGGCCTCACGTGACATCTTTGCCCGCATTGTTGAGGATAACCTTGGCCCCACCGGGGTGTTGAGACAGGAAATTCGTGATACTGAGTGTTATCGGGCCGGAGAAAGAGGAAAGAGCGACGGAACCGTCAGTAGCGCGTAGCGCTGGCAAAGTGGCAGGCGGGCAGGCGAGCACTCACTCGTACACCTCGCCCTCAATCACGACCCATACCCCTCGCTCGAGGCTGTCGTGCGCTTCGACCTGGCTCATACTGATCAAACCGTCGTTGCCCTTGGATAGTAGCTTCGCCTGTGCATGTTCCGCTTTAGCTCGCGAGGGGAGGGAGAGGTAGAGGAGGAGCCCGGCCTGCCGAGCGAAGGAGCGTAGCGCAAAGAGTCAGCTCGTGCCGTGCCATTGATCGAAGTGATATGGGCGTGCGGTCGCAACACATCCCCACACGTACGCCAAGAGCTGCTGCACAAATGAGCAGCGCAGGCCTTGTTGTTGTTCTCGCTGCTGCTGCTGTTGCTAATGGTGTTGATTGACCTATGTGGGGGCCTGTAGACGACGAGCTCCTGCTGCTCCTGCTGCTGCTCATCTGTTTTCGCCATATTGTAGACGACGACGAGAACGACAATGCCGGCTCAGGCGCGCGAAGAAGATGCAAAATCGGCCGGCAGTGAACAGCTGGTGGTGGACGTAGCTGTAGTAACCCCAATCGAAGTCGCGGATGGCTCCCTCTCCTCGATACTAGCTCGAGTAGTCCGCGTGAGACTTTGACCATGTTGCTCTTCAGGGAGCTGATCTTAAGCCTCTGGGTGTCTAGGATGGATGAAATGAATGGCTTAGCAATGAAGAGAGCGCCGAGCAGGGCGGGTCCATCTATTGCTTCTACCCCGCATCTCGACTTGATTGCCGGCCGGCGGCTTGCTTTCGCCCCGGCCTTGGCCCTCACTCCAATCCCACGTGGTCTTCAGTACGGACGGGCACGCGGTACGGAAACGCGGACAGGGGCCGGCGTGGGAGCAACACCAACACCTCAACTGGCAGCTCAGCTCAGCTCCTCACCTCTGATCTCCTCTCCTCTCGTGATCACCACCTCCCACGCCAACAGCATGGCCTCCTCCCTCGCCCCCTCCTCCGCATCAACGACTAAACGCTCCTCCCGCTCAAACCACCCTCGCCAATCCTCAGGCGTCTACAATACCTTTACAACAAAACAGATCCAAGGCTTCAAAGAAGCCTTCCACTTCCTCGACCAACCGACGGGCGACTCCCTTCTCTCACGCAGCGATCTAGCTTCCACCCTCGCCAACCTGGGCCAACCAAACGACAGGGAGGCGGTCGATCGTCTATTTGCTGAGGTGGATGACCCGCAAGTCGCATCTGGCGGCGGGGGAGGCGGCGGCGGAGGAGGCGTGAACTTTACGCAATTCCTCACCATGTTCGGCGAAAGGCTTAGCGGGATGGATGACGCGGAGACTTTGCTGGAGGCGTTTGAGTGCTTTGATGAGAAGGACGAGGGGTGGATCGAGGTTGCAGAGCTGAGGAAGTGGTTGGGGGAGGTGGGAGATAGGATGGATGAGAGGGAGGTGAGTGGAATCGCGCACAGAGAGAGGCGAGCAAGGCTGATCATGACTGTTCGGTCCTTGCATTGGGGCTGCACGCAGATCGACCGACTAGTCCAGGGCCCTTTTACTGATCGATCAGGAAGAAAGTTCGACTATAAGGCTTGTGAGTGCGCTGCAGCCTACCAAAGGGCGAGGGGTCCGATGCGGTGTCTGACTGACTGACTGACTGACTCGCTCACGCGCACGCTCCCTCCTCCTATTCTCAGTCGTCGAAGCAGTCAAGATGAGTGAGCCTGCCGAGCTCGAGTAGTCACGGCACGAGACGACGATGCTGCACTCATTGCTCCTGGTCCAGTGCCCAGGACCTGTATTTGTACATACCCGCCGCGAACTTCGTCTATCCACGTCCACAGTCGCCTTCACTTTCAGCGAGGACGAGTTTGCATACACTCGAGCTCACTCTCGCCGTGCCTGCGATGCCATGAGCCAGTAGAGCAGCAGGGGTGAAGCGATAGGGGCTGCGCCTCTTGAGAAGGAAGAGAATGGTATACTCTGGTCCAGCTAATCAACAGTGATCGGTCGACCAGCAGAGCCCACATCGCGGTCGCCGTCACGCTGACTGCCTCTCCTGGTCCTCTCACCCTCGAGCAACGGATGACTAGCCTGCTCCACCCCATTCACATGAACGCTCTGACTCCCATCCCCGCGCGTCATGTGTACCGTCACGTTTCCCCTCGCGTCTCGCGTCTCTGTCACCTCCTCCCGCACCCCGTTGACGATCCGTGTGCTGCGCTGCTGTGATGTGTGGCGAGAAGCACCAGCGGTGGAGGAGGTGGTGCTGAAGGATGAAGACGAGTAGCTGGAGCCGGTCCTAAAGTTGGATCGCGGTTGAGCGAGAGACTCTCGGGCGAGACCTCCCCGGTGCGAAGGGAAAGGCTCCAGCGTGCTGGAGAAGAAGTCATCGTCGAAAAAGCTCCCCGCTGCTGCTGTTGCTCCTCCTCCTCCTCCAAGCCCACTACCGCCAAAGGGGAAAGCGCTACCGCCCATCAAATCAGCAAATGGGTCCCCCCTCCTACCCCTCCCGCCCTGGCCTGCTGCTCCCCTTCTCCGAGAAGGGAAGAAATCGGGGAATAGGTCGTCGAACAAGTCGAAGGGATCTACGGGACCTCGTCTCCTATCCCTGAACCCTTGTGCCGTATACCTGTCACCGCCGCTACTACCACCAGCAGCAGCTCTGCTAGGCTCGTAAGTCCCGTTCAAGCGTCGATCGTACCTACTCCGCCTCTCAGGGTCGGAGAGGGTTTCGTAGGCCCTGTGTGCGCAGAGAGAGAGAGGGAGAGCCAGGAGGGCGAGAGGGAGGGTGAGGGGTGAGGTCAGTCAGTCAATCAGTCCAAGCTATGCATCGCATCCCTGGGCGAGTGAACAACTCACTCCGCCACAAGCTTAAAGTCTTCCTCCTTACCCCCGCGATCCGGATGATTGGCGAGGGCGCGAGATCGGTACGCTTTATTCACTTGCTCCTGTGTAGCTGTGCAGGGGAGGTGGAGCGTATCGTAGTAAGAGGGTTGGGAATGGGAGTGGCGAGAAGATGAAGAGGAGGGAGGAGACATGGGCGGCCACGATCTGAGCTGAACTGACGATGGGGTGAGGTGTGCGATGTCTGGTCAGAGGCGGCGTTGTTGGTTGATTGATCAAGAGGAAAGGAGCGAGCACGACGCTGCCCGGCTTGGCTTGGCTTGCATTGCGGTGAGATTTCCACATTTCCATCCATCCATGCATGCACGCCTCCACTCGCCTCCTGCTCTGCCGCCTCAGTCCGCATCCCACTCCCACGATTCGACGATGGGTGACGGCGAAAAAGAGGCTCGGCCTCAAGCCCCACGCCCACGCAGCGATTCGCAGAAGAATCTCCAGTCATTGCAACCACGCAGAAGAGATGTCGTCCCAGCAGGCGGGGCGCAGCAAGCAGCGGGGCTCATCCCACTTTCAGTCTGGGCGGGCGAATAGCCGGGGCGATGATGATGAGGAGGAGGATGACCAGCACAGCCTCTACGACCCGCACTCTCTGCGCATCTGGCCCGCATACGATACGAAGCATCTCGAGGTGTTGGAGTACCCGATCAAGGAACTGGGTGAGTGCGGGGTGTCCACAGAACCCACAGAGAGAGCTTGTGAGCTGACTTTGTCTTTTCGTATTTGCAACAACCAGACACAACCCTCCACCTTGGCCAATCCTCGACGTCAGGCTCCACCTCATCCTCCCTCTGGCTCTCCAGCCAGGTCTTGGGGGCGTATCTCCTCTCCTCACCCTTCCTCCTCTCTCTGCCGCCATCTTCGCCACGAACACGACGACGGCATGCTGTTCAGAGCTCGCACTCGCAGCAAGACGATGCAAAGTCAAAGCCGATGCCGAAGTCGAAACCGGTGGCTGTTGAGCTGGGCGCGGGCGTGGGGTTTCTCTCCCTCCTCCTCGCTCACGCAGGGTGGGAAGTCAAAGCCACAGACCTGCCTTATGTCGCTCGAGGCGTTCTCGCTGAGAATGTCAGGGCGAACGAGGCGGCAAGTGGGAAGGTGGAAATCGTCGAGCTAGACTGGCAAGAGACAAACGAGGGACCCCTGCTCTTCCTCCCTTGTTCATCTTCGGCTGCGAAGTCAGAAGCGTACCCCTCCCTCATCGTATCAGCAGATACGCTCTACGCCCCTCATCTGGTCTTGCCCTTCTGGAAAACCTTTGCGAGCCTTCTTCGCTCCTCCTCCTCTCCCTCCCGCGTTCCACTCGGCCTATTAGCCCTGGAACGCAGAGACCCTGCTTTCATCGATTCAGCCCTTTCCGTCGCTCGCAGCGAGTTCGGTCTGGCTCTCACGCGTGTAGAGGATGGGAAGGTCGAACAGGCGGTTCAGGGGAGTTTGGGTTGGGAGAAGGCGCTGTGGGATGGGGTGGAGATTTGGGATGTGAGGTTGAGTGGCGCTTGACGCCCTGACGCCGACGCCCGTGCACGGAAGGACGGACGGGCACGGGTGGAAACGAGGGTCCTCTATTCCTCAAGCACGCCAAGAGGGCGGAGGGAGGCGTGCGATTTTGAGCGTTGCGTCGGGCGGAAGGCGGAGGGAGCCGTCGTGTTCCTGGAGAAAGGCGGGGATGAGCTATTCTTGTGATGCAGTTGCATGAAGCTCATCCTTCTTGCTTTGTAAGTACATCCACCCTTTCATCGCGAGGCTTCGCAATGACAATACCCAGCAACGCAAGCGCAACACCAAGCGCAACCGCAAACGGCTCTACCTCCTCCTCTCCATCCGCCCTCCCCTCCTCCCTGCCCCTCCTCTCCCCACGTCCACCCACAATCCCCTCTACGGGTACGCAACGCGTCCTCATCGTCGGCGGCGGTCCAGCGGGAATAGTAACTCTGCGCAACCTGCGCGTGGAAGAGCGCTCCCACGGCGGAACTGCCGGGCTGGACGCCGTCCTGTACGAGCGTCGCGAGTCGATTGGGGGCGTGTGGTATCTGGACGAGGGAACGCTTGCCCTCGAAAGGGAAAGGGGATATAATGATACAACCTGGCCTCTACTTCCCAGCAAGGGCAGCAGTGGTGGGAATCGTGGAAGTGCCCCTCTCTTTCCTTCCCCGGCATACAAACAGCTAGTCGGCAACGTCCTTCCTCGCTTCCTCACTTTCTCGGGCGAGGAGTGGCCTGAACTGGAGGGGGGCGAGCCATTCCCTACGCTCGAAGAGACGTGGCGCTACGTGAACCGCGTGGCAGATCCGCTCACACCGTACGTGCGGGTGAGGCGGGAGGTCAAGGAGGTGTGGGAGCTCCCCGCCCTCCCGCTCAGCAACACCGATACGGATGAGGAAGGGCTTCCCATCACGGGTGGGTGGCTAGTCCACACGCACGGCCACTCCACATCACCTCCGACCTCACTTTGGGAGCACTTCGCGGCCCTCTCCCTCTGCCCCTCCTGGACGACTCACCCGGCCTACCCGCCCATCCCTGGCCTCGCGACCGCCCTCGCCCTCGCTCCGGGAAAGGTGCACCACGCCAAGTGGTACCGCAGCGTTGACCCTTGGTGGGCGAGCAAACGCGTCGTAGTCGTGGGTAACGGGGTCAGCTCGAATGACATTGTGTCGCATTTGGTCGCGAGGCGCAAGGAGGAGTGGGGAGAGCGACCCGGGTGGGAAGAGGGGGAGGAGCCGGTGTACAAGGCCATCAGGCATGAGGGGGACTCAATGTTTCCTTGTTTGGAGGATGAGAGGATACGAGAGGTGCCCTTTATCACGAGGGTGTGCGTGAAGCGGGCCGAGGGAGACGCGGACGTGCAGCTTGATTTGGAGCTGGCGACGGGGGAGAGGCTGGAGGGGGTAGACCATCTGATTTTGGGCACGGGATACCAACCGGGAGTGTTCGATTGGGTGCACACCCTCGCGCGCCCCGCCACCCATCAGGACGTTGCAGCGCTTGACGCAAAGGGTATCGCATTACAGCCGGACGGCTGGCACATTGATGCTCCTCGCCTCGCTGAAGCCGGAGGCGTGGCGTCGTTGGCGGAGGAAGGGGATGGGCTGCAATCGCTGTGGGTCCCGCTGACCGCGCCTCCCTCTCATCCGTCGGACGATTCCTCAAGTCACATAGAAGAGAAAGGCCCCAAACCTCACCCTCACACCCTCAGCTCCCTCAGCAACGAATCAATCGACCACGCCCACCCGCGTCGCGTGCCCCACCTACACTCACACTGCCTTCTAGCGCGCAACCCCACGCTAAGCTTCAACGGGCTCATAGCCTCCGTGGTGCCCTTTGTGCTTGCAGACCTCGTCTCCCTCTACACGCGGCTGGTATGGGAGTCGCGCCCCTCGCCTGGCTCCGCCACCACCGACTCGCCCCTCCTCTCGCGCGCCTCCTTCAACAAGCGTCGCGCTGACGAGCTATCTCGTTTCTCCTATCTTGAGGACCAGAAGCTCCACGCCCCGCCTCCCCGCCCTCTCCACCTCCTAAACGCCCCACGCGACGCCCCGACCATCTCCTCCATTCCGGTAGCGCATCTACCCAAATCATTCCACTGTCTCGGCGGGCAGGTGGAGTACGACTTGCAGGTGCGATTGCGCGCGAATCTTCTCGAGAGAAAGCCTTGGTTGGGAGAGGTGGTGGGGTTGAGCGCTCAGGAGTGGGGGGAGGAGCGTGAGGTGGTTAGGAGGGGGATGTACGACGTTAAGAGGGGGTGGTTGGTTGAGAGGGAGAGGAGGGCGAGGGTGGCGCGAGGGAGTAAGGGAGGATCCACAGTGAACGGACGCGATGCGTGGGAGAACGGGGAGTAGGGGACGCCATGCGATTTTCGCTCAACCTTGTTACGAAGGAGATCGGGTATAGATGCTGATGCTGATATATGCTACATGCGCTTCGCCTCTGTCTAGGTCTTTCTGCCTCCCTGGAGGAGCGAAGAGGCGAGACGTTGCGCTGTAGGATTGAGGCGTTCCATCGTCTTCGTTGCGCTGCTTCGGCTCTGCCCACCTCGCTGCCGAGGCAGCATAGCCGTGGTCGTAGCCGTAGTGGTGCTGGCGGTCGTGGGGTGGGAGGAGCTCCTCATCTTCTTCTCCCTACCCCTAGCTACTTCGTCCCTCTTTCGCCTCTCCCTCTCTTCCCTCCAGCCCTCCAGCTCCACCTCATTGTGCCCTTCCTCCCCCTCCCCGTCCACGAGTAGCAGCTTATCCGGCCCCCACCCGATAGCCTCTCTTTCCCCTCTCCTCCTCCCCTCCAAATGCTGAGCCTCCTTCTTTTCCCGACGAAATGAAGAACGCAACGCCGCATTTGTCGCATCAGCTACATCTCCGCTACGTCGTGAGGCGCACTCCTCAAGCTCGAGGACGCGTTTGAGCCGAGAAGAGGACAGGGAGCGCTGCGCTTGTGCACGGTCTACTTGGGTGAATGCGTCGGCGGGAGACGTCGTCGACGCCGCGCCGCTATCGCCATCTCCACGACTAGGCCCGACCTCAAAGCTGCCCATGCTCTGATCCCCCTCTTCTGGCTCCCACTCTTCCACCTTCCTTTTCCCCCCTTCATGAACAACGTACCGCGTATTCTGCGGATCGGTCCGTATCTCCACCTCTCCCCTAGCGCAGTGTCTACACCTAAATCGAAATGCCCAAACGGGCGTCGTGTAATAATCTCCCACCCTTGTCTTCTTGGCATTATACCTCGTACCCTGGATTAGGAGACCGGAGCAGGAGGAGCACCACACGGGAAAGGGGAGCTCGAAGCGGACGGTGAGCCCCGAGGACGAGGAGGAGGAGGAGGGGCGGGTGCGCTTGGACGGTGCATTGAAAGGGTCGACGCGAGGGTCCGCATCAGGAGGGCGATATCGGCCCATGTTGAAGCCTTGCATTTTGAACGAGACGATGCGCGGTGGTGAGTGAGTACGGAAGGAAGGGACGTGAGCGCTCACCTGCTCGGCACCAGCCCAAATCAGCGAATGAAGGGCCGAGCGGCGGGCAACCACGTGGCGCGGTCCGTGCGTCGTGAATCGCGGCGAGGGAGACGAGCGGTCGGGTAGAAGTTGAGCCAAACTTGCCTATCCGTTCGCTCTCTCCCTCTTCCTCTTCCTCCTCATCAACAACACTCGATTAAAAAAAACATCGCCTCATCTCCTCTCAGGCGGAATCGCACAACGCATCATGCGAGAGCTACCGGGGGATCTCGACTCCCTCAAACGGCCAGCCCTCCTGCAGCTCTGCAAGCGTTTTGGTGTAAAGGCGGTTGGCAAGAACGCTGATTTAGTGGAGAAGCTGCGCGACTGCGAGGCAGGGGAGATGGAAGTGGACGAGAGGGGTGGTGAGGAGGGAGAAGATGATGAGATGGACGTGAGTCATTGTCAGGGAGAATGGATGCCCGCCGCGGAGAGAGAGGCAGGTGAGGGGATGCAGATGGAGATGGAGATCCGGACGATGTCAGGTGGGATCGAGCAGGGTAGCGCGATGGGCGAAGAAGAGGCGAGCCTCCTCGAGAACAGGGCTTCGAGCTCGACCGCAAGGGAGAAGGCGGACCAGCACGAGGACCAGCACGAGAACCAAGACAACGATTCGCCCCTCCCTCTGCCCGGCGCCTACTTTGCGACTCCGCCCCGTCCCCTCATCAAACGCGCTCGCTCCTCCACCCCGGCGGCCACTTCTAAACCCTCGGCCCTCGGCCATCTCCCCTCAACATCAAGCAAAATCGCTCAACCACTCCCCTTTGCAACCCCCAAAGCGCAACGCTGCATCGCCCCCCTCCCGCGAAAGAGCACGGCAACCACGACGCGCGCCCATGCTCAACCTCGACCCTCCAGCGGGCTGTACCCGCCTCTACCCGTGGCACTCCCTCCGCCCACACCCGGTGTCAGGCCACAGGAAACGAGCATTTGGCTCAGCCCTGTCAAGCCTGTCCCCGCAGCGAGCCCGCTGAAGACTGCGACTGCCACTATGGGTACGGGTGCGAGCACGAGCAGCGCCAGCGCCAGCGCCTTCACCTTTACCTGCCCTGCTCCGACCTCGCAAACCAATGCAGCGAGCGCAGATACGGACGCCAAATCCCTCCTCCTTTCCCGACTGAACGAGCGTCTCACCACAGCGGGGGCGGAGGCGATTTCCTCCTTCGAACCAACGATGAAGCCTTCAGCCTCCTCACCTGCCAGGCTCTTCGCGCTCAGTCGCACGCAGACGCAGACGGAGAGACGCTTCAAATCGCTTCACCAAAAGGAGATGTCCCGCAGCGGGAGTATAAAGGATCATTGGAGCTTGGCACGCAAGGTGCGGGGTGGGGAGCAGAAGGAGAGTCAGCACAAGCGAGTCAAGATTGCTCCGTCTCCCTCTTCGTCGACGAGCACGGGTCCTGCGCCGCAGACACAGGCACCCGCGTCTTCACACTCTGCTACATCATCATCATCGTCTTCCAGCGCCCGACCCGAGCCCAGGATCAACAGCCACGCCCGGCTCCCTGCGGCAAAGCAGCGCAAGGCCCGCTCCTCGCTGCATGTCGCCCCTAACGCGGGATTGGGCAGGAGGAAGAGCCTCGTGGGCTCTTTGAAGGCCAGGGGCGCGGGTATCGGGGTGGGAGTGGGACTAGCTCGTGCCAAGACGGTCCGACCCGGAGAGGGAGGCGGACACGAAGCCGCAGCGCCCACCAAGAAGCCTGCCACTGATGCGACGTCCACATTCACGGCAGCAGGGCGCGCAGAGCAGCCAATTCGTCGCTTCTTCACGGCCGAGGGAAAGAGCGTCAAGTCTGCCCCGACCGCTCCTGCTCCTGCGGCCGGGGGAAGCAGGACGGCTGGTCCTGGCCCTCGCCCGGGTCATACATTGCAGCCTAGCCTTAAGAAGCAGAATGCCGGACCATCCACGACCTCCTTCCGCTCCACCTCCTCGTCCTCTTCCTCGTCCGCCAAGCCACCTCAACCCCAATCTCATCCTTCCGCGCTCAACAGGACCATTGCCACCGCAAACGCCCACCGCAACCCCACGCAAGGCCAGCCACAAGCGCAAGCAGCGCATCGCGTCCAGGAGGCGCGACGTCGTGCTGCCGAGGAGTCTAGGGCCAGGGCGAGGCAGGAGAGGGCACGAGCTGCGGATGCGGGTAAGAACGCTGGACGTACTGCGAGTGGGGCGAGTGCGACGAGCGGGTCAACAAGTCGGACGAGCGTCGTGGCTCAGCCGCTACTGGCTTAGCTGTAGGAGCGCGCCCTCCCCTTCCCTCCATCCCATCTTCCGCCACAGCGCTGCCGAAAGGAGGGCGGTATGCGTAGAGCCTCCCTTCCCCTCGCCCCACCATGAGCCGGTGATGGAACACTACACTTCGACCTGTCATTCTCACATTCGACTTCATTCCTTGTATGTACTTGTATCCATTCCTTTGCGCTGCTTCGTCCATTGACGATCTCGATTTCGATTTCCATTGCGACGCAACGCGGACATGCTGTTTGATCGGGTGAGAGGAGTGACGCGACTACTTGTCTCCTTCGCCCTCACTCTCGCCCTCGCCCTCGCCCTCGCCCTCGCCCTCCGACTTGCCCTCGCCTGAGTCTTTGCCGTCGTCCTTGTTCTCTCCCTCCTTGTCGCCCTCTCCTTCCTTCTTGTCGCCCTCCTTCTTCTCACCGCTGCCCTTGCTCTTCTCCTCCTCCTCCTCCTTCTTCTTTTGCTCCTCCTCCTTCTTCTTCCTCTCTTCCTCCTCCTTCTTCTTGCGCTCCTCCTCCTCCTTCTCCTTGCGCCTCTTTGGATTATCCAACTGCACAAAGGACTCCTCCCCCTTTTGGGCCACTACATCTCCTCCCACCTTGCCCTCAATAGGCGTCGTTCCTTTAATCCCCTGCGCACTCGCCCTGATCTCTTCGGCCTTCTGCTTGGCGTCCTTCTGAACGTTGGCCGCAAGCTTCGCCCCGGCCCCACGCTGCGTAGAGCGCGATGGGGAAACGTCGTAGTAGTTTGTCCCGGCGAGGGTGAGGATAATGCTGGACCCTACGGCGGCCGTGAGCCAGAAACGGTACGTGCTATACCAACGTGGAGCGAACCCTTGACTCGTAGCACGAAGGTCCATGAACCACACTCCCACGTATCCGGCAAATTGAGAGATCAAAGCCATCTCCGGTGCCAGAACCAGGGTGGGCCAAGCGACCAAGAGGGGAGCGACACCCATGGCGTAGCGTGCATGACCGATTCGACCGCCTAGTTTTGCCCACTCGAATCCCCAATGGATAGCGCCCAAGAAGGAAAGAATAATGGCCCCGTATGCAATCTGGATATTCTCTGCGTGAAGCAAAAGGGCATTGGCCGCTTCGAGATCGAGGCTTGCCTCGAGGCCCTGGCTGACCCGATTGGCCTGACGGGCAAGCCATACTGAAGCCCCCGCCGTTCCCACGTAGGGTAGCACACCAGCCACGCCCCATACTAGGGCCGGTTGCGGAACGCGCATGGCCATTTCGCCCGTGATGGACTTGGCCTCGGAGAGGAGCTGCGAAGCGCCAGAGGGCTCGTCGGCATCCTCGGGTGTGGATGAGTGGTCACGATGCTTCGAACCGGCGACGGCGCGTTCCAGCGTTGAGCGGACTTGCCCAGCTTCTTCTTTGAGGTTTTGGACGGTGTGCTGGGCGAGGGAGGTGGGGGGGGGGGTTGCCCGATTGGACGGTCAGCATTGATGTTCATGCTCCATTGATCGTTCGTGCCTTCCCGTCGCGCTCTCGCTGCTCACCTTGAGGTTATCACTCGCCGGCTTGCCCGACTGCGGGTTGGCGGCATGGCGTATCGCCGACGGCTTGGCAAAGGCGTTACTGCGGGCCGAGGTGCGGAGCGAGGCCAGGGCGATGCGCTGCCCTTGCGCTGTTGGCTGCGGGCGGAAGGCTACGCCGCGTAGGGGGGAGAGGGAGGTGGGACGCAGCATTGGTTGCTTTGTGATGAGTGGTGAGGTTGAGTGAAGAAGGCAGAGGCGAAACGAAGGAGGAAAGGCCGTGCGCCAAGTTCGCAACTCGCACTCGCGTGGGACGATGCGATGCCTTGCGTTGCTCCACCCGCCTGGCTGGCTGGTTGAGCTGGACCCGCTGGACCCGCTGGACCCTCGCCGCACCGCGAGCACATCGACGTCATGACGCGTGGGGTGAGCTCGAGGGCCATGTCGCGCCACGTGGCTTCAGAACGGGGCCCGTGCGTGCGTGCGTGCGTGTGTGCGTGCGTGCGTGTGTGCCCATCACGCCAGCGAAGGGTTTGATGACCTCCACGTCGAGGCCGTCGAGGCAGAGTCGACGCGGCCACGAGAAGGCGGCGACCGGTCAAGTAGACGCTGCGTGGTTTTCGCACTTCTTCTCATTCGAACCACACCCACTCGATAGCAAAGCAAAGATGTCATTCGGAAAGGTGAGACGGCGAGACCGCATGATGACCACGAGACACGCACTCACACCCCGCCCCCACGCACGCAGACCCTCAAGCTCAACGACGGCAACACGATCCCCCAGATCGGCCTCGGCACCTGGCTCTCTGAGCCCGGCCAAGTCAAGGCCGCCGTCATCCACGCCGTCAAGACGGGCTATCGCCACCTCGACCTCGCGCGCATCTACAAGAACCAAGAGGAGATTGGCGAGGCATTCGACGAGATCTTCTCTTCCGGTTTGGCCAAGCGCGAGGACCTCTTCATCGTCTCGAAGCTGTGGAACAATGCCCACAAGCCCAGCGACGTGCCCAAGGCCTACGACCACACTCTCAAGCAGCTCCACCTCGACTACCTTGACCTCTACCTGATCCACTGGCCCGTGGCCTTCGAGCCAGCAGGCGGGGACATCCAGTCGGACGAGAAACTCATGCCCTCTCACCCCTCGGACTCGTCCTACGCCCACCTCGACACCACGACCACCCTCGCAGACACGTGGCAGGCAATGGTCGACCTCAAGAAGAGCGGCAAGGTCAAGTCGGTCGGTGTCTCCAACTTCACCCCTGCCCACATCGAGGGAGTAATCAAGGCCACGGGCGTCGTCCCTGCCGTGAACCAGATTGAGGCGCACCCCTTGCTCCCCCAGGAGGGACTCTACCAATACTGCCTCGCCCGCGGCATCCACCTGACCGCCTACTCTCCGCTGGGCAACTCGGCCAACTACCTCGCCTCCAAGTCGGGAGAGGACGCCCGCAAGTTCGACATCCTCAACGCTCCGCAGGTGCAGGAGGTAGCCAAGAAGCTCAACGTCGAGCCCGGTCAAGTCCTCATCGCTTGGGGTGCTCAGCGACCGGGCTTTTCCATCATCCCCAAGTCGGTCACTCCTGCGCGTATTGAGAAGAACTTCCAGCAGGTCGAGCTCAGCGCCGACGACTATGCCAAGGTGTCGAGCAGGATTAACGAGGTGGGCGGAAAGAGGATGAACATCCCGTGGGAGTACACGCCCAAGTGGAACATCAATGTCTTTGAGGACCCTGTGGAGCAGTTGAACGCCAACAGGTACCCGAAGATTGCGTAGGCGGGTGTGGGCGCGCGAGGGGGGATTGCGTTCCTTCAATATCAAAGAAGTCATATCCATTCGTTCGAGCGTGTGAGATAGAGCCCCGTTTTCATCGTGTCGTATCCCAGGCCCGTGCCACCTCACCGCGACCCGTTCCCTTGCAAGTACAGGACGTCAGGCCACGTGGTTTGAGGGCGCGGTCGCGCAGCTCATTTGTGGCACGCCGCGGCGCGTCCGCTTCTTGACATTCGATCCCTCAATCCTATCTGATTCGTCCAGCTCGAGAACACATACCACGTCTCACACGATGAGAGCTCACCACTCGCCTTGAGCATGCAGTGGCTCAATGCATGTTGCCCATCGCGCGGAGCCCCACATCGCGATGTCGCCCCGGCCTCAGCCCTGTTAGCAATCAGCGCAGCGCAACGCAACTTCGTTTCATTTCCGATGAGCGGTCAACGACTCCCGCTAAGAAGAGCCATTCACGCATATCACTCGCTCCGCGCTCTCGGTCAACTATCATGTTATTTCCGCTCACACAACGCCTCCGCTTCACGCCGACAACTCGACATACCACGCATCACTGCCATTGGCGGCATCGATGGACAAGACGGCTCGGCCGTTGGCCACCTGCACGTCCTTGGTCGACGAGAGCGTCTTCTCCGTAACGACGCCGCCATTGTTGTAGGCGATGTTGTAGATGGTTGCCTTGACCGAGGTCGCTCCGCCAAAGTAGGTGTTCATCGAGTCGAAGTTGACGTCGAATGTCCCCGTGAAGAATTGGCTGCCGATCAAAGCCTTGACCTTGCCCGCTGCGCCCGTCGCAAACGAGTCGACGGAGCTGCCCGAGGTGGTCTTGCAGGGGCTTCCGTCCAAGTCGCGGACGTACGTCTGGTGAGTCACGTACTCGCCGTTGGTAGAGTATGACCCATCGGCATTCTTGATCAGCAGGTCGGCAAGGTAGTCGTTGAGCTTGGCGCCCCCCTCCCAGTTACCGCGCAGCCCGTTGAATCTGAGGCGCTCGTATCGCGCGTAGAACCATGCGCTGTAAGCGGGCTTCTGCTGGTCGCGCACGCCGAACTCGTTGTTCTGCAGACCGAGCCCCGTAGTCAGGCCATACTGCTGGACGAAGCCGGGAAGCGCCTCGGCGGGCGGGATGGGGTCGTTGTTCCCTCCTTCCTCCATGTGCCAATTCCACACGTCCGGCTGCGAAGCCGTTCCGCCGTTGGCCTGCAGGTAGGCGAGGAAGGACTGCCACCAGGCATTCTTGGCCGCCGGGTTGCTCGAGGTGCTGGGCCCTACGAGCGGGAGGAAGCTGCCTCCTCCCTGAGGGAAAGCGGCGTGCAGCGCCTTGGTACCGCGTACGTACATCTCGTTGAATTGCTCCTGTGGCCTTCCCCCAAAGTTGATGTCCGGCTCGTTCCACAGCTCCAGTTGCGTCGCCCCCTCGACGGCCATACCGTTTGCGCGCACATCGTCGATGATCTGCTGCATGAAGGCGTCAAACTTGGACCAGTCACCGCCGTCGCCCGGGAAGGGGAAGTTGGCCCCCTCGGCAGCTCCGACGGGGAAGTTTGCGCCGCCCGTCTCGTCTGCTCCCCAGAGGTCGGCGAGCTTGATGATGAGCACGCCATTGTTCTGGCGGATGCGCTTGAAGGCCGCAACGACGGTGTCGAAGCGTTGTCGATAGGAGGAGGCGCTCGTTGCGAAACCGCCGGGGGAGGCATCGGATTGGGCACCGCCGGAGGATTGGTAGTTGATCTTGAGGTCCGCGTAGTCTGGCGCGGTGCGGGGCCAGGGATAGGTGTGAGCGCCTTCGATGGCCAACGGGGCGCGATTGCGCCGACTCACAAGATTGCGGAGGCGTGTCCGTCCCGCTGATGCCGTAGAGCATACCGGCGCCATAGAGGGCGGGTGTCCCCGAGCAGGTGTCGAGCGATACCGTCGTCGTGTCTCCGGCTGCGCGCTCCGTGATGGGAGCGGCGGCAGCGAGAGAGCTGGCGGCAGCGATTGCGGCGGGGAGGATGAGGAATCGCATTGGGGCTAGAGTGGTGTGTTGAGTGGAATGAATGGAGGAAGAGACGGGGTCGAGAAGGTATACCGCCCATTTATAGCCTCATCGAGCGAGGATCATCGACCTTCCCCAACTCGACAACAAAAAGCTCATCACCCCGCACGCTCCCCACACGCGACGCCAAGGCCAAGCGAAGTCGGTGATTTACTTTCTCGCTCCACACGACAATGCAGGCGGAGGCGGAATCGCGGGGACATATGCAGGGGCAAAATTGGCATTCCAAGCAAGAAAGAGAACGGCATTCTTTTTCTGGGTCTGCACGATCACGGATCAGGCATCGCGAGTCTCGAGCTGTACCTTGCCCTCCTCCGCTTCAGACTGCGACTTGCCATCCTCCGCCTTGATCCGCTGCGAGGAAGACGCAAGTCTCTTGCCATCGTAGTCGGTGTCTATGGGGTCGGCTGCGGCTTTCTCGGGGTCAGCAGGGGACTCCGTCATCGCGCCGTGCATTGCTCCCGACCTGGAGGCGACGTCGACTTCGCCGAAGAGGCTGTCCATCTCTTCGAGCGTTCGCCCTTTGGTCTCGGGCCAGAAGCGCCAGACGAGCGTCTGTGTGGGGAGGAGGGTATCAGTGGGGCACGCATTGCGAAGGAGGGGACGCCGTGATTACTCACCAGGGTCACGACGTTGACGCCAAGCATGATCCAGTAGAGTCGGTAATTGATGAGGTCGGTCAGGACCGGCCAGAGCTGGTTGACGACGATGACGGCGATGAACAAGCTGAGCAAGCTGATGGAGATGCCCAGCTCTCGCAGTGGCTGCGGCCAGATCTCGGCGGCAATCAAGTACGCAATGGGGCCCATCGCACCGGCGTAAGAGCATTGGATGGCAAAGATGCAGATGACCATCCAGATGCCTGCTCCCTTGTTGGTGGCTTGCGGCCACTTCTCGAAGAGGGCGCCGAGGAAGAGGTAGCCGACGCAGGCTACGATGAGGCCCACGATCATTACGCGGCGGCGTCCCAGGCGGTCGACAAAGAAGACGGCAAAGAAGCATGCGATGAGTTGGATCGAGCCGCTGACGCCGTTGGTGATGAGTGGGAGGGTGGACCCGCCTAGTTTAAGCGACTCGAAGACGGTGATGCCGTAGAGCATGAGGGCGGCCACTCCGGTGAGCTGAGCAAAGACGCAAGAGCCAGCGCCAATGGCGATGCGACGCCACATGCCGCGACTACGGATGAGCCTCGTCAAAGCGTAGTCGGCCTTGGTGGCTCGCAACACCTCAGCGGCCGCTTGCAACTCGTTCCATTCGCGAAGGAGCTCTGGATCGCTGTCGCGCAGCCTACGAATGGTGCAGAGATTCGAGCGCGCCTTGACCACCTTGCCATCCTGGGCGTCACTGGGATCCTTTGCGAGACTGAGGAGCATGCGAGGCGACTCGGGCGCAAAGAATGTGGCGAGGCCGAGGAGAATGCCCAGGATGACTTGCAGCGCCACGAGCGTGCGCCATGCGTCGGTGCCAGGGATCTTGGTGGTACCGAGCGAGACCCAAAAAGCGATGAAGACGCCGAGGTTGTAGCTGACCTGGACGATGCAAACTGCTGCGCCGCGGGTGCGCGCGGAGGCGAGCTCGACGGCCCAACCCGCAAAGCTTCCCTGGCAGAGCGCGACGCCGAGGCCGCACAATACTCGTCCAAAGAGGAGCATGCCTTCGTTCCGCGCCCCGGCAACGAGGGCCGCACCAGTCATCAAGACCAGGTCACCAACGGCCATGGTGACTTTTCGGCCATATCGATTGTTGAGCAGGGAGAGTGGGCCGAGGTAGCCGATACAGTTGCCCACATTGATCAGGACGCCAAACGCGCCGTCCATGGCGGGGGAAAATTGCCATTGGTCCTTGAAGCGCTGATCCGAGATGACGGCGGCCACCGACGCCGTATCGTAGCCGCTGAAGCAGTTGGCGGTTGCGAGGGAGATGCAGATGAGCAGCACGAAGGCGTCGCCGCTGATTATTTGGCCGCCCATATCGTCGTGAGGATGGGAGGCGTGCGGAGGTGTGGGGTCGTGTGGTAGCCGGTGCGCAGGATCACGCCCTTTTTGTACGCCGTAGCAGGCGCACACCCATATCCCCAACCCTCCCAAGCTAGCGTGCCACCTTACCGTGCAGCGCCGCTGCGCCGCTGCGCACCTCGCGCCCCCCCGCAACCCCGCAAACGGCATGCAGATCGCTTGAGAAGGCCGATCGGGATTCTGTTTCCCGCCGCGGCCGCGCGGATTCCACTCCACTAGACAAATAAGGGCGAAAAGAGAAGCAGGAGAGGTTGCCTTTCTTCCTCACACGACACACGACGCGCGACACACAAGACGCTCCTTCTGCTGCAATGACCTCGTCACGATATCCTCACGATCGATTTCTGGCAACGAGCGTCTCGCAAGACTCGTTCTGGTGAGCTCGAAGGCGTGAAGTCGCTCGGCGTCTTGAGCTAACATGGCCGCCCGCCCGCGCGCAGGGGCAAGTGGCGTACCGCTGCCCGCGAGGTGACGCTGCCCGTCCAGCTCAAGCTGCTTCAGGAAACGGGGCGATACGAGGCGTTCAATTTGAAGCCCATCGACTACTACAAGACTCCATACACCGTTTGGCCCGTACCGGACTGGCTCTTCTGGGAATCCGACGTCGCCAAGTGGATCGAGGGTGTGTGCTATTTCTTGCACGAACAACCAGACGCAGAGCTGCGCAAGCACGTCGACTACCTCGTCGACCTCATCGAGTCGGCACAGCAGGCGGACGGCTATCTCAACATCCACTTTGTCGTCAACGAGCCGGACAAGCGATGGTCCAACTTGCGCGACCTACACGAGCTTTACAACGGCGGGCACCTGATCGAGGCGGCTCTCGCCCATCAGAAGCTGACAGGGTCGGATCAGTTCATCAAGGTCATGTTGCGTTTCGTGGAGTACTGCGCGAGCGTCTTCGGTCCTGAGTCACAAGGCAAGAAGCCTGGCTACCCTGGCCACCCCGAAATCGAACTTGCCCTGCTCCGACTGTACGATCGCACGGGCGACAAGACCAGCTACGAGTTGGCGCACTTTTTCCTCACTGAGCGCGGTCGAGACGGTGGCAAGTACTACGTCGACGAGCAGGCTGCGAGAGGAGAGCATCCGCAGCTCGCTCCCGGGATGATGCCCAAGAAGGGCTCCTACTGGTACATGCAGGCGCACGCGCTGATCAAGGACCAGCAGCACGTCGAAGGTCATTCCGTTCGAGCAGGCTATCTGCTCACGGCCGTGGCCGATCTGGTCGACATGCAGCGGGACGCTCCAACACGCGAGACGGGCGACCTCCTCGCGGCGCTGTACCGTCTTTGGAACAGCATGGTCACCGAGAAGATGTATGTGACGGGCGGCGTTGGGTCGGTCAAGCAATGGGAGGGCTTCTCCATTCCTCACTCTCTACCTCAAGCCACGGACGAAGGGGGCTGCTACGCCGAGACGTGCGCCGCCATTGCCGTTGTGATGGTGTCGGAGCGTATGCTCGCGATGAAGCTAGACAGCAAGGTTGCCGACGTAGCCGAGCGCGCCTTGTTCAACGCAAGCGTCACCGCGGGCATGTCCGTCGACGGGCGCAGCTTTACCTACGAGAACCAGCTCGCCAGCAGCGAGGCGGATCCGTGCGAGCGCCACACGTGGTTCCAGTGCGCCTGCTGCCCGCCCAATGTCCTACGCACGCTCGGCATCCTCGGCGGCTTCTTCTGGTCGCAGCCTCCCGGAGGATCCATCGATGACGTGGCGATCCACCACTTCTTCGACGGCACAATCCGCGCCGGCTCGACGGAAGTGCAGCTCGCAACGCGCTACCCGTGGGAGGGCAAGGTCAGCATCGACGTCCAAGGCCCGGGCAAGGTCCTGATCCGTATCCCCGGCTGGGCCAACAAGGACTACACGCTTCAGCCCGCGGCAGTCGGTCCACCACAAGGGGGCTACGTCCAGCTCTCGCGCGGTCGCAACGTCCTCGACTTGCCCATGCGGCCGCGCCTGGCCTTCTCTCACCCGCACACAACGCAGGCAACCGTCTCCCTCGTGCGCGGTCCCCTCGTGTACTGCCTCGAAGACGAGGACAACAAGTGGGAGCGCGATCATTTCAAGAACCTGTGCATCCCCGCCGATGTGGATTTGAGCGCCGTGCGAGAGGAGCAGGGCGCCGACGGCGTGACGTACCTGATCCTACCGAAGGCCGGGCATCACCTCAGACCGCCGAGAGCGGCGACGGCGCAGCCACCCGGCGTCGTCGAAGGGGAGACGTACACGCAGGACTTTATTGGCATGAACGACGTTGCAAGCATTGGCGAGTATGAGGAAGAGGTGCGAGATTTGACGTTCGTGCCGTACTACTATCGCGCGAACCGGAGGACGAAGGGGGTGCAGATGCGGACGTGCTTCAGGGTCAAAACGTAGATCGGAATGGTGTGGAATGCAATTGACTCACCGTATCCACTGCTTTCAATTTGATCTGCACCGCATGCTAGCAGCATGAAGCGACGGCAAGGGCAATAGTTACAGCCGCCAGCGACCCGAGAAAGAGGGTGTGCGGCTTTGAGAGACGTCCAGCCGCATTGTGACAGAAATAGTTGCCACCAGCATCCACGATTGCCCGTTCCAACCGCTCCGTCGACGCTTCGTCGCTAGTTGCACACCACAGCGGTTGGCTGGTGAAGTTCCCCCCTGCTTGCGTACAGACCCGGCTATAGTTGCCGATGGACAACGAAGCGTTGCAGCCGAAGCGGGAGGGCTCCGGGGTCATGATGGAGAGGTCGGACATGATGGCGAGAAGGGAGGGATGCCGAACGAACAAGACCAACGGCCTCTGCCTCATATCATATATCGACCTCGAGGGGCGACTTCACGCGCTATGCCGTCATCCAGACAGAGATGACCGGTACCGCCGCCGACTTGGGCCCGTTGGTGCGAATACGCGATTAGAGCTTAATGCTCGCGCCCTTTCTGGCAAGCTTTATCTCGTAGGTCCGAGGCAGCAGGCCAGTGCCATGTAGCAATTGAGCTTCACCCCGCAAAGATGCGTCAGAAGTTGCGCTAAAAGTCGCGCTAAGAGACGCGCTTAAAGCCAGATCTTGCGTTGTGATGGACTCAAGATTTAGTCACCTGACTGGATGTCAAGGCAACACGAGAGTAACAAAGATAATGATGATGACGAGAGCAAGAAAAATCACCGGTGATCCTCCCATCTCGCTAAGACGACACCAGCTCATTGGTTGCAGGCACCGAGCGCGCTCGGCCGCGCAGCAATCCGGGTGCTGTGTGAGCCTGTCTACTCGGCCTAACGAGGGAACACCGCTTTTGCGAGAGGCGTGCGCTCTTTGCCGGCCGCAGCATACCGACTGCAAATACTGGCAATCACCTGGTCCACCGGGCTCGCGCCAGAGTGTCGTCCCGTTCTCGATGGTGGCTGCTTGCGTCTGAAAAAGCGACTAGGTGGTGGACGCGAAGTAGATCGGTGAGGAGATAGTCCAGAGTGCCCGATAGTCCCCGGCTATGCGCACAAGAAGGCTACCCTCGAGCCTCCCCCCGGAGTGCTCCTTCCCCGCGACAATGGGCACGGCAATGACCTCGGTGGGCAACAGGGCGCCGCTCTTGATCGTCTCGGTAAAGCATTGTACCGTTGACGATGGCTGTTCCCCGACCGAGGTGGGCAGGAAGGCTGTTCCCCACGAGGAGATGAAGAAACTGAGTGCGCCGGCATGCCAGACAGGGATAACGTGGTGCCCATCTGAGAGGTAGGGTAGAGGACGCGGCGTGGAGGATTGGGTTGGGGCTGGCAGGCGCTGGATCGATGGTACGGGGACGTAGGGCGATGGCGCTGTGAAGCGAGGCGGAGGCCGAGCTGTTGAGGTGCTCATCGGCGGAGTGCGAGGTGATGAGCCTTGTCTGGCGTGATGAGGTTGCCTGACGGGTTGGGCTGGCGTGGTGTCTCCGATGCTTGCTACCTCGAGTGATTGTGCGTCAGGCCTTGCGCCTACAGGAGCGGCAAAGCTGCTACGATCGTCTCTGTGACTTTCGTTCCTAGCCTTCGCGTCGTCTGCTCCATTGTCTCCCCCGCTCCTCTCTCTATCCTCCTTGCACTCCCTGCCCTCGTTGTCTACGTCGTCGTCCCCCTCCAACGCCACCCCCTGACTGTTAGCGCCTTTGTCTTGACGCATTCTCAGAATATGTTCGTCGACCTCGGAGCTGGTGGGCGAGGGAATGGACGATGAGTCCAGCTCAGAAGAGGATGACCTAGCACGAAGCAGAGGAAAGCACTGTCAGTCCATCTGAGTCCACGCTCTGGTTGACGTCATTCACTCACCCTGCCATCATATTGTGCGTGCTGGGCGCAGATGGTCGTGGTGTGGGCGAGGAAGGCGGCTCGCATCTCGCTCGAGGCCGCATGAGCTCATATGGGCGGGAACGGGGGCGCGGATGAGGACGCGAATATTGTGGTGGTAATGATGGGAAGTCAAGTTGTTGGGCGACTGAGCGTTGAGCACCGCCCTTTCCGTCTCGTCTCCGCTCGACGCCTGCTCGACGCCTGCCTGCAGCGGAACCAGAAGCAGCCCAGCTCGCAGCGGCGGGGTTGAACGGCGGGGCGCGAAGGGCATTTTCTGGGCAAGGCTCGTTGCCGCGCAGCGACGCCCTTCAGTCTACTGGGAGGATGATCATGCCATTGCCCTGGTCCGAGCCCTAGCGCAGGAGCTGCTTCGAGGGACTCAGAACAAGTGAAAGGCGTCAACGCCCCTCTTCTCCCTCTGTCCGCGCAACCACGTGGTTTGGCGGATCGTGGTCCTTTGTCCCACTCCACGTGGCGTCAGGTTCCTTTGTCCCACTTTGCTCGCGGCCCGGCCGTGCACAGCTGCAGCTGCGAGATGCACGACGGGTGGACAAGACTCGAAGAGGACGAGGCTAATCACTACCCTAATCACTACCACCCACTCACATCCTCCCCTGCGATTCGGCCTCTGCCCGCGAGGTATGCCACTCGCAGACTAAAGCATCCACTCGCGATCTCTTGCATCAGCTCATCGCCTCTTGAAGCCGGCTCGCGACTATGTCGCACCTACTGCAAATCCGTGAGTAGCTCGACGCTGAGCAAGCGCTGAGCGCTACGTGCTGAGCTCGGATCGATGGCTGACGTCCTGCTTTCTCGCGCCTCACAGTCGAGCAAGATCCTCACACGTCTGAAGAAGAGCTTTTCAGTCACCAGACAGCCACACAGCGCACCAGTCCTTCCTCAAGACAAATGCGCGATCCATTGGCGCCACCGACTTCGCTCAAGATTGCTTGCAAGCGCACCGCCCCTTTGCCTGACCGCCACTCAACACGCAAGCCTTTCTCCAAGCCTGCACCTTCGTCCTCGCAGAGTCACAAGGCTCCTTCAACCTCGCAGCGAGCACTGAGCTCCAACAACGATGCCAATGACTCGCATGGCCAGCCTGGTAGCAGCAACAATAACGACAACGACGCCAACGCCAACTCCCCACCTTCTCCATTCTCCACCGCTCTCGGTGACGACTGCTCAGCCACCTCAAAATATCTCGTACCTACGACCAGCAAGAAGACGACGGTCGAGTGGCGCGGCACAGCGGTCAATGCTGCATCTGAGCACAACAACGCCGGCGCCTGCCAGGCACGCCCGTCTTCATCCCACGCCGTCGTCGAGCCCATCACGATCATGCTTACGCCACGCGAGTGCGTGTCAAAGGCATGGCGAACGCCAACGCACAATACCTCAACCTCACCGCAGCCCTCGAGCTTGAGGTACGCTACGACTCTCGCTTTACGCAGAGTGGAAGCACGTCGATTCAAAGGTGCACATCCAAAAGCGAAAAGCTGAAGGAGACATTGTCCACGTCCTCATCAAGAGATGATCCAGGCACCCAGACCAACGGATCAATACCTAGCCTAGTCGAGCCTCAACAGCTTGCAGCGTGTCACGAGCTCGCCTGCACTCCATGCACTCCACACTACCCTCGCGCAGACCCTCTCGAGCGCTCCAATCTCGACGATCATCCAGCGTCAGAGACTCAGCCAGTTGCATTGGCGCATGAAGCATCAGCAGGGCAAGGCGGGCGAGAACACCGCTCTCCATCCGCTCTACGACTCTTCTCTTCGCACCACCCGCTGCGTCTCCACTCTCGCATCTTGCAAGATGTCTGCCTCCTCCATCATCCCCGCACAATACGACCCCCTCAAGGGGCGATTCAGCCACGGCAGCACAGTGTTCATGCAGGTGGACTACACGGAGTGGCCCTGGGAGCATGATCGCGTCTTTACCGAGGTCTACGCCCACGTGGGGGGCATCGACCACCGCGTTCGATACCTTCCCGTCGCCTCGACCCGTACCTTCCAGACAACTCTCGCCTGTTCCGCATGCCTGACAGGCCAATGCTGTGGGTTCTCCACTTCCCGTCTAAGAGCGTGGGCCCCCTGTCAGCGAGGCAGCCAGCAAGCATTGTGAAGGGAGAGGCGAGTGAGCTCAAGGATCGGGAAGATGCAGCCCTCACCGCCGCTCCGCAGCCTGCCGGACCGCAGCCCACGCCCGCCACTCGCCCGGGAACAGAGCCTCTCATACCAAACACACCCCTCAACGAGAGCGAGACGGCTGGTGCCTACATCGGTCGGCACCTTGCTCACGATGAGGCGATGCCCATGGATGGCGATTGCGGTATGCACGCCATCCTGTACAGCCTCGATCAGCAAGCAGAGTCGGGCCAGCTAAGCGTCGACCAAGTGCGGGACAAGATCACGGCTTGCATGAGTGACGCGAAGCACCGCGACCTCCTGCCGATGTACGACCAAGAGCACTGGAGTGAGCGGACGACACGCCTGGCCTCGGGCAAAGGAATTCCTCGCGGTCAAGATTCCAACGGGCGGTACCTCTCCTTCGACGACTTTTATGCCGTCGCAAACATCTGGAGACGCCCAGTTGTCCTCCTCGACCGTGTCCTGGGGCCCAAAGGCTCCTTCACCATCCTGCCGGCGAAGTTTGACGTCACGCTTCGCGAGGGTCCTGCTCCGATCGTCTTTGTCTGGAATCTCTGGTCTGGGAAGGGTGATTGTGGTCCTCTGTGTTGCGTAGCTCACCGATCTCTGGTCT